ATCAAAGAGTGCCTGAAGTCAAGCAAGATTACCCGCTGAACTTAAGCATATTACTAAGCGGAGGAAAAGAAACTAACAAGGATTGCCCTAGTAACGGCGAGTGAACCGGCATCAGCCCAGACTGGAAATCGCTTCGGCGAGTTGTACAGTTGAGACATAGACCTTACACAGCGGAGCAGGTGTAACTCAGTTGGAACGCTGGACCGTAGAGGGTGATTGGTATCTATTTTTCATCGAAAAATATTTTTCCTCTTCAATTTTTATCACATTTTTCTATTAATTTAGCACAAAATTCGTATAAAAATCTTAATATTCTATAGTAAAAATATAGCCAAGGTGATAGTCCCGTGCCACTTGTTCCAAGTGAGAGGTCGTGTTCCACGAGTCGGGTAGCTTGGGATTGCTGCCCAAAGTGGGAGGTAGACTTCTTCTAAGGCTAAATACTCACAAGAGACCGATAGCGAACAAGTACTGTGAAGGAAAGATGAAAAGAACTTTGAAAAAAGGGTTAAAATACTTGAAATCGCTGAGGAGGAAGCAGTGGGCTCTGCAGCGCTGGCAGTACAACTAACGACACGTCGTTGGAGCAGCTGACAGCACAACTCCGTCTGCGTCCTCGTGCTGTGCCTGAAGGCTGTTAGCCCACAGAGCCAGCACAATGGATTCAGGCGGAGTCGCGGTGTCCACTGACCCGTCTTGAAACACGGACCAAGGAGTCTAACATGCGTGCAAGTAGTAGGGTTTAAACCGGACTATATTATATTTGCAAGAAAATTACCTAATAGTATTTTTCTGCTGTATTTAATTAGAAATAGTATAAACCACACTGCGCAACGAAAGTGAGCCTTGCCAAACTAGCAGCAAGGGCCGCGTCAGCGAGCTCAGCACATATGTTGGGACCCGAAAGATGGTGAACTATGCTTGGGAAAGGCGAAGCCAGGGGAAACTCTGGTGGAGGCTTGTAGAGATTCTGACGTGCAAATCGTTCTTCTAACCTGAGTATAGGGGCGAAAGACTAATCGAACCATCTAGTAGCTGGTTCCCTCCGAAATTTCCCTCAGGATAGCTGGAACAGTGCAGTTTTATCGGGTAAAGCGAATGATTAGAGGTTCGGGAGTTGTATTGGATAAACGATAAATATAAGAAAAATCTATATATTATAATAATTCCCATATTTATTATAATTCCCAATAACAACTTTCACCTATTCTCAAACTTTAAATTGGTAAGAACGCAGAGTTGCTTCATTGAACTCTGTGCCGAATGCGTGTTCCATGTGGGCCATTTTTGGTAAGCAGAACTGGCGACGAGGGTTCAACCTAAGGCAGGGTTGAGGCGACCAATTGGCAGCTAATGAGATGAAAAGGTGTTAGTTCATTTAGACAGTAGGACGGTGGCCATGGAAGTCGGAACCCGCTAAGGAGTGTGTAACAACTCACCTACCGAATGAACTAGCCCTGAAAATGGATGTCGCTAAGCAGCCAGCCGATACCCTGCTGTCCAGCTTGATGACAGTTGGACAGGTAGGAGGGCGTGGAGGCAGCGCAGAAGGCTCTGTGTGGACAGGGTTGGAGCTACCTCTAGTGCAGATCTTGGTGGTAGTAGCAACTATTCAAATGAGAACTTTGAAGACTGAAGTGGAGAAGGGTTTCATGAGAACAGCAATTGGTCATGAGTGACTCGGTCCTGAGGCCAGGGGTAATCCCGCGACGACATCGTCCAGGCCGAAAGGGAATGTAGTTAAAATTCTACAAGCAGGCGGTGGGTATTGAGTGGCAACACAACTGAACTCAAAGACGTCGGGGCGAGGTCCTGGGGAGAGTTCTCTTTTCTTCTTAACAAATCGCTGCCCTGGAGGTCTTTGCGACGAGAGAGGGCTATCGGTTTGGAAGAGCAGCACACCCTTTGTGCTGTCCGGTGCACCTCCTTCGGCCCTTGAAAATTTGAGGGAAATCTTATCGCTCGCCTGGCCGTACCCATAACCGCATCAGGTCTCCAAGGTTAGCAGCCTCTAGTACGTAGAACAATGTAGATAAGGGAATTCGGCAAATTAGATCTGTAACTTTGGGAAAAAGATTGGCTCTGAGGGCCAGGTCTTGGGCCTTCTGACCTCTTCATAGCTTCGCAGGAAGGGGCGACCTGACCAGCGCTAGCGACTGTTGAGCCAGGAGTAACCCAGGACAGCGAATGGCTAACTCAGAACTGGAGCAGCGAGGGGAATCCGACTGTTTAATTAAAACAAAGCATTGTGAAGGCCTCAAAAGGTGTTGACACAATGTGATTTCTGCCCAGTGCTCTGAATGTCAACGTGAAGAAATTCAATCAAGCGCGGGTAAACGGCGGGAGTAACTATGACTCTCTTTGAGACATAAAATTTTTCATAAATATTTCCTAGTAAATTTATTATAAAATATTTTTTTTCTTTCCTCTCTTAAGGTAGCCAAATGCCTCGTCATCTAATTAGTGACGTGCATGAATGGATTAACGAGATTCCTACTGTCCCTATCTACTATCTAGCGAACCCACAGCCAAGGGAACGGGCTTGGCAGAATCAGCGGGGAAAGAAGACCCTGTTGAGTTTGACTCTAGTCTGGCTTTGTGAAATGGCGTAGGAGGTGTAGACAAGTGGGAGCCCTGCGACCTTGAAAAACCACTACTCTTGATGTCATTTTACTTACCTCGTGAGGTAGCGACCATTCGTGGTTCTAGCTTTGCTTGCTAAGCGAGAGACAGAGCCAGGTAGGGAGTTCGGCTGGGGCGGCACATCTGTTAAACAGTAACACAGGTGTCCTATGGCAAGCTCAAAGAGAACAGAAATCTCTTGTAGACCAAAAGGGGAAAAGCTTGCTTGATTTTGATTCTCAGTACGAATACAAACCGCGAAAGCGTGGCCTATCGATCCTTTGCTTTTTAAAAGTCTTAAACCAGAGGTGTCAGAAAAATTACCACAGGGATAACTGGCTTGTGGCAGCCAAGCGGTTTCTAATTATATCAGAAAAAATAGAACATAAATTATATATAGAAAAATAATAAATAATTTCAAGCCAAGCGTTCATAGCGACGTTGCTTTTTGATTCTTCGATGTCGGCTCTTCCTATCATTGTGAAGCAGAATTCACCAAGTGTCGGATTGTTCACCCGCTAATAGGGAACGTGAGCTGGGTTTAGACCGTCGTGAGACAGGTTAGTTTTACCCTACTGATGAACTGATGTCGCTACAGTAATCCAACTCAGTACGAGAGGAACCGTTGGGTCAGATCACTGGTTCATGCGATTTCCTGACAAGGAAGTGTCGCGATGCTACCATCTGTTTGATTATGGCTGAACGCCTCTAAGTCAGAATCAATGCTGGAACGCGACGTCCGCCAGTCACCTATGGAAACCATAATCCCACTCCCAACTGAGATCCTTGTCCAGGCGAAATGCTGAAGACGGCTTCTCAATGTACCAAATAGTGACTGGGACAAATCTTTTGCAGACCACTTACATGGAACGAGGGATTGTACGTACGAGAGTAAGCTTGTCTTACGATCTACTGAGATCCAGCCTCCTTCCTTCGATTTGTCACCCCCTGTATATTATTCTCTGCTGGGGTATTGATCTTGTCTTTAGTTTTGCTTAAAAAACTATTTATTTTTTATATTCGCATAATTTTTTATGAAATTATGGTTTCAAATAAAATTTGTATATTAAATAAAAATATTATTAACACTAATTATAAAATATTCAAACATTTTGTAGCAGCACTATAAATTAGCTTCCGTGCTCAATTTTTAAAAGCTCCATTAAAGTATCAATATTTTGCATAAAGAGTAATTGATTATTTGTAATGTTCTGGAGATTGGATTGGATCTCCTCTTCTTCATCTTTATTTGTGTTTGCAGCATTTTCTCTTGCACCACCTGTCTCCTTTATCTCATGAAAAGTTTCTGCACTAGGATTTTTGTACAATCCATATAAAATCTCTTCAATTCCTTGTTCATTTAAGAAATAAAATTGTGACGTTGACGAAATTGGATACCTTATGATGGAGCAGTGTACCGACACGATGGTTGGCGAAAGATGCTCCTTGCGAGCGAACTAGACCATCTCATTCAGAAGCCTTCTGAAGCAGGGTGTTTTGTTTCTCCCCTGAAGGTTCTCCTGCTCCTAGAGATGGGTTAGACAGGTTTGCCTACCGCATGATCATTCTCTAGCATGACCAGCGGAGCACTCTACAGATAGAGCTAATGCCTGGACAGGTGGTTTAGATCTGAAATTCAGGATGGTGCCATTCAATTTTCCTCATTTGAACTCCCAGGTATACAGAGGCTTCTAGTTTGGAGCAAATACACGGCAAAGACTAATGGGCTACCCAATTATGGCCAGTTTAACAATTTGATTTATTTTGTTCGTTTAGCCATTCCGCTTTTGTTTTCTTTTTCTTTTTGTTAACTTTTTTAAATAAAAAATTTCTTTTAGTATAAAAAGAACTCGAAGGGCTACTAACTCCCCCCCCCCCCTCCGTGAGCGAACAAAACCATTAGAAAAATCGCCATTTTTTGACCAAAAACCCACCCTCCGTGAGTGAACAAAAATTTTTTTAATAGAAAAAATTTTAATGGAAAAAAATTTTGATATATAAATGATAATTAGTATAATGAAATCTAGAGCTAATTCTGTTTAATTTTAAAACAAATTGCGTTTTAAAACATAAATTTTGCAAATTAAATTAATATTTGCTTCCCAATTTTTGCAAATTAGGATTTTTTAAATTTCGAAAAAAAAATATTTTTTATAAAATTTATATATATAATTTTTTTTAAAAAAAAAAATTAACCCCCCTCCGTGAGCGAACAAAATTTTTTTTGTTCGCTCACGGAGGGGGGGGGGGGAGTAAGCGAATTATTTGGAAAAATTCACTGCTCTTTGACATTTTTTCCCTTAATGGCATCAGATCAGAGCTGGGTGAAATTTTTTTTTTCAATCCTAGTGAGATCTGATAGCATTTCTGTCCTAGTAGTTCCTCTTTCTAATCCGTGAGTCATATCAATGCTACACTTCTCCTCATAATCTTCATTTATTTGCTCAAGATTTAGATGTGGTAAAGCTAAGTCCAAAACATGGCTTTTAGCAACTTCAAGCTTCATTTTTCTGATTGCCGATGTTTCTTTGATTTCCTTTTCTTCCTGAGGAAAATTCTTTACTCCCCCCTCCGTGAGTGAATAAAAAAATTTTGTTCACTCACGGATGGTTAATTTTTTTTTTTAAAAATTTATTTTTCGAAATTTAAAAAAATCCTAATTCGTAAAATTGGAAAGCAAATATTAATTTAATTTATAATATTTATGTTTTTAAAAAGCAATTCGTTTAAAATTAAACAGAATTAGCTCTAGATTTTCATTATAATAATTATCATTTATATATTAAATTTTTTTTCTCCATAAAAAATTTTTCTATTAAAAAAAATTTTTGTTCACTCACGGAGGGGTGGGTTTTTTGGCAAAATTAGCGATTTTTCTAATGGTTTGCTCACTCACGGAGGGGGGGAGTTAGCATTTTAAGAAAATCTGGCTTAGATAATATCAATAGATCTGTCGATTTTGATGAAACTTGAACTGTATGCTCTCTTGATATTTCATTGATAAGCTCAACTTCACCAAAGTAGGCTCCACTGGAATAAGTTCAAAAAGTTATTCCATTAATGGCTTTAATATGCACTCTTCCAATATCTAAAAAATACATTTCCTCTGCGTAATCCCCTTCTCTATACAAAAATTCTCTAAATAATAAATGAGCAGTTTTTAGTTTAGGAACGACAAAGCTTAAAAATAAATGCTCTTTATTTTTAAAAAAATAAATCCTTTCCACAATTCTTGTGTTTAAATGTGTTGAAATTTCAACTCTCAGTCTAGCAGGGATATTTTTCAGCAAATTTTCTTGATCAGATCACCTTGAAACATTTTGAAGATGAGTTTTTAGAATGGTTGTTTTGATTCTTTGATGAAGCTCAGGAGGGATCTTCGCAATTCTTGTGAACTCTTGGAGTGATTGAATCCTGGTCCTTAATGACAATTCTGATATATCTTTCTGGTTCAGGATATTTTGAATATTACCAATTATGTGTGAAAAAAATGTAATGCCAAATGCCATTAAAAACATTGCAAAGATTTTTTCATCATTATTGAGAGGGGTTATATCTCCATACCCAACAGTAGTCAAAGTTGTGAACACAAAATAAATCGAAGCTATATATTTTTCAAAATTTGAGCCATCAATTAAATTGCTTCTGACTATCCATGATTCTGGAGTGAAATCTTCTAATTTAGCTATATAATATCAAAAACATCCGATAATATGGACTGTCACTAAAACAATGAACATAAATTTGCACATGCTAATAAATCCACTGCTTAATTTTAGTTTATCAATGAATTCGTCTAAGAATGCTCTTGATTTTGCAAATCTCATCATTTTCATGAGCCTTACCTCTGCTTCTGCAAATTTATCACCACGAAGTACTAAAATTTTTATAATTTTTAAATTTAAATTATAAACAAAATAAGGTATGCAATAAATAATAATAAAATCAATAAAATAAATCAAAACAAGCAATATTTCATTAAAAATAATATGATTCCTCTAAAAAAATATTATGTTGGGAGGTTATCAATCTAAACAATTTATAAAGCCTGGAAACCTTAAGTATATTGGTCAATCCGCCAGAATAATTTCCTGTAATCAGATCAAAAGGTAAAATAGACACAATATCAACAATAAATCACGTTTTAATGTACTTTTTTGCTATATCTTTTCTATTAACAATAAGCATCTCTGCTCGATTAAAATAAGCTGAATTAAATGTAAAGATGGTGTCCAAAAAGAATAAAATACTCACACTAATTTCTGTATAAAATAAAGGTTCACTTATATTATCAATAAAACACGTTATATAAGGTGTAATAAATCCTGTATAAAGCATAAGAAGAATCATAACAAAATTTCAAGTCAATTTAAATTTTCCATAAGGATGAAATAAGAATTTTGGCGTTTTCTGCGTTATAATATCTTCGTCTACATTTTTGAAGCATTGCCTTGTAGATCCATATGTTTGAATATCCTTTGACATCAAATTTAACCTGGCGATAATAAATGCAGCATTTCTTATTCGGTTTCATAAAAATTTGGTTCTTTCACTTGCATATTCAACAGGAAATTCTTCGTATTCTTGATCTCGAAAATCAAATTCTTTATTTAATGTGGATACTGGTGATGTGCTATATAGCTCTGTTGTTTCATGAGCTGTAGTTAAGAATGGAGTCTGATGAATGGCATTAAACATTTATAATGACTATGAAAGATTCAATGAGCATAATAATATATATATTTTCATATAATAAGCAGAATAGTAGCTTATCAGTAAAATGTTCTATATATTGTAATTAAATATATATATTTTAGCTCGCCTCTTGGTTTACATGCAAAGCATTATTATTGGGAAAATTAGCCAGCTTTACTTGAGAAAAAATATTTTTAATATATAATTTTAGCAAATAGAATTAGATTAGTATAGAATGCGTTAATTTACTTCCGCCTTCTAAGAGGCCATCCCCTATAAAATATTTTAAATTTTTTTCCAGTTTTATATCTAAAATCTCCAATTATTTTCTTTCTTATTCCTTAATTTTTTTAGCCTATAATTCTTAATTATTAATCTTAGCAATAAAATCTTATTGTTTAATATCATCTTGCTCTAGTTTGGCAATTATTTGTGGTTCTAATGTATCAACTATCATTCAAATAGTGAGGTTTCACATTCAATAATTTTTTCCAATTGCTTCACTTAATCGATTCGCAAATGCTTTTCTTCTTTCTAAAAATCTTGGTAATAAATAATAATTTGATGTATATCAACAATTATTATGTTATTATCAGTAGTTATCACCCAAATATTAGGTGAGATTCTTCAAAGACTCATTTTAATGATTGTAATAAAGAGATCTCCAGCAAATTATATTAAATTTTAAATAGCTTGAATTCTTTAAAATATTAATATTTATTAAATTAGATTTTCATTTCAAATATTTAGAAATCTGAATTTTTAAATCCTAAAAATGTTTTTATATAGAATTAATGTTTTTTTTTTAAAATCAAAAATTAAATTGTTTACTCCCCCATCTGTGAATTCCGTGAATGAACTAAAAAATTTTTGTTCCCTCAATTAGATTTGTTTTAAATTTATATACTTTGTAATAATTCTTTTTTTTTCAACACGTAAAAAATAATTTAATTCGAAAAATTTATGTTTAAAATGCAAGCTGTTTAAGACAAAATTAACTAGAGATTTTATTATAATAATTATTACTTATATATAAAAATTTATTCGATTACAGAGGGTGGGTTTTTGGAAAAAATTAGGATTATTCCAATGTTTTTTTCTCTCACGAAGGGGGGGTTAGAGAGCAGGCAAGATTTTTTGCTCGCTAATCAAAAAGGAGATAAGTAATAAAGAGCTAAATGATTAAAATAAGCAATTTTAAATATGTTTTTATAGAAGCAATTTATCTCATAATAGATAATCGTTCCACTTATTTATCTATGTGCAAAAATAAATTAAATTTAGGAGTTTTAAAATAAAAGACTCGAATTGTAATTATTTATCTTTTAATAACTAATTCCTTCAAAAATAGAACTTTTAACTTTAATCTATTTTCGATAATGATCATTTTATAAGTATTGGCAAAGTTAGCTCGAAGTAATTGGCCATCCTTTTCTAATATTTTTTAATGATTTCAAATCTCCTGATTATTCTATTCATTTTTTAAAATAAAAGATCTATACGTCTTAATAAATACCACTTAATAGCGTGAACCTAAAACAGTATCCACATCAACTTGTCCAGCGATTGCTGTTTCTAGTTCTTCATATGCAGTTCGTTGCAGAAGCTGTGTGTTTTGCAACCTTTGAATCAATTCAAGTTCCTCCTGCTCCATTTTATTTACTTCTTCCTCTTTTTCCCTTCTTATTTTATTTTCTTCCTCAATCTTTCTTTCCAACTCTGCCTTTAAAGCCATTTTCTTTTCCATTGCGAATTTTCTTCTCCTTTCTTCCGCTTCCAATTTATCTTTATTAATTTTTTCCTTTATCGAAATTTTCATCATTCTTTCCTCATTTCTTTTGGCCTCTATTGCTTCCAAGTTCTCTTGTCTCAGCTGTTTAAGTGCTTGAGCATCATTTTGGATTTTATTTTTTAACGAATGTGAGCGATTCTCCTTCATTTTCCTCTCTCGGTCCTTTTGTTGTTTTTTTTCCATTTGGCGTCTTTTTTCTGACTCTTCTTGCTGCTTTTTTTCTTCTTCTTTTTTGCGTTGGATTTCGAGATTTCTGGCTTTCATATCAACGATTTCTTTTGCCTTTTTTCTAGTCTCTTCAATCTTTTTGAGAGCCTTAGCTTCTTCTTGTTTGAGAAGGGCGATACGATTTGCTAGCCCCTCTGTGATGAGCGAAATTATTAGAAGAATTTTACTTTTTTATAGAGAATTGAAAAATAAATTATATACAAATAATTTTTATATAAATTATAAGTATCTATTGCTAACTCCCCCTTCCTCCGTGAGTAAATAAAAATTTTGTTCGCCACAAAGGGTTTTTTTTAATTAAAATTTATATGTCCATTTTTTAGTAATTTTTTTTTTGAAATTCCAATTGGTGAAAATTAATTTAATTATAAAATCTATGTTTTTAAAATCAAACAGAATTAATTAACTAGAGATTTTATTATTAATTATTACTTATATATCAAATATTTTATAAAAAAATTTTTTGTTCGCTGGATTATTTACCCAAAATTTGGTATCTTTCAAATGGTTTTGCTCGCTTACGGAGGACGGGGGAGTAATGAAAAACCATGCTATTTTTATAAAATTTTAAACGTCATGCATTCTAATATATATAATTTTATTATTTTTACTTTCGAAATTTTAAAATTTTTTTGAAAAATTTTATTTTTAATAATATTTGAAAAAGAAAAAAATTTTTCGCTTGCGAAAGAGGGAAGTAAGAGCCTGGCATCTTCTTCCGTGCGCTTTCGCATAGATTTAGCCTCAGCAAATCTGGTATGGTCCCCTGTGTCTTGATCTTGACTGTTTAGTTCAAATGACATATTTTAACTGAATTTCAAATTATTATTTTCAATTACCAATAAAGAATTTACTAGAAAAACGGTAAAATAAAAGGTAATTCTTATGAAGAGAGTAATGAGATAAAAATCTCTACCTTCTATTTCCATAGAAGGACAGGATCGATCAAAATGAACTTTGGGAAAGGTCGATGGAGTCTTGCAAATATGAGGAGACTTAATGAACACATAATTTCGGAAGTATCTCTAATTGTGTATTGCATAGCCAGCAGCGCTTTTTTCAAGCTTCCAGAAATCCACTTTTCATTTGGCCGCTTCATTGGAGGTGATTTATAAGCTAGTGGGCACAGCACTAGACTAAGCGAGCTAGCAGTACATATTGGCTCATCTAGTATCGCTTTTGGATGTAAGAGTAGACCTTGCCCGAGAATAAATGTGTCAAGCATGAGAGGAGCAGACAAGGTAATGTAAAGTTTTTTTAGAACTCTATTTGTAACTAATCAAAACATTAAAAAAGAATTAAGAGCTTTTGCGAAAGGTTTAAAATTGAATTAACCCTTGAAATGGTGTAGTTTTGTTGGCAAGAAAATTTTATCTCTTTAGGGTATCAAATAAAATTTATAGATATAAATGATAGATAGCAACGCTGAAAATTATCAGGAAAATACGCTTGATACTGAAGTAACTAGAGAGAGATCAATTCAGACAACTATGAAATTAGTTGGGGAAATTCAAGAAAGTAATAGTGCTACTGGAAGTATTGAAGCAAATTCATCACTTTTGATTAATAATCCTCTAACTTCCAGCCAAAATGAAACATCAAATCGAGCGCAAAATGAGCCTCCTTTACTTTCGAGCTCACACACAGCAAGAGCTTGGCCACAAAATGAACAGCATCGTCTTCATGCGGAAGATTTCAAGAATTTAATCACTGCTGAACCCAAATCTCTAATCCAAAAGATAACGAAAACAGATAAAATTGATCTTCAAATGCCAAATTTAGAAAGAGAGAGACCAGAAAATGAGCATTCTCCACCTCCTGCGGGTGAATTTAAACTTACCATTCCTGATGGCACGAAAAAATCTAATGCTTGTCTTCCTCATCCTCCACCTCTTACTGTTCAAAATAATACCCCTGATATACCCAGCATATTCCCAAATAATAGAGATAAAAATATTCTTCAAGAGCGAAAAACTAATAATTTATTTGAAAGAAGTAAAAGCCCTAATACGAACCCATTTCCTGTTTCCCAAACAAAATCTCATAAATATAAAATTCCATCAGTCAGCAAAGAAATAAAAATAAAGGATTATACAATTTCGAGCGAAAGCTCAGAAAGCGAAATGAATGACACAGATCGGATTATTCCATCAGTGAGAAGCTCTATCCGTGATGAAGCAAGTATACCAGCTCCTTCAGTTTTTATGACGAAAAATCAATTTATAAAAGAACAGCTTGACGAGCGAAGCCAAAAATCTCAAATTAAACTCCAGCAATCAGTGTTTGAAGATGAAAATTCAAGTAATTTAAGTGAAGATAAAAATTCAAGTAATTTGAGTGAAGATGAAAATTCAAGCAATCAGAGTGGATATATAGATATGACACAATCATTTGAAGATAGCGGACAAGATAAAATGACTCAAAAACAGCCACCAAATTCATTAAATCAGCCATGAAAGCAAAATCCTATACACTATTAGACAGCTGGAAAAACATTTTTACTAGTTGATTAAACTAATATCTTATTTTCCCCTTAAAATAAGCCATTTTGAAGAAAGAAATAGGCACTGGTCATCCAATAATATGGCATTCAGGCTGCAAAATATTGCATAATACCCCTGTGAGTAAATTACCACCCCCACCTAAAACTTTTAATGTAATATTAAAAAGTGATATTCAACCTAAGCAATCAAAAGTTGCTATCGATGAAGGCTACAATAGCGATGATTTCGATAGTGATGAAGCTGAGATACTTTACAATAATACTCCAAAAGAATTAATAAATACTCCAGAAGACTTAATAAATGCTCCAAAAGACTTAAAAACTACTCCAAAAGATTTAATAAATACTCCAAAAGACTTAAAAAATGTTGCAAAAGACTTAAAAAATACTCCACAGGACTTAATAAATGCTCCAAAAGACTTAACAAATACTCCAAAAGACTTAAAAAATACTCCACAAGACTTATAGAGGTTTCCTCTATATAGCGCTGAAAGCGCAGACATTTTCCCAGGAGCTTTCCAAGTTCGTCGGACCGAATCGCTTTTTGGTCCGACCAAGGCATTGATTTGGTGCAACCAACCGATAAATTCCGATCAGAATTTATCGGCCTTACAGCGCCAAACATAGGAAACTTCTATAATAAATACTTCAAAAAACTTAAAAAATACTCCAAAAGATTTAATTAATGAAGAACAATTTTCATTGGCCATTCCAGCCATGCTTGAAAATTTATTATGATTATTAAATCACCGCCAAATGTTCCTTGCTCTAGCTGAGGTTCTTTCTAATATGAAAATGATTTAATTTATTTTTAATATATTGTTTCGAAATTCACAGATCCCAATTTGCAAAAATTTGTGTAAATAAATGCAATTTAATTAATTAAATATAAGTTTTAGAAGGAACTGTTTAAATTTAATAGAATTCATTATAAAAACAACTACACATACAAATTATTTTTTATGAAAATTATGGGATAATTTCTATGAAGAATGCAGAGCTTGCTCGCTAACAGATTGGTAGTTAGTGGCTCTCATACTAGAATATTCACTGCTTTATGTGCTTTAACAGAAAATGCTCCTGAAGCAATGAAGCCCGGGTTTACTTCTCTTTTATCTTCATTTCATTGTGAAAAATGCCAAGTGAATCTTTATGAGGGAGTTACAAGCTGCAATCATAAATTATGTAAAGAATGTTCCATCGAATCATTACGAAAAAGGACAAATGGCCTAATTCTGTTAACAACTTATGAAGAAGAAAGCTTTAGAACGATGTGCCCAAAGTGCAAAAAAAAATTGCTCGATAAAGACTTGGAAGCTATTTTAGGAGACAATTATGAGATTTATGATTTAGAGAGAAACAAGCGACAATTAGAACAAGATAATCAACGAAGACATGCCTATATGAGCACATCTTCAGAAACCGATCATGAGTGCTTTACTTGCCATAAGGAATTAAAAGATGAGATGTGCTTTAAAAATGATGTATGCAAACACCAATGCAAAGAATGCTTGGCATCTAGTATGAGAAGAGGAAGGACAGGATGTCCTCATTGTAGGCAAACTTATTCAATGAATATTTCCACCGAGAATGATATCTGCCAAGGCTGCAATCAATTGATGTATTTTATTGGAAATAACTTGAGAAAAGTTTGCAATGGCCATTTGATGTGTAATCGCTGCATAAACGAATCTTATCAAGCGAAGAAGTGCAAAATATGTAAGATAACTGCAGATCGCAATTTATTATTGGAATTTGATAGGATTTTATTTGGGAGATGCACTGGGCCTTGTGAGCAAAAAAAACTGTTAGATTATTTCATATTGAAAGAATGCTGCAATCAAGATGTATGCATCGAATGCCAAGCAAATGACAAGGAAGCCTGCATTAAGTGTAGAAAACCACTTGGAAACTGGGCTAAACAGCAGCTACAATATATAGCAAGTAGGCAAAGCATATAATCACTAAAAGTACAGTGAAATGACCAAAGGATTTAAACTGGAGAACATATAAAATATTTTTTTACCTAATTACCATAAATAAAATATTTATAATAGTTCGCTGTTATCTATTTAATATATGAAAATACGATAAGAGTTGCCAGTAGACATGCTTTTACCCTTAAAAGGAGGTATATATAATAAGCATCACAAAATTTTAAAATTATATCTTTTCCAGGGACTGTTAATGCACCAGAATTAAGTTGAAATAGTCTTCTGCATAAATAAAGCTACTTTCATTAAATTTTCGCATATCTTATAGCCATACTGAGCATTGCCAAGTTCACTGATTTAATTAATTTCTCAATATCTAACTAATAATATATAATGGATAGCAAACTAGACTCAATAAACTTACAGCAGCGAAAAATAGAATGCCAAAAAATCATGCAGTCCCACCCTAATCAAATCCCAATCATCCTTGAAAACGACAAAGAAATAAACGACAGCAAAACTATGGAGAACAGATTTTTGGTCCCAAAAAGATTCAAATTTCAGGAGTTTATCTTTAACTTGAGGAAGAACATGAATTTGCCAAAGACCAGCGCATTATTTATATCAATAGGAGGTCACTTGCCTGCATTAGATAAGACGATGATAAGTATTTATGATGAGTTCAAAAATCCAGATGGGTTTCTTTATGTTCGTTACTCATCAGAATCAGCTTTGGGGTAATTTGTTAAATTAGTTTAATAGATGTTAATAGATTAATTATGCAAGAGCTTTTAAAACAGGCCTTGATTAATTATAAGCCAGCTAGCGTAGTAAGAAAACCGCTAGAGGTTAAATCGAAGACAATTACTTTAAAAGAGAGGATTATTTCCAAAAACAGATCAGAAAAGATAATATCATTGAATTATAATCAACCTAGGAATTTGAGTAGATGCAAAAATAGTGATATTCTTAATAAGAGAAAGAAACTTGATTATAAGGGCGTTGAGAGATCTGAAACTTTAAAAAACTATACCGATTTTTTCTCTAGTTCTTTTATAAAGCAGAAAAAGGGAAGGGAAAGAAAATCAAAAAGCTGAGGTGAATTGCCAAAAATGCAGCCAATAAAAAAATGCTGTGATACAAAACTAATGATTAATATCAAAAATTTAATTAAATCCAGAATGGCATGCAAAACAGCTTACCATAAAACTGGAGACATTAATTTGAGCCCTTGGCAATAACTTATAATTTTGAAAAAGAAATTAATATATAAAACTCTGATAATCAAATCCCCAGCATAACGATGATTATTTTTATTCCAATATTCTCCTAAAACAGTTGCCATCTTGAAAAGTATTTCCATAATTTCAAAGACTCTATTGAGGTTTTAATCATTAGCATTTCTGTAGATGATGGCATATAGCGCTGCATAAAAAACCTTGGCTGTCTTTCCCTCCAAATTGATAAAGAACCTTTCTTAAACTCTTCTGTTTCCTTTTCGCAATTTGACATGAAGGTTCCATACAAACCCGAACTAACCCCATCAGCAAGAAAAATTAAATAATTTTGACTGAATTCAAACTCATTCGGATATTGCTGAATAATCTGATGGACTGCATCCAAAAACTGCAAGAAGCATGGCGACCTTTCTTGGCCATTGCACCTATCCCTAAATTTATGACCGAATGACAGCCATTCCTTGGTCAGCAAAATTTGGAATCCACAAAAAGTCCTATAGAATGGATCCAAAATGATTTGCGCTAATGAAGTCACACTCGGAGTTGTATCCCAGCCATCTAGACAAGTTACTAACTCCCCCCTCCCTTTAAATTGGAACTAAAAAATTTTGTTCCAATTTAAAGGGGGTTAAGAAAATTGTTTTAAAAAAAAAATCATTATAAAATTTTTTATAAAAAAAAATTTATATTAAATTTTTAAAAAAAAAAAATTTCAAAAATTTATCGAATTAGATTAATAAATTTGTTTAATAAAATGCTATTTACTCTTTATCCTTTAAAAAAAAGCAAGATATAACTAAAATTTTATTATTAATTAATACGCCACTATTAATTGGTATCAAAACTATTTACACAAAAATTATTATTTTTATTGATAAAAAAAAATTTTAGAAAATTTATTAATCAAAGTGCTAATTTTGTTTAAATAAGATGTTATTTATACTCTATTCTTTAAAATAAAGCAAGAGATAAGTAAATTTTGAATTTTTGTAAAGAATTCGTATTGAATTTATATCAAAGCTATTTAAATAAAAAATATCATTTTTATCAAAAAAATAAAATTTTTTTTGAAAATATTTAAAATAAAAAAAATTAAATTTTTTTAAAAATTTACAATTAAGAATAATAAATCTATTTAAATAAGATGCTCTTTATACTCTATTCTTTAAATAAGAGCAGGATATAACCAAATTTTTAATTTTAGTTAAGAAGAAACATTTAAATTATATCAAAACTTTTTACATAAAATTATGATTTATATATATAAAATTTTTTATTATAAATGTTTTTTTTCCAATTTAAAGGGGTTACCAAAAAAAGTGGAAATTTTACCTATATTTTGATCCAATTTAAAGGGGGGGGAGTAAGACAGATGCTTTTTCGAAATGAATATAATCAGCCACAGATGTGGAGACAGATAAAAGAGTTTTTAAGTTATGGAGCCATCTTGAATGGTGTAACACAGTAAAAAAATAATCTTTTCTCTCATACAAGGATTTTAATTGGTCAAAACTCTCTTTTATTTTCAAAATATCAGGAAAATTTACAGTTAATACTTGGCAGACTGTGTAGCTTGGAGTTCCATAGTCTCTGCTAGAGGTTTTTGTATTGGTTTTATATTTGATGTCAATGACGTATTTTATCCGCGACCTTTCCATGAATTCTTCATCTTCTATGCAGCGCAATGAAACTCCTTCAGATGGCTGGCTGCTGCGAAAGATGCCAAAGCCTTTATTGTATCAGCAGAGGGTGGGAATCCGTCCTCGATTTCTATAGAGTCCAATGGCTCTGAGGTCTTCTTGAGTTAGAGCAATTGGCAAAATAAGACATGAAGGATAAGTACTGCAAAATTCATAGGTGGAGTTTATAGCTGAAATTCTATATTGGTTCTCATCTAGCGCGCCTAGACGGGTAAACTCTTTTACAGGGTCATATATATCCCAGCCGTAGCTGTCATGCAGGTTTGAAGCATTAAAATGCCGTAAGCATGAAACTTTACCATACTCTGAGTTGTATCTTTCAGCAAATTTTTTAGTTTCTTCAGCATTTTTGAATATAAATTCAATGCTCCTTAAGTCTTTTGTGTTGATTTTTACTGAATTTATTTGGATTTCTAATGTTTCCACACATAGTAATGGGATACTGAAAAAATAGGAATATTGGCTGTCACAGTGAAAATAAATTCTAAATGTGGTTAAATAAAGCATCCCTTCTAGTCTCAGACATGGAGAAACAGCTGATACGTCTGAGTTATATAATATTGCTTCACCGTCATAAAATTTCGGATCTTCATGAATTTCTGCGATTGACTCTTTAGCAAACTCTTCTTCTTCAGATCTCAGCATAGAGAGACTATCACAGATTTTCACTAAAATTTCGCAAGTTGATATGAAATTTCTGTGCAATTTAAATTCAATAATCGTCATAAAAATTCCATTAACCATTTTGTCTTGAATTTCTTCTAACGACAGCTCATGCCTTGATATAGCAACTCGGTTGTTTTCAAGGACAATTAAAACTTTATCATCTCAAGAGACCTCATCAAATTTTGCTACACTAAATGACCGGAAAAATAAGCCAGCCTCATCTTCCACAGATTCAAAAGTTAATGTGTGTGACTGATTTGCAAGATTACACACAATAGATAAGTTAAGCTGAAAAATCGAGGAGTTTTTTATTTTTGCTTCACTGACTTTAAGAAATGGCGTAGGAGCCCAACCTGAAGATCCTGCTTCATCAACAGCTCAAGATCAATATTTCCCATACTCTAAAAGTTTTACCTCTTGGCCGTTCTTAAGGGAGATCCTGGTCGGAGACTCCGAGCGATAAGAGCCTAGAGCTCGAGCTTCATAAAGCTTGAAATTCTTCATATGAGGTATTTGCATATAAAACGTTGCCATTTTGAGTTATTATTCTAAGACTAAGATAAAAGATATAAAATAATAGAATAGTTAGAAGTTAGGAATATTATATTACTTAAAATGGCAGATCCATAAGGGATATTTCAAATAGTTTAAACTTATGGCATTTTATTAATAATAAGAATTTAATAGAGGCAAAATCATTCGCCAGAATTCATGTGAATATTATTCTCCATTTGTAAAATGGAGATTGACAACATCTTTGACAAACCTGATAACTTAACATCAAAACCCAGAAACTATTTGGAAATTCAAATTCCACATCAGCCAGAGTATGTCGATTTTGGTACAAATACAATGGAAATAGAAGACACTCCAAAAATCCCAAAATATCGGCCAATTATTAGCCAATTCAAGCCTCAAACCCAAGTGAAAAAATGCGCTTTGCCTTTATCCATCATGAATTCAAGAATCGACAAAAAGTGCCTAGAAAAGGATCCCAAAAACTGCAGAAATTCATCTCAGTTCTTCAACGAGGCCGAAAAAATAATTTTTCATAAGCATTTGCCTCGGAAAATAAATAAATCGGAATTTTATAGAGGGATATGTATGACGCCTAATATGACAAAGGAATATAAAATTAAGCAAAAAAGACAAAGAAGCGTTAGCCCTCCAGTTTTGGAAGCCCATAGTAATCATTTTAAGACTGAGCTTCATGAACCCCTAAGTTCTTAGTTAAGATTATAGAAAAGCTCTTTCAGGCCTAAAAGCTCTTTCAGGCCTAAAAGTCTCAACTCGCCTCCATAACACGCATCACTCGCTTGCGAATCCAGAAGCAGCCTCACTCTGTGTCGCTCATTGCGGGCTAGGGCTTGCACTTGCTGCCTGAGAGCCAGAGACATTAGGTTATCATACTGGGCTTCAGCTGGGATCCTTCCTAAAAATTGAAGAGCGAATTTTTTGCCGGTTTTCCAACCAAAATGGAGCTCGAAGCTTAGGACGTGGCGACTAGTATCACTCTATAAAAAAATTGACTCCTTAGGGAGTGATAACCATAAATTCATTCATTCATTAATCACTCTATGGAATTACCCGAGTGGCCAAGCAACCACCTCTGGCTTTCTGGGTGTCCTTTTTCAAACTCCGGCGAATCATCTTTCAGTGGTTAAAAACCAAATCTGGATGCGAGTAAGTAGTCAGCTAAGCCTAAATTACGTTCCACCAACCCAGGAAAACCCTACCGGACACTCATGTTCTAATACTATCCTCCCTTACATAAATTCTTTTGGGTTCCCGGGCTAGAGGTGTTAAGAGGCAGGTTGGCACCCGCGCCATTTAATAATGAATGCTTAATGAATCCCATAAGTGATTTGGATCTAGACTGAGAAGGACTTCCTTATATAGTCGCTTGATACCTTTAAGTAAGTCTTCAATGCCCATAAAAATGAAGTGCAAGTCTAAGTCGCCACTTATGAACCCTCTTCTGACGTTTGATTTGAAAAATCATAAATTGTCAACACTGCTTTTAACACATCATAAAGATGAATATGTAATTTAACATCAAAGCTAACTATTTATTGTATTAATGCTTAGGATTAAGGATGAATGTTATTTTATTATCCAAATTTTAAAAGAATATTTAAATTCTCTAATAATCATAAATTATTTTCACTGACAAATCCGTAAAATATGCTTCTAACATTAAAATATTCATTTCAATACGCTCAATTTTCTTATTGCATTTAATAATCTTCTGTATATTAGTAAAGGGTAACAGATAAAATGGACGAAGATATTAAATCGTCTTTAGTTTCTAGCGAATCTAGTGATGACTCTGAAGAAGATTCAGAAATAGAAGAAGTTAAATTTCCAAAGGAAAAAGTTAATTTCAGAAGGCAAGGAAATGTGTTTGTAATAACTGATTTCAGACAAACCCGGGCTGACAAAATTCGAGAGGTGAATATGCAGCTAATTCCTTTGGTTAGGTCACTTTTTATTTATTCTTATATGTTTACTGCTTGCTTGTGATTACTTGTTTTTATCTATCCTACATTCTTTGTAGTAGGCTGCACTGGAGGGCTTTTATGCTATGTTAATTATTTATGGCGTGCCTCTTAATAGATCTCTGAGGACAAATACCCTAATAGAAAACTTATTTTGGCATACTCGAAAATCTAAAATCAAGATATAAAATGTCTTTTTCGATTTTCGCAAAATGTCAAAATAAGTTTTTCTATTAGAAATTTGTCCTCAGAAATCTATAGAGAGTATACACTATATAGATAAGCTCCTTGCAGAGTCAAAGGCCACTACTCGCGTCCATTATCTATCCACCGCTTTTTGTAGTCTGGTCACAGCCTTCCACTGTGTGCTTCTCACAGATGAAGGCTTGTACTCGCTACCCTTGAGTTGGGGACACTAGTTACAATGCAGTACATCAACTGGATTAGCTTCAAGAAAATTCAAAAATTGAATTTTCTGGTCGCCTGACGACCGAGATGGAAACCCGTAGCCCAAGACGCAACGTCTGGCATCGCGTGGAAAACATTCCCGATTGGCCAAGAGACTAACTTCTGGCGCAATAGGGATATCCCTTTCCAACTCTGAGATTCCTTTCTCACGGGGTAAAAAACTGGTTTGAAAGTGGCATGCGATTGGCCAGTCTGGCATTGCACTCCACCACGCCAGCAAAAACTGGCCTGATACACATTCATGAAAGCTACCATCTCTTCCACAAGGTTTCTGGTCTCCTAGGAACCTCCCTGCTACAGGTGTTATTTTATTGTATATGCTGCTCTGGAGGACATTATGAGGATGCACATGTAGTGTGTGGAATTTATCTTGGATGCACTTTTATTTTTGAGTATATTTCAGCAAGAAAAGTTGTTAAAATCATTCAGCCATTAAGTGGGCACACAAAGCTTACAATTACTCAGCATATCAAGCTCGTCACAAGCGTGCTGGGAAAGCTTGATATTTATACAGATTTTTGCTTTTTATCAATTGCCAATTCATGCAATAGTGTTTTATCTCCTTTTTCTCTTATCATCTTATGTGTTTTAACTGCGATTATGATATCTCTCCAAGTAAGATCTTGGTTTCGGCAAGACATTTTAGGCTTTCAAATGACTGAATATAATGCATTATATGATTTATTGGGAAAATATGAAACCATGTACTTACTAATATCTTTTGGAGCGAGCAAGACCATTTGCTTGCCTGAGGAGAGGTTGCTTTCAATTTTATAAATACTTGAAATGTATTCCAAATTTAATTGATAAATAAATAGTGAAATTTGTCTAGAATTTAATAGATGCATCTAAAGATCTTATTATTATAATAATTATGAATTCAATATCAAAATATTTTTATATCAAAAACTCATACCCAAATATCATACCAAGGGGTTTATTTACTAAAATTAAGATTTAACCAATGTTTTTGCTCACTAAAAGGGGTGAGTTAGAAGGCGAAAAAAGTCAAGAGCACAAGCGAAATTGGGCTAAAAAAACCAGCATTCTTCCAGCAATTAAATTTTTTTCTGAAGATATAGGACAGTTTGTAATCCAAATTTTATTTTTAATAGAAATGAGAACATTTAACACCTTAGTCTGTGTATCCTTAAGTGTTTCTCTTTCTATGTCATTTCTACTTTTAGCATTTACTTATTTGAAAATCCATCTTTTTAAGCCAAATTTAGCAAAAGAGCAAGAATTTATGCATGTAGTGTCTGTACAGATAAAAGAAAATAACCTTGAAGAGACCAAGAAATTGCTAGGAGGGCGTGTTCAGTTTAGGAAATATGAACATGAAACTCGAGCTGAAGTTTTAAAAGTGGCTGCTGCTTATAGTTATGACATATTTGACTATATTGTATCAACTTTAATACAAAAAAATGATGCAATTTTGCAGAGTGAAACTTTCCATATGAAAATGCTAACAGGGCTTAGACAATGCAAATTATATCCAGATGTGTTGATAAGGTCTTTAGAACTTTTGAGGCTTGGAAAGCACATTTATATAAATGTAAATAAAAGAATCAGCATTTCTAGTGAAGGAACAATTTTGCACTGCCTTGTAGAAGACCCTTATTTTATAGTCAGAACTTTGAAAAACAAAGATATTGATCTAATAAAATATGTGGTTTTATTAGGAATTGATGTAAATATCCCTGATAAATTTGGGGAAACTCCGATAACACTGGTGGCAAGACTAAATGTAGGCACTTTAATTAGAAGCTGCTCAACACAAACATTAAAAGAACTCTTTGAGCTAAATGGTATAAGCATGGAAAAGGAAGAAACAGACATAGCTATAAAAAACTGGGCATTCAGGGTTACACAATATTTAGTAGGAAATGGTGCTTTATTAACTCACAGGAACAGAAAAAATAAAAGCGTCTTAGAAATCGCTGAAGACGCATCTAATTCTGAGCTTTGCAATTACTTATATGAGCAGTTCGGTTTGAAAAATGAATTCAATAGAAAATCAGCTATATAATTAATGTATCCTTATTAATTACAGTAAAGAACCTTCTAAATGGCCATTGTCTCTTCCAATCTTTCATCAAACTTTCCAATAGAATCAGTATCCGACATCAGCATTTCTTCAAAATCTTTGACCTCAAACTTCCCCGTACTTTCAGGGTCGACTTCTCTTAAAAATTCTTGCATAAGTTCCCTATCAATATTATTCTGATCTGACACGAGCTTTATTAAATCTTCGCGCGAAATCACTCCTTTATTTTCTTGGTCAAACATAATAAAAGTTTTTATGATATTTTCTCTAGAAAAGATTGCTTTGGTGCCTAATGTAGCTCTTATGAACTCAGAATAGTCAATAACACCATTGGAGTCTCGGTCCACTTTATTCATTATTATCTCCGCCTGAGCTTTGGCTTCTTCTTCGCCCATGGTCTTTCGCAGATAATAGTCTAGCTCTGCTTGCGAAATAACTCCGTCGCCATTTAAATCCATGGCTCGGAATGCTAGTTCGAGCTCAGAAAAGTTGCTTTGGAGCATGACTTGGTTGAGAATGAAAGAAATTAAGGCCTCTCTCAGTTTGGAAGAAGCTTCGTAGAACTGAAGCTTAGATAAAATGGAAGGAATGTCGATAGCTTCAATTAGCGTTGCTCGAAACCAGCTGTGTGATAAGGCGTCATGTGCAGATATGCGTCGCTTAGGATCTTTGGTGAGAAGCTTTCTTAATAAATCTTTGGCTTCTTCGGAAATCCTATCCCAGTTGGGCCCAGCCATAGGGAATTTCCCTTTTTTGATACTATTTATAAGAGCAGTTGTATTTTTCCCAGTGAAAGGCAAAGTTCCATCTAATAGAGTATAAAGAATAACCCCGCAACTCCACACATCGCATTTTTCATTATAATTTCCATCAAACACTTCTGGCGCCATATAATCCACAGTTCCCACAATTTCTTTCAGCATCATTCCTTTTTGGCATCTTGCTACTAAGTCAAAGTCAATGATTTTTAGTGAAAAATTGTCACTTTCCTCAGGATTTACAATCAAAATATTATCAGGCTTCATATCTCTATGCACTAACCTTCTACTATGCATATAGCTTACCCCTGATAATATCTGCTTCATAGCAGAGCAAGCTTGCTTCTCTGAAAAACTCATCCCACTTGTGATTTTGTCACACAAGTCTCCTCCTTCAAGATACTCCAGGACCAAAAAATATTCAGTTTTCGCTTCAAAAAAGTCAATCATTTTTAATATGTTGGGGTGGTCAAGAGCTTTTAAGGTGTTTACTTGGTTTAATACAGAGTTATTCTGATCACTATCTTGACCTTCTTTTGGAATTATCTTCACAACTCTTGCTTCTTGAGTCCGTCTGTGCTTGCACTTTCGAATCTCTCCATGCAATCCTCCACCTATTGGATTCGGCTCTAATTCATATACTTGGTAAAAAGATAGGGTTTTTACAAGTGATGGGGAGATGTCAATATTTTCATACTCATAAGGAACGTCAAAGGACCTTCTTCTAGGTCTGCTATTTGTATTTAAGCTTATTTCAGTTTTTCCGGAACATAAACATCCCATTTCTATTTATATTTTTACAAGTAAAATATTCAGTGAGAATCAATATGCTGATAAATAACTACAATATTTCTTAATTTTTCTTTATATATATGATATTTGAAAAATTACACAAATTTTCAGATCAGCATTCATAGATTCTTCATATGAAGATCTTCTAGCACAAGGTATCTAATAAAATCTTGAGCAGAGCTTTAAAGTTTTATAGATATATTAGATAAAGCTTCATAGCTTAGATTTAAGCCTTAATCGATCATACCAAAAATATAAAATGCTGCAAAGGTTTATATTTCAAAGGGAAAAATATTGAATTGGTGCTTCTGCATTTTGCTTGGGAACTTTTGCCTTTCCATTTCAACCTCTGCATTATTTAGGGTTTGCTTGCTGTGCCTATAATGTTTTAGAACGACTCGGTATCATTGAGATCAATCTGATTCCAGATATAGAGGAAAGGAAAACAAAGCTAAATCAGTAATTTTCATATAGACTTCTAAGGCATCATTTGGAGAATTTTGACGATTTAGATCGCTACATCTCGCCTAAAACGCTGCTTTTAGCTTTGCCAAAAGTGACTTTTGATGATCAAGGCTTTTTAGGATGGTTATGATACAAGTTAAATATACCAAACAGTAATAAAGGGAAATTCTATATGGATACACAATGAAAAGATGTGAAATACTACGGAGAAGGCTGGGCACGCTGCCAAGGACGTTATCTTTCAGGCAATAATTATTATTTTACTAAAATAGTTGTTGATCAATCAAAGCCAAGACCACGAGAATTAGTCATTTTAGATACAGATATCATTGAAATTAACTAATAAATACTCTATATAAATTTTTGATTTAGCTAATTTATGCATGGGCCAACAAATATGTTTCTTTATGATATATAATAGGTCATGGCATAGCGTTTAGATTTCAATCATTTTTGGCATTTTATAATTAATTAATCACTAAGCTTTCATATTTTATATATAATTTTCTTACTCTGAATTTTTTAAAATATGATATTGAGGCATTACTTTAAACAATCCATGCATATACGTAAAATGTTATTTACAATAAAAATTTACATAATTTGTGTCGCTGATTTATTTTTTTATCTTTTTGAAAGCTCCAATCAAACTTTTAAAAATGCTCAGCAAGCAAAACACCTATATATATATAGGTGATAATTTTCAGTTAATTTTGAAATGGTTTTATTCTCGAATTCCATTAGCTGGCTTTTAAATGATCATTTTTACAAGTTTTTAATAATTTATGGCCAGAAGCCATTCAAATAGCCCTGACAAGGAAATAGAAGGTGCAAGCTTATATATTACCAATTTAAGCTACTCCGCTAAAGAAGAAGACCTGCAAAAGACCTTTGAGGACTACGGGAAAATCGTTGATTTCAAAATCATCAAAGACCCAATTTCTAATAAGTCAAGAGGATTTGGCTTTGTGACCTACGAAAATCCCGAAGACGCCGATAAGGCAAAAAATGAACTAAACAACAGCAATGTAGGCGGAAGAGAGCTAAGAGTAGAAAAAGCTCGCAGAAACAAAGCATATGGCCCTACACCAGGTAAGTATATGGGAAATGATAAGTATAGAAGAAGTCCAAGAAGAGACAGAGACTATCGTGACAGAGACAGGTAAAATGCTGACTCCCTTTGATGAGCGAACAAAAATATTTATATATAAATTTTATGTTAACTTTTTTTTTTTCAAAATTAAAAAAATCCCAATTTTAAAACAAATATTAATTTAATTTATAAAATATATGTTTTAAAATGCAAGCTGTTTAAAATTTAGCAGAATTAGCTAGAGATTTCATTATAATAATTATCATTTATTTTTTTATAAAAAATGTTTATATTAAAATCATTTTGTTCGCCACGAAGGTTTTTACCAAAACATAGGGATTTTCCAATGGCTTTGTTCGCTGACGGAGGTGGGGAGTGAATAAATGCATAAACTATTTTTTTCATATTATTTTGACCATTAGAGGTTTATCTCCCAAAATATTTTAAAAATACTTTTAAGGGGCAAAAAATTTTCAATGTAGTTTTTTCGGTTTTGTTCGCAGAGGCAGGGACTTCAGAAATCGCAGCAGAGATAGAGACTACCGTGATCGCGATCGTGACAGAGACTACAGAGATTACAGAGACCGCTCAAGAGAAAGGGACAGCTACAGAAGCAGAGAGTACAGAGACAGAGACAGCCGTAGAGATCGCAGAGGTTCCAGAAGCCCTAGAAGAAAGTCGAGATCCCCTCAAAGCAGATCCACCTTCACTTAGATATCATTAATCAGCATGCCAGTGTTTCTGGTGCTTTTTTAACAGTTTGTCAACTCAGAGTACATTATAAGCAGTTATGTTGTCAGTTTCTTTCTGTGCATAATTCATTCAGACTAATCAATTACAGCATGCAGATTTAGATTTCAATCTGATGTTGAGGTTATTTAAAACTGTTTTTGATCCACACATACATTCTAATATTAACAATTTATACTTAAATTTAGCATGAAGACGAGAAAGACGTGGAGAGAGGAAGTCATTTCATCTGATTTTAATTCAGTAAACAGACAGAGGATCAAAGCCACTCATTCAGAAATTATGCGAGATCTCCAGCTCATCTCTGAGTGTAGTTCGAAAATCATATACAACAAGCAATCCATGTACCCTGAGCTTGACTCTTACGATCCTAGAAAGCATACAAAAGTAATTTTCACATAGAGAACCAAATGCTTGAAACCAAAAACTATGCAAGATGACGATATTTCAGGGATTCTAGGTCTGGCCTCATTTATCAGTGAAATCGAGGCTTTTAACTCTCAAGAGCCAGCACCTGCGCCCGAGCTACCGAAAAAGAAGCCGAGAGTAAGTCAGAGTAAGAATAATCCCAACAATTTTGACCATAATCCGATGTCTCAGATCCACCAGCTCATGAAAGGGATGAACCAAAGAGCTGGAGTCAACGGTCAATTATCAAGCTCCTTTAGCTATTCTGTAGGAAGCACAAAGCCTATTAATATGGCTGCTCAAAAGAGTAAATCAATAGGGCAGGATTACCATAGATGTGCGACGCATTTGTCCATTGCGTTGTATATAAAAAATTTACAAGAAAATATGAAGTTAAAGAAGCAAAAGGTTGAAAAATAAATTTTATAATGTTTATTTAACTTAATAAAACTCGCAGCAATGGCTTGCAACTATTTTTTATTGACAATTCATCTCAAATTGCGTTTAGCATATCTATGATAATGGGAAAATATTATTACTTACATTATAATGCTCTATTTTTAGCTACATTTATGCAATAATGAATCCAATGCTACTGATAATAGATAATTCTATTCGAATTCATCTCCTAATAAATGGAAGCAGCTAAAGAGTATAAAATAGTTACTCTTGGAGAAGGAAGAGTTGGCAAAACTTCTCTCACATTAAAAGCAGCTAGAAATGTATTTCACGAAGATGAGCAGTCTACCGTCAATGCCAACTTCCTCATTAAAGAAATCACAGTTCAAGGAGTTAGCATCAAGCTTAATCTTTGGGACACAGCAGGCCAAGAACGCTTCAGGGCTCTAGCTCCGAATTATTACCGAGGAGCAAAAGGAGCCGTTATTGCATACGACATTACTGATCGATCATCATTTGATAGAGTGGTTTCATGGGTCAGAGAGCTTGGAATGCAAGCTGATAAGGACATTTGTATAGTTATAGCTGGAAATAAGTGTGACAGGGAAAGCGAAAGGCAAATATCGAGAGCTGAAGCGTTGGAATATGCCAAAAAGGTTGGTGTCACACATTTTGATACCAGTGCTAAAACAGGCAAAGGTGTAGAGGAAATTTTCCAGGAATTGGGAAGATTAGTGTACGAAACGCAGCAAAAATCTGCAGAATCGAATCAGAATAAAAGATATACATCGAGATCAAATAAAAAGGTAAAAATACAGCAAAATCAAACTAATGAAAAGGAGAAAAAACAGTGCTGTGGGTAATTTATAGAATTCAGGTAATTTTTATTATTCTTAATAAACTCTATCCTTCTTTATTTTCTACTTGCTCGACATCCCCCTCTTCTTCAACCACATTTTTAGCGAGCCTCTCTTCCCTAATTTTTATTATTTTATCACAAATTTCTTCAATCTTTTCTGCTTTGTCTTTGTTCTTGGTCACTAAAATTTCTCGTTCGCTTAATTTTTTAATCAGATTTTCATAAAATTCCTGAGTTCCAAGGCTGGACCTCTCTATCATTTTATTGAGAGCCGCCAGCCTACCTTCCCAACTCATATCTTCATCTTTAGCAGTTTCTTTGACAGATTGAAAATATTGTTTCGTTCCTGTTTTTCTTTTCCAAAACATCATATTTTCCACTTCAATTGCCATGTCAATCAGCTCTTTAGTGTCACTTGCTATGCTGTCTGATTGGATTTGCTCATATTCATCAGTCACTTTCGCTACAAGGATAGTCATCATAATGATTGGATTTATCATGATCCCGAAGGTGAGAACTCCCATTTCAATAAAACCATAACTTTCTGCTTCTGTAGAACCTAAGATAAGTCAATAAGAAATTCTGAGATTATTCATGAAGTCAATATTTCCAGATGGATCTCTAACAATTACTATAAACAAGAAACAAAAGCCAACTGCCATAAAGGTCATCATGACTAAAAACCCTCCCATGCTGGCAAAGCAGTGAATTAATAAATTAATAAAATATCTTGTTGAGTCAAATAATCTGAAATATGATACTCCTCTAGCCCAGCTGATGAATGTGACTAGAGCAAAAAGTGAATTTGCAAACCCAAACAAATGGAAAGTAGTGTTTTCTTCTCCACCATATTTTACTACCTTCCTCTCTATTATGAGCGAAAAAAATTTGTTCGCTCAGTGGCTTCTTTTTTTTAAAAAAACTTATATATATAAAAATTATCCCAATTTGCAAAAATTGAGAAGTAAAAAGAGTTTAATTTGATATTTATGTTTTAAAATGCAAGTTGTTTAAAATTCAATAGAATTGACAAGAGATTTTATTATAAAAATTATCACATATATATCCAATATTTTTCATAATACCCAAAAATAGAAATTTTTCCTATGGTTTGCTCGCTCACGAAGGGGGAGTAAGAAAACCATGTTACTGATCCCCCTAAAATAATCCTGGGTTCATTCAATAATATTATAAGCTAGCAGCAATATTGTCCTTGCCCAGTCGACATAATTCCACACAAATTTAAAATAAGATCTTCCAGACACAATCATTTGATAGATTTCATAAAACATCAATAAAATATTCATAATAAACACTATCATCAAAAAAGTTGGGTCTTTAGCAAAAAAAGAGGTATAAAGTGATAACATTATTAAATAGACATAAAATACAGACCCTTGGATGATCATAGGAAGCTTTGCAGACTCTCATTTATAGTGAGCTATATCTAAGATTATAGGAGTTCTGAAAATGTCTTTATTCTCACACTCAGAAATAGAGCTTACTCCCCCCCTCCGTGAGTGAGCAAAACCATTAGAAAAATCCCTATTTTTTGCCTAAAAACCCACCCTCCGTGAGTGCACAAAAAATATTTTAATAGAAAAATTTTTTATGGAAAAAAAAATTTGATATATAAGTGATAATTAGCATAATGAAATCTAGAGCTAATTCTATTTAATTTTAAACAAATTGCGTTTTTAAAACATAAATTTTATAAATTAAATTAATATTTGCTTTCCAATTTTTGCGATTAGATTTTTTTAAATTTCGAAAAAAAAAATTTTTTATAAAATTTATATATAATTTTTTAAAAAAAAAAAAATTAACCCCCCTCCGTGAGTGAACAAAATTTTTTTGTTCACTCACGGAGGGGGGAGTTAGGAAATCAATACTTTCTTGGCTACCCATAGAGAAATTAAAAGGGATGCACGTTTCTTTAAAACATATAGAAACGCCTTGGGTACTGATGTCTTCTTCATCAAAGAAATCTTTTACTTTAGCTCGGAATTCATTTGATAAATAACAGATAGGCAAAACAACATTAGACTCGCAGAATCTGGGGAAGCTTTTTCTTTTCACCTCTTGATAAATTATCTCATATATATCAGCTAGCTTTGCAAAGCCAACTTGATTCATTTTTATTATCTCATTTTCCAGCATTTGTAGCCAAAAGGGATTGATTTGGGCATTTAAGCATAAGGAGTCAACAATTTCGTCTCTAATTGCTTTGTAATCTTTTAATAGCGCAATATAGAATGGGTTGAATCCAATTTTCGACCTTATAATAGATATATTATAGCATAGAGACTGAACTACATATTCTTTTAAGTTGAGGTAGACATAAAAATGTAATGGATTGATAAGCTGGGGGACTATAACAAATTGATCCATAATTGGGTTATGCTCGGGGTTTTGGTCAAAAAGGATATCTCGCATATATGCAAGAAAAGGCTGATGGAATTCTGATGGGCCTATTAGTCTTGTTTCCTTTGTAGTCAATGGATTTTCTTCTGCTGAAATGTAACACCGTTGACCAGTCGCAATATAAGTTTCATCTAGAGATATGGCTAGACAATTAATCGGCTGCTTATGGTCCATATAAGATATAGAACTTTCTCTTCAATAGCGCGATAAGGCGTGCTTCCTGGTTTGACTAAAAGGTCTTTGGGCCATGAAAATCTGATGTTCCTTCTTTGTAAGAGAGCCATACAGTGAAAATAAAGAGTTCTGGCTGATCAATCTCGAGAACTTAAAGAGAGGCTATTTGCAAATTTACACTTTTGGTTCGTCAAATGGATCTGGCGAGCCAATTCTGGCCGGTACTTGAAATTATAAATGATAGTTGCCAGAATTTTATTAATTTTCTGATGGCAAGTATGATCAGAATTTTAATAAATGGCACAGGATAAGACAACCCACTTAAAAAATATTGTTAAAATTGAAGCCCCATTTTATAAAAGATATAATAAATTTTAAAAATTATTATTTTATTTTAAAAATATTTTTTATAAAAAATTTATTTATATTGATATAATTATTTTAACATTTGAAAGAAATTTAAAAACATTATAAGAAGAAAATTTTTAATATCATTAGTAAAGTTCGTAAAGAGCAATAAGCGCTTAGCACAAACTTTGGCTTTTATAAAGCAGTTAGTCATAATTAAATTGGCATCATTTATTTAGAAATCTATCCTTCCGCAAAAACACAACTCGATCAAACAAGTTTTTAGTTATTAACTCCATTTTAATTTTCTAACAAAAACCATATGAGTCATTAGTAAGTTCGTAAAAGAGCAACAAGCGCTTAGCACAAACTTTGGCTTTTATAAAGCATTTAGTCATGATTAAATTGGCATCATTTATTTAGAAATCTATCCTTCCGCAAAAACACAACTCGATCAACAAGTTTTTAATTATTAACTCCATTTTAATTTTCTAACGAAAACCATATGAGTCATTAGTAAGTTCGTAAAGAACAACAAGCGCATAGCACAAACTTTGGCTTTTATAAAGCAGTTGATCATAATTAAAATTGGCATCATTTATTTAGAAATCTATCCTTCCGCAAAAACACAACTCAATCAACAAGTTTTTAATTATTAACTCCATTTTAATTTTCTAACGAAAACCAAGTTAGTCATTAGTAATTTCGTAAAGAACAACAAGCGCTTACTCCCCCCCCCCCTCCGTGAGCGAACAAAAAAATTTTGTTCGCTCACGGAGGGGGGTTAATTTTTTTTTTTTAAAAAAAAATTTATATATAAATTTTATAAAAAATATTTTTTTTCGAAATTTAAAACAATCCTAATTTGCAAAAATTGGGAAGCAAATATTAATTTAATTTGCAAAATTTATGTTTTAAAACGCAATTTGTTTAAAATTAAACAGAATTAGCTCTAGATTTCATTATACTAATTATCACTTATATATCAAAATTTTTTTCCATTAAAATTTTTTCTATTAAAAAAATTTTTGTTCACTCACGGAGGGTGGGTTTTTGGTCAAAAAATGGCGATTTTTCTAATGGTTTTGTTCGCTCACGGAGGGGGGGGGGAGTTAGCACAAACTTTGGCTTTTATAAAGCAGTTATAATTATTACCAAAGGAATTATTAGATCGGTTTGAAAGGAATAAGTTGTCTGATCCTGTGCCATTTATTAAAATTCTGATCATCCTCACCATCAAAAAATTAATAAAATTCTGGCAACTACCATTTTTCATTTCAAGTACTGGCCAGAATTGGCTCGTCAGATTCATTTGACGAACCAAAATGTAAATTTTTCACACAGCCTCTCTTCAAGTTCTCGAGATTGATCAGGCAGAATTCTTTATTTAGGCTGTTTTTCTCCCCCATGAATAAAGAATAGCAAGTTTTCATATGTTTAAGATCATCCGTAAAACCTAGGAATGCACCTTATCGCGCTATTGAAAAGAAACTTCTATATCTTGATTCGGTATTTCAACGAAATTATATTGATTTTCTTATCTTTTCCAGCTGTCATGAACAAATCATTATTTTTCATCAGCACAATCCCTGTAACCAGTCCTGCATGCACATGAAAACTAGACTCCTCGCAACGCTCTTCTATATTCCATACTGATACATCTCCTATCATGCCTCCAATTATCAATAACTTATCTTTCTTATCGATTGCCATCACATTTACAGGCTCTTTAGCGTTAAACCATCCTAATTGATTCGCAGTCATTGCGTTCCATATTCTGATAGTTTGGTCACTACTTCCAGAAAACACTTTTCTTCCTGTGTTGCCTACACATACAGACCAAATACTTTGGCAGTGACCTTTGCATTGCAGCTTGTTCATTGATGGCAGAGTTCATATAGAAATTAATGAATCTCCTCCGCCTGTAATTAATCGAGAGCTATCAGGCATAAAGCACAAATCCCTGATCAAGCCGTTATGAGCTTCAATTCTGTGAAGTTCTTGAAAATTGAGACCATCAATAATATAGAGAGTTCCGAGCTCATCCCCGACTGCAATATATTTTTTATTTGGCGATACACTAATTTTAAGGCCATTTCCTAAAATATTGATAAGAGGAACAGGAGAGCCAGAATCGTCTCAGTATTTAACGATCTTGTCTGTCCCGCAAGACACAATATGATTTGATTCCGGTAAAAATGCTGCTGAGGTATATTCGCAATTATTGAGATCTTTAAAAATATAATCTTCGAACTCGTCAGGAAATCTCCATATATGAGCTGTGGAGTCTATACTTGTAGACACAAAGAAACTCATATCAGGAGAAATTTTGATATTTTTAATCGAATCTGTGTGGCCTTTCATAAGCTTTTCTGTAGTCTCTTTTTCAAAATTCCACACTTTCACAAAATTATCTTCGCCTCCTGTTATAATCACTGGCTTGGTCTCACATAACCGTAAAGCAGTAGTTGCTCCAGTATGAATTCCTTTACTTTTCAAAAGGGTCCAGTCAATTGTATTTCATATAGAAACTCGCCCGTCAGAGCTCCCAGAACCCAGAACATTTAAACTTGAACTAATTGCTAAGCAAGTTACTGAACTTTCAGCAAGCTGAGCAATTTCGGTTTCTGTGTTTAGGTTAAATACTTTGATTACTCCATCCTCTCCCGCGCTTGCAATAAATGAATCGTCTTCTGCAATTGCTAGATCATTAATTTTCCCATTATGTGATATTAGTGTTTTGTTTTCCAGTAAATTTATAAAATTTCATGCTCTAACTGTGCCATCAAATCCAGCAGAATACAATTTTTCTTTTGATAAATCATAGCATAATTTATTAACAGACCCAGAATGTCCTAGCAGTTCAAACTCAAGTTGGAACATTGGTAGTTTGTAACATCGAATTACTTCGCTTTCGCCACAGACAACTAAACGATTATTTTCTTCATCTATGATTGCATCATATAATGCTCCAATTCCCAAGCATACATCATTAGCTATTTTTCCTTCTTTGAGATTAAAGCAAGTGACATTGCCTTTTTCTGTGGCAAAATAAACAAGCTCATTGTCATCTGATATAAATAAACTGTATATTGTAGATGAAAGTGAAATAGAGACCTCAGCGCTGTTGATAACAAATTTGCTTGCGCTAAGCATCATTTTGCTAAATCCCCACTCCGTGAGCCAGGAGCAAACAAAAAAATCTTGTTCGCTCACAGAGGGGGGTTAATTTATTTTTTTTTAAAATATATATATATATATATTTTATTGAAATTTAAAAAAATCCCACTTCGAAAAAATTGGAAAGCAAATAGTAATTTAATTTGTAAAATTATATTTTAAAACGCAATTTGTTTAAAATTAAACAGAATTATTTCGAGATTCATGATAGTAGTTATCACTTATATATCAATTTTTTTCCCAAAAAAATTTTGTTCGCTCACGGAGGGTTGGCTTTTGAGGATTTTTCGAATGGTTTTTGAGGGTGGATTAAGAGCTTTTTCTTCTGATGATTGATGCTCAATTTGTCCTTGCGCTGCAAGTGTCTTGAAATCTTTTGTTTTCGCATCACTTTCCATGAAAGAAGTTAAGTTGCTTGATGAACCCAAGCTCAGCAGCATTATTTTAATATTAGAAAAAAATTATCGTTTTATTCATAAAAAGTACCTTAAAAAAATCATCAAACCTATTTATCTTAGAACACATAAAACCCAGTGAAGCAAAATAGTCCAATCCTTCATTACCATTTCCAATAATTATAAAGGACCCCCCCCCCCCCCTCATTTGTCCAATTTTCTAGTCCTTTATCATTTGTCCATTTTTCTAGTTTTTTTTATAGGAAAAAAAATTTTTTTAGGACCTCATTTGTCCAATTTTCTAGTCAAAATTTTGATAGAGAAAAAAAATTTTCAGGACCTCAATTGTCTCATTTTCTAGTTTTTTTTAAAGTAAAAAACTAGAATTTAGGGCATTCGAAAAAATCCAAAAAAGACTAGAAAATTGGACAAATCATTTTTGACTCGATTTTGGGACAAATGAGGTCCTGAAAAAAAAAACAAATTTCTTATAAAAAAAAGACTAGAAAAGTCGACAAATGAGGGGGGGTACTTATATAAATTTAAATATCAATGGAAGGCACAGGCAGAGCAATCCCTCTTATTGTGTATCTAGACCGTGAAGGCTTTAAAGTGACTCCTGAAGGTCTTCAATTTTTAAACTCAATTAAAACAAAAATCGCTGTTATTGCAGTAGCAGGGAAATATAGAACAGGGAAAAGCTACATGCTTAATAAAATTATCCTCAATATAAATTCCCAAGGTTTTGGAGTCGGCCCAACTATTAACCCTTGTACAAAAGGACTATGAATATGAAGTCAACCGATAGAATTCAGAACTCAGAATGGAGAAGACGCAACTTTATTGGTCATTGATAGTGAAGGGCTTGGAGCTTTTGATGAAGATGCAAATCATGACACTCGGATTTTCATTTTAACAGTTCTTTTAAGCTCCTTTTTCATATACAACTCTGTGGGGAGTATTGATGAAAATGCATTGAACAATCTCAGCCTAATTGTGAATTTAACCAAAAATCTACAAGTGAGATCAAGCGATTCTGAGCTGGATGTCGATGAAGTTTCTTCTTATTTTCCCAGTTTTTTGTGGGTTCTAAGAGACTTTGCATTGCAGTTGGTTGATCAAAAAGGAAATGCTATTACAGCTAAAGAGTATTTGGAAAATTCTTTGCAGCCTCAAAAAGGAATTAGTGATTCTATTGAGTCGAAAAATAGGGTAAGAAAATTATTGAAACATTTTTTTAGAGACAGAGACTGCTTTGCATTAGTTAGACCATCTGAAGATGAAAGAGTTCTGCAAGAACTTGATAGAGCCCCAGACTCTGATTTGAGGCCTGAATTTGTAAGAGATAAATCAAATTTAAGGAAATTGATTTACAGAAGAGCCAAAATAAAAACTTTCAATGGAAGAGACTTAACCGGGGAACTTCTGGCAGGTCTAGCTATTTCTTATGTTGATGCAATTAATAAAGGTGCTGTACCTACAATAGAAGGAGCTTGGCAAGCAGTCTGCAACTCAGAGAGCCAGAAAAACATAGACCTAGCTTCACATGAGTATGATAATTTAATGCGTACACAAATTTCCAATCAGCTTCTTACCCCAGAACAGCTAAAATCCCTCCATAAAAATTGCAAAAAGAATGCCATAAAATTCTTCAAAGAAAAAGCGCTAGGAGACAATACTGACCATTTTGAACATTTACTTAAAAAAAAGCTTTTAGAAAGATTTGGTTTCTTTAATGCCCAAAACGAAAAGAAGGTCCTCGAGAAATGCGATGATATTTGTGCTGACCTCATGCAAGAAATGCAAGACAAGCTGAAAAGAGGAGAATTCGGGGATTTTCAAGTATTTAAAAGAGAAATAGAAAAAAAAATTAATGACATAAAGAAAACAGGCCCGCAAGGAAATGCTGTGGAGTGAAAGCTTAAAGAAGTATCATCTGCTTTATTGGCAGAAGGAGCAGAATATATTAGCAGAAGTGCGATGCTAGAGCAAGAAAATGCGACTAGAAAAATATCACATCAGCTAGAATTCGTGAAATCCTCACTGGAAGCTAAAAAAGAAGAATTTTCAAAGGAAAGAGAATATCTAAAAAATAGGATCCAAGAACTTGAATCGGAAAATTATCGTCTGAAAGCTGCCTATGCCGCCTATGAAATGAAAATAGAAGAACTCAAAAATGAAAAAGAACGGCTTGAAAACAACTTTAAAAAGAAATACGAAACTTTAAAAGATGACCAAAAAGAATTAAATAGTGAGCTTAGAGCCAGATATGAAGAAACGCAAAAATTATATAATGACTTGCAGCAGAAACACTCAGTAGAAGCAAATGGGCTTCAAAAAGAGCTTGCCTTAATGAGACAGGAGATTAACTGAAAATCACAAGAAATCAGTGATTTAAAGAAAAAAAGAGACGAAATGGACTCCTTGTTCAAAGAAATGAGAGCTCAGCTTAGATTAGCCCGAGAAGAAAACGAAGCCAATGAAAATGAGCTGAAAAAATTAAAATCTTCGCAATCAGCTAAAAGTCTAGAAGGGAATGAAGCTTCAAATGACATCATCCGTGAACGAAATTTTCTCAGGAGTCAAGTTGAGAGCTTGAAATCACAAATTGATGATAGCAAAAACATCCAGGAAGCTTTAGTCAAAGCCCTACAAGCCAAAAGTTTCGAAAAGCCTAAAGAAGCTGAAAAAATCATGTCTTACTCAGTAGACGAAATGGAAGACCGATGCCAAATGCTTGAAGAAAAGTTAGAAAAGCTCAGCAATGTTAAAAAAATGATTGACAATGCCTCGGCTTTACAATGTAAATTATGTGGAGAAACTTTTGGGAGAAAGGTTTTTAATGCACATATTTCACTTTGTTCGAGAAGAGCGAACCAGTCTAGAGACTCTGGGCAGTTTAATATTGTAGTTGTAGAGTCAGTTATTAAAGATTCAGCTGACCAGAAATCTTATACTGACTCCCCCCATCCTTGATCGAACGACTCGCCATCGTTCGATCAAGGATGGGGGTTTAAAAAAAAATTTTTTTTGGGAAAAAAATTTTTTTATATATAAAATAAAATATATATATATATATATATATTTTTTATTTACTTTTAAATAAAAGGGTTAAGATTATTTAATAATTATTTTTACAGCAAAAAATTGAATTAATTTCATTCATAAAAAGACCAATTTTTAATATTTTGATTTATTAGTCACACCTGTAAACTGTATAAATTTTAATTTGTTCCTTATTAAATTAAAATATTTTTAAAAAAATTTTAAAAATCTCTATTTTATTAGATTATTGAGTTTTTAAGCCTAGGTTGATGACTAAATCACTTCGGATAGTTGTTTCAGAAGCTTTCTGTCGTCTTAAAGTCTCTGAAAAACAACTTCATTATGTACATCTTCCCAAGCTTTTGATAACTATTATATTTTTATATATATAAAAATTTGCATGATATGAAAATCGTTCGATCAAGGATGGGGGTTAATTTCTCCAATTTTTAGGAATTTTTACAGTCAATCGTTCGATCAAGGATGGGGGGGAGTGAGTTTATTATCACAGTTACATATCGAGGGCAAAGCTGAACTGTTAATAAAAGATTTAAAATGCTGGAAAATCTGCATATGTCCTTACAGAGGGAGTTTTCTGATATGCAGCTGCCAGATACAGGGAATTTGTTTGTGCAGCAGCAGTCATCTTCCTTGTTCAGTTCAAAAAAGCCGATCCCTACAGAGGAGAAAAAAAGAGCTTGCCAGCAATATTTAATGGAACTGGCTGCAATTCCATCTATAAAAAACTCAAGGACTTTCAATGACTTTTTGTGTGTTAATCAGCAATTTGATGAAGAAGTTCCTGCAAGAAGAAAATAGTTTAGACAATTAATGCAGAATTTAATAGAGTTAGGTTTTTTTATGCTTTTTTGTAGGTCCTGAATCTAAGCTGTCTTCGGAATCTTGAGCTTTAACCACTTTTCCAGACACTCTTTTACTTGTGACTGTTTGTTGCAAATTGTTCATGGGCTGAATGGTTTGCTTTGTAGTTGCGACAGGGTTTCTAATTGGCACTTGGGTTGGGAGCTTTGGAATTTGGCTTAGTATAGCTGGAGCTTGGGTATTTTTTATAGCTGAGTATCCTCCAGATGACTTTTTGTTGGCTGAATTTTTGACTTCTCTTATTTTATCTTCCAAAGATTTTTTTTCAATTTCTTTTTTAATCACATGCTTCTGCAGATTCAACAAAATCAATGACTCTCTTTTCAGTTTCTCATACAGCTCCACGACTTCTTGAGTAGGCATCGGCCTATCAGGTATTCCGATCACCTTTAAAATTGTTTCAATTTTTCTTTGCAGCCTAGATGGCAAAGTAGGCTGAGTTAAAAAGTAACTTCTCAGTATAGGGGCTTTCGGAGGCTCTTTTTTCGCTGTGCTTCATTCAGGAAGGTCGATTTCTTCTGAGTTTGAGCTCATCAATTTTTCGTAGTTTTTCATTTCTTTTTCTTCTTTTTTAATTCGAATATCTAGTTTTCTTGCTTCTTCACACAATGCTTTCTCTTCATCATCTTGCTCCTTTGTTCGCAAAAAATATTTTTCCAATAAAGCTTTTCTTTTTCTTTCATAATTTGCATTGTAGGGTAAGCCAATAATTGGGTGATCTTCGATTTCCCTTTTTTGAAGAATTGCTTTGGATATATAATAGTACCTTTCTTTTATGTCTTCAACTGTCCTATCGCAAAATCGGCTGACATCATATAGCCCAGGAGCCGATATTGATCAGCCTGGGCTGGAAGAATTCCTAGAAACTTCCCGAGTTGGTTCTCCAACTCAAGTTGACGATTCAACTCGGATTTGCATATAGACCCGATATAAAGCATATGTCAACTCCCGATTTGGTTCGTCAACTTAAGTTGGAGAACCAACTCGGGAAGTTTCTAGGCATTCACCCAGCCCAGGACGATCAATATCGGTTCCTAGGCTATATCTGTCTTGTATTATAATAAATCTCAAATCGTATTCCCTGCACAAGCTCCACAAATAAAGAGTTTCTTCCTTAGACCAGCCACTTTTGTCATTTAAACTGTCATATTCTTCGTCTGTGAAATCAATAAGTTCGATTTTTTTGTTAAATTTGCTGAAGGCGTAATCTTCTTCTTTGTCTGTGGACTTTTTCCAATGACAAAGTTGCAAGTCATCTTCTCGAGCTGAGTTTTTAAATGGCGCGTAGATTCACTTTTCCGTGGAGGTTTTCTCGACTCTCTTTTCTTTGATGGCTTTTAAAGCTTTTTTAGCGAGTGAAGGCTTCATTGGGGGAATCCCGCCAGTTAAGTTGATTACTTCGCGACTGATTATTTCTGATTTTTTGGTTGAGTCGGCTCGGGGAATGCTGAGAATGTCCTTGATGTCGTCCATTTTTTGATTATAATTATTATTGCTTTATTTTATAAATTGGGGTATGAGAAGCAATTTTCGCGCATAAAAATGAATATTTAATATATTATATAAGAGCGATGAGAAATTTAGGTGGAGAAGCTCACCATAATTAATTAATATGAAGTAAGACAACTAAAAGAAATATTTCTTAAACTGCATATCTCCGGTATATTTATCTTAATCTATTTTTATTTAATCCCGTTTGTAGTGATCCAATCTTCAACCTTCTCTTCTGGACTATCAATTAGGAAATCTTGGTCAATAGCCAATATCTTGCAGTTCTTCTCTAATGATTTTTTGTGCCACAAAAATGTCCCTTTGAAATCTTTATTATTAAACAGCTTTATCTCTTTGCTTATAGGCCAAATGCTTGTTTTTAATGATGGTACATAATAAGGAGACCAAACTCTCTCTACGCTGGCATTTTTGTTGGTAAGAAGTTTAATTTTCTTTACTATAATATCGTCTAGCACTTTAAATGCCCTAGGCTTGATGCCAAAATCAACTTGTGCATCAACAAAGGAATTAAGCTCTTTTAGTGGGTTAGAAAGCTTCATCTTCACTGGGTATGGGCTCTCTACGAAAAAGTTGGAGAGATTTAGAAGGTAAAGACTAAATCCAGCTTTGTCATTAAGTGCATTGTATTTTTCTATTGAGTTTATTATGGTTTCTTGTGGTATGCTGAAATGGAGAAGCCCCCAGATTCATTGGACATAAGAATTTTTAGAGTAAAATTCACAGTTTGAACTGTCGTATTCTTTAACTAGTTCAGAAACTAGAGTAGAAGCCCATGGATTAGAGTGTAGCCCAAGGTCAGCTAGCGTGCGTACTATCATCGGCCAATCTTTCAGATGCTCTTTAGGGTTCTTCATCATTTCTTCAGAAAAAGCTTGGAAAATCCCTTCAGTATTTATTCCTCTTTTAGTTAAACATTTCACTATTCCTTTAAGATCTCGATAATTGGCACTATCCCCAAAGCTTCCTATGATTATATTTAATAATTCTGCGTTGGCAGTTTTAAAATCAGCTAATGAATCTAAGGCTTTGATTTTCATATCATTATCTGAGATCTGAGCAATGCTCGCTATTTTGTTTAAGCATGCTGCTGTGAATGCTTCAGCAAGCTGAGGATGTGGGCCATTATAGTCTGAAGAAAATACATTCAAAGCATACACCAATGAATCATATTCATATTTACTTAAGCTTTCAATAAATTCTTTAAGTTCTCCGATAAATTGCTCTTCTTTTTTCCCTCCTTTTAGAGGTGAATATAAATATTCCATAAAATATGCAGAAAAATACTTAAAAGATCTCTGCCTATCGATTTTAAAAATTTTCTCCAATAAAATTGCATTTATATCCTCAGGAATGCTTGGAAGAGCTGATGCTACACGAATTAATGAAGCCAAATCATAGGAGTTTTTATGATTTTCTAGCAATTTTAAGCCAATTTGGCTTTCAAGAACTTTTGCTCTCCCCATCATGCCTCCAATGAAAAGCCCTTTATGCTCCATTAGAAAATCATCATCCATATAAGCATTAAACTCTTGTAAATAGGTTTTTATATTAAAAAGTAAACCTTTCATATAAACAGTTTCAAAAAAGCGATAATAAATTAAGTCAAACTCATCACAAGTGATTGCTCTGCCTATATCTCTTTCATTAAGCTTGGTAAGTAATTGCTCAACTTCTGATTTTTCTGAGCTCAAACTCACATACTTCATGCTTTGAACTTGACTAGAGGCATAAGGGCTTCCACCACCCTTTCTTAATATACAGAGGATTGCTTTTAAAGAGACGTCTAATTTGCTTACCCTTTCCAAAGTAACCTCTACAGAACCTTTGGGAATATCCTTTGTCGAAATAATTTTACTAAAAAGGTTTTCATTCCCTTTTGCTAATCACAGCAACCTAAAAAGCCCAAACCAAGGCCTGCTATCATCCCAATTATTGTCTAAAGTCTTCATGACATGTATTATTGACGGCTGAATTTTTTTCTTTGATGACTCATCTAGATTAGCGTTTCTTAAGTCTCTCATAAAATTTAAACAATGTTTACACGATCTGATTATGGAGATAGTGTCATCATTAATTAAGTCAAGCAAATCAAGTAAAATTTCTTTGGCCGAGGGGTGCTCTAGTTTGTCTATTAAATCAACCATAATAAATCTAGAAAAAAATGAAGACCCCATAATTCTTTTCTTTATTCCATTACGGAAATTGGAGTAATTCTCTAAATTAAACTCTGGATCTAATTTTGAGAGCCCTAATACCAATTGTAAAAATTGAATAGTTTCAGCATTTTCAAGTGATTTTTGGAAAAATTCTAACTCCCCCCCTTTAAATTGGAACTAAAAATTTTGTCCCAATTTAAAGGGGGGTTAATTTTTTTTTAAAAAAAAATATCAATATAAAATTTTTTTTTATAAAATATATAAAAATTTGAAGAAAAAAAAAAATTTCCAAAACTTATCGAATTAGATTAATAAATTTGTTTAATAAAACGCTATTTACTCTTTATCCTTTAAAACAAAGCAAGATATAACTAAATTTTCATTATTAGTTAATACGCCACTATTAATTGGTATCAAAATTATTTACACAAAAATTATTTATTTTTTATTGATAAAAAAAAATTAAAAAAAAAAATTTTAGAAAATTTATCGATCAAAGTTCTAATTTTGTTTAAATAAGATGTTATTATATACTCTATTCTTTAAAATAAAGCAAGAAATAAGTAAATTTTGAAACTTTATAAAGAATTCCTATTGAATTTATATCAAAACTATCCAAATAAAAAATATCATTTTTATAAACATTTTTTTGAAAATAATTTTTTTTTTAAAATTTACAATCAAGGATAATAAATTTATTTAAATAAGATGCCCTTTATACTTTGTTTCTTTAAAAAAGAGCAAGATATAACTAAATTTTTAATTTTATTAATAAGAAACATTTAATTTATATTAAAACTTTTTAGATAAAAATTATATATAATTTTTTATTATAAAATTAAATTTTGTTCCAATTTAAAAGGGGGGTTAATTACCAAAAAAGTGGAAATTTTACCGATATTTTGTTCCAATTTAAGGGGGGGGGGAGTAAGAGATCTTTTGGGATTTCATTTGCTATATATCCCAATGCTTTGCAAAGTTCAGAAATATCATTAATGTGTTCTTGATCAATTGTTTTCATTTTGAAGTCGATAATTTTATCAACCAATCCTTGTGGCATTTTTACTCCGGTTCTGATACAAAATGTCTGAAGCCCTTTTACCAAAAACCTGAAATTCTCTTCAAGAAAAGTTGGATCATTTGCTGCTAAATCATTTAAACCTTCTATGCATTTCTGGACAAGTGGTGCCTTACTATTTTTTGCAATTCAATAAAATTCCAAAATTTTGACCATCTCTTCTCCTTTCAGCTTTTGGTTTGCCAAATAGCTCTCAAATTTGTCTATTGCTCTCCACATGCCTCCTTCAGGATACACTTTGGATACTTCATAAAGGCTGGACATCAATTCAGGAATTTCTGCCTCATAATCATCACTACTCCTATTCAGTAAAACTTGTATTAAAGTATCCGCAATTTCATTGCTATAATAGTGTTTGACATTGCTGAGTCCAATTAAAAATCTCTTGATTTGAGAAAAATTCATTCTATTTCCTTCTGATGTAATTGCATTTAATACAGCTTTATCAAAGACTTTACTGCTATATTTAAGGAAGCTCCAATCATGGAACAAAGATGCTAACTCCCCCCCCCCCTCCGTGAGCGAACAAAAAAATTTTGTTCGCTCACGGAGGGGGGGGGGTTAATTTTTTTTTTTAAAAAAAAAAATTTATATATAAATTTTATAAAAAATATTTTTTTCGAAATTTAAAAAAATCCTAATTTGCAAAAATTGGGAAGCAAATATTAATTTAATTTGCAAAATTTATGTTTTAAAACGCAATTTGTTTAAAATTAAACAGAATTAGCTCTAGATTTCATTATACTAATTATCACTTATATATCAAAAAATTTTTTTCCATTAAAATTTTTTCTATTAAAAAAATTTTTGTTCACTCACGGAGGGTGGTTTTTGGTCAAAAAATGGCGATTTTTCTAATGGTTTTGTTCGCTCACGGAGGGGGGGGGGGGAGTAAGGCATCTATATTAAATGCTCCATCGTCAGCTAAAAATCCTACTCTTTCAAATAGTTTTGATTCTTCTCTTTCCCCAATTTCACAGGAGTCTGTATATTTTAAAAAATAACTCAAATCGCAAATTTCATTTGGCCCTAAGTCTTCTAAATTCTTTTTGACATTTTCAATCATGCCAATATACTCAGCATGCTTAAACCATTCTTTTACGAAATTTCCATTGCTTATGAATACCCCTATCTGTCTTAATGCCAAGGTGTGAGTGGATAAATTTTGTGTATTCTCAATTAATCCATAAACTTTTTCAATGTTTCTGCTCTTTAAGATTTGATCTTTTAGGCTTTCAAATTCAGCTTGATCAAATGCTGAAAAACTTCTGAAGCCAGGAAAGCATAAGTTTTTCCGATAAAATAGCTGAGATGACCTGAAAAGGCGAATCATGGCCGCAAAAATAAATGGGATTTTTAAGATTAATTTACCTAAACACTACCCTCTGCTTGAGCTTATCGCTGGAGTTGAATTAAATCGCGTCAAAAACAGTCCACGGTTCAGTTCCACAATTTTCGAGCCTAAGCTTTGCTCAGGTTTGCCCACTGTCCTGAAAGTCTTCATCAAGTCTTTCGTTATCCCTTCTTTGCTGATTTTTGAAATGATGGTATTTCTTCGAGGGTCAGAAGGTTGCACGGCGAAAGACTGCTGAGTCATTGAAAATGCGGACGTTGAAGTAATTCTGTACTCTGATAATCTTGGAGTTATACTTTATATATGGCGCCTCAGGCTGGGCATGGCCTGAATGGCTTCCAGGAATGCGGTTTCGAGCATATATTTAAAGTATATCCGGCAAGGTTTTTCCCATCTCAGAAATTGGCAGCTATGCTAGGTAAGCAATTCCATGCCATTTCGGAGCCTAGCAAGTCCGCTTTCAGAGTTGAAATTTACATCAAGAGGAAAGAGAGAGCCCAGAATTGGAAAGGGCAAGCACAGCAAATCTACAGGGAACACCTAGACCAATTGGGCAAGTCCCTAGAGTAAAACCGAAAGTTCCACTCTAAGCCTTGAACTTTTCCTTTTGCCGAAAGAAATTCATTTTGTGGGATTCCTGCATGGATAACCTTAGATCATACTCAACACTGGAGCCGCAATGCAAGGAGAAAGTGCAAAGAGGAAGAAAAAACACTAGGATGCTCAATGGTGTCAGGGGGCAGAAGGAGAAGCAAGGTTGTGCAGATCTTTTTATTGCTAGCGGAATCATCTTCCCTTCAAACTCAGCTTGGCCGAGCCTTATGAGTCCTTGGTGATTGCATTAACAACAGTGAGAAGTCACGTACAATAAAATTAAGAAATCTTGGAGTGCTCATGTGAGAACTTGGTCTTATAGAGTTCCTCGACTTAGGCTTTTTAATTTTCTTAAGGATCTCTTGCAGATCTGTTTTAAGCTTGTATAAAGCTTTATCTTTATGTTTAAGAATTTTATTTTTTTCGATTATCTCTGTTTCCAATTTTTTCGCTTCTTCTTTTAGTCTAAAATGGGCTTCTTTTGGAGACAATACATTCGACCTCAGTTTTTCTTCAATTATTTCAGTGTCAATTTTTTTTATTTCTTCTAGCAAAATATTCTGAGTTTTAATTAATTCCTCGATTTCTATTTCTAAGTTTTGGTTGTTTTCTTTTAAGAGCTGCTCTTCTGAGTTTGCAATTTCGTATTCTTTTTCTTTTAAGTCTTGAATTTTATAATTTAGTCTTTCTTCAAGTTTAGAGATTATAATTGTCTTATTTTGTATCAAATCCTCCAGATCTTTAACTTTTTGCTTAGTCTTGTCATCTAAATTCAGTGCTTGTGTGATTTTTGCGTACACTGAGAGAATGCGAGTTCTTTCTTCTTCAAGTTCAATAAGCAAATTACGGTAGAGCTGATTTTGGTCTTCAATTTGTATAGCTTTGTTCATAAGGGAGTGGATTTTTGGGTTCAAAACTCTCATAAACTCAGAAGAAGCTTGTGAATTCTGGCTTTCCAAATAATTTTTTTTTGCTGTAAGGTTTCTATTTTCTTCAGTTAGTTCTTCATATCTTTTTATTAATTCTAGGTTGCTACTTATAAAATACTCAGTGTGCTGACTCAGATCAGCTGATTCTGATTGAGCTGTAAGGCCTCGAAAAACATCTTTTTCAACTTGAATTTCTTGCTGTAGTTTATATATTGCATTTTGTGATTGATTAATTTTTGTATCAAGAATTTTTAGATTAGGCTTACTCCTTCCGTGAGCAAAACCATTGGAAAAATTCCTATTTTAGCCCAATATCCTACTATCCGTCAGCGAACAAGAAAATTTTTTATAAAAAAAAAATCGATATATCATGATTTTTTTATAATGAAATCTCTAGCTAATTCACTTAATTTTAAACAAATTGAATTATAAAATATAAGTTTTATAATTTGAATAAATATTTGCTTTCCATTTTGCGAATTGGGATTTTTTTTAAAAAAAATTAACCCCTTCTTGGCAAAACAAAATTTTTTGTTCGCTCACGGAGGGGAGTTAGTAGCTTTAGAAGCAGTTCTTTTATTTATTTCTAAAAGCTTCGATTCTAAGCGGTTTATTTGGTCTTCCATTGCATCCATTGTGTTTAGATAGCTTTCTATTCTTGCATCTATATCTTCCATTTTGATTAAATAGATAATTCAATTCAACTTAAATCAGCATCATATATGTGCACTTAAGTTTTATTACATTTTAATATTGATTATTTAGCTATTAACGATCACTTTAAATCTTCATCAAAATTGTTTGCTTGCAGGCTTACTTACCGTTTAGCAGCTATTAGTCTCAGAAGAAAATATTTTCGTTTCCATTCGATATCCCATTTGTAATAATAAATCAGCAATTCATTTCAATAAGATTAAGCTGGAATAATCGTTTTAAATACTTCTATGGCCGCTTCAACATGAGCAATATATTTTTCAAAATAAATCCCAAGTGCTATTAAAATCAAACGATCTTTTTCATCTTTTTTATTTCTCAGCTCCACCATATAAAAATAATTTCTAAAATAATTCTTAATTAAATTATGGAAGTAGACGAACATCTCTTTAACTTCTTAACCCAAGCTAATCTACTAGAAAACTCCCAATCCTCTCCAAAGCCTCCTTATACCATCCATGAACTTGATCTCCACATTTTTGAAATTGGTCTTGGAGTTGTTCCATTAATAAACCAGCTCTTAAATTCGATGAAACAATCCACACGCGACCGTTTTGGAGTACCAGATTTTTCAGCCCTCCGAAACTCTAATACTGCAAGTTCAAGGTTATTTAACTGAAACCTTATAATAAAAGCTTTACAATCATTAGAAATTCCTATAGATTCTGATATGAAGGCTCTTATTGTTGCAGGTGATAAACAAGTGGTGATTGAAGTCATCAAAATGATATATAAAGCAACGTTAAAAAATAACAATGGATCGCCCAGAGCAAAGCCCAAACAGCCGAAATTTACGCCTGATGGTGCCTTGCTGCTAGATAATATAGATATCAATATTGATTTAAGCGAATCAGAAACATGCTTAGAGATGCTTGTAATTTCTTTATGCAAGTGCTTACAGGTTAAGCCAAAACAGGCAGCAGGGCTGCTGACTCAAAATGGAAAATTTTTGGTTCAAGTTATTATGAAAGGCTTAAAAGGTAAATTTGAGCTAATTTTAGAGTGGTACCAATCTATATTAAATAATTTGGTTCATCTAAAAAAATTAATACAAAAAGAGTTTGACCAAGGAGCACTTAATCTTGTTCTAACTGCCCTAAAGCCAGGACTTGCAAGTAAAAATAGGGAAACAATGGAGAAATGCATAGAATTATTTATAGAAATAAAAAGAGGATGATATGAAGATGAAATTTTTCAATGGTTTATGAAAAGTGATGCATTATCCTATATAATAAAATCAATGAATGAAAATTCTGTTGGTAATTTTTTGGATTTTCTTATAGACTATGGAAGGAAAGAGCTGAGGAAAATGTTTGGGGAAAGCTTTAAGCAAAGTGCTGGAGACTCAATCGGATTTTTTGATGCTATTTTGTTGATTTCACCATTGATTAGCTCAAACATAAAGCTTAATCAACTTTTTATGAACCAAGATATTTATACTTATTGAATTTATGAAGGCCTGATGGAAGCTGAAAAAAATCCAAAGCAGATTTTTCCTTTGAATTTTTTAACAGAATTATGAAAAAGTTTACCAAACTCTTACCAGATTAATGAAGACTGCTCAAATTTGATATTAAATGCATTGAAGTCGGGAAACAGGGATAACTGCAGCATTATTAAAATATCATCATTTTTAAATTTATTTAGACTTCTATCTGCATTTTCAGCTGTGAAGAATTCTTATGCTCCAATTATTTATAAGTCACTTACATTTTCACTTGTTGAAAACTATTCGAACCAAACAATAAGAGAATTTTTATATGTTAGTTTTGCTAAATTAATAGAAGATGATCAAAAAATACCTTTAAGCATTCTATTGGACCCTTTAATCAAGCAACTTCAGGTTGCTGACGAACTTTACAATATTTCAGATTTTGATTTTTTTGTAAGTATTGTAAGGCATCCTAAGCTTGAAATAGAACATGCTATTTTATTGATTGATTTTCTGGGAAAAGTGTATTATAATGATCCAATTTACACCAAAGCTGCGCAAGTTCCATTTATTTTATTAGCAGGAAGATATATTGAGTTTAAGCCTATGGAACAATATATAATAAAATTTGCAAATTTTGGCCTGAAATCTGTAATTAAGCTATTTAAGGCCAAAAAAAATAAAAAAAGTCAACAAGAAAACGAGACTAAATGCTTGCATATAAGAAATATAACACTATCTCTTATAGAAAAGCTTATTGCGCTAAGATGTTGGGATTTAAATACGCAGCTAAAAGATCAGCTATTACATGCAAATTCTGAATTGAAAAAAATTAGTGGAGAAAATTTTAATGGAATTCTAATTATTTTAGCGCTTTTAGGTGACCCAACTGAAATGATAAACAAGTATGAGGCTGATTCAGACAGCCTGCCTAATTCTGAGCCAAAAGCTGGATCTTTTAAATCAGCGACTTCAGAGCAGAACAATAAGCATGCTATAGCAAGTCTTACTACAGTTCCAAATGGTCGAGTGCAAAATGATTTAGAAAAAATCAAGCAGAAACGCATGGAAAGAGAGCTCCTACAAATAAGCCAAACTGAAAGGAAAAAAGCAATTGAAGAAAAAACGAAAAAAGCGTTAAAGATACAAATTGAAAAGAGAAGAATTCAGCTCGGAATTGAAAGTAAAAGCGCAGAAAATACTTTGGTAATAAAAAGTCACACACCAGTGAATGACCAAATAAGTTTAGTTGAATTAGAAAATGAAACACCAAATGAGCAAGAACTTTTAAATGTTGTTTTTAAAAAATATTTAAGGGTAGCAAACCTGTTATATGATAAGTATTCCACTTCAGGACATAAAAAAGATATGGGGCCAAGCGGAACCTTCGAAAGCCTGAAGGAAACAAAATCTAGCATAACTGAAGGAGAACTTGCAAAATTATTAAGAGAGCAAGGGGTCACTCAATCTATGATTTCTGTTGTGGAAATGAAAAAAATTTACAATTTGATAATACAAAAAATGAAAATTCCAGTGCTGAATTATGAAGGCTATTTTAATTTCATATTTCAAATAGCGGTTTATATTTATTCAAGACCACCGATAGAGCTCACTACTTATCCATATGCAGTTTCAGTGCAAGCTTTATTTGAGCACTTTTCAAAGCGTGCAGTTGATAATGGGATTCCTTTGCACCTATACCAAGAGCCCGATTATGGAGCTGGTGACCGCGATGTAGCTAAAAGTATTACTGAGCTACTTAAGTATGACTTTAATATAGAGATGCCAGAAGGCTACCAAAAAGTGAAAGCAAAAGCACTTAATGTTAGTTATAAAATTCCAAGCCATCTAGGCTTGTGAAGTCATCAAAAAATAGCTTTAGAAATTCTTGATGACATATTTTTCGACACCATTGGAATTCATTTCTTAGAGCACAATATATCAGTTAAAAACGTTTATCATGCTAAAGGGTCCTTAACGAAGCCAGAGGTAGAAACCTCCCCAACGTTTGGGGTGCCTTCGAATAAAGGTAAGTATAAGATTAAGCCATTACCTGCATATTTAAAGCTAACTCCTGGAATTAAGGTAGAAGTCACAAGGCTTAGAGGGACATTTCCAAATGACATTTTATTAGAGTGTTCAAAAACGCTTGATGACTTAATTTATTCCGTAGAAAACGACAGCGATACTATAATCAGCAGAAACCCGAAGCCAGCCGGATCTATTATAAATAGATTTATTGAGCAAAAGTTAAACGAAGAAATCCAACAAAGAGCAGAAGAAGAAAGGCTTGAGAGAAAACGATTCTTAAGAAGGCAGTCATTAGAATATAAATTAAAAGAAATCAAGCTAGAAAAAGAAGAAAAAATGAGAGAAGATGAAGAAATCAGAAGAATAGAAGAAGAAAGAGAAAGAAGGCAAATGATGGTGAGAGCTAATACATTGAAAAAAATGAAAGAAATAAATGAACCTAAAATACAGGAATTCAAAAAAAGAAAACAAGAAGAAGAGGAAAGAAAATTGGCAGAGGCTGAAGAAGAAAAGAAAAAAATGGAAGAAAAGAAAAAAAAAGATAGAGAAATGTTTTTAAAAATGACGCTGAAAATTAGAGAGCAGAGTCCGAAAAGAATTGAAGAGAAAAAAGAAGAAGTAGCAACAAAAGAAGAGCTGAATAAAAAAAGATCAAAATCGAGCAGAGAAAAGAATTCAAAGAGCTTCGAATCCACATTGAGATCTAAAAGTAGAGGAAAAAATAAAAAAAATGAAATAATCATTGATGAGAATGAAAAAATGAAGCTAGAGCAAGAAGTAAAGCAATACATTGGCTCAGCAATGATGGATAGATGGGTAAATGAAGTTTTGACTGAATATAACAACTCCATTGTGGCTGCTTATGAATTTTACGCAAAAACTTTTCCTGATTCCGCGAACTCTAAATCTCTTTCATTAGTTGGATTCCACAAATTTTGTTCTCAATTCAATATTTCTCCATATTTTATGGGTAATGAGGATGCAACTAAAATATTCAGAATTTTAACGAGAAATAAAATATTAACCCCCGAGTCACCATTGTCATTAACTTTATATGAGTTTAAAGAAGCATTGGTGCGTATTGCTATGCTTAGCAAGAAACTTTTAGCACTGGATAAAGGAAAAGAACTTTGAAGCTATGCAGATCAAGTCAGAGCGCTAATGGAGTGAATTTGCATCCCGAAAGAAATTGGGGCGGCAAGTGATTTCTTGCAAAAATTACATTCGAAAAAATTCCCATCGAATCCTCAGCACAGAAAAAAGTTAAGAAATAATCTAGCAAAAGCAATTAGTATGGGAATGAATTAATTTTCCAGATTTAATGAATTTTATAATGTACTTACTAGAAATAACCTTTTCTCGCTACTAACTATATGCTTTTAAGTGTATTATGTTTACAAGAGTTTTTTTAGTAAGAATTAATATCTATATAGTGATTAATATAATATAGTCCTTTATATTTATCTCTTTACTCCCCCATCCTTTATCGAACGGGCTCGCCATCGTTCGATCAAGGATGGGGGGTTAAAAAAATTTTTTTGGGAAAAAAATTTTATATATTTTTAAATAAGAGGGTTAAGAGTATTTAATAATTTTTTTTACAGCAAATATTGAACTAATTTCATAAAAATACCAATTTTTATATATTTAGATTTTTTGGTTAATCCTTTAAACTGCATAAAATTTTAATTTGCTTTCTTATTGATTTAAAATTTTAAATTTTAAAGAATCTCTATTTTTTAGATTATTGAGTTTTTAAGCCTAGGTTGATCACTAAAGCACTTCATATGGTTGATTTCGTAGCTTTCTGTCGTCTCAAAGCTCTGATAACAACTTCATTAGGCACATCTCCCCAGCTTTTGATAACTAATATATTTTTATATATATAAAAATTTGCATGATATGAAAATCGTTCGATCAAAGATGGGGATTAATTTCCTCAATTTTTAGGAATTTTTTACAGTCAATCGTTCGATCAAGGATTGGGGGGAGTTAGCACTTTTCCAAATTTTTGCTCAAAATCCTTTGTTTTTATTTTATTAATAGCTTCATTTACATCTTAATTATTGACAACATTTTTGGGATTCTTTAAAGCATTGAACCAGAAAAATTATAATTCCTAATCATGCAAACTGCGTATCACCGCCAAATATATGAGGATTGCGCATGCAAACTACATCTAAGCAAAAATAAAAATAAAACAGTCAAGATCATTGATTATTCTATGAAAGCAATTTGCTCATGAAGGCTCAAAATCTATCATCAGGCCTAAATAAGTTGAGAATAAGTGCACGGTTTGTTATCAACTAGCTTTTGTTTTCATATACTAAAGCAAATTCAATTTATGTTTTTGTTGATTTTTACTCAATAATTTTTTGAAGGAAGAATTTAAACTAACCATGCTTATATTATTTAATAAATGAATCTCACTTTAATTTAACAAATAAGAGCCTTTCTCAATTTTAAACATAATTTATCATTACTAAAATTCTCCTGAAGCTATTATCATTATTTCTGATTATTATAATTCTCACTAGTATTTTTTCCTTATTTGTCAGCCCAACGTCTCTATAGCCAAAGTGCTTATAATAATTATTTTCAGCTTACTTTTTCCTATTTTTCCGGCCAAGAGACTTTATAAAAAGCCCTATAAAAATATTGAAAAATATTATCAGACCTCTTTTAACCCATTTTTCTTTTATTTCAATAATAGTTTTACAAATATCAATGGCCATTTTTTTATGCAGATCGGTAAGATAAGTTCACCAATTAATAATAATAAATCTTATGCAGCAAGGAATCACCCTTCACTATTTCGATATGTTTGGACGTGGAGAGCCTCTCACCCCCCCCCCCTTTAAATTGGAACTAAAAATTTTGTTCCAATTTAAAGGGGGGTTAACTTGTTTTTTTAAAAAAAAATATCAATATAAAAATTTTTTATAAAAAAAAATTATATATAAAAAAATTTAAAAAAAAAATTCAAAAGCATATCGAATTAGATTAATAAATTTGTTTAATAAAATGCTATTTACTCTTTATCCTTTAAAACAAAGCAAGATATAACTAAATTTTTATTATTAGTTAATACGCCACTATTAATTGGTATCAAAATTATTTACACAAAAAATTATTATTTTAATTGATAAAAAAAAATTAAAAAAAAAAAAATTTAGAAAATTTATCGATCAAAGTGCTAATTTTGTTTAAATAAGCTGCTATTTATACTCTATTCTTTAAAATAAAGCAAGAAATAAGTAAATTTTGAAATTTTATAAAGAATTCCTATTGAATTTTATATCAAAACTATCCAAATAAAAAAATATCATTTTTATCAAAAAAAACAAAATTGTTTTGAAAATTTTTAAAAAAATAAAATTTTAATTGTTTTTTAAAATTTACAATCAAGGATAATAAATTTATTTAAATAAGATGCCCTTTATACTTTGTTTCTTTAAAAAAGAGCAAGATATAACTAAATTTTTAATTTTAGTTAAGAAGAAACATTTAACTTATATCAAAACCTTTTAGATAAAAAATTATATATAATTTTTTATTATAAAATTAAATTTTGTTCCAATTTAAAGGGGGGTTAATTTACCAAAAAAGTGGAAATTTTACCGATATTCTGTTCCAATTTTAAGGGGGGGGAGTCAGAATGATGCTGAAATACCACAACACTCCTTTTGTAGACCACCGTCTAACTCAGCAAGAATGGAACCAAATGATGAGTCAAGGGTTTTCAGAGTTCGACATGCTCCCCTGTCTAGATATTGATGGGATGAGATTGACTGAACCTTGTGCAACTTATAAATATGTAGCCCAAAAGCTTAATTACTACCCAAATCCTACAAACCTTGTTGACTGCTATATGGTAGATTCTGTATCCAATTACAGAGAACATGTCAGAGACATCTTTAAAGAGTGCTACAAGAACAGAGATATGGAAGGAATTGAGAGATTGATGAATGAAAAAATGCCCACTATTTTGAGAAAAATCGAAGCCAGGCTCAATAGAGTCCAAAACGGAAATAGATTCTTCATGGGAAACAATGTGACTTTAGCTGATTTCATGATCTTTGACATGGTTTATAACTATATGATGTGCCCAGGAAGGGCAGAGAGATATGGAAACCTTATCAACCAAAACGCTCCTAAGCTTGCTCAATGGTGCCAAAGAATGATAAACTCTTCAGAGACCTTTAAAGAGTACTTGGAGACGAGACCAGTAAAAGAGATGTAATAAATAATCATTTCCTTATAGTGAAAATCATATTTTAAATGTCTGTAACATTTTTTATAAATATGCTAATTATAATTTAACAGTCTATCAAGGTTTTATACGCGTAATAAATCATGATTTTACTGTATAATTTATATTACTAATAAGGTATTATAGGTTTTTGGCGTCTTCTATCGTTCCATCCTAAGATATTATTTAATCTTCCAAGTCATGATGCAATATCATGATTTAAATTTATATCTAAATAGCTCTTACTTGGCACAGGGTAGTTGGAAACAGTCACATCCATAGATGCTCCTCTTGCAAGTTTAAATTTTGAATGCCCATCAATTCCAACCCATGCAGGTATCCTTGAGTTTTCAGGAACTTTAATAGTAATTGTCACAGAATCCGGAAGCAAAATTGGTCTAAATGATAAAGAATGAGGACATATAGGAGTTATCAATATAGCTGGAACTCCATGATGCACAATAGAACCTCCTGCCGATAAAGAATATGCAGTTGATCCACAGGGCGTAGCAATCAGAAGTCCATCTCCAATTGCTGTTGTGCATAATTCTCCATTAAGATAAACTTCAAGCTCTAACAAAGAAACACCAGGACCTCTATCAATGCAAATTTCATTAGCAGCTTGACCTCAAGCTTTTTCACTGATGTCTTTTACATGGCATTTCAGCCTTGACATCAAATCTACATGAATACTTGGCGAGGTAAAAACTTGATCTAAAACTTCAGTCAAATTGGCTACATTATAAGATGTCATAAACCCGAGAGAGCCCATGTTGAAGGCAAGCAACGGTGGCATTGATTTGTGTTTGAAAAGGCTGATAGCCCATATTACAGTCCCATCTCCTCCTAGTGTAATAACCAAATTTATTTTATCACATAATCCTTCATGGAACCTCCTGACTTGGGGATTCAGATCTTTAGACCTGTCAGCTTCAACGAAAACTGTGGTGTTTTTGTCTAATAAATACCTGACTGTTCTCATATAAACTGACTCAATTTCATCATCTTTGCCGATTCGTCTTACTATAAGAACTTTCGGAGAGTTGGGCAATGAGACCTTAAAAGAGTTAACTGAGTGTCTATCTACATGAAAAATCCCCTGCTCTAGTGAATTTCTTACTTTTTCCTTCATCGAGTAAAAAATTCTACTCGGTCTGTGGGCTGTTAATTTTTTTTGAAAGGAATTTTTTTGCAAATTTCCAATTTTTATTTTTTGGAAATTTCATTACTTATGAGTTTATGCTCTCAATGCAAAAAATTAATAATTAAGTTTTAAATTTTATTAAAAATTTACTTATTAAAAATATTTAATTAAATCAAAATATCGATTAAAACAACTTTCTCTTTTATATCCCCAAAATAATAGGATTTTCAAATGGTTTGCCCATTCGCAGAAGAAGCTGGAAATCTTCATTTCTGACATACTCAATTTTTGAAGGAGTCAAGCTAATCTCCGATAATGTTCTTTCCCTTAGCCTCCCTATATTATAAGTGGTAAATTCTTTATTATTGAACAAATAAATCATTCCAAATCTCAATATCGTAGGCTTGTTTACACTAAACGGCTTCCTTAGTTGCTGCTGCATGACTATGGACTCATTCTGCAAATCAAACATCCACACATTCTGTAAAGCTGCCCCTGACTCATCTTTTCCTCCAAAAATCATGACAGAGCCACTTGCTACAACAAAAATCCCAAGTGACGAGATGCTCACAGGCAAGATCAAATCACATAAAACCCATTCTTCATTATGCATGTCAAATCTTTCTATTGTGGATACTCCGACACCTCCACAAACGTAGATAAATTGTGCATTAATTATTGCTGCGGAGTTGACCCTGGGGTAAATTAGTTGAGGCAAAGACGTCCATTTGTTTTTTTCAATATTAAAAGCTTCCACAGTGCTTAAAGCTTGCTCCGACTCTTCATTATATCCTCCTATAGCGTAAATTGTGTCTGACGAAGATACCGCACACAAGTCAGCTCTATTAGAAAGCATAGGTGTAAGTTTTCTAATAGAAGAATTTTCTAATTGCAAAACTCTATTTAAAGTACCATTATAAATACCTCCAATAAGCAATACAGTTGTCCCACAATAAACTACACAAAAACGAGTTCCAAAATTTTCATTCCAGTCGATATCGATTTTCTCCCAAGTTTCGGAGTCAAAATCAAAAAGATAAGCTTCAGATGATTCAAAATGATATGCCATTTATTAGGTGAGAGTTTATATTTATTAATTATTAGGTTTGTGGCTGAATTACTGTTATTATGGCTTTTGCCAGCTGCTCACTGTTTGGTATAAAAGGCTGAATCAAAGCTGAAAGCTGCTCAACATCAAGGTCTCCTTGCTCCTGCAATGCTACCAGTCCATTAAAAAGAGTTTCTATCGGAATCTGCATTTCAAGTTTACTAGCAAAGTCCAGGAAATCATGCTTATCTCTATAAACAGATTCTCTAAACTGGCTGAGGACTAGTGACATTTCTTTTTTGTTTTTCGATGCTTGGTTATTTCCTTGTATGACTAATAAAACTTGATAATCATATACGACATTCACAACCTTTGAAAATGATTGAACCAGTCTTTCTAGATAAGCCTGTAAATAAACCTCAAAAAAGCGCCGCTTAAAGCGCCTTTCGTAGTATTCAGTTGACAGCCACTGAGAGATGTCTTTATCATAGTCTTCCATAGTTGCAAATGCGCTAGGCACTGGGCCACTTGCAATCCAATTAGTAGTAAACAGCACAAGAACAGTGTCTGGGGCTATAGATCTTAAAACACTTATAGCAAGGGCATTTGCCCCTTCTCCACAGAGGGTTAGAAATCCTTTTTGGACGCCTTCGAACATTCTTTCAATTCTTTCTAATTGGAAACTTTCTGTATAATATTTTTTGCAAGATTTCATTAAATCCACTGTATGCTTGGAAGCTCTCTGATTGTTGTTTATGCTTAAACACAACGAAGCGACTTGCAGTTCAGGATCCTCAAGGTTTATCATCTCAGAAAGTTGTGAGGATAATTTTTTTTGCTGAGATATCAGTCGAGTTGCACAAACACGGAAAATTTCAATAAGAACTTCGCCTGAAAGCCTATTTGAAACAAAATTAAGCTGCTGGTTAACTGCTGAAAACATTTCTTCTGGCAAAGTGTCTGTCAGTGGCTCATATTTAGCAGCCATTTCCATGATTTGGTTGTTGGAGGAATGAGCTTGCAGGGCTCGATTTATTCATTCTGATAGAAGATTTTCCATATGCTGAATAAAATCCGGCATAAGCTCCTTTACTTTGGCGAAAAGAATTTGAATGTCTACGTCTTCCAAGGAATCTGCGCAGTATTTTTTAATGGCTTCGCTGTATTCAGAAACCCATTGAAAAATCAGCACAAGTAGCCCTGGAGAGGCTCTAAGCTTTTCTAAATCAGATAATTGAGGCTCTATTGCAGCTTGAATGCAATTCCTGTATTTATTGACGCAGTAGTTATAAAGATTGTACTCAGGTGGAAAGCAAGGCAAAACTTTTTCTATCATAATTCCAAGTTCGTTTATGGCTTGATGAGTATTTTCTGATAATTTTTCTAAATTTTCGACATTTAGTAAGGTAAGGAGTCTTTTTTCAATTCCCAATCCCAAGTGCTCTCTTACTTTTTCTTCAGCTTGATCTTGAATGTTTCTAATAATTTTTATTACTCTTACAATAGCTTTCGGCTGTTTTTGTGCTATTTCTATTGAATTTTCAATTACTCTTCATATCGAAGTGTTAAGCTCAGCTTCAAATTCATCCAAAGGAGCAAATTGCTTTTTGAGAACCTCTCTGACACTTGGTGGGGCCTTTTCCAATAATTTCCTTTTATGATCAGATAGCTTGATACCTTGGTTCACAATAGAAGCAAGCTTTTCTTTGTCTCCAAAATCTTTTCTTAGATCAGCCAATGTTTTTTCCAAATTGAGAAAAGGTTTTACAATGTTAATTGTTTGAGAGATATTTGCCTGAGCAATTACTATGCTTTTAAGTGATCCAGGCTGTTCAGGGCAAAGGCTTCCTAAATGCTCAATAGGCTCTAGTAGCGCATTTGACGCAGCTTTATGCAAGGTGCATAGCACCTGCCTATGGGTATCAACTTCTCGGTTTAAAGCTCCTCCGAGCTCGAATGCAGAGTTTTCTTGATTTTTTGTAAAGTCTGCTATTAATTTTTTGATCCTTACATGAACTAAAGAAATATCGCCTTCTAGCTCGGATAAAGTTTTATTCAAAGTAGTTTTGGCTTTTGCAAGAGCTTGGTTTTCATCTGAAAAATTCATATTATTAAGTTATTATGGGTTATTTCCTTTTACAGTTCTATATGTATAGTGGGCTTGCGATCTGCCTCCCGATTCTTTTAGCTGACTCAATAAGACTTTTTTCTGATCTTCAAGCTCATTAATTCTGTTATTTTGAGCGTAAATATGCTCTTGCATTTCATCATGCCTTTTTTTGTATTTTTCAACCTCTAGCTTCATTTCTTGTTCAAAATTCGACTGATCAGTAATTTTACCTTGCAGCGTCACAATAAAAGCTTGCGCTTCTTTCAGCTCTTTATCAATTAAATTCCTAGCAGCTACAGCTTGCATAGCAATTTTTTCTTTTCTTTGTTTTTCCTCTATAATTGTTTTGATTTTTTGTTTTTCTTTTTCAAGTTCCTCTATGGCTTGATTCATCTTGTCTTCGGTTATTATTTTTTCGTCCCTGATTTTTTTCTTCATGAAAGCTTCATTTCTAAACATCCCAGGGAGCAACTCGGCGTCTTGTCGAATATTTTTTATTTCTTGGATTAATTCTGCGTGTATTTTTTCGGCTTCTTCTAACCTGGGCAAAAATGTTTCATTTATTTTGGCTAATTGAGCTTCAAGTTGCTTAGCGTGCTGCGCTAAATGAAGATTTTCACTTTCCAGAGAAATTTTTTCCATATTAATTTTTTGGATCTGCCTGGAGTCATGCTCGATTTTCATTGATTTTTCTTCTAAATCTCTCGTCATTTGGAACCACTCACGCCTGTCAGGATTTCTCATCATAATTCTCAAGTTTTGGACCTCTTCTTCTAGTTTCTCTTGATTTTTATGAGTTTGTTCTAGCTCATTTCTTACTACCCCCTTTTTCTTGATTGAGCCAATAGCCATCGCCCGACCAAGAATGGGCTGAAAAAAAATCATGTATAATTTTCCCATGAAAAATATTTTATGGGATAGCCTAAGCAATATATTAGCAAGTATGCCAAAATTCAATATTTAAATTTGATTAGGAATAATTATTTAGTTTAAACATTTAATATTAATTACTATTAAAGACGAGCAGTTAGATTTGAGACATGCTCGGAGTTGGCTTTTGATATGACTATACGATTTGCTCTATCAAAAATGCGAGTTAATTTTTTGCAATTTTAGGAAACTCTCAGTCATCTCGTTTGATCAAGGATGGGGCGATTTAGGCTTTTCGCATTTGGGGACTTTTTTTTAGACTCTAATCGAAAATTACTGTATTTAGTTGAAAATTATTTTCAATCATCCTGATCATGGTCTGGAATTCATCTGTAAATGCAGTTAGAGTTTGAATAAAATTTACTTTTGCTTTTGGCGAAGAATTTATCTGTGGCAGTTCTTGGCTTATTTTAGGGTGAACATAGTCTATTTTTGCTGGTATGTATCCATGCTCATTTTTATAATCGACAATATTCTGCACAATGTCTAATATTTCACCTTTTACGTAGCCAGTTTCCAAAATATTCAAATCCATTCACAAAACAATTTTTCTATGCATCATTGATTTGAAAATCTGGCTAGTAAGGTTTTCTTTTAAATCGTAAAGTTCACACAGAATTTCATGGACTCCTTCTTGGTTTTGTGAGACTGAGGCTGCATTTAATTTAGAAATTTCTGTCGAGACGCTTTGAAGGACTAAGTCTCATGTTTTATATTCGCAAGTTTTAGGAAGATGAGCAGAATTTTTTAAAATGTTTATAAGAACTTTGAAATCGTTTGAAAACTTTTCTGAGACTTTCATAAGAAAGCTGGTACCTTTATTTACTTCGTATATAGATGAAGGCGTTTCTCTGCGAAGTTGCTTCAAAAATTCACCATGAGATCGGAGGTCTTTTTGCAAAGTATCAATTGAATTACGTCAGGTTGCCACCCTTTGGGTGGTATCTTGAGGCAGGGTATTTTCTGTTATATTTAAATACTCGTTTCTAGCATTTTGGACTTTCCTCATAGAGAGTCTGATAGATGAGTTCAAGTCAACGCCTTTATTTTTCATTTTGCTATATAACTGTATTTATTTGTTCATACATCATTTGCCTCTCGAATTTATATCAATTCGTATGATAAAATAGCAAATATTTTAATTACACATAAATCCTCACTAGATGTTGCAATCTTTTGCCTGTGCATTAATAGCTAACTCCCCCCTCCGTGAGTGAACAAAAAAATTTTATTCACTCAGGAGGGGTTATTTTTTTTTTTAAAAAATTTATATATATAGAAAATATTTTGTTTCGAAATTTAAAAAAAAATCCTAGTTGGCAAAAATTTGAAAGCAAATATTAATTTAATTTATTAAATTTATGTTTTAAAAAGCAATTTGTTTTAAAATTAAACAGAATTAGCTCTAGATTTCATTATACTAGTTATCACTTATATATCAAAATTGTTTTAATAAAAAATTTTTCTATTAAAAAATTTTTGTTCACTCACGGAGACCAAAAAATAGGGATTTTTCTAATGGTTTTGTTCACTCACGGAGGGGGGAGTAAAGCACAAGCTAATTTAGTGTATTGCCGATGATTAATCTTATAAAACTTTTCGATGCTAAGTTATAGATTCAATATAGATTAATAACAATATCTTCGAATTTATAGTAACTATAAGGCGGCACGAACTGGCCTAGTTAATTATTATTGCAATTAAATATGTTTTGCGCATTTTTGGAATTCAGAGACGGTATAATATGAAAAATTAATATTTCGAGGGTTCTTCCAATGTTATACCCGTACTTCGACGATGTTTCAATATAAATTTAAAGTTAAAATTATAAGACCATAAGCGGATAGACTATTAGCCTACATAAACCCACATAGACTAAGGACCAGCTCCCTAGGCTCGAGCCACCTCTTGTGGATGCCCTGCTAGTTTCGATAAGCATAGACTAAGTGGATGGCAAAACCTGTCTAGCCCATTAGCAGGGGCAGGGAAAAACTTCGGTTGAGAAACAAAACTCCCCTGCTCGGCAAGAATCCCCAAACCCTAAGGCCTACAGGGGCACTTTTTTCAGCTTCATTGGGATGGTCCACCTCCACCACAGGGATTGTGTCTCGGGATCCATCTTTCGCCGACTCCACATTTTTTATTTCTTGCTTCAATATAAGGAATTCCTAAACTATCTGCAAAACTTTTTCCTTCATCATAAGAAACCACTCTTTCATTTTCTAAATCGCATTTGTTTCCCACTAAAATGAATCCATGAGCTATATCACTATGACTCCCTATGAGCTCTTTTCAAAATTTAACTGCTTCAAACGATTTTCTATCAATTACACTAAAAAATATTAAAAATCCATGGCCACCTCTAAAGTAATTTGCTGTAATAGGTTTAAATCTGTCTTGCCCAGAAGTATCTCACATATGCAGCTTATAAGTTTTATTTAAATGCCGAGCTCAGCCAATTTTCTATATGATTCTTACAAAATCGATTCCAATTGTTGGAATATAATCTCCAACATAATCTCGATTAGCAAATTGCGATATAAATGAAGACTTTCCACTGCATTCTGCTCCAACGAATATTAGGTTTAAGCGCCAATCTCTGTCTATAGACTACCAATCTGAGCTCATTATTACAAATAATTATATTAATCAATTGCCTTATAATAAAATCACTACTAGTTTAGTGAAATTTTTTTAAATTTATTTTCTTAAAATATTAAACAGATTACTTTATTAAAGCAACAATTTAAATATCTAAGATCCTAATTCTCTCAGTTGGCCTCACAATAATTTGACCTCCAAACTGTGACAGGAATATAAAATCTTTAAGTGCCAGCTGTAAGAGCTCATAAAACCCACAAGCCATGACCCTTCTTTCTTTTTTCTTTGATAAATCATCAAAGTTGATCATTTCCACAGTGCCAAACTTCATTTTCAGAAGTTTTAGCAGCTTCAAAGTCCTTGAATTCCACTGATCTTCAAGCTTGGTTTCTTCAGTTTTCTCCACCTTATTTATAACCGGCTCATTTATGTGGGTTTGGACATTTTCTTGTGGAGGATTTTCTGTGTGCTTGTCAGGGATATTTTCTTTATTATGAGAATTTTCAATTGCTTTAGGCTTTTCAGCAGGATGAGCGTTCTGGCGTGGCTGAGGAACAGTTTTGTTTTCTTCTTCAAGCTCTCTTAAATGTGTTTTCATCCTTAAAAGCTTGATATTGGAGATATAAAAAGTTTCAAGTTCTGGGTTCATATCAGGGACTGTTGTCGAATAAAGCATGGTATCAGAATCTGGAGGGACCAAGTCTGCTATTGGGTAAAAGAAGCGAGGGTTTTTAACAATATCTGCAGTAGAGTCAAGTCCGGCTTGCATATCATAGTCAAGGACAATTGAAGCGTCCTCATATCTTACTGTTTTTCCTTTAGCTTTGCGGGATTTAGCGGGTCTTTCTTCTTTTTTGACTGGTGGCTTTGCGTCTTCTTCTTTTTTGACTTTAGGTGGAGCTTTTTTGCCTTTGGCTTCGCTATTATCTAGCTGCATTGAGAGAGGAACAATTGCAGGAGGCATTTCAACATCCGGAGTAGCATCTGTGGGCGCTGTTGGGTCTGGAGCTTGTGGTGGATTTGGATTAATCAAAGTTTGCCACACTGGTGTCTTATCAGTCCTAGGTCTTTTTGTAGGATTTCCAGGCTGAAATTCTCCATCTTTATTTTCTTCTTCCTCTTCTTCTTGTAATGGCTCATCCCCTTCTTTTTGAAGCCAAGCTGCAGCTAGCTGTACATCATCTAAAAAGGTAGTGTTTCTTCCCAGTAAATCTTTCTTTTGGTTGGTGTTTGACTTCAGGTCATTTCCTAAGAATTTGTCAGGAAGATTCAAAGAGTCAGCCGAAGCATTATTTCTCATCCTTTCTTGATGCTGTTTATTGCCTTGCATAAGATTCATAGCCATAGTTTCGGGGGTAAGGATTTTTAAAGGATTTAGACGGAGTTTTTCAGGAGCATTGGTAATTCCCATGCTTTTTAAGGTTTCAGCTCCGCTTACTCGGATTCCTTGGCTGACTTGGTCCATTAGCTGCTCAATTTCTTCGAGGGTAAGGAAGCTTTTTTTGTTGTAGATTTTGGAAAGACCGAGCAGAAGATAGCCTGAGATTCTTAAGGAATAAAGACTTCCATTTTTGATGGCAATAACTGAATCAGTTACGTCATGTTGATAAATTTGATTCTTGCTAAGTTTTTTGTCCCAATGTGCTGCAAGTCATACACGGGCGAGAACGCTTTTTGGGTCAAATGCTAGTGAGTTCATTTAATTTTTATAAAAAGCCCCCAAATTTTATTTTAAAATACTTTGGATTTTTTTCGAAAAATAATTGTTTGGAAATTCTCTTAAGGAAATTTGCCTTAAATTATTATTTTTCCCTAACTCTTGATAGCATTAAATACTATATTGCTACAATTTAATGCTCCCATAATATCTTATAGAAGGATGTATAGAAGTTTCCTATGTTTGGCGCTGTAAGGCCGATAAATTCTGATCGGAATTTATCGGTAGGTTGCACCAAATCAATGCCTTGGTCGGACCAAAAAGCGATTTGGTCGACGAACTTGGAAAGCTCCTGGGAAAATGTCTGCGCTTTTAGCGCTATATAGAGGAAAACCTCTATATAAATAGAGCCCCTATATCAAGCCAATAAATATTCAAGTCTTATAAAATTATTAAAACAAGATGTAATAGAATAATTTCCATTCAATTTGTTTTTAAATTTATGAAATGTTTTTTATGGCATATTATAAGAAAATTCCTTTATCACAAAATGGATAGCTTATAGTATAAATGAAAGAATCCCTAGCTCATGGAATTTCAGGATCTCTAAGCGCATTAATAGCTGCGATTTTTCTTCATCCTTTTGAGTCTCTCCGAACTCGTATGCAAGCCACTCACCAAAAAGTTACTTTTTTGAGCTTTATTAAAAGCCTCCACAAAACAGAAGGCTTAAAATCTTTATACTCACTCCTCCTCCTCCTCCTCTCCCGAAAATTTTTTATGGAAAAAAAATTTGATATATAAGTGATAACTAGTATAATGAAATCTAGAGTTAATTCTGTTTGATTTTAAACAAATTGCTTTTTAAAACATAAATTTTATAAATTAAATTAATATTTGCTTCCAATTTTTGCAAATTAGGATTTTTTTAAATTTCGAAAAAAATTTTAATTTATATAGAAATTTTTTTTAAAAAAAAAATTAACCCCTCCGTGAGTGAACAAAATTTTTTTGTTCACTCACAGAGGGGGGAGTCAGGGTTTTTATCAACGCTTGTCAGTGCAGTAACTACTCAAGGGATTTATTTCCTCATCTATAGAATTATGCAAAGTTATTTTAAGCGATCCAAAAAAGTATTCTCTGCAAAAATAAAATTATTAATATTACGATTTATAAGGAATAAGTCATTTTTATTATAATGAAAAGCTTAAATCAAACTTAATTTATTTATAAAGAAGTCTTCTGCAAGCCTGCAGACCATTACTCGGCCCTGCATAAAGCTCCACTACTTACTCGCCAGTCCGGACAGGCCTTTCACAGTGTTGCTGCTTACGGACGAGGGCTTGCATTCGTTGCACGAGAGTCAGAGACACTGAGTCGCTATGCCGTACATCAATTAGGTTTGCCTTCCAGAAATTCGAAAAACGAATTTTTTGGTCAAAATGGAGCTCGGACAGGACACAACGCCTAGTATCGGGCTGAGGATTTTGCCCGATTGACCAATTAACATCCTCTGGCCTTGCTGGGCCTCCCTTTTCCAACTCCAGCAAATAATCTCCTTACAGGGTATAACATTAACTAGATGTGAGTATGCAGTCGGCTAACCAGACATTGCGCTACACCAAACCAAGTAAAACAGGCTGAATGCACCTTTCCGAACGCTATCCTCTTACCGCAAGGTGTCCGTTTTTTTCGAATGAGCCTGCTCTTAAGAGGACAGGTTAGCTCACAGCACCCATTTTAATGCACATTATAATGAAGAGCATATTATCGATAACTGATAGTCTCATTATCAGTTTTATAGCAAGTTCTATCACTACTGTTATTAATACCCCTATATGGACAGTCAACACAAGACTTATGAAAGAAAAATCTAAGCAAGGGATTATTGAATGCTTCCAAAAAATTATTGAAAAAGAAGGAATTTTAGGGCTATTTAAAGGACTGTCTGGAAGTTTAGCTCTGACATTGAATCCAATGATTCAATTCGCTATTTATGAGCACATTAAGCAAAAATTCAGTAAAAAATCAAACGCTTTAGTTTACTTTTTATTTGGCGCTTTTTCAAAATTTATTTCCACATTAGTAACTTACCCAATATTTACTATACTAATTTTTATGAAATGTCTATTATAAAATATACCGTTTTGAGTTTTAAATCACCTGAATATAGCCCGTTTCCAAATTGCAACATCCTGGTTTTCAATTAAAACAATTCATTGAGCTTTGCATTTCTAAAATGGATAGCATCAGCTCAATCCTTAATGAATAAATATAAATTTCTATTAATCTTTCAACAAAATTACAAAGAAAAGTATATTAGGACAAGAACTCAGATCGAGGAAAAAAAAGCTCTAGGCTTTATTGAAGTCATGAACTTCATTCTGCAAAAGGAAGGACTCGGTGTACTTTATAATGGCCTTTCCACCAAGCTTATGCACACAGTTTTGAATTCTGCTATAATTTTAGCTGTCCACGAAAACCTAGCTAAAGCAATAGTCTTAGTTTTAACTAAAAATAAATAATCTATTAAGGCATGGCTTTCACAGACATTACAGAACGGCTTAGATCTGCTTCAACGCACTTAAAATACAGTCAGGTTATAGCTACGCCTGCGTTCTCTTATTACGAAAGCATGTCTGCAGTAGAGCTTATGGACCCAAAGCTTGATTCAGGGATGGAATTAATGGCTCTTCCTTTGATCTCTGATTTAATTTCCAATAGATCTATCCCTCATCCACAAAATCTTACAGATTCTCAAGTTCTAGGAATTTTAGATCAACAAGTAAAGAATTTTGCTTTATGAATCGAAGGGCAATCTGTGGTTAATTCCATGTATTCTTGTGTGTATTTTCACACTCCAGAGCTACTCAATGAAAGTCTTATAATTAAAGCGTGCTTTGAAGCTTGCGTGTTTGTCATTGAAAACATCCATAAACTTGTACACTTGACTACTTGCTTAAGAGAAGATGACTATGGATACTCAGGGATAAAATTCCAAGCTTTTGAGGTTGATGAGCATGAGCTTGAACAGCACCTTCTGGCAGCTGAAAAAGGAGTGCAAAATGAAAACATATTGGGAGCGCTAAGGTTCTTTAGGGCGTTGTTTTATTTGGTTAATAATTTAGTAAAGCCTAATGGATCTGGGCTTGGAGCTGCTGAATCATATATTCCTTTTATAGTTAAGCAATTGGAAGGAATCAAAGGTAGAAACAATGAAATTTTTGCAGAGGTCTTCAATGAGAAATACTGCTTAACAAAAGTCCCTTATTTTGGAGCAAACAAAATTTACAAAGTTGAAAACTACACATTTCAAATGGCAATTTCTCGCATAGAAAAATTCATTGAGTCTCTTTCAAGACTATGCTCAATTCAGGAAGCAACTGACTTAGACCATTTGGTTTCTTTCTTGAACTCTATTCCTTCGTTCGACATTGCTTCTAGAGTTTTATATGAGTATCACCTCTTTGAGACGGTGGATAATGAAATCAAAGTATTTCACAATGTTTCATTGCAGCGGGTACTCATGAATTCAATGCAGAAATATGGAATTGATATAAACTTCATAAGCCAGAATGGCGATTTCACTACATATATAAAGCGAGTCGAAATTGTATATAAAGAAACAATTCTTTTATCTCTTAAAAATAAAACTCGCCAGCAAAGGATCCTTCCCAAGTATTTCTCTGATTTCAACATCCTAATCAGCGAAGCCAACTATGTCGAGCAGCAAATATTTGGCAAGCAGCGGCAAGGCCAATTAATTTTCCAGTGGATTTTCACACAAGTGATGTCTCTCATGATCCTTTATCTCAGACTAAGCTTCGAACTCAAACTTTATGCAGTCTCAGAAATCGGAATGGCAATGTTTTACATGGATTTCTTATATGGTGCCTACTTAAACGGCTTAAAAGCTTCCATTGAGTTTTTCACATCAAAACAAGCTAAAAAGAAAAAATTAAAATGCCCAAAATACTATCAAGATGAGTATAAATTGGCGTCAGGGCTTAGACTAATGTGCAGAGGAATGGTGAGGCTTCATGCAATCTTGATCAAATATAATTTGATAGAAAACGTTGTTCCTGAAATTGAGATTCCACGGTTTAATAAGAGGTTTAAAGCTTTTAACGCGCTTCAGATACCTCAGAAATTGGAATATGATGCATATGAGACAGTGAAGTTTTTACCGAAAACTGTAGAAATTGATAGGCTCATTACAGACTGCAAGGAATCATTTGACAGTGCTAGAAGCCTACTGAAAGAGTTAGAAGGATTCCAGTCAATTAAAGAGCTTATGAGAGTTTGTGTATGGAATACCCTAGCAATTGGAAAGGGAGTGAAAGCGAGTTGGGAATGCAAGGCGAGCTTTGAATACAATGAAGATAGTGTGTTTTCAGTCTGCTCAATTCAATCATTAACTTAAGATTTTTATTATTGCCAGGATAGTTTCTATAGTCAATAAATTTATTTAGTATGATATTTCAACTTTTACATCCTCTAAAGATATGCAGCTGTCTTCAATTTTGTAAGGAAGGCCTTTTTCATCATTTTCGTTGTCTTTTTCTTCTGAATTGTAGATGCGAATTGGGATACCCAAAGTTAAGCTTGGGATTTCTCCTGGCTGTTCTATCACTGCGACTTCAGCAACTATAGGAAGAAACCTCTCTTTTTCATATGGCTATATATTAATTACAAGCATCATGCCTTCTGAGTATGCAAATAATGTATTTCTGTCAAACATTCCTTGTAGAATGTCATCTAAAGATACTAGAGGCCCATTTTCGCCTAAACTTAAAGTTTCAATTTGATCAAAAAACGGTTCCCGCTTTCTAAAATGGAAAAATAGAAAAAAAACCAAATAGCACTGATAAATAATGCTGAGGTGAGTGCTAATTGCTACTCAAGGCTTGTATTCAAGGTAAAATATAGTTATTATCAAACAAGTGCTCAGGGCAAGCAAAAAGATTATCAACGTGATCCTTAGAAATCTAAACATTCTATACTTTATTCAAAACGGAGTGTTTATAGGGTCAATTCCTGCTTCAGAAATTAATTGCATTTGTTTGGCTAAATTCCTGCTGTTTTTCGTTGTATCTCATATACAAATAACTAAAATCAGAACATAGCTCCCAGAAAGCGAGAACAACCCATCGTCTCCTACCTCTACATAAAGCCTCATGCAGTAAAATAGAGACCCAATCACAAAAACCGCTTTTACAATTGCCCAGCACTGTATTGATGACTTGGTGATCCCTGATCCTGCACAAATGAAGATGGTAATTCAAAAGAAAAAGCATTCAGAAGCAGCAAATAAATACATGCTTCAGTTTTTTAATTCCTCATCAGATTTTCCTGTATCAGAATAATCTTCTCAATAGAGCTTAAAAATCCAGGAAAATCCTGCTCACACCATTGCGTTGAGTATTAAGTAAATCTGGATTAATGAAAGTTTGATTTTCCTAACTCCCCCCCCCCCCCTCCGTGAGCGAACAAAAAAATTTTGTTCGCTCACGGAGGGGGGTTAATTTTTTTTTTTAAAAAAAATTTATATATAAATTTTTAAAAAAATATTTTTTTCGAAATTTAAAAAAAATCCTAATTTGCAAAAATTGGGAAAGCAATATATTATTTAATTTGCAAAATTTATGTTTTAAAACGCAATTTGTTTAAAATTAAACAGAATTAGCTCTAGATTTCATTATACTAATTATCACTTATATATCAAAATTTTTTTCCATTAAAATTTTTTCTATTAAAAAAATTTTTGTTCACTCACGGAGGGTGGGTTTTTGGTCAAAAAATGGCGATTTTTCTAATGGTTTTGTTCGCTCACGGGGGGGGGGGGGAGTAACAAGAATTCATGATAATAATCAAAGACCAATAATTGATAATCAACCTACTTGTGCACCATTCATAACATATTTGATCTCAATATATCCAACTGCTAAATTCTCTCCACCTGGGTTCATAAATGTATAGTCAATGCTTAAATCAACTTTGTCTTCTACACAATTCGCGGCTACAAAGTAATACAACTTTGACTTGCCTATTCTGGCTGAAATATCACTACCATCTTGGCCTTTCAAATTTCTATCACTTTTAGTCTGATCATATATAAACTGCTCCAAATAGTATTCCCAGTCTTCATCTGTAAGACTAAACCTATTGATTCTAATTTTCCTTAAATAATTGAGAAAGTCAGTGTTGTTCTTGTAATCCGGCCCATAAAAAGGATACGTAAAATTATAATCACAGTCAGAATAATTTCCAGCATTGGTGCTATTTATACAGAAATTCGATTTAAATTCCTTGGCAATTGAGCTGACATCGCCAAGTCCACAGAGATAGATACCTAGAGAGCCAGTGCTATTGGATGTAATAGAGAGATTCAGAGCAATCCAGCCACCTTCTTCAAAGTCAAATCATGCTCATGATTTCGCAGAGGGTTTACTAAAGCTGATGTCAGTGTCACTTATAATCCCATAGGCGAGATGAAAAAGAATATGGAATAAAATCATAATTTATTAAAAAAATCTATTTAATTAAGTTTAACAATGAAACTGTGGCTGCGTTTGGAGAATTTTCTTTATTAAACCATTCGGATGGTAAGAGAAATAACTGAAGAAGTCCTTTTATTTTAATACAAAAATGGAGAAAGCATTAACAATAAGAATTTGCGCATTATAAATTTATTTAAATTAAAAAATAAAATTTAGATTTAGACTCTTGAAATTTATTTGTACCAGCAATTGATTATTAATCTCTACTCAAAAATCATTGAAAATCTTAGTCTCTTATTCTCCCATTTCCACACAAATTATCTCGAATTATTTTTAAACTAATTATAATTTCAGCATTCTACACTAGCTGGGACTGACGCATTTTGAGGCGATCTTTTCAAACTTCTTAAATGAGCTTGAAGAGCTTAAAGACAAGATTGAGTTGTCTTGAAACCCTTCGCATATATTATTGTCAGCATCAGCCATTAAATTCAAAATATCGATCTTCTTGACCCTCTGTGTAGCGTCTACAATAGGTGATGGCTGAGGTGACTTAAGCGCCCTTTTCCCTAGTTGAGCTTCGAGCTTTCGTATAGCTGCTCGAATCCATTTGATGTAATGGTACTGGGGCAGCCTTTTCTTGATTTCCTTGACTTCTTCTCGCATGGTGGCTTTGAGGCGCCTCCAAGTGTGCTTTATGACGTCTAAACTGAGAGCTCGGTCTTTGAATTCTCTAGATATTTTTTCCCAGTCTCCTAACTCCCCCCCCTCCGTGAGTGAACAAAAATTTTGACGCTCAAGGGGGGTTAATTTTGTTTTTTAAAAATTTTTATAGGATTTTATAGTGAATTTTTTTTTCGAAATTTTAAAAAAATCCAAATTAGCAAAATTCGGAAAGCAAATATTTAATAATTTGCAAGGTTTATGTTTAAAATGCAAGCTGTTTAAAATTACTCAGACTTAGCTTATACTAATTGTCACTTATATAATTTTTTTCATAAAAAATTTCGCTTATGGAGGGTGGGTTTTGGAACAAAAAATAGGAATTTTTCCAATGGTTTTGTTCACTCACAGAGGGGAAGTAAGTGTTTTTGGATACCTCGCAGAAGTGTCAGCTTGTCTTGGATGCCTAAGTGGTCTTCTGCTGGAGGTATCAGACTTAAAATTTCAGGGAGAATTTCTTGCTTCAACCTTGAATTTGTCTTGAAGGTGGGAATTGGGGTTGCTGATAATTCCCGGGCTTTGTTTAAGATTCTTCGTCTTTCTAAGCTAGATAATGGAGGATTTGAATGTATCGTAGACAGGAAATTCAAAATTTCTACTGTGTCTTGTGACTTTGGTAGATGCTCATGATAAGCTTGAAATCTTGATTCAGCCAAGCTATTTTGCTCAGTATCTTCTAAATTCCAAACTAAATCAAATCGCTTTTTACTCTCAGTGAACTCTAAATATTCTTTACTTTTCTTCTGCTTCTGGGGATCTAGTATGAACTCGTGAAATAGCTCTCTACACTCGTCCTTCGAAATCTTGCCCCCAGTTTTCTCAGAAACCTGGGATAAAGCAATTTCAATATCTTCAGTAGTAAAAGGGTCTACTTCTTTGATTAGCACTCTGATGAAGGTATAGAAGTGCTTAAGCTTCTCAAGTTCTTCTGACGTTGCTTGCTTCTTGCGACCTTCCTCATCTCTGCGTGCCCAGCGGCCTCTCTATATAAAAAGGTACCTTCTTAGGTAGCTTGCCTTCTTCTAGCTTTTTCATGGTGTAAATATGGTAATTGCTAATCAAAATACCTGGCAAAGCGAAATTTTAGGATAGGAGACTGAAAGATCTTTGAAATAGAAAAACAGCAAAGGCAGATCAGGACTAGGAGATTGAAAACAAAATGGTTGACTTTTTATATTTTGGGAAGTAAAGAGGTGGATTCAGATGGTTTAAAAATTTAAAGCAAAAATATTTATTTTGAAATTGATCGCAGCTAGTTGTTTATTATATGAGCAATTAATATTATTAGAAATGGAAAATAGGAATATAGAAATGGAATATTTGGAAGAAAGGCAAAAAACTGAAGAAGTCAAAAGAATCGAATAAGAGAGGGTGTTCGATACCAAAACTGCTCTAACTCCCCCCCCCCCCTCCGTGAGCGAACAAAACCATTAGAAAAAATCGCCATTTTTTGACCAAAAACCCACCCTCCGTGAGTGAACAAAAATTTTTTTTAATAGAAAAAATTTTAATGGAAAAAAATTTTGATATATAAGTGATAATTAGTATAATGAAATCTAGAGCTAATTCTGTTTAATTTTAAACAAATTGCGTTTTAAAACATAAATTTTGCAAATTAAATTAATATTTGCTTCCCAATTTTTGCAAATTAGGATTTTTTTAAATTTCGAAAAAAATATATTTTTATAAAATTTATATATAAATTTTTTTTAAAAAAAAAAATTAACCCCCCTCCGTGAGCGAACAAAATTTTTTTGTTCGCTCACGGAGGGGGGGGGGGGAGTAAGTGGATTTTGAAATAAATGTACTTATGTATAAAACAAAGAATGGACTATTTCTAATATAGATTTTATTTTAAATTCTTAAGGAGATAATTAGCCAGTAATCAAGAAAGTGAAGTCCAGAATTTTCTGAGCGACTCAATTTATGAGTTTCTATAAAATCCAAAAAAAGCTGTAAATCAGTAAGAACAAAACCATTAGAAAAATCGCCATTTTTTGACCAAAAACCTGCCCTCCGTGAGTGAACAAAAATATTTTTAATAGAAAAAATTTTAATAGAAAAAAATTTTGCTATATAAGTGATAATTAGTATAATGAAATCTAGAGCTAATTCTGTTTAATTTTAAACAAATTGCGTTTTAAAACATAAATTTTGCAAATTAAATTAGTATTTGCTTCCCAAATTTTTGCAAATTAGGATTTTTTTTAAATTTCGAAAAAAAATATTTTTTTTTATAAAATTTTATATATAAATTGTTTTTAAAAAAAAAAATTAACCCCCCTCCGTGAGTGAACAAAATTTTTTTGTTCGCTCACGGAGGGGGGGGGGGGGGAGTAAGATTTTTTTTATCAAATAGATCTCATAAATAACTTTCTTTATCTAAAAAGCCTATAAAATATGACCATGAACTATAATCCTCGTAAAGCCAATAGATCCGATGACTAATAAAAATGTCGAAATTCTCAAGTGATTATCAATTAAATGTGAAGGCCTCTGAGTTCACCCCAGTAGGCCTTATATCTCCAGATATTTCAGCTCTTAATCCTCATGCTTATGCATTTGAGCCAGAAAATTTAAAGCCTGATTCTTCTTCTCTTAAAGAAGAGAGTAAATCTCTCGAGAGTGAAGAAATTCCTATCCAACCAATAGAAGAAGCTAAGTCCTCTCAGCCAAAGCCAAAAGTTTACTCAATTAGTTTTCTTTTAACTTTAAGGACACTCTGCACAGAATTGCCTTCAAATGTGAGTATTCCTGACCCTTATAATTTATCATCAAAAAAACACCGAAAAAGAAGCAAAAAATCTAAGAAAGGTGAAGGGCAAAAAATTGATGATGAAATAAAGCCTCAAGAAAGCGTTTTTACATCCTGCCCAATACTAGTCAAAACTGAAAAGCCATTATCGGAAAAATTAAAAAAAGAAGTTAGTGACTTAGAAAAATCAGCAAGAAGAATCAGACTGATTTTAAACAAGCTTTCTCCAGAAAATTTAGAAAAACTTGGGAATTCCCTTGTTGAAGATTTCGAGTATAACTATGAATTACTACAAGAACTTGTGAAATTCATATTTGAGCGCGCAACAGCTCAAAGTTTTGCTGCAATGTATGCCAGCCTGTGTGGGTATTTGACAAAAAAATTCAAAGCTGAAGACCCAGACCTTTCTCGAGGTTTTAAAGTGAAATTGGTTGAAAAATGCAGAGAATGCTTTTATAAAGAAGATGAGCCTCAACAAGGCGATGCTTTAATGGATGCAGAATATAAAAGGCGCAGAAGACTAATAGGAAATATAAAATTTATAGGCTTATTATTCAAGCAAAGAATGATCAAAACTGATATCATGTTTGAATGCTTTGACGTTCTTATAAAGCCAGAAACCCTCTCAGATGAGACAATTGAAACTTGCTGCCATCTGTTCAAATCTAAGTTAACTAATTGTTATAAGGCCGTGTACGGATCAACCACTAGCTCGACTGTCTGGCTCAGATCCACCTATCTAAGGATTAGCTCTCTAGGCTAAAGCTGCCTCTTGTGGTACTAGTCGTGATAACAAAATTAAATCCTACCTTTTAAATTGGAACAAAAAATCCTTCTCCCCCTCCGTAAGTGACCAAAATATTTTGTTCGCTCACAGAGGATTTTTTTTTTTTACGAATTATATATAAATTTTATATTATGTTTTTGGAAATTTTAAAAAAATCCATTAAAAATGATTTTAATGCAAAAATTAACTTAATTTTTAAAATTTATGTTTTAGAATGCAAGCTGTTCAAAAATAAACAGAATTAGCTAGAGATTTCATTATAGTATTATCATTTATATATCAAAATATTCTTTTAATAAAAAAATTTGTATATTAAAATCTTTTCACTTGCGAAGATGTTTTTACTCAAAAAATAGGGTTTTCCAATTGTTTTATTTATTTACGGAGGTGAGTAGAGTTAGAATTTTTATTTTTTTTTTTATGAAATATAAAAAAAAAATAATCTGCTCGGTGTGAAACTGTTTAAATAACGTTCTAATTGCAATTTTTCATTAAATTAGTATTCCCATCATTAATTTTTTTTAAGAAAATATAAATGGAGCACAATGCTTTCAATTTTATTTATGAAGAACCAAATAAAACATTTAATCGATCCAGTGTGAAAATCGCTTAATAACACTCTAATTGCATTTTGTTTTATTAAATTAGGTCAAAATTAATTTTATAAAATTAGTTTTTTTCATCGATAAAATTCGTCTATTGAATTTTTTTTCCAATTTAAAGCAGGAAAAGGCCTGTCTGACAAGGAAAGGAACTTTTAGAGAAGAATAGAATTTCCTGTTTCAATAGGCTCGAAGGGCTACTTTAAAAATGGCAAAGATCCTACTTTCAGTTTCATATTTATGGGTCCGACTTTTTCCATAGGTGTGTGCCTCGGAGTCCTTCTACCATAAGCATCACCTTTTTTTCTTTTCTATCTTCTTTTCAAGGAATGCTCAAACTTATTAGCAGCGCGACAAGTTGAAAAACTAAACGAATATTTTGAAAAAATCGCTGAACTTACGAATAATGCGAGATTAAGCAAAAGAATTTGCTTTATGATTCAAGACATTGTCGAGTCCAAAGCAATTTTAATGACTCCAATTCAAAAAGTTAACGTTTCAACTGTGAAAAGTTCTGAAGACACTGTTGTAAGGAAAATCGGGAAGGTTAAGTTTGCAGACGAAGAAGAAGAAAAAGAGCTTCAAAGTCCAACTGTCCCAAAGCCTTCAATCCTTAAAATGATTGTTTCTGAAGAGACGAAAGCTGAGCTAAAGCTCATAATCAGAAACTTCATCCAGGACCGTGACGTTGAAAAAGCGATAGAAAAGCTAGCCCCAGTTTTCCACAGAAATTCTGAAAAACATCGGCAACTAGTTTATCAAATAATAAAATACGTCATTTGTGAATACTCTCACATAGGTGAATTTGACGCAATTTGTGAGCTTTTCCATAGATTCATGTCAATTTCCCACATTTCTGGAGAAATCATTGAAACTGGGATCGTCATCACAATTGAAGCTTTAAGTGACATTAAGCTTGACTCCCCAAACGCTGCTCATGACTTGGAACATATTATTCACCAATTCCAAGTAATTGGAGTCCTGAACGATACACAAAGTTTGCTTAAGCATATCATAGAGTAAATATATCCTCATAATTATGGCATATTTCTAAGATGTTTCTATAATAAGACAATTATCTGATAATTATAATATTAATATGTCCAGAGAAGAGCTCATCTACAATGCCAAGCTGGCAGAGCACGCTGAAAGGTACGCTGATATGGTCCGCTACGTAAAGCAGCTTATTGATGAAGCTGCAGGCGACCTGAACAGCGAGGAAAGAACTTTGCTAACTTTCCCTCCTCTTGAGCAAAAAACTTATAAAATTTAGTTCACTTATGATGGGTTAATTTTTTTAAATTCTATATATAATTACAATAAAATTTTTATTTAGAAGTTTAATTTAATTCAAACATTTAAAATTAACACAATTATCTAAAGAACTCATTATAAAAATTATCACTTTTATATAAAAATATTTTAATAATTTTTTTTTTACAAAAACAATTTTTTGACTCTCAAAGGGTGGTTTTTGACCAAAAAATAGGTATTTTTAATTGTTTTGCTCACACATGGAGGAGGATTAAGTGTGGCTTATAAGCAAGCAGTCGGTGAGCGCAGAAACGCTTCAAGGATTCTATCGTCTTACGAAGAAAAGCAACGCTCAAGGGGCTCTGAACATCTAGATATCATCACTGAGTACAAGCAAAGGGTTCATAAAGAGCTTCGTGATCTCTGCATGGAAGTTGTCCATCTAGTGGATGAGAAGCTACTAAAAAAAGGAGAGCCTGATGAAGTAGAAGTATTTTATTTGAAAATGAAAGGAGATTACTACAGATATTTAGCAGAATCTGGAGACCAGCAAGTCATCCAAAGCAGTCTTGATGCCTATTTAAACGCTTCAGAAGCAGCAACTCATTTGCCAGCCAACAACCCAGTAAGATTAGGACTAGCACTTAATTTTTCAGTGTTTTACTATGAAGCAATGAGAGAACAAGAAAAAGCCTGTGAATTGGCCAGAAAAACTTTTGATGAGGCTTTGCCAACTTTAGAAGAACTTGACGAGAGAGCTTACAAGGAGGCCACTTCAATTTTGGGACTCATCAAGGACAACCTCACCATTTGGACCAGCGAGGATTAATAAGGTATTAAGTCTTAGAAATTAATTAAATTAAGTGGCTTAATAGAAAAAAGTAATTTAAATTGCCTTCTCATAGTTTTCATAAGCAAATTTGCTGATGTCATCAATAAATTATTAGAAACATTGGATTATTCATTTCTTATATTTTTACAAATTTTTTTTACCTGATTATTGCAAATTTTATTTGATCTGAAATATTTTCTACGATTTATTACACTTATTTCTTAATAATAAAGAAAGACTTACTAATAATTAAACGCTTACAACCCAAAGAATAGATCAGGGTCAATGTCCCCATCATCCACTTCTTTGAACAAGCAAAGGCTTTCTCCTTTGAAATCTTCAGGGTCGCAAACGTCAATGATCTCGTCAATGCCCTTTTCAACAATTTTGCTCTGGATTGTTGAATACTTGGACATATCGTTCGTGCTTTCCACTGACATCCAAGGCTCAATGCCTAAATTATCGAACATGATTTTCTGGACATAAAACTTAAGTAATTTTCAGCTATTCATGCATTCTGAAGAGTGCTGAGGAGCTCTGCAGCATCTCAACTTGAATTTTTTACACAGAACATCAGGGTCAAACTCTGAAAAGACATATTCTGTGTAGTAGAAATAAGATTCTCTTACTTCAATTGGCTCGAAATATTTTCGACAAAATTTCCCATTAAAGCTTTTAGGCAGGTCATTTTCTTCACCTTTACGCTTTGTTTTTCCATCAGTTTTCGGGCCAGCTTCAGTCTTACTTTCTTGGCTGAGAATGGATTTATACTGGTTGAACGACTTGAGGAGCTGGTCCCAGTAACTTTTGGCCTTAGCTGAAAAAACATTTAAAGTCCTTTTAGGCTTGATACCTCTTTCAATTTGTCGATTGACACGCTTGTGGCCTCTAATCATTTTGCATCGTAGATACTCTTTCTTTGGAGGCTTAGGCTTAGATAAGCTTTCAAAGCGATTTAAAATCTTGGTGTCAACGATTTGCTTCCTCCCGGTCGATTTCTTAGTAGAATAAAGGTCTTCAGTTTCGATTGGGATTTCTGGAACTCGGGCAGGAGAAGACTGAGGCAAGTCCAAGAAGTCTCTGAAATCTAAGTCGTTTGCATTGAATGTTGCAGGGCTCACAAAGGACTGGCTAGAGTTATTCATTATTTCTTTGTAATATAAAATTATCGGATAAATTATATTAGAAAATTTATTAGTAGCAACTATTAAGAAGAGATAAAGCAGCTTGAAGATCATTCAGATTGAACGGATGGCATATAGTTATAATAAAATGGTTTTTTTTACCCTCAAATTTTACTTTAAAATTAGTGAAACAATTATGGTCTTTTACGCCATTACAGTAAGAAATTTATAAAAATTTATTCAAATTCTAAAATTCATAAGCTTAATGATAAACTGATAATAAATCATTTTTTGTATGTAATAATATACAGATACGATTTTTTCGCAGGCTAAATGTTTTTGGGCTATTCTATTAAAAAATATAATTTTCTTCTTCAAGAATAAAACACTTAAATTTTAATGAGAACTAAATCAAAGGAAAAATAAGCATAAGACCCTTTATTGCTGGTATTAAGTCGATTTATTTACATGTAAATTATTATGTATGTATATATATAAGTACTTACAATCCAAAGAACAAATCTGGATCGAAATCCCCATCATCCACCTCTCGAAATGAATAAAACTGTTCGTCCTTGATTTCTTCATTATAGCAGATATCAATGACCTCATCTATACCTTTTTCAGCATGGTTCTCATTTCCTGAATCAGAATAACTTGAAGCTTCTGTGCTTTCTAAAGACATCCATGGCTCTATACCTATGTTATCGAGCATGATTTTTTGAACATAAAACTTCAGTAGCTTCCAGCTGTTCATGCATTCTGAAGAGTGCTGAGGAGCTCTGCAGCATCTCAGCTTGAACTTTTTGCATAGAACATCTGGGTCGAATTCTGAAAAAATGTACTCTGTGTAGTAGAAATAAGACTCTCTCACCTGTATAGGCTCAAAATATTTCTTGCAAAATTTCCCATTAAAGCTCTTAGGAAGATCATTTTCTTCGCCCTTTCGCTTAGCTTTTCCATCAGTTTTAGGGCCTGCTTCAGTTTTGCTTTCTTCACTCAGGATGGATCTGTACTGATGGAAGCATTTTGTGAGCTGATCCCAGTAGCTTTGAGCTTTTTCTGAGAAGACATTTAATGTCTTCTGAGGAAGGGTACCTTTTTCAATCTGCCGGTTCACACGCTTGTGTCCTCTTATCATTTTGCAACGGAGGTACTCCTTTTTAGGAGGCTTTGGCTTAGAGAGGCTTTCAAAACGGTTGAGGATCTTGGTGTCGACAATTTGTTTGCGGCCGGAAGTCGATTTCCTTGTGGAAAGAGGCTCTTCTGTTTCTGTGGAAATCTCAGGAATTCTAAGAGGGGCTGGCTGTGGAAAATCCAGGAAGTCTCTGAAATCTAAGTCAGCAACTCGAACTAATGTTTGCTTTGAGAATGATTGGTCCATATGTATAATTTATTATAATAAAATTAAGGTTTTTTTGATTTATTATGTTGTCAATTGTATACAAATATATGGTGAAGTATAAAAAGGCTGGCAATCTAAATTTTAGGAATAAGTTTAAGAGGCCGCCTTTAGTACCAGAATTAGAAGGCCATTTTTTAATTAACTATAGAAATAAAACTGCTATATAAATTCTCTCTGGTTTTGGAGAGAAATACTAAACTTTCGAAATAAAAAAGAAATTCTTTAGAAAATAATGCTTATACACATTTCTCTAGATAATTATGGAATGCTAAAATCTGATCAAAATTTATTATTTTGAGTATTTAAAGCGTAGATAATTGCCGTGATAATTTAATCAGCCATGCCTGCATATTGATTCTTGAGTATTTCATTTCTTATATTTCGAGCATGTATTTTATCTAGGGATTACTTAAAATTATCAGAAATTTTGCTATGATAATTTATTGCTCTCGTTAGCTGATGAAAATTAATAATCCTCCTTATGATTTGGTGTCTAATAATTTAGAATACTTCAAAAATCTTTTGTTGGAGTAAGGCTAAAAATAGTCATGATGTATTTTTTTCATTTTTGAATCTATATTTGATAAGAAATAAGCCAAATTGAATTCCAAATTTATTATTTTTCTCACAAAGCACTCAAAAGCACACGTGTAATAATAAAGCATAAAAATGTCTGAGAAGCAAAACATTGTCTCATCCACTCTCACAGATATGACAGAATTCGCTAAGGACAGCAGAAGATTGTTAAACCGCTGCACTAAACCTGACAAGAAAGGTAAAAAATAATCAGAATACGTAAAAATCGCTACTGCTTGCGCTGTAGGATTTGCTGTTATGGGCTTTATTGGGTTTTTTGTGAAGTTGGTATTTATTCCAATAAACAATATATTGCTCACTCCATAAACTTAATGCTTATTAACACTCTTAATGGACAAACAATAAGAAATCTATTAATAAGTTTTAGAGGGACTATTGCAAGTTTATAATAAATTCGTATTTCACCTTGCAGCAAAAAGGAATAAACAAATTATTAATACTTAAATCATATAAAACTTTTCTTATGGGTTCGATTTTAAACTAGCTTCATAGAGCTCAAAATTTTATAAACATTCATTCACTAATATCTCAATATTTTTTATTAAAATTTGGAAACTTTTAAACAGGCTCACTATTTCATTAATAAAATTAAGAAGCTATCAAAATCTCGATATTTATAAATGTCCGTAACAGACTTTGATATATTAGAAAAGCTTGGAGAAGGCGCCTACTCAACAGTTTTTAAAGTCCGCCGCAGATCAGATGGCAAAACTTATGCCCTCAAAAAAGTTCGGTTTATGCCTCTGAAAGATAAAGAGAAAGAGAACGCTGTAAATGAAGTCCGTATATTAGCATCAATAAATCATCCTAATGTAATAGGATATAAAGAAGCTTTCATAGATGAATCCACAAATACTTTATGTCTTATCATGGAATTTGCAGATAACGGAGATTTGCTTCAAAAAATTACAAATCACCAAAAGCGCAATACTTATTTTTCAGAATCCGAAATCTGGGATATTTTTATCCAAGCTGTAAGAGGTCTTAAAGCTCTTCATGATCTCAATATTCTTCATAGGGACTTAAAATGTGCCAATTTATTCATGTGTAGTGACGGAACAGTAAAACTTGGAGATATGAATGTTTCAAAAGTAGCCAAACTAGGCTTGGTTTATACACAGACCGGGACTCCTTATTATGCAAGCCCAGAGGTATGGAAGGATAAGCCTTACGACTCGAAAAGTGACATATGAAGTCTTGGCTGTGTTATCTATGAAACTGCAACTTTAAATCCGCCATTCAGAGCACAAGATATGAAAGGGCTATATAGAAAAGTGATAAAAGGAGAATACCCGCCCCTCCCAAGCAGATATTCAGCACAGCTTTCAGATTTGATTAAATTGCTATTGAGGGTGGACCCTTCTAGGAGACCGACATGTGACGAAATTTTAAGTATGTCAGCTGTTTCAAAGAGAAACACAAGAAACCATACCGAAAATTTGCCTGAAAATAACCTTCTTGGGACTATAAAAATTCCAAGGCAGATGAAAGGTCTTGCACATAATTTGCCAGCTGCCAGCTATGAAAAAGAGAGAAGTTTCCATAGTGTTCCAGCAGCAAGTAAAAGAATGGGTATGAAAAAATCAAAAGACATGTCTAATGCCAGTGATACGATATCAAATAGATTTTCAAGTGAAATTCAAAGTCAAAAATCAAGAGTATTTAGTGAAAAAGAAATAAAGCCACGAGACTTGCTGCAACAAAAAGTTATTTTGCCTGAAATTGAGCCTTTGAGACCTTACAATGTAGAGAGGAGGATGCAGTATAAAGAAGATCATGATATTTTTTCAAGACAAAGAGCTCAACCTTGTAAAATTTAATTAGATAAAGCTCCACAAGTAGTTTCTCATTCACCTTATGCGCAAGGAACGATTGCACAGAGAATTCAAGCTTTGAAAGTTCAGTATGATAATGTCCCGCCAAGCATTGGAATTCCACGGCAGCAAAATTATCAAAGGCCGGTTGTTCAGCCTTCTTGGTGGGGTTAGCTGTAGATTCCAAAATTCTAACGATTTTTAATTATTTTTATTTTTAATTTATAAGCCAAATGATTATTTTTTTCTCAAAAACTATTCTTATCCAAAATATTCATAATTTTTTAAGAAACAGTATCACAAAATTAACTTTGGTATATCATGAATGATGCTTTCAAAATTCCTAATTATGATAGAGAAATGTCGACTTATTTTATTTGTGAAATATGGAATTAATGTGAGTAAAAATAGGAGTCCTAAAACAAAAAATAACAAAAATAAAAAATTAATAGCCCACAATGCTACGCTTTCTTCCATTTCAGCTAATGGATATTCGCATTAGTACTCGTCTAAACAATCTATTCTCCAAGCTACGATTTCTTTGTGTAATACAAGGGATGCTGGGCTTTTTTCAATCAATATACAGCCCAGTTGGAGGATTATGCATGCTAGTATCCTTATTACTCCTTTATACTATAACAGTGCGAAAAAACTGAGTACTCTGCGTAACTTATATATTTGAGTCAATAACTGATATCTACACAGAATGAAAATTAATAGAAGATTTTTACTTCACAGAAGAGTCTAAACATTATTTTATCCCTGGAGTTTCTTTTGTGAAGATTTTTTTTCACATCATTGCTATATACATAGTGTTCTTGACTTATAGAGAACTGAAAGCGCTGCATATCGAACTTATTTGGGGGAATCGAATCCAATTTAATTAATAAATGAAAATTAATAGAGGCTCTGCTTGTATCAGTTTTATTGTTGAATCTTGAATAAAATACTAACTTTTAGTATAAAATGAGGTATTTGGGTTTTATCAAGTATATTTGAATACTTATGAAACTAAATTTGGCTTCTATTAATCATAATTAAGTTAAACCCATCAATTTATTCATAAGTTCTTGCGAAAAAGAATCTCTATAAGCTTCAGAAACTTCAGTGAGCATTTGATTTACGTCATCATAGGCATTTCTTTGAATTTCTATGCTTGCCCTAATAACCCTAATCCCATTTGTGTTCATTTCAACATCAATTTCGATTCCTTCTTTTGTAATAATGCTTATTTCGTTCCCTTTAACTACTAGTTCATTTACATGAGGGCGAATATCTGCAACTTCTTCTTCGATATTCATGTTTTTATCTATTAATATAAGCATCTTAAACTAAGAATTAAATTTCTTATCTTCTAGAGTATTCCAATTATTTGAATACTTTATATTCCATCTATTGATTAAAAGCTTATTTATTCCAAGTTAATCGTCAATTAACAATGAGGCTAACCTAAAGGCTATATAAGTCGGCAAACTTGGAGGAAAATATTTCATTGCATAATTTAAGAGCTACATAAAATAGGAAAGATTATTAAAGATGTCATTTTTCTAATGGAATTATTCAGATAGCTAAAGGCATTTTTTTCCTTATTTAATTAAGTAATAATTGTGATACGCTAAACATTAAAATGATGTGTACCAAACCAGCCCACCCTCTTAGCACATGCATTTGGGGATAGCCAGGACCTTGTGGAGGAGAGGATGAGTTCGGTGATGTATATCCGGCCACGCTTTACTTGGCTTGATGGAGCCCAATGTCGAATTAGGCTGGCCGCAGCTCATTCCTGGATCAAGATTTTACCTCTTGGTGGGGATATACTCGGCGTTGGAAAGGGAAGTTCAGCAAAGTCTGCGTGGCCAATCGGGAAACTTCCTAGCGCGATGCCAAGCCTTGCGTCCTGGGCGAAGAGTTCCATCTTGATCGAAAGCTTGATCAGAAAATTCGTTTTTTCGAATTTTCTTGAAAGGCAACCCAAGTTTGACGTATGGCATGGTGACCCATCCCGGCGAGAAGTTTACTCCTTGAGGGTGGCGGCAGGCGGCCCAAAAATGAACCAAGGTGGAGAATCGCATCCATAGGTGCTATAGGAAGGGCGTATACCGGGAGCTTTCCAATAATAATAAGTTAACCTTAATCGTGATACGCTAAATCAAGATATCTCTTTAAAGTTGAAATTTTAATTAAAATAATTTATACAACTAATTAATTTCTTTATAATTTAAGTTTATTTATATAATTATTTTTAAGGATCTCTATTAATAAAAATTCTATGATGCAATATTTTCGCTCTAAGCTAAAACTCAAACTTGAATAATTTTTTAATTTAATTTAGCATTCCGTTGCCGGTCTTTACCCTCTGAAGCTCTCTAATTTAATAATTTTCTAGAATTTTCTCTAAATCCTATATCTCTTCGTCCTGATTTTCCGAAATTGCACAAAACACCATAATTTAACCTAGAAATGGAGTATCCAGCAGCTCCCAATCCTGAGCAGCTCTCAACTCTTCTAGGGCAGATCATATCAGGTCAAAACTCACAAGAACTTGAAAAATACTTCAAGCGCTATCTCAAACTTTCTCAAAGCATTCAAGACCTGATGAATCAAATGGTCAATAATACCAACCCACAAATTCGACAACTCTCCAGCGTTTTGCTTACTCCACCTCCGTGAGTGAGCAAAATCAATCGAAAAAATTCATTTTTTGGTAAAAACCCACCCCTTTGTGGAACAAATTTTTTATGAAAAAAATATTCCGATATAAGATAATTATTAAATGAAATCTTTAGTTAATTTTGTTGAATTTTAAGCAGCTTCATTTTAAAACATATATTTTGTAATTAAATTTAAATTCTACTTCTCGATTGGGATTTTTTAATTCAAAAACAAAATTACTATATAGGTTTTTTTAATAAAAAAAATTAACACTCCCATGTGAGAGAAAAAGTTTTTGTGGGGGATTTAGAAAAAAAATCAACAAGCACTGGTTGAGCCTTAATAGTGATCTGCAAGTTCAGATCAAAGCAGCTTTGGTTAATCAGATTACGATTGAGCCTGAGCCACTTGTTAGAAAAAATGTTGCAAGCTTAGCAGCAGCCCTTGCCATAAACATTCTTCAAACTTGGCCTGAATTACTAGGCTTTATCAATACCTGCATTGACAATGAATCAGTTCCAGCCAGAGAAATTGGACTTTATTTATTAGCAGAGCTTTTAGAAAACGAAGACATTTGCAAATTCTTAAAGCCTCACCAAGAAAAACTTTTGACTCTCTTCGCAAGATCGCTTGAGGACTCTTCCAGCAGAGAAATCAGAAAATGCGGTCTTAAAGCCCTTGGAAATTATGTGACCTGTTCAGAGGAAGAAGAAGTCCAATACATGATCCAGCTGATCCCAAAAATCATGGCAGTCGTCAAAGAATGCGTTGAAGCTCTTGATGAAGAGCTCGTTGTTTTCGCCTTTGACATCTTTGACGAGCTTCTTGATGGTGGCCATAACTTCGGACCAAATCTAGAAGTTGTAGTAAGAATGGCAATTGAAGCTGTAGGTGGCAACCCTAAGCTTAACTTGTCCACAAGAGAATGTGCTATGGATTTCTTAGAAACCCTTGGCTCTTCTAATCCTAAAATTTTAAGCGGAAACCCAGAAGTCCTCAGATACCTTTTCCAGCACATTTTCACTATAGCAACTGAATGTGAGGACGATCCAGAAGAAACCACTCCAGTCGATATGGCATTTCGCCTTATAGATTCATTAGCCATTGACCTCCCCAACAAATCAGTCTACCCAATTGCTATTGAATTCGCCAAAGCTTTGATTTCAAACCCATCTCCTATACACAGAAAAGCAGGAGTCATTACCATTGGAGTCATTGCGGAAGGTTGCTCTGATTACATGAAGCAGGACCTAGAAGCCATTGTTAAGCAGCTGATAAGCGCTTTATATGATGCTGACCAGTCTGTAAGAGAAGGTGCTGGACTTTCTTTGGGATACTGCTCTGAGCACTTAAAACCTGATATTTTGGAACTCCATGAAGTAATTTTGCCTAGACTTATTGAGATTGTTGATCAGCCAGTCACAAAAGTCAAGCAAAAGGTACTATATGCTATTGACATTTTCTGTGAAAATTTCGATGAAGATGTAGAGAAATACCTGGCTGGGCTTGTACCTAAATTAATATCAATTGCAGTGCAGGATGGAGATGCAAAATCAAGACAAATGGCAGTTTCTGCTCTTAGTTCGGCTATTTCTTCAGCTGAACAAAAAATCCTGCCATATTTCAATCAGATTATTCAGTTGCTCAATACGCTTTTGAATAATCCTAGAGAAACTGATTTAACATTAAAAGCTACAACTATTCAATGTCTTGGTACACTGGCTTCTTCCTCAACCATAGAGATTTTTGCTCCTTATTTAGCTTACAGCATTGATATGGCTTTCCATTGCTTATCAGTTGAAACTTTAGAACTCCGCGAAGCTGGCTTCGCATTTTTCTATCTATTAAGCAGACTCCTCAAAGAGCAAATGGAACCATACATCGATAAAGTTGTAGAAGAAGCTATTAAAACTTGTGAAGCCAGAGAAGGGCTCGAAGTTGGAGAAGGAGAAAGTGATGAAAGTGACGAGGAGGAAGAAGAAGATGAGTCCACTTATAAGGTTAGAACTGCCTTTTTGGACGAAAAAACTGCAGCCTTACATACTCTTGGCCACTTATCTCAGGCTTGCCCAGGCAAAATTCTACCATTCTTGCCAAGAATCACTGAAAATATCGAAATTCTGTTCGATTATTTCCATGAAAACATTAGAATGCAAGTAGTCACGACAGCTCAGCAAATAATTCAAGGGCTAGTCAAACTTAATGGTGGATATTCTAATGCACAAGAGTTTTGGCTTCTTAAAGTCTTCCACAGGTATATTGAGTTCATTTCAGACGATGAAAGCAAAGAAGTCACTATAAGAGTTTTAGAAGCCATTGAAGAATTGCTACATGATGTAGGTTCTGAATTAATACAAGATGATTATATGAAGCAGCTTGTATATAAGACTCTAATAAATTTGCATTTTTTTAGTATAAAAATAAGATTCTTTATAAAAAGATACTCAGAATAGAAAAATTCGCGATCTTATTAAGTGAGCAAGCCTTATGCCAACGTGAAGGAGATGAAACAGAAGGAGACCATGATGAAACTCTGATGGGCGACCTATGCGATCTTTTACAAGAGCTTGCAAAGGTCTATGGTGAGCGCTTTTCTCCTTATTTCGAGACTTTACTTCCTGGTATTGCTAAATTCACAAAAGCTGAGAGAAATCCACGTGATAGAACTCTATTCACTGGCCTTCTTGCTGACACCTTAAAACACATGCCTTCCGTTGCTCAAAAATACTCCAACGATTTTTCCTCACTTGCGCTCCTCAATCTCCATTCCAATGAGGTTTCCCTTTACAGAAACACTTTATACTATCTTGGGGTCATTTGCCAGCAAGCTCCTCAGCTCGCTTCTAACTACCCACAATATTTGCAATCAGTGCAAGCCTTTTTCACACAAGAATTTGAGCCAGCTACTGTTGATAACGCAGTTGCTGCAATTTCCAGGATGATTTATACAGCTCCACAAGCGCTACCACTACCACAACTTCTCCCTGTGATTTTCCCTAAGTTACCATTAAAGGACGATTACTCAGAAACCTCGACAGTCTTAAAAGCAATAGTTTTTCTCTTTGAGAATAATATTATTGACATGTCAAGCTACTTAGAGTAAAATATTTTGTTCGTTTATGAAAGGAGTTTTTTTTTAAAAAAAAATATATAAATTTATATTAATTTTTTTTGAATGCACAAAAATTGAATTGCAAAACATAATCTAATTTGCAAAGTTTATGCTTTAACATACAAGTTGCCTAAAATTAATAATTATAACTTCTTTATCAATTTCCTTTTTCCTAGAAAATTTTTTGTTAGCTATTACTTTTTACCCTGAAAATAGTAAATTTTGTAATGGTTTTGCTCACTCATGAAGAGTGAGGAGTTAGAAAATCACTAGAATTGATAATTGAAGGACTTGTTGTAAATGCAGCAGAGCCTGACAAATATAAACTTGAGATCAGCTTATTGACTTCCATGAGAGGAATTGTCAATAAAGTGAGGGAAACTCCAGTATTTGTGCAAGTCGCTCAGAAATTGACACCAGAGAACCAAGCACTTCTTGCACAAATACTACAAGGTTAAATAAGAAGTTTCTATAATTAAATGGGTTTTAGCTTAAATATACGGTTATGCTAAAGCATAAGAATAAGATAGAATTTAATTATTATTTTTCTCCTGAAAAATAGATTATTATCTATTGATGTGGATTAATATTTATAAGCACATCATTTTCGTATTTTTTCGAAGATTTTCGTACTCCTTTGCCATATCACTGAAGGACTTGTGATAGTTTTTGAAAGCCTTACTTTGATTTGCCATGTTGGCGCTGAAGTGATCGCATTTTTCAATTAAATTATGAATTTTTACGAATCTATCGGAAGCAGGAGTATTTGATTTTGATGAGCTGTGGATATAAGAATTTCTTAATGATATCGGCGAATTACATTTTTCTAGCTTTATTAAGCTCTTTTATATAAATTTCCCACTTATATTCCTAACTAACTACTTTAAATTTATTTTATGAAAAAGTTTTATATTTTGTGAGTTATATTCCTCCTGGGCGGGTATCCTTATGCATATCCGAACGTAACTTTTTTGTGCAAGAAGCTGCCCAAGGAGTGGGATAGCTTTGAAGCAAGAGGCCAAGTCTGGCTCAAGTCGAAGACTTTGCATCTTTTGTACCAGCAGTGCCAAAGCTCAGGTTGGATGCCTGATCGATACAGGGTGACTTTCCAGCATAGACTGCTTGGTGGCATGCCCCGGATGGCCCAAGTTTTGAGTTTTCCCTTGAAGATAATCAGGTAAAAGGGAAGACAGGCTTCACAAGATCTCAAAGGCTATAGTCTCTCCAATTGAATTAGTCCATATGAAATGGACAACCTGATTTTTAAGCTAAGAAGGTTTTGGTAAAGCTGGCGTTTGGGGTTGAGATGGAAATTCCTGACAAAATCTGCATTTTGCTGATCAAATATGGAGGCCCCTGCCCAAGAAATCGACGGTTTCAACTTGGACTCAAGTTGCTTCGAGGAAATCTTACTGTAACGCTGTGAAAGCACGGTGCAAGGAAGTAGGGCTTAAAACACACATCATAAACTAATCTAATCAATATTTTGTGAGTCCTTACTCCTCAGTTAGCAGCAAGCAAATTATTGGAAAAAAAACTGTTTTTTGGAAAAATTAACCTCTTTTAAGAAGCGAGCAAAATTTGTTCATATAATATCTCTTACGTAAATATTTTATATATTATTAATAATTGCTATAATGAGATATGCTTTTTTGCCTTGAGTGGCGCGGTACGGGCGCCACTTCGGCAAGCTCCTTCTTCCAGTTGGTCGAGCCAACTCAGGTTGGTTCGGCCAACTAGAATTGACAAGTCTCCCCAAAAAGGCCTCACTTGTCAATTCTCCAGTTGGCCGAACCAACCTGAGTTGGCTCGGCCAACTGGAAGAACGAGCTTGCCGAAGTGGCGCCCATACCGCGCCACTCAAGGCAAAAAGCTATATACAGCTAATTCTATTTATTTTAGATAGGTTATATTTAAAACATAAATATTATAAGCTAAATTAGATTTTTCTTTTTAAATATTAAATTTTTTAAAAAAAATGTATATAATTTCTATCAATTAACAAAAAATAGCCTTATTGAGCAAGCAAAAAAATCTTTCTTTATTTTGAAAAGGGTATGAAGTTATCAAAAATTGTATAAATTTCTTGGAGGACTTTTGCTTTGAATTCTCCTGAGAGATATAACCTTTGGAGAAAGGTTGCTAGGGGATCTTGAATGAGACCTTAATGGGGAATTAGAATCGGTTTTGCTTCGGCTAGTGTCTTCTTTTATTCTTGAGGATACTTGCTCTAGTGACTCAGCTTCATGAGTTTCGAGGGATTTATATAAAAGATTTCTTGCAAGGAGGTATTTATGCCTTGCATTAATTTTGCTAGAGGCTGGTCTTTTAATTGATTCCAGGTAGTGCCTTTGCTGGTCTCTGAATAATGAACGGTAAAGTGATTCCATTTATTTGTGATATATTGTAACCTTATCCTCTCTAAATATTTTGAAGTCTATGAATGTCTTTAGAATAAAATAAAAATCAGAATTTGATGAAAAACATTTATAAAAAATATAAAAGTTGAAATGAAATTACTCTTACTCCCCTCCGTGAGCGAACAAAATAATGTTACTCGCTCACGGGAAGAGGGTAATTTTTTTCAAAATTTAACAAAAAAATTACAATTTGTAAAAGTTGAGAAGTGAAGATTAATCTAATTGCAAAATTTATGTTTAAAATGCAGACTGTTTAAAATAAAGCAGAATTAGCTAGAGATTTATTATAATAATTATCACTTATATATCAATTTTTTTTTTCATAAATAATCTTTATATTAAAAATTTTTGTCCACTCACGGAGTGTAGGCTTTGGGCAAAATAGGAATTTTTCCAACCTTTTGTTCGCTTACGAAATGGGAATTAGAAAAAAATAATTAATCTTATCACTTATAACTGATTAATAACCCAACTTTATTTTAAGTGAAATCTCTAATTCAATTCAGAAATGTATATGGCAACTTTTCTTTAATCTGGATTGGCATCGCCTTAATTACACTTACTTTAATAATAAAAGACACCTATATTAAATTTACAAGACATCATTAAAGCTTTATCTTTCTTGCTGAGGTATGCTAAATTTAATATCACTTCTACTTAATTAGTTTCTTAACTTATTTAGCTTTCTTGGCGGTTGAGAAAAGACCAGCATCAAGGTGAGGAGCGTCTTCTTTAAGCACAGACTCGTTCTTCTCGTTTCTTTCTGTCAAGAAAATAATTGCAAGTCCGACACCTACTATTACTCCAATAAGAGGTCCAAGAAGGTAAACTGGGACACTGTCCAAGTAGTTAAATGAGTCATCGCTATAGCGAATTGCTTGCACAACATCAATAGCAATGCAGACTGTTGGGTTGAAGCATCCTCCTGAAATGTGTCCTACAGTTCTAATTCCTGCAAGGACTGTAAAGGCGATAGCCATGCCTGCTGCAATTGTAGAGTCCAAAACTGCGCTAGTTACCAACACTACAAGCACTAAATGTCCAGTGAATGCAGCTTCTGCTAGATAAGCTTCGAGATTGGTTTCTCCTGCTGGAACGCCAACATAGAAGTGTCCACCTGAAATTAAAGTACCCAAAAGCGCTCCAAATAAGGCTCCGACAATCTGGCAAAGGAAATATAAAAGATGTTCTTTCAGGAAGTTCTTTTCGAATGTTCTCGTGAACCACCATTCCTTGACAATGGCTCCGAGAGTGACTGCTGGGTTGAAGTGAGCTCCACCGATAAAGCCAGTACCTACAATGATAACCCAGAAGCCAATGCCAACTGCAAAGGCGTTCCCGTGGCTTGCAAAGATTATAAACGTAAGAGCAGCTGTCCCGTAGGTTTCAGCGAGCAACCTCCTCCACAATTTCATTTTAATTACAAGAAAGCATTTAATAGGACTTATAGAAGATGAGAAGTATCTAACTTTCCTTCTTTAAATTGGAATTAATATTGGTAAAGCTTACTTTAACTTCGCTTTAATTTTTTTTCGATAGGAAAATTTTATGAATGAATGAATAATAATTTTGTAAAATTTATTTTTCACCTAATTTAAAGGAAAAAATTGCAAGAGAATGTTAAAAAGATTTTACACTGAATTGATTAATATTTTAAATTAATTTTTTATAAAAATAAATTTAAATGCACAATTTTTTTTTTTAAATTTTAAAAATTTTTAAGAGAAAAATTTAATATAATTTTGTTTAAAAGTGAAAATATTAATTTTTTATTAAACTAATTTTAACTTAAATAATAGAAAATCAAACCCCTTCCAGTAGGAACAGAATTTTTGTCCAACTTCGAGGGGAGAGTAAGAAAATAATTTATCCAACATTTTTGACAAATTGCAAAAAATAAGGTAGAAGGCTTGAAAATAAAAAAATATAATAAAGAAATATTCTAAACTCCCCCCTCCGTGAGTGAACAAAAATATTTTGTTCACACACGGAGGGGGGTTAATTTTTTTTTTTTAAAAAAATTTATATATAAATTTTTATAAAAAATATTTTTTTTTCAAAATTCGAAAAAATTGAAAAGCAAATATTAATTTAATTTATAAAATTTTTATGTTTTAAAAAGCAATTCGTTTTAAAATTAAACAGAATTAGCTCTAGATTTCATTATACTAATTATCATTTATATATCAAAATTTTTTTTCCATAAAAAATTTTTTCTATTAAAAAAATTTTTTGTTCACTCACGGAGGGTGGATTTTTGGGCAAAAATAGCGATTTTTTCTAATGGTTTTGTTCACTCACAGAAGGGGGGGGAGTAAGCTGCATTGAAGCTGCTAGAATAATGATAAAAACAATTTTCAACAAGATGCAGTTACTATAAAGATCTGTTCGAAGCAAAACTCTTTAAATTAGCATTATAGAATGAGTTAAGTTAGAGTTAATTATTTAAATAACACTTTATTTCATACGCCTTTTCATAATTTTTTTAAACATTTAAATCGCATTTTTATGTCTTCTATTTTATTCTCATCTTCTATTTTTTAATTTCAAAAAGTGTATAAAATGAAAACTCCAATAAAAAGCTATAATAAAAACAATTACATTTCCAATTAATTTGATGCAGCCATACGAAATAGCGTTAGAAAAATATCTTACCCAAAAATTCTTAAAAATGATAGCAATGATTTCAATAGAGAAGATTTAGCATATATTTTAAAAAAGCAAAACTTGAGTATAATAAAGCTATAGATGGCAAGCAAGTCATTAAATAAATAATTTTAAAAACAATAAAAATGAGGCTATTGATGTAATTACTATGGGCACTCTTACACCTTTGCTTGATGATTGATAAGTAGAAAACACTCATAAAAAGACTCTAGCAAGTTGGCACGATTAGCAATATACCAAATATATAGAGTTGTTGCGGGAGCTAATGATGATGCAATTACAAAAACTATTCTTCAGAACTGATCTTTTAATTGGTTAGCCTTTCAAACTTGAGACTATTTTAAACTCAATTCATCATTTTTAATCATTCTAATCAAAATTATAAGAATAAAGCTCACTAAACTAAATTATACAAATAGCAATTAATGACATGAAAATGATGAGCATAAGGTGGCGCCCACATGATTGAAAATTAAAATAATTTATTAAGATAGTAATTAAACACATAATAAATTAAAAATCAATTTAATGCTGCACATTTTCGGTTAGTTGGGAAAATATCTTTGATAAGCGTTCATTGAACAGCTCAAAATCTTCTTCAGAAAAACACTCTTTAGTAACTTTGCGAATTATCGCAAAGATACGGTGCAGCTGAGATGTAGTGAATTTGTGGGATTGAATTATAAGGTTTTTAAGTAATGGGGAATAGCTATTCAAGCAATATGAGAAAATGACACGAAACATATTTATGCTATGAATTTCATCTGTTCTTATAGAAAACCCAGTTTCATTATCCTGAGACGAAATTTCAAAAATCTGTGCTATCAACGATTCAAGATTTTTCTTCTCCACAAGTGTAATTTTCCTCTGTTTTCTTCGCTCTTCACGTGTGATTCTTGCTTGCTGCCTAGTCGAGTCATAAATTTCTGCAATTTTATTGAGCTGTTCTGAAAATTTAATGCTTGTCATAGATTTATCAAGGTCTTTAGCAGGTGAAGGATTCCTATAGATGCAATTTCCTCCAAGTTTTGATATTCCTGAATGCAAAATAGGGACTTCTCCTGGTATAGATGCTGTCTTTATCCATAAATATTCGTTTTTTATGTTGTTTTGAGTTTCTTCTATATTGAGACTTGCTCTTGCTAAGTTTTTGGTTTTAGTTTTCAAATTATCAAGTCTTTTTTCCACATTTTCTATTACACATTTGTGTTCTGATTTAACATCCAATTTGTGTAATTGAAAAGGGCTTGCAGTTCTTGACCTTGCTAATATTTTGCTTGTGTTTATATTGATATTACGGATTCTTGAAAAATAATCAAATTTATGAGCTTTGCATTTGAGAAAGTGCCATTTCCCAGTTTTATTTTTAATAAAATCAACCGTAAGCTCTACTAAAACTTCATCTTTTGGCTTTGTTGATTTTTTTTCAGTCAATTTAGCTATAACTAAAATCATGCTTTCTATTTCTGGGACTGAAGAAATTCGAGATATTTGGATCTCACTTGTTGATGAAGATTTTACAAGATATCTACTTGATAGATCTTGAGTAGACAGCAAAGGATTTTTTGGGGACGTTACAAAAGATTTGTGAAAGTCAAGAAGCGTAGGCTTATTAGGGAAACTAGGAGAAAACGAAGTTTTATGCATTCTGGCAGCATATGCAAAGTGATTAGTATCTTGTTTTTTACGTATCCTCGATTTTCTGGGCTTTTCATATTTTATAATTGGAGTATTAACATTTGATAGAGCATCGATATCAATGGTGCCTTTTCTATTTATTTTGAAATAGTCAGTTTTTTCGCCGAGTGATCAGTGAACTCTTAGTTTTTCAGGAACTATTGAATCAGAAACGATATATCTTTGAAGCATATGATATGGTTCTTTGCAAAGGACTCATGATCTTACTGCTTGCTTGGAGTTACAGCATATTGTAACTCCTTTATTTGTTTTATGAAGGAATTTAGGCCCTTCTTGATTCTCGCATTGCTTTTCTACCATCCATACAAATTTAGACATTGCGCTATATATAGGTTACTTGAACTTAGAAAAAACTTTAATAACACCAAAATCATTTGTATAAATTAAAACAGGTGATTTCAGTTCAGCAGTAATTATAAGTGTTTCTGGCACATTTAATTTGATATAGGGGTTTACCCTTTGTAGCCCTATAAGGGCAGATGATTCCCGACGGAATCATCGAGTTGATCCAATCAGCAAGTGAGTTGGCCCGACCAATGCACTAAGTTGGTTGGACAACTCGATGATTCCACCGGGAATCATCTGCCCTTATAGGGCTACACAGGGTAAAACCCTATATCTGAAAGATGATATTCAGATGAAATTATGCTATAAATATCTGGGCCTAAATCTCCTGCCAATGGAATACTTGGTTGAAACTCACATATTTCAAAATTTATTGGAGTTTTGCAATACAAAGATAATCTTTGAGTAGCTTTAATCAACATTCCAGAATCAATGTGAGCTGGTCCTAGTTCAGATTCTAAATCGTAACCTCTAGAGTGCTTATTCATTTTTTAATTACCTAGAATTTAATATATTCAATCACTATTTCTGCGATGCTGCTATCAAATATTTTGACTTTTTATTTCATATTTTCTTAAAATGATTGAAATAAGCTATATTTATAAATTTTACATATCGAGTATTAAAGCTGAAAATTTAATAATTCAGAATATTAAACTAGTTGAAATAGAGCAAAAATAAAATTATTCTAATTTGAAAAGTTTTTTGTTTGAAGTTTTTTTTTTGCTGATGTTCCATTATTTTTGATTTTGGTCAGTTTTATGCTATTTCATATTTCAAAAATATTTAAACTGCTAAATTCAAAATATACATCACTCTATAATTTATTAAGACTCTCGATAAAGAAAACCAATCATAAATATCTATTAGGGAAGCTTTTTAAAAATAACTTTAGGGTAAGATGATAATTATATAAAAAACTAATAATTATTTAAAGTCTGAATTTTCTTGCAAGTTTCACCAAGCTCAAATAAGCCGCAAAGTGGGTAAGAACTATCAAAATCGCCATACACATAAATAGCACCCACATTGGCCTATCAAGATCAAAAAAGTCATTAGGGTCGCACATCGGGTCATCTCCGCATTTTGTTCGATCAAAAGTATTGAACTCATTGATCATTGCAGCTTCCCAAGAGTACTTGAATATTGATAAATATTCAAATTCTATTAAATAGTCTGGAATAAGGCTTGACTTAATGAAAAAGCCACTAAAAAGCATCTGAACAAGCATCACAAATGGAGACACAGCACTGGAAGCCTGCACACTTGGAATTATAATAACTAAGAAATTCCCCCAACCTCTTGAAGCAAGTTCTACCAATGCTGAAATACCCACAAAAATGAAAATCTGTTCAGCGTTATCTAAGCTCAAGCCCACACCTAAGTAGACCAGAATGTTGACGAAAACTCTAATAAGCACATCAATAGGCATCTCAAAAAGAACCTTGCTCATGTAATATGACAAAGGTCTGTAAGCTTTACTTGACTGTTCTCTAATGAACATTGCCTTTTCGTCTGCATATGCTCCTGAAGAGTTGACAGCACTAAAGCCAGTAAACATAAGCATAAAGAACATGACTCCAGATCTATTCCACACACTGCTTGAGCTGCTTCCATCACACACCTGGTAGAAGACCATAAGTGAAAGTATGACGAAAGCGAAGTTGGCGACCACTTTGAAGAAGAAAATCAGCTTGTTTCTTGCAAGATTAATCCAGATCCTTTTGCCTAGAGCATAAACTTCTTCGACCATCGTTGATTCTTTAGTCTGTAAAGCACCTTTGACACTTTTTTCTTCAATCACCCCGTCCCATGGGATGACACCTTTTCTGAGGACTTCCATTCTTCCTTCATAAGTATCATCAATTGGACTAAGTAATCCCAAAAGATGCTCAGCTGGGTTCTTGTATTCTCCACAAGGATATCCCAATTCACCAAAATGGCTTATGGCATCTCGGGCATCTCCGTGGAACATGACTGAGCCGCCTGCAAGAAGTAAGACTTGGTCAAAAGCTGCATATATGAAGGAGTTTGGCTGATGGATTGTGCAGACCACTGTAATTCCAGTCTTCGCTAAGTCATTTAATTTGTCGACCAAGTTTTCTGAGTTGTAGGAGTCAAGTCCAGTTGTGGGCTCATCCAGGAAAAGGATTGCAGGATCCGTAAGCATTTCAATTGCTATGGAGGTCCTCTTCTTTTCTCCTCCTGAAATGCCCTTTTTTAGTACACCTCCGACTTCGGATTTACGACAATTATGGAGTTCTAAATCTTTAATGACTTTTTCCACACGGTCTTGCCAGACGTCGGCAGGAAGTCTCAGCTTGGCTGTGAAGTTCAAAACTTCTTCAACAGTCATTGCTTCCATGATAACATCGTCTTGCATGACATACCCAGTAATTGAATTAAAATCAATGGACTTTCTGGGATGGCCATTGACCAAAACTTCGCCTAACACTTTGAGGCCTTTTAAGTAATAGTGGCGGTTTGAAAGGAAGTTGAGCATTGTGGTTTTGCCACAACCTGAAGGACCTAAGATGGCTGTGAAGGTCCCGGCTTTCATTGTACCGCTAACTTTATTGATGATTGTTTTATCATCTAGAGGAAGGTTTTCTTTCATTCTTCGCTTCTTCTCTGCTTTTGTGAGTGGGCACATGACAGAAAGGTCTTGCCAAGTAATATCTACACCTGTAATCTCGGACATTTGTATTATATTGGAGAAAAAAAAATGGTTAAGAAATCAATGTGTTTGGTAACAGTTTTTCAAAAATTTAAAGATTTAAGAAGAATTTTAAGGAATTATAAAAGACTAAAAGAGATTTAGCTTAAAATTGCTAAAGTTGAGCATATTGAAGGATATTTAAAAATTTAAATTTTATCAAGATTGGAATGCTCTGAATGAGTAAAAAACTTCATATAGTCCTGAGAATGCAATGGGCAGCGATTTGGTAGAATTCTGCGGTTAAATCCAAAGTTTTATTTTTGCTGCTGGAGAATTTTTTTTTTTTTAAATTTTTAAGAGCTTGAAGAAAATAATTTCTTAGGACTAAATACTCTAGATTTTTTAAAAATTCTTATTCTAGCAATTGAAAAGAAAAGGATTATTAGCAATCAGTCAGTCAGTTCCATTTTTTTGGAAGGTATGCATGTAAAAACCATAGCAAAATGAAACAATTTCAAGTAAAAATTTGAAATTTTTGGGAAATCGCTTTTTGCAATAAATAAAAATTCATTGGTTTGATTTTATATAATCAATCTTTTTAGTAGATATTTTATCAATTATAATGTTTTATTTTTAGCCCATTCTTAAAGTCTTTTGTTTAGTTATTTAAAAGCTGCCTTTCTTTAATTTTCTGGACGAAGGATTAAGCCAAAACGCCCCATAATTCTTGAGAAATGCCCCAAGATTATGCATTTTCAAGGAATTTTCATGTGAGATAAAATAAATTATAACTAATTTTTAATTTTGCACATTGAATAGCTATTTTTTGATTTGTTTTAAAGTCAGGGTTTTCATGCTCTTTTCCCGTCTAGATTTATAATAAGTCTACACTATAATCTTCATTTTTAGCTATTTGAGTTCAATCTAATAAAATTCTTCTTTCCTAATATTTAGAACTTATAGATCACTCCAGATGCCTTCCTTAAGCCAATTAATAAATGGCAGCAAGATTTACATGGACTCAACTGATGACATGGGAACGAGAAGCAGTTAGAAGGCGCGTTCCATTGGAAATTTCTGGACTTGTAACAAGAGCAGCAGAGCTCCCAAACTAGCTAACTAATTATCTATTAACGTTTAACGTCCACTACGGGGTAGCCGACTCCAGAGCTACCACCATATCTGTCCACGTGTCGGGCCCAGAGACCGCTGGATCGATCCCCTTCGATTCTCCAAGGCACGGGCAAATCAGAGCTCCCAAACAATAGATCGATCCTTGGACCAACAGTGACGTACGAAAGAAATGGTGAAAAGACTCTTCTTACCCACAGGGCAAGAGCTCGCTGGGGAATGTGGCTCCTTTTCTTCTTAGGCGGGTACCAGGTTAACAGACTGATGAAGGTTGGTTGGGACAACGAGCAAGAGCACCATAACTTTGAATTTGACAACATCGTCTATGACAAGCTCTCATGTCGCCAAGTTCCATATCATGAATCCGTGTTTGGATACCCTTAAGAATAACTTATCTTTAAGTTACTTTAAAATCTATATATATTGAGCAAATTATAAAGAATGGAGAATTAAAAGTTGTTGCTATTCGATTTTATGAACCTTTAGCACGTAAAATCTCAAAAATCTGTAAGTCAATCGCCTAAAGATAAAACAGCTCTTTATGGCATAAGTATTTTTACTAAGGAAAAGTAAATAATATCAGATTAACGAAAACTTATATAATTTTGCTTGATCAATTTCAAATTAAGGTAAAATTAATACAAATAATCATAGGAGAAGGCTAAATAATCAATTTTTATCCCAGAATCTGTTTGAGCTAATGATTTTTTCTTCTTAGACATTTTATTAATTATAAATTATTTTATATTTTAATTGCTATATATAAATAAACCCAAATATCACTATTATTTTATAAAATATTTTATGCTTAAAATGTTTATATATTCATAGATTTAATTTTGATATTTTATTTAGCAATTGGAGTTGCACATTTTAGAGAAAATGATTAGAGCTAGATTGCTTAAATTTACTGTTTCTCTGCACTTGAAAAAAAATGATAAATAAAATCCAAGAGATTATCCAATACCTCTCAATGAATTGCTTTTAACACTCAATTAATTATAGCAAAGAAATAGCGTATAAAGAAATAGATTTCAGACATAAAATATTTAATGGCAATAAAATGGTCTAATAGGCGTTTACTAAAATGGCTGGACAAGCAAGTTATTAGAAAATGGCGAAATTACCTGCAATATTAGAAAATGCCAAAATTTACATGGACTCAGCTTATGACTTGGGAAAGAGAAGCTGTTAGACGACGTGTCCCATTGGAAATCCCAGGTTTGATACCAAGAGAAGAGATTCCAAACAACAGATACTTGATACGTCCAGGTGGAAGCTTCGAAAGAAATGGGCAAAAGGTAATTTTTAACCACATTTCAATGGTAAGGATTGGATTTTTTGCATTATTTTTCTTAGCTGGCTACCAAGTTCTAAGACCTGCAAAGTGGGGATGGGAAAATGAAATTGAGCACCATAACTTTTCATTTGACAACTGTGTCTATCCTAAATTGTCTAGCAACATGGTTCCTTATCACGAATCGGTTGTTGGATTCCCTTAAAGCTAATAGCTTTCCTTTCTTTAAATAAAAAATATGCTATTGAGATAATATATTCTTTACTTGAAAACAATAAATTGAATTTTAACTGTCCAATTGCATATTTTAATATTGTAATAAAATTGATTTTAATAATATAGGATCTTGATCAGATAAGCCCAATTAAGCAACATTTTAATAGCTCTTCAATTATAATAATTTCTATAGCTTAGTTTTTATGATCATTTTATTTCAAGCACTCTCAAGGATGTTTTTTAGATACTATCAATTTACATATTTAAATAGAATAGCTATGAATTTAGATTTAATGGTAATAAATAGTCTGATGAGAATCTGCCAAAATGGCTAATAAAATATTTACTTGAAAGTCTTGAATAAACTATTTGATATTGATATAGGGCTTTCCCTTGAATAGCCCGATAACGGGCTGGCTTCATCCCGTTATCGGGCTATTCAAGGGAAAGCCCTATAACTAGAATTGCATCACTTCCACAAATAAATTATTAGATTGTTAAATTTATTCTTAATTTGGATTAAATGATAAATTCTGTGTAGATTAAATAATAAAATTAGAAAATGCCCAGATTTACCTGGACTCAGCTTATGACATGGGAAAGGGATGCCCTCAGGCAGCGTGTTCCATTAGAAATCCAGGGATTAATACCAAGGGAAGTGCTCCCGAACAATAGATATCTAATCCTATCTGGAGTGACCTTCGAAAGAAATGGACAGAAAGTAATATTTAATAACATTGCAATGATGAGGATTGGCTTCTTTTCTTTCTTTTTTTTGGCTGGATATCAAGTACTTAGAGAACAAAAATGGGGATGGGAAATGGAGCAAGAAAATCATAATTTAGAGTTTGACAATACCGTCTATCCTAAATTATCATGCAACATGGTTCCATATCATGAATCCGTGGTTGCATTTCCTTAAAATTATATTTTCGCTTTAAAATTTTTCAATTTAATAATATTTTTAATCTTCGATTTGAATTTTTATTATTTATCTCACTCTTTCAATATGAATTATTCGCAATTTATCGCTTATTTAACATAGCAATATATTCAGTAATGATTTTAATTACATTAAAGTTTAAAAAAGAGTTTCTTTCAATCCTTTGATTATTTTAGTACTCTACTTTATAGATTTTTATGGTTTTCTAACTATTAATTTTAATGCTAATAAGATTACTTTGTTCAAGTTCAGATTCTTGTGGTCTTAGCATGGATTAACAACTCTGAATAACTCTAGGTAAGACCGGCCTAAGTATCAAACTGTCCATGCCCCCAAGTCCCTTAAGCTAAAAGACTACGTTAAGAGTAACCTAAAAGAGAGATATGGAGAGAAGATTAGGCTGTGGCGTGATAAGGGAATGAATCTAATTATGTATGTCGACAAAAAGGATGAAAATCAAATACTCATAGATAGAGCTCTATATATAAACAACAGAGTGTATATGAGGCTAAGACCAGTAATTGAAAAAGGTATCATTGATCCCAGATACTACAGGATTAAAATTAATTTAGACTACAGATTATCGACAGAACTGGCGATCATAGACCTAGAAAAAAAAATGAAGGATATGGGAAGTGGAAATTGAGACGGATTTTGGAATAGACAATGGAGCCATTGTAGCTTATGTGTGGTTTGATTCAATTAAGCAAATATATGCTCTGGAAAGTACCCTAGAGATAACGCGGACACGGTGCCACATCTCGCACCAATGGAGCTACACTTGTAATGTATGCAAGGGATGTGGGCACTTTGAAAAGGGTTGTCAGGATGTGAAAGACATGAGGCAGATCAAGGAGAGCATAGGCAGAGAAGCAGAGGTGGTAGAGAGGCAAAGATTCATGAGTACACAGGTCTATTACTGCCAAGCATTAATAAAGCCTGATATCATCATAACAAGTATTGATTGTACAAGACAGATTATAACTATGCAATATCAGAGAGGGGTAATGACATCAAGAGAGGAGGCTGAACTTGAAGTAGCAGAAGGTGAGAGTAAAGAGGAAACATTTGTGAGGTTGCTGAAAGAATTAGAGATATAAAAGTTTGCCATATGCAGTGTAGGAGTTGAAGAATTAAAAAAGCTTCCTATCAGGCAACTTATATACACAAACTCAATAAGTCAATTTCTGGTTGGTCGCAAGACAGACGGATGCATAAACGTGCACATGGAGGGGGGGATGTACAAACTGGGAAAAGGAAGGCAAATGATTATGATGAAAATGCCATCTGCAAAAGGGTCAGACTTGACAAAAGTAAATGAACGCAAAGTTAAATAGCAGACTACTTTCCGACTAGTCCTAAGACTGAGGAAGCTGAAGATGCCCTGAAGATTCTGCATCTCAACATCTGTGGACCGGTGAACAAAATAGAGCTACTGGGGAATCTATTGAAGCATAAGAATATAGACGTAGCGGGTCTGTGTGAAATATACAAAAGTATAATTAAAATATGGCGTCTTCGTCTGGGCATGGCCTTCCGGCCATGCATACTCGACTTATATTTTAATTATATCCGGCAAGGTTTTGCATTTCAGAGAAGGACAGCAATGCTAGGTAAGCAATTCTGGTGGAGCTCAGAGCCTAGCCCAAGTCTAATTTCAGAAATGTTTTTTCCTCATGGGGAAGGAGGCACGAGAGTTGGAAAGGGGAAGCTCAGCAGAGTCCGTTAGGACCATTCGGGCAACTCCCTAGCGTGAAACTGGGCGTTACGTCCCAGGCTCCGTGTTTACCCCCTTTTTGCCGAGAGCCTACCAGAAAATCCATTTTTTATGGATTTTCGGAATGGCAACCCATGTCCTCAAGCGAAGTAGCTCAGTCATGAGCCGTCGAAGTCGGCAACACCTGCGACTAGGTGCACTGGTGTACAAGGCTGGTCGACCAGAGGCCAATTGCTGGCCCTTTGCGCCATAGGCGGGCGGAAGCTCTGGGATGGGCAACCCCGTAAGGGACGTTAAGCGTATAAATCTAATAGAATAGAAATATACAAAAGTAATAAAGACTTCCTAAGAATTGACGGATACAGATGGATTGGCAATGAGGGTACGGAGCACAGCTGTGGGGTAGGTTTTCTCGTCACGGAAGGACTGATGGAAAGCATCAAGCTTGTAGGTGCGGATGTAGAGGAGAAAATGAGAGCAAGGATCATAGCTATAGAAATTGGAAAGATAGCAATAATTGAGTGCTACTCACTAGTAAATTCGGACACAACTGAAATGAAAAGAGACTTTATGAGGAGCTGGCAATGCAGGTATCACTAGAAAAGACAAAGGGACTAGAGGTGGCGGTAATTGGAGACACGAATGCTCATATAAGAGGGCACAGATCTGATGAAACTAATGATAATGGGAAATCGCTTATAAAGGTAGCACACAAGATTGGGCTTGAGATACTTGAGTTGGACAACATAACTTTCACAGGAAGGAGAGGGAAGCCCAGCTGCATTGATTATTTATTAATCACACATGGTATAAGGAATAGGATAAAAAATGAGCAAATACTAGAGGATAACACAATTAGCTCTGATCACTTGCCAATATATGCTCAGATAAATACTGATAATATTTTTAAGCGTAAGATGGATAAGGAAGTATTTCGTTTAGATTTGTTGGACGATGAGGATAAGCGGAAAGAATATCAGGATGAGGTAGAAAGAATTGCTGAGACTATTAATTTTTCGGACAATCCAGATGCCTTATATAAGGAGATAATCAGAATATTCATAAGTGCAGTCAGAAGCACACTAGGTACCAGAAAAAGGCAGAAGCCTGCACTGCCGAGATCAATAGTAGATAAACTGAGGTTGGCTAAGCAAATCTACACAGCTGCTTTGGAACTAAGGGCTGGACAAATAGATAAATACATCGAACTTGAAAAGAAGCATGACCAGGTGCATCAGGATGTCCGAAAAGATATAAAGAGGTGGAAGAAGATGAAGGAAATAGAGAGGAGAATACTTATGCAGCAATCAATGACCCAAAAGATAGCGTGGAAAACCTATAGGTTATGCAAAAGAGGCTGAAGTGGAATGCAAGCTAACTACTATGATGATGAAGTGAAAAGCACAATAGACTGGTGGAAGAGCATATATAGGGATGATGACTGAAATGGATGATGAAAGTGTGAAGAGCAACAGGAATGACAGATAACTCTAGAAGATGTACGTGAACAAGTACAGTCGATTAGAAACGGAAAAGCTAAAGGGCCAGATGGAGTAGCGGGAGAGTTAATCAAGTATGGCGGACCTACATCTTGTAGGCTTATCCATGCTCTAATGGATTTAATTTGGAGAACTGGGGAAATACCTGTAGCACTAAAGGAGGCGTATGTAATTCTGCTACCAAAAAAAGGGAATAGTAAACAACCACAGGATCAAAGACCAATAACACTGGTAAACTCAATGTTTAAAATCTTAGACAAGATGATAGCAAAAAAATTGTAGAGTGAGGTCACAAGTTCGAGCATCATTGATGAGGTGCAAGGAGGATTTATGACGCAGAGAGGCTCGGCTGATCAGATATTTACTCTGGATACTATAATCAATCATATAATGACAATGGGTGTCTCCACATGATGTGCTTTCCTTGATATTCGAAAGGCATTTGACTCAGTTCCGAGAAGGTTATTGTTGGAAACATTATTAAGAAAGGGAGTGCAAGGTAAGACCATAAACATGATCAGCAGCATGATACAGGATGAACGGAGCTCAATAATAATAAATGGACGACCGCAAGAATGGATAATAATACAAAAAGGTGTTAGACAGGGTGGGTGTGTGTCGCCACTGGCCTTCAATTTCATACCAAATGAGCTAGCCATCAGAATAAAGCAAACTAACCTTAGGGTGCAAATAGATCAGGAGACAAATGTAGGACTGCTATTATATGCGGATGACATAGTCTTGTTATCTGAGACGAGGTCTAAACTGCAGGACTTATGCAACATAGTTAGCGAGTGAGCTGAGAAATATTAATTGAGTATCAATGAAGATAAGTCGGAGGTTATGTGTTTTGGTAACTCTGGAAGAAGCTCTATCAAAATAAATGGGAATTGATTAAAAACAACAAATAGCTTCAAATATTTAGGGTTCATCATGGAAAAAAGAGTCAAAAACGCTAACTCCCCCCCCCCCCCCTCCGTGAGCGAACACAAAAAATTTTGTTCGCTTACGGAGGGGGGTTAATTTTTTTTTTTAAAAAAAAATTTATATATAAATTTTATAAAAAATATTTTTTTCGAAATTTAAAAAAATCCTAATTTGCAAAAATTGGGAAGCAAATATTAATTTAATTTGCAAAATTTATGTTTTAAAACGCAATTTGTTTAAAATTAAACAGAATTAGCTCTAGATTTCATTATACTAATTATCACTTATATATCAAAATTTTTTTCCATTAAAATTTTTTCTATTAAAAAAAATTTTTGTTCACTCACGGAGGGTGGGTTTTTGGTCAAAAAAATGGCGATTTTTCTAATGGTTTTGTTCGCTCACGGAGGGGGGGGGGAGTAAGCATGTGAGAAATAGGCTCAAATCGATGAAAGTAGCATGCGGAGCATTTATTGGTGTATTAAAGGCACTGGAAGGAGTAACGATAGACACTAAAAGAAATGGTGCAAGCTCGTGTGAACTCCATAGCGCTTTATGCAACAGAAGCAGCGTCACGTGAAGAAATAACTGCGAAGATTTTGGCTGAGATGGAGAAGACGCAACGGAGGGGATTAAGACTAATTTTGAATTCAGCACAATCTACAGTTAATGAGACACACTTACTAGATCTAGGCATGCTAACAATAAAAGCATTACTTGATAGAAGGACGATGCTATTTAGAGCTAAAGTGATGAATGCAAAGACAGGTAGTTTAATGCAAAAAATAGTGAAGATAAATTATGAGAATGAACTAGGGTGAGAAAGTAGATGCAGGTGCATTATGGAGGATTATGGCCTGAAAGACTGTGCAGGGCTGGGCCCAATGGGTTTGGAATCGTGGAAAAGTATGTGCAAAGAACCATCTGGAGAGTTGACAGGGAGAGATGCATGAGCAGGCTGCAAGAGGAAACATGAAAGGCCACATCATTATTCTGAGATATAAACAGAGAACCATGGGGAGTAGCAAAATACATGAAGCTAAACTCCAGCGACATAAAGGGGATTAGAGAATTGTTCAGGCTAAGGGCAGGATGAAATCACACAAATGCATGCCAGTATATTAGGCATCAGGCAAATAGCATGGAATGTGAGTATTGCAGATGACATAATCAGGATGTGAAGCATCTTATTGAAGATGCCCCAAATTCAACAATTAAAGAACTGATTTATTGATCAAACTGAAAAACTTAATAACTGGTGAGATTGATAAAAAATTAATAGATGTTGTGTTAGATTCATGGAGATATGAAAAAATGAAGTCAACAATTAGGATGAAGGAAGAATAAGTAAGAGAGGTGGATGCAGCTGTCAAAAGCTTTATAAAAGAAATTGCAAAGATTAGAAAGAATAAGGCGTTTAATGCGCGATAAAAGTTAATATTATTATTATTATTATTATATGTAAGCTGTCTAAAATTAAACAGAATTAGCTAGAAATTTCATTATAGTAATTATCAATTATATATCATATTTTGTTCATAAAAACTTTTGTTCGCTTACGGAGGGTGGGCTTTTGTGCAAAAAAAGGGATTTTTCCAATGGTTTTGTTCGATAACAGAGGGGGGAGTTAGGAACTCTCTGCCCGCAACATCTTGACACCAAAACCCTCAAGAATGTGTAAACTTCTCTGAACTGAGTTCAGCTGTAGGACCGTGGTCCTACCCCTAAATGCCATTTTAAATTGCCTTCTATCTATTGAAATTTTTCTAATTAAAATATTCATAACTTTAATTAGGTTTAAAGAAGAAAAATTAATTGTGCTTCAACCAAAATTTTACTATTAAATTCATAATAAGCCATTTTTAAGTGATTTCTAAGTCATCTTTTTTCTCCAACAATAAAACTAATGTCCGAAATCTCTGGAGTAGATATTACCTGGCAAGACTTTTCTGTGAAAGGTCCTCTCTCTAAGACAGAAAAAAAACGCCGTCTTAAAGAAAATCTTCCTATTGACGATAAGGTCATCATCAACAATGTCAGTGGAACTATGAGAGCAGGGTCCTTCACAGCCATCATGGGACCATCAGGCTGTGGAAAAACAACCATGCTTAACTTTCTTTCAAACCGTCGTTATTATCTCAAAGGTCTAAAGGTAACTGGTGACGTTTTGGTCAATGGAAACTCGCGAAAATCCATTGATTTTAATTCTATCACTGGTTACGTCATGCAGGACGACGTCATCATGGAATCGATGACTGTTGAAGAAGTCTTGACCTTTACAGCCAAGCTTAGGCTTCCTGCTGAAATTTGGAAAGACCGTATTGAGCAGGTTATCAAAGATTTAGAGCTTCACAATTGTCGCAAATCAGAAGTAGGAGGAGTTCTGAAAAAAGGTATTTCTGGAGGAGAAAAGAAAAGAGTTTCGATAGGCATTGAAATGCTTACTGATCCAGCTATTCTGTTCCTTGATGAGCCCAACACAAATGGCATTCAGTTCGAGAGATTATAGCTGCTAATTTTCTCTTCCTCGTAGAATTTATTTATGGGTTCGCTTTTTTCTAGAAAATTTCTACTCGTAATAGCAGTTTAACTTTGGTCAACAGGGCTAGAAGAACTGCTCAAAGAGCAAGAAGAAGTTTTAAAGGGTTTTCACATAGCACTAACAAGCTAGTCTTGGGCAGAAGGTTCAGCTGGTGATGGCATTTGTTCAGGCATGAACTATTTGCGCATAGGCCATTAGTATCAGATCCCGGTGGCGTCACTAGTTTAAGCTTAAACGGCATTTTAGCTTTAAGGCAGTAGGAAACTTTAAATATTAAATTAATCAAAATCGTTCCTTGATGAGCCTACAACTGGTCTGGACTCTTACAACTCAGAAAACTTAGTCGACAAATTAAATGACTTAGCTAAAAAAGGAATCACAGTGGTCTGCACAATCCATCAGCCAAATTCTTTTATTTATGCAAGCTTTGACCAGGTCTTGCTTTTGGCCGGAGGGTACATGATGTTCCATGGAGATGCAAAAGATGCAATAAAACATTTCGGCGACTTAGGTTTTCCATGCCCAAAATTCAGCAACCCAGCTGAACATCTTCTAGGACTACTTAGTCCGATTGATGATTCTTACTCTCCTTTCCAGCAAAGCCTCTAGAAAAATCCCTATTTCTGAAAAAGGTAAACATTCATGTGCAAGAATAAAATGCTTCAATATAAACTTTTTAAAGAAATAATAATTATACATATAATCAATTGCAATTATAATGAAACTCCAGCTAATTCTATTACTGTTAAGAAGCTTATATTTTAAGCAAAAATTTTTTATAAATTAAATTAACTTCCTTGGTTGTGAAAAAGATTTTTGCTTTCTAGTCAAGGGAGGGTTATGAATCAAGAATGGAGATTTTCAGCAATGCGATTGTTCCTGATAACGAAGTCGTCGAGCAACGTGAAGTGCGGCATGCACTACAAACAAAAGAGTCTACCTTTTGGGAAGAACTAATGGCTTTAGGTGGACGCATTCTTAAAAATCTCACCAGAAACAAACTCATTTTTGTATTTAAAGTCGTTGCAAACGTGATTTTTATTCTCCTGACCCTGATGGCTTTCTATCAGATCTGTGATGGGCACAGCTCAACGAGTGTATCTGATAGAGCTGGTGTGATTTTCTTTATCCTTGTGTACATTGCTTTTATGGCTGTCAACTCTTCAGGAGCCTATGCAGACGAAAAAGCAATGTTTATAAGAGAGCAAGCAAGTAAGACCTATAGACCTCATGCGTATTATTTAAGCAAACTCCTTTTTGAAGCACCAGTAGATATTATCGTCAGGGTTTTGGTCATCTTTTTGGTCTATCTAGGTGTTGGTCTGAGCTTGGATAAGGCTGAACAGATTTTTATTTTTGTGGCAATTGCGGTGCTTGTAGAGCTCGATGCAAGAGGCTGGGGTAATTTCTTAGTCATTTCAATTCCTAATATTCAAGCAGCTTCTGCAGCGGCGCCGTTCTTATTGATTGTGCAACTTCTTTTTGCAGGATTTTTCATCAACTATAACAATATTCCAGATTACTTAATCTGGCTTGAATATATGTCGATGTTTAAATACTCATGGGGAGGAGCTATGATTAATGAATTTAACACTTGGGACCAAGCAAAATGTGGCAGCAATCCGATGTGTGACCCTAACGACTTTTATGACCTTAAAATTTCGTTAGGGATGAATATTTTAGCATTGGCAATTTTGGCTATTGGAACTCATGGATTTGCATATTTATGTTTGGTCAAGTTGGCAAGAAAGTTCAGACTTTAGATAATTTTAATACAGTTTATTATTATGAATTAATTATAAATGGAAGAGGCAAGAAATTTGACTAACTCCCCCCTTCCGTGGTATTTTTTGCCCAAAAACCCACCATCTGTGAGCGAACAAAATTATTTTAATAGAAAAATTTTTTATGAAAAAAAATTTTGATATATAAGTGATAATTAGTATAATGAAATCTCGAACTAATTCTGTTAATTTTAAACACATTGCGTTTTAAAAAATAAATTTTGCAAATTAAATTAATATTTGCTTTCAAATTAGAATTTTTTTAAATTTTGAAGAAAAAAATTTTTTCTATAAAATTTCTATATAATTTTTTTTTAAGAAAAAATTACCCCCCTTCATGAGCGAACAAATTTTTTTTGTTCGCGCACGGAGGGAGAGTAAGAAAATTTTAAGATATGAAGAGATGCTTAAAAATAGTGAAGAGGCACATATAAAACTGGAAAAAGAGCTAAAATCAACTAAAAAGCTCTTAAAAATTGAAAAAGACAACAATATTATACTCAGAAATGAAAACACAAAGACAGCAATGAATTTCAAATCGTTAAAAGATTCTTATGTGACTCTAAGTGAAGAAATACAAGCTCTAAAACTGAAGTTAAGGAATAAAAAAAACCAGAGAGATCAAGAAAGCATAGAATGAGACCTTAAAGTAGGCAACTTAAAAAAGGAAATCGAAAAAAGAGGTTAGAAATATTTAGATAAATTGTTAGAACAAAAGGACATAGAAATTCACCGCCTTAAGCATATCATTGATGAAAAAGAGGAAAGTATTGAAGAAATAAAGAAACAGTTTGCAATTGTTCAGCAAGATCTAAACAATCAATTACAAGTTTCAAAGAATTCTGAACTTCAGTTGAAAGATAAACTTGATAAGCTTCAATCTGACTTCTACATGAATCAGCAATCTTTGATTGCTTTCCAGCACAAATCAAGAGCCTCTGAAGAAACCTTAGAATTGTTTCACAGCATTTTAAAAAACAAAGAAGATGAAATTCATGTGAATAAAGTGTAAAAAATATATAGAAAAGCAAAAGAGCTCGAGGCCAAAGAAGACCATTTGCAAGAAGCTGTAAGCATGCTGCAAGGGGAGCTTAGACTTATGAAACAGCAAAAAGAAGAAAAAATCCTTAAAAAGAGAAGAGATTGCATGGAATCGAGATGCTCTGTTAAGACATTTTAATTTAAATTATTGTCGAAGTTAAAGCCAGCATAGACTTTTTTAATTAAAGCTATTCAATTTTATACTTGCACAATGGGCATACATTACTCCGATTAAGCCACTGGTCAATGCAAAAATCGTGGTAAAAATGACTGCATGGCAAAGTTTTGATTTTATCTCCAGGCTCATACTCACAGTAGCACACTGTGCATCTATCCAGCCCTTCTTCGTTCTGCCTAATTTCTCTAATAGGAAAAGTTTCAACTAAATCTCTTGGGGCAGCTCTTACACGATGAGAATTTATCGTTTCAATGCTTTGTTCCAGTTCAGCAAGTGCCACGTCCATGTCAATTAGTCCAGAATTCAGCCATACACGACTGCTTTCTAGCACGTAAGCTAAATTAGGATTCCTCGCACGTAAAGAACAGTCAAAAATAATATGTGTGTTATCCATGATCAGTCCTTTTTGAGGAAAGCAAGAAGCAATAATAAAATCCAGCCCGTTTATGGATAAAACTTGCCCTTGACATACGAGCCGCTTCATTCCTTGGAAATAAGGGATTACATAGCAATTAACTAATTCATAAATAATAGCATTTCTGGCCATTCTGTGATACTGAATAGGCAAATCTTCAATGTAGCATGAAAAGGATACACTTTGAAGATGTACGAGAGGCTCCCCTTCCAAGAAAAATTGCGTCTCTCCTCCGACAAGTCCATTCATAGGCTCACTGGCAGTGACCACATATTCCATGTTATTCAAGTAAAGATATTGGTTTGTATGCAAATGCCTTTGGCTACTATTAAAGTAATTTCGAAAAACATTTGAAAATATCGTTGGGTTTATCTGCGAAGGATAGATAGGCAAAATCTGTATTTTTTGAACTGGATTTTCGGTCAATATGTCATAGCAGTTTATTACTGTATTTTGAGTAATTAGTCCAAAGTTAGAGCGGCAGCCCAAAACTTTGAATTTCACGTTTTCACATTTAAAATAATCCCCGACTCCTAAACATCGTAAACGGGATAAAAAATAAGGAGCCAAAAACTGAATAAAAATACTCTTGAAGTTTACTCTGCCACCTGATAATAAAGTTAATGGAAGATTTTCTCGAAATATTCCTAAAGTAATTGACTGCAGCTCAGGAAATCTTGTATTAGGAGGTAGAGTATTGTTGCATATTGCAAAGACGTCTTGAAAACCGTCAGAAATGAGAGTAGGCAGCTCTGAAATGGTATCATTTTCATCCCTCATAATAAATTTCCCACATCTGCATATAACTTTCTTACACAATCCGCCGTCATAACACTGATTTGAGCATTTAGGACAAGGGAAATACAGCCTTGTAGCTGGGGGAGGATTCTTTATTATCCCACTGAAAGAGTTTGATTGAATAAATCTCGTTTCTCGAACTTTCCCAAAGCCATAATCATTTCAATTTCCGCTTGCTAAAGGGTTGTATCCGCCCAAGGTCATTAATACTGGGGGATGACTAATTTGAGAATTTCGAATGAATTGCCCAGAAATCGGTCTAGTTGGAAGAGGCTGAGCATCAAACATTTTTATTAAATTTTATCAACATTTTATTAAATATAAATAAGTTAATTCAATCTTTTTACAATCAACAATGATTTCAACAATTGGCCTTATTTTCGAAATAATTTATTTTTCAGCATAATAATGAAGCTCTATATAATTTTTTTATTTTTATTTTTCGATTAAGTCTTGATTATTTTTTAACAGATAGAAAATTTTTTATGGAAACATTTCTATATTTTTCGTTTGAGCAACTTCATAAGCCAAAAAAGTCTGTTATTTTTTACAAACCAAGCACAGAAATTATCAGCTATTTATCTTGAAAAGTCGCAAGCAAGGCATCCAAATTATTTATAACCAGCAGTTGAGTGGTTCTATCTTATAAGTGTATTTATTTTCTAGCTTCCAAGTGCATTCTAAATTTAATTTATTTTTCTCATCTTCATTTTTATTCGTATTATCCGTTTTCAACGATGTCATCTCATATAATATGTCACGAGTTGTTATTCAAGAGTCATATGGGCCTGTTTGCAAACTGCTTCTAAACCGACCGAAAAACTTGAACGCTTTAAACTTTGAATTAGCACAAGCTTTAGATCATGATATTACTATCGCTGAAAAAAATTCTCAAAAAATTATATTGGCATCTACAAGCGAGAGAGCTTTTCAAGCTGGCGCTGATTTATATCGTTTATTATCAACCTGTCACGATATTCCTAATTGGGTAGGATTCTCTTATAATGTAATAAAACGACTTTACAAGCACCCTTTTGAAACTCTTAGTGTATGGCAAGGACATATAATAGGCTATGGAGTAGGAGTTGGAATGGCTTGCAAATATTCCTTAGCATTGCCAAGCACTCTATGATGCATGCCGGAACATCACATAGGTGTAGTGCCTGATGCTGGCTGCTCCCACTTGCTATCTCATCTACAAGATGAAGCTTATGGGCTTTACTTGTTTCTTACGAGTCGCAGAATATCTGGGATTGACTGTTACTATTCAGGGATCTGCACACATTATACACGACCAGAAAACTTGCCACATATTTTTAGCGAGATCGAAGGAAACCAAGATTCCGTTAAAAATATTTTAAATAAATATAAATATGAGCCGGAAAAAGAACTAAGTAGGTACTTGAAGCATAAAGATGAAATTAAAGAAGCATTCACCAATCCAAGCTCTATTGAAGAAATCTTAGAGAAGTTAGAAAATAACAACACAGAATTCAGCAGAGAGACTTCTAAAGAAATAAGGTATTTGTGTCCTTTGAGTGTGAGGATGGCTTTAGAGCATTTTAAATCTGGGAAGCAAAGAACGTTTCTTGAGTCTTTGGATTCAGATTTTTTGCTTGACTGCAATCTTATGACATATAAAAATCAAAATTTTATCATTGGAGTTACGACCAAAATGATCGAAAAAAGCAATGCAAGACCTAATTGGGTTCCGAATTCCCTTTCTGAGGTGACATATGATATGGTCTATGACCATTTAAGAATTGACAAAAAACCAGAACTAAACTTTACAGCTCAACAATCATAGATTAAGATAAGTATTGAATATGTATTTCAGCAATAAATTCTCGCTTTAATTTGAATTTAAATTTCATTAATAAATTAGTGCTGATGTGCTATGATTTCTTAATAAAAATCGATTAAGATTTACTGCAAGCTCAACATTTGGTTCGAAAATTTTAAAATCTATTATTATTTATAATACCATCTAATACGTAAACGTTGCTTCAGGGAGCTCACTAATAAATCTTGTTTTAGTATCTTCATCTATATGATTCCCACTCAAATTTACTGTTATTTTTTTACCTTTCAAAGCATCAATAATCTCATTCTGACTCTCATTTGTAATGAAATTAAAAGCAAGTCCTAAAACTTCAAGATTTTCCATTTCCTTCAAATTCCCAGCGAAATCAGCAAGGCCTTTATTTTGAATATCATTTTCATCCAACCCCAGTTTTTTGAGTCCTTTGACATTTTTTAAAGCTTTTCCTATAAATGCAACGCCTTCAGGGCCAATTGCATTTATATGAAGCCACAGCTCTTCAAGTGAGTTCATCTCGTATAAAGCTTGAGCTAAGTAGCAACACCCTTCAGTCTTAATTGCATTGTCTTCTAGCGAAAGAATCATGAGATTCTTGAGCAAAGGCAAAGCAGGAGCCAAAAGTTTTATTCCAGCAGCCCCAAGCTGAGTTTTCCAAAGCTTTAAGATTTTGACTTTTCCAGCAAATGGTAATAAGTGGCATAAATGCTGAGCTCCGGTGATTCCCAAATTTGAAAAACTCAGGTTAATTTGATCAACGTTGAGCTTCTGCTCATAAATTGCCTTTGTATAAAGGCCGATCAACTTTCGATTCATTTCGCATTCTTTAGTGTCAAAAATTTTTTGAAGTGGGTGAACTTGATACTCGTGAGTTTCTGCGTTTTGGCTTGATGTATTTTTTGCTAAACGGTCAAGAGCCGCCTCTACTTCTGACTTAGGAGGGGCAGAAGAATTATTTTGTACTTTCTTTTCCTTCGGACGTGATATATTTGTGCAGCCAGCACCCATGATATTAATAATTATAAAAAAATTGAATAATGATGATGAGGTATAATATCATTTCACTAGTCAGTAAATATTATGTAAGCTATAGAAATAAGCCATATAAAATTTAGAATTAAAAAATGTAAATTCTAGAGTCATTTCTGCAATTTCAATACTGCAAATTCGTCTCTGCATAGCAAGCAGTCTTCTTATTATGATTACTCAATTATATTATTTCTAAGCAACAACAAAAAAATTTGTTCGCCCATGGAGGGCTTTAATTATTTTTTAAATTTAATATATAAATTTGTTTTTCCAAAATTTAAAAAAAATTCAATTCATAAAAAATTGAGAAGTAAAAATTAATTTAATTTATAAAATTATGCTTTAAAATGCAAGCTATTTAATATTCAGCAGAATCACTATCATATATATCACTTATATATCAAAATATTTTTTTTCATAAAAAAATTCTGTGGGTTTTGGCAAAAAATAGAGATTTTTCCAATGGTTTTGTTCGCTCACGGAGGGTGGAGTAAGCAAAAAATGCTTAAATTAAAAGATAACTCAATAAGTGCATTAATTTTAACTATTTAACCTTCTCCCAAATATAGCATCTCGGCTTGGGCTTTGCCTCCCGGCAATGTAGCTTCGAGCACATATTTAATTTTATCCAGCAAGGTTCTTCCTTCCAGAAAGGGTAACTATGCTAGTTAAGCAATTCTGGTAATATATATAGCCTAGCTCTAGTTCGTTTTGAGAATAGGATTTTACCTCGAGAGAAAGGGTAGGTTCCGAATTGGAAAGAGAAAGTCCGGCATCGTCTACAGGCAGTGTCTAGACCAATCGGGAACCTTACTCGAGTGAAACTTAGAGTTACCCCTCAGGCCTTTAATTTTTCCTTTTTGCTCTGAGTCAACCAGACATTCGATTTTTTGGGATTTTTGTATGGGCAATCTTTCATATCCAATCAGCAAGCCTCAGGAGCCCATAGCCCCTTACTCAACATTGAAGCTGTAAGTCAAAGAGAAGACGAAGACATAGAACTTTACTTCAGTTGATCATGTAAGCAAGTGCTGAAGGAGAAGAAAGGTGGCGTTTGATCCTTGGCTACCCGGCGAATCATCTTATTTAAACAAGTTCCCCTAGCAATATTGCAAAGAAAGAGAATCCCTTAGGAGGATCCTTGTGATGCGCTGCTAATAGGCAAGCTAGCCACACCTGTAATAAGTTAAGTTTAAACTGACCTTCTCCATATAAACTACTCTGTCAATTTTTTCTTTATTCTCTATAGAAATTGGCTCTCGACATCTGATACAGACTGGGCTACGGAGGTTCAAGCAATCTAAACAATGTAAGTGGCCTTTTGAGCATACGGATGTCAAGGAGTTTCCAATTGTAAAAAGGATTTTATTGCACCCATCACAGTATCCTTGGTCCGGCAAAGCCTCATGCAGAAAGTCGAACTTGCTCCCACACTTGCTGCACTGCTTTATCCCTCGCCTTATTTCAATTCCAATGCATTCTTTGCATAGATGATGACATCTAAGCCCATCGAAAAACTGATAAGGGTGCTTATAAAATCCACAGCCCTTGCATAAAATAGCGCTTCCTTCACTTGCAAATTTGGTTAAAGTTTCATTTATGACATCATAGTTTGCAGCGACAACGTCAATCTTATTTAATTGGTATTTGCATTTAGAGCACTTTGGCCTATAAATATTAATTTCTCGATCAACAATGAATCTTTTGGCATCCGACTGAGAACTTATCACTTTTTGAGCGCAGTCAAAGCAAAATTGATGGCAGCACCCAAAAGCCATTTGGTAAGGCTTTAACTTGCACTCCACACATAGCACTTGCTTTTTCAAAGATTGTAGAGAATTCTTTAGCTTTCCAGAAGATGATTCAATTGCAGCATCGAGATTTTGGGAAAGGGTGCTAGGAGCCGTTGGGTCAAGGGATACAAAATTCACATATGGTATAACAAGATCCAAGAACTCTGAAAAACCGTTCAAAAATTCACTTTCTTTAGGGCCAAAGACAGGTGGAGGTACTTGTGAAGGGTCTCCAGGAGTTTTTGCATCTATTCCAGACGTTTTTGTTGGGCTAAGATTTTCGGGAGATGAACTTTCTTTGTTTGGAGGCCTTCTGGAAATAGGATTTTCAAGGTTAGGAGGCTTGATAAATGAAGGAGGAGCCGTGGTAGGACCTCCAGGTGGAAGATTGGGTAAGTTTTGAGGATTTTGGGGTAAGTTGAAAGGTGGTGGGTTGGTAGGAATTGCTATTTTAGGATTAGCAATCAGCTCAGATTTTGGAGTAATTTGTTGGGGATTACTCTTGGGAGGCTGAAAGGTAGGATTGTTCTTTGTAGAAGGAGGTGCAGACTGAAGCCTAGAAATATTGTTTGGGGGAATTATAGGAATTTTCATCTCAGGCGGATCAGGAAGAATTGCTGATTGGTCAATTATGGGGATTCTTGAGTCGGAATTCGGAGGAAGCTGCACTTTTGGGATATCATTGCTTGGAAATGCACTGACACGCTTAAATTCAGAAGCATTTATTGGGTTATTTGGAAGCTTGCGTTCTGGTGAAGGAGAAGCATTGTGCTGAAAGTTTTCGAATGATGACTGAGTCATGCTTGGAGGGGCTGTAAAAGGAGGGTTTTGGAATACTGGACGCTTTGATAAGCCCGCATCGCTATTAGCATTAGGCATTGGCTGCCTACTACCTAAGTAAGATGGTAGCTGGCCTTTCTCATACGACTCTGTGGTGCTTTCAGATTGTTCTTCTTGCTTAGCATTTTTCTTAGGATCAGCTGTTGCTGGTTGAGAAAGCGTTGATTTGTTTTTTTCTCTCCTTTTAAGTTTTTTGGTAATCATATTTTATAGAAAGACAAATAAAGTAAATTTATTTATTTAGTTTCATTATTTTCTTCAATGTAATAGTGCTAATTTTTGAGATAACTTGCCTCTTTGCAGACTTAGCGCGAACTGATCGCGCACTGTATTACATTAATCATATGAAGCTATAAATAGCTCGGAATAAATAAAGTCTATATAAATAGTTTTAAACTTAAAATGCAGACACTAAATAACTGTTTGAGTTATTTATTTGAAATTTCATTGCCTTCTTTATAATTTTAGCTATTAACATGAGAGCAACCCAAGAGCTTTCAGGGCTTTCTCTCACCTATAAAGCTTCGCAAGGTTTGTATGCAAATCTTCAAAAATTATAGACAGTTGGCAAGCAATCCATAGAGAATCAAAAGCAGCAGAGGCAATTATCGAATTCATAGAAAATCGAGACATGAAAGAAGCGCCCCTCGTCGAGGCTCAAGATAAAGGAACTATACAGCCCAAGAGAAAAATGAAAGGATTGAAGCAATGATCTAGAAGCAAAAAAAGTCAAGAAGATTGAGAAATTTGAATTTGAGATAATTTGCCTTGAAGTGGAGTGCATATGATTTTTAAGTGGGAGCAGCTTACAAAAGCAAGCAGAATGGCTTGGATAAAATGCTTGATGGCCTATTAGATGATGCTTTATTGTCAAAAGAACTTGAATGACTTAAACCAGCTTTCGAAAGCAAGCCACCTAAATAAAATAAGAGACGAAGTTAAGACATTAATCAGGCTTATTCGAGCTAGAAAAATGCAGGCAAGCCACAATCTAATGCTTCCTGAAATTTTCTTATAGACCAACTCATCAAATCTCTTTCATGCAGGCACCAGAAATAGAAATCCTTGTCAGCGAAAAAAGATCATTGGCAATGCAAACTGGAGAGGAAAGAGAAAAGCATATCATTGGTGCTATTGAGAAATTATGGACAGGCGAAGAAATTTTAAGACAAGTTTGCAAAGAAAGGGAACGAAGAGAAAGAGCAAATGTGAAAACTGTCTATCACGATTATATAAATTTGAGTATAATATTAAAATATATGAGTTATTTATTGAATGCATCATTCCATAGATTTTCTCGCTCACAGGCAATCAGTGCACTCTTAATTGTCTGTTTCGCTAGATCTGGATTGCTAAAAGGACCGCAAAGTCTGTAATGAGCTGGAATCAAGGGCCCATTTCACAACGCTGAATACAATGGATCGCTTTCTTCAAGATTTGGCAATGCTCCAATTTCTTTAGCTATACTATCAGCAAAACTCACATAATCTGGGTGAGGAAATTGAGGAGTAGGCCTCTTGTTTTTTATTTCAATTTCTTCTTGTATCCCTTTTTGCAAAGCTTCCTCATCGATTGGTGAGAGCATCCCTGCAAATACCATTACTGCCCATCTACTTTGAAGTTCCATAATGGCAAAATAAGACCCACGGTACACTCCAGCAAACGCTATAGTTGGATCATAAGTAGAAAAAGTGCTTTTATACAGCAAAATTGGCTGAAGTAGATTTTTTGGGTTATATCCGATATTATCTGCTATGCTAGAATATAAAAAATCAAGATTCGGCTCAAATCCTGTGCAAAAAACGACTGCATCACAATTAATACGCTTTATTTCGTCACGTTCATTAATTATTATTCCTTGCTCATCAAATTCCAAGATTTCTGCTTTATGAATAAATATCTTCCCGCTCTCTATATCTGCGATATAGCTATCACTTATTATTAAATATGATTCAGCTTCGCTATTTGGATCTATATAAAGATCTGGACAAATCTTTCCTTGTTTCTCTAAAATTCCGCTGAAATATTGATTTCTTGCTCTGTTATTGATTTTTGCTTCTCTCGTTTTTTTAAAAGCACTAGCAGCTCTTGAGTAAAAGCATAAATCAACTGGTATATTATTAGGCGGAAAATATCTTGGAGCAACCCATAAAGGATACTTTATTATGTTATGCACCTCTCCTGCTACTTTAGAAATGTCACTAGCAATTTCAGCTCCACTAAAAGACCCTCCAACTACCACAACTTTTTTGCCAGATAATTCATAATTTCTCCAATAATCATGACTGTGACTCACACTGTGATATATAGAAAATTTTTCAATTCCTTTGATATCTGGATAATGAGGTTTGGAGAATATTGTAATTGCCCGAGGATGGCGCTATCTTGCGCCATCCTCGGGCAATTTAAAAAATGGCCCCACACCGGGAATCAAACCCACTTGTGCGGCCATTTTTGGTGCGTGGAAGTCGATGTTCTCCACTAACCAAAAATGGCCCCACACGTGGGTTCAATTCCCGGTGTGGGGCTATTTTTGAATTGCCCGAGGATGGCGCAAGATAGCGCCATCCTCGGGCAATTACTATATCCCAGTGGCTATGATAACAAAGTCAAACTCCGCTGATTCATGCTCTGTGACTACAGTCCATTTATCTCGGCGTTTATATAGATTTTTAACCTCTCTGTTGTAAAGAATATAAGAATGAAGATTAAAATGATCTGCATAGCGGAGGAGATATGAAAGCAATTCTTCTTGGTTGGGAAACATAGGAGAGTTATCATCCCAAGGAAAATCAGAAAATGAGCAAGAAAATTTTGAAAGATTTGTTAACATTTTGTCTCAGATTCCTTGGTGGCCTTTTCAGAGACCGCCTAAATGTGAAGCTTTTTCGAAAACAGTCGGAGAAAGACCTACCTCTAAAGTAGATTTGCATGCTGCCAATCCACTGGGGCCTGCACCGATGATTGCAACAGAATTATGAGTTATTTCCATTTTTATATTCATATGATTTCTTCTTTTATCAGGAAATAATTTTTAAGTGGGTTATATTTTTGCTTTAGAAAGTATAAAAATTAAACTATTTATGCCAAGTTTCTTGGTTTTAGCGGCTACTAAAATACTTTAAGAAATAAGCAACATCTATCCTTCTGCTAGATTAAATTCTTCATTTAGATAATAATTCACCAATTATGTCAGCCAGGTCTCAGTCGCCTGTTATCCTCTACATGGACTATTTTTCACAGCCATCTCGAGCAGTCCTTTCATTCTGCTTGATCGCCAATATTCCGCACGAAGTCAGAGAAATCAGAATTATGAGGGGTGACCATCTAAGCGAAGAGTTCAGCAGAATCAACCCAATAAAAACAATCCCCACTATTGTTCACAACAATATAACTATCTGCGAGTCTCATGCAATTTTAGCATATTTAGCGACTGTTTTTCATGCAGAAGACCACTGGTATCCTTCAGATCCAGCTCAAAGAGCTTATGTTGACCAATATCTTCATTGACATCATCAAAACATCAGATTTGGATGCGGGTATTATGTATTTTTCAGGATCTACGGAATTAAATTGAAAGTTGTAAAAAGTTCAGTTGACATTGACGAAATGATTTTGGAAAGGCAGAAAAAGGCATTAGCATTTGTAAACGAAACACTTTCGGCTTTCCCCTTTATTGCAAAAACATATTCACCAACTATTGCAGATTTATCGTGCTACTGCGAGTTTTCTCAAATGGAGATACTTAACTTTGATTTCAGTGAATATCCAAATATCATAAATTGGATGAGGGTAATAGGAGAAATCCAGGGAGTTAAAGAAGCGCATAGAGTTTGGAATAAGTTTTTACCAAGAATGAAAATGTAAGCAAGGATATTAAATTGGCAATTAATTTTAATTAACTTATTTTATAAAGATCTTTTCTTTGATTTCATTTTAAAATCACATTTTTTAACCTAAAAGGCTTAATGAAAAATATGAATAAAGAAATTTGTTATCTTAATGAAAATGCGTTATTGGCAATCTAAATTCTTTTACAATATAGCTGCATATGCTCTGCTTAACTCTAAGAAGGCTTTTGGAACTTAAACCTGAAAATACTAAAGTCCAGCAAATTAGCAAATAAAATGCATATTGATAAGCAGAAAATTTACTAATACTAATTGAAATCTATAATTCCAACTCTTAACTGAAATGGGGTATTCTAAATGAATATTTTGAAGAAAACCATTAGATGAATTGCATTTTACTGTAAAAACAGATAGATTATATTTACCTCTAATTAAGCAACATTATTGTCTATTTTTCATACACTTTATGTTGCTTAGAATATGTCTTATTAGCATAATTATGTGCATTATAATATAAAAAATAATTTTCAGCATATTTGTTGATCATAAAGATTGCTAATAACTCTAGCTTTCTTAATTTTAAATTTGATCTCAACTTATTTTTTTGGATTCACAAGTAATTCCCTCACTATTGAATAAATAAAATGGCTCCGTCGTTTGATTCTCTTTCAATTTATATTTACCATGCTAAAGGTAGATAATATGATTAAATTGACTTACAATACCCCATAGTTTTTTTATTTATGTACAATAGATCAGGACTATCAAATATCATATTTAAATAATCTTCCAAAACAATATTTACAGCTAAAAGGAAAAATTAAAAATTAAAATTAGGTACTTTCAACAGATGCATAATTAATTTTATTGCAATAAAAAATATGATTAAATTTAATGCTAGATGGATTCTTTTTTATTAATTAATATGTGGACACAAGCAGTTGCCATTCTGGCGATTTTATCCCAGTGCTTTGGGCAGTTGCTTGCTGAAATTATTTATAGCAGCCATACAGACGCAATTTTAATAGCTAGCATTTCTTCAGCAATAAATCAAAAATTTTTCTTGAAAGTAGAAATAAACGAAGTCTTTATTAATACAGATTTGAATATCGAAAATCTCAGTGAAGAGTCGGATATTATTTTTGATCTTTCTGAAAGTGCCTCAATCTCAGAAATTATTAAAGATTTTACAAAAAAGCATCAAATAATTCTTGTTTCAATCCAAAATCCTGCTAATTCATACACTGATTGGCAGTATTTTACTCATCCTACAAATTTGGAAAATTTAATGGCTTTATCAAGCATACTTAGTTTTTTAAATTGAGAAAAATTTATTATTATTTTTGATGAAAATACAATTGACTACCTCAAGGACTTCAAAGATCAGTTCTTATTAAAGCAATTAGTGCCATTTTTTTTTAGCAACAAAGAAACCCAAACATTTTCAGATAATTTTATTGGGAAGGTAGTCAAATCTACTGGAATCAGAAATATTGCCATTTTAAACCAATGAAAAAGTGCCTCAAAATTAGTTAAAAGTTTGAGGAATAAAAATATGATGAAGGAAGGAATCGGGATAATTTTGGGAAGCTGAAGCTGATGGGATGTAAATGAAAATGGAATTTTGGGTTATACCGAATCAGGGCTTGAAAATGCTACAGGCTACTATAGTTATGAAGCTTTAGCTTGCGTCAAATTAATGGACCTGATACTCACTTTCCCTTCTAGCAGCAATAATTTAGAGTTAATAGATTACTTAGAGCAAAATACAATAAACCACCATCCAATCCCAAGTTTTACAATTATGAACTCATATAATAACGAAAAAAGAAGAGTTGGAGCAATGGCTGATGGAGCGATTATTTGAAATGATGATTTAATTTTCGTTGGAAATTCATCATCTATACCAAATTCTCCAACAACACCGATAAATATATGAATAGCAGATGGTAAGACAAATCCTGGATTTGCAAATAGTGAGTTGCCATATTCCATTAAAGCAGGAGCACGCTATGCTTTACTTTCTTATAAACAAAAGACTCACTTTCTCGATGGCTTTGATATTGTGCTCACGCATACTGACTGCGGAGCCGAAGTCTACGAGCCAGCCTTTTCTTTGAAATGCTTTTCTGAATTAAAAGGCAACCCTGGTATTGTTTTTATGACGACTCCACTTCCTACCACCTTATTTGGAAATTTGATTTCTATGAAAGCTTTGAATATTACAATGCCAGTTATATCCGAATATGCAACTCCTCAAGCATTAGAAAGTAAAACCAATTACCCACAATTCATGAGAATTGCAGGATACGACCTATACCATACTAGTGTCCTTACTACACTAATCAATGTTTTTGGATGGAAGAATATAGTTTTAATACTAGAAAACTCGACAGACAATATTGCTATTCACGATTATATTGTCAATTGGGCAGAAGAATTTAAAATTAACATTGCAAACAAAGAAGAAGACAGATGAATAATGCTGAGCTATAATCATACTAGATTTGATACGGTAAAAGATTGAATGAAGAGAATAATTGATTTAAAAGTGAGGCCTATGCTATTTTATGTCACTCCACCATTTGAGTATAATGCAATTGTTGATTTTTATGAAGCTGGCTTAAGGCAAGGAAATTGCATTTTTTTACTTACTAATAGAGTTGCTTTTGTTCAAACTAAGGTAAATGGTGATGTTGCTAAGCAAAGATTAAGAGAACTGCTATACGGTGCATTAATAATAATGGAAGCTGAATATATCGGAGAATATGGTCAAGAAATTTTGAAAGAGCTACAAGAGTATTACTATCCTTTATTTTATAGCGATTGAAAGTGCTTATCATTTGATGCTGCTATGCTGATTTTGAATGGATTAAAATATACATTAGCTCAAGGGGATGATTATGAAGATAATTCTGTATTCAATGCAAATCTCAGACTTCAAAAATTCTTGAGCTGCTCAGGGACTGTTTCAATTGAATCTGATAGCAATAATCGAAATTCGGCAACCCTCGGGATCTATAATATGAGGTGAAATGAAAGCACTGGATTGATCTATGAATCGCTAACTGGCACATATAGTGTTGGAAGTAAACAACTGTTCACATTTTTCGATAACATTATTTGATTTAGCAATAAAACAACTCTTCCTGATGATAAGATTGTGTACGATAATGGATGCCCTTTTGATAAGAGTGAAATCAGATTCTCTGCAAAAGGAGCAGCAATTTTTTACTCTTCATCATCTTTCATTTTTATTGTAGCAATCATTATATCTTTCTATGTATGGAAAAAGCGTTGGCATGCGAAAGATCCAGAACCAATAAAAAAATCAAGAATTCAATTTGAGGATTATATAGCTATGATTGCGGTTTTTATCGATTTTTTCCAATTCCTTTCTCTTGGTCCTGACTTCAGTTACGATGTTATTTCAACGAAAGTATCGTCTTGAGTTTCAATAAATATAACCCAGGCTCCTCATATCTCGCCTTCGTCTACCAACTTTCAGGCTAAATCTTGAGTTTATTTTGAACCAACAATTGTCAAACCAATTCCACGCATTGATAAATAGCAGCTATAGGTAAAATGTCATCTTGTGGAGTTCGTTTGGCAAACTTCTGATTCTAAACAAATTCAACGAATAGACCAAAATTTGGTATTCAGAGCGAATATAATTAGCCCTGGGCCATATAGGATGACTGAACAAAGGAGAAAAACTCTGGATATATGCGAATTGCGCTGTAGTGATTGTTGCTTTATGAGTATTCTTCAGTATTCAAATCGCTTTTAACTTATTTGAAAAGTCTGATAATACTTTCAGCTCAACTATCCGAGCAATGTCAAAATTATCATTAACAATAATAGGAAACTTGGGTTTTTTGCCTCTTATTTCTGTATTTTTAAGCTCTTTTGCATGCTATGAATCTATAGGTCCAAATATAAAACAAACATTTGTACATCAAGACTGCTCTACATTTTGTTGGCAAGATAAGCATATCATATGGGCTACACTATCTATTATTTCATTACTTATTTATTTACCCTCAGCTATATATTTTAGGCCATTTGTAGATACTATGAGCAACGGAAATATAAAATCTAAGCCTTTATTTATGATGGCAAAAGGAGTTTTGCAAGTGAGTGCAATTATTTTAAGTAAGACACTAAAAGTTTACTATGCGGGTTTGCATGGACTTATTTATATCTTGCTCGTTTCAATTTTTACTGCGTTTTGCATTAAGCTTAAGCCATATAACTATGGCCGAGTGAACCTCTGGCTAATTATGTCTTATTTGGCTGTTATATGAAGCGTATCATTATCTTCTATTTCTTCTATTTCATCATATCAATCTATACCATTATGACTAACAGCTGATTTTATAGGCTGGGCATTATTGACTTTCACAGGGCTGTACATCCAAGCTTGGTATTGCCCATCAATGCTATTTACTGAAGAAAATGGTGATATTGGGGTGCTATTTAGATTTCAGCTTGGAAAGTCAATAAATGCAGACAAAATTAACCAGATCATAAGGGAAAGGAAATTTGAATCAGCGAGATTTAGTAGTAATTTTTTAAATCTTTCCGATAGAACCCAAAACAATTTTATTGTAGATAAAGGCAAAGACTGTAAAAAAGGAGAAGTACTGCCATTTAAACTTTCGTATCATTAAATATAATTCCATATTAATAGCTTTAAAGTAAATTTAACAACTTAAAGGAAAAGGAAATCAGAAGGCTTTTGGATTTAAACCTGAAAATACTAGAGCCTAGCAAATTAGTAAATAAAACTCATAAAATTGATAAACAGAACAGAAAATCTACGAATACTAAATTGAAATCTATAATTCCAACCTTTTACCTGAAATGGATATTCTAAATGAATATTTTGAAGAAAATTGTTAGATGAATTGCTTTTTATTGTAGAACCAGATAAATTATATTTACCTCTAATTAAGCGCATTATTGTCTATTTTTTATAGATTTTAAGTGGCTTAGAATATATATGCTTTATTAGCGTGATTATTTGCATTATAATGTAATAGAATAATTTTCAACGTATTCGTTGATCATAAAGATTGCTAATATCTCTCGCTTTCTTAATTTTAAATTTGACCTTAACTTATTTTCTTTGGATCCATAAATAATTTCCTCACTATTGAATAAATAAAATGTTTTCGCACTTTTATTCTCTTTCAATTTATATTTACCATGCTTAAGACAAGATAATATGATTAAATTGACTTGCAAGACCTCATAGTTTTTTTGCTTATGTACAAGAGATCAGGGCTATCAAAATACATATTTAAATATTCTTAGATAACAAATATTTGTAGCTAAAAGGAAAAACTAAAAACTAAAATTAGGTACTTTCAACAGATGCATAATTACTTTTATTACAATGAAAATCTCATTTAATTAAATGCTAGATGGTTTCTTTTTGATTAATTAATATGTGGACACAAACAATTGCCATTCTGGCGATTTTATCCCCGTGCATTGGGCAATTGCTTGCTGAAATTTTTTATAGTAGCAATACAGACGCAATTCTAATAGCTAGCATCTCTTCAGCAATAAATCAAAAATTTCCCTTGAAAGTAGAAGTTAACGAAGTCTTTATCAATACAGATTTGAATATCGAAAATCTCAGTGAAGAGTCGGATATTATTTTTGATCTTTCTGAAAGTGCCTCAATCTCAGAAATTATTAAAGATTTTTCAGAAAAGCATCAAATAATTCATGTGTCAATAAATTCTGCTAATTCATATACTGATTGGCAGTATTTTACTCATCCTACAAATTTGGAAAATTTAGTTGCTTTATCAAGCTTAGTGAGTTTTTTAAATTGAGAAAAATTTATTATTATTTTTGATGAAAATACAATTGACTACTTCAAGGACTTCAAAGATCAGTTCTTATTAAAGCAATGAGTGCCATTTTTTTTCGGCAACAAAGAAACCCAAACATTTTCAGACAATTTTATTGGGAAGGTAATCAAATCTACTGGGATCAGAAATATTGCCATATCGAATCAAGGTGAAAGTGCCTCAAAATTAGTTAAAAGTTTGAGAAATAAAAATATGATGAAGGAAGGAATCGGGATAATTTTGGGAAGCAGAAGCTGATGGGATGTAGATGAAAATGGGATTTTGGGTTATACCGAATCAGGGCTTGAGAATGCTACAGACTACTATAGCTATGAAGCTTTAGCTTGCGTCAAATTAATGGACATGATACTCACTTTTCCGTCTAGCAGCAATAATTTAGACTTAATAGATTACTTAGAGCAAAATACAATAAACCACCATCCAATCCCTAGTTTTACAATTATGAACTCATATAATAACGAAAAAAGAAGAGTCGGAGCAATCGTTGATGGAGCGATTATTTGAAATGATGATTTAATTTTCGTTGGGAATTCGTCATCTATTCCAAATTCTCCAACAACACCAATAAATATATGAATAGCGGATGGTACCACAAATCCTGGATTTGCAAATAGCGATTTGACATATTCCATTAAAGCAGGAGCACACTATGCTTTACTTTCTTATGTGCAAAAGACTCACTTTCTTGATGGCTTTGATATTGTGCTCACGCATACAGATTGTGGAGCCGAAGTCTACAAGCCAGCCTTTTCTATGAAATGCTTTTCTGAATTAAAAGGCAACCCTGGCATTGCTTTTATGACGACTCCACTTCCCTCTACCTTATTTGGAAATTTGATTTCTATGAAAGCTTTGAATATTACAATTCCAGTTATATCCGAATATGCAACTCCTCAAGCATTGGAAAGTAAAATTAATTACCCACAATTCATGAGAATTGCTGGGTATGACTTATACCATACTAGTGTCCTTACCACACTAATCAATGTTTTTGGATGGAAGAATATAGTTTTAATACTAGAAAACTCGACAGACAATATTGTCATTCACGATTATATTGTCAAATGGGCAGAAGAATTTAAAATTAACATTGCAAACAAAGAAGAAGACAGATGAATTATGCTGAGCTATAATCATACTAGATTTGATACAGTAAAAGAGTGAATGAAGAGAATAATTGATTTAAAAGTGAGGCCTATGCTATTTTATGTCACACCGCCATTTGAGTATAATGCAATTGTTGATTTTTATGAAGCTGGCTTAAGGCAAGGAAATGGTATTTTTTTACTTACTAATAGAGTTGCTTTTGCTCAAATTCATGTAAATGGTGATGCTGCTAAGCAAAGATTAAGAGAGTTGCTATACGGTGCATTAATAATAATGGAAGCTGAATTTATTGGAGAATATGGTCAAGAAATTTTGAAAGAACTACAAGAGTATTACTATCCTTTAGCTACAAGTGATTTTAAGTGCTTATCATTTGAAGCTGCTATGCTGATTTTGCATGGATTAAAATATACATTAGCTCAAGGGGATGACTATGAAGATAATTCTGTATTCAATACAAATCTCAGACTCCAAAAATTTTTGGGCTGCTCAGGAACTGTTTCAATTGAATCTGATAGCAATAATCGAAATTCAGCAACTCTTGGGATCTATAATATGAGGTGAAATGAAAGCACTGGATTTATCTATGAATCAATAACTGGCACCTATAGTGTTGGAAGTAAACAGCTGTTCACATTTTTCGATAATATTATTTGATTTAACAATAAAACAACTCTTCCTGATGATAAAATTGTGTACGATAATGGATGTCCTTTTGACAAGAGTGAAATCAGATTCTCTACAAAAGGAGCAGCAATTTTTTACTCTTCATCAGCTTTCATTTTTAATGTATCGATCGTTATAACTTTCTATGTATGGAAAAAGCGTTGGCATAGGGAAGATCCAGAACCAATAAAAAAATCAAGAATTCAATTTGAGGATTATATAGCAATGATTGCGGTTTTTATCGATTTTTTCCAATTCCTTTCTCTCGGTCCTGACTTCAGTTACGATGTTTTTTCAACGAAAGTATCGACATGAGTTTCAATAAATATAGGATGACTAAACAAAGGAGAAAGACTCTGGATCTATTTGAATTGCGCTGTAGTGATTGTTGCTTTATGAGTATTCTTCAGTATTCAAGTTGCTTTTAACCTATTTGAAAAGTCTGACAATACTTTCAGCTCAGCTATCCGAGCAATGTCAAAAATATCATTAACAATAATAGGAAACTTGGGCTTTTTACCTCTTATTTCTGTATTTTTAAGCTCTTTTGCATGCTATGAATCTATAGGTCCAAATATAAAACAAACATTTGTACATCAAGACTGCTCTACATTTTGCTGGCAAGATAAGCATATCATATGAGCTACACTCTCTATTATTTCATTACTTATTTATTTACCCTCAGCTATATATTTTCGACCATTTGCAGATACTGTGAGCAATGGAAATATAAAATCTAAGCCTTTATTTATGATGGCCAAAGGAGTTTTGCAAGTGAGTGCAATTATTTTAAGTAAGACGCTAAAAGTTTACTATGCAAGCTTGCATGGGCTTATTTATATCTTGCTCGTTTCGATTTTTATTGTCTTTTGCATTAAGCTTAAACCATACAACTATGGTCGAGTTAACCTCTGGCTAATTATATCTTATTTGGCTGTTATATGGGGTGTATCATTATCTTCTATTTCTTCTATTTCCTCATATCAATCTATACCATTATGACTGACAGCTGATTTTATAGGTTGGGCCTTATTGACTTGCACAGGGCTGTATATCCAAGCTGGGTATTGCCCATCAATGCTGTTTACTGAAGAAAATGGTGATATTGGGGTGTTATTTAGATTTCAGCTTGGAAAGTCAATAAATGCAGACAAAATTAACCAGAGCATAAGAGAAAGGAAATCTGAATCAGCCAGATTTAGTAGTGATTGTTTAAATCTTGAAGGCTCCGATAGAACCCAAAACAATTTTATTGTAGATAAAGGCAAAGACTGTAAAAAAGGAGAAGTACTGCCATTTAAACTTTCGTATCATTAAATATAATTCCATATTAATAGCTTTAAAGTAAATTTAACAACTTAAGTATTGGCTTATCTCTAGTTGATTATAAGAAATTTGACAACCACCCTAATATAAAAAGTAATCATTAATAAAATTGAATATATCAGTTAATTGAATCTATGTATAAATGAAATGAGATTAATTAGCATCAGCTTTTTTGTTCGGTAGTAAAATATTATGAAATTGGGAAGTTTTTGAATCTATTCAAAAAAATTAAGTGATATTAGCTAGCATCATCATAGATGGAAAGACTGTATCCCATTTCTATTTAAAAATATATCGCTGTTTACAGATTCCAAGATTAGGTTCCAAAACCTTTTTAACTTATCTTACGCTTTATAGCTCTTGAGCTTTTTGCCGGTGTTTAGAGAGTAGGTATTTGCATTAAAATAAAGCGGAAAAAAAAATATTAAAGTGATCTACTCAAAAGGTAAATTCCTGATTTCTCTTTTTATGATACCTCGACCATTTTAGCTGCATCCTATTTAAGCTTTAGCATAGAGTCAAATATGTGATTTATTGAAATTTAACTAAATTATTATCTTAGCATAAATAAATATTAATTTTATGTCGAAATTAATTTCTTTTACCTACTAGAGTTAAAAGCTATCAAAATTCAATATATTTTACCTACTAGAGTTCAAAGCTATCAAATTTCAATATATGTATTTTTTTATAAAACAAATATTTATTGGAAAAAAAAACTAAAACTCAGCACTTTCATAAACGCATAAAGAATTTTCATCATAAATATTCAAATAAATTGCTATTTCTTTTTTTTTATTTAATTAAGATGTGAATGCAAGCACTTACCATTCTAGCAATCTCATTCCAGTATTTTGGGCAGTTGCTTGTTGAAGTGATTTATAGTAGTAGCACAGATAGAAAGCTAACAGCTAGTATCTCGTCAGCAATAAAACAAAAATTTTCTTTGCAAGTTGATTTAAAAGAAGTCTTTATTAATACAGATTTGGATATCGAGCTTCTCAGTGAGACGTCGAATATTATTTTTGATCTTTCTGAAAGCATCTCAATCTCAGAAATTATAAAAGATTTTTCCAAAAAACATCAAATAATTATTGTCTCTATCCAAAATTCTGTTAATTCGTACTCTAATTGGCAATATTTTACTCATCCTGCAAATTTGGATGATTTAATGGCTTTATCAAGCTTAGTCTTGCTACTTAAATTGCTTATAGAGAAGTCCCTTGCAGTCTCGTAGGCTACTACTTACTTCTTCATAGCGGTTAGCCGCTTACTCTTCAGTCTAAACACAGTTTTCCACAGTGTTACTCCTCAAGGACGAGACTTGCACTCTCTACTAGAGAGCCGGAGACTCTTAGTCATCATCCCGCATACGCAAACTGGGTTCGCATTCCAGAAAACACGAAAAACTAATTTTCTCTAAGGGCCATGGGTCAGAATGGAACTCAGAGCCCAGAACGCAACTCTTGACATCGCGCTCCGAATTCGCTCGATTGGCTAACTCCCCCCTCCGTGAGTGAACAAAAATATCTTGTTCGCTCACGGAGTGGGGTTATTTTTTTTTTTTTTTTTAATTTATTATAAATTCATAGAAATTTTTTTTCGAAATTAAAAAAAGCCTAATTCGCAAAAATTGATAAGCAAATATTAATTTATTATAAAATTTATGTTTTAAAACGCAATTTGTTTAAAATTAAACAGAATTAGCTAGAGATCTTTTTATTATAATAATTATCACTTATATATCAAAAGTTTTTTCTATAAAAAATTTTTGTTCCCCACAGATTGTGGGCTTTTTGGGCAATAAATAAGAATCTTTCGAATGGTTTTGTTCACTTACGAAGGGGGGGAGTAAGTGGCCACCTCTGGCCTTTAGGGCTTTCCTTACAACTCCGGCGAACCATCTCCCGACAAGAGATAAAGCCTTGACCCGGATATGAGCATGCCGTCCAGCAACCAAGTAAAAATGTTAGATCCACATTTCCGAATGCTGTCCTCTCTTCCACAATGTCCCACGCTTTTCCAATAAACCTATAGGCTGCAGATACCAAGAGCGCAAGTTGGCTAATACGCTATTTTAATTTATATAATGATTTTATCAAGCTTACTTAGTTTTTTAAATTGAGAAAAATTTATAATTATTTTTGACGATAATACAATTGATTACTTCAAGGACTTCAAAGATCAGTTCTTATTAAAGCAATGAGTGCCATTTTTTTTCGGCAACAAAGAGACCCAAAAATTTTCGGATAATTTTATTGGGAAGGTAATCAAATCTACTGGGATCAGAAATATTGTCATATCGAATCAAGGTGAAAGTGCCTCAAAATTAGTTAAAAGTTTGAGAAATAAAAATATGATGAAGGAAGGAATCGGGATAATTTTGGGAAGCAGAAGTTGGTGGAATGTAGATGAAAATGGAATTTTGGGTTACACCGAATCAGGGCTTGAAAATGCTACAGATTATTATAGTTATGAAGCTTTAGCTTGCGTCAAATTAATAGACCTAATAATCAATTTCCAGCATAGGAGGAATAATTTAGACTTAAGACATTACCTACTCCTCCCTCGTGAGTGAATGAAAAAATTTTATTCGCTGAGAAGGGGGCTAATTTTTTTCGAAATTTAAAAAAATCCCATTTCTAAAAAGTGGAAAGCAAATATTTATTTAATTTGTAAAATTTACGTTTAAAATGCAAGCTGTTCAAATTTAAACAGAATTAGCTAAAGATTTCATTATATAATTATCACTTATATATCTCGTATTGAAAAAGAATTTCTAGAGGGGGGTTAGAGCAAAATACAATAAACCACCATCCAATCCCTAGTTTTACAATTATGAACTCATATAATAACGAAAAAAGAAGAGTCGGAGCAATCGTTGATGGAGCGATTATTTGAAATGATGATTTAATTTTCGTTGGGAATTCGTCATCTATTCCAAATTCTCCAACAACACCAATAAATATATGAATAGCGGATGGTACCACAAATCCTGGATTTGCAAATAGCGATTTGACATATTCCATTAAAGAAGGAACACGCTATGCTTTACTTTCTTATGTGCAAAAGACTCACTTTCTTGATGGCTTTGATATTGTGCTCACGCATACAGATTGTGGAGCCGAAGTCTACAAGCCAGCCTTTTCTATGAAATGCTTTTCTGAATTAAAAGGCAACCCTGGCATTGCTTTTATGACGACTCCACTTCCCTCTACCTTATTTGGAAATTTGATTTCTTTAAAAGCTTTGAATATTACAATTCCAGTTATATCCGAATATGCAACTCCTCAAGCATTGGAAAGTAAAATTAATTACCCACAATTCATGAGAATTGCTGGGTATGACTTATACCATACTAGTGTCCTTACCACACTAATCAATGTTTTTGGATGGAAGAATATAGTTTTAATACTAGAAAACTCGACAGACAATATTGTCATTCACGATTATATTGCCAATTGGGCAGAAGAATTTAAAATTAACATTGCAAACAAAGAAGAAGATAGGTGAATTATGCTGAGCTATAATCATACAAGATTTGGAGAGGTAAAAGATTGAATGAAGAGGATAATTGACTTAAGAGTGAGGCCTATATTGTTCTATGTCACTCCACCATTTGAGTATAATGCAATTGTTGATTTTTATGAAGCTGGCTTAAGGCAAGGAAACTGCATTTTTTTACTTACTAATAGAGTTGCCTATGTTCAAGTTCATGCACATGGTGATGCTGCTAAGCAGAGATTAAGAGAGTTGCTATACGGTGCATTAATAATAATGGAAGCTGAATTTATCGGAGAATATGGTCAAGAAATTTTGAAAGAACTACAAGAGTATTACTTTCCTTTAGCTACTAGTGATTTTAAGTGTTTATCATTTGATGCTGCTATGCTGATTTTGCATGGATTAAAATATACATTAGCTCAAGGAACTGACTATGAAAATAATTCTGTATTCAATACAAATCTCAGATTCCAAAAATTTTTGGGCTGCTCAGGAACTGTTTCAATTGAATCTGATAGCAATAATCGAAATTCAGCAACTCTTGGGATCTATAATATGAGGTGAAATGAAAGCACTGGATTTATCTATGAATCCCTAACTGGGACCTATAGTGTTGGAAGTAAACAACTGTTCACATTTTTCGATAATATTATTTGATTTAACAATAAAACAACTCTTCCTGGTGATAAGATTGCATACGATAATGGATGTCCTTTTGACAAGAGTGAAATCAGATTCTCTACAAAAGGAGCAGCAATTTTTTACTCTTTATCAGTTTTCATTTTTATTGTAGCAATCGTTATAACTTTCTATGTATGGAAAAAGCGTTGGCATAGGGAAGATCCAGAACCAATAAAAAAATCAAGATTTCAATTTGAGGATTATATAGCAATGATTGCGGTTTTTATCGATTTTTTCCAATTCCTTTCTCTCGGTCCTGACTTCAGTTACGATGTTTTTTCAACTAAAGTATCGACCCTAGTTTCGATTAATATAGGATGACTCAACAAAGGAGAAAGACTATGGATATATGTGAATTGTGCTATAGTAATTGTTGCTATATGAGTATTCTTCAGTATTCAAGTCGCTTTTAACTTATTTGAGAAGTCTGACAATACTTTCAGTTCAGCTATCCGAGCAATGTCAAAAATATCATTAACAATAATAGGAAACTTGGGCTTTTTACCTCTTATTTCTGTATTTTTAAGCTCTTTTGCATGCTATGAATCTATAGGTCCAAATATAAAACAAACATTTGTACATCAAGACTGCTCTACTTTTTGCTGGCAAGATAAGCATATCATATGAGCTACGCTATCCGCTATTTCATTACTTGTTTATTTACCCTCAGCAATATATTTTCGACCATTTGCAGACACTATGAGTCATGGTAATGTAAAAACTAAACCACTATTTTTAATGGCTAAAGGACTATTGCAAGTGGGTGCAATCATTCTAAGTAAGACGCTAAAAGTTTACTATGCAAGTTTGCACGGACTTATTTATATCATACTTTTTACAATTTTTATTGTGTTTTGCATTAAGCTAAAGCCATATAATTATGGCCGAATGAACCTTTGACTAATAATGTCTTATATGGCTGTTATATGGGGTGTATTATTATCCTCTATTAATTCTGTATCTTCATATCATTCTGCGCTACTTGGACTAATTGTTGATTTTATGGGCTGGCTGATTATAGCATTCACAGGTTTATACATTCAAACTAGATATTATCCTTCGATGCTATTTGCTGAAGAAAATGCTAATATTGGGGAGCTATTTAGATTTCAGCTTGGAAAGTCAATAAACGCTGATAAAATCAACCAGATCATAAGAGAAAGTAAATTTGAATCAACCAGGTTAAGAAGTAACGGCTCTGAAAGCCAAACCAATTTAATTGCAGATAAAAGCAAAGAATATATAAAAGTAGAAGAAAAGTCATTAAAGCTTTCATTTAATTAAAGTAAAATTCTAAACTAATAGCTTTTCAAATAAAATTTCAAAAAAAAGCAAATTCTTAGTTATCTTACCAACGCAACCTTTATGTTTGAGATAATATTAAGTTGTAACCAAAGTTCTGAATTTATGACAACAGTCTTAATAAATTCAATTCTTTATTATATTAATAAAGATTATTGGCTCTTCTTAAATTTCCTTTTAAAATTGAAATGGAAATTAAAAAAATCATTTCAAGATTTATTAATGATTCATGAGAAATAATCCAAATTTACAAAACAAAATTTTAAAAAAATTTTTTTGATGCTTTAAAAACATTTAAGAAGTTTATAATGTATTGAAAAATTAAATTCTAAATCAGAAATAATTAAAACATTTAAATATCAAAACAATATGTCAATTATATAGATAAAAGATCTTTTCCTATTCATTAAATATGGAGATAGTTACAAATTTTATACTACAGCGCTTAGTGGCAATTAGTTTATAGAGATTATAAAAAATTGAAAATTTAATATCTTTTCATGGGGAAAAATTATATTGCAATTTCGCTTTACTGGTTGGACTACTGACTCCTTTTAGATATAGAAAATCAAAAAGAAAATTTGAAGATTATATTTAATGCTTTAAATAAAACTATTATGCTTATTAAATAGACTTCCTATTTTACTTAAATACAATTAAAAATAAGTGGTGATAAAGATAATTCAACGTTTCTACCTGATATATAACTGATTAGCGATGCTGAATATAGGCTTTGCACACAATAAAAGATCAATTTATAGCTTAATTAATAAGATGTGGACACAAACTAATATATTTCTGGCAATTTTATTCCACGGCCTTTGTCAACTGCTCATAGAAATCGTTTATAGTAGCAACACAGGAATAAATTTAAAAGAAAGCATATCTTTAACAATAAAAGCAGAATTTCTCCTCCAAGTCGACATAATGAAGTTCTTATAAATACAGATTTGGAAATTGAAAATATTACTCCGCTTCATTATCAAGTAAGGTATTACTCTTATGCACATATACTTTTATTTTAATAAAATATTCTGATATTGAGGATTCTATTTCTTCTTTGTTGAGGCAGACAGGACTTCAAATAAGAATCTTTTTGAACTATTATATTTAAGATTTTATTAGGATTTTAATTTCTAATTTAAAGAACTTGAGTCATTGTTTAAAGATAGCCAACCTGTAATGAGCTTAAGTTTAAGGTAAAGACAAATGATATCTTAAATTTAAAGCAGGCAGTCAATAATAATCTGTAAAAACTAAGATGCAATATATTCTTAATTAATAGTTTATATAAAAATTTTCATTTAATATAATCTAATTTGTAGGATTTTTTATTAATTAAATGTGGATATGAATCGGTGTAATTCTAGTGACACTATACCAAGTATTTTGCCAACTATTAATTGAGATAGCTTATAGTAATTATACAGATTTGAAATTAAAATCAACTATAAGGTATGCACTCCTTTAGCTCTCTATAGGGCTGATTTCAACTTGCCAGATAAGATCCGACATAAAATCCACTTCTGATAGGTCAAACGTAGTTTGATGATTTATCCAAAAAAGGATGGATTTGCCAATATGTTCATTTTATCATAGCAGGAGGAGATATCGGATTTATTCTGCAGGTTTGAGATAATCCTAATCGAGATCAACCTGGATTCTGCAGGTATATCTATTCAGTGATGGAGCAAAAATTTTCGTTCCAAGTTGAATTAAATCAGATGTTGATTAACTCTGTTTTAGATATTGAAAATCTCAGCGAAAAATCGAATATTATCCTTGACATTACTTTTAGTGCTTCGATATCTGAACTTTTAAGAGAATTTACCAGTAAGCATCAAATAATTCATATCTCGACTAAAAATTCTTTTAGCTCATGAACTAGGTGGCAGTATTTTACTCACTTTTCAAATATGGACCACTTGCTAGCCCTTTCTAGCTTAGTTAGTTTTGTAAATTGACAGAAATTCATAATCATATTTGATGAAAGCACAATTGATTATATTATAATGCATGGATTCTTTTTAGACTTTATACTCATAGATCATGGGTTTAATTTTATAGGTTAAATTATTCTATAGCATTCAATTTCTTGGACAAACAGCCGTTTAAGTATGACATTTTTAAGTAAAAAAATATGGGAATTATTCATCAAGTCTCAAAAATTAATTCTCTAATGCAGTGCAGCATGAGTCCTTTGAGCTTATGAAAATATTTTTAAAGACTCCATATCAATTAACTAAAAAAAGGTTAAGCTTGGATGAAATAAAAATTAACTAATCTTTATGAATGAACCTTTAAAAAACCAATAAAGCACACCACATAATCATTGATTAGGCATAAATATTGCAGCAATAAGAGTGCCTGAGCTATAAAGTATTCAAAAATCAATTTTTATCTTACCAGTGAGTACCATTATTTTTAGGAGACAAAGAAAGTCAAGATTTTACAGATGCATTTGTTGGGAAGCAAATCAAACCGATTGGAATCAGAAACATTATAATCTCAAGCCAAGGTAAGAGTGCTTCGAAGTTAGTTAAGAGCTTGAAGAAGAAAAATTTGATGATAAACGGAACAGGAATAATTTTGGGAAGCAGAAGCTGATCAGATATAAGTGAAAATGGAATTTTTGGATTCATTGAATCAGGACTTGAAAAAGCTATAGATTATTATAGTTATGAAGCTTTGGCTTGCGTTAAATTAATGGATTTAATACTCAGCTTCCCATCCAACAACAATAATGTATTTTTACGAGATTTTTTGGAGCGAAATACAATAAACCACCACCCAATCCCGATCTTTACAATAATGAACTCAGATAATAGCGAGAAAAGAAGCGCCGGAACATTGATTGATGGAGTGATAACTTGAAATAATGATTTAGTTTTTATTGGCAATTCTTCTTCAATCCCAAATTCTCCTACAACACAAGTTAATATATGAATAGCAGATGGGTCGACAAATCCTGGGTTTGGAAATAGCACCTTATCTAATCCAATTAAGCAAGGCGCACGCTATGCTTTGCTTTCATATGCTGAAAAAACTCATTTCCTTGATGGCTTTGATATTATATTGACGCATACAGACTGTGGAGCAGAAGTTTATGATCCTGCTTTTTCTTTGAATTGTTTTTCTAAAATAGACAATCCTGGCGTTGCTTTTATGACGACTCCTCTCCCATTTACTTTGATTGGGAACCTAATTTCTTTGAAAGCGCTAAACATTTCAATGCCTGTTGTTTCTGAGTACGCAACTCCTCAAGCTTTGGAAAATGAGGCTGAATACCCCCAATTCATGAGGATTGCGGGCTATGACTTATACCACACAAGCGTGCTCACGACTTTAATTAATGTTTTTGGGTGGGAAAACGTGATTTTAATATTAGAAAATTCGACTGATAATGCAATTATTCATGACTATATTGCAAAATGAGCAGAAGACTTTAAAATTAATATTGTCAATGAAGAAAAAGACAGGTGGATCATGCAGAATTACAACCATACGAGATTTGAGGAAGTTCAAGATTGAATGAAGAAGATTATAGAATTCAAAATAAGGCCAATCTTATTCTACGTTACGCCACCGTTTGAGGCTAATGTTATTATTGATTTTTATGAGGCTGGCCTCAGGCAAGGAGATTGCATCTTTTTATTAACGAACAGAGTGGCGTTTACACAGGACCATGCAGTTGGGGTAGTCAATAAGCAAAGATTGGGGGAGTTGCTATATGGTGGCTTAGTAATCATGGAAGCTGAGTATATTGGAGAATATGGCAAAGAAATCTTAAAAGAACTGCAAGAATACTATTATCCTTTGACAATTTCTGATTTCAAATGCTTGTCATTTGACGCTGCGATGCTCATCTTGCATGGAATAAAGTATACCTTAAGCCAAGGAGAGAACATTGAAGATAGCAGTATTTTGAATACAAATCTAAGACTCCAAAAATTTTTAGGGTGTTCTGGTACTGTTTCAATCGAATCTGGCAGTAATAACCGAAATTCGGCAACACTTGGGATCTATAACATAAGATGAAATCAAACAACTAATTTGATTTATGAGTCGCTAACTGGCGTTTATAATATTGGAAGTAAACAATTATTTACTTTTTTTGATGATATTGTTTGGTATAGCAATAGTACTATACTTCCTGATGACAAGATTGTATATGATAATGGATGCCCTTTCTATAAGAGTGAAGTCAGATTTTCTTCAAATGGGGCAGCAATATTTTATTCTCTTTCTGCTTTTATTTTTATAGCTACACTGCTTATAACTTTATATATTTGAAAAAAATGCTGATATAAATTTAATGTAGAGCCAATAAAATCTTCAAGGATTCAGTTACCCACATCTGTTACTAAAGATATATTTTTTTTTGTTTGGTCAAGCATAAATCGAAATTCATTTTTTATATACAAATATATTAATAATAATTTTATACAAATAGTTTTAATACAAAATTTACTATATCATAATCTAAAATTTACCTACAGCTTACTTTATATTCCAGGGGAAATGTTTAATATATACTATTAATGCAAAGTTTAAAAAACATGTTATGAAATTATTTAATTTTTTTCTTAAAATAAATTTTCACATATAAAGAGGACATTTCCAATAGACTGCTTATTAATAAATAATCGAAAAAATGTTCTGAATTAGAAAAAATTGCATGAAATAATAATAGAATTTTTGAATATTTGTCAATCATATTGGATTATTCGAATTTATATAATAAAAATATACAAATTAATTACGTATAAAATATATTATTTTCCAAAATTATGTAATGAGTAATGAGAGGTAAATCTTTTTAATTATTTAATTAATTAAATTAAATTGCTGGCTCACGATTCAAGAACTATGAAAATTGCTAAATAGAGTTTATCAAATAACAAAAATAATTTTTTAAGATATACAAATTTAAATGGATATGAAAACAGAATATAATATATATATTTCAAAGCGCTTGAAGACATTATAAACTATTGCAATTGAATCAAAATCATTTTAATTTATTTAAAGTTTGAAAAAAAAAATATAGTAAAATCTTGCTCGTTATTGCGCATTATAAGAGATTAAGCGTCGAGAGTTAGAGGATTATATAGCAATGGCTGCGATTCTTATTGATTTTTTTCAATTCCTATCTCTAGGTCCTGAAGCCAGCTATGATAGGTTTTCAAGTAAAGCGTCGACTTGATTTTCAATAAATGTAGGATGACTCAACAAAGAACAAAAGCTGTGAGTTTATGTAACTTGCGCAATGGTTATTGTTGCTTTATGAGTATTATTTTGCATTCAAATAAAATTCAAATTATTTGATGAGGCAGAAAATCTATTATGCTCAACATTTAGATTCTTATCAAAGCTTTCACTAACTATAATAGGAAATTTAGGCTTTTTGCCTATTTTTTCTGTACTTTTGAGCTCCTTAGCGTGCTACGAATCTATAGGTTCAAGTCTAAAGCAGACTTTTGTGCATCAAGACTGCTCTACTTTTTGTTGGCAAAATCAGCATATAATATGAGCAGCACTGTCCATTATTTCACTAGTCATTTATTTGCCCTCCGCAATATACTTCAGGCCATTTGCAGATGTTGTGAACAATGGAAATATCAAAACTAAACCACTCTTTCTGATGGCAAAAGGGGTTTTCCAAGTTAGTATTATTATTCTCAGTAAAACGTTAAAAGTTTATTATGAAAGTCTCCATGGCCTGGTCTACATATTACTCCTCTCAATATTCGTTGCAATTTGCTTAAAACTAAGGCCATATAATTATGGACGAATGAATCTCTGGCTTGTAATTTCTTATTTGGCTGTAATTTGAGGTGTAACTTTATCCTCAATTTATTCTATTTCCCCGTACCATTTTATGCCTCCATGAATTGTGTCAGAATATATAGGATGGATTATTTTGATTGCGGTTGGTCTATACTTTCAGTCTTATTATTGCCCTTCAATGCTATACTGCTTAATCCCTCACTCTTTGGCGAGCGAGTAAAATTATTGGAAAATCACCTTTTTGGAAATATTAGCTTTCTTTTGTTATTGATCAAGAATTTGCTATTTAAAATAATTTAACAAATAATAAGTTGGCGAATAATTAGTGATAATTATTAAGAAATCTTAGACTTATTCTATTAAATTTTAGAAAACTATAAATTAATTAAAATTGGGAACTTTAAAGGCAGAAAACAATTTTTAAAATCATCAACCCTGCACAGCTAGCAAATAAAACGCTTGCTCAATAGTGAAGGAGAGAATTAAGATTGAATTTCAGCTAGAATTTTGTGATGAATTGCATTAAAACTGCAGTATAAAAATATTTCTGTTTTAATTCAAGGCAGTTTATTTACAGAAAAAAACCCTGATATTGGAGTTCTCTTTAGATTCGAACTTGGAAACTCAGTATGCGCAGATAAAATAAATAAAAGCATCAGAGAAAGAACTGCTAACAAGGGTTCTGGATCCACTAAGTTTTTAGGCCAATTAAACTCTGATGACAGTAAGGACAACTTGATTGTGGATATCGGCAAAAACCTTAAGCATGATGCAGCACAATCACTCAATTTTTCAATTGAATTTAATGTTTAATTCTAAAAAAATATAGCATGCTGCTAAAATATGATCAATTTACATTAGCTGTCTTTAATTATTTTCACACCCTTATAATTTCAGCAAAAATAAATTCTATAATTGAAATGAAACTTAAAATATTTTAAAAATAACCTGAATCTTGAACATTAGCTTCCTTCCTCTCCTTCATCATATTCTTCACCATATTCTTCTTCGTCGTAGCAACAGCAGCAGCAGGGAGAGTATTCGCTTACAAGGTCATTCATATTGCTTTCGGCCTCTGTAAATTCCATTAAATCCATTCCTTCTTCAGTATACCAATGAGTATAAGCCTTTTGTCTAAAGAGATCAGTGAATTGCTCGCTTAATCTCAAATACGTATCTTTCACGCAGCTGCCACTTATAATCGAAGAAGCACTAGCTAATGATCGCTTGGGAGGGACTTCACAAGTACCGCAGAGGAAATTGTCAGGGATTCATTCTACAAAGCAACCAGATTTTTCGTTGTGGATTTCATCAAGTGCATCATTCAATTCTTTGCTAGAGTAGTTTCCTCTAAATATAGCAGCTGCTGAATAAATCCTTTGAGAGCAGAGGTCATGCCCACTTGATATTATGAGGTTATTCGGGTTCACCATCCTTTGGAATAAATCCAAGATCTTTCATTCTGAATTTTCTGGCTTTTCTTGCTGCTGCTTATAGAATGGCATATGAGAAATTGTAAAAAAGTGGAGCCGAGGGAATGGAACTAAATTCATGCAGACTTTTCTTCAGCTAGAGTTGAGGGTGGAAGGGAATCTTATGGGTGATGTAATTCCAGCTATGGCAGAACTAGCGACATTATTTAGGTCTGAATAAGTAGGAGCTTCCATGCCAAGATTTTCTTGACAAATTTTATATAGGGCATCGTTGTCTAGCATTATACAGGAATCAGCGTTTTCAACTAACTTGTTGACTGAAAAAGTTGCGTTATATGGTTCAACTGCAATCTCTGGATTTTTGGAAGGAGTAACTGAAAACGTTTCTAGAATTTTATCTGGGAATTCTTCCCGAACTGAATTAATAATTAAGGAGCCAAGCCCCGATCCAGTTCCTCCACCAAGAGAATGACAGATTTGGAACCCTTCAAGGTGCTCGCATTCCTCCGCAGAACTGCGCACAGTTTCCATAACCAAATCCTTAATTTCTGCACCCAATGTATAATATCCTTTTGCCCAATTATTTTCTGTACCAGAATGTCCAGAAATAAATTTATCAGTTCTGTACATTTTCTTAAGATCAGAACAGCGCATTTCATCCAAAGTTTGAGGCTCTAAATCGATCATAATTGCCCTTGGAAAAAATTTCGTATCAGTCGTGCTAAAATAGCTGTCTATTTTGGCAAGTTCTTTATAGCCAAAGCCTCCTTTTGGCTTTGACTATACCTTATTTTCCTGAAGTCTGAAGTGGAGCTGGATTTATAAACATTTGTAAATCCAGATGGCAAATCTCTGGTAAAGAGTGGATTTGTCATATTGGAGTTGGTTTTATCAACAAATGTTTGTAAATCCAGCCCCCCTTCCGACGTCGGGAGACATCGGCATAGCCCAAGCCAGCAGAGGGTTCGGGTTATATCCGACTTGCCATAATAGTTCCCTTCTAAGTCTATACTGTGATCTTCGGCTATTTCTCTCCAAAATGCTGATCCAATCATGTTTCCACATTGGCCAATTTGCAAGCTAATAACTTCTCTCATTTAAAAATTATGATGGATTTTAACTTGTAAATCTTGTCCGATAAATCTGAATAATAATAAAATAAGCTTTTTATTTTATGTAAGCTTACTTAGTTTTATTGTATTCTGTAAAATCCAGTATGAATAAGCCAAATTATCTGATTTGTGGAGTTAATCCAATATAAAGTTAATAAAGATAACTAATAATTTCCCTCAAGATGATACATATATAGTTAGTCTAAATAGTCTGCTAATAAATTCTATTTAAAGCCATAGATATTCAATGGAAATCAAATCTGAGGCGTGAGTTATACTAAGTTTTGTTATTATAAAAGGCATCTTAAAATAATTTAAAGAAAGCTTTTTATCTTAACTATTGTGATATCAAAGCGAGAGTCAAAATCGAGAAGCTTACTAAGAAAGTTGCAGAATCATCGCCTCCATTATCATTATCATTGCCGCCTGTTGCAGCTGCTTGAGCTTGTAAATAATTTTGGGCGAATGCTTCCATTACACAATCTGGAGCATTAACATACCATTGATATCCGTTTGCTTGCATTTCATAATACACATAAGTATTATAATTGTCTTTATCCCAATGCGTCTTGATACAATTATCGTCAAATCTATTAAGCGTATTGCATGAAAAAATTGCCTCACTTGCAACCCACTTTAAAAGTTGAGCCATATATTTTTTGTATGGAGCATCTCCTGGAAGTGCTGAACAATACGAGATTCTTTCAGAATTGAATCCGCAGGTGCAATCTCCCTCTACGGAGTATGCAGGACTGAAGAAACTGTCTTCATTAGAATCGCAGTCTCCTCTATTATTCATTTCGCATTGAGTCCCAGTGCCATTTGCAGTTGAGAACAAATCAGTGCAGTAAAACATATATGGCTCCTTTTCTGCACAGTAAATATAAGGGCACAAAGTACTAAATCCTGTATTACAGTGGCCTACAGGATCATGAACGCTAAATGATCTAAATTTAAGGCATTTATTCATCGAAAGATCATTTTGCGAAGTGATGTTACAAGCTCCGTTATTCACACACTGACTATCATAGAGACAACCTGTCTCTCCTATATAATATTGGAGAATTTGCTAAAACTTTTTTTCTAGCAAAACTACTCTTATGGAAATAAAAAGATGGGCTTTGATAAAATAATTATTACAGCAAAATAGCCAGCCCTATTTATCTCTATCTGGGCTGTGCAAACGTTGCTGCTGCTGCAAAAAGTTCCTGGTTCACACTGGCCATTATATGTGCAAGGTTGGCCTTTAGGAGTTCCTATGCATATTCCATCATTGCAAGCAGTGGAATAGAGGCAGTCGTCCAATGTCTTGCACCATTCACCTGGCAAGCTGTTGACAGGAAGTGGAGTGGGCACTTTGCAAGTGTAATTAAATTGATAAGATGATGTTGCATCTGATACACAATCATAGCTTGAATCTGAACATTTTCGAGCGTAGTAAGTATCAGTGATGTTATCTTGGTAGGCACAAGTTTCTGGAAGGAAATCTTGATCAGAGGTTTTGCATAGATATTTTGCACATTGGTTAAGGCCATAGGCACAAGAAAGTAAGGCAATAAGCAGGAGACTTTTTAGAAATCCAACCATTTATTTCTTCACCAATTTATAACTCTATTTCTTGCCTATTTTTAAACTCGACGCAATTTTAAGTTTGCTAAGTTTTATAAAAATCTGAGGGAAGGAAGCTGAGGGAATTTCCAAGATTATTCGTAAGGAATTTTATTTTGCTATGAGATAGCAAAATTTTAATTCAAAAATTTGATATCAATTTCAAACATTTATTATATTTATGCTATCAAAACTAAAGCTCTACGTAATAAATAAAAAACTATATAAGCCTCAATAAAAGCAATGAGAAAGAAAAATTTTAAATATGTGAAAATTTAAAATTTTTTAGCTAACCAGCTGAAATTATGTGATTAAAATAAAAATGCAGTTTAAAAATTAATTTTTCATCATCAGTGCAAAATTAAAATAGATAATCTTTTTATGTATTAATTAAGAAGGGCCCAATAAGTTTTTTTTAATCAATAAACTTACTCCTTAATAAATGTAGTTCAATCATAAAATTGCATCATTTTCCCCACTCTTTTAACTCCAAGTTGGTGATGGCAAGAGTTTTGCTCATCAGCATCAAGCTTTCCTTAACTTTCATATCCCTTTCCAGACCAACTATCCCATTGTCCACATTGCTTCGCTCTTCGCTTCCCTTCTGCCCATTCTTCACCTAAGAGTCTCCTTCCTCGGAGTGGCCAGCAGTGAAACTACTGTGGCTCCTAAAATCGGCTGACCAAAACGATGCAATATACAGTATATACACGAAATAAAGAGCCAGTATGCAATTAAAAAAGAGTCATGGTTTCATATCAATAGGAAATCGTTAGTTTACAAAAATAGGAGAATTAGGATCTACAAAAAAAATTAATACAGTTAAGTCTTTAAAATAAAATGCCCATTAGTACGCAAAATAGAAGATTTCAGCATTGCACAAATGCAATGTGACTCTTTATATAATTTACGATAATCTAATGAATATAAAAATAATCGATAAATGCTTATTTCAATAAAAAATGGAATTGCAATGTTAATAAACTAAAGCTAAGCCATTTCAATGAAAAATGAATTTATCTCTTTTTCATCTTTTTCATCTATTGCAAAAATCCGTCCAGAAGACCTATTTTATTTGCGAAAAAAAAAATCTCTACACCGATGTGTGTTGCGAGACACATCGAAATAGTGTAACGATACTTAATTTCGAGCCTTCTTTGCATCAAATCTTAGTCATATATATATAAGAAACTTACATTATCTAATATTTCGAATCTCCTAACTAATGAAAATACGAAACCATTTTCTAAGCACAACTCGCATTAAATGGAGCTCTTTTAATAAGAAATTTACGTTTTTAAGAAAATTAAATTAAAAATTTTTATTAAATTAGCAAAATTGCCCAATTTATTGCACATCTTTGTACATGTAGTAGCATCCTCTACTCTGCATGCTAGCAGGTGTTTTATTTTAAAAACGTAACTGTATTGATTTTTTATGTACAATAGATTATCCTATTTTCGTGAACTAAAAAATTTTGCCCTGCTAAATTTAATGGTCTTTGCTCCTTAATATGAGTTACCTGCAGGACATACAGATTTCTTGCTGATATGAAATGGCTAATCTCCTATGCTTACTACATACTTTTTTTTATATCATATAGGGCCCCATATCTCTCTAATCCTACAAAAGCCACATAATTTGATCTATTCATATTAATTTTACTATTTACAAGTTTTTAGCAAAACCCTTGCATAAGCAAAAATTTGCTTATTACTGAGGAGAGTTAGGAAGGAAAAGTTCTTAAAGAGAGCTTATTTCGACAATGCTTTCTACTATTATGTGCACAAATAAACAAATGCAGTTTAATATGCTAAATCTTTCTCTTCGAATTTCTTACTCCCCCCCCGTGAGTGAACAAAAAAATTTTGTTCACTCACGGAGGGGGGTTAATTTTTTTTTTAAAAAAATTTATTATAGAAAAAATTTTTTCCGAAATTTTAAAAAATCCTAATTTGCAAAAATTGGAAAGCAAATATTAATTTAATTTATAAAATTTTATGTTTTAAAACGCAATTTGTTTAAAATTAAACAGAATTAGCTCGAGATTTCATTATACTAATTATCACTTATATATAAAATTTTTTTTCATAAAAAATTTTTTCTATTAAAAAATTTTTGTTCACTCACGGAGGGTGGGTTTTTGGGCAAAAAATAGCGATTTTTCTAAGGTTTTGTTCACTCACGGAGGGGGGGGAGTTAGTTATTCAGATTTCAAATAGATTTCGTCATTAAATATCGTGGCTTAAAAATAAAGTTCATAAAATCAAAGATCCACTATGAGCACTCTTGTATTACCAGAACTAAGACACTCTAAAAGCTTGAAGAAGTTGCCCGAGCAGGGTATCCCCACAAGAAGCACGACAAGGCTACTGACTCTCCCCAGCAACTTCCCCTCTCAAAGAAGTTCAGCGATGCTGACTCCAACATTGAGCCTTAATTTCATAGACAACAAGCTTCTTTCCCCAAAGGCTCACAACAACAAAAACACATTCAAAGAAGGCGGAATCAAGCCTTTCTTCATCTCTCAAGAAAATCGTGCTAAGTTTTCAGTTAATTCTTATGGGGTTACAAAAGCTTATGCAGTAATCACCCACCCTGGGCTGGTAAGAAACTACAACGAAGACAGAGCTTGCATCAGCATCAATATGCTGAAAAAGCAGTCCAACTCAGAAAAGTCTTTTCCAAAGTGCTCATACTTCGGGATTTTTGATGGCCATGGAGGATCATCATGTGCTGATTTCTTAATCCCCTCTCCTCAGTGAGCCAACAAAAAAAATTTTGTTCGCTCACAAAGGGGGTTAATTTTTTTTTAAAAAAATTATATCAACAATTTTTTTTCAAAATTTAAAAATCCCAATTCACCAAAACTGGAAAGCAAATATCAAAATGCAATTTGTTTTTAGTTAAACAATTTTCTAGATATTTCATTATACTAACTATTACTTATATATCAAGTTGTTTTTCCCTGATTAAAAATTTTTGTTTGCTCACGGAGGGGTGGGTTTATGGGCAAAAAATAGATTTTTTTCCAATGGTTTTGTTCGCTTACGAAGTAAGGGGAGTTAAGAAACAACTTGCATCAGTACATCATCCAAGAACAAAGCTTCCCCAACAATCCTAAGCTGGCTATTGAAAAAGCGTGTGCTAAAGCTGAACAAGAGTTCATGAAGCGTGCTCAAGGCGAGGTGATAGATCTATCAGGAAGCTGCTGCATTTTTGCACTTTTTGTAGGAGACACATGCTATATAGCCAATGTCGGCGACTCTCGGGCTATTTTATGCTGTGAAAGAGGAAGCAAAGTAAAAGCTTTGTCACGCGACCACAAGCCTTCGGATGAAATTGAAAAGTGCCGAATCATAGAAGCGGGTGGTTCTTTGTATCAGACTCCATTTGGATATAATAAGCTGGGCCCAGTTAGGGTGAATCCTGGAAGACTTTCAGTAGCAAGGACTTTTGGAGACATAGAAGCCAAGATGCCTAGTATGGGTGGAATTTCAAACGTGATCATATCTGAGCCTGAGATAAAATCATTCAAAATTACAGATGACTGCGATTTCATCGTCCTGGGATCAGATGGGATCTTCGATCAACTTACCAACAAAGAAATAGCAACTCAGGCGTGGAGAGCTGATTGCTGGGAAAGCGAAAACATTCATCATAGATGTGGTGCTGCTGTAGAGTCAATTCTGCAACTTGCATTTGAAAGAAGATCCACAGATAACCTTACAACTATTATAATTGCTCTAAAAGGTTTCAAAAGAGCAGCCAAAAGTAGATTAAGACACAGGATCACCCCTGTAGTTTAGTATAATTAAATTTTTATTTTTTAGATATATTCAATAATTCCTTTCTTTTGGAGCAAAGATATATGCATATGTTTATTATTTTAGCATTTGCATATCAATTGAATATTTAACGCAATTTTATTTAGCTAATGAACAAGAATATTTTATTGATATGAGTGTATAGTCTAATCTAATGTTATTTAAAACGTAGATATCTGCAAGAATCATATGCGAGATAAAATTGTCTTATAATATTACTCTTTTTTTTAAATTATATATCCTTGGAGATATATACATACAGATTTTTTTAATAAATTTCCACTATTATACTCAGTGAATATAATAAGATTTAAGTTAATGTCTGAGTCTGAATCAAGTGACTCTCAAGTGCCTGATATTGTTCTTTTTACCTTTATTGCACTCTTGCTCACTATTATAAGCTACGAGCTCAAAAAGAATTTTAAAATTCCTGTCTCTCCAATTCTACTGCTGGTTGGAATCCTTTTCAGACTAATAGGCGAAGTCTTTCCAGGCCTCCAAGGAGCAGTTAGTCAAGTAGATACATTGAGCCCTGAGCTAGTCATGCTAGGAATCCTCCCAGCCTTAATATTTGATGCAGCATTTTCAACCGATTGATATACATTCAAAAGAGAAATCTGGCAAATTGTTCCTATGGCCACAACTGCAGTTGTCCTATCCGCAATTTTGACAGCAATCGTCATAAAAATAATTCTAGAGTACGATTTTTATTGAGATGAAGCTCTACTCCTAGGTGTATAGAAATTTCCCATAGATGGCGCTGTTTGCCCTTGATTTGCCCATGAGAAAAATTTTTTGGTTTGACCAAACCATATAGGACTGGTCGAACCAAAAAATTTCCCCAGTGGGCAAATCAAGGGCAAACAGCGCCATCTATGGGAAATTTCTATAATTTTAAGCGCTACAGACCATGTTGCTGTGGTCGCTCAGCTGAAAGAAATGCACGCAGACAATCGGTTTAAGACTCTTATTGAGGGTGAAACGCTACTAAATGAGGCCACAATCCTGGTCCTTTTCAACGTCATGCTTGACAGCACCCTTGGAAAGGCAGATGTTCAAACCAGTATTCTTGAGTTTTTTGATTTGTCAGGAGTTGGCTTTGTATTAGGGATCACTTTTGCAATAGCGATGGGGTGAATAATTAAACGCATGGTAAATGATCAGATACAAGAAACGCTATTGACATTAGTAACGACTTATTTGCTGTTCTATACAGCCGATGCAACTGGTATTGGAGCCTCAGGTGGAATTTCTGTTGTCACTTTTGGGCTCTATATGAGTGCATACGGGAAAACACTCATAAGCCCAATGGTGGAAAAGCCCCTGCATAATTTTTGAAATATTGCTGGAACTTCGGTAGAGTCAGTTGTGTTTATTATTGCAGGAATGCTTTTGGGGATGTTTTTTATTAACTCGCTCATCTTGGGCAAGCTAAGCTGTTCGCTCACTCATGGTAGGTGGCTAAATAATCCATTTCAGATTAAAATTCCATTTTATAATATAAATTGTTTAAAATAATATAATCAGCTAGAGATTTATTGTAATATTTATTCGTTATATCAAAGTGTTTAAAATAGAAATGTTTAATCAGAAATTGTTAAGGATTTTGTCAATTATCTTGCCATTCACGGAGTGAGGGTAAACAAACATCGCTTGAGTTTAAAGATGTAGTGGTTCTATTCACCTTGTTTATTTTTCAGCACCTTGTGAGAGGTCTTGTAATAGTTATTCATTATCCTTTGCTGAAGAAATTTGGATATGGGATTAATTGAAAGGAAACAGTTGTGATGACCCTTGCAGGGCTAAAGGGAGTCATAGCTACTGCCTTAGCATTGATCGTTTACAATGAGGCTGATTTGAAAAGCACTTTCAAAGATCTCCTGCTGTTCTTTACAGTCGGAATAGCAGGACTAAGCATCGTTTTTGATAGCTTTGCTATGAAATTTGCAGTGAAGAATTTAGGGATGGAAAGACTTAGTGATGTCGAAGAGAACATGCTTGTGGGCGTAACGACAGCTATATTGCAGCATACTGCTAAAAAGGTAGAAAGCATGAGAAATGATAAGCAATTTAACCTCGTAAGGTGGGAAAAAGTCATGGAACTTTCAGGGCCCAAAAATTTGCTTGTTCAGATTATGGAAAATACCCAAGTTGGCTCAAAAATCCTGAGAAAGCACCATAATGATGGGCCAGAAGAGCTACTGTCGCGTTATATGGCTAAGTTTAGTTTGTCATCTTCAGAGCTGGCTAATGAAACTCGGAGAAGATTCTATACAACGTTAAAAGGGATTTATTGGCATGAGTTCGAGTCTGGACAGTGCTCTGGCGTAGCTTCATTGGTCTTAATAGAATCATGCAATAGAGCACTTGATAACGAGTCTCAAAAAATGGCTGACTGGGAATTACTGCAAAAAGAGCTATACAGTAAACGCTTAATGAACATTTACAATTATCTTGCTAGTTTCCCGGTCATAGGACAATTTTTCAAAAACTTGCTGTATGATCGCGTCATTCTCGCTTATGACGCTGCGAGCACTTTTATTTCAGCTCATACTGAAGCTGAAGAGCTTATGGATACTATGGAAATCGACATTGACGAATTAATTTTCAGGGATGTCATGGAAGAAGCCCACGATCAAATTGAGCTCTGCAAGGAATTCGTTAGAGATAATATCACTGACTCTTATCCTGAAGTTGTAGCTGAGGTCACATCGAGCATGGCTTCTCACACCTTGCTGATATCTCAGCGAAAACTTATAAACAAGATATACCACCAAGGAGTAATCAAGGAAATCGAATTCGAGCACTTGATCGACGCAATTGATAACAATATGAAGCAGCTCACCTTCCAGAAAAACCCAACTGTTCCCTCAGTTAAAGATATCCTCAAAAACCGGTTCAGAAATGCGTCTGAGGCTGATATTGAGCTGCTTTTGCCAATGATAACAGAGCGGCATTATCAGCCTGACCAAGTGCTCTTTAAAGAGGGCGATCCTTCAGATGGAGCTTACTTGATTTTTAATGGGAGAGTTCATGAAACGGCTTCATGAATCGACCAAGAACTGATGATTGGGAATATTGTGGGCGTGCAGCATTTATTGCCGACTTATAAAGTCAATACCTCTACAGCAACGGCGCTGACGATGGTATTTGCAGCCCACATACCAGCTGCAATGCTTAATAAAGATGTCTTTATTGAAGACCTATATAAGGAGGCAAGTGAGGAGCTGATAAGCTTAAATGCCAGCAAACTCGGGTTTGGAGACGTAAGCGAAGACCACTTGATGAGGATGATAAAGAATTCCCAGATTAAATATAGGGCTTTTCCTTGGATAGCCCGATAACGGTATGAAGCTAGACCGTTATCGAGCTATTCAAGGGAAAGCCCTATACTTTATCCGTGGAAACATGATTGATCTCAGAAGGGGAGGCATAGTACTTTTGGGAAGTTTTAGAAAGGACAAAGAAGAATTTTCTATTATAGCACCGATTAATAAGCCTATAGAAGCCATCAGGAATTGTGTCCTTTTGCTGTTTCCCGAACATTTTTCAGGGTGCATGAAAGAATCCCGTACAATGGAAGAGGCTTTTGATTCTTATTATTTGAAGAGTAGCAATAAGTTGAAATCAGACCAGGGTCCAGAAAGAGTAAAAGATAACTTGGGGCTGACAGCTATGCATAAGCTTAATAGATTGGAAACGAAGAGACTACTTACATCAAGATCTAATTTATCTATTAAAAGCAAATGCTAAAATTAAAGCTGGACCCCCTGTGTCCCTAGCTTCAGCTAATATTAATAATATATTGATTTAATCACTGAGCAAAGCCATTGGAAAAATCCCTATTTTTTAGCCTAAAACCAGCGACAAAAATGTTTTTAAGAAAAATTATTTTGATATATATTAATGATTATTAGATGAAATCTCTAGCTTATCTATTTAATTTTAAACAGCTACAATTTCAAAATATTAATTTTGCAAATTAAATTAATATTTGAAAAATAAATTAATATTTGCAAATTAAATTAATATTTGCTTTAAAATTATATTGAATATTGATTTTTTTAAATTTTTAAAATAAAATTTATTATAAAATTCATATATAATTTTTTTAAAAAAAAAATTAAACCTACGTGAGCGAAATTTTTTTTTTATTCGCTCACAGAAGGAAGGGGAGTGAGCAAAAAAATATTAAATTTACAAAATAAATATAATAACGTTAAGAGTTAAGTTTAGTTTACCTTGTGAATGTGTCAGATTCAGATATATTTCCTGTGTTTTGCTGCATTTCATCACTATAAAATGATATTTTTCGTACATTCGATTTTTCAATGTTTTCTTTGGCTTTTTGCAAAAATAATTCTTTTATATTCATATTAAGTAAATCTACCAACTCAGGCTCAACTGCATGACTAGGCAGCATAGCTTCTCCAGGGACAATAGAAAATATTTTTTCGCCCTCTCTAATTCGTACATGTTTCAATTCCGATTCTCCAAAGAGTCCATCATCAAATCCATCCATCACTTTTTTTGAGCATTTCCTTTTAAAGTATGGGATTACTTGGCTCAAAACTTCCAAGCCAACTCCAAACATCTTATTTAGCCAGTAGTAGAGGAAGTATATGTTAGCTCCTAAGATAATAAAGAAAAAGAATAACTTTGAAGGAGAGTCTAAATCATTTGTCAGATAATAAAGGCCGCAATAAATAGTTATCCCAGCAACTAAGAGTGATCTCGCTTCCATTTTATTCAGAATTTCACCATTGTAAGGCTTGCTTTTATTATGGATGTAGATGCAGAAAAGTATTAATCCCATTACTGTAAGAGCTTGAACATTGGTGGAAACGTTTGCCAAGAACACTGAACAGCAGACAATAAGAATTTTCCGATATAGTATAATAAATTCTCAGAAATAGCTTCTCGATTTATACCCATTAAATAAAAATCCAAATCGGAGCCTAACATTAATAGAATCCAGATGCTTTCGATTTTTGTATAAAAAGAATAAAGAAACGGTAGGGATTCCTATGCCCCAAATTATAATTGCAGGTATAGCTACAAGGATAGAGTAAAAAATGTGTCTCTCGTCCCAGCATCTTATATTTAGATTGTCAACAAGCCAATATTCTCCACTGTCTATTTCCCTACAGCTGAATACAGAAAACATGGTTTTGACTAAATTTGGGTGAAAAAGAAACAATAAGATTACTATTGTTGATACTAAATTGTTCTTAAAAGAGCTCCTATCATGCCTATGCAAAGCTATCAGTGATCAAAATAATAATGAGCAAAATCCAATAAAAATTGGTACAGCTGCCATAATTACCAGCTTTTTAAAATAGATATCATTTTGCCCATTTCCTGAGTCTAGGAAGCAATCAAAGGAAAAAATTTGATCGCTTATTGATCCGGCGTTATTTTGTACTGCAAAAATTTCAAGTACAGTGCTTGGTCATGACAAATCAAATGTGCTCATAAGCATCACCAATTGGAGATAATTTACGAAAATTTTTATATATATTGATTGCATGGATTTGGGCACGTATGCACTTTTCTGGGTCGTTCTAACCATAATTCCTGCTACAATGACCATGAGGATAAACATTCCTATAACTCAACAAGAAATAAATGGTGAAGTTGACAGAAATAAGAGCCCGAGGCGACACCTTTTTATGGAGAGATGGACCAGAGAGATTGCTAGCGAAAGCGAGCTCTTCGAGAGCTAAATAAAATATTTCAATTAGAAGTCTACCGAAGCAGGGTTTTTTTGTTTCTATCCCGAAGGTTTTTCTGTCCCTGCCAGATGGGCGAGGCAGATTTTGCCTGGCACGCTGTTTTCACTCATCGGCACCATCGGAGCACTCTACAAACGGAGATCCTGAAAGGAGCTTATCCTCTGGCCAGGTGGTTCAGGTGGAAAATCCAAAAGGCAACCTTAGAGCCAATGTGGCGGCGACTCGTTGCTTATCCTCTTATGGTCAGCATAATCGTTTTAACTTTTAAACTAAAAATAACTCGAAAAGAATTAGCAACATCATCAGGGCATTTTCCACATGAATTTTTTCCTACTCGTGAATAGCCTTCTGAGCATCCTTGGCACATATTGCCTTCGTATCCAGTGTCACAGAGCCCCGTTAATGAAACATTAGGAGGCGACGGGGAGCCAATGCAAGCTGAGCTTAATGGGCATTCCCAGAATTTGATCGACATATTATTTGATCTTCAGTGTCCTGATGTTGGAACCATTGTATAATTTCCATAGCAAATTGCCGAGGAAGGACAAGGCAAACATTGGGTGTTATTCGGGTTTAAACTATAATAGTTTGCTTCACACACTTTACAAGTGACTCCCACAGTTGCCTCCCCTATTACGCATTCTCTTAATGCGACATTAATTTCAAGACTTGTGATGAACTCGATATCTGGGGAAAGTTTTTTGGAGTTGGACTCGTCAATTCCATTAGTAGCAACTTTGATAGAAACTTCTGATCCAGGCTCTGCTGATATAATAAACTCAGAGAAGTAAAATACACCTTTTGAAGCTGTAACTTTAGTTGTGCCGGAAAGTGCTGTTGTAACTGACTTTTCAGTCGATAGCTCTGCAGTGCTTATATTATCGGTTGTGATCGTATTTTTAAAATAATCAACTAGCGCCAGAATTAGACTTTGGACTACTATTTGCCCTGATGCTACATCTTTAAGAACTATATCACTTACTCCTATTTAAGAGTTATCAAGATTTTTGCTAGATTTTAAAATGGATAAATATTTGATAATTAATTATATAAAATTTGTAAAATATCTCAATTGTAAATATTTGAAAAAAGAGATTAATTAATTTATAATATTTATTAATTATATATCAAAAATATTTTTGCTTGCATTTAACTTTCCTCAAAAATAGGGATTTTCATAATAATTTTGTCTCATTCTTAAAAGGGAGCTAAGACTCTATTAGAATCTGTAGCATTGCCCCATTTATCAAGGGCTGTGAGTTGTACTGCGTATGATGATATTTCTGGTGCATATTGAGCCTCGTTGTTCGAGAAATCATTGCCTTCTACAAAAGGCATGCAGTCTTCCCAATTTATTGCCCCACCATTTGATGTAGCAAAGTTTTCAGTGAAATTACAATCTGTTATGTTGAATGCACAGCTTGCCAAATCCGAGCAAGCCAAGTTTATTGCTCCTCCATTACCCAATGTGGGAATCGAGCTTGTGACAGAAGTATCTGACTCTGCCCTATTCTGGCTGAACGCAGATGAAGATACATTTAGACTTATATTATCGGTATAAATCCCACCACCCAGTGCTGATTTATTTTCTGTGAAAATAGATTTGCTTATGATATATGGTTTCGAAATTTTATTATCGCCGGTTGTGTATAAATATAAAGCTCCTCCAGTATATGCATGATTTTCAGAAAATTCAGAATCAGAAATTTCGATGATGTTGCATGATGTGCAAAATAAGGCTCCTCCAAGTGTGCCTACTCCCTTATAAAATTTTGAGTTTTTAAGATATACTAACTCCCTATTTAAATTGGAAAAAAATCCTTCCAATTTAAAGGGGTTAAGGTACCCAGAATAGTAAATTTTACCGATTTTTGTTCCAATTTAAAGGGAGGGAGTGAGTGCATTTTATCTGCAGCAATTGCTCCGTCCTTATAGTTTTCACAGCTAGTATTTTGTAATGTCAAATCTCCTTCATATGCAGTTATGATCCCTCCTCTATCTGTGCAGTAGGAATTCACAAATGAACTATCATTAACATGCAAGACGCTGCTGGAATATGATAAAATTACTCCTCCTCCACCTCCGCTTGCAGCATTATTTTCGAACTTGCTCTTATTGATCAAAACAGTGCTTGAAATCGAAAAAATTGCTCCGGCTGAGCTTGTGCTTGTGCCGTTCTCAAAGGTAGAATTATAAATGTCAGCCAAGCTCTGTGTTGTAGCGTAGATGAAACTCCCTTGCTGGCCAGTTTGGTTGAAAAACGTAGAGGAATGTATTGTTGCATTAGACAGAGTCAAAAGAATTCCAGGAGTGATTGAATTCGCAAGGTTGCGAGAAAAGGCAGAAAACCCAATGCTGATTGATGAATCCAGCATAATTAAAATATGGCGTCGTTCGAATTTTCTGGTCTCCCACCGAAAATTTCTCACTTGCATATTTTAATTATAAGGTTTGGTTTCCCCCTGGTGAATTTATCTCAGTTATGTCAGGGAAGCAAGGGCTGGGCGATTTTTACTGGGTGCAGGCCCAATGGCATTGCCTTGTTGATAGTGCCCATTTCACCGAAATATTTTTGCCGAAAATTGGTTGAAACTTTTTGATAGTGAGACATTTGACCGAAAAAAACCGTTAATTTTCGGCCAAATGTCACTATTAAAAATTTTCGACCAAATGATTTTCGATGAAATTTACACTGTCAAAAATCCGCTGTCATTTAACATGGAGCCACTTTTACTACCGGACTCCTGACCTTAAGGAATCGAAATTTTCAGAAGGGCGCCATATACTCCAGGCGGTGGGACTGGGAACTTTAGGGTGCCTAACGGACTCAAGTAGATGCCTAAGCTCAAAGAAGAGTCGTAGGAGCCCAAACTTCAAGATTGATAGTAATCAAAGTCAGAAGTGGCCACGCCTTTGGCGGGCCCGAGGAAAATGGTGAGAAATTCGTCCCAGAGTAGTGTTGGAGGAAGCTGTAGTCGAGCAGCTTAGTAATGGACTTTAAACGAGTATAGATTAATAAAGATTGATGAATCCAGCAAAGCGACAGCAGCTTGATTGCTTGAGTAGTTTTCTATAAAACCGCAGTGAGAGATATTTGAAGTTGGCGATGTAGAGCCCAACAAATAAACTGCTGACCCTTGATCACCGCTTTGATTTTTATGAAAAACTGTATAGGAAATATTGAGTACAGAGCTCTGTTCATTGTATATTGCACCTCCAGAAAAATTTGCCTGGTTGTTTATAAAATAGCAGGAAGCACAGCTGAATTGTGACTTTGAACCTAATGATACCCCCCCTCCGTTGCCACCAGATACGTTTTCGATGAATGAAGTGTTTTCACAGCTTGCTGAGGAGCCATCTAGCATTTTCAATCCTCCGCCCTCTATTCCTACATTCAGTTTAAAAGTTGAGTTTTGATCAAATCACTGATCATAATCTAAATGGATAGCTACACCACTATTTGAAGTGAAGTTGCAATAGCTTGTTTTGATATAAGAAAAGACATCCGAGTTTGATAGGAAAATCACCGCCTTGCCTGTATTTTCTTTAAAGTTAGAGCTATCAATAAGAACTTTTGAAGCAGTTAAAACTGAATCATCAGCATGCTCTGCATAAATTGCAGAGCCTAGTCTCCCAACATTTAAACTAAAAGTGCATTGAGACATTTCCAAAACCCCGGCTCTAAACAAGACAGCTACTACTCCTGAATTATGGACATAGTTCTCAATAAATTCGCACTGTACAACTTTTGCATACCCATACAATTTCACGTCACTGGAAATATATAGTCCTGATCCATAATTTGCATTGTTTTTAGTAAAATTGGATTCTGCAAGAGAGAAGGATATAAGATTAGAAGAAACTCCAGTGTTCTTTAGAAAAATCGCCCCTCCAGATCCCAAGTTTGCCTCATTTTGAGTAAATGTGCATTCACTAATACTTATATTCATTGTGCCATGAAAAGCATGTGAAATATATATGCCTGCCCCATCTGTTGGAGATTGATTGGATGTAAAATCGCACTGACAAATTTTAATGGTTCTTCCGCTAAATACAACTGCTCCATTAACTGCATAGTTATTTTCAAAGTTTGTTTTGAACATTGAAACAGAATGATTAACACCCTTTATATAGATGGATCCATATCCCAATTCTAATTCGTTATTTCTATTGTTCATAAAATCTGAATAATCAATTGAAGTCTCATTTCCTCCATCAATTAGTAAAATAGTTGGGTAGACAGTCGATGCACCATAGTTACCATCGAATACTGTTGCATTGATAAATATAATATTGGTAGAATATATGCAAATTGTGGGAAGAGAATCCTTGCAGTAGTTATTTTCTAAATGAGAATTGATTATGCTGATGTTTGTCGCAGTATCGAGGTAAGCCAATGATGTGCAATCAAAAGTGCTTGCAGGAATGTATTGCTTTAGGTATATGCTGCTATCATTCAATCAATAGCTGAAAAGAATAGTATTAATATCTTCATTTTTTAAATCAGAACTTCCATTTGAATTCATTGTGACATTCTCAAACCGCATATTGACAAGCTTGGTAATTTCAAACATTCCAGAACCTCCTGAAAAATTATTAATGAAGTTGACGTATGCTCAGTGGAATGTCCGATACCTTTGATATGCAGACAATCTTTTGCCCTTAGATGTAGTTATGATAGATGTCACACCGTGAATATAAGAATCTCGAACAATGGCATTATAAATAAAAATAATAGGACCGCTTTCAACTGCATTATTCTCAATATCTACTGACCCAAAGTATATATTTTGCAATTCAATTTGATAGCTCACTCATAGAATACCTGCTGATACTGCATAATTGTTTTTAAAGATGCTGTTCGTGATTGATATATGATTTATCAAGTAATCCTCAATTTCATTTTCTGAATTAACATCTGACTTTAATAATAAATTTGTCGGCATTGCATATATTAGCCCATCTTTTACATAATTATATCTCTCCCTCCGTAATTTACAAAACCATTTAAAAACCTCTATTTTTTTCGGGAAATCTATTCCGTTAGATATCAAAAAATTGTTGCAAAAAATATTTTATAAAAAACATATATTGATATATTTGTGATATTTATATAATGCAAATCTTTATTAATTTTATTCAATCTATACAGCTTGCATTCTAAACGGAAGCTAAATTATTTATTTTTTTTAATTAAGGCAACTTAAACATAAAATATATATAAAATAAGTCAAAGCCAATGCGTGAGCGAGCAAGATTTTTAAGAGGTGAAGATTAAGTAAAGTTGCAGTTATGAATATCAATTCTTCTAAAAATTTCTAATTTTTCCCTCCGATAAGAGCAAAGCACTATTCATAAGATATTTTGATAAATAGTAATAATTAGAAAATAAAACCTCTAGCACATTCTATTTAAATTTAAACCACCCGCATTTTAAAGTATAAAATTTACTAACAAGTCTATATTTTTAATTTCATACTATTGAAAACTCGGATACTTTTATATATAAAAACAACAAACTCCCTTCTGAGAAAAAAAATTGTTGATCATGAAGGGGTAAATAAATGAGTGAAGACACACTAACATTGGTTTCTGGGGCATAAACTGCGTTTTCAGTGAATTCGATATCATGCAATTCAATATTTCCAATCTTATAAGCTAGCAAAAACCCTCTGAAAATGAGATCTTTGGAATACTCAAACCCGTTATTAAGCCTTGACACTTTGCCTCCTTCAATCACCAAATCTCCGCAATCATAATACTTGTTTCCGCAATTTCTATAAATTATAACTGATGATTCTTGGTTGGGAGCTGTTCTAATATTATCAAACGTGACATTGCTAAAAATGAGGTCTCCTCCAACATTAAAAATTAGAGAAGCCTCTGGTCAAACCTGGCTAGCTCTATCTGACTCTACTGGCTCTATCAAGCAGTAAGGCTCTACTGGCTCTATATGGCAGTCTGGCTGTCTGGCAGTTCGGCTCTACTGGCTCTACCGGCTCTACCTGGCAGTCTGTCTCTATGGCTCTACTGGCAGTCTGGCAGTCTGGAAGTCTGGGTCTGCCTGGCAGCCTGGCAGTCTGGCAGTCAGGTTCCACTAGCTCTACCGGCTCTACCTGGCAGTATGGCTCTACCTGGCAGCCTGGCAGTCTGGCAGTCCGGATCTATCTGGGCCTACTGGCTCTACCTGGCAGTCTGGCTCTATCTGGCAGTCTGGCAGTCCGGCAGTCTGGGACTACCTGGGTCTACTGGCTCTACCTGGCAGTAAGGCTCTACCAAAAATAAAATATTATTTACTACAGAATCATTTTAAATCAAAATTTTAAAGATATTTATTAGCAATAGACTGAAAACAGTGAAATCATAATTAAAATATGGCTTCTTCGTCTAGATATGGCCTCACGGCCATACATCCTCGACTCATATTTTAATTATATCTGGCAAGGTTTTTCTAGCCTTGAAAAGGACAGTAATGCTATGGTAATCAATTCTGCAGGAGGCAGAGACTAGCCCAAGTCCAACTTCGAGACTGGTTTTTACCTCGAAGGAAAGGAGGGTTCAGATTTGGAAAGAGCAACCCAGCAAGGTCTACAAGTAATACCTAGACCAATCGGGCAACTGCCTAGCGTGAAACTGAGCGTTAAGTCCCAAGATCTGGACTTCACCCTTTTGCCGACAGGCTACCAGAAATTCCATTTTTTGGGATTTCGGAATGCCAATTTCGTATTCTCTCAGCCTCAGGAGGTCGCACAAACCCATGGACGGCAATGCTAGTTAACCAATTCTGCAGGAGGCAGAGCTAGCCCAAGTCCAACTTCGAGACTGGTTTTTACCTCGGAGGAAAGGAGGTTCAGATTTGGAAAGGGCAAGCCCAGCAAGGTTTACAGATAATTCCTAGACCAATCGGGCAACTCCTAGTGTGAAACTGGGCGTTACGCCCCAAGATCTGGATTTAACCCTTTTGCCGACAGGCTACCAGAAATTCCATTTTTTGGGATTTCGGAATGCCAACCTCGTATTCCACAGCCTCAGGAGGCCGCACAAACCCGTAGCCTGCCCACTCAACACTGGAGCCTATTACAAGAGGCAAGGAGGAGACTGGAAGGAAGGAAGGTCGCAAAGCGGGTGAATCCCCCAAGGGATCCTTGATGATTGCGTTAAAATTAAGGGCATGAACCCGTCTATCGAATAAGATAATAAGATTCAGTCATAAGAGTTAAAATTTTTATATTAGAATTGTTTTATGATTTATCTATAGTTATAAAAAAAATTATAGCAGAACTGATTTTTTAATTTTAACATAATAATATTTGCAATTAGTAAAGAGTCCTAGCTGGCTGCACCTTATTTTTATCTGAGCAAATGGCCTTCCTTATTTATAAAAGATATCTAAATTATAAACATGATTGGAATTTAATGAGTAGAGCCAGTAGACCCTGGTAGAGCCAGTAGACCCAGGTAGAGCCAGGCTGCCAGACTGCCAAACTGCCAGGTAGAGCCAGACTGCCATATAGATCCAGTAGAGCCAGTAGAGCCGGTAGAGCCAGACTGCCATATAGACTCAGGTAGAGCCAGTAGAGCCGGTAGAGTAGACTGCCATATAGACCCAGGTAGAGCCAGTAGTGCCATACTGCCAGACTTCCAGTAGACCCAGTAGACCCTGGTAGAGCCGATAGCCGGACTGCCAGACTGCCGGTAGAGCCTTACTGCCAGATAGAGCCATAGAGCCTGATAGAGCCAGCCAGGTTTGACCAAGCCTCTTCCAGCCTTCAATTGATAAATGCTACATTTTCTAAAAACAGCTGTGTCCCAGGAAGAATTTCAAATAAATTTCAGCTATGGAAATCGCTGCAGTAGGTTGAATTTGTGAAATCTGAGATTGGGCTATTTCGATCGTCTTTATAAGTTCCGTCGTACTGCAAGGTTACAGTTGGACAATAAGAGCATGCATTATCTAAGCAGCCATTGTTTCCATGAACCCATTCATTCCCATCAAAGATTACATTGCTTATGTCAAGATAATTAGTATTATTCATAGCTATCGTAAGAATCGATCAATCAATTTTTGGCTTGAGATATACATAATCATCGTTAAGAGTTGTAATTGTTAGTATTTCTCGTTGAAGCTGAGAGTTAAACGGCTTTGTTGGATCTTCTGTTGTGACATAAATAGGATAGCTCTGATTGAGTTGAGTGAGATAATGGACTCCATCATTTAAAAGATATACAATTGAATCCTTGGTGTTTATTGTTGCTAAAGCAAGCGCTAAAGATTGGAAGGGAGACTCATAAGTCCCAAGACCTCCGATTGGATCATCAGTCTGTATCGAAGTCACATAATACTCAGCAGGAGAGCCCATATTTGATTTATCTTCAGCAGGTATGCACATATCAAGCTCATCAAAAAGATTAAGAGAAGTAAATCCAGAAGGGCAGCTCTCTAAACAGTAACCAAAAAACTGATGAGTTTTTGAATAGTCACACTGAAAGCACCCTCCAGGATCCTTATTATAACATTTCAAACAATTGGAGTCAGAACACTGATAGCTTCGTTCTGGGTCACAATTTATTCACGAATAAGCACAGTATTCATTATCACATTCAGCCATGCAAGCAGAAGAGTCCAGCAGACTGGTCGTATTGCACTTTGTTTTTTCCTTACAATGATTTAAGCTTGGAACAGTTTTTAAGTCATTATTAATTAAGCGCAAATGCGCATATAGCAGTATCTCTTCTTTATTAGTGCATCTCTTTGATGGATCGGAGCTGCATTGGTCATATGAGCATTCAGGCACCATGCAACCCTCAGAACATTTGCCTCATTCTGTATGATAGCAGGTCTCTGCGCATTGGCAGTCCTTCACATCTCAGCTGCAGGCCTTATTATAGCATTCTTGATTGCAAATTCCATTTCCAATCATATTTTTATAGCACAGACTTGCGCAGTACCCACAAAGCATATTGTCAAACAGGCATGCAGAGTTATTGCATAAAGAATCGCACACAGTATTTTTTAATAAATCTTCTGTACAACCTGGAGAACAGTCGCAATCAGTGCCATCTCAATTGCAATTTTGGTTATGGCACTCTGACTGGCAGATTCCGTCTTCAATCATTCATAAAAAGCAACCATCGGAGCAATCAGAAGTAGAACAGTCTCCGAAATCATAATTGCAGCTTGCTGTCCTGCATGCAGGATCACACTTATTATTTCCGAGCATATCTGAGGAGCACCCAGTGTTGCACTCTTTGCAAATCCCAGCTCCATAGTAACAAGTTGAATTATTACATTCTTTATAGCAGTGACTTCCCAGCATATAATCATAGCCTAAATTATAATTACATCCTTGTGCGCAGTATCCACAATCCCCTAAATCAAATCCACATTCTAAATTATTACATTCAGAATTGCATACAGAATTGCCCAAGAGTTCTTCAGGGCATCCACGACTGTAAATGCAATTTTCATAGCAATCAGAATTTTTAAATGAGAGAGGTGAAGAATAGGGAGTCGAAGAATCTAAATTGCAATAAGGTGCCATGCATTCTAAGTCGCAAGATCCATCTCCTCTCTGAATTAAAATTACCCAATTAGAAGGGCATCAATTCTCGTTGCACGATAAACTATAAATTGATAATCCTAAGATGATCTTCAGTGAAAATATTAAAATCATTTCTTCTCGCATTATTAATAATTCAACTATCATGCATTTTAATATGACAAAGATAAATATATTTTTTTACTCCCCCCTCCGTGAGTAAACAAAACCTTTAGAAAAAATCCTATTTTTTGCCCAAAAACCCACCATCCGTGAACAATAATTTTTTATGAAAAAAAATATTGATATATAAGTGAAAATAAGTATAATGAAATCTATAGCTAATTCTGCTTAATTTTAAACAAATTGCTTTTAAAACATAAATTTACAAATTAAATTGTGAATTAGGATTTTTTAAATTTCCAAAAAAATATTTTCTATAAAATTTATATACAAAAAAAATAACCCTCTTTTTGAGTGAACAAAATTTTTTTGTTTGCTCACGGAGGGGGGAGTTAAGAATTTTAATTTTTAAATAAAGGCTTCTTATATCATAAGAAGAAAAGTATAATGAGCTGGCTTTAATGTGAAATCATCCTGCATATCAAGCTTTTCAAAAAGCATATTGATTACATACAAAAAAACTGGCATGTGCAAAAGGACAAAAAATTTTAAATGCTTAATATCTAATTAATTCCTTATGCTTAAAATACGATTAATAGATATTATTATGATTGCATGCAATTTTATTTTTTCAACTATTCTAGTTTAATATTAAATAATAAATGCTGTTATATATATTTACAATTTATAATAGCAAATAACGGGATATTTTACTGAAGAGCTGCTTAGGATTGCAGGGCTTGGGTATGCATTCTTTCATTCCAGCATCCAAACATGCCTTTACATCTTGCCCAGAGGTAAAAGCAGTATATCCTATTATTGTCGGTAAATTCTCAATATTCCCCTGAGAATGCAACTCCTAAATTATAGTGGCTGCCTCTCAGCCGTTGAGATCAGGCATACTTCCATCCATAATCACCAATTTATATGACCTTTTTCAACTATCCATCATCTTCACAAATTCGACAGCCTGACTTCCAGTGCACGCTTCATGGTACGATATATTGTTGCTGGAAAGAAGTGATCCAAGTGCAATCCGGTTAAATTCATTGTCATCAACAATTAATACATTAGGATAGCTTTGGCTGATGACTGAACTGAAATCTTTGATTTTGATGGGAAAAGAATCCTCATCAGTATCCTCGTCAATACTTTCACTGTAAGCATCTTCATTCCAAGTAGTTTCTTCACTCCCCCTAGCCTTGATCGAACGACTCGCCATTGTTCGATCAAGGATGGGGGTTTAAAAAAAAATTTTTATATATAAAATAAAAAAATATATATATATATTTTTTTTTATTTACTTTTAAATAAGAGGGTTAAGAGTATTTAATAATTATTTTTACAGCAAAAAATTGAATTATTTTCATAAAAATACCAATTTTTAATATTTTGATTTTTTGGTTACCCCTTTAAACTGTATAAATTTTAATTTGTTCCTTATTAAATTAATTTTTTTTTTTAATTTTAAAGAATGTCTATTTTAATAGATTATTGAGTTTTTAAGCCTAGGTTTATGACTAAATCACTTCAGATGGTTGATTACAAAGCTTTCTATCGTCTCAAAGTCTCTGAAAGCAACTTCATTATGTACATCTTCCCAAGCTTTTGATAAATAATATATTTTATATATATACAAATTTGGATGATATGAAAATCGTTCGATCAAGGATGGGGGTTAATTTCCCCAATTTTTAGGAATTTTTACAGTCAATCGTTCGATCAAGGATGGGGGGAGTCAGAGATATCAATTGTGAAACTAAATGTTGACCCCTGCTTGTGCCTTGATTCAACTTCAATGCACTTTGATCCCAATTCTTTAGCAATAATGTTAGATATAAATAGCCCAAGTCCGCAGCCAGTGGGATTTAAGCTCTTATTATGGGTGCTAAATTCCCTAAACAAATCTTTTAATTTATTTTCCTTCATTCCAACCCCAGTATCTCGAACAATTACTTTCATTTTCTCATTAGCACACCCGACACAAGCGACCTCGATATGGCCTGATATCGTAAACTTTAGTGCATTACTCAGCAAATTTAGAAGAATTTGATTAAATCTCAGTGCATCAGTGCAAATATAAGCTGGTAACTGAGGATCTATTCTTACAAATAGCTGTAGAGACTTTTTTTCTAGCTGAAGTTTGATTAATTGCGTTGCACTATTAATTGCATCATATAGTAAAATTGTTGACTTTTGAATAGAAAACACTCCTGCTAGAATTTTAGAATAGTCAAGCAAGTCATTGATGAGATTCAAAAGAAGTTCAGAAGAAACCATAGCAATGCTTAGTTTTTCGCTCCATTCTTTATTTTTTTTGATCTCAGGCTCTTCTTTTAAGCTCTCAACCAAAGTTGCTATCGCGTTTACAGGAGTTCTTAGTTCATGAGAAACAGATCTCAAAATTATAGTCTTCAAATTGTTGTCTGATACTGACTTTTCCAGTTGAATTATATTGTTGACGTTTCTTAAAGTCAATAAAATTGCCTCATCATCATTCCATAGCACTTTTTGACATTTTCATTCTAAATAATTTTTATTCACTTCGCATATACCAAGAAGATTCTCTTCATTTATTTGCAAACTCTTAACTGAATTTATATCATCAATTAGTTTGTTCGAGAGAGATAAATTTGAATATTTCTTTCCTTCGCAATAATTAATTGATGATATAACATTCATCAAATTATTTAAGTCGCAGTTTAGCAACTTAACTATATTTTCATTGGAAAACAAAATTTCTTTGTTTTGGGAAATTATCAAGATCCCATCAGGAAATAATTTGAAAATCAGCTCAATCCTTTTTTCAGCATTTTCAATATTCTTTCGTGATAAAAATTTCTCATAGGAGTTTTCTTTCATGTTCCGCCACCATAATTCACATAGAAGAAAAATTAAAAAGAAAGTCATTTGTGGGAGGAAAGAATGGAATAAGAACTCTGTGTCTTCCATAAGATCAATGAAATTAAACATGATCAAGTTTTTGAGCAAGATTAAATTTCGAACCCAAAAGCGCTTGATAAATGGCCATTCATATAAATTTATTGAGGCAAAAGAAAGGGTGGCGAGGAGAGTTCGCATTTGCTGGACTTCTTTAGTTCACATTGAGAATCATAAAAACCCATTGAGTTCTGAAATAATTATTGCAGCAGCGGATTTTATATTCATGCTTCTGTTCTCCATAAGCCAAATAAAAAAACTTTGTAAAACCGAAAACAAGTTATAAGGGGCGAATTTGATCAGGATTTCATAATCCTTGATAAAAAAAACATTCAAAAGGAATAGTAGCACAATCACTTTTGTTATAATAAAATTAAACTTCTTAAGTATTTGGTATTTTTCATTGACTTCTTCTTCCCACCAGAGATTTTTTAGGTCTACCATATTTTGCAAGCGTCTAATTGCTTTATTAAATAGGCTATTGCTAATTAGATTCGAGATTAATTTCATATTTCGAAAATTAAAATCTGACACATCTATAATGCATGATAAAATTATTTCCTTAATTTTCAAAATATCGAAAGCACCAAAATTTATAAAAATATAAATTTACTAAAAAAGAAAATAATACCAAAATAAAACCATTTGCTTTGCCTTCCTATACTTTATAATTTTTTAAAAAATTATCTATTGTATTTTGCAGAGGCAATTCATAATAAAGTCCCTGCATTTGAACATGAAAATCAGATATAGCGCTTTCCCGAGGATGGCGCGGAATGGCGCCATCCTCGGGAAAGTCAACTAAGCATCCACACGGGAACTGGGAGTTCCACGTGTGGATGCCATTTTTGACATGTGGGATCCAAACTTCCACATGTCAAAATGGCATCCACACGTGGAACTCCCAGTTCCCATGTGGATGCCTTCCTGGCTTTCCCGAGGATGGCGCCATTCCGCGCCATCCTCGGGAAAGCGCTATATTTATAATGGGTCTGCTTTGATTTAAGTTATTTAAAGGTGTTTATTATAAGATAAAAAAAATAAAAATCAAGTAAGTATACTTTCAACATCATTATTATTTTCTTAGCAAATGCTTGGAGAGTGGAAGAAAGGAATCATATATTCTTAAATTAGTTCTAATACTATGAACGAAAAATTAGATTTTGAGAGAAATGTTCAAAACCAGAATTCTTTTTTCTTTCAGTAAAAACTGGCTTATAATCCTCTTCTAAATCTTCAACGATTTCCATATCTCTTTTTGGCTCTTTCAATGTGATGCTTTGTCTGAGATCTTCAAAACTTATAATATTTTCAAAATCTCTGTCATTATTTCTTTTCTGGAAATCTCCCATTTCGTCAATAAGCTCACTCTCATCCATATTTGCTTCCTTTTCACCAAGTTTTATTGGAGAGCTTTCAATTTTTGTTTTATCTAGTTCTGACGATTCAAAATTGCTAATTATTTGGGCAAATTCTGTTGGGCATAATCGATCTTCTGGAGCAATCATCTCAAATTCGCATAAATAGCTTATTATTGTACCATTAATGATGCCTCGAATAAAACCTCCATATAATTGGCTAATAAATCCTCCAATTAAGCATCCAAAAGAAATAGGAAAAACAATCGACCCAATATATCTTGTATATTCTCCATTTATTGTTTCATCCCTATAATGAATTCAAAGTATAACTAAAACAGATGGGATTAAAAATAAGTTTATTTGTATTTGAAATGTCAGCTTGCTTAGACTTAGCATCATTGAATCTTGGCGACCTTTATTCCTCCTAGTTAAGAAATATGATTGCTTGGAAGAATTCATAAAATCATTTCCTCATAGGATTTGGAAAGAATAAAATATCTCTGTATAATATTTTAGTCAAGATTCAAGGCAAGCAAACATTGGGGAATATAAAAATAGCAAAAAGTTTGATAAGCAATTTTCCCTTGCCTTTAAGTCTCTTTTTAAGCCACTCAATGTGCTTCTTGGAGAAGAAAGAGCAGGAAGAAGAACGGAAGAATAGCAAATAGTTCCCAAATGATATGTAAAAATCAATTTTAATGTTGGAAAAATCATTGATTTATTTTTTTCAAAATATTAAAAATATTTTTCTTATAAAATATATCATGCGCTAATCATAAGAGAAAGTATGCAATATATTAGTAAATCTACTATAATCGCATTAGAGCTGCCTAGAAGCGATCACAGGGTATAGTATCATATTTGCTACTATCAAACATAAATAGTTCGGTTTAGGCTGGGAGGGTTTCTATATGAAAATCGTTTGATCAAAGATAGGATTAATTTTCAAATTTTAGGAAATCAATGTTCTGTCGTTCGGTCAAGAAATAGCAAGGAGTAAGAAAAATAATGAAAGCATGCAAGTCCATTTCCCAGCATTTGAATTAAGTGAGATATAAAACTCAGCCATCATAGGCAGATTAATAATCCACTAACTTCCTTTATTTAATACTTATTTATTTTAACATTTATTGGGATTAAGCCAGTTTTATGAGATTCATATAAAATTTTTTTTATATGAATTACCACTTTTGTTGAAAAAATATGAACTTGTTTGAGTAAGAGTTGCAAGCCTTATATATGGATTATAGGTAACTTCTTTAACTTGACCACCGATTACTAAATTTTCATCTATAATTTCATAATCAGCTAAGCTAAGACCAAATGTTACTAAAATTCAAATTGCGCAAAAAAAGAATAGAGCAAAAATAGATCCAAAAAACGGAATGAGTAGAGGAACTACTTGCTTCACTAGTGCTAAATTTCCAAATTTCAATAAATTTCATGCACTTCTAGTGTCATTGCAAAAAATCAAATTAAAAAACCATATAAGCCCTAAAATTCCTAAAACATACGAAGATATTCTCCAGCGATTTAAATGATCAAAACTGCAACTTTCCATCACAACAGGGCCTTTATCTTCACACAATCGATCTTCTTCTCGATCCCCTTCTTTAAAGATTTCATAAGATAGTCCTTCAATTAATACAAAAAATAAAGCCAAATTTAGGTATATCAATACCCTCAAAAATCCTAATTTTACCTTGAAGACTATTAATCAAAGGGTTCCTAGAATACTTGTGAAAATGCCACTTAAAAGTAGCAAATCCCAAGATCTAACTATGTCCCCTGCTCAATTCTCAATGTTTCTATCATCAATGAACTCATAAACTTTTTTTCTCTTGTCTTTTTCTGCAGGTATACAATATTTATTTTTATATGGCTTTGAAGGATATGTAGAAAAGCATTGATTTATGTCTATTGATAAATCAGTATCGTACAAGCAAACTCCATATTCTACAGTGTAAGCAGGGCATCCACTTAAGCATACAACGATATTTGTAGTCTCTAAAGGATTAACAAAAAATCCATAACTTTCTTTAGATAAATTTCCTTCTCCACACAAACTTGCCCTGAAATCATAAGGGGCAGTTAATAATTTCTGGTTTCCTGCATACAAGCCTTAAATAAAAATTACTGTAAATTATAATTGCTACAAGCCCAAGATTGCAAACCAAAAATATAATGAGGCAGCTTCCATCACTGCATCTCCTGTGCATAACAGGCCCTTCAAAGGACCTTCTAGAAGTTAGCGGCTTATTCAAAGGATGGGACAACTCTTTTTCTTCTCAGTTTTCAATTTTAGTTCTACTCATTAAAATATTTTATCAACACTTGTCCAAAATTATGAAATTCAAAAACTTTAAAAATATCCAGGAAATTCATCTTTTAATCTTAATATTGTCGATTATAGCATAGCAATAATATCTTATTTCACTTTTTCGTGATTTAGTATTTGAATAGATTTACTAAATATGATTATAAGATATTAGATTATATTAAATAATTTAAAAAATAAATTTTGCTATATTGATATCATTATACTTGTTTGACTATTTTCTTCATTAATTCTCAAAATATAATGAACCTTGAAAAATAGCTTCACCTATCTGAAATATTCATAATTAAGTCTCTTTGATGAAATAAATGTCTCAATTCAGCATGCTCTTCTAATTGGCAAAAATTTTGGATATAAGTGGCTAGGTTTTATTCATTGTTCACCCCATTCTCCCTACTAATTTTAATAGAAATAAGAGAAGAAAAATTAAAATTGTTGGAGAGAGAAATAATTAAAAAAAGAATATATTAGCACTGTTCCATATTATTTCACTCAAGTCAATTGTCATAAATGAATACCCAACAATAAAGATCATAAAATTAATTAAATTAATATTTCATAGGTAATCAAAATGAATGAGCAGATCATTAGTCTTCAAGAAAATAGTCCCTTCCCTGATGAATATTTGCACTCAGAAAACATATTAAAAGCTGAAACATTTCGCCTCAAACAAGAAATCGAACAGCAATACAGTTCAAAAACGCAAGAAATGGAAAGCATTAAAAGCATAGATTTATCAGAACAAGTAAAGCTAAGGAACCAACTAAACCTTCTTGTTTCTGAAAATAGCTCAAGGCAAAATACGCTTGGGGTTTTAGAAGAAACCATTAATCCCTCTCTTTAAAGTAGTAAAATAATTTTAAATATACAAATGTAAATATTTTTATATATAATTAATAGTTCTTATAGCAAAATCTCTTTCCTAAATTTATTTAATTTAAGAAAGCTTATATTATTAAGTATAAATTTTATAAATTAGATTAGATTTTTTTTTACAATATGCGCGAATTATCCTAAATAATTTTTTATATATAGTTGATATAAATATTTTTATCAAAATAGATTACCCCCTTTAAGAGAGAGCATAACATTTTCCTCGTTCTTAACGAAGGGGAGTTAGAAAACTAGAAAGAATTGCAATTGAAAACGTTACAAATTCTCAACTCCCATTGCAAAACAAAGCAAGCGATCTATTGAGGCAAGTTTTGGAACAGGAGTCGAAAGTTTCACTTGAAACCAAAAACTCTGAGGCCTTATCAAAAATGAGGGCGAAGGAAAGACTTTCTGCAATGATTTTGAGTCAAAGGCTGAAAGAGATGGGCGATACGCACTCAAGAATAACTAAACACCATTCAGCTTTGTTGCAAAATAAATTTACATCAAAAAATAACTCAATTATTGTGCAATTACAGACTGATAAATACCAAGAGGCTGTAGAAAAATCGAAAACTGACTTTGAAAATAACTATAAGAAACTAGGTATAATGAAACAGAATGTTGTAAATAAATCTGAAGATATAATCGAAAGAATGGGCTTTTTCAGCATCCAGAAAAAAATAAATGAATCTGCGAAGAAGAATTTAGTGGGTCAGCTGCTTGAAAATGAAATTACTTTAAAGCAATCTCATAATGAACTGCAAGAAATGAAAAAGGCACTTGCAACCTATTTTTATCATTTTAAAAAGATTGAAGACATCATGTGCCGAAATAATCATCAGTGTGACATTACTCATGGAATTGGCCAGCAGGAAATTGATGAAATTATATTGTGCTATAAAGAATTAATTTTCAAGGAAACCTCCTTGAGCACTAGGTACCAAGAACTTTCGCTGCTTCAAGCGATCAAAAAGGACGAGTTTCTGAATATCGATCAAGAGCTCGATAATTTAAAACGTGAAAACTCAGGGATTATTGATAGTGCTCCTAATAGCACTTTTAATGAAGCTCTCTTTAAGATTGAAACAGTCCCAAAGAGCATTAAAGAATCTTCTCGATTTTCTGAAAACCTGCTGCTCCTGCTATATGTTTTTTTTTCTCATATTATTGATAATTATGTTTATTTTTTGGAAAGGATCAATGACCAAGCTGTTGAAGAGAGCAAACTGCAAAAGCTAACGAGAGATTTTCGATCTGCAACTGCAGCAATTTTAAAAGGAATCAAGCGAGAATCAATAAGAAAATCACGTCGCATGGTAACTTTAATCAAAAAAAAATTCTTACCATCCTTGCAAAGAATGGACTCAATGAATTCGAGTGCAAAACTCTTTTTTCACAAGCTGTCAAAGAGCCAGATTGCTCAGGCATTTCTTCAATTTTTCCCTAATGATAAAAGACTATCATTGCTGTTTTCGAGTTTCGTTGAGGACTGCCAAATAATCAGAATTTTCCTCAACGAAGAAATGCTGAAAAACTTCTTATCTGAAATATCAAGAGAAGAAATTGCGAATAAGCTTCCGCTTATAAATACAGAGTCCCATGAAATTCTCAAGCAGAGAATTGTTTTGCTTGGAGAAGAATTCTCGAGAGTCTTGGAAAACTCATTAAAATTAAAAGAAGAAAACATGAGGTTTGTTAACAGCTGCGACATTAAGCATCAAGGCAAAGTTAGAGAAATAACTAGAATTTTCGAGAGCAAAAAGCTAGAAATTAAAAATATTGAGAAAGCTGTAGATATCACAAACGATACTGAAAATGGAATCTATCAAATCGTTGAGAAATCACCAAGGCATCAAGTTCAAAAAAACGAAATGGCGACATTGGAAGAAGTTTTGAAGCCAAGAAAGCTAAGTTTGCCACATTTAATGATGAAAGATATTCCAAAGTTCAATATGCACCATAAATCCTCAAGTGATGTTTCTGATGAAAAAGTAAAATCTGCTATCAGAGCTCACACTATTTTGCAAGAAGTCTTGGCCATTGATAAAAAGATGATGACTCTTAAGTTCAAAGAAAAATTGACTCTGAAGAATCAAGCAAAATATGCCAAATCGCAAATTAAAATCCCAAGAAAGTTTTTCCTTAAGGAGAGAAGTTATAATAATGACTCTGCATCAAAATTTATGTCGTTAACCGATAGGAAACATTTGAGATCGCATTCAGTAGCTGGATCCACAAGAGCAAGTAAACGATCATATGCTAAAGATTATTAATAAAAACTATATAGAAATCTCCTATAAATAGCTCTATAAGGTCAGAAAATTAAAGAGAGGCTCATTGTCAACTCTCCAATCGTTTGCCTTTTTCGGGCTATTTATAGGAGATTCTTATATATAATGTCAATCTGTTTTAAAAAAGAGGATTAATTTTGATAATCAAAATGTCATAACCAGGATATCATTTTATATTAAATGAATATTTTAAAAATTTAACTTTTTAAATAATAAAATGACTGTATTAAATTAAGAAATTATCCATTTTGCTAAATATTAGCAAATTGTTTACAATGTTCTTATAATTGTTCTAAGAAATATAAATTTTCATCGGATATAGAATTTTCCCATAGATGGCGTAGTTTGCCCTTGATTTGCCCACTGAAAATTTTTTTTGGTTTGACCAAACCATATGGTACTGGCCGAACCAAAAAATTTTTTCAGTGGGCAAATCAAGGGCAAACTACGCCATTTAAGGGAAATTTCTATAATTAATTAGCGAGCAGATATTGCTAATAGTTTATAAAAATGGAATCGAGCACAGGTATTAAAGAAGTGCTATCACATTGGGCCCCAGTTTTTCGTATCATAATTCTTGCAATGATTTGTGTAATAGCAGTGATAATTCGTGTCTTCTCTGTATGAATTATTTAGATTATTCGCTTCGAAAGTATAATTCATGAATTTGATCCTTGGTTCAATTACAGAACAACTCGATTTCTATCTGAAAAAGGTTTGTATGAGTTCTGGAACTGGTTTGATCCATACTCTTGGTTCCCCCTAGGAAGAGTGATCGGCGGCACTTTATATCCAGGGATAATGACTACTTCTCTAGCACTACACAGCTTTTCTCATTTCCTTACATTTCCAATAGATATAAGGAATGTGTGCGTATTTCTAGCACCAATGTTTTCAGCGCTTACTGCCCTTTCTTGCTACTTATTAACGAAAGAAATTACAAACAAATCAGAGCCTGCATTATTTGGAGCGCTTTTTATTAGCGTAGTGCCAGCTTACATATCGAGATCAGTAGCAGGGAGTTATGATTATGAAGGAACAGCTATTTTTGCCATGATGTTTACGTTTTATCTATTTATTAGGGCTTCGAAAACGGTAGGATTTATTTAGGGATCTCTGATTTGGAGCAGCATGGCTTCTTTGGCATTCTTCTACATGGCAGCGTCATGGGGAGGGTACACATTCATCATCAACGTCATCCCAATTTATGTGATAGGCTTGATTTTTATAGGCAAATTCAGCAATAATATGTATATTGCTTATTGCACATTCCATGTACTTGGCACACTACTAGCAATGCAAATACCTTTTATCGGCTTCCTTGGAGTGACTTCTTCAGAGCATTTAGCTTCACATTTGGTATTTATCTTCATTAATATTTATTATGTGTGCGATTGGGTAAAAGAGAAAATTGGCGAACAAAGATTTAGGTTTATAATGAGGCTTATGATATATGGCTCTCTCTTTTTAATTGTTCTCTATGCGCTATACGTAACTTTGACAAGAAAAATGGTTTGGAGCGGAAGATCGATGTCTTTGCTTGACCCTACTTATGCGAAAAAATTCATCCCAATTATAGCTTCAGTTTCTGAGCATCAGCCTACAACTTGGTCTTCTTTCTTTTTTGATATGCACGTCTTGACTGTTTTTGCACCTCTTGGCCTATATTATTGCTTGATAGAATATACAGAAGCCAGGCTTTTCATTGCTTTATATGGAGTTTTGGCTGTATATTTTGCATCTGTTATGGTTAGGCTGCTGCTTGTTCTCGCACCTGCACTCTGCGTTCTCTCTGGGATCGGAGTGTCAGAAACTTTGCAAACTTTTGTCAGACATGTTATTTACTACAAAGAATGGCTAAGGTATCATGACACAAAGAACTCTATAGAAAAACTTAAAAAGCCGGCATATGGAATTCCTATTGAATTATCATTACCTGTAATTATTGTTATTGGAGGGTTCTCGATGCTCTATATATGGCATAGTGTATGGGCTGGCGCTGCAAGCTATTCGAGTCCATCCATAATTATGTCAAGCACCGGCCAGCAAGGGGAGCGAATAATTATTGATGACTACAGGGAGGCTTATTATTGGCTCCGCATGAACACCGAGCAAAATTCACGAATAATGTCATGGTGGGATTATGGCTACCAGATAACTGGGATGGGAAATCGAACAGTTATGGTTGACAATAACACATGGAATAACACTCACATAGCGACCATGGGAATGATTTTTGGCAGTGATGAAGAGGAAGCTGCTACTTTGTTGAGGAAATTAGATGTGAATTACGTTCTGGTTATTTTTGGAGGCTACAATGGATACTCAGGAGATGACATTAATAAATTTTTGTGGATGATCAGAATTGCAGGCGGAGTTTTTCCACATATAAAGGAAAGCAATTACAGAAGCAATGGGGCCTATAGAGTCGATGGAGGTGCATCGCAAACTATGAAAAAAAGCTTGATGTACAGACTTTCATATTATAGATTTGGGGAGGTTAGCAGAAATGGAAGAGTTGCAGGCTATGATGTTGTAAGGAAAGCGGAAGTTGGAGAAAAAGATATCAAGCTAAAGCATTTCAGAGAGGCCTTTACATCCAAAAATTGGATAGTAAGGATATTTGAATTACTTCCAGAAGCTAATCGAGATGAAATGAGCCCTCGCGAGACCTTTCCTTCAAGATAGACAATAAAATAAAATAATCCAGACTATTTAATAATATGTTAGCTTATGTCATTGTTTTACACACAGGAAAGTCACTGGCAGAAACTTTTGAATTTGTACTGCTTCTTCTTTCAGAAATCCGACTAACTCTTCGTATACTCAATCTTTGCTTAGACAGCCTCCTCACTGAATTTCTTGGCGATTCTTCTGTTCCTAGTGAAAATCTCATAGAGTTATCTTCGGAAAAGCACATCATTATTTCTTTGAAATGAGCAAAATCCATAAATTCCCCAGCTTTCAATTGAAACTCATTCACAATTTCATTAAAATCATTGCTATTAAGGGAACAGCCTGCTACTTCAAGTGCCGTTTTTAATTCTTTAACTCCAATTTTCTCCTCATTATTCTATATATTTCATACAAGATCAAACTTTTTAAAAACATCCCATATGATTTCTTCATTTAGAATCTTCTTCCTATCGAGAACAGCTACTATAAACTCTGTGTAATTTAGTTTTCCTTTTCCTATATAATCTATGTTTCTAATCATATTGTGAAAATCATCAAGGAAAATTTCATGGCCCTGCCTAATCATGGCTTGCTCTATATCGATTGCAGTAATGTAACCTTGATTTGCTGAATCCAAAGACATAAAAGCATTGTGAAGTTCTGAAATTTGTTCTTCAGAAAGATTTTTAACTACTAGTTTCATGGTTTCCTGTCAGAGCTTTCCTCTAGCCTTGTAGTTCTTCAAAGAATTGAAAATATTTAAATTAACGGGCTCAGGTTGGTTGACCATAAAACGCTGAAATCACGGATGCATTAATGCCTGGGACATGTTATAACGCTGGGCTGGGTCTAGCACAAGGAGTCTGGAGATCAAGTCTTTTGCTTCACTAGAAATATTTGCTCACTTTGGATGAGAAAATGAAAAATGTCCTCTGGATATTCTCATGAACACATCATTGACGTTCACTCCAATAAACGGATGCTTACCAACAAGTAAGAAGTACATTATTACACCAAGAGATCAGTAATCACACTCTTTGCCATATGTTTCATGCATCATTTCAGGAGCTAAATAATAAGGAGTCCCAACCATAGTACTCATTTGGTTATTGGTAAATTTTATAGACATCCCAAAGTCAATGATTTTTATTTCAGCATCAGGCCCTGCATGACTTAGCATGAAATTTTCCGGTTTCAGGTCTCGATGACACACATTTAGCCTATGCAAGTGTTTGACCCCAAGCATCAGTTTTTTCATTATCGTTGCTACTTCCATTTCATTTAAAGTCCCTTTAAGTAATAAATAATCAAAGAGGTCACCTCCTGTGCATAACTCCATCACAATATGTATATACTTTTTGTCTTCATAAATTTCATACATTTTAATGATGTTAGGGTGATCTACAATCTGCAAAATTTCGAGCTCTCTTCTTACTCCCCCCCCCCTCTGTGAGTGAACAAAACCATTAGAAAAATCGCTATTTTTTGCCCAAAAACCCACCCTCCGAGAGTGAAGAAAAATTTTTTATGTAAAAAAATTTGATATATAAATGATAATTAATATAATGAAATCTAGAGCTAATTCTGTTTAATTTTAAATGAATTGCTTTTTAAAACATAAATTTTATAAATTAAAATTAATATTTGCTTTCAAATTTTTGCAAATTAGGATTTTTTTAAATTTCGAAAAAAAATATTTTTTATAAAATTTACATATAAATTTTTTTAAAAAAAAAAAATTAACCCCCTTCCGTGAGTAAACAAAAATTTTTTTGTCCACTCACAGAGGGGGGGGGGGAGTAGCGATTCAGTCTCTTTTAGCACTCTATCTTTTGAAATCGACTTGACTGCGTAATGTTTTCCTCTGGCGGCTTCATTTGAAATTTCCAATGGCTTCGCGTTTAGCATTTTTATGGCTTCCCTTACTGTTCCAAATTGTCCGTAGCCTATGACTTTGATAAATTCGTAGTATTCTCTTACATCTTTTTATTCATTACTGTCGAGTATTGCATGTGGTGATAAATTAGAAAATTTTATGCCTTCAGCATATGGAGGAAATCTCAGTTTAATGTCTCGCTGGCAACAAATTCCCATTGAGTTTTCCTAAATTTATACTTAAAATGAAATATAGAGTTTTTGTGTGGGAGAAATTGTTTAATTATTAATTACAGGAAAGCAGCTATGTAAGTATCGGCTTCACTATAAAAGGCTCTAAATGATTTCTTGGGATGAATCGAATCCTAATGTTCATGGTAGCCGGATTTGGCTTCTGTTCATTGAGGATCTGGCAGAAGTTGCTTACAGGGGACCTCAAGTCAATTGTTGACGACGACATCTCTTTGAAATTGAGTCCAATGTAATATGCACTTGAATATGGGTATTTTGGAGTTGGAGATGGAAATGATCTTGAGTAAATCAAAACACGCGGCTTTGGGTAAGTGCACTCGAGATCTGCTATCAAAAACTTTAATCGGCTTGATACAAGCCCATGCCAATTTTCGAAGTCCAGAGCGGTCGACGATTGAATTTCGACCCGGAGAAAGTACTTGAACTGTTGGAAAAAGTCGATTTCTGCAAATAAGTCGTCAAATGTTGCAACACCTGCAAAAATATCTTCTGTGATTTTGTAGGCAAGCTTTACTTCTTGGTTTATCAAGTGAAAGCCTGAGGAAGAAAGTGTGTAAGCTGCATTATATCTTGGAAATGCCGGGGTCATAATTGAAATATAACTTTTGTCGTTTGCGCTTCTAGTGCTGTAGATATCCATCTTCTGGTGAAATTCTGCTGGGGTCAGGCAAATTGGGATACTTCAGTCCCAAACGCTGTAGACCTTAAAAAACTTGTATATAATTTCCACATCAGAAAGTCCAGGATACATCATGCAGACCTTAGCAACCATCAAACTCCATGCTGCACCGCCTAACTGCGCGCCTTTAAATTGGAATAAAATCAATGCTGAAGAATAGGATCAGGAAGTCTCGCTGACCGTCAGCGCCATTTTATCTATATAAAACTATTTTACAAAAACTAGCATTTTCACTCAATTGATTTTTTTTTTTCAAATTTAAAGAGATTAAAGTATCTATATAGTGGAAAATTTATCAATATTTTGTTCCAATTTAAAATAGGGAAGTAAGTAGCCGAATATATTAGAGTAAAGACCTTTTCTTTTCGCTCAGAGTTTGATTGCTCTTAAAACCATTTGATACTTTTCTATATCAGGAACAAGCCTTAACAAAATTTCATTATTTCTGTATCCATTGAGGCTGAGCATTGTCGCTTCGTCACAAACATCAAAAATTGCATCGTCAAGTAAGTTCTCTGCATCGACGTTCGCGTATAAGAGGTCGACTGCTGTGCTTTCTATTATAAGTTTAATTATCGGGACTTTGGTACGAAACACGCCATGGCAATAGAACACACCGTTCATAGAGGACAAGCGCTCATAGAATTCGGTTTGGAATTCAGAACGAGAAATATTTTTCGGTGCAATACACAAAATATCCAAATCTGTGTTAGGAGAATGGACCCCTAGTTTGTAAGATCCGAATGCTATAACTTTGCCTTGTGGGCACCAGGCTTGGAATTCTTGTGTAAGAGAAGAAATGATTTGAGCTCGGAGTTGGTTCCCTTGAGCAGTTTCGAAAACTTTGTGGCTTACTAAATTCCCCCTCCTGAGCAAACAAAACCATTAGAAAAATCCTTATTTTTTGCTGAAAAACCCACCCTCTGCGAGCGAACAAAGATTTTTATGAAAAAAATTTTGATATATAAATGATATTAGTATAACGAAATCTATAGCTAATTCTGTTTAATTTTTAAACAAATTGTGCTTTAAAAAAATAAATTTTATAAATTAAATTAATATTTGCTTTCCAATTTTTGCGAATTAGGGTTTTTTTTTTAAAATTTCGAAAAAAAAAAAAAATTAACCCCCCTCCGTGAGCTAACAAAAATTTTTTTGTTCGCTCACAAAAGGATGGGAGAGTAAGGTCTCGTGCAGGGAGGAAGAAAGTTCTTCAATAGAAGCTGTCATTATTAAATTTGAGAATTTTAAATAAGGGGCCAGCAAAGTTAGAGTTTTATTCAAAATTAAAATATTTTCATTGACTTTAGAATGATTACCGCTAAAATATTATTGTTTAAAAGTTCTATGTAATCTATTTGCATTTGCTAGAGAGTTTAAGAGTACTCAGATTATAGTAGTAGGATCATTGAGAGAAGTTTCTGCTGATTTTGGGATATTAAAGATAGGTGAGAAAAGATAATCGTACTTATTTTGTTTAAAACTGCCCTGGAGAGATTTTTCATTAATTATTTTGTGCTCACTATTCCTGAATGATATATATCATCTAGACACTTACGATTTTAATGCCTTAATAATTAATTTAAAGAAGAATCTTCACTTAAAGTTTGCACATTAATAAATATTTGCGCGGAGTTGTTGTTTTCTGACTCTTCATCATTAGGCTTTCTAAGGTCAACTTTATTGTCAAACTTATTTAAAATTCATTCTTTCAAATGGTAGCATAATCCCCCAATCAGTCTGATAATAACATTTATCATCCCAACCATCGCTATACCCATAAGCACATCTATCTGTTTAGTTTCAATTAACTCGTACATCAAATAGGCAAAAATTCCATTCGTTAAAATCCATATAAGGAGCCAAAAAGCTCGAAATGGCTGAAAGCGGACAATTTGGTCCCGCTCATTTTCAGTAATTTTTTCTGGATCACTATTGGAGCAGTCATGAATATTGCAAATGGAATAGATCATACAGATGTTAACGAGCACTGGTATGAAAGCAATATAATGAGGGATGCTGCACAAAATATCTAAATGAAAAAGAATATTTAAGGCAAATAAACCTATTGAGATAAGAAAAGCGCCGAAATAAATCTGTGAATAACCTCCGCCTGGCTCCTGGAATCAGTATGATAGAAAGAAAAACACACTGATAATAGAAATGGCCAAAAGAATTCAGCTTATCCCCCCCCCTCCGTGAGTGAACAAAACCATTAGAAAAATCCCTATTTTTTGCCCAAAAACCCACCCTCCGTGAGTGAACAAAAGTTTTTTTAATAGAAAAAAAATTTTATGAAAAAAGAAATTGATATATAAGTGATAATTAGTATAATGAAATCTCGAGCTAATTCTGTTTAATTTTAAACAAATTGCGTTTTAAAAACATAAATTTAATAAATTAAATCAATATTTACTTTCCAATTTTTGCAAATTAGGATTTTTTTAGAATTTCGAAAAAAATATTTTCTATAAAATTTTTATATATATAAATTTTTTTAAAAAAAAAAATTAACCCCCCTGCGTGAGTTAGAACTGTCAAGCATTTATTTGCCTTTCTAGGAGCAACTCCCAAAGAAAGGATCATAATATATTCAAGAACTAGGCCATAAAAAATCATAAGAATATCTTGCACATGAATATTCCAATCATCATCTTCAGCTTTTTTTCTCAAGCCTTGAGACAAGAACACGAAAAAATATCCTACAATCAGCCAGGAAAAAAAGAAATTTGTAACATATAAGATCATTTGCATAGCAAAAAAAACGATCCTATACCACGGATGCGAAGTTTTACAGCAAAAAATCATGCAAGACTTTTTAAGAGATTCCAATAAAATGAACCAAGTCCCATTTATCCATTTTCTTCTTGTAAGCATGATTTTGTAAATTTTATTTGAAACGTTAATTTTTGCTTTAGACCTTTTGACATATCTCAAAGTGTACCTATGGTCCTTTTGCATGAAGAGAGATAAACTCAATAGTCTATCCACTGAGAGATAGTAGTTTGAATTTGCAGCATCTATTTCTTCAGGATGGCAAATGGACTTAAAATGAGTTTCCAAAAGAATGTTCATGCTTAAAGCTTTCCATTGATATGCACTAAAATAGCTAGGGAGACTTGAAACGTAGCCAAAGGAACTTTCTAAAGCTTTATCAAGCATATAAATTGTCTTGTACTCAAAAAGTTGAGCATATCGAAAAATTTTTCTACAGTTCTTTGCATTTGGCTTCAGTTCTCCGGTGCATCCAGCGAGATTTTCATCAGCTCGAAGAGCCATATACATATAAAATAAAGCATTCTCTTCTGGCTCGATCCCAGCATCAAGCAGCATAACAATTCGGGGGTTGATATGCTGACAAAAGCCACCAAAGAATCACAAGTGTGAATTAAGCTTTCCTGAGTATTGCTCCTTTATGCAAAAAATTAAATCGAGTCTGCATTTGCTATCTCCCTGTGGCCAGTCTTTGTGCATAAACATGTGAGCGAGCTCTCCATTTGCTTGAGGTTGATTTCCTAGTATATGTTTTAGAGAAATTTCACTCTTGTCTTGACTTAAATTAAATCGATCAACTATTTCCCTTTCATTATAATAATTTGAGCCAAAAGCCTTACCAAGCAAATTATTGTTGTAAACTGCTTTCAAATTTTTTCTGCCATCTGCGATTGCAACGCAGAGAACCGAGAGATCTTTTTCTTCAAAGATTTTTATGTTTTTGACAACTGAAACCATTGTTGCAGCTAAGTGCGACTCTTGCTCAGGCTGAATAAAAATTCCAATAACTACTTCGCATCCAATTGATTCCGGGCTGTGTGACTTATATTTGTGAAGAAGACCAAGTTCTTCAATGTCTTGAGCAACTAAATTGAATCCATTAACACTATCAAGGCCCCATAATTCAGTTTCTCCACTTCCTCTTCTTCCCATTGTCTTATTTAAGAGAAAAGGCTGATAGTCATATCAATATTCTTTTTCCTTTTCCATAATTCCTTCTATAATTATATAAATTATTGCCAATTTATCAATTTCTTTTCGTTCGCAGAATGCTAGCAAAATGTTTTAAATAGTAATTTTTAATAAATGAGAAAATAAAATTGTAAAAAATACATCTTATTTAACATCAATTAGAACTCGCTATTGTCGGATCTTTGGAGAGATTGGAAGTAGCTTTTGAAGAACCATTTAGCATCGTCTAAACTGCCTCTTGCTAGCTTTATTAAATTGTACCAGATTTCTTGAGGAAAAGTGAATTTCATTGTACAGTACCAGAAAACAAGAAAGAAATCGAGGCCTAAAAATATCCATACAAAAATAGCATAAAGTAGATGTGGAGTATAATCAGTATCGATTGATGATAGTTGGATTGTCAGAGAAATCAAGTCTGTTAGTGAAGTAAAAACTGTTACAATGAGGTATACTGATATTGCTTTGCTGCCGCGCTTGAAATGTGCAAAAAGGAGTGGCTGAAAAGTGGAGACGTCATCAAGATTCTCTGGCATTTCTTCATAAATTACGTGAGATTTTGGCAGCTGTTCTATCAGTTTGAATGCGAAAAAAGGTCTAATAAAATGAAGCAGTTGCAAAAATATCATAAACCTTCCAAAAACGATCATAAGAAAGAATGAAATCGTCATCAGTCCTAGCTCTAGCAAGCTCAACCAGTAAATTTTTTGCCTTAGATCGTATAAAACAATCTCTGTTTTGGTTGCATAAAGTCCTCATCTCCCATAAGCTTTAATTTTCAGTCCATTCCCCATGCTTTGAGCAGCTGCTTCATCATTCAATAATCCGTTTGATGAAATGTCAAGCTGGATTACGCTTTCATCTTGGTTAATTATCTCGGCTGCAAATGACTGATCTGCCATCATTAATTTCTATTTTATTAAATTTCAAACTATCCTAATTTATTAGCAGTCTCTGCGTTGATTTAAAACTTTGAAAGAAATTAAATGGAGTTACGTGTGGGAAGCAAGTTCAGAGTCGGACGAAAAATTGGGAGTGGATCGTTTGGAGAGATTTACTTTACTTTTCCTTCGTGACGGGCAAAGCCATTAGAAAATATTACTCTTTGAAAAGTTTATCCTTTTTCTGAGAGCTATTTTAATGATATATCTAGCTAATTCTATTAAAATTTTAAAATGTTTGTATTTAAAATATTTTCTAAGAAAGTTTGACATAGATTTAAGATTTAATTTATCAATTAATATTTTTTTAAAACATTTGCCAACTATCAAAGGAGTAGAGTTAGGTACAAATATTCAAACAAATGAAGAAGTAGCGATAAAACTTGAAAATATTCGAACGAGGCATCCTCAGCTGCTATATGAGTCACGCTTGTACAGAATCCTTCAAGGAGGGACTGGAATCCCCTGCATCCATTGATATGGAGTAGAAGGAGACTACAATGTCATGGTCATGGAACTTCTTGGGCCTTCCTTGGAAGACTTGCATCAATTTTGTGGAAGATCTATGAGCGTCAAGACTGTGCTGATGCTGGCGGACCAAATGATCTCAAGAGTGGAGTACATCCACGCAAAAAACTTCTTGCACAGAGACATCAAGCCAGACAACTTCCTCATCGGCCTGGGACGCAAAGCAAATCAAGTCTACGTCATTGATTTCGGTTTGGCTAAAAAGTACAGAGATCCCAAAACCAACCAGCATATCCCATATCGAGAAGGGAAAAATCTCACAGGAACAGCTCGCTATGCCTCTATCAGCACCCACATTGGCATAGAGCAGTCTCGAAGGGACGATTTAGAAGGCATTGGCTATGTCCTGCTTTACTTCCTCAGAGGATCTCTCCCTTGGCAAGGTCTCCAAGGCAACAACAAGAAGGAAAAATACGCTGCAATCATGGAAAAGAAGATGAGCACAAGCGTGGAGGTGCTATGTGCCAATTTCCCATTAGAATTCGCAACTTATATAAATTATTGCAAAGCATTGAGGTTCGAGGACAGGCCAGACTACAGCTATTTAAAACGACTCTTCAAAGATTTGTTTTTCAGAGAAAATTATCAGTATGATTTCATGTTTGATTGGTGCTTGATCAGGCAGCAAGGAGGCCAAAATCAGCAAAATCCAAATGCTCAGCAAGCGAGAAATCAAGATCCGCCAGCTCAAGAAGAAACAAAACAAAATCGGCAAAGAGCAAGTCAAACTCCTCCCAGCCATGTCCCTGGTCCAAAAATTGTGACGATTGCTTCCAGAGGTATGAGATAAATATTACTTATGTTTCCCATTATATAATAAGTTTATCATCAAAATTAATTCGAGCAGGCATCTAGCTTCAAGCTGATCTCCTTATTTTGATATTTCACCATAGAAGTTTAATGCTAAGTTTATATAAGAAATTATTTTAGAATAATGCTTGAATTAATGAAAAATATACTAATGGACTATTTTGAAATTCATAAAATCCTAATACTAGATTTTTTGAGCTCCTCTTATAGTTTTAGGCTGATTTAGAACTTCAAAAAAAATCTAAATTTCATAAATAAAGAAAAATGTTAAACCTTAAACCTGATAGTCATTTTTAAACCCAAAATAATGGTGCATTTATATTTACTGGATAATTGATAGCATTAAAGCCAAAAACCTTGTCCTGGAATTAGCTAGCGTAATTAATCACATAAAAGTATGGCGGAATAATATAGTGATTTTTTGAGCCACATCAATGCAGTCTGTGACAAAGTTTCCAAAATTTAAATAATAATAGATTATTTTATACTTTTAGGCTAAATATTCTAAATCTTTCTTTCATCTCAAAGTTTTCGTTTCTGGAATTTTTGGGACTTCAGACATCTTGAGCCAATGAGTTTCACGGATTTTTATCCACATAATTATGTCCCAGAAGGTTTACGATATTAGACAAACACCTACTCCATGCAAATGGAGCCTCAATTCGAGCGAACCTTCTCCTCATCGCCACATCCCTCACCAGGAGCGTCCAAAAATATGTGGTTCAATTTTGGAAGCAATTGGAAATACTCCGATGGTTCGAATAAACAACATTACCAAAAAGGACGGGATCGAATGCGAAATCCTTGTAAAATGCGAGTATTTGAATCCAGGCGGATCAGTCAAGGATAGAATTGGTCTCAGAATGATTGAGGACGCTGAAAGAGATGGGAGGATTGAGCCAGGGTGGACGTTGATTGAACCCACATCAGGAAATACAGGGATTGGACTTGCTTTGACGGCTGCTGCAAAGGGTTATCATTGCATAATCACATTACCTGAAAAGATGAGTCAGGAAAAAAGCAACACTCTCAAAGCCTTGGGAGCTGAAATTATCCGAACTCCAACAGAAGCTGCTTTTAATTCACCAGAAAGCCATATTGGAGTTGCAGATAGACTAGAGAGAGAGTTACCCAAAGCAATTGTACTAAACCAGTACTCAAATGCATCCAACCCATTAACACACTATGATCAAACTGCAGAAGAAATCTTGAGCCAATGTGATGGGCATTTGGATTACTTTGTGGTTGCTGCAGGAACAGGCGGCACTATGACTGGCATTTCAAGAAAACTGAAGGAGAGATGCCCGAATGTAAAGATCATTGGTGTTGATCCTGAAGGCTCTCTGCTGGCAGACCCAGAGCACGACCCTGTTGGGACATACAAAGTTGAAGGTATTGGCTATGACTTTGTCCCAAGAGTTTGCAATAGTGAATTAGTCGATCAATGGGTCAAGACAAATGACCAAAACTCATTCGATATTGCAAGAAGACTTATCAAGGAAGAAGGAATCCTTGTTGGTGGCTCATCTGGCTCATCCTTCTGGGCAGCTCTACAGATTGCTAACTCCCCCCCCCCCCCTCCGTGAGCGAACAAAACCATTAGAAAAATCGCCATTTTTTGACCAAAAACCCACCCTCCGTGAGTGAACAAAAATTTTTTTTAATAGAAAAATTTTAATGGAAAAAAATTTTGATATATAAGTGATAATTAGTATAATGAAATCTAGAGCTAATTCTGTTTAATTTTAAACAAATTGCGTTTTTAAAAACATAAATTTTGCAAATTAAATTAATATTTGCTTCCCAATTTTTGCAAATTAGGATTTTTTTAAATTTCGAAAAAAATATTTTTTATAAAATTTATATATAAATTTTTTTTTAAAAAAAAAATTAACCCCCCTCCGTGAGCGAACAAAATTTTTTTGTTCGCTCACGGAGGGGGGGGGGGGAGTAAGACTCTTCCAGCTGGCAAAAGAGTTGTTGTCTTGCTGGCAGACTCCATCAGAAACTATATGACCAAGTTCATCAACGACAATTGGATGATACAAAACGGTTTCATGCTTCCACCAGAAGACAACGCATTGAGTGGAAAATCTTTAAGAGACTTGAACCTGAGCCCTTCACAAAATGTTTTGCCTTCAACCCCTTGCTCAGAAGTTTTGCAACTAATGCAAGAGAAATCGTACGATCAGCTGCCTGTTGTGGAAGGAAGCAGTATATTAGGCGTGGTCACAGTTGGTGGAATCACAGCAAAATTATCATCAGGAAAGCTCAAATCCACCGATCCATGCAGCATGTTTTTGTACAAAGGAAACAGAATCGTAACTCTGGATACTCCACTCACATACTTGAACACATTATTTGAGGATGAGCATTTTGCCCTGGTTAACACAGGGACATATATTTCAATTGTTACTCCTATTGATCTCGCAAGATATGTTGCCACCCTTCAAGCTTAAGTAACAAATTCGATTAACTATTGATGATTAAAATTATCTTTTAAGCTAGTTTATTCATAAATTAATCTATGATTTGAATTGTAGCATGCTGTCTTCAATCATCAATCGGCTCAAAATAAAAGGAATTTTCTTTTGTACAGTTTCTAAATCCTGCAGCATATCTAAATACATGGTATAAAAATACGAAAATTTGCCCTTTATAGCAGAAATTTCGATTTTCTTTTCGTTCCCGAAGACATAAATAATGTCGACATCGTATTCAATCCCATCAGCTAACTCTGTTTTTCCCGTATAAATTTTCCTCGCGATAATCTTTTCCTCTTTATTTTCTTCATTACAAATATCTACAAGGTCATTCTTTATTCTAATTTTTTGAAGAAGTTCATCCTGTTGTCGTCTCAGCTCAGCTTCATCAGGCTCTATTTCTAGTCTTGAGCATACATTAGCCAAACTGTCGTTTAGTTCAATTGGCTTCGATAGCCCTTTTTCTAGAGGATATGCATCTACCACAATGTTCACCTCCACCTTTTTCCTCATAAGGCGGTTTTTGAAGTGAGCTTCCTTAATAGTTTTATAAATTGACACAAAATAGAAGGAGTGCTGCAAGATTGTTTTGCCAAAAGCTAAATAGTCAAAAAATCTTCGCTGCTTTTGGTAGGTTTCTCTGCATTTCCAACTGCGGAACCAAGACTGAATCATCAAGGCTGATTTTTGGGCTTTGTGACTTCCTGCTTTCATAAGCTCATTGAGAAACTTGCTATTTTTTATTGGCTGCCTGATTGCATTTTTGATATGTTTGTATTTTTTGGGATTTCCTGCGTTTACCTTTCTTTCCGAATATGCAGGCTTCAGCACAGTCACATTGATTTTTGGGTAGTTTTTCACCTTCACATTTTCTTCCATTCCCAGATCTTCTTCTTCATCTATATTGAAATCGTCTTCATCAATTTCAAGCTTTTCTTCTTCAATCATCCCATTAAAGCTGTCTTCTTCAGTGTTTTTTCTTGACGCTTCTGCCACAGCAATAATTGGGTTTCTGCTTTCGCCAAGCAGTTCTTGATTGGTCTCGCAACGCGATGCTAAAATTGGCATTGGCGAAGGGACAACTTGAGCCTTGACTCGCAACTTTTTCTGACACCAGTTTTCTTGGCAAAGATACATGATTCCTCCACAAAACCTAATAATCAGCAGCCCTACTCCAACAAAGGCAATAGAATAGATATACCATCTCGTTGCATCGCTGCCTGATTTGTCAACCAAATTTAAATAATAGGCAAAAGCACTATTGCAAAGCGCCCAAACAATGGCCCATCGCGTTCTGAATTCTTCGAACTCTTCCAAGTGAGCCCTTTCCTCATCACTCTGCTGGTCGGGTCTATTTCCCCAGGTGCAGTCATGGATATTGCATATGGCATATACCAGAAATAAATTGACATAAGATGGCGATAAAAAGACGAAATGCAAAACTCCCTTCAGTACAGTCAAGGTTGCACCATGGCAGAGAGTGTTCATGGCGAAGCAAAAAATAGTGGCAACCATCAAAGGGATGATCCAACTATTCGAGCTCAGGTTTGTGATGATATATTTGAACATTAGTCCCATAGTCAGTAGCATATATACTCCGAAGATGCAAGCTATCACCTTGTAGGCATCTTCTACACGCTTTGGCTTTACTCCAAGGGCCATAATGAACACAATTATCAGCAGCGTAGTATATGATATTATGATCCATCCAGAAAAACTAATAATTGTGGAATCAGAGTCTTCTCCAAATTGCTTGCGAACAGCGATGGCAAATGCCAAAAAGAACGAGCCTACCATGAACCATGAGAAAACGACATTGACCACATAATAAATCATTTGCATCGTGAAGCAGCATTTTCTGGTCGTACTGTGGCCTGATTCAAAAACAGAGCTCATACGCTTGATTGAGTCAATCAATGCGAACCATGAGCCGTTTATTCATCTTCTGCGCTGAGCCATAAGAACTGAGAGCTTATCAGGAACATCCGTTTCTGCGATTGAGTTTTTAACATATCTTAGAATGTAATCTCTATTTTTTTTAGAAACCAGGGCCAAGCAGAGCACTCTGTCTTCAGCAAGGTAAATATTGGACTGAAAAGCATCCATATATTCTGGGTGGCAAATGGATTTAAAATAATGCTCCCATAGTGGAGCTCCTTGCAAAGCTTCCCACCTATAAGCACTGAAAGCTCCAGGCAAGACAGTAATGTACCCTATCACACTCTCTAGGGCTTTATCAAAGATATGTGCGAATTTATATTCAACCATCTGAGCCCCTACAACAAGATTCCAAAAGCTTGGCTCCATTGGTCTAATTTCACCGCAGCATCCAGCAACTCTTACATCAGTCTTCATGCACTCGTACAGCAAAAATAAGGAATTTGGGAGAGGCCTGGTTCCGACGTCCAACAACATAACATAGTTGGGATTGAACATTTCACAAAATCCTCCGAAGAATCATAGATGTGTGTTCAGCTTCTTTCTGTTTTTTTGTTTGACGCAAAAAATGAACTGGAGAGTATTGCTTTCATCGAATTTTGCATTCTGCATAAAGCAGTGGGCAAATTCATCGTCATCAATTTCGTCAGGAATTTTGCACTGCATTGTATCTTCAACATGGAAAAAATCCTTGATTTTCTGCTCGTCAAAAAACTGGGAAAAAAATTGCTTTTGCTTGTTGAAAGTCTGCAGAAAAGGCTTAAGCCCATCGACTATAATAATGCAACATATCGCGCTTTCGGGAACACCAGCACGCTTGAAATCCTCAAGATTTTCTGTGATACCAATCATAGTATCCCTGAAGTTTTTAACATCTTCGTTATACATTGTGACCACAATCAGAAACTCAACTTTTGTCTGACCTTTTTTGCTATAGTCATAAAGCAGATCTTTAAAAATGCCTTGCCGAAAGCCAGCTTCGGGAGGAATCCATGTAAGTCCTTGGGTTACTTTTAGGCCTCGAAACTGCTTACTATCGACATATCGGTTTTCCATGACCTTCACAAGTTTTAATGGTTGATAGACAAGATCAATGCTCTTTCCGAGGGGTTGGATTTCAGGGTTGTGCTCGACTTGATCGGGAACGAGAGAAATGTGTCCTTCTTTGCCAGCTTTTGGGGTTAGTGGCTGGTCCATGTCAAAATGTATTATTATTAAATTAGCTGTTTAATTTTTAGATGTTCTGATTGGTGTGCATTTCATCAGAAAAAAATGTAGTCGAATATTTTAAAAAAGCAGACATAACTATTATTTTCGATTAAAATGCTTTGAGCAAGTTATTTAATAGGAAATGTTGACGTATCAAAAATGGACGACCATAGGGATGAAGCCGTTCTGATCAATGTCAAATTATTAAAAGAAGAAAAACTAAGCCAGAGGATTCGGTTGATTTTGGATATAACTTTTTTAGGCTATTTCTCCCCGCCTTTCGTTTTCTTTGCCAAATCTGCACTTATCTAATTTAATTTAGTACTTTCAACTTATGGTTTCTAAATATTACAGATCCTATATGCCATTTCTAATATCTTTTTTGCACCAAATTAATAATATTCAATACTATTTCAATTATTTTATTAGCCATCCTAGCAGCAGTGTTATGTCTACCTCTATCTCTTGCAAAGTAAGATTATTTAATTTTTGGCATCGTTGAAAAAATAAAAAATCTCTTATAATCAATAATAACTTAAGTAATTGATTCATGATGTATTAGAGATCTAATATGCATTTTTAGTTTTATTAATCATAAAACATCTCATGGAGATGCTTAAAAAATATTTCTGTTTTGATTCTTTAAATATCAATTGTGAATATGAGCAATGATATAGCAGTATGATCTATAAGTTACAGAGGCTTACTTAATAGACAATATGCTTTTGATAAGTGCAAATTTACTATCGAAATAGGTAAGCCATAAAGATCTAAAGACTAGTTAAATATTCTTCAACTCCGCTTGGCGTCAACCTTCTAAATATCTTGTCTTGAGTAGAAACGACTGCTACTTCGACGTTTTGGCTCGTAATTGCCTCTTCCATAACTTGTTTCAAAATGCGCAAAGCCATTTTTACCCCATCCTCGAGTGACAAGTCAGTCTTGAATTCTTCTTGAAGCATAGTTTGAGCTCCTTCTGCAGCGCTGCCGATAGCTTTTGCCTTGTATTTAAACAGGGTCCCAGATGGGTCTGTGGTAAAAAGTGCTGGCCCATTTTTATCAACTCCTCCAATAAGTAGTGAAACTCCATAAGGTCTTGACATAGGCTTCTTTTGTGATCCATCGCCTTCTCCAAAGTTAAGAGACAAATCACAAACACTCTGTGCAATGCTCTGGAGGAGCATTTCCTCTAAGTACGTGAACCTGTGATTCTGAGCTTCAGCTCTCGCATGATCTACAAGGGTTCTTGCGTCAGCTAGGATTCCGCTCATTGCGCAGCCGACATGGCTGTCAATCTCGAAGATCTTCTCAATCGATGAAGGCTCTATCAGCTTGCTTGTGACTCTCCTTTCCACAGCAAGAACAACGCCATCCTGACAAGTAATGCCGATCGAAGTTGAGCCTAGCTTGATTGCCTCTAATGCATATTCGACTTGAAACAGCCTTCCTTCTGGAGAAAAAGTGTTGACGCCTCTATCGTACTCATTTTTCGTTGCAAACATTTTATTCTTATCAGTCATACATTAATGGGATTTAAAGAAAATAACTAAACTTTCAATGACTTTTTAATCAAATTAATAATAATCGCTATCTTTTTCATATTCCTTTTAATTAATTGATAAAAATGAAAGCTGGCAGAGGCTTTTCCTTAAACTTATTGTTTGATTATTAGCACTGAAAGAAAATTTTCAACAAATAGTGATTAATAATTATTAGTAGAATTAATTTCAATATCTTTGAGTTATTCAAAGATTTATGTGTTTCAGCCCACTCTGATGCTTTTAAAAAATGTTGATTGAATAATTTAGCTCTATGGAGACAACTAAGGTTAATTTTATCATTAAATTTATGAAAATATAAAAGCAATATATAATTAATGTAGAAAACAATATAATTGCTTTAGAATATTTTTTAAAAATCTTGAAAAATAAAAATAAATTAATACTTAACATGTATTTCTAGTATAATTAATTGGCTTTTTAATACCTCAATTAGCAAATCTTTTCTTTTCATACTAATTCAAACATCATCAACTTCGGACGACTATATATTCTTAAAATATTATACTGATATTATAAATTGTATCATCACAATAATTCAATCAAATTCACATTGTTTTATAAAATATTTTACAAAATTTTTATAATATTTTCTGCTGATTCAGTTAGATTTACTCAAAGAACCTTAAAATGCTAATTAAAATATAAATAGCTTGTTCTATTTCTTCGGCTATTTAAATATTTTTGCAAATGGATATTTGGAAAACTTTCTTTCTCACACATTTAGACTCTTTGAAGCTCTTAGAAGATAAAAATTGGTGAAGCCTTACTCAAGATGACGAGATTTGGATGATAAAAGCTAAAGCAGTTTCAGGAAATGACGGCAGTGCTTCATATGCTCTCATTTTAACAAATATGAGGGATACCTATTTTTCATCAGCAGGGACAACACAAATCCAGCAAGAAATAACTGTATTTTCTATTTAGCAATATAACCCCAACATTCAAGGTGGCATGGCTGGCTTGGTTAATATGCTGAATACAATTATAAGTAAAAAAGATCCTCAATCTACCTACAAAATCAGAATTGATCAGAATAGTGCCGAATTCGAAGCAAAGAAAACTCTCAGTGCTATCTATGAGTTTAACTGAAAATTCTCTGCTATTCAGCTTGATGAGGACATTTCTAAACGAATTTTATCTACCTTGATGGTCATCCCTTTATGCAAAACTGTAGTTGCGCAAGATTCTCTTATAAAGCAATTAGAAGACCAAGCTGGAGCTAGAAGAAATGCAGTTGATATGAAATTGTTTGTTCCTAAAAATATTGAAGAAATTCCATGTCCAGAACTTGCACAGCATACAGTGGCTGCTCTTAATGAGTCATATGCACAGCCAGTTAGAGAAATAGAAGGGTATGTTCGAGTGGAAAATGAAAGGAAGAGGAAATTTATAGAGGAAGCAAAAGAGCCAATAAAAAAATTCAGAGCGAATTCTCCAAAGCCTCAGCAAAAGAGCAAAGTGGATTATAAAGAGAGTGAAGAAGAAGTGAGAAGAAAAAGAGAGCTTGAAATAAAATTAGCTATGGGGAAAAAAGGGAAAAAGAAATTAGAATTTGTTTAAATTTTCATTTAATCATATTTTATTATGTACACAATTGTATCTATAAATATACAAATCCCAATTATTTTTGGCCATATGAACCTTGCTTTTTTTAAAAGCAGCAGCAATAATCATAAAAGCATTTTATAGAAGTTAGCACCTGTAATTTTTAAACTAATTATATCAAGCAATGATGAACCTGGGTAGTGTTTGCACTATGCAATTGAAATCAGCGTTAAAATCTAAAATCTAGAGATTCTTTTGAGCAAAATGAGAGAGCCTGCTCTTCTCCAAATTAAGATTGATAATATTTTGCAAAGGATTATTCATATAAAAACTTATCTGATCGATATTTCTATTAATGTTTAACTCCTTTATAATGGTAATATGCTCCTATTTCTTCAGTTAAACAGCAAAAATCGCTCTCTTGAAATCCTAAATCACTATATCTTGGGTCCAATTCTAATGGTCCAAACTTTTCCAGTGTTAAGCCTGCCAATTGTAGAGCTTCCTGATACTGTTCTTTAGTGAAAATTTCAAGATGCTCTGTGTAATTTCTCCTTTGAGTCTGAGGATCTATATAAGTGTTTTCAATTTGCCAGTGATCAACATTTCATGTTGGATTTGAGCAGACCCAGTCTCCAAATTTATTCTTTTTATTAACTTCCTCAGTGTTAGTAGCAACTTGGAATAAGCAGTTTAGAGGCTTGAAATCTACTACTTCAGTGACAGACTTTCATTTTGGGATAAACGTTTAACTACTAGGAGCGTACTAATTCTTCATTGCTGGGCGGAGATATGAAATTCAACTATATAGCAAAAATTATTCAATGCCTGTATAATTTGTAAATATGCATTAAATGGTTGCATATGTTAACTTGACCTCTTGGTGCAATAGCCCGGATTTTATGGCTGCAGCGAACTGGGACGGATTCCGAACCGAAAATCAAGTCCAGACTTAGGAGATGAGTATCCGGCAGTTTTGACTGGTTTACTGTGATTGGAAATGGAGATGCTCAACAACGTCCTTTGGATCCGAAGACCTATGCATTCCTCTATCGAAAAACTAGGGGTTTCTGCCCAGGCTACAGGGAAGTAGTCTTTTTACTGTATCTATCGAAGGAAGGCACTTCGGCACCCAACTCCAAGGAGATAGTCCTTGGAATCAGGCTACTCCAATCGCCCGTAGCAGGGCCGCAGAAATCCATAAGCTGCCTACTCAAGAAGCCGCAAGGCAAATAGGGATATAAAAGCTACCGGAAGTGGTATCCACCTTCGGAGGAAAGACCTCTGGGCTGGAGTTAAAAAGCGCTTGAACCTCCCTTACAAAAGGTCTTTGGCCACTGCGTCATCATTATGGCTTGCACCTGACCTTAATAATAGAGCATAGCCTACAACTCTGTTTCCTGATTATATTGACTTTAGAGGTCCCCAAGTCATGGTCAGATCGGGAGAAGACGGGTAGGTGATGCCGCTATTTTATTTGTGCGCAGTGTTTGTAGCAGCTGCATAATTATAAAATGACGCAAATGTAGCATTTCTCTAGGATTTTTCTCTCATGAATTTATTACTATGAGATTTACTTTCAAAGGAATTCATATCAAATTATATCAGATAATCAACTGAAAGAGTATACAGCCTCCTGAGCTAACCCTTTAGGTATTTGGAAGGCTAGGGTTAACTTGTTCCGCGCATTCAAGAAAGTATGAGCACGAGCAGGAGCTGAGTCATGCTCGATGGATAGAGTCCGAGTGACACATGCAATCAGATTATTTATTTTAAAAATATAAACAACAATTTGTTTATGATCAACGGCCAAGTTTGTATTGCACGCTCATTCTTCTTTATAAAGTTCTTAATATGATGCTCTTTCGCAAATTGAAAGGGATTTAAAAATAAAAGCTTATCAATCGAATAGCTTTTATGCAGAAGCATAGTTTTTTTATATAAAAAATTCTAAACTTTTATTATCATACTCTATAAAGCCAAAGTTTTATTGTTTATATAAGGTTTTTAATACTCAGATGATCTTCTTTAGCAAATTTAAATGGGTTTAAAAATTAAAAACTTATCAATCGGAAGGATAGATTTTTAAATAAACAATGCTCATTGGTTTATGATCGATTACTCTATAAAAGTTTGTATTGAGTACTGGCTGCCCATTATAAATTCTTAGTGACTCATAATTTTATTATAGTAGTCTAAAAGGGTATCTTAATTTAAAATTAGTTTAATAATAAAGCGATTTTAAAAATTGGTGTGTTTTCTTGTCAACTTTTTTCACACTTGTTAACAATTTTTGGAATGCCACTTTTTAGCACTTTCCTGGTGTAGAGTTCTAGCTTCTCCCTTTAAGAGAATCTGTCTTGTCTTACAACTGTCCATTACATTTTTTTCGATAAAGAAATTTATAAAGGGGTATAAGCTATACTAAATTTTTTCTCAAAATGTTTTTAGGCGCGACTCTAGACACTATAAGCACCGAATAATTAATAACTAGAAACTAGCAACTGCATGATTATTTTCCATAAATAAAATGGCATTCGGTTCGAGAGAAATTGGCTCTGCTAATTTTCTCTCCCTCATGGAATTTTATTTATGGGGTTGGGTTTTCTCTTGAGAACTTCTGCACAGCAACAGCCGTTTAACTTTGGGGATAGCCAAAGGCACGGCTCCTCAGTGCATTCAAGACACTCGGAGTTTTACCTCTCAGCACGTCCCCACGGGAGGATGACCCTAGGCGGAACACGCGCAGGAGCTGAGTCGGAGCGAGCGACGGCAACGCGCCGGGTGAGATGTGCGGCGATTTATCTGGAGACTAGCCTCATAGAAGGCTTGGGTGTGGGCTGACCACATATTCCAAGATGGCTTGGTGACGTCACTAGTTGTCGCTTTGACCCTTTTGTATTAAGGGTGTGGGCACTAGACACCTTAAAGACTATGTAAGTAAGTAAGTAGCATGATTATTTTCCAAAATCATCAAAGTTCCGCCAGGCTTTAAATAGGAAGCTGCAAGTTGAATCAAGCGTTTAAAATCTTCATAAGTTTGAGAATAGTCTAGAATCCATAAAAGAAAAACTACATCAAATGTCTCTCGGTGAGTCTCCAAAGGTAGCTGCTCAAATACTGTTTCTGATTGGAAAGCGTTAGCCTTAATGAATGAGTAATGGCTTTCCATAAATCCTGCCTCATTAGCAATTTCTCTGGCTCTACTCAAAAGGTTCTCTGCAAAGTCAATTCCAACAGCGAATTTGGCTCCCCTTCTTAATGATTCGATACTTATATCACCATTTCCACATCCTAGATCTAGGATTCTCATGTTGGAAAGGCATTGCCCTTCTCCGTTGCCAGTCGGGCTGATATTTTTGAATATTGTAAAATACTCACAGAGATAACGTCCAGGCTGCCTTGCATAACTTTCCCAATGGACTGCATTGGAGTTGTAGATATCTTCTAAGGTCGACATTTTGGATTACATGTAGAGAAAAATTTTCTAATTTTTCTCTTTGAGAATATATATAATAGGCGACATATCTTGATTTGAATTCTTGATCTACAGTCTAGATATTCGGGTCAAGGTTTTCCGTAGAGGGCTCTAAGCTAATAAGCAAGCTCAGTCTCAGTTGATGTGTATTCGGTTGTGATTAAAAGCTGCTAAGGTTGAAAACTGAGCCCAGCAATGTCTTTCGGACCCTTGGAAATTTCTCAACTGAGAAATAGGGTGTTTCGGCAAGGCAATAGCCTCCTACCTGTAGCTGCCGAAGGAAAAAAACTTTGGCATTCGACAAGACTCCAAATATTTGAAATCTAGCTACCAATTGCTATAGAAGGCATGTAGGTTATTAAGCTACTTACTGAAGACTGAAGGCCCGAAACATGGAGAAGATGACTCTACTGGCTATAGCTAAACCCACTGGGCTGTTCATCGCTAAGGAGATGAATCTCCTGTATGAGAGGTCTATGGTGACTTCATCACCAATATGGCTAAAGCCTTTCTCTTGATAATTAGCTTAATATAACCTTCTCTGATAACGAATACATATTATAAGAATTCCAAATTTTTGAATTGAACCTCTATAAACGAACAAGAAATTCTTCAACCCCAAAAATCCTATTAAATACTCATTTAATTAAACCCTAGTTAATTATTTTAATTTTAGGAAATTCTATTTTAATCATAAATTTAGCATTTTTATGTAAACGCTTATTAAAATATAAAGAGAAATTTAGCATTGATAAAAGGTTTTTAAGCTTAATTCTTCAAGAAAGATCTTCAATTTAATGCTGAATAATATATTGATACTCAGTTTACTTTGATCAATATTTTTATTAGAATTCATTGAATCTTTTGCAAATTGCAAAATATAAATTAATTAATATAAATCAAAACCATAAAAAGCATCAGAGTTATTAAATAGCTTGACTCATAAGGTTTCATTAATAAAATTTTTAGTCCTACTGGTACAATATTGCTATCTCAAATAGAGATTTATTTCATAGAAGCGTTTGATAAGAATTTTATAAGCACATACTAATTAAATGAGTTCACATAAATATACCCTTATGTAACTTTTATAAATCCTTCAATCTTATTAATTTTTGAAAAGGAATCAAAGCATTGCTAATTTGAAGTATAGCACATATTTATATTATGAAGTAAACTCTCAAATTAAAAGTGCATAAATAATCACACCCGATTTAATTTTTAATTAAAAATTTCTTTTTGAAATTAAGAAGAAAGATTCATAAACCTTATCTTCCTAATCCAGCTCAAGAAACACAATTCATTCTAATTATTTTGGTATATCAATTATATACTGCAGGATCAGCAATAAAATGATTAATAAGAGTTCAAAGTATCAAAGCAAAGCATGGTTTTGAAGTAATTTCATGCTTAAAGTGAAACCTGTCAAACAATCATTATCGCTCTTATTTTCCAGCAATTTTCTTTAGAAAACAAGAATCAATTTGTTGTTGTCACATTAAAAACAGAAATTTTTATTTCCGTTAAAATTTAAATTGCAGCTGGGTTGGATAAATAAAAATTTACAATTAATTTACTCGACACTTAAAAATTCAATTTTCTTTGGTTTCCTTGCAAAATTTCATCATGAATGTACATTTTTGTGGTTTTAATTTCGTTTTTATTTGTGAAGCAATTATCTTTACTCTGTACACCTACATGCCTTCAAACTCCATTTCTTGAATTATTGTCTCTTATGTATCACCTGCCGTTTTCTCTTCCAAGCATAGCATGATATTTGGACATCCTTAGGTCATATTTAAACCTAAAGTTTACGTCTCGATTTCGCCCAATTTTCAGTTCTATACCATTGTCTGCTATGCTTTTTTGCCTTGAGTGGCGTGGTACGGGCGCCACTTCGGCAAGCTCCTTCTTCCAGTTGGCCGAGCCAACTCAGGTTGGTTCGGCCAACTAGAATTGACAAGTCTCCCCAAAAGGCCTCACTTGTCAATTCTCAAGTTGGTCGAACCAACCTGAGTTGGCTCGGCCAACTGGAAGAAGGAGCTTGCCGAAGTGGCGCCCATACCGCGCCACTCAAGGCAAAAAGCTATATTTCTTGAGGAGAAACCCCTTCTTTTGTTATCCACTGTAAGGAAAGTAGATCATTATTTCGAATATCTACGATTTTCATGCGTGTGTCTCCAAAAGAATAAGTTTCTCCAATCTCCAGGAATGACCTCTCCACCTTTATGGAGGCATACCCACATTCAGGCTCAGGAACTTGCAAGTAATTCTTATTATTTGAGAGATGGCTTGGGGTTTTAGTAATGCTACGCCTTAAGTAGTCTTCAAATTGAGGTGCAATGGCACCGAAGGAACTGCAAAAAAAATAATCAAGTAGGAGAGAGATGCATTGAATAAGCTTTATTTTTGCTGAATTTTCGTTTAGATCGAATTGAGAAAGAACCAGAATTGTTTTGTAAAAATTTCTGACTTCTTCTGGAATTGAGTTATTGATCATGACTTCACATGTATCTTTAATCAGGATTTGGCATTCAGACACATGGGAAGGATTATTTTCTGATAGTTTTATCATCCAATTTGATAGGGTTTTTTGAGCACTCATTTTACGTCAGTCTTATTTCGCGTATAAATTTTTATTATATTTAAAGTTACATTTAACCTTACTGTATACAAAAAAATAATCACCTTTGCTTATACGAATGGGCTTCATCCATTGATAATATGGCTTCCACAATGTTTCCATTAGGCAAGAAGAATGATAATTGATCATTGATTTCGGTTTGTAGGAAATTTGAACTCCATCATTATTTAAGAGTTCGGGCAGTGATAAATGTAAAAATTGTCCAATTTTCCCCAATTATTTCCCGCTTAATCCTCAGTTGTGATCTGGTACTCCAATAAAGAAGCAGTCTTCCAGCCAATGCATTTTCAAACCTCTTACCCTAACTTTAATAATAGAATATTTTGCTTTCTTGATGTAGTGTGAGAAATATTAAAGACCTTAAGAAAAAGTAAACTAAAAATAACATTTAAAGTTCAAAGTATTACAAAGGAGATATTTTCGTTTTTATTGAACAAAGAGCTAAAAGATAATAGAGAAATCTGCCAGGTTCTTTTATATGCTTAGTCCCAATATTGATCTCGCAGTTTTCATGTCATAAGACTTTAAAAAGCTGCTTTCAATCATGGGTTTTCCATTTCTGTCGCCATCATAATTCATGATTTTCAATGTTATTTAATGCATAAATAAGTAAAAAGGTTCTAAATAATTCCTGACTTTGTATAAATCAAGCCATTCACTCAACCTTTTATAATTATCCTTATTCTTTCTTAACAAAATAAAGATTTTTTAGATCGCTAGTAATTATTTCAATTTAATTTTATTCCTTAAAATCTGAATAATTTTGCTTATTTTGAAAATTAAATTTTTGTTTAAATTAAGTAATAATGATATATTCTCTCTTATGCAGATTTATTATTATTATTGCTGCCTTTTTTATATAAAAAGTGCACACTTATATCAAGCTATATGACCAAAAAACTCTTTCGGATCACTCTCAGCATGTCTACCCTACTTATCAACCCATAAAAAATTTGATAAATCTGCCTAAAATTAAAAGGATTTCCAAAAACTATTTCAAGGGGCTGTGCAATCTACAGCTATAAAATAGTTGGAGGTTAATATTTTAAAAACCTTGATTTTTTGAGATTCTGGGGTAAAAAATTTCCTTTTATCAACTTAGTTTTAAGAAATTGCATCCTATAAGACTACTATCATCATCCTCGTAAAGAATTTGCTGATACATTCAAAATTGGCCACATCTAATATATTTTTGTAAGTGCTCAAATATTTAGCTTACCATGACAATAAAAATGAATATCTAATCATCTTTTAATAAATATTTACTATTCTTGGTGAATTTTTGATTGCCTTAGCAAAGTAAATTTGTCATAATGCACTAATGACCAAGAATCATATTAAAATAGTCAAATCTAAATAATTTTCTATCATAATTATCAATAAACCATAAATTTATAATAGAAAGTTCCTACTATATAAATCTGCTATTATTTGATGGGAATTCTCTATAAGTTAAATATTTTGTTTAGCATATAAGCACCATTTTAACTGTATTATTAATGGAATTACATATTTATCTTGTATCTCTATGACCTTTATTCACTTTATTCCCACTTTTATAAGCTGAATAAGCCCTGCTCTTTACTTCAACTTTTTCACTGCCTATAGCTGGTGCTGTATTAGGCCTATTTCTTTTTTTCAAGCCTTCCTTATTTCCTTTGTCTTCAGATTTGTCAGCTTTTACTCCCTCATTTGCTATAAGTCATGCATTTGGCCTTTTTCTATTTACATTCACATTAACAGGACTTACTCTTCTTTTTGACGCCCCAGCAGGTGAGTTATCCCTATCCCCCTTCTTTTCAGGTACTTTTATATTTAGTGATTTCCACATATCTTGATGCAGTGATTCAGTCAGCTTCTGCAGATCTTCGTGGCTGATCCCATTGATTTCTTTTTTATTAAAGCAGTTCCCAATAATTTCTCCTCCTGCCCTTATCCTCTGCGGCTTTTCATTTTTCATGACTAATAAAGGAGCTCGATACTCGATTTGTTCAGCTCCTTTCATACAAGATCTCAATATAGCATGCCCGTCTTCAACAGGATTTTTGCTCGAAGGATGTGGGATATCGACTAATTTTTCTTTTTCATCGGTATGGTTATCAGCCCAATTTAGCTTATTCAACTTTTCAATCTCTTCAAGTGCGTCATCATAATGTACAAAAGGACCCATCTGTGCATTCAAAAACGTGTTTCTCAGCACATGCTCTTCTGGATCAAGAAAAATTTCTTCATCCCAGCTTGAGGAAACTGGTCCATTTCCTTGCTTTAATAAACGATTTTCTAATGCAGCTAATTGCTGTATAAACGGAGGCCTCAGATCCATATCTGGACGTCGAGAGTTCAAGAATTCCAAGGTTTTGAATAGAGTTCAGCGGTATTTTTGTACAAAGTAGCTTGCTAAAGCGCATATACATCGAGATCGGCCTCTGACTGAATGAACCAAAACGCTTTCGCCTAGATTGTGAGCAATTTCAATAAAATCAAAGATTTGAGTGATGGTTTCGTTTCTGACATCAAATAAAATTTGAGAGTCATTGTCAAGCCAGTATAGACTCAGATATTGGACTCCAATTGGTTCCCAATGATTTGGAACTTGGCGAGCTGCACAGTTTATGATATGAGTGACTTTGTTGGCTACAACGAATTCAAGGTCTTGAGAGGAAAATTCATCCCCGATAAATAGACCATCTTTTACCTTGATTGGACCTATAAGCTCCATTTCCATCTTCTTTATTTAAATCTTTACATTTTTGATGCAAAACAGCATATGAAATTAATTTGAGGAATATAAGCATATCAATCTTAAATTCAAATATTAACTTTTTTGAAATGGCTCAATTCGGTGAAAGAATGCTTACCTGCTTTTAGAGGATCAATATTGGATATTGAAATATATAGTGAGTTAGGATGAACAGCAAGGGTTTTTTTGGTTTGCCGGCAAGCCAAAAAGCCCTGTGCTGTTATCCTAAATAACAATATATATATAGTAGAATAAGGGCTTTTGATTTGCAATGTAATCAGTTTTTGTTCTTAAAGATTAAAATATTTTATGACAGAGCCATATTCAAAAATATTTCTGACTGTACATTGAAAATTTAGTCCTTTAGCATATTTCACGTTTGCTATTTTTTTAAATTCTTTTATAATAATTACATAACTATTAGTGGATATACTTTTAATTTAAACTAAAAACTTCATTTTTCGATTTATACATTCTAACAACATTATTACTCGATAAAATTTGATTATTCATAAAGCCAAACAGTTATTTAAAAAATAAATCCAAGGCTAAAAGCAACCGATATATATATACTTGAGCTAGAATTTTCTGTAGTTGTATCGTTATTTGTATTAGTGCTTTGACTTTCGCCATTAGTATTTTGGCTAACAGTAGCTTGAGTCAAAGGGCTTGCATCATAGGCTAAAACGATAGAATCACTGCTTGTTCCTGAGCTGCTATGCTGAGCAATATCCCCACCAGCAATATTCCCTTTTGCTGAAATTGTTAAATATTGTCCATTTATTTGTAAACTGAGATCATCATTATCTTCAGTATTTAATTGCCTGGTCCAGGAATAAACTGTATATGTATCCATTATCAACTGCTGTGTCTCTTGAAGACTATTTTTCCCACCATTTGATGTGTCTAAAGAAGGATAACCATTATCACTAGCAAAACGATCATCAGTTTGCCCTGAAGAGGTTTCAATTGTAATAATATCAGCCCCTGTCATAGCATAGCTAGAGGATGAGGGAAGGAATCCGATCCCAATTCATTCCCAGTTTGAAGTCCCTACGTATTCTGTGGGCAGTAAATAGTAAAATGTTATAGTTGAGTTATCTGGGAAATATCACGCAAGTTGTGTTCCTATAGAAAGCGATTGAATAATTGCTGATAATCCTAAAGGAATAAAAGATTGAAGTGCGAGATACACCAGAAATAACATATTTTTGTTATTTATTTAAATTTAAAATGGATATAGCCCAATTCATGCTTTGGACTGGGCTTGACTGACGTCGGGAACCGTCAGACGAGCTAGCAAACCAAGATTTTCTGGCTAAGTCAATTCCCAGATGTCAAATCTCTAATAGCAAGAGGATTTTGTCATCTGTGAATTCGGCTTTGCCAGCAAAATTGGTTTGTCAACTCCCCATTCTAACATTTCCCAAGACAGTCAAGCCCAATCCAAAGCAGGAATCAAGCATTACCGATAATATTTTAATTTTAAAAATTCAATTTTTCATTGAATCGTAACATAATAGCCTATTTGATGTGAAAATAAACTATCCAATTTGAAGAATAAAAATATAGACATAAAACTATTAGTAAAAAGGATTTAAAAGGTCCAGGAAGATAGCAAAATTTTTAAGTCAGAAAATAAGAAAAAGGGGGAAGTGTAAGTAAGGACAATACCTCAATTTTGATATTATTCGCGTCTAAAAATTTATTATAAAGAAGATATATATTTTTATATTAGTAAAGTAAAATTAAAAAAATTTCATTAAAAATTAATAAAAAACAAAAAGATACTTATTTTTTGACCTAGGATAGATTTCATATTTACTGATTTACTTTAGTTTTATAATGATGCTTTTAAGACAAACTGCAAAAATACTTACTCCCTCTGAGAAAGAGCCAAGTGTCAAAAATATTTAATTAACTTTTCTTTGCTAGCAAGTAAAAAAATTACTAGATTCATAAGCAAGCAAAAATATCTTACTCACCCCCCCATCCTTGATCGAACGACTCGCCATCGTTCGATCAAGGATGGGGGTTAAAAAAAATTTTTATATATAAAATAAAATATATATATATTTTTTTTTTATTTACTTTTAAATAAGAGGGTTAAGGGTATTTAATAATTATTTTTACTACAAAAAATTGAATTAATTTCATAAAAATACCAATTTTTAATATTTTGATTTATTAGTTACCCCTTTAAACTGTATAAATTTTAATTTGTTCCTTATTAAATTAAATTGTTTTTTTAAAAAGTTTAAAGATCTCTATTTTATTAGATTATTAATTTTTTAAGCCTAGATTGATGACTAAATCACTTCGGATAGTTGATTTCGAAGCTTTCTGTCGTCTCAAAGTCCCTGAAAACAACTTCATTAGGCGCATCTTCCCAAGCTTTTGATAACTAATATATTTTTATATATATAAAAGTTGCATGATATGAAAATCGTTCGATCAAGGATGGGGGTTAATTTCCCCAATTTTTAGGAATTTTTACAGTCAATCGTTCGATCAAGGATGGGGGGGAGTTAATATAAAGAAAGTTAGGAAAAATATTTTTATTTCTCGAGCATTCAGCATTGATCCAAAGCAAGATAATCAAAAAGAAAATAACGAACAAAATGATCAGCCTAAAAGTTATAAAGGCTTGATGTTTATGGGCGGATTATTAGGAATCGCATCATCTATTCTCTTACAAAAATATATAGTGAACTACACTGACTGGCACGGGGCGCTTTTGGCTCAGTTTCGAGCTAAAAGCACCCCGTGCCAGTCAGTGTAGTTAACTATATACCAGCTAGCAAAGAAGTTGATAAGCCAAAAACTCGAGTCGCATCAGAGAATAAGATTGGAGGTCCTTGAAAAATGATTGATTCTCAAGGGAAGCAGGTTACAGACCAAGATTTCAGGGGTTCTTATGTCATTTACTATTTTGGCTTTACAAGATGTCCTGATATTTGCCCAACCTCTCTGAAAAAGCTCAGCTCAGCAATGAATATATTAAAGGAAAAAGGAATAAATGATATAAAATACTTATTTGTATCTTTAGATGCTGAAAGAGACACTCCAGAAGAAGTAGGAAGATTTACAAATTTATTTCATAAAGAAATCAATGGACTATTGGTTCCAGTTGAAGACTTACCGGATTTTTTAAAGAAATACAAGCTTTATAGCAATAAGATTTATAATGGGGAAGATTACATGCTGGATCATACATCTTATATGTATCTTTTTGATAAAAATGGTCAATTTATGAACGTATTAGCATCAAACTTGAGTGATAAAGGGATTGCAAGAAGCATTGAGATTGAAATTGAGAAAAATAAATAATAGGTTTTTAATAGCACATCTGCAAGCTTATATATTAATTTTTACAATGGCATATTTGTAGTTATTGTTAACTTTATTTAAAATTCAGCTAAGATAACTCGATTGAATTTTTCCAAAAAATTGCTCCAAAGATAAATTTCCCTATAAAGTTCAAAATCGAGATTATTGCAGCAAACCTTTTAATCCCATCGTCATTTATAACTGTTTACCAGTGATAGCTCACTTAGGAGCACTTTTTGGATAACCATTCTAAATTTGGTTAGTAAAAAATATGACTTGCTAGCAAAGTTGGCAAGCCAGCTATTGTCTGATTAACCAAAATATATATTTAGTTGGTTAAATTTCTGATCGGCTCCCACGAGCAAAAGATGGATTTCACGCGTGAAAAAATCCAGAAATTCCACGCGGAAACCCATTTTTGACTCGTGGGAGCTGATCAGAAATTAAGCCAAAATTATTAACGGGCTGTCCTTCGTATATAGGTATATCTCTGATCCCTCCATCCATTTCTGAATAAAAATTACTGATAAATAGATCCAAATTCATATCAAATCATAAATTTGAGAGATAATGATTGCAAAAGCTAAAAACTTATAGTGGAAAGCAACATTTGTATGTGTAATATAGTAATAAATTGCCAAAATCCCAATCAAAAGCTAAATAAAAGTTACATTAAAGAAATCAGGTCTCACGAACATAGACAATGTTGAGAAAAATAGCAATAAATATATAGACAGTTGGTTAGCGAAAGACCATTTAATGGTTCCAACCCCAAAAGCTCTTGCAGCAACATCATCCATTTTAGCTGAGAATTGCTGTTCAGTTCTTTGGAAAACAGGGTTTGAAAGTATTCATTCCCCAGTGCCACCAAAAATAGACTCAAGATCTTTGTAATATTTTTCCATTTCTTGCAATTCTGATTTATCTTCATCTATAATATCATGAAACTGGTTAATAAGCCCTTCTAAATACTTTGGCAGGTCATAAATTCATTGGAAAGCTAGATAAATTTTCCCAGAGATTTTATCAGTTGCATTTTTTCCTGCCAAGTCTAGGGCGTCTTCATGCAATTGTTGATCCGTAAGGGCGCTGAAAGGGACTGAAACTTCTCCTAAAAATGCTGAAGGCTTCCCTCTATCAGAATCAAAAACTTCAATTAATATTTTTCCTGTTCCATTGCTGACGAAAAATGAAAAAGTCTCATTCCATGTAGGGCTTTTTGGATTTGGAAAAGGTTGTGTGGTGATTTCTTGACTTTCACAAGATACTTTGACTAGAGGAGCTTTATTCCCTGTTAAACCAGCAGCTTTTAGGCCTTCAGCTTTTTTGACAGTCACTGTTAATACATTTTGGCGTTCAGACCTGCTAGCTTTTGCCTCAATAAACTGACGTCGAGTATCTGAGAGTTTTTGAGTGTTTTCAGCAATTGCTATTTTTAATTGATCGAGTCGAGATTTAACCAAGGTTTCTGCTTGATAATAGCCTGATACAAATTCATCTATAGATACCAAAGAATTTTGATCTTTATCGAGTGTTTTGAAGATTTCGTTCAAAAGAATTGGATTGAAGGGCTTGCGACATTTTTTCGATAAATAGGAATTTATTTCTTCAAATGATAATTGCTGGTCTTGATTTGTATCTATGTCAGAAAATTCTTTTTTGATCTGGTTCACTCGCTCATTGTTAGATTGACTTGTTGAGAGAAGACTTTTATCTAGCGAAGCATCAGTCATATTTAATATGAAAGCAAATCAAATTTTCTAATAAGAAAATGGAAGAGAGCTTATAATTGCTATCATAATAAGTGCATCAAAGTAATAATCCAAATAAATTAAATTGCCAATGATAAATTTATTTTATGAATATATAATTTCTATTTTCTATGAAACTCCTTTTTCCTGCCCTTATAACTGTTTACCTTAATTTTCAATTAATCTTTTTCCTCTACAGTCTATTGAAATTCCATTGCAGAATTTCCAGTTAATTTTGCATTTTGCATCCATTCTTATAATATTAAAATGAATCCATCCGATCCCAGCTCAAAGCCGCTGACGGATCTCAAATACCTTATTAACTTCGTCTTCAGCCAAATTGAGTCCAAACAAGAGGTGAAATCAATGCTTGAGAAATTTTCAGCCCAGGTCGAGACTACTTTACATCAAATTTGTGGCAAAGTGACTATTGAAATCCCATAAATAAAATATGGGGTCTCATCTGGGCATGGCCTCCCGGCCATGCATACTCGACTTATATTTTATTTTATATCCGGCAAGGTTTTACTACTTAAGAAATGGACAGCAATGCTAGGTAAGCAATTCTGATTGTGTACAGAGCATAGCTCAAGTCTAAATTCAGGAGGCTTTTTCCTCATGGGAAAGGAGGGTACGGAAGTTGGAAAGGGAAGCTCAGCAAAGTCCTCTAGACCAATCGGGCCACTCCCTAGCGTGAAACTGGGCGTTACGTCCCAGACTCCGTATTTTCCTTTTTGCCGAGAGTCGACCAGAAAATCCATAAAAATGGATTTTTTCGGAAAGACAACCCATGCTTCAAGTGCAAGTAGCTCGCTCATGAGCCGTCGAAGCCGGCAACACCGCTCCAAGCGTGCCTTGGTGATCAAAGCAGGCTGTCACAGCGGCCTGCGGGTCCGACACGTGGAAGAGATGGCGGAAAGGTCTGTGCTGCCCACTCGTAAGGGACGTTAAGCGACTATTAATCTTAATGTAATGTAATGACTATTGAAATCCCAGAACTTCCCGCCGATGTCAGTGAAGAGGAAATTCTAGCCACGCGTGGCGAAGAATTGCAAGCAGCCATGGAGGTCTGAACTAACAAAATCTCAACTTAACTTGAATTATTAGCAAAGTAGCTCCCGGTCAGCCATGTCAGCTTTTCACGTCCCATGCTTCGCTTCACCCCTTACTTGCAAGAACAATCCTTAGCTTAAAGGCATGTGCTGCTTTATGGGACGGCTTGCACTCGCAACCCGAGGGTAAAGACGCTGGGTCACCGTGCTGTGAATCAATGGGGTTTATCCTTTCCGAAAAGTAAATTTTCTGGTCAGCTATTTTGCAAGATGAAACTTGCAGTCCAAGACGCAACTCCACTTATCGCGCTAGGAAACTGCCAAATTGGCCAAGCGAGCGTCTTCTGGCCTTAATGGACTATCCCTGCCCATCTTCCAAGTTTCATCTTCCCTAGATATAAAACCTTGCCCTGGATTGAGCCTGAGATCAATTAGCCAGACATTGCGCTCCACCAGACCAAGTAAAACCGGGCTAGCTTTCTCATCAGATAATGCTGTTCCTTCCGCAAGGTCCCCAGGACTCCCATCTGGCTACAGACGTTAAGAGGGCAGGTTGATTCGCGATGCCATTTTTAAGTTATGGAATAACAAAATCAAAGAAGTCATTGCAACTGAAAAAGCCAAAAAGCCTGAAAGCACTAATTCTGCTATGGCTGAAATCGAGTTTTGGAAAAACCGAAGCGCAGTTTTGACGACTTTGCATCAGCAATTTAACCTTCCAGGAGTAAAAAGAATCGAAAACGTCATGCAGATTGCGAAAAATTCATATGACAACTTAACATATGAAAATTTCAGAAAAGAAATGGCAAATTTGAATAAAATCTTTTCAGTCGCCAAGGATAATGTAAAGTTTTTAAATACCCTGGAAAGGCAGTTTAAGACAATACAGGGAGGAAATTTGGTGGCTATTGATGAAACGCTTACAAGCTTGATGAATGGGCTTAGACTAGTGTGGACGATTTCAAGACACTATAAGGGAGATGAAATGCTTAATTTAATGACTTGCATTGCGAATGAAATAGCTGATAAAGTGGAGTCACAAATTAGAGTCAATGAAATTTTCAAAAAAGATAATTTAAAAGAATCTCAAGATATCATTGAAAAAGGCATCAAAGTCCTTGAAAAATGGTCAGAAACATTTTCTGCAACTCGAAGAGAAGTTGAAAGTGGCGAGTCTCATTGGCCTTATGACCAGAAAAAACTCTTTGAAAGGACTAAGCATATGACCAAAGTCTTAAAAGACTTAAAAAAAGCTGTCATCTGCATCCAAGAATTTAAAAGCTTTTTAGGTGAAGATCTCATCAAAGTCACTGAAGACACTGCTGGCATTAATGACATGATTGAGCAAGTCAGCATTTTATCAAAGCCTCTTGAAATGTTTTCTAAACCTTTTGCTGTTGATAGTCTAAAGCTCTGAATTACAACTTACGCTAAATTCGAAGAGTAGATTAGATTAACTTAAATTATAGTGGCTTCTGAGAATTATTTTAGCCCTTCGCTGTCCAGACCAGTTTCTGGCGCAAGTGCTCCTAAACGCCTGAATCACACTGCACCCTTTTCTTGCCGATTTCACCAAAAAATGGTGATAGACATCAGCATCTTAAGAGACTCATCCGACCATGCTTTGTTCTAACCATGCGATAGAGGCTCTGGTAGTGCTCAGGGCATGAAGGAAATGCCCATCGCCTCCTTCTCGACTGCCATTCCTTGATTGGGCATAAATTTCTTCCCACGCCTTCGGTTGTCGACCGTATGACAAGGGAAAAAGCCTTTTAGGGAGCCTGAACAGGTAAAAACCAGCCTAATATTCAAAAATAATGGGATTCACTCACCTGGGACCGACCTAACTCTTCTCACAGTCTTTTAAAAAGTTAAATTAGAAGAAGAAGTAAAAATAATTGAAGATAAGACAATTATCATGATCCAAATGGTCTTCAAAGGTCTAAGATCTGCTGAAGGCGCTTTTGACCTAATCCAAAACCTCAAAAATGTCAGGACAAGAGACAGAATTAAGGACGAAATGCAGAAAAAATACACAGATATTTTAGAAAAATACGGTGATGAAGTCAGAGTCATGAGCGAGCTTTTTGGCAGCTTTAAAGAAATTCCTCCAATAAGTAAAGGAAAGCCACCTTGTGCAGGAAAAATTGCATGGAGTGAGGCCATTTTCCAAAGAGTGAAAAAACCAATCATGAAATTCAAATCAAGAGAAAATTTATTAGAAGAAAATGAAGGGAAAAAAGTGTGCAAGGCATATTTTCAGCTAGGCAAGCAGATTAGGCATGAGTATCAAGAAACCATTATCAATGATTGAAGCAAGAAATCAAACGACATTGCTACAGACTCACTAAAACGATACATTTTAAAGAAAGAAGGAGAGTCCTTTGCAGTAGATTTTGATCCAGCGCTTGAAATGATGATTAGAGAAGCAAAGTACATGAAACAAGATGCTTTGTCGAATACAGTGCTCAATGTAGCTCTGCAAGAAAAAGACTATAGAAAACATGTAGATCAGCTTAATGCGATGCTATCTGAGTATAACCTAACTGTGGGAACTCTTCAGCCTGAAGAAAAAAAACTGCTTAGAGATCATATAGCTGATTTAAACAGCTCTTTAGAGCCGGGTTTGGCTTCTTATAACTGGCACTCCTTAGGTATCAAAACTTTTATTGAAAACTGTAGAAAAGCTTTAAAAGAGTTCACAGTTATTAAATCCCAAGTTTATAAGCAAAGAGACATGATTGAAGAAAGAGTTAAAGCTATTGAAGAAGCCAAAATCGTCAAGGAATTTGACTGGACTAGAAAAGACAGTGAAAACGTCATGGATTTAATGGAATTCTACGATTTCATTGAAAACCGAAGACAAGAAGTGGTCAATGAGCTCTTCAAAAAATACTCTCACTCCTCCCTCCGAGAGCGAACAAAATAATTTTGTTTGCTTATGGGGGGTTAATTTCTTTAAAAAAGATATATAATTTTTTTGTTGTTGAAATTCTCAAAATTGGAAAACAAATATTAGTCTAATTTGTAAAACTTATGTTTTAAAATACAAGCTATTTAAAAATTCAACAGAATTCATTATAACAATTATCAATTATATATCAAATTTTTTTCACAAATAATGCTGGTTCGCTCATGGAGGGATTTTTCCAATGGTTATGCTCACTCACAGAGAGGGAGTCAGAAATCAGCGACAATTTGCTATCCATTGAAGAAATCACTCTCAGAACCAAAACTAAAGGTGCAGAATCCATGGTCAAATATTATGGCTACTGGGAAAAGAGGATTTTTAATGCCATCACCACAATGGTTATCAGAGGTCTCCTTACCATAAAAGCATTATTTACCAAGCAGGAAGACCGCCCTCCTCTCTTCAAAATCATGTCATCCTTCACTCCACCTAAAATAACATTCCACCCCTCCCAGCAGGACATCTACAACGTCTTGCAAAAATTAGTTACAAACATCCTTGAATCTGCTAAGGCCTTCCCAAGATGGCAAAAAGGCCGCTGTGAGCTTTGCAAGCCTAGGGAGAAAATGGATACAATCGAGTATATACATAATTTCTACTCAGATGTTGGAAAAATTAAAAATATCGTCACAATCCATATGAGTGTTAATGAAATGATAGAAAGACTGTCCAAGAAGATGGGAAACATCACAAAAACACTGGAACATCAGTATAAGACTCTTTCTGATGACAAGCTTAAGTCCAAATACGAAAAAAACGGAGAAAACATGAGTTTGTCGTTTATTGAGTTTAATATGAACAGAAATAGCTACTCAATAATTGACTACAAAAATGTCAAGGCAGAACGCAGGGTCCTTTTTATGCTTATTGATGACACAAATACCCGCCGCTCTGTAAAACGTGAAGCTAAAAAATGACTTGACCTCTTCTCCAACATTCTTTACGACAAAGCTTCAAATAGCTTACGAGTTCTTTTACTCCCCTTCTTTAAACTGGAACAAAAATCCTGTTCCAATTAAGAAGGTTAATAATTTCTAAAAAAAAAAATTTACAAAATTTTTTAAAGCAATACTTTGAAATGAAAAATGATTGTACTTAACTTTTTATATTAAATTGAAATCATGAAAAAAAATTTTGGTTTCAATTTAAAGGGAGATTAAAGTTCCCAAACACTACAAATTTTACCTATATTTTTTTTCTAATTAAAAGGGGAAGTTAGAAGAAATGGAAACCATTAAAAAAGAGCTTCAAGAGACCCCAAGTGACATCACCAGTATGAAAAATCTTCTAAGCGTCATCTCAAAAATAAATTCTTCCCACATGGCTAAAGAATTCAAAATCCTTGAAGTCGAAGAAATGTACAGAACCATCGAAATGTACAACAAAGAAAGCCTAGATGACCCAGTCCGTCAAGAAACCTACGAAGAGTCCAAAATCCTTTCTAAAAGGTGGCGAGATCTCCGTCGTGACGCAAATCAAAAAAACTACTCCATGCTGAAATACAAAGAAAGATTCGCCGAAGAAACCAAAGTAGATGTACTGAAGTTTCAGAAGCAGCTGAAAGACTCTTATAAGCGCTACAAAGAAACAGGCCCTGGCGCCGCAGAAACTTCTTTAAAAGAAGGAGTGGTTTCATTAGCTCATTTCGAAGAAGAAGTATCCAGGCTCAACAAAATCAGAGTGGACTTAGTGCTTGCTGAGCAACTTCTGGGACTTCCTATAAGCTCATTTGAAGAGCTTGCAGCAATGGAAGAGTCAAATAAAAGACTTAAAGACTTATATGGAATCTACACTGAGCTCCAAACGAAAATAGAGAAATGGAGCTCGATGCCTTGGAACGATATTGATATTAACGTCATAGAAAAAGATTCCGATGAGCTCTATAAGAAAACCATGAAGCTAGAAGCGGAATATGAAAATAACCCCACTTATGAAAAACTGAGAAATGAAGTGACTGGATTTAAGCAGAGTGTGCCATTGATCAGAACCATGAAAAGCGAAAACGTCAAAACTCGGCATTGGGTGAAACTCTTGGCAGCGATTGGGTATGAGCAGAAATTAGACTTAAAGAACATTACATTGCAGCAAGTGTTTGACTTAGGACTGCAAAATCACCAGGAAAAAGTAGATGAAATTGCAACTGAAGCAAGAAATGAAGCTGCGAATGACCAGATTTTGACAACCATTGAGAATTTGTGGAAAGTCAGAGTGTTTCCAATGGGAAAGTATAAGCGTGGAGTTGAAGATAAAGGGTGGGTCATCTTAAACTGTGATGAAATTAAGGAAATCATTGATGATCAGTTATCAGACCTATCCAAATTGACAAACACTAAATATGCAGGGCCATTCATGGAAAGAATTCGAACCTTGGAAAAGCAAATCAATATCATTTCTGACTGTATCGATTTATGGCTTGCTGTCCAAAGGAAATGGCAATACCTCGAAAGCATTTTTGTAGGTAGTGAAGATATCAGACTTATGCTTAAAGAAGAGGTCAAAAAATTTGACAGAATAGACAAATCGTTCAGAAAGCTCATGGAAAACACCAATAAAAATCCAAATGTCTTAGCTGCTTGTTATCAAGATGCTTTTCGCCCAGAAGAGCGTAAAGATGAGCTAAAAGGGATTTCCAAAGATCTAGATCAGTGCCAGAAAAGACTTTCAAACTATCTAGATACCAAAAAAGGCTCATTCCCAAGATTCTACTTCATTTCTGATGATGAGCTTCTTACTCGCATTCGTGAGCAAGTAGCATTTTTTTGGCTTTGGCTCATTTTTTCTAAAATTTACTTATATTAAAATTATTTTTGAAGATTATTTATAAAATTATATTTTGGAATGCAAACTGTTTAAATTGAATCGGATTAGCTAGATATTCATATAACAATTATCTTATATATTAAAAATCATTTTTATAATAAATTTTGCTCGATTGCGAGGATAGGATTTCTCAGTTAAATAGGACTTTTCCATGGTTTTACTCGCTCACAGGTGAGTTAGCATTTTAGGTTCCAGTAACCCTGAAGATATCCAACAGCATATGCTTAAGCTTTATGACAACTGCAAAGAGCTCAAATTCAGTAGAAATAAGATGGTCCTTGGTATGTTTTCAGAAGAAGGAGAAGAATACTCATTTGCAAACTCTGTAAAGCCAGAAGGCCCCGTAGAAACCTGAATGAACAAGCTTGATGACGAAATGATTGACACCCTTCACAAAATGACGAAAGAAGGAACCTATTATTATGCAGAAAGCGAAAGAATCCCATGGATCCTTGACCATATTGGTATGGTCGCCATTGCAGGCACTCAAATTTGGTGGACTTGGAGCGTGGAAGACGTATTTCGAAGAGTAAAAGAAGGAAACAAGCACGCAATGAAAGAAGAAAGCGCCAAGGAGACAGCGAATTTGGTAGCTTTGATTGACTTGGTAAGGACTGATTTGCCAAGGCTGCAGATGAAGAAAGTGAACACATTGATTATTTTAGACGTCCATGCTAGGGATATTGTTGATAGATTTGTGAGAGACTCGATATTAGACGCCAAAGAATTTGAGTGGGAGTCGCAGCTCAGGTTTTATTGGGACAGAGATGTGGATGATATTGTGGTTAGACAGTGCACTGGGGATTTCAAATATTGCTATGAATATGAAGGGCTTAATGGAAGACTGGTCATCACTCCACTAACAGACAGATGCGTCATGACTTTAACTACTGCTCTTACTTTCAAACTTGGAGGAGCTCCAGCAGGCCCAGCAGGAACTGGAAAAACAGAAACTGTCAAAGACTTAGCCAAATCCTTAGCCATCAGATGCGTTGTCACCAACTGTGGAGAAGGTCTTGATTACCAAGCTATGGGCACTATCTTCAGTGGTCTTGTCCAAACTGGTTTTTGGGGCTGCTTCGATGAGTTTAACAGAATCAACGTCGAAGTCCTTTCTGTCATCTCGATCCAAATCAAAACTATTCAAAACTCCTTAAATGCTAAAAAGAACACAGTCGACTTGCTAGGAAAAGAAATTCCCCTTGTTGACACAGTTGGAATTTTTGTCACCATGAACCCTGGCTATGCCGGCAGAAGTGAGTTACCTGACAACTTAAAAGCCCTATTCAGGCCTTGCACTATGGTCGTCCCTGATATGATCTTGATTTGTGAAATTATGCTTATGTCTGAAGGGTTCACCCTAGCAAGAATTTTAGCTAACTCCCCCCCCCCTCCGTGAGCGAACAAAAAAAATTTGTTCACTCACGGAGGGGGTTTATTTTTTTTTTTAAAAACAATTATATATATAAATTTTATATAAAAAATATTTTTTTCGAAATTTAAAAAAAATCCTAATTTGCAAAAATTGGGAAGCAAATACTAATTTTAATTTGCAAAATTTATGTTTTAAAACGCAATTTGTTTTTAAAATTAAACAGAATTAGCTCTAGATTTCATTATACTAATTATCACTTATATAGCAAAATTTTTTTCTATTAAAATTTTTTCTATTAAAAATATTTTTGTTCACTCACGGAGGGTGGGTTTTTGGTCAAAAAATGGCGATTTTTCTAATGGTTTTTGTTCGCTCACGGAGGGGGGGGGAGTAAGAAAATGACTGTGCTGTACAAATTAGCCCAAGAGCAGCTATCTAAGCAGTATCACTATGATTTTGGGCTGAGAGCTCTTAAGTCTGTGCTCGTCATGGCTGGATCTCTGAAAAGAGGCTCCCCTGATATGAGCGAAGATTTGGTCCTAATGAGAGCACTGAGAGATATGAATAAGCCAAAATTCGTATATGAAGATGTCCCATTGTTTATGGGCTTGATCAATGATTTGTTCCCAAGCTTAGACTGTCCTAGAGTGGTCTATGATAATTTGAAAACAGAAGTTATCAACTATTTCAACGCTCATGGCTTTATGCATTCAGATGAAGAGAAATTCCTAAAGCAAGTCGATAAAGTAATGCAACTTCATGAAACTATGCTTACCAGGCACACAACTATGGTTGTAGGACCGACAGGAGGTGGAAAAACAACAGTAATTTATGCATTGAAAAATGGGTATCAAGGTGTAGAGCAAGATATGAAGGTCCATATTGACGTGCTGAACTGTAAATCAATCACTTTGAAAGAACTTTATGGCGAACTTGACCCTGCTACCAGAGATTGGACTGATGGGTTGCTAACTCCATCTCCCTCCATAAGCGGACAAATACATTGGAAATTTTTTTGCCAAAAAACCCAACTAAAAATTTTTTTAGATTAAAATTTTGAAATGTAGTGATAATTATTATAAGAAATTTTATAGCTATCTGTTTAATTTTAAATGATTTGCATTTTAAAACATAAATTTTAAATAAATTTAATACTTGCTTTCCAATTTTTGCGAGTTGAAATTTACTTAAATTTCGGAAAAAAAAAATTACTATCAAATTTATATATAAATTTTTTAAAAAAGAAATCAGCAAACAAAATTTTTTGCCCGATCACGGAGGGGGGGGTAAGTAAATTATTCAGAATAATGAACTTACCTATTCCAGAAGACTATTAATTTTAATTAAAATTATTGAAAAGCTTCATATGATACCTCAAAAGGGTATATATCTCCAATCTGTTTCAGCACTACCTCCGTCTGTCTATCGGCTATGCTCCTTCAGAAATGGGCTCGCACACTAACTGGAGTCAGTGGGATCGGTCACCATACCGTACACCTGACTTGAGTTGCCCTTCCAGAAAATTAAAAAAAAATTATGGATGAGTTTCGACCAAGATAGAAGTTGAGGCACAGGGTGAAACTCCCGGTATCGCGCTAAGAAACTGCCGAATTGGTGTCAAGGATTTTGCTGGGCTTTCGCTTTCTAATTCCAAGCATCCAGCTTCCCAAATAAATATTGCCCTGGAAATAGATGCGGTCGGTCTAATCCTTCATTGCGTTCTGCCAGGCCAAGTAAAGCCTGCCAAGATACACACTACTGAACGCTATCCTTCCTTCCAAAAGGTTCCTGCGATGCTCCAGCTGCAGATGCTAACTCCCCCCCTCCGTGAGTGAACAAAACCATCAGAAAAATCCCTATTTTTTTGCCCAAAACCCCACCCTCCGTTAGTAAATAAAAATTTTTTAATAGAAAATTGTTTACGGAAAAAATTTTGATATATAAATGATAATTAGTATAATGAAATCTAAAGCTAATTCTGTTTAATTTTGAATGAATTGCTTTTAAAACATAAATTTTATAAATTTAATTAATATTTGCTTTCCAATTTTACGAATTAGGATTTTTTTAAATTTCCAAAAAAACAATTTTTTATAAAATTTATATATAAAATTTTTTTTAAAAACAAAAATTACCCCCCCTCCGTGAGCGAACAAAATTTTTTTGTTCACTCACGGATGGGGGGAGTAAGAGGATGGGTTGGATTGCCACGCCATTTTTATGGATATCCTATTCCAGAAGGCAAAAAAGAAAAAAGATGGATTTTGTATGATGGTGACGTTGATGCTCTTTGGGTCGAAAACATGAACAGCGTTATGGATGATAATAAACTGCTTACACTTAATAATGGTGAGAGAATCAGGCTTGAAAAATACTGCGCCATGCTTTACGAGGTCTATGATTTGCAATACGCCTCTCCAGCCACCATTTCTAGATGCGGTATGGTCTACGTTGATGATAAAGATCTAGGGTACCAGCCTTACTATGAAAGATGGGCCAAGAGCAAGACTGACCAAGGAGAAAATAATATCAGCGACACTTTAATTGTGCTTTTCAATAGATATATTGATAGATGCATAGGACGAATTTTAGAAGGAAAAATGGAAGAAGACAACTTTACTGAGCCACTTGCTATGGCTGTCCAAAGGAGTGGCTTAAACATGGTTATGCAGCTTTGCACTATGATGGACATTTTACTACCTACCGACAGCTCCCACACTGATGTTGAGTTTATTGAGCCACTCTTTGTATTTGCTATGCTTTGGTCCTTAGGAGCTTGCTTAGTCTCAGAAGATCGTCCTAAATTCGAAGCATTCTTAAAGAATATTGTAGACGGGAAACTGCCTCCAACAAACTACTACAATTACTATTGGGATAGGAGTTTAAGAGATTGGAGACCATGGGAAGAAAGAGTCAGAGCTAAAGGATTTGAGCTTCCATCAGATAGAAAATTCTCCAAAATCCTAGTTCCTACTATTGACACAGAAAGACACATATGACTTCTATCAGAGCTGATTTCAAGAAAAATCCCTACGATTTTCACAGGAGAAAGCGGGACAAGTAAAACAGTCACCATTCAAAATTTCATTGAAGGTTTAGAGCCAACCTTGTATCAAGTCCTAAATATCAATTTTTCCTCAAGAACTTCTTCTGCAAATGTCATGAGCAATTTAGCTGAAAAATTAGCTAAAAGAAGTGGGAAATTAGTTGGGCCTTCTATGGGGACAAAACTGATCGTGTTCGTGGATGACATGCACATGCCGAATTTCGATAAATATGGCACCCAACAACCTATTGCGTTTTTCAAGTTTTTGATCGACAAAGGGTACTATTTTGATATGGCAACTCTCGAAGAGCAGCATGTAGTTGACACAACTTACTTGTGCTCAATGCAGCCACCTGGTGGTGGAAGATCTCCAACAGATCCAAGGTTTTTATCACTATTTAATGTCTTCAACATCACTTTTCCATCTGATGACTCACTGAAACACATTTTCAAGTCCATTTTGAGCAAGCATTTAGAAAGCTTTGGCAACGAAATCATCGACTCAGCTGAGCACTTAACTGACGCTACATTAAAACTCCACAAAGAAATCTTAGAAAAACTCCCAAGAACCCCAGTGAAATTCCATTACATCTTCAATCTTCGTGACTTATCAAGAGTTTTTGAAGGCCTATTCCAGGCCACATATGAAGTATTTTCCACTCTCCCTGAATTTATTAAGCTATGGAGAAATGAGTGCACTCGTGTATATGCAGATAGGCTTATTGACTTCACTGATCGGAACCTGGTTACCGAGGAAATTCTGCCAAGACTTCTGCGCCAGCACTTTGCTGAACAGTCTGAGTATGCAATGCAAGAGCCTTTGCTTTATGGTGATTTCAGATTTGCTGACCCTGTTGAGCATAGTTCTGAGGAAGCTCGACTTTATGAAGACCTCAAAGAGTACCAAGTCGCAACAGATAAGTTTAATAAGCTTCTCAAAGAATACAACGAAGAGCGAGTTCCAATGAACTTGGTGCTTTTCAACTATGCAATTGACCATCTCACTAGGATTCACCGCATCTTCAGAATGGCCCGTGGAAATGCACTGCTTGTAGGTGTCGGAGGTTCAGGCAAACAAAGTTTAACCAGGCTTGCTGCTTTTACAGCAGAGCATGAGTTGTTCCAAATCTCGTTGACTAAAAACTACTCTGAGGCCAACTTCAAAGAAGACTTGAAAATCCTCTTCGAGAAGCTTAAAGAAAAGTCTGTTGTATTTTTGATCACTGATAACCACATCAAAGAAGAAAGCTTTTTAGAGTTCATCAACAATATTCTCACTATGGGAATGGTCCCTGCTCTCTACACAGAGGATGAAAAATACTCACTTGTCAGACCTCTTGAAGACGAAATGAAGCGTGAAGGCTTAATCAACCCAAATAAGGATATCAAGTGGACTTATTTCATCAATAAAGCCAGAGATAACTTGCACATAGTCCTCGCTATGTCTCCTGCTTCAGATACTCTCAGAATCAGATGTAGAAATTTCCCTGGGCTTGTAAACTGTACTTCAATTGATTGGTTCTTCAGCTGGCCTGAAGACGCCCTATTAAGTGTCGCTAGTTACTTTATGAAAGGAAAAGACCTGCCAGATGAGCATCGCCCTAATATCGAGCAGCACATTGTGAAAACCCATTCCTCAATTTTTGTGTTTTCCAAAGAATTTGAGAACACAATGAAGCGTAAAAACCACGCAACTCCTAAAAATTTTTTGGACTATATTAATACCTATATTAGCATGCTTGCTGTCAAGCGAAAAGAAATCGATATCAACGTAGTCAGACTAGAAAACGGGCTTGTTAAGCTCAGGGACTCTTCAGAAAAAGTTGACGTCATGTCAAAAGAACTTGAAGTTAAGAAAAAAGAAGTGGACATCAAGAAAAGCGAAGTCGAAAGCATGATCCAAGACCTCCAGGAGAAAACTGCCTTTGTAAAAACCCAGCAAGCGCAAGTCAAAGACAAAAAAGATGAGCTGGAAGTCAGAGAGAAAGAAATAACCGAGGATAAAATCAAAGCAACTGAAGCTTTAGAAGAAGCCCGCCCTATTTTAGAAAACGCTAAGCGAGCATTAGAAGTCTTAGATGCTAAGAAGCTGGGAGAAGTCAGAACTTATGCAAAACCTCCTCAGCCAGTCATGGATACTTGCATGTGTGTGCTTATATTGAAGCCAGTTCCAAACTGTCCACCTGATTCTGAAGGGTGGGCTGGCTGCAAAACTATGCTGACTTCACTTACTCCTTTCCGTCTGTGAGCGAACAGAACCATTGGAAAAATGCCTATTTTTTGCCCAAAAGCACACCCTCCTTGAGCGAATAAAAAAAATATTTGATATAAAAGTAATAATTAGTATAATGAAGTCTCTAGAATATATTTTAATTTCAAATCGGTGGATTTTAAAACATAAATTTACAAATTAAATTATTATTTGTTGATTTTTTTTTGAAAAAAAATTAGACTTTCGTGAGCAAAGAAAATTGTTTTGTTTGCTCAAGGAAGGGGGATTAGCAAGCCTGTGCTGCAGTCTTATCAAGTCTCTAGTGTCACCAAAGCAATGTACACAAAGGTCCAGAACTACCTGAAGAAACCCGAATTTAACAAAGAAAACGTCGCAGCTGTCTCTGATGCAGCAGGAAACCTTTTCGAGTGGATGGACTCCATGATGAAATACTACAAAACCTATACTGAAGTGGAGGCTTACACTTAGTTAGAGTATAAAAAAGCTCCCTGCCGGCTTCGAAGATCCTTATTTCCTTTTATAACGCTCTACTCATCGACTCTGCCGGCAATCATCTCATGACTCCAAAGTCTTGCTCCTAGCAGACATGGGCTGCACATCTTTCCTGGTATTCGGAAAGTTTCGGCCATCGTGCCGTAAGCCATGGGGTTTGGCTACTAGAAAATCGAGAAACAAATTTTCTGGTAGTCTGTTGGCCAATTTCGTAGCTCAGGACGCAATGCCTGGTATCGTGTTGGGGAACGTTCTAGTTGAACAGGAGAACCTCACTGGTATTGCTGGGACGAACCTTTCCAACTCCGAACTCCATCTATCTGAGGTAAAACTTTGGCCTAGATCTGAGCCTGCGGTCTACCACCCAAACATTGAGTTCCCCCAATACAAGTAAAACCTGGCTGGATGCACATACAGAACGCTAAAGCTCCATTCCACAAGGTTTCTGGGTCTCCCCAGCTACAGATGCTAGGAAGCGAGTTTGCTCGCCACACCCATTTTTATGTACACTGATGTGGAGCCACTAAGAATCAAAGTAGAAAAGCAAACCGAAAAGCTTGAGCAAGCCAAACGTGAATTAGCAGAAATCACAGCAAAGCTAGAACTTCTCCAGGCAGAAATTATGGACTTGAATGCAAAGCACAAAGCAGCCTCTGAAGAATTGAGCTATCTCACTGAGCAGGCTAATGATATGGAAAGGAAACTAAACATGGCCTCCAGACTCATTTCTGGACTTGGGACAGAGAAGAAGCGTTGGGCTGAAGACATTATCCAGCTGCGAGAAGACAAACATAACCTTCTAGGCGATTGCTTGTTGTCATCATCATTTTTGTGCTATACAGGCGCCTTCAATTATCAGTTCAGAATTAGAATGGTGTATGAAGCGTGGGAAGCTGATATAAAAGAAAGAAAAATCCCATTGAGCGAGCATTACAGGATAGAAAAGCTTCTGACCAACGATGTAGAATGCGCTAGATGGGCTAGCGAGGGGCTTCCACAAGATGAGTTGAGTATCCAGAACGGTATTTTAACCACTTATTCTAATAGGTTCCCTCTGTGTATTGATCCACAAGAACAAGCTGTGAAGTGGATCAAGCAGAAGGAAAAGGAAAATAACTTGGAAACCACTACTTTCAACAACCCTAAGTTCAACAAACTTGTGGAAAACTGTATCAAATTCGGAAATTCTCTATTATGCTATCTTAGATTTGAATTTGTGCCACTGTTTTATTATTATAAGTTATTTTCTTTAATTAGTTTGTGAGAGTATAATAGAAAATGTTGATGAAGAATTAGACCCTACTGTAGACCCTGTGCTTGAAAAAAGCTACACAGTCAGAGCTGGAGAAAAAATTTTACCTTTGATGGGTGCCAGTATTGTTTGGAGTGACAAATTCAAACTCTTTATGACCACAAAACTGTCAAACCCACAATATACCCCTGAAATCATGAGCAAAACTAGCATCATTAATTATACCGTCACGCTCAAAGGGCTAGAAGATCAGCTGCTTAATGAAGTTGTCAAGCTGGAAAAGCCTGAAAGAGAAGAAATGAGGAAGCAGCTCGTCATTGAAATGAGCAAAAATCAAGCCACCAGAAAACAGTTAGAAGAAAGCTTGCTTAAGAACCTGACTGAAGCCTTATACTTAAACGAATTAAGATTATAGAAAAGCTCCTGTTATATCTTCTCAGGCTGCATTTATCTAGATGCGCGCCTCTCCTTGCTTGCCAGCCCCTTCGGGCCTAGATTATAGCTCCTCACAGACTAAGGGCTTAATCGTTAGTCAGAGACGTTGGATCACCATGTCATATGCCGATGGTTCAGCCTCCAGAAAATTCGAAATGGAAAATCAAGGCATATGACGTAACTCCTTGTATCGCGCTGGGAAACATTCTGATTGACAAGAAGGAACCGAGTTGGCGTTGCTAACACTTCCCTTTCCAACCTTAAGTGCCTTCTCTCCAAGAAGTAAAACCTTGAACTGGATGCGAGCATGCAGTCAGCTCCCCGAAATTATGTTCCACCAAACCAATTAAAAACCTGGCCGACACGTATACCGAATGCTAAAACTCCCTTCCACAAGGTTATTGAGTCTCCCCATCTGCAGGTGTTAAGAGCATTTTAGTTCGCCCACGCCATTTTAATGCATGTCTGATCGAAGCCAAAGGAGATATTTTGGAAAATACCACTCTGGTTGCCACCCTTGAAGAAACTAAGCAAAAAACTGTTGAAATCACTCAAGCTATAGAAAATGCCAAGATTACTCGTGGAGAAATAGAAAAGGACAGACAGGCATATCAGCCAGTTGCACTGACTCCCCCCCCTTTAAATTGGAACTAAAAATTTTGTTCCAATTTAAAGGGGGGTTAATTTTTTTTTTTTTAAAAAAAAAAAATATCAATATAAAATTTTTTATAAAAAAAAAATTTATATAAAATTTAAAAAAATAAAACAATTTCAAAAATTTATCGAATTAGATTAATAAATTTGTTTAATAAAATGCTATTTACTCTTTATCCTTCAAAACAAAGCAAGATATAACTAAAATTTTATTATTAATTAATACGCCACTATTAATTGGTATCAAAAACTATTTACACAAAATTTATTATTTTTATTGATAAAAAAAAATTAAAAAAAATATTTTAGAAAATTTATTAATCAAAGTGCTAATTTTGTTTAAATAAGATGTTATTTATACTCTATTCTTTAAAATAAAGCAAGAGATAAGTAAATTTTGAATTTTTGTAAAGAATTCGTATTGAATTATATCAAAGCTATTTTAAATAAAAAATATCATTTTTATCAAAAAAATAAAATTTTTTTTGAAAAATTTTTTAAAAATTTACAATTAAGGATAATAAATTTATTTAAATAAGATGCTCTTTATACTCTTTTCTTTTAAACAAGAGCAGGATACAACTAAATTTTCAATTTTAGTTAAGAAGAAACATTTAAATTATATCAAAACTTTTTTACATAAAAAATTATGATTTATATATATAAAAATTTTTTATTATAAAAAATTAAATTTTGTTCCAATTTAAAGGTGGGTTAATTTACCAAAAAAGTGGAAATTTTACCTATATTTTGTTCCAATTTAAAGGGGGGGGGGAGTGAGAGGCTCTATTCTTTTCTTCGCTATGTCAGGGCTCTCAGCGATTTCTCAGATGTATGAGTATTCTTTAGCGAATTATCTGCAGGTGTTTACGCAGTCTATTCGAGATGCCAGAAAGGACAACATGACTGTAACAAGAGTGAAGAACATTATTGAAAAGCTGACTATGAACGTGTATAACTATACTTGCTTAGGTATCTTTGAAAAGCATAAAATCATGTTTTCTTTCCATATGACAATCATGATCATGCAGCACGATGGGGAAATTGATAATAAAGAATACGACTTTTTCTTGAAAGGAAATACTTCCTTGGAGCAAGTCTCTATGAAAAAACCTTTCGCATGGATACCTGAACAAGGCTGGAAAGACCTTGAAAGAATTATAGATCTGAACGCTAAATTTTCAAGACTTAGAGAAGATATCCTTAACAATGAAAAAGCTTGGAAAGAATGATATGACTTAGAAACCCCAGAAAGAGCGTCTATCCCATGCGGCTACGATAGCTTGACTCCTCTAGGAAAACTATGTTTACTTAAGCTATTTAGAGTCGACAGAGTTTATAACGGAATCAAAAATTTCATTGTAGAGAAGCATAAAAATGAGTTATATATTATGCCACCTCCGCCAATATATGAGAAGATCTACGAGCAGACCAATCCAAATTCTCCAGTCGTCTTCATTTTGTCCCCAGGAGCAGATCCTTTAAGTGATGTTACAAAGCTAGGCGAGCTGAAAGGCTTTACAGGAAATAAATTCAAGCCACTTGCACTGGGGCAAGGAATGGGAAATCTCGCTTTAGAGTATCTCAAGACAGGTGCCCAGAGAGGCCACTGGGTCATGCTTCAAAATTGCCATCTGCTGAAAAACTGGATGAAGGAGCTTGAGCGTGAACTTGAGCAGATTTCGAAGCCTCATCAAGATTTCAGGCTTTGGCTCACCACAGAGCCTACTGATGTATTTCCTTTGAGCATCTTGCAGCAATCTTTAAAGATAGTCACTGAGCCACCAGATGGTTTAAAGCAGAACATGAGATCACTATTTGGAAAAGTCAATGAAGATCAGCTGCAAGAGTGCCCACACCCTGCATTTAAGCCACTGGTCTATGTCTTGACATTTTATCATGCAGTCGTGCAGGATAGGAAGAAGTATGGAAAAATTGGTTGGAATGTCAGCTATGACTTCAATGACAGTGACTTCAAAATTTCGCTAAGACTGCTTTCTATGTATTTAGGAAAGGCTTTCAGAGAGAAAGATGATAGTATCCCTTGGAACTCATTGAAATATTTAATAGGAGAAGCTATGTATGGAGGAAGAGTTACTGATGATTACGATAGAAGAGTTTTGACTACTTATCTTAATGAGTATATGGGTGGTCAAGCACAGGTAGCAACCCTACACACCCCCCTAAAAGTGGTACCCCCCACCCCCCTTTTTTAATGGTACCCCCCCCCCCCCTAAAAAATGGCACCCCCACCCCCATCCCCCATAATATAGCATAAAATATATGAAAAATGCCAATTTAGAGCAGACATAATAAATAAATTATTATTTTAAATATTCAAAATTACTGATTTATGCAATATCCACATAGCGTAGCACAATCGATTAAGGAGTAGATGGAATGGGGTGAGAATTTCCTATAACTAGTAAGCTCACCAAATCTGAAAAAAATTTGTTAGCAAGCATAATAATGATCTTTGGTATTAATTAGCAATATATATCCTGCATATATTTATGAACTTTGTGGAACAATGGCTAAAAGTCGAATTAGAGATCCAAAAGTAAAACTGACAATAGCAAATACTATTTTTATTACCACTATTGAATCCTGCTACCAATTCAGTCCTGCAATCCTTGCACAATTGTCATTAGATTAGCTTTAATTTATGAATCAATAAATTTAAAGCAAGTTATTGTATTATCCTTGGTTAATTTAATAATTAATGCCATTATCTATATCTTTGGCATTATATCTATAAATATAAAAAGCAAATTTAATATATTTTCTAATTAATTGCTAATTAATTTAAATTTATTAATTAATCATAAAATATAAAGTAATTTGTGGACTTAATTTAAAAATATAGTGTTTTAATTGGGTTATGTTTAATTTATTCTGCTTATTTCCTATCAAATACTTCTATAGGATAAACCCGAGAGGGGGGGGTGAGGGTGCCATCTGTGAAAGGGAGGTGGGGGGTACCATTTTGTAGGGGGGGTGGGGGTTCCCTTATTGGGGGGTGGGGGGTGTCTGGTTGCGACCTATGCTTGACCATATGGGCAATTTCATTTTCGATACAAATCAGCCATTCTTCTTCTCTAAAAGCGGCTATAACTACACAATTCCTAGCGAAGGGACTTATGATTCTTATAGCAGCTCAATTTTGGCCTTACCCACTCTAAATTCTCCAGAAGTGTTTGGCCTCCATACCAATGCTGAAATCGGATATTTCACCAATGCAACTAAAGGGCTATGGGTAAACCTCCTATCCATGGCTTCAGAAGCTACATCTGCCTCTGGTGGAAATAAAGACGAGTATCTACAGTCTATAATTGCTGATATCCAATCCAAAATACCTGAAACCTACGACCAGCTTGCCATGCGTAAACAACTGGGCGAAAATCTTAAGCCCAGCCAAGTTGTTCTTTTACAAGAAGTCGAAAGGTTTAACAACCTTTTAATCATCATGCAAAGCACCCTCAGCAATTTGGCTAGAGCACTCAGAGGTGAAATCGGTATGAGTAGCGAGCTTGATGAGCTTGCTTTTTCCTTGACAAACGGATTTTTGCCTGAGCCATGGGGAAGGCTATCTCCCCAAACAGAAAAACCTTTAAGTGCATGGATGACCTTCTTCATAAAGAGAGACCAACAGTACCGCAAGTGGAGAGATGAAGGTGAGCCTAGAGTCATGTGGTTAAGTGGCCTTCACATTCCTGAATCTTTCTTAACAGCAGTTGTGCAGCAAACCTGCAGAGATAACACATGGGCTTTAGACAGATCTACACTATATACCAAAGTGACGAAATTCAAATTCGCAGACGAAGTCAAGAAAAACCCGAAGCGTGGGAAATATATTTCTGGGCTTTATTTGGAAGGCGCTAAATGGGATTCTAAAAACAAATGCATAAAGAAGCAAGATCCGAAAGAATTGGTGTATGAAATGCCGGTCATGAAAATCATACCTGAAGAAGCCAATAAGGTGAAACTTAGAGGAACTGTCAAAACTCCTGTGTATGTGACTCAAGCTAGAAGAAATGCAGCTGGCAGAGGGTTGGTGTTTGAGGCCGATTTGAAGACAGACGAGCATCAATCTCACTGGGTTTTGCAAGGAGTTGCGTTAGTCTTGAATATTGATTATTAATTTATTGACTATAACTTAAAATATCATGAGTAAAGATATTAAATGAGTTTCTACATTTTATTGTCTCATGAAATACGTAAAAATCTGCAAAAATTTTAAAATTAGATATTTATGAAATTTTTCTATGCTTGTCTGTTGCTGACCTTAAGATAGGCAAATTATATTTAATTTTTCCATAGTCCTACAAAATGCATTAATGATTAGAGGGATTGAATCTTATTTTATCAAATGAGCTTTTTCTATATTGGAATTTTTAGTTTAAAGGCTTGATAGCGGTTATAAAATTGCAACAGTTACTTTATCAAAAAAAATAAGTTTTACAAGTAGGCTATACTATCTTTTAACTTTGTTAATAAGATGTGTAGAAATAGATAAATATGACCTCAAAATTCCTGAGAAATTGATCATAAGATAAATAGAAAATTTTCTTTAAAAATCCCAATTGAAAAATCGTAATGAGCAAAAAATGGATATTAATTAAATCTAAAAATTTGAATATATCAGCCATTTTGAGAATATTTAAAAATCTTTTATAATAAAATTTTAGCAATTAAAGAATATCAAATGCTATTTAATCAAATTTTTGAGTTACTCTTAAGAAATGATGCTTAAATCCTATAGCTCTAAGACATATAATTATTTGCAAAAAATCTGGATTTTCTATACTTTCATACCTAAATAATAATTATATGCCATTTAGAGTACACAAATAAAATGGCGACGACACCGACCCGTCCTCTCCCGGAACTGTGGCGAGATTGGGGACCTTGCTGCGGCCTGAAGCCAATCCGCCCAGGGAAAGGTTTGAAATGGGTACTGGTAGTTTGTGTCCGGCTAGGTTTCCCTCCCAGTTCAGCAACGACGATCCTAGGGTCGTCCCGATAGGACACGGGCAAAAAAGGGTTTTTCCTCTAGGGACCGCTAGTGCCAATTTGGAGGGCATGGCAGGAGCCGACAAGAGCTAAGGAGTTAATCCTTAGCTCTAGCCCTAGTCTTGCGACGTGAAGCACGGTGACCCAGTTCGCCTACTTCCGGGATAGCATGACCAAGCCCCATGACCGGAAGGAGCTGAGTGGTAGCCTGTGGCACTTAGGTGCACACTGGGAGCAGGGCAAGGGAAAGCAAGCGAGGCGTCCAAAAGGCGGAAGAAAAGGACCTTCGGTCCTGGTCGGAGCTACTCTATAAATTTAACTAAGACTAAGACTAAGATATGCCATTTAGAGTTTAATTTTGAAAATCTCCAATTTTTATAAAAATTATAGCGAGAACCTTTTTGGCTCGGACTTCCCGATCTTTCCCGACAGGAAAGAAGGAATTGGCTAACCAACTAATGTTGGTTTGACCAACTGTCCAAGTGACAGAGCCACATGATGCAGGCTTCTGCCTTTGGGAGTTGTCAAACCAGCTCCTTCTTTCCCGCCAGTAAAAACCGGGGAGTCCAAGCAATAAAGTTGCTCGAGCTATATTTAAAAATGCTTTAATCATTTAAAGATTACTATGAATTTTCAAATTATTAATAATATCTCCTTGTTGGAGAAGACATCCTTGACGTCATTCGTGATGAAGGTCTCGACAAATAGGAAGCTTCAACCTTTTCTCTTGAAAGCTCAATGATATCATTGATATAATCATGAATGTCCTTCGGAGGAGGTAAAATCACTCTTGGGCTGAAACAAGAGCTCTTCCTTGAGTGGATTGATGGTGTGCTTATTGAAGTAGGTAAGGTCTCCAGTAGTTTCTGATGTAAATTATTTGATGTTTTAATAAAGGAAAGTTCATCTTTCAATTTTTGATATTTCCATTGAGGCTGTGCTGTTCTAGATAAAATTTCTGATCCATTTCGAAGCCCAAGCTTATATTTTTGGTAATTTGACGAAAAAACACTTGATTCTTGAATATATTTAAACGCTGAGGATTTTAGTCTGAACTGCAAAATTTGTACTGTTTTCTGCATAAGGAATTCGAAAATCAAGGTATTTCTGCGATCAACAATTTGTGGCCTGCCTTGGCGTTTTCTATTTGGTGATGGAGTATTTTGTGAGGAGAAGTTTAAAATTTTTTGAAATGAAAAACTAAGGCTGTCCTTAATTTTGCCTTTTAAGTTACTAGTTAAAAGCTTTATCGGTACATTTTTACTGAGAGGGTTTGATTTGATATGGCTAGATGATCTAGATCTTGGATGGCGAGTTTTAGCTTTATTGGTAAAAATTGATTTTGGTGGTTTGAGAATAAGAGCAAAATAGGGCTTAAGAGAAATTTTGATGAAAATTTGTGCAAAACGATTAATTTTTTTGGAAATTTTTACGTTTTCCTCATAATTCTTTATAGCTTCCAATGCATTCTTGAATTCCTGCTTTATTATTGTTTTCTTCAAAATTTTTGATAATAAATTTGCTGCTCTTGAAATAAAAACATTCCTTATTTCTTTTTCTTTATTGGTTGTATTTGTTTTATCTGGCTCAATTTTGACTGTGTCATTACTAGTTTGTATTAAATTTGAAGAAAGCTGACTAGCTTTTTGCTGTGGAGCAATTTGAAAAGGAGGCTGAGATACAGTTGAAATTTCTTTGCTTTTTCGAAGACTTTGTCCTTTATCTTTTGGAGGCAGAGCAGTGCCTGGAAGATTCACTTCTTCAAGAATATCTTCAAAATTATTCCCTTTCCCAGCTGGCTGTATTGGGGAATCATCATCTGAAATTGGACTCACAAGCTTTGAATCAAAGCTATCAGCAATTTTAGCAAAAATGCTTTGCCTCCCATTTATCTTGAAATGCTCAAAGCCTCCTCTCAGCACAAGTTTTATCCATAAAGGCATTATGACAAGTCTAACACAGTCTGTTTTTGTCATATTACTGATTTCGGATTTATGCAATTTTTTCCAGGCGACTTGCTTATGTTTGTGATGAATTCGCTTTACTGCCGAATTCAATAAATCACCAAGAACACCTGCAATGGCTTTTTGCAAACTAGAATCAGAAAGGAATTCTTCAGGCTCTTGATTTTTGCTTGACCGAAGAGGTTGGGACTTTGAACGACCTAAAGGGTTGGAAGCTTTTTTAGACAAATCAGTATCTTTGTCTTCAGGCATTTTTGGAGGTGGTGGCGGAGGCTTACTAGATCTGACTATGGGCTTCCTGATTTTTTTGGTGTCTCCTTCTAATCCTGCTCCTTTTGACTCATAAAGCACAACGAATTTTTCTGTTTCAGGAGGCTTGCTGGATCTTACTGGAGCTCTTGGTGGGTGCTTCAGTGGTGCCTTGGATATGCGCTTTTCTGTCTCTATATTAATTTGGTTTTCAAGTGGATTAATGGCGAATGCTACAGATTTGGGCTTAGGGTACTCGCTTTCAATTGGTAAAGCTTTATGAAGCTCATCTGCTACTTCTGAGGGTTCTTGCATAGCCTTGGAAGCTTGAACTGAGAGATCTGATTTTTCAGTGTTAAAATTGAATTTTTTTCTTTGATCATGAGAGTCTGTGCTTAAATCTTTTGTTATAGTTTTCTTATCGAATTGCTTTAAGCTGTGCTGGGATGGGTTAATTTCTTGAGCCTGCCCAACTATCTTATTCTCTTCTATCGCGTTTATGGTATCCTCAGATTTATTGCAATCCCCTTCTTCCTTATCATCATCTTTTGGCTTTGAGGATTCTTCTTTAATTTCTTCTTCTGTTTGATTGCCATCTGCTAGTTTTATAGTGTTTTCAGCCTCTCTAATTCCATCCGTTTGATTTCTTGTGTCTTCAGCTGCCTTACTTTTGCCTGCTGGCTTCTTGATTCCTTCAGTTGCTGTATTTGACTTTGCTCCCTCTTCAATCTTCTTCTCTTCTTCATGCAGCTTTACAAAATCATTTCTTGCTCTAGTTTCTTCCATTTGTTTTTCCATACCTTTATTTATCCTAAATTCTTCTTGTGGCTTTGTAATACCTTTTGGCTTATCAGTTTCTTCTACTGGGCTTTCTAGGCCTTTATTTATTCCACATTCTCCTGTTGATTTTTTTAAGTTTTCAGTTATTTTAGTTTCTTCTATTAGGTGCTCTATATCATTTTCCTGCTTGATTTCTTCTACTGGCCCCGAGATATCCTTTTTTATTCGAAGTAATTTAGTTGGTTTTGCTATAAATTTTGATTTATCAGTTTCTTCTTCAATTGCCTTCTCTATATTAGTTGATGTCTTAATTTCTTCTATTGGCTTTGCGGTGTATTTATTAATTTCAAATTCTTTAGAAATGTTTGCTTTATCTTTTGCTGTATCAATTTCTTCTATTGGCTTTGGAATATAATTACTCTCTACTGGCTTGGCTATATCATCTGTCGGCTCATTTTCTTCTATTGGTTTTGCGCTGTATTTATTTGATCCAATTTCTTTAGCTGGATTCTTTGCTTTATCTTTTGTTGTATCAATTTCTTCTATTGGCTTTGGAATATAATTACTCTCTACTGGCTTGGCTATATTATCTGCCGACTTAATTTCTTCTATTGGTTTTGCACTGTATTTATTTGATCCAATTTCTTTAGCTGGATTCTTTGCTTTATCTTTTGCCTTCTCAATCTGTTCTATTGGCTTTGCTATGTATTTATTTGTACCGAGTTCTTCTAATGGTATTGCTGTTTCTTTTGTTGCCTGATTTTCTTCTTTTGGATTTGCTGTGTCTTTTTTTGACTTTATTTCTCCTATCGGTTTTGCAATGTATTTATTTTTTCCAAATTCTTCTGGATTATCTATATCTTTTACAGCTTTATTTTCTCCAATATGTTTTGAAATTCCTCCAGCTAATTCTGATGTTTCTGCACTATCTTTTGCTGTCTTATTCTCTTCTAATGGCTCAACAATATCTGGATTTATATCAAAATCTTCTGCTGGCTTCGAGGTTTCTTTTGCCATTTCCATTTCCTCTTCTGGATTAGTGATATCTTTTGTGATAGGACTAATTTCTCTGGCAGGCTTTACAGTGCCCTTTCTTACATTTTTTTCATCTGATGGCTCAATAATACCATCTTTTGTCTTGGCTTTTTCTATTGGCTTTGCCATATCTTTATTTTTATCAGGCTCTTCTATTGGTTTTGCGGTGCCTTTAGTTACTCTAATTTCTTTTTGGGGCTTAGTAGAATTAGATGAATAAGAATCCTCTTGAAGATGGGTGCGTTTAGAATCAGGATATATTATAGCATCCTTCGCTTTGTTTTCCTCTTTTGGCTTATCGCTATTTTCAACTACACTCATATCGTCTTTATGCTTCATTATAACACTAGATGGATTATCTTTGACTGTCCTAATGCTTCCATTTAAGTCTCCTATAAATTCAGCTGGCTTTTTTATTTCTTTTTGCTCTGCATTGTCTATGATTTCTCTAATATGCTCTCCTGATTCTATTTCAGATTCATCTGATTTACTTTCATCTTGTGTCTTTCCTATGTCTTTATCTGATTCAATATCTTCTGCTTGACTTGTTATTGCTTCATGCAATTTACTCTCATCTTTTGACTTTGGAGAATCTTTTGATCTCATAGCATTTTCCATAGGATTTATTCTTTTGGCGGGTGATCTATTTTTTTCCTTTGGCTTTTCTGCATCCTTGCCTATTTGAGTATTTTCATTTGGATTTATCATAGCTTCAGCTAATTTATTTTTTTCCAGTGGCTCTGTTTTATCTTTATCTATTTCAGCATTTTCACTTGGACTCATTATATTTTCAGTTTGATTACTCTCTTTATCATATCTTGGATGGATTGTTGCATCAATTGACTTTCTTTCTTCCATTGGATTTGCAATATATTTGGCTCTCTTATCATCACTAGAAATTATTTTTCCTTCTGTTGCTTTACTTTCTTCCTTGCTTCCCCATCTTTGATCGAACGACAAGCCATCATTCAGTCCAGGAGGTCACTTAAAAAATTACTTACTCCCCCCCCCCCCCTCCGTGAGCGAACAAAACCATTAGAAAAATCGCCATTTTTTGACCAAAAACCCACCCTCCGTGAGTGAACAAAAATTTTTTTAATAGAAAAAATTTTAATGGAAAAAAATTTTGATATATAAGTGATAATTAGTATAATGAAATCTAGAGCTAATTCTGTTTAATTTTAAACAAATTGCGTTTTAAAACATAAATTTTGCAAATTAAATTAATATTTGCTTCCCCATTTTTTGCAAATTAGGATTTTTTTAAATTTCGAAAAAAAAATATTTTTTATAAAATTTATATATAAATTTTTTTTTAAAAAAAAAAATTAACCCCCCTCCGTGAGCGAACAAAATTTTTTTGTTCGCTCACGGAGGGGGGGGGGGGGGAGTTAAAGTATTAACAGCTTTTTCAGTATCGCTCGCATCAAGAAATATACTATTCAATATACTAAAAATACAGTAGAAATCGCGTTAGAATTGCATTACACAATTGCATTGAAATATTTCAAGATTTATTATTATCAAATATAGGTAGCTAGATTTGAAGAGGTACAAGAGAGTAGGACCATATGAAAATCGTCAAATCAATTATAGGGGCTAATTTTTCTATTCTTACTCCCCCCAATCCTTGATCGAACGATTGACTGTAAAAATTCCTAAAAATTGGGGAAATTAACCCCCATCCTTGATCGAACGATTTTCATATGCAAATTTTTATATATATATAAAAATATATTAGTTATCAAAAGCTTGGGAAGATGCACCTAATGAAGTTGCTGTCAGAGCTTTGAGACGAAAGAAAGCTGCGGAATCAACCATTCGAAGTGATTTAGCCATCAATCTAGGCTTGAAAACTCAATAATCTAAAAAATAGAGATTCTTTAAAATTTAAAAAAAAAAAAATTTAATTCAGTAAGTAACAAATTAAAATTTATACAGTTTAAAGGGGTAACTAATAAATCAAAATATTAAAAATTAATATTTTATGAAATTAATTCAATTTTTTGTAGTAAAAATAATTATTAAATACTCTTAACCCTCTTATTTAAAAGTAAATAAAAAAAATATATATATATATATTTTTTATTTTATATATAAATTTTTTTTCCCGAAAAATTTTTTTTAACCCCCATCCTTGATCGAACGATGGCGAGTCGTTCGATCAAGGATGGGGAGGGGGGAGTTAGGAAATTTTCAATGATCGTTCGATCAAGAATGGGGGATCTAGGCTTTACATTTTCTCTATCTGCTTCGTTAATGATATCTCCTGAGTCAGTTGGTATGCTTTCATCTGTTAATTTTTCTTTTTTATTACCCTTTACATCAGTTGATTTGCTTTCTTCTTTTGGCCTCGGGATTGATATGGTTGGGCTATTATCAAAATCTTTTGAATAAGCTTTTAAATCTGCTGATTTATTTTCTTTATTTGGCTTTTGTGTTTTCTTACCTAACTCAATGTCTTCACTAGGAACAATTTGATTTTTACTTGATTTACTTTCTTCTTTTGGGCTTGCTGCTTCTACAACTGTCTTACTATAGGTCTACTTATGAGTAGCCCGGCATGGACTTAGGCATGGCAATCTTTTCTTCCCAGTTGGCCAGGCTAACTCAGATTGGTTAAAGAGAGCCTGATATTGGTATATGGGCCTCTTATGGCACTATTATCAGCTCTTCAGTGAGTTCGGCCAGCCTGAGCTGTCCTGATCAAATTTATTTAGCCCGTCCAACTGGAGGGAGAAGATTTTTATGCCTAAGCCCTATTGGGAAACTCATAGGTAAAGCCTATATCTTCTTGTAGACTTAATGTAGTTTTGGCTAATTTGCTTTTAATCTTTGGCTTTGCACTTTCTTTGGCAACCTTATTTATATCCTCTTTTGAATCCACTAAAGTTTTAGATGATTTGCGTTCTTCGCTTGGCTCTTCATTTTCATAGGCCGTTTTACTACTATCCTGTCTTGAACTTGTTACAGCTTGAGTTGATTTATTTTCTTGTCTTGAATTTGCACTTGTCTTATTGATATCTTTTGGCGAGCTGATTATAGCATCCATTAGCTCGCTTCCTTCTTTTTGTTCTGCAACTTCTTTAGCCATGCTAGCTTCTTTTGATGGTTTTATGACGTCTCCAGTTGCCACTTTATTATCTTCTTCCGGCATTGCCATAGCTTTAGCTTTATCAATTTCTTTTTTTGTCATTGTTGGATCTTCTTTTGGAGTTCTGATTGCATTTTCAGTTGCCTTTATTTCTTCTACTGGTTTTGCTACACTTTCAGTTAATTTATTATCTGTACTAGGCTTTCTATCACTTTCCATCACCTTAATGAGTTCTAAAGGCTTTGCAATATCCTCATTTACCTTTCTTGATGCCATTGGCCCTTTAGTTTTTAGGACTTCTTCTCTTGGATGCGTAGTGTTTTTTCTATCCTCAATTGGTTCTTCAGAATCTTCAAAAGTATAGCTTTTATCTTTTGAATCAATGTCCTCGGGAGTATCACTTTCTCCCCTTGGATTTCCAATATCTCCAGATATATTTTTAAGGCCTTTTGGTCCTTTTTTGCCTTCAGGCACAGTGCTTCCTTTCTCTATCTTATTTTTATCTTGAATTTTTTCATCTTTTTGTTCGTTAGTACTTTTAAAGTTCCTTTCATCTTTATTTGGCTTTGAAAAATCTTCAGATATATTATTCTCCTCTGTTGACTTATGGGTTAAGTACTCTTCATGTGAACTCTTATCTCCTTTCTTTATAAGGTCTTGGTTAGAGGAAGCATCTATTGGGCTTTTATTCATCGGCATATATGAAGAATATCCAGGCGTTGTATTTTCTTCGTTTTGTGGAAAATAATTGGCTTCTGCTATTTTTTGTTCTTCTCTTGGTTTATAATTTATAGAATCTTTATCATTTTTCTTTTCTTCTAAGGGTTCTAGAAAAGGATCTGGTGATTTTTGTCCTTCTTCTCTTTCCTTATAAATAATAGCACCTGCTCTTGTTTTTCCTTCTTCTCTTTCCTTATTTATAAAAGGTTCTATTTTTTTATTTCCTTTCCCCTGCATTTGACTTGGCGTCTCTTCATCCTTTATTAGATCTATAGCAAAAGGATCACTAACAAACTTATTTCCTGCTTTTGGCATAGATATTGAAGGATCTGCTGAAGCTTCTTTTTTTCCTTTTTGTTCTTGGATCAAAGGTCCTTCGTTTTTGGTGTCTTTTGCCGCATAGGATGAAGGATTCTCTGATTCCTTTGCTATTTCAGCTGGAATATAAGCTAAGGTATCTCTAGGTTCTCTTGCTTTTACTTTTTGAGGGAGTGTTAGAGGATCTTTTGCGGTATTACCTTCTTCGCTTGGTTCACAAGCTAAAAGTGCTGTAGGCATGCTGATTTCTTCTTTCAGAACAGAAATTTGTGAATCTGGCTGAACTATAATCTTTTCTTTTTGTGGACGAGCTAATGGATTTACTTGGACCTTATTTTCTTCTATTTGAAAAGAAACTCGAGGATTGCTCGGAACTTTTTGTTTATTAGATAAATTTGCTTTATTTTCGTGATGAGAAATTGGCTTATCGGCACTATCTTCTTTATAAGCTAAAGGCTCATTTGAAGATTTAGTTTCGTTTTTTTGAGAAGTTCTGGGAGAGTCTCTTGGCTTTCTCTTTTTTCCATAGCTTAAAGGATCTCTTTGTGCCTTTTTTTGTTCTGGGCTACCAATTGAAGACTCTGCAGACACAAAAGCCTCTTCCTCTGGTAAAGAAATTAAAGGATCTTCTTCAATTTGCTTTTTTGTTTCGAAAGGTTCTTCATCAATAATAGAAGAATCTTCTATTTGCTTTCCTTTTTGAAAAATGTCTTGCGATGTTTTCTTTTTATCTTCGGTCTTGCTTTTGCTTTTATCTTCAGTAATAGCGAAAGGATCTTCCTGAACTTTATTTTCTTCTTTATTTGCTTCGTCTCCAGAAACTAAGGTTAAATGATCTCTTGCACCAGGCTTGCTAGATTCTGACAAAGGATATCTTTCAGATTTGATAGGGCTTGAGAAGCTATCTTTTTCTGGTATATTTGAGCTTGATAAGTTATCATTGCCAGGATTGATAACGCTAGGGAAAGTTCCATTTTCTGATTTATTTGAGTCCCATAAATTATCTCTACGAAGTTTAGTTGGCCTTGAGATGTTAGATCTATCAGGTGTATTAGCCTGATCCAAAAACTGTTTAGACTTTATATCTGATGAAACATATACATCACTTTTACTTCTCCTACCTTTTCCAACTGTTTTTTTAGGAGAATCACTGACTTCAGGCAGCACAAACTCATTGACATTTATATCTCTTGCATCATCTTTTTTTCTTTCTTCTATAAATATGCTTGAGATTCTATCATTTTTTATAGGCGTTTCTGGATTATTTAATAAGTCTTTGTGAAAATTCCCTAACTCCCCCCCTCCGTGAGTGAACAAAAAAATTTTGTTCACTCACGGAGGGAGTTAATTTTTTTTTTTAAAAAAAAAATTTATATATAAATTTTATAGAAAATTTTTTTCTTCGAAATTTTAAAAAATCCTAATTTGCAAAAATTGGGAAGCAAATATTAATTTAATTTATAAAATTTATGCTTTTAAAAAACGCATTTTGTTTTAAAATTAAACAGAATTAGCTCTATATTTCATTATACTAATTATCATTTATATATCAATTTTTTTTTTCCATTAAAAATTTTTCTATTAAAAAAATTTTTGTTCACTCACGGAGGGTGGGGTTTTTGGGCAAAAAATAGCGATTTTTCTAATGGTTTTGTTCACTCACGGAGGGGGGGGAGTAAGCTCTTACTTTTAGAGTAGTGGGCTTTACTTAATCTAGCTTTAGTTTGTTTATCTTGGTAGTACTCTTTTTTATTCTCAAAAATCTGAACATAACTTTTATTATCTTTAGGGCTGGCTATTTTTTCAGCTGATTTTTCTCGTGGAGAATCTAAGACATTTGAGCTTCGTTGGGCTACTGTTTGAGACCGCACTTGCTTTCTTGCAGGGATTTTGGATTTTGGGGTTAAAGGATCTCTGGGGCTTCGCTTTGTATTTTCTGCAGTGCTAGGCGAGGATCGTGATGATCGAGGATTGTCAGACTGAGAACGCAATGGCACATTATAGTCAGGATCTTGTGAGGATGATTCAATTTCAGATTGGTTTGAGTCTTCTAGAATTTTAAAAGAAATTTTGGGAATTCTTGAAAGATTTCTCGCTTTCTTTGTACTTGGCTCATTTATAGAAGCTCCAAATGATGATTCTTTTAAGGAATCTTCACGTCGCAGTTCTTGAGCTTCAAATGGAGTTTGATATTCAGCTTTGGCTTGAACTAAAGGCAAATATTCATCCTCTTTTGGCAATTGTGTTGAAGGCAGATCTTCTGCTGGCCTTAGTCTATTATCTAGCAAATGTTTTTCATGCTCTTGGTCTGAAATTTCTGATTGATGCTCTCCCTCTTCAAATGATAACTTATAAGATGGCTTTTTAGGTTCTTCATAATAATTTGTGTGCTTTTCTATAGGACTTGCTTGCTTATTTGCTATTTCTTCATTATATTTTTCTCTATCTTTAGTTTGATTTTTATTAGCTGATGATCTTACTCCCCTTTTTGGAGATTTGCTAGCTTTTTTCGAAAAATCTTGCTCAAGAATTGGTCTTTCACTTGGATCAAAGCTAGGCATCTTATTTTCAGGCTGAATTCCTATTCCCATTAGCCGATTTTTATCCTCTTTTACACTTTGATCAGGATTAGTTACTTTGCTTTCTTGAGTATCTGCGTAATCCTCTTGCTCATGCAGTATTACGCTTTGATTAGGGTTATTTACTTTGCTTTCTTGAATATGTTGGTAATCTTCTTGTTCATGCTGCATTGGATTGATTTGCTTATCTTCTTGAGGCTTTTTTGATCTTACTTTTATCTTTTTCGCAGATTTTTTAGGGCTCTTTGAAGTAATATCTCTACCAATTATAGGAATTTCGTCAAAATTTAGCTTATTTTTCGGAGAACCACCTCTCTTTTCATTGATTTTAGGATTAGAGCTGTAATTATCTTCTTCATATTTTGCATATGGGCTACTTTTTTCTGGCTTATTTTCGGTTAATTCCTTTGCCGAAAGATATCCCTTTTCATTGATTTTTGGCTTAGGGCTGCATTCTTCTTCATACTCTATATCTGAGCAAATCTTTTCTGAGTTTTCTTCTAAATTTGGTTTATTTTCTGGCGATTGATATAAGGAATCATGTCAATTTTCATTGCTTTGGGGATCGGAACTGCACTCGTCCTCTTTATATATTTCATCTGACTCCCCCCCCCCCCTTTAAATTGGAACTAAAAATTTTGTTCCAATTTAAAGGGGAGTTAATTTTTTTTTTAAAAAAAATATCAATATAAAAATTTTTTATAAAAAAAAAAATTATATATAAAAATTTCAAAAACTTATCGAATTAGATCAATAAATTTGTTTAATAAAACGTTATTTACTCTTTATCCTTCAAAACAAAGCAAGATATAACTAAATTTTCATTATTAGTTAATACGCCACTATTAATTGGTATCAAAATTATTTACACAAAAATTATTATTTTTTTATTGATAAAAAAAATTAAAAAAAAATTTTAGAAAATTTATCGATCAAAGTGCTAATTTTGTTTAAATAAGATGTTATTTATACTCTATTCTTTAAAATAAAGCAAGAAATAAGTAAATTTTGAAATTTTATAAAGAAATTCCTATTGAATTTATATCAAAACTATCCAAATAAAAACATATCATTTTTATCAAAAAAAACAAAAATTTTTTTGAAAATTTTTTTTTTAAAATTTAGCAATTAAGGATAATAAATTTATTTAAATAAGATGCTCTTTATACTTTTTTCTTTTAAAAAAGAGCAAGATATAACTCAATTTTTAATTTTAGTTAAGAAGAAACATTTAACTTATATCAAAACTTTTTAGATAAAAATTATATATAATTTTTTATTATAAAATTAAATTTTGTTCCAATTTAAAGGGGGGGTTAATTTACCAAAAAAGTGGAAATTTTACCGATATTTTGTTCCAATTTAAAGGGAGGGGGTGAGATTATTTTTTCCAAATCTATTTTTGGAATTTCAATAATGTTTTCTTCTTTAGTTGCAGGATTTTCGCTAAATAATCCTTTTGCCTTTTTATATGGGCTTATTATTGGTCTTCTCATTTTTGGAATTTGCCTTTCTAAATTTTCGATCTCCTCTTTTATATCAGGTTTATCAGTTTCCTCTTTTATATTAGACTTATCAGTTTCCTCCTTTATATCAGGTTTATCAGTTTCCTCTTTTATATCAGGTTTATCAGTTACTTGGTCAATTGCAGGGTTAGCATCTCTTTTTGCATACTCTATTTGATCTATATCTTTATTTTCTGGGTCTTTTGGGCTATCTGATAAATTGCTTTCAGAATCGCTTTCCTCACGCATTTTCTGAGCAGCTTTTATACCCTGTTTCGCCCCTTTTTTGGGTTTATTTTCACTCCTGATTTCATTTGACTCTACCTTATCTGAAGAGCTATAAGAATCTGGCTCTATATCAGATAAATTTTCTTCTATATTAATCTCATCTTCCCCATATCTTTGATTTGTAGGCTGATTTTTATTTTTTGGAAATTTTAATGGGTTTTTAATAGGCTCGCTAGTTGGGGATCGCAGCTCAGGATTAATATCAGAGCTTTCTTCTGTAAAATTAAAGTCACCTTCTATAGATTGTCTTAAACTATCTATTTGATCCAGCTGGTTGATTTTTGATAAAATGCTGTTTTCTGTAGCTCCAATAATATCTTCTGGATTTTTGGGATTTTGGCTTTTAAATTCTTCATTTTTTATATTAAATCGGGGCGTTGCTTCAACTGATAGCAAATTAGGATTCGAAACTTCTGATTTTGGTAGCTCATGGATTCTTGGCTTATCAGATAGTTGTAGACGCCTCGGAGAATCTTCAAGATTTTTGGATTCAACAGGCTCGTTTCGCTTTTCTTTTTCAGGGTCATATTCAAATGATACATTAATATTCTGCTTGCTGATATCTTTGCCAGACAGGCTTTCACTTTCTTCAGGCTTTGATTTACTTGGTTTAGAGGTTTTATATTTTTGGAATGGAATTTTATTCGTTTTAGGACTTTCTTGAAGTTTTGGAACTTCTTTTTGCTCTTCTTTATTAGGATCTTGTGGATAAATTCAATTTTTAGGCAAACTTTCAAGGGAATATATTGGGCTTATAAGAGGGGAAGCAAAATTGAAGCTTTCAAACGATCTTTTAGGAGAAAGTTTGTCATTATTTCTTTTTCAGAAATTGAACGGAGACTGGAATTTTCGTTTATTTGCTCGCTTGACCACCCTTGAAAGTGATGATAAAGATCTCGCTCTTCTAGTTCCTGACTGCAAAAAGTTATTGAAATGTTTTCCCATACATTTTTTAAAAATTTTATTACAGTTGTTCAAAGAGGCAAAGTTTTTGAATTTTTTAGCCAACATTTTTTGGTGCCAAAACATCAAAAGTTTACCTTTCGTTGCTTTTTCCTTTTGGATTCTTCAAGCTTCTCCAATATCTTTATTTCTTTGTTTTAATTTTGGTATATGTATGGCAGACTGGCTTAAATCTTTTAATAAGCATTCCATACTTTTGCCTGGGTTAGCATCAGAAACATCAACAAATTTTGTTTTATTTTCAGGAGAATTATTGAATAAACTGATTGGCCGACTTATAGACAACGAATTCGCATAAATTGTGGATTCTCTTTTAAAATCTTTATAAAGGCATCTAATTAAATTGAAAGCGTATTTGACTTTCTTCACTTGGAGTTTCTTACGAATCAGAGTCACTTTTATGGCCAATACAAGGCACCTAGGCTGAAATCCGGGGTCTTCATTGGATGTTAACGAATTTAAAAGTTCTTTAGTTTGCTCTATTCCAAAAGTTTGGTCTATAAGTGAATTAAGATTTGCCATGAGTGATTGGATTTTTTGCTGCTCTGTGAATTGCCTCTGGATAGCAGTCGTGAGCTGTACTACAATATTTCGAATAATTGCTTCGTTGGATTTATCCATTTATAATAGAAAACTATTTTATTACTGTCAGTTATTTAAACAAGAAGGAAAAGTATATTATATTTTAGGTTTTAAGCCTAAATTAAGGACTATTTTTGGCGAAATAACAAAATGGAAAATATTAGGGGAATTCGGTATCAAATAATAACTAAAAATGAATTTAAGGATAATTGATATTAAACATTTTTTTAATCATTTCTGGAATTTTAGAACCAGTAAGACATTTAAATTAATTTTAATAAAATCCTATATAAAACATGTGCCTTTATGAAATAAAATTATTTCAATTTTCCTATTCGAAATTTATTGTAAATCGAAAATGGACTTAAAGCTACACATTCTCAGCGAGTTGAGTGAAAGTCTTTTAGATCACATCCCACAAAGTATTTTTAAAGTTAATCGCCGTCTTCCTCACATCCATGCCCTCCTTAACAAATACATGAAACAAAAATCTCATTTATTGCCCCAATCCGAGCAAAAAACCAAAGAATTCCTAGCGGGAACCAGCTATAACCCCAGCAATATTGACATTCTGTTGAATAAGCTAGCTGTAGAAGCTCAGCATTATGAAATGTACAAAGAGGAAGAGCCCACAACACAGAATCCTGAAGAGCTCGTGGAAAAATACAAAAAATTGATCGTTCAGAGTGTTGTAGATAGACTTAACCACGATCCTCTCCTTGACTTCAAAAATAGAGAAACTGACCAAAAGCTAACGGATTGAAACAAAATTAAGGAAAGAATTGTGGAAGCACGAGGAAAGGATTATGCCTATTTACAAAGAATGAAAGAATTTCTACTGTTTAGCTATTTTCTTATTCAATATATGGATATAGGCTAAGGTGATCAGCAGGAATGTTTATATTCTCGATAAGTTGGCATATTTTACTATCCCATCTCCTAATCCCCCCCTTTAAAAAAATTATAGGCGAATAATAATTTCTATAGAAATAGTTTTTCAAATCCAATTTAATGCCACTAAAATCGAAAATTTTATCTAATAGCTTTGAAAAACAAATTAAATTGAAACAAATTTTTTTATCCACTTTAAAGGAGGCGAGTAAGAAGAAAAAGCAGACTTTGTATACAGGAGACAAGACTCCACAAATTGTGGCAGCTTATAATGCAATTATTTCTAAAATTTTTCATGCAAAATTGACTAATACGAGATACCAGCCACTTCAAGATTTAATTTTGATGGAACAAAAGCGAGGAGATATCGATCGAGAAAGCTTCGAAACAATCTGAAGATTAATTTCTGCACAGCTAAAAGACATAAGCTCAGGCGATCCTTTTGAGCTCGCAATCAGTATAATGTCCAACACAACTGAGTTTTTTGAACAAATGTTCGCTGAGCAAGTCTTAGAAGCCACCCACAACATTTCAGACCCCTCAATGCTAGCCAAAATTACTGCATATTCCCAAGCCATCCTCGAGTCATTACCTGCAGGCACAAATATATTCCTTGATAATAAGAATGAGCCAGCCTGGATGATTCTTTATTTCTTGCTGAGATCTGGACTAAAAGAAGAAGCCATAAAATATTGTGAAAACCATCATGATATCAATTGGCTGGCTCAGCATTTAACAGATTATTTCAGGCTAAGGGAAATTTTGGATTCGAGGTCTATATCAGAGCTGGTGAATTCTATGAGAGATCCTTCAACATTGGATGTATACCAGCGTGCTGTGCTGATTTTATTAGCAAAAATGAACACTGATGTTGATGAATTACAGCAGAATACACTTGAGGATTATTTATGGTTTAAATTAAAAATAGCGCAACCAATAGAAGAAGCGCAAGCGCAAAATTTGGAGTATGAGTGTGAAAATTATACTGTAAAAGGTAAATTTTAAATTTCTATTAATAAAAATTATTTTAGGTATAAATTTGAACTAAATAGGATATAATGTGCTAGTTTTATCGGAACTTCAAAGATATCTTATTGAATGCGGCCCTCAGCAATTTGAAAACCAAACTATTGTTTATACAATAGCGTTAATATCGACAATGTGTTATGGTGAAGCAATTCAATACTTGTACTCCATTGATGACTATAACACAGAAGCAATCCATTTAGCCGTAATTCTAAATGAAAACAGCATGCTACCTATTTTTTCCAGCTTAGATAATGCTTTTGAAGTCTATGAAAATGTCATCCATGTAAATTTGAATAAAATCATATCAGACTATATCAAAATTTTTGAGTCAGTTTTGCCAAACGAAGCCTTAATGTACATTTCATTAATGACAAGCACACAAGTTAAAGTTAAAGTTTTATATGGCATTACCGGGACACACTAGCCAAACAACCTTGACTCCAAAAAAGGTGCCTATGCTGGGTGCATATGCACCTTGAGTACAAATGGTGTAAGGCCCGACCAAAATTGCACCCTCTTGAAGATTCTGGCGAAACTCACTATAGTCCTGATAGATGAAGACTATGTGAGAGTTTAAAATCTGTCTAGCCCATCTGGCAGGGACAGGAAAATCTTCAGGGAGAAACAAAGCTTCCGTCTTCGGCAAGGCTTCCTCAAAGGTGAAAGCTTAATTCAAAAGAGACTGAGGCTCTATTTTCAGCTTCATGAGAGAATGGGTCCGACCTGCTCATAGGGAGTACACCTTGGAAACAAAATTCCGTCAACATCACGATATGATTTTATAAGAACACAAGGAATTGTCTCTGAAGCTAGTAACTTGGTGATTTCTTTCGAAAACTACCAAATTGTCCTTAATGATGAAATGTACATTTTTTCTAATAAATTCAAAGATGTTATTTCTGAACAAAATTATAGGCTTTGTGTGGAGGCAATTGCTGATTATGCAGCAAGACAAAAAGCACCAGAAGCTGTAGTTTTGTATGATTTGGTGGAAAACTATGAAAAGGTACTAGAGACATGGATTTTTGAAATAAAAAATGAAATGAAAAAACTAATTCCTCCCTTTAAATTGAAGATAAAAACCCTGCTCCAATTTAAAGGGAGGCTAATTTTTTTTATCCATAAAATTAGGTCAATAAAAATTAGTTCTGAAAAATATAATAATTTTTTATAAAAAATTAAATAAAAAAATTAATCGATCCAGCTTTGAAAACTGTTTAATAGTATTCTAACTGCATTTTGTTTATTTAAATTAGGTCAAAGCTAATTTATAAAAATTCGTACTTTCATCAATAAAATTTTCTTTTGAAAAACAAATTTTGTTACAATTTAAAGGGGTTAAAGTACCAAAAAATGCAAATTTTACCGATGTTTTGTTGCAATTTAAAGGGAGGGAGTAAGCGAAAACTGGAAAGAAGACTTTGAAAGAGGCTGGCAGCTGAAAGAAGAAAAAGGACAATGTGAAATGGAAAATTATGTTTTAAAGAACTATCAAGATTTGTATGAAAAATATCGCCAAGAAAGGATCTTTGAAAACTTCGTAGATCATGATAGAGCAATTCAAATTTTAGAGCAGTTTTTGACCTTCTATAATGCTGTCATCAACAGACAGTTCCACCATGCCCTTGCAATATTGTCATCAACTTCTTTATTCCCAATCCGTCCCACCTCCCGACAAAGTGAAATCCAAGGTAGATTCAAAAGACTCCATTTCTCAATCAAAGAAGAAATCCCTAACCTTATAGTAACTGCTTTACAAGTTCACCAAATCCTTTTAAATTTCGCTCAATCATATGAGTCAAATGAGCTGAAAAACGATATGAAAGAACTTGCTATGTATTATGGAGAAGCCAACGATTTAGTAAGAGGAATCCCCAGTGCTGAACAAAAATTCAAAGAACTAGGCAGCTACATAAGAGAAGTCAAAAGAAAGCTTGCATTGATTTAGGTTTTAAAGGTAAAATTTAATAAGAATTTCTTAGTAGAGATAAATATTTCATATAAAAGCAGTTTTCCATAAATGTCAAAGGTTTCTTATCTTGTTTTAGTCCGCTCTGGGAATACCGTTTACTATGAAGAACAAAAATACGCAGGCTGGGCTGACGTCGCCTTGTCAGAAAACGGAGTAAACGCTGCTCGAGAAGCTGCTAATTTAATACGTGCAAGTGGGATAAGACTCGATACAGGCTTTACCTCGATGCTTAAGCGAGGAGTTCACACGATGAATATTATTATTGACGAGCTTGATATAAATAGTTTAAAAGTCCATAAACACTGGCGCTTGAATACTCGTCATTATGGAAAACTGGAAGGACTTAATAAAGAATCAGGCAGCGAAATCGCGTTAAACGATGATGTAAGACCTCCTCTATTGGACTTAATGGACGACAAGCATCCTTCTCATGAGACAAAGTATCAGTTTGTCCCGTTAGAAGCCTTGCCTGGTGGGGAGAGCATGAATGACTGCAAAGCCAGGATTATTCCTTATTGGCAGGATAAGATTGCTCCAGCTTTACTGAAAGGAAAAAATGTCCTTGTGGTTAGCCACGGTCATTCAATCAAAGCATTGAGAAATCATTTAGGGGATGTTGAAGGAATTGAGGCTTTAGAAAGCACGATTTCTGCAGGGATCCCAAGAGTTCTGGAGTTTAATCAACGATTAGAAATAACTGCGCAGTATAACTTATCAAATTAAGCGCTATTAGGATTTTATTTATATTTTTTATGCTCCATAAGCTTGCTAAAAGATTTTTTGCGTATTCTGGGAAGCTTTATACCTGGGGATCAGATCCGCATTATTCGAGAAGCACAAACTTACCTAAGACCTCTAAAGATATCCCAAGCGAATTTCAAGGTTTTTCAGCTGGCGAAATCTCAAAAGTCGCATTCGGAATCAATCATGGAGCCATCATCACTAACGATGGGCTGGTTTACACCTTTGGAAAAGGAAACTATGGAGCCTTAGGTCATGACTCTGAAGATGCACAAGACAAGCCTACATTAATAGAATCCCTAAAAAACATTGAAATCAAAGTCAAAGATGTCGCAGTAGGGCAGCATCATACAGTTCTATTAACTACAGAAGGAGATATATGGACAATGGGCTATGGTGGACAACTAGCAGGCGGTATATGGCGAAAAATGTTTTCACAAGGTGGAGGCGCTTTGGGTCATGGGGATCTTAATGATAAATTTGTCCCTACTCCTATAGAAGCTTTAAAAGAACATGATGACATTACACAAATTGCTGCAGGCTCATATCATAGCTTAGCACTAGGAAGCAATGGAATTTTGACTATATGGGGTAAAGGAGAGCATGGTGTTCTAGGCTTAGGAACTAACAGGAACCATTTAAGTCCAGTTATCAACCGATTTTTCGACGAAATTAAGAATGAAGAAAAAGTAAAAATTAAGAAAATTGCAGCATGCCATTATTATACAGCTGTATTACTAGATGATGGAAGAGTTTTTACTTGGGGCAGGAATGATGAAGGGCAATTAGCTATTGGTTCAAGCCTTGGACTTGACATGTACGAGTGCCAGAGGCATCCTACAGAGGTTGAGTCGACTTTAGAAGGGAAAAAAGTTATTGATGTAGAAACTGGGGAAAACATTATTGTGTTTAAGACAGAAGATCAAGAAGTCTACGTTGCTGGGAGAAAATTGTGGTGGGAGCCTATGAAGCTAAATACACCTCCAGATGCAAAAATCACTAGTATTTTTGCTGGGGACAATTTTGCTGGATACATCAATGATGAAAGAGATGTTTATTTTGTTGGAAAAATATTTTCAAGCAAGTATGTAGAAGAAATAAAAGATTTAAGGATCTGGAAAGTGAAAAATGAAGTATTTAAAGGAAAACTGATCGAAAAAATAGGAGGAAGCTACCAAACTGCACATTACTGCTTCTTAAAAGACGAAGACACTAAACCAAATGATAAGCCAGCTCAGCAATAAAGGAAATTTACATAAGATTACTAGTTATTTTAAGTTTTCTATTAAATTTGTTATAGCGGCAATAATGAATCTCCAGAAAAGCAAGGACAAAGTTTGCATCCATATTTCAAAAGATTCAAAAATCCAGAATAACCCCCAGGAAACATACTAAAAATGTACCAGCCAATTGCAAACATTTGTATAATCGCTGAAATACACACCATTATATAGCTTCCAAGTATTGCAGCAGCATAAATCGTCCAAAAAATAGAAAAGAAATAGACAAATGACACTACGAGGTTTTCCTTGCTTGAGAATAAAGCTTTAATGTAATCCCACACTGTAGGCTTTAAATAGCTCAAAGCGATCTGCATAGTCAGAGAAGCCAAGCTAAAAAGCAATGCAAATTTCTGAGGGAAAAGTAAAACCATTGGAAGAAATGTAAAAGATCCAACGAAAAGTCCAATGGAAAGGGCGATAAAAATAAAAAAATATTTTAATCGAGCAGTTCTTTGTGTGGCGTTGTTGATAATACTCATGCTGTCTGTTCCCTTTTTCTTAATGCTGCTTGCAATGCTTCCTAAAAAACTCTTCTCTTCTTTGCTTGGCTGAGTTTCAGGCTTTCAGTATTCTTTTATCTTGCCAAGCCAAGATTTTTGCTCTTTGTTTTGATAAAAACTGAGATTTTCTAATACTTGGCCAAAGTTGCGAGCTGCCATATTAATATCAGATACCTACTAACTGAATCTTATACAAAAAATTATCTAAATATTCTATTTTCGTATCATTGCTAAATATTTAACATAAAAATAGCTTTGAAGATATAAATAAAATTGATTATCTTTTATTCCTTATTTTTTCATATTTTTCAAATAATTTAGTAGCAACTGCAATTTTCAGTCTCAGCACTTCATAATCATGTGGAGTTGTTTCGTCTTTCAATTTCATTGTAGTTGCTATTATTTCTTTAACTCTATGATCTGATAAAGGATGTGTTGATAGGAGTTCTGTTCTTAATTCATATTTTTTCAGCTTCGACATCATAGAAGAAGCTCCTTCTAGTCGTAGTCCTAGCTTTGATTCCAAAATAAGCGCATATTTATCAGCTTCAAGCTCACATTTCCTGCTCATAGGTAAAATTATAAGTAAATTTTCTGCCATTGAGGTATTGTAGATATCGCCAAAAAGTCAAAGTTGGAAAAGCATTACAATTACTGATAAAATTCCTCGGGTTGATAGCTGATTTGCCGAGTGTCTTAGATAAACATGAGAACACTCATGAGCTAAAATAAAGCCTAATTCGTCTATGGAATCGACTATATCTAGTAAACCTTTAAATACAAAAATTGAGCCATCGGGCGTGACAAATGCGTTTACAGATGGATCGTCTATAACCGTTACATTTCAGTCGCGCTTTATTGGGATTTCTTGCACAATAGAGTGAGATAAGTATTTAACTAATTGATGCTCTATTGAGCTTTCATATAAAATTCGCTCCTTATATTGAGTATGAAGGTTTTCGCTTGTGATTTGTCCAATATAAATATCAACATTTTCTCCCCACAAAATTAAGCGTCGCTTTCCTGTCAATGGGCTTTTATCTAACTCCCCCCCCCCTCCGTGAGCGAACAAAACCATTAGAAAAATCGCCATTTTTTGACCAAAAACCCACCCTCCGTGAGTGAACAAAAATTTTTTTAATAGAAAAAAATTTTTAATGGAAAAAAAATTTTGATATATAAGTGATAATTAGTATAATGAAATCTAGAGCTAATTCTGTTTAATTTTAAAACAAATTGCGTTTTAAAATATAAATTTTGCAAATTAAATTAATATTTGCTTCCCAATTTTTGCAAATTAGGATTTTTTTAAATTTCGAAAAAAATATTTTTTTTATAAAATTTATATATAAATTTTTTTTTAAAAAAAAAATTAACCCCCCTCCGTGAGCGAACAAAATTTTTTTGTTCGCTCACGGGGGGGGGGGGGGAGTAAAAAATAGGAAGTAGTTCCTACGCCTGCTGCTCCTAGTCCTAAAAGTACTCTCCTGTATAGCATTTCAGTAAATTATTTCATGAAATGCCGAGATTTTTATTCGAAGCATAAATGATTTAATCTAATATAATAGAAAAATTATAATATAAATAAATTATTCTGTCTTAAAGCAAAATTCTGCAAACTTCTGCATATTATTTAATCTGGGTAAATTTGAGCAATAGAGTCTAACTTCATTATATGGGCAGTAAAATAATTGAAATGTGGAATAATTTAGGCAAATTCTTGGAGAATGCCATACAAGAAGGAAAAGAAGCAGCTAATCAACTCAATAATATAGTGATAAAGGAGTGAAATCAATCTTTAATAGCTGGGCAAAATATGATACAAGAAGGAAAAGATGCGATTGAGAAAAACACTCAAATGCTTCAAAAAGCAGTTGAAAATGAATGAATGAAATCAGTCTGTTAAAGTCGGACAGCAAATTTTGGATAGCTTGTGCATTGAAGCAAAAAGGACTCTACAAAATAAATCTTCTGAAGAGGATGAAAAAGACACTGAAAATGTTCCCAAAGAAGATCCTGCACAGAGCAACATTGATTTTGCTGCACCAATAAGGGCTGCAAATAATAACGAAGCTCTAATAAAAGAATTTGAAAATATCGAGTATGAAGAAGGGATGGAAGCTTTATTGTGCCCGATTTCAAATGAATTAATGACTGATCCAGCTATGACTCCATACGGGCATTGCTATCAAAGACAGCATATAGAAATGTGGCTTGATAATCATAACACTTGCCCGTTGACAGGTCAAATTTTGCGAAAAGATCAGTTGATTCCTTGTTTTACTGTAAAAGCAGCTGTCGAGCAATACTTGAAAATGCAGGAAAATAAGAGAAAAAAGGAATCCAAGGCAAACGAATAAGATTATCTAATAGGGATATAGAGGCTGCCTTTGAGTAGCGCTCTAAGCGCCCGAGACTTTCCGACGAAGTCTGGGCGGTGGTTTGACCAGCTGATGTTGGTCAAACCAGCATCCAATTTGACAAACCTTCTGTATGAGAAGAATTTGTCATTTTGGATGTTGGTTTGACCAACATCAGCTGGTCAAACCACCGCCCAGACTTCGTCGGGAAGTCTCGGGCGCTTAGAGCGCTACTTAAAGGCAGCCTCTATAGTTTATGATGATAAATATGAATGCAAATTAATGCTAATAATACTAAACTGGATAACTGCTATTTAAACAATTTAGCCTTAGATTTGATAACAGAGAATGATCATGAGGCTGGCTACTGCTTATGCAGTAAATGTACATGTGGACAGCATATTTGTCCAAGAGTTATCAAAACAAAAGCATACCCGAAGTCATCATTAAGGTCATATTATCGGCAAGAATATAGGAAGCACCCAATAGCAGCAAGGCCAACACATTCAGCTTCGCCTATAAAGCCAAGCCTTTTCAAGCTTGAATCAGAAACAACGGCAAGAAGAGAATTTACCCCTTACAAAATTGACTACAAGCCGCATCAAAAGATAACGCCAGAAGTCCCTAACTCCCCCCCCCCTCCGTGAGCGAACAAAACCATTAGAAAAATCCCTATTTTTTGGTCAAAAACCCACCCTCCGTGAGCGAACAAAAAATTTTTTTACATATAATTTTATATATAGTTTATTATATATCTATATTTAATAGAAATAAAGAGGATAATATTGAAAAATAATTATTAAGTTTGTTTGATATATTATTCAAAGGTTTAAAAAAAAGAATACCATAAGTGAAAAAGGTTGAATTTAACAATTTTAAATTTAAGACAAAAAAATGAATAGAAGAAATCGATTAGATAATTAACTTCTTCATATTAACTTGATGGCTGAAAATCTTTGGATGATTAACGCCATAAGAACCCGTCAACTCAAATGATTTTCTGACAAGTTGAGGGCTTACAGCATCTCACGCCTTTGAAGCAATGTTTATCAGTTGCTGGCGATCAAGAGCTTTGAGGTTTCCAGTTCTTTTCGATCTTCTTTCAATCTGCTCTGTTTGGAATTTGATTCTGAAATCTGTTGTTTTTGATTTGAAATTTGCAATTACCAGTGCGTCAAGTGGTTGCAAATACTTTGTGCACCCTCCAGGGATCACAATTTTGGTTGCATCTAAATCTGAAATTGCATTAGAAATCATGATAGTTTTATGACTTCCAGCCTGATCATAAATCAGCAGTTGGTTTTCTCGTCTCAATATTGTTCTGAGGTAGTCATTAAGAATCTGGTCAGAAATGTAGCCAGATTTATTTGATTTTATGATGACATTTTCTGGAATATTCAGTCTTTCTCTTACAAGGTTCGGGATCTGGCCATTTTTCTCTTGAAAAATGAGCAAAGCAGCAGGCATTTTTTCTCCATCAGCTCTAATCATAAGCATAACAGTGATAAAATGGTTCATTTTAGCTGATTGAACGCCTAGAATTCGTTGAGTTCCCTTGAAATCATAAGTGAACTTGCTTTTTACATCTCAATCAAATCTCGTTTCATCGAAATTGTAAATGTTAGATGGAACGAATTGAGGAAGCAATGACGCTAAATCATCTAGGTATTGCCTGACAAGTTCTGCCTCTTTTTCGATTGGCTTAATGCTTGAGGCATTGATTTTTCTGAAAGATAAATTATTTCTGGTCCTAAATCCTTGCCACCATTTATCTCCACAGCCGAATCGCGCCAATCCCATTTCTGCCGCCAAACTTTTTGCTTTCTCCTCAATCGTTGATCTGAGAACCTGAATACCTTGCTCACGGATTGCAGTAAACCAATGAACTAGTTCTTTCTCTAGCTCTGGAAATTGAGTGAAGCTTTCTAATTTTAATTTTTTATCAGATTTTACTGATTTCTTCAACTCATCAAGCTTATTCACCCATTCGGAAATCGAGCTAAAGGAGTTGACATGAAACTTTGCAGCAACATCTCTCATGCTCATCTCATTTTGGTGTTGAATGTAAAATTCAGCAATTTCAACTTTCTGCCAAATTTCAATGTACTTTCTTTTCCCTTTGTACATTTTTATTATGATTTATAGAGAATTTGCTTATTATATTAAATAAGAAAATATATAAAATATTTTAACTGAATGCATATATTTATTACTAATAGGTTTATTGATTATTAAATTATTGAAAAAATTAAGCTGTGTTTTACTTTTAATCAAATGGTATTCTTTTTTTTTGGGAAATTCCCTTACTCTCCCCCCATAATATTTTTAAAATAATTTTCAACTTATAAAAAAATATTATTTTACAATTAAAAATTTATATATAATTTTTTTTAAAAAAAATAAAATTAACCCCCCTCCGTGAGCGAAACAAAAAATTTTTGTTCGCTCACGGAGGGGGGGGGGGAGTAAGTTAAAATTTTTAAGCAGGTCTCAATATAGCCAAGATTTTTTTGATCCTGGACAGGTTCCTGTCGAAAAAACGAGAGGTGCCCAAGCAAGACTGCATACAGGATATCATAAGTTTAATGCAGCTAGCACCTATTCAGAAAATTTCTTGAGATATGAATTAAGTCCAGCAAAATCTTATAAGCCAAGTGAAACAAAAAATATTTTATTATCAGCTTCAGCTGATGAAAAAGTTATAACGACAAGCAGACTTAATTATATTAGACATACTTATATTCCGACTGGAGAATTTAAGCCTAAAGATAATACAGTGACCTTACTGCCATTTCCTACTCAATACAAAACCACTAGCTCTTTGGCATTTACTGAGACTAATGATATACCTCGAATAATTCGTAGAGCTAGAAAAGCAGGTGATCTATAATTAATTTTTAACTTTATTTACGATGAAATTTTTCTAGTCCCAAAACCTTCAATTGGTTCTTATAAACGTTTTCGACTTGAACACACATAAGATAAGCATCTGAATCGGGCTGGTTATAAGTGCGGCAGTTCTCAAAAACCAGGTCAAAATCAGCTATTAAGTCTTCTCCGGATTCATATACATTGTTATTTACTTCCTCTGTGGATAAAACCATTGGAAAATCCTCAAAAACCCTATCTGTAAAAACAAAAATATTTTTTATTATAAAAAAATATATCGTATTTAATTGGCAGCTAGTATAATGATATCTCGAGCTAAATCAGTTATTTTTAAAACAGCTTGCATTTTAAAGCATAAATTTTACAAATTTTCGCTTTTATTTTGGGATTGGGATCCAGAAAAAAATGACTATATAGTTTATATATAAATGTTTTAAAAAAATCAAACCTTCGTAGAACAAAATTTTTTTCTAACATAGGGAAAGTGAGTTTTTTCTTGATAGTCCCGAAATCCATAGGATGCTCAATCACATCATAATAATCAGGAATTTTCAACTTCACACAATCAACTGGCTCATAAAATATCCATGCATGTTTATGCCTCCAAAGAGCATTTAAAAGCCTTTTTCCTGGTTTTTCCCAGGGTTTAAGGCCATCCAGCGCGCTTTGGTCATAAGTGTCTAATTCTGATGAGGCTTCCGGATCTCTTCAATATCTAGATATATCAGGATATTCTTCCTCAAATGACTCCAACTCAGACACAGTTGCTGGCCTCTTATCTCCATTTTCGTCAACGATCATGAGCTGGCATTTCACTTTCTTTTCAGATTTTCTTTTCTTTTCTCTGTGCTTTATTTCTAATTCTTGCAGAGAGGTGGCATATGACTTATAGCTCTTAAAAGAGTTTGCGGGCTCTTTTTTGTGTGATTTTCTGGCTGGCTTAGGAAACGAGCTCATAATTTAGGAGAAAGTTATAAAGAATGTGAAAAGTAACAATTTGAAAGATTTAATAAGAGATTTAAATAATTTTTTAATTGTATTTATTTATATATTAATTCATGTATAAAATTGCCTGATAAATTTATGTTAAATTTTTATTTTCAAAGCAAAGATAGTTTAAATTGGCATTATTTTCAATGAAAGGAAAGAAAAATGTCACCGAGAAAATTCTTGAAGAAGCCAAGCAAAGAGAGCAGAGATGAAACGAACTAAAATCTCTAATGGAAAAATACGAAAAGCCAAAATATAAAGAATCCGATTTTAAATCAAAGCCATTTAATACCCAATTGATTGAAAAAACAAAGCCAATAGAAGAAGAAAAATCGGTTAAAAACACCAATAAAGCTTTGAAAATCACAAAGTCAGCTGCAGAGGAAAATAAAAAAATCAAAAATGATGTAAAAAGTCAAAATATTGTGGAAAATTCCAAAGTGAATGAGGTTGAACAATTTTTGGCATCTATAGGAATGGAAAAATATGCTAGTGCTTTTCAAGACAATGGAATTGATGACCTTGAGATCCTATGCGAGCTCAATGAAGCTCATTTAGAGCAATTAGGAGTTCCTCTTGGGCACCGTATAAAAATTTTAAAAAAAATAAGAGAAAATCTTCTTTCCAAAAGTTCTGTAAAACAGCCCCAAGCCAAGCTGGAAATCAGGCAGGAGCCACAAATACAAGCCTCAAAAATAATGGTCCAGGAAATTAAGCCAAAATCCATTGTAAAAAATTCTGATCAAAAATCCAGCCCACCGAAAAATATACAAGAAAGGTCAGGAAAATCCGATTTTTCAGCACAAAATGAAGCAATAGATGTCCAAACTGATTCTTATATCCCTCAAAGCCTCCATGTTATGCATCCACGAATGACTAAAGTGCCAATAATAAATCCTCCTTCTGGACAAAAAGCAACTGTGGGAAGAGCAATTTCTTTATATCAGCCTGAGATAGCTTCCCAAGAAGCCATCGAAGAAGAAAAATATGTGAAACTTTCAGAGTTAATGCAAAAACCTCCGGAAAATAACGAAAAAAGTGAAATAAAGTGGGATGGGTTTCAAGCATATGTGCCTTATCAGCCATCTCAAGAGATCCAAGCTTTGCAGAACTCCTCGAATAACCAAAAACAAAGGCCAGATTCAGCCAAAAAACGTAAATCAAACTCAGAAGTTGAGGTTGCTAAGCCAGATCAAGATATCCATGGATGGGATTAATTATTTAAATACGCATTCTATTACTTCTCATGATTTATAAATGAATCATGCAAATAAATAGCTTTTCAAAATATGGGCGAATTATTAAAAATTTAATCTCTATTGCTTTTCTTGAATTATTAAACTAACTTTTCTTTACATTCTATATATGGAAAAGATTTTAAATGAAATTGATTCTCAGATTAAGCTTGGAAACATCAATATAGCTCTAGATAGTCTACAATCCTTAGTCACCAAATATAAAAAGAACCCTGAAATCTTAAAAGAAATATCTCTAAAATTCTACATAACTGGCCAAGAAATCATGAAAAAAGGTGATTATCGAAATGCAATTGGCCTATGAAAATTCTTATCTCTTTTATTTCCTCCAAGTGGTTTGCAAGACAAAATTTGTGACATAAAAAATGCATTATCCTTTTGTTTTAGAGTTCTACGGAAAACCAACGAAGCTATCAAAGAAATTTTATCAGCCATAGAAGCTGCGACCATGCAAACTTCTACCAATTATAAATTAGCAGCTTTGCATTTAAATGCATGCGCTATTTACAGAGAAGACTTAAAAGACTCAAAATCTGCAATGATTCACGCTGAGCTTGCTTATTTTCATGCAAAAGAGTCAATTACGCTAGCTCACGTCGATATTTCAGCTGCCAGACATACTCTTGGAGTGACTTATTATAATTATGGGCTTTTAAAAGAAGAAAACAATGAAATGTCAACGGCATTGCTGTGATATAGAGAAGGGTTTAAATTTTGCGAAGAATTTGTGAATGATTTGTTTTTGGAGCAAGCTTTTAGAGAAAAGATAAATTTTTTGGAAGGGAAGTCAAGGCTGTCACCAATCAAATTAATAAATAGAGGGTCTGCGTCTGTAGTCACATCGAGGGCAAAAAGGAAAAAGTCGCCTTATTTATATGACGTTGCCAGTATCATAGATAGAAGCAAAATAAGTAGTAGGGCTTTGCAGTCGAGAAAATCGTCATCTTATGGGCCGAGATATAGGCATTTAGATCCCGGAATGTCAAGGTATGTGATTCCTCCTCATTTTGCTGTTAATAGGTCAGCAGCGCAATCAGAGTATAGCAATAACTCGTCAATCCATCAACATTCCCAGTACTCACAGCCTGATTCTATGTCTACAATTGAAAGATCAACTGAAGTCTCTGCGAGAACTAGCAAATATAAGATTTCAAAGCCGGCAACAAAAATAAAAATCCCTAAAAAAAATCAAAGTACAGAGATTAGGTAAAGGGTTTAAAGTCTTCCAGGTTGAATCCTCCATACACTTGAGACCAATGGAGCCTTCTTGCCGGAGTAAACTACAAAACCATTGGAAAAATTCATATTATTTGGGTAAAAACCTTCCGTTAGAGAACAAAAAAATTTTTATGAAAAAATATTTGATATATAGTGATAATCTTTATAATGAAATCTCTTGCTAATTCTGTTATATTTCTAAATAGCTTGCATTTTAAAACATAAATTTTATAAATTAAATTAATATTTGTTTATAATTTTTGTGAATTGGATTTTGAAATTTCGAAAAAAAAACCCTGAGCGAACAAATAGTTTTGTTCTAAGGCTTGCACCGATATCCTTGAGTCTCGCCCGGTAAGAAATATTCCTCTTGCTCCACGCAGTTCAAGTACTATGAAGGTACCGGTTAACTCGATGCCTCCTGTTAACCGCGTTTAGGGGAAGGTGACGCCCAGGAAAAGGAACCACAGCCTTCCAAAATCGGAGTGACCTAACAGCCATCCAAATAACGAATATCTGGACCAAATTCACCACCAGCTGACTCCCAAGACTTACTCACCCAATACGACTGCTCAAGGAAAGCTAAGTTCTAGGATTAAAGGACCTGAGTTTTGGTTTAGATTATAAAGCAAAGTGGTGCGTCGCCGTCAAGGACATATTTTGCCGCCACCACACCATTAATAACTTCAAAGTACAGAGAATTGTTTCGAAGCTTGAAAATAAAATAAGCCCGAAAAATAATTCTGAAGCTGTCAGAAGCAATATCGGGGAATCAAAAATTTTTTCTGATGAATTTTATAGACACCAGAAAGCTATAGTAAAAATTCAATCATGGTTTAGAAGCTTAAAATGCCAAGAAATATATGGAAAGCAAAGAAAATTTTATGATTATATTGCCTTTGGAAAAGCTATTTTAAATGAAGGGTATTATTTTGTAACTGTTTATAGGAGCATTAAGCAGGCACAGTTGAAGCACCGCTTTATGAGGAAAAAAGTGGAAATTAACGTTGTAGTTGATGCTTTTCCATTAGAAAAAGGATTTCAAAAGCCCTCTGATTTAGATATAAGTTTGAGTGATATTTGTTTGAGGCTCAGCATTGAATCTGATGAGTTTGAACTAAGAAAAATTCAAGACAGCATAATCGACAAAGTTACGATCAGAGATGGGCATGTTGATATCAGCAATGAAGAGAAAACTACTGAAAAAATTATATCAAGAATAATTTATATAGGAAAGGCTGCCCTTTCCGATGATGCTGAATATGATTTAGAAATGAAATATGTGTTTGGCAAAGAAAAGAAGATTGAAATAATAGCAGTAAACGGGGATTTGATTTATAACTATACAATGCAACTAGATTTGCTACAAGATTATGAAACAATTAAAAAAAAAGTGCCATTTATTCTGAGCAGATTATTGATTGAAAATGGATCATTGCAGCTTAAAATATAGAAAATCAATGTATTTTCATCAAATTAAATTTAATATATTTAAATATTATTTCTTATAGTTCAATTTTTATATAAAATAATTTAGTTAGCTCCTTTAGATTTATTCATCCCATTTACAGAATTCGCATGCGTTAACAACTACTCCTTTGCATCCTCTATCGCCTCTTGGTCCTGTGCATCCTTTAGGTCCTTGTTCTCCGACACATCCAGTAGGACCTTTTGGTCCTGGGCAGCCAGCAGGTCCACAAGGCCCTTTTGGTCCTTGGCATCCTTCATCGCCTTGGTCTCCTTGTGGTCCTGGGCATCCTTGATCACCTTGTGGGCCTGGAGGGCCTGGTGGACCTTGTGGGCCAGGAGGGCCTTGAGGGCCAGCAGGACCTTGGCAGCTTTGTGACCCGCCTTTTACTGGTGTAGTATTTTTAACGAGGGGAGTATTAAGAGCGTTTGCAATTACTGAAGCCTGATTTGTTACTTGCTTACTCTGTAGTAAATTAGGATTAGCAGCCAACGCCGCGACAGCGAGTACTATTAAAAATGCAGCTCTTACCATTATATTATTATATGATATTTTTTTCATTAGTCTCAATATGTTTGAAAATGGTAAAAAAATAGTTTTAATGACCCTAAACAGAAATTATATGTTGCATTAGAATCCTATGTAAAAAAAATGATCCGCTCTTAAAAAATTAAAATCAATATCGTTGGTTTTGCCACGTATAGGAAATTCTTTGAAAAGAATACTTAAAATTAGTCGAATTTAAAGGTAAAAAAAAAATTGAAACAAGCATAGAGTAACTCTCCCAAACGCATTCAATTCTATCATAGCTAAAACCTTATTAAAAATATATCAGCAATTTATATTTATATATCCAATTAAGCCATTTTTTATATAAGTAAAGTTTTTTTATTTTATTTCTTGATTTTATCCAACCATTAAAATTAAAAATGGCCTTTTTTAACTGATAGGAATATTTTTAATAATTAGTTTAAACTTAGGCATGAATAGCTTCTTCACATGAGCAATCGTCATCGTCGTATTCTATAATTTTAATGCTGCATCCTTTTGGGCCTGTGCATCCTTTAGGGCCTGGACATCCTTGCGGGCCTGGGCATCCTTGCGGTCCTTTTGGCCCTTCGCATCCTTGTGGGCCTTGACATCCTTGCGGGCCTTCATCTCCTGGTTCTCCTTGTGGTCCTTTAGGTCCTTTTGGTCCTGGGCATCCTTGAGGTCCTTTAGGACCTTGTGGGCCTGGACATCCTTGTGGTCCTTGGCAGCCTTGAGGTCCAGGGCACCCTTGTCTTGTTGTAACGCACTCGTCAAATTTTACTGTTTCGGTTTCCACAGCTGGGCAGCCCGATCCTCCAGTTGTTAATAATTTATCTTCCTGTTGTAATAAGCTGGGTTTAACAGCTAAAACAGCAATAGAAAGTGCTATCAGAATTGCTACTTTTACCATTTGATATTATATGCCATTGTTTTTTTAAACTTTATATGCATGCAAATGGTAAAAAATAATTAAAAGTAATTCATATTTTAAAAAATATATATAATTAAACTGAAAAGTTAGAAAATTAGTAGGATTCAGTTGCAAATATTTTTATTAATATCAATTTGATATATGATTTTAAAAAATTAATAAAATAAGTGTGACTTTTATATATAAATTTAAGTTATGTATTCTAAATAGGCATCTGTTTTATTTATTCATATTTCAAAAAATACTAGATTTTTTTCTTTTTTAAATAAATTATTAAAAAAATGGCAAATATATAGAAAAATCACTTATGTAATTACCATTGTTTTTGTTCACATTTTATCTCATCTCTGTCATCTCTGTCATCATGATCATTGCATGCGCAACTTCTTACAACTTCATCGATTTCCTGGCACCTAATAATAACTCCAGCTGGACCTCTGTCTCCACAATCTCCTTTTTCCCCTTTGCAGCCTTGCTCTCCACAAAGACCTGCTTCTCCACGTTCTCCTTTGATTCCTGCGCAACCTTGCAGACCTTGGTCTCCCTTATCTCCTTTTGGACCTTTGTCCCCTTTAGGTCCTTTGCAGCCTTGAGGTCCCTGAGGACCAGGTGGACCTTGTGGTCCTTGGCATCCTTGTTCACCTCTGTCACCTTTATCTCCTTTTTGATATAAAATTTTTACTTGGCATTCATCTTGTTCGTGTCCACATTGTTGCTGTTGACACTCGTCGCCTTCTAAAAATGATCCCTTGAGATTCGGCTTAAATGCAAGGGCGGTTAGGGCGAGAATCATCAGAATTGCAAGTTTGACCATATTAATTATCGCATTTCAAAATTTTAGTGCCCATATGTTTGTAGCATTGGACAAGATTTAAAGATGGTGGAGAAGACGTTTTCTGATAAATCAGCAATTAAGTATGGCAGTAAAATTCGAAATAAAATAAGATGGGAGAAGAAAGAGATTTAAATATAGAATATATATATATAAGTACGGATTTATAAGCGATAAGAAGTTAGTGCAATAATGGAAGCGTAGATAAAAATATAAGAAAGGTAGGGATTAATCCATGCATATAATTTAATTGAATGAAGAAAATCTTAACTTTGTAGGTTAGGTTTAAACAAAAATCTAGTATTTAAGAATTAATAATAATGTATTATCTAATCATCCTATTTAAAATTGCTAATTCCTCACTTAAAATTTTAATATAAAATTTTATTTCAATTGAATATTTATAGGTCAAATATAAAAATAATTAACCTAATTTAATGGAGGGACTATAAATAACACAAATATAATGTTATTTAAATAGTTAGAACCTTGAATTGATTAAATTTTTATATTAATTCTTGATAATTAAAATTAAAATTCAAAAAATCGTTCAATTTAATTTTTTTCCAAATTTGAAAAAATTAACCCTCCTTAATTTTGGAACAAAAAAATTGTCCCAATATAAAGGTGGGGGAGATAAAGAAAGTGGGTTATCATTTTTCATACCTTGCAAACTGTTTTTTAAGTACACAAGATTTCTTGAGTGTGACGAGTCTGTATCCTTATCAATTGTTAGTGCTTTTATTATGTTTAGCAAATATTCTATGTCTGCAGCTAGCTGTTTTCCGCCTTGCTGGCTTAGCTGTTTTATCTGCAAAATTTTTGAAGTGAAAATGCCTAAAAGTGAGTATCCAAGAACAGCAATCCAAAAATGAACATTAAGCCCATGCGGTAAATCTTTAGGCGAAGAAACAGAAAACTCAACTATGTAAGCTTTTTCATAATTCATGTCAGGTGAACTGGGTGCCAATTGCTGCAAAAGCCCTAGCAAATGCTCACCAACAGCTATAATGCTAGGCGATGGGGAAGCTGAAAACTGGGCTACTGGCTCTACTCAAGTTGGAAGAGCATGATAACTATAAAGCTTACCAGCAATTGGTAGGTATAAAACTCTAGCTCCACTCTCAGTGAACAAGCAAACCATTGAAAAAATCCCTATTTTTTGAGTAAAAATACCCTTTGTGAGCGAACAAAAAATTTTTTTAATATACAAATTTTTGGTGAAAAATATTTTTATATATAAATGATAATTATTATAATAAAATCTCTAGCTAATTCTTTAAATTTAAACAAATTGCATTTTCAAACATAAATTTTACAAATTAAATTAATTTTACTTTTCAATTTTGAGAATTGATTTTTTTTAAATTTACTATAAAATATATAATTTTTTTTAAAAAAAATTTCTCCTAAACATACAAAAAAATTTTTTTGATCAAGAAGGGGGATTAAGAGCTAAATCTTTACTTTCGTCAAGCATTGACTCTAATATTTTTAAAATCCCATTAAAAAACCTCCCCCCTTCTCTTAAAGTTCTCACAAAATGCTGGCATTTTTTGGCTAAATTCGGATTATTTATTTGTATTGCATCCTGAAGTTCTTTTTGCTCTGTAAATTCTGTTGTGAAATATGAAGTTGTCATACAGTTTAAAAATTCCTGCCTTATTTTCCCATCAATTCTTTCAACTTCTACATAAAAATCCAACACTTCTTCATAAAACTTTATTGTTGCTTGGACATCATTTCAGTTTAATTGAAATTGAGTCGAAGGACCTGAAGTAAAGTCAAGATTTGGGAGAGTTTTTATATTATTTTGCAAAACAAAGCTGCTAATTTCATTTTTAAATTTTTCTATTTCACTGATCATTGCTTGTTCTATAATCGGACACCATTCTGAAGCCGATGTACCAAGTGTAATTTTCAAACACCTTTCCCATGAATTTTTGATTTCGTTTAATAAATACTGACTCGATTTTTTCCAATTATCAATGGGATTATCTCTGAAAACTCGAGGAATGTTGGAATTATCAAAAAGTTTCTTTTCTAGCTGAGTCAGCTTACTCCCCCCCCCCCCTCCGTGAGCGAACAAAAAAAATTTTGTTCGCTCACGGAGGGGGGTTAATTTTTTTTTTTAAAAAAAATTTATATATAAATTTTTATAAAAAATATTTTTTTCGAAATTTAAAAAAATCCTAATTTGCAAAAATTGGGAAGCAAATATTAATTTAATTTGCAAAATTTATGTTTTAAAACGCAATTTGTTTAAAATTAAACAGAATTAGCTCTAGATTTCATTATACTAATTATCACTTATATATCAAAATTTTTTTTCCATTAAAATTTTTTCTATTAAAAAAATTTTTGTTCACTCACGGAGGGTGGGTTTTTGGTCAAAAAATGGCGATTTTTCTAATGGTTTTGTTCGCTCACGGAGGGGGGGGGGGAGTTAGTAGAAATTGCAATGATATGCAAAGATATTGGATTTATTGAATTTGTTGCATTTTTCACATAAGAAATCAATGATAATAAAGATGTAAAAGTTGGAATAAGTGAATCTATTGGTTGACCTAAAAATAGATCACTAATTCTTTCCTTGCTTAAAATTTGTTCAAATAGTGTTTCAAGATATGGTGATGGGTCTGGGAAAATAGTTTGAAATAAACTTCCTTCATTTCTGATTCTTTGTAAGACCTCGGAAATCATCTCGTCAAATGTATCAGAAGTGCTTTTTTGGTAAATTTTTAAGCGATTTCCTACCAAAATTTCTGCAAATTCCATACTATTTTCTAGCTCATTGTAAATTCTATGCAATTTCTTTAGCTCTTCTCGAGCTTCTTTTTTGCTCATTTCTTCTGTTTTTTTTCTTAATCTGCGCTCCATGGAACCAACAAATTTTATTCGTTCACGTAGAGGGCTATTTTTTTGTTTAAAAAATTATTAATAAATTATATAGTAATCGTTGGTAATTTAATTTTTAAAATTTATTATTTAAAATGCAAGCTATTTAAAAAATTAAATAGAGTTAGATAGATATTTCATTGTACTAATTATTAATTATATATAAAAATTCTTTGTGTTCGCTCACGGACGGTGGGTTTTCGAGCAAAAAAATAGGGATTTTTCCAGTTGTTTTTTTCTCTCACGGTGGGGGAGTTAGCTTTTCTTTAATTACTCTCATAAAACTTTCAATTTTTTCAACAAATTTTTCGAATTGTGGCAATCCTGTCATAAATTTAAGAGATTTCCTCATAGATGCAAACTGTTCTGTAACATTTTCAATATCTTCATTAGAATCTAATAATGCATGCATCCTCTCAACTTTGCTTTCAAAAGTTTCTATTTCTTGCAAAGCATTTTTGCAGTCAGAAATCCTTTCTGTAAGAAGATGATCGCGCTTGAGTTCTTCTAGCTCAGGAGTTTTTAATGATTTGAAAGCGTTTTCGATTCTTTCAGTTTCTTTTATGAGATCTATGGTATCGATAGAGAGAGCTGAGACTTGATCTTTATAAGATCCTATATCTTTGAATAAAGATGATGATTTAAATTCAAGGGTAGCTTCGAGATCTTGCTCAAGCAGTTGAAGTTTGATACTTAGAGAGCTGAGTTTTTGTTCAGGCTGTGAATCGTTTTCTAAAATTGCGTTTAGCCATGATACAGGATCTCAGTTGTCTTGAAATATATCATCCATTTTATATGAAAATGATTATTATTAGGTATAAATGATATTGCCAAGTAATATTATCTTTAGATGGATACCAAATGTAATTAATTTTTCCAATAGAAATGCCAAGATACGAAAACTTAATTAATAATTCGCATCAGATTGCTTAATCATTAAATTCGGAAATTTTTTCAAAATTCTTCTTTTCCTTGTTAAATCTAAAACAAAAATAGGACAATCTATCCTTATTGAGGATATTTAAACATAAATATGTTAATACTTGAAAATCAATTGAATATATTTTATATCCTTTTGCAAGATTTGCACTTCCAATTGTATTTCATATATATGGATTATAGCCCAGGACGGGATTTAGCTTGATCTGGGCTAGAAACTTTTGCTGAAATTCATGGAGTTGGTTCGGCTCCATAGGTTATCAAGCCAATTCCACGAGTTGAATAATGGCAGAAATATGCTCACCTATTAACTCACGGAGTTGGTTTGGCAACTTATTGACCCGGATATCTCCACAAGTTACAGTGAAAGTTTCTATCCCAGAGCGAGCTAAATCCTGCCCTGGGCTATATTAAAACCGCTTTCAAAAACTCTCCTTTCTGCCTCAAAAATGTAAATTCTTGAACTTTCATAAATTAAAATTTTGAACATAAATTTTGAAACTGTCAAAATTTTGCTATAGCTGTTCAGATCTTCATCATATTCATATACTTTCGAATGGCGAAATCCTGAAAATATAATCTTTTTATTATAAGAAATTGATGATATTTCATGTGATGCTTCAGGGATTGGAGATATTGTGATTCATCGACTACTTTTCATTTCAAACTTAGCTGCAAAATTAGAATACTCAAAAATACATGCTCCTCCAAAAGCATAGATATTACCATTATGGAAAACAATTCCAGGTTTAGAGCAAGGATTACCATGGCAAAACTGGATATAAGCGCCGCTTGCTGGATTTATGATGTATGTAGTGCCAAATTCTTGATATGAATTCCCAAAGCAAAATAAAGAGGAGTCAGGGAGTGATATTATAGATGTTCCAGAATCAAGAGGCTCTGGAGTTTCTATAAAAATTTTATCTTTCTTGTTTGAATTTATATCATAGCTTTTCAATGTTGTAATATCATAACTTCGCCCTATTGAATAGAGCTTAATTTCTTCGTAAAAAGTTACTATTTTCTTCTGTCATCTTTATGAATGCTATTTAATAAATCTTGAAATGTCTTCAGAAATGTTATCTGCAGTTGTGCAAGTTATAATATAACTTAATATAATTAAAATAAAATTTTTGTATTCAATTTTGCCAAAGTTTCACATAATTTCTTCTGATGCTAATCAAAGACGTATTATCTTGTTGAAATTTTATTCTATCACATATAACTTAAAAATTGACTACAAAAGGATGAAAAAGATGCTTAATTTAATGCTTTGATAGTAAATAATTTTTATCATCAATTTATTTTCTGCATAGCATAAAAAATTAAAGACATCTCACTAATTATTATTTATAAGCTCTTCCGTCAATAATCTAAGCTCTACGCTAGCTATTCTACTCATAAAATTATAGATATCTTTTAAATCACCAGTGTATCTTCACTTGACGAAAAGTATCTAACCAGTCTGAAAGTATCCTAGAGTCTATAAAGAATATAATGCAACTTGAGCAAAGCATCGACTGCACGCTCCAGGAGTGGACAGATCTTAAGCTAAATAACCTTAGGATCGACCGCAAGCAAAGGATAACTGAAGACATTTTCTCATCTCTTAAGCTTGGAGAGGCTGAGTCAATAACAGGCACTTGTCTTGCCAAGCATAGCATTACAGCCGAGCTCCGTTCTCGTATGATTGACTGGATGATTGAAGTGCTTGCTCAGTACCGTACTTCTGGGCAAACCTTTTTCCTTGCAGTAAAAATTATGGATAAATACTTCCAAAAATGCACTGAATCTTTACCAGCAACTAAGTTACATCTAGTCGGTGTAACTTCAATGTTCATTGCATCAAAATTTGAAGATATTTACTCCTTAAGGCTTAAAATCGTATACGAGAAGATCGCTCATAAAAGACTCTCTGAAAAGTCAATCAGAAAAATGGAACAAAAAATCCTGACTCCCCCCCTCTCTGTGAGTGAACAAAACCATTGGAAAAATTCCTATTTTTTTACCAAAAAACCTACCCTCTGTGAGTGAACAAAAATTTTTTTAATAGAAAAAAAAACTTATAAAAAAAATTGATATATAAGTGATAATTAGTATAATGAAATCTCTAGCTAAATCTGTTTAATTTTAAACAAATTGCGTTTTAAAACATAAATTTTATAAATTAAATTAATATTTCTTTCCGATTGTTGCAAATTAGGATTTTTTTAAAATTTCGAAAAAAAATTAACCCCCTCCGTGAACAAAATTTTTTTGTTCACTCACGGAAGGAGGGAGAGGAGTGAGAACTCTCAAATTTGACTTAGCGATCCCCAATTGTGCAGATTTTTTAGGATATTTATGTGAAATAGTGAATCCATCATTAGCAATCAGAAGAACAGCAGAGTTAATTTTGGTTCTTCTGCAGATTTATTATAATACTGGACTTTTGCCTTCCCAAGAAGCAACTGCAGCCTTAATAATTGCAGCGAATTCTTTGAGACAAGAAAGGCTGGTGCCAAAAATTTTAGACGCGTCAGAATGCTCAGAATTCGATATGGCTTTTGTAGTTGATAGAATTTTAAGAGGGATTTATGATTTCCCTAGAAATTTAGGGAGTTTTAAATCCGCGATGAAATTTTTGGGGTTCAGTTTGATACTAAGAACTCCAGGGCCTCTATTCGTGTTTGAAGATTTAGACGTCCAGGCTGACCAAGAGCAGCTGCTAACAATATTTAATTAATGTAAAAGTAATTAATTTGCATAAATTTATTGGGATTTGACTAATTTGAGTAACTATATTAAATTAATATCTTTTACATACTACTCCATCCTATTACTTCCCACGTCCATTGCTAAATATTCTTTACCTTTTGTCGGCTAGCTCTGGATATTTTTTCATTAATTTTGAATAAATTTTCTTCCCAAATTGGCTTCTTTTCAAGTCATCCATAAGAGGCTTTATATCCCTCATCATTTTTGTAAAAAGCAGAGGCGCAGCTAGGCTTAAAGCTCGCTGTACGACTAAATAAATTTTACCATAATTAGCGAATTGATCTGGAATCATTTTTGCCAAATTCTTTGGATTCCCAATTTCTTGTATCATAGCTTGTTGCACTTCACTTTGGTTTTGCTGCAAACATTTTTCTATTACATTTGATGAAAATTTCTGAGTTGATAGTTTCTGCATATAAGGGATGAAGATAAATGCCAATCTTGCATTTATATTTGGTGAATTCAAGTCAAGCACATACTGTACCACGTAATTTCCAAAGGCATCTTGAACTAAAACGACTGCATTTTCGACGATTTTGTCAACAAGAAGATCTAGCTGTCTTGGAGATGCTGCGTCAATGCATCTTTGTAAAACGCAGCAGCCATGCCTATGAGTGCCGATATCAATAATATTTAAACTGGTGGCTTCATATATGAAATTAGTATTGGCTTGCCCTAGGGTATGTAAGCACTTTTGTATGACATGATTTCCATTGATATCTTTAATAAGGGTAATCACGTTATTTTTCAGAGCTTCGACTATGGTTTGTATATGATTCGGATACTTAGCCACAATATCGAGCAGTTTTTGGACTGCTCTTGTCCCATGAGGACTTAAAGAAATTTGAGTAATTTCATTATAAATGACACTAATAATTGACCTTAATATTCCTTCATCACATACCTCCATCAATTTTTGTACTAAATAATTTCCAAAAGGATCTACCATTAGTATTGGCAGCTGCAGCATTATTTGATCATAAATTGTCTGAATTGTAAATGGGTTTTGCTCTTCTAGTTTCTTCTGTAGCATTCTGCATCCTATTTGATCTTTAGCCATATCTAAAGCATTTGTGTATATATGCTGCGCATTAAACTGTGTAAACCCATAGAACTCTGAGCCACCATAGCTGCTTGGTTGGAAATCTTGGACATTTGGCTGCGAATATTCAGTAAATCCGCTTGGTGGGTCTTCTTCCTTTATGCATGTATCCACTACATGATTTACCAATACACTTGTAGATCTAGAACGATCATCAGAATCAGAAACTTGGGACATTTTCCTTGATTGTGTCGTATGCAGAGGCTCATTAAGAGGCGGCGGAATGTTCATTTTTGCCTTATACCTCTCATAAAATTCTTCGTACATCTGATCATTACGAATATCTGAGAATGCGATGGTATAGTCTTGCCCCATAGGAAAGGCGAATATCATATTTGAGTCTAGCATAGGAGGAGCGGAAATGGAGCGAGAAGGGTTGGAATCTCCGGGCACAAGAAACTGATGATAATAAGGAGATGTCATACTTATTAATCCAAAAATGAAAAATCTAAGCTATGGAAGAAATGAAGTTTTGCATTTGGAGCCAAAAAGACCTTATCGATATAATGATAGATTAAAGAGGAAAGAGTCTAGAGAAAGGACGGTCCCAAAGGAAGTAAAAATGTGTGTGGAGTCATTTGAGGACACTAATACGGAGAGCACTCATACAAGGCAGCCAACTATGATTATCAATAATCTCAGCCAAAGCCAGAGGTTTATATCAGCACTCAGCAATGTTCCGAGTGATGGGCTGCTAAAATTGGAAACTTCGTTGGACTTCTGGGATTATGGAGTCGGGAGTTTAGATTTAAACTTTGAATACGATTCTGATGAATTTCTAATTCCCCACTCCATGAGCCGCTTACAGAGAGGGCAAATATTATTTTTAAAAAAATTATTTAAAAATTATATAGTAAGTCATTTGTTTCAATTCACAAAAATTAGAAGCAAATATTTATTTAATTTGTAAAATTTATGTTTTAAAATGCAGTTTGTTCAAATTTAAAGAATTAGCTAGAGATTTCATTATACTAATTATCACTTATATATCAAATTTTGTTTCATAAAATATTTTTATATTAAAACAATTTTTCTTCGTTTAAGAAGGGTGGATTTTTGGGCATACAATATCAATTTTTCCAATGGGTTTTTTTTTTTTTGTTCACAGAAGGCAGGGGTGAGTGATATTTCACGCTTTGAAGATGCTGAAAATACCCAAGAGCCTTTAAAGTCATTTACTCAAGACAGTACAAAAAATTCTATAAAACAGTCATTAGTAGTAGAAAGCAAAAGCTACATAACACATAAAACGGGCAAAAAGACAAAAATTCTCGGAAAATTAAAAGAATCTACCAATGCAAAACCTACCTTAAGCACTCATGAAAATGAGCCCGATTCATATCGAGAAAAAAATTATTATTATGGAAAACAATCTGGATCCCCTCAGAGTGATTTTATAAACTATATAACTTCCAAAGCATATTGTCCTAAATGTCAATGTGAAGTCTCAACTACTGTAAAATTTAAATTTCCCTCAATGACATTGTAATTTTTATTTAGCTGGCAAAAATTGTGCTGCAGAACTTGCTATGGAAGTGGTGATTTCAAAGAAATTCTTTATCACTGTAAAAAATGTAAGACTCTCATAACAAAAATTAAAAGAAGCAAGAAATAGATAATTATATTTGCATTGCGTTAGATTAATAAAGGGGTATTAATTGTTGAATAATTATTTCTGAGTGTACATCTTTAGTAAACTCATTTATGTTTAATCAAATTTTTTGAGCTTTTCATGAAAAATACTATTTTCGCATAAGAAATTTCTGATGCTAAAACGTCTTAGTGCCTAATATCTAAGAAAATGAGCCGATAATTGCTGGATATACAAATAATGAGTTTTAAAATTTTGTTGAAAGGTAGCCCCATAAATAATATGCTAAAAATAAAACAACTCAATTATTAGTTGCATAAATTCCTAAGCTTGTGATAGCATAATCAGCATCCAAGCCCAGAGATCTAAAGCTTTAAAGTTGATAATTTTTCATTAAATAAGCACCCATAATTATAGATACAATTCAGAAAATTCCTTATAATTAAAAAATTGATATCTATTGCTATTTATAGCACCTAAATTAATAAATTAACCCATCAAAACTATTCATCTACGATTTTTCTATTAATTATAATATATGTTTAAACGTGAATATCTGGAAGATTCAGATAGCTTTTCAGACCCATCAGATCTGGAAAATCCTCCATATGATTAGCAGCACCCTGGATCATTTCAGCCAGCTCACCTTGAAAGAGATTTTGAAGATGAAGAAAAGCCCAAATATCAAAACCTCCAGCCTGTTGAAGAAAACTACTTTAATACGAATCCAGCACCTCCTACTTATTACCAACCACAACCAGGCGAGTATGCAACAGGCGGATACGTCAGAGAAGGCATGGGTGGGTTAAAAATAGGTATCCAACCTGGAAGAAAAGAAAATAGCGAAAAAGTTGGATTTATTAATTTAGAAGACCCTGAAAAACAAGAGCCACGTCCTGATACAAGCTCAGCAAGGCCAGGGAGCAGCAATGCTCAAATGCGTGCTCAGATGCTTAAAATGCAAAGAAGTAAATTAATGAGCAGAGGAAGTACTATAACTGCACAAATACAGTCTAGCGATATATTCATTCCGGGGGTCAGCCCAATGGTTATACAAGGGCGAGAGCAAAATTCTGGGATTCAGTCTTATTTATTCTCGAATCAAATTTTAAAAGAAACAGATTTAAGCGGTAATAGAGAACTAAGAGGGTTCACTGCACCCAAAAACTTTGTATATGAACCTGGTCCTATAAAGTCTAACCAACCTGATAACTTGCCAGGGCCTATTAAGCCTGAAAGAACTGTATTTAGAGCTGAGGAAGAACTTGAAGAAGTAAAGCTTGATGAAGGATCAAGGCATACACCAAGCAAAACACTCCAAGGAATCCATAAGCAGCTTGAAGACCAAAAAAATCATCCAGTTCCTTCACCACAATATGAAAGACCTGTCCAGCCTCAGTCTGAAAGCCGATCTTCAACTGCAGCTGAAAATTTCATTCCTCCTGAGCCGAAATATATCCCTCTTGAATCTAAACCCACAAGCCAGCCTGAACAGCATATCAAACCGCCAATAGCAGAGGCATATCAACCAAACATTTCTCCTCAAGAAAAAATACCTGCTAGGCCAAATGATCCTCAAAGACAGCAATTTTTTGATGAAAAGCAACATTATTCAAGAGAAGATAGGCCTACTCCTAATGGACAAGATGAAAGGCGACCGCCAGAAAATAGAATTCCTCCTCCAGATCCCCGAAAACAACAAAATGGCAAACCAGAGCCTCCAGCTCCAACACATCCTCTTAACAGACCAGATTCTGCAGATGCTAAAAGGGAGCAAAATATTCCTCGACAGCCGTCTGTAAATATTCGTGAAGTCCTAGCCCAAGAAATGACTGATATGAAGAAATTCCTGACAAGTCCAATCACTCGAGGCATAATGCTGCAATGCAATATCAGACGAGAAAAGCCAGGATTTGGCAGATTATACGCAAAATATTATTTTCATATCACAGATGGCATGACATTTCTGCTGGCTGGTAAAAAGAGAGGAGGAAACCGAACCTCAAACTATAATTAATATAAAATAATTGGCTTATTAAGAAAATAAATAAAATAGCCTGATATTTATTATAACGAATCATATATGATTACAAGTAACCAAAGAGAATTTTCAGTAAAATCTCCTGCATACTCAGGCAAAGTCCGGTCAAATTTCCTTGGAACGGAATTCCATATCTATGACACTGGCATGAATCCAAAACATAGAGGTGCTAATGCTATGAATGCAAGAGAAGAATTAGCAATTATTTTATATGTAAGCATCATTTAGCAATCAAATATCCTGGGTTCAAAAGGACCAAGAAAAATGAGAGTTTTGATACCAGCTGTAAATAATGCAGGAGACCATTGTGTCTGAAAGCCAATGAACGTAATATTTACTTAGAAAGAAGACGGGATGCTTCAGCAATATAATGCGGGAAATACATCAGGGATGCTTTGCTTCTTTAATAAGCCTCCGAAGTGGAATGAGCGTAAATTATAAGCAGATGTACAAGCTTTTGTGCTAAATTTCAATGGCAGAGTTGATATAGCCAGTGTAAAAAATTTCCAATTGATTGATGATAGAGATGAAAATAAAATTTATATGCAGTTTGGGAGGTGGGAGATCAAAATTTTAATTTAGACTTCCAGTGGCCATTTTCACCTCTCCAAGCATTTGGAATTGCACTTTCAAGTTTTGATTATAAGTTTGCATGTGAGTAATATTAATTTATTTGGAAATGGCAGCCTTGAGAAAAATCTTAATAATTATCATTTTATTTTATTTTTATCATTAGATATTTTGAAATGATGTAAAATCTAGTAATTTAATTATAATGAAATTCATCAGAACGATTGGAGAATAGGTGAATATCTGCAGCATAAGAAAACTATACAATTAGCATTTTTTTAATACAAATTTGTGCCTTTTAAAAGAAGGAAATTCTATTATTTCTAAGATCTTCTGCTTGAAAATAGTTATTTATTTCTTGTGCTACAAAAAATTGCAAAGCAATATTATTAAATAATTTATAAGAAAACTCTTATAGCTTTACTCCCTTGCTTTAAGCTCTATTGTAGTTGAATCATTATTTTTACGGTCTTCATCCCATGCAATTTTAAGATTACTCCTATCAAAGGAGTAGTTTGCCCTTGTATCTACTAGACTAGGAAGAACATGCTTTTCTGTTATTCTATCATAAAGAAACAGTGTCATTCCACATGTATAAACTAATGAAAATACGCTTGTCCCCACTGATATTATTAGCACATAATTTCAGTCTCCTAAGCTACCTCCATTATATACTTGCAAAATTATTTGAGGGATACTTTTAATAAAACCTTGGATTACACCTGTAATTTTTGTCATAAAATCAATTAATTCTCTTTCTTCTCTTTTAGATTTGTTGAGATAAATATAAACTGCAAAAATAATCAGCGTTAAACCAGTTTGTTCGCCAAAGGCAAAAAATAAGCTCAAACCTGCTCTAAAGCACAAAAGTCTTCTTTTATTCCTTATAAGATCATAAAATGTTGTTAAAATGCATAAAGAGACGATAAGGATTCCTGGGGCGACCAAAAATAATATAGACGCGTAATATAAAGTTCTACTTGCAAAGTGCTGAGTGAGAATGTAATATATGTCTGTTAATAGGTCTATGATATTTGCAACACCTCCTAATAAGAATAATAAGGTATCAGCTTTCAGGCCCATTATTATAAGCTAATTATTTCTTTTCATTTGAATCTTTTTAAATTTATTAAGACAGTTCTATTTTGGCTTTATATCGAGAAAATGATTTTTCTTATTAAAAAAGGACATTAGAGTTTGATTAGAATATTTTTTAAAATTATTAAGATTGTTAATTTTCTGAGTGAGTATATTTTGGCTATTTCTAGGCAAATAGACTAGCCATCTTGATTTATTTAATATTAGCACATCCAAACTTATTAAAAAACAATTCAATTAATTTAAAAAATTGATTAGATAGGTATTAAATAGATTTGAATTGCTTAATTATTTAGTGAGAAATTATAGTATAGAATTAGCTGTTAAAATAAATTATAGATAAGCTAAAATTTTAAGTAATTTAGGGCTTAGCATATAAAGGAAAATCTTTGGCAATATAAATATGTTATATATGCGTCCTTGGCTGTTGCTTAAATTTAATAGTTCATATGCAGACATGGTAATATAAGATAGAATATGTCAATGATCAAATAATACTCGTAGAGATTGTGACAGGAGTATATCTTTCCTTTAGAAGAATAAACTCTGAAGTATCTATTTATATTGCCTTATTAAAAGTTTATTTAAGGATAGATAAAATTCCTTGTATGAATAGTAACTTTTTGGTAATCAAAATAGAATAATAAGAAATGGATAATATCAATCCCTAGACTATCAGCAGACTCTGCTAGATTCATAATGAGATAGGCCCTAAATTCTGAGCAAATAAGAAATAAGTCAGGAAGGAAGGAAGGATAGAATCTGATAAATACAAAATAAGATAGGTCTTAAACTTTGAGAGCAGGTAAAATATGGTATAAATGGCGATTTTCTATCCTTGTTATTTATTTAGAGAAAACTCATAATTTATGTTTTTGAAATTTTATAATATATTCTTAAAGATTTGCGTTTCTATTTGCTATGAATCTTGGTTGAAACAAAGTTTACTTCACTTGCTCCACATTCATCATTGCAATCTGGTGTTGGAACTGACACGCATTTCACGCTTACACCTCTAGGACCTTCGTCTCCTTGGTCACCCTGGCATCCTGCGCAACCTTGAGGGCCTTGACATCCGACTTCTCCATCTGGTCCTTTTGGTCCGTCTTCTCCTTTTGGTCCTCTTGGGCCTTTACAACCTTTAAGTCCACATGGTCCGCATGGTCCTGGACATCCTTGTGGTCCACATGGTCCGCATGGACCTGGTGGACCTTGTGGTCCTGTTGGTCCTTGTGGTCCTACTGGTCCAGCACAAACATCATCGATTTTTTCGTCATATTCAAAGCATTCTTCTGCTTTACAACCTCCACATCCATCATCGACTCCTTGAATTAACCCAGTATTTTTTACTTGCTTAAATAAAGTTGGTTTGACTGCCGATACAGCAATAAAGAGTGCGATAAGAATTGCAATCCTAGCCATTATGTTATATTATACCAGTATTTCATCGTGCTAATATGTTTATAAATGGTGAAAAAAAATATAAATAGTCCTATCAGAATTATGTAGCATTAAAATGGATTATTTTAGCAATGAAAATTATTAAAATATTTCATTAGAGCTATTTTTTGATTTCAATTTATTAGAACTTGTAGTGACTTTCTTCATTATAAAGTTTTTATACTTGTTTAATGCAATCTATATTAGTTTGCCAAGAGTCATAAATAGTTCAATAATTCGAAAAATAACCTATAAACGATAAAAAATTTTAAATAAGCAATTTCGAATCAATATAAATAGGCCTAAATAATTAAATTTGCTTTTAGGTTAGAGCATAATCATAATTTCAAAGAAATTCATAATTTATAAATGCTAACTCCCCCCTCCGTGAGTGAACAAAACCATTAGAAAAATCCCTATTTTTTGCCCAAAAACCCACCCTCCGTGATTTTTTTTAATAGAAAAATTTTTTATGGAAAAAATTTTGATATAGAATTGATAATTAATATAATGAAATTCTAGGGCTCGACAAATTTATCCGAAATATGGTGAAGTCGATTTTGGAAAACTCATAGCAGTCGATTAGAGAAATCCATTGGAGGTAGATTTAGTAAATAACTGAAAAGTCGAATATTATAAATTTTATATAGAAAACTTAATAGAAAAATTTATTTTCACGCGGTCTGTTATTAAAAAACTTATGAAAATCGAGAAAGCGAAACTAGGAGAGGTAAATATTATGGTGCATGGAAAAATAGGCCAAGAAAGAATGCTTTCAAGTTGCAAATATGAAATCCCAGCAAGTAGAATATCCATAACATATAAAAATTAATAAACGCATTGAAGTCTTGAATATAAAATCAACAAAAGTTGCTATTATGAATAGCGGGGAGGTCGTTTATACAAAAAAATTTTATTTTCACAATTTGACCCCTTTCATTATCATCGAGCATAAAAAATGCATAAAACCCTTTGAGGTAAAGGGAAAAAATCAAATAGCGATTTTAAAATAGTCACAAGTCGAAAATGTAAAACAGTAAGAAGTTGGTTTTAAAAGATAATAAAGAAATCGATTATTTTTTTCCAATACAATGAAAACGGAATAGTCGAAAATACGAAAATTTTTTTAATTTAAAAATTTCATTAAATATCTAAATTAAATCCATCTTAATCAATATTAAATGAAATTCAATTAATCAAAATTATTAATATTTAAAATCTGAATTATTTTGTCAGGATTGATCTCTGCTCTAGAAGAAGGTAAAATGCATTAAATACTAACTTGACTGTCTTCAAGATTGAAAGTTTAGATCTCAAAAATATTGATTTTCTTCTTAACATTACAATTTGTGAGCTAAGAAATCGATTTTCTCAATAGAAGGATACTAATACATCTCGATATAGAACAGAGTTACTTGTCTTCATTATTCCTACTTCTTGGCATCAGGCAATTGCACTTTCTTCAGATCTTAATATACTGTAAAATTTCCAAAATAGTGAATGTAGAAATTATTGAGCCATATTATTATATAAATGAAAGTTTAAAAGTCCCAAATATTGACAATAATATATTTTCATTTACGTAATCAAATTAATTACTAACTCCCCCCCCCCCCCCTCCGTGAGCGAACAAAACCATTAGAAAAATCGCCATTTTTTGACCAAAAACCCACCCTCCGTGAGTGAACAAAAATGTTTTTAATAGAAAAAATTTTAATGGAAAAAAATTTTGATATATAAGTGATAATTAGTATAATGAAATCTAGAGCTAATTCTGTTTAATTTTAAACAAATTGCGTTTTAAAACATATAAATTTTGCAAATTAAATTAATATTTGCTTCCCAATTTTTGCAAATTAGGATTTTTTTAAATTCGAAAAAAAATATTTTTTATAAAATTTATATATAAATTTTTTTTAAAAAAAAAAAATTAACCCCCCTCCGTGAGCGAACAAAATTTTTTTTGTTCGCTCACGGAGGGGGGGGGGGGGAGTAAAAGCTTTAATTTTGATATTTAATGAAATTTTTAAATTAAAAAAATTTTCGTATTTTCGACTATTCCGTTTTCATTGTATTGGAAAAAAATAATCGATTTCTTTATTATCTTTTAAAACCAACTTCTTACTGTTTTACATTTTCGACTTGTGACTATTTTAAAATCGCTATTTGATTTTTTTCCCTTTACCTCAAAGGGTTTTATGCATTTTTTATGCTCGATGATAATGAAAGGGGTCAAATTGTGAAAATAAAATTTTTTTGTATAAACGACCTCCCCGCTATTCATAATAGCAACTTTTGTTGATTTTATATTCAAGACTTCAATGCATTTATTAATTTTTATATGTTATGGATATTCTACTTGCTGGGATTTCATATTTGCAACTTGAAAGCATTCTTTCTTGGCCTATTTTTCCATGCACCATAATATTTACCTCTCCTAGTTTCGCTTTCTCGATTTTCATAAGTTTTTTAATAACAGACCGCGTGAAAATAAAATTTTTCTATTAAGTTTTCTATATAAAAATTTATAATATTCGACTTTTCAGTTATTTACTAAATCTACCTCCAATGGATTTTCTCTAATCGACTGCTATGAGTTTTTCCAAAATCGACTTCACCATATTTCGGATAAATTTGCCGAGCCGAAATCTAAAGCTAATTCTGTTTAATTTTAAACAAATTGCTTTTTAAAACACAAAATTTATAAATTCAATTAATATTTGCTTTCAATTTTTGCGAATTAGGATTTTTTTAAATTTCGAAAAAAATTATTTTAAAAAAAAAATTGACCCCCCTCCGTGAGTCGTGAGTGAACAAAATTTTTTTTGTTCACTCACGGGGGAGAGTAAGCAAATCATATGTTTTTCTTTAAAATTTATCTTTCGTGAGTTTATTTTAGTTTGATGGTTATAGTGCAATGTAGCCGAATAATTATAGTTAATTAAATTTAATTTGCTCCGCATTCATTATTGCAATCTGGTGTTGGAACTGACACGCATTTCACGCTTACACCTCTAGGACCTTCGTCTCCTTGGTCACCCTGGCATCCTGCACAACCTTGAGGGCCTTGACATCCGACTTCTCCATCTGGTCCTTTTGGTCCGTCTTCTCCTTTTGGTCCTCTTGGGCCTTTACAACCTTTAAGTCCACATGGTCCGCATGGTCCTGGACATCCTTGTGGTCCACATGGTCCGCATGGGCCTGGTGGACCTTGTGGTCCTGTTGGTCCTTGTGGTCCTACTGGTCCAGCACAAACATCATCGATTTCTTCGTCAAATTCAAAGCATTCTTCTGCTTTACAATCGCCACATTGTCCTTCACCAACTCCTTGAATTAGCCCAGTATTTTTAACTTTGCCATCTTCTTGCTTAAATAAGCTTGGTTTGACTGCCGATACAGCAATGAAGAATATGACAAGAATTGCAATTTTGACCATTATTTATATCATACCAGCATTTCACTGGGCTCATATGTTTGCAAATGGTGAAAAAAATGTCTTTAAATAATCCTATCAGAAAGATTTTTTTATATTTAAATAAATTTAATGGTAGTTAATTACCTTTGTCTTTCATCAATATAAATAATTTTATTTCGAACTGCCTCATAAGGATCCCCCCCTCATTTGTCCAATTCTCTAGTCTTTTATCATTTGTCCATTTTTCTAGTTTTTTTTATAGGAAAAAAAAAATTTTTTAAGACCTCATTTGTCCAATTTTTTAGTCAAAATTTTGATAGTAAAAAAAAAAAATTTTTAAGTACCTCAATTGTCTCATTTTCTAGTTTTTTAAAGTAAAAAACTAAAATTTAGGATTTTCGAAAAAATCCAAAAAAGACTAGAAAATGGGACAAATCATTTTTGACTAGATTTTTGGACAAATGAGGTCCTGAAAAATTTTTTTTTCTTAGAAAAAAAAGACTAGAAAATTAGACAAATAAGGGGGGGATCCTTATTTACAGCTAACAACTTTATTATTAAAAATGTGTATTTATTAGCATTTAGATCCGTGAAAACTCTAAAGCAGGGTCCATGAATTGTTTAAATGCGCTAAATAAATAAACAAAATATAAGAGACACTTCATTGAATGAACCAAACTTAAGAGCTCATGAAATAATTGAAATTTATAAAATTAACATATTCTATATTAGACTAATTTGATACCTAAAACTTAAACTCTGTAATTTGATGTTATGAATTTTATTGCATAAGCTTATGATTATTTCAGTACTTGCACACTGATGCGATCTGGTGATTTATATGCCAAAGGCTCTGCGAAGTATGCAGTATTATGCTAAAGAATATAAATGCGTTTGATTGTTGATTTTGTTATTTTGCAGCAGTTCAGAGAAGGGGGTATGAAAAAATATGTTACCTTTAAAAACTTATTTAAGTTTAAGTTTAAATGAAATCACTTTGTATTCTGTCTCTTTCGTTGAGGTCCAACTTGATTAGCAGCTCTGAACAACGGTAGGTGGACCTTCCTAACCGTCGAACAGCTAATGTTATCAAGCCAACTTTAGACTTCTCTGATCGGTGCCAGACTCAGCACTGGCCTCTTCACTTCACTCGAGACTCTCAGGAGGACTGACCTCTTTCACTAAGCCCAAGTATAGGGTCCCTACCTGCGGAGCAGGTACATGGACCTATCTCATAACTGCCATTTTAATATTGAAAAAAAAACTTATTAACGATCAGAGATCTTAATTATTTTTTCATATCCAAATTAAAATTAGCTTAGATTAGGATTATTTAAGGCAGGCGCTAGCCATATTGGTTACGCAGTCACCAAAGACCTCCCGTACGGGAGGTTCTACGACTTTTTGACTCCAGCCCAGAGAGTATATCCCTCTTGCGAGTGCCCTTCCGGTGCCTTCTGTCTCCTCCTTGCATCAAGCAGTTTATTCATCATAATTTTATACTAAAACCACGCTTTCCTGCATCGCAGTTCTTAATTTTTGAGCTGTGAAATCACAGCAAGATGCTCGCAACCCTCAACTCAAGTTCAATTCAAATTAGCTAGTCAATTTTAATTAAAATTTTCAATATCCAACTAATACGCTAACCTTAATGTAGTACATGCATAAGGCTAATAACTCTAGAATAAGTAAGATGAGTGCATCAAATCACACAATTGAAAGCCATGCAGTGTGCCTCAATTCGTTAGGCTGATTGTCATGCATTTCATATTGCATCAGACATTACACATGATTAAAGCCATATGCATATAGCATCACAGGCTATAGTTATGACACTCAATATCTTTCATAATTAGGCCATGTAAATACTTACTGAAGTGTCTTACTCCCCCCTCCGTCTACAAACAAAAAAATTTTGTTCGCTAGCGGAGGGAGTTTAATTTTTTTTAACTCCCCCCCCCCCCCTCCGTGAGCGAACAAAACCATTAGAAAAATCGCCATTTTTTGACCAAAAACCCACCCTCCGTGAGTGAACAAAAATGTTTTTAATAGAAAAAATTTTAATGGAAAAAAATTTTGATATATAAGTGATAATTAGTATAATGAAATCTAGAGCTAATTCTGTTTAATTTTAAACAAATTGCGTTTTAAAACATAAATTTTGCAAATTAAATTAATATTTGCTTCCCAATTTTTGCAAATTAGGATTTTTTTTAAATTTCGAAAAAAATATTTTTTATAAAATTTATATATAAATTTTTTTTAAAAAAAAAAAATTAACCCCCCTCCGTGAGCGAACAAAATTTTTTTGTTCGCTCACGGAGGGGGGGGGGGAGTAAGAAAAATTTATATATAAATTTTATAGAAAATTTGTTTTCGAAATTTAAAAATCTTAATTCACAAAATTGGAAAGCAAGTATTAATTAATTAGTAAAATTTGTGTTTTAAAACGAAAATTAAAAGAACCAGCTGAGATTTCATTATACTAATTATCACTTATATATCAATTTTTTTTCCATAAATAATTTTGTTCGCTCACGGAGGGTTTGCTTTTGGGCAAAAAATATGGTTTTGTTCGCTCACGGAGGGAGGGAGTTAGAAGATGCACAATTCGTGGAGCCAATGACTTCAAAGAATGTCGAACTCTTTAATAAAAGTATTAAATGCAATATTATATATATCTTTTACTTCCAGCTCATCCGCAATTTACTTTTTGCTTACAAAAACTCTTTATAAAATGTTTTGAAATGATATTTTATTGATGAAATTATTATTCAATTAAATTAGATTTAGGACCTTCTTGATTTTGAGTGGATTTCGGCTCATAATTATCCCCAGTCCGTCCCGGTCTTGCAGCAGGATCTGTGGATAATGTTTTTCTTTTGCTATCATAGCTTCTTTCTTCATCAATTTCTCTTCTTGAATCCTTTTTATCCATTTTCTTATTCGCATAAAACTGGGTCTTTGATGAATTTTTCTGCCTTCTTTTAATAGTTTTTTCTTTATGCTCTTCTACATCTTTTGTAGCATTATGAAGCACTCGTTGAACGCTATCAATCACAGGGTGTCCTACTGGCAAATTTTTCTTTGCAAAATCCACAGCTTTTTGATACATAGTTATAGCTTCGTTCGTTCTTTTTAAATATTCGAGTTCTACTGCCATATTATGATAAGCAATAGCTAAAACAGGTGCATGCTCTTCAAAGCCTTGATTTGCTTGAGTGGTCGTTATGAAAAGATCTTGCAAAAGTATGACAGCTTGCATAGCATGCTCTAAGGCTTTTTCATGCTTGTCAATCTGTGAAAGAGAGGCACACAAGTTTAAATGAGTATTCGGTGTGTCATTATCGAGCGCTAGAGCTTTTTTTAAATACGTTAAAGCTACCCTTGCTTTTCCAGTTTTCCTATAATAGCAAGCGAGGTTATTGTAAGTTATCGCTCTAGCATGATCATCAGTTTCACATAAAAGTTCAGCTCTTTTCAATAGATCAAAAGCTAAATCTGAATCGTCTCGCTGAAGATAATGGGTTGCTAGAATATTGCAAAGTTCGCATAATTTGTGATAACTTTTTTTTACTTCTTGGCTGTCTTCTCCAAACCTCACTTTTCGAATATTTAGGCCTCGTTCAACAATATCAAGGGCATCAACGTATTTTCCTTCAGCTTTGAATTTCTCAGAAAGCCTGTCTAATTCATCTAAATCTTCCATTATGAGTTAATAATAAATAGCTAAGTAGGTAAAAGTTAGAGCATTAGAAAAAGTTGAGGTAGTGGCATAGAAGAAATAAATGATGCATTTCTTTAAAATAAAAGAAAAAATGCATTTGAATTTAAATGAAATCAGGAAATTTTCGGCTTAAAATTGTATTTTTTGAAAATATTTTAAAGCCAAGCTCTAACTTCAAAAAGAAATCATTTATTTTAAAATTGATGATTCTCTTCTTTATAAAACAAGCTAAAACTATTTAATTTACCTTATTTTTTGAATATGATTACTTAAATCTCTTGTTATTCAGTTGGCTGGGCGTTCCAAAAAGATGAAAATAAAGATTGCTGATTGGTAAATTCAGGGAGTTCTTCATCATTGATTTCATTTTTTTCAATAGCTTGGTTTTTCCCAATGTTCTGGCTATTCCAAAAGGCTGAAAATAAAGATTGCTGGCTATGAAAAGTAGGTATTTCTTCATCATTAATTTCATGTTTTTCAGCTGCTTGATTTTTTCCATCAGAATCTGAGTTATCGAACCATGAAGTTTCTTGACCACTCTTGCTTCCATTTGACATATAACTCCATGAAGTGGCTAAAGTTGGTGTTTCCGGATAACAAAATATGGAATCTTTTTTTCCTAATACAATGCCAAAAGGTTCTTGGCTTGGCTCAATGATTTCTTCTTTTATTTTTTCATGATGGCTATGGTCTTTATGAACTTCTATTTGAGCTATTTGCTCATTAATAATAGGGATTTCTCTGATGGGTTCTGTAATGATAAAAGTTTCTTTGACTGGGATATTGTTGGCTTTATGAACAACTGGAGGTGCAATCTCTAAAATATCGTCAACATAATAATTGTAATCTATCAACTCTTCATCATTTTGGGAATTCACTGGCTTATACAAAGCCTTGAACGCGTTATTCAGCTCTTGCGGAAAAATAGTTAACAAGTTTCCAGTTTTTTCAACTCAAAGATTATAAACGCCATAAAAGTTGGAAAATTTGGCTGATAGATAAGCTTTGAACGGCTGAACTGATTGATTCATATAAGTTTTCACTGCTAAAGCAGTTATATAAAGCATTGCTTTAAATGGTATAAATGTTTCTATCCATACGAATCTTTTTAAGTATATATCTCAAACGACGATTTCTAGGTCATTAAGCATCATTTCTTCAGCGGTTTCGGTCAAGAGAACTAAAAGTGGCAAGCGTCTTAGCTCATTTGGAACATTTGGATTTGTGGCGCATCTGCGGAGCAGGATTGTTCCTTGGTGGCTCAGTTTAAATTCAGCTCTTAGTAGCTTGTAAGTGTTATAGTCTAGGATTTGTTGCATATTTAGCTCATCTTGTTTAGAAGAATAGTAAGTGCTTGGCTTTATAGGGATTGGGACATGCAAAATGTCAGGTGAAGGCGATTTTTTGATATTTTTGATTTTTGAAGGTTTTTTGGAAGAATTTTGAGGGTTTTTCATAGGACTTCTGATAGCAAATATTACAAATAGTAATAATTCTATCAGTTCATAATGGATGAAATTTCATATAAATCAAAATTTATCATACCTAATAGAAGATGTGTGCTAATTATAAAGATCATTAATATTTATAAGAATTCCACTAATACTTTTTTCTATTAAATTCCTAACTCCCCCCTCCGTGAGTGAACAAAACCATTAGAAAAATCGCTATTTTTTGCCTAAAAACCCACCCTCCGTGAGTGAACAAAATTTTTTTATGGAAAACAATTTTGATATATAAATGATAATTAGTATAAATTAGTATAATGAAATCTAGAGCTAATTCTGTTTAATTTTTAAACGAATTGCTTTTTAAAACATAAATTTTATAAATTAAATTAAATTAAATTAGGAATTTTTTAAATTTCGAAAAAAAATATTTTTATAAAATTTATATATAAATTCTTTAAAAAAAAATTAACCCCTCCGTGAGTGAAAAAAAAAAAAATTTTCACTCACGGAGGGGGGGAGTAATTAAAATTCATTCCTATGTCAGATTCGGATTTTAATTTCTTGAAAGAAAAAAAATTGAAAGAGTTTTTGTATAATTCCTTTAAGAAACTTGAATATTTTGGTGGCTAATTTATCAGCTTTAAAATAATATGCTTTTTAAACGGCCAATGCTAAAATTTTTGGACTTCTCCTTTTAATGGCTATCAGGCATGATCAGAACTCCCAATAATATTTAGCTATATTCTGATTTGACTACAAATGTGATCTTTAGGAATTTTCTTGCATAATTATAATATCAAAGGCTCATAATACATTTTTATTTTATAATTCCCATAACAAATTTCCATAATATTTTATTTCTATTCCATAATGATAAAATTTAATATCTCTTCCTATTATTTGTACACAACTTTAATTAAGCTCTTCTTCCTCTTCCTCTTCTTCAAATTCCTTCGGCATTCTTCTTCCTACCTGCCTTGACTGATTATCATACTCTTCCTTCATTTTTTCGTATTCTTCTTTCTTATGAGGAAAATGATATAATAAAATTTCTTCGTAAATTAAATCTTTCAATTGCCTCATTGTTAAAGGCAGCTTTTCAAACTCAAAATCAAACATAGAGACTGGCGTCGTTGTAGGTTCATCCTCCTCACAATGAAATGTTGACAAATATGGATGTTCTAAAGCATCTTGTATGGTAATTCTTTTATCGGGGTTAAAAATAAGCATTTTTCTTACTCCCCCCTCCGTGAGTAAACAAAACCATTGGAAAAATCCCTATTTTTTTCCAAAAACCCACCCTCCTCGAGCAAACAAAAATTTTTTCAATAGAAAAATTTTTCATTGAAAAGAATTTTGATATAAATTGATAATTATTATAATGAAATCTCAAGTTAATTCTGTTTCATTTTAAACAAATCACGTTTTAAAATATAATTTTTACAAATTGAATCAATATTTGCTTTCCAAGTTTTGCATATTGATTTTTATAAAATTTTATATAATATTGTTTTAAAAAAAAAAATTAACCCCCTCCGTGAACGAACAAGATTTTTTTGTTCGCTCGGAGTCGGGGGAGTTAGTAAATCCAGGGCATCTGGATTGGCATCTCTAAAAATTGTCTGAAAATTTTTCCCTTGCTTTTGATGTATGTGGGCAACTTTTTCTTTTGAGAGGGGATTTGGGATAGATTCAATATCTTCACTGCTAGGTGTCCCAATCAAATTAAAAATTAAATCTAATTGGTGGTTAGAATCATTTCCAGGCAAAATGGGCTTCCTAAGTAGAAGTTCCCCAAATAAACACCCAACCGATCACATATCCATTGCTGAAGAATATTTTTTGTAAGAAAGCAATACTTCTGGAGCTCTATACCATCTTGTAGCAACATAATCAGTCATTTGAGCTCCAGATACCTTTAAATCGCTAATAATCGGCCTTGCAAGCCCAAAATCGCAAATTTTCAAATCGCAATTTGAATTAACAAGCAAGTTTCTTGGCTTAAGGTCTCTATGTATTATTCCTGCACTATGCATGTATTTGAGACCCATAAGGATTTGATATAAGAAGAATTGACAATGCTCGTCTGAAAATACTTGCGGAGATTTTATTATAGCACTTAAATCAGTTTCCATAAGCTCACTTATGACATAAATTTCATCAAATTCTTCTCGAGAAGTTGGCAGCTGTATGGAAATTATTCTCATAATATTATCGTGCTCCAAGAGTCTTAAAATTTTAAGCTCTCTTAAAGTTCGCTTTGTAAACGTTGAATGCTCAAATGCTTTTTCGATTTTTTTTATAGCTACACGTTCGCCTGTAAGAGTGTCTCTTGCAGAGACTACTACTCCATAGGCACCACTGCCTACAGTTCCAATAATTTCATATCTTGCATCAATTAGGAAAGTGGCTCCTATTACATTAACTTGTTTTTTGTTCACCATGGACGGGCCGCCAACATGAGAAAGTGCGTAGGGGTTTCTAGTAGGAGGTGATGAATTAGAATTAGTTCTACTTTCAGACTCCATTTTTGTCACTTTTATATTTGAAACATATGAGTGAAATTCTTTTATTTGCACCTGATAATTATTCAGAAAGTTTCACATATAAATGAGATACTTTTGTGTTTGCAATAATAAATTTAGCATAAATGAAAGACAAAAAGAGAAAAATAATTCTTGTAAGAAGCTAAAAATTAAGAAAACTGAAATTTAATTATAATGAGATCACTTGTATTTAGCATCTCCTTTTTATTAGGAGTGGCTTACACTGCTTTATTTTTTTATCTGCTGAAGAAATCTTACAATTTTATACAGTTCAATGCTCAATGGATGTTCGCAAAAATTTTTTATGTGGTTTTGATGTTTTTCTCACTTTTTAGGCTGATCTCGTTTTGAGCAATTTGCTTTTTTACATCTTACATTCTAGATCGAGCTCGGCTTTCATATGTGCTGCTTTCAATACCTGAATCTCTCTTCCTTTCAAGCTTTTTGGTGCTTTTTTGAATTTTGGCAAGCGTCTATTATTACACACATCTTATGTCTTATAATCCCATAGAAGGACAAATCCGATACCCTAAAAGACTGAAGAAACTTGGCGCAGTTGGGCTAATTATTAGTGCACTATGAGTTATCGGAGAAATTATCTTATATGCGTTATTCGCTGGACGCTTAATTAGCGTTTCTTCAATGGAATTTCAATTGATGATTTCAAATGTTGCCGCTTTTGTGCTTATCGTGATTTTCTATTGCTATCTTATGTTTGAGTACCGAAACAGCTATTGCAAATCAAGCGATGCCAAAAAACTGTCAATACAGGTGCTAAGAGTTACTCTTATTTGAGGGTTAGGCCGTGTTCTTCACATCTTATTTTACTACACAGAAGCATTAGATTTCAGCTCAAATGACGTTCATCCTCCATTTGATACCATGAGTGAGAACATTCCAGCTGCAATTTTGCTATTGGATTACTTGGTAAACGAAATATTTTGCATTTATTTAGTATTGAGGAAACAATTTTTTTATATTTACTCGTGTGATATAAATTCGCTTCCTACCACAAATTCGTTTCTTCCTAATAAAACAAACGAGGATTTTATTGACCCTTCGATGATAGAAGATCCCAATGATTTTAGCTGGATAAATAGTTATGATGATCCGATAATAAAAGAAGAAAATATACAAATCCATATAAAAGTGCCTAGTAAAAAGCAGCTTTTGGGGATAATTTATCGAGGGGTTTATAATGGGCATCATGTATTAATCAAAAGAGTCAAATTCACTAAAATCAGCAAATATATGATAGACCAGCTTATACAAGAAGTGGTCATCACTAAAAGACTTGAAGGAACCCATCTATTACCTTTAATAGGCATCAGCACTGGCAGCTCTCACATTGATTTTGTCAGTCCCTATATGACAAATGGCTCTTTATTTTCAGCAATTCATCAAAGGAATTCTTTTTTCTCTTATAAAGATAAGCTAAGAATTGCAAGGGAGTTAGCATTTTCTCTCAGAAATTTGCATTATCAACGTCAGATTCATGGCCACTTGACTTCCCATAACGTGCTATTCAATAAAGACTGAAAAGTTTTGGTAAGTGATGCAGGAATCGAATATTTCAGAAAGTATGCAGGATTGGTACTTAAATATTCTAATAAATCTGCATGAAGCAGTCCAGAGCAGCTAAAGGATGAAACTGAAGTTGTAGCCACTTTTCATCCAAGCGACGATAGCTATAGTTATGGGATGATTTTATGAGAATTATTCACAAATCAAGAACCCTTCCCAAATATGCATTGAACAAAATTTAAAAACATGGTAAAAAGAGGCTATAGACCTAGTGTGCCCAAATCTGTCGGAGATGGGATTAAAGAACTTATATTAAGCTGTTGGAATGTTGAGCCGAAACTAAGACCAGGATTTTCTAAAATTTATATGACTGTGTGCATGATTGAGGCACAAGACCCAGCTGTTCAATAAAAGTGTAAAAATAAAGATTAACTAATATGATATGGTGCCATTAATGTGGTGAACTAATATTAATATGAAAGCTATATTGGTTTCATTGATCCTAGTCTCTGTCTTGGCAACAGTTGACATTCCTTTAAAGCCAATCCACGAGACTGCAGATGAGCAATTTGCTTACTTCCACTTCGTCAAGCTCCGAAGACTTCTCAGAGGCAACAGTGTTCCACTCACCAACTACGTGGATGCCCAATACTACGGCCCAATTTCAATTGGAACTCCTCCTCAGTCTTTCCAAGTCGTTTTTGACTCAGGATCTTCAAACTTATGGGTCCCATCCGTGAAATGCACATCAATTGCTTGCAAAATCCACAATACCTATAACTCAGCAGCTTCATCAACTTATGTTAAAAACGGCACAGCAATTTCAATTCAATACGGGAAAGGCGCTGTTTCTGGCTTCATCTCACAAGACACTGTTACTTGGGGAGGCTATCAGGTCAAGAATGTTTTGTTCGGAGAAATGACAAGCCTTCCTGGGACAACCTGGATTTCCAGCAAATCTGATGGAATTTTGGGAATGGCATGGGTTGGTATTTCTGAGGACTCTACCCCACCTGTTTTTACCTTATTATATGGGCAAGGACTTGTAAGCAGCAATAGCTTTGCATTTTATTTGACTAAGACTGCAGGACAAACTGGAAGCACCCTGACACTTGGAGGATTTAATGCGAACTTATCGAAAGGGGATTGGAACTACGTTCCCCTTTATCAACAGCTTTGGTGGCTCATTAACATGGACGGTATCAACGTTGCTGGAACTGCTATTACAGGCACTAACATGCGTGCAATTGTAGATACAGGCACCACCCTTATTGTTGGAGACAGCAAATTGGTCAACCAAATTATCGCTAAAATCCCAACAGTTGCTGAAGATTGCTCCAATCTCTCCAAGCTTCCAATAGTCAACTTTATCCTTGGAGGAGTCACTTATGCATTACCACCTACAGCTTACGTTTGGCAAGTTCCTAATGGCTCTGCTAATGAATGTCTCCTTGGATTTGAAGCAGCAGACCTTGGTGAAGAGCTTAAGAACACCATTATTCTTGGAGATCTCTTTATCAGCACTTATTATACTCTTTTCGATATGGGCAATAAGAGAGTTGGATTTTCAACAGCAGTCTAAGTAAACATTGATTTAAAAATAGAATGTTTTAATAATTTTCTTGCTTATAAAATGAGCAAGATAGTAAGTTCGCTTTTAGTTTCAAATAATCTAAATACTAAAATGGAAGAATTAAAATCTATATCAGTGCTCGATAAATTTAATTAGACAGCTCTTAGTATTTTATATTGTAATTTATCTTTAAATTTGAAACCTTTTCCAGCACATTTCTGATTTATTGCACATCATGCTAGTATGATTTTTAGTTTATTTTAAAATAAAAATCTAATAAGCAAATAATGCCGTTATGCTTAAGCCATTGTTTATATCTTCTACCATAAATCATCGTTTCTAAAATGCTTTTTGAAAATAATAAATCATTATAAGATTATCATTTTATTTGATGATATGGTAAATTATCAAAACTAAAACAAGTACAAATTGCTAGAGAAAGATTCTTACTCCCCCCCTTGTGAGTGAACAAAAGCATTAGAAAAATCCCTATTTTTTGCCCAAAAACCCGCCCTCCGTGAGTTAACAAAAATTGTTTTAATAGAAAAATGTTTTATGGAAAAAAATTTGATATATAAGTGATAATTCGTATAATGAATTCTCAAACTAATTCTGTTTAATTTTAAACAAATTGCGCTTTAAAGCATAAATTTGACAAATTAAATTAATATATACTTTCCAAATTTTTCCGACGTAGGATTTATTTAAATTCCGAAAAAAAAAATTCTATAAAATTTCTATATAAATTTTTTTAAAAAAAAATTAACCACCCTCGGTGTGAACAAAATTTTTTTGTTGGAGTTAAATGAATTACTTAAAAATAGGATAAAAATTGGAAGAGTTAAAAATTTATTTTAAATCGCAATACAATAATATATATTAGCTCTAGGATTGCACTAATATATTACTCTGCACATTTTTGCTAAAAAAATTCAGTTCTAAGACAAATAGCAGGTTTATCTGATGAATTTGATTTCATCATTTATAGAGCGATATGCTATATTGAGACTTAAAAATACAATTTATCTCATAATTAATATAGGGTTTCCCCCTAAATAGCCCTGTAAGGGTTGCGGATTCTAGGCGGAATCTTTCAGTTGGTCCGGCCAACTCAGTACGATAGTCGGGCCAACTCACTTGTTGGTTCCACCAACCAAAGGATTCAGCCCAGAATTCACAGCCCTTAAAGGGCTGTCTAGGAGAAAGCCCTATAACTGGCACTTTTAACCAAATTTAATTGCTATAAAGCATGCCTTTTTTCATGAACTATAATCTGGGATATAAAATATTAATTTAATTGCATAGCCAATAAAATCGTGATATTGTATAAATATTTTTCTAAGTTATCTATCTGCTCTAATTTCCCTTCAAAATGTTAAGCTACCCATCAACGCTTCAGTTCAAGATAAAATTACCTATGCAGCCTTCATAGCGTTCTTTTCTAGTAAATTAAATTTTACAATATTTTAATCAGTTTAATCATTATCTCATAAGTTGGTATTTTCTTGCATATTTCTTATAATTATTCCCCAAATGACTTATAAATTAAAATGCAAATAGAAGAAGAAAAAGGAAAGGAAAATGAACTAACTCCTCCTGTAGCAAAAAAAATCTTTCTTATTCGTAGGGGTTTTGGCATAAAATTTCCAATAGTAAATTTAATATTAATGACTCGAATGACCCAGAGAGCTAATCCATGGACTTAAGTTTTCACCTCCCTGAACCATCATTTACTATTTGAAAATTTTTTGGTAGAAATCTTCAAAAATAAGCAAAATTTGCTATTTACTTGGGCGGAGTGAGTATAATGCCTCAGCCCAATAATCAAGGAATTGATAATCGTCTTAAGCTGGGCGAGTATATATGTAAAAATAAAGCAACTTTTCCTTATGAATTAAGCAAAATTAGTGAGGATAAAGAAACCATAGTAATTTATCTCAAGCATTTAAGGCTAGGCACAATTGGTGCAGTCCATCTCTCTGTTCTTTTAAACTTCTACCCAAGGCTTCAAAGACTTAACTTAGCAGATAACATGCTTTGTGCATCAGGAATGAACTCTTTAGCTTCAGCATTATCAAATCTTGTAAACCTCATAGATTTACACTTAGAAATGAATTTCATGAAGGATGGGGCAAAATCGCTTGGAATTGCTTTAAAAAGTTTATCTAAACTAGAAATTTTGAACTTGTCGGACAATGACATCGATTCTGAATCTATAGTAGAACTTTCTAGAGGGCTATCACATTTAAAAAAATTAAAAGTGTTGAAAATGAATTTTAATTCATTTAAAACTAATGGGACTATTGCTTTCGCTAATGCTTTGGTTCAGATGCAACAGCTAGAAATTCTTCAGCTTTTTTGCTGCGAAATTGAGACTCAAGGAGCTTTAGCACTTTTTCAAAATTTCAAAGAATGCAGGTCTTTAAAAAATGTAACAATGGGGAAAAATGATGATATTGCTTCAAGTTTGAGAGGTAAAATGAAGAGAAAATATAAGTTTGTCCATACTGGAGTAGATGAACCAGTAAGGTGCGAAATATTTTAACTTAAACGGAAGTTTAGACTTATAAATCGCCTCATTAATCCGGTATCTCTTAAAATGTTTTACACAAAATAATTCATTTAAAAATATTTTTAACTTTCTTCTCGAAAAGTCATAACTCAGATTTTTAAAATAATAGTTTATTTGATATGCTCCCACTTTACTATTCCATATGCAAAATTATTAATTTTTATTATGGTGATTAAAATCGCATTTTTATTATGGTTTTTTTATCTAATATCCATCAGAAACTTCAATTTTGACAAGATTTATTTTTATTTAGGGCTTTAAGAGGAGCAATTGTATTTGTTTGTTACTCATTCCATTAGATTTTTAAACATTACAATAGAGAAAATACAAAATTTTAAGAATCTATTCATAATCTTTATTTTTGCTAAATTGAACACAAGCAACTTGCTTTGCCTTGACATTAAAATTGTCAATAACCAGTGGTTTGATATCAAAACTGGCATTATTTTCAGGCATAATAACTAAGAAAAACCACCCATTCCTATAATGCGAAGAAACCTCGTTTGCTTTAAGCTTGAAATTTGCAGAAAAACAATTTTTCTTTTGGTTCCAGCAGAGGACAGTTTTGGTATTTCCAATGAGTGGTGGCTTACCTGCTTTGCTTACTGTAAGCTTTACAGGTGGATTTTCAGCAAGATAAAGTGCGGCTTCAAGCTCAATCTTAAACGATTTGTCTAAATGCACATCAGTATTAATTTTTAAGTCAACGCTAACGACGAAAGTCTTTTTCTTACAGACCGGAATTGTTACACCCGAAGCTAATTTTAGCGAAAATTGGAAATTTCTAGTTGAAGTAAGTTGCCATATCAGCTCTTCCTTAGTAGGAGGACGACTAGAAGGATCCTTTCAGTTATAGCAGTGGTTTTTAAGCATCTCGAAATGGGTTAATAGCCCAGTCATGTCCTCATTAAGACTTTTAGAATAGAGACACATCGCCAGTAAATGTTTATTATTGTTCTCCAAAGCATTTATCATCGATTCATTAGTAAAGTCAGGTTGAGACTCTTGAAGGTAAGGAGTAAAAAGGTAAGTTTGCATATTTTATCAATAATTATTTTAATATTTTTTTTTAATTTAATAAAAGAGAACCAAAATTAAGGAATTATTAAGCGAATGAAAGTCTATCTTATTAAGATCAATCTATTACTAGCATCTTCGATCTGCCTCAAAAATTTTTTACCATATTGAAATGTACAGTAAGTAAGTAAATAGTTGGAATTTAAAATATTTTAGGCAACAGTAAAAATTATATTTATCTAAATTGTAACGGAGTGACAGAAAAGAATAGAAATAACAATAAGTTCATAAGCAAAGTTAATTGTGCTTAGGTAATTGCATTATAATGCAAATATTTTTTAAATAGTAACTTATAGCAAAAAGAGTAAAAAACTAAAAAATATAATAATTATAATTAATTATTCAACCTCATTATCTCTCAAACGAATTTTATCATCTGTGTGTAAATCTTCTATAGATTTCTTATAATTATGCAAAAAAATTTTTTGATAAATTATAGCATTGGCTCTTTAATTAAACCTTCTTTATTCTCTTACTCTCCCCCTCTGTGAGCGAACAAAATCATTAGAAAAATTCCAAAAACCCACCCTCCGTGAGCGAACAAAAATATTTTTGATAGAAAAAATTTTATGTGTAAAAAAATTTTGATATATAAGCTATAATTATTATAATGAAATCTCGACCTAATTCTGTTTAATTTTAAACAAATTGCGCTTTAAAATATAATTTTTACAAATTAAATTAATATTTGCTTTCCAATTTCTAAAAAGTGGGAATTATTTAAATTTTGAAAAAAAATTCTTTAAAATTTATATATAATTTTTTTTTAAAACAAATTAACCCTCTCCGTGAGTGAACAAGATTTTTTGTTCGCTCACGGAGGGGGAGTTAGCTATTATTTATAAGCTCTCTTTAAACATATAATTAAAATTTAATGAATTGAATATATGATTATACAGCTTTTTATTAAATATAAGTTAATCATTGACAATTATTATTTGTTTAAATCACCTCTAAAATCCTGGGTAAATGAAATTCTAGATTTTTTGAAAGAATTCCATATTTATGCATAAAGGAAACCATTTCTAAACTTAGATTTTACATTTATTTTAATATTGCAAAATGCTCATTTGACGAGTTTAATTATTTTTTACTTATTTTTATGATTTTCTTAATTTTAAAATATTTTATTTTTTACCAGAATCTTGACTTTACAATTCTCGTATATTTGCTATAGCCTCTGCGTTTTCAATATGAGATTTCTATAACTCCTCCCCCTCCGCGAATGAGCAAAAAAATTTTGTTAGCTGATATAGGGGATTTTTTCAATTTGAAAAAAAATTTACTATAAAATTATAAATTATTTAATTTAATTTGCGAAATTTATGTTTTAAAATGCAAGCTGTTTAAAATTAAACAGAATTAGCTAGAGATTTGACTATACTAATTATCAACTATATATATTTATTATTTTTTTATGCAAAATTTTTATATTAAAAAAATTTTTTTTGCTTACAGATGGTTGGTTTTTAGACAAAAATAATGATTTTCTAATAGTTTTATTCGCTCACGGAGGGGAGTAAGTTAAATCTCTTAAGAATGTGCTAGACATAGATCCTGAAGCTCTAAAAGGAGCAATCTAAAAAGAAATAGAAGTAAAAAATCATAAAAAATTAAATCTATGCAAATCGAATTTTCGTTAGAAATTAATTCACCTTATAAAGATCTATTAAGGGATAATACTGCTTTGCTTTAACGTTAAAATTGTCAATAATAAGGGGCTTAATATCCAGCCCATAATCCTTACCAGCTGTAATTACCAAAAAGAATCACCCATTTCTATAATGCGAAGAAACCTCATTAGCTCTTACTCCCCCCATCCTTGATTGAACGATTGACTGTAAAAATTCCTAAAAATTGGGGAAATTAACCCCCATCCTTGATCGAACGATTTTCATATAATACAAATTTTTATGTATATATAAAAATATATTAGTTATCAAAAGCTTGGGAAGATATACCTAATAAAGTTGTTTTCAGAGCTTTGAGACGATAAAAAGCTGCGAAATCAACCATTCGAAGTGATTTAGCCATCAACCTAGGCTTAAAAACTCAATAATCTAATAAAAGAGAGATTCTTTAAAATTTAAAAAAAAAAATTTAATTCAATAAGGAACAAATTAAAATTTATACGGTTTAAAAGGGTACTAATAAATCAAAATATTAAAAATTGGTATTTTATGAAATTAATTCAATTTTTTGCTGTAAAAATAATTATTAAATACTCTTAACCTTCTTATTTAAAAATAAATAAAAAAAATATATATAATTTTTTTTCCCTAAAAAAATTTGTTTTAACTCCCATCCTTGATCGAACGATGGCGAGTCGTTCGATCAAGGATTGGGGGGAGTTAGCTTAAAATGAGCAGAATGGCAGTTTTTCCTTTGATTTCAACTCAATTCTGCTTTTGTATTCCCAGCCAAAGGTTTTTTACCAGCTTTTCCTTCTGTAAGCCTCTTTGGTGGATTTTCAGATGTATAAAGTTCACAAAGCAAGTCAAGTTTGAAGGAAGAATCAAGCACAGCCCCTGAGTGAGATATCAAATCAACACTCATTCCAAAGGTTTTTTTCTTGCAAATAGGCATCTGAAGCTCTGAAGTTAACTTTAAGGAAAACTCAAAATTTCTGTTTGAAGTCAATTGCCATATAAATTCTTCTATGGTTGGGATACGGCTTGATGGATCCTTTCAGTTGTAGCAGTGATTTTTTAGTAGTTCAAAATCGGTGATTAATCCAGACATCTCATTTATTAGATTTCTTGAATGTAGGCACATATTCATGATATGATTGTTATTATTTTCTAATGCATTTATTAACATTTCGTGAGTAAACTCAATATTGTGACTGGAATTTTTCATGAAAAATTCTTCTTTGGCATAATGAATCTCTTTCATATTTTTATTTATGAATGGGTAACATTTTTTGTTTAAATAATTAGTCTAAAAATTCCATAATCTGAATTTATTGGTAAATAAATCCAAACGATATAAAAAACTTAACTCCCCCATCCTTGATCGAAAGACTAACTGTAAAAATTGGGAAAATTAACCCCCATCCTTGATCGAACGATTTTCATATCATACAAATTTTTATATATATAAAAATATATTAGTTATCATTAGTTTATCTTATGAAAATAAGTATGTTCAATATATATAGAGGGCGCCTAATGAAGTTGTTGTCAGAGGCTTTGAGATGACAGAAAGCTACGGAATCAACCATCCGAAGTGCTTTAGTCATCAGCCTGGGCTTAAAAACTCAATAATCTAAAATATAGAGATTCTTTAAAATTAAAAATTTTTAATTCAATAAGGAACAAATTAAAATTTATACCGTTTAAAGGGGTAACCAAAAATCAAAATATTAAAAATTGGTATTCTTATGAAATTGATTCAGTTTTTGCTGTAAAATAATTATTAAATACTCTTAACCCTCTTATTTAAAAGTACGTAAAAAAAAAATAATGTATTTTTTATTTTAAATATAAAATTTTTTTCCCAAAAATTTTTTTTTACCCCCATTCTTGATCGAGCGATGGCGAGCCGTTCGATCAAGGATGTGGGGCAGTAAGCTTTTATATATTACAATTAACTTAAATAAATAAGGCACTATCATATTAATATATGATAAGAGTCAAATTTGTAAAATAATAGTGATACTTTCTAACTTATTCAATTAAATTCAGCTTTCCTTGCCAAGAATAATAATATTACCCATCAAAAATTTAAAATAAAATAAGTAAAATCTATTTTATTTAAGAATAGAACGCATGGCAACAGCTATAGTCAGAAAAACTTTTGTACTCAGGTGTTATACATAATACTATTTATAAAATTAGAGGCATTAATGTATAATAGGCAAAAATTTCGAGAACTTTCAAGGTACATAAAGCTTGAAGCTCAATGAGATGATGTCGAAATTCTTTCATCTTTATGACTGCTATACCCGAATTTCATGCAATTTTCCAAAAAAGCCTTTCTACACATAGCTATAATTATTCTCTTTACTCCCCCCTTGTGAGCGAAGAAAAATATCTTGTTCGCTTACGGGGGGATTAATTTTTTTTTTAAAATAATTTGTATAAATTTTATAGAAAAATTTATTTTTCGAAAATTAAAAAAATCCAATTCGCAAAAATTGGAAAGTAAATATTAATTTAATTTGTAAAATTTATGTTTTAAAACACAATTTGTTTAAAATTAAACAGAATTAGCTCGAGATTTCATTATAATAATTATCACTTATATATCAAATTTTTTTTCAAAAGAAAATTTTTCAATTAAAAGAATTTTTGTTCACTCACGGAGGTTGGGTTTTGGGCAAAAAATAGGAATTTTTCTAATGTTTTTTTCGCTCACGGAGGGGGGGAAGTTAGTAGTTGGCGTAGACTTAAATTAGTTGAGTTTATTAAGTAACAATAAATAAACTCGCGAAGTATCTTAAAGCATTACTGAAAAGTTCATGCTTTAATATCGGTTACTCGGTCTAAGAGTGGACTTATTATTTACTGTGAGTAAAGTCAAATGATTTAGAAATTCGAAGAGCTATTATATTAGATCGCGGTATTTCGAGATATTTAGATAGAGAAAATATGCTAACTCCTCCCTATTTGAGCGAGCAAGCCATTGAAAAAAAACTATTTTTTTGTAAAAACTCACCCCACAAAACAAACATTTTTTTTATGAAAAAATATTTTGATATATAAGTGACAATTATTATAATGAAATTTCTAGCTAATTATATTTAACTTAAACAGCTTATAAATTTTACAAATTAAGTTATAATTCCCTTCAAAATTATTTCAAACTGGGATTTTTTGAAAAAAAAACTACTATAAAACCTGTATATAAATTTTTAAAAAAAATCCCTCCTATTTTTTTCGCTTACGGGGATGGGGATTAAATGAAGCAATAAGTATTTAATACAAACTCAATAGTTCGAACTCAAAATCATAATTGCTAGTGCTAGGACCTCTAAAGTTATATATTTTCATTTGTTTTAAGCAGTTCAAAAGCAGAGGGTAAAATACTAGAAACAAACTGTGATATATGAATAATTTGGTAATGTTTCAATACCTCATTAATGCTTTACAGATAAATTATTAAATTTTAAAAATTAAGCAAAAAATAAGGGTAAATTCACTTGATTAGGGTTTATCCTTTTGATAATTATGATTTTACAATATTATAGCTCCACCCCCATCCTTGATCGAACGGCTCGCCATCTTTCGATCAAGGATGGGGCTAAAAAAAAATTTATATATAAAATAAAAATATATATATATATATATATATATTTTTATTTACTTTTAAATAAGAGGGTTAAGAGTATTTAATAATTATTTTTACAGTAAAAATTGAATTAATTTCATAAAAATACCAATTTTTAATATTTTGATTTATTAGTTACCCTTTTAAACGGTATAAATTTTTATTTGTTCCTTATTGAATCAAAAATATTTTTTTTTTTAAATTTTAAAAATCTCTATTTTTTAGATTATTGAGTTTTTAAGCCCAGATCGATGACTAAAGCACTTCGGATGGTTGATTCCGTAGCTTCTGTCGTTTCAAAGTCTCTGAAAACAATTTCATTAGGTATATCTTCCCAAGCTTTTGATAACTAATATATTTTTATATATATAAAAATTTGCATAATATAAAAATCGTTCGGCTTATTTTCCCAATTTTTAGGAATTTTTACAGTCAATTATTCGATCAAGGATGGGGGGAGTAAGAATTAAAATTATTTGATCATTATTGAAGCCTTAAAAACTAACTGGATGTGGAGTATGCCTGATTCTGGGACTACTATCATTTTTCACCATTTGGAGTGAAATAAATTCACATAACTGCTCAGAGTAACTTTGTTTTTTCTCTTTAAGCTCTTCAACTCGAGTTTGAGCGTCTCGATAAATAGAATATTTTTCTTTTTGCTGCATATACAGTTCTTTTAATTCTTGTTCGATATAATTCAATTTTTGTTGGCAATCTGCTATGTCTTCTTGTTTAATTTCGGTTATATTTAATTTATTTCCAGTTTTGGAGGACAAAATCTTTTTCATTTTACCTGGAACTAATTTTTTAAAAAAAGATTTGGACTGTTTGAACTTTGTTTCCATATCTTTTAATATCCTAAAATAATTTCTTTTTTTCTCTGCTAATGACTCTATTTCTTTTTGTACATGTAAGAGTTCCATGCTTACTGATAAATGATGTTTATGCAAAGTCTCTAGATCAATATCTAGCTTTTCCAACTTTTTTTGAAACTCCTTTATATCTTTCCTGGTAGGTGGGTCGATGCTTGACAGCTGTGACTTCGCCCATCGTAGCATGATCATTTCTTGGTCTGTCAAAGTATGCGTATGCTCTGCTGCTTGCATTTTCAAATTAGCTTGATCCTTATAAAAATTTTCTTCTATATTTTTCAGCTCCTTTGAACTAACCACAATCCCAAATCCTTTTTCTAATAAACTTTTATAATCTAAATGTAACTCTTTCTGTGTATCCCTCAATACAAATGAAATTTCTTCCACATCCATTTGAAGAAACATCGGTTTTAGCTCTTTCAATATCGCAATGCTGACCTTTATTATAACTTTCCACCCTTCCAAGAAAAAGCAGTCCCAAACTTTTACAAGAGTGCTAAAAGGCAAATAAGTAGAAAATAATGTCATAAACCACCGCGTAATAAAAAAGCTGCTAGTAATTCCTGCTCTTCTAAAATGAGAATAGAGGTCTGGGAGCAAAATCATAAAATAATGGTTCATTTGATGCTCTCTCAAAGAGAGATCAGGGACTCCAGGCACAAACATGTTCTCCATATCCCACTTTTTGATTACCCCTAGAAGCAGCCAAAAGGCGACTTCTTCGTTTCTTACGACTTTCAAAATGACCGAGGCCAGAAAGTTAATTCCTTGGCAGTACCCAATACTTGGCTTTACATAGGCTAAGGCTAGCAAAATTCTAAAAAGCTTTTCTTGTTCTCGCTTAGAGTTAGCGACAAGAAGGGTTCGTGGGATATCTTTGGCGATATCATTTTTAACAGTGTCAATGTTTAATCCTATTTCTTCTAAGCCTTCACCTAGCTCAATGCGCAACTGAATAAGCTCATAAGTATTAGCGGTTGGATCTGAAATTCTAAGAAGTTTTCGAGAATCTTCCTGAACTCCTAATTGTATTTTACGTGTAAAGTGGACACTGATAAATTCAGTACTTGGCTCTGACTTCATCTGGGAGGTCACCTCTTCATATACTAGACTTTATTGCTCGATCAGCTTTCAAACTTTTATTATGGCTCTTATTTAAGACGTATAAGCTCGCTATTTCACATGTATTGAGAAACTGAAGAATCTCGCTTCTGGCAAGCATATATTTTTTTTAATAAACATTAAAAAATTCAAATAATTTGGTGATGAGTATTCGCATTATACGGAAACAGCCATTATAAAAATATTCATATAAGTATAATGTTTATTATAGCATTGAAATTATCTTTTTCCCAAACATTATAAGGTAGATCATAATATTTTTATTATCATTATCCTTTTTTCTTTAATTTCTGCGTCATATGGTTTGAGAACTCCTCTTCTTCGTTCAAATGTGCTTTAAAACTCATAACCTTCTGATACAAATTCTGATAAACTGTCAATTTATGCTTAACCAAAATTTCCATCCTTTGCACATAAGAATCAATGTCATAATCTGTATCTCCTTGGGCCATAGAAATCAATTCCCCCTCTTCTGTCAATATTTGTGCATCTTCTTTTATAGCATGAACATGAGTTTCTAATAACTCTTCTTCCTCTTCCAGTATTGTCTCCACTTTTTCATGCAAATCAAGCATTTCTAGACTCATTTTGTCTTCTTCTTGTTTTTGTATATATTCCATATCCCTGAAGCTTTTTCTGAATTTGTCGGCAACTTCTGGCTTTTCATCCTTTTTTTTAGGTAGATTTTGCTGAACTTGAGGCTGAAGGTTTTTCTTAGATGGCTGAGGCTTTGCTGGCTCTGGCTGTGGTTTTTGCTGTTCTTGGTGAGGCTTTAATGGCTCTGGCTTTGGCTGAAATTGGTTTACTTGATTAGCTACAACTTGCTCTTTTAATCTATCAGCGTATCTAAGTGAATTTATAGTATGGTCAGAGCTTGAATGCCCAGGACACACACAAGTGATCATAATAACCTTTTTTTCATCAGACCCTCCTTCAAAAGAATCCCTCAGCACCAAAGTCAGTTTTGAGCCTCTATAAGGTACATGTGCCCCAGGGCCTCCTCTTAGTGCTCTAATACATTCTTTTAGTGCCAATAAGCTTTTGTTTATTTCTGCACCTTCAATACGTCTTTGCCTGTTATTGCTAACACAGTCTTGTGCCCTTTCACTGCCAGCCAAATCAACTAATCTTAGTCTTCCAAACTCTCTTTGACCGCTTTTTAATAAAATCTGGCAAATTGCGTGGGATCGTGAAGAATCTTCATTTGAGGTGGTTGCGTGGGTTGTTCTGACTGAGTTTCCATATTCAATCAGCTGTAAGACTTCATCTTTATTACCAACTGGATGCTCAACTAAGCCTTGGATTTGAATATTCCCGTTACCATCTTCAAGAATTGTAAGTTTGGCTCTATTATTAAGCAGATCAAAGCAGCGGCCACCGTAAATTTCGTAGAAGCTTATATGGAATGTAAGCTGACCTCGGCCAAATTTATCAAGATCACAAATTACCATTTCCTGGAGGCCCCGCATTGTATAAGTTTTGCCTGAACCTGTTTGGCCATATGCAAAACAAGTTACAGTGCCTCCTTGCAGTATAAATGGACAGAGAGGCCGAATAGAGGACTCGTAAACGGTCTTTGTGTCTTCGTTTTCTCCATATGTATTGTCGAATTGGAAGGTGTGATTTTCTAGGTATTTAGTAATGCCATCTACTTTAAACTTAGGCTCGTGAATCATAATTACTGGGTTCGAACAGCTCAGAGCATCAATTTCGCCATTTTTCTCTTCCTTAGAGAAAATTGGTCTTTTTCTTACACACACACAAATTTTTAATTCTGATGAAGGGACATGGGGCTTCTGAGGAGGAACTTGCTGTTTAAACTGATCAACCATTTTTTGAAAATCTACATCTACTAATTTCCCTAGGGCTTCATTTTCAGCTTTTCTTTCTTCCTTGTTGATTCTTTCTTCTTCCATCCTCCTTCTTCTTTCCTCTCTTTTTTTTTGAATTTGCTCAATATTGTTTAAGACACTATTTGAACCTTTTGATCCATTGTCTTGAATTGGTATTCCTAGTGCTTTTTTAAGTCGCTCAACTCTTTCTTTATTTGTCCCAAACACTGGCAATTTTTTATTTTTCAACTCAACCAAAATATCTTCAGGTGTCATCGCGTCAATTTGTTGGGCTTTGCCAAATAATTGGTTGTCTCGCTGATTTTTCAGTCTTTCTCTGTTTTTCTCAGCTTGAGTTGCAGGTCCTTTTTTAGGTTCCATTTTGTAAGAATTATTTAAGTTTAAAAATAGGTTCAAAATCGGATTTAAATTTGTATAGAAAAATGATTTGCTAGGGCTAAATATATAAATATATAAGCCTAAATAAACTAGGAATTTTTAAAAAAGCAAATAAAATATTGAAAATTTATAGATTAATCATTCAATAATTTCTTATTTTGTTAACAAGCAAAATTGACTTAACTTTGATATTTTGACTTTTATTTATAGTGATATCTAATAAAAAATCCATATCATTTAAAGAATAGCTTTAAAGAAATTAGGATCAATAAAAATACTGAAAATGGTAAGACGATATCCTCAAAGCGACCCATGGCCCTACCACTTAGGTGTATCTGTATTAATGGGAGGAATATTTTATGTTGGTTTTACAGGGCTGCTGAGAACTAATAAGAAACTAGCTATATTTGCAGTGCCATTGGGCCTGTTTGCCCTTCAAAATCTAGATATTGCTCAAGATGGATTCAGGCATAGAAAAGAGTAAGAAGAATCATAATTGTTCTAGCTTAATTTAGAGCATTCTAATAAGCTAATTTAAGAGATCTAAAATATAAGTAAGCCTTTAACAAATTACTAGCAAGCATTGACTGGACTATTTCAATATTCGATTAGAATTATTTAACTCCCCCCTCCATAAGCCTACAAAATCATTAGAAAATCCTCCCTCCGTGAGCGAGTAAAAAATTTTTTTATGAAAAAAAATTTTGATATATAATTGATAACTAGTATCATGAAATCTCTAGAAATTCTGTTTAATTTTAAACAAATTACATTTTAAAACATAAATTTTACAAATTAAATTAATATTTGCTTTCCAATTTTTGAGAAGTGGGATTTTATAAATTTCGAAAAAAAACAATTTTTCTTAAAATTTATATAAATGTTTTTTTAAAAAAAAATTAACTCCCCTCCTTAGCGAACAAGAATTTTTTGTTCGCTCATAGAGGGTGGAGGGGAATAAGTATTTTTATAATTTTCTAATAAACCATGGGCCACACTGTCTCGAAGCTTTGCTCAAAATGCTTTAAATCAGAAGAAGAAAACCCGATTTATCAAGAACAAGAAATGAAAGAAACGCTAATTTCAGAGTCTTTCTCTATAAATAGCAGTATCTCTATACCAAAAAATATCTCAGCCTCTTATGAGCTTTCAGAAACCACCAGCAGTTCTAGTGAAAATCTAAACCAGGAGCACATTTTGCGTTTACTAATAGAAAAAGCGACCCAGGAATTTTTAGATCACTTATATGCACCTTTACAAGAAGAAGGATGCCAAGAATTAGTAAATAAAGATGGATTTCTGGTATATGGGAAAGAGTTGCCTGATGCAGTATTAATTAAAGCGTCATGGCTAACCCCTTATACAGTAGATCAATATAAAATCGTAATGGAAGACATCAACAATAGAACGACTTGAGATCGCAGCTTAGAAAGTGTTGAATTTGTGTCTACGATACCTCCTGATATATATATTACTTATTCAAAATTCAAAAAAATGCCTATGATATCATCTAGGGATATGGTTTTAGTTTCCAGGCTAATAAAGCTTCAGAAAGGAGTTTTGCTTATTGATACATCATGTGAACACCCTGATTATCCTCCTACTGATAAATTTGTAAGAGCGACACTGCCTGTTAATGGCTATTACATAGAGCCGATTGATAAAGATGATCAAGGAAATATAAATAAAGTGATAAATATCACAATAGTCAATTTCGGAGGAAAATTGCCAAAATCGTTAATAAAAACGAAATATGGAAAACATGTGCCAAGCTTAATTAAAAGAATGCATGGAGAAATCATGAAGATCACAGAGAAGTCTCCTTACAACTAATATTAATCATATATAGATTTCTAACTCTCAATAAAAAACTAAATCTAAGATCAAGTTATGGGTCTTATCGGCTATCATTTACTACTTCCCTAATTAAATCTGCTGTTTTTATCATTATAATGCAATAAATAATTTAATTTTTCAATTCTGTAAGATTTTATGAAATAATTATAGCAATAAGCCAAAGTTTTTAATAAAGTTTAATCTAATTCTTATTTTAGCGAGCATATTGATTGACCCATTGCCTTGCAGTTGCCACATATGCTTCATGACTGTTCATCATTTGCTGGGCTATCTCAGGCTCAACAGCGTGCTCTGGGCTTGGGGTAATTAAAGTGCTCAACAACAGCTCGATGACATGTCTGATATTTTTGGTAGGGCTCCAATCAGATTGGTATAGTTCAGTGCAGATTGCTCCGTCGTCAGATTTTACATTAGGATGGTAAATTCTAGTAACAAACCTCACATCTGGGGCTCTGAAAGGATAATTGGCCGGAACTGTCAAAGCGAGCTCAAAGTTTCCACCTTCATAAGCTGAGCCTTCAGGTCCTACCAAGTTTACTCTCCAATGAGTAATGTCGTCTCCGACAAGTGACACTGCACAATTCTCTGGAGGGTTTGTGCTGAGTTCTTGGAGTTCTTTATTGATGCGACTCTGCATTTTATTAATAACCACCGAAATTTATTGGAAATATGGGTTTATATTTTATTAGCAGAATATCTAGAAACCATGACTAAGTAGCTCTGCGTCGAATTTATTTAAAATATTTTTGCAATGATTTTCAAGCCATCCTCATAATTTTGCAGCTAAGTTATTATCGAATAAAAAAAACTTTATTCAGATGTTTACAATTATTTATGTGATATTTTCAAGATAAATACATGAAATTTTAATTATATTAAATATCATTACCAAAATTTTTTTACTCTCCCCTAAGCTTTTTTGTCACAAATTTTATTGCTTCGGGATAGTGTGTCTGGTAGCCCAAAAACTCTTCATAATGACTCTCAATTTTCCTTTTCCCTTTAGCCTTCACTACAATTGGAAACTCGTAAAGAGCTTCAATTTCAAGATAAGGATGGAAAAATGTCATTGAATGATAGATCTCTTCAACACTATGCATATCTAACGCTGAAGAAATAAATCCAGCGTAAAGGTCTTGGACGATAGAAGCACTTTCAATATGGGAATCACTTGAAAATTCTTCAATATCAAAAGACCCTTCTGCTAGCCACTGAGAACTATCTTCATATGAAGGAGTATCTTGGGAAACTGGCCCATCGTAATAAAGCAAATTGTAATTTGTTTCGAAAAAAAATTTGCTTATCATTAAATAAAGCAAGCCACTTGCTTGAATTCTTGGGGATAATTTCATTATTTCGGAGTCTAATGAAGCAGTATCCAGAATTTGGAAAGTTTCTCTAAAGCGCTTATAGGCTTGTCTATTTTTTTGTTTGAAAATAATAAATCTTTTCTCATACAGCTTTTTTTGTATCTTTTTTTCTTGGGTTGGCAAGTGATCGAAGTCTTTCAAAGAGTTATAAGGAACACAGGAAAAATGATACTCAATAAAATCGTCCCATTGGGACATAAGCCAATTAAGCCAATTATAGCTTGTAGCTGGATAAGTCAGCCAAGTTAATTGTTGAAGTACAAACTTCTCTGTCATTTTTATAGCTTTGCTTGAATACCCGCTGTTGCAAGAGCTAACCCAATCGCTTAATTTCGGTGGATAAATCTCTTCAATCTTTGCTGCAATATTTAAACACGCCACCCCAAGCAGCTGAAACTCCTCCTTCTTTATATTTTTCAACTTCGACAAAATCCTATCCACATATGACAGCGCCATATAAAAAGTTTCCCTTTTCAGCATAAACTCATGAGAAACCTCCATCATTCAGTCAAATAAAACTGCTCTCATGACAGGGGTCACATAGGCTTGCAATGATTCAAAACACCCAGCATTTGGCAAATAAATTGTTTCTTTTTCTAACATATCATACATATAGCCAATACTCTGTGGTTTTCATAGTGTATATGGAACTAAATTGGGATTTTCTATAAGGACTTGCTGATAATCCAAGGATTGATTTCCGTAGATGTCAGATGTGAATGAGTTTTCTGTATGAGGGAAGGTTTGGATGGGAAAATTGAGGGTTTCTTCACACTCAAGCCGAGGGTGAGGAGAAGAGTTGCCGCTTGTCGTGGAGTTTGAAAAGGTATTTTCTTCGGTAGCTTTGGGGCTGTATAGAGTAGATAGTTGGGACAGTTGGTATTCTTTTAAAAATGAAGATGTTGCATGCGATATGTGACGCTTGTGATGGATTTTTTGACTGGTCTGGGCTTGCATTTGTAATTTTTTAATTATATGCGACGCAAATGACCCGCCATTCTTTAAAGAGCACTGTAACATGCGACACCTCCATTTTATTATAATTCTAATAGATTAAGCTACATTAGGTAGTTACTAGTTTTATACTTCCAGTTATAAATTGTCCTCATTTCTTCAGCAGAAAACGAGTCAATGTTTTGCAGCTTCTCTATGCATTGCACAGGAAACTCTAAAGCAATTCTTCCGAGCAAATGGAACTTTTCCATGAGGATATTGATGACGTCAACGCCTAAATTTTCTTTATGGCCAGGTGGGTAGAGAACAAATCCGCTTTCGTATTTTCCAAATTTATGCTTAATGGAGATCGATGAAGGAATCCCTTTTGGGTAAAATTTATCATATTCTGCACAATGCTCAAATTTTATTTTTTGCATAATTGTTCTGGTTTGCTGGTGGAAGATAGACTCTTCAGAATAATCATAAGGGGTGAGCATTAATTGTTTCCATAAGGTCTCAATGCTTGAAATGTCAAGGTTTCGCTTTATTTCGAAGGCTTTTCTGATAATCGTAGAAATTATATAAACCATTGAGTGATCTGCAGACTGCCGATTTGTAGGGTTATTTTTGTCCTTATCGCCTATTATTGCGTAAGCATCTTTATAGCATAAAATTTTTATTTCATTTATATCATCAAGTGAGCTTAGAATTTCTGTAAAATTTCTGATTAATGAAATTATTGAAAAAATTGCTCCAGCTGACTGATGTTCATATAATCCCAATTTAAAATGCATATCCATCACTGAAAAATCGTCTCCTTCCATTGACAAGTATATATCAAAAGGGCTTTCATTTTGATTAGCATTAGCGAAAACTCCAAAAATGCTATCCGGGTTCCTAACTTACCCCACCTTCCGTGAGCGAGCAAAAACATTGGAGAAATCCTTATACTTTGTAAAAACCCAATCCCATGGGTGAAGAAAAAATAAATTTAATCTATAATTGATAATTATTATAATGAAATCTCTTTAGCTAATTCTTAATTTTAAAACATAAATTGTGCATATTGAATTAATATTTGCTTTAAAATTATTTCGAATTGGGATTTATTTAAATGAAAAAATGTACTATTAAATTTATATATAATTTTTTTGAGAAAAATATTAATCTCCTTTGAGCGAACAAGAGATATTTTTATTCACTAACGGAGGGAGGAGTAAATATATCTTTAGGCCCTTCAAACCCATTCATCGCTCTCCGAACTGCTATGACTGCAAGTTCCGCTGCAAACGCTGCAGATGAACCTTTACTATCCGACAGCTCTTTTCCTTTCCTTATCGCTCTAAACGGTATAAAATGGGCAAGTATAAGTCCAAGAGCACTTTCAATTTGCTCCGCATTTGCACCCATTAAAGCTCCATATGTGACAGTAGCAGCCACAGCTCCATGGACAACATGATCAATTTTATGTTTTCTTAACGAAAAAACTTCACAAAGTCTTCCTCTTATTTCATCTAAGAGCAGCATACCGAATAATGACTGTTTGCCATTCAACTTATTTTGTTGAGCAGCTGCTACTACAACAGGATAATAATCATTGTGACCATATTCGCCTTTATCATGCCCTTGTAATTTCGGGTTATACCCAAAGACTGTCCCATTAGCATCCCATTCACGAACGGCTGCACAGTTAGCTAGAATTGCTTTCTCAGGGGAAACTTCAACTTCAGAGCCAAAACAAAAGGCGCCAGGAATCCTTGGGTAGAGGTGAGCTTCATTTCTGAGAATTGTAGGAGCATTTGTATTTAAGGCTAAAGAAGAGAGTCCACAGAGGACGGAATCAGTGTGAAATAAAGTTAAGCGCTGGATAACAGCTCTCATTGGCTTGGCTGATTTTAAAAAGTTTATCCCGAACTCAGCTAAACCTCGAGCTTGATTAGAGTTTCGCAGTAAAGTAACCATTTATGATAAATAAAATTTTGTGCATGATAATAGTTTTTATTACATTGGATTTGGATTTCAATTAATAAAATAAAAAATATTAATCAAAAAATAGGTCAGTTTAATTAATTTTTGAAGAATCCTGATAGGCCAGCTCCAGTAGATGAGGAACGTTTTTCTCTTTTTGGCTCAAATTCGTTATCTTTATCAGATGCAAAAGCTCCTGTAGAAGACTCAGGAGGAATAGGGAACATATCTTCTACCATTAAGCTCCATTCTTTATATTGTGGGTTCCTAACGTCAGGTAAGTTTTCATCTTCAGGTGGATATTCGACCCAAGGTCCATATTTTCCTCTTTCATCGTGATTTCTATCATGATACTGTTCAGTGAGAACAAAATATTCCATTCCCATGTTGTCCATGGTGTGCCTTTGAATTTCTCCTTTTTCGTTGAAATTTCCTATTGACCATTTAAGAAGATATGGTCGGCCATAGTCAAATGGAACATCGTAAATATCGCCTGTAAGAAGTTTTCTGTTAAGAGTAAAAACTGTATATCCATCAATATCGAATTTTTCAGAAGTAATATCTTGTGTACCTCCATATACTTCATCTAACGGTGGGAGTCCGTTAGCTTCAGAATATCTATCAGTAAATCCACCTTCTTTATAGAAAGCAATGAAATAATCGCACTTGAAATTGTCTCTAGGATCTCTAACGTCTTGAATTGCTATTCCTTGCCAATCAAAACCTTGGTGAGTTTCATGAGGAATCCATAGTTCAAAATTAACAACATCTGGAGTTGGGAAATACCACTTCCATTTCATCCCTCTAGGGAGATATTCTATGCCTGCATTGACAAAAATGATCAATCCTAGGAAGACCAAATTTAGTTTCATTTTTATTATAATGCCTTTAAATGTTGAAAAATAAACGTTAGAATTAATGGAGATACTGTCGAATTGATTGATTTAACGTTAAAATATGGAAGATATGCCAGCTGAAAATCCAATGATTTAAAAATAATTTTAAAAAAATCTGGTATCTTAATGTTCCTAAATGCTCATCTTCAAAATTATATAGATTTGGTGTTAAATTTTATTAATCAATATTATAATTTTATTATTTTATGAGAAAGTCTCCTTCTTATTTTAACTTTATTTGCTATTTCACTTTATTTTAAAGGCTTTGTGAAGACCAATCTTTAATTTCTAATTAAAAATTCAATTAATATATAAATATTAGCTAGTAGTGCATCTTGCTTATTATGTATTTACAATGTTTAAGTAGTTTCTCTTATCAGCAATTAATATTTTTCACCTAATTATTATATCATTTTAAAAGTTATTTTAAATATATAATAAAAAAAGCAACTTTATTTTTTCCTTAATGAAACAAAGCTAATAAATTATTTATAGCTTTTGGCAAATTTCTATAATTTTGCCAATATTGAAAATCTGTCCCCTATTTGCTCGAAAAACCACACTTTTATTACAAAAAATATGAATTTCTTAGAAAGAATGAATTTTATAATCAAAATTTCCACATAAATACTACTAGTAAAGCTATTGATATTTGTTCATTTAATATATCATATCTTAAGGACAGCAAAATACACATAATTAATTAATTAGTTTATCATTTAAAGCTTAAAAGATAATAAAATTATGATGAGGAAGCATGACAGAGATCATCCGCCTGCAGACTCAAAAGTCTATACACCTTGAGGCTATGGAGATCTTGTCGAAAGAAACGATCACAAAGCAATTGTGAAGTTTACATGGGGCGGAATAGGATATATCGAATCTTGCAGTATAAGTTATAGCATCTCATTTCAAGTAAAGATTTTCTCACGAGACCGAAAACTCCTAACCTTCGATTGAAATATCTCCCAGGATTTCTCCAATCTCTTTTCACAATTAAAAAAGCAGCTTTCCCTATCTGCAGGCACTTTCATAAAACTTCTCTACCCAATGGGCTCGCTCCGAGAGATCTCAGCATCAGATACACCATATTCCCTTAAGCTCAAAAGAAATGCTAAATTCATTGCACTACTAAGGCAAAACTTTTTCTGAAATGAGAGCAAAAAAGCAGCAAACATCGAAATTTCTAATAATGGCTTAACAGCTTTAAAGAAAACAGAAGACGAATTTGAAACTGTATTGGCAAATATCTGCTTAAGTACTGGCTCTTATTTTTGGGAAATAAAAATCGATATGCTTGTAGATGACGATGATATTTTTATTGGAGTTGTCGACGAAAATGCTCCTTTAGTTGGCCACCCTCCTGACTTAGGGCTGTTCTGGGGATTTCGATGCAGCGGAGGGAAAAAATTTAGACCAGACTCAGGGATTGAAGATTATGCAGAAACAGTCGGAACTGGAGATGTTGTTGGAATTCGACTGGAATATAACGGGGATAACGGGTCTCTTAGTTTTTCGAGAAACGGGAAAGAGTTTGGAATTGCTTATACGAATGTTCCAATCAATGTTTTTCCCGCAGTTTCTTTGTTTTATCAAAGGACACAAATCACATTAATTTGCAAAAATTAAACCAAATTTTACATTCAAATTAAGAGTAGCTCGTTTTCTGAAATGAGCTTGGAAAATCTTATAGCAATTTAGATAATAAAGCAATAAACATTTTATAAAAATCATTTCTAAATTTTCGAAAAATAAGTAACCTAATAAAATACTAAAATACTATGCATTTCGACTTCTTTTTTTTTTCAGTTTTCACTGGGACGTTTTTAATGTTTCTTTCTTCTTCGTCTTTTCCAGGCTCCCTAGTAGGGCTTGTGTCTCTTTTTGCTGGCTCTTTTGTTTCTTCTTCTACCTTTTTACGCTTTCTCATGCCATTAAAATTGACTAAAGTCCAATCGAAAAGATAATCATATTCATATGATTCTCTTATGAATAAATCTTTGAATATTCTCCTTAAGTAGCCATAATCTGGTCTGTCTTCAAATTTTAATCCTCGGCAATAATTTATATACGCGACGAACTCTGGAGGAAAGCTGCGACATAAAGTTTCAACGGGAGTATTCATTTTTCTTTCCATAATCCTTCTATATTTTTCTTGCTTCGAATTTGCAGCAATGCCTTGCCATGGAAGAGATCCTCTCAAAAAGTATGCAAGGACGTATCCTATTCCTTCCATATCGTCTCTTCTGCTTTGTTCAATCCCCATATGTGTGTTGATAGATGTATATCTTGCTGTTCCAGTCAAGGATTTCCCTTCAATATAAGGGATGTGCTTATGCGTTTTAGGGTCTCTATATTTCTTCCCGAGTCCAAAATCAATGATATGTATTAGTGTGCTTCTTTTCCCTGTTCCAATTAAGAAGTTTTCTGGCTTAATATCTCGATGCAAAAAATTTTTAGAATGAACATATTCAACTCTACATATTAATTGCTCAGCGACCATCAATACTGTTTTCAATGTTAGTTTTCTATTGCAGCAATTAAACAGATCTTCAAGACTAGGACCTAATAAATCCATCACCATCACATTAAAGCCGTCTTCTATGCCATATCAATGGACTCGAGGAAGGCCTGGCCCTCCTTGCAAAATTCTGATAATTTTAGATTCATAGAGAAGCTGGGGATGCCGAGAATTTACATTTTCAATTTTTATTGCAACTTCTTCATTTGTTTGGAGATTGCAGCCAAGGAAAATTTCGCCAAATGAGCCACTTCCAATTTTTTTCTTGATTTGAAATTTATTATCGATTTGAAAATCGCCCTGAACCCCGATTTTCTTTGACATTTTAATTTTAGATCATGTTCAGCAAATTTCTTTGAATATGGTTTGTGAGTTATATTAGCTTAAAAATCACTAGAATTATTTTCGTTAATTACTTTTGAAATAGGATATAAATTTAGACTAATGGAATTATGGCCTCTTTATAAAAAATTAATGGCATAGGTCTTTAAGCTGTCAATGCTGTTGTTGACGGCAATATTCTGTGCTAAAACAATTGAGGTTAAGTTACTTTATTGCTCTGTAGCAATTAGTCGGTTAGGCTTCTCACAATTACTAGTTGAAATATCTAAAAAATAATTAAGCGTAAAGCTTTGCTAAAAATCATTCTAAGTTAGTGAAACTCGAGATAGGATGAAATAATCATTATTCAATGCTAAGTTCTAATTAATTAGTAAAGCTCTCATGATTTTTCTCTCAGCATTTCAATAGCAAATAGCCTAAGATTATTATCTGAGTCATGCAAGATCCCTACTATAAAATTAGAATCGGAGTTCTTAATAGACTTCTAGATATCAGTCTTGTACAGAATCATGAGACATAAAATACTTCAAAGATTATGATTTAGGATAAACCTTTTTATTTTTAAGGCTGAAGCTGCCATAAGAAGACTCCATAAAGTCAGTCAGTATTATTTTCTTATCTATATAGTGCTTAATGATAAATAGAAATCAGCATCAGAAAACAGAGCTTATGATTAAGGACTTGCAAAGATATATAATATTAACAATGATTTTTTATTTATAATTCTTAATCTAAAAAACTAGATCCCATATCTAATTTATTTGCGAATATTAGTCCAATTAGTAATATTTAACCTTAATATGGATCAAACCTCACTAACCAGGCTATTGCAACTAAAAACTGAATATAGTTTTGAAGAGATATCTAAAAAACCTATTTTTCGTATTTTTTCTACCAGAAATGAGCCTTATTTATACCAATCCATGTCAAGAAGTGAATCACTTTCTTTTATTGACAACACAAAAATTCTAGAATTGATTGGTACTGGTTATGGACAAAAAGTCGGGTTTAATGATAACAGCAAAACCTGGTTTGTTGAGCTTTGGATCAATAAAATTGTAGTTAAAATCTGGAAAAGCCCTGATCGTGAATGAGGAGAATTGATACAGCCAGTAGATAATGGATCAACGACTGAAAGATGGAATTATTTACCATATGAGCAGGAATATGAAATGTTTCATTTGAGTCCTGAAAATGATTATGGATTTAAGTGTGGGAAAAATAATGACTGTGAATGAAAAGAAATATGGCATACCAGGCCAACAAGTAAATTTTTAGAAAAATATTGGATTTCTCCAAATAGTAAATGGGGAGAAAAAGAAGGAAAAGAAGATGACAGGACTTGGGGTGAGAAATGGTACGAAAACTATGACTCCAGAGAATCTTCATCCTGGAATGAGCAAAATGAAAGAAAATGGGGCAGAGTGGAAGGAAAGCAAGGAAACACTACCTGAAATGAAGAGTGGTCTATTGAACCTGAAAGAAAATTCAATAACAAATGATGGGCAGATGGAATAAAAAAATGGGGTATAAAATCAATAATAGAAGGAATATCAGAAACTCATGAAGAATGGGAAGAAATAGGGACTTCTAGGAAGTTTAAGATTACAAAAGATGATGGATTTGGACATAAATCAATAATTACCGAGGGATATGGAGATGAGTATAAGTTTAAAGATGAATTCACAGAAGATGTTAGCACTGGTGAAATGATGACACAAAAGCAAGGGTATAGCAACAAAAGAACATGAAGCAGCATAATAAAACAGTCTCGGGGGAAGTTTTATGTTCATCATATAGGCCAAGACGCGAACTCTTCTTGGGAAGAAACCTGAAATGAAGAACCAGGATTCAAATGGGCCAGGAAAAAAGGAAGTAGTCCAGAATGAGGATCATGAGAAGAATACTGAAAAGAAACCTCAGACACCAAAGAATGCAAGAAATGGGGCAAAAATGGTGAAGAATGATTTGAAGAGTGAAAAGAAGACTCAACCAACAAATATTGCAGAAAAGAACAAAGAAAGCATGGCAAAATTTATATCCAAGAATGAAAAGAAATCTATAAAGATGAAAAAATGATCACAAAGGGCTGCTTCCTTGAAGATGGAATTCCAGTAAAAGAGTGGGACGACATCGTTATCCTTTCATAATTTTAAATTCCTCTAAACCAATAAGGCTTAAGGAGGCTAAGCTATTTTTATTATAAAAATTATATGAATGGAAAATTTGAGATGAATTTAGGAAAATCCCAAAAGAAGTATGGGCTAATAAAAACAAAAAATGTGTTTAAAGTTGAAGAAAACGATGAAGAAGATGCAATAAAGGCAGCAAATTTAGATATTGTTAAAGAAAGTCTTATGAGACAGCAAAAATCTGATGAAGCTTTATATAGGGCTTTGGCTGAAGATCCAACGATAATTTCATATGATAAGTTTTACGAGAGTTTTAAAGACAAGCCAGAGCAAAAAGATGTAGAAAAAAAGCCTAAATATTTAGATGCTATTAAGGCAGCTAATGAATTCAGAAAAAAAGAAAAAAATTTGATAAAAGAAAGAGTTGAAGCTAAAAAAAGAGAAAAAGAAGCCAAAGAACTAGGCGAAACTGAGACTTTTATTACTCCAAGCTACATAAAGTTTTTGCAGGAAAATAATCAATGGGCAGCAGATCTTGAGAAAAAAGATGAGAGATCAGAAATGCATAGCGTCAGCAATTCAAATGGAGATATCCGCAACTTTTATGCAAATTTACTTACCCCCCCCCCCCCCCTCCGTGAGCGAACAAACCATTAGAAAAATCGCCATTTTTTGACCAAAAACCCACCCTCCGTGAGTGAACAAAAATTTTTTTAATAGAAAAAATTTTAATGGAAAAAAATTTTTGATATATAAGTGATAATTAGTATAATGAAATCTAGAGCTAATTCTGTTTAATTTTAAACAAATTGCGTTTTAAAACATAAAATTTTGCAAATTAAATTAATATTTGCTTCCCAATTTTTGCAAATTAGATTTTTTTTTAAATTTCGAAAAAAATATTTTTTATATAAAAATTTATATATAAATTTTTTTTTAAAAAAAAAATTAACCCCCCTCCGTGAGCGAACAAAATTTTTTTGTTCGCTCACGGGGGGGGGGGGGGGGGGAGTTACTAAAAATTCTGCAATGGGGAATAAAAGTGAGCCAGAGCCCCGAAAAATACAAAAAATTGAAGAAGTTGAGAAAAGCTCGAGTGAGTCAGAAGAGGTTGAAATGCCTGAAGAACCTCCTAAAGCAGCAGAAGAGGATACAGAAAATAATATCAATCAAGAATCAACTCCAGAGCCTCTACCAGAGAAAAAAGGTGAAAAAGATATACAGTCTGCACGAGAGCGGTTCCTTCTACGAAAAGCCCAATCTAATAATAGCTCTAATATGCTAAAATAAAATGGAAATCACTCCAGAATATGTAGTTCAGCTGACTGAAGCAACCCCGAATTTTTTGTGCCCACTTTCAGCTAATACATACGGCATTGAGTTTGTTTATTTTAAAGTGAGGGACTTGGAGTCAGGCATGGTCCTTTTTGAAGTCCAAAGCGAAGGAGAAACTGCATCAACTGAGCCAGCAATCGATGATGACCAAGTAAGGACTGTAAAATATCATCTTGGACCTGATTTCTTGAAGCTGAGAGCACTTGGAAGTACTATTGAATTTACAGTGGGTCCTAAAGAAGTGAGGAACTTCCGAATGATAGAAAGGCATTATTTCAGAAATACACTTCTTAAAAACTTTGATTTTACTTTAGATTTTTGCATCCCAAATACAAGGAACTCTTGGGAAGTTATTTATGAAATTCCAGAACTGCCAGAAGACTTGCTCCAGCAAATGATTGATAACCCTTGGGAAACTAAATCAGATAGCTTTTACTTTGTGCAAGACCAACTTATTATGCACAACAAGGCAGAATATAATTACTCCCCATTAATTTAAGCAAGCTTTGAATAATAGAATTGTAATAAACAGATTGAAAATATTGATATTTAATTGATTTATGCATTAAAGGCAAAATACTGATTTTCGTTATTAAATAAACCATGAGCTTAATAGCGTTTTAAACATCCATGCAAATGAGATAAAAATTTCTGCTTTTATTGTGTGTACCTCTAAGCACTCCCTAATTGCAATCATGTTGTTTAAGTAAATAAATAGCGCCATAAATGTGCTAGGAAGAGAAGAATATTTCCTTTATTAAAAATTACCATGTGATTATCATAAAATTCCCAAGTTTCCCAAAGCTTGAAAATAAAATTGCTCTCAGTAAAAACATTTTACTACATTTTATCCCAGAAGAATAAGCAGCTATATAAACTCCAGTAAAAAATAGAATAATTACAGCACAATTTTTTATGATCTGAAGCAGTCAGCAGGGTAAGCTTTCACAGCTTGCTAATGAAGAATCAAGAATGCTTGAGAAGAAGAGGATCTTCAGAATATCATAAGTCGACGTTGATCAGTCAATATTGAAAATAATGTGCCTATACACTTGAGATTTGCAAAGAATTAAATTCAGAAACACCAAGGTAAACTCATACTCCACATATTTATCGGCGACTTTTCCACAGGCTTCGCATTGAAACAGAGCGATATTTCCTTTTACAAGCTCTTCATAAAGCTTAGGGACTTCTTTTCCGCACTCCACACATTTCATTGTGATATTTTTATTTTCATTTTAATTAGAAAATCTTGGTTGCTTGCAAAAATAATCAATCTTTGCTATTATTTTAGAGATAGAATGCTTATGTCCTTGCGAAAGTAGCTATAATTTCTTTGGATGCTTTTGATTATAGTAGTAGAAATATAAGAATACATTGTATTTTTGCTACTAGACGCATATTGGATTGCTTGCTTGATTTTTTATCTAATAGCAGAGAAGAGATTAAAATCTGAAAATAAATAATTGCAAAAAAGTGAAGCAAATGGGTGTCACGCAAATCCATCATTAATGATATTTACTAATAAAGTATCAAATAGGCCATAATCAACATTTATGAATAGATCGCACTTGCTTTATAGAGCTCAATTTTATTACAAATTACTATGAGTCTCTTTCATTTCAAACTAAATTTTGTTTAATTCAATAAGTTTCTCTTAATAATAGCTTAATTTCGCTGCTTTACACCCCTCCGTGAAAGAGTAAAGCTAATGGAAAAATCTACATTTTGGGGAAAAATGAGTAAAAATTTATATAAAAATTTTTATAATTGAGTTGCTTGATTCTAATTCTCCCCCTTTGAGAAAACAAAAAATTTATTTGCAGGGGTTAATTTTTTTAGGATTAAAAAAAATCCCAATTCACAAAAATTGAGAAGTAAAAATTAATTTAATGTGCAAAATATATGTTTTAAAATACAAGCTGTTTTAAAATAAACAGAATTAGCTAGAGATTTTATACACAAATAAAATGGCGACGACACCGACCCGTCCTATCCCGGAACTGAGGCGAGATTGGGGACCTTGCTGCGGCCTGAAGCCAATCCGCCCAGGGAAAGGTCTGGAATGAGTACTGGTAGTTTGTGTCAGGCTAGGTTCCCTCCCAGTCCAGCAACGACGATCCTAGGGTCGTCCCGATAGGACACGGGCAAAAAGGGTTTTTCCTCTAGGGACTGCTAGTGCCAATTTGGAGGGCATGGCAGGAGCCGACAAGAGCTAAAGAGTTAATCCTTAGCTCTAACCCTAGTCTGGCGACGTGAAGCACGGTGACCCAGTCCGCCTACTTCTGGGATAGCATGACCAAGCCCCATGGCCGGAAGGAGCTGAGTGGTAGCCTGTGGCACTTAGGTGCACACTGGGAGCAGGGCAAGGAAAGCAAGCGAGGCGTCCAAAAGGTGGAAGAAAAGGACCTTCGGTCTGGCCGGGAGCTACTTTATAAATTTAACTAAGACTAAGACTAAGCTAGAGATTTCATTACAAAATCACCACTTATATATCGAAATATCTTTTTCGTAACGATTTTTATATTAAAAAATTTTTTGTTTGCTTACAGAGGGTAGGTTTTTGGGGATTTTCCAATGGTTTTGTTTGCTATTGAGGGGAAGTAAGCATAAAATCTTATAAGTTAAATTGGTCTTAATTTTCAGTTTTAAGTTTTAAAAAATAATTTATCCCGTTAGCTAGCAAAACAATTTTCCTCGCTCATAGAACAGGTGTTAATATAAATATTAACTTAAAATTTTCCATTTTTATTATATTTTTGATAAAAATAATTGACCATGTCATTAAGCCCTATCTTAACATTAGACGTTGGAGGGAAAGTTTTTCGCGTTGCCAGAGAAACAATCATGAAATTCCCAACTAGCACTATATCATTAGTGATCACAGGCAAAGATGTACAGAACATGATCATAGTTGAAGGTGCTTATTTTTTTGATAGAAATCCTGATTATTTTACAATTTTGCTCGATTTTTTAAGGCATGGCAAGCTGTTTTGGAACCCAAATCTAAATAGAGATCAGCTACTAGAAGAAGCCAAGTTTTGGAGGATCCAACTTCCAAATGATGTCTTTAAGGGAGAAAATGGTGTTAGAAATGAACAGAAAAATATACCTCCAGCGCAAGAGCCAATAGTAGAGCTTCCAAAACAAGTGATAGTGGAAGAGAGATTCGAGCCAACCTTAGTTATGAATGACAGAATTGAACCTACTTTAATGATGCCACAAGACTATGAGCCTACACTGATACTTCACAATGAGCCTGGTCCTAAGAAATTGGAATATGAGCCTACATTGCTCATGAACACAGAAACAATAGAAAGCACTTTAATTTTTCCTCAAAATATGCCAGAGCCTACGCTTTTAATCCAAGATCAAATGCCGGAGCCAACCCTAATAATGCAAAACCAATTGCCGGAGCCCACTCTTCTAATGGACAACAACGTTCAGCCTACACTAGTCTTACTCAAACGTCTGTGAACGAACAAAACCATTGGAAAAATTTCAATTTTTTGAGTAAAAACCCCTCCGTCAGCGAGCAAAATCGTTTTATGGAAAAAATTGATATTTAAGTGCTAATTAGTATAATGAAATCTCGAACTAGCTCTGTTAAATTTTAAAAAGCTTACATTTTTAAAACATAAATTTTACATATTAGATTAATTTTCGAATTCCAATTTTGTGCAATTTTAAAATTTTGAAAAAAATTATCCCCTCCTTAAGTAAGCAAAATATTTTATTTCCCTCACGGAGGGGGGAGTTAACAGAGCCTCCAAAAATATCTAAAGAAAACCCAATCCCCCCATTAAAGACCTCAGCTTCTATAAAATCTGGGAGTTCTTCTTCACTCCCTACAGCATCATTGCCAATAAGCAACTCAGACGACATTTTATCGTCTTTAATGAATGAAGAAGAAGAAAAAAAAGTCCCAGCCAGAGCTCTCCCATGGGGAAATAATAAAGGCAAAGCTTCTCAGCCTGCTAAAAAAGCTGCCCCGAAAATTCAAAAAAAATCGAAAGCTGAAATTGAAGAAGAATTATATGGGAGCCATAATCTAGAAGAAGACTATGAATCAAGCTTTATTGATGATTCAGATGAGGAAGAAAATTTGGATTTTTCAGATGAAGATGTGGCACCAAAAAAAAGAAAAAGGACACCAGCTAAGAAAAAGCCAGCTAAAAAAGATTCGGCTGCCAACAAATGCAAAAAAACAAAAATATTGAGCGCTGCTGATCTTTCAAAAGCGATGGAAGAGGAAGAAGAAGAAGGAACTGGCAGAAAAACCAGACAAACTGTAGCAAAAACGCTACCTTCTATACTGATTTCTGGAATTAATGCACAAGAAAAGAAGAAACTTGAAACGATGGTGAAAACCTTAGGAGGAAAAATTGTTAATCAGTTCTCAGAAAATCCAACACATCTTGTAATGGAAAAATTCTTGAGAACGCTAAAACTTCTTGAAGCCTTAAATCGAGGAATAGATATAATTTCTATAGAATGAATAAAAGAGTCAGCTCTGTTAGGAGAATGGGATCAACATGAAAAATATTTATTATGCACTCCTGAAGTTGAGGCTGAACATAAATTCAATTATAAAGAATCTTTAAGAAGAAGCCAAGAGCAGAAAGTATTAGATGGCTGGGACGTATGGATCAGCCCAAATATTCAGCCTAGTAAAAACGATATACAAGAGCTTGTTGAATCAGCTGGAGGAAGGGTGCTTAAGAAAGAGCCTGATGCGCCGAGGGGAAATGTTTTAATATTGTCATCAGCTGAAAATAAAGATAAAAGGTCAAATCAAATAATGAAGCAGCAAGGATTCAAAATATACACAAAAGAGCTGTTGCTGGAATCGGTACTTAAGCAAGAACTCGCTTTCAAAGATGAATTCTTAATAAAATAATAATGATTCATCATGGTAATCAAAAGAATTTATTATATTTAGTTTTGAATTAACTTTATGATACACAATGATTTATATGAAAAAATGATTTATTTATTAAAATTTAGCTGGTTTTAATTGATTCTCAATGCTTGTTTATAGAATCTATTTTCTGTTGCTAAATTTGCTGAAAATAATTAAATTGATTTTATTAAATTTTTTCATAAAACTATTGTAATCTTTAAATTAATCTGCTTATAATTAGTATTCAATTATCGATTTGCCATATGCATCTGAAACTGTCCTAATAATTTAAAAGAAAGTTTTTCATTTTTTTATTTGCAATTGCAAAGTAACGCTTATTATACTTCCTTACCTATAAAAGTTAAGTATAGATAAGATTTTTCTGCATAATTTTACAATTGAATTTTAGCTCACTAAATAAATACATTTAAAAACTGTTTCCACCCTATTTATCATCATAAACATATTTTAGCAATATAAAAGTTCAGAAATGGTAAGTTTTATGTAGAGCCTTCTCAAAATTCTAAAAGAACGAGAAAGTAAAAAAGTATTTCCAACTGCACTTGATACACTTGTGACAAGTACCCCTGACGATTTGGCATCTATTAATTGAATTAGGATTAGGATTATTAAAAGTCAGGCGCTAGCCATATTGGTGACGCAGTACCAAAGACCTCCCCTACAGGAAGTCCTACCGCTTTTTGACTCCAGCCCTGAGGGTCTATCCCTCTTGCGAGTGCCCTTCCAGTACCTTCTGTCTCCTCCTTCCCTTGAAGCTTCAGTCTTGAGTGGGAGGCTTATGGATTTCTGCGACCCTGCAACGGGCGATTAGAGTAGCTTGATTCCAAGGATTAACTCCTTGGAATCTATCGGGTATCGAAGTACCTTTTTTTTTCGACAACTACAGTAAAAGACTGTTCTCCTGTGGCCTGGGCCGAAACCTCGAGTTTCTCGGTAGAGAAATGCCCATGGGTCCTTGAATCCAAAGGACGCTGTTGAGCACCTCCATTTCCAACCACAGGAAAGCAGTCAAAAACCTACCCGGATACACACCTCTTGAGCCTGCACTTGATTTTCCACTCGGAGTCCATCCCAGATCGCCGTAGCCATAAGGTCTGGACTGCTGCGCCAAGATGGCAGGCTGACATGTGTCGCCATTTTAATATATATGGCATCAACTAATAGAAGTCCTCGCGTATTTTTAAAAACTATTTCATCTGAACATAGCATTGATTATTCTCTTTCAGCAACCAAAATTTCTAAATATAACGATATTTGAAAACGAGCGAAGAGGAAAATTATTATGAGTATAAGGCTCAAAAAATGTATTAAAGGGTCTAGTCATAAGCCTGATTTAAATAGATCTGCATCCGGCTAGATTTTCGCTGCTTTCCTATGGTTGTAAATGGAGCTGCTCAGCAAAGTCGTTTAAATACAAGGACCCATAGGAATTCCTCTACCGAGAAACTGTGGGTTTCAGCCTACAGGGGAGTAGTCTTTTTCTTGTAGCTGACGAAGGAAGGCACTTTGGCACCTAAATAGACTCCAAGGATCCATGGATCAAACTATTCCCAATAACCGTAGCAGGCATAAGCCGGCCACTCAAGACTGAAGCCGCAAGGAGGAGTCAGAAGGTACAGGAAGTGGCATCCACCTGGAAAGACCCCCTGGACTCGAGTCAAATAGCAGTAGAACCTCCAGTACTGGAGGTCTTTGGTGACTGCGCCATCAATATGGCTATTCCTGACTTTTAATAATCCTAATCCCTTGCATAAAACTCAGAGGGAGCTTGCTTCCATAGCCCGATAAATTCATAAAGATAAGCCAAATTTCATAATTAAAATATGGTATCGTTCGATTCAGCAAATTTTCTCTCTTTCCATATTTTAACTATGATTAAATAGATCAGTTTTGGCTTCAAACCAAGACCTTGAGCAATATTTCAAAAAAAAAGCAAATTCAATGATGAGATCAAGCATCTATTTTGTCGAAAAATTGCCTTGAGGTATGTCTCATCCTGATAAAGGATTGAGAATTTGGTACGGATTTTTTATTGGGATTTTAATTTTATATAACTCAATTGTAGATCCTTTTGTGATTTCTTTTATGGAAACATCTGTAGGGGATGGATGATTTGTGGTTGATTTAATTTTTGATGCGTTTTTTGTTATAGATATTATATGAATACTTAATACTGCTTATTATGATATTAATGGGGTGCTGGTAACTGACAGAAAGCTGATATTTCGAGAGTATTTGAAATCTTGATTGGTAATTGACGCGATTGCTTGCATTCCTATAGGGGTTATACTTGGATTTTCTGAAGATAACTATATTGGATATAATAGATTCCTCAGAATCTTAAGATTGAACTCTTTACAGAACCTTTTTCGAGTTTCCCGTCTAATCGGAGAATTTAAGAGCGATAATCCAAAATCTGTTTTAAGCCGAATGCAGTCTTATTTTAATATTAATCATAGCTCAACAAGATTTTTCAGTACAATAACAAGAATATTTGTATGAATTCATGCAATGGCTTGCTTTTGGCATTTAAGTGCAAAATTATCAAATTATCACTATGATACATGGGTAGTGAGATGTGGATACAGAGATAGCAGCACTTCAACAGTTTATGCAACTTCACTTTACTGAGCCTTAACGACTTTAACAACAATAGGATATGGAGATATTTATGCAAAGACAAATACTGAAAAAATACTTGCTATGTTTTGGATGATAATCGCTCTTTATTTTGTTTCTTTTAATATCAGTAGTCTTTCTTCTATGCTTTCTCAAATCGACATTAAAAAGAATCAAATAGATCAAAAGCTAGCCCTTGTTGATGAATTTTCAAAGGAAACTTCTCTTACTCCCCAATTAAATTAGAGCAAAAATTCTGTTCCGGTTTAAGGATTAGTGTTTTTTAAAATATAATTATATTAAATTTTTCTCTATAAAACAAATTTTTATAATAATTTTAATAATTAAAAAAAATATTTGAATTTTAATTATGAAGAATTAATTAAAAATCAATTCAATGTGAAAACTATTTAAATAATATCCTACTTACATTTTTCTTTAATTATGTCAAAAATAATTTTGTAAAAATTAGTATTTAAATATATTAAATTTTCCTATTGAAAAACAATTTTTTGCAATTTAAAGAGGTTCAAGTACTTGAAATGGAAATTTTACCTATATTTTGTTCAAATTTAAAGGGAGGATTAATAGAAAAATAAAAAGAAAAATGCAGAAAAGTATTCGAATTAAAACTGAACGCTTGGCGTTTAAGGTTGAAGAAATCGAATCTCTAATGGACGAACTGCCTAAACAGCTTAAATATGAAGTTGCAACACAGATGCATAATGGCGCATTGACTCTTTTTACTCTTTTCCAGAATAAAGACCAAAGATTCATCTATTCAATTTTTCCTTTTCTCCAGCCATCGTACAGCTCAACTTCAGAAATGGTATATTCAGAAGGAGAACCATCAAACGACATTTTCTTTATAGTAAAAGGCCGAGTAAATTTCATATTCGGAGAAGAAAATACAACGTTTACCGTTAAACAGAAAGGCCACTATTTCGGAGATACCGAAATATTCCAAAAAATAAAAAGAATCCATAGCGTTATAGCAGCATGTGAATGCAGCTTGCTTGTTATGATAAAATCAGTTATTGAGAAGGTAAGAGACGATTTTCCTTCTATCTGACAAGAAATGGAAACTCATGCAAAGGAAAAAGACCAAAAAACAAAGCATTCAATTGCAGAAATGAAAATACTTATGAAAGCCAACAAAGATGGGAATATTAAAAAAATGACAGCAAAAGAATTTAAGGCAATGATTGAAAAGGAATTAAAAATTTTCGAAGAAATAAGGGATAAAGATGAGCGTTCTCCTGAAGAAATGAAAAAAAAATTAGAAGAAAGGACAGATGCACTTGAGTCTCAAATCAAAAAAAATGTAGAAAATATTTGTCAAATTGAAGAAATAATGAATGAATTATTTGGGACAACATACAAAGAAAATGAAATTTTAAGGCTAACGTCACTGCCAGATGCAAAGCCATCAAGCTTGCCAGCGATTTCTAAAAGGATAATTAACGTTCAAGAACTAGCTAGTAATATGAACATTCCAGATACTTTGCTTACGGGAAAGTAAATGTATATTTATAAGTAATTAATCACAAATATTTTATATAGTAATTAGAGTTATAGCAACAATATATTTATGATTGCTAAGAAAAACAATATTTATTGTAAACATCAATAAATGGATTTACAAGAAATATATGAAAAGAGTAAAGCTCAAGGAAATTCATTTTCTCAAAGACTTTTATCTCGCTTTAGACGATCTAGATACGCCTATTGGTCAGTTCTTACTGGCAAAAATCCTGTCATCGGAACATCAACCCATGAATACAAAAAATTGAAGGCATTTCTAATATATGTTGGAGGATTTTCTCCACTGGTATTTAAATCGCTTTTTATTCAAAAAGCAGTCGAGCTCACCAGAAGTAACAAAAAGTTAATCATAATTCCTACTTTAATTGCAATGTACTCAATCGCAATACCATCAGGTGCTCTAATAATGTATTTTTTGATCCAGGCATGAAGCGGGCTTAGAAGCATGTATTTCGCCAGCTATTTAGGCACTCTAGCTTTTATAATTGACGATCCAAATCACAGAATTTACAAAGAATCTAAAATAATGAGAAATGCCTTATAAGCATAATTACAAATATTTTAAATAATGCTTGCAATAAGATCTTTATTTCATTACTTCTAAGTCCATGCTTAATCTTCTCCTCTTACGTTTTCTATATGAAAATTACTCTTCAAAAATTCTAACTCTGTCGCAAGGCGCTGGGAAAAGAAGGGCAATCAAAGGCGATCTTGCTGTTAACGCTCTATAAGGAGAGAGTTTTACATACCCAGGCCTCATATCGCATGAGCTGCTTTTTTCTTTTTTTAGTCTTTCTCTTGTAACTTTATTGCGGTATTCAATATGTCTTATAATGGTTTCTTGGTCTTTACTTTTGCACACATTTAATTTAGGAAAACGCTTGAATCTGTCTTCTTGCTGATGCTTTCTTTTAGAAATATTAAAAGCGGTTGACCTGAATAATCTATTTAATTCTTCTTCAAGAATTCTTATCTCATTTTTGCTATAAGCAGGCTTGAGGACTCTTACTACAAAATATATCAAAGTTTCAAAAAAATTTTGTTCACTTTGGTAATTTTGTCTGAAATTTCATTGGTTGAGGATTAATTTCCCATAGCTTTGAGCTACTTCTTGTGCAGCTGATTCAAGCAAAAATCCATCATTTCTCGTATAACTGAATTTTTTGGAAAGTTTTCCTTTGCTTTCAGATTTTTGTTGCTCAATCCTATTTTCAATAGAAAATAAAGCTGCTAATTCCTCATGAGCGAACAAAAAATTGTTTTAGCTCAATTAGGATTAATTTTTTTACAGTATTTTATAGTAAAGTTTGCTATTGAAATTTAAAACATTGGAGATTTATGTTTAAAATGCAAGCTGTTTAAATTTTAATAGAATTAGCTAGAGATTTCTAACTATTACGTATTATATAAGAAATATTTTATTCGCTAATGAAGGGTGGGTTTTTATCAAAAAATAGAAATTTTTCTAATGGCTCTTTTAAATAACTGAGGGGGAATGAGTAATTGTAAGTGCAAGCGATAAATCCGAGCATTTCTTTGGAGTTATAGCATTCTAAAAATTTGTCAGGAATGATAAGTTCTGGATTTTCATCTTTTGCCTTGATCATTTCTTGGATTACGTCTTCAATGGAGGCTCTTAAATCAAAATCTGGCTTTGAAACTGTGCTTTCAATCATCTTCTTTGTTTCTACCATCATTTTAGCGAGTTTTTTATATTAATTTTTGGAAAACATCAATTTCAAAATTTTAATTAAATTTATTTGCTTTTTACAAATAAAAATCTCAATTTCAACAGCTGATGCATAAATTCTCAGTTATCAAAAATCTGATAAACTTAGAAAGAGCTTAATGGGAAAATGATTTTCAAATTCATAATGAATTTTCAATTAAAACGTAAGCATTTTTAAACCTATCCACAGAATCAATAAAATATTCTATTTTGTCGTTAAGAAATGATGAAGACTATAGATTGAAAGAATTGTTTAGCTTTACCATTCATCACCTCCGAACAGATCCATAGCTCCTTCAATATCCTCTTCTTTCTCTTCTTTTTCTTCTTCCTTCTTAGTGTCCTCTTTAGGTTTAGCGGCTTCTGTGGTAGATGCAGTTGTTGCTGCTGCACCAGATAGAGAAACAGAGCCAAGTTTAGATGTGCCTTGAGCCACAACTTCTTCTAGAGATTTGTCCTTAAGGTCTTCGATTAATTTTTCAGCTCTACTTTTGTCGAAATCTCCGCCAGCTGCTTCTATGATTGCTTGAAGTTTTTCAACTGTTGGGTGTGTGGTTCCACTTAGCCAAGCAAGAGCGTAAGCTGCCAAATATTTCATTATCAAATTTATGCCATTAATGCCTTAATATTTTCCTTATATTTAGATAATCCTGATTTATGCTGTAATTAGTTAATAATTCTTCTAAGCGATCATTGCTAGCTAAATTTTAACCTCCAAAATTCTTATACTCAGAGATGCGAATGTAAGACCTATGTCTTTCTTATAATAAATAGAAATCAGCAATTTTTGGATTTAGAAAAACTATCACTTAAATTTAGTTAAGAAGATTTCTATTAATCATTTTTTCTGCATGATCTTGCTCTAGGAATAAAGTTCAAATAGTGAGAAAATTGGTCACTTAATGGGCAATTTGATGTGCAACACATTTCTTTCAAGTCAATTCCAGCGAACTTTTTGGCTGCTTTAATAGCTGAGCATGCATTAATCAGAATCCAAGACAAGCAAAATAAGTTTGTTGGAATTATGGTAAGCACTAAAAGTCCGGCAATAAGTCCATATATCTTTTTGCCTTGAGTTTGCTTTCTAATATGACCTAATGCTTTGTTGACTGCTTCATAGCTGATTTCCAATGCTTTTTCAAGGCATTCTTTATTGCAGCAGTCTTTGCAGCACTCGTCTTCTCCGGCAATTGTCCTGTAAGCATGGAAGCCAATAATGCTAAAAATCAATGCATATAAGGACAATTGTAGAAAAGAAACATCGTAAAGCCAAATTGTGAAGAAGAAAATATTCGCAGCAGCTAGAAAAGCACCTGATTTAATTGGGTTTTCCCACCCAAAGCATTCTTTACAGCATCCACTGCACTCTCCGCACTCCATAATTATTATAAATGCCCTTTTCTAATCTAAATAATCTTAATATTGATTACTCTGTCTTAAGTTTTTTCAGCGTCTTGTCTAGTGCCAGGTCGAATCTGTAGTAAAAAATCAATAACAGCATCGCGCACAGGACTATTCCGCTGATCATCAATGGTTCTCTCATCATCTGTACCGACGAAAACTTGTAGATCACTTGGAATGGCTTTCTGTGATAGTCTACAGCGTTCTTTTTAGTCAAAACTAATACAGGTCTTCCAGTGGTGTCCAAATATGAATGTAAAGTCTCAAAGTGTTTATGGTCGATTTCGAATGGTAAAGCGACATCAATATCAGTGGCGCCTTCTGGGAGGATGACCTTGACTATAAGTTCTTCTGCAATAATCTCTTTGAATGGGAACCCGAATGTTGTGTTCAGCATATACTGATCTCCTTTATTTTTTACGAAATATTTCATAGGAAGGTTGTAGCCGATATTCCAGTTGCTTTTCCAGCCTCCAAGCATTGGAAATCTTGGCATGACTTCTAAATGGACATAGCTGGGGTGTTGCCTGGCTCTTGAAGTTGACACATTTCCTAGCTCGTCTCTATAAGATAATCCCCAAGATGTTTTAGGCAAAATTGCTTGTAGAGATTCTAAGGCATTTTGTGCAGCAGATTTATAACGGTGGGAAAGGTCGACTCTAGAAAATTCTCCTTTAAGCTCTGCACCTCTATTAATGATATTATAGAACTCAGATATAGCAATATTCCCCCAATGGGATACTTCAATTTGTCTTTCTACTCTTGTGAAGTATGGCAAAGGATTGGAGTTCTCGAAGTGGAGCTGGAGTGGAAGATTGGCGAAGGCAGGGAGATCTGAATATTGGCCATAGGTTAATTCTTTTCCTTTAAGGTCATAAAGCATGTCTTCAGGCTGGGTATAACTTTCAATGTTTTGGGTTGGGAATGATACCCTGGTTCTTGAAGATTTGGTTTTGTAAGGACTTAATAGATGAATATTGTCTTCAAACCACAGGAGTTGAGGGTCAAAAATGCCGATTTTTGATGGGTAAGGCTCGAGTTTTTGGGCCAAGATTTCTTCAACTATCAAATCCGTCTCAGCTTTAGAAGCAATGCCTCTAGGGATAGTGATTTTCAAGAGCTCGTATTGGGAAGTTGACTCTTCGGGAACGTGGTCAATTTTGAATAGGTTGTGAGGCTCATCTTTGAAATAAGCTCGGATATGGGCCAGCTTTTCATAATTGTCTTTCGAGATAGCGTAATAATACTTGGATACTGATGAGGAAGCGTGGTTAAGTACTGTTATCGTGTTAATTGAGTGTGAGTATCTGCCTGTAAGATCAATCACCCTGTCTACATAGGTGTTGGTAAATCCAGATGTATCGAGTGCCATCACAGCCACTCCTAACTCCCCCCCCCTTTAAATTGGAACTAAAAATTTTGTTCCAATTTAAAGGGGGGTTAATTTTTTTTTTTAAAAAAGAATATCAATATAAAATTTTTTATAAAAAAAAAAATTTATATATAAAAAAAAAAATTTATATATAAAAAAAAAAAAAAATTCAAAAAAAACTTATCGAGTTAGATTATAAAATTTGTTTAATAAAATGCTATTTACTCTTTATCCATTAAAACAAAGCAAGATATAACTAAATTTTCATTATTAGTTAATACGCCACTATTAATTGGCATCAAAATTATTTACACAAAAATTATTATTATTTTTTTTTGATAAAAAAAAAAAAAATAAAAAAAAAAATTTTAGAAAATTTATCGATCAAAGTGCTAATTTTGTTTAAATAAGATGTTATTTATACTCTATTCTTTAAAATAAAGCAAGAAATAAGTAAATTTTGAAATTTCATAAAGAATTCCTATTTAATTTATATCAAAACTATCCAAATAAAAAATATCGTTTTTATCAACAAAAACAAAAAATTTTTTGGAAATTTTTAAAAAAAAAAAAATTAATTTTTTTTTTAAAATTTAGCAATTAAGGATAATAAATTTATTTAAATAAGATGTTCTTTATACTTTGTTTCTTTTAAAAACGAGCAAGATATAACTAAATTTTTAATTTTAGTTAAGAAGAAACATTTAACTTATATCAAAACTTTTTAGATAAAAATTATATATAATTTTTTATTGTAAAATTAAATTTTGTTCCAATTTAAAGGGGGGTTAATTTACCAAAAAAGTGGAAATTTTACCGATATTTTGTTCCAATTTAAAGGGGGGGGGAGTAAGAGGATAAAGAGTGCCATGTTCATTTTATTATCCAAATATTATAATCTCATTCTCCTTTATCTGTCTGACTATTTTTCGTTTTATTTTGCATAAACTATCGGATATATTATATTTAAGAGAGTTTTAAATAGTTTAAATGTCTATAATATTTATAATTATTTATTTCTTTGTCCAAGGTACGCTTTGACTCCTAAGATTTCATTGTTAACAAGCTCTACTACTTTATAAATTGACTCAATTTCCATTTCTCTTTCAGCATCTTCTCTTAAATAAATTTCTTTCCATTGTTCACATAGCTTTTCTTGGTCATCCAACATTTGTTTGTAATTTAGGATTTTTTCTCGGGAATTTGCAATATCGCTTTCAGCAGCCTCTACACTAGCTTCTAGTCTTTCTTTTTTAGATCTCAAGCTATCAATATCTTGCTGGCTAGAACTAATCGTGCTGCTTATAGTCGCTGCGTATTGTTCATATACTTTTTGGGCTTGTTCTTCCACTTTCATATCTTCCCCTTTAGAAGCAATTAAATCAATTTTCAAATTTTCAAGAATCCTTATAATTTCGTCAACAGTTTCTAAATTTGCTGACCTCGCGATCTGAGCCAATGATGCAATCACAGGCTTGTACATGATTTTATCAGTTTTTTCAATTTCTTTTTCAATTCTTCCTTTAAGTGCTGTGAGTTCTTGTTGGATCAGCACCACATTTGCGTCTTCATATTTAAGCTGAGTGGTAAGTTTAATGCCTCCCATCACAGCTTCAATTCCTTCAACCGACTCTTTGTCTTTTGAAGTCCAATCATTATGGTCTGCTTCTCGTTGGTTTTCAGCTTTTTTAAGCTCTTCTTCAAACCCTGTGATTTCTTTGGTTTTTTGTGCGATTTGGCCTATTACATTTTCTAGTTCAGGCTCATCTCGATTTAAAATTTGTTGGCTTGATTCAATGTTAGATTGAGTATTTTGAATTTGAAGAGAATAAGCAGCAACGCTTTCGTCGCAGATTTTTTGCTGGGTTGCGTTTAAGGCTGAGCTAGTCATTTGCTGCTTTTTTAAGTCTCCTGCTACTTTTTCTAGGACTGAAATGATTTTTCCTTCATCATGGCCGGATGCAAGTTGGAGAGTGATGGTTGAGAGGATGGCGTTGCCCATTGGATCTAAGTCAACCTCAGCGAGTAAGTCTGATGCAGTTAGCTCTGTTTCTAGAGAAAAGACAGTTAAGAGTGTGAAGAGACTGAAAAGAATCTTTGTGCTCATATTTGAATTTATAACTTCAAAAAATTAACGTTAAATTTCTGCATGCATTTTTAAGTTTGAGAGGATATCCTGAAGTAATAATAATTTGTAGATAATCCAAGTAGAGAAAGGTTTAAATTTGAGACTTTAATGTTTAAAAATTATCGAATTTTTTAGTCACTCAAATGAGATCAATAAAAGAAAGAAATATTTTTCTAATAGCAAGAAGATTGTTTAAGTTTCGTATTTACCCTTTAGGAAGTCGTGCTATTAAGATAAAAATTGAAAAAAATTAAATATATGAATCAGCAATGACTATTCAGCAGTAATAAGCCTGACGTGTTCATTTCATCATTAAATAAATATATAGTTAGGTATTGCAATAATCAAAGTTCATTTTCACACGCAGGTATCATCACATAATAATTTTATAATAAAATGTATTTTTGTTCTTGATTAAATATTAAATTCCAAAATATTAAATAACTTAATAAAACATATTTTATGCAAAATATCCCATAATCCCAAGAACTTGTGTATTTATAAAAACTCCTCTAATGGCTACAATTTCCAAACCTTCAGAATGAATGCGAGAATTTTTGCCATCAGAGATGCTGTGCGAAACAAGAAAAACCCAAAATTTTAGTCAGCCAGAAGAAAAAACCAGCCGAAAGGTCAGGTGGCAGAATTTCTGGGGGGTGATTGGGCATCCTCATCGGCCGACAGGCAGGAGGACCGGCAGCGCAACAACAATCGAACACTTCTGAAAAGCATTATGTTGCAAGAAAAAGGAATAGGTAGTTTCAGAAGGAGGGATCAGACGCTTTACTCATACCCAGAGCTCTTCCAGGGTTAAGAGGGCCATAGTGCCATTTTTGGTCCAAGGAGGTTTAGATGAGTCTATCCGTTAGACTGGCAACATCAGCATTTTTAGTGGCCCAATAGGAAAACGGCGTTATATGGCTTTAGCGTCTTGCGCCACATGAGCGTGAAGCTCGATTGGATACAGGCTGAAATAAACCCCATTTTAACCCTATCTAACCGTAATCTCTCTCAGAATGAATACTAAACTGCTCTCCTTTCTGTTTCCCATAATAAAATAAATAAAATGGCATTCGGTTCGAGCGAAATTAACTCTGCTAATTTTCTCTCCCTCAAGCAATTTTATTTATGGGGTGTACAGCAATAGCAGTTTAATTCTGGCAGATAAGCCGAGGCACTGCTCAAAGTACATCAAGAGGCTCAAAGTTTTACCTCTCAGCACACCCGAGGAAGGTGACCCTTAGGCGGAATACGCGCAGGAGCTGAGTCAAGGAACGCGAGGCGAACGCAGCCCGTCGAAGCCGGAACATCGTATTTACCCGTGCCTTGGTGAAACAAAGTGGATCAGTCCAGAGGTCCATGGGCTCGACACGTGGATAAATATGGTGGTAGCCCTGGGAGTAACGGCTACCCGTACTGGACGTTAAAACGATATAGATAATATTTCCCATAATAAAATCTTTTATCATTCTGTGTTACAAAACACAACGAAGAAATCCCTTTGCTATCTTTAGTCCCTATGACTTCTACTAAAAAGTCCTGCTCTTCTATTTGAAAAGCATCCCTCACTCCTTTCTTTATATTAACTGCATTGCCCATATTATAATTTGACATAACTATTCTCTGATTCATGCTATATACAACTTCCATCCCATAAATTTTGGCTCCAGATATCAAATTGATCCCAATTATTTTCGAAGTTTTATTCTTGACGTGATCATGCAAATTTAATGCAAAAAAGTCATCAACAATAATCGCAGTGGATTTTTCAACTCCAAAATACTGCGATTTAATAATTATTGTAGGAGATCTGTTAGAAGTAGGTGATAATTGCGATATCGATTGCTCGACAGGTGCTGCTTCTATTGGGATAGGCTGAACTGATAAATATTGCAACGTTTGACCAATTCCTACAATTAGCGAAAGAATAGCATGGTTTCTTGGAAGCTTGTATCGAAATTGGCCAACTGCTCATGGGTTTCCAAATTCTGCATATTTTCCTTTATTTGTCCTAAAATGGATAAAATCAATGCTTGTTTTGGCTCTTCCACTTAACTCTATCACAAATTCATCAAGGTCAAGCAGCAGCTCTGCTGAAGTCACTTTGGTATCATCAAGCGCATAGCCAATATGTGGGCCTGGACTTAATAGTTCTCCAGTTGAATGATTAATAAAAGTCAACTCTGTCCCCACAACTACAACACCTGGAATATGCCAGCATTTCACTTTATGCAATTTATATCGAGTAAAAAAGTGTTCTTTTGTTGCGAGGATTTCAAGGTCATTATGAAGTTCTATATCTTCAGTGTATTTTCCTACAGATGCTTTTATATCAATTTCTTCTTCCATTATATATATAACTCAAGGCTCAATTTAGTTAATTATGACCTAATTAAATTAGCTTGATCCTCTATCAAGGTATAATTTATAGACAACTGAAAGCTGTTGCCCTTGATTTTCTACTTGCTCTGATAGCATCAAATTAACACAGTCAGAGAAATTAACTTGCCCAGTTTCTTGAGGGTCACAGACAGCAAGCATCCTTTCTGACTCATCAAATAATCCAATCATTGCAAGAAATTCACAAAACTCTTTATGAGAAAGGATCCCATTTTTGTCTTCGTCAAACATTCTGAATTTTTCTCTGAAAGCTTCTAATAGTTGATCATGCCCAGTCACTTGGAACTCTAATAGCAGCCTTACGAATTCTTGGTAAGACATTGCTGGCTTGGCTCCTTTGACTTTTAGGCCGCTTCTTTCGACGTGCTCTTTAAGCATGTTTAAAAGATATTCTGAGTCTTGGGCATTATACATGTATGTAACAATTGCTTGCCATTCATCTTCATCGAGATCTCCGCTTTGTTTTTCAGCTACGACATCTTTGAGCTCTTTTTCTCTCATATACGGGAATTTGTTTTTGAATTGTAATTTTAATAGCTGCTGGGTGGTTTGTTTAACGTCTATAAATACTTTTTGGTAGCTCTCTTCCATAAATAAAGTGGCATTCGGTTCGGGAGAAATTAGCTTTGCTAATTTTCTCTCCCTCATGGAATTTTTATTTATAGGGTTAGGTTTTCACTCGAGAACTTCTGGACAGCAATAGCAGTTTAACTCTGGGGATAATCAGAGGAACTGCTCCTCAGTCCTCTCAAGATTTCGGGCTTTTACCTCTCAGCACATCCCCATGGGAGGATGACCCCTTAGGCGGAACACGCGCAGGAGCTGAGTCGAGCGACAAGGGCGACGGCATCGCGCCGGGTGAGACGTGCAGCAAGGCTGGTGAAGCAGGAATTGATAAAAGGCTTGGCCAGGGCTGACCTGTTCCAAGATGGCTCGCCTACGTCACTAGTTTTGCCATAGGTCCTTTTTTTGGGCTGCGGCACTAGACACCTTAAACACCAGATAATTAAATAAGTAAGTAAGGTAGCTCTCTTCCAGTTCATGCCTTAATATTTTTGCAAATAGCAGGATCTCAGGATCTGCGTCTTGATATTTATCCAGGGCTTTTTGTATTGCAAAATATCAGTCATTGATTAAAGGCTTTAAACCATATTTTTTGTTTAAATAATTTCATAAGAACTGCTCCATTGTTTCTTTAGGCTGCCGAGTCTCGATGCATTTTTGATCATATTTTTCCTTTGCTACATAAAATTCGTCAATAACTTCTTTAAGCTGCCTTTGGCTGAGTTCTCGAACTTGTGATACTGATGGCGTAGGCCTCGGAGTTGTTTTTGGTTTTTCTTTTACTACTTCTTTTGCAGGAGAAGTGCTGCTTGGTCTTTGGGTGATTGAGTTTTCGGCCTTTTCTTTTGAAAGCTTAATTATTTTTTGTAGATATCTTTCGTTTTCTTCTTGGAGCTGTGCTATTTGCATGTTCAGTTCTTCAAACTCATCGCCATTATCAACTTTGGTTGCTTGAACATTCCTTAAATTTTCATTCTCCTCCTTTGCTTCTTTCAAACTTTGTTCCAAATTTTCGGCTGCGATCAAGATATCTTCGGTCTGTTTTTTATTACTTTCAAGCTCTGCAAGCACTTTTTTTGTTTTTTCTCTTTCAGCTGTTGCATAAGTCACTGATTGTCTAATCAGGTTTGCTTGTTGAGAAAATATTTCCACTAAAATTTTGCTTGCTCCAATATCAAGTGTTTTTATAAACGCACAGATTTTATCTCCGCACATTTGTCATAGCTTGTACTTGGCAAGCAAAATATCATATATAAAATCTTCAGAACTTACTGCTTGAGACGCTTTTGGATTCAGGTCAGAAATTATTTGGGAAACTGTCTTTTCAAAAGCTTGAGCCAGAACTGCGTCAGCTTCTGGGTATTTTTTTTTGAAAATGGTGCGGATTTGATCGTAGAGGTTAGCGATGTCTTCTATGTCTTCTGCTTTTAATCCTAAATCAGACATTTTGTAAATTTGCTCGTAAGAAATATAAATGAAAGGGAAAGCATTGATAGCGATAAGGCTGCAGAAGCCAAGGCAGAGTTTTAACTTTAAACAGAATCCATTTGGCATTATAAGAGGGAGAAGTGAAGAATTAAGAAGTGCTTCGCCGAGGGAAAGAAGGTTGGAAAATAAAATTTATTTGAAAAGTGTTACTCCGAATATCCCATTGATTCACCGCCCTGAAAGCCAGCTTGAAACTAGCCAGAGCTTGCTAAATGAGTCGTATCCTGAACTAAAGGAGTATTCTCAGAAAAGAGCACGACATACTCCAAATAAATTATCTGAGCCCGTTAAATTTGAAAATTTTGTGGAAGAAAACCAGACAAAATTTGTTGAGTATTGCTGCAAAATGGAAACTGGGAAATTAAGTGAGCTAGATGTAGAGCTGTTTCCTGAAGAACTAAGAGAGAAAAATGTGTATATCACTGAATGTAGGCCAACAAGGCTGATTTCAAGCTCATTTGCCGGCCAAATGGCATATAAATTAGAGAAAAAGAAAAAACACAAAAAGCGGAGAGTAAATACAAGCTTGCTTTCAAGCATGCTAGAGAGCTTTTATGAGAAAAAAGCGACAATTAATTATGAAAATATAAAAGAGAACAAATATATGCCTTTCATAAACTCTCATGAGCCTAGCATTAACCTTGATAAAGATAAATTTCATAAGAGAAAAAGTGTTTCTCTTGCAATAAATTCGAGCCAAAGACGTGATAAAATTAGAATCCTAACCAGAAGTCTCTTGCCTGACATGTAAACTTAATTTATTATAAATAAAATGGCATTCGGTTCGAGAGAAATTAGCTTTGCTAATTTTCTCTCCCTCATGGAATGTTATTTATGGGGTTGGGTTTTCTCTCGAGAACTTCTGCACAGCAATAGCTTTAACTTTGGGGATAACCAAAGGAACAGCTCCTCAGTGCACTCTCAGCACATCCCCACGGGAGGATGACCCTTAGGCGGAACACGCGCAGGAGTTGAGTCGAGGCAAGGGCGACGGCAACGCGCCGGGTGAGATGTGCGGTGAAGATGGGCGAAGCGCAGGTGAAGGCTTGGGCGGTGAGCTAACCATCGCGATTCCAAGATGGCCCGGCGACGTCATCAATTTTTCGCTATAACTCCATTTTTATGGGGTGCGGCACTAGACACCTTAAATACCAGATACTAAGTTAAGTAAACTTAATTTATTTAATACCTTCGTTAATATTTATCAAAATTGTTTTAATACCTAATAAATGGCATTGAGAACCGCATTGCGACGAATTAACTCTAGCGCCCCTCTGCGCTACAAAGCCTGGACCAAAATGCTAAACGACAAAGTAAAAACGTCAGATGATGCTTCTGCAGTCTCAGCTTTATCAGCAGTCTGTGACTATTATGGCTCAAGTGTCCCAAAAGATGAACTTCAAAGCAAAAATAATTTCGAAATTAACTGGGACGAATGGAGCCACTTGGTTACTCCTAATATAGTCTCAAAGCTTAGAGAAAAGGTTGAAGCTATAAATAAAGAAGAATATGACTCCTCCGTCCTCGCAAACCAAGCTGTAGAAGAGACTGAAGAGCTTAAATCCTTAAAAAGCTATGTTTATTGGAATGGAGCACTGCATTTGAGCTTTGTAGCTGAGCAAGACAATCTTATTGAGAACATTAGTCATGCAAGACCTTTGAATGACATTGATTTGTGGCAATACAGGACCATGTATAAGTATGTGGACTGCCCTACAAGATGGGATCATGATTTAGGCTGGTATTTGTCAAATAATGACCAAGTTATGGAAGACGCTGATATGACCAATGTGTTCCAGTTCCAGAAGGACCTTGGAAAGGTAGCCTTGATGAGATATTACTATGACTGGGTCGGAAGACATCAAATCCTTTGCACAGTTGGCAAGCTTTCTCAAACTGAACGTGAAGAATAAATAGATAAGATTCACGGTTAATTTAGTTCTGAGTTATCTATTAATTACCATATACTTAATAAAAATGAGGCTAATCACATTGAATTTACTTATGTGCAATTCAGTGGAGTGCTCTGGAAGAAACCAGCCATTATTTCTTAACCCAGGAGAAATCACACAAGGAACAACACAATTTAATCACAATTTAGCTGTAAGAATGCTTGGGAAATTAGATTGGCCGTCCTTTACAAATAATGCTTTAAGTCTTGGACATGAGCTCCCAGATGCAATTACAGAAGCGGACCATCAAAATCAAGAGCTAATGCAAAGGATTTTTGATATAATGTTCAATATTGAAATACAAGCAGGCACCCTATTATGTCAAAACTGCAATAGGGATTATCCAATTGAAAAAGGAATCCCCAATATGCTGCCTCGAGATCAATAAATATTATATTAATAGTATATTCAAAATAATAGTCGCAATTATAGCAATTTGGCAATAAGCAACTTGGAAAAAGTTGAAATTTGTATATTATTTCATAAATGGTGGAACCCTTCTACGACGTGATATTCAAGCAAGCTTTAGTAATAGACAACGGTTCTGGCTTAATAAAGGCAGGTCTAGCAGGCGAAGAACGTCCATCATTGGTATTCCCTTCATATGTAGGCCGTCCAAAGTACAAAAAAGTGTTACCAGGCTCAATGCACGAGCCTGAATATTTCGTAGGCTCAGAAGCAGAACAAAATCGAGGCCTTTTAAAGCTGAGATACCCATTGGAGCACGGAATTGTTGAGAATTGGACTGATATGGAGAATATTTGGCGTTATATCTACAACCAATTAGGCACAATGCCTCAAGATCACCCAGTTTTGCTGACAGAAGCTCCTTTGAACCCTTATCAAAATCGTGAAAGAGCTGCAGAAATTTTTTTTGAAACCTTTAGCGTCCCTGGAATTTTTATTGCTGCGCAAGCTGTTCTAAGTTTATATGCAAGTGCAGCAACCACTGGAGTAGTTTTAGACTGTGGGGATGGCGTAACCCATGTAGTTCCTGTCTACGATGGCTTTTCTCTCTCCCACGCTACAACTCGCATTGATTTGGCAGGCCGCGATGTCACAGAGCATTTACAACTGCTCCTCCGAAGGTCTGGCTACATTTTCAACACTTCTTCAGAGTTTGAGCTCGTAAAGCAAATTAAAGAAAAGAATTGCTATGTCGCCACAATTTATAGCAGCGAGGACAAATTTATGGACGACTCCAACAAAAATCCTAGCACTTATTTATTGCCAGACGGCAGGCCGATTAACTTAGGAGCTGAAAAATACAGAGCCGCAGAAATCCTATTTTCCCCTGACAAGGTAGGCCTAGAATATGCAGGCGTCCAAGAGTGCTTGATAAATTCTATCCAGAAAGCTGACATAGACCTCAGAAAAACACTATATTCCTCTATATACCTAGCAGGCGGTACCACAATGATGCCAGGATTTGGTGAAAGACTGATGAGTGACCTGAGAAGGCTAAGTCCCAAAGAAGTAAAAATAAAGATCACAATTCCTCCAGAAAGGAAACTAACGTGCTGGCTTGGCGGTTCCATCCTCTCCTCATTAGCAGCCTTCAAGAACATGTGGATTAAAAAGCAGCAGTACGAAGAAGAAGGCAAGAGAATTCTTCACTCTCGTTCATTTTAATAATAAGCCTTGGTAATTATTAGTAGGAAATAATATGGAAAATCACTTTGCTACTTGTAGATGTCCTTGCGGACAAGACCTCCAACAGCTGGGCGCAGTTGACCACTTATTGGTTTGTCCTGAATGGAAAAATTCTTCTTTATTGTATGGATATGCTATAGAACAGTCAAGAAGTCCAGCAGGCCGCAGCATGTTGATATATGAATGTGAAGCTTTATTAAGGTTAGCCTCGCCGAAGCCAGAAATAGAAGAGGAGTTCAAAGTGCCTGCCAAAAAACTCCCTCAAATGCAAAAGCAGCCTAGCTATGACAAATATGTGCGCGAAGAAGAAGTAGTTTCGTGTGAACTCTGTCATAGGAAACAGCCAGATATGACCAATATGTTTTTCCCTGAGTGCTGCCATATGATGTGCAAATCCCATGCAATTGACGCTATAAGGAGCCAATATCCGATACAAAATTATGCAAAATGTCCGATGGATTGTGGGTATACGTTCAGTGTTGAAGAGATCATTGATTTAATAGGAGCTGACGAGTTCGAAAAATTAAAGGAAAAAAGCTTCCAAGAGTTTATTAGTCAGACTGGAGGAATTGTAGTCAATTGCGATTGTGGGGTCATGTCAATTTTAGAGCCTGGGGTTCCTGATTATGCTTATAAAGACGAGCAAGGGCAGCCAATCTCTAGAAGAGCTGCTGAGAACATGGCACAGTTTAGATTCAGGTGTGGGAATTGCCATAAAATATTTTGTGCAAGTTGCAAAGCAGATCCTTATCATTTGGGAAAGACATGCCAAGAGCACCAGGATTTTAAGGTTGCCAAGCATTGCAGGTATTGTGGAAAAGTTATACAGTCAGTTAGGCCTGTGTGCTCTGAAGCTGCATGCTTAGAGCTATATGAGAACTCTTGCAAAAAAATACTGCCTTGTGGCCACCAATGTTTTGGGACAAATGGAGAAACTGAATGCTTTCCATGTTTAGAAGAAGAATGTGCACAGGGAGGCCCGACTATTTATGATTATTGTGCAATATGCTATATTGATGGATTAGGAGCTGCACCTTGTGTCAAATTAATTTGCGGCCACCTGCTTCATTATCATTGCTTAAACACATACCTTGAAAAAAGATGGGTTGGGCCAAGAATCACATTTAACTTCGCAAAATGTCCAAATTGTAAAGAGTGGGCACAAGTCCCAGACAATCCAGCACTAACCCAAAAAATGGATAAGATCTTAGAGCTTTACGATGATATTCGGCAAAAAGGTCTCAAGCGGTTGAAATTTGAAGGCATGGAAAATGATCCCAGACTAAATGACCCTAATGATCACTATTACCAAAAGCCTGATATTTACGCATTAGACCGATTTGCATATTATGAATGTTTTAAATGTAAGCAGCCTTATTTCGGAGGGAAAAAGGAATGTGAAGAAAATAGAGACAGGGCAGGCTACAACCCTCAAGAACTAGTTTGCCCAGGATGCTCAGCAATATGCATGGATGGAGCAGACTGCAAAACTCATGGGAAAGAATTCATTGAATTCAAATGCAAATTCTGCTGTGGGATTTCTGCTTGGTTTTGCTGGGGGACCACTCATTTCTGTGACCCGTGCCATACTAAACAAAATAATGGAGACTATGTGTCACAAAAGAAAAAAGAAGACCTACCTCAGTGTCCAGGACCTGACTTATGTCCGTTGAAGGTAAGACACCCACCTAACGGAGAAGAATTTTCTTTAGGCTGTGCTATTTGTAGAAACCTTGCTTCCAATTCAAGAGAGTTTTAAGTAGATAAGGCATTAGTCGATAATTATAACAGAATTATATTAATTGTGTTTTGAGATGTATTTAATGTGAGATAATTTTATAACCTAATAATTGTATGTAATGATTCTCTTTAAATTACTAACGCTATATCGATCAATACTTTTGTGGCGAGTGCTAGGACACCTGAATACACTCCTTCAAATGCTAGTGATGACCACTCAGCTAATAGCCCCTTCTGTAAAAGTAAGCCTTTTATTATCGGGAACCCCACAATTTTAACGCCTAGCAGCACAAATGATGGGATCTTCAAAGATGCGCTAAAAAGTTTAAAAGCCCCGACTATGCAAACAAAAGAAATTAGCTGAGCGATTTCACAGTTGGCATGAATAGCTCTTTGTAAGTATTCCCATGTGAATTCTCCCCCACCTGCATTAAATAAGAATATAAGCAAATGTGATAAAATCATTTCCCCTAAAGCCCAGCCTAAGCCGATTCCAAGGATTCTTGACCTTGAGTCGCCAACTTTTGATAATTTCCAGTCAAGTACCCAGATAAGAATGTAGACATCGATTACTCCGATAGCTTCTTTTATTACTTCTGCATAGAGAGTCCATGTTTCATAAGCTGGGACAAAGGTTGCGTATACCAGTAATTTGATCGCGGCAGAGATTATATAACCAATTACACCTGATATGCAAATCTTGAAGCCATGCTCGTGAAGAGAGGTGGTGTTGAAGATCAGGAATATTGGTGCAAAGGTCAGGATTACACAATTAACCAAGTGCAAAAAGGCCATTTACAAGGGTGGATTTCGCGAAAAGGGTATTAAAATAAGCTTAATTAAAGATTAAAGTAAATTAGATTAGGATAGTGTATTTTAAGTTTCCCATTTCCAGTGGCACTAACCCCCATGGGGTGGCTATTAAAAGGCATCAAAACCCAGCCTAAAACTTCCGGTTTTTGGTAGCGCATGCCCTTTTGATCCGGATCAGGATTTTTCAGGGTGGCACCATTTCCAATCCCGAATTAATCATTAGTACTGAGCCTGCTTAGCTCTGCCTAGATCGCGCCAGTCAGACTAGAGAGACTAGCCTTGAGAATCTTGTCTAGCCTGTCTTCCCCTTTCCCCGGATCAGCTCCGAAAGAAAAACTCAGCATGCTTGCACTTATTAGGGACAGGCCATGAAGCAGTCTAGGCAGTAACTCACCCTGCCTTTATCGGACACTCATTCTGGCCTGACATTGCTGGCAAAAATGATGCAAAAACTCCCGCTCTGGCAAAGCCACTAATCAGTAGAAATAGCGCTGGGCCTCTCGCTTTAGACTAGCTCGACCTTGGACAACTCTTTGCACCAAAAACACGTCCGGATATACATAATGACACCCGCCACGGGGAGGACAGGCTGCTCATCATGAGTTATTTTGTGTATTTGAATTAAAGATAATATTCGGATAATTTCCCTTTCTTTCTCATCGGAAAAAAGGCGATCTAGCTATGCCAATATATATATCTTGGTCAAACCAACTCATTAAATGACAGAGCAGCCTGCTAAAGAGTTTTGATCATTTGGGAAGTTGATTTGACCAACACGATTTGACTTATTCAACTCCCCATTTTTCCTTACTCCCCTCCCCTTTAAATTAAAACAAAATATCAGCAAAATTTAATTTTTGTGACATTAAATAAAACAAATTTTTTATAGGGTTAAAAATATAAATTTTTTAGAAAATTAGTTTTTGGCCGAAGTTAATGGAAAAAGTGCAAGCAGAATATTATTTATACAGATTCATACTGAATAGATTAATTTCTTGATTTAATTTTTTATAAGAATAATTTAAAATTCAAAATATTGTGTTCAATTTATATTTTAATTTTTAAAAATATTTTTATAGTGAAAATTTATAATAATTTTGTTTAAAAAAATGTATCAACCTCCTTTAAAGTGGACAGAACTTTTTTTCAATTTAAAGGGGGGAGGGAGAGTCAGGAAAAATTTGGAAGCCTAAGCCAGCAGTGCCTGGGCTAAATATGAGAATCTATATGAGCTTAAAGCTCTCCTTTTACTCAATTATATGCATTTGTGGATAAGTTTTTTATTAATTAAGAAATTTAAAACTTAGGAAGATGCTTAATGCAAAGAATTCTATGAGCATCTCATTATTATGAGCCCTTATTTAAGAAATTTCATCTATTTAATAGTCAAATTTATAATCTTGAAGACTTTATATATTTAAGACGAGATCTATAATTTAAGCCTCATTATTGTTCAATCTTTCTATCAATTGCTTCTGTTCTTCTTCTACCTTCAGCAAGCTTTCATACTGGTATGTATAGCGTTCAAGTTCAGCTATTTTTTCATTGATTAAAAATACAAGCTCTTGCTGCTTCTTTTTGCGTGCTTCTGCTTCATTGTCAACTTGGTTTCTTAAGCCAACTGATCTCAGCTTCTCGTTTTCTATTTTTCCAGCTTGTTCATCTAGAACCTCTACAAGAGATCCCACTGTTTCTTGAAAACGTTTCATGTCATTAATAAACTCGTAGGAAGCAGTCTGAAGTCCCAAACTATCATTGTAAAGGCTTGATTCCAAAACCCTGATTTGATTATTTTCATCGAAAGTGATTGATACTTTTTCCGCCATGGTCTTTCAAATTATTATCTATTTCATATATAGGCTCATTAAATTTGGCCAATTGAAACACCTGAAGGATTTGGGTATTTAGAAAATGAATTAAATTAATAATTTTTGATTTTATAATTGATGCTCAGCTACATATACACATAATGTAAACTTTATTATGAATTAAATCATGAATTTCCATCCCACTATATTTCCTTCTCTATCTCCGCTCAGCAATATATCATTATCTTCCCAGTTTTGAACGCATTTTATATTTTCCCCGACGTTTTCATTAACTTTTCCTCACGAAATCATGCTTTTGCCTCCACTGATAAGTTTTCCTTTGACACAAACCAAAGAAGTGACTTCGCTCCCATTATCCATTTCTTTTCAGTTTTTTCAATTTTTCATATCCCAAAACCTAATAAATCCACTACTTGAGCCGCTAACAATGGAGCCGTCTACTCATTTGCATAGAGTTCTTATATTTTCACAGTCTCCTTCAATAGTTGCAATTGATTTAGCTAACCTTAAATCCCAAACTTTAATAAGCCCATCAGTTCCTCCACTGCAAAAAGTTTGAAAATTGTTCAATAATAAGACTTTTACTGGCTTATTGTGCTCTGTATATTGGCTAAATTGTTGAGAAGTTATTGAATCTGTAATAGAAATATTATGATCTTCTCCTGATGAAACTATTAGATTTGGTCTTATAGAAATTAAAGAATGGACTGGGCCTGTATGTGCATTAATTCTTGACTTCAAAGAAATATCAGGAAAAACCCTTCAAATCCGAATGGATGAGTCAGCACTTGAAGAAATTAATGTATTTTCGTCTAATAAGGCTAAACCTGTAACAGGCTTTGAATGAGCTTTTAAGGTTTGGGAAGGACATGAAAAAATAGGAGCTTTGTGGATCCTTGAATTCGATATTTGGGTTGGCTTATGCCATATACAAATATTATAATCCGAAGATCCACTATATATATATTTCTCGTCAGTAATGATAGTATTCACTGCATTTTTGTGGCTTTGAAATCGATACTTTTCAATTAATAAACTATTTTCAATTGTACTGGATGATAAAGATTCTAACTCCCCCCCCCCTTTAAATTGGAACTAAAAATTTTGTTCCAATTAAAAGGGGGGTTAATTTTTTTTTTAAAAAAAAATATCAATATAAGAATTTAAAAAAAAAAAAAAATTCAAAAACTTATCGAATTAGATCAATAAATTTGTTTAATAAAATGCTATTTACTCTTTATCCTTTAAAACAAAGCAAGATATAACTAAATTTTTCATTATTAGTTAATACGCCACTATTAATTGGCATCAAAATTATTTACACAAAAATTATTATTTTTATTGATAAAAAAAATTAAAAAAAAAAAATTTTAGAAAATTTATATCGATCAAAGTGCTAATTTTGTTTAAATAAGATGTTATTTATACTCTATTCTTTAAAATAAAGCAAGAAATAAGTAAATTTTGAAATTTTATAAAGAATTCCTATTGAATTTATATCAAAACTATCCAAATAAAAAAACTATCATTTTTATCAAAAAAAACAAAAATGTTTTAAAAAATTTAGCAATTAAGGATAATAAATTTTATTTTAAATAAGATGCTCTTTATACTTTTTTTCTTTTAAAAAGAGCAAGATATAACTAAATTTTTAGTTTTAGTTAAGAAGAAACATTTAGCTTATATCAAAACCTTTTCGATAAAAATTATATATAATTTTTTATTGTAAAATTAAATTTTGTTCCAAATTTAAAGGGGGGTTAATTTACCAAAAAAGTGGAAATTTTACCGATATTTTGTTCCAATTTAAAGGGGGGGAGTAAGCGATTCTCTTTTTGAGTCAGATACCTTATATGTAGCTTTGAATTTGAATTTTGCAAAAGTGGAGAAGGAGACCTGCTGGGAGATTTAGGCGATCTTTGTTTGGAATTTTTTTTGTTAATTGCTTGTATTCTTACAGAATAAGGACTCCTCTCTCTGCTTGTATCTCGCTTAATTGATCTTTCAACTGAAGTTTTCATGGATCTTAAAGGAGATTTTGATTTTCTTTGAGAAATTTCTTCAGGAGGTAGAACTAAAAAGTTTTTCGGGATAGTAGATTTACTGTGTCTTAAAGGAGATGAATTTATGTTTCCCCAAGAACTATAGGGAATTGATTTCCTAATTGCGTTTTCATTTCTTCTATTTGGAGACTGGTTTTGCTGCCCAGAAGTTTTATATCTCTTGTGATTATTAGTTTTTGTTAAAATTGGCTTTGTTGGGTGAATTAGTGCTTGAATAACTGCTGAATTGTAGATTTTATCTGCTTCAGCTTTTTGATTTGATCGATCAGTTGGCATTTTAAAGTGGGGAGAAGGAGTCCTTGAGGTTCGGTTTTCGTCTTTTAATTCTGCAGATTTCATAGAGATTTGTATGTTATGAGAAATGAGAGGATGCAAAGGAAATGATTTTTGTAATCTATGAGTTGACATATTTATGAAAACTTGATTAGAAAGTTTCATTTTAGAGGAAAAACTGCTTGTGAATTATTTTTTCTAATTTCTAATTTATGAATTATTTCAAGACAGACAAATTGGAGCTAATATATCAGTTATCTTATGATTATTTATAGGTTTCGCACCTCATTGATAAACGATACAGTCAAACCTTCTGTAAAGGTTATTTGACTTGGCATGCTGAGAAGGTCATCATCCATCTCGCATTTCTTCAAGTCAAAGAAAAGCCCATCTAGCTTTTTATCATCTTTTGGTCACCTGATTTCATATTTCTTTTCAATCTCGCTTTTGCTTGCATTGATGCCGACATCTTTGAGTTTTTTCTCAACATAATTACGAAGCGAATAACTTTGTATGTGAAGCAAAGTTTCTTCATAATTGTATTTCAAGTCCACCCCAATTTTTTCGACTAAGAACTTGATACATGCTAAGTAATCTCCATCACCAGTAGTGCTTCCTAGAGCGGCGATTTGGATGGCATTCTCATAGCTATTGTTGAGAACTTTAAAGTCAGCTTTGCACCGCTCATAAAGGAACTTCATCATTGGGTAATTTCCTGTTCTGGCTGCGATGAGGGCACAGTTTTCCCCGGTGAGGGAGTCCTGCATGTGAATGTCGAGTTCTTCTGGGGGTTTGGTGTCCTTGAAATGCAGGAAAACATAATCTAAAATACACATGTGCCCTAACTCACAGGCAGTTTGTATAGGTGTATATGTATAGAAAATTTTATTGTCGAACGAGTTATCGAAGTCTAATGAAATATTTTCATCAATTTTAGGATTTGAATATGTGCTCATATAGAGAGGAAGATAATATTGAAGAATATCTAAATGCCCTCTCTGGCAAATTAATCCTAAAATGCTCGTTCTTTGGCTCCTAAGGAGATCCTCCAGAACAGAAAGGCTGGCACCTAAGGTTTCATACATATATCTGAAAAGATAAGCCCTGCCCAGCCAAAGAGCGTAGCCTAAAGAATTTAGGCGCAGCCCCTCGACCTCTGCTATTGGATCATTTAACAGCAGTCGACCATGGAGTCGGCTCTGTTGAGATATTATTAAGGAATGAAGAACTTTGGAGTTATTTCGTTCAATGCATTGTTTCACTCTTTGCAACAGTTCGGATTGGGAATTGGTTTGTATGGAAGAATTACAACCCATAATTTAATTATCCATTTATAAAAATTCTTTTCTTTATTTATATCTAATCTTGACTCTGAATAATTAGAAGATAAGCAATGGTTGTGGGAATTGAAGTATTTATATTGTTGAAATCGATATATTATATCCCATTAAATTTTCAGAAATTTATGATATCTATTAAATATGCTTAAATTAGGCCTTAAAAGATGTGGACGGTTCTAGATCGATAATTTGTGAGCTTTAAACCATTTAAACTATTAGGATCCTCTGGTAAGAAATTATTAAAAAAATGGATGAGGTATCAGAAAAAATATTGAAGTGAAATTTACAGAGGAAAATTTTAGTCCTTGATTTTATTGTTGGCAATTAAGTGTTTAAAGCTCGATGAAATAAACAAATTTACATATTTAGTCATTGTCAGATCCAAATTTATTTACTTTTATTTTTGAATTATATCCTCAATGAAAGAGAATTCACCAATAGTATTTTCATAAGTTATTAATTAGAAATTTTAATGCTAACTATTTTAAATAACTCGCTCCTCTTTAAATTTGAAAACAAAAAGCTCTTTTTTAATTTAAAGGGGGTTTATTTTTTTTAAAAAAATATAAAATTAACAATAATATTTCAAAAAATTACTCGATTCTGTATGGAAACTGTTGAAATAATTATCTACTTACACTTCTTACATTAAATTAAGCCTAAACTAATTTTATAGAAATTAGGATTTTCACCTATTATCCTATTGAAGAAAAAATTGTTATAACTTAAAGGGAGGTTAAAGTGCCCCAAAAATGGAAATCTTACCTATGTTTTATTTCAATTTAAGGAGATGGGAGTAAGGATAATTATAAAATAAAGACTAATTTTGTATTCTATTTTTATAGCAGAAAAATTTTATAAATCATTGCAAAGGAATTTCCGAAGAAAAATGTTCAGTTTAAATTATAACCTCTGATAATAAATGCATTTTAAAGTATTTTTAAATTTTATAGCTACTCTAATTATTTATTTTAACAAGTTTATATTAATTGAATATACTAAAGTTTCAAATTATTCAGCATTTTTATAATTATTATTCATCAATAAAAATAAATTAAAAAGCAAGCGTGCTTGTCTATCAAGTGATTATATCTCATATGCATTAAATATACATTCCCCATGGCTTTAATGTTTCAATATTTACAATATAAATAAAACCTCCTCAAGAAATAGAGAAAAACTGATAATAAAATGGCGAGAAACTTCAATCCGCTTCTGTTCGAAACCTTAAACGTAGGAAAACATATAAAAAGCTCCAAAAAGCGTTTCATGTGGAAATTTGAGCTTGACGGCAAAGAGCACGTAATCGACTTATTTTTAAGTAAGATTTCTGGGAAAAGAAAGATTCTCTTAAATGGAGACATCAAAATAGAAGCCAAAAGATCATCATCTTCATATGGCAGTTACCCTCTCCGAATAGGGAGTCACAGTTTATTACTATTTGAATTAGAGGGCAACATTTTTGACCTTCGTTGCGACAATATTTCATTTGAGGCTGCTCTGATGAGAAACCGATCAAAATCTGATTTTACAGGCGGATATCGGGATAGAGAACCGAGGGGTGATACCTATTCTGGAGGAAATTGGGATGAGCAGTATCGATCAAGAGGTGAGGCTAGTGAACTGTATGGAGGTAGGACTGATTATAATATAGATACTTATAAAACATCTTCCAGATGGGAAAAAGCTGAAGAGCCTGAAGATTATAGATCTTCCAGAATTGATCAGTTTAAAGCTGAATGGGAAGAAAATAAAAGATGGGAGAGAAAAGAAAGAGAAGAAGAAGAGGAATACCGTAATTACCCCAAATATCAGTCAAAAAGAAGGCAGTCACCAGATCCATTGCCAAGAGCATCAGTTCCTCAAAGAAATGAGCGAGTTTCAGTTCCATCTCCGCCTAAGCAGCAAATTTCTAAATCAGAACCCAAGGTGGAGTCTCCACCACCTAAGCCTCTTGATTTACTTGATGCCCCTCCAGTTCAAAGCTCCCTTCCTGACGATTTATTCACAAAACCTTTGCAATCTTCAGCAAACCAAAACCCTTTAGGAAACCCTTATTCAATGTCTAGCAATCCTTTTGAATCTGATCCTTCTACTGAAGAAAGTCCTTTTGGATTACAGCAGAGCTCTTCTCAAGAGCAGACATCGCAGCCACCATTGATACAACCTCAGCCAGAACAGAAGCCAGATTTTGACCATTTTATTGATCTTGATAACTTGCATTTAGGTGATGGATACTCTCCTGCTGTTGCCCGAAAAATCCAAGAAGCGAATAAGCCTATCACAATTAATAATCCAAATGTGCCTAATGTACCTTTAAACCAATTATTAACAAACAGGCCTCAACAAAACCCAGCGATGAATACTATGGCTGGGATGAATCCGATGAACCCTATGAATCCGATGAATAACCCCATGGCTGCAATGATGGCATATAACCAATTTATGACTGGAATGATGATGAACCCTTATATGAATCCTCAGCAGCCATGCCCAAAATAATACTAATCAATTAAAATAAGCTTATTTATAGTAAATTTATGATTTATTCATATTTAATACATCAAAAGCCGTTTCCTATAACGTCGCTATTTTTATTTTGCCAATAATTGCTTACCCTATTTTTGACCCTGGCTACTCTTACCACCAATTAGTAAATCCCCGATTTAAACTCTCTATCTTCCTTTTATAAATAATGGCTGAAAATTTGCGCAAGTTCTCTGTGAGAGCCAAATTACTATATACCAACGCTAGAGGCAGAACTATTACCTCCTTGATTGGAACTCTTGGACTAGCATACTTTTACTATTCTCGGGAAAGAAAGGCCCAGATTTCTCATGACGCCGATCTCGCAAAAGAATTTTGTCCTGATTTTGTACGTGCTTTTATTAAATGTGATCAGAAACACCACAGCGACTGCAGAAATGAAATGCTGAGACTTCACGATTGCGTACATCGCTTCAAGACAGACAACCAAATGGACTTTGGTAGACTTTAATATCTAAGTTAAGATATTCAAATAAAAATATTAAATGTTCATCTCATAATCTACATGAAGAACTCCAGACCTTACGAGCACCTCTCCACTTGTCTTCTGTACAGGAGGAACCACTATAATGCATTGGTCGCCTGGCCTTATAAACCCATCTAACGCATCATGAAGCAGTGAGCTGAATTCGACTTGTTTCCCGACTGTGTCCCATCCACACTTAACTGGAGGGTCATGAATCCAAAAAGTAAATAATAACTCACTTAACTTCTGCATGAAATTGAAAATCTGTGTGTTCGTTGACTGCGAATTGTCCCCGAGCCTCAGCACTCTTTGGATGTCTTCTACGATTTTTTGGAGCGAGCTGGTAACTACGCATTGTTGGTAAATTTTCTTTCAAGAAACTTGGTAGCTTTTTCTCAAGACGTTCATGATTGGCCCTTCAAGGGTCTCAATGCCAATAACACGCTTGAGTGTCTCTTCAGCTGGAGTAAAATAAGCTTTTATAAGGTCATTTACTCGGGAAAAAGAAGTCCTGAAGTAGTAGACAATACCTTCCATTGATAATTCAGGGCCTAAAACTTCGAAAAATACATCTTGGCAGTCGCATTTATAAAATTGAGAGCAGATGTCTGTGATTTCATTGAGCATCGGAAATGAGGCTGAAATGTTGTGGTAGCCAGGAACCATCTGCCGCATGTTAGATTGAAGCTCCAGAATTTCGCTTTGCAAGGAACGGTTTTCTTTCTTAAGCGTGTCCCGCTCTTTTCGTACATTTGCAAATTTTGTTGTTATGATGCGGAGTTTGGCTTTGGTGTCTTTGAGCTCACTTTCTGAGTCTTCTGAGGCTTTTTCCTGCTGGATGCGGTCCAGTGCTTCGTGGGCCTGCCTTAGTTCTTCTTCAAGTTCAGAAATCCTGGATTTTGAGGATCCTGCGTCCCTATTCTGCTCTTTGATTTGAAACAAATGTTTCATATTTAAATAATTAGAATAACGTTAGAAGAGATTTTGGAAATTTGGTTTTCAATAGAATAATTATTGCCGAGCCAGAGTCAATTAAACTCTATGGTAAAAATAAATATCATTTAAAAAGTCTAACTCCTCCGTGAGTGAAAAAAAATTTGCTTCATGGAGGAAGATTAATATTTTTGTATTTTTTTAAAAAATCCGAATTTGAAATAATTTAAAGCCAATATAATTTAATTTGTAAAAATTTATGTTTCAAAATGCAAGTTTTTAAAAGAAAACAGAATTAGCTAGAGTTTTCATTATAATAGTCATCACTTATATATCAAAGTATTTTTTCATAATGGAGGATCTTGCCCTAAAAATAGAGGGGTTTGTTCGCTCACAGAGGGAGGGCAAGGAATGAGGATTTTATAAAACAATTAATGAAAAATTAATATCAAGTTATTATAAAATATTAGGATATGTAGTTTATTAGTTCAAATGATCATTATTTGAAAAAGATCTCAAATGATTCGCTATGTTGTTGAAGCTTGCTCTTTGGATTCGAGATTTCGACTTTGAATCAATCTCTGCTTCAAGTTTCTTTTTTAAGTTATTCAATGCACCCAAATTACTTTGCTCTTCAGATGCTCTTGACTTTATTTGAGAATTCCGTCCAGAAGATTTCCCACCTTGATTGCTCTGGAAAAATCTTGGCTGCTCCCCAGATTTTCCATTCGCAGGGCTATAAAATGGAGCAACTTTTCCTACTTCAGAAGGCAATTTCAAGTTATTTGGAGTGCTGATTGGCTGGCTTTGTACTTTATAACCAGCAAGAGGATCAATTGCAAGATTTGTTTTCGTTGGAAATTTAGATTTTTCTGGCTGCTTTGTAGTAACTTTGAAGCGTTGAGTTGCGATAACTCTCGATTTGCTTATCATATCAGGTGCAGAATTAAAAGAAATATTATGGACTGATCGATCCTCTCCTGTTTGGCTCATGCTTTCATCTAGCTCACTATTTGCATTAGAAAATTTTATATCATTTTCAGCTTCCTTTTCTTCAATCTCATGCATAGTAGCATCTAAGCCACTTGCAAGGATGTTTGAAATGCTCATATCACACAGCATAGAGTCTTCATTTAGTCCTTTCAAATTTTCTTGTTCTGCAAATTCCAGTCTATCAAAATTTTTTACATTTTCTTTCTTAATATCATCTAAATTTTCGTTCGTCATTTTTCGCTCATTTTCTATTTTTTTTGCCTTTTCAGCTGTTTCGTCTTTATCTGCTGTTTTATTGTTGCTCATGAGCAGTTTATTTACCTTTCCACTTATCATTGTGAATCTCTTATTCAGCATATTAATTGACGAATCAATCTCAACTAATTCTTCCAGAACTAGAAACAGGTCATTGCTCTTTTTATCTTTCCCCTCTTCATGGCTGTTTTCTACAAGAGGAGCTTCAAAAACGCTGGAATTTAATAAATTTCTAGGAGACTTTGAAAGGTTCTCTATCAAATCATCTAGACCTTCAGCTTTTTTTAAAAGCCTTTTCAGATAAGTTTTGACATCTTGCGTTTTCTTTCGAAAATGGTCTAAGCCATGTGCTTTGGATGATTTTTCTGGGCTGTCGCTTTCGCTTTCTGACTTCAAGCTCAAAAGTGTTTTTCGGTTGACTTTATCAGCTTTCGTTGTGAATGAAGGTGCACAATTTACTTTTACATTGTTTTGAGGAATCACAAAAGAATGTGAGCCTGCTGGTGCACGGTCTAAATTGGATTTAAAATTGTTGGGTGGTTTAGATGTTAGTGCATCTATTGTTCTTTCGGATTTTCGTGGGTTTTCTGCACTGCTTGAGCTACAACCCATATTTTAAATTAACGAGTTTGATCACACTAATTTATTCAAAGAATTGGAAAAAAACTTTTATTTTTTGTTATTATTGGGTGCAGGTCAAATGACTTTGCCTTTTTGATAGTGTCCATTTCACCGAAAAATTTTTTGGCCGAAAATTGATCAAAAATTTTTGATAGACCAAAAAAAAAAAACCTTAATTTTCAGTCAAATATCCGCACTTTCAAAAATTTCGACCAAAAAGATTTAGATGAAATGGACACTGTCAAAATCCACGGTCATTTGACATGGAGCCGTTATTATTATCCTGCAGCCATTATATTTGTGAAGGAATTTTGAGTTTAAATATATTTAAAATTAAATTATCTGAAGAAAGTATATCATTAATTTGTGATTTGAAATTTTTAATCAATTTAATTTATTTTGCTTTAATAAGCTTTAAAATGATGAATAAAGCCAGGCTGTCTCATTAATTAATTTTATAATTTTTTTAACTAATAATTAAAAATTTAATTCAACTGGCAAGATGGATAGTGACCCATTAACGAGGCTGAAAAATAAATTGGATTCAATGAGAAGAGAAAGAGATTCTCTAAATGGAGTGATACTTCAAGAAAGGGCGAGAAATAGTCAGCTAGAAGCTGAACTTGCAAGATTAAGAAATGAGTTTCTCAGATCAAAGGCTGAATTAGACGAAAAAGAAGCAACACTCCAGCGATTTAACGAAACTATTAGGGAAAGTGAAAATGCTTATGCAAAGCTATTAACAAATACTGATAAACTTCTTACCGCACTAGAGCATGAGTCCAGCAATTTATCAAGGAAATTTAAACAATAAACAGCTAAATTATAAATGTTTGTCTTATTAGTTTGAGCAGAATTACTTAGTTCATCACAAATATTTTACTTTTACAATGTATTATTACAAGCTAATTATACTTAAAGAACTGATTTCTCAAAATCAAATCTTCATAGCCACAGTCTTTCAGCATTAAGTTATGCATGATTTCTAACTTTTTATAAATGATAAATAATAAATTTATCTTACTGAAGCGTTTCTACCATTGCTCTGCTACTTCTCAGCTGCAAAATCAAAAATTTTAACTTTAAAAATCTTTAACTCTTCGATAATCTGAAAGACCTGCATAATTTATTATCGCTTAATAACTAAGTTTTATCTAATTTAGCTTGGGAAACTGTTATTTCCTATCTGAATAATCCCCACAATCACACCAAACAGCCCAATAGCCGAACCAAAAATTTCCACAATTAGAATCTTGACAAAGGTTTCTGGAGTCATTGCATCAGCTAAAGCACAGCCACTACCAGTGATTCCTACACAAATTCCACAAACCAGGTTGCTTAATCCTACAGACAAGCCAGCTCCAAACACTGCGAATGCTGCATAAAGCGCATCATTGAGGGTCTCTGTTTCAGTCCAATGGGATTCTCCTACCTTGGAGACCTTCCCTTCAAGTATAATAGCAATAATTACACCATAGATTGCGACGGCTTCACAGAAAATGATTGAAATCAAGTTCTTGGACTTTATTCTTGGAGCCTTAACAGCAGCTCCTACCAAAGAGGATCCAGTGATAAAAATGCCCCAAGCTGCTCCTACAATAGATAAGCCTAAGCCAAGGCCGAGACCTACATAGGCCCAAGAATATGGACTGATATATGAAAGGAGATCTGCCCAGGTTTGGTAGGTACTGAAATTGTAAACGTCTTCAGCCGACATTATTTTTATAATAGAATATTTATAAGAATGCTCAATTTTACCATAAAAGTGGCTTATTCAACAGCATATTTAGTTCATAATAATAGCAAAACTAAGGTAAAATATTGCTCTTTTTAATAGCTTTCATATTTATCTTTATTTGGCTTTTATTTGCAATAAAAGTTATGCGAAATAATTGAAAAAATGATCCTATTTTATAAGACTCGATCTTCTAAATCAATTATGGCTTAAATTTTTTAGCTTTTTTAATCCAAAATTATTTGCAAATGAAAAAATGCATCAGCCGGGATTCGAACCCGGGTCGTAACGATGGCAACGTCACATTCTACCCCTAAACTACTAATGCTTGCTAGCACTCCTCTTATTTGCATCTATTTATACTTTACCTAATTTTAATAAAAAGCATAAAGGTATGGCCATTTCAATATTAAAATAATTAAGGAATGGAGGAATCAATTATCATTGAAGCCTTCAGAGTTAGTTTACAGCCAGACAATGAAGCCAGAAAGCAAGCTCAAACCTTACTAGCCTCTTTTCAAACATCCCCAGGCCTCATCCCTACACTAATGAAGATTGCATTGAGCGAGCACCCCATCGAGATAAAACAGCTGGCTGTAATCTTTCTCAAAAACCTTACAAAAATATGGAAAGACTCAAAAAGAGAATTTGCGTTGCCCCCAAATGATAAAATCTTTTTACGAACAAATATTATTGAGTGCTTGAGGTTTTCTATACCTGAAAAGATCAGATCTCAGTTTGAGGAAATTGCTCATAACATAGCCAAGGTGGATTTCCCATGGGAAGAAATTCTTGTTCAGGTTGATGCAGCATTGAACTCTGATGTTGACCACATTTATGCTGCCCTTACTATGATATATCAGATTGCTAAAGTATATGAGTTTGCAATGGACGAAAAAAGAAAAAACTTGAAGCTGCTTATTGACAGGTGTTTTGGAAAACTTGACCAGCTACTAGGAACCTTCTTGGGTGAAGGTAATGCAGATGCCTTTAGATACATGGCATTAGTCCTTCAAATATTCTGGGTTAGCTTCTATATTGAGCTTCCACAAAGCCAGACATCAACTCAGCAATTGGACTCTTGGCTTACAAAATTCAAAACAATTCTACTCATTGATTTAGGGAACTTGGAAACACCAATTACAAATGATGATGAAAAGAAGCTGAGGGATTCGAACCCTCATTGGGCGTGCAAAAAATGGGCTGCCCAAATAGTGCATCGATTTTTCAACAGATATTTCAATTTAGCGTATCTAAAAGACCATAACCAAATAATCGGCCAACATTTCCAAAGCCAATGGGCACTTCCATTATTCGCAGTTGTGTTGCCGTTACTTTATAAGAGAGCATCATGCTACATTCCAGATATAGTCACAAATTACTTATTAAAATATGTATCTCAGGGGATAAAATTCGAAAATGTTGCCGAGCAGATGAAAACAGCAGCAGCTCCTAATGGAAAATTAGCAATTCCAGCGTTGATCACTGACATAATTATTCCGATTATTTATAGAAACCCTTCTGATGAAGAGCTATGGCAAGAAAATCCTATAGAGTTTGTAAGAAAAGAAAGTGATTTAGGAAGAGCTTATTATTCTGCCAAAAGCTCTGCTATTGATTTATTAATAGTGATTTGTGAAAAAGGGTACTTGCCTACCTTTTTAGATTATGTTAGCACAGAGCTGCAGTCAAGTCCTCAACTTTTACATAAAGAAGCCATTTTACTTGCCCTTGGGTCAATTTATCAAATTTTAAAGGAAAATGTGGAACTAGCACAAAACATTCAAAATATTCTTAGTGTGTATGTGCTCCCAGAATTCGAAAACCCTGTTGGGTTTTTAAGAGCCCGTGCATGTTGGATGTATGCCCAGTTCGCTTCATTTCCTTTTACAAACGCAGAGCACCAAGGCTTAGCTTTACAAAAAATATGCCAAATGATGCTCGACCCTGATCTTCCAGTCAGAACAGAAGCTGCAACTGCATTGCCTAGGCTCCTATTATGGAATATTTCCAAAGACAAAGTATCAAGTGAAATCAAAGAAATCCTCCAAGTCTACCTAAAGCTGATGAGTGAAATTGATAGCGAAGACGTTGTGGACGCTTTAGAAGAAATTGTAGGACGATTTTCTACTGAAATCATTCCTTATGCGCTTGAATTTACACAGCATTTGATCGCAACTTTCTTTAGAATGTCAAGCAATGAAGGAGCACAAGACGAAGGTGAAAGTGCAATGGCGGCTGTATCCATTTTAAACACAATTGCAAAGCTTGTAGACTCTTTTGAAGAAAGACCACAGGATTTGTTAAATATGTCCTATTTGCTGGTGCCTGTTTTTGATTATTGTCTAAATGAGAAAGGTTGCGAATTTTTTGAAGAAGCTGTCCATTTATTGACAAGCTTGCTTTATTATGCACCAAAGGACTTTTTGCCACATCTATTTCCGTTTACTAGATGCTTAAGGGCTTCTTTATTAGGGGAAGGAAATGTGAAAGCATATGCATTAGAGCATACACTTGAAGTATTTTCTCCTATAGCCAATTTCATTGCAAAATATTTACAACTTACAACTGAAAACCTTGGGATAATTCTTTCAATGGGCCTTGATCTATTAAAAGGTGAAGCTCCAGAAGACCCTGACTTAATAACAGGCTGTAAAATCCTTATTGCGCTTTTAGAGAATCTTAAAGGTCCATTAGATCAATTCATTCCAGAAATAGTTAAGCAAGTTTCTACTTTATTTAAGCTTAAAGTAAAAAAAAAGGTCAAAGTCCATGCTGCTGAAGTAATTTGTATTTCTTTGTGAAATAACCCAATAGTCACTTTACAAGCCCTGCAAGAGCTCGGTGTGCTGACTGAGGTCTTTAGAGGCTGCTTTGAAAATCCTGAGCAGTATAACGACTATTTGCCTAGAAATTATGCAATCTTAGGACTATCATCGCTAGTCTCTATCTGCGAAAATCTGCCTCCAGTTTTATCTGAAGGAATGCCATTTGCCTTGAAAACACTTTTGAAATTATGGAATGATTTAGATGAAGGCGATGAAGAAGAAGGAGGAGAAGGAGGAGAAAATGGCCCAGCCGTCATGATTGAGAGCACTAAATTCGATGCTGAGTACCAAAAGTTATTGGAAAAATTAAAAAATGCAAAAGACATGGAAGAAGAAGATGATGATGAAGATGATCCATTTGACGGGACACCTGAAGATCTCTATGATTCACCATTTGAAAACTTTGGGTTAAAAGAATATCTCAAAAATATTTTAGTGAATTTCTCTCAAAGATGCCCAGATATTCACTCAAAAGCATATGCAGGATTAACAGAAGAAGAGATATCAGCATTAAACGAAATTAATAGCTAATCCATCATTATTAAAATATAATTTTTCGCTAGGATTCTTATGAGTTCTTGAGTATTGATACTTATTTAAATCATAATATTTTTATCATAAGAATAATACGCAATGAGAAATTTTGATATTCTTGTTAAGCAGGGACAAGGCAAAATTCCTCTTGCTCATGCATATACTCCAATTTGAAGCAAACAAAATATGATTCCTACAGAATTAGGTATAATAATAAAGCGATTATTGATAAAATATCCATACAGTAGCCAAACTGCCCCACAAAAAAGGCATGAAACCATAATATTGATATCAATATACTTGTGATCCATTTCCAGTAAGGCATAAGGAACTTGCTGAAGCGGTGCAAATATTCCACCAAAACTGATAATAACAGCGGCCAATCCTAAATTATTCGCAGTCAAACAATTCAAAAAAATGATAGATGAAGAAAATATGGACAAAAGATACCAGAACATAAAAATAATTGAATTTTTACTGATGATGTGATATCATGCTATTCACGCAAGACTGGTAAAAAATGTTAATTGAGCTGGGATGTAAATCAACCAAATCTTGCTTTTTAGTCCATAAAGCGATCAGATCAAAGGAATCAAATTAGAGAGAATAAGATATAAATGAGAAATTTCTTCTAAATTTTTGCTTTTGGAAGCTTTTAATAGAGATGGAAGTGGTGATAGGTTAACTCCAATAGAAAGCAAAGTTCCGAGTCCACTGAGAACAATAGGCACAAATTCCATTTTTCTTTTGATTTAGTTTTAAGATCATTTCTGGATATTATCTAAATCGAATTGAAAATATTATTATTTAATGGTAAAGAAGATTAACCGTATTTTCATTTCAGAGGTAATAAATTTTTTACTTCAGATCATTTTAATTTACTTTTAAAAATAGCAAACTCTTACAACATTGTGCTAAAAGATTATAGAAAACTATACTCTCTTTATATATAAATGCATTAGCTGTTTCTGTAATGCAAAAGACTTCATTTTAAATTAAGAAATACAAAAAGAATTAATATTTTCTGTTATTCAATGACAGCTAGCTCCCCTATTGATTAGCGAACAAAATTTTTCTTGGTTAACTTTGTTCTAAATATTTTATTCCTATTTAAATGAAAAATATAATTTAATTTATAAATTTATTATTATTAAAAAGATGAAAGGTATTAAAAAATATAATATAATTAGCTGGAGGTCTTATTATAATTATTGATTATATATTAAATTATCATATGTAAAAAATAATTATATACATTGATATAAAAACGGGTAACAATTTGAAACTTAGTGTATGAGAAGATTACACTAGGTAATCTGTGCTTGAGTGTAGACATTTGTGGATGTGAAACAATTCGCTACTTACCCGAGCATTTCATTAGGGAATAACAATTCCGCAGAAAAAACCAAAAATTAGAATTCAAATATTTTTATTCCTAAAGAATTTGGTAGCCAAATTATAGCCCGTTGGGCCTTTGTGTGCACCATTAAAACTATTTTACTGGCTGTAATCAGTCTGCTATTTTCCAGCTGAAAAAAAAAACCTGGTTGCAACCAATAAAGCAAACTTACTGGTGCACAAAAAGGCCTAATGGGGTGATAAATGGCCATAAAAGCTTAGATCTGGCTTAGCCATTTATTTTACTTCTAATTTTTGATTTTTTTGCCGAATTGTTTTTATACCCAGTATCTTTTTTACCCAGCCGCAAATTTCCAAATCCAGTCCAAATTCCCTAATAAAATCCTGTCACGCATTGCGTTTCACTCTGCTTCGGTCTTTATGTCATTTCATATATTATATAATAATTTGCTTGCTAGCCAAATGGGTTAATTTTTCTAAAAATAGAGATTTATCTGATAATTTGCTCACTAGGTAAACGGAAAAGTAACATATTGTGTTAAATTTAATAAAATTTTGTATGTTTGGCTATAAAATTACTGTTTAAATTTCAACCTCATCATCAGATTATAAGTGGATTAAAATTTTTTGCTTTGACCAAATTTGAGTAAAATGTCCTTACTGGGATTTGATGGTTATTGCCACATAACCATATAATCAAGTTATGAGATCATTGATAATCGCATGCCTGATTATTGCAGTTCTTGGAAGGATTCATGACGCTGAAATTACCAATAAAGTATTTTTTGACATTACAATCGATGATAAGTACGAAGGGAGAATAATTTTTGGATTATATGGAAAAGTTGTCCCAAAGACAGTCGAGAACTTCAGAGCCCTCTGCACAGGTGAAAACGGAGTGAATGGAGAAGGAATTCCGCTACATTACAAAGGTTCAACTTTCCATATGATCGTCCCAGGTCTGATGATCCAAGGAGGAGACTTTACTAGAGGAGACGGCAGTGGAGGAGAAAGTATCTATGCTAGAAGATTTGACGATGAAAACTTTGCCTTGTCACACAAAGCCGCTGGAATTTTATCCATGGGCAACTTAGGACCCAATTGCAATAGCTCGCTTTTTATTGTTACAACAAAGCCTGCTCCTTTGCTGGATGGCCGAAATGTTGTTTTTGGGGAGGTAATAGAAGGATATGACGTAGTGAAAAAGATAGAATCGAAAGGATCTTTAGATGGAACGCAATCAGCTAAGGTAGTCATAAGCGACTCTGGGGAGCTCCCACTCTAATAATAATAGGATATGACTTAGAGAATTTTGTTGGAAAAGAAATTACCTAATTATTATGAATTTCGATGCTAATTTATATTAATGCAACTATATATAATTAAAAGTTTAGATTATTTTTGAGTTTTAACTAAAAGTTGCTGATTAGATTGAAATGTTTCAGAATTAGTAAAAGTCCCCATACTGCTTTCAGTCATATTCCTAAAAACTTTTTTATTTTGGTTACTTAATTTTCCGGGCGCTAACTCGATTTTCCTAAATTCAGTTTTTTGAAATTTATTTTTAGGAGCAAATAACTTTTTTTCGAATGTTGCAGGGTTGTAAGTTCGGCCTTTGTCTGAGAGCTGAAATTGTGCATCACGATAATCATAACTATCTTTTGAAAAATCCCTGCATGTCATTGTTGATAGATGAAGCCATCTTCCTGGAGATCTTTTTCTCCTGAGTCTCCTTTCATATCCTGTCGGTTCTTTTGGTAATTCATCAGGCTTATCAGTATAAAACGTAGTACAAAAAGCAACTTTTCGATTTGCCATTTAATTTTATCTATTCTTATGCAAGTCTCAATCATAAACGAATTTTGTATTTTCTTAAATAATTTAATTAATAATTTACAGCGATTATTGATTTTCAGTCAGCTGAAGTAGCATTTGTCGATAATCTCTTTCTCTAATCCTCAAGTCTTCAGTCTTAACAAAATCATTTGACCCTATCAAATTAATTAATTCATCTGGAAAATTTTCAGGCAATTCTTCAGACCTAAAACAATGCAAGTCTAATCTTGATAATAAATGAGTATCATTGGCTATAGTAAATCCAATTGGAGAAGTAAGTCTTACAGAGTCTTCTTGAATGTCTATATTTGCATCTCCGCCTCCAACAATTAAACATGGAAGCTCAACAAGTTTTTTCTTTCGTTGTTCCTTATTTCTTTGCATTAACTTGTGTATGGCGATATATTGGAAAATATTTTCTGCTAAAGCTTTTTTCTTTTGCATATTTCTTTTCCTATTTTGTTCCACTGATAATTTCATTCGTTCCAATTGTTCATTATTAATAATACCTTTATACCTAATTTCATTTCTTATTTTCGAAATAACATCAATGGCTTGCAACACATTTAAAGCATCATACACTCTGCGCTGGATATTTTTGAACTCAGCCTCATATGTGCTTTCTGGGAAATCCTTTAAAATAGCTTTTGCAATTTGATTGCCTGTTGTCACTTCTGAATTTTTTACTTTTTCAAGAACCTGCTTACTGAGGTTAATAAGCTTCTTATTCTTATCAGGAACAGGAAGATCTAAAGGCGGGCAGCTAGCCATTTTTATAACCCGCCGAGACCAGATCTATAATACGCTATTAATCTTTTTTATTACTTATCTGTTTTAATTTCTACTTCGCTTGTGAATTCGTCATTTCCTTCGAGAAGTTCATATTCGTGATCGCTCTGAGATAAAGGAGAAACTGGGCGATTTATCGTTTGGATACCCAAGAAAGGTTCATTTCCTATCGGGAGTTCTTGAACTGACTGATAAGAAATAAAAGTAGAGAAGGATTTCAGGTATCTGAACACACTAGAGTTTTCGAGCTCTTCAACCTTTGCATCTGATAGCTCCATGCAGCTCAAATGTTTCCTTATATCTAAATAATGATTACATAAATACCCTAAAATAAGCCCTGCAATCAGCCTGAGCAAGACTGGGAAAAGCAAAGATAATACAACAAAGATAATCCAAGGAATAATAAAGTTTTTTATTTCCCACGATAAGTGTGGAATCTTGTGTATATAATAAGGATTTTTATTGAATGTAATTGTAATTTCCATCATTAAAACAGACCATAAACTAGGGTATAAAATATAAAAGAATCCTGAATTAATTCATATTGGGGCCAATGAAAATGTAAGTACGAGTATCAAATACATAAACTGTAGTAATGTGGAATTTATAATAAAGAAAATTGAATATCTGACAGTTCCTATTCTTCTTTCAGTTATTGATGCAATGATTCAATAGATAGCCAATTCAAATATAAAATACGCTCATAGAAATGGAGTGAGGTAATATTGCCATATCTGAAAATAGCTAATCAATGCTGTTGCTTGAATATTGCTAGAAAGAATGATTGCTCTTATTAGAGTTAGAATATATAAAAGTGTAGAAATGATCAGTACGAATTTTGTAAACACTGGAGTCTTGAGAATAAAATTCTTTATATCAGCTATCAGATTTCCTGAATGTTCTCCCGTATTCATTATAAACATGGCAAATAATTTACAAGACAAACTTCTTGTGACTTTTTCAAAGTTTAAATATTTTATTAAATAGAGAATACTTAAACACTTGCAGGCGCAAATCTTTCAAAATCTAATATGAGCTGTAGAAAATTTTCGAAACAGTTGGACTAATTACTTCTTCCCCCTCCGTGAGTGAACAAAAAAATTTTGTTCACTCACTGAGGGGGTTAATTTGTTTTTAAAAAATTTATATATATTTTATAGAAAATATTTTTTTTCGAAATTTTAAAAAAATCCTAATTCGCAAAAATTGGAAGGCAAATATTAATTTTAATTTATAAAATTTATGTTTTAAAAAGCAATTTGTTTTAAAGTAAACAGAATTCGTTCTAGATTTCATTATACTAGTCTAGTTATCACTTATATATCAATTTTTTTTTCCATAAAAAATTTTGGGAATTTTCCAATGGTTTTGTTCACTCACGGAGGGGGAAGTTAGTTAAAATATTTACTATTACGAAGAGAATTTTAGAAAATTAAATTCAGCGATAAAGATCTAATTCAAAAAAAATAATAATCGCTTTGGGTAAAATTATTTAAAAGCTTAAATGAAATTTTTAAGTAAAGTAGAAAAATAAAGGATTAACTAGAGTATATGACTTAGCCTGAAAATTTCTTAACTGACTACCATTGCTGATATTTTTTTTTAGTTTTCTTATCCTGTAATTTGTAGACTTAGAATAAGTGAAATCTTAACTGATTGTCTAAAACAATTATTATAATGCTAATGGATTATAGTTGACATAGTTTTCATCTTTATTTAATTATTTTATTTTGTTTTATCTAAAATAATTTTAGATAGAATAATAATGGAGATGCAATAAAGTATAAAATTTTGAGACTGATTTTCAATGGTGCTAATAGCATATCATATCGAGAACAAATTAAACAGAAATTGAATTTTCCTTTTTTTCCTAAGGAAAATGCTAAATAATTTGTTTGAATTATTATAATCTTTCTCCAAGATTCAAAGAAAAATATAAGCCAAAGATAGAATTAGCTTGACCAACCTTAGTTATAGAAATTGCCCGAGGATGGCGCTATTTGTGCCATTCTCGGGCAATTAGTATAGTTTTATTTAGGCTAATTTTTCTTTTAGGTGAGGCATTTGCTCAGCTGACAAATAGTTTTCCTCAAGCCAAGTTCTATCATCAGGTCAAGCGACCTTGGGCTCCTAGGATAGGGTGGCTGGCGATATGGATGGGCATCAAGGTGTGTGTGGGATGAAGACTTAGTAGTTACCAGAGTATTGCCTGATTCAAAGTCGGAAGAGAAGTAGATCGTCTAAGACAAGATTGAAGCTCATCGGACTCCAATGGAGGAAATGAAAGTTAATTGGGAGTAATTGAATTGAAGACGTTTCTTCTGACAAAGATAACGGATTTGGGATTTGCAGCTCATCGGACTCCAATAGAGGAGATGAAAGTTTATTGGGAGCAATTGAATTGAAGACGTGTGTTCTGACGAAGACAACGGGTTGAGATGTGAAGATAAGCCAACTTGTCATCTCTAGCAGATTGTAATAACTTAAGACCTAGCATGGCGAGCTTTGGCTAGTCATATAATGGGTTTACAACCTCTAAATGCAAAGGTTAAGGATAAGGCTCTCCAACATTCAAAAAAAAACTCTTACATTATAATCATATATTCTTCAAGCAATCATATAATTAAGCTTTCATTCTTCTATAACTCATCAATAATAATTGCCGTTGTGGCGACACGTTGCTGTGCTACGACAAACAAAAAATATCCAGAATTTGGGGTCACAGGTTTGAAAAAAGTGGCCCCAAAGGGCCACGGGGTCGCTGACGGTGATTGTCCGGGGTGGGTGTTGGTTTGGGCTGACTGGGCCTCTCCTCGGCCCACAGGCGAGAAGACCGACGGCGCAATACCAATCGGATGCTTCTGAAGGAGCATTATGATACTTGCAAATGGCAAGGGTAGTTCCAGAAGGAGGCACGGGACGATCCCCTCATGCCCTGAGCACTACCAAGGGTTAAGAGAGTCCTTTGCTGCAATTTTTTGGTCCAGCAGGTGCCGGTGAGTCTCCCCGAAAGATGTCGACGTCATTAAAAATGATGACGTCGACAAAAAAGGGCGTTAGGTGGCTTTAGTGACTAGCGCCACATGAAGCGCGAAGCTGAAGCTCGACTGGATAGGGGCTGAAATAAACCCCGCTTAACCTCTCTAATCTAATTCTCTCTCTATAACTCATCAAATCCTTAAAAATAATTTCACACAATCATAAAAACGACTACATCCACTTCAGTAATAATTTTATTATGGAAAACAATATTTTTTCGTCTGACGAAAAGTTAATCCCAGAAGAAGCCTACTATTATTGGCCAGAAGGAAACTATCTCTACACAGGTGAAGGAAAAAGCATAGTGCGCTATATTTTCTATAAAACCAAATATACAACATTTGAAAATGAAATTCTGGACAGATTCAAGCAAGAAATTAGATCCTCTTTTTCTGATATCCCTAATTTTTTTGGAGATGAAGAACTCTTAAGAATCCTTCTTGGCTGTAAATTTAACATCAAAAAAGCAGTTCGGTCTTTAAAAGATTCAATTGAATGGCGAGCATTAAATTTAACAGACAGTTTTCGGTCACTTTATTCAAAATGTTCTCATCTTCTGAACTCAGGAGCTATATATATTCACGGCAGGGATCATAGATATCGTCCTATAATAATTATTAATGCAAGCAAATTTGATATGAAGAAATATTCAATTGATGACTTCTGCGCCTTACTTTGCTTCAACCTGGAATTCGCAGTTCAAAAGCTGACAATTCCTGGACAAATAGAAAACTGGATAATTATTACAGATTTGTGCAGTCAGCCTCTTAAAAATCTGCCTTTTAGCGAGTTAAGAAGAATAATAAAGGTTCTGCAAGACAATTTCAGATGTAGAATGATAGTTAATTATGTTGTTAACTCTCCGTCTACTCTTACTTTTGCTTGGAAAATTGTTAAAAATTTTATAGAAGACCATACAGTCAGAAAGATAAAAATTTGTAAAAATTCAGATCCTCCCGAAATGAAGAAGCATGTAGCTCCTAATCAATTGGAAGAAAAATATGGTGGGAAGGCTCCAAATACGGCTGCTTTTTGGCCTCCCATATTGCCAGATGGGCCCTTTACAATTCCTGAAGAGTCTCAAAGTGCTCATTTAAGTAATAAAACGACATATAATGAGTATCATGATATAAAAGAAAATAGCATATATGATGCTCCTGATGATGTCCCTGACGATGAGCCTATCTTCCAACTAATTCCTTCACTTTCTTTGCCAATATTTCGAAAAGAAATGGTAGCAGATGAAGATTATAGTGAGCCTGAAAAAAATAATAGCCTAATCTCTATAAATTTAAGTTTCCCAGAAGAAAAAAGTGAAGAAAAAATTGAAATTCGATCACTACGCTCAGATGGAGGACAAACCAAAGAAAACACAGAATTACAGTCATTTTCTTCTCCAAAGCCAAAGAGTAAGAAAACTTGTGGGTGTGGGGCTAAAATTTGTCAAATATTTTAGTTTTTGTAAATGATATGTGAATTAACTTTTATTTCCTATACATAAATATAAAATTAGTTTTAATAATCTAAATGAGCATGAAAAGAGAATTGCAAGCTTAAGATAGTTATTCTTTATATAAATTTTCTTAATTCATCGTTAAAGTTAAAATGTCAAATTTAGAACCCATTGAAGAAGAAATGTAAAGCTCATTTAGTTTTCAAGGAAATACAGCAGAAGAAAAGCTAGTCAACGCCAAATCAATTATTGAGTCTCTTGAGAAAGAATTATTCAAACTACGCACAGATCTAAAACGATCTGAGGCTACCGTTCAAAAGCTTCAAGATAGTGCAGCTTTGCAATCTCAAAACCACAATAACACATCCTCAGCTTTTTCCCTGCCAAGCGAATTTAAAAAGATTTGGGAAGTCATGGTTTTGGAAAATATTTTGGACGTTTTTTCATCATTTTTGTCAGACCATGTTACATTTACGATGCTTATACAGGTTTTAATAAAGCTTGTAATCGACAAAGTTCAGTCTCAAATCAATTATAAAGTCAATGAAATCATGAATTTATTATTAATCCCGAGCAGCGAAGAAGAAGGGGTCAAAAAATATCTGCTGAAGCTTTTTCAAGATTTTTCGCTAAAATCGTTTCCAGTACCATCACTGTTGGATATAAAAAAAGAGTATACAGAAGCTGTGGAGGGAATAGAGCAAGTGGAAGATTTTGAAGACATGGTGGATTCACCTGAATTTGAAAAATTTGTTATAATAATCCACAAGCTGAGTTTGCATATGTGCTTAAATGACCCACCTTTAAGTTTGAATTTTTCTGAAAATCTGGAGTATTTGGTGTTCGACAAGCCTGATGAATTTTATTGCATTGATGGGTTCCCGAAAAATGCGCCTCCATGTGTAATTGTGGTGCCCCCTGTAATGAGAAATAATTATGCCTATCATGGAATTAAGCCAGCAGTTTTGGTACTTACAAAGCAAGATGTAGAAGAAGCTAAAAAAAGGCCAAATTTCCTGAAAGAGAAAAAAGTTAAAAAAGAAGAAAATGATATTAAAGTAGAAGAATTAGAAACTGAGGCAATCCATCATGAAAATAATAAAGAAGAAAAGCCTCCAATCGAAATAAAAGAGGAAAAGAATGAAAAGAAAAAAGAAATTGTTTCAAAATTTGAAATAAAACCTCTAAAGCTGCCTATCAAAGAAGAAATAAAGCATCATGAAAAAGCAGAAATTGCAGAAGATGAATGCTTGAAGATATCAACAGGAATAAAAATAGCAATTGATCCAACGAACGCTACTGAAACCAAAGAAACTCTGAATTCCAAAGATGTGGAATCTGACCAATTCAGTTTTTCAAAAGAGAAAACTGTGAAGGCTGAAAGGTACTCTGATGAAGAAAACCAGCCTCCGCTTTCGAAGTCCCCTGGGCATATTGTAAAAACCAGTACTAGAGACACTTCCCCTCGCCAAGTTATGGATTTGTACTGCAGATATAAGACCCAATCTAAAGAAAGGAAAACTTCCAGCTTCGATGATGATCGCTCACTTTGCTATTTACCTTTGCAAAAGAAATCACCAATTAGAGTATCAAACTTTATCCGCCCAGACTCACAAAGGCACTATCAATCTGCAAGAGTATTTGAAAAAAATTCTTCAAGCATGCCTAAAAAGCATGAAATATGCACTCAATGCAAGCCAAAGCTTCCTTGCACCAGGTGCGCAAAGACATCTCTTCTTGCCTTAAGTATTCTAAATATTATCAATATATTAAAAAATAAAAAATCCTATAGAAAATGTACAGTTATTATAATTATATATAACAGAATTCCATTGTCCATATACAACCAAAGAAATGTGACCCCAGTTCGAGCTTTTAGTTCATCAACGTTAAACAGTTCTGGAAGGTTTGACAAGTCAAAAACCCAGTCTTTACACACTAGAAAGCCTAGTCCCAATTACAATGATCGCCCTCAAAACGGAGTATCTGATAAATGCAAAGTCATGTAAATTTAATAGTTTGAATATTATAAAAATTAATAAAATCATAAAATGCTGCAAGGAAAGCCCTTATCTTTGCTTCCTCTACAGACACTTATATACTATGACATCCTTTACTCTCATCTATACTTTATTGTCACAGCAGTTTTATATATATACAAAAGCACGATCCTAACTTATCCTCCAAATACCATCTCACTTGAATGTGCCGGGCTTGCATTTTTTATTTTCCTTCAATATTTTCGTTTATTTATCGGTAATTATAATTCAGGCATAGTTGGAAATAAAGCAGAAGGGCCAGGGGTCATGATTCATTTCTTAGTTTTAACAATCCCTTCTATATTTGGAGGAGTGTTTTTCATTGCTTTGCAGCTTTATGTGTAATTAGTATCCAGACTAATAGCAGACCGGGTCATGAATATTATTTTCTTGATTATCTCAAGTATAGAGTTTATACTTGGGATTGTTGTTGTGATTAGATTCAAGAAGGCTGAAAGCACAAGATAATTAATAATAAAATGAAGCTAATAATCCTGTTAATTAATTTCATTATCTTGGTCTTCTTTCATTGTCAATATCCAGCATCCTTGCATGTCTAAACCTGTCCACTGCAACCATCAGTGCTGATCGCCCTTCCAGTAAAAGCCCTCTAGGAATTTTGTTATCAGGGCACATGCCTTTGAGCAGCACTACAGTTTCGTGCTCTTCTCTAAGTGTCTTAAACATTCTCATCATCCTAGAGACTGCATTTACCTTGTTTTTCAGTAGATTCTTCTTGGATTCTTTGGCTTCAGATTCCAGACCAATCAATCTTTTTTTAGCTACAGAATCAAAGCCAATATTTTTTTCTCCGTACCTGGGCTTTAGAATATTATAAAGCATTGCCATGACTTTCTCTATAATGAAAGGTGAGCTCCAGTTAAAGACATTCATAAAATTTGGCAAAAGATAAGGATGATGGCTGTAGTTGAACTGCTGGACATTCAATGTGTTGTTTGTGAACCTTATAATAGCTCCTTTGTTGTTGTAGACATCACAGTAATTAGGAGCTGAAAACACTGTAATGACAAGAGGAAAATCGTCGTCACCTGCCCATCTATGCATTTTATACCCATCTGCCTGCACTTCATGCGCACGAATCAGCGCAATGAGATCATTTTGTTGTAAAAAATCATTCACTGCATCAGCCCCGTATAAATAGCTGCAACCCCTTGTAGTATTTTGAATATATGATGAAGGCATTACCCCATTTGCGTTATCAATTGGATCTGCCCACAATAAATCACAGAACATCCCATCTTTGGGTGGCTCTTCAAAGCGGTATACATGGTCAATATCTCCAATATTTTTCAGGTGTGGAGACAGGCCTCCATGCACTGATAAGAAGTTATCATTGACTGTTGCTGCAACAGGCAAGCAGTCAAAGCTGTCCATTATCTTTTCATATACTTCTGAGTCATATTTCTGAATACACTCAATTCTGAACGTAAAATACGAAGTCAGCTGCCTGCATTCATGATTTCCACGAAGCAAGAAAACCAGATCTGGGTAATTTAACTTCAAACAGTAAATCAAAATAATAACTTCTAAAGAAAAAGAACCACGATCAACGTAATCTCCTAACTCCCACTCCGTGAGTGAACAAAACCATTAGAAAAATCCATATTTTTTTGCCCAACAACCCACCCTCCGTGAGTGAAAATTTTTTTACTAAAAAACTTTTTTATGAAAAAAAAATTTGATATATAAGTGGTAATTAGTATAATGACATCTCTAACTAATTCTGTTTAATTTTAAAAAATTTGCGTTTTAAAACATAAATGTTATAAATTAAATTAATATTTACTTCCAATTTTTGCGAATTAGGATTTTTTTTAAAATTTCGAAAAAAAAAATTTTCTATAAAAATTATATAAATTGTTTTAAAAAAAAATTAACAGTGAGCGAACAAGATTTTTTTGTTTACTCACGGAGGGAGGAGTAAGAATAAGTATTTGTTTTTTTCTGGACTTCCGCCAAGTTCAAGGATTTTTAACATACTTAGTTAGAAGGTATTTAAAGTGTCTTCCCTCTTCAGCAGGATGATTTAGGCATGCATAAGCCCATCTTTTTAACTCCCAACTGGTGACGTCAGCAGCCATCTTGTCTCGCAAGCATTCCAGAAGACGCACCCATCAGGCCAGAAGGTCTGTTTGGCCGCGTTGCCTCTCCCGAACTTGACTCCTGCGCGTGCTCCACCTAAGGGTACCCTCCTCGAGTGTGTCAAGCAGAAAAAACCATAAGTCTCCTAATGCCTGGACCAAAGAAATACCTTATGCGGTATTCCATATTGGTGTTGCGGATATAAAGGTCCACATAGAAAACTGAACCCATAATAATAAAGGCGAAAGAAGGAATATTTCTTGGAGAGAACGAATTCCGCACTGGGCCACTTTAATATTATTCAAGGATTTTTAACAGATCAAAAAATTGGCCATGAATGTCGCCGATCACCAGGAGAGGGTCCTGAAGCCGGATTAAATTTGGCTCTCTTGCAAGGATATCGATAGTCTTATTAATAATAAACATAACATCTAGCTTTGTCAAAGTTCCTTCTCTCGCTAAATGGTCCCGTACAATTGTTCAATTTGGCTTTGAGCCTGACTATTTATTACTGCCTTGGGGAAAAACCAAATCATGTGCCAAGGGTCTGTGAGGAGGCGGAGGGAGGTCTTTTACAACTCTATCTCTCATTGGGTCACTCAAAGGCTCCATGGTTTATGTAAACTATTAAAGTGTAATTCAAAATTCATCCATTTCTGTGAAACGACTATAAATCCAATTTTGTGAACAATTATCTTAACTTATTAGCTAGGCCTTTTAGTTTCTCTAGATACAGACTGGATTCTTTTGGTTTTCTTATTGTGCATTTCCATCCTCTCCAAGTTTATGACAAACTCAGAACTGCCCATGCGGATATCCACATTATTTGTGCCAGTTTTAAGCGCCTCTTCAAGCTTCATCACGATTTCTCTTGAAAACGGCTTTATTTTGCCTTTGTCATCGTAAGTCCAAGATGTGAATTCTCTTCGATTTTCAGGCCTCCTCATCATTGGAGGAGGCTGCCTGATTATGGGTCTCCAAATCTTGCCAGTCAGGGGAGATTGCGCGAAGTGGATCAGGTTGATGTTGTAGAGCTTCCCAAAGGTCTCCAAGATTAGGGCTGGCTGCTGGCTTTGGAATGCGTCCTCGATCTTTTGATTGGAGTCAGGGTCATAAGGAGAATAGGATTTCCCATTAAACCAAAACCATTGGAAAGCAGATTTGGGGATTGATGACTGCTGGATCAGAGATATTAATATGTGCTTGGCTTGCTGCTGAGCTTGAACAGGAGTATCTCTTCCAGTTAAGAGGAATCGGCCCTCCTGATAATCTACTTTAACCTGGTACTGGGACTCTAACCATTGGAGCTGGCCGGAGGTTTGGAGTAATCTTGCTATTTCTTCGCTGCAGTACACGTTATAAACTCTCTCCCCAGATTCCATTTATTAATTGTAGCTATGAATAATAAGATATTCTTTCTCAAAATCTAAACCAAAGCTTATTTATGTATCATAATCGCTTGATATTGTTTTGTGCTGCGTTTATTGCCTTATCCTTAATTTATATTTTCTGTCTTAAAATTTGGGTAGCAATATCTTGCATAAAATTTAAATGGATTTTTTATCTTTGCCACCTACTGATATATCTGTATCAGCAATTCCTACTCAAATCTGCGAAACAAAGACTACAGATGAGCTTAGCTGCTTTGATGAATTGCCTAGAGAACAAGAAATCAAAGACCTGCTGCCTAGGCTTGAAAGAGCTGAAGAACGAGTCCGTCAGCTTAGTCTGGAGTGCCAAAAAAGAGACTTCCAAATTACTCAACTGGAGTTTGAAAATGAAGAAATGCGAGAACAAATAAAAAAGTTCCAAGATGAGGACATTGATGATGTAAGAATCCAATTGGAGCATTTGCAGTTTTTATATAAAGCATTACAGGATAAGTTCCAAGAAAGCCAAATGAAGATATATGCTTATGAAAAGAAAGAAAAAAACGAATACAATGATATAAGAATTCAAATTGAAGAGCATGCAAAAAACAAAGATTGGATGGATCAAAAAATTGATAAATAAAATGGAAAAACCTTATATAAAGAAATCGAATCTTAATAATGTTTTGTATAGGAAAATATTGTGAGATTGCAGGTTTCCTTAGCTAGGCTAAGGGGCAGAGGATATTTTAAAAGAAGAATTAAGTTATGCTACATCAGAAAAAGAAAAATTGAAAGAAAAGCTGAAGGTTTGTGAAAGCGAGTCTCTAATTGTGCATCTGGATTGTGACGAACTGAATAAAGAACTAAATGAGCATAAAAGAACAATCAGCCAATTAGAAGCTCAGCTTGAATTTGAAAAGGAGCAGTATTCGGCATTAAAGTCAAAATATGATATCCTTGCGAATTCAAACCAAAGGAATGATTATATTACTCCAAAATCAAGTCCTCGCAAAAGGACTCTAAATTTTTAATTAATTTAATCGCTAATCTCATAAAATTTTACTGTTTATAGATAATAAAGCCCTTTTTCATTTTTAAAATCTACTAGCAATGAATTTAAATTTAGATTTTTCAATAAAAATGGCAAAAATATATGCCAATTGCTATCATTTTTCTAATTATCACAAGTTATTATAAAGATACCTTGGGAACATATCGGTATTTTTGCCGTAGTAAATTCAGTTGAACGGTAATGTTTGTCAAATGGCATGTCAAGAGAAAATAATTCCTCGGAGTGATCATTCAAGCAAAACGCGCAAACAGACTAGAATAAATCACTAAAGCAAGAGTCATATTTCTCGATATTTTTTCAGGCGGCTTATTCATATCAAGGACATTCGCTTTACCATTAATTATAGATTATGGCTCTTCCTCTTTGACATCTCATCCGGCATGAGTCTTAATAGAAGACTCGTTCAGCTGCTAGCGAATAACCCTGGGCATGCCAGCACTTTCACCAGAGATAGCTCTCCTTTGGCTTTCAGCCAATTCTTAGTGCTGTCTCCGAACCTCGGAATATGCAGGTTTGAGACTTGGCCTGCTACTTAAGTGACTAGAGTTTCAGCTAGGGATAAGCTCTCAAGCTAGTATCGGTACCAACTATGCCTTCGTCGTCGGCATCAGTGGTCTCTAGGGGGTAAAAAGCCTTTTCTCCCAAATACCCATCGGGAAGACGCAAAGTCTTCATTGCCGGATGAGGGAGGCAACCCCAATCAGAGCGCAAATTCTAGTACCTGCAGACTCATTTCCTGCTCAGTTTGGTTTCAGGCAGCAGCAAGGTTCCCAAACTCGAAATAGGTCTGAGAGAGGACTTGCCGATGTCGTTGCAATTTTATTTGTGTATCTATATCAAGTATCCCAGCAATTACAAAGCCCCAATTAAATGCTGGGCCCCAAAAATGAGTTGTTTTAAGGCCCATAGGATGGTTCCAGAGATACTTAATCGCAGCTATCATATTTAATTTATTGTTTAAGCAAACTGCGTTTTAGTCTTTTAACATAGAATATTCTTTATCTCCCTTCATCAATGCCAATTTTGTGTATTTCCACGTCAATTTGTTAGCGTCAAAATCTCCCTGAGCAAAGATCTTCCCATATCCCTTTGGTCCATATACAGTGAACTCTGCATTTCCTTTGGTATATTTACTGTCAGTTCGTCCTTTAACATTTTGCAAAAAATTCATCGGGATCCCTATTTCTCTTTGAATAACTGGATCATATTTCAATGACTGAAGGGTTGATCCAAAGAAAACTGAGTTTGCTACAGGAAGAATTTTGAAATATTTTCTACCGATAAGATACCCAATCCCTCCTATCACCAAACATGCTCCGCCGACTGTAAGCATTCTTCACATAATATTTTTAGATCGTTCAGCTTTTCTTTTTTGAATCTTGTCTTTATAGCTTAATGGCTTAATTTCTAGCTCTAATGTAGTCTCAGGTGATAATTCTATTTCTTTAAGCTCTCTCATTTCTTTGTGGCTTCTTACTCCTTCTTCGTTACTTTGGAAAAATTTGTTTTCTCAGAGGATTTTTGTTTTAAATTTATATATTAAATCCTTTTTAAAAAATTAATATATTTTATAAAATTAAAAAGCAAACTTTTAAATTAGTGAGGTTAAATAGAGATTCGATATAATAATTATCATTTATATATCAAAAAATAATTTAGCAAAAAATTATATCAAAAATTTTACTCACTCAGCGTGGGATTTTGCCAAAATAAAAAAATCCAACTTTTAGTCGCGTGGGAGGAGCTAGCTTATCATGAATAAGAGGATAATTTGAGACTTCATCAAATTTTACATGCAAAGAGGTGATTTTCCAGCTGAATGTCGATTTATTGGAGAAAGCTGGGTTGAATATGTTGATGATATGGCCAAAAGTTGATGAGGGGTGTGCTGTTTCTTTGACTGGGAATTCGTCTGAATCGCATGACTCTTTTGCTTCTGCGAGAATGTGGGCCTTAGCTTCACCTTCAGATCCATATACTATAAACGCAGCACTTGCCCAAGTTTTGTCAGGCTCTAGAGTTCCTTGGATGCTGCCTTTCCTTGCTAATGATTTTCCAAGTATTTTCTGTACTTTTGCATCTTTTTCTAATAGAGTGATAGTTTCTTTTACTAATGCATGGTTTTTCTTCCAATCATCTTGGACATACACAATTAAAATGGCGAGCCATCCGACCCGTCCTTCTCCTGTACCCTCAGGGACTACGGGGTTAAGAAGTAAACGGGGCCTGGATATTGTGTCCAGGGTGGGTTTTTTTACCTTGGTCGGGACACCACGACAAGGTTTTTTGCCTCTCACAAAGACGAGAAGACCAGAGCCGCAGAATCAGGAGTCACACTTCAGGACTAGAAGGAAGTGAGGAAGCTTGTAGTGGAGCTTGGGGACCTGAAGAAGACTCCGGAAGGCTACTTTTCCCCCTCCCCAGAAAGGACGGCGCCGGGTCACTAGACCCTGATCAAAGGAGTACCTGGGTGAATCTCCCTGTTAGATGACGACGTCACCATTTTTTGGTGACGTCGACAGAAAATGGAGTGAGCAACAGAGCCGGTGCTTAGGGCGCAAGCCTGAAGCTGGCAGCGCTGGGTAGAGGCTGAAATAAACCTCCGTGACCCGCTAAAACTAATTAATCTAATCTTGGACATAATAGTAATTTCCTCCTATAACTGTTCCGAACAAAAGTGTTGTTAGGCCTGCTGCCTTTACAGCGCTCGCTATCATTATTTACGAGAAAATAATGGTAAAATTTATGAATCTTTATTTCGCTATTAATATAACACACTTCCATGCCTTCTTAAATACAAATTTGGTCGAAAAGGTTGCGAAGGGAATCCTTCTGTAGGTATTTCATAGCTTACGCTTTTTACTCTTTGGTGGGCTGATGGAATTCTTGCTCTGTTTTCTTTAAAACTATCAGATTGCTGGTTGTGCTTCTTAGCTTCTAACAATTTTTCAGCTTGCCCTGGATCTCCTATATAAGCTTTTATTTTTTCTTCAAACGTCATTGATAAGCTTCTAGGTCTGCATCTCGATATTTTTAAGCCCTCTTCGTAATCCAGCAAAAATTGTTGCTGACTCCCCCTCCATGAACAAAAACATTTTTTTCGCTAACCAGAGAGGAATTAAATTTTTTTTTTTAAAAAAATTCCAATTTGTAAAAAATTAAAATTTATAATTAGTTAGAGATTTCATTATAATAGGTTTCACTTTTTTCATAAAAAATTTTTGTTCACTCACGGAGTGTGGGTTTTTAGGCAAAAAAATAGGGATCTTTCCAATGATTTTGTTCGCTCACGGAGGGAGGAGTGAGGGCCAAGAATGCTGCCTGGTCTGCAAATTCTGCATCATGCAATAAACTCATGTGCTGGGAAATTAAACACTCTTATTGCGTAGCATCCTATTAAAGTGCCTGTCCTTCCTAAGCCAGCTTTACAATGCACAGCAATTACACTCTTTTCTTTTAGCCCAATATCTATAAAGTTCCTTATTATTTCACTGTCAGGTATACTCCCATCCATAAAATAAAGTTCATGGTGTTTTATCCCTTCACGAGTGAATCTTTCAGGCTGATATCCTCTTTTATTTAGCCTGATAACTGTACTGATTCCCAATTTACGGAAAATCTTTGAATAATCCTCAGGCGTCATTCTTCTATCTTCGTTATGCTGTTTTTCAGATGGAGAGCTAAAAGCTAAAAATTTGTCAGGGATAATTCAATTGGCATCCCCATTTTCTACTTTTTCATAAAACTCATATTCCTTTACATTGAAACTCCTATAATCAAACCATTTAAGCCTGATCGCAGTTTCTAATGCAGAAATGCAATGCTTTATTGTGCATTCATATCAGCATTCCCCATCACTTGCGTCACGAAAGGGCTCTAGATCATGCATCTCAAAAGGAGAAAAAGCTTCTTCAGCAGTTCTTCCAAGGACAATTACTTGAAAAGCACAAATTAAATAAGCTGAATTAGCTTTCTTTTCGGCTTTTTCTGAAGTGTAATGATAGATTCGCTGGTATTCGTATCGTGGGTCTTTTAAAAGTCTTTCTAATTGAACACAATATCTATATGTCAAAGCTAGGTTAAGTGGCCCAAAATCGTAGCAAAAAGGTTTGTAGATGAGATCTGAATCTATGCAAATGAAATAAGAATTAGGGCGATTTCTTGGAGGAGAAACATCAGAAATCCAATAAAGTCGGTCTAAATAATTCTTACTCTTTATAATTTCTGAAGATGAGCAGCTTAACATTTTAACGTTTAACAAAGCTTTAAAATTTTTTTAAATATTAATCATAAGCCATGATAAAGTTTTAAGAAATTCACATAGAAAATAGATTTTATCTTAAAATCTAAGGTTTATTCGCAAACGAAAGACTTATGAGTTAACATTAGCTCTTTTCTTCATCATCTCTACCCACCTTTGATCAGGGATATTTTTAGCCCAAAACGGGTGTGGCATTTGTATTTTTTTCATTATATTCTTAATTTGTTCAACCTTCTCTGGTGTCATTGGGATATCCCTTTTCACTTCTGGCAGCTTTTCATCTGTTTTTTCTTCTCCTTCGTCTGAATCAGACTCGCTCGGACAAATTTGATATTGCGGCTCTTCTTCTCCTTCATCAAATGAAGCTTCCCAGTCTTGACTTGAACTTGCATTAACTGATTCCTGGAAGCATTCAATCGGATCAATGGTCGCTGCAACTGTAATTGCATAATCTAAGTCAAGCTTGCTAAGCTCCCTATCAATGATCCCATCAACATCAATTCCTTCTAATTTCCCGTCCAGTTCTCTATTAATCGCTTCAACTGGGTCACTTTCAGAAGGTTCTGAGTTCATATTAATTTACTAAATTTCCTAAATAGCCAAGCGCGCTAATATAGTTTTCAAAATGGAGCTATCAGACGGCGAAGATCTAAGTGACTCAGAAATGATTGACGTTTCTGTGGACTTTTTAAAGTTTAAGGCTACAAATGTCATTGATAACTTGAAAGAACTGATTCCATTTAACATGACAGATGGGTATGGGAGGACACTTCTGCATTGGGCTTCTTATGAAGGGAAAATCAAGAAGGTAAAGTTTCTGGTAGAAAATGCAATGCAGGACCTCAGTTTGAGGGACTTTTCGGGGTTCAATGCTCTTGAATTGGCTGCAAAAAGGGGTCATAGCAAAGTGATTGACTTTTTAAGTGAAGCGGGATTAGAATGTAGAGTGGTTGATCCAAATCTTAGGCTCAATCCAGATGTCAGCTTATTGAGAGAAGGCCAAATTGCTGCTGCAATTTATGCTGACAACTTAGAAGAGCTGCGATTGAAATTTGAGGGCTATGTCACAAATATCAATGGCTGGTTTTCTCTTCCAGAGTTTTACGAATACACCTTGGTCGGAATCTCATGCTGACAGCTTTCACCAAAGTGTCTGGAATGGCTTATATCTAAAGGTGCAATGATCAAACTTGAAAACAACGATGGCTCCAAGCCTCTTGACAATTGCCTTGAAGCTCTTCTTGGCGCTATGCCACCTGAAAGTGAAGAAGAATTTATTCAAGTCAACACTGGAATCGAGTGCTTAATAATTTTGCTTGACCGAATAAAAGACTATACGCCTTATCTTCCCAGACTTCGGATGCTCTTTGCGAGATCCAGAAATGCAGGTAAAGGCTCTTCAACAGCTGGGAATGACTATGAAAGAGAAGTCATCAACAAACTAATTCGAATGGGTTTATTAATTTCCAAATATGTGTAATTCGATGTGCTTATAAAATTTAAATAATTAAAATATGACTAATCGTACTTTGAGAAAAAGAATTGGGATATATGTGCTAGTCCCACTTTTACTTGGAATAATTTTGATTTCACTTGCAAGCTCAATCCCACTCTATGTAAAGGTCCCAAAGTTAATAAATGATGTAGTTGATAATATAAGTGATGACCAAAACGACATTATGGAAACCACAAGTATTGTAGCAGCCTCTGTAGTCAGTATTATGCTACAAAAACAAATCAACATACTAATTATTATGAAAACCCTTATGGATAAATATTACAACAAAAACCTTTCAATTAAAGAAAATTGGGTTGGGAACAAATCTTATGTTAATGCATATAAGCTTGCACAGACACTTACAGCAAACAATTCATGAGGGAGAAATTTTGAAACTTCAATGTGATATTTAGGTCAAAAAATCACAGAAGAAGATCAATTAGATGCTGATAGTAAAGAATATTTATATGATCAAACTATATTTGATTCATTTTTAAGACCAGTTGGCCAGATTGATAAAATAAACAATGAAGTTTACACGGCTTATGATTCCAACGGCTTTTTTTATTATATTCCATCGAGTTATCAACAGTTTTTTTTAAGCAACAGCACAAACTGTTACAATGCTACAGGATTTGAACCAAGATGTAGGCCATGATATGCAGCTGTTAGATCAAGCAATTACCATGAAGAAGTTATATTGACTCTTCCATATCTATTTGCGGAAACCAACACTTTGGGGCAAACCGCTTGTGATGGGTTTTGGAGCTCAAATATTAATTTATATCAAGCCACTTGTTTAGACTACAAACTTGACAAGGAGCAGGTCAGCAATCTTCCGGAAAATTCCTACGCTTTTATTTTGGATGACAACTTAAAGGTGTTTTACCATCCAAAATTAAATAGGAGTGACTCAAATGTATATAGAATATCAGACCTTGAATTCGGACTTGACGATTATTCCAACAAAAACAGTGAGCTCAACAAATTTGAGTCAAAAATTCTTCCTCTTTTCGAAGCAAATATCTCACAAGTAAGTCATTATACAAACCACGGAGAAAGCATGTAACTTCCAATTAGACTTATTGGAGTATCTCCTGTATTTTTAAAAACTCAGCTCTACTCCTCCCCTACAAAATATTACTCAATAGGAATTGCGTTAAAAGATGAAAAAATAAAGGCAAGACTTCTAGATCTCCGAACATCGATTCAGCATATGATAATTTACGAGGGAGTTTTTTATTCGTTTTTTGTCATTATTGTTGGAGTTATTGGAATTTTGTAAGAGACATGTAGTTCTTCAAGAGTGATATCTCGGTCAATTACAGAGCCTCTTGATGAATTATCGAAAATTATTGATAGACTTCTGGTTGAAGATTTAGAAGTGAAAATCCCTGATAAAGAAGAATATACAGAACTGATACAGAGGCTTTTTAAAGTGTTTAAAGGTTTGAAGACTGTGCTGAGGTTTAGAAAGCAAGGAGGGGTAATTGGAAATGAAGCAGAAATGCTGATTCAGTATGCTGATTCTTTTACATTATTTAATCAGTATTATAATTTGAGAGGAATGGAAATATGCATGAGCAGGATCGCATATATTCATTATAGTAATAAAAGATATGTGGAAGCACAGGAAGCGATGCAGATGGCACTAGCTATAACTGTTAAAATGCAGCAAAAATTGAGCCCTTCTTATATAAAGATGGTCAAGAAGTTAAAAGAACAGTTGGCTGATATATTAATAGACTCATCATTAGAAACAAAAAACAAGCACTGGCCTACAATTATTTCTCTATTAAGTGACTTGGAAAATTCTTCAAACACAAGAATAAAGCTTAAACTCAGTTTAGCTCTAGCGAAAGGTGGAAAAATTAGTGAAGCTCAAGAAAAACTAGCTCCCATAGAAGAAGAGCTTGATGAAAACTCCCCATATGCCGAAATGTTCTTATACTTAAAAGGAGTTCTATTAAGCTCAGTCAAAAAATTCAGATCTGCAGCTCTCATTTTCAAGCAGTGCTTGGAATTAAATTCCCACTATGATCCATGAGTAAGAAAAGCATGCTTAATTGAACTGAAAAATATTTTCATAAATGCTGGAATAAAAAAAGATAAAGTTAAAAGAAAACTTAAATGAGACAAAAATTTTGTTAAAGAAGTCGTTCTTTTGCATGATTACGGAATAACGATAAAAGGACCTAAAAATTTGAGAGCGCTGAAATGCTTTTCAACTATGATTGATTCGCTGTCAAACAACGATAAAGTAAGCTTTGTATTATCTTCAAAACTCCCAGAAATTGTATTTAAACTCAGTTTGGCTTCAAAAAACACAGCTTATATGAAAAATGCAATTATGGCTTGTGACTCCCCACATGGGAGCTCGTGTATATATGATGGAATTTCTGCAGCAATAATGCAATTTAATTCTACTGATGTCGAAAAAGAGGGGTGTTTTGTGTTTGATGAAAAAAAGCATTCAAAAGCTATTCCAATAAGATGAATTATAGCAGTGTCGAATGGCGAAGATTTTTCTAAAAAGCATAATCCTAAAACCATTAGAAATTTACTTATCGCATATAAATGTGGGCTAGTAATTATTGGGTTTTCTTTAAAAGATCAGCTAAAAAACGATCTTTTAAATCTATGTGACTCAATTCCAAATGGCTACTTTATTGATTGCAAGTCTAATAGAATAGCAGAAGCATTTCAGGAAGCAATTGAAGCTATCACCGCAGAAAACATCATTTTGCCATTCTAAGTTCGATATTATTGCATGGCGACAATTAAGTATAATTAAGCAATTTTTGTTTTTATTTTTCTTCAATTATTAAATTGCTCTCAAACATTTTATACTAATATCACTGCTAAATAAGTTCAAATAACTTAAATTAAATTTATTTAAGATTTAATACCATTTATTGCTAAACTATAAATTTTTAAATAGCATTTATTTCTCTAAATGAAAGCTAAATATTTATCCTCATATCATTCTCAAACAACAAGCACAGAAACAGATCCTTATTCTATGATTGGCGATCCAGACCTCGCACTTGAATCTCATCGTAAGAGAATAAGAAAAAGGCAATTTGAATCTTTTGACTTTGACATTCCAAGTGAAAGCCCAACCTCAGAACTAATAACTTCAGTAGCTGAATATAAAGATTTGAATAATAAACTTGCGAATATTGAAAACAGAATAAAATTTCTACAAAGAAAAGAAATTAGAGGTAAAAAGGAAGAGGAAAAACAGAAGCAGAAAGAAAAAGCTGAGCTGGCAGCTCAAATTCGACTGCTGGAGGAAAAAGAAAGAAAAATGATAAATAAAATAAAATTAACAGAGGATCAAGAATTTCAAAGAAAAGCTATAGGAAATGCAAAAAGAAATAGAGAAAACATTTTAAAGCAAAAAAGATTAATGCTAGAAGCTAGAAATAGAAAATTTGCGAGAAAAATAAAAGAAGAGAATGCAAGATTAAAAAAATTGAGATCAGAATCTACACAGCCAATTTCATCTTCTCCAATTCACAGATCATCAGACTTTCCTGCAAGAACGAAAGAAATACTGCAGGAGCTGCAGAAAAGCAAAGCCACAAATAGGGTTATGCAAAAAATTGAGGAAACGAAGAAGCTTTCTATTGAAATTAAAGATAGAATTAAAAATTTAGAAGCAAAAGAAGAGTCCCTCCTATATAGCTTAAAAAGCTCCTTTGCTCATCATTTACCTGAACTTAGACTTATTTCTAGGCTCAGCAGAAGTTTTGATTCCTCTCCATTCGCCAATTCAGCAGAAAGCAGGTAATCGAATAGTTCAATGAAAAGATATCTAATTTTTCTTTTCGACTCTATTTGATATTTTTGAACCCATTTAAATAACTTTTTATCAATTTTAGAACAAAATTTATTATCCATGTTCTACAATTACACATCAAAATAATTAGATAAATTCAGTGAACACTCATAACCATCTTTTAATATCAGATCTTTTTCAAGCTAAATATCCAGTAATTAATAAAATGAGGACAATCGAGATAGAAACAGCTTGTGGTAAACTAGGCATTATGAGAGGTGTGACTGTCAACGACACATATGTGGTTTATCGCCTAGGCAATTCAGAGGATAAAACAGAAATCTGTGAAGGTGGAGGAAAATTTCCTTTTTGAAATAAAGTCTGCTCAATCAAAGGCAGGGATCCAAAAATTCTAATGAAAGTTTATACCACCAATCCCAGTGGAGACATTTTGATTGGCAGCTCACGAATAGATGTGAAGGATGGCGAAAAGTGGGTAGATATTGTAAGAGACCAAGCCGGTGCTGGGCAGATAAAAATTAAAATGACAATAAAAGATGCTCAACCATCAGCAGAAGCTGCAGGCCCTAAATTAGCACAGAGCCAAACAACTCGACGTCCTCCAGAGATAGTTGCACAAGCTTCTATGGCTAATTCTAACTCCAAAGGTGGAGAAAAATTGGCTGAAAGCCAATCTCAACAGCTTGAAATGGATTATACAAAAAATGAGTCTATGAAAATGACAGAAGAAACAAAAGAAGCCCAACACCAAGGACCTTTTGGCTGTCCAATAACTCAGCATATGATGCTTTCAATGCCAACTGGTCCATTTCCAGAGCATTATTCATACTTGTACGAGCAGGCAGGGATGAATAAGCAAGAAGAAATTCAAATTCCTCAGCCTTCGCCTCAAGATTTCAGCCGAGACATGATGTTTTATGGAGGAGGGCATATGTTTGGATCAATGGTGAATTTCCAAGGCCTCCCAAACAATTTCGTTGATCCTTCAGGGAGACAGAATCTTTGTGAAAATCCTTCGCATAATGCGTATTATGGGATGCCAGCTTATAATAGCTTTAATCCTTATTATTCACAAAACATGTACCAAATTCCACAGAATCAGCGCAATATTCAAACAAATCCTTATGTCAATGGCCAGCAAGGACCATATATGTATTATCAGCAAGATCCGAACTTCAAGTAAGTAATATATCGTTTATAATGAATGCTCTTCAGACAAAAATGTAATATTTGATATAAAAAGTATTTTAAATAAATTATAATTAAGAGGATAGGTATATGATTATTAATGAATATCTGCAAATATAATCAAATTTGTAAGGTTGAACAATAATTTAAATTATATTTAAATAGAGTTTTAAATCTTTTTTAAGAAAAGATTATGATTTTGCTTGTATATTATCTTGGCTTATCTCTTTTAGAAAGAAATAATTAGGCTTTTCAATAAATTCGATAATTTTTTATATTTTGATTTTTACTAGGTATTCAATTTCTTAATTTATTAGATTTTGTAAGTTTTCTACTGATATCTAAAATGGCTGATAAATTTATTTTATTTACTTTACTGTAAATATTTTCAATCTATAACAATTCAATACTTGTTTTACGCTATTTTCATATTTCAAAAGGATTTACATTTAATATACAAGTAATTTAGCTAATTAACAGCAAAATCGATAAGAAATTGATAAGATTGTAGATTATTATAAATAGCTGGTTCTATAGTTTAATGCTCATGCTAGGCTACGAATTAATAAATAAATAACTAAGTTCATCAAGGGTGCTACTTAAGTAAAACCATCAACTTTATAGATTAATGCCTAATTAAAAATAATTTTTAAAGAACAATAAAAAATAATGGGAGGAATTCTACCTATTCAAACTTTGCCCGTTGCTGTAGTGAACACAGTATCGGCAGAATGCCCTATCTGTCTTCAACCATTTGATTCTGATCTTATCATAATTAAAATATGGCGTCTTCGTCCAGGTATGGCCTCACGGCCATACATACTCGACTCATATTTTAATTATATCCGGCAAGGTTTTGCCATTCCAGAAAATGGGCAACAATGCCATGGTAAGCAATTCTGCAGAGCAGAGCCTGGCCCATGCCCAAAGACTAGAATGGATTTTCTCCCAGAGAGAAAAGGGTGCCCAACTTTGGAAAGGGTAAGCCCAGCAGAGTCTACAGGCAATGCCTAGACCATTCGGGCAACTACCTAGCGTGAAACTGGGCGTTACGTCCCAGGACTTGGAATTTCCCTTTTTGCCGAAAGGTGACCAGAAATTCCATTTTTTAGAATTTCGGAAAGCCAACTCTCGTAACTCAAGCAGCAGCCGCAGGATTCCATAGCCCGCCCACTCAAAACTTAAGCCGCTCAATGCGGGAAGGAGGAGACGTGCTTCCCTTTGGCAAGTCTTTATGGCTTGTTTGGGTACACGGCGCAAAGCAGGTGAACCTCACATTGAGGTCCCTGGTGTCTGCGTAAACAACACGGCAGTCGCCTCATTAATGTAATTTAAGATTAAGATTCTGATCTCATCATCCCAAAGATGATAAAATGTGGACATACAATGTGCTCAATTTGCTTACTTAGCATTCTCAAAAATAAACATTATTTATTGCAAGCAAAAAAGTATTTATTAATGTCATTTCTTTATTTATAAATTTTAGATAGGCTACTAATAATTATAATGCGAGATTTTCAGTTTAATTATATTAAAATTCAAACAGTTTTCATCTAAAACATAAAATTAAATTAGATATTTCACAAATTGAATTTTTTAAAGTAAGATAAAAAACTACTATTTTATTAAAATTTTAAGATTAGAGCGAAAAATCTTTCTAAGCAGGGGGGATTTAGAAAAATTAAAATCAGATATCGGTTCTGTATGCTCGATATGCAAATCATTAGACCCAGAAAACATCAAAAATTTACCCACAAATTATGCGATTTTGCAAATAAATGAAACTCAATATAATTCAAAGATGTGCATCAAGCATGGGCTTGAATATGGATGCTATTGCAAAAAAGACAATAAACTCTTGTGCTGAAACTGTGCTGAAGAGCATAGTAATCATAAATGCATACCTTTAAACAGCTCAAAAACTGAAAAAATTATTGATAAAATTAATCATAGGTTCTTATGTGAAGAAGATTTTCTCTTGAAAAAATTGGAAGATATAGAAAGCAAGAGGATGGAGTTGCATGAATGCATGGATTTGGTTAGATCAGATTAAATTCTAACGGGTCTTAACGGTTTATATCACCCCCTCACCATCACAGTGAACTTCAGGCTCAAGTAGCCCTAGTTACCTGTCATCTCGCCAAAAAATTGCTTTGGGAGAATCCGATGTTCATGCCTTGGTCTGGTTCTTGGGCACTGAATCCTTCAGCCTCATTCAGTGTTCAGGGTACTAGTAAGATGTCTTTGGTGCCTCCTTCTCAAATATAAACCTATATACGCATAAATTACTTTCCAGATGTGCTAGCCGGAAATTGCGCTCTCGGTATTCCTGGGCCACCAATATGGCTAGCGCCTGACTTTTAATAATCCTAATCCTAATCCTAATCCTCCTACCTGGGCTGGAATAAACTTACCAGTCACCCTGAACCTATTCTATACTCGCCATCTTTTAAAAAGTATGAGTGCATGGAAGAAGTTGAAAAATCTGTGCAAATTCAGATAGATTCCCTGAATAAAACGCGAGATGATTTGATTGCTAAATTAAATTTTGCAACAGATGAATGCATAAAAAAGGTTGAAAAAACATACAAAAAATCAAAAATTATGGCAGCAGACGAGGCTTTACAAGCTGCAGCTAATGATGTCAAAAATGAATATAGAAAAATCTTACATGCTTGCAATTAAAACTTTAATTTATTTTAAATTTTTTTTACAAATCATTAATTTGTTATAGAGGGAATTTAGAGCAAAAAGAAAAGTATGAAAAATCTCCAAAAGAAAAGAAACTTTTATATTTCAAAATGAAAACTTTAAAGCATAAAAGATGAGCATTGCCTTCCGTTGGCAAATTTTCCAGCATAGTCGAGGAGCTCAAAGATGACCAAAATTACTCGGAAAATATTTTAGCTGAATTCGAAAAGCTTATAATGTAAATTAATTAATCTGAATTAATTAAAGCTAATAACAATATTATCGTAAATATTATCTTTTGTTCAAGCTATCAAATTTATGTGACAATAAAGTAATTGAACATTTGAATTTTTCAAGATTTGCTTCAACCTTTAAAACTCTCTCCGAAAGATCACTTAATATTGCTTCATTATCATCTGCATCAATCCCCAGCTCTTCTCTAATTTTATTGAATGATCGAGTTTGAGTTTGTACTGAGTCTCATGCATTGATTTTTTCTTCAGATGTGCTAAATTTGGATTTTGTATAAGTAAAAGCCCTTTTAATAGTTGCTATTGCTGAATTGGTTAGCAGAATTTCTTTTAAAGCTTTCTCTTCGCTGCTTGTAAGTGTAAAGATATGAGTAAGCGTCACAAACAAAAATGAAAGAACTACACTGCCAAGGAATGAGCTCAAAGCAATAGTTATTCTTCCCAAATTAGTAGCTGGAAAGAAATCTCCATATCCAATTGTAAAAATGGTGACAATTACATTTCATATAGCATTTCCTGGATAATCAAAATCAACAGCAGACCTTTTCATTGGCCTTTCGAAAATTCTCATTGTCGATGCAAATATCAATGTTCCAGGTAATAATAAGAAAAGAAAAAGCATGGCCATCGGGTTTTGATTTACATAGCATTTTAGTGAAAAATAAGGACTTGGCGGAACATCATATTTTTCACAATATCTCATAGCAATAGGGTTCTGATAACTTCCATAATTGAATAATACAAATATTAAAAATGCTCATCTAAAGAACATCATAGCATAAAATAATTCAGCCCAGAAATAGCAGATATTGACTTCTTGATACAGTATTTGTTGCCGAAGAGTAAATGTGGCGTTAAGTCCAGGATAAGGAAAAATAATATTTACACAAAACGCGAAAATTGTGTCTCCTCCTAAATAATCTCTTCAGGTTGCTTTCTTTTTCAATTTAGAATACTCTGAAAGGGAAATTTTTGCTAGACAAGGGAGCTCTCGATATGTTGAAGGTATATGTTTTCTTCATTTAATATAATAATAGCGATAAGGTATTAAGAGAATAATTGAAATGAGGCAAAGGATCATGACTAAAAATCTTGGAGATGAGTTGTGATCTGTGTCAAGGTCACAATTTTCAGCATTTCTAGCCTCAGAAAATCTCATTTCATAATCAGTACCAGCAGGAAAAACTGAAACAGCTGAGAATATCGCTGAGGCAAGCCTGAATATTCTTCATCTATTTAAAAGAATTTGAGACTGTTGAACTTCGCCTATCACCTCATTTTTCTTGTGAACGAGGTTGAAATTACGGCTAAATTGAATCTTCGCCATAATTTAAATATAAAATATGAGTATGATAAATTTTTCAATTTATTTGGATCAAATTAAAAATGATTATGATGGCTAGGAAACTTCTCATTCAAGGCTCTTGTACAAGCAAAAATCTATATCTCAAACTTACTTCAAGCCTTTAATATATGAATTTTAATCAGTATTAAGAGAAAAGGCTAGACATTATGCAAGAAATCCAACTCATTACATAAGAAAATTTTCTTTGGGGTTTATTGATTTAATTTGTTAAAATTTAAATAATTTTAACACTAATTGAAATGGCCATACAAGATCAATATGAACAATAATTTGAAATATTAAACTATTTATTATAATTTATCCGTTTATTATCTATATTCACACTTACTATTGAACCTATATGCATGCCATTGAAGAAATAATAATTTTATCTTGAATTAATAATTAATAAAGCCTAACTTCTCATTAATTATTCCATAATAATGTTATATGAATGTTGAGTATTTTACTATAATAAAATGACTTTTAGTGGAATGAGCTCTTATAGAGAACTTTTCCTCTTATTGCATATTCATTATTATTGAGTTCAGTTGCTACAGATATAACTTTATCCAGCTATAGCCGGAAAACCTAGCGCACAAGCTGGAAAAGCTGGTCCTTGAATTCACGAGGCACAGCTTTAAATACTTGATATTTTTGAATGAAGACACTTACTCCCCTTCGTGAGAGAACAAAAAAACTTTTGTTCGGCACGGAAGAGGGTTAATTTTTCAAAATTTATATTTAAAATTTTATACTAAATTTTTTTTTCAAAATTTAAAAAAATTCCAATTTGTAAAATAGAGAAGTAAAAATAAATTTAATTTATGTTTTTAAAATGCAATTTGTTTAAAAATTATACAGAATTAGCTAGAGATTTTATTATACTAATAATTATTCATATATAAATTTTTTTTAATAAAAAATTTTTTGGTTCGCTCATGGAGGGTGGGTTTTAGGCAAAAAAGAGGATTTTTATAATGGTTTTGTTCGCTCACGGAGGGGGAGTTAGGCAGAAAATGCGCAGAAGTCAAGCTCAGGGTGAGTTAAGGTTCCTGTGAAGTCCTTTGACCAACTAGGCCTTCATAATTTTGATTTTCTAGTAATTCCAATAAAAAGGCAGAGGAAAAGGCTTATGAGTAATATGCACATTCAACTTGCCAAAAAAGATATCAGTTAATATAAATTCCCTTAATTAGCCAAAATTTGCTTATTATTAGGAGGAGTAAACTAGCATATTATAATGTTTAGTATTTTAAAGATCGCTGCAATAATATGCGTTCTGATATTCGACACAAGTGGATGCTCAAATTTGATATTTATTTATCTGATTATGTTTGGTGGAATTGATTTTTACGAGCTTTTTTTCAATATTGGTGTCCTATGCTATGCAAATGGAGGGCAACGGCACATTTCTTCTTGGCTTGTGAATATTATGTTAGCATCATGCGAAAGGTAATGATTATGAAGCTTCAGGATGATTATATCAGTCGCTATGTCAGTTGAAATAATTAGAGACAGAAATTGTGTTATACATAGTATAATGGGAATATTAGCTATGTGCCTTTGTGCTATGACTTATTTTAAATGCATAATGTTGATGATTTACGCGCTGCTATGACTTTGCTACAGGAAAAGGAAGAGAAGAGAATTGCAGGAAACTGTTGATAGCTTAAGACAATATTTGACTCCTATGCCTGAAGGAGAGATTTGCTCTATATGTATGGATCATGAAGTAAGAGAAAGTGTGGTTTTGCGATGCAACCATTGATTCCACAGAAGTTGCCTTGAAGAATGAATACAACGAAGAATGGCTTGCCCTATGTGCCGAAGGCCATTGTAATATAAATTAAAAAAATTATACCACTTAATAAGCATAAATCAAATGGATTATTTTACCTGATACTTTTAGAATCAGAATTCATAATTAAATAAGTTTCATATGCTACATATTGTTCTGTTGAAATATATTAACTATCTCAAATTAAATAAACCAAAAAAATGCAATTTGTATAATTTATTAAATGGAAGAACTTCCTACTTTAAAAATCCTTACATTGGGGGATGCTAGTGTTGGAAAAACTTCAATTCTCCTACGTTTTTCAGAAGACGAATTTCCGAAAACAACTATGCCGACAATAGGAATTGAATATAAAACAAAATACGCTGAGATCTCAGGAAGAGCAATAAAACTTCAAGTTTGGGATACCGCAGGACAAGAAAGATACCACCGAACTCTTGCCAGCACATTTTATAGGCGAGCAAATGGGATTGTTTTAGTATTTGATTTGACTGATAAGACTTCTCTTGAACATGTAGAAAGCTGGATGAAACAAATCCGAGCAAAGGCCGATCCCAAAGTGGCGATTATCCTTGTAGGAAATAAAATGGATTTGATAGATCAAAACGAATTTCCTGAAGGCAAATCCCTTGCAGATTCTTATGGGATCCCTTTTATTATGGTGAGTGCTAAAACTGGCAAAAATGTCGTAGAAGCATTTAATACTCTTTCGGAAATGATCGTCATGCATGATCCTTCTGCTCTGCAAGATAACGCAGCCACCACAGAAACTTTAACCCAAAGACATAAGCCTCCACCTAGCAACCAATGCTGTAGCAGTTAAATTACGTTTTAATTTCTTTTTAATTATTTTATATGAATAAAAGTGCCAGTGTTAAAGCAGCAAACACGAGGTATAACGCCCCTGCTGCTATTTTCACGATCTTTTCAGGTATATGTTTTCCAATAACTTTCCCCAGAATTACTGCCAAAAATCCAATTATTGCAAAACCCATAATTGCTCCAATGGCAACAAAAATAGGATTTGATAGCGCGGCTAGTGCCATTATGCTTGTGTTGGACTTATCACCCCATTCAGCAAAAAATACCATTGCAGCAGTTTTCCAAAAAGTTTTAAACCAAGTTGGATATGATATTAAGGGTTCCTGGTTATCTCCTTCAATTTTTTCGCTTTCTCCAGCATATGCTTCATAAAATGACAAAATTGCATATACCAAAAACATTACACTTGAAGCAATTGCAACCCAGAAAGGATCGATCAAATAAATAACCGCTCCTCCGATAAATGCTGCAATTACAGCAATGAAGGTCATAGTCAATTGATTTCCTAGGAAGATAGCAGATCTTGAGTAAGTCATAGCTAAAACTGCGATTATAAAGAAGGTTCTGTCACCAATTTCAGCAATAAAGATTGTCAGAAGGGAACTTCCAATTGTTTCTAGTGGAGAACCAGTTGAGATGATAGCTCTTGTGTCAGTCATTTAATTTTTATAAATAAATATTTTTGCCCTTTATATTGCACTGTTACTGGACCAGTTGCTGGTCCATTTACATTAGTATGGAAAGTTAGACCATATTTAACAAAAAGTAAAAATTCTTGTGAGGCTGTTCAGATAAGGGAGGTAATAAGAAATAAGCATAAAAATATGGAGAAATAAATAATCTGCGATAAAAATATGAATTTCACAACTGGTATTAAATTAAGGATTTGTATGAGATAATTACTTATGATCTTATAGTAGCAAATGATTGAATAATTTTGAAGGATTTATCTGTCGATATAAGCAATATTAACTTTGTAAAAATAAGCTCGGAAAAGCTTTTCTCGAAATAATCTTTTTCCTTCTTTGAAGTAACTAATAGATACATTTTTTAAAATATCCATTAATTCTTTCCTTCAAATTTTATCCCATAACCAAGTATATATTTAGAAAGCCTGAAATTTCTAACAAAGCATTAAGAGAATAAAAATTGGATTTTGGTCAATCATGATTCTACAAGATGAGAAATCACTTATAAATCTTAATTATTTCTTGCATAAGGTTTCTTTTTAATAAAATTATAAATTAATCCATAATTATTCTTTAAGGTGTTTATTTAATGGGACATGAGCTTGAATATCCCTGGTCACTTTACGTAACTAGGAGCAAGAAGAAAACCAGCCAACAAATAACTCTTCAAGCTTGGGAAGAACGTCTCAAAAAGCTCAGCACATTTAAAGAAGCTGAAGACTTTTGGCAAGTTTACAATAACATCAAAGTCCCCACGGATATATATGGAAGAGGTGATTATTACTTGTTTAAAGGCGAAATTTTGCCTGAGTGGGAGCACCCAACAAATGCAAACGGAGGAGCATGAATTCTGAGGACTGAATACTTGGAAAAAATCAATGAGCAATGGCTTAATACACAACTAGGATTAATTGGATGCTTTTTTTTGGAGCTGATGCCTCATATATGTGGAGCTGAGATGTGTGTCCGCATGAAAAGGTTCAGAATTTGCTTATGGATAGACACAATTGAAGAAAACATTGCAATAGAGATTGGGAGGAAATTTAAGGAATTGATTGGGCAGGAAACTGGATTAGAGTTCAAAAAGCACTTCGACGAAAAAGTTCTTTATACGATTTAAATAGGAACTCAGCTAAAAATAATAGCTTAATTTTTTCATCACTCCCCGTTAAATTTTCTTACTCCCCCCCCATCCTTGATCGAACGACTCGTCATCGTTCGATCAAGGATGGGGGTTAAAAAAAATTTTTTTGGTAAAAAATTTTATATATAAAAAAAAATATATATATAAATTGTTTTTTATTTACTTTTAAATAAGAGGGTTAAGAGTATTTAATAATTATTTTTACAGCAAAAAATTGAATTTAATTTCATAAAAATACCAATTTTTTATATTTTAATTTATTAGTTACCCCTTTAAACTGTATAAATTTTAATTTGTTACTTAGATTATTGAGTTTTTAAGCCCATGCTGATGACTAAAATTACTTTGATTGGTTGATTCCGAAGCTTTCTATCGTCTCAAAGTCTCTGAAAACAACTTCATTAGGTACATCTTCCCAAGCTTTTGATAACTATTATATTTTTATATATATAAAAAATTTGCATGATATGAAAATCGTTCGATCAAGGATGGGGGTTAATTTTCCCAAATTTTAGGAATTTTTACAGTCAATCGTTCGATCAAGGATGGGGGGGGGAGATAATAAAAATGTTTTCAATTTATAAATAATTTTTTTTAATTTATTTTTTATAAAGAATTAATTCAAAAAATTATCGATTCCAGCGTGAAAACTGTTCAAATTATATTCTACTTGAGTTTTTCCCATTAAATTAGGTCAAAACTGATTTATAAAAATAAATATTTTTACCCATAAAACTTTCTTATTGAATAAGCAAGTTTAAAGGGAGGTGAAATGACCAAAAATTCAAAATTCTATCTATATTTCCAATTTAAAAGGGGGGGGTAAGTAAAATATTATGAGCTAGTCTTTGTTTGAACGTTATCAAACGTCATGTTAACTTCAGAAGTAGATTCAAAGCATATTTGATTCATCATAGTTCATGGAATAAGGAACGACATATAATATTTTATCTTAAAAGCATAATTGAGATTGATTCAATACGAAAATTATATTTGAGTTATTGTCCCAATATGCCAGGTTGATTAAAAAATTTGTCTTTAAAGACGACCTAAATTTTCATTTTTACTAAAAATAAAATTATGATTATGGCACTTTGTTAAGCAAAATTGCATAATTTTTGAAGCTATGACTTTCTCTATATTTGAACCCACAAATACATAATTTAGCAAGGTCTTATAAAATTAAATCTCTCTGCCAAGAATGACATCATATGAAATATTCTTTCATGATAATTTAAACATTTTACTTTTTTTTTCTAAAATCCTCCCTTTAGCCAAACTATTGATATTAAGCCATATGTGTTTTGGAAATGAGTTTCTGTGCTATTATTTACAAAAATTACTTTTCCTTGAAAAAATTTTATAAGTTTATTATAATAAATCTAAAATCATATCTGATCCAACTTAAAAATATTTTCCAACAAATTTCAATCCCTAGAGACAATTTTCAATCTAGATAATTGACATTCTCAATAAATATTTCCTTTTAATAGCATTTGTTCTCCAGCCAAGAGTTGACTTATTTTTCAAAAATGGTGCAATATTATAAAAAATAATGGGAAGTTCATCATCAGTTTCTTCACAGGTTGAAATGCAGGAAAAGCAAAAATCTACCGTAAAACTTCCATACGAAGATGATTTCATTATCCAAATCCAATTACCGAACAAAGGTGACTGTTACGAATACAAATATCCTGCATTTAAGGATAAAATATCCTTTACTACTCTTATGAATTTATTATGCTTTGAAACCGAGTTTGATGAAGAATTAGATTCAAATTTCATATCCAGATATAATAAGTCAAAAGACAGATTCGAATATTTTGTTCAAAAACTTATGGGAATTGAAACTGAAGATGAGACTTCCCCGTATAAAGGAAAAATGTGGGTCGTCTATATAAATAATTCCCAATGGGATTGGGATGAAATTTGTGAGAAGGACCTTAATATCAAGATCAAAGACAAAATCGTTTGGAAGTATCAAAAGTGTAATAATAAATAATGAAATAATTAGCACTAAGAAACTGTTTCAGGTTTGGAAAAAACACTTAAAGGGGTTTCTGTCACTTTCGGATTTAAATATGTAGAAGCTATAGTTGAAAATTAGATTCGTATTGCAAAAATTCTATTAAACTTCGTGATTAGGTTGAAAATCTGATATAATAATTATTCCTTATTTTAAAAATCTTTTATCAGAATTATTCAACTACTTTAAATAGTGTAATGAAGGGGAAGCAGTGTGCGATGAGAGCTGCAGGTCGGGCTTTACTTGGTCTAGAGGAGAGCAATGACAGGCTGATCGACTGCAGGCTCACATCCGGGGCAAGGTTTTACTGCGAGAGACAATGGAACTCGGAAGTTGGAAAGGGATAGCCCAGCAAGGCGAGAAGCATTCGATGGCCAATCGGGAAATATCCCAGCCTCTTTACCTCCTGGCCCTTGTCCGGAGGCAGCAATACATACTTTAGGCCGTGCAAATGGACTATCAAGTAAGAGGATGGAGCAAAGCAAGGGTCGTGAAAAGTTGGCATGGAGGGCCGGAGCTACTCTATAATAATATAAGTCAAGTGTTTTACTCCTGAAGGGGAACCCTTTATCTAAGCACGTGCAGAGGAAACTAAACAGCGAGGCAATGTAGCTCGCAAGATTCGGCGGCCAGGCAAGAGAATTGAGTGTTTAGGAGCCGCTAACTCTTTGGGCGGAAGAGGGCCCACAAATTCGAATTAAGAGGCTATGTTGAAATTATGCCATCCTGTGGAATCGGATGGTATTTCAAATATTAATTAATTTAGTAAGTAATGAAGACACCAAGAAAGATAAAGATAAAATGTTACACAGCCACAAGCGGCAGCCCAACTAATCCAACTATCTTGACTCCAGGAAAGGTGGCCTAAACTGGGTGCGTGTACGCCAGATCGCAAATGGTGTAAGGCTCAACCAATTTTTCACTCTCTTGAATTTTCCTGGCGAGGATCACTAGTATAGGTATTATCATCCTCTAGGTTAAAGCCAACTTCTGTGGGTTACCTGATAGTTCCGATAGACAAAGACTATATGAGATGCAAAACTTGTCTAGCCCACCTGGCTTCGCAGGGACAGGAAAACCTTTGAGGAGAGGCAAAACTTCCCTCTTCAGTAAGTTATCTCCAAGCCTGAAGGCCTATTTCAAAAAGGGACAGAGGCCCTATTTTCGGTTTTATCAAAGAAGCCGACCCGCTCCATAAATAGTGCACCTTAGAGACCAATTTCTGCCAACTTCACAATTTTTTTCTACACCAAGAAAAGAATTAGAAAAATAAGCGATATTTGAAAATTATATTATCAGAATAATTCCATCTATATAATTTAAATCTGACATAAAACTATTAAACCTGAGTATAATAAAATACTTTCATCAGAACTTATTCGGAATTATATAATACGGTTATTAATCAGTATTTTTCCTCTATCTAAATGTTTGATATCAATTACTTTATTATCAGATTTATAAATAAAAGAACTGCTCAAGCAAAGACCTTTATACTCTTCAATGTCATTATCATTAATTTTAAATCCTGGTCAAAATATTTTAAGATTTTTATTAACTTTTTATTTATATCTTAAATTAATATGAATTCAATTTCTAAAGTGGAATATCTTTAAGTGCTTTTTTAGGCTAATGAAATAATATTTAAAATAATTTTATTGCAATGGCTTTTTGCTTTGTGCTAACCCCAGCTTTTTCAATGAACTCCCCAGATATTTCAACCCTCTCAAGCTCATGCGCTGACTCTTTGGGTGTAGAAGTCCAAGATATTGAACTTTTTACACTCGTCCCTTTAAAAGATATTACAAAATCAAGAGAAGTTGTAATAAAGGTGAAGCAGAATTCTTTTTCTCTATCTTTTATAGAAGATCTTCTTACACAGCGAGATCAGCTTCAACTTCAAGTGCAGCGATCAAGAGATGCTCTGATTGCTTACTCTCAAAAACTTGAACTCCAGCCAGATTTAAAAATCCCAATTGACGAAAAATATGCAATTTAAATATAGTGTCTCAGTGCTTCGCTGTCGGCTGCGTTGACTTCCTTCAAGTACATATTTAAATTATAGTAATTGCCCGAGGATGGCGCTATCTTGCGCCATCCTCGGGCAATTACAATATATCGGCAAGGTTTTGCCATCTCAGAGAAGGATAGCTATGCTAGGTAAGCAATTCCAGTACTGTGTTACGTCTAGTCTTGGTCCAGTTTCAGGGTTGGATTTTACCTCAAGTGTGAAGGAGACTTGGAATTTGGAAATGGAACATCCAATCAGGTCTATAGGCAACGCCTAGCCTAATTGGCAAATCTTCCAGCGCAAAAACCAGAGTTAGTACCACATATTTTGAGTTTTTTGTGAGCACAGCCTTGTACCCCCTCAGCCTCGAGCAACGTTACAGAAAGCCGAAGACTCTCCACTCAACACTTAAGCCGGAAGGTAAGGACAAGGCACTGTTATCCCTGGCAAAAGGCACTGTCGTAAAGCGTTGAACCTCCTATATCGGAGATCCTCAGCAGCTGCGATAAAGCCAGGCTTGCGCATCTGTTAATTTAAGTTTAAGTTTAAGACTAAAAATATGCAAAGAAGTTAGCTAAGTTATCAGAGGATAACAAAAAACTTAGATTATTATTAAAGACTCAATTGGAAAATGCAGAAAAGCTTAGATCTGAGACTCAAAAAACAGTGGAAAATCTTCGTCAAGAGTTTGACACTCTAGTAAAAGAACTTCTCCAGGCAAATGAATCAAAAAATTTAAACCTCCCAAAGAATATTACAGATAAAAAGCTGTCAGTTCCAAGATTAAAGCTATAAATTTTTCCTGTTTTAAATTACATTTATTTAGGATGAATAATTCTTTATTACCACAAGAAAATAAAAAACCAATTATTAATATTAATATAATATTCATTTTAAATAGGCAATTTATTATAATCATTTTATTTGCAACTCCTCAGCATATTCATATTTTGTTAAAACAATTGCTAATTAGTTGCCATTATTCTAATATGCTTAAAACAGCTTTAAGAAACTTCGGGACTTTAACATCCAAAAAGCCTGTTTACAAGAAGCTCCAAACAAGATTCAACAAGCTCTATGATGAAACGACAGCAATGCCTTTATTCTTGCGTTTAGCATGGCATGACGCAGGGACTTTTGACGCAGCAACTAAAACTGGTGGTCCTAATGGAAGTATCAGATTTGACAAAGAGCTCGCCCATGGTGCCAATGCTGGACTTACATGGGCAAGAGACCAAATTGTTATTATAAAGGCTGACTTTCCAGATGTAAATTACGCGGATTTGATCCAAGCAGGAGGATATATTGCTGTTGAGTACTGCAAAGGCCCAGCAATCGCTTTCAAATTTGGAAGAAAAGAAGCTCCTGATGATTCTCACTGCACCCCTGACGGAAGGTTGCCTGACGCCAAGCTAGGAGCTGATCATCTCAGAAGTGTTTTTGGAAGGATGGGATTCAATGATAAAGAAATCGTCGCTCTAAGTGGAGCACATACATTAGGGCTAGCTCACAAAGACAGAAGCGGGTTTGAAGGGGAATGGACTACTAATTCCAATACATTTGATAACGCTTATTTCACTGAGCTGCTTAAACCCCAGCCCAACCCTAAACTTCTAAGACTCCCAACCGATGTGTGTCTACTGCACGACAAGAAGATGAGAAAATGGGTCGATAAGTTTGCATTTGATTCTGCCGATTTCTTCAAAGAATACGCTAAGGCTCATAAAAAGCTTTCTGAGCTAGGTAATTAACTCAGTTTCTTAATTTTTTTCTATTTCCAGCTCGAAGTGCTTTCGCCTTCAGCGACTTGCGCTTGTCCTCGCGTGGGATATAGACTTTAATATGCATTAAACTATAAAATTAACCTAGATGAGTAGGCTGATATAAATATGCAGGGGCTGAGTCTCCTTTCTTTAATTGAACTTTTAAGCGTTTACCAAGTACCTGATATCCATTAAGTGCTCTCACAGCATTAGTCGCACTTGTAGGATTATCATAAGTCAGAAACCCAAAGCCACGGCTTCTTCCAGAGTCTTTTTCTGTCATAATTCGGGCACTTGTGACTTTTCCGAATGGAGCAAAGTGAGCGACAAGCTCGGTTTCTGTTCATTCATTAGGAAGGTGAAACAAAAATAAATTGCACCCAGTCTTGGCCTGGGATGCTTGCTGGGATTTGGCCTGGATCGGGGATGATACTTGGATTTGGTCGACTGGGATTACAAGGGCACTTTCAGGCTTTTCCCACTGGGTTTCTCCAGTTTGAGAGTTCCAGTAGTAAGGCCGCCCGTCTGAAGAAATGTACTCAACAAAAGTTGATACATATTGAGGAGGGGCTTGCTTGTAGTCTGCAAGTCGTTCTTCTTCTCCATCTGCCCATCGGATTGTCAAGTTTTTCTGCTTAGAACTGACTAAAAATTACCTTACAGCTGATCTTTCAAGTTCGCGAATGCATTTTTCAGCGTGGCTTTTTTTGGCAAACCTTACATATGCGCATCCGAGATCTGAATAAAAGTTACTTTTGCCTTGGTCTTTGAAAGGTGACACATCAATTATGGTTCCAAAAGTTTCGAAGTATTCTTTTATGTTGATTTCGTCCCACTCTTTAGGGAGTTTTGAAACAAAAAGTTTTAAGTCAGGCTCAGACGACATTTACTATTTTAATGATTATAGAGAGCCGAATACACTTCTTTAGATATGGAATTTTATTTTTTTTAGATTAGGAAAAGAAAGATTTGGTTTTAGGCTAAAAATAGAGGGTTTAGAGGAAAGCAAGTTTGGTTAGCAGTAATCTTATTTATTTTTTAATATACATTAATATGGGTAGGCGACTGGCCGACCTCTTGGCGAAATATTCTTAGCACCTAAAGGTGGGAAGCCTAGCTGAGAAATAGGTCAAACATCCTTTGTGTATATCGGACAACATTTTTCTCGTGTCGCAGGAGCTAATCTTGGGACAGAGGTTTTACCTCTAGTGATTATTGAAAGGGCATGGTAGCGACGGCCAAGATAGGTAGAGCGATAATATTCCACATTAACCACAAGATGGTATGCGCCTAACACGATACTTGAAGTTGTGTCTCGTTAATCAGCCAAGAAGGACTTCGAAGTCAGAATGTCCAATACTATTGTGCAAGACTCTCCTGCGGCGGCGGCAGAGGGACGGGTGCCTGCCGGACCCCTCTGGGGTGATAATCATATATAATGCAAATTCATTGCCAGTGTGTGATAGCAACGTTGTCAATTAATTAATTTATTTTTTAAAAATCAGGACCGAAAAATTTAAATTAACTAAATACTGTGAAATAATATAAATAACGTATAGGAGTAAAAGTGATGTATATTTTAATAATAGAGGCTTCTTAAATAAATTATACTTTAAATGGAAAACGACGACCGAGCAGTCACAGCTCATTTTTATCTAGTTCTCAACAACTTAGTTCGTACAATTGATACTCTCCAATCTGAATTTTCGTCACGAACCCCTACAACTCACGAGCAATGGCATTCATCTCTGCTTCGAGCAATGGAAGAAGGCAATCGACAAAGATTTTTCGACCAATGGGAACGATACATCCCAGATGTCTGCAAAACAGGGGAATATGAAAAGCTTGAATTTTTTTCTCACATTTATTTCACGGTTTTGCCTTTAATCCATGGAAAGCGGGATATTTTTACCAATGAAATGAGGATTTTCAAAGATTTCCTCAATACAAAAGGGGCAGATTTTTGCAAGACGACAGAGTTTTTACCGTTTTATGCACTTCCACATATTCCAAATCCTTTAAATCATCCGACTTTTAAGAAATATTTCAACCAAGCATGATGCAATCAGCTATTGGGAAAAGTGCAGGGTTATTTAAAAGAGCTTGCAACAAGATTTTCTCTGCCTAAAGAACAAAGCTCAGAAGCTTCTAACTTTTACCCTTATTATGCATCAAAACCTTGCTCGCTTACTAATGTATTTAAATTATTTTTTAAAAATCCGATTTTAAATACTTAATAGTAAAATCTAATTTAATAATTAACCGAAGAGCTCCTTAATGCAATCATAATTACTAAAAAAATGGTGATAAAAAATGGATTAGCTCTCTAACTAAGGGTGCAGGAGTAAGCAAGAAATGGCTAAAGCAAGACATAGAGAAGAGTATTTAAGGTCAGCTTTAATAGAGAGCAACACAAAATGGACAAATTTTGCCTTTACTCTGCTTGGAATATCTAAACAGCTATTAGCACACATTGGAGGGCTCGGAGAAGCTAATTTGCCATTAGTCAGGAAAAAGGTGTCAGAATATGAAAAATTCTTAATGAGTTCAGAAGATTCAGTCAGCAATGCTAGCTCTTTTCTTCCCGTTTCTCAAAAAGAGCATTTAGCAAATTTAAACTATCAGATTGTGAAACGAGACCTTTTTAATTTGCAAGATGAAATAAAGGCTTGTGCTTTATTTCAAGCGTTGAGATGGAGGCTAACTAGGACACCTGCATCAGTTAGAAGAGCGGTTTTGGATGAATATGTAAGAGAAGATATTCTTAAAATGGCTGATTCTGGACTATCTATTTTACTGCAAAGAGGAAACCCAAGAGTGATTGATTATGCTTGCAAGCTTGCAAATGTGATGGCAAGCGAAATTCAAGGGAGGAGCTACCTTTTAGCTGATTCTCAGTTGATACCTACTTTAGTCTCAATATTAAGAAAAGAAACTCAAGACACTGTTTTAAGGCAAAACACAATCGGAATCCTACAGAAACTGTCCTTAAGAAGAAGGCCACAGAGTGTGATGATTGAGTATAAAGTCATAGAATGGCTTATAAGCATCCTAGAGTCACCTCAAAATTTAAGTGAATATACCTTAGAATACAGTTCAGCCTTATTAATGAACCTTTCTTTGCGTACAGCTGGCAAGAATGTCTGTGAAAAGCTTGACGTCTTACCTCTCCTTGGCACTTTAATGGAGCATGAAAACCCTAATGTAAGAACTTATATCAATGGAACCCTTTATTCAATATTCACAAGACAAACTTTGAAAAGAAAAGCTAGAGAAATGGGGTTTGAGCAACATCTAGAAAAACTCTATAATAGTTCAGAAGAAGCTTTCAAAAAACAAATTTACTTCGTATTGGAACAGCTCAGATGTGAGTATGAAGACAGCTGCTATTCAGATGAAGAGCAAGATGAAGAGGAGCCTTCTTTGAACCCGGATGAAGAAAGTGAGCAGATTTCTGATGATGAAGACATGGACGATTTACTTGATGCATCAGGGCTACTTGGAGAGGAGTTGCTGAGGCAGTATCAGACAAATCCTACAGAAGAGTCAATATCAAGAACATCATTTTATCAGAGGGCTCAGCAAAATTCAAACTCAACCAGTGTAAGAGCTTCGTTTATGGACATTGACCCAAATAAATCAAGTCCTCAAGATTTCAATGAAATAGTGCACGCATTCAAGCCCAGGAGTAAAATTCCTCGAACGCCTGTCCATCAGAATTAATAATTAATCAATATAATTTAGTTACTTTAAAAGCCCTTTCGTAATTATTGATAAGAAAAGGCGAAGATCTATCACAGAAATTTTTGTTTCTGCAATAATATTTACGATATCATCCAAGTCAATGTCGCTATGTCCTGGCCTTTGAACTATAGCACTTTTATGTGCAATTACAGCGCTGCAAATTAAATTCCACTGCTTTTTGGCATAGTCAGGACATGATTTATTTTCAAAAAGACTTTCTAATGCATCAGCCATAGTATCAAATTTAATATCTTCTTTTTTTGTTATATCAAGATATTTAAATAAAAATACAACAATGTTGTATAGCTCAGCTCTTTCAAGAACCAATAAAATATAAAATAAAGAAAATTCTTTCCAAGTCATTTTATTGCCACTTAAAAGAGTTTCATTGATTCCTTTTAGGACTCCAAATGGAACAGAATATTTTAAGCACACAAGATATGGATCCAGACCATGGCTATCGCCACATTTTAGCTGAAGCGAGCAATATTCAGTTGCTATAGTGATCATTTCGCTTCGAGTTAAGTAATTTTTGAAAGCTGCATCAACTGATTGGACCTCTTTTACTACATCTTTCATGTTAGGGAGCTTAGAAGGGGATTCCTTGAACTCCGGCTGAGCTGGGATTTGAAGATTCTGGGTCCTTAGTTTATTGATTTCAAATTTCAGTGAGGGTAAAAATGATTTCCGAAATCCTCCTGTGCCTTCTTTGATTTTATAGCCATTTAAAGGTCGTTCTGTATAATTTGCAGGTTTTTCTGGCTTGATTTCAAAGTTAGTTTCATTATTGGGAATTGATTTTCTGGAAGTTTTGGGCATACTCAGCTTCATCCCTTGAAAAAAAGCTTTTCAATTGATTGCTTTGGCTTCTTCAAGATTATTGAATAAGGGCATTGTAGAAGGCATATCGGATTTTCATCTGAATATTTGAGTACTTCTGCTGCGTTTGGAAACAGGCAGTATTTCAATAAGATTGCAGCATATTTTATTAGGTATAATACTGCCATCAGTGCTTTTTCTTTCATCTCTTTCTTTTATTGGTGATTCTTGCTTTTCATGAACTTTTTTATCATTTGTTGGCAGTATATTTATTGTTCCTTCAAGTTTGGGATTCAGGAGTGATGCATTTATTATTATTTGTGCTTCAGGATCATAGCCAGTTAATGTTGGATTAAAATTCAATTTTTCCTTCGGGCTTATAATAAAAATATCGCTGTCTTCTGGAATTTCTTCAATTTTTGTCACTGGTGAGTCTTTGTATGAGCAGTAAAGATAACGGAATGCATCATCATAGACCTCATCAACTGAGTTTCGATAATAATCTCGTATAATTTTGCAATCAGGGTTATTCATTTCAATAAATGCTAATAGTTTTCTTACTCCCGCCGCCATTATTAAGTAAATTTTTTTAAAATGCTTTGATATATATAATTAATGATTATCAAAATGAATATCAAGCTGATTATAAATTGTAAGAAGCCTGCGTTCTAAAACATAAATTTTGTGAATTAATTGCAGTTTGAAATTTGAAAATTTGCAATTTAAAATTAGAAATATTTAATCTCAGTGAGTAAACAAAAATATTTTGCTTACTATAGAGTGAGGCGAGCTAGCTGAAAGCTAACTTGGATTTTAATATCGTTTGGGAGATAGTATACATAATTTCCAGCTTCTTCTTTTGAAGGCTCTAATTGAGATCTCAATGTTTTTCGTCTTTCTGAAAAAAGGATACTTTGAGAATTTATTCACTCATCATTTATATCTACAGAGGCCTTCTTTTTGGACAATTTTTTACTTCGTAGTAATATAGAGGTTTGAGGAAGGCTTTTTCGCGGTAGTGGATATAATTTTCCTTCTCTGAGTGTGGACTTAGACTCTGCTTCGCTTCTCAAATGATATTTGAGGCCATATGATTTAGCTTTTAAAGGAAACCCAATCTTTAAAGGCATGCTTTTGATGGATTTAGTTAGTTTTTCAGTGTCTTCCTTGAATCCAACATTTGCTCATATGTGGACTTTATTATCAAAGGGCGAAGTGCTTGAAGCTGTAATTTTATTATCGCTCATATAAAAATTAAATAAAATATATAGAGATATTCCTATATTTATTTGAGGTTTTAAAATACTTCGTGATAAAACAATAAGAGAGTTACTAAGATTTAATGCAAATTTCCAGTTTAGATTATTTATAATTAATAAATAAATTTGCAAAGATTAAATGAGTAAAGAGTTTTATAACTGTCTAGCTATGTATAATAAACTTAATTATTTACTTCATTTTTAATGATACTCAGAAAAATGATAATGATGGATTGTGTCGAAAAAAAAAAACTGACTCCCCTCCACTCCGTGAGCGAACAAAACCATTAGAAAAATCCTTATTTTTTGCCCAAAAACCCAGAACAAAAATTTTGATATATAAGTGATATTTATTATCATGAAATTTCTAGCTAATTCTGTTTAATTTTAAACAAATTGCGTTTTAAAACATAAATTTTACAAATTAAATTAATATTTGCTTTCCAATTTTTGTGAATTAGGATTTTTTTTAAATTTGAAAAATAATTTCTATAAAATTTATATATAAATTTTTAAAATAAAAAGATTAACCCCCCTCCTTGAGCGAACAAAAAAATCTTGTTCGCTCATGGAGGGGGGAGTGAGGGTTTTTTCCTGCTGCATTTTTACCGTCAAAAATGACGGAGGACTTTTTCAGTTTTTAAAAAAGTGTACCGAAAAACCTACCTTTTTTTTCGATTTTTTCAGGGAAAAATTCCCCTTTCTTGAAAAATATTTTATAGGGATCTATTTATTATAGCTAGAGATTTGACCTTAAAGATATAATATATAAAACTTGCTGCAATTTAATTCTAAACCCTAAAAATGTAAATCAATGCCGTTTTAGCTCTAAATTTTTTATAATATATATATCTATAATCATTTACTATTAGTTACAAATCTGCAAATCTTATTATATAGAATGAATTTGCCAGAGAAGTCTAATTCTTTAAACTATTAATCGTTTAGAGCTTTCTGATTATTGCTGATATATGAATTTTTTACGTTTTATTAGGTTTTTTCAGCAAGAAAAAAAACTCCTAACTCCCCCCCTCCGTGAGTGAACAAAAAAATTTTGTAAACTAGGAGGGGGGTTAATTTTTTTTTTTTAAATATAAATTTATATAGAAAATATTTTTTTTCGAAATTAAAAAAATCCTAATTCGCAAAAATTGGAAAGCAAATATTAATTTAATTTATAAAATTTATCTTTTAAAAAGCAAATTCGTTTAAAATTAAACAGAATTAGCTCTAGATTTCATTATACTAATTATCATTTATATATCAAAATTTTTTTCCATAAAAATTTTTTGTTCACTCACGGAGGGTGGGTTTTTGGGGCAAAAAATAGCGATTTTTCTAATGGTTTTGTTCACTCACGGAGGGGGGGGAGTAAGGATATTTTTACCGACAGCTCGATAATGATTGGCTATGGCAAATAATAATTATATATATTATTCACTTATTTTTATAATTAAATTAAGAGCAGGTTTTATGATTGTATAATTATAGCCAACATAGCTTTAAAGCTAAACAATAAGAAAATAAATGAGATTTTGTAATAATTTTTAAGAACTGCTAACTCGTCTCACTATTTTTTATATTGAAATTGAAAATAAAATAAAAATGAATATTATTTCTAAAACATAATTTTTTAATTTAAAAGCACACAATAAAAAAATAAAAGATCCTGCATATTAAAGGCTGGACAACTCATATGTGATTTATAGATATATAAAGAAATAAATTAATAAGTGACTATAATATTATTCTATTAATTAGCTCATTAATATTAATTTTAGATTAGGTATAAAAATAATATGCCAATTGTTGAATTAAAATTTTTAAGAATCTAATTAAGATCTATTAATAGCCTAGATGCCACAGCTCGCCTATAGGCAATACTACTCTTTCGTTTGATTATAATTTATTTTCTATTTATTGATATTATTAATAAAAATTGAAATTTCCCAAAATAATACCTATCCTGATAGCTAGTTTTTTTTTTAAATCTAGATAGTAGCTTAGGCTTCACTATCACTTAATTATTTAAAGTTTCTTTTTTATCATCGATTTTTACGATTTGAACCTTCAAATCTGATTTAAAATAATAAATTCAGAATCCATTCTCCATTATTAAATACCCCGAATGACTTTGTCCATTCCCTTTAAATTCGTCAAATTTGAATTTTTCGATTCTGACACAAAATTTACTAATGAGTCAAATTCTTTTATCCTCACATTGACGCATCTTGAATTGCTTGCTGGTTTCCAGTGAAAAGTGAATTACAAATATCCATTTTGAATTCAAATTATGATGCTTTTATATAAATAAGAATGCTAGGACAACAATTTAGTTGCTACTATACTTGGTGCGATAAAAGCTTCAACAGCAAGTACAACCTTAAACGCCATATAAACGCGACCCATATCGGTATTAAAAAATTCAATTGCGAGGTATGCAGCAAAAAGCTAGTAAGCAAGCAAAATCTTACCGAGCACATGTACACACACACTGGAGAGAAGCCATTTCGGTGTGAAGAGCCTGGCTGCGGAAAAAGCTATCGGCAATCTTCACAATTGAGCGTTCATAAAAAGGTTCACAAAAGAAATCAAAAGAAATTAGGAGAAAAGAAAACGAAATCCAAAGAGATTTCGGACCAAGAGGAGAGAGACCAACTTAGTTTAGATGGCCTTGAACTGCCTCCAATCAATTTTGAAAGCTGCTTCAGACAGCAAAATATTAAATTGCCTATTTACCACTCACTGCTAATATAATGTACCATTTTTCCATAAAATTACCATATTATTACCGTTAAGATTTTCTGATTAGATACTGTAGATATAATAGCAGAGTTATATTTAGGGTCATTGCCTGTTGATTTGAAAATTTTCAGACGCCTTATAAATTTAATTGTTTATGATTTTAGATAGTCTTTTTATTCTGAAAAGATCAGATTTCCTTTATGATTTTTCAATAGAAAAATCCGGATATATAAATATGAAGTTAAAAAGGAAAATGGGTATAGAAATGATATTTTAAGATGGAATCAAATTGATATAAAATTAAAAGATTTACAGACTAAGTGTAAATCTAGAGAAAAGAGAAAATAATTGTTTTATGCAAATTTAATTACAATTGCAAATAAAAATTAAATTATTTTGTAAAAAATAAAAGAAATATAAAACATGAGCAAAGATTTTGGGGTACAAATGAATTCACGAAAATTATTTATGCAATATAGCTAACCTTTAGGTATTATTATGTTTTGATATCAATTTTTATTAAATTCTCTTTCATAAGAAATAAAGAATAATAGGAGAATGTAAATTTGTATCAAATAAAAATTCCCATTTCGTAAATTTCTTATTTAAATTTCTTACTCCCCCTTTCCGTGAGTGAATAAAACAATTGAAAAAATCCCTATTGTTTTTTATAGGGTTTTCCCCTATATAAATTCATCCCCATGTGAGCGAATAAAAAAATATTTTAATATAAAAATTTTTATGAAAAAACAAATTGATAATAAAATAAAATGATGATTAGTATATATTAATTTTAAACAAATTGCATTTTAAAACATAAATTTAACAAACTAAATTATAAAATTTATATATCAATTTAAAAAAAAATAACCCCTCTGTGAGCGAGAAAAATTTTTTGCTCACTCACAGAGGGACTTATCTAATTAAGAAATGACAGATAAAGAGAAAAAAGCATTTACCCAATGGCCAGGCACAAACAAGTTTTATTGTAGCGGAAGAATCATGATGGGGTAAATTCTAATTAGTCCTGATAATCACCGAGCTTTCATTACTTTTTTCCTAATCCTATGCCCAGAAATCGTCTATATTGCTTCCCCTTCAGTTTATTTTATAAAAGAGCACGATAATCCAGGACCTTTTCTTGTAAACCTATTTTTCACCATCCTATCACTATTTTTCCTTTACAGATGTGCCACAAAGAACCCAGGATTCATTCCAAAACAAAAGCCACCCTTTGCCTGGGGACCATCAGGCGCTTTGACGATCCAAGAATTAATGGAAGATTCATTCAAACCTAAAGAGGTCCCATGCGAAGGAAACCTTGTAAGACTGAAGTACTGCGTCACATGTAACATTATTAGGCCTCCGAGGGCTTCCCATTGTTCTGACTGTGGAGTTTGTGTGGAAAAATTTGATCATCATTGCCCATGGTTAGGAAACTGTGTTGCTAAAAGAAATTATAGAGAATTTATAGCATTTTTGATATCAACTTCTATGTTAGATATTTCGACAATGGGATTCTGCATATACCACATTGCTGATGTATGGACAGGGGAAGGATCAGGGACATCTGCTTTTGCAAGTGCCATGCAGCAAACAGGCCCTTCTGTAGCGCTACTCTTATATGGATTTTTGGTATAGTCTATTTAGGCATTTTGATTTGTAGTCGGGCTAACTATGTTTCATATGTATTTATTGTTCACAGGACAAAGCACACATGAAAAAATTAAAGGAAATTTCAAGATAATGGGAGAAAATCCGTACCACAGAGGAAATTATATAAATAATTGTATGAAGGTGATCTATGGCCCAACTCCTCCTCAACACTTTAATTTGCGTGCACCTGCTGCAAAAAGAGAAGATCATATTGAACTGTCTCACAGCAAATTAGCAATGGTAGCTGGAGCTAATAATAATGAAGAAAAAGCGGCAGGAACTATATCTCCTTCAGAAATTCATATTGTTAGAGAAAACTCTCCTGATGGGCATGACAGTCGCTAATGATAATTTATTTATAAATTTTTATCAGCTAACTAGAATTGCTATAACTTGCATAGTAATATAGCAAGTGCATTACTTAGAAAGTAGTTAATACTTTAAGAATATTTTATATTTAGATATCGATTTAATTAATTTGTAAAGTGAATATGGCATTTTCATGCAGTATTGCAAAGACCTAAAAACTTTTGTTTGAATTAGTCTTTATTGTGCAAATCAAAAAAATTAATTAGATAATAAATGAAAATTTTCCTCGTCATCCTTTTAAGTGTGTTTGCTTTTGGAAATCAAGATCAAAACTCATACACTGAGGATACAGCAGTTTTAGAGGCACAAACAGAAAATAACGAGGAAAGCTTATCTGGCAATCCAAATTTGAACTTCGATCCAAATGATGAATCTAATCAAATAGAAACGTCAATAAATGAAGGAAATAATCAGGAAACAAATAATGATGAGCCTACTAATAGCATCCAGAATGAGCTTAATCCAATTACACAAGAAGCTAATACAAATGAGGAAAATCCTAACAAAGAATACTTCAATGATCTTTCAGAACAATTACTAGAAGAAAACAGCAATGAAGTAAAAGAACAATTAAAAACAGATGAAACTCTTGAAAGTAAAGACATAATTGATGCAGCGAGTAATGGCCAGGAAGATTTGCAATCTGATATACAAGAAAATGCAAATGGTGCCGATGATGCTCATATTTTCAATTCTGCTCAAGAAAGAGGAGAGCAAGCAAGTAATGAAGTTGATTCTATTCAAGAAAATAATGTATTAGATCAGCAAGAAAATGTAGTTGCTGAAGAAAGATTAGAGATAAATGAAAATGCTGATGGATTTATTACTGAAGAAAGTAGCAGCCAAAATATTGACCAGAAGGATATAGAGAGCCAACCTGTACCATCTAGCTCAAATAATGCCGAATGCTCTGACGATTCATGTAGACTGAATTCTAATGCCAATACAGAATTAGTAAGCGAATTACCATCAGATCAAGAAAATGCTTTTGTTGAACAAGAAGCTGAAAACGAAGGTATAAAGGAGTATTCTATAGAAGAAAATAATCATGATGAAGAATTAAACAAAGAAGCACTTGAGGAAAGTAAAGAGACTGTAAATGCTGATACATTACAAATTGAAAATAATTCTGAAAGCAGTTCTGATAAAATAAATAGAGAAGAGCTTAAGGAAAGCGTAGGTAATGAAATAGGTCGAGATGAAAATAACTCTGAAAGTAATCCTGATGAAATAAATAGAGAAGAGCAAAAGAAAAGTGTAGGAAATGAGATAGGCCGAAATGAAAATAATTCTGAAGCGAAATATGATGAATTAAATACCAGTGAGCATGATGAAAATAAGGAAACAAAAAAAATCAATGAAGAAAGAAACGAAGAAAATTCTGGAATAAACCAAGAAGAGTTAAATGCAAACAAGGAAAACATAAATATTGAGGAAGAACCAAATCAAGACAGCTCTGGTATAAGTCAAGAAGAGACAAATGCAAATGAACAATATGAAAGAGAGGAAAATATAAATTTTGAGGAAACAAATAAAGATTCAGGGGCTTTAGAAAATTCAAATGCTTTAGAAGTGGATAAAGCTGCTGACAATAAACAAAACACAAATAAGGATGAGCAACTAGCAAATATGAAAGACATTGATCTCAGCTCAAAAGTTGAAACCCAATCTGAAAAAAATCAAGATAGTCATTTAGAGCCTAAGCCTGAAATTATTGCTGCTGATAAACAGTCTGAAATACATATTGACTCTAATATCATTTCTAATAGCCAATCAGAGATACCAAATAATACAGAGAATAATCATATTGATGAAATATCAATTTTAGATATAGACCAGGTAGATTTTAAAGTCCTATTTATAAAATTTGCATTGAGAACTGAAAATATGATATCTTCCATTTATTTTTTCATAAGAAGCAAGCAACCCTACAACATCATTATTTTTTATTTTTGCTTTTCATATATTATTTACAAAACTTTCAAGCGAAAAAGAGAAAATTATTCATTTTCTTATAAAATCGTTGAAGAAAAGCAGCAAAGTACAATTGCTCAAATCATAGAAGCCAAAAACAAAGAATTAGAAAACACGATTTTATCACTCAATGAACTATCTCAAGCTGGCTTGGATAATAGCCAAATTGAAAAAATAAAGAATAAACTGAATTCAGATCTCAAAGAAAAATTCTCAGCCATCAAGAAAGAAATTTCTATTATCCATGAAAAACAAAATGAATTCCAGGCACAAATTTTGTCTTCACACCAAGAAATCTGGATGAAAATAGATTCTCTCAAAGAGGGTCCTGAAGAAATTCCGTATGTTTCGATTTCCCAAGTCGCTGTATCAATGCATATTCCAGATAAGCCAAGAAATTTTGAGGAAGACATAGATGAAAAGAATGAAGAAAATACCAACTTTGAGATTAGCCAGAAAGGAGAAATTGAGTCTGAATGGAAAAATGAGAATAAAGCAAAAGATGCATTAGAAACTCAAAATAGTAATCCAGAAGCTCAATTTATTGAACAAAAAAATCACAACTCTATGATAAATCCTCCAATACAGCATTATAAGGAGGAGCAAATGGAGCTTAAAGAAGAAAATATTCAAATGGATTACTTAAAGTTTCCAACTGAAGTAATAGAGTCTGAAGAGCAAAAACTCATCCAAGAAAAAGAAAATAATCTTAGCCTTATACAAGAAGAAGTAGAAATAAAGACAAATAAAATAGAAGAAAAAGAAGAGCCTATAGATACCAAATTTTCTCAGCTTCAAGGTACAACTGGAGCAGAAAAACCATTTTCAAACCCTCCAAAGCCTAAAATTCCTTCATTCGCACCTCCAGGCTTCAAGCCTGCCCCGAAGATTGCGAAGATAACAAAAGCAGAGCCAGAAAAAAAGCCTCAAAAATTGCCTGAGACAAGATCAAAAGTCATTTCGCAGCCTTTCATCCAAAAAAGTCCATTTGCACAACTATAATTTATTTTAGCTTATATTTTTGATTTTTTTTCTAAAGTAATCTTAAAATATGAAATAAAAGCACTGACAATATTCACTTTTTCCCTTAAGCTAACTAGATAATTAGAACTTAATTTAGTGAAAATTTTTTAAATTTTCATTTCTGGGATTGAAAGAAATCATTTTCATTATAAAACCACAAATTTTATTAAAAATCAATATTCAGCGAAGGGGAATTTTATTGATTAGTAGGCTTATCTTTGTAAATAAAATATGAACCCCAGCAAGAAATTCTTGTCCTGCGAATATATTGATGAGAATTTTTATATTAAAAGCTCATTTGGTATTCCCTATACAAATGTTTATGACCAAGAACGCCAGAATTCTAATGAGATCGAAAGCAATACTGTAATGAGCTATAACACAGCCAAAAACGAGTTCAACTATGACAATAAAACCTTATCAATAGTAATGAACCCCCAGACTATAAAATCCTTTGTAATTATGACTTCCTCAATTCCCCAGAATATTATAAATTTGTCCATTGTCAATTCCTTCCTTGGGCACAAAATAGTTAGGAACCTTTCTCTAGTCTTAAACGATCTGATAAGCTTGAAATATCTAGATCTATCAGGGAACTCTATAGAAGATAGAGGAATGAACTTGCTGAAAGAAAATGGGGACTGCTTACTCTCCTCTGTGTGAGTGAACAAAACCGCTGGAAAAATCCCTATTTTTGCTCAAAGCTCACGCTCTGCGTGAAAAAATTGATATATAAGTGATGATTTTTGCAATGAAATCTCTAACTAATTCTGTTGAATTTAAACAGCTTGTATTTTTCTGAAGTTTACGAATTGAATTAATATTAGCACCGAAAAAGAATTTTTTTAAATTTCGAAATAAAAATTTAATCCCTCTGTGAGCAAACAAAATTTTTTGTTTGCTCATGAAGGGGGGAGTTAGCTAGGCTAGAAACATTCATTGTCTGCTTGAACCATATAACTTATAAAGGAGCCCTGCTGATAGCTGACTTTTATATATTCAAAGATCCAATGCATATTGTTGCAGGAAATTTTAACTTGCAGAAGTGGAAGAAATATAGAGAAGCAGTCAAGGCCTTTGAAATGGACATCTAATTCTTCAAATTTATAAATTTTATTTTAAACAATTAATTGTAAATTCAGCAAATTGTGCAAAAACGTTGATTAAATATAATTATTACTAGCTTCGGTGCGCCATCATATTTATGAATTCCATATAGTCAATTGCTCCATCTCTGTCCCTATCTGCTTCTGAAATCATTGCTTCTACATCTCTCTGAGGCAAATTCAAGCCTAGGTCTCCTCCAGTTAAAACATTTCTAAGCTCCTCTTTTGTAATTTTCCCGTTTCCGTCCACATCAAAGTGCTGGAATGCAGATTTAAATAAATAAATAAATTAATGATATGTATTTAAGGTCCCTACTTCCATGCGTGACATTCCTCCGCGCTCCGTGAGGAGCCGTGCTGGCACGAGCGAAAAGGATAGACTTCCATCACTGGTTCTCTGAGCCCAGGCCGAAACCCCTGGTTTCTCAGTAGTGGGTTGCCCTATTGGGTCGTCAGCCGACCGTCGCCGAGCATCACCATTTCCAACTCAGCCTTCCGCCCCGAGTTACACCAGTCTTTGTCTCCGGTTGGCCAGGCCGTCCTTCTTTTAAGGACCCTTTTTAAACTGGAAAGACCACCTTGTTGTCTAATCTGCCTCCCTTTTTCCCAGCTTATCCGCTTGAAAAAATCTCAATCGCTTCCGCGATTCGGGGCAGACCACAGTAGTAGCCTGAGCAGGTAAGTCGCCCTGCTCCATATCGGGCACCCACTGGCTTGGGCGCTGCTGGAAAAAGAAGATGCTCCTAACTGCCCTGGGATCTGGCCACGATCAGCGGGTCTGTGTTCTCCCCTGGTCGCCACCAGGGTCCAGATACTGCTGGGCTAAGTCGCTTTTTCTGAAAACCATGCCCGGATATACATGGGTTACCGTCACTGGGAGGAGGGTCGGACGTCATACGCCATTTTATGTATATATGGAATGCAGATTTAAGCAGTCCTGTGTTTAAATATTTTTGGTTTTGCATGCATGCAGCTATTCATTCTGTGTAATCAATTTTCCCGTTGTTGTTTGAGTCAAGCATTTCACATAAGGTTGCGATTGCTGAGATGTCAAAAGATCGGCCTGAAGATGATAATGCGCTGTGGAGCTCTTCTATAGTGATTGACCCATCTCCATCACTATCTAATGAGTTAAACATTTCTCTTAAGCTCTGCAGGTCTTTTTCTGAAAGTTTGCTGGCTATGTAAATTAAAGAAGCTCTTTTAAGATTTCTGGCTTGGGCAAAAGACCTTAAGCCATCAAAAACTGATGTAGGTAATGATATTTGTTGAGAAGGTGCAAGACCTGTAATTCAAGGATGCTTTAAAGCTTCTTTTGCAGTAAGTCTGAAATTTGCGTCTTTTACGAGCAATTTAGATATCAAATCTTTGGCTGCTTCTGACACATTATCGAAAGCTCGATTTCTGAAATTATAATATCCGTTGAAAACATTCATCAAAATTTCTTGGTTATTTCTACCATTAAACGGAGGAGAGCCGCTTAGCATAATATATAAAATAACACCTAAAGACCAACAGTCAACTTGATAAGTGTAGTTTCCACTCAAAACTTCAGGAGCTATATAATATGGTGTCCCATTCAGCGTATGCATCATCTCATTTTCATCAAATACCTTAGAAAGGCCAAAATCAATTAGTTTTATATCACTTTCAGGAGATTCATTAGCAAAAAGGCATTACATTATGTAGACAGGCTCGCGCCCTTAATTTTAACGCAATCACCGAGGATCCCTATGGGATTCAACCGCTTTGCGACCTTCCTTTCGTCGGGCCTCCTCCTTGTCTCTTGTAAAAGACTCCAGTGTTGAGTGGGCAGTCTACGGGGTTTGTACCTCATGAGGCTGAGGGATTACGAAGTTGGCATTCCGAAATTCAAAAAAATGGAATTTCTGGTAGCCTTCAGGCAAAAGGGTGAAATCCAGATCCTGGGACGTAACGCCGAGTTTCACGCTAGGCAGTTGCCCGATTGGTCTAGGGGTTACCTATAGACCTTGCTGGGCTTGCCCTTTCCAAATCTGAACTCTCCTTTCCTTCGAGGTAAAACCAGTCTCGAAGTCGGACTTGGGCTAGACTCTGCTACCTGCAGAATTGGTTACCATAGCGTTGCTTTCCATTTCAAGGCTAGAAAAACCTTGCCGGATATAATTAAAATATGAGTCGAGGATGTATGGCCGTGAGGTCATACCTAGACGAAGACGCCATATTTTAATTATCCATTAGCAAAAAGGCAGTTTTCAGGCTTGATATCTCTATGACAAACACCATGGTCATGACAATAAGCTACAGCTGAGAACAAAACTTTCATAATCGCGGCTGCTTCATACTCAGTAAGGTATCTTTTCGTGGCTATCCTGTCAAATAATTCTCCACCAGAGCAATATTCTAATACCAAAAAACAAAGACGATCAGTTTCAAAAGTTTCGATGATATTTACGATATTTGGGTGATCCAGATGTGAAAGAATTTCAAATTCGTTTTGGAAGCTTGTGTAGTCGCTGACTCGGTTTTTCTGGATTGCTTTTACGGCCCTTGTGATTCCTGTAGTCAGTTCAGTAGCTACAAAAACCTTTCCGTATGCACCGCTTCCGATTTCTTTATTAAATGAGTAATGATTTAGAATGTCTTCAGTTTTTGAGGACACAAACCACTGCTTTTTAATCACGATGTGATTATTCATTTATATTTTTCATCTTTATATAATGGTCATTTACAAAAATCTTATGCTGGGTTTATTTGATGGAAATAATAATTTTTGGTAATGTTTAGAAGAGTAGGTATTTATTTTTGTGCAGGAAACTCTAAGAGGTGATTTGCAAGGAAAAACCCAGTGATAACTAGCATTATGAAAAATGATCTTCCAATTACTAAGCAAACATATATTGATTTCAAGGTTTTCACAGGAAACGAAATTTTATATGCATTGACAGATTGCAAGAAACTTAAACCAGGAGAAATAAGCCACGCCTTATCAGAATTAGGGAAGCGAAAAGGAGCTCCTGAAAATTTTGACTGAAATGCACATCCAGCCATAAAGGCGACCATCGAGCGCACTAAAAGCCAAGCTCATAAATGGCCTTGCAAGAATATTACTTCCCTTGCTCATGCCTACACAAGATTAAATATCAAAGATCCGACATTATGATATATTCTTGAAAAGCACGTAAAAAGAATTATCACCGCAATAGAACCTATTGGGCTTGCATTGTGTTTTAATGCTTTTGCTGGAAAAGGAACTCCTGAGCTTTTTGAAGTCTTAGTAAAAGCTGTCCCTAAAAATATTAGATTCATGGAAATGAAAGATATTTTGTCAATGATAAAAGGAATCCAAAAAGCAAATATTCAAGCTGATGAGCTCTTTACAGGTCATATTTATCCTGAAATCAAGGAAAAGAAAAAATATTGTTCAGTTTATGAACTTAATGAGATGATATCTGTACTTAGCAAAAGGACAGATTTTGCAGATGATCTTAAAAATGAGCTTCAAAATGAAATAGGAAAAAAGATGGAGACCAAGAGAGATTTCAGCTTTGGAGGGATTAAAAAAAATAATGAGTAATATCAATTAAATTTCGAGCAAGAAAACTTTGTGCATATAATTTAATAATGCGATTGAGTTTTTTATATAGTTATGAATATGAGTTTTTCATTAAATGTAAAGACTTATTAATTTCAAAGTTTTATCGAATATTATTTTGCTATGTTTGATGTGTTTAAATACACTTCCTGATATTCCTGTGTCGCCATGCACACCCCCATTCCGCAAGTATATAAAAGACACTCCAAGCAACAATTCCCAGATATTCCATATTTATTTCTGACCGCTTGTCGGTTTATTGCAGCCCCACAAGGACCTAAAAGAGTAGATAGCAAACAAGCTGTTCCACCTCCTCGGCCTCCATTCATTTCAAAATGAGCAATTCCCTGCAAAAACGGGATACCACAAAAGGTAGCTAAATAACACGCTGGTATTGCTTGACAGCAATCACACATTCCCCTTTTCCACTGACTCCCGTTTCATGATTTGATAGTAAAAATTTTTTATATTAGCCGAGAGGTTAATAATTATACACGAAAAAAATAGTTTTTGGGGTTTTCAAAAATAAAAATTTGAAATATTTGACTATTTATGTTTTAGAACTCAAGCTGACTATAGGTAAATATAATTACTTACTAGTTAAGATTTATTATTATAATTATTAATTATAGTTTTAAATAAAAAATATTTAAAAATGTCTTTGCTCGCTAACGAAAGGGAATAATTTTTACCTAAAATACATATTTTACTAACAATTTTGCTTGCTGCCAAGGTGAGGAGTGAGACATTTTTTTATATCAGGATATTCGTTTTAATTTAATCTGCTATAGAAATGATAATATTGCTTTTTTAAATTTAATAATAATTATTAATAATTAAAAATAAGCCAATGCTTTTCTATTGCCTATAGCTAATAAATAGGCAATTCAGTATCCTTTTGTATCATTTGAATTATTTAAATACAAATTTATAAATTTTTTGAGTGCCAAAAAATGGCAACTTTGTCAAAATTCCGTCGAATTTTACTTAAAATTGTAAAACTTGCGAATATTGTATAAATTTATCAAACTTATCAAAATATTGTAAAAGGAAAGTTTGCTAAAAAGTCAAAAAATTATTTTTGACACCAAAAAATATCTCCAATTTGTTGTTATATCGACATCTTTTAAAACATCCCCTAACAAATTAAATTTGGAAACTTTGCGAATCTTCTAATAATTTTCTTCTTCATAATAAGCTTTCTAATTCATTTTTAAAAATTAAAACTTGAATAATTTTAGCATAAACAGCATCACTACATAATTAAAATGGAAGGCAAAAAGAGGCCACCACCAAGAATCCAGGTTCCAGCTCAACAGCAATTTACAGAAATTCCATCGATGCATAGAACGAATTCTGGAAAACTTAGAATTGATAGTTTATCTGATATCGAGTTCATTGAAAGATTAGGTCAAGGAAGCGCAGGAATTGTTGATAAGTGTAGGCATATTCCCTCTAATAAGATTGTAGCAGTCAAAAGAGTTCCTCTAACTTCCAACAACGAAATAAAAAGGCAGATCATCACAGAGGTGAACGCTTTGAATTCATGCAAGAACCAACATATCGTATATTCCTATGGAGCAGTTGTTCATCAGGGCGTAATGAACATCATTATGGAATACATGGACAAAGGTTCACTTAAGGATGCTTTGCAGCGCTGTGGCCGGATTTCAGAAGATGTGATTGGCCATATTGCATTTCAAGTATTATCATAAATAAAATGGTATTTGGCTCGGTGGAAATTAGCTCTTTAATTTTCTCTCTCTCTTATGGGTTTGGTTTTTCCTAGAGAACTTTTGTGCAACAATAGCGGCTTAACTTTGATCATATCGGGTAAGAAGAGGCTTAGGTTTTCCCACTCAACATACCGGAAGAAGGTGGCCCTTAGTCGAAGTATGTGTAGGAGCTTAGTTTGGCAAGGAAAAAGCAAGGCAGCCAGCTTGCTCAATAATGGTGGTATTTGCTTAGGTTTGGACCCTCTGGCGCATTGGCAATTTTGATCAGAATCTGGTGGCCTCACGAGCTGAGTCCAAAAGAGCATTTTAAATATGTGGTGTCAGACGTTTTAAATATTAAGTTAATCGTAATCGCATTTCAAGTATTATCAGGGCTTGAGTATCTTCATAGGAAGAAGAAAATAGTCCACAGAGATATATAATGGATTGGCTATATTGCTTAGACCCATTTTATAGAATTCATTGCTAAAAGAATTTATTTAAATAGTTTTAATTAATGAAAACTTATGAAATATATAGCCAATCTCCTATAAAACCTTCCAACCTACTACTCACATCTGAAGGACTGGTGAAAATCTCTGATTTCGGAGTTTCAGGAATCATGAGTCACACAAATGCAACAAAGAGGACATTTGTAGGGACAGTCACCTATATGTCTGTAAGATCTAATTTAGTTAGCCAGAACGCTTTACAGATGAAGGATACCACGTTGATACTGACATTTGAAGTCTAGGATTGTCGTTGCTAGAGTGTGCGACAGGACGCTATCCTTATCCAGAGCCGGATGAAAATGGTAACATCCCTGTTCTGACATTTTGGGAACTTATGAACTATATTTCAGCAAGAAAAGCACCTGAGCCGCCTCCAGGAAGCAGTGAAGAGTTCAGAGATTTTATAACTTCCCCCAAATCGATATAAAAAACTGTTCTTTTTCAATCAGGATTAATTTTTTTTTTAAAAAATTATAAAAATATAAATTGATCTATATTTTTTAATTTTTTTATTAATAATTAAAAACTAATGAATTCATTTGAAAATAATTAAATAACATTTTACTTACACTTCTTTCTATAGTATTCAAAACTTGCTATAAAAATTAGTACTTTTACCTATAAAATTTAAAACTTAAAATCAAAAATGTTGCTCCAATTTAAAGGGTGGATATTTTACTATGCTTTGTTCCAATCTTAAGGGGAGAGTAAGGATTTGCTTGGGCAAAGAAAAAGACAGTCGATCTACTGTTGGAGAACTGCTAAGTCATCCTTTTATTCAGAGAAATATTAACCCAATCAGCTTCAATCTCTGGCTAAATCAAATCAATTCATTATAATTTAAGATCATTTTAGAGAAATTTCAATTAGCTATAAAATCTAATCAATTAAAATAAATTTAATTAGGCAAGATGTTAAAATTCTTATTTTTGATTATTAAAAATTGTCTGATTTAATTAAGGCGTAAAGAAGAGAACGTTTAAGTATATTTCTTTCAGCCACTTTTGAATACCTTAAAATTTGTAACGCATCAACAAATTACTCTTCTTGATTTGCTGTCGGATTGAAGAGTTTAACTTTGGTGATACTTTAAGCAAACAATTTTAGCTATTTGTTTTGGCAGAGCTTGCTACTGTTAATTTTAGGTTCATTAATACAATAACTTTTCTTGTTTTTCAATCGAGCACCAGTGTTTGAATAATTAATTACATAAAAGAACTTATTTTTCTGTAATAGATCTAACTCGCCATTGTGTAAGCCAAAACAAAATTGGAAATCACTATTTTGTGTAAAAACTTCCTCTGTGAGCGAAAAAAGTTTTAGATATGTAAGTGCTAATTATTATAATGAAATCTCTAGCTAATTCTGTTGAACCTTTAACAGCTTGCACTTTAAAAATAGATTTACAAATTAAATTAATTTTTGCTTTCTTATTCCGAATTTTGATATTTTTAAGTCATGAAAAATTACCATATAATTTATACATAATTTTTTAAAAATAAAATCATTATCCCTCCGAACAAAATTTTTTATTCGCTCGCCAAAACGGGGGATAAATTAAAGATTAAATTATTTGCTTGAAGTTTGAAATACTTTGAAATTCATCTAATATATAAAAAGAAGTATATTTACTAAACAAGTCTAGTTTAGAGATAATTATCTTTCGTTACTTTAAAAGGTTATTTTGCAGATTATCCAATAAACTCTATCTTACGATTATTAGTTAAAAGCATTTTCTGTGTACAATTGTAGGGCCCGCTTCTTCGTACTCAGCTTTGGTTATCCACATTTGTTGGAATGTTGACAAAGAAGCCAAAATTGAGCCACCAATCCAGACTGAAGTAGATCTTTCAGCAGGTGCTGTTACTCTCACCTTAGACGATATTCCAGCAAATTAAAATGTTAAACTGGCAACCCACTTGCCTTTGCCCTATCTCGGGCTCCAAAGTCGTAGCCTCCATACGCCTGGGAGTTTAAATGAGGAAAATGGAAGGCTACCATCTTGAATCTCCAACGGAATCACCTATCCAGGGCATTAATCTCCTGAGCAGACCCACCATCTGTAGAGTATCCACTGGTCTGGTAACAATGGCCATGTGGCAGGTATAACTGCCTAGTTCATCTGGCAGGAACAGTAAAACCTTCGCAGGAGAAATAAAATACCCTGTTTCAGCAGGCTTCCCATTGATATGCTCTACTTCACTCATGAAGATCATCTTTTGCCACCCATCGCTCTAGTCCACCGCTCCAATAGAAGATGCCGCCTAGGAATCCAATTTCCATCAACGTCACCATTATTTCTTATTCCAGCAAGGCATGTCATTTCTACAATTAAACGTTCTGCCATGCCTGAGAATAGCGTATTTCCTCCACTCAGCAAAATATTTGAGTAAAGTTCTTTTCTGATTTCAACATCACTCTTCATTATCGATCTGTTAGCAATCAAATGAATTCCATCTTCATCAATATTCATTAGCGAAGGGTCAAACATTGCTTCTGGGCATTTAAATCGTTCTTCCCTGATTATTAAAGATCTTCCGTCAGGCAAATCATAGTTTTTTTCTATGCTTGCTCCAGCTGCATTTAGCTCATCTTTGAATCTCATTGCGGCATAGCATATTTGCTCTTTGATATCTCTTGCAATTTCTCTTTCTGCACAGGTATTAAATTTATATCCTTTAGCACTTACTTCATTTTTGCTTATTGTTATTATTAAAAATTATTGATTTTTTAAAAATTTTAAATATATAGAGTGAATTAGCAAAGAAATGAAATATTCAGTCATATCTTTCCCTCCCAATGGTAAACTCTTGATTGAGTAAGGCAAAGCATAACCTTCATAAATGGGCACTGTGGTGGTAATTCCATCTCCTGAATCAATAACTAGACCTATTGTCTTGCCACTGGAATATAGGGAAAGAACTGGCTGAGATGCAATGTAAAAAGCTGGAATGTTAAAGGCCTCAAACATAACTTGAGTCATTTTTTCTTTGCTGTACTTCGGATTTAGCGGTGTTTCTGTAAGGAGAAGAGGATGATTATCTGGAGCTACCCCTAGCCCACTGAAAAATGTATGATTCCAAATCTTTTCCATTTCGTCCCAATCCACGATAATCCCTCGTTCAATTGGGTGCTTCAAACTCAGCATGTCATATTTTGACCTTGCCTCATCTCCTACGTATAAATCCTTTTGGTCATTTCCTATTTGATTATTTCGGGGTCTTCCAGTTACACAAGGAAATATTGAGCGAGGAGCATCATCACCTGCAAAGCCAGCTTTAATGAATCCTGAGCCATTGTCAATAACTAGTCCATGCACATCTTCTCCCTCCATTTTTTATTATCAGCGAGTTAATTATGGATTATTACAAATTTTGCCTTAATTTCTACATCAAATTAAAAAAATCTTTAGCTTTAAATTCTTATTAAATAAAATGCCCCTAAAAAATTTTTCTTAATAAAATCTATATAAAATTCTTTTAATTTTTTTAAAGCCCCCTCAATAATAATTTAAATGACTTTAAGACTACCCAGAGGATTAGTGATAAACTTCGAAGAAATGTGAACATCAGAATCCCAGCTCAAGCATCTATGGAATAAAGCCGTCAAGAAAAATGCAGGAATGAAAAAGCCTTTTGTGCTCAGAATCAATGCAAAATATTGCTATGTAAATGAAAAGCTCAAACTCGTAGGCGATGTAAATCACGAGTCTTTAAGCTTATGGAAAAAGTGGGAGAATAAAGAAAATGACCAGACTAAATGGTTTAATAAAGCGCAATCATTAGCCAGCCAATTTCAAAGGTTAAAAGACAGAGCATGGGGCGAAAACAGCTTCAAGTCTAATGAAGAGCGAAAATGGCTGAAAAATTACCTTCCAGAAATCATTATTGACAACCCAGCCACTTTAGCTAGCATACTAAAAGCAGCTGTAGTTAAAACTACTGGAAACATCAGCTATTTCAACCCAACTCCACCAAGATCTCCAGTCGTATACTACATAGCTGACAAATACAATATGTGCATCCACAATACTTTTTTCCCATATAGAGATTATTACTATGAGGCTAAAAAAGAGTATGATTATCTTCCAAAGGCTGCCAAAGAATTATACGAAAAAGCCAATGAACTCGACACTTTGAGAAACCAAGCAGAATCTATAAAAGTAGCCAACGCAGAATATCTGAATTATCTAAACAACGCTATTTCTTGAAGAGAAGTCTATAAACGCCCACTATCTACTATATTTGGTGAAAACTTAAAAGTGATGAGCAAAATATCTCTTTTTTTACTTATAAAAGCTGAAAACTTGATCAATCATTTAATGAACAAAATTGAAAGGATATGCAGAGACAAAACGGGGAAAAATAAAAAAAATAAAGTCATACGTGAAGCTGTTAATGATTGTATCAAAGAATATCCGCAAGACAAATATATAGCCCATTACACTATTTGTGGAGAAAATCTGAATAACTACACACCTACACTTTCTATAATTGAACAATCAATACTACATGAAGATTCCTGATATGAAGCTACTGAAACTAACGGCGAAGTCATTGATTTCCAGGATTTCCCACTCATTAAACCTAATTCAACTGTCAATTTAGGACATGGGATTGTTGCAAAGATTTTTAAAATTGAAGATATTTGGTTTGACAGCGGAGTTTTAAAGAGGATTCGAGGAATTGAAAGTTATTAGTATCATTAATAAAATTTTCACTTTATACTTAGCTTACTCTTGCTAAATAAGGAGACTGGTATTGTCGAATTCTTTCTGTATAATTTTCTTTTATCTCTTTTTTTATCGGTTTCTCTTTTGGGTAAAGCCTTTCTGAAATTCCTATGCATCGAGGGGAAGTACTTTTAACAAAGGATCGAGGAGAAATCTCACTGAATGATTTCAGATCGATAGGCTCTAAAGGCAGCAAAAGCTTAGGGATTTTCGGACTCAATAAACGATTTTGTGAAGGTTTATTGATATTTTTCCTTTTCTTTGACAAAACTGACTTTTTTTTCTCTTCGTTTCGCCTAACTTCTTTGGATAATTGCTTGTTCGGAGGGGTGTTATTGCCTTCTCTGATAATTTGCATGATTTTTAACTTTTCAAGTTCAAGCTCTTTGTCTTCATCTGCTTGGGATTTTCTTATGAGAATGCCTTTATTTCGGGATTTTATCATGGTTTTAGAAATCATGTCTATAAAGCCTGGGCTCAAATGGTGATCTTGTTCTAGTTCTGGCTTAGATTTGATGCTGCTAAGTCTGCAGAGGCCTTTCATGATATGGTAGCTTTCTGGATGCTGCAATGAATTCTTAAATTTATTTGGATTCACTTTAAGAGACTCAACTGATTTTACGCTCTGAGTTGTAAATGCGCATTTTAAAAAGCCAGCCGTGAGCAATTTCAATTTCGAAGTTTTTTTGAGTTTTTTTCATTCATCAGAATCGTCATCTGAAGCACTGTTATCAGATTGATTTTCAGCTTGCAATTTATTAATTTGTGTCACTTGCCTGTTTGCATTTCTTATTTGTTTGAATAAATCCAAACTCGATGATGATCTATTTATCATTTTATTTTTGTATTTATTATACGGTAAGCTTACTAAATTACTTTCTTTTTGAAATATTATTTAAAAAATTTTGCTGCAATTAAATGCCTGTGCTCTTTAGCTGAATTGATAATAATAATGGTCTAAATTAAAAAGAATTTTATGTAAAGTCTCCAAATAATAAAAAAGCTAATAAATGCGCTGCCTTATGTAGATTAAAGATTTTATACTACGATATGCTTAAAAATAAATTATTACTTCCTATTAGGCTTTGGAAAGCTTTGCTGAATTGCTTTAATCCACTCATCATCTGTATTACCCTTTGAGCCTTTAGCAGCATTTGGAGGCGGCCCAATCGATTGAAAAGAGTCTTCTCCAGAAGATACAAGAATTGCTTGCGCATGGTCTTTTTGGCTTAATTTCCGTATAGGAGATCCAAACAAATGATATGACAAAACCATCCTTAAAGATCCAAGCAATTTCTGATCTTTACTAGACCAATAAAAAAGGCTAATCCCATTCTTATGGCAAAAATACCGTAGAGCTCTTGCCATTCATTTCCTATTTTCGCTTTCTTGATCACAAAATACATCATATTTTGTCGCTATAACATAAACTGGAACGGGAATAGGCTCAAGCCTTGCAGAATCTTCATGCTTGCTTCATTTTTTTGTAATGCGTTTTTGGTATTTTTGGGCTTCTTTTGGAGGGAGATGTGATAAAATTTCACTAATTCGGTTTCTAATAATTTGCAGCCAGTATAAAAGAGAATCGATAACCTTATATGGATGTGAAAGATCAATAGCAATCACAATCATCAGCTCAGAAAGCGTTTCTGCAGTCATTGGAACTGACACTAAATTTGCAAGGAGACGGCCGCCGCCTAATTCATATATATAGCCAAGATCACGAGTAGAGTTTATCCCAAGAGGCGCTCGAGCATAATAATATTCTAAAGCTACCGTAGGCCTTGGTTCTTCATTATTTGCGCTTTGTGATATCAAGTTATTAATCAAAGATGATTTCCCTGCCTTCCTTTCTCCAAGGACAAATATAGTTCTTTCACTGGTATTGGGGTCTTGAGATGAGCTTTGTTCAGATAAAGTTCATATGTCTGATATCATTAACTTTATTTAAATGAGGTTTCACATTTTAGCAAAATTCATAATTATAGCTTTATATGCTATTTTGTTCTATAAATATAAGAGTCTTTTACTTGGAGTTTATTTTGTATTAAATAAATTCTTGGAAAATTAGATTTTATAATGAATTACTCAAGCGATTAATTTAAAGAAGAAAATGCCTTCTAATGAATTTTAAACAAATTTCAAGATTATATCGATGGCATAAATAATCAAGCTTAAGAGCATTCTCTTAATCATCTTCTAATGGCTCTCAAATTGGTACTTGATAACTTGAAGGTGCAGACTTTAAGTTATGATCACCGTGACCTATGTATGACTCTTCATTTCAATTTACTCAAATATCACTGCCAAGTCCCAAGATCATTTTATTCGGCTTTTGGAATTTTGCATAGAAATTGATTTAAACCTAATTGATTCAAACTTGCAGATAATACAGCTTTTGGGTCAATTAGAGATAATAAATTCCAAGAGTTGATTTTCAGAATATATGACATAATCTGAAAAATAATTAGTTAGACCAAAAAAGAAGAAGGCATTTTCATTATCATAAACTCAGATCCGATAAGCAAAGGATTAGAAAAACATTTTAGAATTACTCAGCCATAGAAACAAACCTAATAGAAAGAAGCTGAAAATATGTTGCTTGGCCGCTGATAAATGCAAAGGATTCTTTTTTGAATATTATCTACATATAATACACGAAGCCAATGAAATAGGCTTATCTACAATTTATTATGATATAAAAAGGGAGAAGAGCAATAAAGTGCCATGGATGCCAAAATGAGGAGAAATTTCGCCAAAATCTTCTCATTTACATCGAAAATTTTTCATAGAATTAATTCTTATTTCCCTATAAGTAAAATCAAATTTAAATACTCTACAATCATCTACAAAATTAATATAAATAGCATTAAGACGAGCTGAAAAACAGCTTTTATTAGAGTTAAAAATTTATCAATAAGCTAAAATAGCTATTAAAATTCTGGATCTTCATCTTTAATAAAAAAATCTATATCTATTTTCAATAATCAGTTTTCATCAAATTTTGGTATCATTAATTTTCTAAAAGGGCAATAAGTTAATATACTAATTCCTTATATAGTTTAATTTAAACATTTTTACAGCAAGATTAAATAAAAAAAGGCTTAATCAAAAATTATATAGGCTATAAGTTTAATTTTAATAAATTAATTTCAAAACAGCTTTAATTTTTTTATTAAAATCAAATTTCATGAATCTAATTTTTAAATTTAAAATATGAAGAAAGAGGGACTCAGAGGAAACTATCGATTATTAAAACGAAAACCAAAGCAAAGGGAATGCCTATCTGAGCTGTCTCTAAATAATATCGAAAATCGAAGTCAGCAGAAAGGTAAAGAAATTACGCAAAAGAAATGCTTCAGGCCTTTTGATGCTCTTCCAACAGAAATCCTGATTTATATTTTTGATTTTTTCTCAGCAAAAGACTTAGTGATGAAAATTCAATTAGTCTCTAAATTATGAAGGCAGCTAGCCAATACTCCAATGCTATGGAAGAACTTGGAATCAAAACAAATAGAGATGAAATGGATGGTGAGATGCATAAAATGCTTAGTCGAGCGAAGATCCAAAGGAAAGCTCTTTAGAGGAATTCTAAGAAGCCTAGATGCCCCTGTGATGCTCAGAAAAGTGTATTTAGATGTAACAAACGCTGGATATGATGATGGAGTGCCCACTTCCTTATTGAGAGAAATCAGTTACCTATCAGAACTCTCACACCCAAATGTTGTTAAGCTCATTGGCGGAGAAGTCTCGGGCAAAGTAGTCTACATCTGCACAGACTATGAAGAATACAACCTGAAAGAATATATTAAAACCTCTACATCTGATAAGAATAAAATTTCAAATGAAAATGTTCGAGATCTAATCAGGCAGCTATTCGTAGGACTTCAATATATCCACAACAAAGGAATTGTCCATAGAAACCTAAAGCCTGACAATATTCTTATATCAGGCTCAGGAACAGTAAAAATTGCTGATTTTACTTTGTCAAGGCTAACGTCAATTCCTCATGGCCAATACACTCCAGAAGATCCAAAAGAAAGAGATAGGTCAGGAAGAGAAGCAAGGAGACTATGGTATAGAGCTCCTGAACTGTTATTCCGCAAAGACATATATGGTTTTGAGGTAGATGTATGAACTGTTGGATGCTTAATGGCAGAGTTAATAACTGGCCAAGCATTATTCAACGGCGAAAGCGAAATTGAACAATTGTTCAAAATTTTTAAAGTGACAGGAGTTCCTTCTGATATTTACCCTATTCAGGCAAAATCGTTCCCAAGCTGAACACCTATTAACTTCCCTGATGTTATAGCTCTAAAAAATTCAAAAACATTTAAAAATGTTTTTGCGAAACTCGTACCTGCAAGAGAGCAAATTTTTACAGTACTAACTCCCCCCATTTGTGAGCAAGCAAAACCATTGGAAAAATCCCGATTTTTGGGTAAAAATCCCATTGACAAAAAAAATTTAATATAAAAATTTTTAAAGAAAAAAAAATGATAATTATTATTATGAAACCTCTAGCTAATTCTGTTTAATTTTAAACAGTTTGAATTTCAACAAATTAATATTTGCTTTAAAATTATTTCGAATATGGATTTTTTTTAAATTTCGAAAGAAAAATTTACTATAAAATTTATATATAAATTTTTAAAAAAAAATTAACCCCCTCCATGTGCGAACAAAAAAATTTTGTTCGCTCACAGAGAGGGGAGTAAGGGAAATGGGAAAAATCATTGGAGAAGATGGGCTTGATTTATTGCAGAAATGTTTGGATCCAAACCCTGCAACACGAATAACAGCTGCTAAGGCTTTAAGCCACCCATTTTTAGCATCTCAATCCCCTCAAATATTGTGCCCTTCTTTTGAGTTTGAAATCCCAAATTATATAGCCCAGCTCCATGCTTTAGAATCTGAGCTGCTTCCTTCGAACTATTTGAATTCTCAATCTTAACTTAACTTAGAAATTAGAAGGCGTCTGCCGTTTTGATTACGCAGTCACCACGGATCCCAATGCGGGATTCACCTGCTTTGCGCCGTCTTCGGTTCCACCTTGTTTGAATTGGGGCAATGGTTCGCTGGCCCAAGAGAATCTGCTCGGACACTGCCTTTCTCCTTCTTCAGCTCCTGATGAGCCTGGTATTCTGAAGTGAGATTTCGCCTGGACGTCTACTCCTCTCCTTGCGGCTTGAGTGTTGAGTGGGCGGGCTATGGACTTCTGCGGCTAGCTGCTTGAGTGAACGAAGTTGACCACACAAAAATCCCAAAAAAAATGAAATTTCTGGTGACCTCTCGGCAAAAAGGAAAAATTCAAGTCCTGGGGCGTGACTCCCAGTTTCACGCTAGGCGCTTGCCCAATTGGTCTAGGTATTCCCTGTAGACTTTGCTGGGCTTGCCCTTTCCAAACCTGAACCCTTCCTTCCCTTCGAGGTAAAAAAACCTAATCCTGAATTTGGACTGAGGGCTAGGCTCTGTACAGTACCAGAATTGCTTACCTAGCATTGCTGTCCATTTCTGGGTTAGTAAAACCTTGCCGGATATAATTAAAATATGTGCTCGGAAGCTGCATGGCCGAGAGGCCATGCTAGGTGGAGACGCCATATTTTAATTATTTGAATTCTCAATCAAATATAAGCCACTCTATGAGAAGTATACTGATTGATTGGCTTATCGATGTAAGTGTCCATTTTGAGGTTAACGATGAAACTCTTCATCTTGCTGTCAGCTATATAGATCGAGTACTAGGCAAGTTGGCTATTGATAGATCTAAGCTTCAGCTTGTCGGAGTAACTTGTATGAAAATAGCTGATGTTTTCCATGAAAGATCTAAAGAATATTATCGGCAAGAAAATTCAATTGAATACGCTTACATTACAGCAGATGAATATTCCCCATCTCAAGTAGTTACAATGGAAAAAGATATTTTAAATCTTCTGAAATTCAGGCTACTGTCTCCAACTATTTTATTTTTCATGAAAGCTTATCAATCATTACTAAATGTTGACCAAGAGACTTATAGAATTGCTCAATATTTATCAGACCTGATGCTCCTATCTTATGATAGCATTTTTTGCGCTCCTTCTCTATTAGCCTCTGCAATCCTATATATAAGCTGTGCTTTTACTCAAAGATTTGTAGAATTCCAAGACAAAAAATTATTTTTCCCAAAATACTCAAATGAAGAATTTGAGCATGCAGTTCAGCATGTAAAAGAGATCTGGCTTGAGGCTAGAAGCAATCCTCAATATACAAGGCTTGAGTCAATAAATCACAAATACCAAGATATCAATCCTAAGTCATTGTGGCCTCCAACTCTTTTGTTTGAAAATTGGATATACAGCTAATTTTATAAAATAAATTTTATTATGCAGTAATTATGAATTAATTGATGTGTGGCAAATTGGGCAATGGGGATTAGAGATTAATCAGCCGTCAATGCATTCGGGATGAAATTTGTGCCCGCATTTTTCGAGGGTTTTTGAATTTGTATTGGTTTTTATTAGACTGATACAAATTGAGCAGAGATGGTCAGAGTTGGTATTGGGGATTGGGATATTCTGAGTAGAAGTTACGATTTCTTCTGAAGGAAGGGTATTTTGGATTTCATCATTATGGCGATGGCTGTAGATCTCTTGCTCAGCAGCGTATGATTGATTTATTATCATTTCTAGTTGCATTTGTTCATATTCTTCATCTCTATATTGTTCCTGCATTATATTGGTTTGCAGTATCCTTAATAGCTGCCTTGGATTAATTCTCCTCCTTCGTCTATTACGCTGTTTTAATTCTTCGTTTTCACTTTTGAGATTTTTTATAACTCGTTAGTATAAAGAAAAAATTATTTGAAATTTAGATAAATTTATAAATAAAAAATATTTGAATTTATCATCTCGTTGATAAGTTCTTTTTGCTTCCCGATTTGAACTCTGACTTGAGCTATATGCTAAATATATTTTACATTTCTTTGTTTTCTATCTAATTCCCTTATCTCTTCCAATAATATTTTAAAATCTTTATTTTCTGTCGAATCCATCGTCACTTCACTTGGCTTTTCGGTCTCAATAGATCCCATTTGCGATTTTCAATCTGAAACTATTGACTGCGATTTCCTAACACGCTGCCTATTTTTTCCTACTTGTGCTGTAAACCGCGAATTAGACGATTTATTTCGAATTCGGAAATCCGGAGATTTCTCCATGTTTATGACTTATTTTAAGATATAATACTGAAAATAAATAAACAAATTTAGCAGAATGTCAAATTAAATGGAATTAAGTTATAAATATGCTCAAAGTTCTTGTGGGTGCTAAAAGAGTTATTGATGCCTATGCCAAAGTTCGTTTACTCCCTGATAACTCAGGTGTTGATCTCAGTACAGTGAAGATGGCCATGAACCCTTTTTGTGAAATTGCTGTTGAAGAGGCAGTCAGATTGAAAGAATCAGGAAAAGCATCAGAGGTTACTGTATTAACTATTGGTCCTAAACAAGCTTCTGATGTCCTAAGAGCTGCACTCGCAATGGGAGCAGATAAAGCTGTTCACGTTCACGTTGAAGAAAGAATTGATAGAGATATTCTCCCATTAAGCATTGCACAAATTTTCAGAGCACTTATAGCAAGAGATAACTACAGTTTAGTCCTTCTTGGAAAACAGTCAATTGATTCAGATAGTAACCAAGTCGGACAGCTGTTAGCTGGGCTACTTAACTGGCCTCAGGCATATACATAAAAAATGGTGACGACAGACCACCCGACCTCTCGACCCTATTTCTTCAACATCAGCAGGCAACAGCCCAGTGTCGGAGATTTAGGTGGAAAAGGGCCGGTAATCCTTTATGTATAGTCGGGCTGGGTTTTCTTCGAGCCCGAGGAGCTAATTCTCGGACTTGGAGTTTTTCCTCCAGGACAACCATTGGAAAGGGCAAGGTCGGCCAATGTTTGAGGGCAATATGACCCTCAGACCCTGAAGACGGTATTTGCCCAACGAGAAACTGGGAGTTTCGACCCAGGTGGCTGGCCCTTAGACTCTAGAAGCCGTGGAAGTCAAGACTGGTTGCGCGAATCCCTTGTTTGAGGCAACAAGGAGGGTGTCCGCCGAGGCTCTTTCAGGGGCGATGAGCGTCTAGGGGTACGAATCCCCGGCCCTGCAAGGCAAACGGCTTAATCTAATCTAATCTAACTGGCCTCAGCAACTTTTCTAAATAAATTAGAAATCAACCAAACAGTAAGGGCAACGCGTGAAATAGATGGTGGGTTACAGACTATAGAGTTCCCTCCTCCTGCTGTTTTAACGTGTGATTTAAGACTAAATACCCCTAGATTTACAGCAATCCCTTCAATAATGAAAGCTAAGAAAAAACCATTGGAAACATTAACCCCTGACAAGCTTGGTGTAGACTTAACTCCTGGCTACCAAACACTGTCTGTTGAGCCTCCAGACAAGAGAAAAGCAGGAATAAAGGTAGAAAGCGTTGATCAGCTCCTTGACAAGCTCCGCAATGAAGCCAAAGTAATATAAAGGAGCTTAATTTCAAATAGAAGTAATAAAATGGTAGGAATATTCCATATGTTTATTCTCAGCAATCTATTTGCTTTCTACATTTTTGTTAGAAGGTTAAAATGCTTTATTTTGGTTTCCCTGACCAAATTGTTTCTTTGAGCTAGTAAAAATTTGATTTTATATTAGTATCTTTGCAGAATCTAAAAATTAAATTCGAATATAACTTCAAAAAAAACTAAAAATGTCAAAAATATGTGAAAACACTCAAGTTTGTATCACATAAAGGATAGAATGCTACTGAGTACACAATGAATGCAATTGCTATATTTTTAAATTTCAATTTTCTATTATAATTATTTTATGATATTTTGGGCATAAAGATCAAATAAAGAGAAACAGCTTTTAAAACTGATTGACGAAATAGATGGCATTATTAGAGTGTATTTTATGAATCTACTGACGGCGTGAATCATTTAGAAGGCTTTTATATTCCTTTGATATCATAGGAAATTGTAAATTTCAAATAAATTCGTGCTAATAAATAATTGAATAAAAATATTTAATATACACATTTCTAGAATTCTCTATAAATATTTTTTTATACCTCAAATTTAGTCAACTAGTATTCTTAAGAATTCTTCTCCAGAAGTGAGAGTCAAAAGAAATTAATTCTCTTATTGAGTCTTAATTTAAAAACAATTACCAAGTATAATTAATTCTGAGTAAAATCATGCAGAGATACTTTATATCTTATTCATATCTTGTGTATTGTACCACTTATTAATAAAACCTCAGAGCTGGGATCAAAATTTTGATTTTTTCTTTTAGCCGACTATATATTTAATTGCAAATCACGATTTATTAACAAAAAATGCAATATCATCTGGCTTAATTTATTAATGTAACGCATTATATCAATCAACGGGCTTGCAATCAATTAGCATTCCCTTAAATAGTTTCTAAAGATTCTTTGCTTAATTTAAAAAAAATCTGAGATTCTGTTCAGTAAATTCATTAAATGACTGCCATATTATAAAAAATGTTTAAAGATTTTCAAGGTTATTCAACTCCTCAGGTTCGAGCTTATTCCACAATTGAAGAATTTATGAATCGGCAGCGTAGGGCATCATTGAATGCTTGCATTCCATTGAATGAATTTATGAGTCCTCATAGTATGGATGAATCCCCACTTCTCCAGATAACAAATCATCTTGCTATAAGAAGATTCTCAATTGAATTTCTTCCAGACTCAAACGATAACTTTCCGTCGCAACTTCATAAAAAGCTCTTTCCTGACCATTCTCCAAAGCAATATATTATTAATATAGTTCCAAGCGATATCATGGAAGAGGCTGGAAGACTAGGATGGGACCCTTTATGAGGCGACGTCGTTAATAACGATTTTCCAACCTCTTCGAATGATCCTGAATACAATAGTTTGGTTAAAAACAACTTTGAAAATAATAATGACATTCCCAAAGGTGCAGTTATTAGGACTAAATATAGAAAAAAGCTTCCTGGATCTTCTAATAATGAAGAATTCGCCAACTAATCGCTGTAAATAACTTTAATTTAACTTTATTTGTATATAGAAGTTTCCTATGTTTGGCACTGTAAGGCCGATAATTCTGATCGGAATTTATCGGTTGGTTGCACCAAATCAATGCCTTGGTCGGACCAAAAAGCGATTCGGTCCGACGAACTTGGAAAGCTCCTGGGAAAATGTCTGCGCTTTTTCGGCGCTATATAGAGGAAACCTCTATAAATAAGCTTATATGGATTAAATGATTAAAAATATCTTCTTAAACCCTGCAAACATAAGAACTTGACTGTGTCACATATCTCACCCATCTGCATGGAGATGATACCTTTCCTTGATCAGCAATTCTCAGGTATTTAACTTGCAAATTCGATACATTGAACATTGGTATTTCAAAATTCATTGAAATTGGGCCGATTTCTTTAGAACCTGAAGGTGAAGCTAAGCTTACTTTTATTTTAACTGCATATTCCGCCCCACCTGGAAATTTCTTTATTGTCCACTCAGCAATTTTATCTTGGTCTCTATACTCAGACTGCTGCGCACTTAGCCCTTTTGGCATTTCAAATGCCACAGAAGATGAGCTTTTTGGTAAGTTCACTCTTACAGCTACATTAGATCCATACTGGGTTTCAGGAAAGCATGATTTAACCTTCACCAGCAGCTCCAGCTTATACGGAGTCAGCACTTCCACAAATGGGAAAATCCTAAAAGGTGTCTGATAATCCCCTCTAATCCTATAATTCATGACTACAAATTCTCCATCAGGAGGATTTATAGTTAAAATTTTGAACTCATTAAACTCATTCGAATTGACACATTCATGAAAGTTGCAGTCATCTAGGACAGTGCTTCCATAGTTTCCATTATTTCTTCCTATCACTAAATCATCATTTAAAGCCAGTCTCAGCTGTGGGTTGTTTTTTAAGTACGATTTCATTTGAATGCAGCCATCAATAGCTGAGTTTAGAATGTATCCATTTGAGTTGAATAATACTGAAACTTTTTCTAAAATGTCTACGAAAATCTCATTTTTCTGCTTCTTTGAGCTGTTTGTGGGAATCGGTCTTTGGCGCTCTGTATAGGAGACTGTATTTGGAGTTAGAAATCCAGGGGTAAATCTTGGAGTAGACTGTTCTACAGCGACAGCGTCATTTACAATAAAAGGTCTTACTTGTTCAGTAGATGTGCTTTGAGGGTACCCATAATCCATCATTTCATCAATGATTTCATATACAAGAACAAAATTTTTCCTGATAGCTTCTTCTGTCAGAACTCCACAGAAGTCTTTTATCACTGTAACCAGCCTATAAAGCATCTCAAATACAAACGAGGGGGAAATATTGTGAAGAGAGGTAGCTACCAAATATAGTCCACTTCGCTTTATGTGCAAGAAATTTATTCCTTCAATATTGAATACTGGAGGAGGATCTCCTTTCCAAAACCTGGCTCTCCTGAAAAAGATTTCATTTGTGCCTTTAATAAGGTCTCCTCGGAAGTCTCTTGTTATGATTGTATCGCCACGTGCAGAAAGAAGGAAAAGTTGAGATATCATTTTAATACTCTAAAATGTCTGCAAATCTTCATGATTATAATAAAACCTTGATTTAATGTTCAAGAACTTTAAAAAATACTTATGGGTTATATAGAAATTCATTTTACAAGGATAATTTAATGAAATGTTGTTCTTGAGTATTGTTGTCTACACACTGGACAATGATGTTCTTTATGTATATCAAAATATTCAAAACCTTCTATACATTTTGAATGAAATACATGAGAACAAGACAGCACGCATTTTTCTCTTCTGTCATGAAAAGATTGCAAGCAGATGGCGCACTCTTTATCATTTCTAATTAATGCTTGATGCTTAATATGCTCCCATTCTTCCGAATTTTCTCTATTTTGCTGTGCTTGAGAACCAGTTCTTGCTTGCTGCCGCTGAAAAGCTTGAAAAACTTGTCGAGAAGCCTCCTGCTGCTCATCAAGCTGCCTGAATAAGAATTCAATAGACCTTTCTCTCCTATCCATGTCCTCTGTCAATTTGTCAGTCAATCCATGCAACTGCTGTCCAAAATATTTTCTCCTAACTAAAGGATGCTGAGGAGGGTTCAATCTGAGATGTTCCATATAAGCTTTTCGCGCTCTGTAGCCTCTATAATAAGCTTGTATCTTTATAGCGCACTGTTCCCTATAAAACTCTTCAGTTTTATGATAATTCTTCTTTTCATAAGAATTTCTTCTGCAGATGGGGCATACTTTGATTTTTGCGTATTTTTCGAAACTTTGTAAGCATTGCTTATGAAAAACGTGAGTACAGCTTAAAATGACACTAGAAGCCCTCCCAAACACTTCTTGGCAAATTGGACAGCATCCTTTGTGTTCTCCTCTTGACTGTGCTTTTTGCTCCACCCTAAGTCATTGATCTTCATTTAGAGGTGCCGCTGGTTTTTCAATTAACCCCAGTCTCTGTGCAAGTGTCAGTTTATTTTGAAAATTTTGGGCTCTTTGCCTTATTTCTTCTATATCGCTATCATGAGGCTTGCTTTTCAAATGATTTTTCCTATCATTTACGATTTTTCTTCCAAATGATGCAAGAGGATTTGATTTCGGCTTCACAGTTGAGGGTTGAAGTTCAACATTATTAAATCCCAGAGATCTTAATAAATGGTCTTGCAGAGCTGCTGCATTTATTGCACTAGAAGAAGGCTCTTTATATTTACTTGGTCGCATATTTGTTAATCATAAAAATACAATTTAAACTAATTATAAAGATGGTTCTTTGCTTATAACTGAGCTGAATCGCAATCGTGATTGAGCAAGACTTTCATATAAATCCCTTGGCGAACTCTCAAAGCTCTCCAAAAGGTTATCCTGCATAATATTTACACGTTTATCTATAGGTGTCGGCTTCATGCTGTTCCAAAAAACATAGAGACATGCTGTGATAGGTAAATAATGAGAAATCACCCTTGTCATGGCAAATAAAAAAATATTTAAGCTTTGGTTTCCATCAAAATATTCATTGCAATTAGGCTTTGTATTTATAAAGTAATAAATATTGTTGAAAAAACTAGCTGTGCTTGAAGTAAAGATGATCATTAGTAAATACCTAATTAGATTTCACCATAATTGTTTCTCTTTGTCTAGATTTGTAATAAAAATCGTTGAAGTGCTAACAATTCTGAGCTGCTTTCTTGTTCTGATCCCAATCATAAGAAAAACAGAAGTTAAGACAAAGCTGTTGGATCTCATATAAAGCCAAAGCCCTGTTCTGCAGCTGTATATGTCTTTATCATTAAACTGTTCAATTACGAAATAAAGAGCGCAGCCTGATAAATATAAAAAATTGAACCCAAGCAAGCAGGATCCAAGTCTATCAATTCGACTTAAATGCCCGACAAGCGAGTATACTTGGAAAGAAAAGTAGTAACAGATGCTAGTGTAGAAAACGAACTGCATATATTCCATAAGCATGTACAGGATATTATAATCATCTCCCACTATTAAATAATGAGTTGTCATCACTAGGCACTGGGCAGAAGTGACACAAAGAACTAATAGATGACGCTTAATTGTTTTTTCGGTGTGTCGAATATAATAAACAATTTGGAAAATCTAAATTAAGGGTACTGTAAAAGTGAAAATAGAGAATGAAACTGCTGCAAATAAATATAAACATACACACCAGCTCACTCCGAATTGACTCCAGCAAGTCTCCATTATTATAATCTACATCATCAAATATTTTGATAAATGGAAAGTGATCAAATTACTTTGCTCATTTTTTAGCTTATTCGGTTATGAAACCATCAAAATATGCCATTAAAATTAGATTTTCATTAAATCTTTGAAGGCCCTGAAACTGTAAAACATTTTTGATAAAATCGTGAATATGATAAAATGAGAAATTTAAGAAAAATTGTAAAATTTTTTTAAAGTTAACTCTATCTATGAAATTGTTTTTATTAAAATTTATTTATTATGTAGATACCTGTTGATTTAATTAATATTATGCTAAACCCCCCCCCCCCCTCCGTGAGCGAACAAAACCATTAGAAAAATCGCCATTTTTTTGACCAAAAAAACCCACCCTCCGTGAGTGAACAAAAATTTTTTTTAATAGAAAAAATTTTAATGGAAAAAAATTTTGATATATAAGTGATAATTAGTATAATGAAATCTAGAGCTAATTCTGTTTAATTTTAAACAAATTGCGTTTTAAAACATAAATTTTGCAAATTAAATTAATATTTGCTTCCCAATTTTTGCAAATTAGGATTTTTTTTTAAATTTCGAAAAAAAATATTTTTTTATAAAATTTATATATAAATTTTTTTTAAAAAAAAAAATTAACCCCCCTCCGTGAGCGAACAAAATTTTTTTGTTCGCTCACGGAGGGGGGGGGGGAGTAAAAAAAAAAAATTATGAGTAAGAGTTAAGAATTAATTATATATTTGAATTAGATCTCTAATTTTATCTCATTAATAATAAATTTATTTAATTTTTAACTTAGCTTGGTTTTTTTATTGAACGAAAAAGAATAATTTGCACACCTCAAAATTAGGAAATCCATAAATTTGAATTATTCGATTTTATTTATATCTGTTTTACTTATCCCATTTTATTTTTTAAAGAATGATATGTTTTCTCGCTAGCCAAGGAGGTTAATTTTTTTTAAAAATCCTATATAAAACTTCTATATTTCAATATATTTGGAATGAAAAATTCTAAAATAATTTAAAATTATATAATCATTAATTATATGCCATATTATTATTACAAAAATTTTGTATTGCTAATCCTTTTGGTCTCTAGCCAAAGGAGGCTAATTTTTTCAAAACAATAATTTTCTAATTTTTTTGCTTGCTGGGAATTAGATATCTACTGAATTTATAAATCTCAACCTTCTTTGCAAGATTACATATGTGGAAAAGTGTCTAATAACAAATTGGTAGCAATTGCTCTCTTGTTAATAAAAGTTACTGAACCTCGATGTTGCCTCGAAGTATAGTTAATTCTTGGACTGGGCAAAATGTCGATTCCGTGGTTAGCCTTGATGCACCTCGGTGTTCTTAGATCTCCATGATCAAAACTGAAGGAAATGTCGGCTAAACTTTGAGTTTCTGCTCGTTTCCTCAAGCGAGGGGATAAATAATCGCTTTTGTTCACATTTGACGAAGGAATTCGTAGTTTTGGTATATGCTTGGGAGACTCACAGAAAGATAACTGTGGGACTGGTTGGGTATCTTGGAGGTTTAACCTTGTCATTGGTTTCCGCCTAGGATTAATTGTTTGTTCCATTTTATTGTTCTGCTAGTAGAGAATTTAAGAGATGAAAACTGAGTATGATTTATTAGGTGGAAACGGGAGAATATAAAGAGATTGAAAAAATGAAATAAAGATAAGAAAACAGAAATTGAGGTATTATATAAGGATTCTGGTAAAAATAGAGAAGTGTGCAAATTTGGATACGGTAAATGGATTATCTCCAGTAAGAAATTATATATTGATTGAATAAATGTATAAAAATCATTTGATTGCTAATCATAGATAAACAATAAAAGGGAAACGTCACCAACGAGTCCTCTTCCGGACCTTTTTTCGAGTTTGGGATCTTATTCGGCTTGAAGCCAACAGAGCAGAAAACGGAGTCTACGAGTGCTGGGTATTTTTGTTCCGGTTGGGTTTTGCCTCCCTCATCCGGCAATGAACAATTTTTGTCTTTCCGATGGACATTTGGGAAAAAAGATTTTTTTATCCCTAGAGACCACTAGTTGAGACAATAAAGACTTAGTTAATGCTGATACTAGAAAGAGAGTTTATTTCCTAGCTAGAACTCTAGCCACTCAAGCAACAGCCGTCAAGTCAAAACCTGCATACTCCAGGTTTCAAAACAACATTAAGAGCCAGACTGGAAGCAGGAGGAGAGCTATCTCTTGTGGAAATGCTGAAATGCCAAGGGAGGTTCACTAGCAGCTGGACCAGTCTTCTACGAAGATTCATCTCGGATGAGAGATAAAAGGAGAAGACCCCTAATTATAATTAATTATAATATTAAATGCTAATCATAGATAATCACTGAAAAATTAAATATAAACTCAAAGTAAAAATAACCAATATTAGATAATTCTATGCCTTTCAAAATTACAAGAGTTAATGCCATATAAATATGTCAAAAGCGTGTTTGAAATCCGAGTATGAGTACTGCAAAACAGAGGATGGATTTTCCTATAGGAGAAGAATTAAGGCATCAGACAAAAAGGATCAATGTAAGGAAGCATCATCGCAGCCTATTAGCGATCTTCTGTTTTCTTCTTGTAGAAAGATCAATGAAGCAAATAGATTTGAATATACCAATCAAGAAACGGAAGATGGCTTAACTTTCAGAAGAAAAATAAAAATAGGTGATCTTGAAGCTCAAAGTATTAAAAATGAAAATGAAGCACCCTTATCGATCAGCAAAAGTAATATTGAACAATCTTTAAAATTCAAAGAAAATGTTCAAATTAACTCAAATTTGCTATCATGCAGAAAAATAAACTTTAATGAATCGATAGGAAAAGAAGAAGAAAAGACCAGTAAAATTGAGCCAGTTGAAGAATGTTTAATAAACTTAAAACATGAAGAATGAGAAAAAAAATCTGAAGCAATGAACCAGTGTGAAGTTGATAATGGCTTGTCTTTTAGAAGGAAAAGAAAAGCTATTGATAAGCTTGAAAGCGATTCAAAGCAGCCAATTTTAATTGAAAAACAAATTTCTCTTCCAATCAAGCCAACAGAAAATTTGGAGCTGCCTATACCCCGCCTAGATACTTCCATTAGACACCCGAAAAGATGTCCTGATTTCCCCGATTTTTCTTTTACAATTAAAAAAAATTACAAAATATTTCCATCTTCAATTAGATTGCTATATTTTCTTGAGGATCTCATTTTCGAATTAAAAGCGACCCTTAAGCTGACATATTCAGCTCACCCAGATTTTCTTTCAGTATGTGAATTTTTGTTAAACTGCATTAATAAAGAAGCCTCCATTTTACTGGAAACATTTAACGAACAAAAAAAGAAAAAATGAAATGAAAAAACGATTGGAGAAATAGAAGAAAGAGAAAGGAGGAGGAGAGATGAAGAAGAGTGGAGAATATTTTTCAAAAAAATAAGAAAGAACCCAATTAATTTATTTTTGAAGAATGAAAAGAAAATGATTGAAATCGCTTTATTGAAGTAAATTTTATTTAGGCTGAAACAGCCAGACAAGGAACTTGAAAATGCTAAGTCACTTGTTTTTGATAAAAGACATTTTTGTGATAAAACTCGAATGCCAATGGCGAATGCTTTAGCAAGTTTTTCGAGTGATATGAGGAATGCAGTAATTTAAAATTAGATGCAATTAAATTTAGTCAAGCTTGCAAGCTATGCAGAAATTGTCCATGCTAAATCTCAGAAAAATGGCAATATTACAGTGATTGAAGATTTTAGTATTTTTTTCCCAATTTTTTACTCTGATTCGAGAGCACTTGTATTTCGTTTCCTGCATTAATTAATTGCCTGCAATTAATCTCATTTTTAATTAAATTTTTAGCAACTTCTGTTTCTCACTGATTGAGTCAAGCAAACTCAATTTAATAAGTTTCAAAATAATCACTTTATCTAAAGCATTTATTGCTATTTATAGTATACTAATTTTGAAAAATTAATTTCCTTTATAAATATTTTTCAGCTTAAGAAATAGCAGATCAATTAAAGTGGCAATTCTTATTTCATTTATAACTCTTTTATTTTACTTTCTTGGAGCTGCTTCTAATTTTGAAAATTATACCATGAAAATTTATAAATAATAACTTCCGATTATTTTTAATTTTTTCATATTATCAATATAAAAGTTACATCTAAAAAGTTCTTTATATATTATAGATCCAATTTTTCACGCTAAAGATGCAAACTATAAATTAAAAAAGTAAACGCAGATTGCAAGTACAGTTGAAATGCTTTATGTCTTTAGAAGATTCTAATTGAGCCTAAATCAATAAATTTTAGATTTGATATAGGAATTGCCCGAGGATGGCGCTATCTTGCGCCATCCTCGGGCAATTGGTATATTTTCTATAAAAATCTTTTATGTTGCAATTTAGATAATTATTACATATATTTGCAAATAATTTTTACCTTATAATCTTCTTCTTAAACCAAACTTACTTACGGATTCAAACCTAATTTGCAAATATAATAAAATTTATAGCTCATATTTATTATTTTTTATTACTTAATAGCCTCTCATTATTCTTAAAGAGTGCTTACATAATACTAATTCGCAGTGAAAAGGACCAGAAACTTCTAGATTGTCATCTAAATTTTAGGACAAAATAAAGTGTATTCTAGAACAATATGGAAAATTCAAAAGGATTAATGTAAATTATATGATGAATCGAAAACGTTCTAAGTCGGCTCGTCCGACATCCTTTCTTTCCAAAACATTTGATCTTTTAAGCCTTGATGAATTTCAAGACATTGTCTGCTGGAGTGATGATGGGAAATCTTTTACTATTAAAAATCAAGGCGAGTTTATGAATCAAGTTCTTCCTATTTATTTCAAACACAAGAATTTAGCAAGTTTTATTAGGCAACTGAACATGTACGATTTCCACAAAGTGAGAGACTCAGGAGATAAACAAATTTTTAGCCACCCTTGCTTCGTAAAAGGCAATAAAAGTCTTTTGGTTGAAATTCACCGAAAAACTTCTGAGTTCTTTCCACCTCCAGTGGCAAGAATTATTCAGCAGGCGTCTGAACCACTTCTCCAAAAGTGTCAAATGCTTGAAGCAAAGCAAGTTGAAATGCAAAATGCTTTGGACACGCTTGACAAAAAGTATAAGGAAACCTGCGAAATGAACCAAACTCTCGTTGTTGAGTTGCTAAATGCTCGAGAACGAGAAGAGAGATTATCTCAAATGATCTTTAGTGCTTCTTTATATGGAGCACCGTTTAATATGATCTAATGAAGACTGTAACAAAATTTGCGAAGATATACATATATAATTTGCAAGTGAGGATAATGCTAAGACATATTTTACTGAATTAATATAAGTATTTTTAATTTTAATTATTATGGCTAAGTTCCAATTTAAAAATGAGAATCCTTCTCGAACTCTATGAAAGCTTTATAATCCATTTTTTCTCCAGTAAAATGTATTTCTTAAGGGTTTACGAATATCGAAGAATAATTTTTGACTTTTTGTTTTAGAAAGTTTATTCATTGTCAACTCTTCATTAGTAAAAATTCCATAATAGGATGATAGTTTACAAATTGCTAAAAACATTATTTTAATATTTTATTATAGCAATTATATAGTTATAATCAGTGCTATTGCATAAATAACACCCAATAATGGCAAAAGCAATTCAATAAAATAAACAGTTCAATGCATATTTGCAGTCTCTCAAATTCATCTATATTTAAAATTAATTTTTTACATATCTACTAACTTTTTTAATCTCTTTCTCGCCTTCTCTTCTTCAATTTGATCGGCAGCCTTCTCCATTTCTCTCCATTGATTCTTTCTAACCTCTGTAGACTTTTCAAGTATGCAATCATGACAGAACCATTCTTCAAGGTCAGGAATTCTATTAATTCCTATGCAAAAGGTATGAAATCCTTGATCACACCCATCGCAAATCAAAAGGAATTCATCTTGCTGATCAGAACCACATCGTATACAGAATATGCTAGAAATATATTCTTCATACAAATCTTCAATAAGCTTGTCTGAATTTTCTACCAAAGCAACTTCAGATGTCTTGGAATTTCCAATTTCGTTGAATTTTAAATTGCATAGCGGGCATTTGTTTGATACTTTGCTCCATTCGTAAAGGCAGGAAAAGCAAAATTGGTTGTGCCCGCAATTGAGAATGCCGAGGGCAGAATGTTTTTCAATGCTTTCGAGACAGATTAGACACCTATTTAGTAAGTTCCCATTGTTATCGCAAACTTTAGGTATATTTAAACGTGGGCCAGTATTTTTCCTAAGGCGCTTCGGCATTAAATATGCGAAATTTTATATCGTGCAGGTTACCCTCAATCATAACTTCATTTATTTATCATTAGCAAGATTTCAAGATAAGGCAGGTTTGCAGTTAATTATTAAAGTTAAGGACTGGCTATTAACTTATTTGATACGATACTTATGCTGTATATAAAGAACTTGGCATCACTAAGACCTTTGAGGTCAGTCAGTTACTTTATCTTGATATAAGTATTTCTAAAATAAAATAATTTTGTTATCATATATTTGATAATAAATAAATTTAATTAAAGCAAAATCCTATATAAAGTAGTCTAAAATATTACTTTCCATAAGCGATCTTCGAGATAAGCTTATAGACTAAAAACCCTAAGAAGTTTCCTCCATTCCAATTAAAATTCAATAAGAAAAAAGAGCCAAGCCACCCTTTATGATCACACATATGCAAAATAGGTATTTTTATGTCTTTCCAGCATTCATGTACACAATTTACATTCATATACCTCATTTGCCCTTTAAAAGGAATTTCAAAAGGAATGGAAAGTCTGCTTAAATTTGTGATTAGCATAACAATCCATACGGACATTGGGAAAGACTTCCATGGCATTTTTTTGGCCGCAAAAAGCGTTAATGGAATGAACCATAAATGATGGGTAGAAGTAAAGATTTTATTTCATGATGTTTCTTTCCATGCCAAGTATCCTGCAACTCCTAATTTAAACTTTCCAGTAAGTAAAAAGCTTAAAACATCTACCCAATATAATGTTTGGTCAAGGGCAACTGAAGCTGCTCCAGCGCACATCATATCAGTTCTTCCTAGAAAAGCACTTAACCCGGTTAATATTAAGCTCATGTTACATTGCCAAAACATGTCATAAATTGCTATCTGCTCTGATTATTTATTACTATCTTGCCGCACACGTGAGATAAACAAAATAAAAGCATATGCGAATAAAAATATACCGTATTTTAGCTGTCTTCCTGTAGGCTTTTTTGTTGATTTTTTACCGCTTACCTTGTATAAAACGAAAAAGCAACTGGCAACTGCAATGATGTAAGCGATGATGGGATGAGCAAATGACTGGTGTTTTAGATCAAACTTTCCAGCAGATCCCAAAAATTTTAAAGCTGACCAAACAACCATATTTTGAAACAATTATTATAACAAAAGCAATTATCCAGCTCTTTTCTTAGGATTACCAATTAAAGTCTCATTAAGCTTTCAAATTTACCATAAATTTGATATATTAATGCAAAATTTTTCCAAAGAGAAATGCACGTATAATGATAAAATAATTATGGCTTTTTAAGTAATTTTATTAGAAAAATATGAGGCAGCTGACAGAAGAAGAAACAAAAACCCTCTTCAGCAAACTAAAGCTGATCCTCGGCGACAATATCCGACATTTAATTGATAGGCCTGATGAAGACTACGTTTTCAGGCTTCAAGAAAACAAAGTTTATTATATGAGCAAAGGTGTTTTAGATCTCTGCCAACTTATCGGCAGAGAAGAACTATTCTCCGCAGGCATTTGCTTTGGAAATTTTACAAAATCAGGAAAATTCAAAATACACATTACAGCTCTGCCTTACCTGGCTAAATACACCAAATATAAGGTCTGGGTAAAGCCAGGTGGAGAGCAAGTATTTTTATATGGAAACCATGTATTGAAAACACACGTAGCCAGAATGACTGAAGGAGTGCCTCAATATGAAGGTGTTGTTGTGTTCTCTATGAATGATGTACCATTAGGCTTTGGGGTTGCTGCAAGATCGACTGAACAAAGCTTAAAACTCCAGCCTCACGATATTGTCGTTTTCAATCATTCAGATTTAGGGGCATATATAAGAACTGTGGAAGAAAAGCAGGCAGATTATTAACTAAAATAATTTTTATGCAAATATTTATTAGGATTTTCAATTTGATATTGAAAATCTTTTAACATAAGCTAGAAAACCCAAAATATTGTTCTTCAATTATTGTGAAAATACCTGTAGAGGCTATGCCAATAAGACTTGCTGTGGTCAAAAAGGCAATCAATAAGACTATCATTGATGGCCTTTTGACTTTTCTTAGCAATGCCCGAAGCACATAGTATCCCAGTATAGCTCCTATAAGAGAAGCCCCTAATAGCCAAAGTCCATAATCCAGTTCGATCATCCCTCCAATTGTGTATTGTAACACTGATATGGAAGCACTAAATAATATCATGAAATTTGAGCAAGATGTAGACACCTCAGGCCGAATTCCGATTGAAATCATAAAAGGATTCATGATCATCCCTCCTCCAATTCCCAGACTTCCTGCCAAAAGTCCTGCAAATGCAGTGATCAATCCAATTTTGATAGCTAACTGGCTATTCCACTTAGGATCGCCCAAATCAAAGTCATATCCATTTTCAATTCTTCGTTGCGTTCTGTCAACTAAAAGTTTCCCACATAATCAGGATATAGCAACAAGGAGAAAGAAGTAAAATCCAGTATAAATCCAGTATCATATATCACATTGCGTTATTCCTACAATTGAATTCATACCTTTTCCTCCCCTAATGAAGGACCCAAGCACAACTATTACATACACAATCCCAACTATCCCAATGCTAGAATAAGAAATTTTCATTCTTGGTTCTCTTTCTTTGATTTCTATTATTTGGTTTGTGTCCTCTTCCATTAATGGCTTTAAAATCTCATTCATTGCAGATGCCTCACTTTTAACTTTTTCCAAATTTTCTTTCTTATATGCAAGTCACCATTTTTGGGTTGCCAATATTGATATATAAATTTTGACAATAATAATTGTCACTATTATCAGCCACTCTGGAAATATTAGGTGTAAGAAAACACCAACTGAGGTTCCAGCTAGCAACGGAACAATTAAATATGAGATCAATTCATAATCTGTAAGCGGCCTCGATTTTATGGTAGGGTGGCGATCATTTAATTTGAGGCATACTGACATCAGAGTTCCGCCAAATATAACAACCTGTGACAAAGGTATTGCGTGGGTTAAATCATAGTTGAACAAAAGCTGACCGACAATTGTGTTAAGTGGGCCACCGCCAAGACCAGCTGAAGTTGATAAAGCACTGATAATTATATTAATAAAGGTGCCTATAAACTCACTTCCTGCTATAGGGAAAAGATCTTTATGCATACATTCTCCGTCAACACAGTTGTGAAGCGACTTGCATTCGTAGTTATGCTCGCAAAATTCAGAGGCGATAATTTGAGAAAGGATGAGGAGAATTAGGACTTTTTTCATCTTTATTTTTAAGGAATAATGGATTAACTTCGCAAAGTATTATTGATAAAGATAAATAAATATTGGATTAAATCCTTGGTTTTCTTGCGATATAACTTGCAGGTTGCTATTTAAAATTTGGAAATAACTTTTTAAAGCTGCGCTTATAACACTTGCGAAATAGTTAATTGTTCTTTATAATAGATTAGAAGTAATTGATTTACGTAAAAAAATTAAAGCCAAATTTTAAATGTTAGATCTTGATTGCATTGCTTTAATTAAAAATTCTGCTTCTACTAAATAGTGATTTTTTCGTATTTACTCATTAGAAAACCTCTATATTATGCCCAAAAACCCATTAAAAGCATAAGCAATTTATCTGGAGGAAATATTTTTGTTTTTGCTAGATATGTTAAAGCTTGACTTTAGTTGAAAATATTACTGAATTTCTAGCTTTTTTTGCTTTAAGCATAGTCATCATAAACTAAATATTTACTGTTGGTATTTCGAATTAATTTGGAATTATATCGATATTGTCATATTATATTGTCGCCCAGCATATAACTTATATAAAAAATTAAAATATCTTAAATTAATCCAGACAAATTTATGTATTAAATGGGAAACCATTCAAATAGCCCTGTTAAAAAAAATCAAATGAATGAGAATGAACTGATTATTATCTTCAGGAGAGCTTCCAGTTTCTTAAGCCCAACTGATTCATTAAAATTGCTCTCTTTAAATCATTTCTTCCACCAGCACTTGCCAAATCACGAGTTCTATTTCTATGTTTCAAAGCCAATAGCAAGCTGGATTGCCAATCTTGACCAAAATGATCCCGACGTATTTGACCATTTTGCAAGATTCTTACTATAGCCCATACCCCATAAGTTTTATTTATCGAGCAAAATATAATAGAAAGTTTAATGACCAAGAAAAACTTTATTAAAGGGACAAACTAATCTCTATCCTTGAAAGAGTTAAAAAAGTAAGGGGAGTAAGAAATTCGCACAAGGAAGCAAAATACTTTTCATAAAAATTTTTCATTTAATAAATTTGTGTATCTCGATGAAATTTTCTAGTGTTTTTTCAATAGTTTTGCTCTCTAAGGGAAAGATGGAGTTAGAGTGTAACCCATTTACTTCTTATGATGATTTATTCAACTGCATAAAATCATCACAGAACATGATTAAAAATCCATGCGGAGAAATGGGCTTTAATTCTTGGGAAAAACATAATGGAGGTGATGGATGAAATATTGAAGACTGGCCTGGCTATAGACATAAAAAGACAGTTTTTACAACTTCTTATGAATGGTGTGATCTAACGCAAACTATTTCTATTCCATTATCTGATCAAAAGCGATTCCTTATTGTAGGGGCATATGTGACCAGAAGAAGTGACTGTGGAGCATTAGCAAAACTTAAAGTACAGGCATATGATAAAAACAAAAATTTAAAAGATACTTATAAAATTGATGAAGTAAATATTCGTGAGCCTGGGCCTGCGCTTTATATGCTGAAAACTAAAATTGAGATTCAACCTTATCATAGAATATTTAAAATAACTTATTCTGGGAAAGACACGAATTGGTGGGCTGGTTCAGGCATGAAACCTCTGTATCCCTGCCAAAAACAAATTTCTAACTCCCCCTCCCTCCGTGAGTGAACAAAAAAATTTTGTTCACTCACGGAGGGGGGTTAATTTGTTTTTTTTTAAAAAATTTATTTTTCAAAATTTTAAAAAAATCCTAATTCGCAAAAATTGGAAAGCAAATATTAATTTAATTTATAAAATTTATGTTTTAAAAAGCAATTCGTTCAAAATTAAATAGAATTAGCTCTAGATTTCATTATAATAATTATCATTTATATATAAATTTTTTTTTCCATAAAAAATTTTTCTATTTAAAAAATTTTTGTTCACTCACGGAGGGTGGGTTTTTGGGGAAAAAATAGCGATTTTTCTAATGGTTTTGTTCACTCACGGAGTGGGGGGGAGTAAGTATTGATAATAAGAAATATAGGAATGAATTTCCCTACCTTGCTGGTTATCAATAGGAAGTTACTATATAGCAGATAAGAAATAAAATTGGTGACGTTGACGGAAATCGGACTCGAGGCGCGTGCTCCTTATGGAGCAGATAGTATCCATCCTGATGAAGCTGAAAATAGGGCCTCTGTCCCTTTTTTAAGTAGGTGTTCAGGCTTGGAAGAGGGAATTTTTATTTGCCCCATAAGGTTTTCCTGCCCTTGCAGATGGGCTAGAAAAGTTTTGCCTACCACATAGTCTTTCCTTGACTAATTTAGATGGTGGCTCTTCCCAAGGAACTAATCCCCTGGACAGGCATTAAGGTCGGAAATTCAAGATGGCTGCCTTCCATTTCCTCATTTGAACTCCGAGGTCTATGGAGACTGCTCTTTTAGAGCCGAAACTAGGCAAAGGCTAGTGAGTTACCCGCTTATGGCAAGATTAACTGTTTTAATTAATATAGTAGATAGAAATAAAATGTGATATTGACAAAATTGGTTTTCGAGGCACGCTCACTATAGAGCAGAGGTAGGGCCCATCTAGATGAAGGTGAAAACAATGCTTCTATCACTTTTGAAGTAGGCCTTCGGGTTAAGGGAAGTCTTACCGAAGAGGAAAGTTTTTATTCATCACCCGAATGTATTTCTATCCTTACTCCCCCGTGAGCGAACAAAACCATTAGAAAAATCCCTATTTTTTGCCCAAACACCTTCGCCAGCGAACAAAAATTTTTTATGGGAAAAAAATTTGATAATTATTATAATGAAATTTCTAGCTAATTCTGTTTAATTTTAAACAAATTGCGTTTTAAAAACATAAATTTTACAAATTAAATGAATATTTGCTTTCCAATTTTTGTGAATTAGGATTTTTTTAAATTTCGAAACAAATTTATTCTATAAAATTTATATATAAATTTTTAAAAAATGTTAACCCCCCTCCGTGAGCTAACAAGATTTTTTTGTTCGTTCACGGAGGGGGGATAGTAGATGGAGCTAGATAGAATTTTTCATACCGCATGGCCTTTACCTATTGGACCATCGGGGCATATCCTAGGTAGTTTTGCTTTTGAGTAGGTGCGGTAGGGGATGTGGGTTGAGGGGTGGGTTTCATGCTGACCAGGCTGGAACTTATGGAGCAAGATTCTCTTATTGTTATGCTCGCATCTCCTATAGCCTCTAATCTCATATTAAGCTTATTTTGAATAGTAATTATGATTTTTTTGTTTTCCAAATAAATTCTTGCATACTTATAAAAAACCCCTTTCATTTACTTCAGCCAATAATTTTTTCTTTATGGCTAATAAATCCTGAAATCTTGATTTTCCAATTTCAATCCATTCAAATCCTTTCTTCTATTTCCAAAAGCTTCTCACTCCTCCCACCACTTTCACTCATTTTGTCATCTCTTATTTGTCTCTAAAATCCAGAAAAGTCTTCCATCTTATATTATGCTAAATTTAATACATAAATAATATAGGTATATTAAAATGTCTCTAAAGCTACAACATTAGGTCTTGCATACTCTGAATTGATAGCTGTTTGACCATTTTGCAAGATTCTTAGATTGCAATCCATTTAATTCTTATGATGACTTATTCATCTGCAGAAAATCATCAAAAACAGATTTAAGCATTAGGAGAAATGCGCTTTAATTTTTGGAGCAGTAATATAACGATGACCCCCCCTTCAATCTTCATCTATTGCAACAAAAATTTTTCGAAAAAATCTTCATGCCTCACATTTTTATAAAAAAAAATTATTACATTTTTCTCTAGGTGAGTTAGTCAAAATCCTATAATCCCTTGCATAAATTTCATTTTGCTTATTTATGGTAAATTGATTTTAAAATGTCAAAAAAATTTTAGCATACCATAGACTCAGTTTTATATATAATGGCATGTCAAAATTTTTTTGGCATTTTAAAATCAATTTGCCATAAATAAGCAAAATAAAATATTACCAATACATTATATAAATTACTGAAAAATTTAAGGTGCATCGAAAAATTGTTGCAAGAGACGTGAAAATTAATTTTTTCTATATATAAAATTTTATATTAAAAAATTGCATTTTTATTGCAATAGGCATGAAGATTGAGGGGGGTCATCGTTAGGTAGCGATGAAATATTTAAGATTTGCCCTGCTATAAGCTCAAAATAGCAGTTGATAAAAATTCTTATGAATGGTGCGATCTGGCGCAGTTTATTAATATTCCCTCACAAGATCAAAAGAGATTCCTTAATTAGGGGCACAAGTAAGCAGAGAAGGTGACTGTGGAGCATTAGACAATCTTAAAGTAGTGGTATACGATGAAAACCAAAAATAAGATATGATTGTGATGAAATAAACATTCCTAGGCTTGATTTTATATGCTAAAATCTAAAATTGAGATTCAAGCTTATCATAAAATATTTAGAATAACTTATTCTGGGAAAGGCAGCAAGATTTTCTCATTGTTGCTCGAATCTTCAATAACCCCTAATCTCCTGTTCAGCTAATTTCATAAGTAATTTATAATTTGTTTGTTTCCAAATAAATTTTTGCATACTTATAATAAAACACCCTTCAGTCAATAACTTTTTCCTTTTTGATGAAAAATCTAGAAATCTTAATTTTCCAATTTCTTTAAAAATTACTCAAATCCTTTCTTCTATTTCCCAAAACCTTTCCATTCCTTTCCACCTCTTTCCCTCAATCTTTCCCTCTATTTTATCTCTAAATTCCAGAAAATTCGTCCACCCTTTACATCATGCTAAATTGAATACATAAATAACACGTGTATAATAAAAATGTCTCGAAAACTGCAAACATTAGGTCTTGCATACTTTGGATTGATAGCTGCTTGCTTATTCTTTTCAGCCAATGCAGGTTCAAAGGACAGCGACATTAAAGGACCTGCTGTAGGAATTGACTTGGGAACAACCTATTCTTGTGTGGGTATCTATAGAAATGGCCGTGTAGAGATCATCCCTAACGACCAAGGAAACAGAATCACTCCTTCATACGTCGCACTCTCAGAAGAAGGTGAAAGACTAGTCGGAGAAGCCGCCAAAAACCAAGCTGCCATCAACCCTAGTGGCACAGCTTATAGTGTTAAAAGACTTATTGGCAGAAAATATGACGACGACACAGTGCAAAATGATAAGAAGCTTTTATCATACGACATTACCAACAAACAAGGAAAGCCTTATATTTCACTTCAAGCTGGAAAAGAAGTCAAAGAGTTCGCCCCTGAAGAAATCAGCTCTATGGTCCTTGCCAAGATGAGAGATATTGCTGAAGCTTTCTTAGGACAAGAAGTAAAACACGCTGTGGTCACTGTCCCAGCTTACTTCAATGACTCACAAAGACAAGCCACTAAAGATGCAGGTGCCATCTCAGGACTTAACGTTCTAAGAATCATCAACGAACCAACAGCTGCTGCTATTGCTTACGGTCTTGACAAAAAAGGACAAGGCGAAAAGAACATTTTGGTCTTCGATTTGGGTGGAGGCACTTTTGATGTGTCTTTGCTTACCATTGATAACGGAGTTTTCGAAGTCGTAGCAACTTCTGGAGACACACATTTGGGAGGTGAAGATTTTGACCAAAGAGTTATGGACTACTTGATCAAGCTTTTCCAAAAGAAAAACAATGTCGATGCTAGCAAAAACAAGCATGCCATACAAAAGCTTAAGAGAGAAGTTGAAAACGCTAAAAGAGCTTTGTCAAGCACTCATCAGGTTACAATTGAAATTGAAGCTTTCCATGATGGCATCGATTTCAGTGAAACTTTGACTAGAGCTAAGTTTGAAGATTTGAACAATGATTTGTTCAAAAAGACTTTGGGGCCTGTTAAACAAGTACTTGATGACTCAAGCATGCAAAAGAGCGATATTGATGAAATTGTGCTTGTAGGAGGATCAACCAGAATTCCAAAGGTACAAAGATTGATCAAAGATTTCTTCAATGGAAAAGAACCAAATATGGGTATCAACCCTGATGAAGCAGTTGCTTATGGAGCTGCAGTTCAAGCTGGTATTTTGTCTGGACAAGGTGGTGAAGAGACAGCTGACATTGTTCTTATTGATGTCGCTCCTCTTAGCTTAGGAATTGAAACTGTTGGAGGTGTTATGACCGTTCTTATTCCAAGAGGAACTGTTATCCCAACCAAAAAATCCCAAACTTTCACCACTTACCAAGATCAACAAACCATGGTCTCTATCCAAGTCTACGAAGGTGAAAGAGCCATGACCAAAGATAACCATAAGCTCGGCCAATTCGACTTAAAAGACATCCCACCAGCGGCCAGAGGAGTCCCACAAATTGAAGTCACCTTCGAAATCGACGCCAACGGAATTCTCAATGTCGCAGCAGTCGACCAAGGAACTGGCAACAAAAACCACATCACCATCACAAACGACACAGGAAGACTCTCTAAGGACGAAATTGAAAGAATGGTCAAAGAAGCTGAACAGTTCGCTGACCAAGATAAAGAGGCTAAAGCTAAAGTTGACGCAAGAAATGCTCTTGAAAGCTATGCTTATTCAATGAGAAACTCAATAGAAGACACAGAAAAGGTTGGAGACAAATTATCAGAATCAGACAAATCAACAATTAAAGATGCAGTTGAAGACGCCTTGAGCTGGTTGTCGTCTAATCCTGATGCAAGCAAAGAAGAATACCAAGACAAACTTAAGGAGGTAGAAAAAGTCTGCAATCCAATCATTTCGAAAATATATGATACCGCTGGACATGAAGATGTGGGCTCACATGATGATCTTTAATTATAAGAAATAAAAATTTTAAATAATTATGTGTGAAAGTATGATCGTTTTGATAAAATTTAATTAAAAGATAATGAATTGTTAATAAATAGTTTTATATATTATCAAATATGTGGCCTTTAATTCAGTTTAGCATGATATAACATTGAAAGAAATATTGAGAGGATAAGAAAAACCCTGAATAGACTAGGAGGGTCTTTAATTGAAGAGGTAAGAAAGAAATAGGACTTTGCTGACATTGAAAATTCCCGGGTTTTTGAAGAAGAAAAAAAGGTTCAAATTAAAGAAGAGGACTTGTATGGAAAATCATTTTATCAGAAAACAGGGAAGTATCCAGAGAATGAGATGTGGGAGATGAAAAAGATGTTGGATTTTGAAAGGAAAAGATCAGAATTCCTCGAAGAAAAGGTTAAAGCCAAAGATGAGTCATTAAAAGATATGATTATCTTGCAGCATGAACTCGAAGCAACAATTGAAATGCTGAAGCAAAGAAATGCTCCTCAAACGACTAATTGTGACAAAAGAATTGGAATTCTTGAAAGAGAGATTGAAATATTCAAAGAAAAAATAAAAGAAAGAGATCAAAAGCTGAAAGGGAAAGATGATGAAATTACACAAATTTTAGCAGAAAAAAGCGAATTGAATTTTAAGCTCAATATATTCTTTAACTCCTTAATGCAATATATAAATCCCGCAAAAATAATTCTTGAATAAAACTGAAAAAAAATGAATAAAAATTGTTTAAAAGAGTAAAGAAAATAGTGAATTAAAATGCCAGATAAAGAGTCACCAAACAAAATATGAAGAACTTGAAAAAATTTTAAATGGAAAGATTTCGGATATAAAATTATTACAAGGTAACTTGGAAGATGCAAAGAAAAGATATTTGAACGAAATTGAGATTTCTAATGAGCTTAGAAATGAAATTTCAACAATGACGATTTCCCTCAATGATATTTCAAAGACTAGGGAGCATGACAGTATTCTTGCAGAGCTCGACCCTCAGCTCAAATGAAAGAACTCAGAAGACAAGATTTTTATGAATGAAAGTACAAAACCTGCAATAGAATCTTATAGTTCCACAAATAAAGCTGAAAACATAGATGAAGATAAAGAAAACACACTAGAAATGAGATGCAAAATTCAAATCCCCGAACTTGACGAAATATCAAAACTCAAAGAAAAAATGAATCAGCTTTCTTCAAAATTTGAAGAAATAAATAGTAAAAACAAAAACCAAGATAATGATGACTTAATCAGAATTCTGGGAGCAGTTGACTTTAAAGATGCTAAAGACAAAATAGCGAAATTTGTAAAACTTGATGAAAAGTATAGTTCTTTGAAGAAAACCTTTAAAAAAATAGCAAATTTAATAGTTCAATGTTCACCTGAAGGATCATTTTACTCAATTCCTAGTCCCCATCAAGTATGAAAATGGATAACTCGCCTCTTACTCCCCCCCCCCTCCGTGAGTGAACAAAAAAATTTTGTTCACTCACGGAGCGGGGTTAATTTTTTTTTTTAAAAAATTTATATATAAAATTTTTTATAAAATTTTTTTTTCGAAATTTAAAAAAAATCTCACTTCTATAAAAATTGGAAAGCAAAAATTAATTTAATTTATAAAATTTATGTTTTAAAACGCAATTTATTTAAAATTAAACAGAATTAGCTTGTATAATAATTATCACTTATATATCAAAATTTTTTTCCATAAAAATTTTTTCTATTAAAAAAATTTTTGTTCACTCACGGAGGGTGGGTTTTTGGGAAAAAATAGGGATTTTTCTAATGGTTTTGTTCACTCACGGAGGGGGGGGAGTTAGAAGAGTATATGTCTCTTAAAAAAGGATCAGAGAAAATATGTAATTGTCTGGAAGCCAAATCATTTTCTCAAGCTCTTCAAATTATTGAAAAATCAATTGAAAAATTTAATAATAAGCATCATATTTAACATTAAAATCTTATTATAATATTTTGAAAAATGATTATAAACAGTTATATTATTAATATCACGTGATTCAAGCTTTTTTAAGCTTAAAGAACTTCAATAAGATTAAAAACAAAATATTATTTATATCTATATAAGTAGCCGCATAAATTGATTTAACTTTATAAGTGATTACCTTTAATATATGTTCCGGTTACAAAAATAACGGTTTTTGAAAATTTAATTATTTTCTCAAAATTTAAAATTTACAGAAATAACTTCACTGATCACTTAATACGAATGCCTATATCTTAAAGATGTCATAATGATTTCTTATAAAAAATGGACAAAAGGGAAAAAATAGACACTTCTTCTGGAAATATTGCTTTAAACTCCCTATTCAGCAACATTGAAACCCCCGAAGTGCCTTATACCAAAAATTCATCAAGATTTTATGAATCCCCTACCGTTCCCGTCGACAAATCACTTCAATCCCCATCAATGAGGACTAACTTGCAAGACACCCGAGATACAAATTATAGCACACGTAGGTCAACATTTGTCCGAAAAACGATTTCCCCCAGGAGAACCCTACCTAAAAATCCATTTTTGCTTGGATCAGCAGTAAATGAAATAAATCAAACCGATAAATCTGTATTGACACAAAGGCTTCAAGAAAAGCTAAAGCAGCTAGAAGAAGAGTTCCAGAGCGGAAGGAAATCAGAAACCTCAGCCATTTCAAGAGTAGGAGAAAGCTTCATTGCAAAGCATGAAGAAGTGCCTCAAGCTAAATCACTTGAAACTACTGCACCAGTGCCGTGGAATAACAGTTTTGGGGAAGCAAAATTTGCTTCTTTAATGGAAGATGAAAATGAGAATTCTGATATCCCAATGCTAATAAATAAATATGGCGACGTGGCCAGGGATTGCCGGGAGGTAATGCAGCCTCAAGTGCATATTTATTATATTCGGCAAGGTTTTGCAAACCCATGCATAGACAGTAATGCTAGGTAAGCAATTCTGGTAATCCATAGAGACTAGCCCTAGTCCTTTTCAGAATTGGATTTGATCTCGAGGAAAAGGTTAGAAAGGGAAAGTCCAGCATACTCTGCAGGCAATGTCTAGACCAATTCTGCAATTCCTTGAATGAAACTGAAGGTTACACCTCAGGCTTTGAATCTTGCCTTTTGGCCGAAAGTCGACCAGAAATTCCATTTTTTGGGATTTTTGTTTCAGATGTTCATAGTTTATCACTCAACACTGGAGCTGACAAGTCAAAGAGGAGACGGAGACACAGAACCCTACTACCATGGCATCAGTAGGGTAATGTTCGAGCCCTAGTTGCCCAACGAATCATCATCTTATTCAATCAAGTTTTCCCTAACGATGCAAGAAGGTGAACCCTCTAGGTATCCTTGGTGACTGCGTTGCCAATAGGCAAACCACCAGCCTGCAATAAATTTTAGTTAAGATATCCCGACGCTAAGATGGTGCGCTTTTTGTAAAGGAGAAGTTATGACTGATATTTGTTATACAAATTCGTCAAAGACATTTTGATCAGCAGTTGGAATTTTCTTAGCTGGCGGCGTGTTTGGGTGCTTTATATTGCCGTATATGACACATAAATGCAAGGATATGAAAATGGTTTGTCATATTTGCAAACGTACTTTAAGTTAATTAATCAATTATTAAATAAAAATATATCTGCTGTTAAACTAATTATCATATATTTTATTTTTAAAAAATTTTATATCTTATTTCTTTTAGCTTTTTTCATTTATTTGTATAAATTTAACCCAAACATTATATTTTAAATGATCCAAGGCTTTCTGAAAAGATTTTCTAAAATTCCCAATTTTCACCATTTTCACCAATCTCTAAAAATGGACTCTCAAAGAATCCAAGAAGTGATCAGCCAAGGAGTCGATTCTGGAGTCATCCCAACCTTAATGGATTACATCAGAATTCCTAGTCTTTCGACTGCATTCGACCCTAACTGGGAAACTAATGGATACATGGAACAAGCCCAAGAAGTTTTGCTTAGTTATGTTAGATCATTAAACATTGAAGGCTTTACTTATGAAATTGTCAAAGAACCTGGAAAGCCTTGGCTTGTTTTTGGAGAAGTCCAAGCAACTGCCCCAGACAAAGGAACAATCCTCATGTACGGCCACATGGACAAGCAGCCTCATTTAAGTGGTTGGACTGTAGGAGGGCCAACAGACCCAGTGATTGTTGACGGAAAACTCTATGGAAGAGGTGGAGGCGATGATGGTTATGCCCTTCCTGGCGCTGCATTATGCATTAAAACTCTACAAAGCTTGGGGATTCCTCATGGCAGAATTGTGATTGTTGCTGAAAACGAAGAAGAAAGTGATAGTGAAAGCTTGGTCTATTACATTAATAAGCTACGTGATAGGATTGGCAGCCCAGAACTTATAGTCTGTTTGGACTCAGGAATCATGAATTATCAGCAATTCTTTATTACAACATCTCTCAGAGGGGTTGTGAATATTGATGTGACTGTCAAAACTATCCTAGCGGGGATGCACTCAGGTGGGACATCTGGAGTTCTCCCATCTGCATATAGAATAATGCAGCATATTATTTCTCGAATTGAAGATGAGAGGACAGGAGAAATTTTGATACCAGAACTACATACTGAAATAAAACCAAGCATTTATGAAGGAGCTGCTCAGATTGTAAAGTTCATGGGACCTTATATTGTAGGTGCTTTTCCACTTATAAATGGTGTTAAACCTATGACTGATGATTTGGTACAACTTTTGATTAATATATCTTGGAAAAATATCAAAGTGAGCCACCATTTAACTCCTGTAGCTGACCAACTCAAGGGAAGCAGGAGCCTTGAGCAAGGAGTAATGACATTCAAAAATATGCAACTGGCTAGGCTTTACCTGTTTGCTTGAGCTCAATTTTCTGTCCATGCTTTGCTCCAAATCATGCTAAAATAGTTAGAAAGAGTTCTCCCATAATGCCAAAAGTTATTTTCTTGACCAATCAGGAGGAATTACACACCCTAGGCCTAAGATTTCCAATTAGGTGAAAGTTGGCAAAAATATTCAACCGTTCATGATGGGCATCTTTGTTGACACACGGCACAGTGGCACACTAACCTAACTTCCAAGCTCCAGAACAACTTCCAGATGTTGCAAAACACGAGCTGGAGGGGTTGAGGTAGTATAGCCCTTCGAGAATTACAGTAAACTTTTCTATATTATAATTAATTGAAGATTAATAGATCTTGGAAACCTACTTTGACAGTCATTGGTTGTGAAGGTCTCCCACCTGTCGCAGACGCTGGAAATGTAATTCAGCCTCATTTTACAACTAGACTTTCAGTAAGACTCCCACCTGGAGTTAGCGGAAAAGTTGCTACAGAAGCTTTAATTAGAGAAATTACAAGAGATCCTTTATATAATGCTGTTGTTGAAGTAACTCCCCAATCACCAAGCGATGGCTGGGCCCAAAATGATTTAGAGCCTTGGCTGAATGAAGCAGTCCAAGAAGCATCAAATAGTGTCTTCCATGCCCCAGCACTCAACTTATGGGAAGGTGGGAGCATTCCATTTATGGGCTACCTTGGTGAGCTCTTCCCAAGTGCTCAGTTTGTGATAACAGGAATTTTGCATCTGGAAAGCAACCCTCATAGCATCAATGAAAATTTTAGCATTGAGTACCTCAAAAAAGCACTTAGCTGTGTTGCCTATATAATAGGAAAGCACGCCTCTAACTCCCCCATGAGCGAACAAAACCATTAGAAAAATCCCTATTTTTTGCCCAAAAAACATCCTCCGTGAGTGAGCAAAAATTTTTTATAGAAAAAAATTGATATATAAGTGATAATAATATAATGAAATCTCGAGCTAATTCTGTTTAATTTTAAATAAATTGCGTTTTTTAAAACATAAATTTTATATAAATTAAATTAATATTTGCATTCCAATTTTTGCGAATAGTTTTTTTAAATTCGAAAAAAAATTAACCTCCTCCGTGAGCGAACAAGATTTTTTTGTTCGCTCACGGAGGGGGAGTAAGTAATTTAAGCTAAATCTCATCTTTAGAATTTTCTTAAAATTAGTTAATGATCTCTTCAGTTTCTTCAAACTTGACATTAAAGTCTCTTTCTAAACTAGACAAAATTTCTTCTGAAAATCCTTCTTCCATTGGGTACATCAATCCTGGGGCATGCTGATGAGTAGCTAGCCAAAATGCACCTAGTGAAGCAGGCAGACTAACTAATCTTGACATGCAGCTTAGCTCGCTAACAACTCCACGCTCTATAAGTTTAGATTTGTAAAGCACTTTTCTATCACTATACTGAGCAATATACCTATGCTCCATAATCACTAAATCTTCTTCTCCAGGCTCATACTTGCATTTTTCTTGCATAAGCTGCACAAATGCGTCAAATATAGATTTCGCGTTTCTAATTGGGGCTGTGCTAAGCATATCAAGCTTTACCAAGGCTTCAATGATCAATTTAACTTCATCAGCTGCAAAGCTGTTTAATTTCCCTGCCACTTTTACAGCTACTGGCTTCATTTCATCAGGGATTTGTCCTAATAAGTTTTCATCTCCATTAACATCTCCTGCTAAATGGCTAATTAAATCTCTCCACGTTAAGTTTTCCCCGAAATCAAAGCTGTCGTCATTATAAATTCCTAATACTACGAACCCTTTGCATATTGTTGGATAATTCCTATATCTTATTGTGCATCTTTTTACTGTGTGAGCGTTATGCAAGCCATATAAGTCCACATAGTTAATTGAGTTGCCATTGGGGTAATATACCAAAGGTAAATCATACTCCAAATCTAATGGCTGAGCTGTTGACATAAGATTTTGTGGCTGAATCTCTATGACTTGGTTGTTTTCTAAATACTTAGCAGGCCTTAGCACAGCCATTAAAGCTCCATAAGGTGCCCAAGATATTTTGTACTGTAAAATATTGTTGCAAGCCTCAGGAGCTGGTAACCCACCACAGCTTGATTGGAAAAACACAATCTGTCCACCAGCGTGCTGGATTTCTCTGACTTTCCTCATAACACTCATATGGTCAATGCCAGGGTCCAGTCCCATTTCATTGAGAACAACAATCCCTGCGTCAATAATTTCTTGTTCCAATGCTTTTACTTCAGGGCTGACATATGAAGCAGTGACCATATTTTTGCGCTTCTGGATGCAGGCTTTCACTACAAAGTGATGGAATTTGGCTGGGACCATTGAAATCACCATATCGACCTCATCGAGCAGTGATGCGACTTGTTCAATATTTGTGACATCAACTGTAAGGGTCGGGATTTGGAATTTTTGGGCAATTCTGGCAAGCTCTTCTTGGATATTTCCACCTACTGAAACAGTAAAATTTCGGCTCAACAAGTTTTGGACTAAACAAGGAACCATTAAGCCTGACCCAAAAACTAGCGCACGAGTGCCTGCCATTATTATAAATAAAATACAAATACTAAATATATCGTCTCCACGCTTTTAGTCCCCTATTGCTCCGATGTCTTCTGAGACTATCAGGGGGTTGGCTTCATCAGCTTATGTTTGTGAAACCAACCCTCAAAGTGGCAAATCATCAAAATAGGTAGATTTGCCATTTTGAGGGTTGGTTTTACCAGCATAACCTCTTGAAACAAGCCTCCCTATTATTTCAGGAAACATCGGGACAAGAGAAGGCTAAAAGCTTTCAGACACTATATAAGTTAATCTGCATGGCTTATTAGAATTCGTATAGAAATATATATAAATAAAATGAAACTTATATATCTTGTCGCACTTACTTTTGTATTGAGCTTACACGTCACATACAATGAAAGCGGAGATGATTGGACCGGGACGTGCCAGGACGGTATGCTACAATCTCCATTTGCAATCAAAGATTCAAAATCCGAAATCATCCCGACAAACACAACAAGATCAGTAGTTCTCTACCCTCATTTTGAATCGAATTTCACTATGGGGCATCTGACGTCCTATTCTTATGCTCTCTACTCAGACTGGGGCTATCTTACAATTGCAGTTCCGTCTCAAGAGCCTTTTAACGTTTATTCGTCAGCATTCCATTTTCATTCACCATCTGAGTATATGCTTAATGGCAAATATTATGACTTAGAAATGCACACGGTGATGAAAAACCCGAATGCTCCAGGCTCGATTTACGTGCTAGGCATATTTTTTGACGTGAATGGAAAGACCAATAAATTCATCTCCCAGGTAATGGACTCAGAAAAAAAATTCACCGATGTGAATTTAGGGGATATTTTCAGCGGAATCGACAAAATTGAGGAATTTTATGAATTTGAAGGATCTTTAACAACCCCACCATGCACTGAAGGAGTTAAATGGTTTCTTTGGAGCGAAATCCAGGATTTAGATGAAAACCAGAGACTGTTTTTCCACAAATTTTGGGCTGGGAATGCTTCATTTGCAGATAAGAATGGAAATAATAGAAATTTACAAGAAGAAAACGACAGACTTGTGATAAAGTATGGGGAAAGAGACGACATGAGTATTAAGCTTGAGTTCTCAATCTTCCTTCTGATCGTTTCAATATCGCTTTGTCTATCCTAATTTACTGATAGTTAAAGTATGAATTTCAATTATTTAAATTGAAATATAAATAATAGATGAAATTCTATGTCAATGTGTTTTTAATTAAATTTTAGTAAAGAAAAAGGAGCATTTGGTATTAAAGGGATATTTGAAAGAAAATTTATGACTCTAAAGTTCCGTGAGCCCCTTTCCAAATCCACTTTTGGCTTGACCTTATACTAAAAGAATAAGTTGATAACTTTCAAATATTTTCTTTAAAATAATTCAAAAATACTAGATAGGTGCAAAAGTCTGCAGAATTAACTTAAAGAGAATAATTCATTTCCAGGCTCTTCATTTCTAGGCATAAAAGGTTGAGGACTTTCAGTTGTGAGACGAGGCGATTTTTGATTCCTATCTGAACTAAAGCCTCTGCTAACCCTAATTCTTACATTTCTCTGCTCTTTCGACGCAGAGTTTAAATCCTTTTTTTCTTCTTTCAGCTTTGAATCACTTTTTGAAATGCTGACTCCCTCGAACAAAAAATTATTTCGCTTGGAGTCAATTTTTTTTAAAAATTTGTATCTGAATTTTATAGTAAATATTTTTTTTCGAAATCTAAAGAATCCCAATTCGCAAAAATTGGAAAGCAAATATTTATTTAATTTATAAAATTTGTTTTAAAATGCCAACTCTTTTAAAATTAAACAAATTAGCTTGAGATTTTACTATACTAACTATCACTTATATATCAAATTTTATTTTATATAAATATATTTCTATTAAATAAACTTTTGTTCGCTCCTGGAGGGTGGGTTTTTGGGGAAAAAAATAGGAATTTTTCCAATGGTTTTGTTAGCTCATAACGGGGAGTAAGCACTTTCGGTGGCTTGATAAATTCTTTTGAAACTTTATGAAGCTCATTCCCATTATGAAAAATATCTTGTACAGCTCCTCGATGGTCAGGAATTTCTATTTTCAGCAATTCTTGAGGAATTTCCTCATCGCTTGAATCCTCGTCTTGGCTTTTCTTTTGCCCAGTATTCAATTTATAAGTAAAATTCACAGGGCTCATCCTTTTCTTGATTTTTTCATTATTTGGGCGGAATTTAAAAGTTTCAATAGAAGAAATAGGCAAATCTTCGCTAATGTCAATCCTGAAAGTTGCTGATGGAGAGGTATGAGCTGACCCAGGGTTAGATTTTGATATACGCAATGAATTTGGACGTGTATGAAGACTTATTCTTACATCAGATAATTTGCTTTCTGGACGAGGAGGAAGTTTTAAATTCTGAAATGACTGCCTAGTTGTATGAATGGATCGAGTCGTATTTTCTGATAATCTGGTATAGAAATTTCCCATAGATAGCGCTGTTTGCCCTTGATTTGCCCACTGGGGGAATTTTTTGGTTCGACCAGTCCCATATGGTTTGGTCAAACCAAAAAACTTTCCTCATGGGCAAATCAAGGGCAAACAGCGCCATCTATGGGAAATTTCTATAGATTCCTGGCTCTCAAATATATCAGATGCTGATGAAAAGCTGGCAGCGTTTCGTTTTGTCTGGAACTTTGCAGGTGTAAAACCAGAAAGGTTTTCACGGATATTGACTTGGGCTTTGATGTGGTTTGCCATGGTAGAATTGTTGACTCCCATATATTAGTTTCTTATTTTTATCACAAGGATTTTAATATGTTCTTGAACGGAGACATATATCATATGCCTTTTCGTGTATGTCTAGTTTTGTTTTTGAGTGAATTGTGATTTTTATGATAAAGAAAAGATTGATTAAGTGCGGATTTACCGCTTTAAAAGATAAAATAATAAATAAATACTTTAGGCATCCAGCCTAGAAAACAGCTAATACTTTTTCTGACTTTACCAGAAGCAGAATAAAATAAAGAATTTCAGAAATGCAAGCGTTTAAAAATGAAAAACGGTAATTTGGTCATTTATTTCATAGGATAAGCTTATAGTTTTTAGTTTTATAAAAATGATGAGAGCTTTGCATTTTTTTATTACAAATAATTCATTTGAATTTTTAACAAAATTGAATGGCGAATGAATTTATCATTAAATTTAATCATGTGATATTGGACTTTGCTATGGTACATAGAGCTTTTGTGCGTGATTGTGGCAGGCTGGACAATTTTCTGCTGGCTGTGTACAGGCTACTATTATCTTAGAACTATCCTTTCAACCAATTCCTTAAAGAAATATGGGAAAGGCTCATGGGCTGTCGTGACTGGGTGTACTGAAGGCATTGGCTTAGGTTTTGCTCGGGTTTTAGCAAAATACAACTTTAATATCGTTTTAATATCCCGAAACCCTCAGAAATTAGAAAAAGTGAGAGAAGAAATCACACGCTTGCACGGGGTCGAAGCTAAAGTCGTTGTTTGTGATTTCTCAGAATGCACAAAGGAGCCTCTGGAATTTTTCCAAAAAATTGATGAGGAAATAAGAGATTTAGATGTAAGCATCCTGATCAACAATGTCGGGTATGCTGGAACAGGCAGATTCCACACTCATCATATACATGACGAGCTTCTTCAGATGCTTTCAGTCAATTTATGGCCTTGTGTATATTTAACCAAAATGTTCTTAACTCTCCCCATCGTCTCTAAGTGAAGAAAGCCTTCCAATTTTCGAGAAGTGGAAAATTTTTTAAAAACAAATTTTCTATAAAATTTAAATATATAGTCAGTGTCACTAACTATAGTTTTTTTTTAAAATAAAAATTAACCCCCCGTCCGTGAGTGAACAAAATTTTTTTGTTCACTCATGGACGGGGGGAATAAGAAGAATGATGAATAGGAGTCTTCCTAGCGGGATCATTAATTTAAGCTCGACAGCCACTCTAAGACCTTTGCCTGGTTTTGCTATTTATGGAGCTACAAGAGGGTTTACGAATACTTTCACATTGTGCACGAGAGAAGAAGTTAGATATACAGTGAGACATGAAAAACTGAACGAAATTGATATGATGAGCCTGCAACCTGCCTGGGTTTATAGTAATTTGACAAAAGAGCAAGATCATAACTTTTCATTTATCACTCCTGAGCAATGTGCTGAAAATGCATTAAGCGCTTTAGGCAAAGTTCCTTATACAAACGGAAATTGGAAGCATATTATAGTTGCAATATTGTTTAAAAATTCGCCAAGCTTCATGATAAACGGTCAGTCGCTGAAGAATGCAAATTATACTCAGGAGAGGAGGAAAACTTAACAATTAAATTATTTTTATTAAGAATAAAGGCTTTTGTTTATAGTTTCGGTAAAATCTATTTATATTTAAAAATCTCACTGAAAAATCTGTTGACTTGAGAAGTTTTTGGTCTTTCGAACTTCCCAATGTGATATGTAAAATCTATTTTAGAGTTCATAAAAGATGCCCTAAAAGGATCCTTTTCTTCTTTTACTTCAATTATTTTTGCTTCTGTATTTTCATTCGTAGGCTTTTTTACAATTTGATAAGAATTAGAATTAAATCTGCTTCTCTTACTCCTAGTGAGCAAGCAAATCACTGGAAAATTTCTTTTTTTTTTGACAAACCTTTGCGAATAAAAATAAAATAAATTTTGAAGATGCTCTATAAAAGTTTTCAAAATGAATTAATCCTCTTTGTGGATGAGCAAAAAAATTTTGCTCTAACTGATGGAGATTTAGGTCTTTCTGAGTTTACCGGAGGAACTTTCATTTGGCAAATTTCTTCTTTTAACTCAAACTTCTTTTTTTCTATTTCACTCTCAGATTTTCTAGCAGCATGATGATAAGGTCCTGAATTTTTAACCTTATAAGGATTTATAAACGCTTTTTTATAAGGATCAATTTCTTCTTTAGCTCCATAGTTTTCATCAGGAGTTTCAGCTCTCGTAATATGATAAGACCTTGAATGAAACCTATTTCTCTTTTTCCTATCAGAGCTAGTTGATATTTGTCTAAATGAATTCTCATTTAATTTGAATTTACCCTTTTCTTCAGGTGTTTCACTTGTGGAATTCCTAGGAATATAATAAGAATTAGAGCTAAATCTGTCTCTGCTTGCCCTATATGTTCATTTATCACTACTAGGTTGAGTCCATAAGTCAAAAGCCCTTGAATCAGGCCTTGTAGACACTCTTGAAATTGTACGGCTTCTTGAATAGCTGCTATAGGTTGGATAATAAAGTCTTTTTTTATCACGGTGGATTATAGGAGTTAATTCTTTCGGCTTCGGGCTTTTAACATTGTAAGAGATTTTTGATAGCTCGATTTCTTTGGTTCCTAGAATAGAAGAAAGGTCGATTTCTCGAACTTCTGATAAAAGATTTTGAAAATCTTGAGGAAAAATCAGTTCGGCTGATCCATGATGACTTGTAGCTGGATCTTCTAGGAAATCTTTGTCACGCTTTTCAATGGTTTTTCTTCTTTTATGGTGGCGAAATCTTCGCTTTATTGATTTCGCTTGCAAGTTATGAAAAATTAAATACGCTCTTGCTCTTGCAGTTTTATTTTGTAGAGTTAATTATGAGGTTTAGTTTACATATCATTTTTATCTTAATACCTGTTAAATCATGTCGAATAATTCTGATATAGGAGTAGAAGAGATGCAACTATAGATATAGCCTGAGCCAAAAGGTACTATTAGAATTAGTTAATTAATCAAGATAATCCTTGCAAATTATTTTTAGTCCAATAATCCTTAATAGTCAAAATTGCAAGTCTCTCCCTTATTTCCCTTAACTTTTTATTTCTTTCATAAATCACTCTTGCTTCAATAACTCTTATTTTTGATATAAAAATTTTTATAGTTCTCTTAATTAATCTTTCTGCTTGGCTTTTTTTATCTGACTCCCCCCCCCCTTTAAGTTGGAACTAAAAATTCTGTTCCAATTTAAAGGGGGGTTAATTTTTTTTTTAAAAAAAAATATCAGTATAAAATTTTTTATATAAAAAATATAAAAATTATCGAATTAGATCAATAAATTTGTTTAATAAAAACGCTATTTACTCTTTATCCTTTAAAACAAAGCAAGATATAACTAAATTTTCATTATTAGTTAATACGCCACTATTAATTGGTATCAAAATTATTTACACAAAAATTATTATTTTTATTGAAAAAAATTAAAAAAAAAAAATTTTGGAAAATTTATCGATCAAAGTGCTAATTTTGTTGAAATAAGATGTTATTTATACGCTATTCTTTAAAATAAAGCAAGAAATAAGTAAATTTTGAAATTTTATAAAGAATTCCTATTGAATTTATATCAAAACTATCCAAATAAAAAATATCATTTTTATCAAAAAAAAAACAAAAATTTTTTTGAAAATTTTTAAAAAAAAAAATTAAATTTTTTTAAAATTTACCAATTAAGGATAATAAATTTATTTAAATAAGATGCTCTTTATACTTTTTTCTTTAAAAAAGAGCAGGATATAAATAAATTTTCAATTTTAGTTAAGAAGAAACATTTAACTTATATCAAAACTTTTTACATAAAAATTATATATAATTTTTTTTATTATAAAATTAAATTTTTGTTCCAATTTAAAGGGGGGGTTAATTTACCAAAAAAGTGAAATTTTACCGATATTTTGTTCCAATTTAAAGGGGGGGGGAGTGAGCAAAAATGCAGATATCCTCTTTTAAGTCTCTGCAATTTGCATTTAAATAAATAACGCTTATAATGTTCTTGTATAACAATTGCAGCTCCATTGCACTGCTTACTATGATAAAATTGATAAGTGATTTCAGTATCCATGGTTGAAATATTAAAATCAGTCAGTCTTTTTCTATGCTGAATTATCATGTCATCAAATTTATTTCTAACGAGTCATCCTCTTGCAATTTTTTGGATTTTAACTGCAGCCAATTGTTTATTGTTTTCTTCAATGCACTTTTTGTTTAATTCGTTGACTAATGTTTTCTTTAATTCCATACTTGCACGGAATTCCAGCTCTTCAAGTCTTCGCTTTTCTTGCCTTACTGAGAGATGGATTTTTTCTTTACTCCATCCTGAGTGAACAAAAAACTCTTGTTCGCTCACGGAGGGGTTAATTTATTTTTTTAAAAATTTAAAAAAATCCTAATTCACAAAAATTAGATATTAATTTAATTCGTAAACTTATGTTTTAAAACGCGATTTGTTTAAAAATAAACAGAATTAGCTCAAGATTTCATTATACTAATTATCACTTATATATCAATTTTTTTCATAAATTTTTTTTTCTATTTTGTTCACTCACGGAGGGTGGGTTTTTGGGCAAAAAATAGGGATTTTTCTAATGGTTTTGTTCGCTTAAGGAGGGGGGGAGTTAGCTAATTTTGCTTCTCGGAGCCGTTGTTTCTTTTTCTGGTTCGTAAATTTTTCCATTGAAAAGCTGTTGTAGTGAGGTAATGATTCACTTGTGAAGCCTCTTTGTAAGCCATATCAGCTTCCTAAGCAAGGATTTTTCTCGAGTTGGGACTTTAAATCATACGAAAAATTCATAGTTTAGATAATATGGGATTATGATACTTCATAATTATATTTATGCTGCATCGAATTATGCTCTGATTATCATTTGAATTAATATATTTATATTGCAACTAAGTTAATTGACAGCACAAGTAAAATTAAAAGCTATGAATACAAATTGCTCGAAAAGTATGTGGAGTAATTTAAATCCTCAATAACTTCTTTATTAGATATGATTTTTTATGCAAGAATTTATCATTTTTCCATTATTATAATTAATTAAGAATGATTTATAACCTAAATAACAAAGACAACAGTATACCACTTAAGCAAAGAATCAATAATCAGAGAGAAAAGCTTATGAACAAGCACTTAAATACAATGAAACTTGAAAACCTCGCAGGGATTTATAAAGTTCATGAAGCAACTCCTCGTGAAAAAAGTATCGAAACATTATTTGGCATTTCGAAATCTTACACTTGCTCTGAAAGGCTAATTCACCTAACTCCCCCTCCTTGAGTGAACAAAACCATTAGAGAAAAATCGCTATTTTTTGCCCAAAAACTCACCCTTCGTGAGTGAACAAAAATTTTTTTTAATAGAAAATTTTTTTATGGAACAAATTTTTGATATATAAGTGATAATTTGTATAATGAAATTTAGAGTGTTTAATTTTAAACAAATTGCTTTTTAAAACATAAATTTTATAAATTAAATTAATATTTGCTTTCCAATTTTTGCGAATTAGGATTTTTTTTAAATTCGAAAAAAAATATTTTGAAAAATTTATATATAAATTTTTTAAAAAAAAAACCCTCCGAAAGTGAACAAAATTTTTTTGTTTACTCACGGAGGGGGGAGTAAGTAAGCCTCGTGATCCTAGAATGAAGAAAAGCAAAACTTATTTTTCACAAACCAGCCTTCAAGTAACAAAAAGCATTTTTCCTCAAATTTCGAAACCAAAATCCAATAGCGAAGTTTTAAAAATATACCAAGAATTAGATAAATTTACTGAAAGAATTAAAAATGATTCAACAGTTTTTGGATGCTCGACAATAGACATCATGAATTTAAAGTCAAAAAAATATCGAAAATCAAGTGTATCTTAATTTTAGGAAAGATCTCAAATCACTATTATATTGAGTATTTATTTATATTAACGAGAGTTATTAAATTTCGTTTTTAAATAATTTTAGATATGTCTTTTAGTTAGTTATATGAAATAATAAATGCTTGAAAAATGCATAGTACTATTAATTAGTGGTAAGAAATGCTGAGCGATATATGAAGGTTATAAAACTACAAAGAAATAAATAAATGCAGTAAGTTTTATCTTTTAGATTGTTTAAGCTAGAAAGTAGCTATAATTCTTATGAAGAATATTCCTTAAATTGTTGAATCTATAAATTTGATATGAATCGAAATTTATGAAAATAAAAGAAATTGAAAACTAGATAAATCAAATTTCAGAAAACAATTTAGCAACCCTATAGATAGGCTATTAAAATAATGACATAAAAAATTTTGAATTAATTTAGCTGACTCCATCCATTCTTGATGGAACGTTCGCCATCGTTGGACCATCTATAGGGCTAAAGTAATTTTTGAAAATTTTTTTCTTATCAATATTTTAGTGCGATAAAGGCTAAGTATGCAACATATTTCCCCAATTTTTAGTGGATTTTCAATCCTTTCGTTTGATCAAAGATTCGGAAGAGTTAGTCTATAAATATCATACAAAATTGTTTATCCCTTATATAAAATATATAATTATTCATAAAATAACAAAAAATTATTAAATTTCTATCTTTTTCGATAATATGAAATTGAATAATTTCTATATAGCTTATTAATATAGCCTCTAAATCTACAAATAAAGCATATTTTATATATTTATGATAGCCAATTTCCTTAAAAGTGCCTAAAATTTGTAAAATCAGCTCAATTCATAGTGCATGCGAATGGATAACAGCTAATCATCTTTATTATTTAGCAAACTTTATCTTAATAAATATATATTGTCATAATAGTATACCAATACTATTGATTTTTTAACTGAGATCTCAAAACTATTATTAACTATTTTCCTGTATATAAGAAATGGTTTATCAAATTGATCTCCAAAATTACAGAAAATCTCCAAAGCAACAAAGCTCCAGCCAAAGAGAAAAATTGGCTAATAAGCATTTAAATACTCTCCGACTTGAAAATCTAGCAGGCATTTTTAAAATACACCAAACAATCCCATGCCAAAAAAATATTGAGACTGTGTTTGGTATTTCAAAATCCTATGCTTGCTCAGAAAGATTGATGAGTTTAAGCAAGCCTCGAGACCTTTTAATTAAAAAAAGCAAAACATACAGCTCTTCAGCTGATCTCAAGCCTAAAGAAAAAATTATTCTCCCTAAAATTTCAAAATCAAAAGAGCAACCAAACATTGAATATTTAAAAATTTCAGAAGAACTTGATATACTTAATCAGATTAAAAATTTACACCTTTTGTAAAGGTCTTCTTTACTCTATTTTTAAAAAATAATTTTTTTTATAAATATTTTCATTAATTCATAGCAATGATGTTTAGATTTACAAAAAGAATCAAAAAGGACATTACTTTATTTGGGTGCTCGACTATAGATATCATGAATTTAAATCTGAAAAAGCACTTAAGATTAAGTGTACCTTAATTTTACGAATTAAATTTTTAAGAAACAATGATTCCATGTGCACCTTTCCAGGTCCATCTACTTGAGCGTTCCTGCTTACTATTTTTCATTTTTTTATCATTAGGAAACAAATTTTGAGGATTTTTCTTTTCGATTTCCTCTGCCTTAATTTCAGAGTCCATTTTCCCAGTATTTTTATGTGATGATGTGGTTCTTCCTCTAACTCTTATTTTTATATCAGCACTGCTTTGAATGCGGACTATTTCCTTTATGCAAGAATCTTTGCCAGGACTTTTATATTGATATCCTCGTGATTCATCCTCAGGACTTATAGAAAATTTTCTTACATGCCGCCTCTGATATTTTTGCACTTTAGATTTTATTTCTTCATTATTATCTTCATTTTTTTCATGAATTTTCACCTGAAAGAAATTATCTTCCGGCTCAATACTTTCATCTTCTTTAATATCATACAATTTATTTTGTTTTGAATTTAACTTTAAGGTTTTCATTCTTGGCCTCATTCTAAATTGTATTGATTCTGAATTATTTAAAGAGTTTTCTTCATAGCAAGACAGAGTGCTTTCACTTGTAGTAGAATCTCTAATTAGCATTTGGGATATATTTGTTTGATTCCTTGAGCTTTCTGCGTCTCTAAGAGACACTAGTCTTTTAAAGATTTTGGGGTTTGAAACAGAGAATGATTTATCTTCTTTAGATTTTACAGGACTTGCTGACTGAGGCTTGTTTGTCCTTTCTAGAGCAGAGTTTAATCGAAGAAAATTTCTATCAACTTTTAGTCTGGACGGTAAGTTATGGTCAGTTGGCTCATTGTCTTTGAGATTTGATTCATTGTTCGACTCGATTGAAAATACTCTTGTGCCATTATGAGATAAAGTTGACCTTATAGATGGTTGAGAGAGCTTTCTTTTGGGTGATCTCATTATCATTCGAAACTGATCTTGATCCATTGCAATTGACGTTTTTTATTTATTAGACATTGCTGAATGGTAGATGTGTAATAGTTATTTTATTTGTGTTATGTATGACAAATAAAAAAATAATACATCACTGTAAATTTTAAATTCGAGTTTGGACCTCAAAACTATTTTGTATTTAGACCTAATAAAATATTAATAATTCTTTTAAGAATAAAATGCTCGTTGAATTTTTGTTTAAAATTAATAAAAATGCTAAATGCAATAAGAAACATAAGTCTATATTGCTAAATTTATTTATTATAAATTTCAACGATCAGCACTGGTAAAATATATTTTTATATATGCTCCAGTGGACGAGAAATCAATTTTTATTATTTAAAAATATTAATAAGGTGCCTTAGTTCTACTTGATCATAATACTTTAGACAATATAAAATGGCAGTTAGGGGTAGAACATTGGTCCTACAGTTGAGCTTAGTGAGAGAAGTTCATGACTTCTTGAGGATTCTGACTTCAAGAGAATCACTACACTGAGGATAGTTGGAGAGAGAGGTCAAAAGTGACTTGGATACATGGACAGTTTGACGGTTAGACCGGTTTTACATATCGCTGATCAGAGCTTCAATCCATGCTAAGACCGCAAAAATCAGGACTTGGAAGATCAGCATTCTTATTATCATTAACATAGACATTAATAATGCTTTAGATTAAAAGTATATATACTCTTATGAATTAGAATATTTTAATTAAGGAAATAAGTTCATATTTTTGTTTTACTCTCCCCTATAAAACAAGCAAAAAAAACTGTTTGCTCACAGAGGGGGTTAATTCTTTTAAATTTTACTATATAAATATTAGTAATTTTTTTTCGAAATTTAAAAAATCCCATTTTAGACCAAATATTAATTTAATTTGTATAATTTAAGTTTTAAAATGCAAGCTGTTTAAAATTAAATATATCATTATATTTTTTCATCATAATTAAAAATCTTTTTGTTCCTTAGCGGAGAGTGATTTTACCTTAAAAATCGAGATTTTTTTAATGGTTTTGATTATTTACGGAGGGAGTTAGAAGAATTTTTAATCCATTTTATTAACAATATTATAAATATTTAAACAAATTTAAACAAATTTAATGAAGTAATTCTGATTTTCCAATAATAATAATAAAAATTTAATATAAATTATATTAGATAATTGGAATAGAGTATTTATTTTCTTAAAAAGTCTAAATAAGCAGAGTTCTTATTAAAAATAATTAGACAATTAAAAATGTCAGTTAGGTAGGGTTCAGATCCTATACCGAACTCAGTGAGAGAAGCTAATGAATTCTGAGAGTTTCAGCTCAAGAGAATGGGTTTAAACTGTGTCTGTGTAGATCAGAGAGGTCCTAAGGGGCTTGGGGACAGAAACAGCTTGACTTTTAGGCCAACCCACTACAGTTATTCAGAGCTGTGGTCCAAGCTGAGGCCAAGGAGTACGTCACTTGAAGAGTTATCATAAATTTAAATTAAAAATAATTATTACCAAATTTACTTATTAAATAAATATCTAAATTAATTAATAATAATTGCTATAATACTAATTAGAAGTTACATCATGAAATACTAAATAAAATTATGAAAAAATAAAAATTGTTCAGCATAATTTTATAATTAAAATATGGCGTCTTCGTCTAGGTATGGCCTCCCGGCCATACAGCCTCCCGGCCATACAGCCTCCTGGTCATACAGCCTCCCGGCCATACAGCCTCCCGGACATACAGCCTCCGACCCATATTTTAATTATATCCAGCAAGGTTTTCTAGCCCTGATAAGACGGCAATGCTAGGCAACTAATTCTAAAGGAGCGCAGAACCTAGTCCAAGTCTAATTCAGCGACTAGTTTTTTACCTCGAGGAAGAGGAGGGTTCAGATTTGGAAAGGACAAGCCCAGCGGAGTCTACAGGTAATACCTAGACCAATCGGGCAACTGCCTAGAGTGAAACTGGGCGTTACGTCCCAGGATCTGGACTCAACCCTTTTGCCGACAGGCTACCAGAAATTCCATTTTTTGGAATTTCGGAATGCCAACCTCGTCAACTACAGCCTAAGGAGGCCGCACAAACCCGTAGTCTGCCCACTCAACACTGGAGCCTTTTACAAGAGGCAAGGAGGAGGCCTCAGTACTCCCATCAGGTGTGGGAGGGAGGTCGCAAAGCGGATGAATCCCACAAGGGATCCTCGGTGATTGCGTAACAATTAAGGGCACGAGCCCGTCTATATAAGTAAGTAAGTTCAGCATAATTTTTTGCAGGAAAATCTTTTAATTAGCTTATTATTGTAGCATTATTTAGTGAAGACGCCATTAGCTCCTTTCCAAACCCATCTGCTATTTTGCTTCTTTTCACTTTGAGATTTTATATCTTCAGAGTTCTTTTGTTTTTTCTGCGCTGAGGATCTTTCTTGTGAATGATTTATAATATTTCCTCTTATTTTGATTCTAACATCTGTTAAGTTTTTTGCTTCATTAATTCAGTTAAATCTTTCAGGCTTTTCTTCTTGTGGCTGAATTTTAATTTGTTCCTTATTTGTGTCTATTACGAATGCTTTAACTATTTTCTTTTTAAAAATTTTTTCATTTGAGTTTTTTGATTCTCTGCTTTCATCTACGATTTTATTCGGAGGAGTCTTGAAAAATGTGTTTTCTGATCCAGTAAATTCATCCTCTTCAATCTTATCTAACTCCCCCCCCCCCCTCCGTGAGCGAACAAAACCATTAGAAAAATCGCCATTTTTTGACCAAAAACCCACCCTCCGTGAGTGAACAAAAATTTTTTTAATAGAAAAAAATTTTAATGGAAAAAAATTTTGATATATAAGTGATAATTAGTATAATGAAATCTAGAGCTAATTCTGTTTAATTTTAAACAAATTGCGTTTTAAAACATAAATTTTGCAAATTAAATTAATATTTGCTTCCCAATTTTTGCAAATTAGGATTGTTTTAAATTTCGAAAAAAATATTTTTTATAAAATTTATATATAAATTTTTTTTAAAAAAAAAAATTAACCCCCCTCCGTGAGCGAACAAAATTTTTTTGTTCGCTCACGGAGGGGGGGGGGGAGTAAAGGTTTTTTAGCGTTCTTACATTTAGCTTCAAAGTACTGACTCTAGCAGTTCTTCGCTGCTTTCTTTCCCCAAAAACCTTATCTATGCGATTGAAATCAAGATCTTCTTTCTTTGATATTGGATTTTGAGTGATGAGTAGTAAATTTTCTTGGCTTTTATAATTTGGCTCTTTTATTGAAACAAGCGTTTTAAAAGTTTTCGAATTTGAAACTGAAAAATTTGTTTTCTCAAAACTACTTATGCAGTCTGGAGATAAACTGGGAGTATACGATTTTTTTAAAAGTGCGTCGAGATTTCTTTCGGATTTAACACTTGCTAATGCGCCCTCAGTGGTATACTCGCTAATTTTTTTGATTTCCTTTTTATCTTCATTTGAATATATTTTTATTCTTTGAGATTCATTGATAGTATTCTTAACTGGTTGTGATAGTTTTCTTATAGCAGATCTAATTCTCACATAAGAGTGGTCTCGGTTCATCTTCTTATTGCTTATATTTATAAACGGATACCATTTTGATTAAATTAATGTTTACTATTTAACTGACTGATTTTCGTTGCTTTCAGCTAGAATTCTTTCTAATTCTTCTTTATTTTCGTTTAATATTTCGACAAGATCTTTAAATTTCGGGAGGAGTGTTTCCATTGGACTTATAAAAGGCTCAATTAAGTACGTTACAAAATTCAATTGTGCCTTTTCCACAATGACATTATCTCGATTACATGTAGGAGATATTGGAATTCCCAGTTCTTTTTCTTTATCTCCCTGCATGAAAAATTCTTGGTTAATTAATTCAGTTCATTTCTTGCTTATTTCAAAAGGTCGAAATGCGTTGCTTAGGTCACAAAAATGCATAAGAAGCTCCATAGAAGCATATTTCCCTTCTTCAGAAAATACTTTTCCTGAATCAATTAAGCCTTGAAAATTATTTAAATGCTCAAAATGCTTGCTCATATCCGTGGCAAGGACTAAATCAATTATTTTTTTTCTGAATAATTTTTGTAAATTTTCTTCCATATTTATAAAAATATTCATGCTTGGCTTCATGGTCAAATTAAAAGCTGAAGATATATGGAAATTTTCTAAAACTGCTTTATCATTGTACAGCATTGCTAACTTATGCTGAGTATTAACTAAAAATGCGTTTGTTAACCCTGGATGCTGATAATCATGAATTGCAGCACTTATATAGCAAATAGCAACTTCTGCAGGTGAAAAGTTGCAGATTTCTTTGGCTCCACAGCTATTTATCATATAATGAAAAGCTTGCACAACGTCTGCTGCGTGTGTTGAGTTATGATAAGGATTTTCAGCTTTATATCCAGACTGTATTCTTAAAATCAATTTTTTAAATTGCTGTTGTGGAATGTTTAAAGGGACAAAAACTAATTTTGTTAGGGAAATATTTGCCATTATTTTTTTTTAAAAAGATAATTTAATTATAAAAAAAGGCTTAGCCATTTAAAGTATTGAAAAAGTCGAATTTATTAAAAAGATGATTCATAATAATTTGAAGGCTGTTTTGGCCATTTTCTTCTGAAAATTTAAAAATATCAAATTCAATTTTTTCAAGCTCCTCAAGATCTTGGCTACCAGTATGAATAGATGGCTCTGGAATAATATCTTGAGGATCTATTGGGCGAGCTGTCTCATCTAATTTCAAGCTGAAATTTCAGCCAATTAAGCTTATAGCTTCATCTTTTTTGTCATCTATTTTTTCTTCTTGATCAATTATTTCATAAGAATGTCTACATGTGGATCTCAAATATAAGTCTATTTCATTCATCAGCTCTTTATCATTAGTGTTTGATGCCATTTTCATTGCTTTACTCATTATTTCCGCAATTTTTTCTGAATTTAGAGGACTTGAATCTTCTATCGAGCTAGGCGATCTTTGATTATTTCTTATTGGAACCAGCATATCATATAAAGCTATATCAGTCAAAGTTAGCTTAAAAACGAAAAAAATCCCTTTAATTCCATGTCTGTGCCTTATATTAGGTCCTAACAATTGGCTTAAATATTTTTAAAAATAAATTATTATATAACCATCAAAATTTGTTAAAGCATTTAATAAAATAGTTTTCAATTAATATTTTTTCGTATCATATGAATATTTATGTGAAAAGCTAATTTCTAAAACTTTGAAAAAGACGACGCTAATTGGCATATACTAATTACCAGACAAACTATTGTAGCAATGATATTTAGAAGCTTTGGAGTGGTAAAAGTAATTGACTAAATGTAAAATACTTTGAAATTCGATTGAATGTGATAACAAAATAGAAGGCTGATTATTATCAATAATGATAATTCAATACAGTTTAAAGCCAAAACTCCATCATCATTTATTGCTTCCTCAAAAGATGCTCATATTACAACAACGATTGTGTAGCACAGATAAAGAAGTTTAAGCATTGTCCTGATTAATCTGATGATTAGTGCAGATTTCATATTAATTTTTTTATATTTCTCAAATTAAAGTGCCATTAAAATTGGAAGATCGTCCTCAATATTTGAATAATTATAAAAATGGCTTTGAAAGCATAATCTTTGAACTATCTATCACAGCATAATAAAAGTTGTTTGTTTTATAAGACGCATTTTAGTGATATTTAATTAAATTTTAATTAAGCATTTTTGCTATTGGAAAAATTAAATAGGCTGAATATACAAAAGAGTTACTGTGATAAAAAACAAAAATAATTGCAATTATTCTTATTTTAATGAGCCTTGCAAGTAAATTTATTTAATTTAATCAAATTAGTTATTATCTTAAAATATATCAAATTGCTTAATCATACTCATTTCCACTTATTATATACAAACTGACAACGATCTTATTATTCTTCTGATTTAAATAACTGAATAAATTATAGCTATGCAGTTACAATCTGCAAATTAAATATACACTATCAAATTGTAGTGCTTACAGAAAAAGCTGCTAAATATAGTTCCTTTGCTTAATAGATTGCTAATGGCTATCCAGTTTAATTTTCAAAATAAATTTATCCTTTGTCATATTTTTGTAGGTGAAAATTTAAATAAGAAATCTCTGTTTATAGCTTTGAAATACCTAATCAGACTTATATGAATTTCGCCTATACTGCCGATATGTGCCGAAAGTTGAGAGCACTTCCTCTCAAGTTGGTTTGACCAACTTAGGTTGGCCAAACCAGCAGGAGAGGAAAACTCCCAAAACTTTCTGGATGGTTTGGCAAACCTAAGTTGGTCAAACCAACTTGAGAGGAAGCGCTCTCAGCTTTCGGCACATATCGGACAATATAGGCGAAATACCTATAGACTATTTAGGCAAAATGTTCTGAACTATATCATTCTTGCTATTATGATGCTTCCACGTAGTGATCTATTATGATACTAAAAGGCTATTATAGTCTGCTGTAAAAATTATGTGAGCTTAAAGGCTAAAATAGAGCCTGAAAATCATTTTTACTCTTGATAAATTTTAATTAATATAAATAATTATATACAAACTCGGCTTAAATCACAATTATAACAAACGCTGAGCTTTAATTGGTTGCATTCTAAAATAATCTTTGTGTTAATTATAACATATCATCAAGAAAAAATCTAGGAAATTCTGAATGCTCTCTAATTAAAATAAAACTTAATAGCTATGACGGTAAAATTCAATTAGGATTTCGAAATTAGCATTCCAAGAATACATATTGTGCAAAGCTTTTCTGATGACATTTCTCAGCAAAGCAGCAATGAAAGCACAGAAAATAAATCTCAGCATCGACATAATGTCAGTGTCGCTGATTCTGAAGAAAAGCCTATGCTTGAATCAGATAATATGAATTCGACTGAAAGAAATAGAGTTTTAATTCGGAGTGTCCCTGTCCCTGACTCTCCTTATAATGATGTATGAAAGCGTGCACGATTCAAATTGCAAGTAATTTTTATCTTATCTTCCCCCTCCGTGAGCGAACAAAACCATTAGAAAAATGGTATTTTTTTCCCAAAAACCCATCCTCCATGAGCAAAAATATTTTTATGAAAAAAAAAAAATTGATATGTATAATAATTATTATAAGAAATCTCTAGCTAATTCTGCTTAATTTTAAACAGCTTGCATTTTAAATATAAAGTTTGCAAATTGATTTAATTTTGCTTCTCAATTTTTATATTAAAAACAAAAATTAGCCCCTCTGTGGGCCAAAAAAATTGTGTTCTCTCACGGAGGGAGCGTGTAAGAGCTTTATCTAAGCATGTGCATTTATACGGACATCTATCTTCTCCAAAAATAACTGATAGAATATGCTATTTGCATTATTTTTTTGGTTTTATTCAAGATAATAACAAACATATTTTGTGTTGAAAACAATTATTGCTTTTAGAAATATACCAAGAAAAGCACGAGATAAATATAGTATTCTCAATAGAGCCAGAAATTAAGGGGACTTTTACTATGGAAGTTCAGGTAAAAGAACCACTACCGTTTTTGATTATTCATCCAAATATCAAAGCAAAAATTATATGAAATATAATTATAGCGATTTGCTTAATTTATTGTGTTACAATAATGCCGTTTTCTATGGCATTTTATGAGACTAATGGCTATGATGTGTGATTCTTTATTGATATGACGTTGAATGGGCTGTTTTTTATAGATATACTAGTACAGTTTTGTAGCGCATACTATGATGAAGATGGAACACTTGTGACATCAAGATTTATTCTTTCTAATTAAAATAGCTTATCAACATAAAAATATAAATTTCTATTTTATTTCAAAAACGGCTAATGACTAAACAATTTTTAACTTCCCCTCCTGAGGAGTTGATTTTTTTTAAAAAATTTATATATAAATGCATTGTAAATTTTTTTTTCAAAATTTAAAAAATTCCAATTCACAGCATTTGGAAAGCAAATATTAATTTAATTTGTAAAGTTTACGTTTTAAAATACAGCTGTTTAAATTCACCAGAATTAGCTAGATATTTCATTACACTTATTATCACTTATATATCATAATATTTTTCTAAAATTTTTATATATTAAAACAATTTTTTGTTCGGTGGCGGAGAGTGGGTTTTGAGCGAAAAATAGCGTTTCTCCAATGCTTTTGTTCGCTCATTGAGGGGGACTAAGAAAGCCACCCTCTTTTGTATAAAATTATTCTGAAATATTTGCTGGGTTGATTTGCTATAGATGCTGTTTCTTGCATTCCATTTGGATTATTAGGAGTTGGTAGCCAATCTGGAACCTCAAGCCATAATAGTATGATAAAGCTTCTACGGCTCCCAAAATTATACCGTTTAGCAAGAATTACAAGATTAGCTAAAATGATGAAGCATTACAAACACAATTATATTTTTGAAATGCTTCAAGACTTTTTAAGCATAAAGCATACCGAAATGCGCTTGTTTAAATCATTTTTTACTATCATGCTTTGTGTACATATTATGGCCTGTGTATGATATTATTCTGCAAAAATCCAAGGATTTGACCCTGATACATGGGTGAGTAGATGTGGTTATCTGGATTCTGATATTTCTACGCTTTATATTACATCAATCTATTGAGCAATAGCAACAGTTTGCAGTATAGCCCAGGCCTCTTTTTCTCCAGAAATCAATTGGGGAGTAAATTTTGCATGCATTTGTTGGTAAAATCAGCTCCCCGATTAAGGTCTGAAGACATAAGAATAGCCCAAGCCAAAAGGAGGCTCAGGAAATATAGGATATGGAGATATTACAGCAGTAACGGATTTAGAAATGATTCTCTGTATTTGTTGGATGTTTTCGGGGCTTTATTTTGTATCATTTACTGTTGGGAGCTTACTTCCATTTAAAATTTTTTTATATTAAAATTATATTTAAAAACATTTTTTATAATTTTAATTCAAATTTCGAGAATACTAATGTTTAATAATGAAATTTAGAATTTTATAGAAATCAACTAGAATTCTAATTATTAATTATATAGAAAAAAGTATATTAGAAATTTTTGGTCTCTCTCAAAGGGGTTAATTTTATCAAAAATAGGATTTTTTCTTATTATTTTGCTCCCTTTTGAAGGGGAAGAGCTAGCATCAATGCTTGATGGACTCAACACAAAAGAAAATGTTCTTAACAATAAATTAGCAGTTATTGATGAATTTGCTATCGAGACCAAACTCAACAAAAAGCTTAAATATAAATTACGGCATGCATTAAAATATTCTACAGAAAAAACTGGATTTTCTTGAATAGATAAAAATAGTATATTCAATGAACTTCCTAATTTCCCCCCTTCCATAGCAAGCATATTTTTTTGCTATCAGTATATTTTTAAGAAAAATAAATTTAATTTAAAAAAATTTATATAAACGTTTTTATCAAAAAAAAATTTTTGCTTACTGATGGAAGGTGAATACTTTTCCACAAAAAAAAAAGTTTTTATCCAATGCTTTTGCTCGTTCCCCATTGAGGGGAAGTAAGCATCTCCGATATGAAGTAGCGCTTGCCATGCACCATGGAGCTGTAAGAGACCTAATACTTTTTCAAGATAAAGACCCAGTAATTGTTGCTTACATTGTACCATTTCTTCAGCCTATGTTTGTGAATTTTAAGGATTTTATTTACCAAAAAGACGAGTTCGCTGAAGAAATTTATTTTTTGACAAGGGGACGTGTAAGCTATATTTATTGAGACCAAGCTGTTGTATATTCTGCGCAGATAGGAACTTATTTTGGAGATATCGAAGTAGTGTATCATATCCCTAGAAAATATAGCGCCAAAGCTGTGAGAAGTTCTGAGTTATTAATTATGGGCAAAAGCCTAATAAATACAGTGAGAAGGGAATTTCCAGGGATGTGGGACGAAATGACTCAAACTGCTGAAGAACGAGATGCATTAAATGAAAAAACTATTCTTGAAATTAAAGAATGCAACTCCATGTCAAAAGAAGGAAAATTATTTATGATTGATCCTGCGAATTTTAAAGATAAAATTGAAAAAAAATTAAAAATTAAAAAGGCTGAAGACATTCAAAAAAGAATCACTGAAATTGGATTTCATAGAGTCTCTAAATACCCCTTCTTGAACGAACTCATTGGACGATCCCTATTTTTTGGTGAAAGCCCATCCTTAAAGAACAAAGAAAAAATTTTTTTGAAAAAATATATTTTTATTAATAGTGATAATTATTTAAATGAATTTCTAGCTAGTTCTCTCTTTAATTTTAATACAAATTGCATTTTTAAAACATAAATTTAAAAATTAAATTAATATTTGCTTTAAAATTGGGAAAAATTTCACTATAATATTTATGTAACCTCATTCCGTGAACGAACAAAATTATTTTGTTCGCTCACAAGGAAGGAGCAAACAAAAGAAATTAACCTTTGGAGATCTTTATGACAAATTGGAAAATGCGCAAGCTTATTTGGGAAATCTGGAGAAGTATGTGATGGATTATTCGAGGCTTTCAGGATTAACTGTAGGTCATTCGCCATTACCTCGAAGAAAAAAATCTCAGAGAGATTCTATTGGTGATCATTATTCATATTTCGAGTCAGACGAAGAAAGCTTTATTGAAGATACAACTTTGTCTTTAGCCCCAGAGTAGTTTCCTTTCTAAACAGTTTTCACAAATTCGCAGAAAATGTATTGATCCATGATATTTTTATGGGCCTTAAATTAAATTTTATATTAATTCCCTTTGCATAAATTTTATTTTGTTTTACAATTATCTTTGATGGATGATCTTATGACCCAATCTCATCGGTATTAAAAATTTCACTCCTTTGTGGCTCTGAATCCAAAAGTACGTAAGAACTGATTGTTGTTCCATTATGCAGGGCGATTTTTTTCCAAAATTCAAAAATATATTTTCCGCATAAAAGAATTTGCAGCATTTCCTTGATAGTCTCACTAACAACAATTTTACCAGGTTCTCCATGGCTTTCCATTTTATTAGCAATTTGTACATCAGTCCCATATATGTCATACCTTATAAGGTTAGTCCCAGTGATCCCTCCAATAACATTTCCAACATGAAGCCCAATTCTCATATTTAATTCTGTATGGTTTTTTTCATTGACTTCTTTTATAATATTAATCATTGTTTGAGCAAAATCAATCATAGAGACACAATCTCTTATAGAGTCTCTGCTTTCTTTTTCGTTTTCATTATAAGCCATGGCTACATAGCAGTCTCCAATTGTATGGACTTTGTAGATATTATTTTCCACACAAAATTTATCAAATCTTGTAAAAAGTTCTGAAAGCATCCTTACCACTTCTTTTGGGCTGTTGTTGGCTGCCCAGGACGTAAATCCTACGATATCAGCATAAAGAATTGGAATTTCATGGAGATTATCAGTGATTATTATTTCTTCTTTAAGCTTTTGATAGACATGAGGAGGCATCATTTTCTTATTCAAGGTCTCAGTTTTTTCGTGCTCTTTTTTGGAAATAATTTTGAGATTTGAGAGTTTGCGTATTCGGAATTCTCGATTATAAATCATATATAATAAGAATCCTACGTAAACTAGAGTAGATAATATAAAAGTGGCAAATTCAGGCTTCTGGTCTATAGAAATGAGTAAAATTCTGAGGGCGCAAAAGAATATCGCAGTCCAAAAAATTTCTCTAACCGCCTCCACCTTTTAAATTGGAAAGAACATAGGTGAAATTTAAATATTAAACACACTTTAATTAAACTAGATTTTTTAATAGGAAAATTTAATAGGTGAAATTATTTTATAAAATTATTTTTGACCTAAATTAATATAAAAAGTGCAGCTAGAATAATATGTAAACAGTTTTCGCACTGATATATTATTGTGCTTTGCACTAGGCTGAATAATTTTTTAAATTAATTTTTAATAAAAATAAAGTATTGCGTTAAATTTTATTCTTTTAACTTTTAAATAAAAAATTAGCTCCCAGTTTAAATTGGAACAGGATTTTTTGTTCCAATTTAAAAGGGGAGAGTAAAAATTAATTGACTGCAATGAGTGATTAAAATCATATGATAATAAAATCCAATACAAAACTCATTTGATAAATGCCCTTCAGCAAAAGCTATAGAACTTTCTCTTCAATAGCGCGATAAGGCGTGCATCTTGGTTTAACTAAAAGGTCTTTGGACCATGAAAATCTGCTGTTACTTCTCCATAAGAGAGGAAAATAGTAAAAATGAACAGTTCTGCCCAATCCAGTCTCGAGAACTTGAAGGAAATTTTTCTGGTCTGAATTAAGAATACCTGAGTTATTGTGGAATTTTGATTTCTTGCAAAAATTTATAATTTTAATATATTTTGGTTCGTTAAATGGTTTTAACGAGCCGATTCTGGCTAGTACTTGAAATAAATAATGAATAATTGTCATAATTTTTTAATTTTCTGATGTTAAGGATGATCAGATTTTACAAAATCAAGATGGCGACTTAAACGAACAAAAAATGTTAAAAAATGAATTTGTGCTCGAGTACAGAAAGCGGAAAATAAAAGGCATCAAATAGCTGTTTTTAAAACTTTAAATACCAAGTTCTCAATGAAACCGCATGAGGTGACTTAAGAGTTTTAATTTTTTTTATATAGTGTACAAAATCAAGATGGCGGCTTAAACGAACAAAAAATGTTAAAAAATGAATTTGTGCTCGAGTCCAGAAAGCGGAAAATAAAGGCACCAATTAGCTTTTTGAATGAAACCGCATGAGGTGACTTAAGAGTTTTAATTTTTTTAATGGCTTATAAAATCAAGATGGCGGCTTAAACGAACAAAAAATTTTCATAAATGAATTTGTGCTCGAGTCCAGAAAGCGGAAAATAAAGGCACCAAATAGCTTATTTTAGTTCTCAAATATCATGCTTTGAATGAAACCGCATGTGGTGACTTAAGAGTTTTTAATTTTTTTATATGGGTACAAAATCAAGATGGCGGCTTAAACTAACAAAAAAAAGTCTAAAAATGAATTTATGTTCAAGTTCAGAAAGAGAAAACAAAAGCATCAAATAGCGAAATTTAAAATAAGAAAAATTAATTTGAGAAATATAAAAGTTAGTTCCTAAAAATTAGCTAAAATGTTGGCAAAATTATTTATTAGAATTCTTATTATTTTGTTATCAAATATCTTGGCCCCTTATAGCTATAACATTTATGCTTGCTTTCACTAATCTTTAAGTTTGTTTTTTTTGATCCTGTGACATTTATTAAAATTTCTGATCATCCTTAACATCAGAAAAATAAAAAATTATGACAATTATTTATTTTTTTATTTCAAGTGCCTGCCAGAATTAACTCGTCAGAACCATTTGTCGAACCAAAATCTATTAAAAATTAAAAATTTTGCAAGAAATCAAAATTCCACAATAACTCAGGTATTCTTAACTCAGAACAAAATTATCCCTCCAGTTCTCGAAACTGGATCGGGCAGAATTCTTCATTTTCACTATTTTCCTCTCTTATGGAGAAGGAACAGCAGATTTTCATGGTCCAAAGACCTTTTAGTTAAACCAGGATGCACTTCTTTTTTCGCGCTATTGAAGAGAAAGTTCTATATTATCATTCCTATAAATGTATAAGCACAATAAATGCAATGAAGTGTTTTCGCATAGGCTCTTGTTTTATAATACTTTTTCATCACAAAAAGCATTATTATATAGCTAACACTCTCACATATATATTTCGTCATCATTATGTAGGTCCCATTCGCATACTTAGTTTTAAAGCCTTCAATAATTGCACAAAAGCCAATGCTAATAGATGCTATAAGTAGTCCATAATGATAAATAGGATAATTCAGTATCCTAATTTCATGCCTAAACCCTTTTTCTTTGTCATCGTCCACAATCCCACATAGGAGCCATTTCGACCTTACTACTCCCCGCCTTTAAATTGGAATAAAAAATTCAGCTCAATTTAAAAGGGGATTAATTTTTTTTTTTTAAACATATAAAAATATTTTTAAAAAAAAAAATTGGATACAATATTTTTCAATTTTAATTATTTTATGAAAAATTAATTCTTAATAGAATTAGTGAACAAACTGTTTAAATAATATTCAACTTGCACTTTTACCAATAAATTAGGTCAAAACTAATTTTATAAAATGGAAATTTACCTATGTTTTGCTCCAATTTAAAAGGGGGGAGCTAGCGAAAGCTCTGTGTTACTTTTTTGAAATATTGAGTCTGCGTCTTGAATATCAAGTCTTCTAAATAAAGATGATCTTTTGCCAGAAAGCTTTTTTTGACAATTCTGCCGAATTCGTGGCAGTGGTGATAGCTCATGGCTTGAATAATAATTTTGAATTGGGCCATCTCTGGTTGGACTTGGAAGCTCTCCAAGCTGAGTTGAAACGCTGACAAGCCAGGTCTCCATTTCTCCTTTGCCTTTTACTTGGACTGTTTTTAATATAAATTCAAGGCCTCGCTTATCAGAAATCATGTTATAAGTAGCCATTGAAATTTGTATTGAATTAGGCTCTTTTAGAGTTGATGCCATTCGGCTTGCTGTATTCACTGTATCTCCTACTAAAGAAAACTGCGGCTTGTGGTAGCCAACAACCCCAGCTGTAACATGTCCACTATTAATCCCAATTTTTAGTCGAAGCGGCTCTCCATTTTTTAAGTAAATCGTTTTTGCAGTCCTTAACATTGCCAATCCCATTTCTACAGCTCTTCTTGCATGAGGAACAGTGCTAAATGTAGGATCCATTTCAGCTTCACATTCAATGAGCCCTGCGCAGGCCATATACGTTTTTCCAACCGTTTCTATTTTGGTAACCCCAACCAAGTCGCATAGCTGATCAAATTTTCCAAAAATTTCTCCAAGAAATGCAGTGATTTCTTGAGATTGGTAGCTTTCTATAATAGAATCAAAATTATCAATATCGCAAAATAGAACAGAAACAATCCCTTGGTCTTCTGCAATAGCTCTGTCGCCATTTTTTACGCGATTCATCACAAATGGAGGTAAAAGATAGCTTAACACAGCTAAAGATTTTTCGAAATCCAATTGGACTTGATTATAAAGGACGTATTCAGATCTTTTGGATTTATTGATGCAATAGCCAATTATGCTTGATTCAATATAAATTGATAGATATAAATTCATGTACTCAATAGTTTTAAGGATGACTTCTGCTGTCGTGCTATAATCATGACCGCTTTGGATACAGATGTTGACTCCTACACAAGCTACTAAAAATAAATAAAAAATTGACAAATCATGCCAGTATGAATTAAGACACGTTAGCCCTACTATAATAAGCAGTGGGAACCCTTGTGAGCTTTTGGTTTGTGTGAAGATTCCTTGTATCAAAATAGAGGAAATAAAATTGTGAAATCGATGGAAGATGGACTTCGAAACACATTTCCTATGGAATAGGCAGGACCCGCTCCGATGAAGCTGAAAATAGTGCCTCTGTCACTTTTTGAAGTAGGCCTTGAGTAGGAAATCTGCCGAAGAGGGTCGCTTTGTTTCTTCCTGAAAGTTTCCCTGCGCTGCCAGGTGGGCTAGATAGATTTTGCCTCAAATTTTATTTGCTTATCTGACGAGCGGAGATCCACAAGAGGTGACTCAAGCCTAGGGCTAATCCTTAGTTGGGTGGGTTATGCCAGATAGGCAGGCTAGTTGTTTATCAGCTTATTGCCTCATAACACTTCACTTAGCTTAATTTTTTATCAAAATAAATATAGAAATCATAGCAAAAAATGCTAAAACCAGCCACTTATAATAGCTTTTTAAAGCAGGAGCCAAAGATATGAAAAACCAAATAGTAAGAGACGGAAGCACAGTATAAAAAGCAATTAGTGCTTTATTATCAGTGTCAATTGAGTATGCAAGCAGTTGATAGAATATAATAAAAAATATTAAGATCACAAAAATGTTCCTATATGAGACGAAATTTTCATTCATATCTTTTGTTTGGTATTCCTTCTCTCTTACTTCAGACGCAAATTTTAATTTCCATTTGTCAATTTCAAAGGCATCGAGCTCGATTTTATATCTTCAATTGCAAGAGTCCTTATATAATAAATGCAGCCTGGAGATATAGTCATATAGCCGAGATCTGATTTCAAATAGGAAATTATGAGCCTTTAGGCTTTTGATTTTGTCAATTATTGAAGGGAAAAATATAAAAGTCCAAGCTTTTATTCAGTAGGATATAATAACAGATATCAGAGGGACAATAAAAATAAAAATTCAGGTTGATGGGATTTTTGAGAGGTCATTAAAAATTCCAACTAGCCAGATTTCACTAGTGCTATCATAAGTAAATAAAAAGCAAGCTAAAATTAATGTCAGAAGACATATGATTTGTGCTCCGATTGTGAAGATGTTAATTGAGCTGCTTTCTACTAGTAATACACATGCTATGCATAAGCAAAGCACAATGGCGACTACGAATCCCATTATTTCTAAATCTACTGGATGCCCATTTGAAGAGATTCCAGAGCCGAATTTGTACGCAAAATATCATATTATTGTCCCTTGGATAATTCCTTTAAACATATATAAAAAATATCTTCCAAAACTTAAAAAAGGTCTAAAAAAACCTATTGAATAAGCTTGAGGATGCTCTAAATATTGGAATCAGCTAAATCACGCCCCTTAGTAAGTGAGCAAAAAAAATCTAATTGGCTCGCCAGTCGTAGAAAAATATTATTTAAAAAAAATTCAAATTTGTGAATATTTGAATGAAAAAATCTAGTTTAACTTATAAAGTTTGCCGGATTTTTCATATAAAAATAATTGGTTACATTTGCTTGCTAACTAAGGCTTAATTTCCCCAAAAATATTGAATTTTTCTAATTATTTTTACTCGTTAGATAAGGGGGTAAGATCTTCGTCATAAATCCCATAAACCCCCACTAAAAATGCATTGAATAAAAAGATATATAAAAATGTCATGTTAACTCCAAATAAATGCCCACCTGATCATTGAGAACTTGCAATTATACTTATGCTTAGTTAGATTATAGAAAGGCTCTCTGTCCCTTCCATAACGCTCCACTAGCTCAATTCGCCGACAGGAGTCTCATCACCTTCAAAGTCTTGCTTCAATCAGGCATGGGCCCTACGCATACTACCTTGAAATCTGCACCGTACCATACGTCATAGATAGCCCACTATTGAAAATTCAAAAGAGTTGAATTTTCTGGTCGACTCTCGGCTAAGATGGGAATCCGATGCCCAGGGTCTAACTCCTTGCTTTGCGTAGGGTGAATAGTCCCGATTGGTCAAGACGACGCTATTGACACTGCTGGAAAACCCCTTTCCAACTTATGGACCCATCTCTGAGGTTAAAACTTGGCATTGGATTAAAGCCTGCGGTCTGTCAGCTCGACATTGAGCGAAACCAAAGCGGATACACTTATCGAAGCCAACCTCCCTTCCTCAAGGTCCCCAAACCCTTCCAGATGTCGGCTACAGAAGTTAAGAGGGTGAGTTAATTCACCACGTCATTAAAACACATCCATTGAGAGTTTGCATTGAAGTAAAAAAGCACTGTTACCAATAAAAATTTTGTATAAAAACTTGTCAAAACCACATTACAAATTCTTCGAAAATTCGAATTTCCAATATAAAATAGCAGCTCTTTTAGCTGTGAAAAATCATTTATCACAATATCTGCAGCATTTTCTGCATATCTTCCTTCATTTCCTCTTATCGCGACTCCTATATGTGCTTCTTGTATCATTCCAAGATCATTATTCCCATCCCCTACTGCCAATACTACCGGATTAAAGTCAAAGTTATTTTTCAAAAATTTCACAACTTTTCGTTTCTGATCAGGAAACAAAGAGTGAAAAATCACAGAATGAGCCGAAAACAAAAGGGCAGCAAAACATTCACGATGAGCCCTGGAGCTGAGTCCATATTCCAATCCAGATTTATCCACAGAAACCACATAATAAATGGAGTTAGGGTTAAAATGTCCATCTAAAGTAAATTTTCCTTTATTAGTGTCTGTTAAATTTGATATAAAAATCTGCAGAGATTCATGATAAATTCTTTCCAGCTGTTTTATATCAGTACTTCTCTTCATTCTCAAAATATGCTCATCCTCTGATGTATTTTTCGCTGAAAGCTCTTGAGATCTTTCCACTAACAAATTCGGCTCTGAATTAACTTCTTCTGAAATTTCAAACCTTTCAGTTCTCTGTATCGGGCTTCTTTTCTTATTAAAAGATTCTTCATTTTCACATCTGCTTGACCGTTTATGTCTATGATAAATGCATTCTTCAACCTGTTTTTGCATTTCTTTTAAACAATGTTCTTCAGACTTAAAATTGGTCATCCTTATCATTCTTACACTTTCCTCATAAATTCCTGACCCAACTCCAGCTCGGATTGTGCTTTCTTCTGAGTCTCCAGAAAGGATTCATAGCTTAATCCCAGCTTGTGTCAATAAATTTACAGCTTCTTTGGTTTCTTCTGAAATTTTATCTTCTAGCCCAACCATCCCTAAATATTGCATTTTATTTTGGTATTTTTCAAAAACACTTTCAATTCTGCCTTCTTTGTTGACTGGGCAGTATTTTGCATTTTTATAATCAATTAGAAATAAATCAGTTTCAGTTTTTGACAATCTTTTATAGCCAAAAATTAGGATTCTCATGCCTATTAGTCCTCGGGTAAGCAATGTCATTTCTTCGATGTTGGATTTTTCTTCAAATTCAATATCAAATAAATTCAGCATTTTTTCTTTGTTTCCTTTTGCTAGCAAGATGCTTTCATTTTCTCCAATTTTTCTTACCAAAATCATAGACACTTTGGTTTCTGAAGTAAATGGCAGCAACCCTATAATTTCATACCCATAAAATTCTTCATTAATCTTAATTTCGCAATAGTGCTGGCTTCTGCTTACGAGTTTTACACCTAATTTCCCTGCAGTTTGCACAAGTATTCTTTCGTCTGCAGAAATAGCAGTCAGTTCCCCATTTTGTTCCAAAAACATGCTGTTGCATACAGCCATGCATAGAAAAAAATTAAAAACATTATTGCTTTTTTCAGTTGCCAATATTTCTCGCTTTAAATCAGAAAATCTATTTGAGTCAGATTTAGCTCTCTGTCTCATCGTAGCCGGATTTGTATCACATAAAGGGCTTACTCTGGTTTCACTAGAATAAAAATAAGCTGAATCTATTTCCATGAAATCAGCTTGATTGTCTTCTTCTCAGTACTGAGTTTCACCTATTATACAAACCTGAATAGTCAGCTCATTTTTAGTCAAAGTTCCTGTTTTGTCAGTTAAAATATACTCAATTTGGCCTAAATCTTCAGAAATTTCGCCAGCTTTAAAATGGATTGATGGGAATATTTTATGCATTCGGTATCATTGTATGAGCCTGATTGAATATAAACAAATAAATAGAGTTAGAGGGACTAAAGGATAATAAAGTAATAATTGAGCAACAATGTCATCAATTTTGTTATCACATTCATCATGGAATTGGACAGGAATATTAATTTGGATAATAAAAGACATAACTGTAACAAAAGCAAGAATAATGACTGACAGACGGATTAATTTTGAAATTGTTTTATCTACTTTTGATTGCTTTCTTTGTCGATTTTTTCAATTGAGAGACACTTTTGTTTCGATTCCTGTATAGATTTTCCACGCTTATGGATTTTTATAGTGCTGATGTCTCCCAAGAATATCCTAGGGTTTGGTAAAACCAACCCTCAATTGACAAAACTGCCTGATAATGCAGACTTGCCAATTTTGAGATTGGCTTCACTAACATAAATTGGCAAAGCTAACCCTGAGATCTCCTCGGTAGACATCAGGACTATAAGAGTCCATAAACATTGAGACTATATATATACAACAATCCCAAGTATTCAATTTTGAGACACTATAGTCGTTCCTTTCCATATAGTATTTTTAAATGTAAGGACTTCTGCCTTTGGAAATTTTTTCAGTTTAAGTTTTCCAGAAAATTTGGAAAATGACTTACTTGGCGTGGAAACCCTCAAAGTCCCATCTAATCGTCTGATAGACTTGCAAGCTTCACTAAGGTCTTGAGTCGCTATTGTAGCCTGAGCACATTTGATAGGATATTTAATTCTCAAATTCCGATCCCCAAAAATTTCATAAGCATCCACAAAGCACTCTCTTTCCTCATTCCCAACAGCAAGCAGCAAAATATCAGCTGGAGCAGTCTGTTTATCATACAAAAGAATTATATCGCCGACCAGCAAATCTTTACAATGCTTTTCGATAAATTCATGTCCATTTCAACAGTTCACAGGTAAAAAGTTACCTGATTTTTCATATCTATGGTGTCAAAACTGCTTGAAAAGGTCTTTTAAAATCGATAAAATTATAAAAAAACAAAACAGTGCGACGATATAGTTTTTATTTGAAGAATCGTCAAATATAAGGATGACTATCAAAACAAAAATAAATCATAAATGGGACTCCTTGAGAAATTGAAGGAGAAGAACTTTTGGGGTAAGCCAAAGAATGTTGTTATTCGATTTTTTGATTTCATTTGTGACAAATGGAGAGTGTTTTATAGCTGACTTACCATCAAATTTTATGACCCTTACTCCCCCCTTTAAATTTGAATAAAATATAGATAGAATTTTAATTTTTAGGGTGTTTCAACCCCCTTTATATTGGAACCGTTTTTTTTTCAATAGGAAAATTTTTAAATTATTCTTATAAAAATAACAATTACCATCAACGATGGCGTTGCGACAGCAAAGAAAAAAATTTCCCCAAAATTTGGCAGTTTGAAAAATAAAACGGCCCGAAGGCGATTGCAATTGTCCTGGGGTGGGGTGCAGGCTTGGACTGACTTGGCCTCCCCTCGGCCCACAGACAAGATGAGCGACGGCGCAACACCAATCGGGCATTTCTGGAGGAGCATTATGCTGCCTGTGAATGGCAGAGGTAGTTCCAGAAGGAGACATTGGACGTTTCCCTCATACCCTGAGCACTACCAGGGGTAAGAGAATCCTGTGATGCAATTTTTGGTCCAACTAGGTTCGGGTAAGTCTCCCCTTAGACTGGTGACGTCACCATTTTTGGTGGCCCAGAAAGAAAAGGGCGTTAGGTGGCTTTACTGCTTAGCGCCCCCTTTAAATTGAAACAGGATTTTTTTGGTCCAATTTAAATGACGGGAAGCTAGAAAATTGTCTTCAGATAATTTTGCGTCTGTTCTTTCATTTGAGCTCATTCGAAATTAATTTTAATTATAATTTCAATTGCATATGATAAGGAGAGAAATATATAAAAATATTATGGAGTAAAAGTAAGTGTTATATGATATTCAAATAAATTTCATGTAGAAGTGTTAGAAATTTACTGTAAGTTTTCTGTTTGAAATAAGATTTTTATATAATGAGAAATAGTAAAATTGATGTGGATAAATTATTTGAATTTTGGATAACGATTTATATAGAAAGATATTAAAAATATTGGAAATTTTGGTATGGTGATAAAGAGATTATATAATGGGTCTTAAAAGGTGGGTATTTAATATTGAATCATATCTGATAATTTTTTAAACAATTTTAACCTTTATATTAATTCAGAATCTTGAGATTAAAAATATATTAAAGAGTCTCTTAATGAGATATAGGAATTGCCCCACACCAGGAATCGAACCCACGTGTGGGGCCATTTTTGGTGCGTGTAAGTCGATGTTTGCCACACACCAAAAATGGCCCCACACGTGGGTTCGATTCCCGGTGTGGGGCCATTTTTGAATTGCCCGAGGATGGCGCAAGATAGCGCCATCCTCGGGCAATTGCTATATCGTTATTTGCAGATTTTTGAACTTTACCACTAAGTGTGGAATTTTTTTCCGCGTGTGAAAAGAGGATTCCACATATGAAATCAAAAGGGCTCCACACGTGAAAAACACCTTTTCACACGCAGAAAAAATTCCACACTTAGGTGGTAAAGTTCAAAAATCTGCAAATAACGATAATTTAACTGTGAATACCTTAATGGTTTTTTATATTTAATAAGAAAATGTTTCTTTTTCTAAATTAAATACTTAGAAAATAATAGCAGTCAGTCTTAGCAGTTTCCCTTTGATTAGGTTAATTTTCTAATAATACAAATGAACGATTAAAATTAGAAATGCCTTATTGATATGGAATAACTGCATTAAATGATCTTAAACAACTCAATATCTTTTTCGCCAAAAACAATTTATAAAAGATCAGCATTTCAAGCAGGAGCTCTAAATTGTGACTCAGAAACAGACGCATGCAACAAAGTTGAGTTTCTGAAAAGTCAAGGAGTTGGATGTACATGGGCAGCAATTAGCTATAAAACTCCATCTACTGATTCCTCTCCCTTTTAAATTGGAACAAAACATAGGTAAATTTTGGAGCAACATTAGAAATTTGTTTCTATAGGTAAAATACTAATTTTTATAAAATTATTTTTACCTACTAAAATGAAAAAGTGCAAAAAAAATATTATTTAAACAGTTTTCACACTGAATCGATTAATTTTTTGAATTAATCCTCCATAAAATAAATTAAAATTCAAAAAAATTTTATTCAATTATATTTTTTAATTTTTAAAAAATAAATTAACTCCTCTTTGAAGAATTTTTGTTCCCATTTAAATAGCAGGGAGTGAAAATTTCTATGAAGAAGAGACTGGGGCAGGTGAAAAGCTATTAACCTTGATCAATAGAATGGGAATTAAAAACATCGTGCTAGGAGTCAGAATTTGAAAAGATGGAGATCTCCCTCAGCACGATATTTATCGCATTATGATTGCAAAAGCAAAAGAATTAATAGTTGATTTATTTTCAAAAACAGAAAAAGACCAAGCAATCCCCCAAATAAGCAGACTAAAACAATTTACTATTAATTTCAGCCAAAATATAGAGAGTAGCTTAAATTCATCAAAAATAATTTCATCAACCAGAGAGCAGACATCAAGGCTGGATTTTGATAAAGAGAAAATAAAACTTCATAAAGTGCTATTAAAAATTACAGATCTTGAAATTAAGCAGCTGAGAGAATATATGTATCATCCTATAATCAGTAAAATTTTGCTTGCACTATTATGCTTAATTCAAAAGAGCAAGCCAAACAATATTTTACTTAAAAATTTATTGGATTCAAAATCTCCAAGAACGATTTTGCTATCATTAGACCCTTCAAATTTGTCGAAAATTCAAATTAAACGAGCGAATAATATTTTAGACAAAATTGGTGACACTAAACCTTCAAATTTGTCGAAAATATCTCATTGCGGGTCTTTGCTGCTTCAATATGTACAAACAGTCCTTTCTCTTACTAGCCAGCAGATTTTCCAAACACAGCTGAATTTTGATAGCTCTGACACTTTTTCATTTCCAAGTATCCATAAAAATATCAAAAAACTAAGTATTGACCAAGATATCACCAAAACAGGAGCTTTTCTTCCTTCTAAACAGGTAAGTGTTTACTTAGGCAGATGGTTTTTTCTTTTGATGCTGATCTAAAACCACAAGAAATTCCAGAGCCTTCTGAATCGGAAGAAGAAATCCCAGAGCCAACTGGAGCTGAAGCATTGAGAGATTTATCAAAACAATGCCAAGACTCAGGTGATGAAGGTGAATATTTGCTTGATGAGAATGAGCAATTTCTTGATGAGAGATTTAAACAAGCCAGAATTCATAGGCTTGAAGAAGAAAAACTTATTAAAAAACTGCTGAAAAAGGACAAAGAAAAAATCAACGCAGAATCAAGCATCCCTGAAAATTTAACAGAAGAAGATATCGTTGGATATTTAAAAACAGAAAAACTTGATAATCAGCCTTTAGAGTTTCTCCTTAAATTTGTGGACAAACTTCGAGAAAAAAGAGAAAATCACACGCTTGGCTAATTTTTGTAAATGATAATTAACTTACTTATAAGCCATAACCAAAAGTGCTTCATAATTCAAAGCAGTTTCTTCGACTTGAATAACACTGTTGAGTTCTTCAATGACAGCTTGTTCAACTTCAGCTTTTCCGCCTGCTTTAATGACTGCTTGAATTCCTGGCTCTTCTAAAAAGATGTTCTTTAGCTGATCGACGTCAGTAGTTGGAAAATGATACTGTTCATAAAAAGTAATAACTCTATTAAATCCCGCAGTTTTCAGCGGGTGCAGGTCAAATGACTATGCCTTTTTGATAGTGTCCATTTCACCGAAAAATTTTTGGCGGAAAATTGATCGAAATTTTTTGATAATGAGAAAAAAAGTTAATTTTCGGCTAAATGTCTGCACTATCAAAAATTTTCGACCAAATGGATTTCGATGAAATATACACTGTCAAAAATCCACGGTTATTTGACATGGATCCGTTTTCAGCATCCTTTTTAATGTTCCAGGGTTGCTGAGTTCTCTTCTAAGCTTGATTTGGTTTTCAATTCCAAACTGGTGTCTTACTTTTTCAAAAATCATTGTATAAGTACTTGAACTCCTTCTTCCAAGGACTGAAATCCCTAAAATCCCTCCTTTAGGTGCAATTAGCCTATAAGCTTCTCTCACAACGCTAGTTGGGTTTTCTAATTCTTCAAGTGTCGCCAAGCTAACATATCTATCAAACTTTTCTCCAGGAAACGGTAGCTGGTCAGAGTTTACATGCATTATATCACATCTTGGCAAATTCTTCGCCTTTGCAAGATCTATAAGTTTTTCTGAAAAATCAACTAAAGTGAATTTTGTGTCTGGGCCTGCGTGATTTAGCATGATTTCTGCGCCTACTCCGTTTCCAGCGCCGACTTCTAACACGTTTTTGGCAGTGTCAAGGTGAAGGAAAGGAATCATGCTTTTATATATGTCAGATGAGCATTGCGCTTGATGCTTTTGGTACCATTCAGCATTCGTGTTCCAATACTTTTCGATGTTCTCATATTTTCGCAGGCTGTCAGAGGTTGAAAAATTAGCCTTCAAGAAGTTTCGAATTAAACCAGAAGTATAACGAGAGGCCAACATTTTCAATATTATCCGTAATTAAGGTGGTTAATTTTGTATGATAAATATAATTTATAAGCTTATTAAATTGTTATTTAGTGATGAAGAATGATTTTTAATGTTTAATAAATTTTTATTAGCTATAGAAATTGCCCGATGATGGCGCTCAATGCGCCATCATCGGGCAACGTCTTTTCAGGGTCCACGCTGGAAACTGGTTCCGCGATGAGCCCTTTTTAACATGTGGAGAATCCTCACTTCCACGTCAAAAAGAATAAGAATAAAGAAATTATATTTACGCCCTACCCTAAAATATTTTCAGATTTCGTCTTCTTCAAACATATCATGAGCATGAGTCTTATCAACTATGGCTTTAAGAAAGTCTCCATTTCTACAATAATCTATGACCAATGTGTCAAAAAGGGTTCCACACGTGGAACCCATTTCATGTGTGGACCCTTAAAAGGCGTTGCCCGATGATGGCGCATTGAGCGCCATTATTGGGCAATCAGTATAAAATTTGTTTGAAAATTGGTTATTAGTAGATGTTGACGGATAATAATAAATATCAATAAATATGAATAATATAAGAGGACTATGATTTATCTTATGCGGAATTATTTGAAAATTATTTTATTTACTCTAAATATATTAAAATGGCGACAGACTATCAAAAATTGAATAATGACACTCAAGCATTGCAAAAAGCTATTCGTCCTGCATTTCAAGAAGTCGACAAAAACAACCTCGGATTCATAGATGATCAAACAGTAACCCAAGCCGTCACAAAAGCATCACAAATTTTAAAGATCTCTCCTCCTTCTAAAGATCAAATAAGAATTGCACTTCCAAATAATAGAACCCGTAAAGGAAAAATTAATTTTGACGAATTCACCGGACTAATAAAACAATTTCTACCAAAAATTGGAAATTCAGAGGAAGCAAAAATAGCTCCTCAACAATTAAAGCAAGAAGAAATAAAAAATCCAATTCCTGAAACTGCTTTAGAAAATGAAAACACCATAAAAAATGCAGTAAATATAATAGAAGACCCAAGAAATTCAGCTGAATATCAAGCCATTGAAAGTATACGTAGACTTATTGCTAATGATCAATTATTAGCAAGCACCGTTCGAGGATCCTTCATTGAAATTGATACAAAAAATACTGGATTTATTAATGAAAAAGACTTAAACGGAGCAGTGATAAAGGCTACTAATAATTTAAGCTGCAGTTCTCTAAAACAGGATCAAATAGGCCAAATTGTAAAAAGTATGAGCAGGTCTGCAAACGGAAAGGTCTCTTTTCAAGAGTTTACAAATATTTTAAAAGCAGTTCTAAGAAATAATATAGAAGAGTTTGAGAAAAATCAGTCTATGAATGAATTAAGAGTAGTTAGCGGGCCTAGAGAAACAAGAAGAGAGCTATTTGAAAAATATTTAGACGATAGTGGCATTTCCATAGCCTTCCAAATCATTTATTCAGAAATAATCGCCAAAAATATCGACCCAATGCATGTCTTTTCATATTCTGCTATGAGATTGAGAGAGCTAGGTAGAGAGCTTGAAAACGTTCTCCCAAGAAATTTTACTTAACTGATTTATTTTTAGCCATTTTATAATATAGATTATTTTTCACACATATTAACGTTATTGCATAAAAATTAATTATTTTTGAGGGTTTCTAACTCTAAAGTTTTCAGGTCCAAAAGGTGATCCAAACTGGCCTAGCCACTTCTTATCATTAGGATGCTTATTCCACCAAGGCCCATAAACCATTCTTTCATCTTCATTATTATCAAGATACAAATCGCTGAGGACAATATATTCAAGTCCTATCGTTTCAAAGCTATGCTGTGCCATTTCTCCATCAATTTCAGGTCCAAGTGCCCATTTCACCATATAAGGTTTATCTCTTACAAGGTCAATATCGCACTTGTCACCGGTGACAAGTTTTCGTTTCCAGCAAAAAATAACTACATTGTCCTCATCGTAGTACATCTGTTGGTCATGATTTATCCTTAAACTTCTTTGGGGCTATATGGTGAAAATTTTCCCTCACTAGTCAGATATTTGGCAGCAGAAATCGTTTATTTTTTGACCAAACGTCTGACTGAGGAAAAATATTCAATCAAATAATGCTAAAAAATGCATTTAAGATATAATATATTGAGATAAAAATATGCAGCTGTCCTCATATCTCCTCCATGATTCAATGTCGTTAGTGCACTCATCCTCATCAGTGTCTGTGAAAGAAAATCCCATTTCTTCAGCGTATCTATCCATCATAAGTCCATCTTTCATAAAACCCATATAGCAATCAGCTTTATAGTTGTCTCGAGCTTCGCTTATGTCTTGAATTTCAATTCCAGCCCAACCAAAAGTGCTTTCATAACGTTTAGGAATCCATAGTTCAAATTCTACTTCGTTATCAGAAGGGAAATACCATTTGAGCTTCATATCAAAGGAGAAGTATTCGACGCCTGAATCGAAGACCCAGGCTGAAGCGAAAGCTGCTATTAGCAATATCCAACTGTTCATATTATAAGAACATTTTCACAAGAAAGAGATATGTTTAACGGAAATTTAAAAATGGAAAACAGTAATTTTGGAGGCTGAATAATATAAAAGGGGTGAAAGGGTTTATTATAATTTAATTAGGCTGGTCTTTTATAGTGCTTACATAATATTTCCAGCTTGCTTTTGTTTCGCCATATACATTAAAATGCGACGGCGAACCAGCCCTTTTTCTCAACACCTGTAGCCGGGAGTCTGCTAGAACCCGGGGACCTTGTGGAAGGGGAAAAGGCGCGTTCGGGTGTATATCCGGCTAGGTTTTTCCTTGGCACAATGGAGCGCAAAGTCGAGTTTGGTTAACCTCAGCTCTTTCTGGCACTAGGGTTTTTGCCTCAGGGAAATGGTTTCCAAGGTTGGAAAGGGGAAGCTCAGCATATCAGGAAGGTACCTCCTGATCAATCGGGCAACTCCCTAGCGTGAAGCTGGGTGTTACATCCCAGGCTTTGGATTTCCATTTTTGCCGACAGTCCTACCAGAAAATTTGTTTTTCAAATTTTCGGAATGGGCAACCTCTGTTGACATACTGCGAGCGCACATCCTCGTCCAGTAGGAGCTACACCTTGAAGGTCGTGATCGATTGGTGGTGAGCAACCGGGTGAAGCGTGAAGGGTCAAGGTAGAGCAGGGGAAACCCTAGTATTACGACGGGCCTCTTAATCATATAGTTAATATTAATGATAATGCTTTTATTTGGCCAATCCTTCTGGTTTGAAATTCTAAATATGCAGAAATTTCGCTGGAATTTAAGCTTGCTGAAGAATCTATTGTGGAATTTGAGTCATAGTCATGAAAGAGCCCTTGAAACTGCAAAGAAGCTTGTCCAATTACTTCTTGGCCTCCGTTTTCAGTGAACTGCCATAGTAAAGCAACTACTCTTTGTTCCCTCACAAAAGTTTCATCAGCAAATACAATAGTAATTGTGGGCAATAATTTAGCTTCAAGTCTGAATTTTTTTTCATTTCCTGCATCAATTTTAGTAGAGTATGGGATACATAAGATAAATGGAGAATAAAAAGAAAGCTGGATCATTGAGGTATGGAGAGAGTCGTCAAGCTCTATTTGTAGCCAATTAAACTCAACTATACCATACTGTGGGTCTTGTTGAGAAATTGATAAATATTCAGGCATATATCACTGTAATGCTTGTGTGGCAAAGCTACCTGTAATTGGTTTATGATCACTTCCATAACACTTGTGGAGAGCTGTATATTGTAAAAGTTCAATTTGTCTATGAGTTTTATACATAATTCTGTCTGTTCAGCTTGGCGCTTGGTTTCTCTTGTTGCTTCACTCGTCTACTAACCTACTTCACCTGTAGCTTGGACAAAAATTGAGATTTCCTTCAAAAAATTGAGAAAATATGCAATTTTCGTTTCTTTGTCTGATAAGTTGATCTTTATCCCACAGAGTGCTGATTTGGTTTGTTGCGCACATTTCTACAGTTAAATCATAATTTTCTTCAACTCTATAATTCATGTCTCCAAACCAAAAAATGTAATCAAATTCTACAGTAAAATCCATTTCTAAGCTGCTTGGCTTTAAGCTCAGTAAATCTTTCACATTTTGGTTTCTCTGCGGCACTCTTTCTTCACGTGCAGCTAAGTGGCAGGAAACAAAGCAATAAGAAGTTTCTTCAATTTTGAAGGTAATTACAAGCCCGCCTTTGTTGCCAATAATATGAGCTATTCCTGTAGGTTTATGTACTTTTAAAAATGAATAAATAAAATTTTCGATAAAATAATCCGAATTTTCCTATAAAATAATTGTTTTAAAAAAGCATACAATTTTTGGATATCAGTGATTTTTTCTTTTAATTCATCTCGTGCATAAATAATTAAAAACATTTCCCACATAGAAATAAAAGCAATCATTGAGTACTCTTTTGAGTCTAAATAATTATTTAGTGCTGTCAGCCATGCGACTCTTTTGCTTTTTTTACATTCTTGGAATCCTAATGCGATGACATCATGTCCTTCAGATCCTTCGAGTCATCTTAAAAGCTCTTCTGAGTTAGGCTCATCCATATAGCCGATGTTCCAAGAGCTTACCCATATTTTTAAAGGAATTGTTAACAATTGTTTTGGCTTTCCCAACAATCCACGTTCTGGGTATTTAAGTTTATTAAAATTACACACAAAGTGGTACTTCATAAACACACTTGGAAAAATAAGCTCAATTTTATGCTGCATTTATTGAATTTTAGTTAAAATAATTCCTATCTGAAAAATTCCTATTTTTATTTATTCTAGCCTATCTTTTCCAGACTCAATTTTAATTTTCCTTAAATCTTCTTTTGAAAACACTATTTTTGCTGATTGAATTGGAATTTGTTTGATAGGGTTATTTTTGTGGTTATTCAATTTAATTTCTTTTAAATCGCCATTTAAAATGAGAAACCTTCTATCATGAGAAATAAAGCTTGTCTGTACCACATTATAAGAAAGCTCATTTGATTCTTCAGATACTGTAGGGAAATTCTGTTTATTAAGTCAAGTATACTTTCTTGAAGTTCTAGCTGAGTTAGTTGGTGACTCACTGCTTTCTTGGCTGACAACAGAAAATTTTTCAGTTTTGCATTGAGACTCATTTAGTAGGTGTATCATATTTTGAGCGAGAGAATTAAACTCGTAAAGCTCTAATGCACTATTAAAAAGAATGAGAATGTCCCTAATTTTACTATCATTTTCAAATCGTATAGACAATTTACGCTTGCCCTTTTTTATAAATTGAGAAATATTTCTCATTTCATGGATTTTGTGGCTTTTTAAAGTCAGGTTTGTGATGTGGAAAGAAAAATCGTCTTTGCAGAATCAGACAAGTCTTTTTTGTTTAAAACCGTATCGATTTATCTTTTTTACTAAAAAATGCCTTGTATCATTTACACTGTCATAGGCAACCTGATACCTCTCAAGAGAAAATGCTTCTTCAGGCAAATCTGACGGATAGTTTAAGTTTATTGCAGCAAGACATAAATTAAATGCTTCTTTTGACTTAAACAGCACTACAAAGCTAGGGGTGTCCGCTCTAAATATCGTTTACTCTTGCCTAGGCGTAAAAGTTATCTTCAGCTCTTCAGCATTTCCTTCCAGACTCACCAAATCTTTTCCTTTCAAATACGTTTGCTGCTCCCCATCAATATTTAGAATAATTATTTCAGTTTTCTTGCAATCTTCAGCTTTATTTATAGCAAAAACTTGTTGCTTAAATTCAGAAATCCCATTAAGAGTGATTTCGACGATTTCTCTCAACGTTTCAGTTCCTTTTCTTTCAGAATTCAAGCTTCCTCTGCTTTCATTTACCCCGAAGTATAAAACTAAGCATTCATTAATCACGTTTTCTTTAATATGCTCTAGGGTTAAAAGCTCTTTAAATTTTAACTGCTCCATTTCCTTGGGAACCTGTTGGACTATGCCTTTGAGTTCGTAAAAGAATTGGAGAAATGAGATATTGGTGTCAGTTGTGTAAGAGCGAGTCCTGCGTTGCTCTCTAGCTCTTATACCAAGTTTAGCTCGTAAGCATGATAAAGAGTCCTGCTCTTCATTTACAATCATCATAGTGTTGGTGCCGTCTGGAAAAATTAATGAAACCACTTGGCAGCCGCTTTCTGGTTTTGTAATTAAATTTTCTCTTTCTTCGTATTCTTCTTCATCGAGGTCTTCCACTTTGCTAAACTCATATTTTAGCCCTGCAAGCTTTTTGTGAGGCTCTGTATTGTTTCTTTCTTTTCTTCTGTATGCGTTTTCCTTTTTGAGAAACTCAAGGGTTGTTGTCACTCCTTCTTCTTGAAATGGTTCTACCATTATATAAAGAATTAGTTAGAGGAAAGAATTGAATTTATTCAAGCGTGAAATTGAACAAAATGATAAAAAATAGCAGGCGAGTAAACTGTATTTTTGGAGAAAATTGGTAAATATTGATGAAAAATGAAATTTATCTAGTTTTCTTTTCAAAAAAAATTAGAAATAAAAGAAAAATATAAAATAAATAATGCTGTGTTTTATACTTTATATTTTAAGCTGAACTTATTCTATTTTACAACTCTGAAAAATAATTAATTTTTGCTTGGATATTTGATTATCTTTTTTCCTTAATCTTAGGAGCAAGAGCAAGCCAGTATAATTAATGATCACAAATTTTTTATCCTTCAAGCTCTTCCATATTCATTTACATTTGCAATCTATATAGAAAAATTGGTTAAAAGAGACTTATTAAATGTATAATAGTGCTATCGATTATGCCACAATTGTGCAATTATAAATTAATTGATTGTTCTTTAGCTGCAAATCTGCTATAGTTTTACTTTTCCTATTATTAATTTAAATTACTTATATCAATTAAAGCAGTTTCATATATTTATCAGACTAGGATTCACTTTGATTTATTAAGAAATCAATTCTGATATAGTTAGCGCCTGCTCATAATTAGAGGGGTTTAATAAAATTACTAATGTAATATTCAAACATAAAAGGATGATTGATAAAATTCCATAAATTAATAATAAAAATCTACTCTTGATAGTTGTATCTGATGTTTTGAATTTTCTATTTCATAATAAAAAAATCGCTAATTAAATTTTCATCTAATATAGTTGGAGGCTGCAATCTATAGGAAGATAATATATTAAGCAGTGCTTGTGTAATTTAAAAAACAAGTGGACTATAAGACTTAAGTGCGGAAATTTCTTTATATGCAACTAATAAAAACGAATTTAAAGTAATTTATTCACTCTAATTGAGAATTAGCTTAAAGAATTATTTCTGATCATTTCTATTGGTACAAAATCACAAATATCATTAGTTAAAAGTATTTTATTTATCTGTCTATTATGAAATTTACACATATGAGACATAGCCTTGAGCAACCGGTGACTCATCTATAAGTCTCCGGCATTGAATCCCATACTTTGCTGAGAAAGCAAGTATGCTAAATCAAATTAAATACCATCCTAGTATTTGACAGCTCATCTGTAAAATATTTATTCAAGTTAATAATTTGCAGCATAAAATCGCAAATAAGGTTCCTATAACTATAGTCAAAATATTAAGTATCATAAGTAGCATAACAATTCCTCGGCTGAAATTGCAGTCTTCATCATGCCTATTTGGGCAAATTGAACCATACTCAAAACTCGCTCATGCTAAGCTAATTATTGAAAAAATCACCAACACAACATTCAAAACTGAAAGAACAATCGCTAAAATCCCATAAATTGCAAATAAAAAACTGTTTCCAGTCCTTATAGAAAAATATCCAAATAGTCCTAATATAAGGTATGGAAGCATTGTGACAACCGCAAAACCAATAGCTCTAATTTCATATGAGGCGAATATTATCAATAAGTTTGGCACCAAAAACGATAGAACATAAAACGCTGATTGATATTTTATTTTTTGGATCTTGCTTCTAAGGAGAGAAGAATTATCACCTAATTCTGCCATTTTAATATGAACCTGATCGAATATAAGCTCAATTAAAAAATAATTATTTTGATTTGCTGCTGCAATATAATAGATTCTTATCCTGAGTCTGCCACTTTATACAATAGATATTTAACTCAAATTAATCTATAATATTTATTCAATTAATATAAAAGATTTGTGTTGATTGGACTTGAAAAAAGCATTTTCTTGTAAAGCCTACTATTCTTTACAGAAAAAATAATTTTTACAATTAAAGCTGGGCTGATTACAATTGTTAAAGAATTCAAAAGTATCAGCCCAACAGAGAAGGCTCTTCCTAATGGACAAGTGTCATCATTATTTTTGGAGCAATCTATTTTAGAATACCATATACTTGAATATACTAGACTGATTATTGAAAGAATTGTCAATATTCCATTCAAAACTGCTATAATAATTAGCAAAACAATATAAATTGTTAGCATAGCTTTATTTTTCTGCTTGACAGATGAGTATCCTAAAATTCCAAGAGCAAGATAAGGCAGCATAATAAGTGATACAAAACAAATTAATATAAAAAAAGACCCGAACACTACAAAAAACATCACAGGCATAAAGAAAATAGCTGTATAAAATACTGAGTCACACATAATTTTGCCCTCTATAGCAGAAACTATGTTTATAAGTTCAAGATTCCTATTGTCGCCCATTTTAATTATTACCCTTTCCTTGATTAAAATTTGCATAAAATGGATGAATTCTTGGAAGATCATATGAAAAGAGCTAGGCCTGATACTTATCTTTCAGAAAATAACACCTATGGAAAGCATTTAGAAGGTAAAATAATATAAAAGTTACGCTTAATAGAAGGTTGTATCTTGGACAAATTGAGGAGTCAAGGATATTGTTTGTTCCTAAACAAAAAAACTATAGCTGAAGCTCTTATCTTTTTACTCTGGTACCCACTATTGTAAAAATAATGCAGGCATCATTGTGGGCTTTTGGGATTTCTTTAACTTATACATATCCTCGGTGTATTCGAGCTTTTAGATACCTGTTTCCCAATGTAAAAAGCTTTTTCTTAATCCATCTTGTAATGATTATCTAGGGAATAGCACCTTGGATGATGTTTATTAACTTAAACTTGCTTGGGATTTTTAAAGGACTTACATTTTTCTATTTTGATAAATACACAGGTGGGGAACAAATATCTCTTATCAATGAAATCTCTGAAGACAATTAAATTTTAATCCTTAAACTCATCCTAAAAATCATAATTGTTTTCTATTTACTTTTATTTAATCTGAGATTTATTTTTTAGAAAAACTAAAGCTGAATATCTATCATTTTAGCTGTCAAATAGAATAGGCATACTTACTTATAAGCTTCTTCATTATTGAAATTATTAAAATAAATCTTTTCAAATGGATCATTTGCAGAACTCTCTAGCAACATATTATGAAGAACCTTTGCTTCTTATCTCATATGATAACAACTCAAGAAAATTTCAATTGGAACAAAATGGGATTGATTTTTTGAAATCCTTGAATGAACCTATAGGGGTAATCTGTGTAGCAGGAATGTATCGCACTGGTAAATCATATGCATTTTTATAATTTTTTATATATTATTATAGGCACCCAAGCCCTATTTTATATATAAAAAAAGTCTGCAATTTTTTTTCTATAAGTTTATAAACTGTTAAATTAGAATATTTACTTAACAGAGTGCTACTAAACCGTAAAAAAGGCTTCGGAGTCGGACCAACAGTAAATCCCTGTACAAAAGGCTTATGGATTTGGGGATCTCCCATTTCTGGAATGACAAAAGATGGAAAGCCATGCAATGTAATAATTATCGATTCTGAAGGCATAGGAGCACTCGACGAAGACTCTAATCACGACACCCGCATTTTTTCACTGGCAATTTTATTGAGCTCTAATTTTATTTATAATTCTGTAGGTGCAATTGATGAAGATGCCATTCAAAATTTAAGCTTAGTCGTAAACTTAACCAAGCATATTCACATTAAAAGCTCACAATCAGACGAGCTTGACTGTGAAGACTACGCTGAATATTTTCCTTCATTTTTATGGGTAGTCAGAGATTTCACCTTAAAATTAGTAGATTCTGAAGGCAAAAATCTAACACCTAAAGAATATTTAGAAAAAGCCTTGCAGCCCCAGAAAGGGTTTTCTGACACAATTGAAGAAAAAAATCGAATAAGAAAATTATTAGCGAATTTTTTTAAGGAAATTGACTGCTGCACACTTATAAGGCCGATATCAAGAGAAGAAGATTTACAGAGACTTGATGATATGGATTTAAATCAGCTAAGGCCAGAATTTGTAGAACAGATGCTAGAAGTAAGGAGAAAAGTGCTAGGAAATATAAATGCGAAAGTTATGAATGGAAGAGAGCTGTCTGGAGAAATGATTGCGAGCTATTTGGAATCTTATGTAGAATCTATAAATTCTGGGGTAGTTCCAAACCTCGAAGATGCGTGAAGCTATATCTGCCAAAATCAAAATAGAAAAATTTTTGAAGAATCCAAAGAAGTTTATCAAAAAACATTAGAAAAATGTGCAGAAGAAATGTTTCCAGTTCCTTATGAAAAGTTAGTAGTATATCATAAGACGTCTAAGAATGCAGCATTTAAGTATTTCGAAAGCAGAAGTGTAGGGGAAGATAAATTGTGGTATTTAGAAGAGCTTGCGGCACATATAAAAGAAAAATTTGAAATCCTTAAAGATGAGAATCTAAGTGAGACGAAAATTGAGTGCGCAAAATTTTTGGCTGAAAAATATATAGAGATTGACAAAAAAATCAAGCAAGGAGAAATTAATAAGCTTGTAGATTTTGAAAAAGCTTTAAGGAGTTTTGAAAATGATTTTGATAATTTTGGACCAAAAGGACCTAACAGCAAAGAGTATTTTTTGGAATTTGCAAGAGAAAAATTAAAAAAAGTCGCGGATAATATAGAAATTTCCCATAGATGGCGCTGTTTGCCCTTGATTTGCCCACTGGGGAAAATTTTTGGTTTCGACCAGTACCATATGGTTTGGTCAAACCAAAAAATTCTCCTCATGGACAAATCAAGGGCAAGCAGCGCCATCTATGGGAAATTTCTATATGCTGAAACAAGCATTAAATGAAGTAGAATTACAGCATACAATATCCAGTGAACAAATAATAAGATTAGAGTCAGAATTAAAGCTCACAGAAGAAAAATTAATTTCTGAAAGAAATGACTCATTGAATAAAATTAATTTATTACAAGGAGAAAAATCAGAATATGCAGCGAAAGAAAAGTCATTAAAAGAGCAAGTATTGCATTTAATTGAAGAAAAAGATAAACTAGAAAACGAGCTAAGAGGCACTTTAGATAAATATAAAGCTAAATACCAAAAAGAGGTTGAGCTATCCCTAAATTACATTGAGATTAATCTTCCTTTTGTTTAAAGTTCAATGTCACATCACCTGCCTGGGCTTCCGTTCCTGCTTCTGAGTTTCCCGGTCCACTGTCACTCCAGCATCGCGCAGCTTCGCCCTTGAAAAGTCCTTAGCCTTCGGACGTTCGGATTTTAACAGCCTTCCTTCCAGCTCGACCGCCTAAGGTTGGGGCATCCTTCCAGAAAATTCGATTTCCCTAAGGGGCATGAGTCCTGTTCTGTGCGTCTCAATATCTTAAAGCCCTGCCATAGCCGGGATATATTCGCTAGGAAAGCCAAACCTCATAATCCTAAAATGCAAAAAAAGAATTTCGGCCAGGAGGGCAGAAAATTCAAGTGACAGCATTTAATGATTATGAGGTTGAGCTATCAAATTCTAAAGTTTCTGAGCTGAATGACTATGTAAAAGAATTTGAAAGAGAAAATGCTATCAAAATCGCAGGCTTTGAAGAAGAAAAAGCTCTTTTGACACAAAAAATATCTTTTTTAGAGAATTCTCTTGAAGATTATAAACAGAGAGATAAAGTGTCTTCTGATAAAATAAAAGAAGTAAGAAACGACCATAACCAAGTATTGAAACTAATGCAAAATAAATTTGACTCACAGATTTCGCAATTTCAAGAAAAATTGGATTTACAGATGAAGGAAATTGGTGAATTTGAAAATGAGATTGAAAATAAAGAGCAATTAATTGAAGATTTACAACAAAAATTACAAGAAAATCAAGCGCAAAATTTAAAAATAATAAAAGAGCTGCAAAATCAAAATGAAGCATTAACCAAAGGATTAAAAGAAAAAGATGAGGAATTTAAAGAAAAATTAGCGGAGCAGCAGCAAGAAAATATTAAATCAACTGCTAGACTAAGAGCAAGATTAGAAGAAACAGAAAAGAAGCTCAGAGGAAGTGAGGAGCTTTTAAGGAACGATATGTCTATTTGGGCACAAGATAATGCTATTTTAGTCCAAAAAATTGAATTTTTGGAACAAGAAGTAGCAGAACACAAAAATAAAAGAGAAGAAGATATTCTGCTTTCTATAAAATAATCATTTTTATTTTCTATAAAAAATACTATCAAATTCTTAACAATATACAATAAAAAATATTATGAAAGCATGATTTCAGCATTAGAAATCAACAAAGTCAGCGAAAACAGCACAAACTTTGATGAAATCCACAATGAGCAATCTGAAAAAATATTAAAATTAACAAAAGAGAATGAATCATTAAGATCACAAATGAACTCAAAACTTGATGAATTGACAGACATTAATAATAAACTAGAATCAAAGTTAAAGCTAGAACGAAATGATTGGACCCATAAAGAAAATTTATATAAAGAGCAAATCGAAGGGCTCACCTCAGAAAAATCAGATCTGCAATCTAAATTATCCAGAAAAAACACTCAGCCAGAATCTCATAAAAGAGTGAATTCTATTGAATACGAAAAAGAAATCGAGCATATAAAATCTTCTTATCACGATGAAATAGAGCTTCTCAAGTCTCAGCATGAAACCACACTTATGCAGCTTAAAGGGTTTTACGAACAAGAAAAAAATCGGTTTGACCAAAGAATCCAGCAAGAAAAATCAAAAGCTGGACGTCATATAGAAGAAATTACTGATGACTATGAAAGGCAGCTTGAAATTGAAGCCAGCAATCACGAAGAAGAAATCGCATCATTGCATAACGAATTTAGAGAAATGGAAACATTTTACACAGAAGAAATCACCAAATTAAATGAAAAAATTGAATTAGATAACCAGAAAATAGAGAGTCTTGAAAAACATATTGCTAATTTAAAAACTCAGCTGAATTCTACATATGATTTTCACTCAAATGCTCTTGAATCTCATCAAGAAAGCTTTAATCAGCAGAGGCAAGGACTATTTGACAAATTGGAAACAATGGCTACTGATATTGCTGAAAAAGAAAAAAATTTAATATTATTGAGGCACTCAAAAGAACAAATTGATAGGCAACTAAATGCAAAAACAAAGGATTTTGAAGAATTAAATGAAAAATATATAAGCGAAAAAAGCAGTTTGGTAGAACAACTTAATAAGATTAAAGGAGAAAAAGATGAGCTGATGCTGGAATTAGCAAAAGCGAATAGTAAAGCAAAAAGAGAGCTTGCACTGTCTGCAAATGATATAGAAATGCTGCAGAAAAAACTATCAGAAACTGAAACGCAGCTGGAAGAAAGTGAATCTCGCTATAAAGAGTCTATAATGGCATTAAAAGATGAAGTGGGATCAAAAACAGATATTATAACGCAAAGGCTTTTTAAAGAAAATGAAGCACTTCAGCTGAAGTTATCAGATACTAAAAAAACTCTCAAGCAGCTATCATCGTCTAATGCTAAGCAAAATGCTGAATTTGAAAAAGAAAAATCATCCTACGAAGAAAAAATAGGAGAATTAGGGAAAAAATATTCAGACTTAGAAAGGCAATATCAAGAGATCCAAGATATAGCTTGTAAAATTGAATTAAGGCTCTTTACATTTTAAAATTAAGATTCTTTTAAAAAGTGTTTTCAATAATTAGAGAATCAAATTAATCAAATACAATATAAATCTCCAGGAAAATCAAAATCTGAAGTGTCAACAAATAATAATAACGAACTTGAAAATCTAAAGGTTCAAATATCTAAACTTGACAGAGAGCTAAGCACAAGGCAGCTTTCGTATGACAGAGATAAAAGTCTTTGGGAAAATAAATTCAACTTTCTACTCCAGCAAAGAGATCAAGCCCGAAAAGAACTGGCATCAGCCCAAGAAAAATTCGACTCAATAGTCGAAGAAATTAAATCAAAATCCCTCTCAGAAAAAGAAAAAATTGAAGCCAAAACAAACTCCATGATTTCTTCAATCGAAGCAAAATTCAGCTTACAAATATCAGAAATCCAAAGTAAAAACGATTTTCAGCAAAAAGAAATTAAAGATAAATACCGGCAAAGTGAAAGAAAAATCCAAGAATTAATTGAAGAAATCGAAAAAGAAAAACAAAAAAAAGAATCAATTACTGCCTCATATGACAGAAAAATTTTACAATCTCAAGAAGCAGTCAGAATACTAGAAAACGAAATTAAGCAAGAAAGAGAAACCAGCCAAGAAAGCCTTATGCAGCTAATGGACAAGTTTTCAAAAGAAAGAGACGAATGGAAAAATATAATCAACGAATATGAAAAAAAAATTAAGGATCTTGAAGCCCACAAGTCGCAGCAATTTATTTTACATGAAAAAGAAAGGGCGAAATGGGCTCTTGAAAAAGACTCAATAATGTCGAACCAGACTGAAGCACAGCATCAGTTGACACATGTGCTGAAGAGGCAGGATAGTTTAAAGAAAGAAAATGAAAAATTGAAAGCGCCTCGGCAAAGATTGATACCAAAAAAGTCTTCTGAAGTGTCATTGAGTACTAATATTTCATTTGAGGAGATGTCAAGATATAATCTTTATAGTGGAAAAACAACGCCGACAAAATTGAGTTCGGAAATTTCTCCAAAAGCGCAATTCAATTTTAAAAGCCCACAACAGAGATCTCGGAATTCATCAAATAACTCATAAATTAATCATAACAAACCAGTCTTTATTAAATATTGGAAATTTATAAACTTCTGTTTTTGATAATAAATATAAATAATAAAAATTATTTTTTCTTATGCAATAGCAGCAGAAGTATAGCTAATTTATTTTATTTTTTATTATTTTTCGCCTAATAGAGTTGAGTTTCTTATCAAATAAACTCTTATGGGTTATATTTATGATGGAATCAAATATAAAATACATCGGAGTCGGTAGATCAGGAGAAGGTCTTATAATTGCTACCTATGCAAATGATAGAAATCTCAGAGATACTCCACGTAGTGAGCTGCAACTTAAATTTAAATGATTAAACTAGTCATAAGCAGAGTGTCCGGATGGTCCGGATATGGGAAGACCATGTGGTAGGCAAAACCTGTCTAGCCCATCCGGCAGGGACAGTAAAACCTACAGGGGTTTAAAAAAAAACTTCCCCCTTCGACAAGGCCCCAAACCTGAAAGCCTCCTTCAAAAATGAACAGAGGCCCTATTTTCAGCATTATCAGGATGGATCCTATCTGCCCCATAGGGCGTGCGCTTCGAAGTTCAACGTCACGATTTTATTCTATCATGAGCTGCAAGGAATTCTTATGAATGAGTCAGATGGCGATTGGCGGACAAGAGTAGGATCTGAGCATGGAACATGATTTGCTAAAGGAGACTCAAATAAAATCTGTTATCTTGTATTGGCACGCAATGGATATCCTGATCGTTATGCAACAGCTCTTCTTGACGAACTAGAGCGTCTGTTTACAAATCAAGGAACTGACGTATTATTAACATGCCCAGCAGATGCATATACCAAAGTAATGGGAGGAGAAATGAGAAATCTTGCAATGAAATATGAAGATCTCCGCAATATTGATAAACTTTATACTGTATTCTGCATTTTATTAAATTTAATATACAGATTATCTATAATAATTCATCAGTTTTCAGCAAAATTTGCTGTTAAAATCGGGATGACAGGAAAAAACCCCTAGGGTTTTTTCCTGTCCCTTTTTTTTCTGATGAAAATGACTGAAAAGTAGAATTCCTGGAATTTTCCAGGAAAAAACCCCAACGGTAATTTTTGAAAAATTTGCAAACCGTACAGGAAAAAAAACCCATCCTCAAAAAAGTCCATTATCGAATTAAGGTCATCATAAGTAGATATAAAGCCACAAAAATTCAACTGCAAAGACTAATCACATAATCAATTCTAAACTCTTATTATCAAAGAGAAATGAATAAATTAAACAAATAGCATCTAAATTAACACTTGATTTCAACAGTAGTAATTTTTTGATTCTCAAAAACAGCATGAAAAAAACCTTAATAAAAAACAAATCATTAATACAATTGCATAAGAGAGAGTCCTCAAAATGAGTGATAATATAGGAAAATAGATATATACAGCAAGAATACATCAAATGCTTGATTATTAGAATCAAAACTCATAATAAAATATAATTGTTATATGATATTAAAAAGTAAATAAATAGGAAAAAAAATTACAGGAAAAAACCCTCATTAGAAATTTTCGCTAAAAATTTCCAGGAAAAACCCCTAGTGATGTTTAGGTACCGAAAAAATTGCAGGAAAAAACCCCAATGGGTGGTAAAATCCTGGAAAATTCCAGGAAAAACCCCTGACTTTCCCCCATTATATTTTTTTATGTAAAAAGTTTTGATATAAGTTAAATGTTTCTTCTTAACTAAAATTATGATTTAGTTATATCTTGCTCTTCTTTATAGAAGAGAGCATAAAGAGCATCTTATTTAAATAAATTTATATCCTTAATTGCTAAATTTTTTAAAACAATTTCAATATTTTTTTTAAAAATTTTTATTTTTTTAGATAAAAATAACATTTTTTATCTAAATCATTTTGATATATAAATTCAATGCGAATTCTTTAAAAAACCTCAATATTTAATTTATTTCTTGCTTTAGTTTAAGAATAGAGTATAAATAACATTTTATTTAAACAAAATAGCATTTTGATTAATAAATTTTCTAAAATGTCTTTTATCAATAAAAATAATAATTTTTGCGTAAATAGTTTTGATACCAATTAATAGTGTCACATTAACTAATAATTAAAATTTAGTTATATCTTGCTTTTTGTAATGGATAATGACTAAATAGCATTTTATTAAACAAATTTATTAATCTAATTCGATAAATTTTTGATTATTTTTTTTAATTTTTTATAAATAATTTTTTAAAATTTTCTTAACCCCCTTTAAAATTGGAACAAAATTTTTTGTTCCAATTTAAAGGGGGGGAGTGGGAAAGTTCGTTTGAAAAATAATAATTTAAAATCCTCTCAACTAAAAGGTTAAGAAATCTAGCACCGTTTTATATATAAAAATTAAAATACAATAAAAATATGAAATAAAATGAGATAAATGATTACGCTATGATACCATTTATCCCATTTTACTATTTCAACTATTTCTCACATATTGTACCCAGCAGATCTTTGCACTAGCTAACCTTGTATCATCATGTACCAGCTCACCTTGTACCACCTATAGCATATCTGAACTAGCTCATCTTGCATCAACCTGCAGCACATCCTGCATGGCTTGAAAACATATTTTGATCTCTATGAAACAATACCTGAAGAGGTACAGTAGCTTTCTGAAAAGTCAAAATGAAAATAATGGCATTTTTATGAGAAGTACAGATTTGGCTTGACGAATATTTTCAATAGAATCCGTTTGTCTAGCCAAACGCTAGTTTAAAATGAAAATAGCAAACTTTAGCAGCTAATATTGTATCCACCTGTGACATATCCTGTTTAGTTCATCTTTAATCAGCCTGCAGCGCATCCTGTACTAACTCACTTTTTATAAACCTGCAGTATACTCACTCTGTACTAGCTCATCTTGTATGCACCTGTGACAAATCCTGTACTAGCTCACCTTATATCAAACTGCAGCTAGGTTTAAGAGCTAATATAATCAAGGTGTAACAATACCTAGAGAGTAAAAGTAGTGATCTAAAAAGATAAATTTAAAAATGATAAAGACCGCTTTCATAAAAAATTCACGTTTGGCTTGATTAACAAAGCCTATAGAAACTATTTGTCAAACGTAATCTGTATTATATAAAATTGATATTTATCATTATCATTTTGACATATCAGATCGCTACTTTACCTCTTGAGGTATTGTTTCATAGAGATCTAAATGTGTTTTGAAGCTTTGCACCCGATAATATATTACTTTGCATCACCTGTGATTAATCCTGAGCTCGCTCTTTCGCAATCTATAGCACATCTTGCACTATATAGCACTATATAGCTCACCTTGCACCACCTGTGACACATCCTGCACTAGCTCACCTTGTGCTAGATGACTTAACCTTTTAGTGAAGGGTTTTTAAATTATTATTTTCTAAATGAATTTTTATAATTTTCTCAGGGGTTTTTCCTGGAATTTTCCAGGATTTTACCACCATTGGGGTTTTTTTCCTGCAATTTTTTCGGTACCTAAACATCACTAGGGGTTTTTTCCTGGAAATTTTTAGCGAAAATTTCTAATGAGGGTTTTTTCCTGTAATTTTTTTTCCTATTTATTTACTTTTTAATATCATATAACAATTATATTTTATTATGAGTTTTGATTCTAATAATCAAGCATTTGATGTATTCTTGCTGTATATATCTATTTTCCTATATTATCACTCATTTTGAGGACTCTCTCTTATGCAATTGTATTAATGATTTGTTTTTTATTAAGGTTTTTTCATGCTGTTTTTGAGAATCAAAAAATTACTACTGTTGAAATCAAGTGTTAATTTAGATGCTATTTGTTTAATTTATTCATTTCTCTTTGATAATAAGAGTTTAGAATTGATTATGTGATTAGTCTTTGCAGTTGAATTTTTGTGGCTTTATATCTACTTATGATGACCTTAATTCGATAATGGACTTTTTTGAGGATGGGTTTTTTTTCCTGTACGGTTTGCAAATTTTTCAAAAATTACCGTTGGGGTTTTTTCCTGGAAAATTCCAGGAATTCTACTTTTCAGTCATTTTCATCAGAAAAAAAAGGGACAGGAAAAAAACCCTAGGGGTTTTTTTCAGGACAACCCTTAAAATCAGTTGATTGCAGGATAAATTCCCAAGTCTTAGAAGTACAGAATATTGCACAAGCAGGAATTCAACAAGTTTTACGAAATACTGAAGCTGCTGAAGTGGTGTCTGCAAAAGCTCAAAGTTTAGAAGGTAACGCAAGAGTATTTCAAAACGATTCAAAAAGATTAGAAAGAATGATGTATTGGAGAAAGGTGAAAATTAATTGCATTTTGATTTTTGTAGTGATTGCGATTATTCTTTATATCATAATACCAATCATAATCACCCAATCAAACAAGTAATTTTATTGGTAAATATAACAAGAATTATATGATAAATAGAATTTATTTTAAATTCTAGATAAATGGCTTGCATTTTTATAAAAATATGAAAAGCTCCAAAAGTAAGCCTGAGTTTGTGTTAGACTGTGCCTCAACGATGAGCAAAATGTCAGAATATAATGGATTAAGAGATGGAAATCTAGCTGGGTTCTTTGCTTCTAAAAAGCGCAGAAAACTGTTATGGAAGCATGGATTGATAACTAAAGGTGGGCTGATTGTCGATAAAACAAATTCATCTCAATTTTCAGAGACAAAAAGATCGAAACCTTATCTTTCAAGTGCTGAACAAATCGGATCTGAAGAAAATGCTAAAACAAATAAAGTCCAGATGATGTCGCCAAAAGCTGTTACGATAGGAAAGAAAACCTTTGAGAAAAAAGAAGTAAAGCCTTTGAGCAGTGATGAATTAAAACAAATGCTTCAAAAATATAGAAAACCTTATGTAGCTCAAAGTCAAAATACGAGCTCTACCGAAAGAATGCATGGGAATAATAATAAAATTGATCATATTGATTCCAGTGAAAAAAGTCCAGGCAAAGAAAATAAAAAAAAGGAACAAAAAAAGCCTGTTGCAGAAGAAAAAAAGAAAGAGGCTGCTGATAAAAAGCCAGCGGTTAAAGAAAATGAAGAGGAGCAGGTGAAAAAAGAGATAAAAGATAATAAAGAAGAGCAAATTAATAGGAAGCCAACAGTTAAAGAAGAGAAAGATGAGATAATTAGAAAGCAAACTATTGAAGAGAAAAAAGAAGAAATAGTTGAAGGAGGAAAAGCTCAGCAAGAAAGCAGAAAGCAGACTGTTCAAGGAAATAAAGATGAAGGAGTTGCTGCTGAAGAAGAAGTGAAAAATCAGGCAGGGAGTAAGAAACCTACAATAAAAGAAAGCCAAGGAATCGAAGAGGGTAAAGAATTAATCGAAACACAAATATCGATGAAAGAAGAAAATAAAGATGGGTTAAATAAAAAACAAACAATTAAAAAAGAAGAGCAAGGACCATCAGAAATTCAGGAAGAAATTCTTTCTAATGAAGGGGGAAGTGGAAGTTAAATTTCAAATAATTTAATAAACAAAGAATTAACTCAAATAATTATTTTAAAAGCAGCTTGATTTTCTTGAAGAAATTAATTAAGCAATGGAATACTATTAATAGACTGGCATATGTCTAAATAAACTCAAGTAAAAAATATCACTAAACATTATATTATTAATTGGGCAAGCATAAAGCATATATAAAATTTTTAATCAATTATCTACTTGATTTAATATTCTTGACTTTTCAACTATTTTTACCTAAAGAAAAATGATGATTTTTATAAATAATGATATTTTTAAAATTACCAAACATCAATATCAAGAATATGGCAGTTTTATATCCATAATCTTTTTATTCGGATTTTATGCAAATCAAATGCCTAAATTGCAGGTCAGATTCTTAGTAAAGCTAAGCTTACTCCCCCCCTCCCGTAGTGAACAAAACCATTAGAAAAATCCCTATTTTTTTGCCCAAAAACCCACCCTCCGTGAGTGAACAAAAATATTTTAATAGAAAAATTGTTTTATGGGGAAAAAAATTTTGATATATAAGTGATAATTAGTATAATGAAATCTAGAGCTAATTCTGTTTAATTTTAAACAAATTGCTTTTTAAAACATAAATTTTACAAATTAAATTAATATTTGCTTTCCAATTTTTTGCGAATTAGGATTTTTTTTAAATTTCGAAAAAAAAAATTTTTAATAAAATTTATATATAAAAATTTTTTAAAAAAAAAAATTAACCCCCCTCTGTGAGTGAACAAAATTTTTTTGTTCACTCACGGAGGGGGGGAGTTAGTATTTAATTAATCTCTTGCAAATCTAAAATCCATGAAATAAAGAAATTTAATGAATGAACTAAAAACTCAAAATTATTTACAAATCTCTAAAAAGGATCCCCAGCTGGTTTCTGATTTAAAGACTACTCCCAAAACTGCATATTCCTCTTCAGAATCATTAACGGTACATTCTCGGTCTTCTACTCTAACATCAGAGTCTAATCCTTCACACATGGAAATAACCTTATCAGAACAAAGCTTAAAAAAGAAAAATTCAACTCTTGAAGAGCTCGAATCTAAAATATTTAAGCTCTCTGAAATTGTTTCTTCGAAAGAAAAATTACTAAAAACTAATTCACCAATTCTAAATTGCATATTATTTTTGCTTCTAAATATTTTATTATGTGTTGGAATAATTTTAGCAGTTTCCACACATTGGGGCATTTTCCCACGTGTGGAATCCAAATAACATATGAGAGTTTCCACACCTGAGTGTCTCCACATGTGGAATTTGGGTTCCCGCATGGGAAAATGTCCCCGACGTGTGGAAACCCTCCCAAAATTATGCCAACTCATAATAAAATTTATTTGGTTCTCTTAGCTAATTTGAAATCTTTAATAGATATAATATTTACTATTCTTTTCATATGTATTTATAAGAAAAAATTTATATATTTAATTTTTTTTTAAATAGTTTTCAATCATATTCCAATTGATAATGACTACATAGGTTTGTATTAAATGAGTGGGTAAGAGAGAAGCTCTCAAAAAGAAATTCGAGAAGAATCAAAGATTGAAATCCTTAATAAGAATTACTACAGATTCAATAGAAAATGAAAAAATCAATACAAAAAGTTTAGGGAAAGAGCTAGTCTCCGAAATGAAAGCCAAGAATAAATTCGAATGAAATGAAAATGAAATGAGAAACTCTTTTTTAATTCAAATTTCAAATTTAGAAAAATACAAAGCGGAATTAAATGATAAAATCATTGAAATGCAAGATTATATTAGGCTATTAAAGTCAGGCGTTAGCCATATTAATGACGCAGCCCACCAAGACCTCCTGCACGGGATGCTCAACCGTTTTTAGACTCCAGTCCAAAGGGGATGCCACTTCCGGTACCTTCTGTCCCCTCCTTGCCTTGTGGCTTCAGTCTTGAGTGCTTATGGATTTCTATTGTACCTACTACGGGCGATTGGAGTCTGTCGGGTGCCGAATTGCCTTCCTGTGACAGCTACAGGAAAAAGATTACTTCCCTGTGGCCTGGACTGAAAGCCCCAGCTTCTCGGTAGAGGAATGCTCATGGGTCCTCGGATCCAAAGGACGTTGTTGGGCACCTCCATTTCCAATCGCAGGAAAGCAGTCAAAACCTACCCAGATGCACACCTCTTGAGCCTGCACTTGATTCTTGGCTCGGAGTCCATCCCAGCTCGCTGTGGCAATAAGGTCTGGACTGTTCAAAATGGCAGGTTCACATGTGTCGCGATTTTAATGTATATATCGAAATGCAAGGTAGTGTTAATAATTTAATTGGTGAAATTGATGACAGAAAGAAAGAAAGAAATTTTGTATCCATTATAAAGATGAATAAGTTCTAAGTCAAATTGATATATGCTAATTTATATAAATGGCATACAGATGCAGTTTCAAAAGCTGTTAGATTTAAGTGAATGTATTAAGATCAGTTTTGAGGTTGAGCAAAAAAACTCTGAAAACGTATATTTATCAGCCAAGCAAAAAGAAATTCAATCGGATCTAGAAAATCTGCAAGCAAAAATATCTGCTTCAAAAAGCATGCTTTCTCAAGAAAAAACCAAATTAAAATCAATTTATGAGAGAAACAAATTGAAAATTCACAAAATAACTGATTTGCAAGCTAATTTAACTAAGCTAGAGTCCATAAATAATTCAAAAAAAGAAGCATTAGCTTGCAAAGAAATCAGCTTTATAAAGAAAGCTCATGACTTTGAAATTTTAGAAGGAATTCGAAATGTAAGAGTAGAAACAATAGCAATTGAAGAGCAGTCTATTGATAAAATGATAGAAGATCTTCAAAGCAAAATCAACCAAAAAACAATTGAAAAGAACATTGATCCCCAGGCAGATTTATTAAAAATTTCCCAAAGGAAATTTATAACAAAAAAGCTTTCAGAATTAAAAGAAAAAGAAGAGAAAATTTCAAGACTTGAGAAAAAATGCAAAGAAATACTGTAAATAAGTGAATAATTTATTATTAACATTTAATTTTCATACCTATTCATGACTTGCTTGATCAAATCAAGCACCCTTGGATTCCCTCCTTTCTTTTTTACAGCTTCATATAAAGCTCTTCTTATTGTATTTGAGCTTTCTAAGACTCCTTCCCATTTAATTAGCCTGGTTTCCTGGCTGATTCTTTCAGCAATAATATCTAAATTGCATGGTTTAAGCACCTCAGACTCCACTTCAGGGTCTTGCATTATCCACTTTCCCAAAGCTTCAATAACATTATCGTCATTTAAATATTTTACCATAAACCCAAGCGATTTTGCTTGCCTTAATTTTCATCTACAAGCTTGTGAGGTGGCTGCAAACATACAGAACAAGTCAAGCGCGCTTTGTGAGTCATTTGATTCATTTATTATTATTTTTTGTAGTTCAGGTATACAATTGGCTAGTGCAAGCTGCTCAACTCTTGCTGAGCTAGTTCCACATAAGTCAAGCATTGCTTCAATAGCTTCGTGGACTACTGGATTTGATTTGTTTAAATAGTAGACTAAGTCAACCATTATCCCTTCATTTTCAAGCTCGTTTGCATGTTTTTCTGCAAGTGCTCTTAATGATTTTATTATGAGTACTAAAATGTCATCAGGGGCTTTTCTCATTGAAAAAAGAAGCAAGTTTATAATTTTTGAAGAAAAATGAAGCTTAATGACTTAATTTTTATAAAATATAATTTTTTTAACTGGCTAATGTTCCTATTTATATCAAAAAGAATAATATTTCTTTACTACAAAGATGCTCAGCTTTTGGGCCTCTCGCAAAAGTTAATATTAATTCTGCAGTTTTCTGCAAATATTCTAAATCTTCATTAATAAGTGACGAAAAAGTCATAACAATCCTTTCTGCTGTTCCAAAACTACCCCAAATGCAGAGACTATCATAATTATGCCTTAAAGGCATCATACAGTCAATCGCAATGAAAATCAAATCTTTGTTGTTTTCAAAATCCGCATCCAGAAATAAAGGTAAAGCTTCCAATGCTCCAGCAGCCAAGCACATTTTTATTAAATCATCAAATTGGAATAGCTGCTTAAGTATATAAGCTATACTGAGTCTAAATTCATGCTCATTCTCGTCACCGACATATTGTAGCAGTGAACATAAGAGCCCTGACGTGCAGATTTTTTCAAGAATTTCATGTGTCGATTCTGATGCTAGAGCAATGATTTTGAAGCATAAATTTAGAACAATAATAAAATGGAGATTTTGCGAAATTAGTTTTAATATTTTCAGATAATTCTTATCCAGCTATATTATCAGAGAAGCAGCTGGGAGGGGTGCAAATCCTCAGGCTTGATACTATAGGCAATTGGAAGGCTTAGAGTTTATCTGCTCAGTGCACCCGACAACAAAGCTCAGAGTGAGGTGTGCAGCCGGCTGGTGGAATCTTATTTTGTAAGGCATGCAGATATGATGCGCTATTTTAGTAGCAGGATAGTTCCAATTACTAGTTTTGGCAAAGCTCCTTTACTAGTGGTGTCACCAGAAACTATAAACATCTAATTTAACTTTTAACTTGAAGCACAAATTCAGCACACTTGAGTCTTCGCATTCCTCAATTATTTCTTTTAAATTTATAAAATAAGCTGGCAATGACTCCTTAGTTTCTGGCTTTGCAATCGCGACTTGAACTAAAGTTTCTAATGAAGAAACCAGCCTATTTGAGTTTAAATCTAAATTTTCTAAGAAAAATGACTGCTCACCAGCACTCACAAAAGAAAAACTGTGATTATTACTCACAACACCTCTTGGAGAATTTGCACTGCTAGTACCTATTCTGGTGGTTTTTGTAAGCTGAGTCCTAACTGAGTGTTCGCCAAGCTTAGGTGATAGCTCTAGCTCTGTTTCATTATTTTTGTCTTCTTCATCTTCTTCATAGCTTGTCCTTGCTTCGTGCCTTCTATGCCGATTTATAAAAGAATCTCTTAATTTTGTTAAAAATGGGTGCTCAAATACTTCTTCTGCAGTAATTCTTGTCTTATAATCTTCATCTAATAGCTGAATAACGAGACTTCGAAAATTTTCATCAAGCCCTGCCCTTAAAAGTTCATTTTTATTTCCTTCTCTTCCTGTAGCAATTTCCAGCAATATGTAGCCTAGGCTTCACATATCAACTGAAAACTGCGACTCTTTCCTTTCCTTGATTTCTGGTGCTGATTTTTCATCAATTCTTTTCCCAAGTCCAAAATCAAAAATCTTTAGCATTCCTTCTTCATTAAGCATGATTTTGTCACAGCCTAATTGGCCATGCACAACCCCTATGCCATGCAGATAATATAAAGTCTTTAAAATTTGCCTTGTGTATTTTTTCACGAAATTTTCAGAAAATGCTCCTTTTCATCTAATTGAATCTGATATCAAAATTCCTGAAGAATATTCATAGACTACTCTGAGGTCGTAAAAAAAACCTATTGAAAATTACTATAAAAATAACTGTAAATTTTTTCCTATTGAATTTTATAAAAAAATTTTAAATTGTTTTAAAAATAAAAGTAACTATAATATAATTATCAGAGGTTTTTTCATAACATCTCATAGACTACGACAAATGATGTAGAAGTATCAAAGAAATCTAAATACCTTAGAAGGTGCTTGTGGGAAGCTGCTTTAAGCAAACTAATTTTGTTTTGAAAAACTTGAAGCAAATCTGCAGTATATGTTTCATGCATCAGTAATTTGAGAGTGACGATTATCCCTTGCGGATTTTGAGCTTTGTAGATAGTTTCCTGTGTAGTTGTGGAGATAATTTCAAGAATTTTCTACATAACAATTTACGTAATCCCCAATCATATCTTGAACTGTGCTTGCCATTAATAATTTTTCCTATTTAAAATTAATTTAATACATATAAAAATTAGCGTTTATATCTATGGCGCTTGAAGTTGAAGTACAAATGCAAAATTCCTTTGTCGAAAAAGCTTTTAAAGCCATGCCTGTCTGAGAAATCCCATTCTCTATTTATTATTCTAAATGCAATGTCTTCATATGGTGGGCCTGCATGAAACCTTAGTATTGCTGTGTCATTAGTTTCGTCTGGCTCTAAATAAAATTGAGGAGCTTGAGTTTTATCGATAAGACAAGGATAAAAAATATTAAATTTGTAGCCTTGAACTACCTTAGGTGGAGGATTTCTATGATCATAATGCGTTTGGTTGTGTCTAGTTCATTCATAGCCTGTTTTAATTCTATTGAAATATTTTGGCTTTCTAGGCCGATATTTATCATTCCAGTCTTCTAAAATTGGCTTTAAATCTATGGTTTCTCCAAACTCTGACTCTCCATCTTCAAGCTTCATATTTTTCATCATATCAATTTTCATTAAATCTTCTATGGAATTCTCAATATTCCCACTTACAACTTTTTCATGTCTTAATACATTATATAAAGCACTGTCAGAGCTAAGTAAAGGATTTTTCTTTGAGATTAGCCTTTTCTGTCTTTCTATTAAATCTTCAAGCTCTTTTAGCAGGATTTGTCGCCTTGAATTAGAGTAAGCTTTTTGCTCTTCATCAGGCGTAATTATCTTTATATTATCAAAACATGTTTCGTCTTGAAATAAAATCGGACTTTCGCTTCCATCATTTGTCCCATTCTGCAAAAATTCATCTTTCAATAATAGATCTCGCTTCTGGGATGGAGAAAATATTAATTCATTGGTATTTGTTTCTGGTTTTTCCATAAAATTCTGAAATGCTTTTTTTATTGATGATTTTGCTTTATATACACAAATATTGTCTTGAACCTCAGTCCAAAAAGTTTTGTCTACATCCTGCCTATTCATATTTTGCCTGACTTGTTCTTCTATTATTCCTAATTTTTTTTCATCTAGATTTTTGATAATTCTATCAATATCGTCTTTAAATTGACTTGGGTTTTGGTTATTTTCGGTATTTTTAGCTCGTTTTATTTCATTATTGACAATATTTAGAAGAGAATTTCAAAATTCCTGCTTTTCTTTGTTGTCTTCAAGCTGAAAGTGGACATCAATTGATGCTTTTATTGCTTCTAATTCGCTATAATTGCAGTTATTTAGATATAAGTAAGGCTCACGAATTTCTGTCGGGATTGCTTGAGAGTGCTTTTCAAAAGGGATTTCTCCATGATAAATCATCAAAACTCTTAATAATAAATCAAATTTGGTTTCTCTTCCTTGCTCTATTCTTATTTGAGATCTGAGCTTTGCTTGATCTAAATGGAAACTTCTTTCGCTGTCTTTTCATTCTTTATCTTGAATTGATGAATTATTTGGGATTTCACGTCTGGAATAGTCCATTTCAGAAAAAAAATCATTTTTCTTACTCCCCTTTAGATTGGTAAAATTTCCATTTTTTTGTTGTTATTTAACCCCACTTGAAATTGGAATATTTTTTTAATAGGAAAATTTAATGGTGAAAATACTATTTTTATAGATATTTTTGACCTAATTTAAATGGAAAAGTACAAGTAGAATACTATTTTAACAGTTTTCACACTGTATCGATTAATTTTGAAATTAATTCCTGATAAATAAATTTAAATTCAAAAATATTGAGTTAAATTTAATTTTTTAAAATATTTTTATGATATGATTTTAAATAGAGCATGATTTTTTGTTCCTATTTAAAGGATGGGGATTCAGCGGCAGGCTTTCGCGAAATTTCGCTCTGTCTTGCATTCTCTAAAATATCTTTTCAATTGTTGTTTTTATGGATTTTTCTGGGAGGAGGAGAATGGCTTCTTGGCTTATCCATATTATAATTCTTTTGAGGTGTCAGAATTTTAACTGAATAATGATTATTGAAGATAATAATAATGTATTCAAAATATGTGTTTTGAAGCATTTTTAGTATTATAGATATTCTCTATAAATGCGTCTTAATTTATTTATTTGAAATAATTATAAAAATAATTTTTTTCTTTTATCTAATCATAAGTAGTTTTTGAAATATATAAAGAGAAGCGGTATGATTTGGGATGCATGATAAGGTAGCAGCATTTATCCTTATAAATAAAATTCCATTTTAAAAATCCATAATTAAAATAGATCTAAATTTATTCATATTTAATATATCAATTTGGTTTAGAATAAATTCATCAACAACACATCATAATGCAATTTATCAAATACTAGACTAGGCTAATTATATAGTTTACTATCCTAGGCTTACCATATATAATATCCAACTATTTTCAATTGCTAAAACTAGTATATTAATTAAAATAAGCTTTCTATTTCAGCGACATCATAAGCTAGCCAAATTTCTTTGAAAAATTTATCAAATATTCCAAATCGAACTATTATTTTTGGCAATTATATTAACTTAAAATTCAATTATAAATAATAAATAAAGCAAACTGTATGCCAGCATCATATGATATATCAAGAATAACCCAAATACTCCAAATTCCTTCTAGACTTCGTAGTAACGAAGATATAGCCTATCTTATGGCGCTTACATCGAAAATAGACTTTTTTACAAAGATAACTGAAGAACAAAAATCATCTGAAATTCATAGAGCATGCTGTCAAGTAATGACATTTGAGGAACATAACCCAGGAGATATAATAGTAAATTTTGGTGAAAACGGTTCTAATTTTTACATTGTTCTAAAAGGGTCAGCTTCAGTTAATATTCCTACACAATGTTAAAAATGTCAGTTAGGAATAGGTCCTAACTCCTGCTAAGTAGGTCCGGGTCATATCATCCGAACTTAGTGAGAGAAGTCAAGCTTCTTGAGTCTCGGCTTGAAGAGAAGAAGTCGGTGCTGAGGCTGGCACTGACTAGAGAAGTCTTAATGGGAACGGTTTGACGGTTAGGCCGGTCCACCTACCGTTATTCAGAGCTGCTAATGTAGCTTGGGCCTCAAGTAAAAGAAGACTGATGGCAAGATGCCAGACTAATTCGTTAAACTTAAACTTAATATTCCTACAAAGAAAAGAATGACAATAAATCTCAGTGATGTAGCGACAGATAAACTTAAAAAGATTATATCGACGCTTAATGATGAGCAAGATGATGTATCTGAAATAAAGGTTGACCCAAGAAAAAAGAGAAGAAGAGCTGGGAAAATTTTCAATGCTGTTGATCTTATTTCACTTAATGCTGCTATGCAAGAAAAGAAGAATGATGACACTGATAACCCACAGTTAAATGAATTTTGAAAAATAAATGATTTATTCCAGGACAAGCTTGACGAAGAAAAAGTAATAATTCTTGATTTTCTGTCTAAACAAAACCCAGAAGCAAGAGTTGTAGAAATAGAAATTGAGGAGTTAACCAAAGTTTCTATAATAAATGAAGGTGAATCTTTTGGAGAATTATCATTAATAAGTGAAAGGCCTAGAGCTGCCACACTTATAACAGAAGAAAAAATAATTTTGGGAGTCATATCAAAGCCAAATTTTAAAAAAATTCTGGGAATTCTTGCAGAAAAAAGGCTTAATGAAAAAATTGAATTTCTTCAAGCTTTACCAATGTTTTCAAATTGAAGCAAAATTGCTTTATATAAACTAGGGTATTATTTTAAAAGAGTTGTTTACAAGAAGCATCAATTTGTATATAAAGAAGGTGAACCTGCCAACACTGTATATTTTGTAAAATCCGGAGAATTTAAAGTAAAAGTAAATTAGATTACAAAAATCCATAGTGAGTTAAAAGGAGTTGTTGATACCTCTTCTCTAGACTCTAAAAAAAGCCGCTTAAGTAGCCATGGCACTGTTCTTAGACTTGGAAAAATGAGGAAAATAGGTATCCAAAAACAATTGCAATTGGTAATTAAAGGGAAAAACGAAATGATAGGAATGGAAGAAGCATTGGAAAATTTTGAAAAAAGGATCCACTCTTGCCAATGCTGGTCAGATGAAGGCGAATTATTATGCATAAGTAGAGAGGTAATTAAAAATTAGAACTTGAATAATGGAATATAGAACTTTTTCTTCAATAGCGCGATAAGGCGCATTCCTAGGTTTTACCGGAGGGTCTTGGATATATGAAAACCTGCTATTCCTTATTCATGGGGGAGACAAACAGCCTAAATAAAGAATTCCGCCTAATCAATCTCGAGAACTTGAAGAGAGGCTGTGTGGAAAATTTACATTTTGGTTCGTCAAATGAATCTGACGAGCCATTTCTGGCCAGTACTTGAAAATAAAAAATGATAGTTGTCAGAATTTTATTAATTTTCTGATGAAGAGTATGATCAGAATTTTAATAAATGGCACAGGATCAAGTAATTAATTAAGTCACTATGAAAAAAGTCAAATTTTAAAAATCATTACTGGCATGTCTCCCTAAAGCAGTAAAGAGTATTCATTACGTTATCTTTATGCTTAAATTATCTCTTCAAATCTTCTATTAAAAGTTTGGATTTTGGAATTTTAAAAAATAATTAAGATGGTTAAGTCACTATAAAAAATGTCAAATTTTAAAAATCATTACTGGCATCGTCTCCCTAAGGCAGTAAAGAGTATTCATTATATTATCTTTATGCTTAAATTATCTCTTTAAATCTTCTATTAAAATTTTGAATTTTGAAATTTTAAAAAATAATTAAGATGGTTAAGGCACTATGAAAAAAGTCAAATTTTAAAAATCATTACTGGCATCGAGTCCCTAAGGCAGTAACGAGTATTCATTACGTTATCTTAACGATTTAATTATCTCTTTAAATCTTCTATTAAAAGTTGAATTTTTTGAGATTTTTTAAAAAAAAAATTAAGATGGTTAAGTCACTATGAAAAAAGTCAAATTTTAAAAATCATTATTGGCATCTTCTCCCTAAGGCAGTAAAGAGTATTCATTATGTTATGTTTATGCTTAAATTATCTCTTCAAATGTTCTATTAAAAGTTTGAATTTTGAAATTTAAAAACAAATTTAAGATGGCTAAGTCACTATGATTATAAAAATCATTACTGGCATCGTCTCCCTAAGGCAGCAAAGAGTATTCATTACGTTATCTTTATGCTTAAATTATCTCTTTAAATCTTCTATTAAAAGTTTGAATTTTGAAATTTATTGTCAAAAGAATTATTAAAATTCTGATCATACTCTTCATCAGAAAATTAATAAAATTCTGACAACTATCATTTTTTATTTCAAGTACTAGCCAGAATAGGCTTGTCAGATTCATTTGACGAACCAAAATGTAAATTTTTCACACACAGCCTCTCTTCAAGTTCTCGAGATTGATTAGGCGGAATTCTTTATTTAGGCTGTTTGTGTCTCCCCCATGAATAAGGAATAGCAGGTTTTCATATGTCCAAGACCCTCCGGTAAAACCTAGGAATGCGCCTTATCGCGCTATTGAAGAAAAAGTTCTATAGCCTATCCTGATACCTGAGCCCAAATAAGAGATAAGCACAATGCAAATAATGCGTTTTTTAAAGACAGAGTTACTCAATTAACCAAAATTGAGGAGGCAAAGAAGTCATTAGATTTTACATCTTTTAGCAAGATACCCATTAAGCGCTTGGTAAAAGAAAAAAAAGAACAGAAAGAACAAAATTGAGTCGAAAAATCAAAAGAGCCAATTCCTCATGTAGTAGAAAAGCCTATAAAAGAGTCTAGATATATAGCGCTTTCCCGAGGATGGCGCGGAATGGCGCCATCCTCGGGAAAAGTCAACTAAGCATCCACACGGGAACTGGGAGTTCCACGTGTGGATGCCATTTTTGACATGTGGGATCCAAACTTCCACATGTCAAAATGGCATCCACACGTGGAACTCCCAGTTCCCGTGTGGATGCCTTCCTGGCTTTCCCGAGGATGGCGCCATTCCGCGCCATCCTCGGGAAAGCGCTATAGCATTCCGGAAAAACAATTTAAGAATTCTTCTCGATCAATGTCTCCAAAGCATAACAGATTTAAATCCTCTCCAAGCCCAAGCCCATGTCCAAGCCCGGAAAGAGTAAAAACTGAAGAATCGCCTGTACATAAAGAAGACAGATCAATATATTTTTTTAATAGAAGAATTGACACTGTGCACTCAAATCTTGATAGTCCTAAAAGTCCTCAGAGTTTTACTAACAGTTTTACAAGGAGAGTTAAGACAAATCCATATAAAAAGATTGTTCATAGAAGAGTAGCTCCACCTAATTTCTTGAGAAATTATAAATCACGAGCTTCAAGCAGAAAAGCTGATAATTCAATAGAAGAGCTTGTAGCAAAATTTAAAGAAAACGTAGACCAAAGCTATAGAAAATATTCTGCAGAGATACAATCAAGCAAGAAGGAAGCGAATAGTTATTTTCTTTAAATATGAGTTATCAATTGCAGTATAGGGGAAATATGATATCACGATTATAAATTATTATTTAATTAAGCAAAATAATATATAATTTTCTTTCTAACTCTCCCCTAAAAAAATTTTATTCGCTTACGGATATAAATTTTATAGAAAACTTTGTTTTTGAAATTTAAAACAATTCCAATTTGTAAAAATTGATAAGCAAAAATTTATTCAATTTGCGACATTTATATTTTAAAATGCAAGCTGTTTAAAATTAATCAGAATTAGCTATAAATTTCGTTATAATAATTATCATTTATATCAATTTTTTTCATAAAATTTTCATTTTAAAATTTTTTTTTTTTCACTCATGGAGGTCGGGCTTTTAGGTAAAAAATAGAGATTTTGCTAGTGGATTTGATCGCTCACAAAGGGGGGAGGTAAGCACAAATATTTACTATTCAAGTCAAAAATATAATGAAATCTATTATAAAAATCTTATGTGAATGGATTAAACATATTAATTGCGATAAGCACTGCTGTAATTTTTTATTGCAGTATAGCATGATGCTATCTCTTCTTAGCAAATATACAGAGATATTGATGGCAGAGCAAATACAATCTGTCCTTGAAGCAGTACAATGCTCAGCAAGATAATAAAATTTGATTGCCAAAAAGAGTTATAAATCAATGATGAGGTCCATAATAATGCACTTAATAGGAGTATCTCAAGAAATAGAAGCTTAAATAATAATAAATATCAAACAACTACAATACTGACTTTCATAGGTTTGGGCTTTATAAATGGTAGTGGATCATTACCTTATTTATTCATCCTTAAATAAATTATTAAACTACTAATCTTTACTCTACAAAAATCTGTGATATCATTATTTCTTATTTAAAATTTCTCAACAACATATATCTCATTCATTTTTATTTTTAAATTATAATTATTTGACTTTAAAATTAATTAATCAACAACTCATCTTAATGCAATCTATTAAACAATTTTTAGCAGGCTATCTTTTAATGATTCTTTGCAGCTTAATATTATTATTTAAATATAAATATTACAATTTATATGTCAATATCATATGATATATCAAGGATAATTCAAATACTGCAAATTCCTTCTAGACTTCGTAGCAATGAAGACATTGCTTATCTTATGACTCACACATCTAAAATAGACTTTTTTAAAAAGATAACTGAAGAACAAAAATCATCTGAAGTTCATGAATACTGCTGCCAAGTAATGACATTTGAGGAGCATAATCCAGAAGATATAATAGTAAATTTTGGTGAAAACGGATCTAATTTTTACATTGTTCTAAAAGGGTCAGCTTCAGTCAATATTCCTACAAAGAAAAAGATAGCAGTAAATCTCAGAGATTTAAAGAAATATAGACTTAAAACATTTTTATTAACGCTTTATGATGGAGAAGATGAAGTCCCTGACCCCTCCCTTTAAATAGGGACAAAAAATTTTGTTCCAATTCAAAGGGGGGTTTAAAATATAAAATCTTTATAAAAAAAAATTATATAAAATTTATCGAATTAGATTAATAAATTTGTTTAATAAAATGCTATTTACTCTTTATCCTTTAAAAAAAAGCAGGATATAACTAAATTCTCATTATTAGTTAATACGCCTCTATTAATTGGCATCAAACCTATTTACACAAAAATTATTATCTTTATTGATAAAAAAAAAAATTTCGAAAATTTATCGATCAAAGTGCTAATTTTGTTTAAATAAGATATTATTTATGCTCTATTCTTTAAAATAAACAAGAAATAAGTAAATTTTCAATTTTTGTAAAGAATTCGCATTGAATTAATATCAAAATTTATTTAAATAAAAAATATATTTTTATTGAAAAAAATAAAAATTTTTAAACAAAAAAAAAATTTAAAATATTTTAGCAATTGAGGATAATAAATTTATTTAATTAAGATGCTCTTTATGCTATCTTCTTTAAACAAGAGCAAGATATAACTAAATTTTTTAATTTTAGTTAAGAAGAAACATTTAACTTATATCAAGACTTTTTACATAAAAAATTATGATTTTTTATATATAAAATTTTTTATTATAAAATTAAATTTTGTTCAATTTAATGGTTAATTTACCCAAAAAAATGGAAATTTTACCTATATTTTGTTCCAGTTTAAAGGGAGAAGTGAGATAAATCTTGACTTAAAAAAAAAGAAAAGAAGAGTCGGGAGAATTTTCAATGCGGTTGATCTTAATTCACTTAATACTGCCATGCAAGAAAAGAAAAATGAAGACAATGGTAATCAGCAATTGAATGAATTTTCTAAAATAAACGATCTATTTAAAGACAAAATTGATGAAGAAAAGGAAATAATTCTTGGTTTTTTGTCTAACTCCCCCCCCTCCGTGAGTGAACAAAACCATTAGAAAAATCGCTATTTTTTGCCCAAAAACCCACCCTCCGTGAGTGAACAAAAATTTTTTTAATAGAAAATTTTTTTATGGAAAAAATTTTGATATATAAATAATAATTAGTATAATGAAATCTAGAGCTAATTCTGTTTAATTTTAAACGAATTGCTTTTTAAAACATAAATTTTATAAATTAAATTAATATTTGCTTTCCAATTTTTGCGAATTTAGATTTTTTTAAATTTCGAAAAAAAAAATTTTTTATAAAATTTATATATAAATTTTTTAAAAAAAAAAATTGACCCCTCCGTGAGTGAACAAAATTGTTTTGTTCACACATGGAGGGGGGGGAATAAGCAAAATCCAGGAACAAGATTTGTAGAAGTAGAAACTGAGAAGTTAAGTAAAGTTGCTATCATAAATGAAGGCGGATCCTTTGGAGAGCTATCTTTAATAAGTGAAAGACCTAGGGCTGCTACAATTATAGCAGAAGAAAAAATAATTTTAGGAGTCCTCTCAAAGGTAAACTTCAAAAAAATTCTTGGAAATCTAGCAGAAAAAAAGCTCAATGAAAAAATTAAATTTCTTCAAACCTTGCCAATGTTTTCGAATTGAAGCAAAATTGCTTTGTATAAATTAGGATTCTATTTTTCAAGAATTTTATATAAGAAGCATCAGTTTGTATATAAAGAAGGTGATCCAGCTAACACTGTATATTTTGTAAAGTCAGGAGAGTATAAGGTAAAAGTAAATTAGATTACAAAAATCCATAGTGAGCTAAAAGGGGTTGTTGATACTTCATCTCTTGGTTCTCAAACAAGCCGGCTAAGTAGTCATAGCTCTGTTCTTAGACTAGGAAAAATGAGGAAAAAAAGTATCAAAAAGCAATTGCAGTTAGTGATCAAAGGAAAAAATGAAATGATAGGAATGGAAGAAGCATTGGAGAATTTTGAAAAAAGGATTCACTCTTGTCAATGCATATCTGATGAAGGCGAGGTGTTTTGCATAAGTAGAGATGTAATTATCATTTAGAATTTGAATATTGGGATAACTTATCCTGATACATGAGCCCAAATAAGAGATAAACATAATGCAAATTATGCATTTTATAAACAAAGGGCCATCCAATTAACAAAAATTGAAGAGGTAAAAAAATCATTCGATTTTAGATCATTAACTCACCCCTCCATAAGCTAATAGCAAAATCTTGTTCGCTTACGAGAGGGTTAATTTTTTTTTAAAAAATTATATATAAATTTTATAGAAATAATTTGTTTTCGGAATTTAAATATCCCAACTTCGCAAAAATTGGAGAGCAAATATTCATTTAATTTGTAAAATCTATGTTTTAAAGCTTAATTTGCTGCAAATTAAAGAGAATTAGCAAGGGATTTCATTATACTAATTATCACTTATATATCAAAAATTTTTTCATAAAAATTTTTGTTAGCTCACTGAGGGTGGGTTTTTGGGCAAAAAATAGGAATTTTCCAATGGTTTTATTGCTCATTGAGTGGGGGAGTAAGTAAATTACCTGTTGAGCACTTGGAAAAAGAAAAAGAAGAAACTGAAAAATTAAAAGAACCAATTCCAAACATTCAAGAAAAACTTATAAAAGATGGCCTTCCAAGCGTTTTAGATAAACAACTTAAGCATTCTTCAACACTAACAACCCCAAAGCATAGAAGATTTAGATCATCTCCAGGCCCAAGCCCATGCCCATATCCAGGCACAGAAAGAGAAAAACCTATAGATTTGCCTATCTTCAAAGAAGATAGGCAAATAGTTTTCTATAATAGAAAAATTGACACTGGGACTCCAATATTTAATAATCTTAAAAGTCCGCAGGGTTTTAATACTGACTCTAAAAGAAGTACTGAAACAAATCCATACGAAAAATTTATTGATAAAAGATTTGCTCCTCGTAATTTTTTTAGCAATTGTAATTCACCAGCTTCTTCAAATAGAAAAGCTGATAGTGCGGAAGGAGGGCTTACTGCGAAGTTTAAAGATTATACAGCTAGAGTTTTGAGAAAATACTCAGATGAAAGATAATATTAATTTCTTTAAATTTCTAATATTTGATTGGAAATCTGTATCATTATTATCTAATTACGCAAATTAATCTTTATATTCTTTAGTTTTGAAACGTAAATTTGCCAACCTTCTACTTTTATAGTCCATTTTTACTCAATTTCTAAATTTTCTTTAGCAATCACACTAAGTCTATTATATCTTCAATTGCTTCCAATGGGTTCACTGAAAATCTCTGCTAAGCAGGCCAATTATATCAATATTTTAATATCATTAAATTTCTCGACCAACTACGATTTATACCATATTTTTCGTTATTTTCCATTAGAGCTGGTTTAAAATCGTCTAATTTTCCTCTGTTTTAAATAAAATCATTTATCTTTTTAGGCTAAAACAATTATAATTTGCAATCTATTTTCTTTAAAGTAAATTCTACCTATTAGCAATTCTGATGTCCATAGTCAAGCCGTTTGCCCTATTCTCGGATAAATATGAAGCCTTTTTACATCTCTAAATTCCATATCAATTATACCACTGATCTATAGTTAAAATGCTTTTTGATATCCCAGCAAAATTTAAACCTGCAAGATATTTAAAAAATGTATTTTTGCTTATTTATGGTAAATTGATTTTAAAATGTCAAAAAAAATTTTAACATACCATAGACTCAGTTATATATGTAATGACATGTCAAAATTTTTTGAAATTTTAAAAAATCAATTTACCATAAATAAGCAAAATAAAATATTACCAATATATCATATTTTTTAACTTCCCCTCTGAGCAAAAAATTTTTCTTCGCTTATAAGTGAGATTTGATTTTTTTTAAAAAATATATATATATAATTTTTTCAAAATTTAAAAAATTACAATTATCAAAAATTAGAAAGCAAATATTATTTTAATTTGTAAAATTTATGCTATAGAACGTAAGATACCGAAAATTAAACAGAATAGCTCGAGATTTCGTTATAAAAATTGACACTTATATATTAAAATTTTTTCACTCATGGGGTTTAAATGGGGATTTTTTCCAATGGTTTTGCGGGTATAAGAAAATGCTTTAATGAGTAAATTATGTAATATTTTAAATTAAAAATGTATTCATTGTCCTCGTAACTAATTAATACAATTAAAATCCTTGCTCAAAAAAAGGAGACTCTGATTTCTCTACTCCCTTTTTAAGAATTTCGATAAGAGCCTAAATTATATACAGCGTCATTTTAATTTTTAACCTATAATTTTAGCTTTAAAATGAATTAATCAACAGCTCATCTTAATCCAATTTTTCAAACAATTCTTATCATAATCTAACTTTTAATAATTGCCTTATCTCAAGTGCTATTCTATATATAAATAAATACTAGTAATTGCATGTCGGCATCATATGATATATCAATAATTACCCAAATATTGCAAATTCCTTCCTGGCATCGTAGTGAAGAAGACATTGCCTATCTTATGGCTCTTACATCGAAAATAGACTTTTTCAAAAAAATAACTGAAGAACAAAAATCACCTGAAATTCATAAAGCTTGCTGCCAAATAATGACGTTTGAAGAGCATAACCCAGGAGATATAATAGTAAATTTTGGCGAAAACGGATATAATTTTTACATTGCTCTTAAAGGGTCGGCATCAGTAAATATTCCTACAAAGAAAAAGGTCACAATAAACATCAGCGATGCAGAGGCAGATAAGCTTAAAAAACTGTTTTTGACGATTAATCTCGAAGAAGACGATGTGTCTGAAATAAAGGTCGATCCAAAAAAGAGAAAAAGAAGATGCGGCCAATTTTTCAATGCGGTCGATCTTGTTTCCCTAAATACTGCTATGAAAGATAAGAAAAATGAAGGCAATGATAATCAGCAGCCAACTGATTTTGGAAAAATAGTAGATTTATTTAAAGAGAAAATTGATGAAGAAAAATCAGTAATTCTGGATTTTTTGTCTAAACAAAGCCCAGAAGCAAGGGTTGTAGAATTAGAAACTGAGGAGTTAACTAAAGTCTCTATGATAAATGAAGGGGAATCCTTTGGGGAATTGTCTTTAATAAGTAACAAGCCCAGGGCTGCTACAATTGTAGCAGAAGGAAAAATGATTTTGGGTGTTATATCAAAGCCAAATTTTCAGAAAATCCTTGGAAAACTTGCAGAAAAAAAGCTAAATCAAAAGATTGAATTTCTTCAAGATCTGCCAAAATTATTAAAACGATATGATCTGGCATAGCCTTTAGTGATCAGGACCTAGATGAAGTTCTCTGGTGTTTTTTAGTCCAGGAGTTGACCCTCTTTTTGTGGTAAAAAGATGCATATCGGTGCAATGATCTTCAGCACCCTTGGAGCATTAAAGAGCCTTTGATACAGCTAAGAGAGGCCATAAAGGAGGCAAAGCCAGTTTTCTCAAACTCCAAGTCGTTCGGAGACTGAGAGGATCTTTTGTCGTTTGGTAGGACCCAGAACATATTCAAGGGTGATCTCGCCGAGAGACCTCATGCATCACCAATTTTTGGGTGGCGTTAGGAGTAAAAGGGCAGATGCTTGGATGGCGCTTAGCGTCAACGCGAAGTAATTCGAGAGGCGGCAAGAGGCTGAAATAATTCCTGATAACCCACAAGAATTTTATCTAATCTAATCAAGCTCTACCAATGTTTTCGAATTGAAGCAAAATATCTTTATATAAATTAGGACCTTATTTTACAACTATTTTATATAAGAAGCATCAATTTGTATATAAAGAAGGTGAGCCTGCCAACACTGTATATTTTGTAAAATCTGGAGAATTCAAGGTAAAAATAAATTAGATTACAAAAATCCATAGTGAGCTGAAAGGAGTTGTTGATACCTCATCTCTTGACACTCACTCCCACCCCTTTAATTGGAACTAAAAATTTTGTTCCAATTTAAAGGGGGGTTAATTTTTTTGTTTTTAAAAAAAAATATCAATATAAATGTTTTTATAAAATATATAAAGATTAAAAAAACAAAAATTTCAAAGACTTATCGAATTAGATCAATAAATTTGTTTAATAAAATGCTATTTACTCTTTATCCTTTAAATCAAAGCAAGATATAACTAAATTTTCATTATTAGTTAATACGCCACTATTAATTGGTATCAAAATTATTTACACAAAAATTATTATTTTTATTGATAAAAAAAAAAATTTTAGAAAATTTATCGATCAAAGTGCTAATTTTATTTAAATAAGATACTATTTATACTCTATTCTTTAAAATAAACAAGAACTAAGTAAATTTCGAAATTTTATAAAGAATTCCTATTGAATTTATATCAAAACTATCCAAATAAAAAATATCATCTTTATCAAAAATAACAAAAATTTTTCAAAAAAATTTTTAAAAAAAAAATTTAATTTTTTTTTTAAAAATTTAGCAATTAAGGATAATAAATTTATTTAAATAAGATTCTCTTTATACTTTTTTCTTTAAAAAAGAGCAAGATATAACTAAATTTTTAATTTTAGTTAAGAAGAAACATTTAACTTATATCAAAACTTTTTAGATAAAATTTATCTATAATTTTTTATTATATAAAATTAAATTTTGTTCCAATTTAAAGGGGGGTTAATTTACCAAAAAAGTGGAAATTTTACCTATATTTTGTTCCAATTTAAAAGGGGGGGAGTCAGACAAGTCGACTAAGCAGCAATGGAGCTGTTCTGAGACTAGGAAATATGAGGAAAAAAAGCATCCAAAAGCAATTGCAATTAGTAATCAAAGGAAAAAATGAAATGATAGGAATGGAAGAAGTATTGGAAAATTTTGATAAAAGGATTCACTCTTGTCAATGCAATTCTGACGAAGGCGAAGTATTTTGCATAAGCAGAGATGTAATTATCATTTAGAATTTGACTATTGGAATCACCTATCCTGATATATTTTGATTATCCTTATGGATTGCTCAAGTCTTTAAATTCCATTTGCCAAGCAGAGAGGTTTCTTAGTCAGCTCCAAATAGCAAGTAACCTCTCAGATTGAGAGCTGATTTGTCAACTTGAGATGAATAAGAAAACTCTCCATTGGCGAGTAAAGTTTAAAGGTTTTAATGATCCATAAGGATGATTAAGCTATACATGAGCTCAAATAAGAGATAAGCATAATGCAAATAATGCATTTTTCAAGCATAGAGTTATCCAATTAACAAAAATTGAAGAGGCAAAAAAAACATTAGATTTAACATCATTAAGTAAATTACCTATTGAGCACTTGGAAAAAGAAGAAAATGAAAAATTATCAGAATCAATTCTTAATGAACAAGAAAAATCTTCAAAGGAGACTAGATATAGCGCTCCAGATAAACAATTTAAACAATCTTCGCGACTAATGACTCCAAAGCATAGAAGATTTAGATCCTCTCCAGGGCCAGGCCCAGAAAAAGTAAAAACAAGAGATTCTCATGTCCTCGAAGAAGACAGATCAATAAATTTCTATAATAGAAAAATTGATACAGGGATTTTAAATCTTGATAGCCCTAAAGAACCTCAAAATTTTACTAGTGTTTTTAAAAGAAGTACTGAGATAAGCCCATATAAAACAATGATTAATAGAAGAATGGCTCCACCTAATTTCGTTAGAAATTATAAACCACGAGCTTCTTTAAATAGGAAAGCTGATAATGTAGCAGAAAAACTTGCTACAAAGTTTAAAGATAATTTAAACCAAAGCTTCAGAAAATATTCAGAAGATACCTACAAAAGGGAAGATTATAGTTATATGTTTTAAATTCCTAATTCTTGATTAGAAATAAAATTGTGACACTGACGGAAATGGCCTCAGAGGCAACTCCCTATGGAGCAGGAATGACCCATCCTGATGAAGCTGAAAGCAGGGCCTCGGACCCTTTTGAAGTAAACCTTCAGACTTGGGGATGCTTTGACGAAGAAGGAAGTTTTGCCACCCCAAAAATTTTCCTGTCCTACCAGATGGGTTATAAAGGTTTTACTTACTCCCCCCCCCTCCGTGAGTGAACAAAACCATTAGAAAAATCGCTATTTTTTGCCCAAAAACCCACCCTCCGTGAGTGAACAAAAATTTTTTTAATAGAAAAATTTTTATGGAAAAAAATTTTGATATATAAATGATAATTATTATAATGAAATCTAGAGCTAATTCTGTTTAATTTCAAACGAATTGCTTTTTAAAACATAAATTTTATATAATTAAAATTAATATTTGCTTTCCAATTTTTTGCGAATTAGATTTTTTTTTTTAATTTCGAAAAAAAATATTTTTATAAAATTTATATATAAATAAATTTTTTAAAAAAAAAAATTAACCCCCCTCCATGAGTGAACAAAATTTTTTGTTCACTCACGGAGGGGGGGGAGTTACCAAATGGTCTCTTGCCAGGACTATCGGGGCACTCTGCGGGTGACGGCTCTGCCCGAGGGAGCTAATCCCTTGGATAGGTGGTTCAGGTTAGAAATTCCTCTTTTGTCTCTTGGAGCGAGGGAGGCGGCTATTTTGGAGTATAGAGGCGAAGGATAGTGGTTTGCCCACTTATGTTCAGTTTAATCGTTTAATTTAATTCTTAATTGGAAATATGATTTCAATATTAATCTTTAATCTATTTCCTTAATACTTAAACATCTTATTTTCTATCACCTCTTTTCCTGATTTATACTTTTATCATCAACTTTAAGCAATTTCTTGAGTCACTTGATAATGGGCTTGCTGAAAATCTGACTATGGAAGACAAATCTACGGTTATCGAACTATATTTTTAATGCCAGCCTTTATTTATTGAGCTCATTATAGGCTGAGCTGTATAAATCTTTTAAGGAGTTAATTTTAAATTTTTAATAATTGTTGAAAATAATGGCAATTTTGAAAAATATTTCTTTTGGAAGTATTTTAAATATAGTAGCATTGCCTACTAGTTCATTTATAGCTTTATAATAAAAATAGATTTATATTTTCTGCTAATTTCTATATGAATTCGACATAGATAAGAATAATATATTTTGACAAGAAAATTAGAATATTTTAAGCTTAAAGCTTTATATAAGTTGAATCGATCATATAATTATCTTCTTTGCTCTATAAAATAGAAGATTGTGGTGCCACTACTCCCTATTTAATAAGTTAAAAGCAACCTAATTTTACTCATTTTCATTTTTATACTATAACTTGACTCTAAAATGAAATAATCAACAGCACATCTTAGCACAATTTATCAAAAAATTCTTATCTCACTATCATTTTTTGATAATAACATAGCTTATAATGTAATTCTATATTAATAAATACTATTAATTCATGTCAACGTCATATGATATATCAAGAATAACCCAAATACTTCAAATTCCTTCTAGGCTTCGTAATAACGAAGATATTGCCTATCTTATGTCTCTTACTTCGCAAATAGACTTTTTTAAAAAAATAACTGAAGAAGAAAAATCATCTGAAATTCATAAAGCTTGCTGTCAAGTAATGAAAGTTGAGGAGCGTAATTCTGGAGATGTTATAGTAAATTTTGGTGAAAAAGGCTATAATTTTTACATTGTCCTTAGTGGGTCAGCCTCAGTAAATATTCCTACAAAGAAAAAGGTCAAAATAACACTAAACTCCCCCCCTCTGTGAGTGAACAAAGAAATTTTGTTCACTCAAGGAGGGGGGTTAATTTTTTTTTTAAAAAAATTTATATATAAATTTTATAAAAAATATTTTTTTTCGAATTTTAAAAAAATCTAATTCGCAAAAATTGGAAAGCAAATATTAATTTAATTTATAAAATTTATGTTTTAAAAAGCAATTTGTTTAAAATTAAACAGAATTAGCTCTAGATTTCATTATACTAATTATCATTTATATATCAAATTTTTTTTCCATAAAAAATTTTTGTTCACTCACGGAGAGGTGGGTTTTTGGGCAAAAAATAGCGATTTTTCTAATGGTTTTGTTCACTCACGGAGGGGGGGGAGTGAGTGACGCAGAGAGATATAAACTTAAAAATATTTTTTTGACGCTTGATCTTGAGGAAGATGATGTATCTGAGATAAGTTTTGACTCAAAAAATAAGAAAAGAAGAGAGGCAAAAATTCTTAATAAGGTTGATCTTATTTCACTTACTACTGCCATTCAGGAAAAGAAAAATGAAGACAGTGATAATCAGCAGATAAATGAATTTTGCAAAATAAATGATTTATTCCAAGACAAACTTGATGAGAGAGAGATTAAGTTAGAGAGGGTTAAAAGGGGTTTATTTCAGCACTTGATTCAGTTGAGCTTCAGCTTCACGCTCGTGTGGCGATAGCCACAAAACCACCTAAAGCTCTTTTCTGTCGATATCTTTCGGGGTAACTTAACCTGCTTGGACAAAACACTGCAGCAAAGGACTCTCTTAACCCCTGGAAGTGCTCAGGATATGAGGGAAGTGTCTGATACCGCCTTCTGGAATTCCCTCTGCCACTTGCAGGTAGCATAATGCTCCTCCAGAACTGCTCGATTGGTGTTGCGCCGCCCATCAGTCTTCTTGTCTGTGTATAAAGGGAGACCCAGTTAGCTCAGACCCGAACCTACCCCGGAATTCAACCAACTGCGACCCGTGGCCTTCTTGCCAATTTTTTATTTTTCTTTCAAAAATTTTGAGATCATCCTTTCTCTACTAAGCATGCCATGATGGCAATTTTAAAAACTTGATGAAGAAAAGAAAATAATTCTGGAATTTTTATCAAAACAAAACCCAGAAGCAAAAGTTGTAGAAATAGAAACTGAAGCGTTAGCCAAAGTTTCTATAATAAAAGAAGGCGAATCCTTTGGAGAATTGTCTTTAATAACTAATAAACCTAGAGCTGCGACAATTATAGTGGAAGAAAAAATAATTTTGGGAGTCCTCTCAAAGCCAAATTTTAAAAAAATTCTTGGAAACCTCGCAGAAAAAAAGCTTACTGAGAAAATTGACTTTCTTCAAGCCTTGCCAATGTTTTCTAATTGAAGCAAAATTGCTTTGTATAAATTAGGACCTTATTTTTCGAGAGTTATATTTAAGAAGAATCAGTTCGTTTATAAAGAAGGTGATCCAGCGAACACAGTATATTTTGTAAAATCAGGAGAATTTAAGGTAAAAACAAATTAGATTACAAAAATCCATAGTGAGCTGAAAGGAGTTGTTGATACCTCATCGCTTGAGATTAAAAATAACGGAAGAAGCAACAATGGCGCTGTTCTTAGATTAGTAAATATGAGGAAAAAAAGCATCCAAAAACAATTACAATTAGTGATCAAAGGAAAAAATGAAATGATAGGAATGGAAGAAGTATTGGAAAATTTTGATAAAAGGATCCACTCTTGTCAATGCATATCTGATGAAAGCGAGGTATTTTGCATAAGCAGAGATGTAATTATCATTTAGAATTTGACAATTGGAATAACTTATCCTGAAACATGAGCCCAAATAAGAGATAAACACAATGTAAATTATGCATTTTTCAAGCATAGAGTTATCCAATTAACAAAAATTGAGGAGGCAAAAAAATCTTTAGATTTAAAATCATGAAATAAACTGCCTATTAATTATTTGGGAAAAAAAGAAACTGAAAAATTAGAAGAGCCATATCCAAATATGCAGAAAAAATCTGTAAAGGAAGCTAGGTTTAGCTCTCCTGATAAAGAGTATAAGCAGTCATCATGGTTTACAACTCCAGAGCATAAAAGAATTAAATCTTCTCCAAGCCCATGCCAATATACCAACCCAAAAAGAGTAAAAACTGAAGAGTCTCCTGTCTTCAAAGAAGACAGGTCATTAATTTTCTATAATAGAAAAATTGATACTAGGACTTCAAATACTGACAGTCCTAAAAGACCTCAGAGTTTTACAACTGTTTTAAAAAAAAGCACTGAGACAAGCCCTTATAATAAGATCGCTCATAGAAGAGTAGCTCCGCCTAATTTCCTGAGAAATCATAAACCAAGAGCTAATTCTATAACTCCCCCCTCCGTGAGTGAATGTTCAAGCATAGGTCGCAACCCCCACCCCCCACCCCCCCCTAAAAGTGGTACCCCCCACCCCCCTAAAAATGGCAACCCCGCCCCCCCTAAAAAATGGCCCCCCCCCCCCCCCTAAAAAATGGCACCCCCACCCCCCCTAAAAAATGGCACCCCCACCCCCCCTAAAAAAATGGCACCCCCACCCCCCCTTAATATAGCATAAATATATGACAAATGCCAATTTAGAGCAGACGTAATAAATAAATTATTATTTTAAATAGTCAAAATTACTGATTTATACAATATCCACATAGCGTAGCACAATCGATTAAGGAGTAGGTGGAATGAGGTGAGGATTTCCTATAACTACTAAGCACACCACATACAAAATTTGTTAGCGAACATAATAATGATCTTTGGTATTAATTAGCAATATATCCTGCATATATTTTATGAACTTTGTGAAACAATGGCTAAAAGTCGAATTAGAGATCCAAAAGTAAAATTGACAATAGCAAATACTATTTTTTATTACCACTATTGAATCCTGTTACCAATTCAGTCCTGCAATCCTTGTACAATTAGCTTTAATGTATGAATCAATAAATTTAATGCAAGTTATTGTGTTGTGCTTGACTCATTTAATAATTAATGCCATTATCTATATCTTTGGCATTATATTTATAAATATAAAAAGCAAATTTAATATATTTTCTAATTAATTGCTAATTAATTTAAATTTATTAATTAATCATAAATATAAAGTAATTTGTGGACTTAATTTATCAATATAGTGTTTTAATTGGGTTATATTTAATTTATTTTGCTTATTTCCTATCAATTACTTCTATAGAATAAACCCGAGAGGGGGGGGTGGGGGTGCCATCTGTGAAAGGGGGGTGGGGGTGCCATCTGTGAAAGGGGGTGGGGGTACCATTTTTAGGGGGGTGGGTGGGGTTGCTACCTATGCTTGACCAAGTGAACAAAAAAATTTTGTTCACTCACGGAGGGTTTTTGGGCAAAAATAGCCATTTTTCTAATGGTTTTGTTCACTCACGGAGGGGGGAGTAAGAAAAGTTTATAATGCTGCAGAAAATCTTGCTGAGAAATTAAAAGAGAAAGCAAATCTAAGCTTGGGAGACTATTCAGCAGAAATGGAAAAGAGAGCATATAAGAGTTTTTTTCTTTAAATTTTAATACTTTGATGAAAAATATGTTTTCAATATTATCTATTGCTGAATTTTTCAGCAAGCTTTTATTTATACTCCATGAGTGATTTTTGATCGTCTTGGGGTGAATATACAGCAAAATCTATGAAAAACCAATAAATAAAAATTGGATTTCTTGGTCTATTCTTATTTGGGATCTAATTTATAAGTTCTAACTACCTGAGTTTGCTATGGCTTGGGTTCATAAATTGTTTTGTGAGCTATTTACATAAAATGATCATTCCGAAGATAGGCAAAATTGTTAGGATAAGAATATTAAATTACATCTTATAAAACCTTATTTATTGTGCAATTAACTAGATTATATATTATTAATAATTCATGTTAAGCAAAAAAGGAGAATGTTCCCTATTTAAGAATCCATATCATTAATTTTATTATTTTCATTTTTAATCTATATTTTGACTTCAAAATTAATTAATCGACAACTCAATTTAATGCAGTTTATCAAAAATTTCTTATCAGACTATAACTCTTGCTAGTTTTTATAGCTTAAAATGCCATTCTATATAAATAAAATTAAAATTTATATGTCAGTATCATATGATATATCAAGAATTACTCAAATTCTGCAAATTCCTTCTAGACTTCGTAGTCAAGAGGATATTGCCTATCTTATGGCTTTAACATCAAAAGTAGACTTTTTTAGAAAAATAACTGAAGAACAAAAATCATCTGAAATTCATAAAGCTTGCTGCCAAATAATGACGTTTGAAGAGCGTAAAATTGGAGATACTATAGTAAATTTTGGTGATAACGGATTTAATTTTTACATTGTTCTCAAAGGGTCTGCTTCAGTTAATATTCCAACAAAGAAAGAGGTCAAAATAAATCTCAAAGGTGTAGAGACTGATAAACTTAAAAAGATTGTTTCGACACTTAGTGATGAAGAAGATGATATAGGTGAAATAAAATTCGACCCAAAGAAAAGAAAGCGTCGTGCTGGAAAAATTTTCAATGCGGTTGATCTTATTTCACTTAGTACTGCTATGCAAGAAAAGGAAAATGAAGAAAGTGATAATCAGCAGTTAAATGAGTTTTGCAAAATAAATGATTTATTTAAAGACAGACTTGATGAAGAAAAAGCAATAATTCTGGATTTTTTATCAAAGCAAAATCCAGAAGCAAAAGTTGTAAAAATAGAAACTGAGGAATTAACCAAAGTTGCTATCATAAATGAAGGAGAATCCTTTGGAGAATTGTCTTTGATAAGTAATAAGCCTAGGGCTGCTACACTTATTGCAGAAGAAAAAATAATTTTGGGAGTCATATCAAAGCCAAATTTTAAAAAAATTCTTGGAAAATATGAAATAAAACGGCTAAATGAAAAAATTGACTTTCTTCAAGCTTTACCAATGTTTTCTAATTGAAGTAAAACTGCTTTATATAAATTAGGACTTTATTTTTCAAGAGTTTTATACAAGAAGCATCAGTTCGTATATAAAGAAGGCGATCTAGCTAACACTGTTTATTTTGTAAAATCTGGAGAATTTAAGGTAAATCTAAATTAGATTACAAAAATCCATAGTGAATTGAAAGGTGTTGTTGATGTCTCATCTTTAGATACTCAATCAAGCAGGCTAACCAGTAATGGCACTGTTCTTAGATTAGAGCAAATGAGGAAAAAAGGTATCCAAAAACAATTACAATTAGTAATCAAAGGAAAAAATGAAATGATAGGAATGGAAGAGGCTATGGAAAATTTTGATAAAAGAATTCACTCTTGCCAATGCTGATCTGATGAAGGCGAATTATTATTCATAAGTAGAGATGTAATTAAAATTTAGAATTTGAAAGTTGGAATAACTTATCCTGATACATGAGCCCAATTAAGAGACATTCACAATGCAAATAGCACATATCTTAACCAAAGAGTTAAACAATTAATAAAAATTGAGGAGGCTAAAAAATCGTTGGACTTAAAATCATGAAGTAAATTGCCAACTACCCTTCTGAAAAGAGAAGAGACTGAAAAACTTAAAGAGATATTTCCAAATATAAAGGAAAAGCCTGCAAAGGAAGCTAGATATAGCATTCCCGATAAAGATCTAAATCACTCTCCACGATTGTCCCCAGAGCATAAAAGGTTTAGATCTTCTCCAGTTCCAAACCAATCTCCATATTCAGAAAAAGTAAAAACTAGAGAGTCGTCTGTCTTCAAAGAAGACAAATCAAAAATCTTCTATAATAGAAGAGTTGATACTGGGATATCAAATCTTGATAGCCCCAGAAGTCCTAGTTGTTTTACTACTGACTCTAAAAAGAGCACTGAGACAACCCCATATAAAAATTCTTATCATAGAAAAGGCGCTCCACCTAGTTTCTTTATAAATTTCAAAAAGCGAGCTTCTTCTTCTAATAGAAATGGTGAAAATGTGGCCAAAAAAATTGCTGAGAAATTTAAGGATCATGCAGATAAAAGCTTGAAAGATTATTCAGCAGAAATCTATAAGAGGGCATGCAAGAGCTATTTTCTTTAAATTTCTAATATTTAATAAGAATATAGTTTCAATATTATAATTCTTTTGTAAATTTCATTTGAGCTCATATATAACTATTCTGCATCCTATTATAATTCTTCCACCTAATTATATGAAACTCTATTTCAATTATCTAAATTGAATATTAGTGTAATGGCCAATGATATTTAAATATGATTTTCTAATAAAAAATTTAGCACATTTCGATAGAATACGATTTTAGATATCTACCTAAGAAAATTAGGCAATATTTAATTAATACGTATTTGCTGTGTCTTGTATATTAATAATTTTTGCTCCACAAATAAGCAAAATGTGACGCCACCACTCCCTATTAAGAATTCTCAACAATATTAATTTTATTCGCTCCATTTTAAATCTATATTTTGGCTTAATTACTCAACAACTTATCTGAATGCAATTTATCAAGCAATTATTTATTTAATTGGCATCTAGATCTTGTACTGATAGAAATCATTCATCTTTACTTGCTAAAACATTAAACAGCCACCTGTTCTAATAAGATTTAGGCCTTTTATTCTGTAAATAACTCAGAGTCAAATTTATTATAAGACTATAAATTTTGATAAAAGCCGTAGCTTAAAATATAATTTTATATAAATTAATACTAAAATTGTATGGAAACAGCACATGATATATCGAGAATAACCCAAATATTGCAAATTTCTCCGAAGCTTCGTAGTGAAGAGGATATTGCATATCTTATGGCTCTTACGTCGAAAATAGACTTTTTTAGGAAAATAACTGAAGAACAAAAATCATCAGAAATCCATAAAGCTTGCTGCCAAGTAATGACATTTGAGAAGCATAACCCTGGACATTTAATTGTAAATTTTGGTGAAAAAGGCTCAAATTTTTATATTGTTCTTACTCCCCCCCCCCCTCCGTGAGCGAACAAAACCATTAGAAAAATCGCCATTTTTTGACCAAAAACCCACCCTCCGTGAGTGAACAAAAATTTTTTTAATAGAAAAAATTTTTAATGGAAAAAAATTTTGATATATAAGTGATAATTAGTATAATGAAATCTAGAGCTAATTCTGTTTAATTTTAAACAAATTGCGTTTTAAAACATAAATTTTGCAAATTAAATTAATATTTGCTTCCCCAATTTTTGCAAATTAGGATTTTTTTAAATTTCGAAAAAAATATTTTTTATAAAATTTATATATAAATTTTTTTTTAAAAAAAAAAATTAACCCCCCTCCGTGAGCGAACAAAATTTTTTTTGTTCGCTCACGGAGGGGGGGGGGAGTTAAAGGATCGGCATCAGTAAACATTCCTAGAAAGAAAAAGGTTACAATAAGTCTTACTCCCCCACTTTAAATTGGAACAAAAAATGTTTTGTTCCAATTTAAAGGGGGGTTAAGAAAAATTTTTTTATAAAAAAAAATTTCAAAAAGAAACATTTAACTTATATCTAAACTTTTTACATAAAAAATTATGATTTTTATCTATAAAATTTTTTATTATAAAATTTTTTATTATAAAATTAAATTTTGTTCCAATTTAAAGGGGGTTATTTACCAAAAAAATGGAAATTTTACATATATTTGTTCCAATTGAAAGGGGGGGTTAGAGATCTAGAGACAGATAAACTCAAAAAAATTATTTCGATGCTTCATAAAGAGGAAGACGATATATCTGAAATAAAGTTCGACCCACAAAAAAGAAGACGAAGGGGTGGAAGAATTTACAATGCGGTTGATCTTATTTCACTTAATAGTGCCATGCAAGAAAAGGAAAATGAAGAAAGTGATAATCAGCAGTTAAATGAACTTTACAAAATAAATGATCTATTTCAAGACAAACTTGATGAAGAGAAAGCAATAATTCTGGATTTTTTGTCTAAACAAAATCCAGAAGCAAGAGTTGTAGAAATAGAAACTGAGGATTTAACCAAAGCTTCTATCATTAATGAAGGGGGTTCATTTGGAGAATCTGCTTTAATAAGTAATAAGCCTAGAGCTGCAACACTTATAGCAGAAGAAAAAATTATTTTGGGAGTTATATCAAAGCCAAGTTTTAAAAAAATTGTTGAAAACCTTGCAGAAAAAAAGCTCAATGAGGTACTTGAATTTCTTCAGGCCTCAGGAATGTTTTCTAATTGAAGCAAAATTGCTTTATATAAATTAGGACCTTATTTTTCAAGAATTTTATATAAGAAAAATCAGTTTGTATACAAAGAAGGTGAGCCAGCCAACACTGTATATTTTGTAAAATCTGGAGAATTTAAGGTAAAAATAATTTAGATTACAAAAATCCATAGTGAGCTGAAAGGAGTTGTTGACACCTCATCGCTTGAGACTAAAAATAATCGAATAAGCAGCTCTGTTCTTAGACTAGGACAAATGAGAAAAATTGGTATCTTAAAACAATTGCAATTAGTAATTAAAGGAAAAAATGAAATAATAGGAATGGAAGAAGTGATGGAAAATTCTGACAAAAGAATCCATTCTTGTCAATGCTGATCTGATGAAGGTGAATTACTATGCATAAGCAGAGATGTAATTAACATTTAGAAATTGTCTAATGGAATAACCTCTCCTGATACATGAGCCCAATTAAGAGATAAGCACAGTGCAAATAATGCATTTTTCAAAGAAAGAGTTATCCAATTGATAAAAATTGAAGAGGCAAAAAAGTCACTAGATTTAACATCGTTTAGTAAATTGCCTATCAAGTGTATAGAAAAAGAGAAAGAGGAAATTGAAAAATTAAAAGAATCTCCAAATATAATGGACAAGACTATGAAGGAAACTAAATCTAGCTCTCCTGATAAAGAAGTTAAATGCTCCTCGTGGTTTATATCCCCAAAGCATAGAAAATTAAGATCTTTGCCAAGCCCAAGCCCGAGCCCATATCCAAGCCTAGATAAAGTAAAAATTAGAGATTCACCTGTCTTCAAAGAAGACAGATCAATTTTGTTCTATAATAGAATAATTGGCACTGGGATATCAAATTTTGATAGTCCTAAAGCCCCTAAGGGTTTTACTATTGGCTTTAAAGAAAGAATTAAGAAAAAAAAACAAATTGTTCATAGGAGAGTGGCTCCTCCTAATTTCTTGAGAAATTATAAACAGAGGGCTTCTAGTTGGAAAGCTGATAATATAACTGAAGAGCTTGCTGCAAAATTTAAAGATTATGTGAATCGAAGCTTAAGGAAATATTCAGAATAATCTACAAGATAGATAATCATTAATTATTTAATTTCTAATATTTTATGGGTAAATATGATTTGCTATTATACTCATTGCTATTTATGGAAATAAATATATAATCTACTTGCTTACTTGTAATAATAACTATAGGCTATATAAAATGATTTAAGCCCCACAGAAAAATATTAATAGGCAACAAAGATAATAAATCAGACTCTTGATTTTATATCATTCTTTACATATTTCTGCTTTTATCTGCAGAAAATAACAATTTTCTATAGTCTCAAGAGTTTTGTTAACCGTTTTGCAGACTTTCTGCACCTTATATTAAAAAAAATTACCAGTCTTAGAGCAAGATAAACAAAAAAACTGTTTATTGATAATATTTTAAAACTAAGGATCCATAAGCATCCTATAATCTTTTTGAAAATCTGAATAGATAATTTTATCTAATTCATATAATAATTTTTATTGCAAAGTAAAAAATATCTTGAAATAATAATATCAGATTGAAATCTTATTTTTTACGTTCTTAAATAAATTATATAATTAATAATTCTTGCTGAAAGTTGAGGTCACTCCTCCCTATTTACAATTTTACAAAACATTTATTTAACTCATTTTTATTTTAAAACTATAATTGACTTTAGAATAATTTAATCGACAACGCGTTTAAATGCATTTTACGAAATAATTCTTATAATACTATAATTTTTTGCAATTACTGTATCTGAAAATGTCATTCTTATAAATAAATACTAAAATTGCATGTCAGAGTCATATGATATATCAAGAATAACTCAAATATTGCAAATTCCTTCAAGACTTCGTAGTGAAGAAGACATTGCTTATCTGATGTCTCTTACATCGAAAATAGACTTTTTTAAGAAAATAACTGAAGAGCAAAGATCATCTGAAATTCATAAAGCATGCTGCCAAGTAATGACATATGAGGAGCGTAATCCAGGAGATATAATTGTAAAATTCGGAGAAAACGGCTATAATTTTTATATCATCCTTCAAGGGTCAGCATCAGTAAATATTCCTAGAAAGAAAAAGGTCACAATAGATCTCAGCGATGTAGAGGCAGAAAAGTTTAGAAAGATTTTATCAACGCTTAATAAAGAGGAAGATGACATATCTGAAATAAGGCTTGATTCAAAATTAAGGAAGAGAAGAGGAGGGGCAATTTTCAATGCGGTTGATCTTATATCACTTAATACTGCTATGCAAGTAAAGGAAAATGAAGACAGTGATAATCAGCAGTTAAATGGAATTTTGAAAATAAATGATTTATTTAAAGACAAACTTGATGAAGAAAAAGCAATAATTCTGGATTTTTTGTCTAAACAAAATCCAGAGGCAAGAGTTGTAAAATTAGAAACTGAGGAGTTAAACAAAGTTGCTATCATAAAGGAAGGAGAATCCTTTGGAGAATTGTCTTTAATAAGTGATAAACCTAGAGCTGCTACACTTATTGCAGAAAAAAAAATAATTTTGGGAGTCATATCAAAGCCAAATTTTCAAAAAATTCTTGGAAAATACGAAGCAAAAAGGCTTAATGAAAAAATCGAATTTCTTCAATCTTTGCCAATATTTTCGAACTGAAGTAAACTTGCTTTATATAAATTAGGACTCTATTTTTCAAGAATTTTATACAAGAAACATCAATTCGTATATAAAGAAGGAGAACTAGCCAACAATGTGTATTTTGTTAAATCCGGAGAATTTAAGGTAAATCTAAATTAGATTACAAAAATCCACAGTGAGCTGAAAGGAGTTGTTGATACTTCATCAATTGAAGCTCAAGGAAGCCGAATAAGTAGTAATGGCTCTGTTCTTAGACTTGGGAAAATGAGGAAAATTGGTATCCAAAAACAATTACAATTAGTAATCAAAGGAAAAAATGAAATGATAGGAATGGAAGAAGCTATGGAAAATTTTGAAAAAAGGATCCATTCTTGCCAATGCTGATCTGATGAAGGTGAATTATTATGCATAAACAGAGATGTAATTAATAATTAGAATTTGACCGTTGGAATAACTTATCCTGAAACATGAACCCAAATAAGAGATAAACACAATGCAAATAATGCATTTTTTAAGCGATAAATAAAATGGCATTCTGTTTGAGAGAAATTAGCTCTGCTAATTTTCTCTCCCTCATGGAATTTTATTTATGGGGGTGAGTTTTACCTCGAGAAGTTCTTGATAGCAATAGCGGTTTAACTCTGGGGATAGCCAGAGGAACTGCTCCTCAGTGCATTCAAGAGGCTCAGGTTTTTACCTCCCAGCACATCCCCACGGGAGGATGACCCTTAGGAACACGAGCAGGATCTAATTTCAGGAAGAGCGACGGCAACGCGCCGGGTGAGATGTGCGGCGAACTGAGGGTAGAGCTTCGTAGAAGGCCTTACCGGTGGGGGCTGACCACCGTAATCCCAAGAAGGTTCGGTGACGTCACAAATTGGCTTAGTCCACATTTAACTATAGGGAGTGGGCAGTAGACTCCTTAAATATCAAGTAACTAAGTAAGTATTAAATTTTTCAAGCAAAGAGTTTCACAATTAATAAAAATTGAGCGAGCAAAAAGATCATTGGATTTAAGCGCATTTAGTAAAATACCTGTTAAATTCTTGGAAAAACTGGAAAAAGAAAAAGAAGAAAATGAAAAATTAAAAGAGCTAGCTCCAAGTGTACAGGAAAAGCCTGTAAAGGAAACTAGATCTAGTCTTCCAGATAAAGAAATTAATCATTCTCCAAGAATAATGCTCCCTGAACTTAAAAGGTTCAGAACTTCTCCAAGTCCAAGCCCCTCTCCAAGCCCAGAAAGAGTAAAAACTGAAGAGTCACCTGTCTTCAAAGAAGACAGGTCAATAATTTTCTATAATAGAATTATTGATACTGGGCTATCAAATCCTGATAGTCCACAAACTCCTCAAAGCTTTACCCCTGGAATTAAAAATAGAAATAAATCAAATCCCCATAAAAAGATAGTTCATAGAAGAGGCGCTCCACCTAATTTCTTGAGAAATTATAAACAAGCTATTTCTAATAGAAAAGCTGATAATGCAATAATAGAAGAAATTATTATGAAATATAAAGATGATCTAGATCAAAGCTTGAGAAAATGCTCACTCCGCCTTTAAGAGCAAGCCAAAGATCAATTTTTAAGAAATTTAACCCTTTAAGAACTAGCAAAAAATGCATAATATAAAATTATTTTGTATCAAATATTTTAATAGTTATAAGAGGCTATTGAATTTTAGACAGCCTGCATTCTTTGATTTAATAAATTTGAGAATTTTTAAAATTTGAAAAATTTTGTTTTTTCATAAGGGGGATGTCAGCAGATACCAAGAGAGAAGATAATAGTTATTTTCTTTAAATTTCTTTTATTTATGAGAAATGTGCTCTCAATATAATAATCATTGTTGAATTATGCAAATTAATTTATAATCTCCTTACTTAATACTTCAACCCTCTTAGTTTTCTATCATCTCTTTGCCTATTTTCTACTTTAATCTTCCATTTTTGTGCAATTTCAGAGTTTCCTTTTAGCAGCCAAACTAAGTCTTCTCTATATCTCCAGTCACTTGGCAAAGGGTTCACTGGAAATCTGTGGAAAACAGGCCTATGATTATCAATATTCCAATATTCAGTATCCCCTATCACTAAATTTCTCAGCCAGCTACCATTTATATCACAAATCTTTTCGTCATTTTCTGTAAGGACTCCTCTAAAATCGTCTAATTTGCCTACTGCTTTCGAAAAAAATCCTTTTTTCTTTTCAGGCCCAAAAACAATTGTAGCTGCAAGTCCATTTTCTCTATCAGTAAACACCATTTGACCTTCCCAATTAGCCGTTCTGCTGCCCATAATCATACCTCCTGCTCTAAATCTAGGATAAGTATACGAAACTTTTTGTCCATCATTAAATTCAATATTAACTGTGCCTTGGAATCCTCCAATTAGAGAATTTTTCTTGAATTTCCCAGTCAATTCTAAATGTCCAAGAATTTTAAAATGCCTATTTTCCAAATAAAAATTTGTAATAGGTGGATGATGCGAAGTATGCTCACAAAATGCTTTCGTCCCATCAGGCCATTCCGCTTGCAAAGTTTCGCCTAAGAGAGGATTAAATGGCTTTTCCTGTGAAGGGCTTATATAAAGCCCTGCAATGGCCATGGCCATAACTCTTTTGAATTTTTCTAATCGGTCTACTCTGTTTATGCCATCAAAATAAACTGGCATGAAGCTTCATCTGTCAAGCATCCTTTCTAAGGTCGACCTTGGCTCAAACAGTCTAATAGGCAAGCTAAGCCCAACAACTCCTTTGCCTTGCAATAAACAAGCAGTTACCTGTCCTATAACGTCAATTATGATACCTTTTTGCTTTGCTAGAACTTGTTCATCGACACATTTGAGACCTCCTTCACTCAAAAATTCGTACCCATGCAGCTGAGATTGTTTGTCGCCTGACCTTTCTCGGTTTAAAACACGTAAAGAAGTGTAGGTAGGAGGAGGAGCTTCTCGATCATACGGGCAGCCAAGTAAAAGAGAATAGGGTAAATACCCAATCTCTCCTGACCAAATTTCTTGGTGTCTGCCATCACGTGGAGTTGTGCAAGGGTCGTCAATGCTCTCCATTTTAATGTTGAATGTCGATTATAAGTAATAAGCGATAAAGAAAAAGCTAATTAAATCGGAAAGATATCTGTTTATTTAAAGCAAAAATGCATGCTTATTTTTCCTTATTGATTTACTCTTACTTTTAACTGCCAAGTTTTGCTGGTTACTAAAAGGAATTAAATTATGTCTTTTATGAATAATTATTTGCTAATTGGTGCAATTTAAATTAATAGCCCAAAATTATTTCAGAAAATAAATGTTATTTATAATAAAATAATTAAAAGCTATAATAAACATAAATAAAGTCAATAATTACATAGAAAACTTACTTATATATGTGCAAAAATCTTCTATACTAATGACTTCTGTGTTTAACACCCTAACAATCAGCTCATTCAGCCTCTCAGGGCTAACTTGGCAGTACAAAACCAAATTTTCAACTGCTAAAAATCCATCTTTATTGTCGTCCATCATGTCAAACACATCATAAATAAACTGCTTCTCATAAATCTTAAAGGTAAACCCCATAAAATAGTCATGGGCTATAGTTCTATTTTGTTGAACATCAAGCAACTCATGCACAAGTCATCCCCATTCTTGGTTAAATATGCCTCCTGTGTATTTAGCAAGCATTTCAATCATGATATCTATATAAATATATCCTGTTTGGCCTGAATCTAGCTCTTTTCATATACTTTCAGGATAAAATTCTTCTCAAATTCTATTACTTTTCAGCAGTGCATTATAAACACATATCTTAAAAATCATCCCCAGCTTAAATTTAGGTAAAAGGGTGCCTGATTCAGCTACTGTGTGAAAGAAATTTGTGATGTTTTGGTATAGCTGCAAGCGTTTTTCTTGAAAATAAGAAGGGAAATAAGAGCTTTCTAACAATTCAGCAGCTCCTGGCCTGGTGGTGTCTTTCCTGAGCATAGTTTTGATAAAGCTTTTTATTTCAAAAGACTGCTGCTTATAGATTGGGTCACTTGCAACTTTTCCTTTATTGACAGCTTTGATTATTTCGACGTAGCCTTTCCCTTGGAAAGGCTGATGTCCTACTAGCATTGTGTATAAAATTACTCCAGTGGATCAAATATCACACTTTTCATTGTACCTACCAGCAAAAACTTCAGGGGCCATATACAATGGACTTCCATACCTTTCAGCCAATGTGAAGTTTTTCAATTCTCCTGTGTTGCTAAAACTAATGATTTTTACCTCAGTCTTTTCTTTGTCTTTAAACATCACATTTTCTATGCACAAAGCTCTGTGACACAGTCTTGCTGCGTGCATATGTTTCAGTCCAAATAAAATCTGGGCAGTAATATTCAGTGCCTGGCTGTAGTTTAGTCTCTGTTCTTTTGCAAGCAAATCAAAAATTTCTCCTCCTTTGCAAAGTTCAATGACTAAGTGTATGTGCCGTGATTCAAGAAAGACTTCAAATAATTTAACTAAATTAGGATGGTTTAGCTTTGACATAATGGTAATCTCATTCATTATTGCTGATAAATTAAGCCCTGCTTGTGATCTAAAACCTACGTCATTTCCACTAGCAGAAACAAAAGCATCATCTGCTAATGTGTATGACTTGACTGCTCTTCTTATGTTATAAATTTTGTGGGTGCAGATTCGAACTTGCGCGTAAAGAGAGCGTTTATTACCATCAATACGGTGGCCTATATGATAAAATTGTTTGATTTTTGTCCCTTCATCATGAATTAGTAGTGCTGAGTTGGATACAGAATATTTTAGGTTACTATATTGATGGGATATCACTGATTGAGCGGCAGGGTTCATTGCACTTGCAAAAAATTATCATAAAAATGAAATAATAGAAATTGTTTTCAAAGCTATTTAGCTATGAAGAAGGAGACTTAATTAGTCATCCTAATATTTGATATTAAGATTTGAGGATTTTAAATATTAATTTATTATTCCATATTTAAATAAATTTTTATGAATTAATTCTTTTTTGGATCTGACTGGGATTTTTCTAGCAGTTTATTGATAAAAATTATAATTTTTTTATTCTGAATTCACTGCGGAATATTATTAAAATCAATAAAAATAGAATTTAATAACTATTTTCGATTTTTTATGTAATCAAAAATTTTAAATAATTAAATTTGATGTATTAACTTAAGGTATATGGATAATTAGAAAACATTTGGCTGATAATTCACAATGTTTTCTTGTATCATTTCTCTATCTCTTCTATCTTCAGTCACTTTCTTTTGAAGATTATCAGTATGCTTTGCCATAGCCGCTAAGCGGTTTTCGTTTTGCATTTGAATCAGTTTTGCTCTTCTCTGTGCTTCCCTCTGCCTTTCAAGGTCTTCCATCATTCTTCTATGCTCTTCGACCCTTGCGTTAGTTCTTTCTTCTTTTTCTCTTTGTTCTTTTGCCTGCTGTTCTCTCATAATTAACTGGAGCTGGGCGTCTTGGCTTATTCTTTGTTTATAGGCAGCTTTTTCTTCTGTGCTTCCGAATAAAGCAACACGGCGACTCTCAGCGATTTGGTGCCTTTTAGCTTTGGCTTGCTCTAGCCTTGCCTGTTCTGCTTGGTATTCGGAGTCAAGAGAAGTCTCGTTTCTTCCATTGTAAGGTTTAGTCTTTCTAAACATAACGTTATTCCTAGAATCCTCCATACTAAAATTTATGGCCAAATTTTAAATTTCTATTATGAGATCAAAAATTTTGACTTATCAGTATTCGTTAAAAGAAGGGGATTGATGGAAAGATTAGAAAAGTTCAAGAATTTTTGGAAATTGGATTATATTAAAATTTTAAAGAAAATGAGCAGGATGAAGCTAAAATCTTTTGAAAATTCTTATTCCCCACTAATAATAAAACATTTTAAAAATATTTTATAATCTTAATAAATAAAAAAAAAAATTTATTATCTAGAGAATTTAGATAAATACCTAAACCAAATAAAATTTGCATTTACCACATAAAAATCATTTAAATTTTTTATTTTTTTATTTATCCACACAACAGTCACAGAATCCAAACTTTTGCATTTACCCTATATAGCTATTCCAATATACGGACATTTTTAATAGTCGCCATTGATGAGCCAACAACGCAAGCAGCAAAGGGAAGAGGACATTCAACTTTTGTTAGCCGTAAAAGCACATCTCGGCACAAATAATGTCAGCGAATTTATGAAACCTTATGTTTTCACAAAACGTGCAGATGGACTTAACCTCATCCATTTAGGAAAAACATGGGAAAAACTAATGCTTGCCGCAAGAGCTATTGTCGCCGTCGAAAACCCTCAAGACGTCATCGTAATCAGTGCTAGGCCATATGGTCAGCGAGCAGTCTACAAGTTTTCTCAATACACAGAAACCTCATATCTCGCCGGCCGCTGGACTCCTGGAACTTTTACAAACCAAAGAATTCCAAAATTCATGGAGCCTCGCCTTATTATCGTAACAGACCCTCTCACCGATTACCAAGCCCTTCAAGAAGCTTCCTACGTAAACGTCCCGACCATTGCTTTTTGTGACACAGACTCCCCTATGAAATTCGTCGACATTGCAATTCCTTGCAATAATAAAGCCAAAAATTCCATCGCCATGATGTATTGGCTACTTGCCAGAGAAGTTTTGTACCTCAGAGGAGCTTTAAGTAGGTCTCAACAATGGGACGTCATGGTCGATTTATTCATATGGAGAGATATCGAGGCTGAAGAAAAGGCTGCCAAAGAGCAAGGACAGGTTACAAGAGAAGCTAGAGTTCATAAACAAAAAGAAGAATGGGACCAAGGAGCTGGAGAAGCAGCAGAAGAGCAAGAAGCAGGAGCATGGGATGAAGGAAACTGGGGAAACCAAGGTGAAGGAGAAGAAGCAAACCCACCTACATCTTGGGATTAATAAATAATCCTTATTGATTAATATTGGTTACCTTATTTTCGGAGCTCTTCTTTGGTTTTCTGCTGTAGGTAGTATTTTTTTGCAGCATCTTTGTAGAGGTCCCAGGTGATGAACATGACTACGCACCAAGGCCCAAGTCTCATCCAGAGGAACATGAAGCCGTTGTAAAGAGCGCTGAAACCTTCATTTTTGATGATTTTCTTGAAGCAGTCTAAAGGACTTGTGTATGGTGTTTTCTATATATTTTCCATTAATAATTAATATATATTTATTATTAAATCAGCCATAAAAAAATAGTATATCTCACTTCACTCCCTTTAGGCACATTAGGATCTTCTTTGGTCGCATTCATATATCTTGTTTTGACGACGTCTATTGGTGAGCTTGCTACAGCTGCTATAAACCCTGCCATGACTGAAGCCCAAAACCTAGTCCATAATGAATCTTCTCTCATAGAGAAGTTTTTCATTAGCAAAGCTTTAGAATTGTCATAAGTTCCGAGCTCAGCGGCATTCACTACAACTGATCTGTAGATATTTGGAGAGCTTCCTTTATAAAATCCATGGACAAATCCATCTTTTGACCATGTCTTTTTTAAACAGTCAATCAGGCCAGAATATTTTTCTTTTTTTGCGTCGTTTATGACTCTGACTTTGCAGACGTCTAATGGAGTGACTAAAAAGGATGCGAAACCACCACAGCCAGCGCCAAATACAAATCTTTGCCAAAATCCGCCTGAAGCAAGGTCATCTCCCATCAAAAATTTATTCACTTAGCCATTAGTTAGCTATATATTTAATTTTTATATTTTTTATATTAATTTATATATAAAGGCATAACTTTGTCGTAAAGTGAAATCCTGATTCCTGAAAAAGTGAATTGTCTGACTAAGGCAGGGATCATTCCTCTATAGAAAGCTCCAATGCCTCCAGTCTGATAGGTATGAGTGATTATATGGAAAATTCCTCTGTATTTCATTGCGCCTTGAGTCCCTCCTAATTGCATTCTAGTTTTGAGCATATCCATAGGGAATGTTACTAGCTCAGCTGTAGTAGAAGAGATGCTACCACCCAAGAAAGAGATTATGAATGGAAGTTCTTGTTGGCTCATATTTAATTATAACAAATCATAAAATCAGTAACATCTGAAAATGGATAGCTATGATGAAAATTCAGCATGGCAGGTCAGAATTTAAGGAAACTTGAAAATACCAAGCCTAAGTTGTGGAAAAATATTATTATTAAGATATTGTAAAAATTATATGAGGAGCTTTAAGAATTTTCAATATTATTGATTTTTGAAAAAGGTCACAAATGACAATAATTTAAGGTGAAGCATAAATTAAAAAAGTTATATAAAATTTATTGCAATATAATTGCTTCAAGACTTTGGATTTAAGACTTAAAGACGATTAAAAATATTTAATTCTAATTATGAATTAATAAAGTTAATAAATGGATTATAAAATACATCCAAATTATTGATACTTAATGCCATTTAATAAACAAAAATTTGTGCGGCGCTCTAAAAAAATTAAATTTTTAGGATAAGTTCAAAATACCCAATAATATAAATGAGTTTATTCTAATTATTTGCTGAAATTAGTATAAATTAAAATTTGATACATAAAGCTTTAAACTATTGACTGAAAATATTAAAAGGGATTTTCCTATCTAAAGTGATTTACAATTAAAACAAAATTAGAATTAAAATATGGCAAAAAATTCAAGATGATGCAAAGTGGTAGACTTATAACCAAAATATTATAAAATATTAATAAACATCACACAAAAAACTAATCTCTGCATCCTTTCCATAATTAGACCTTACTAAATTCCCAAACTAATAAATTATCCTTTATCTTATCCTATATGATATTTTTGCATTTAACTAACTCCAAACTCTCTATAGCTTTAATTAAAGATAGTAAGCTATATTACCGAAAATAAAAAAACTGATTCTGAGAAGTAGGTTACAATAATAAAAAATGAACGACATGCTAGAACAGGCTTTTCAAGTTCAAGCCGGGAACGTTGCACTTGCCTCAGGAGGGATTGACAGTGCTGATAATTATAAAAAACGGCAAACTGTAAGTGACAGTGTGACCTATGCAAATTTAGAGGTGGCCAAAGACCATCGTAACAAAACAAGCCTCAGACAGTTTAAAGATGATCGCTACTATAAATACCCGATCATTGGGACTAATCTATCCACTTTAGGTGAATATGGAGTTGGTCTGGAGCTTTATTTTCAGTTTATCAAACAATTCGCAATTATTTTTTTCATTATTTCTGGCATATCGATATGGCCGATCTATGAAAACTACCAAGGCAATTATTTAGCTGACACAGCACAAAAAGCATCATACACTTTTATTTCCCTTGCAAATCAAGAAGGTCCTGAATTTAATTACACGTTATATTCAGAAGCAGACTCAATGCTAGATACTGTTAAAGATAATCAAATGAACATCACTATCGCTGACTTGATCTATACGTGCTTTTTCATCATTTTTTTGGTTTATTTGGAGATTTATCTGGTTTATTTTTTTTTTAAATTTTTTTATTTATTTTTAAAAAATAAATTTTAATAAAATAAAGATTTATGTTAAAAGAATCATAAAGAAGCGACGACTTATGACGGTAACTCCTGGATCTTTTGCAGTTGAAGCTAAAGGTTTTCCAAAAGAACCATTGTCAGCCCAAGAAGTTAAGGATCATTTCAGTCAATTTGGAGAAGTTGCGGAAGTTGCTTTTGCCAAAGATTTTTCTGTAGCATATCATTGGCTGTTATTTTTTCCCTTCCATATATTCCTTGATGATATTTCGTCAGAATTTTCCACTGTGAGTAAAACTGGTTATTTTTTAATCAAATATCTGACAAGAAAAAATTTTATCCAATATTTTCTAACTCCCCCTCCGTGAGTGAACAAAAAAATTTTGTTCACTAACGGAGGGGGGTTAATTTTATTTTTTTTAAAAAATTTATATATATAAAATTTTATAAAAAATATATATATATAAATTTTATAAAAAATATTTTTTTTCGAAATTTAAAAAAATCCTAATTCGCAAAAATTGGAAAGCAAATATTAATTTAATTTATAAAATTTATGTTTTAAAAAGCAATTCGTTCAAAAATTAAATAGAATTAGCTCTAGATTTCATTATACTAATTATCATTTATATATCAAATTGTTTTTCCATAAAAAGTTTTTGTTCACTCACGGAGGGTGGGTTTTTTGGGCAAAAAATAGCGATTTTTCTAATGGTTTTGTTCACTCACGGAGGGGGGGGGAGTAAAGGAATAAACATGTCGCCGATTTTTCAGGAAGATTGTTTTTTTATAGTAAACGAGCACAAATCAGTATAAAAATTGGTCATGAAAAGCTAAAAAACAAAAACACTTTGCAGCTTAGAAACCTGCAAAGACAAATGTCAATTTTTGACAGGAAGCTATATAAAGCTGATAATGGGAATGTTAAAACCTTTAATGAGCTTCCAGTCATAAGAGCATTTATTATATTTAATAAAGTCGAAGACAAAAAAAACTGCCTTAAAGAGTATAAAAATTCTTATATAGAATGTTGCTGCTGCCGAAAAATGAAAAAACATTTAATGTTCCGAGGAAAGCACGAGCTTAAGGTGAAACAAGCCCCAGAACCTTCAAATATTTTATGGGAAAACATTGAATACCCTCGTTGGAAGCGAAACGCTCGCAGAATCTTTGCGATTGCTCCCACTTTAGCCCTAATGATTTTGTCAATAGCTTTAATTTATGCAATAAAATACTTGCAAAACGAAATTCCAAACGAAAACCATTGCTCAGAACTAGACGTCAAAGATGAATCATTATCAGCAGCTAAACAAGACTACACAACGAATGATCAAATATATACTTATTTACCAAGAATAGCCCACTAAGGAGATTTTTTGGTTGGCCGGATAATAGCTGGCTTGCCAAATTCCTTGGCATAGCATATTTTTTGGCTAACTAAATTTAAGAATGGCGAAACCAAAAAATGCTGCTCCTTAGTGGGCTATTCTTGGCAAATAGGTATACTGCTATTGCAAGCAGCAAAATTGGTACAAGCTTTTTAGCGATAGTGATCTTAATTCATATTGCACCGATTATATAGAAAAAGTATCCCTTACGAGCTCTGTCCGATTTCTTTCCAGCATAGGTATCGTTTTTATAAATACCATTCTGAGGATTATGCTAACCAAACTGACCAAATTTGAAAGAATTTCGACAGTCAGTGGGATGAGGATGTCAATGATGTCAAAAGTTTTCATTGCAATGTTTATTAACACTGCCCTTATAACGCTACTTGTTAACGCCAATTTTCAATCTTTGTGGTTTGTACAGAGACTGGCATTTAAAGAGTATCTTTTTAATGGAGACTATAAAGACTTTTCAAGAGAGTGGTATGAAGACGTAGGTGCTACCATTATAGCGACTTTATTAGTGAGCATTGCCCTTCCTCATTTTATCAACTTATTGATATTTTACCCAATTGGGGTTATTAAGCGACATTGCTGCCATAAAAAATATATCACACAATACCAGATGAACGCTGCTTTTACAGGGCCTGAATTTGATATTTCTTCAAGAACCTCAGTAATCCTTACTGTAATTTTTAGTTGTTACCTTTATTCTGGAGGAATTCCTTTACTAAACATTGTATGTTTTGTCACCTTGGTCGTCATCTATTGGACTGATAAGTTCCTAGTTTTAAGGCACTACCGTAAACCTCCAGTATATTCCGAGCTGATGTACAAGCGAGTTGGCTATTTTTTACCATTCGGAATAATGCTGCATTGTGGGTTTTCTTTATATATGTATGGGAGCCAAGATATTTTCCCCAGAGAATATGTTCCATACACAGACTCAGACACTGGAGAAACTTATATTGAAGATGTCAGAACTGAGACTATAGGAGACAGAATTTGGGTATTTCCAGGGAGGGTCAATATTATATTATGTGGGATTTCGTTTTTAATTTTTGTCTGGCAGTTCTTTTTGAAGGACTTCTTGAAAAGTAAGCATAAGAACCAGGTTTTGACAGAAAGGGCTGAGAGAACTTATATGGAGGAGCTGAAGAATTTGAGGGCAATAGGCATACATAGCTATAATATAATGGAAAATCCAAGCTACGCGCCACTTGTGATATCGATGAATTCGACTGCTGAGCAGACTAAAAAAATGGGAGCTTCAGCTATTAATAACACTGTTGAAATAGCTTCTAAAGACGCTAAAGAAATTATTTCTGATGGGCAAGGGACAAACTAAATAATAATTACCTATAATTTATATATATAGAAAAATATTTTTTATTTGGAGAATTTTGCCTACTGAATCATTATAGGATTAAGATGAAAAAATAAGATCATCGATATTGTTTAATTTCACTTGTAAATAAAAAATATAATAACTTGTCGATAAATATGATTTAATTACAAACATTTTTTCATTAATCAAGCTTGAACATCAATTCTGACTAATTTTCTTTTTCCATGCATTTAATAAAAATTAATCCTATTTATAATAAATAAAATCATCACTTTTTTTTCTATTCTTATATTAAGAAAATTACTTTTTATCTGCGTTTTCACAGTAGCAGGTTAGTTTATAATTTTAAAACATTTTATTCAAAATTTTAAGCCAGAAAAATGTCAACAAAAATTTGTTAACAAATATATCATTTTTTACTGTTTATGACCCAAAGAAAAATCCCAAAAATTTTCTTATAAATAATCATCTCATGTTTGTTGATTTAATTTCATTTCAGCTATTAAATATACCTAAAGAATCAGTGGCAAAAATGGTTCTGGCAGCGTTCTTTTATAATCTTGGCAAATTCAATGCCAAACACCCCATCCTGGTTATTTGTCTCTCGCTTCTTGCTACAATCATATTTTCTATTGGTTTTATATTTTTGGATGTCCAAACCAATCCACAGAAGCTCTGGGTTGACCCTGGCTCTAGATCAAACCACGAGCAAAATTATTTTGAGGACAAGTTCGGCAAGTTCTACCGTGTTGAGCAGGCGATTTTCAGCCACAGGACAGATCCTGAGCATACTGATGTTTTTCAAAAAGAATTTCTAGCAGAATTGTGGGAAGTCCAATCAAGAATTGAGAACGCAGAAATTTTATATGATAATTCTCTTCATACTGTGGATAGCTTTTGCTACAAGCCAGTTCATGGGAAAGGATGCTTTATTTCCTCTCCAATGGACTACTGGAAAATGAATATTACCCAGCTAGAAAGCGACAATGATATTAAGCTAACTGCGCAGTGTATCAATCAAATTGAAGGCCAACAAATATTATGCAGTGATAGAAACAATATCCCAATTATCAGAAACTTAACGTTTGGTGGGATTTCTTGTGAAGATGGCACCCAAGGTACTTGCCAAGCTTGCAAAATCAAAGCAAAAGCATTGATCATTACATTTTTGCTTAATAATAATGACGAAACCAAAGATATGGGCGTTGAGAACTGGGAAAAGCATGTCTTCGAAAAATACATGAAAGACTTTAACGATGACAATACAAAGCAGCTTAAAGTCGCATATTACTCAGAAAGATCAGTCCCAGACGAGCTTGACAAAGAAGACTCTCAAAACTTTATTTATGTCGTGATTTCTTATCTCTGTATGTTTTTATACGTCTCAATGGCCATTGGGACTTTCCCATCAAGGCTGCATACTAGGTTTATGGTTGGTCTTTCAGGTGTTATTTGTGTAATTTGCAGTGTTTGTATATCAATCGGTATTACTTCTTATGCTGGAATTCCACTGTCAATGATCAGTATTGAAGTCGTGCCTTTCTTGATTTTGGCTATTGGGGTTGATAACATGTTTATCATTTCTATGGGAGAAAGCAAAGAAAGAGATATCTTGAAGAAAAAAGGGATCAAAGATCATGCAGAAATTATGGGATGTGCACTAACTCTACCTCTTTTAAATGTGAATAAATATCGGTAAAATTTGGATTTTTGGGACCTTAACCTCCTTTGATTTGGAACAAAATTTGTTTTTCAATAGGAAAAATTTATAAGTAAAAAAAATAATAATTTTGATAAAATTAGTTCGACCTAATTTAATAGAAAGTACAAGAAGAATGTTATTTAGCACTAAATCATTTGATTTTAATTATTTCTTCGTAAAAATATATAAAAATTCAAATTATTGTGCTCGATTTTATATTTTTTTAATTCTCTTTAAATTTAAAAGGGGGTAAGAGAAGTCGCCCCTACAATTACAGCTGCTGCGTTTTCAGAATGTGCTGCATTTATGGTTGGCGCCACAACCAACGTGCCAGCCCTGACTAACTTTTGTATCACAGCTGCAATTGCTGTTCTTGCTGACTACTTTTTACAGATAACAGCCTTTGTAGCAGTCATAGAGCTTGACTATAGAAGATGGACTGGCAGAAGAATTGACTGTTTCCCTTGTTTTGACCTCGAAAAATCAGTCAAAGAGCCACGAAGGCGACTGGTCAAAAAATTCGTCAAAAAGATCTACGCCCCAGTGATATTCCACCCAATCACCCAAGTCTGCTTAGCAATTACCTTTGTTTCTTTATTTATTTTATCATTCGGCAGCTATGATGACATCAACTTAGGCCTAACCGAACAAGTCACCTGCATCCACAAGTCTGATCTTTATAAATACTTTGACTCCTATGACGATTATTTACAGACTGGAGCTATTGCTTATCTAGTATTCAAAGACATTAATTATACAAACCCCACAAATCAGCAGCTTCTCAGCCAAATGAGTGATGCACTCAGTCAAATGAGCAAAACAGTGCAGCCGCCAGTCTACTCTTGGGTAAAAGCCTTAAACAGCTACATAAATGATGTAGAGCCTGAATGCAACAATTCTCAGGTCGCCAGTTTTGATTTTAATACACAAGTGAGGCTATTTTTGACAGTCAGTATTGATAGCATTTGTTGTAAGAAATTTGGGGTCTGTGGAGAACAGTATGAGACTGATATTATTTTTGACGATGATGGAGAAATTAAGGCGAGTCGGTTTAGGTTCCAGCATACAGCACTAAAAGACCAATCTGATTATATTGATGCACTGAGAGATACGAGATATGCAGTTGATACTATTGGAGCCGGATTAGTACCAAATATGAAGACTAACCCTTCAATGAGCAATTATCAATTGAGATTGTCACAGGAGTGAATTGATACTACAGATTCGTATACTTCGGATGAGAGGCTGGCATTTAGCTATTCGCTGTTTTATGTGTTTTATGATCAGTATAGGACTATTAGAGGAGTAGCGGTACAAAATCTCTTTTTAGCGTTTGCGGCGATTATTTTGGCTATTGAGCTTTTGACTAATATTTATGCAGCGCTCTTAGTAACATTGATGGTAGCAGGGACTTCTTGGGGCTTGATTGGATTTTTATACATTTGGAACGAGCTAGCTGGAGGCTATAAAACAGAAATTAACGCAGTCAGTGTCGTTAACCTTGTCATGTGCTGTGGTCTTGCAGTAGAATTTTCAATCCATATTATGACTTCCTTCTTGAAATTCACTGGGACAAGGAAAGAAAGAGCCAGAAAAGCCTTAGTGGATATGGGAAGTGTCGTTATGACAGGAATTGCTTCAACCAAGCTGATTGGAGTCATTGTACTTGGGCTAGCACCTAGTCTTGTGTTTAACTTGTACTATTTTAGAATGTATTTTGGAATGTTTTGCCTTGGTTTCTTCCATGGGCTAGCTTTTCAACCAGTTCTACTTATGTATATTGGTCCTCCTTCTACAAGTACAGAGGAGCCAAAGAAGATTAATGGGTATGACTCAAAGATCGATGGGACCTCGTTGAAAGAGCTAAGTTATGCTAAATAAGACAGGTGGGTAATGGATGATTAATAAAAGGTTTAGTTTTGGCTAGGAAATTAAGGAAGCCAATAGGATTTTTGAGTGTTTTTTCTGTTAGGAAGAATAATATTTTCTGAGAATTTTTTTTAATAATTTTATCTATTAAAGTTAGATTGATATTGAGGCTGGCTTGGCAAAGGTTGGTTTGGCAAAGGTTGGTTTGGCACAGGTTGATTTGGCAATGGCTGGAGTACTGGATAAAGCCCTTGCTGTGGGTTATTTTGAACTATTGGAACTCCAAATTGAGGGTATAGTGCTTGGGCTGGCACTTGATTTGGCGGCTGCTGATATTGGTTTTGGTAGTTTTGAAATGAGTTTTGGGGAGCCTGGCTATTTGGCTGCGCATAAGTGTATGGAAGCTGATTAATATTTTGAGGTGGGATATATGAAGCTTGATTCGAATTAGAAGGAGCCTGAGGCTGCCTAACACTTTCAACTAAATTTTCTCTCAGCTCAGAACGGACACGCCTTCTTTTCACAAATCTGACTCCGCAATAAGCACAGAAGCTGAACCCAAGAATAGCAACTACAATTCCTGTAATTATTCATACCCAAGTTTCATCACTGATATGATATATATTTATTTTATATAAATACTCCTTTATTCTAATAATTAATTCTTCTTAATTTATGAGAAAGAATAAGACTATCTAGTGTTTATTTTCATATTTAATTTAATAATTATAAGCAATCCCCATCATCTTGATCGTCATCATCGTCCCAGTGAAAGTTCACCTGTCTTCTAATTTTATTATTTTCCTCTTGACTTCCATATACACTTTGAGTTAGTATAGAAATTGTAAGGAAAACACATTGGTTCATAACAGTTCGTAACATTTTTATAAGTATTTTATCCAGCAAAATTATTAGATCAGTATATTATAGCAACAACATAAATTATAAAATGGGGATTCATATTTTTTGGAATCAATGATTATTTTCTCAGTTTTTTATATGGCTGATAAAGATAAAGAGCTATTAATTGCTGTTCTGAAGATTCACCCTCAGCCATTTCGCGTTAAATATCACATAGCGCATTCCTTTTATTCCACCATTAAGAATATTTATTATAGGTTTCTCTAATCCTCTCAACAATCAAAATAATAAAAACTATTTATAATTTTACTTGTAAAAATCATATATAGTGAAGGGTGTTATATTATTTTCAATTTCACATAAGAAATTTTAATGATTAAGGTAGGGATCGCAAAAACTAATAAGCTATAAGAGTTTGTTAAACTTCTCAGCCACAACTTGAGGGTTATCTTCAGAAAGCTTTCTAATTCCATGACTTCGATGATCAAATGTACATCCATGTGCCTCAGGAACCCTATGCTTACTCCCCCATCCTTGATCGTCCTGATCTCATTGCTCAAACAAGGATTGAATTTCAAAAAAAATTATATATACATTTTTTTATTAATTGCAAAAAGTTTTATGCGCTAGCGATGATAGATAGGGTATGCAGTATATTACCAAAAATACCTGAAATTGCGTTATAATAGCTTATAGGTGATTAGACTGCAATATCTCTTTATTTAATATAGATAACTAGATTTTAGATGGGATATGAGATCTGATTTTATGATTGGCCATGTGAAAATTTTTTTATACCAATGATTAATTATCAAATTAAAGCAGTTTTCAATGAAATCGTTAAATAAAATGAGGGAGTTAGCACAAAAAGGATAATTGCATTTGCATTTGAAAATCAGAGGCCCTACTCTTTTCTTACAAGTCCAGCATCGATCAGATTCATATAAAGGTTCAGGTGCCTCTATTTTATTTTCTTCAGGAAGTGCTTGGCTGCTTGAAATTAGTTCTGGTAAGGCCTTATCTGCTTCCTTTTTGAGGGTTTCTAGTTTAAAACACTTGGAGCACATTCCGTCTTGGCTGCCGAAAAACATTTTGCAGCACCTACACATTTGAGAATCCATATCAATTTTTATCGCTTGTAAAACGGTTTACAATGAAAATTAAACAATTTAATGGTAATGGGGAGGGAAATAGGATATAATGAAAGAAGAAAATAAAGCTAGGGGGGTTTTGGGGAAAGGACTTAAATTCATCAGTTAAAAAGATTTTAGTTGAGATATCCTAATTAGCGAAATATAAATAATTATTTAAAGTAGATTTTTTTTATATTATATGAAAATTTAATTACAGTTTTAAGCTATATAGAAAGCTTACCTTTTGAGAGGATACATAATTAGTGAATTATCATGATTTTTAAATATGGTTTTTCAGGATATTTGACTTATTATAATTTATGTCGTTGATTAGAATAAAATAAAGAAGAGATCTATTTAATTGACCAATAGATTTGTAATAATTCAAAAAAATATTAACATTGAGAAAGAGGTATTTTAAAATTAAATTTTGTGCATATTTTGGGTGAGTTTATTTTAATTTCTCCTAAAAATTAAAATTTCAATAATTTAATTATCTATTTTAATCATCTAATCCTTACTTTATTAATATATAACTAATCAAAAAGTTATAAATGTCTAGTAGCAAAGACAAGCCTCAACCAGAAAGAAATGAGTATGGCAGAAGAATTATCACCCTGCCTTATATAAAAAGACTTTGCATATACCAAGGCCTTTATGAAAATCCTCAGCTTAATGCCTATCTTTATCTCCACTTTTTAGGGATCTCTGAAATTCAAAACCTAGATGAGTATACAAATTTATATGCATTGTGGCTTGAAAATAATTTAATAGAAAAAATTGATGGCCTAAGCAACCTCAAAACACTGCGATGCCTTTATCTCCAAAACAACAACATCAATAAAATAGAGAATTTGGATCAGCTGACTGAACTGAGGACTCTCAATCTGTCACATAATCGTATTGAAAAGATTGAAAATTTATCAGCCTTAACGTCTCTTTCTGACTTAGACTTATCTCACAATAGAATATCAAGCACAGAAAACCTTAAAGGTCTAACTCAAGTTCCTTCTTTAACATCAATAGATTTAAGCTTTAACAATATTTGTGACGTTGAAGAATTTTTCACTGTTTTTACCTCTCTGAGCAATCTCGGATGTTTATATTTAAAAAACAATAACTGTATCAGATATATACCAAATTACCGAAAAACTTTAATTGCAAGGATTCCGTCATTGAAACATCTCGATGAAAAGCCAGTATTTGAGGTTGAACGATTAGGCTCTGAAGCATGGTTTACAGATGGAAGAGAAGCTGAAATGCAAGTAAGAAAAAAATATTACGATAATCAAGACGCTGAAAGACTATACTATTTATATTAAATATTATAAATCCAATGAAAATAAATCTTGCAGGGGATTTTCAATCAGAAAAGAATAAAACACTTCATGGATTATTCCCGACTTGAAATTGAAGGCATTCAAAAAAAAGAAGCATTAAGAAAAAAACTTGAAGAAGAAAGGAAAGTCCAACAGAGGTCATTAGAAGAATTAAAAAAACAAATTTTAGCTAACCAAGAAGAAGGCTTTGAACTAGTCTTAGAAGAATTAGAAAAAAAATCAAAAGAACTCTCTGAGCCTATTGATGAAAAATTATTACTGATTTATGGAATAAAAGAAGGAAAATGCACCTATAAAACTGGAGAACTAGACAAGTACGGGCACATTATCATTGACGTACCAAACGACAAAGAAGTGCCAGAAAGCTATGAAGAAGAGACCATAATGCTCCCACTTTCAGAGCTCCAAATCTCTGAGCTTGAATCAAAATTAATTGAAACCTGCTTCAATTTTGACGAAGCCTATGAATTTTTCAAGTCAAAATATATATGCTCCTCTGATGCCCTGAGACTGAAATGGAGCGATTATGAAATTTTTCTTCAATCTAACCCTCTTGATGAGCTTGATTAATCATTATTTTACGTAAATTTTTAATTATTCTTTTTTCTGTTTTTTTAGCTTGACAAATTCTGTGAGAGAGGATATTGTTGAGCATATAGAAATCACTACTATTAAACAGCTGTTGACTAAGCATGGAATTCCAATCATGATGCACACAAAGAGCCCGCTTTTGTCGAAATAGTTTTGCTTTACAAGAGATTGCCAGTTCTGATTAGATTAGATAAATTGCAGTGAGTCGTTGAGAATTATTTCAGCCCTGCCCGTCCTTCACTGGCTTTGGACTAAGGTTGACCTAATGCACCGCAGCCACACATAAAGCCTTTTTCGTGTTGATGTCACCAAAAAATAGTGACTTCAACAGCTTCTTGGGTAGAATCACCCGACCTTGTTTGAGTCTTGACTCCATGGCCATAAATTTTCTAAACCCATGGTAGAGCTCGGGTATGAATCACTATCCAAAGCTTCCTTTGAACTACCACGACTTATTCAGATAAAAATATTGCTTCCCAGAAGTATAAAGCTAAGACTGTGTCTTCAGTTTTCTCGTCTGTGGACCGAGGAGAAGTCTGCCAAAGGTTTAGGCAAACCCCACCCCGGACTTCCTAAAATAATGCCACTTACTGGGGGATCAACTGACTGGACACTTATACTCAGCTCGCCATTTTTTAAAAATCAGTTCTAATTAAGATATGTGTTAATGGTTTCCAAGATATAGCAGAGGCCTAAAAGAAAGACAAAAATAAACATAATGATTCTGCTATTTTTTCTGAATAGAATAATGAGTAAGAAAAAGAATAGATGGGAAGCAAAAATTGCAAGGATAAAAGGCTCAGTGATATCTACAGCGTATAAAAAGGCTTCAACATTTTCGTAAAATCCTTCTGGCTTCTGAAATTCAACCTTAGGCATTATGTTTTATAAATGAAAAATTATTATTTTCTCATATAGTTACCAGATTTACATTTATTAATCACTTTCTACAATTGTTTGCTCAGCATTTTCTTTAGAAATTGTACAATAAATCTTCGGGTTTACATACCCTTCACTTTCTCCTTTATATTTGCTTTTAATTGAATCCCACCCTCTTAAATGCCTCTCCACAATAGTTTGGTGCCTTTTAAACAAGTTCATATAATTCTCTGGGATATCCGGTATAATCACCCTCAACAAATACCTCACAACCATCAAAATCAGCGCCAGCAGGGCAAAAACCACAAAAATATTATCATTAATAAACGCCACATCTTCAAAAGTTCTCGACGTAAAGCATAAAATCGCTAAATTCGTAAAAATCGCAGCAATACAATTAAAATTGAAAATTGGCCATCAGGTTCCTATATCTTTTGCTCCCATTGGCTGAGGCCTTCTAACCAAATGCAAAAGCTTGTATTTGTCTACTTGAATTTCAAACATTAAAATAACAAAAGCAAGGACACTTGATAATGGAAAAGATACCGCAAATAGTGTGATATAGCCAAATAAGACTGCTAATTCCATATAATCTCCTAAGGTGCCGTCGACTTCTCTAGTAACATAAGGAGGCAGCTGCACTTGGGCATCAATATCTTCTCTTAAGACCTCATAATCAGTGACAGAGATTAAGGCTAATAGTCTTTTGCGATCAGCTTCTTTTTGCTTGAATTCTTTTTGTTTTAGCTTGAATTTTATAAAAGGAATACCGAGCTCTAAGATGTTTTTGAGAAATGCGACGACAAAAAGGCAAATTAGCTGGGTTTAGCTCGGCTACTTCACACGACGATTATTTCATAACGACTATTTTTTTTGGCCTATTTTTTTTTTGGCCTATTTTTTTTTTGGCCTATTTGTTTTGGCCTAATTTTTTTAACCATAAAAAAAAGGCCAAAAAAAATAGTCGTTATGGAATAGTCGTCGTGTGAAGACACGGTTTAGCTCATCCATACAGTTGGCGCCGATTTTTCGCTCTTTGTGGTTTCCTGTTTTTACAATGCATCCTTCTCAGTTTGTTTTGAAAAAAGCTATATAGAATAAAGAGTTAAAGGAGTTTGCAAATTGGAATGCATAGGTTTTTATAACTAAAGAATTCTCATACTCACTTTGAGTCCTATGATTTTCCAAATTATTAAGCTTAATTGCAATTTTCCCATATATCATATTGAAGCATTGAATTTGAAATGCGTTTAAAGTTGAGCAAACTGTCCCTGAATAATCCAGCCCAGATAATGTTAATTTATCTGTCAGCTCCCATCTGAGTATCATAATTGAAGCAACCATCCCAAGGACCACACAAACCATAAAAGTTGTAACAACTGCAGCAAGCACAAAATACCTGATTCTCCTTTTTGGATCATAATAAACTTCTTCTAAGTCATCATTTACTGGTGATCTTCTCAAAGTTCCTCTAAACTGCGGTCTTGCTACTTCATCATCTTCATAATCTGTTTGCCCCCATTCTACAGATAACGCTGATTCTTTTCTGATTTATAAACAAATCCCAAGCTTCAAGGCTCATCAATGTTAGTGCAGAAAGAATATGGATTTATCAATAGGCAGATAGCGAAGATTGCCTAGACGCCAAATAATAATTATTATCTTTTGCCTATATTGCTTATATAGGCTGGCGTACCAAAGTTTTCTCTAACGTTTGAAGATATTTCCACATGTGAATTCTCTATATTTTTAACATGCCAGCCTAGATAAGCGATTTAGGCAAGCATAATAGTTTAAATTAAAATTCTTTCTCCTTCAAATTTCCAAAAATGTTGTTGCCCATCCAGAAACATATACACAAAAAATCGCATTAAACCATATCACTTTTGTATCACGTGAGTCAAAGGAATATTGCAAAATAAATATTATTAATCCCACATATGAAGATCGCTTGAGAAATTCAGCTGCAAAAGCAATGAAACTGAAATATAACGCAATTTTCTCACCGAAGTAGTTGCGGATTTTTCCTAGTGGGAGATTAGTGTCTCAGATTTTGTTGTTTCATTCGTGAATTAGGCCTTGGTAGGCGTCATTTTTGTCTTTTAAGAAATTTAAAGCGTCGTCTAGGTCAGTGTCTTGGTCAGTGTCGAGCTCGGAGTTGGGGAATTTTGACTTCCCAGAGAGCTCTCAGTGGTTTACAAGTGGAAAATGGCAGACTACTAGCTCTTTTTGTTGAAGGTAATGGAGTTTTACTTGGCGGGAGATGAGGGATTGTAGAAGCTTAAGCCTGTCAATGTTTTTGAAAATTGAACGCTTATTGTACTGGTCGTTTCTGTGTAGTCTTCATAAAAACTTATACCATATATAGGACATATGAAAAAAATAAAAAGAAATTAGAGGGTATTTGTATATAAAATAAGACTTTTAGCTTATCGAGAAGCAAGCTTTAATATGAAATTCACTATAACACAGTATAAATAAATCTACTCCAGATTTAGAATCAATGTTCCTCACATAATCAGAATAAGCTCCAATTGGCTTAGAAATTTCTAATCTATCTCACAAGCTAAAAAGCATTTTTTTCTTTTTAACTTGTGCATCATTAGACTCTTGTATGCATTTTCTCACTAATTTCTGATAATAAGTCATCCTTTGGATAGGCGTCAAATGCAGCTCAGACACATATTTTAGCCCCTCTTTAAGCTTGCTAAGATACAAAGAATAAGCCCTCCAGTTTTCAGGAGTCACCCCAACTGCAGGGAAAAAGCTATTTTCTGACTCATTTACCTTAAAACAATTCATAATTTCTGGGTAATTCTCATATAGCTCTTTAAGCTTCCCAGCAATTTCAGGGTCAGAGTTTACAAGTCTTAATGGTCTAAATGATTTATCACATGGCTCCATTGATGACAAATCAGAAACCCCAACTTCTAATTGTAAATTATACTCAGTAGATTCCGCTTCTTGTTCTAAATCATTATCATCTGCACATACCAAAATATAAATATATTTGAAATTTGAGCTAATAACTTGCTTTAGATGTAGTCCTAAGTGAGAGCCAAGTTTTACTATACGTTTTTATAATAAATACTGGTAAATTTTCCTTAATGATCAATCAGCAAATTCATTGTAAATAGATTTAATAAAACATTTCTAAATAGTGTTAACACATCTCTTGCAGGCCCTCCATTATCAGCAAATAAATTACCAGGGGTTCTTTGCAGCCTTCCTCCAAATTTTAATTTTTTCCCACCCCCTTTTTCAAAGTCATCTAAACTGTCAAAAGCTCCACTAAATGCTGCTTGTTCTGCAAATTTATTGGTCCTTGTCAGCTGTGCATTTGAAGAGTATTCAGGATTGAAGCATTTTTGAAAAATTCTTAAAGCTTCTTCTTTAGTAACTGCTCTATTTCAAAATGAAGAATAATCGGCTGTCATCTAATCTGTTCATTATGAATACCTCGCAGAGTCTATTTTCAGAAAATTTTTAAATTTCCTTTGCAAAAATCTTAAATTTTCATATTTTTCAAAGGGAAAAAAAAGCTTGCCAATTTAAAAGATCGGATTTAAATAATGCCCCGGAATAATCTGGGTTAGGCAGAGCAATCACATATTCTCAGTTTGAGCCTGAAATAGTCCTTGTAGTTGTGGTAGTGTTTATATTGTTATTTTCAAACTCTCCTTGGAAATATTTTTTTAAAGCAACTGTTCTGGTTACCTGTACAGTGCTTTTAAATATAAGACTTGTGCTTAGCTTGCTTTGTTTTGGCTCAATAGTTTTTTCTTCAGTCTTTTTAGCAAGTTTGGCTTTTTGCTGAAAAAACGGGTGATTTTCAAGTTTATGAAGCTTTTCTAATAGTTTGTTTCTTTCATTTAGCAGAACTTCATACGATTGCTGATCTATAACTTGCTGTCTTAATTGGCATCCTATTTGATTTTTAAGCTTAATAAGCTCAAATTCCATGCAATTTATATTAATTTTAAAATTCAATGATTTTTCATATCTTTATTCCTCATTTCTCAATGAATTTTCTTTTAGAAATTAGGCTATTTCTCTTCCAAGTATGGATTTATTAAATTTTAACCATTTATAAATGACTTCATTCAAAGAAGCACAAGCTAAAGGCCTTAGATGGCCTGAAGGACCTGATGATCTTTGTCCATCAAAGATAGAAAACACTTATCTCTATGGAGGTGGCCGTACAAGAAAGTTTAAAATCTTATTAGCAGAAATCTCAATAGCATGGGGAGCGTTCAATGTTGCTCTTGACAAGTATCTTCTCAAGAATAGACACAATGTGAAGAATAATTTCTTTTTAGAAAGAACAATGATTTGGTCCTCCAGATATTATCTCCCATGCATGCTTGTACTTTGGGGCTTTATCCCTATTAGTCAAGCTACCTATTGGTGGGTTCTTTGGGTTTCTGTAGGAGCTAAGCCAAATGTTTCTCGTGACCCAGTGCCTAAATGGAAACCAGGTGAAAATCCATTTTATGATAAGGCTGAAGAAGATTAAGCTTAATAGAAGCTAAAATAAGGGATTTAACTCTTAAATTTGACTTTAAAAGTTCTAGATTTAACCATTTCATAGATTGGGTTTTAAAAACAGCGCAAGATGAAGAAATTAAATAATTTTCTTCACCTCAACAAAAATTAATAAAAATAAATGTCTACTCAATTCCTAAACTGCATAATCTGCCAAGAAAAGGCCAAACTAATTTGTTTTTGCTCAAACATATCTCTCTGTGAAAAGTGTATCGGAAAGCATCTCTTAAATAATCCGTCAATTAATCACAAGCCTGTCCCCTTAAGTGATTCATACTTGTCATCAAAATACACTCAAAATCTTGAAGATTTAAACAAAACAGAAGAAAAAATCCTACAAGTGGCGGCCTGTCAACAAGAAGTTATCAATGCAATTCAATCTAGGGTGCAGGTCAAATGACTTTGCCTTTTTAATAGTGTCCATTTCACCGAAAAATTGATCGAAAATTTTTAATAGTGAGACACATTTGACTGAAAAAAAACCGTTAATTTTCAGCCAAATGTCCGCACTATCAAAAATTTTCGATCAAATGGATTTCGATGAAATGTACACTGTCAAAAATCCACAGTCATTTGACATGGAGCCTTCAATCTAAGCTTGCTAATGAAATTTTAGAATTAGAAGAATTTATTCCATTATTTTTTTTTAATTTTTTATATATAAAAATATTTGCATTATTTTTTATAAAAAAAAGAAAAATCTTAGCCAAAATTATAAATAATTTATTAGAAAATACAATAAAAAACTTTCGCTAGAAGTAATTGCTGAATTTATAAAAGGAATACAAAGAGACGTTATAGATGCCTCAAAAATAATCAATAACTTTGTGACAGAGCAGTGCGATAATGCTCAAAAAGAGCTGCGAAATGCTTTAGTTTTACTAAAACTTTCACATGATGCAAATCATCCAATTTTAAGCCTACTTTTGCGATGTAAATCTGTAGAAGAAGTCAGAAATATTGAAATCGCTAAAAAAGACCTAACTTTTAAAGATTTAAAGATAAAAGAAACCATAAAAGACGGGATTTATTTTTGTTTTGATATTGTAAAAGACAATAATATTCCCGCAAATAAGTTTCCACAGCTGCACCCTGGTGTGAGCTCCAATAAATTAGAATCAATCCGACGAGTCAAAGTAGGAATCCCTGGGATGGGACATGGGAAATCTGCAGAAATGGAAAAAGAAGAAGTAGAAGAAATCATGACTCCTCATAGAATTGAAAGGACTTTTTCAGAAAATTCACCAGAAAGAACTCCAACGCCTATTGTTGAAGAAGTTTTTGCGAGGAAAACATTTAATGTTTTGCCTAGATGTAACGAAGATGTAAAAATAGAAAAACTTGATTTTTATGATACTCCTTTAATGACAAGGCATATAAGGGATACGCCGATTTCACATAGCAGGACTTTGCCACCTGATAAAGGGATATTTCAAGAAGCACTATCTTTAGAAGTACCACCGAGGCTTATTAATGAATCTTTTAGGTCAGCTAAGAATATAGAATTAGGATTAATCAAAGGTAGACAATCAATAGAGCCAAGAACTCAGCAATTATCTCCACAAAAAAATCAGCGCCAGCGGCAATTTGATCCTCTGCCTCCGTCGCTTTATTGCTTTATTCCGGAATCCTCGAAATTAATAATATATAATACTTCAACAAAGCACCCACTCCACCTCAAGCATTGGTTTATTATGTAAATTTTTTTTTTAATTTTAATTTGTGTGAAGAAATTATCTTATTTAGGAAGTCAAGGCATTATAATTAAATTAGATTCAATTTTATAATTTAAAAAAAAATTTGCTTTTTTTAATTAAAGTTTTTAATCATTATTTATATAGGAAAGTCAGAATTAATAGATTTTGAATCTGAAGCATTTTATTCAAAAAGTGCTTGGGGTGTAAGCGAAGACGGAAAACTAATTTTAACAGGCGGATATGATGGTAGCTCTCGAAAACAAACATTTATGTACAATCTCTATGAAAAATGTATCGAAAAAGCCCCAAACATGATACTTTCAAGATATAATCATGCACAAGTTGCTCTTGGGCATTATATTTACGTTATCGGAGGCTTCAATACATCTCCTTTAAAAGAATGCGAAAAATTAAACCTTTTTACCAAAAAGTGGCAAAAAACCGGAAATTTAATAATCGCTAGAGACTGTCATGCTGCTTGTGTTCACAGCGGGAGGATTTTTGTTGCAGGAGGCACTGGAATAGATTCAATAGAAGTATTTAATGCCGTAAGTGAAAAATTTTCATTAATCAGAGTAAGGCTCCCAGTTCCTGGCAGATGCTGTATGTTTCCTCACAATAAAAATATTTTATTATTTCAAAGGAACAAAGCCATTTCTTTTAGCCCCACAACAATGTCGTGCACTGAAATCTCAGCCATCGAAGAAGCAGAATGGTGGACTCCTGGTGATCCTGTGATTACAAGCGATTTTGTTTATTTTATTACACATTTTAATGCTTTTAAATTTCAAGTTGAAACTGGAACAATTGGGGTGAGGTTAATTAAAGTACACTGTACTTTTTCAACCCCCTCCGAAAACCTACAAAAATGACTGTGTACTTTAAAAATGGTCGTTTAGTGTGAAAAAGTACAAACGGTACTTTTCGATTTTTTAAAAAACAGGGTGTGAAAAAAGTAAACGGTGAAAAAACCAGCCCAAAGCAGAGGAAAAAAGTACATATAAAAATTAATATTCTATCAAGACTAAGTAAAATTTAAGCAAAGAAAGGCCAAGGTTAAATTGCATAATAAACAGCTTGTATTGCATTATAATAAATACTAACTCCCCCCCTCCGTGAGTGAACAAAACCATTAGAAAAATCGCTGTTTTTTGCCCAAAAACCCACCCTCCGTGAGTGAACAAAAATTTTTTTAATAGAAAAATTTTTTATGGAAAAAAATTTTTGATATATAAGTGATAATTATTATAATGAAATCTCGAGCTAATTCTATTTAATTGCTTTTTAAAACATAAATTTTCTAAATTAAATTAATATTTGTTTTCCAATTTTTGCAAATTAGGATTTTTTTTAAAATTTCGAAAAAAAAATTTTCTATAAAATTTATATATAAATTTTTTTTTTTAAAAAAAAAAATTAACCCCCCTCCGTGAGTGAACAAAATTTTTTTTTTGTCACTCACGGAGGGGGGGGGGAGTAAGCAATATTTATGGAAAGAATGCAAGAGCTGCATGATAAACAATAAAAAATATTTGGCTCTCAAAATAAGAGGAAAAAAAGTACGCTGCAAAATATAAAATGATTAAAGTGACGTAGAATAATCTAATATAAAAGACTAATAATAAATACAGGAAATTCCCTTAGAAAGGTCAACTTTAATTTGTTAAATAAAAGACCAAAAGTTACAAAGAAATATAAGAAAAGTGATTATGGATAAAATTATTAAAAATGGATGAAAAAAGTACACGTTTTTTCCATATGTGAAAAAAGAGTGAAAAAAGTACTCATAAAATTTTTAACAGTGCAAATTTTGAATGAAAAAAGTACAAAGGGAAAAAAAAAAACAGAGGGAAAAAGTACATTGACTTTTTATATGAAAATACTAATTTTTTAAATATGTTACCTTAAAATGAGAAGAACGCATCATTTAATTTTGCTGCATATATTAATTCTCACTCCCCCCTTAAATTGGAACAAAAAAATTGTTTCCCAATTTAAAGGGGGTTAATTTTTTTTTTTTAGAAAAAAATATCACTTAACTTAACTTAAACAGACGGGCTCGTGCCCTTAATTTTAACCAATCACCTAGGATCCCTTATGGGATTCATCAGCTTTGCGACATCACTCCCAAATAATATGGGAGCACTGATGCCTCCTTATTGTCTCTTATAAAAAGACTCCAGTGTTGAGTGGGCAGACTACGGGTTTGGAGGCTGAGGGAATACGAAGTTGGCATTCCGAAATTCCAAATAATGGAATTTCTGGTAGCCTGTGGCAAAAGGATAAAGACCAAATCCTGGGATGTAACGCCCAGTTTAACGCTAGGCAGTTGCCCGATTGGTCTAGGTATTACTTGTAGACTCTGCTGGGCTCGCCCTTTCCAAATCTGAACCCTCCTTACCTTCGAAGTAAAAACCAGTCTCGAATTTGGACTTGGGCTAGGTTCTGCGCTCGCTCCTGCATAATTAGTTGCCTAGCATTGCTGTTCATTTCAAGGCTAGAAAAACCTTGCCGGATATAATTAAAATATGAGTCGGAGGCTGTATGGCCGTGAGGCCATACCTAGACGAAGACGCTATATTTTAATTATCTAGAAAAAAAAAATAAAAATAAAAATTTCAAAATTTATATAAAAATTTTAAAAAAAAATATCAAAAATTTATCGAATAGATTAATAAATTTGTTTTAATAAAATGCTATTTACTCTTTATCCTTTAAAACAAAGCAATATATAACTAAATTTGCATTATTAGTTAATACGCCACTATTAATCGGTATCAAAAATTATTTACACAATATTATTATTTTTATTAATAAAAAAATAAAAAAAAAAAAATTTTAGAAAATTTATCGATCAAAGTGCTAATTTTGTTTAAATAAGATGCTATTATACTCTATTATTTTAAAATAAAGCAAGAAATAAGTAAATCTTTAAATTTTATAAAGAATTCCTATTGAATTTATATCAAAACTATTTAAATAAAAAATATCATTTTTATCAAAAAAAATCAATTCTTTTTTTTAAAATTTAGCAGTTAAGGATAATAAATTTATTTAAATAAGATGCTGTTTCAACTCTCTTCTTTAAACAAGAGCAAGATATTACTAAATTTTGAATTTTAGTTAAGAAGAAGCATTTAACTTATATTAAAACTTTTTAGATAAAAATTATATATAATGTTTTATTATAAAATTAAAAAATTTGTTCCAATTGAAGGAGCTAATTTACCAAAAAAGTGAAATTTTACCTATATTTGTTCCAATTTAAGGGGGGAGTGAGAATTAATATATGCAGCAAAATTAAATGATGCGTTCTTCTCATTTTAAGGTAAACATATTTAAAAAATTAGTATTTTCATATAAAAAGTCAATGTACTTTTTCCCTCTGTTTTTTTTTTCCCTTTGTACTTTTTTCATTCAAAATTTGCACTGTTAAAAATTTTATGAGTACTTTTTTCACTCTTTTTTCACATATGGAAAAAAACGTGTACTTTTTTTCATCCATTTTTAATAATTTTATCCATAATCACTTTTCTTATATTTCTTTGTAACTTTTGGTCTTTTATTTAACAAATTAAGTTGACCTTTCTAAGGGAATTTCCTGTATTTATTATTAGTCTTTTATATTAGATTATTCTACGTCACTTTAATCATTTTATATTTTGCAGCGTACTTTTTTCCTCTTATTTTGAGAGCCAAATATTTTTTATTGTTTATCATGCAGCTCTTGCATTCTTTCCATAAATATTGCTTAGTATTTATTATAATGCAATACAAGCTGTTTTATTATGCAATTTAACCTTGGCCTTTCTTTGCTTAAATTTACTTAGTCTTGATAGAATATTGATTTTTATATGTACTTTTTTCCTCTGCTTTGGCTGGTTTTTTTTCACCGTTTACTTTTTTCACCCCCTGTTTTTAAAAAATCGAAAAGTACCGTTTGTACTTTTTTTTTCACACTAAACGACCATTTTTAAAGTACACAGTCATTTTTGTAGGTTTTCGGAGGGGGTTGAAAAAAGTACAGTGTACTTTAATTAACCTCACCCAACAATTGGGCTCGAGTTTTCTTTTAATTTAGAATTTTACTAGATATTAAGGTTTTATCTGTTTCATTTATTAATTGCTCAAACAGCTCTTGGATGCCTTTTCCAGTCCTTGCGGACGTTTCCATTCATTTGATTTCGTGTTTTTCAACGAATTTTTTGATTGTTGACTTTTTAATTCTCCTATACCTTTTTGAATAATTATGTGGCTTTTTCTTAGCCAGTCTAGAAATTTATGAAGATTAATGCCTTAATTTTCTATAAAAAACATAATTTTTGAGATTAAAAGTCTATATTGCTTAATATTTATTATTGTATATCATCCTCTATGTCGCATTTGTTCCCAACTAATATTAATATACAATTTTGTTCACTTTTTTTAAGCTCTTGTATTCAATATTCACAAGAATTTAAAGAGTTCTCATTACACACATCATAAGTTATAATTGCAGCATTTGCACTTTTATAGTAAAGATACATCAAAGACTTGAAGCGTTCTTGTCCTCCTGTATCCCAAATATTAATATCAACCAGTCTGTTATCGTCAAGCTTCACATGTTTTTTCAATAGACAAGCTCCGAAAGTCTGCTCATAGCTTTCATTAAAAGTATTTTGCAAATATCTATAAACAATTGCGCTTTTGCCAACTCCTGGATCGCCGAGCAGGATTAATTTTATGTCAAATTGAATGCTTCCGTCGCTTTGAAATAATAAACTTGCTGTTTTAGTAGTAATGCTAAATAAGCAACCCATTTTCTCAAAATTTTTATTAATTCGAAATTGGTGAAACTTTAATTGATAAGTGCAGCATATTAAGGTAAGATTTTTTATTAATTTTATATCAGGGATTATAAAGGCTAGCAATGGAAAAATTTTTATATTTTTTAAAAATTTATGCATGAGAAACTATCGTAAAGTAATTTAAGAGTTTTTTAATTTTAAAGCTGGGATAGAAAAACTGCTTTAATTAATTATAAATGATGGAAAACAGTTTTATAGTGTTATGAATATACCATTTTATATTGATAAAGGATACTATTAATATTATTTTTTATATTATAAATAATTAATAATATTGAAAATAATTTATTTTAGATTATTTTATTGTTTTAATATACATAAAATGGCGTATGGCGACCGACCCGTCCTCTCAGTGACGGTTTCCATGCATATCCGGGCATGGTTTTTTGGAGGAGGAGGAGGAGAGGGTGGCCCAGCAATATCGGGATCCAAGTAGCGATGGGCATAAGCACAGACTCGCTAGTCGTGACCTGACCCTTGGGCAGTTTCCTTCAACTCCTTTTTTTCAAGCAGCACCCAAGCCAGTGGGCGCCCCAAATGGGGCAGGGCGACATACCTGCCCAAGCTGCTACGGTGGTCCACCCCGAATCGCGGAATCGGTTGAGTTCTTTTTGAAGGATGGCCTGGAAAGAGGGAGGTTGACTAGACGCCAAGCCTGTGGTACAGGTCTTAGGGCAGTCTCTCCAGTTGAAAAGGGTCCCTTTAATGGTACGATCTGGCCAGGGGTAAGCAGGAGTGGGGCAATATGGGCAAAGGGACTGAGTTAAAAATGATGACGCCCAGCGACGGTCTTCGGACCCAATAGGGCAACTACTACCAAGAAGCCAGGGGTTTCGGCCAGGGCTCAGAGGTATCAGAGGTGGAAGTCCACCCAATTTGCTTGGGCCACCACGTAGCCTTACGGCTGCGCATGATACTCCTCTCGGAAGTAGGGAATCTAAATACCCCATCGTTAATCTAATCTAATTTTTATTGTTTTAATGTAACTTACTGTATGAAGCCATCACATTTGATTTTAATTAATTTAACTCAGAAACTAAAATAATAAAATGGGCACATGTATGGCAGGAAAATCAAAAAAGAAACGCACGTATTTAAAGAGTCTCGGGCAGCTAAAAGTATCTCCAGGGACTTTCATCTCAGAAAGATTAGACAATTTCAACGACGAATATGAAATTGGTGATATGCTTGGAAGTGGGAAATTTTCAACAGTTTACCAATGCAGAGAGCGACGAAGCCAAAACCTGCGAGCTGTAAAAATTATTTCAAAAGGCGCGCTAGCCGAAGACCAAAAATCAACCGTAAACAAACTTCAAGAAATTTCCATAATGAAAAAACTAGACCATCCCAATATCCTAAAAGTCTACCAAATATTTGAAGATCACAAGAATTTTTACATTATAATGGAATATTGCTCAGGCGGAGAACTGTTTTCAAAAATTTCTAACTCCCCCCCCCCCCCTCCGTGAGCGAACAAAAAAATTTTGTTCGCTCACGGAGGGGGGTTTAATTTTTTTTTTAAAAAAAAAATTTATATATAAATTTTATAAAAAATATTTTTTTCGAAATTTAAAAAAATCCTAATTTGCAAAAATTGGGAAGCAAATATTAATTTAATTTGCAAAATTTATGTTTTAAAACGCAATTTGTTTAAAATTAAACAGAATTAGCTCTAGATTTCATTATACTAATTATCACTTATATATCAAAATTTTTTTCCATTAAAATTTTTTCTATTAAAAAATTTTTGTTCACTCACGGAGGGTGGGTTTTTGGTCAAAAAATGGCGATTTTTCTAATGGTTTTGTTCGCTCACGGAGGGGGGGGGGGAGTAAAGAACATTTTTTTTCTGAAAAAGAGGCTGCGAAAGTGATGTATGAGCTTCTATCTGCAGTTACATATTGCCACGAGCTTAATATCACACATAGGGATTTAAAACCTGAAAATATTCTTTTAGATGAAAAATCTGATGATTTTACTATAAAAGTGGCGGACTTTGGCAGTTCCGTATTTTTTGATATGAAAAAAAAGCTTTCAGGAATTTATGGATCACTTTTTTATGTAGCTCCAGAGGTATTGACTGGCTCTTATAATGAATTATGTGATGAATGAAGCTGTGGAGTCATTTTGTATGTGCTTTTATCAGGCCGTCCTCCGTTTACAGGGAAAAGTGAAGCAGAAATCCTTCATAATATCCGTTTTGGTGTTTTAATGACAGAAGGACAAAATTTTGACAGGGTTTCAGACGAGGCAAAAGACTTGATAAAGCAGCTTATAGATAGAAATTTAGATACAAGATTGAGGGCAAAAGAAGCATTAAATCACAGGTGAATTAAAAATAATAAATCCACCACACTTACTGAGCCGAATGCGCTTCATGATGTATTATTGAATTTGAGGTCGTTTAACTCGAATATTAAGCTGAAAAACGCGATAATTACGTTTATTTCAGCACAGCTTGTTACACACACAGAAACTAAAAAACTTCAAGATGCGTTTATGATGATGGATAAAGATGGAGATGGGAAAGTGAGCCAAAAAGAGTTGCTAGTTATATATAAAGAAGTTGTAGGAGGGATAAATCCAGAAAAAGATGTAGAGGAAATAATGAGAAATGTAGATACTGACAATAGTGGGTATATTGATTATACTGAGTTCATTCAAGCTGCTTTAAGTCATGAGATTCTTTTTTCTAAAAAGAACTTAGAAACAGCTTTTCGACTGTTTGATAAAGATGGAAGTGGGACCATTTCAGCCCAAGAATTAAGGGAGTGTTTATCAGATGGAAGACTGTCTGATGATTCATTATGGGAAAAAATAGTAGGAGAAGTAGACCAGAATGGAGACGGAGAAATCGATTTGCGAGAATTTCAAGAAATTTTGATGAAAAAAGTATAATCATTTTTAATTTTATGATTTTGCAAGGTGAGCTATGATTAAATTCACTTTTTCAAGTAGTTTTGTATTTTACTTTAGAGATATAAACAATTAAAATCTTTTAAGGCATTTGAATTTTTGCTATTTTAAATCAAGCCTAAAATAATCTCTAATTGTAAGGTTTTTAAGCCCAAAAGTATTTATTATGCAATTAATAATTATTAAATTGCAATATCTCATGAGCTTTAATATCTTTTCAATCCCTTGATTTCTCTTAGCTTCTCATGAATGTTTTATTTATTTATACGTAATTTAGAATAGTCTTGATTTTTCAATATAAAATCATTAGCTTAATAAAAATCTCTAAGCTCTATATCTTCTTATAATAATCATACTATCATAACTGCTAAATCTTCATATTGAGCATTAAAGTGATTTACATGTTAAAATAAGAAATATCCAACTCACCTTGCTTATTTTAGATTTAATTTATCTATATAAAATGGCCTATACACTTTGGGTTGGTCTATTACTGATTTCTTTTTCTTTTGCAGCAATTACAGAAGAAAATGATGTATGGGTCCTTAATGAGTCAAATTTCCAAGAAGCTTTAGACATCCAGCCAGACCTGCTAGTAGAATTTTATGCTCCATGGTGTGGACACTGCAAAAAGCTTGCCCCAGAATACGCAAAAGCAGCTAAAATCCTCAAATCCAAAACTCCATCAGTCAGAATTGCTAAAGTTGATGCTACACGAAACTCAAATCTTGCATCAGAGCATGGAATAGAAGGCTACCCTACCCTAAAATATTTCGTAAATAAAAAAGCTACTGAATACTCTGGCGGAAGAACCGAAGACACTATAGTCTCTTGGGTTTGGAAAAAAGCAGGGCCAGCTACTATAATTATTGACAATTTATCTGACCTTAAAAAACAATTAGAAAATGCTAAAGTTTCAGTCGTGCTTTTTGCTCAAAAAGATGCTGCTGAAGCAAGCATTTTCGAAAAAGTCGCTAAAAACTTCGAAGACCTTGAATTTTATTTGTCCACAGATTCTGCAGCTCTTCAAGAATATGGAGTTACTGAACCAAAAGTAATTTTGTTTAAACGATTTGACGATAAAGAAGACAGATATGATGGAGAATTTACCCAACCAGAATTGATACAATGGGTTGAGGGAAATAAAAAGCCATTGCTTATGAAATTTGATGACGCAGCAATTGAATATATTTTCACAAATCAGCACCCTTGTGTATTTTTATTCAGGTTTGAAAATGATACTGCTCAGTATCACCAAATGGTATCAAAAGTAGGGAAAGAATTTAAAAAAGACATTGCCTTTTCATATGCAGATCTTTCACTAATTTCATCTATTAAATAAAAAAAATTAATTTTTTAAAAAAATATTTTGGCTAATACAGATCTTGTTTTTTAAATTAGAAGAGGTAAGTGAAATGAAAAGACTTGGAGAATATTTAGGATTTGGCGTCAAAGATATGCCAACTGTTGCTATTGTGGACCACAAAGACGGGCTTAACAAATACAGAATATCTGAACCGCTAAGTGAGGTTTCAATAAAAACTTTCATTCAAGACTGGAAAGACCAAAAACTCACCCCATTTTTAAAATCAGATCCGATCCCAGATAACGAGTTTGACGGAAGCGTAAGAATTTTGGTCGGGAACAACTTTGAAAGCGTCGTTTATGACCCAACCAAAGACGTCCTCGTAGAGTTTTATGCGCCTTGGTGTGGCCATTGCCAAGCCCTTGCTCCTGATTATGAAAAACTTGCTGCTGAGCTTAAAAGTAACCCTAATATTATTATATCAAAAGTAGACGGCACTACAAATGAAGTCAAAGGCGTTAACATCTCATCATTCCCTACACTGAAATGGTTCCCTTCTAATAACAAAAAAGGTATAGATTTCGATGGAGAAAGAACTTATGATGGGCTGCTCAAGTTCGTGACTGAAAAAGCTACAGCCAAAACAGCTGAAAAAACAGATCTTTAATTATTTAGAATTATTTGTTTAAATTAATGATAAGCCCCTGCTGATATTTATTAGCTTTTTCTCAATTAAATCGGGGGATTTATTATCATCTGCTTATTTATGACTCAAAAATCTATTCCTTTCCCCTAAATTCCTACATCTCCAATAAAATTTCTCCTTTAGATATTCATATTTATCATAAATCAGCCAATCAGTTTTCACGTTAAGGATAAAAATTTAATTTAATCTTCATCACTTTCTTCAGATTCCTCTTTTTTCTCCTCTTCCTCTTCATCCTCAGCATGTCCTGACAAATTAGCTTTTTCTTGATTATATCTTTCTTTATCTTGGCTTGCTTTTTCTGCGTAAGGAGCCTTTTGGTCATTTGTTAGCTTGCCCCATTCTTGCCCGATAACTTTAGATTGCTCAGTGATTTTGAGATCTGGCTGCTCCTCTTTGAGTGTAACCCTTCTTTCTTGAGAATAAAACATAAAAGCTGATTTTGGCTTCTTCGGGCCATCTTTCTTTACCCTCTTCGATTTTTTAGCGACTCTTGCTTTTCCCGCTTTCTTACCCATAATAAATTATAATAATCAATGGTAAGCTGAAAAATCCAATTTTCGCCAGAAATTATTATCGGGGTTTTCTATTGGCGATAGCTATAATTAGGGCACTTCATATAAATAATAATAAAAATTCACCGTAATAAAATATTTCCTATCATTCTACATATATAAAAATTAAAATCTTGTTTTGTAATTTCCTTAAAAGCAGAAATTTATAAGCATTTCTATTTAATTTATTTTATATTCCTGCCACAATCTCAGCTGATTTTTAAAATTCTCATTTTACGATAATTAAAATGCTTCAAAACTTAGAAGTATCATGCTACTGTGGGACCAAACTAAGCGTTCAAAAAGGGCTGAAACATATGATGGGCTGCAGTGCATGAAAAAAAAAATCGTCTCTATATCGGGCTGCTGAAAAACAAGTAAAAGAAACTGGCAGCATCTCACTTTTAAGGCTGGAATGCGAAGCTTTAATGTATGCAGAATTTGACTTGTCTGCAAGCCCTTTGTCTCCAAAAAAAGTTGAAAATTCTTTCCCTGAGCCAATACTGCCCCCAGAGCTTCCGAGAATAAAGAACCCATTAGAAATAAAACCCAATAATTCAGATTTGATACAAATTCCGACAAGAAAAAAACAAGAAATCCCTGCTATCATCCCGAATTTCCCAGCTCCAATAGAGCCAGTCAAAAAAAGGAATCAACCTACATCAGAAGAAGAAAGTTTAAAGCTGATTATGGCTTTACAAAGAGAACAGGAAGAAGAAAAGCATCAGCAGACTAAGGACGAACTTATGTGTGAAATCTGCAGAAAAGTGTGGCCTGATATGACAAAAATGTTCTTTCCTGAATGCTGCCATATGATGTGTAAAGACCACATCATACAAACAATTGTACTCTCTCCCTTGATTTTTTTTTATTTATTATTTTTAAAATAAATTTTTATTATATAATTTATAGGGAAAGTTAGCTAGATACCCTACAAATACTAAAATTTCATGCCCTAAAGAAGGCTGTGAATATGTGTTGTGTAACGAAGAATTAGAAGACTTAATAGGGAAAAAAGAATTAGAAGAGCTAGGAAACAATTCTTTAAAAGAATTCATAGGCGAAGACGCTATCATAGTAGAATGCATCTGTGGGGTTTCTTCGATAGTAGACCCAGGAATTGTAGATTATACCTATAAAGATGAAAATGGAGCTGGCATATCTAGAGAAGCTGCAGAACACATGGCAAAATACCGATTCCGCTGTGCAGCTTGCAACCGCGTTATTTGTGCAAAATGCAAAGTCGAGCCTTATCATCTTGGAAAAACCTGTGAAGAGCACCAAAATTTCAAAAAATCCAAACATTGCCGATACTGTCAAAAAGTTGTGCATTCTTCTAGGCCAGTCTGCAAAGACCCAGTATGCAGAGCCCGCTACAGAACGGCTTGTCGCAAAGTCCATTCCTGTGGACATCAGTGCTTTGGGGTAAAACATGAAGCTGAATGCCTTCCTTGTATTGCTGATGGCTGTGGTAGCATTGCTAATGAGAACGATTATTGTACAATTTGTTATACAGAAGGACTCGGAGCTGCTCCTTGTGTCCAGCTAGAATGTGGCCACGTTCTTCATTATCATTGTGTCCTAACTTCATTAGAAAAACGATGGGTAGGACCAAGAATTACTTTTAATTTCGCGAAATGCCCATCTTGTAAAACCTGGGCAAATGCCCCAAATAATGAAAAAATCTCTATCAAAATGGCAGAAATTATTGATTTATATAATGATATTGTAGGAAAAGCTGTAAAAAGGCTGAAATTTGAAGGTATGGAAAAAGATGCAAGGCTGACGAACCCAGAAGACCATTATTATAAGCAGCCAGAAAAATACGCGATGGACAGGTTTGCGTATTATGAGTGTTTTAAATGCAAGAAGCCGTATTTTGGAGGTAAAAAAGAATGTGAGCAGAATATGGATAGAGGAAATTATGAGGCTTCTGAGCTTGTATGTCCTGGATGTGCTGCTGTAGGATTGGAAGGACAGAACTGTAGCATGCATGGACTGGAATTTATTGAATTTAAATGCAAATTCTGCTGTAATATTGCAGCGTGGTTCTGCTGGGGGAATACTCATTTTTGTGATTCGTGCCATACTCAGCAAAATGAAGGGAATTATCTGACCAAAAAGAAAAGAGAAGAACTCCCGAAATGCCCAGGACCAAGCCTATGTCCGCTGAAAATTAGACACCCTGCTAATGGAGAAGAGTTTGCATTGGGGTGCTCCATTTGTAGGAATCTCAGAGCAAATGAGCTTGGATTTTAGATTAATGCTACCCTAATTTTAAATCAAATAATTCTTATTATAAAAATTAATAAGCCATTAAACAGCTCTGATTTTTGTACAAATAATATGATATTTTCTATGAATTTATACAATTAATTGCTTATTTTTCTGAAAAAATCTTTGAATTATAGCATTATAATAATATTAAACTTAGCGAAAACAGAAATTTTTACAATTGTATAATCTATTAACATTAACTGCACAATATATCTTTGGACGTCTTCTAGTGCCCTATAGAGCAGCGCCTAAATTTCAATCTGGCTTATTCCTCTTTTAGGAATGCAGTTAGGAAACCCAAATTTAGAAAAGCAAATAGGAAATTAATTTTTTTAAAAAAATAAATGCAATATCAGACCCAAAGGTTGCATTCAATAGATTACTAAAATTAATCTAATGGTATATGTGGCTATTAATATAAATATTTGAAAGGATGCTGTCCAAAGTTCTAAAAACGTTCTCAAGTCGCACTCCTTTCAGACAAATGAGCTCAGGGCCTTCAACAGAGCCTAATTTCTTGGAAATGGTCAACATGTATTTCGACAAAGCAGCAAAACATACAGATATAAAGCCAGAAGTCTTGGAGCTGATTAAAACATGTGATACTGTATTACGTGTAACCCTTCCTCTCAAGAAAGATGATGGGTCTATTAAATACTATAAAGCTTATAGAGCACAGCATTCTCATCATAGGCTGCCTTGCAAAGGAGGTACAAGATATGCATTGGATGTTGATCTTAATGAGGTTGAAGCTCTTTCTTTCCTTATGACACTCAAATGTGCATGTGTGAACTTACCATTTGGAGGAGGGAAAGGAGGAATTACTGTGGACCCTAACTAATCTTTTTAAATTGGAACAAAAAGATTGCTCAAATATAAGGAGATGGAAACTATTTAAAATTTTTTAATAAAAATTAAATTATAAATCCCGCTCACCTTTAAAGAAGAGCAAGATATAGGCAAATTTCTGATTTTGATGAAAATTAAATCAAAACCGTTCATATAAGGGTTTTTTTTTACCTAAATATATTACCAATTAAAGGGTCTACTTATGGAAATCGAAATTTACCAATATTTTTCCAATTTAAAAGGGGAGTAAGACTCTTTCACTTGGTGAAAGAGAAAGATTGACAAGGAGATATGCATTGGAATTGAGCAAAAAAGGGTTTTTAAGTCCTGCTGCTGATGTGCCAGGACCTGATCTTGGGACTGGAGAGCTTGAAATGGCATGGATGATGGATACTTATAAATCACTAAATCCAACAAACTTAAATGCTGTTGCTTGTACCACTGGAAAGCCATTGGAAATGGGAGGTATCCCAGGCAGAGCAGAATCCACAGGGCTTGGGCTTTATTATGCATTAAGAGAATTTTTGAGAGACAAAAAATATACTGATAAGGTTGAACTTCCTACTGGAATCAATGGCAAAAAAGTATTCGATTTTATAAGAATTTTGTAATATACATATACATGATATTTAATTATCTATTATTAATCAACATATGACTTATTTTTACGAAAAAAAATACTGGTATTGATAATAAAAAATCCTATTTTTTATAAAGAAGCATATTAAAGTTATTTTTTTATAGTGTAAACATTCAATTAAACTCCAATAATTGTCCAAGGATTCGGTAATGTCGGCTATTGGGCTTGCCACTTCCTCCAAAAAGATGGTGCCAAAATCCTTGGTGTTATCGAGCCAAGCGGCAGTGTATTTAATGAAAACGGCATTGACGTCGACGACCTGAAAGCTTTCATGATCCAGCACAAAACTCTCAAAGGCTACCCCAAAGCAGAGCTCGTCGAAAACGGCCAAGAAGTTTTCACCAGAAAAACCGATATCATAATCCCAGCAGCCGTCGAACGATCAGTACACGGCAGCAACGCTCCAAACTTCAATTGTAAAATCCTCGCCGAAGGCGCTAACGGCCCTACCACTCCTCTCGGTGAAGAAGCCCTCGAGAAAAAAGGCGTCCTGGTGCTCCCTGACCTTCTCATGAACGCAGGCGGTGTTACAGTTTCCTTCTTCGAGTACGTCAAAAACCTTGGACACATCAAGCCTGGCCTGCTTACCAAAAGATGGCAAGGAAAACGTAACAGAAGCATAATAGAAGCCATCGCCACCTTAAAAGGCATCTCCCATGAAGAACTTGAAGCCAAAAGTGCTGACTGGAAAAAACTCGCAGAAGGTGCCAGTGAGCTTGACCTGGTCTACTCTGGCCTTGAACAAATCATGAGTGAAGCCGTCCAAGAAACAAAAGAAACCAGCGAACGCCTTGGAGTGAACCTCAGAATTGCAGCCTATGTAAATTCCTTGCAAAGAATTGACGATGCTACACTCAAAGGGACTATAGGACTCTAATAATAAATCTATTCAAATATTCTTCGTTAATAAAATGAGTAGAAGTCTCAGTCCAAAGCGAAAACTTGTAGAGCAGAGCTCCAAGATCCAGCACGAAATTTCGCAGAAATATTTAATTGACTCCAGCGCGTCTGTGTTTTATAAAACAAATTTCTTTGACACTTTGAAAGAACCTTTAAATGAGTCAATTCAAAGGAGAGTGGAACAGAAAAGAAACCCAATGTCAGGGATGAGCCTGGTTATACCAAACATTGAAGCTAGCAAGGCATCACAGATTGGGGGGATTGCCCAGGAGTTTTTGAGAAATACACAAAAACTGAATCCGAGGATTCTGGAAGCGTGAATTAACAATACAGTTGCAGATGCGGAGCAGCTAGATATACCAGGGTGTGTAATCAAGCCAGAAAATAGGCTGCCACTTATTAGGTATGGGATTGACCGAACAAGCTTGCTGAATGCAGGGCTGCCTCCTCAAGAGGTAGATCGGCTATATAGGTCTTTATTTGTGTACTCAATAGGCTTTTATCAGATGATCCTCAAAGTATTAGAGCACACTGATAAGAAGTACACAATTGTGGCAGGGATTTGAAAAGTTTTCGCGATTTTGTTAGAATATTGCTGCCAATTAGACTATCAGATGATTATTACGACTTTAAATCTGGAAAAAAGGGAAGAGTTAGAGCAGCTAGAAGAAGAATATAAAAAACAGATTTCCCAGATGGAAGAGCACGAAAGGCAGCTACTAGACAATATAAGCCAAACTAGAGCCCAATTGTTGCAAGTCCAAAGAGATCTGCAAAAAGAAATACAAAAAAGAGAAGAACTTGAAGACGAAATTATGCAGAGAGGCTCAGGACATGAAGAAGAAGTAGCAATGAGGCTGCAGTTTGAAAGCAAATTAAACCAAATGTTCGCTAAACAAAGGGATATGCAGACTAGAATGGCGCAGCTAATAGAAACTATTAATGAGCAGCAGAGGCAGATTGAGATGAAAACTGAAAATTTAAATAAGGAAAAGAAAAGAATTGGCGAGCTTTCTCAGCACAAAATTGAGCTTGAACAAGAAGTCAAAAGACTTGAAGAAAAAATCAGGCAGCTTGAAGGGCTTAATAACAATTTAGAATCAAGACTTACTGAGAGCTTTAAAAAAAATGAAGAAACCAGTACCCAGCTAAGCAATTTCCATACTCTTTATAATGAATCTTTAAATGAGCTTGCCCAAAAAAGAATAGAAATTGATATACCTTTTTTTATTTATATATGACCAGTCTATATTCTATAAAAAAAATTTTTATTTAATATGATTTATTTTTAATTTAAAATTTGAAGTAGAAGTCACCAAAGTCCAAGTCTCAAAACTCGAAAGCTTAATTGAAGAACTTAAAAATGAACGTGAATTATATACAAAAAGAATAGCTGAAATAGAAAATTCTTATAATGAAGAATGCGAAAAACATCAGCATTTTGAACAAGAATATGTCAGAATTAAGGAGTCAGACTCAATGAAAACACTAGAGCTGTTTAAATTTCGAGAAAAATCTGAAAAATTCGAAAAATTGTCACATGAGCTGGAAAAAGAAAGGGATAAGCTAAAAGTCCAGCTGGAAAGTGCTACAGAAATCGCTGAAGAATATAAAATACAGGTAAAAAGAGCTCAAGAAAGAATAGAAGAAATGAACCGAGGGAGGAGAATTGTAGAAGAACAAAATGAAAATTTAACTGCAAGACTTGCCGAAAGATCTGAAGAGCTTAAAGATTTAAGAACCCAATATAACGAAAACAAAGGAGAGCTGGAAAGATACAAAACCAGAGAATCCGAGCTGCAAACTGAAATAGCGACTCTACAAATAAAAATCCAAAGCCTCGAAAAACAGTTTGAAACCAATAAAGAAACCTTACAAGAAAAAATAAAAAGTCTGACTGACATTTTGGCTTCAGAAAAAAAAATCAGGGAAAATTGGATTTATAGGTATGAGGAGGAACAAAAAATCCATTCGCAGACCACAAAAGAACTGATGGACGCACAAGATGAATGCAATGAAGGGCAATTAAAAATAAACTCATTGAAATCTTTAGCTGAAGAAAGAAATACACAACTAGAGAAAGCAAAAGCAAAAGCCCAGGAGCTGCTAGAAGAAGTGCTAGAATTAAGGTCGCAGCATGAAGAACTGGGAAGGAAAAATAAAACTTTGCAAATGCTACTAGACGCTGTAGATGCTGAAAATAAAGCAAAGCTAGATGAACTGGAAAATGAAATAGAAGAAATCAAAGTAAGCCATGGAATTCAGACAGAAATATTGAAAATGGGTATTGAAGATGTTTGGTCACAAGCTAATTTCAGCTATGAAAAATTAGGAGAAACTGCGAAAAATTTAGAAAAAACCCAAAAAAATCTAGAAATTACAGAAAAATCATTGGATAATGAAAAAGAACAGATGGAGGACCTTACTGAGAGACTGGAAAATAAAATGATGGAGGTTGAAGAATATCGGCATTTAGTCGTTGAACAATGTGAAAAAATAGTTATCACTAGTGATAAATTAGAAGAAACTGCCACAAAATTTGAAGAACTGAAAAAGGAGCACCAAGATTTCATAGATTTGATACCAGAAAATCTTAAAAATGAGGCAGATCCTTTTAAAATATTGATAAACGAAATTGAAGAAAAAAAAGCTCAAATTGAAGAAATTGAAGCTATTAAGGCAGCTATGCAAGATATTGAAGTGCAATATGACTATGAGCCTGAGATTACAGATCAGAACACCCAAACTGAAATAGGATCATCATTTTTCGATAAACTTACCAAGCCAAAAACTCCAGGAACCAGTAAATCTGGGTCTTCACAAGTGAACCAAGGATTTTTCAATTCGTCGCGAAACAATATGAATAAAGACAGTTCAGGATTTTCGCTGATTTCAGATGCAAATGAGTTTCCTCTTACTTTATATATAAATTTTATAGTGAAATAGTTTTTTTTCGAATTTAAAAAAAATCCCAATTGGAAAGCAGATATTTATTAATTTGTAAAATTTATGTTTTAAAATGCAAGCTGTTTAAAATTAAACAGAATTAGCTCGAGATTTTATTATATTAATTATCTATTATATATCAATATATTTTTTTCCTAAAACAATGCTATATTAAAAATTTTTTTAGCTTATGGAGGGTGAGTTTTTTGGCAAAAAATAGGGATTTACCAATGATTTTTGTTCACTTATTGAGGGGGAGTCAGGAAAAAACTAGAAGAAGAAAATGATATAATAAAAAGAGCAAGCAAAGCAACGGTTATAAGTAAAGACTCAAATATAAGAGAAGAGCTAACTCCAGTACATTTAAGCAGTATGTACAAGCATGAAACTAGCAGATCTTTTACAGGGGAAGGGGAAGATAGCATGGAGCAGACTCCAAGAAGTGGCGATGTGAAATTGCCAAGCATAGGCAAAAAAAATCCAAAGCCTCCAAGTCAGCCAAATCCTCTTATTCTAGGAGGAGGACCTCCTGATATAAAGAGATATATAAAGCAAGCAGTCTCAAGGAGAAAAAATGATGTTAACTTTTTGTAGTTTAAATTAATATTTTCAATTTTATCTATGACTGGAAATTATTCAGGTAAACTGTTAAAATTTATATTTCACTATATAGAATCAAAATCATATATTAAAATATGAGGTAAAACGGGCTACAGCAGTAAAAAGAATTTTGTTTTTTAAAAAATCAAATGATTACAAAAAATTAATTATCCAGAACTCACTCCCTTCACAAGTCTAAATCAGCTAAAAAAATTCAAATTAATTTTCGCTAAATAAGAAATCTCTTATTTATTTTATTATTCCCAAATTCAAAAAACTGTTAACATTTTTGAAAATTTTCCTATCATATTTGATCCAACCTAATTGTTATAATTTAAATGGACTCTTGTCGAGAGCACAAACATCACAGCTCAAGCAGTTCTGCCCGCAAAGATCCCAAAAACAATACACGACCTGCTAATTCTTTTTCTCTTGACCCATCTTCTCCAACAAAAAAGCTCAACTCCAACTATGAAGAATTTCAAGCTAACAAAGAAAATGAAGCAGACCAGGCAGAGAAACCTGACCTTACTTTTCTTTTTAATCCTCTCCGAGATGAAGTAAAGCCATATAGCTTATATCCCTTTATAGATTTTCTTTATCGTGCAAAATGTACTGGATTATTAAACGACTAAGAGAGACTCTATTAAAGGAACAGGCTGGATATCTATATCAAGAAGTGCTAAAAAGTGACATGTCAAAAAATGGTGACAAGTCTGAAAAAAGTTGACAAGCAAACGCGCCAAATTTTTTAAAATGGATTTATTATTAAAATAATTTAAAACTTAAGATACCCAATTAGATAAAAGATATAATTGCACATTATATATTGGCTTTAAATATTTTGATTTTCATATATATTTAAATTTAATAATAGCTGTAAAAATCAAAAACTTGCAACTCAATGTGCATTTTTTCCGGCTCGATAGAATTTCTTTATTTTATGCTAATTTATTTATGAAGACTAGAGCTATAATTTGCAAAGTGCGTGGCTTGTGATTCTCAATATATACAAAGTTCTTATCGACTCATATGAGAAGTATTTAGCAAAAATTCAATATGACTTATAAGTGAAAATCAAAAATTTGCAACTCAATGTGCATTTTTCCGGCTCGATATAATTTCTTATTTTAGTGCTAAATTTATTTATGAAGACTAGAGCTATAATTTGCAAAGTGCGTGGCTTGTGTATCTCAAAATATACAAAGTTCTTATCGACTTATATGATGTGTACTTAGCATAATTAAATATTGATTTAAAATTAAAATATCTTAAGTTTTAAATTATTTTAATAATAAATCCATTATAAAAATTGACGCGTTTACTTGTCAACTTTTTTCAGACTTGTCACCATTTTTTGACATGTCACTTTTTAGCACTTCCTGATATAGATATCCAGCCCGTTCCTTTAATAGAGTCTCTCTTGGTCGTTTAATAATCCAGTACATTTTGCACGATAAAGAAATCTATAAAGGGGTATGAGCTATACCATTTAGATGGCGATACTTCAATGTATACTCTATTATAAAGAATTTTTGTTTATAAATTACCTTTAAAAATATTCAGTTTAAAGCAGAATATACAGAATCCTCAATCGTTAGCAGAGCCAATCTTAAATCCGAGCCAATGGTCATTGAGAGCATCAATGACTTTATGGACCTGTACCAATCAGACAACAAAGGCTTCATTGGTCGCAAAGAATATGAAAGAATGTACAATAAGATCTGCTCAGTTTTACGTATCAGCATCGACCCGAGCGAAAAACGCAAAATTTTAGACGACGACTGGAAAAAAGACTCAAGAGGCCAAGATAAAATGTCAAGGGAAATGCTTTTTGACGCCATGTTCGAGCTTTGTGACGTCTGGTGTCCACATATAGACCCAGTTGAGTACAAAGAATTTTTCAGCCAAATAAAATTCCGAATCAGATATGAAGGCTATAAAGACAGCTCTGCTTATGATATAATAAGTTAATTTTATAAAAATCATAATTAATTGCCAAAATTAGGCTTCATAAGCCACTGAATTAAATCTGATATATATTAAATGGTAAAAAGACAACCCCTAGTGGTCGTTTTGCTTAGTGTGCCTTTTAGAGTGGCTGTGGGGATTAGGCAGCATACAGGAAAAGTGGTGCGATGGGCTTCTGAAGCTATTATACAGTTTATTTTAGGCTTGCTGATGATTTTTAACTTTAGAAGTGGGTTTACTCAGCTTGCAATCAGCGGAGTTTTCAGAGTGCTCATTTTAAGCTCATTTATGTCTGGAATAGTTTATTCTTATGTGTTAGGATTAAAAAGACTTTGGTATGAAGATCACCCTGTTTTATCTGGCTTGATAGTTATAGCTGAGCTAATCCTAGCAGCTTATGTGCTTAAAAAAGGGTGGGGTATGGTATTGCCGAATACTAAAGCAAAATATAATTTAGCATGTCTTATAGATTTGAGTAAAATAATTGTGATTTATTGGTATTCCTATTTATATTGTAAAATAGGCATTTTTTATTAATAATTAGTCATATATATATATAATTGATATAGTTCGCCAAGGGTTTAAAGACCTTGCATCAGCTATTCTCACTGTTCTTACTATTTGTACATTGGTAGGAATACCAAATCTTAAGAATAGTCCTAAAGATGCTGATAAATATTTCATATTTGTCCTCAAAGCTTTCTCATTAGGAATTGCGAATATTGTGGAGCTTCCTTTTATTATACTCCTAATTGCGTTCCCTTGAAGACTATTTATGTTCTTTTCTGAAGCCCCAAAACTACAAAGCAAAAATAAAAGAATAATGCTGGCTTTACATTATTTTGTCGATGGGATTATAGATATCCCATTTATAGCGATTTTACTAATCCTTTTGGCGACATTAGTCAAGGCAAGTTCTATGATTAAGATTATTAAAGAAGGCAGACTTTCTAGATCCCTTATTTTTGAGCACTTTTTTATTCTGATTTTAGATGTGATTACATTAATTCTAGGAGCCATTATTTTCTGTGGAATTTTAAGGTCTAAAGCTTTATACAAATCAATACGTATAGATCTGGCAAGAAGAGGGGGTGATAGAAGACATTTACTTGGAGATATGGTTACTCATCCCTAGTAAAAGAACAAAATCATTGGAGAAATCCCAATTTTTTATATAAAACCTGCCCTACGTGGGCGAGCAATAATTTTTTATGAAAAAATAAATAATATAAGTGGTAATTATTATAATGAAATTTCTAGCTAAATCTGTTTAATTTTAAACAGCTTGCATTTTAAACATAAACTTTATAAGTTAAATTAATATTTGCTTTAAAATTATTTTGATTTGAGATTTTTTAAAAAATAACTCTTATCCATAAAGCACAAGTTTTTTTGTTCGCACATTGAGGGGGTTATACATTTACTTGATACTATTTTATTTATCCCAGGGTGCATTATTTTCCTAGCAGTTTTAATTCCAGTGTATAGATTAAAATATATGCTTAATTATTTTGATTAAAGTCTTCTACACTGGTCCAGGATTTACTATAAAAATTAAGGCAGCGTTAATCAAGCATAAAATCTAGCTTATTCAATTAGGTATATACACTTTGATTTTGACAAAATTGCTAGCAATAGTGAAGATTATCAAAAATTCCTCTATGAGCTTTTATTACAAATCCCTGAAGAAATTTCTGATTTATTCCATATTGTGCTACTTTTAACCAGCATAGTATTTTTCTGAAGATTTTTCCCATTTATTCTGACTTTTAGATTTGGGAATGACTGGCATAAAGATGTCCTCAAACTTTTCAAAAGAGGAATTTCTGACATTCCTGCAGGTCTGCTAGGCTGCTTTATTTTAGTTACTATATATAGAATCCCATTAGCAATAAGAAGAAAAAGACAGCACGAATATTGGTTTTTGTTAATGATGGATGTGACAAAAGAAATTTTGAAGGATTTTTTGACTCTTCCTTATTTTCTTGTAAAATTGGTATGTCCTTGGAGACTTATTCCTACCATGATCCAGATATGAAAAACAAATATTCCTAAAGAGCAAAGAAAAATAATGAAACAAGATGGGCTGAGGCCTTTAGAAGACTATCTTACCTTCATCTTTGTGATTATCCTGATTCTATCAATATGAAGAACTGCAGAAATAATTTCCTTACTCCCCCACCTCCTTTAGAAAAAATTTTTAGCTCACTTAAGGAAGGGTTAATTTTTCTTTTTTTAAAATTTATGTATAATTTTTATTTCAATTTTTTTTTTGAAATGTTAAAAAGTCCACATTCGAAATAATTTTAAAGCAAATATTAATCTAACTTGTAAAATTTATGTTTTAAAATGCAGGCTGTTTAAAATTCAACAGAAATAGCTAGAAATTTCATTATATTAATTATTAATTATATATCAAAATATATCTTCTTAAAAATATATATTTACTCAAGGAGGGTAGGTTTTAGACCAAAAAAATAAAGATTTTTCTAATGGTTTTGTTCGCTCACAGAGAACATGGGAGTTAGTGGTCTCGCATATTCGCCAAGTCATAAACCATGAAAAAGTTACATCATCCTTATTCAGAAAAGTCTTCAGAAAATTCTGCCAGCTTTTAATAGACTCTCTGATGCTAATTATGATGACTTTAATTTTCGTCATGATAATAGAACTCCCTAACTTTTTTAGAAGAATGCGTTCTTTCTACTATTTATATAAAGAAAGAAGAGGGATACAGTTTTTGATATACATTCAATCATTATTCCCATCTAAACCAGTCGTCAAAGAGAAAAAAGAGCATATAAATAAATTCAACAAAAATGTTTTTACTAATGTTTGCAGCTTTTTGGATATAAAAACATTAGGAAATGTGGCCCAAGCAAATAAGAAATTCAAAGATTTAGTATCATTCCCACCTGTATGGAAAGAACAGTATGAAAAATACTGGAAAAGCCATATACCTGCTAGCTCAGTAAGAGAAATCGCATGGGACGATGACTATAAAAAACTTGCAATCGAAGGCTATACGAATTTTATTGAAAAAAATAAAGACGTTATATTAGATGAACAAGAAAGAGATTATAGGATGGGCGCGAGGGCTATTGTACTAGAAGAGTTTGTGCTGACTTCCTCTCCACGAGCGGACAAAAAAAATTTTATTGGCTACAGAGGGGGTTAATTTTTAAAAAATTTATAGAGAAAAATCACGATTAGAAATGGAAAATAAATTTGATTTGCAAAATGTATGTTTAAAAAAAGAAAAGTCAAACAGAATTAGCTCGAGATTTCATTATATTTTATTCTTAAAAATTTTTATTCACTCATGGTAGGTGGGTTTTTGCCTAAAAATAAGGACTTTTCCAAAGGATTTGTTCACTCATAGAGCGGAGAGTGAGCATTTTCGGTTTTCCTCATATTATAGCTTTACCTGCTAAAGCTGTAGTTTATATCTTGTCAAAAATTGATTATGATAAATATTTCCAAGGACCAAGATATTCTAGGTTATTTTCATTTGAAATTTGGGTAAGTCCAGGTGAAAATATCACAATGTTTTATAATTCTTGTAAGAGTGGGGTAAAACCAGACGAAGACACTTTAAAGAGCTTTTATCATATTCAATTGAACTGTCTTTATATTATTATGTGCATTGTTATGATTATTGTGGAGCAGATCTCATTTTTTACTTGTGCATTTGATTTTTTGCTGTTAAGAATATTTTCATTTGGCACTGCTATTCCGTTAAATGTATTTGCAGGTCAAAGAAATGCGCAGCAGTTATGGGCTTTTCAATATGCACTGCAGCTGATAGCTGCATTAGTAATTATAGCTTTAAAGATAGGAATATTAGTATTCCCATTTATGATGTCCTATAAATTCACTAATTACACTATTATAGGCTGTGTTTTTGGTCCAGCATATATAAATGTATTAGCTTATTTGGTGATCTATGTGAATTTAATAACAGCTTATAGATACTTCAGCCATTTCCAACAATTTAGACCTCACTTAGCAGGATACTTTATATTTGTTTTTGCTAATAAAGGAATTGATATTGGAGCTATTTTATTGAAATCTTTAATAGCAATTGTGAAAGGTGTATGGAGACTAATTTCAGAATTTGTAAGAGGACTTAATCGTCACCTTTTCTGAGTATATATAAATTATTATTTATTTTAAAATTTTTTATAATTAAAAGGTATTTTTAGAAGATTAATAAAAATTTATAGTATTTTTTAATAAAAAAATAATCAAGAAAAATTTAATACGCAGAGTTACTGTATTTTTACCAAAAGGACAGATTTTTTACCTTTATAAAGCAATTTTAATTTCTAGTGGTGGGACTCTTAAAAACTGGGGATATATAGGAGATTTAATATACACTCCTTTAGTTCTTGCTTGGATATTTTGGCCAATAGCAATTCCATATATATTTGGAAACTGATATCTTATATTATCATAGTAATAAATGGCTTTGGATGAAAACTTAATTTACTCCGTGAGTTCCTTTTCCCTCAACCAACTTTATTATTATGGGGTTAGGTTTTTACTATACAAGAGTAGAAAATGTAGAGGAATCTTATACTTCGCCACCTTGTGCATTATCAGCGATAAGATAGAGAAAAAAGCATCTAGCGACACTGAGCATCTAGATGCCCAACTAGAAGTTAGCTAAATTAAGCTAATTGATTGATATCTTATATTACCAATTTTCCCAGTTGTAATATTTTTACTGATTAAAGGTTATGCAATTGCTAAAAATTCATGGGACGATAAAGAGTAAATATATTAAGGTTAATAGATTTATTAATGGCTATACGTGAATAATTCAAATTATTAATCTGATCAAAAAAATGGCTTATTAATTGCATATGCGATAACTCTCTATTTAATTTTCGATTTAAATAAAAAGATTTAATCAATAAGCACTTGCAATAAATATTCAAATTAATTAGACGTGCATCTTCTGCAGCTTTTAAATTAATAAGTATTTAAATTTATAAAAGAAAATCAATATTTTCAAAGTATTTAACATTGAACACTTGATAAAATTTTAGCTTTTATTATAAGTTTGATTTATCTTAAACAGCTATTTTCGAAATAAAAACTTTTTATCTAAATTTGCATTTAAAATACAAAAAAGCATGGCAATGCTGAATAATTTTGCAAAATTTAAATTTTTTGCCTATTCTAGTACAGGTCGGAGGATATGTGATTTCACTTTTGAATATAATAAGTTTTTGGACGCAATTTCATGTAATCCTTTAGCTTTAAAAAAATACTAATTTTAAATTCAAATTAATGTAAAAAGTCAAACGATTTGTTGAATTTAACTGTTTATCATTAAAAGTGTCAAAAAATTAAAAACAGCTTCAATATTGTTATTTCTCTTTGCAGATGTTTCGATATAAACAATATTTAAATTATCTGCTAACTCTTTTGCTTCATCATAAGAAACTTGCCTTTCGCTTTCTAAATCGCATTTATTTCCTACTAAAACTATAGGTGTATTAGAGCTTATACTGCTCTTTGCTGTCTCATATCACCCGTTAACAGAATTAAATGATTTTCTATTTGTTATATCAAATACAAGAAAAATTCCATCCTTAGGCCTTAATTGTGTCGGCAAGGAAGTATTGAACCTTCTATCGACGTTATAATCTCAGATTTGGAGCTTAATAGTTTTTCCTAGCATTTTAACTGTGTGAAATTTAAAATCAAATCTCCCTGCTGTGTATGCATATTCATGATAAATCTTGTCACAGTATCTAATTAATATACTTGACTTGCCGCACCCATAGTCTCCAATGAAAATTACTTTGAAAATGAAATCATAGTCTTTTGCCTTCATGATTGACTTTTGCTTTATAAGACTAGACTTGTTTTTAATAAATTTCCATTTTTAGATAGACTGTTTAAAAAAAATTTATTGAGGTAACCGATCTATTTATGCTTGTTATGATAAGACTTCATAATTTTTTGATCCAGCACTAACTTTCCCCCTCCGTGAGCGAACAAAAAAATCTTGTAGCTCGCGGAGGGGGTTAATTTTTTTTTTAAAATCATTATATATAAATTTTATAGAATTTTTTTTTTTTAAAAAAATCCCACACTTCGCAAAAATTGGAAAGCAAGCATTAATTAATTTGTAAAATTTTTTTTAGAACGCAATTTGTTTTTTTGTTTGTTTGATCACGGGGGATTTTTCTAATGGTTTTGTTCGCTAACGGAGTGGGAAGAGTAAGGAAAGGTCCGATTTTATAAAATTTCAGTAAATCAATTAAATATTATTATATAAAGAAGTCAGATCAGTAAACTTGCATGAGATTCACTTCATTAGAAGAGAAAATTGAAACATCATCATTTAATTTTCCTCAAAAATTTTTTAAAAGCAAATTGACGATCGTTTGTTGGCTTTTCACAAGCTTTGGCGTACCATGAAGAATTATGACTAATATACCTTTAGCTAACTTTCATTAGTTAAGTAGACTAGTGATTCATTCAAAATTGGCCTTGAATTTTGAATCATTATTGTAACCGCTATTAGCCAATTGTGGATTGCCATAATCCCAATAAATCTGTGATAGCTAATATTAAGGTAATATGTTATCAATATAAATGCTTATTAGTTAAATTTTAGTAATTCCTTCCTCCTTAATGACATTAAATCTATGCATTCTTCTGCCTTTCTTCCTCCCATGAGTCCTTGCCTTATGATAGTGCTGTAGGTAGCACATCTGGCATTTACCTTTTGCATAGTGTTGACGGTCTTGATGGGGACAAGCCCAAGCTTGCTTGTCCCTTCCAAGTCTGTGGTAGCAGTTGTTGCACATATTCTTCGCATAATGTTTGCGATCGGTATGCGGACAAGCTGTGATTTCCTTGGCTTTCCGCTTTCCTTCGTCCTCTAGCTTATAAGAGGAATCAATGGTGTGGTGGTCAACATCCTCCGAAGTAGGAGGTCTTCCGATAAAAGACAGTCCTGGCAAGTTTAGACTTACCGGCCACTGTCCTTCTATTGCCATTGGTGACAACAGGGAAAACATGTTCATGAAAACATTTTGTTGGACTTCTTCATATGAAAGTATTGGTATATTTTTCATATTATAGTGATATTTATACCAAATAAATGATAATCATCATATTATTTGAACGATAATAATATAGGTGCGATTTTTTAAGGGGAAGTTCAAATTTCTAATGACATTGAAATTATTTAATATATTATTTATTAATTATTTGCAATTTTAGAGAGTCTTAATTCTTCCTATTAAGAAAGAGTAATTTAAAGTTAGATATTTTAGAGATATGTTATAAATTTTTAGATTAAATGCATTTTTAATTTTCTCTAAAAATATCATTATTCGTTATTAAAAGCACCGAGATTTTTTCTTTCTTAATTGCGAGAGTAAGTAAAATTAATTGGGTTTGTGAAAAAATATTTTTGTTTCTGATGAGGGAGCTTTATATGGAAATCCATTTCTGTTTTTTATAATTTTAGGTTTTATGATTTCTCTTTAATAATATGTGGTCAACTTCTTTATTTCCCTTTAAAATCTTATTAATTTATATCTATTTATAACAAAAGGCAATCTTTAATAGCTAGCTGTTGCTTTATTATCCATAAAAAGTAGGATCAAAGTCATAAGCTAACTCCTCCCATCCGTAAGCGAACAAAAAATCTTGTTCACTCACACGGAGGGGGTTAAAAATTTTTTTTTAAATTTTATAGGAAAATTTATTTTTCGAAATTTCCACTTCTCAAAAAATTGGAAAGCAAAAATATTAATTTAATTTGTAAAATTATTTTTAAAATTAAATAAAATTAGTCAGAGATTTCATAATACTAGTTATCACTTTCCTATTAAAAAAACTTTTATTAGCTCACGAAGGGTGGGCTTTTAATCAAAAAATAGGGATTTTCCTTATGGTTTTTGCTAGCTCACAGAGGGGGGCAGTAAGTAGCATTCCTATTTTGCTAATATAGATGATATATTATTTAAATTTATCAATTTTTAAAAAAACTCACATATTTGTTGCATTTATTTTAATATAAAATTCATTTACCTTATAAATGTTCCGTAAATCAGAAACTCATTAGACAAATTCTAAAGACAATAAAAATTAATTTGCACTAAAATGCATATGAATACTAGAAAAGTATTAATAATTTATGCTTTATTATAAAAAATAAAAAAACTTGCTATTACGCAATTATAGCTTGCTGAAATATTTTATTAAAACTTTGAAATTATCAAGCAGTTGCTTGCTGGATAAATAATATAGTGCAGATTCACTTATTAATCATTATAGAAGCTGTCCCAAGCTTAAACCTTCTGACATTTTTAATATTGAGTAGACAGTCGACATCCTAGTGGTATTGCTAGGGACATGGGGCAGCACATATAGAAAGCTAATTAAGTAAATTAACTATTTGCTATGCAGATTTAAATGGGCAATCATTTTTCAGCATTTAATACTATAGTTAATCTTAATAATTCCATAAATTGCTATTCTATCAAGCAAAGTTACCTATTAAATCGAAAAAATCGTAGATATATTATATTTCAATTCTATTCAAAGATAAAATTGTAAATCCCTAAATAATTTCAGCTTTATGCGAATCTGTGGAAGAATTAGTAAATAGTTTTTTACAAATTAAAATTATACACTTATAATTTCTTCTAGCTTATGAAAAGAGCACTTAGGACTTAGTTTCTGATATTCAAAATATGATTAGCTAATAATGCTAACCTAAAAATTACAAAAAATCTTGAAAAATATTAAAAAGGAAAACAAAATTTAAACACTCAAAATTTTTTGGGCATATTCAATTAAAATAACAATCAATAGATAAAACAATACCATGTGTCAATAGTTTAAGATTTTATAGTGAGTGACACTGACTGGCACGGGGTGCTTTTGGTTCAATTTCGAGCCAAAAGCACCCCGTGCCAGTCAGTGTCACTCACTATAACTTTAATAATGCAATCTTAATGCTTTAATATAATTAATTTTTATTTTTAAGTCTATAAATGACAGAAAAAGCTTTTATAAATAAATAATTTCCTTCATTTTTCTATTATTTAAGCTTAAAATAATATTTTCAATATTTATGCATCATTGATGAATTTCTTATTCAATTTAAAGCATAGTTTACTTATTCAAGTTTGCATTATCTAACGAGGAAACAATTGCTTAATTGTATTTTCTTGGTCAGGAGTCAATTTTCCTGGTAAATCCACTATAAACCTCACATGCAAATTCCCTTTATTTGATGGGACATCTTGATGAGGCATTCCTTCACCTTTAATAATCCTCACGGATTCTGGCTGTGTTACCCCAGTGTAATCAATCTGCACTACATGTCCATCAAGATGGCTAATTTGTTTCGAATACCCTAGCAAAGCTTCTTTCAGCGTCAATCTAATAGAAGTCGATAAATCGTTTCCTTTCCTTTCAAAACGTGTATGAGGCTTCAATTTAAGGACAAAGATAATGTCCCCAGGAAACCAATCAGGGCTTTGCTCACTTTGTCCTGGAAATATAATTTCAGATCCATTGTCCATCCCTGGCTCAATCTGTACATTAAGAGTTTTCAATGCATTTACCACCTTTTGCCCTCCACAATTAGGACATCTCTCTGCAGCAAGCTAAATAAATCTTACAAACCCTCTTCCTCCACATCTTTCGCACTGGACTTGCATTTGCATGTTAAATCCAAAGCCACCCACATTTTGAAGTCTTACACCTTTGCCTCCGCATGCTTTACAAGGGACAGTTTTTTTGTCTTTTGCTCCTGTTCCTTTGCATTTTTTGCAGAGTTCGTTTCTCCTTATAGTGGTTTCTTTAGCAAGGCCATTATAGACATCTTCTAAATCAACTTCTAATTCAAATCGAAAATTCGGGCCTCGTCGCCTATTGAAGAGCTGCTGATCATTAAGCCCATCTTCTCCATAAATATCATAGATTTGCCTCTTCGCAGAGTCAGACAGAATTTCGTTTGCTTTTGTGACTTCTAACTCCCCCCCCCCTCCGTGAGCGAACAAAAAAATTTTGTTCGCTCACGGAGGGGGGTTAATTTTTTTTTTTAAAAAAAATTTATATATAAATTTTATAAAAAATATTTTTTTTCGAAATTTAAAAAAATCCTAATTTGCAAAAATTGGGAAGCAAATATTAATTTAATTTGCAAAATTTATGTTTTAAAACGCAATTTGTTTAAAATTAAACAGAATTAGCTCTAGATTTCATTATACTAATTATCACTTATATATCAAAATTTTTTTCCATTAAAAATTTTTTCTTAAAAAAAATTTTTGTTCACTCACGGAGGGTGGGTTTTTGGTCAAAAAATGGCGATTTTTCTAATGGTTTTGTTCGCTCACGGAGGGGGGGGGGGGGAGTAAGTATTTTTTGTGAGCCTCCTCATTTCCAGGGTTTTTATCTGGGTGGTATTTTCTACTTAGACTTCTGAAGGCTTTTTTTATTTCAGATTCATCTGCATCTGGAGAAACTTCAAGAACTTCGTAATAGTCGATACCTAGAACAATCCCTATGAGAAGGACAAAAAATACACGTGTCATAAAAATACTTTAATAGGGAAAATCTAAAACTGTTTTGAATTTTGGGATGAACCACTATACAAACTAATAAAGAAAAAGAAAATATGACTAGGAGAAATTACTATCAATAATCTATTATTTGATGCATATTGAAATTTTGTAATAATAATTTATTGAGCATTCTCATATATTATAGAAAACTTATTAATATAATAAATGCTGAAGCGAAATTAATTGAGTTTTACAATAGAAAATAATAAGAGAAGGAGCACTATTTCTTTACCTAATCCAAGTAAGATTATTAGATTCTTTTCAAACCCACAAATATATAGAATAAAAAAGCAGAAATAGAAAAATATCCACCTATTTTAAAAAGTGCAAAAGCTTCTGAAATCTATTAAAAATGGGTCAACTCAAAAATCATCAGATGAGTAAAAACTTAATTCAAATCATCAGCTGAGCAACCAACTACGATTTAAGTTGCAAAAATTCTCACTTATAAACAATGATTGGATTAACTATCACAAGAGATCAAAGCCGATATCAAATGATTAGCAAATTAGGTGAAGGTGCGTATGGAAAAGTTTATAAGGCAAAGGACACTAAAACCAACTCTATAGTCGCACTTAAAGAATCAGTAATCACTATGGATTCTGAAGGAATCCCAGCTCAGACTATTCGCGAGATCTGCCTGCTAAGAGACCTTCTTCATCCAGGAGTAGTTTATCTCCAGGACGTCCTCATATTAGAAAACAAGCTTTATTTAATCTTTGAGTACTTAGAGCAAGATTTACGCTATTTTCTCGACAATTGTGTACTTCCACTGCCTGAGCCGATCATAAAGAAATTCCTGATACAGCTTCTCAATGCTTTAAACTACTGCCACTCACATAGAATTATCCACAGAGATCTCAAGCCTCACAATCTTCTATTAGACTCAAATAACGACCTTAAAATCGCTGATTTTGGCCTTGCCAGAGCTTTCCAGATCCCTTGCAGACCATATACAACTTCAGTCCAAACTTTATGATACAGAGCTCCAGAAATTATTTTAGGCTGCGAAATATATAATACAGCAATTGACCTATGGTCTGTAGGGTGTATAATGGCAGAGCTTATGAATGGGTATCCTCTTTTTCCTGGTAGAAATCATATTGATCAGTTATTTACGATTTTCAGACTTTTAGGAACACCTAATGAGTCTACTTGGGAAGGCGTCACTAATTTTAGATATTATTCGCCTGATTTTCCGAAATGGACACCAGTGCCATTTGAAAGACTGTTCCCTGGGTTTAGTGAAGTAGGGCTTGATCTGCTTGAACGGCTTTTGTCTATGAATCCTGAAAAAAGGATTTCTGCTAGAGATGCTCTTAATCATGTAATGTTTATTTAGCCTTTTTTGAAGAGCTCAGGAGTTTTGACTGAGAGATTAAGTATTCATTAACTTATTAATTTTATTAAAAACTGCCTTTTCTTTAGATTTTTAGATAAAGCTTCTTTCTGAAACAGTTTTTAAGTTACAATATAAATATTTCACTTTTTTATATATTAATTTATATAAAACCTAAACTTAGCAAGCTTAATTAATATAAAACAGCTTCAAAATTCTGATAAAAACCAAAAAAATCGAAAAACTTATAAAATTGTTGCATATTTTTTCTTCTCTTTTAGACACACAAAATCTAACTTTTGGGTGCCTAATTAAAACTGCAGCTTTAAAAGGATGAACTATGAGTCCCAATAATCGATCCCAATATAATTTAATGGCGTCTGATTACGTTGACGAGCTGAAAACAATCAGTTCCAGATAATTAAAAATGTAGGACTCAGGTCTTATATCAAAGCTCAGTGAGAGAAGCCACGATTTCTTGAGAGTCTTGGCTCAAGAATGGGTCTACACTAAGTCTGGTGTAGATCAGAGAGGCTTGGGGACAGAAACAGGTTGACAGTTAGGCCGACCCATGTACCATTATTCAGATTTGTTGTCCAAGCTGATATCAAGAAGCACAGGATTTAAAAAGTTATCTTAAACTTAAATCAGTTCCAAACTTTCAAACTACAACCACGACCCTGAGCCTATAGAAGAGCTAAAGCGGCTTAACGAGCTCACAAAAACACTGAAGGACTCTCCTCAATCCCTACCAGTAGAACAAGCTAACTGTGTAGTCTCATCTCTTCCTTCTTTAGTCGGGTCTTTATTAAACAACAGAAAATATCTCAGCAGAGAGGCCATCCAGCTAGCCGGTGATATTCTGTCTAACGTCATGCTCATGCTCCCTCATTACTTTTCTTCCCCAAAGTACTTAGAAGCCCTCAGGATGACAGCAGAACTGGACAGAGCCTTCTACCAAACCTACATGCAGGACGAGCGAGCCATTTCTTGGGCAATCCCTCCTGAGCCAGTCACAGACTCCCCTGCAGAGTGGCGTGAAGAGCTTAAAGAAGGCGACCTGATTGACGCTGTCAAAGTGGATACCGGCTATGACCGAAAGATATGGGGCACTGCCAAGATCACGTCAATTGATTCTGATGACTACTTGTCTATAGAATTCCAAGACGAAGGGTCAGAGTTTGACAGGTTTTTGCCTAAAACCAGCCAAGAAATAGCACCAGTTGACACGAAAAATAAAGACAAAGAATGGAGACTTAGCCTAGACAAAGACATGATGATTGATGCTTACGATACTGCAAGTACATGGTATAACTCAACTATTCTGGGGAAAAGATATAAGCAAAATGATCATGGGACTATGACAGCTGAGCTGCTAGTGGGTTATAGAGTTTATGAGGCTTCAGGCGAAAAGTTCGACGATAATGGGAATTTTAGAGGATGGTCTTCGAAGTATGATGAATGGATTTCTATATGATCCCCAAGACTTGCTTCTTACAACACCCATGCGAGGAAATGGCCAATCCCACTTGTGACAGTTATGGAGGAAAATATAATTGATGACTCTAACGACCTTATTGAGGATGCTCCATATGCATTTTTTGTGACCAGACATAAGAAGTCTAAAAGTATGATACTTATAAGGAATTTAAATAGGTTACAAATGGCAGGGGTTTTTGACCTAATAGTGGATATCATTAATAACAGAGACCAATGGGTGTCTTTTGAGACTGTTTATTCACTGACTTATGTAGTAGGAAAACTATATGCGCTATACCATAAAGCATTTGTGACTTCTTACGTTAACAAGTTTAAAGATGCCCTGTTTGGGTATTTACTGAGCTGTCCTCAAAATATCATCAGAGATTTCAATAAAGAAAAATTAGACCAAATGCTATCATTAATGGAATCCTTCCTCAAGCGCTTCTATACAATTCAAGAGAAAAATGCTATAATTGAGCAGTTTACTTTAGATTTATCATTGATCTGCTTTGAAACTCCTTATTTAGAAAGAAGAATACAAGGACTTAAAGGGATTATTGATGCAGTCAATAAGTCAAAATACACCCAAACCAGATCTGTAAAAATTGAATCACTGGTAAAATGACTTAAAGACCATGACGTAATTAATGAAATTTTTGGCATAAAAGGACACTATCAACTGGTCCAAAGAGCTGCAGAAATTCTCCGTCTTTTTGCGAATGAAAATGAAATTACAGCTTCTGAGCTACAAGAAGTATGGGGCGCGTCACAGAAAAATGACGAAGATATGAAGCATAGTGTGTATAAAATTCTGGCAGATGTCAGCACAAATCTTAAGTCTGAACATTTAGAGTTTTTGGTTGACAAAATTGCAGAAATCCCTCCTAATAAGCTTTTTAAAGAAGAAGTCGACCTTTTGCATGAGCTAACTAAATATCCATTAAGGTAAGCGAAATTTTATTATGAAAAAATAGACATTTTTATACAGAAAATTTATAAAAAATAGGTGCCTTTTCTATATTTTTAATAGACTAATTATTAACAAAACCCATTAAGAGCTGGAAATGCAACTAATAGAGCTTGCGAGCTCTTATGGAGCATCTCACTAGATGAAGAAAAATACCTAGACCCCGTCAAAGATTTAGCACTTGAAAACTTTTGCAGCCTCATGAAAAGCTGGGATTTAAGGAAAAACCGTATCCCAGTCATGATCCAATGTGTTGAAAAAATCAGAGAAAACAAAGCCGTTATCCAGTCTATCCAAATCATCAAGAAACTTTTAGCTAATTTCTTTGTATACTCAACACCAACAGAACCTACATCAAGAGGAACAATAGTAGACATGCTGATTAAAGAGCACGAAATCTTGGTCGCATTTTTTGACAATCTTTATTATTTTAAAGAAAAAGCCGCACAGTGGGGAAAAGGAGAAGATATTAAAAATGCAGTTATTTGTGATAGAACTACTTATAAAGACCAAATAGAGCAAAGATTGAGCTTTTTGCATACACTGCTAACGAGCTCTATATCAATAACTTTGTCGCAAAAACAGATGGACACTCTTTGGGACTTGCTTCTTCAAAACTCTTATTGCAGCGCTGAACGAGAATGCTTTTTGAAATGGCTAGGAGATGTTACTGAGAGCCAAAGCCAAGGCAAAAAAATTTTTGATGACTCTGATGTCCATTCTTTCTTCTTAGAAAAGGTCGCAAACCTGAAAAACAGTTACTTTGACATGTCCCCTGAAGGGTTTACAGTATTTAAGTCATACTTTTTATTAATCAACGCTTCGTTAAGTAATATGAAGCAAAACCCTAAGACTTCTTATTCATCAAATACCACCACAACTTCTACTTATATAAGCCCATCATATCAAAATGAGTATGCATCTAAAGAATTCGACTATCAAGTAATCACAGCACCATTGTCTTTGGTTGGTATGGAATGTCTGAGAAAAATCATTATGGAGGTAAAGAACGAAAAAGTCCTATCACAAGCCTCAGATTTCTTGAATGATTTGTATGATAATCTGAATACATCAGAAAATCTGATAGAAATTAGAGAAGAGTTTATAGGATTTTGCTTACTCCTAGCCTTGATCAGTGTTTTTAAATACATTTATACAGCCAGCATTCACCTATTTTTATGAGAAAATGCTTAAAAAGGGTGTTTCTATAAAAAATTGGACATTATACAATATTTTCAAAAATTTTTTACTTCAAAAGATGACAGGCCGACCAATATTGGGCAGGGAGTTAGGATACCTTAAAAAAGGAATTGTGACTGAAAAGAAAAGAGCACTGTCACTTATGAAAAGCTTTATGGAAGAATGCGAAAAGAAAGGAACCGCAGGGCTGAAGTCTCATTCTGCATTATTAAAAGGAGACATCCATAATTTAGTCATATTGAACCAGGTTTCCTACTACCCTCAAAGTGCTGACATTCCTAGAAGAATTGAGCTAAAGGTATATAGCAATACAACTTTTTGGGAACTCCGCTGCATAATTGGGAAAAAAATCAAATGCATGAGCGATCAGTTTAAGATATATAGAAGCTTGCTGCAAAAAGAAATAAAAGATAGCGACAATGGAAAAACATTGAGTGATTTGAGGATCAGGGTTAATGAAACTTTTTCTGTTTATAGAAGAATTATGCTTTATTTAGTAATATTGCTCTGTAATCTGGGAAATCAAAATACAGTTTTTTATTTAAATTATTTCTGATATTAATAATCCTAGTTTTTAGCTTAAATATTTTGGATACGAATATCCCTAAAGCAGCTTTAACTACGTCTGACAACCAGCTTTCAGAAAAAGCTCGAAAAATATTCAGTCAGTGGTTCCACAAATATGCATATATATTAAAATAAATAGAGAATCAGCACGTCATTTAAAATCTGTAGAAGGGAGTGAAAGCCTTGAAAAAGAGAGAAGAAGTCTGAGGTGTATCTAGTAGTTTATTGGCTCAGGTGGATTAGCGATGCTGAGCTGATTAGTCTAAGTTCAATCTTGGGAGAGGTTTTTCCTGATGAAAAAATAGGGCATGAAGTTGTAAAGGTACTCCCAACAGTACCAGAGGATGCTTCTTGGCCAATCGGGATGCTTAATTAGCGCGATACCAGGTGCTGTATCATGGCTTTGAGTTTCCATTTTGCTGTCAGCTAACCAGAAATTCGGCTTTAATTTTTTATGGAGGCAACCCTGTTGCCATGGGTATCGAGCGTAGCCTTCATCTGAAAGATTAACACAGTGCAAGACTGTATTTAGACTGGCAAGCAAGCCAATAAGGACCTTCAGGAGGATTCTCCTATGCCTATAATTAATGTACAATAGTTTCACAAATACGCAGACAAGGGTGACAAAATGAGTCCTGAAGGCTGTTCTGCATTTACAAACTCTTGCACTGGCGACCCTTGTAAAGCAACAGACAAGCGTATCCAAGAATTCTTTACAAGTCACGATGACGACCGAGATGGCTTACTCACAGAGGATAACTTTTTAGAGTTTTATAGACAAGCCTGCATCCAGCGTCCTAACGTAGTCTGGACTAATTTAGCATCTCACCATTATAGAAACGACTTAAAGTGCTACGATGACGAAGAAGAAGATTTCGTAGACCCAAAAGCACTACCAGGTTTTATTTTGACACAAAAACAAGAGAACTTTGACTTGATTTTTTCAGCGCTTAACGAAGAAGACTTGGCAAATGATGCTTGGGATTTATCCTTCATGATATTTATATAAACAATATAATTTTTATTTCCTAAATATATAATTGACTAACTTCAGTATAATTATAAAACTCCCCACAAACCCTCAAATTTTTGAAAAAATAAAAAATCTCGAAGGATACGAAAACTGGGAAAGCCTGCTTGACTCTACCTCTAACCACAAGCTGCTCTACGCTCTACAAATAATTGAATCCTTCATGGAAGACCCTCCAGAAGACGACTTAGCAGCCTTTGAAGAGCGCTGCCAATGGAAAGTAAAATTCTTACAAAAAGGCGGATTTGGGCATCTCTATTCAATTCTCCTCAAATACCAAGCTAATCTTGACATTTTCCAAAAATCCTGCATAGGTTTTGTATTAAAACTTATATGTGTCTTCATTATCGCTGCCTTTTCAGCTGTAAAACCTGACATTTATGAGGTCGTTAAACTTGTCAGAAAACAAAGTGGCGGACTTGAATTAGAAGAAAAACAGCCTGCAGAACCTGAAGAAAAGAAATCTGACAAAAAGGTAAACTTCGGAGAAGAAGGCACCCAAACTGACGAATTAAGCGGATATGCCAGTTTATTGCAAGAAAGCTTGCCAGCTGAGCCACAAAAAGTGGTAGAAGAAGACTCGTCAATGATGAAATACCAAGAAACCCGAGGCTTTAAAGACCTAGTCAATGAAGTTATGATGAATGACCTTGGAGACAGCTTGATTAATAGCGTCGATTTGTCTCTTTTGATGGCAAAACTTATAGGATTAATGGTAAACACCCTTAAAAATGAAGACTATGAACCTGAAGATAAACATATCATTGATTCTGCATTAGAATTATGGGTCAGCTGCCTTATGCACAAAAACGAGCTGATACAGTCAGTATATGACTACCAAGGAGAAATGGATGTGTCTGAGTTTACAATAAGAGGATTGACCTTTGCCAAGATGGCGCTGGTGAGAAAAGCTTTTTGCCAGAGCTTTAAGAGTATCTGTCTTAAAGTGTCTTACCCAGAAAAGATGCCGACACCTTTCTTCTTACTCCCCCTCCAAAGGGAACAAGAAAAATTTTGTTTTTATGGAGGGGTTAATTTTTTTTTTAAAAAAGATATAGAAATTTCCCATAGATGGCGCTGTTTGCCCTTGATTTGCCCATGAGAAAAATTTTTTGGTTTGACCAAACCATATGGGACTGGTCGAACCAAAAAATTTTCCCAGTGGGCAAATCAAGGGAAACAGCGCCATCTATGGTAAATTCTATATATAATCAGTTGCGCATATTTCTTAATGTGCAAGACATGAGTGAAATTTCCCCACTTTCAAAAAAAATTCCACATGTAAAGTCTTACATAAATGCAGGCTTCACATGTGGAATATTTTTGGCATGTGGGGAAATTTCCCACATTAAGAAATATGTGCAACGGATAATAATAATAATTTTGTATTTAATTTATTTTCAAAATTTAAAATTGCCAAATTACAAAAATTGGAAAGTAAAAATTAATTTAATTTGTAATATTTATGTTTTTAAAATGCAAGCTGTTTAAATTCAAAAAAAAATAGCTAGACTATTTAACACTTATATATTATTATGCGTTGCCTAAATTGCTTATCTAGGCTGGCATATTAAAATTTTCTCCAAATTTGGAGAAAATTTTCACACGTGAAAATATAGAGAATTCGCATGTGGAAATTTTCTTCAAAAGTCGAGAAATTTCCTCATGTGAAAATTTTCTCCAAATGTTGGAGAAATTTTAAAAATGCCAGGTTAGATAAGCAATTTAGGCAATGCATAATAAAATATTTTTGATTGATTACGGAGTCTGGGTTTTTTTACCCAAAAAATAAGGATTTTTCCAATGGCTTTTCTCACTTATGAAGGGGAAGCTAGACATTTTGATTAATAGAATGCCTACAGGTATTGTAGATCCAAAAGAAGCTGATCACACCCAGTTTTTCGAGCTTCTCTGTGAACTTGTAGAACTTGACGTCGCGCAGCCTTCTATTGACTATGAGCAGCTTGCAGTCCACCTGATGAACACTATTAAGCAGCATCCTTATATAGAAAAACGCAACACCTTTGTATCTGATAAAGTCTTGGTCGGGTATTTAAGCCTTGCAGAGCGTGTTTTTAAGTTTGTCCCTGAGCTGAAAAATATGGCTTATGAGAAGAACTTTACCAGAGACTGCTTCTTTGAGCTGCTTTTCCCACCTGAGCAAATTTTTGATAACCTTAAATATGACCCTGAATATGTCCAAGAAACAGGCCACTTCCAGCCACCCAAAGCAAAAGCAAGGGACACCCGAAATGCAGCTTATAAGCTAATCAATGCCCTTGTACATGACCATTCAGAAAACCTTATGTCTATTATAGAAGTCCTGGAATCTCTCAGAACTCAAATAACTCCTGTCAAATCCTGGTCATACTCCCCAGCTTCAGACGTAAGATCAAGCCATGGTTATGCAGGAATCGTCAACCTCGGCTGTATCTGCTATATGATTTCTATGCTGCAGCAGTTTTATATGATCCCACAGTTCAGGTACTCTATTTTAGACGTAGACGACAAAAAGGAGCCTACAAATCTAGCTTACTTAAAAGGAGATCCTAATGTAGATAAGTCTAAGCCTGGCTATGATTTAGACGATAATATGCTACATCAGCTGCAATCAATGTTTTCTTTCCTAGACCTAACTGATAGAAATGCATATAACCCACACCCATGGTGCCAAGCTTTTAAAGACTCCTCAGGCCAGCCAGTCAATATCTCAATCCAACAGGATGCTCAAGAATTTCTTAACAGAATTTTCGAAAAATTGGAAAGTGCTTTGAAAAACACAACAAGTAAATATTTGACACAAGGGATTTTCGGAGGGAAAAACTCAGTCCAGCTTATATGTAAAGAATGCGGAAAAGTCAAAGAAAGCCTTGAAGACTATTATAATCTTTCTGTTGACGTAAAACACTCTAAAACCCTATTTGAATCATTAAATAAATACATCCAAGGAGAAACTATTAGTGATTACTCTTGCGAAACATGTGATAAAAAAGTCGATATTACTAAGCGAGCTCTTTTAGCTGATCTTCCTAATATTTTAATAGTCCATTTGCAGAGGATTGTGTTTAATTTTGATACTTTTGAAAATGAAAAAATTAATTCTAGACTGGAATTTCCGACGGAGCTGAATCTGTTCCCGTATTCAAAAGAAGGGGTTAAAGTCCAAGAGGAAAAAGAAAAGGTGGAAAAAGAAGAAAAAGAAAAAGAGGCAGCAAAAGAGCAAGAAACAACTGAGCAGCCGGCTTCAGAAATTGACCAAGAAGACTATAAGTATAATCTTGTAGGCATTGTGCTGCATCTCGGAACAGCCCAGATGGGCCACTATTACTCATTTATTCGGCACAGACTGCCAAATGGAGAAGCCGACCCTCAGAAATGGTATGAATTTAACGATTCTACCGTCAGAGTTTTTAAGTAATTTTTATTTAGTCCTGACAATATTGAAAGCGAATGCTTTGGAGGAGCTCAAGATTTTGGAGGAGATGATTTTTCTGCGACTTGGCTGAAAAGCTTCAAGGAAAACTCAAAAAATGCTTATATGTTGGTATATGAAAAGAAGAGAAAGCATCCCTTAAAAATATTGAAAGCTCCCGTCCTAGAAGGTGATAGTACCACTTCCCCTAGGAGTGAGGAGGAGTTTGAATTGCGGAACTTTAACGACTTGAGACGTACTATGCCTTCATCCATATATCAAAGTGTACTGAAGGATAATGAAAAGTATTATTTTCTCTATTAATTGTGACTAAAATTATAAATAATACAATTTTATAAATATTTAGGGAAAATAACATATATGTTTGAACGAAACTTATACAGCGCTGAATTCTTCAACTTTTTTGTAGAAATTATTAAAAGTGCTGAAGCAAGCTTCACTGATTTGAGCGCCATTGGAGCTGATTTCGCGCTAGAAGTAATGTCTCATGCATACCACAACCGAGCACTTCCTGACCTAGTAAAAGTCATTAAAGACCTGTTCAGCGAATTTCCTGAAAGCTGCGAAAAATGGATGCTGAAGAAAATGTCTTTGACTAAAAGACTTATTACAGACAACAGTATGTACTCAGTCACGCAATTACTCCTAACCTGTGTTGAAAAAACAACCCGATCTGCCCTTGCAGACTTATTTTCATTTAGTTTGAACTTATTAGCGAAACGAGACTTTTCTGATAACTCTATAGCAAAAATCTTTATTGACGGCCTATTGAATTTGATCCCACAAGACATCTCAAAGCACTGGACAAGATTCCAGCAATTCTGGGAGGTCATAAAAGATTTTGCTGCAGAAAGCCCTGAGCATGCTTTATATTTGATTCACAAAGGAGTTATTGGAACTTTCTTAGATTTCTATTTAGGTAATAAATCCCCTCTACTAAAGCCAGGAGAAAATAGGCAGGCTCTTGGAAATAAGCTATGGACCCCTAATTTTGACCCACTGATACAAATTATTGCGATCCTTGATAAGTACTGTGCGACAAATGTGGTTGATGGACAATATAAGCTGACATATGAAGAAAAATCGTGCTTGCTTGATAAGGAGACTTATGATAAAACACTGAGAAATGGGTATGATGGAAAAGCGCTTTCAGAAATTGTGTCTCATTGGAGCTATGAAGATAAAGAGTACTCACAGATGATCGCACAGATTATCCTTAAAGGGCTTAATGAAATAGAATATGAAGAAGTTAAAGGATTTTACGAAGTCCTAGAAGAATTTCTGACCATAAAAGACAGCTTAACCAGTAATTATCTATTTAGAACACCGTATTGAGTGGATCATGGGCTTCCCCACCTTAGTGAAAATCAACCGAGCTGACTTAATGTATCCTTTCTTCGGGAGCTCCATAATTACTGCAATTGACGACGAAGTCGTCACCTATTCCACCACCCTTTGCTTTGGCTATACAATTTATGACGCTGCTGAAAGTGTTTTATCCTTAATTTGGAAGCACAGACGAAGATGGGACCATTACTGCATCATGAGTATCAAGCATCTCCTTGGAATCTGCCTTAAAAACTCTGAGCTTGCTAACTATATCAATAACCTTCCTCCTGCAACTTATCAATATAAACATTATATTGACTGAATTGAAGAATATATCGCCAATTATAAAAATTATTCCTCGTCCTATGTCTCTTATGGATCCAGCTCTTATTCCACTAAAAAAGAAGACCACAGTATTGACGCTTCTAAGTATTTACAAGAATTTAAAGAAAAATACCCATCTGAGAACAAAGAAATGTTTATACTAGGCAGGACGACTAAAAAAGAAATCGCCAGTCAAAGTGAGCATGAAGATGTACTGTTAACAGTCACAGAATATACAACACAATGGGGCAGAAGTGAGCCGGATGGCAAAAGAAACCTGGCGCTGCCTACAAAACCATTGAGAAGTGAGCTGAACATAAAAGCATCTTATTCAAGCTCAAGACCTGCAGGAATTAATGTAGATTCTCAAGGATACAGCTACACCAATACTAATGCCTCGTCTTATGGGTCTTATCCTTATTCAAACTTTAATTATCCTTCTACAGATGAAAAAGTTCCATACGGCCCAGCACCTCCTGGGAAGACTTCAGGCTCCCAATCCAATGCATACCTACAGCAAAAGCACGCTGACGAAGAATGTGAAGAAGAAACCACTGATGAAGCAGTCCCTATTTTCCCAAGCCCAGGTGGAAGCTTTAACACCCCAGCTGAAGAGTACCCCAAAGTCCAAATTACAACCCAAGAAGAGCCTAAAGAAGAGCATAAAGAGGAAGAAGAAGACCACGACAAGCTTTTCTTTGAAGACCAAACCATCATGAGATTTGAAGTTTACAATAGATCAAGCGACCCTGTCAGGGTAAACTTGCAGATTCACTCACCTGATGAAAACCCTAATTACTTGTACCCGTCAACTCCTATTTTAATTGAGCTTTCCGCACATACGTTTAAAGACTTGATTATTTTGACCAAGAAAAATCCAAGCTTGCCATGGGGAGACTTGAAGTATGATTTTAGCACGTCTGAGCCGAAACCGTTTGCGCTGAAATCAGAGCCAAGTGAAGATTATTATAAAGAAGGCAGAGATGTTGCATATTATCTGGGTGATGATGTGGCGGTTAATATTAGTGATGTGGGGTCAGAAAATGAAGATACGAAAGCGCCGACTGGGAAGATTGCGTGTCCGATGTGCACTTTTCATAATGACAGTGGAGCCTTGAAGTGTGAGATCTGTGGAAGCATCTTTAGAAGTAAGGGATAAAATTAATCTCTTTAGATATTATATCTAATGATAAGGAATAAAAACTTTTCTATTTGTGGCTGCTATCATATCTTCATATAATTAATTGGATAAAAGCTATGCTTTATTTATTAAACAAGCTATAAATTTTTCAAATATTTTATTTTCATATAAATCTCCCATACCCAATAAATTCTAGCTAAAAATACTTATAAAATTTCAAAAAAATTAGAAAGCAAAATCTGGCTCACTTGAATAACCCCCAGCCTTAATTTCTAATATCTCCTAAAGATAGCTTAAATTCCCATCAATCTCCAATAAAATCCTCAAAGATTCTTTCTTATGAATATCCATTTATAAATTCTTTTATTTCTAAACTTTCATATATATTTAAATTAAAATGGCAACATTAGAAAACTCAAATCACAGATCAACCCGAAAGACCAAGGGAAAAGAATACAATTGGACCATCGACGAGTCATCAGGAATGGGAATCAAGACAGGACCTTGGACTGAAGAAGAAGATGCAATGGTAATCAAACTTGTAAGCAAAAATGGTCCTCAAAAGTGGAGTTATATCGCAAGACATCTACCTGGACGTATAGGAAAACAATGCAGAGAGCGCTGGCATAACCATTTAAACCCACACATACGGAATGACACTTGGACAGTCAGTGAGGAGTGGCTTTTGTTTTTATATCACAAAACTCTAGGGAATAGATGGGCAGAAATTTCAAAGATCCTTAGAGGTAGAACTGACAATTCAATAAAAAATCATTGGAATTCTTCAATGAAAAAAATAATCCCTGAGTTCGCTTGCAAATATGATGTGCTTATTCGATATCATGGCCACGATGATGAGTCCCATGTATGTGTCGAGCATTCTTTTGAAGATTTAAGCAGAAGGAAACGAGGCAGGAGATCTACTAATGAAGCCACAGAGCAGTGCGAAATTTACTGTATGCAAGCCCATAGACAGATTTTAGCTGAAGCTTTAGAAGCTTATCAGCGAGAAAGCTACTCCTCTGATGACAGCAAAGAAAACACCCCTTCGACTCCTTTGATGCACAAAAAGAGAATTTCAGCTGACTCAACCCCAGTTTATAAAGTGTATGGGCCTTCAAATGAAAATGAAGACGTAGCTTTTCAGTTCACACCTATAGTGAGTCCTCCAGCCAAGACTAATTTAACTGCTTTTTATACTTCGAGCTTCCTTACGGATACTACAGCTAGCACAAATACGAACTCGTACAGCTTGAGAACACCTGACCAGAGCAAGTCACCATGCTCAGTACTTTTTGAAAGTCCAAGCTTTATGCTCAATTTTGATGCAAGTCCACAATAATCGAAATTCAATATTTAATAAATTTAGTTTTAACAGCCAGCTATATATGAATTATTTATATCAATATACACTATTATTTTTTTTTTGCTTATAATTTCTATTCATGTGCCAAATTTTATTTCTGATATTTGCTTGTCTTAAAAAAAATTAAAAAAAAATAATTGTTCTAATAAAAATTTTTTACTGTATTTATCCAAATTAAGTCAGCTTGTTATCAGCTTCTTCTTTGCCGCCTTTAATGAGCTGCTCAATATTCGCCTGCGTCATCAATCTTTCAATTGTATTCTGTGCATTTAAAATCTTATCAAGATTTTCAGTCATCATCTGCTGATTCCCAATCAACTCTTGTAGTCTTTCGCCTATATAATCAATATCAATAATTTCTTTCCTAATATCATCAATATCAGAAATTAATTTCTGTTCTAGCTGAACCAGCATTTCTGGAGGCGGCAAATATCTTGTATTTGCAACACTTGTATCTCTTTTAAAATAATGTATATGTCTCCTCAAAAGTGCTCCATAAATAAATACCCTTCTTAAATAATTTGCGCCTCTTTTTCTCATAAGTGCTTCTTTTAGCTTAAAAGTGGCTTTTATTACATTAGATGCCTTGTGCCTTACATCGCTGTTAGCTTTGACTTTTTTTATCATATAATAAGCTTTGGTTTCCTCTTTGCTGAACATTGTAGCAACTGTTAAGGTAACCACATATAAAGAAACCATGACTAGCCCAGCTATTGCTGTAAATAACATTAAGGCTCTTCCAAAGTGAGTGGAGGGGTAACCGTCTCCGTAGCCGACTGTCGTCATTGTGACAACAGTCATCCACCAGCCATTTGTGAGGTAGTCAAAATTCAGCCTTGACTTTGTGGTCGAGACAAATGGGCGCTCTAAATCTCTTACAGCATAGCCTATACAAATGACGAGAGTTCCAATTGCGGCGGACAGGATGATGTGGGGCTGGTATTTTAAGTCAGCTTTTAGGGCAAAAAACACGTTTGTGTTGACTCCGAGCTTTTTTCCTTCTTTAAAAGACTCATTGCTTAGTCATATAGAAAAATGTGTATATACTTTTTTTCTTAATTTGGCTATTAAAAAAATTAATTTTTGTCTAAAGGGTTTGTTAGCGCTGAGAACTATAAACCCTTAAAATAAGAAAAACACGCAAAATCGTTAAAACTGCAATAATCACGTCATATGAGTACACGTATTTTCCATTAAGCATAGTCCCTGAAAACGTAGAGTCAAAATAAGGCGGACAAAAAATTCCCATAATGACCATTTCAGGGACCATTGCTTGTAAAAGGTTAGAAGTCTTCAATGTACTTTGTGGAGGAACTTGCTTTCGGATTTTCATTTTGTCAAGCTCATAAAGGTAGTGTTGATATATTAAGCATACTATCCTCTCATCGGGAGGACAATACAACAATAATTAATGATGTTTTTTATTTTATATAGAAAATTGGGTATAAATCGAATAATTTAAGAAAAAAAATATTTTTTAAGGGATAAATAAATCTTACGAATCACCAATGTAATGCCGATGTTAGTGACTCTCATTGAAGTCACATAATCGTTGCTTTCATTATGGCTTTTTGTTATTGCACATTCCCCAGCTGAACATTTAGTATCCTGCTTATAAAACTCTTCACTCTAAATAGAAGCTACTTCATAATAGACGATCATAATTGACGAAAATGCAAGGGCTGCATTAATCAAATCAATTTTAAGCTGCTTTTTACACACGAATTCCAGTGAGTTCCCAAGAGTTCCTTTCGGGACAACTTTTCTGAGGTCTGTTTTTAGCGTATTCTTATGGCTGATTATTTTTTTGGGTTCTTCAACCCTTGATAAATCAAAAGTTGTGTCATCTCTGACAGAATCACTCATATTGGCTATTTATCCATTTTTATTAAAATTCCTTAAAATTTTAGCTATTTTTGCCTTATTTTATATAAAATTCATATTTTTATCTATGTCTATCAAGAAACACTTATTAATTTTTATATAATTTTCAATGATTTAAAAAAAGTAGGCAAGAGTTTCACATAAATCACTATGAAAAAATTTAAATATTCCAAGAATAATTATGGGCTGTGGAGGAAGTAAAAAAGATACAAATGTTGTCCCACCTAAAATAGGTGAAAAAGAAACGATTGCAAGTGGAGCTTATGATCCAGGCTCAAATAAAATTAAAAACGACGAAATCCCTGATGAAGAAGCAGTTGTATTAAATGACGCAAAAGTGCTGAAAAAGAAACCAACTGACTATAGAGAGAACCTAGAAGAGCCAAAAGCACCAATTGTCGTCCCAGTTAAAAAAGAACCCCCACTTCCTCCTAAGAGTGGGGCTGAAGAACCAAAAGCAAAACCTCTGTTTCAGGAACAAAAAAGTGAAAATGTCCCTGTAAATAAAGCGATGACATTTCAGCAACCTCCACGGCCACCTTCAAAACTGCCACCTATTAATGAAAAACCAAATTTTCCGAACTTGAAACCTGAGTTTGATTTCGATTTTCTAGAAGAAAACGATAAGTCAGGAAGAGGAGGAACTGAGGCACAGAAGAAAAATGCAGAAAAAATTGTTATCGTTGACCAGCTGCTGGAGGAATTTAACGATATCTAAAATTTATACAATAGAAATTGAGTTGATAAGAAAAGTTGTTAAAGTTTAAGAGAAAAATACCTTTTAAATGGAAAGTGGTTAAGTGTATGGCTGTTTCTTTTGTTTTTAAATGGATTGATTAAATTCATTTTATTTTCTTATTAAATTTAGGATTAGAGATTTTTTGATAGAAAATTTTAATTTTGTAACGCTGCAGGAAAAAACGCAAAAGCCAAGATCTTACTCCCCCCCTCCGTGAGTGAACAAAAAAATTTTGTTCACTCACGGAGGGGGGTTAATTTTTTTTTTTAAAAAAAATTATATATAAAATTTTAAAAAAAAAATTTTTTCGAAATTTAAAAAATCCTAATTCGCAAAAAAATGGAAAGCAAATATTAATTTAATTTATAAAATGTATGTTTTAAAAAGCAATTCGTTTAAAATTAAACAGAATTAGCTCTAGATTTCATCATAATAATTATTATTTATATATCAAAATTTCTTTCCATAAAAAATTTTTCTATTAAAAAAATTTTTGTTCACTGGGTTTTGGGCAAAAAATAGCGATTTTTCTAATGGTTTTGTTCACTCACGGAGGGGGGGTTAATATTCTTAACCAATTCAAATAATAATTACGAAGACTGGAAGCTATTATAGAGAGTGTTTTTAAAATTGGAAATTTAATAGGGAATTTAATTTAATTCCCATTTATAATTGTTTACTCCCCCCCCCCCCCTCCGTGAGCGAACAAAAAAAATTTTGTTCGCTCACGGAGGGGGGTTAATTTTTTTTTTTAAAAAAAATTTATATATAAATTTTATAAAAAAATTTTTTTTCGAAATTTAAAAAAATCCTAATTTGCAAAAATTGGGAAGCAAATATTAATTTAATTTGCAAAATTTATGTTTTAAAACGCAATTTGTTTAAAATTAACAGAATTAGCTCTAGATTTCATTATACTAATTATCACTTATATATCAAAATTTTTTTCCATTAAAATTTTTCTATTAAAAAAAATTTTTGTTCACTCACGGAGGGTGGGTTTTTGGTCAAAAAAATGCCGATTTTTCTAATGGTTTTGTTCGCTCACGGAGGGGGGGGGGGGAGTTAGCTAATAATATGGACATCCAAAAGCTAATAATATAGTCAAAGCTTTTTTGGGAAATAAATCATAAAATTTATATCATGCTGGCCAGCTTATCAATTTAAACCCCTTCAATTTTGCTTCCTTTTTCCATTTAAAGCTTAAAATCTCTTCACTATCTTTAACTGTCTGTCGTCTTTGCATAGCCCTAACTATAGCAAAATCTGTATAATTTATCTTAAACCACTTAAAAAGATTGATACTTTTTAAAATTTTCAATTAAAAAACCCTAAACAATTTATTTACCTAACCAAAATCTTCAAATCCATAAATCCTTTCAAAAAACGCTTTCTTCCTGCCTTTCTGATACAAAGCCTTTTATCTCTTCCGTATTCTGATTAAAAAACGTGAGCATATTTCCACATTTGCCAAAAGAGTTAAAGAAATTTTAATGCCATTAAAAAGTTCACCAGACTTTGGGAAGCTCTCTAGGACTTAAATAATTTATAGGAAGCTCAAAAAGCTTATCAATCCCTAATAGTATGATATTTATATGAAAATTTTTAACATAACTTATTGTGAGTTTTACCAGCATTGGTGATAAATGACATTTTTTGGTCACCTGAGAGCTCTGTGCTTCAAAAACTGGCTGATTTGGAAAAGAGAATGAGTTGGGTCCACACTTTATGTTTAAAATTTTTCGGATTTATTATACAAATGGTTTTTTGCCAATCAATAATATAATGTAAAATTTTCTAAATAGTTCTCAGAAAATGTCTCTGACTCCCTCCCCTTTAAATTGAACTAAAAATTTGTTCCAATTTAAAGGGGGTTTAAATTTTTTTAAAAAAAAATCAATATAAAATTTTTTTATAAAAACAAAAATTTCAAAAACTTATCGAGTTAGATTAATAAATTTGTTTAATAAAATGCTATTTACTCTTTATCCTTTAAAACAAAGCAAGATATAACTAAATTTTCATTATTAGTTAATACGCCACTATTAATTGGCATCAAAATTATTTACACAAAAATTATTATTTTTATTGATAAAAAAAAATTAAAAAACAAAAAAATTTTAGAAAATTTATCATCAAAGTGCTAATTTTGTTTAAATAAGATGTTATTTATACTCTATTCTATAAAATAAAGCAAGAAATAAGTAAATTTTGAAATTTTATAAAGAATTCCTATTGAATTTATATCAAAACTATCCGAATAAAAAATATCATTTTTATCAAAAAAAAATAATGAAAAATTTTTAAAACAAAAAATTAAATTTTGTTTTAAAATTTAGCAACTAAGGATAATAAATTTATTTAAATAAGATGCTCTTTATACTTTCTTCTTTAAACAAGAGCAAGATATAACTAAATTTTTAATTTTAGTTAAGAAGAAACATTTAACTTATATCAAAACTTTTTAGATAAAAATTATATATAATTTTTTATTATAAAATTAAATTTTGTTCCAATTTAAAGGGGGGTTAATTTACCCAAAAAAGTGGAAATTTTACCGATATTTTGTTCCAATTTAAAGGGGGGGGGAGTGAGAAAAATCATGCAGCCGTTGGGTCTGCTTGTGAAATTTTCTTTCCAGTATTTATCATGCTTTTCATGCTTTTATTGAGATATTCTCTTCCAGCAGAGCATAAGCCAGCAAAATCTCATCTAGATGATGGACAGATCATAGCTCCATCATGAAGTATGAATGAGTCCCTCTATTTTAACAAAAACTTGACTAAATCAGATGATACATGGCCATTTGCATGATGCCAAGTAAATATTCAGTATTGTATATCATATTTTTTGCTTATTGGCACTCCATGCCAAAATTATATATTATTATAAACTATTATCATCCTTATTGGGCTAGTTTTTTTTAAATCTATCCCTATTTCCAATAATATCACCAATCAATTTCCAATCTTTTTATTTATAATTCCTAATTCCAATCTATCTTTTCATCAACTATCTGCCCAAATTAAATTCATCAAAAATATAATTTTGGCAGCAAAAAACAGTGGCAATTATATCATTTCACATGGGGAATTATAGGGAATAAAACTTCTCCAGGTCTTAGCAAATATTTAACAGAACAAATAGGTAGCTATTTTCCTTATACAGATTATAAGGGTCCAATGTATTTTGATACCACAGACGATATGGAAGATTATGTCACAGATTCAGACTATGACGATAAAGGGCGTGAAAAAATATGTTTCGCTGTAGACTTAAGCAAACAGAAAGATGATAACCACAAGGTCTATTTACGGTTTAATCTCACAGATATATTGCCAGACGAACAGACTGTATACGGAAAATGATATTCTATTCCAATAAATCCATTTTAAGGTAAAAATAATATAAAATTTGTCCATAATTGCCTTAATCAGCTTACCTTATTTTTTTGACAAGTCTTATACCGCCTGTAAATAAATTCCAAAAAGAAGTAAAACTCGAACACCAGCACAATTTTATATACAGCGGCTTCTTTTCTATCCAAAACATGATTTACAACTACTATCTCACCAATAAAACTGAAAACCCAGACGCCTACCTCCAATTCGGATTCGTCCCAATGTATCAGCAAAAATTCGTAAAAGACAATTTCATGATCGGGTTCGCCATGACCCTCGGGTTTTTTATGTTTATTACCTCGTTAGTGCCTGTTTCGAGGCTAATTAATAAGATTACAATAGAAAAAGAAACAAAAGTCAAAGAAGCTATGAAAATGATGGGCTTAAATGACGCGCCTTATTGATTATCGTGGTATATTATGTATATGCTTATATATACAGTCATAAGTGGCTTACTTACTCTTATTGGCTGGGATATTTTTTCTGGCTCCCAAGCGATAGTTTTCTTGATTTTGCTTTTGTATGGGACGTCTTGTATAGCGTTTAGCAGCTTGATTAGCTCATTTTTTTCAAAAGCGAAGACTGGGATTTTAGTAGGCGTTTTGGCTTATTTTGCGTCATATTTTACGATTTTTGCTGTGACTGATACAACGCCAGCGTCAACGAAAAATGGGCTGTCGATTTTTAACACAATCGCGATGACACAAGGGTTTTATGTGTTGCTTAGCTTGAAAGGAAACCAAATTGATTCGACTATATCAAATCTTGACATTGAGTATGAATATTACTTACTTACTTACTTACTTACTTAGGTTTTTGAAGTGTCTTCCTTCTTCCGCAGGATGATTTAGGCATGCATAAGCCCATCCTTTTAAATCCCAACTAGTGACGTCAGCAGCGATCCTCCCTATATGTAGGCATTCCAGAAGACTCCACTTGTCAGGCCAGAAGGTCCGCACTGGCCGCGTTGACCTCGCCCGAACTTGACTCCTGCGCGTGTTCCGCCTAAGGGTCACCCTCCTCTGGTGTGTCAAGCAGAAAAAAACAGGTGCTCCTAGTATCCTGGACCAAAGAAATACCCTATGCGGTATTCCATATTGGTGTTGCGGATAAAGGTCCACGTGGAAAACTGAACCCCATAATAATAAAACGAAAGGAAGGAATAGTTCTCGGAGAGAACTAATTCCGCACTAAGCCATTTTATTATTATGAGTATGAATATTACAAGGTAGAAACCTGCATTATTATGCTATTTGTCGATACAATTTTATATTCACTTTTATACTTTTATATTAGTATTAGGACATTTTTACTTTATTATTGATTGGCAAAAAATTTATATATAAAAATATAGCATTTTATTTTGGTAAAATTGTCCCTTCTCAGTATGGTGTAAGCTTGCCTTGGTATTTTCCTTTTACAAAGTCCTTTTGGCTAGGCAGGACAAGCAATGACAATAAATTAGATGAAAAAGCTAAAGAATTTATAAATGATGAAGAAGAAAAAAGACGTGAAGAAATGAGACAAAATAAAAATATAGAAGATCCAGACCCATTGCTGCTTAAACAGATAGAAGCTAATCAAGCTATGACTGTGAGAGGGCTGAGAAAACACTTTGGTGATAAAATCGCTGTAGATGGACTTGATCTTGACATATTTAGAAACCAAATTTTTGCATTGCTAGGACATAATGGTGCAGGGAAGACGACTACATTGTCAATGCTGACTGGACTATTAAAGCCAACTGGAGGCAATATGACTGTTGATGGGCTTGACTTTAGGACTGATATGCCAGAAATAAGAAAGCGCCTTGGTGTATGTCCGCAGCATGACGTTTTATTTAAAAATCTGACTGTTTATGAGCACTTATACATGTTTTGCAGATTTAAAGGCCTCACAGACTCCCAAGCAATAAATTCTAATATCGATGAAATTCTGAAAGAAATAAATTTAGAAGACAAAAAATTCGTAAGGTCAGAAAACTTGTCAGGTGGCCAAAAACGAAAATTGTCATTATCAATAGCCTTGATAGGCGGATCGTCTATAGTAATGCTTGATGAGCCTACGTCAGGGATGGATTTGACAGCAAGAAGAAGGGTTTGGGATATGCTGAGAAATGACAAGCATGGAAGAATTATTATTCTGACGACGCATTATATGGAAGAAGCTGATATTTTGGCTGATAGGATTGCAATTATGTCAGAAGGGAAGCTGCATTGCTTAGGATCTCCTTTGTTTCTTAAGAATAGGTTTGGAGTTGGGTATAATTTGACGATAGTTAAACAGATATCAGCAAGTGGAAAAGAATATTCTCAAGCTATAACAGATTTAATCTCCCTCAACAAAATCTGCTTTTTTTAAAAAAATATCAAAATAATAGTTTTATTCGGTTTTAATTTTTCCAGTTTATCAATTCTTGCTCTTTAAAATAGTTATAAGATATCTATAGATTTTCGAATAAATATTTTTTGGTTGAAAATTTTATTCAATTTAAAGTGGTTAATTTACTAAGAAAGGAGATTTTACTGATATTTTGTTAGGGGTAATTAGTAAAAAAATACATCCCTAAAGCAGAAACTTTATCTGATGTCTCCGCTGAATGCACATACCAAATCCCTCTATCAGAATCTGTTTATTTTAGTAGCTTTTTCAAAGAACTTGATAGACAGATGGCTAATCTTAAAATTGAAGCATATGGAATATCTGTTACTACACTAGAAGAAGTGTTCTTAAGAGTAGCTAGAGGAGATAACGATTTTTCACCTGAAAAAGTCAGAACTGCAAGCTTAGAGCATGAAGACAAATTCATCCAAAAAGAAGATGATACTGCCACGCTAGGGGAAGCAGAAGAGATGGTATTCGAAAACAAAAGAGCAAAAACCTTTAATATCGCAAAAGACCATGACAAAGGCATGCTATTTATGTCTCACTTTTTAGCGCTGACACAAAAACGAATTATTTATTCTTGGAGAGATTACAAAGGGTTTATTTTAGAAATTCTTTTGCCTATTTTATGCGTCATATTTGGGCTAGCCTTACTGACACAGTTTAGTATTTTGAATAATCAAAAATCATGAAAAGAAGGTTTATTGATTTTTTAATCAAAAAATTTATTTTTTATGTAAATAAATTTTGGCTAAATTTAATTAATGCCAAAAGAAGACCTCAATAAATTTGATAAGCCTCAAAAAGTATTTTATAATCCCCAGCCTTATCTAAACCCATCAGCTGCAGGAGCTTCCGACATCAAATTCATTATGAACAGAGCAGTTGACAATACAAATGGCCGAATTAAACTAACAGAGTATCAAGGATCATTAGAAGATTTTGATTATAACATCTATAAACAAAGGACAAACAACCCATTTCGGCTTGGCTCCTACTATTTTTATGAAGCCGACCCAGTAAAGCACGCTTACAGTGTTGTTATTTTCCATAACACAACAGCTTTGCAAGGTGCCCCTACATTTGCTGCCACAATCGGCCAAGCATTTTTACAAAACATCTATAATGACGATAATTTCAAAATTCCTATTTACAACTACCCATTACCGCTCTCCCACAAGCAGCAAAACCTAGCTAGGAACGCTGGGACATTTTACGTTTCTATGATTTTTGCCATCGGAGTTTCCTTTATCCCTACAGGACTTATCACTTTTATAGTAAAAGAGCGTGAAAACAATATAAAACATCAGCATTTGGTAAGCGGGGTCTCAATCCCTGCATATTGGCTTTCTTCTTATGCGTGGGATTTATCTAAATTTATGATCCCTGGTATAATTTCAGTATTAATGATCAAAGCTTTTGGCTTAAAAAGCCTCGTAGAGTCTGATGACGTATATGGGGCGACATGAGGCTTATTCCTTCTCTATGGAGTTGCTATATGTCCATTTACTTATGCTTGCAGTTTTGTATATAAAAGCTACTCCATCGCTCAATTTTTTACCTTTATTTACCACCTCATCACAGGGGCAATTTTTGCTACTTTAACTTGGACGCTACGCATTATATCTGAGACAACGAGAGACATTTCTGACGTCTTAGAATGGCCTTTCCGCATTTTTTCACCCACTTTTTGTTTTTCTTTTGGAATTATGAATATTTCTAATAGAGAAGCTTATCAGTCAGCTTATAAAGAATCTAATATAAGAGGTCCATTAGACTGACAGATCGCTGGAGCTGACATTTGTTTTTTATGTTTACATGCAGTGGTAAGCTTGATTATGATTTTTGTAATAGAATGGGCAAGCACTGTTCAATGGTTCAGAAAAATAGGCTCTGCAAGAGATCCAGGAGAAAATGAATATAAACAAGATGATGACGTAGAAAGGGTTAAGAAAGAAGCGGCCGAGACAGACGCAAATAGTGTCGCTGTAAAGGTGGCAGGGCTGAGAAAAGTATATGGAAACTTTTTTAATAAAACACAAGTAAAAATAGCTATCCAAGAAATTTCTTTTGTGGTGCCTTTTCAGGAGTGTTTTGCGTTATTAGGAGTTAATGGGGCTGGAAAAACTAGCACGTTTAGGATTTTGACTGGGGAGTATGGACCAACTAAAGGTGAAGCTTATATTAATGCGTATAATGTCATCACACATTTATCAGAAGCTAGGTATAATATAGGGTATTGCCCTCAATTTGACGCTTTAACTGATCTACTTACCCCTACAGAGCATTTAATTTTATATGCAAAAATCAAAGGGATCCCTAAAGATCTAATCAAATATTTTGTAGAAAAACAGCTAAAAGATATGAACCTTGAAAAATACGCCAAAGTCAGGGCAGGAATCTTAGTGGCGGGAACAAGCGAAAACTCTCAGTTGCAGTAGCCTGCATAGGGAACCCTCCTGTCGTATTTTTAGACGAGCCAAGCGCGGGTATGGACCCAGAAGCACGCAAAAATATGTGGGGTGTTATAAATAATATAAAAAAACAAAACGTCAGCATTATATTAACCACCCACTCTATGGACGAAGCAGAAGCTCTCTGCAATAACATCGGAATAATGGTAAACGGCCGTCTAAGATGCTATGGGACAGCTACCCACATAAAAAATAAATTCAGCAGTGGCTATGAATTTTTCTTAAAAGTCAGGTACCCACGAGAAGAAGAAATTAATGAATTTATCAATAAATTAAGGACAAGGTATTTAGAAGACGTTATTGGTCAAGAAGAAGTCATAAATGCTATGGAAATTCTGGATTGTGGAGACATGTACCCAGAAATTTCTAAGGAAGGGACAGGATCACATTTGAAAGACGAAATGAATGAGTCAGGGAAATTAGGAATAAATAATCTGGTAGAGTGGATTATTGTAGAAAGATATGGACAAGCTATATATAGGTGGCTTGTAGATGAATTTGTGGATATTACGCTGATAGAGCATTATGGGACTTATTTTAAGTACAGACTGGAAAAGCAAAGTAAAGGAATTGGAGATATTTTTGGGAGAATTGAAGATGCCAAAGAAGATTTGTATGTGAGTGAGTACTCGTTGAGCCAAACTACATTAGAACAAATATTCAATATGTTTGCTACAGAAGGAGAGATGGATATGACGATGTCTAATCAAAGATTAAGCAGAAAAATACACCCTAAGGAATAAAAAAACTAACAAATTATGAGATTTAGATTGCTTAATATTATTTAAATTTATTCCTTTGGAATTAAAATTAAGATATCCTAATAGCCCGTTATATTTAAGTTTATAATTTAGATACGCTTAATCAAATTTTTCTCCAACTAAACTCTTATCTTCTAAATTGAATTTATAACAAACCACTTCTCTTGAATGTCAAAACCCGAAGTAAATTATATTTTCTTTCCAAGTTGAAAACAATTGTGAAAAATTACTTAAGTTTCATTTGCAAACAATTTGCCAGCTGTACTATGCTTCTTCCATCTCATATATAGCTCTACTATCTACAATTAAAAATATTTTTTCATCTGCTTTTAAAAATAATTTGCGTGATTTTACTACAAGCTCATTTTGAATTACCGAATAACTCCCTATTATGATATCATATATATAAATGCAATTAGTCTTGGAGCTATCAAAATTCAATTTTTATAAACTGTAAAAGAACACTTCGATAAATTATGGGGTATACCGGCCAACTTCGTTCATTTGCAGTTAATTAAGTCATATTTTCATGTTTTATTCTTAGTTCAAAAATGTGGCTGGGACCTTTCCCAAATATGTAAATGCAGTTTTCATGGTAAATTCCATTTTTTCATTTATCTATGATCGGTTGATAAATAGCTAATAATATTGCTCCCCATGCAATATCTTTTATAGTAAAAGTTGCAGTGCTAACTATATAACTACTTTCTCCTCCCAAAAATAGTTTATTATTAGGCAGCTTGACTATAAAAACAAAATTATCCTTAATTTCATAAGCTTCAAAAGTTTTAAAAGCTTTCTTTTTTAAAACTGGGTCATACATATAGGAATTGCCCGAGGATGGCGCTATCTTGCGCCATCCTCGGGCAATTCAAAAAATGGCCCCACACCGGGAATCGAACCCACGTGTGGGGGCCATTTTGGTGCGTGTAAGTCGATGTTGGCCACACACCAAAAATGGCCCCACACGTGGGTTCGATTCCCGGTGTGGGGCCATTTTTGAATTGCCCGAGGATGGCGCAAGATAGCGCCATCCTCGGGCAATTACTATAATTATATTCCCTTTATTAAGATATTGATATGTGAAATAAATGCAATTTGTGTTATCCAAATTGCCTATATTTTTCTGGAATTCATCTACTGTATAATTTCAATGATTTCTTATATAATTGTATTTAATCATCAATTTATGAATTTTTTTCTCCATTCATGTTTCATATTTTCTTAGAAATGAGTACTTCCCACCATCTCCATATAAATCAAATACATCTTTCAGATGAATTTCAGCTTTTATATAATTTATATCAAGTTTATTTAGCTTATCATACAGTATCTTGCAGCAGGCTGAAGCAGTTTTAAAGTTATTTTCTCACTCTTTTTTTAAATGAAAATAATTGAATTTTTCAATATTGTTGTCTTCATATTGGTGTATTGGGAATGTTTCATCAATTATATGAATATATCTTGTCATTGCATAAATTGCTTCATGTTTTGGTAAAGATAAAAGCACTGTAATTTTGATTAGGAATTTCTTTTGGATTTTTGCCAAATGTTAAGATTAAATTTAATAGATTGGCACATTCATTTGAAAGGGCGTTGATTTTTGGATATAGGAACTTAAATCATTCTTTATTTTAGTAATCTTTTGGCTTGCGTTTAAGATTTGGAGTTCTTTCTGCTCTGTAATTTGTTTTAATGTTCAATTGATTAAGCTAACCATTTCTTGTTTTGTTTGGTAGTTGACCTTAATCTCAGTGTCAATTTCTATCGTTCTCAGCTTTTTACCATTTATAATGATGCTGGATTCAAGATTGCATGAATTTTCCAAATCCATTTCCATTTTATTAATTATAAAACACCCAATATTAGGTAGATTTCTATATTTTATGGTCACTCTCTTATAAAAATATAATGATATTTCTTCAAGTTAAGACTATAAATACTTTCCTTCACAAAAATTTTAATTTTGGAACAGAAAAACCATGCTGTCTGTCGATTCTTGATCAAAATCCCTATCACTTTAATTATTTAACACCCCAATTTTTAAAAAAATTATTATAATGATTGCCTCACCATGAGACAACCACTTAAATTTTATTGATACTTACTATAAAAGTATCCAGCGATCCAAGATTTGACTCTTTCTTCAAAAAGCACCCATTAACCAAATTCAAAGCAGCTACTCCCGCAAATGCATAATAAGGGTACATAGGATTCATCTGATGTAGTGTTAGCAGGACAAAAGGTGACGAAATAGCTGCTATATTCATAAACGTAAAACACAACGAATACCCTGTCGTCCTAACACTAGTCGAATATAACTCATTTGTATAAGGGACGATCACATCACTATTCACCATCCCACATATCTGTAACCCCATCACAAATGAGTAATAAAGTGTATTTGTCCACTTAAAAGCACATAATAATGAAGTCCCCAAGTGGAATACACTCACAAGAACTATTGTATTTTTTCTCCCAAATTTGTCTTGCTCTATCAAAAACATTGGAATTAGGGAAAGCGGGGACTGTATTACGCTCATAATTGCTAAATTTGTAAGGACATCTCCATCAGATGAGTCACTTCCGAGGGTTCTTGGCAAAATAAACACGCAGCCATAGTATAAAAACCCAATAGCCCACCACAAGAAAAATCCTTGTAGTGTTATTCTTAAATAGTCTCCTCCAAACACCAATCCAAGCCTATCTAAATGGTTTTCAGCTTCACTTTTTTCTATAAGTTTGACGGCTTCGATTTCTTCTACAGTGATTCTTCTGGCGTTATTTATTCTCGCGATTTTATTCAAAATCTTCACACACTTGTCGTGCTGATCGTTCATGGCCAGCCACCTTGGACTTTCGTCCAATAGGAAAACTAGGAAAATTGTACTGAAAAAAGCTGGCCAAGCTGCAAGTAGTAAAAGTTCTCGCCAATAGAGAGGATCGAGGTTTGGAACTAAAGCAAGACCAAGGAGAATAACCATCGTGGTTCCTACTTGGTAAAGCATTTGTCCAGCTAATACGGATAGTCCTCTAGAATTTTCTATGCCAGTCTCCACAATCAGGGTGGTGCCAATTGGGACTAAAACACCGAGACTTATGGACAAAAAGAGCCTTGTGCATACAAAAGTCCAGATATCTGGCATAAAAGCAGAGGTTACGGCAAAAATGCAGTAGGAAAGGGAGGAAAAGACCATGCATTTTCGTCTGCCAAAGGCATTGCCTAAAGGTCCTGCTATGAGAGTTCCAATGGCTGTGCCAAGAAATAGGATTCCGCCCATGAATTCGACTACTTCGAGGCTTAGGTTTCATTCTTTTTGGAGAACTGAGGACATCAATGTGACGATGAGAAGTTCAGCTCCTTCAGCCATTAAGAAAGCTCCACAAAGGCAGAGGACCATTAGTTGATATGCTGAAATCCTTTATTTGCCTATTGGATAAGATATAAATTTATTTTATTATTAGAAAATGGCTTGAAATTTATTAGGATAGCTTATGGCAAGTACTATATGGTTTTTTATAATGATTAAATTAAATTTATATTAATTGTTTATAATGACATAATAACATCTATAGGAATACCGGCCAAAGCCAATTCGAGACAGAATTCTATCAATACTCGAGTTTGGATGGCTAAATATTGCTTCTTCTATATCCATTTATACTTTAATTTTATCACACGATTTGAATAATTTCAATCAACAAAATGAATTAAATTAGATTAATTTAAAATCCAAATTAGCTCAGATTTTTTTATTATACATATTTTGTATCATATTTTTATATAAAATAAAATTATAACAGATTTTTTTTAGCTGAAAAGAGGTAAAATTATTATTAGCAAAATGAGTCTTTAATGAGCGATATTAAGGGCTTAAGAAAATATGGACTACAAAATTGAGGTATTCAAAGTAAGCCATAGGAAAATTTTTTACTTATTTATATGCCTAAATACAATTGCCCTTGGGTGTATGATAGCAACTTTATTTATTCCAAGCTGGTCTTCATTTAGGTCAAATAATGCTGATCTCAGCAGAGACTTTAAAGGAAAATTATTAGAGACATCTGAAATTTCTAAAGAGTCAAATTATGTAAATTTTATTGATCTTTTTTACCTTTGTCCACATAAAACGTGTAAGTTCTGGAAAAGTCTTTATATTGGAGGCAGCAGCTATGCTATTTTTGAGTGCTTATCAATTGGGTGCACAATAATTTGGACTGGGATATTGGTATTTTTCTTACGTAAAAAAGATTACTTGGTAGGGTCGCTTTTTTTCTGCGCTATGGCTTGGATGGGGCACTTTATAGCTATAGTAACCTGGCTCAGTGTAATAAAAGCTACTTATAACGGAGACTGCCATAATTCAAGAGATGTCGACATAGGATTTACCTTGGATTTTCCATAAGAAATTTTTCATTAATTTTATATTAGATAACTCAAGGGATATCCATATATAACAATTTGCGCGGAAGATGCCCCAAAGCTCTCATTAGCTATCCTATTGCTCATTACAATTGTAAATATTGCGTATTTAATTATTGCAAGAAAAATAATTATCCAAAAACTTTCATTCGAAGAGCAAAGATATGCTACAATAGAAACCGAAACTGAAGCCAAAATGATAAATAAAACGACAGAAAATGATAGCGATTTTATCATGAGAGACGAAATCTGCACTGAGCAGTATAAGGCAAGTAGCTTTTTAAATGAAACTCAAAATTAAATAACGAAATAATTGTGTATACTGATTTTTTGTAAATAATTATAAATAATTCAATTTTTAAAAACTAAATCTTGGCGAATACATTATTTATATTAAGCTTTTGATGAAGACGATGACGATTCATTGGACTCTGAATAGCTCGAAGACGAAGATGACGAAAACGTTTCATGTTGAATTTCTTCCAATTTTAAACTTGGAATATTCTGAGGCTTCTTCACATCTTTTGGTCTCCCACTAACTAGCTGCTCATTTTCTGAATTATCTTCAGGCTCATCAGATCCTTCATACTTTGGCATTTCTTTCTTCTTTTTCTGGACGTCTTGGTCATATACTTCTTCAACTGGGTATCCTCGCTTTTTAAGCGCCATTACAAGTTTTAATAGTTTTTTTTCTTTGTATTTGTAATTTTTAATATATTTTTTTAAATTTAATTTGACTAGTCCAAACCTATTTAATAAATTAATTTTCTGCTACATATATATAAATAATTCTTGCATATCAGTTTTCATTTTTTGACATAAGTCAGCATATGCTTTGTTTTCAGCAATAATGAATTTTCAGCTTTCTTCATTCATGTCGACTCCTTCTACATTAACTTGAGATATCTTATAAAGCTTGCCTTGCAATTCTTCATATCTGGTTTCTTTGTCTTCAAGCTTTATATTCAAAGCTTGGTTTTCTTTCAAAACTCGCTCAATTTTTTTTTCAAGCGACCTTTTGCTTTCTGCACAGTTAGTTAATTTTCTGTTTAAGTCTTCTACTTTTGATTCTAATTCATTTGTATATAATTTACTATATATATCCTATAAAAATCCTATTTATTTTCTTACTTTCTATACAAATTAAAGAACTTTTATTAAAATAAATTATTATTATTTAACAAATTTTATATATTTAAAGCCTTCAAGGTATTTCTTTCTGTTAGCGCTTCATCATACGCCTTTTGTATTTTTGCTAACAAAGTTCCATAAATCGTGTCCTTATTTATAATTTCCTGGAAAATTTCTCTATACACATTAAGCTTCCCTACTGTCTGAAGCCTGTCTTTTTGTGATAACTCACTTAGTTTCTGTGAAAGCTTGCCTTCAAGAAACTGAATTTCTGTCGACGCCGTACTTTGCCTTGACGGGATTTTCGGAGACCCTTTAGAGTCATTCCCTTGTGAAGGAATTTTGAAGGAATTATTAAATGACAAATTTACGCTGTGGCCTTGTCTATTAGGCTTTATGACTGTAAAATTATCAATACTTTCATTGAGAAGTGGCAAATTTGAATGTGAAGAAGTCCGTTTTTGAGGAGGGATTGACTGGGTTTGTAGAAGGGAACTTGAGGAATTTTTTTTTATTGTAGGAGTAGCTCGACGAATTCTCGCTGGGGAAGGGTCAGCCTTGTGAGGAGAAGATTTTGAGCGTGAGTTTGGACGTGCATATGGAGAGTTCTTGTAAATTTGGGAAACTTTGTTGGTGACTGATTGAGAAAGAGTGATTTTTGGGGGTTGGGATAAAGAGATGTGTCCTAGCTTTGTTGGGGTGTTAGAAAATCGTTGAACTTTATTGAGGTTCATTATAATTAGCTATTATCTTCCTCAAAATAAATTTGAAATGGTTCTGATTAATTTAAACTTAATAAGCAGAAAAAAGCTTTTATTTGAGTGATTAGATCATGAATTTCTTATAATTTTTTAAATAAATACGCAAGGCATCTGAAATTAATTAAAAAAATGATTTGTAAATGTATTAACATTAGCATAATTAAAATATGGTGTCTTCGTCTGGGTATGGCCTCCCGGCCATACATACTCGACTCATATTTTAATTATATCCGGCAAGGTTTTGCCATTCCAGAAATGGGCAACAATGCTATGGTAAGCAATTCTGCAGTGCAGAGCAGAGCAGAGCCTGGCCCATGCCTAATGACTAGAATGGATTTTATCCTCGAGAGGAAAGGGTGTCCAAGTTTGGAAAGGGTAAGCCCAGCAGAGTCTACAGGCAATGCCTAGACCATTCGGGCAACTACCTAGCGTGAAACTGGGCGTTACGTCCCAGGACTTGGAATTTCCCTTTTTGCCGAAAGGTGACCAGAAATTTCATTTTTTGGAATTTCGGAAAGCCAACTCCCGTAACTCAAGCAGCAGCCGCAGGATTTCATAGCCCGCCCACTCAAGACTTAAGCCGCAGTACGCTGTGGGAAGGAGTAGACGTGTTTCCCTTTGGCGATTCTTTATGGCTCGTTGGGAGTTCGTCGCAAAGCAGGTGAACCTCACATCTAGGTCCTTGGTGTCTTCGTTAACAAGACGGCAGTCGCCTCATTAATGTAATTTAAGATTAAGATTAAGTATTAACATTAGCATCAAAATTACTAATTTCCAATCCTAAAACGAGTCTACGCTGTTTCTTTTTCTTGAAATTTTCTTTTCTTCTGTTTTCTTTTCGCTTTTTTCTTCACTTTCTTCTTTTAAAAATGTTAAAATTTTTGTGACCTGCTCTTTTATATACCCTTGCCTATTTTGAAGAAGTGCCAAAGACCCTTTTGAAACTCTGAGTTTATTATGCAATTTGGCATTATGTTTTGATAAATGGGCATATAGCATCTTTAATAGCTGCAATTTATTATGCTTTGGGTCTTTATTTTCGTTTTCTTCAGTAGCTAAAGGGGAATCAACTTCAAGCTCTTCGTATTTCATAATTGGGATGTCAAAATCAGTCTTTGCAACATAATTTCTATTTGGATTTCTCTCTAATGAATCAAATTTGTCTATGTTTGGGGCAAATGTAGAATGCCGACGAGCACTTCTGATTTTTTCAACATTCATTTTTACGCCTGGCATCATTGTAGGATGCCTTTTTAGTGTTCGCAAGTTTGGCTTGTTATCTGGGGATTGTGGCTCTGAGCCTTTTAGTGAATTTTCTTTCTTTCTTCTAGCAATTTCAGATTTGTTTTCTTCTTTTTTTTCTTCTATTATATTTTGCCACATTTTTCTGAATTTTTCTTTTTTGAAATTCATTGTTTTTAGGTCATAGAAATTTTAATTTTTTTTAAATATTAATATCTGGGTTTTCAAGATAATTCAATAATACCAATATTTACCTTGTTTTTTGCTTATTTTTTTTATTGTTATCACTATTTTTAGGCGATTTATCATTTTTTTCTAAATTTCTCGTTGAAGATTTTTTAAGTCTCCAGCTTTGTTGTCTATCAAGAATAAAAGCTTTTTTTGTTTCTATTTTTAGAGCTGTCTCTTTGGCTTCAGAGTTTTTTATGCATCTAAGTCTAGAAGTGTCATTGATTTCTTCAGCAATTTTTGGAAATTCTTCAAGCATCTTTAAGAAATGCCTTTTAGACAGGACTAAAAACTCAGCCCCATCCTTTGTGGCTTGCACTGAACAGTCTCTAGGGGTGTTTTCCATGATTTCGACTTCTCCAAAATAAGATCCTTGCACATATGATTTAAAAACAACGCCATTTGAGGCTATTAAATTTACTCTTCCTTTAGTCAAAAAATAAACCTCGTCTGGAAATTCATACTCTTTATATAAAAACTCGCCTGGCTGAAGACTTACAGTTCGGAGTTTAGGGACTATGTAAGATATAAATCCTGGGTCTTTGTCCTGGAAAAAGTAAATTTTTTCCACAATTTTATGATGCATATGCAGAGACACATCAGTCCTTAGCGAGGCTGGCAATTCATTCATCAAAGTATCCTGATCAAACCAGCTGAACATATTTTCTTCATAATTCAAAAGAATATGAGCTTTAATTTTCTGCTTTAAATCATCTGGAAGCTTCGTCGCTTTTGCAAAATCATTTAAAGCATTTAAGCGGTTTCGTAAATTTGATGTTTTGCTGTCCATATTCGCCATGATTGTGGAGAGATTGGAAATTGTGTAAGAGTAAAATGCAGCCCTGGATCCATCCAAATTTTAAAAATAATTATTAAAAATATTTTTTTGAAAAAAATAAGTTTCTTAGGCAACCCCAAGTGCCATCAGGACAAATACAAAGGCTCTTTCGGATTTAGTATAAGCATGGATATCTCCATAGCCTACAGTTGTTAATGTTGTGAAAATGAAATAAATCGAGGCAATATAACAAGAGGTTTTATCAGAATCTATATAGCCATGCCGAGCTACTCAAGTATTTGGGCTAAAATTATCAAGTTTTGCTATTAAGTATCAAAGACACCCCATCACGTGCACAACAATCGCTACAAAAATTGCAAATTTTATAAGCTTTATTGCTCCTCTATGGTCTTTCATTTTTGATAATTTTATTTAAAATTATTATAACTCCTTCTCTATGACTTCTTGATAGAACTATATTTCATAGAAAAACTTTACCAATTTATAAATCTAGCATTCTTTTTAAATAACTACTGATTTTTATGCTATTACAAAAAGCATTTAAATTAATATTATGCGTTGCCTAAATTGCTTATCTAGGTTTGCATGCTAAAATATAGAGAAATCACATATGGAAATTTCTTAAACGTTGGAGAAAATTTTGGTGCACCAGCCTATATAAGCAATTTAGGCAATGCATAATAGCTTTTTAGAGTAAAATAGGATCGTTTAAAATCTTCTGTTAATTATCTAAATTAAATACCAATAATTGCAGTAAAATTAGCATGGCTATACTAAAATATAAAAAGAAAAGATAATAAATATATTTAGTAACTGATTACATACTAATTAGCATTCAAATTAAATCGTGATAATTGTAAAATGGTAATTCATTTGATTTTTCTTTTCTTCAGCGTCGTTTATTCCTGGGATGACTCAAATTTGGCCACAGGCAGCTTAGGAGGCTACTTCAACATGACGGAAATTAATAAAATGCTGGAAAGCTTAGCATCCACCAGCGTGACCTCGATTACTGCAGGCCAAACTGAAGGCGGCGTCGATATAAAAGGAGTCAAAGTGATTTCAACAGGTAAATATTACTTAGATGGCCTTGACTCCACAAAAAGACAAAAAATTCTGGTTACAGGGACCCATACAACGGCTCAGCCTTTATCAGCTACCCAAGTCTTATATTTATTAAACTACATGATCAATGATGCTAGTTCTGACACCGTTTATTTACTCCAAACCTCCATATTCTACTTCTTTCCAGTGATAAATGTGGACGCATATACAAAATCATACGAAAACTATGCAACTACAAGTAGCTTTGTGACATATTTAAAAAACACCAAAAGTACATGCACATCAGAGTAATTTTTATACAGCGCCACTAAGTCAGGAGTAGACCTTAATGCAAATTTTGGCGCATATTGGGGTTATGACAGCAAAGGGTCTTCAGACGATACTTGTAGTGATACTTATAGAGGAACTGCTGCATTTTCTGAAAAAGAGTCTTCAGCAATAAAGTCATTACTCACAAATGAAGGGACCTTTACGATGTGGATTCATTATGATAACTATGGAAATAAGTATTTTTACCCTTATTCCTACACAGATGGAGATATGTTATCCTCATTTATATTGAAATGATATTTTTTTATATAAAAAATCTAGTAATTATTATAAATAAGTATAAAAGCTTTTACAGGCCAAGAAAAATATTATTCTTATTATACAAATTTAGCAACAAATGCGACTTCTTTGGGATCAATGACCTATGGCACTACTCATGATAAGAACGCAACTGTTGCAAATGGTGCTATAATAGACTATGGTATGAACAATACAATTATTTCATTTTTAGCTGCAATAGGAGATAAAAACACAGCAAAAGATGCAATACTTTCTACTTGTAAAACCCATGTGACTACTTTTAAAGAAATTATTATGACAAGCACTCCTGATATATAGCCTGATCCAAAGCAGGGATTGGGTTTGACTGAGGTTAGGAAATTTCAGATGGGGAGTTGACGAACCAAGTTTGTTTGGTAAGTCAACTCCCCAGGTGGCAAATCCTATTCTTATTAGAGATTTTCATATCTGAGGAGCTGATTTGCTAGAAAATGTTGGCTCCTCAACTCCCCCATCTGACGTTTCCTGACCTCAGTCAAACCCGATCTAAAGCAGCGATCGAGCTATAAAACTTTACCTTTCCAGCAGTGCAAAAGTGGACTGCGGAACAAATTGTGGGGACGCTATAGGGTTGCTATAAAAAACCCAAAAATAAATTAACGTAATTTTTCTTAAAAAATACCAGAAAATCCCATTTTTCACAGCTACCGACGCTGTAAACCCTGTAGCATATTCAACCTTAACATTCACATTACAAAATCTTGGGATTTCTGACAGTTATGATAGCCTAAATTTCATTTTTAAAGCTACTTATGGGTCAACTTATGACTATATGGTCACTAACGTCACAGGTGGAGGAGGCTCTCTAGATATTACCAATGTGACAGACTCTGCTGAAAAAATCAGTTTTCAAGTCAATATTGGCTCACTTACAAAGCTTACGAACTATACTTTGAAAATAAACTTATACAGCTATAAAGGAGCTTCTTATAATGATGAGGACATGGCTATCACCTATACAGCCACAGCTACCAGCTCATTATCAGCAACTAAAACCTTTTTAACGACTGGTGATGCCAAGCTATCAGGGGTCACAACACCTTCTACTAGTACTAATAATAACAATGGCTCAGGGGCTTTTCAATACATTAGGGTATCCAGCTCCCACAAAGAGCTTGCTGCAGTCGCTGTGATAAGCATTTTTATGGGAATTATTATGATAGTCATATGGGTTTTTATTATAAGAAGATTCAAACATGAAAAAGAATTCGGAAGCGCCAATGAGGAGCATGACGCAATGTCTCATGAAGAAATCAATATTAAGCTAGATGAAAAAGATACCAAAAATGTTACAACTGATATAGCCCATGTCTACTTATAGCTGGATATAGGCTAGTATATGCAGAAAAGCAAAATATTGAAGTTGGAAAGAGTAATTTATGATAATAATGAAATATAAGGAAGGATAAGCTATAATATAAATAGCAAAAATGAATTCCCATCAAGACCTGGAGATGATTTCAAAGGGCTCGGAGTTAGAAATCCTAATGGATTTGGATAATTAATATGGTGGCGGTGAATGCCCTTGACGATAGTACACCCTTTTGGGTGTTAAAATCGCTTTATATAGCCTAGACCAAGGCCTAGGCCCTTTAATCCTTATCCGTGGAATGCCTTCAGCGGTAGGGGGTGGGTAAGTCTTGGGAGTTAGCTGGTGGTGATCAAGTCCAGGTATTAGTTATCCGGATAGTTTGTGGGCCATGGGCTCTTACCTGCAGCTCCGGAGCGCCGTGGTCAATTTTTTCTGTGTGCTATCCTCCCTCAAGGTGGCCGAAGGAGGCATAGGTCAGTCCTCACTCGAATGACGTGAAGCACAAGGAGTCTTTCTAACCCGTAAAGACTTCAGGATATCTGTGCAAGCCCAAGTTCCATAGTACAGCACTGTTCACACAAGGCTCAGAGGACTGATTCCTCCTGCAAACAGATTCTGAATATCGCAAAAGTGAAGTGTTCAAATCTGAAAGATTTTAATCTTAATCTTAATGGATTTGAGGTAAGAAATATGAACCAAGAACCAAAGAAATTTGAATTTAAAACTGAAGCAAGATTGCCTGAAGATGGCTCACCAGGGCTTAAAGGGAGATTCGGGGTGTCAAATCCTCAACCTGAAATAAGAGGGAATTTTGGAGCGAATAGACCTGAAGGGGTTGAAGAAGGGTCACCTGGGCTAAAAGGGAGATTTGGCGCGCCAAATGCTCAGCCTGAAATAAAGGGGAATTTTGGAGGATATAGACCTGATGTCCCTGAAAAACAAAGTCCAAGGGTAGAAACTGTAGGATTTGGTGCAAGAGGAAACCCTGGAGGGCTAAGAGCAGTTGAAGTCCCTGAAAGACAAAGCCCAAGAGTAGAAAATCCAGGCTTTGGCAGGCCTGATATGAGGCCAGGAATCCAAAAAATTGATATCAGTGCCAACTCCTCTGACCAAAGCGTCAATATCCCTTCAATGAGAGGCCTTCCACCTAAATCAGAGCCTGAATTAAAAGGCACTGTAAACGTTCCTTCAGGCTTTTCCGCAATCCCAATAGAATCAGACGCTCCTAGCTCCCTCCATTTAATTGGAACAAATATAGGAAAATTTCCATTTTTTGGGTGCTTTAACCCTCTTTTTAAATCGAAAAAAATTATTTTTAAAGAAAATATAAGGTAAAATACTAAAAAAATTAAAATTTAATTGGAACAAGATATTTTGCTATAGTTTAAAGGGGGAAGTAAAGGAAAATTCATCCCTCAAGGACGAGAAATTCCTTCCCATCTAAAAGCATCGCCATTTGGAAAAGAGCCTCAAGCTAAACTCGGCGCTGTTGAAGAGCCACAACTCCCAAGTTTTGCAAGGCAGCCGACTGATCCTGGGATGAAAGCTCCTTTACAAGAAAAGCAGTCCTTGGCGCCTGTATATGAAGCTGACGAGCCACGCCCTATATATGTAGAACCACAAGTAAGAATTGGAGGAATGGGCAGAGGAGGATTTTCAAGGCCTGTAGAAGAGCCAAAGCCACAATTCGCTAGTCCTCAGTTTAAAGGATCAATAGGGGTGTCAGTTGAAAGCCAGCCAAGAGCCCAAATACCTGGAGCTGGGATAAATTTAGGCGGCCCTCCTGCTAAAAGTACATTCCAGCCTATAAGTGCTGCTTTTAGAGCTGACGAAAGCAGCGATGACATCCAAATTTTGGCAGAAGAAAACAGGTGGGGAGACCCTCCATCAAGAAAAATAGGCCTCAATTCCAGCTCAAGTAATGAATCCTTCTAAAAATCTTAAATAAAATCCATTTAAGGCTATTTTTATAACTATTAATTCAGCACTATTTATAACCCTTTAGAATAAAATGGCAAAATCACACATCCTTTTATGTCTGCTCGCCCTGGTGTTTTCTCAATCCGACCTAGATATAATCCAGCAAGAAATCGAGGAATCCAAAAAACTACTGTCCCTTCTCAATCAAAAAATCCAGCATCTAAGCCAACTTCGTGAAGATTTGCTGAAAAATGAAGTCGAATTGCCAGTAATCTTTTATTTAGCTTTGAGATATACATAAAATGGCGGACGGCGACCGACCCACCCTCTCAGTGGTGGTTACCCATGTATATCCGGATGGGTTTTTGGAGCCAGAGTTAGTCCAACAACGTCTGGGACCTCGAAGCGAGAGGTCTAAGCGCAAAAGCCGCTGTTTTTGTGACCAGACCCATGGGCAGTTACTCGTGACTTCTTTTTGCCAGCTGCGCTCAGCCCAGCGAGTGCCCGAAATGAGGCGGGCGACTTACCTGCCTAAGTTGCTTTTGTGGCTCGCCCCGAATGGCGAAAGCTGTTGAGTTCTTTCTCGGGATGACCGGAAAAGAGGGGAAGGCGAGTTAGACAACTAAACGGGGGTCTCTCCAGTTTAAAAGGTGCCCTTCAATATGCAGATCTGGCGGACGACGCGGCAGTGTTGGCGTAAACTTAGGCGACGATCCAAGTTGGAAATGGAGGCGATCAGCAAAGCCGGTATGAGACGGCCATTGACATTGCCTCTACCGAGAACCGGGGGCTTCGACCCGGGCTTGGTGAACGCTCTGCCACCATACGGGAAACCGTAGAATGCTTCCTCGGACGTAGTGGGGACCTTAAATACCTAGCGTTAATCTAATCTAATCTATTTAGCTTGGAGACTCATGAAGGCATCTTCCTCAGCTGTCTGAAGACTACACCCAAGAAGAAAATATAGAAAATCGGTTTATTTTGAAAGGAGCTAATAGCGTCCCAGGGAAAATTCAGGCTGCAGATATCATGATTTTGAAGCCTTTTGAGCAGAATAAAGAGTCATATAGCTTCATTAATACAGTAATTGTTGTATGCTTGAATGATGGGACGCTTAATATTTATGACTTAGCAGGAGAACTTCTTTATAGATACCAAACAGGTCATAAGCATTTATTTTGTGCAGCTACCCAAAATACTGATGAAATGCTGATAGCGACTATTGATAAAACAGAAATAAAGGTTCACCAAATAGAAATACACTTAGAAGCAAATTCAACAATAACAGCAACAGATCAGGAATTTGGATTAAAATGCAGTAAAGCTAAATTTACTGTATCTTTGCTTTCTAGTGGTATTTTATTTAACGGCACAAATCCAGAACCAACTGCATTTTCTCATTATTCTAGACTAGGCAAAAAATATTGGATTGTTGGAGACAGTGATGGATTTATAAATGTTTACCATTATAATGGAGAAATTTATAGCCGCGGGTCAACAGGATTATCTACAATAAAAACTTTAGATAGATCAGGCCAACAGCTAGCTTACGCAGGCGATAAAACTCTTGGGATTTACAACTTAGGCTCTATGGAGCCTCACATAATCTGTGACCCAGGAATTTACAATATAACTGACATTGCTATAGATTTCACCTCCTCAATAGTCCATGCCGCCTTTGAAAATGGTGAAATTTTTACTTATGATACCAGATTTACCACAAATAATGTTCCCACACATTGCAAAGCTATTGCAAGACTAGTAAATAAGCATGGCGGAATTGACACAAAACTTGTCAGTATAAAAGGATCATTATTAGCATGGGGTGACGGCGTTTTAACAGCCTTTAATACGTCATTTCTTGATGGGAAATCTTTCCTTCCCCCAGCTTATTTTTCGCTTAATCAGCTTCCACAGAAGGAATCTCCTCTTATGAAAGGGTTTAAATTGTCATTAGGAGGGCATTATTTAGCTATAGCCAGCAGTGACAGAATTGCGACTTATGAAATTATTGCACCTAAATATAAGCCACAAATAGCCTCTGAAAGCTTTGATTTTGGGAATTTAAGGATCATTGCAGTTGCCTTACTCCCCCCCCCCTCCGTGAGTGAACAAAACCATTAGAAAAATCGCTATTTTTTGCCCAAAAAACCCAACCTCTATGAGTGAACAAAAATTTTTTTTAATAGAAAAATTTTTTATGAAAAAAAGTTTTAATATATAAATGATAATTAGTATAATGAAATATAGAGCTAATTCTGTTATATTTTAAACAAATTGCTTTTAAAACATAAATTTTTGCAAATTGAATTAATATTTGCTTTCCAATTTTTGCGAATTAGGATTTTTTTTAAATTTCGAAAAAAAATATTTTTTATAAAATTTTATATATAAATTGTTTTTTAAAAAAAAAAATTAACCCCCCTCCGTGAGTGAACAAAATTTTTTTGTTCACTCACGGAGGGGGGGGGAGTTAGCAATTATAGGTATTGTGATATGGAAAGCTAAAACTAGAAAATCAAGGCCACAGCAAGAGGTAGAGAAGCTGGAAAAAGGGCTAGAGGACTTACAAAGGACGATAAACCAGACTAATAAGATGAGTGAAGATATGACAAGGAAGCTGAGAGATGTAGAAGGCGAGGCCAGAAAAACAGTCAGATTTAATGAAAATTTAAGCTATAATTATCCAAGCTCAAGGATTGTAGAAGAAGAGGGGGAATATGAAGATTATGAGTAATCAATAATAGTTAAGCTATAATTAATTAGTAGACATATAATTTTTATGCTTTTTCGACAAAAAAATATCAATAATAAAAATAGAAAAAAATTATCCAAAATATAAAACATATTAATATAAAAATTATCAATAAAAAAAACATTGGCAGTCAAATAATTAGAAAATGGACCTTCCAGATAACTACGGCTGGGTTCTGTTCATGGAGCTCTTAATCCTTGTGGAATATTATTGCACTGTCATCTACGTTGGCTATGCCAGAAAAAAAGTATTTACGCCCAAGTTCATGAGTGAGAATTTTGGGGAAGAATTCAGAAATACGTTCAGACGTGATCCGGATCCACTAGGATATCCAGATATGGGAAATGGACGATTCTCTGAAAAACTGTCTTTTGCGGACTGGTATTATTTTAACAATGCTCAAAGGGTACACTATAGAATTTTACAGAGACAAAAAATTATAGCCTTGATAGAGAATTATTTGTGGATTTATAATAGAAAAGTATATAACTTTTTAGAAGGAATCCATATCCCTCTTGTTTGCATTCCGATCGGAGGGGTAGAGCTGGAGTACTATACAATTGGGCTAGCAGCTGCGTATATTGCTGGGAGAGCTATATATGCGATAGGTTATACAAGGGTAGGCTCAAAAGGAAGATTGATAGGAGTGGGGATTCTTGATTTAGCACTTATTGGTCTTGTGGTTATTGCTTTTATTTCAAGCATCTTTATGGTTTATAACTAAGCCCACTTATCTTAAAAATCTAATTAATTTAATTTTTTTAAATTGATGCAGATAAATACTTATCAGTGTGATTGGAGCTTAAAAAGAAATCTCAATATGGCAGAATAAAATTAGCGTTTCAACTTTTAGTTATTGAAACTTAAGATAAAGAAAAACAGATAAATTTATAATAATTACTATGAAAATCCAAAACTGACTGAGAATAATTATAATTCAATCCGTTTTTAGTTTCTTTTCAATCGAGAAAGTGCTAAAAATTTTGTGCATAGCCCTAAGGCTTTATCTTAAGTATATTTATGGTTTATAACTAACCCGTTTATTCTAACTCAATGCCTTAATTTAAATAAGTTTTTATTAGGGGCTAATTTTCAGCAATTAGTAACTATATTTTCAAATTGTTTTGAAAATTCAAAAATTAATTGATTAATTAATGATAATATGTATTATAAAAAATAAATAAAATTTTGCTTTTCATAAAGTATGATTAAAATCTCTAAAAGATTTATAGGGCTTTCCCTTGAATAGCCCGATAACGAGATGAAGCCAGCCCGTTATCGGCTATTCAAGGGAAAGCCCTATAGTATATTTCTCTTAAGAAAGAGAGTAGAAATAACAATTCCTTATATTTTTAATCGGACTTGCCAAAGAGGGAAGTAAGGAAGGTGTTCTCTTAGGATAAACAAGTTTCGCCACTCACAGAGATTACGTCTATCGGGGCTACTGGAGCACACTACAGAGGGTAATTCTAACCTAGAAGCTAATCCTTAGGTTATACAACCCTCTCTAGGAATTCAAGAGGGTGAAATTTTGGTTGGGCCTTATGCCATTTTCACTCTGAATTAGACGCATCCAGCGGAGAGGTAGTTCAGCTAGCGGCATCCCCATTTATGGCTATATAAATCTTAACCTTATCCATTTCCATCTATTACTTCAAGGCCTAAGCACCAGCGTGGCTTATCCCGCTTAAACTGTGATGATAGTGAATCTTAATCTTATCATTTTTCCATTTTATATTATTCATTTACTAAATTCCATATTAACGCAATAAAAACAGTTTTATCTTTGAGTTACTTTAGGACTTGCACAATAGTCCGAAGAAAATGCAGTACTTTTAAAAACAGGATCCTTTATACTCTGATAGGTTAAAAGCTTTCTTATTCTTACAGGCGATGCCCTAAAATTCGTAGACTTATAAAAATCCACATTTCATCTATCACCCTCTCTATTTTGCCTTATTGGCGATTTAATAGACTGCAAAGTGTCATACTGAAGACTGAATTTTTTCCCCCTTGAATATTTTTCGTCATTCATAGCCTCCTGGATCCCTGAAACAATTCTTGCTCGTTTTTTGTTAAACTCTTGGAATTTGCTTTTAGAAGCAATAGGAGATCATAAGCTGTTTATATGTTTTGATGTCTTTTTTTCATTCAGCTCGATTTCTAGCTCGTTTTCTAAAATAAAATCGTGGGACATTTCATTTTCAATAGAACTAATTTCTCAGCAGGGGTCTTTAGTTGACCCTGTCGGGTCTTCAAATTTTGATTTAATTCGCTGGGTTAGGGTTTTGGACCTGTATTCTTTGCCTAAATTGCTGGGCTGGTTGGATTTGAGTAGGTAAGACTTGGATTTGGATGATAATTTTCCAATGATGGAATTATACCTTCTTATTAAATTGTCCTTGTGAGCTTTGTGAGACTTAGCCAAGGATAGTTGAGAAAATGTATGTTTAAGAGATGACGGATTTTGAGGAAAAAAATGCTGAATCCCCTTGATGATCAAGCAAAATATTTTCACTTTCTCATAAAAAAAGTTATTGCAATTTTTTTTAAAAAATATCTATATTAGCAAATTTTTAGTAAAGAATCTAATTTATTTACAATTTTGTTATAAAATACAGCTGATTAAATTTTGATAGGGCTATTTTGAGATTTCGTTATAATATTTATTATTTTATATTAAAAATGTTTTTTTTGTTCGCTCTTGAAGAGTGTTAATTTTCCAAAAAATTGGGATTTTCCTGTGGATTTGTTTGCTAAAGGAGGGAGAGTGAGGGGATGCACAATTTCGCTTTTCATGTATCATCAGATTTGTATTCATTATTCTTTTGCGCTTATAAATGGCATTTTGAAGTAAATTTAAATAATTGGTAGAGAAATGAAACTGAAAGCTGAAATTGAATAGTCAATTTTTTGCTTTGTAATTATTTAGCAAGGCAATAGGTGCTTTAAGCAGCCATTACATTTTAAATAGCAATTTGCATTCATTAAGCTTTATTTATAGATATTTGCATTTGATTTTGATAATTATTTGGAAATATTAATAACTTTATTTATGATTTTGTAAAATACGGACCTATTTTGGCACGGCAAAAAAAGGCAAAATCGGCAAAAAGCGGCAAAGCAAGCAAAAATAAGGAGTATTTTTTGGATATTTTGCGGATTCTATAAAATTTTTTTTTTTGGCTTACTTTACTACTTTTTGCTAATTTTGCCTTTTTGTTTCATCCCCAAAATAGGTCCGTAAAATACATGATTTTCATATAATATAGTTGCGACCTATATCATAATAAAAATGGTATTACTTATTCTGTCATTTTGCTTACCCTAAATTGTGTAAATGTTTTGTGTTCAATAAAATAATTAAAATAAATTCTTAGTATCATTTGCCCTTGCAGAACCAAACCCTGACAGAGTAGAATACCAGTACATCGATCTAAACTCTCCAGTCACCGAAATAAAATTCTGCGGCGCTCAAGACGAAGTCATGCTTCTTCTCACCACTGAAAATTCTGTATATCGCTCTGAAAACAAAGGCTTTTCATGGAAGCCGCTTTCCCCAATTCTAGAAAAAGAAGGCAAAAAGACAGGATCAACAGTCGGTAAGGTAACCCAAATAATCATAAATCCAGCAGACAAGCAAGTCGTGGTAATGTTAGGAAGCACAGGCCTTAACTGATTTTCAGAAGATTGTGGCAAAACAATAAAAGCTTTAAACTACGGACGACCAATGGAAGAATATCACTTTCATCCTACAGAAAGAGACTGAGGATTAGCAGCGTCATGGTCTAAATGCTCAGATTTCGTTGATCAGCCCTGCAAAAAATATAGAGCTGTTTATCTGACAAAAGATTTAGGAGAAACTTGGACAAAAGTTGTGGATTATGTCGTGCAATTTTCATGGGCATATGAAAATTTAGCAAAATATATCAGAAAAAACATCCCAAAAGAAAGAATTTATGTCACAAGAAGTTTGGAGGAAGGGGACCAAAAGGTGGCAGGATGGAGCTATAATGTTGATATGATAAAAAGTGATGATTTTGGCTCCATATTTTTTTGGGTAAAAAATTTAATAATTGCTTCCTCAAAAATCTCTATAAATTTCATTAAAAAAAAATTATTTCTACATATGACCTGGATTTTTTCCTGACCTCGTCAATTTTAGTCCCACATGGGAATAAGTTTTTACTTGCTGACAGATACATACTAGTAGCTCAATCTATTGAAGAAGGATCCCAAGATGTCCAGCTGCAGATTTCTAACGAAAAAAATATAGAGAAGTTCTATAAAGCAGATTTGCCTATTAAAAGAATTTCTGAGCACAGCTATAAGATTTAATAGAATTTTTTCCCTAAAAAATAATTAGAATTCATATAGGAAATTCATAAGGGAAAAATATATACTTTATTAGACACAAGTGAAGGGTCGATTTTTCTCAATGTAAACCATTATGGCCCAGGCTCTAGATATGGAAACATCTACGAATCTGACGTCACAGGCAGAAAATTCGCAGTCTCTCTCCTCCACAACGTGAGAGATGCAAAAGGATACTGCGATTTTGACAAAATTTATGGACTAGAAGGAATTTATATAGCCAATACCTATGACCGCGAAAAAACTAACGAAGAATTTGACGCTTCTACCACAAAAAAGAAAAAAGTTATCGCAGATTTAGACCAAAGCTACAAGAAAACAGTCATTACATTCGACAAAGGAGGACTTTGGAAGCCTCTAACCCCTCCGGAAAAGGACTCTAATGGTAAGCGTGTTCTCTGCAAAGACGAAGACTGTTCCCTTCATTTGCATTCTATTACTTCTCAAAAATTCGGTCCTGCTTATTCCTCAGAAAATGCTGTCGGAATTATCATAGGTGTTGGAAATGTCGGAAAATATTTATCCAATAAGCCTGACGAGCTTAATACCTATTTGTCAAGAGATGGAGGACTAACCTGGACTGAAATTAAAAAAGGGTCATATATTTATGAAATCGGCGACCATGGTGCTATTATAGTAATGGCTGATGACCAAAAAGCCACAGATAAGGTCTATTTCTCTTGGAATGAAGGACTTACTTGGGACTCAGTCAAATTTACTGACACTCCTATAGAAATTGACAATATTATTATTGAGCCCAAAGCGACGTCTCAAAATTTCATTATATACGGCCAAATAGGAGAAAAAGGAGCCAGCGTTGCCATTGATTTTTCTTCACTTCATGAGCCACAATGCAAAGGTGCTGATAAGCCAGGAGAAGGCAGCAGTGACTGTCTGATTGCCATTTAAAGAGAACATTTTTTAATGAGGCATTTATCAGCAGATTTGATCGAATTTTTGATAGTGAGACATTTTTTTCGGAAAATACCTTTGATCAAATGTCCTAAAAAAATTAGACCCGGGAATTAAACCACAAGAAAAAGTCCAGAGGAAAAAAATGCACCATAGTGACTATGAACTGTGGAGTCCTAATGATGGGAGGGCTGGGAATGAATGCTTGCTAGGCAGAAAGGTAGAATATGTCAGGAGAAAAAGAGAAAGTGAATGCTTTAATGGAGAACAGTTTGAAAGAGGCACGTTTAAGTATATAGGGTTTTACCCTTATTAGCCCTATAAGGCAGATGATTCCCTTTGGAATTATTGAGTTGGCCCAACTAGCAAGTAATTCCCTTGGGCTATTCAGGGTAAAACCCTATAACTGTGAGTGCACTAAGGCTGATTATGAGTGCGATTTAGGATTTTTCAGCGAAAATGAAGGGCCATGCAAGAAAATTGAAGGATTTATTGATGAAGAAAAATGCCAGGATGGGGATTTGTATTATGAAGTTTCAAGAGGATACAGAAAAGTCGCTGGAGATACCTGTGTGTACGGGGTCAGTGAAGATTTAGACCCATTTACATTTGAATGTGACACAAATGCTATCAGCACGACTGGGATTATCATAATCCTCGTCCTTATAGCAATCATAATTGCCTTGCTTTATGTGCGGTTTTCAGATTTTATCTGCAAAAAATGGACTGAATTCAAAGGTCTAGAAGTTTTTGACAAGGCTGGGTACTTCAGCGACCTCAGCAAAGCTCCTGAAGGTATGGAAGAAGAGCTTCCTTCCATAGTAGCTGACACTTTTGACGAAGAATCCCAATTTAATTCTAAATCTTAAAATTATTATAAAAAATGAGCATCCGTGACAAGCTGGAGAACGTTTTAAAAGAAATACAAACTCAGCTTGACAAAATCGACGACCATCTGAAAAAGACTACTTTTAAAGATCCTGATTCAAGCTTTGAAGAATATTTATTGAACACAAAAGAAGAATAATAATTAAATAGCTCGGTGGAAAGGGTAATTCATTCCGTGAATTCCCTCTCCTTCTCACCCACTTTTATTATTATAGAGCTAGGTTTTTTACACGTGGACTTCTGGACGGTGTAAAATGGCGAGGAATTTTTATCTCGCCAGCCTTGGATATCATGCTTTACCTCTTTCCTCGCCGATATAAAAAGCAGCACCCTTAGGCCTAAAAGGCGCTTGAGGGAAGTCGGATAGAGCGAGGTAACGCGCCAAGTCGTTAGTGCTTCCTGTACTTCTGGATTCCCAAATGGCTTCACAGGATTAGGAGGAGCGAGGCACGACATACGTGTGAGAATAGCGACAAAACGGAGAAAAAAGGCGCCTCATGGTGATGTGCAACTCGAGGGTCAACTACAGGTCGAGTTAAATTTAGCTAATTAAGATTAAGAATACAAAAGAAGAGCTTGAAAAACAAAAAAATGCTCTCATAAATGAATTTGCTGATATCGAAGATCTGAATTCTTCAATCTGTTTAGCTTTTCCAGCAAAAAAAAAGGTGAAAAATAAAGGTCCTGAGCTAGAACTTAAGGTTTCGACAGAAAAAAAAGCCCCTGCTCGTAAATCCACTAGCAACTTGTTAATCAATCCGAACAATTGCACCTGAAACCGAACTCCTAGCCAGCAGAACAAAACCCCGGCGTCTCCAGTAAATAATGCAAATGCCGAAGAACCGAAAAGTCCTCAAACCACGACTTCGTGGTCTAAAAACTGGAGGTATGAGGCTCCTCCTGATATAGAGGATTCTTTTCGAAATCCATTGGAGATGCTGGAGGAATCAGCGATATAGCACACCCCTTGTGGTTGCTCGCCATTAAGTACCCCCTTCCCATGTCACCCACCCCTGAAAATTTTAAATGTAAAAATATTATTTGACTATTCCCTCAAATCTTTTAACTTGTCAAATTAATATTTTAGCATGCTAAAATATTTGGGACCGTTAGGGGGTAGGTGGTATGGGAGGGGGTGCTCAAGGCTGATCCAAAACGGGGTGTAAGCTATACTTGAGCCTAGGATTTATAGGGCTCAAACTTCCTGAGAAGAGCTTGATCAGGACAAAGAAGAATTTAAAGAGGTTGATTTTAGATCAATCAGCTGGGAGCCTGATCCGCCTTTAAGATATAAAGATGAAAGTCCGAGAAATCTGGCACAAAACCAAGTTTTAAAAAACCAAGGAACTTATAATGATTATGCGAGGAAAAATTGCAAAACTATTGCATCATTAACAAGCTCTCTTGAAGAATTAATAGAAGCAACTCAAACAGAAGAAGAACTAAAGCCACAACTAAAAAAGGCAAACACATGGGGAAAAGAGCCTGTATATAGAGATCTTTTGGCACCTAACAACCCAAAAAGCTCTTCTTATTCTCGCTTAGGCTCTCAAAATACCCCAAGCAGCGATTTACCAAAGCCAAAGAAAAAAGTGATCCCAGCTATCAAAATTGATAGTGTAAAAGAAACAGGCCCAGAAGAGCCAGACGAACTTAATGCCTCAGAAATTCAAAAGCTTGTTGAGCTTGACAGTGAAGACTTAGAAATCCAAGACTCGATCGAAAAAATGAACAAATTGAGAGAAATTAAAAATAAAGCGCATGAAGAAATGCTGAATATTAAAGAAAAAATTTTGCAGGCTAAAGAAAAAAAGCTGGAAACTTTATTAAATCAGCTGGCAGCCCAAACATCTCCAAAATCAGCTAATGAAACTAAATCAAACAATGCGAGCTATATAAAGCTTGGCCTTCCGTCGCTATCAAGATCAAGGCTAAGCCCAAATGTCTTTAAAAGCAACTCAAATTCCCCAAGACCTGTTTCTCATAAAAATGAAAAAAATAAAATAATTGCTCCTATCAAGAGAAACAAAGAAGGGTCAATTTCTCCAAGATCGCAAAATATGTATATAGAAAAAAGAATTCAGAAAATTACAACTGGCGAAGGAAAAAATATTTTATGGTGTTTAGGTATATATTAGTTTTATAGAGAATTGCTGAATTTTATATGGAGAATATAAGGAAATTTAGTATAGTTTTCCAAAGCGCAAATAGAAACCTCAATGATGAGGAAAATGCTAAGGATAAAAATGTAAAATTTATTTAGTGTGATATGCTAACTCCTATGTCAAGACTTAACCTAGACACCAAAAAAATTATGAAAAAGTCTAGGAGTTTTACAGAGATTGCTTCCGAGTTTAATAATCCTTTTTGCTCTTAAGTTATCTAACTCTCTCTGTAAGCGAGAAAGCCTATCAGAGCAATCTTACTATTTTTGGGAAATTAGCCATCCTTATGAGTGAGAAATTTGTGTAATACATAAATGTTTAATAAAAAAAATCGACATATAAATTATTATAATGGAATTACAAGCTTATTCTAAAACAGATGCGCTCTAAAACATAAAATTTTATTTTATTTCAAATGCGAATGTCTAAAAAAAAAAAATTTTAAAAAATAAAATTATCACTAAAGAGCATGCCAAAAATTTTATGTGCTCATAACGAGGATGAGTAAGAATTTCTAGTGATAGAAAGACTTGGCAATTAAATTACAATAGCAATTTTGCATATTTAATAAATTTTCATATAAAAAAATATAAAATTTTCTTTTATTGCCCTTATGTGTTTTCTTTATTTTCTCATAAACATAGCCCGTGCCTCCTTTTGGCTCTGACTATCTCGACGTTTTTGACGCTAACCGTGAGTTGGAAAACCAATTTCCCAGATGACAAAATCTCTAGCAGCAAGTGGATTTGTCATCTGGGGAATCAACAAATGCTGGTTTTCCAACTCCCAATTTACGCCATAATATTTCGGTATAGCCTGAGCCAAAACTAGGCTTGGGCTATATTCGATAAAAAAAGTTTGCTTAGATAAAAATGAAAAAGGATCAATAGTAACTTTTACACAGTGTCTGCGTAAAGTCCTTAACATGGGCAAGGGACTCTCACGGGCTTTTTGATTACGAGTCCAAAAGTATTCACAAGAAAACCACAAAAATAGACCATTCAGGAAAAATATTCAGAGTTGGGAATGATGTGAATTTTGTAGGTGAAGATATAGACATCAATCATATAGAGGGCTGCGTCAACTTACTCCCCCCCCCTCCGTGAGTGAACAAAACCATTAGAAAAATCGCTATTTTTTGCCCAAAAACCCACCCTCCGTGAGTCAACAAAAATTTTTTAATACAAAAATTTTTTATGGAAAAAAATTTTGATATATAAATGATAATTAGTATAATGAAATCTAGAGCTAATTCTATTTAAATTTGAACGAATTGCTTTTTTAAAACATAAATTTTATAAATTAAATTAATATTTGCTTTCCAATTTTTGCGAATTAGGATTTTTTTAAATTTCGAAAAAAAAAATTTTTTATAAAATTTAAATATAAATTTTTTAAAAAAAAAAAATTAACCCCCCCTCCCGTGAGTGAACAAAAATTTTTTTGTTCACTCACGGAGGGGGGGGGAGTTAGCAAATATTTCGATAGACAACAACCAATGTTTTCTATCACAAATAGATGAGTCATTGTGGCTGTCTTTAAGAAATTCTAAGCCAGAGGAGTCAAAAAATTACACTCTTACTGAAGGGACAATTATGAAATTAGGCAGGGTAAAATTCAAAATAAGTGCATTGCACACGTCAAATCTAGAGTCTTTGCTGTTTGTACAAGATGGCCCAGAAAGTGTTTTACCTGAAGATAGTGTATGCAGGATATGCCTTTGCGGATTAATTGATGTGGAAAACCCTCTTATCAGTCCTTGTGTGTGTAAAGGGACTATGAAGTACATTCATATCCAGTGTCTGCAAAAATGAGTTTCTTCTAAGTTTTCGACAAAAATCGGCTTAAATTCAGTGATTTTTTGCTGAAAATCAATGGATTGCGAGCTTTGTAAAAATCCTTATCCAGCAAGCATAAAAGTTGGCCGAAAAGTACATGCGATTTTTACAGCTGGAGACATTCAGACCCCTTATTTCATGCTAGAGTCTATGTCTAGAGACAGTAACAACCACAGAATGCTTTATTTAGTTTCCTTTACTAATAAATGCTCAATAACCCTTGGAAGAGGCCATGATTCTGACTTAAGGGTCTCAGACATTTCAGTCTCAAGATGTCATGCGGTCATTAAATATGTGGATGGAATATTTATTTTGGAGGATAAAGCAAGTAAGTTTGGGACTTTAGTGATGCTGCAGGAGCCGCTTAGAATTAAGGCAGAAGATAATATAGTTTTGCAGGTTGGAAGAACTGTTCTTGAAGCTACTTTAAAAAGTGGGTCTAGAGAAGATTATTCGACTGATGATGATTTATAAAGCGAGGCATGATTATGTTTAAATAGATCAAGGTAATCAAGGCTAAAATATTTTTTATTATTTTGTTGATTAAAAGTAATTTTCAAATAAATTTACACTATTTTATAGTCAATTTTCACCTAGGAGAACAAAAATACTATTTATCAAATAACATAAATAATCAAAATTTCAAAATAATTTGAGATGGATTTTCTTTTATTTTGATTACGTTACATATTTTGTATTTAAAGACTTAATTTATATATATAAATTTATTTTAATTTCAAGATTATTTTCTCTATTTATGTATCAGGCAACAAAAATTCAAAAATATTTTTATTTCATTTTTTTTATATAGTCTACTTTATAATTTGTGCTTATCTATTTATCTTACTAATCCTATATTTCTTACTTTTTTAGCAGTTAAATATATTTACCATATCTCTATATACCTCAAAAATTATAATTATTAAATCAGATGAGCCGAAATCCATTACATCTAAAATCACTTCCTCGTTCCTATGACAGGAAAACTGATCGAGTTCATATCGACATTAATGCCCAAAAAATCCGGATTCACAAAAAAGATATCCGCCATTATCATCCTGAAACTACAAGAGAATCATACGACCAAAATTTTTTGCAACTTTCAGTAATAGAGCCAGCTGAACAAAATTCAAATGATTTATTAGACGACTCTGCAATTTTTGAGGCATATAAAATATTAACTCCAACTACAAACAAGCCAAATACTGAAAATTCAGTAAAAACTGCGCTCAGTTTAAAATTGGGCAAGTGCAAAATGATGCCATTTTTAAAGCCAACATGAGACAAGCAGGATTTAAAAAAATTGGTGAAGACGTTAGAAAAAAAAGAGACTGGAAGAGTTCTGGTATCTCCGCTTATATTTAAACAAAATTGTGAGCAGAAATCATTATGATTTCATATACAGATTAAACAGAGAAAGGTAGCCCAACTTTAAAAATTGTATAAATTAATAAATATTTTTGGTGTAATTGAGCTATTAATATTTAAATTAATTAAAACCATGGATATAAATATTCAAACAAAAATAATTAATATTTGGTGAAATTAATCATATAGGCTTTTTAATGATTTGACAAAATTATAATTTCAGCAGTTAAACTTATTTTTCATAGAAAATCCTCCTTAATATATATAAAATTTATATCATCTTCCTCTATCCGATTAAATTTGAAAATTTTTGTAAAAACAGGAAATTTAATACGTGAAATACTAATTTTAATTGAAAAACGCAATTAGAATATTATTTTAAACAGTTTTCAGACTGAATCGATTAATTTTTTGAATTAATTCTTCATGAAATAAATTCAAATTCAAAATATTGCGTTTAATTTATATTTTTTTAATCTTAATCGAGAAAAATTTTAATAGAGATTTTTTAAAAAAATAGCTTGGAATAGGATTTTTGCTACAATTTAAAGGAGGAGAAGTCAATAATTCTCCGATCCGCTATAAAATCTATCAGCATTTTTATTATCTGTAAACTCTTTATCATTACAAAATATCTTAATGAGTAGCACAAAAAGGAGATCATTTGAAACTGAAGACAAGAAAAACCTTTTAAAAACTCTATCTAAAAAGCAAATTACTTTACCTCACGAAAGAGCAAGCCTATTAAATCCTCTATCAAAATCTCCTAATGATGGTTTTCGGACTTTCAACAGAAGAAACACATGCATGGCTTCCAGCTTAGAATTTGACGGGCTATTAGAACTCCAGCATGAAAAATCATGGCCTAAGCCTACTTCAATATCAACAGACAGTGTAAAAAGTATCGTTGGGAAGAATTTTCTTGAGCTGATATCCAGGACAAATTTGAAGAGGAGAAGGAAAAATACTTGAATAGATAATACTGACTCTGAAATTAAAGAAGAAAAAGAAAGAGTCACAAAGCTAATTTTTTCATATCAGCTTAGAGAGCCTATTAAAAAATTAGATAAAAGATTATCAGCTTCATCTGAAACTGGAATTTTTTTAAAAATTTCAGATAAAAGATTTTCGCCAAGAAAAAGCGAAAATAAGCAAAACTTGTCAATAAAATTACTAGAAGACTCAAGAGATAATTCATCTTCTGATATAACGCCAAGGAATTATATTGAAATTACTCCAAAGACACAAAGGCATAGGGCAAATAATGAAGAATGAAAAGATATGGGCAGAAGAAAAAAATTTTATGGTGCGGAAAACCTAAAAGATAAAAAATTGCCCGTGATAAATAAAAATGTAAAAAGAAAGTCTCAGGAATATAGAGTATTTGTTAAGAGTGAGATTTAAAATTGACAGCCAATATAAGTAATAATCCAATTTAAATATTTAAAAATGAATAAAAGTTGGTATAGTCTTAAATTAATCGCTTTATTTGTTAATATATATAATAAATTTAAGTGTAATTTTTAAATGGAATAGGCTGTCCTATTTAATTTTTGTTGTTGTTTAAATGCTAAATCCAGAGTCTGATTTTATTAAATTGGCTGGATGACATAACAAAAAAACTCAAATTTTAAGTAACTCCTTTTAAAGATAAATCTTAAATATTAATTATATTCCCTTTTCTATTTTCATATAAATATCCATCTAAAACTAAATTTATTTTCATAATAAATATCTTCAATTCTAAATTCTTTTTAGTTTTAAAAGCAAACTACAATCTTTTAGTTATTATACTTCCATTATAAATTTTAAGAATATTCATGAGCACAAAAGAGAATAGTTTTGAAGCCAAATTACCCCCTCCTGCACCATCACTTGTTTCAATGAAAAAAAGATCTGAATCTAACCTAAGAACCTCCATTGTTCTTTCAAAATCTTCAATGGCAGAATCATTGAGTATATCATTTCCACCCCTACAGATCACTATTCCAGATTATTTATTTTCAAATCGCATTTTTCGCCTGTTTATAATCCAAATTAAAATATTTTTTTTAAAAAACATATTTAAGATAAGAAAATCTATCCCTTTTTACCATAAGTCTATATCAATCTATTTCAGTAGACTCCTTATAATATTCGAATGCAGACTTATACCAAGCTTTACAGTAATAAAATTTTCCCTAAAACCACAATATCCCAAGGGCAATCCACTATCAGATTAAACGAAAATTCAGAAATTCTACGTGAAGGAACCCGAGAAACAAAAGTTAACCTTACAAGTATTTCTTCAAAGCAAATTAAACGTAAAATAACAAATCGTGCTGAATCTCTATCACAGATAACCCCAATTCAAAGGGTTGATAATAATGAAAAAAAGATAAAGGACGGAATGTATGAAATCCAGACTGCACTGAGCGATAAATTAGAGCTTATGAGGGATCTTGCAACTTACGAAAATAATTTTTCAAAGTCAAAAGATTTATCAATATTATTAGGCAGACTAAGAGTATTATCAGCATCAATTCCTGATACTTATGATGAAAATAATGGGATTCAAACTGAAGAAAAAGTATATTTAATATATTAAACTCTGCATTTTCTTATTTTAAAAATAATTTTTTAGAAATTTAATTAAATAAAGAATAGTCTACAAAAAATTAACTGAAGGCTTAAACTCACTTTTAAATTTAGAAACTCAGCATAGCCCTAAGCTAGGCCACAGTCAAGTTGAATATGAATCATTTGACTTAAAAAGCATTTACCAGATACAAAAATTCGAATCAGTCTTCCAAGGGATTTTCAATATATCTTGTATATCAAGTATAATAAATTTTCGTAGTGATAAATGATTGGAGTATATAGAAATTACTGTCCAGACACCATATGGGGATTTTTTTAATATGAATATAAGACTAGCTATATCAAATTCGTATCAAAATAAAAAACAAGTCTCTGCTTATGCGAAAAAAAGCATCCTTCCTCATCTTTACTATATTTACTATAAAAATGAACTAAAAATGAATTATGATTATAGACACAGTCATACTTTTTATAGCTTAATTTGTAGAATTAGAGGATGAGGGGTTTGCTCGGTCGAGCTTACTGAAAATAATGAACAGCAGGTTCACATTCAGGTAAGCTCAATAGATGATGCTTTAGAAGTGCCAATTTATATTATAATGCCTTGGACTTCTCTATATATATTACCAAAATTCCTAGGCCTATATTTCTCTTTAATTAAATCTAAAATTTTGTATTATATTTTTTATAATTAATATTCAGCAGAATATTACTTCAAAAAGCAGCCTGTTTCTTGAGACATCTGACTGACTTAAAAGAGTAATTGAAAAATACTTATGTTATATCCCTGAAATGAATGGACTTTATTGGCATGAGGTTGGTGACCAAGGTTTTATATTCTTCCAAAAAGAAATGAGCTCTATATTAATGAATGATGAATATCTTAAAGAAGAACTTGATATTTTGTTATTTAGCGAATTATATACGTTTGAAGCCAAAATTAATAATGCTGTATTTGTAATAGAGATACTTGGATCTACTCAGCACGTGAAAATTAATGTAAAATATGAAAATGAGACAGTTGATATCAGTTCTGAGTCAAAAAGATTTAAATTATTGACTGACTTGCAGTCGCTAAATATAAGGAAAGGTATTGAGACTCTGAGGAGCTCACTTGAGCTAGAGTTATTTCTTCGAAAAGTTTTCCCAAAAGCATTTTTATGTAAAAATAAAGAAAATTAACTTTTTACTAGTAGGGGTATATGATAGCAATGACAAATTATTATTTTTGCTGCTTCAAAGAATAAGAAGATCGATTTTAAATTTTTTGATTAAAATATTTCAGTTTAAATTTTGAATTTATATTAATAAAATTTGTTTCCTTATTGCTAATTTTTATTAAAGATATCTTTAATTTTACTGATGAATTTCAAAATAAATCAAATTTTCTTGAATTAATAAATTCTTTGCTTTAATGATTTAGCTTTTGTTAGTTTTCTTTCTATTACATTGCATATATCGCATTTTTTACAGCTTCTTAGTGGTCTTTACAAATTATTATATATTTTTCTTAAACGCGTTTAGCGTTTTGATAATTTCATTTGTCTTATTATTAATATTATCTAGAATTTCCATTTTAAATGATAAAGTTTATTTTGCATAAAAAGTCTTTTTAAGACTTTTATAAAAAATATTCAAAATTAAAAGACGGTTTCAACCAATTTCCTTAAAAAATTCAAAATTTTTTTATTTCCCCAAAAATTCTCTTAAAAATGATCTTTTAAATATTCTGATTTCCGGCACATGCAAATACTGAAATTTTCTTATGTCGCCATAAACAAAAAATATGAACGATTTGTTAAGAGGAATTACTCCAAATAACAATCTTTATGATATTCAAAGCGTTATCGGACACATTTTATTGGTTGCGGACATGTGCTTTTTTGTGACTGCGATTATAGACGCTCAGATGAATTATGAAGCTGTATTTCATTCTTCGTGCTCTCTTGACGTCGCCAATATGTCTATTGAAGCTGCAACCACTCTTGGATATATTATTAGACTAATATTTACAGCAATACTCTTATTAACTAAAGTGGTTAATCTCTACAAGTTTATAGCCAGAACAAATGTCTTTCCGAAAATTGGAGCTCTTTATGCACCTTTTATGTCAACTGTGCTGCTGACTGTAATTATCTATGATTTTGATAGTTGCAATGAAGTGAGCAGTATTTTCAGCTTAAAGTCTTCAACAGATTTATGCAGTGCATACAGCGCGATTATTTTAGCTGTGCTTGCTGGACTTTTTACCATTAAAATTGTGACTCTTGTTCAAAAGAGAGCTCAGCGTTACAAAATATTCACAATTTTAACTTTTATACTAACGTTTGGCATAATTGTTGGGTCTTTAATTGGTCTGATATCAGAAATTGAAATATTAAGAAAAGACAAAGTTTATACCTTTGTGCTTTTTGACTTATATAGCTTTTGCATAGCTATATTCTTTATCCTAATTTCAGTTGAAAAAAGGTTTGAAAGCTACCTAAGGCGTATTCAGCCTAGCTAATTGTTATCATTTGAGATTTTATTAACTAAATAATTAATCATTTTTGGATTAAAATTTTCTCCAATTTCTTAGACTTTAACTATGTGACACTGATTATTTATCATCCATCCCCTGAAATTTAAAACAGGCTTATAGTGACTATTTCTGCTTCTCAGATTGGACTCTATTTGTAAGAGCTAGCATATAAAAAACTAAATCTCTAAAGTTTATTTTCAAAACACCAATTTTTATGATTTACGACAAAAAATTATTTGAATCCATTAAATTTATTAATAATTATTATTATAAGTTTTACTGCGTATAAAGATCTTTAATTTAAATTAATGCTTGACTATTCCCTCTAATATCTACTTTCAGAATATAATTATCAAGAAGATCCACCTTATTAATCACTATTATAAATTCAGAAAAAATCTTTAAAGCACTTATTTCTGATGAAGCATTAAGCGGCAATAAATGGAAAATCAAAAGGAAGATTTATTTGAAATGCAAATAAATTCCCCAGACATAGTGATTTCATCTTTGAAAGAACTACTGTTTTCAGATCTTTATAGTGATTTTACTGTAATTATTGAAAAAACTGGAGAAAGAATTCCAGCACATAGCCAAATTTTGGCAGCAGCAAGCCCTTACTTCGCAAGGCTGCTTTACGGCCCATTTGTAGAAGGCTCTTCTAACATCAATCTGCGATTAAGCAAAATTTTTGAAAAATTCTTGCTTTTAGGGAAAAATTAGTCCTCTGGAGAGAGCTAAAGTTTAAAAATAATTTAATATATAAATAATGGTTATTAAAAAAACACAATATATTAAATTTTAAATAGCTTACATTTTAATATAAATTTTATAAATTAATTAAAATTTTTGCAAATTGATTTTTTTAAATTATACCTTCCAAGCGAAAACTTTTTGCTTGCTCACATATAGAAGTAAACAAATGAGAGTAAACGATACAAGCTCAGATATTTTTAAATCACTATTACAATTTCTCTATACAGGAAGCATAAATCTGAATATTTCTACTATAGTTCCTTTAATTAAAGCTGCAGACGCATTTTGCATTGCTACAGCAAAATCAGAGTTTTGCAATGCAGCTAAAACCATAATAGAAAGTTTAGACACTTCGCCGTCAACTCTTGAACAAATTTCGATAATCCTTACAGACTCTTATGATTTGAAAATTCTAGAAATCCAAGAAATGTGTTTAGAATATATTGATCTGTATACAGAAGAGTATTTAGAAAGCGAAGCATTTTTGCATTTACCGATAGAAATTGTTGAGTTGATTTTAGAAAGAGACACTTTATGCGACGGTGTATTTGAGGTAAGTTTGTATTTGGCTTGCTTAAGATATGTAAGAGGAGATGGTAGCATTAATCAAGAAATTCATGAAAACTTTGATGTCGGTATGTTTACAGCTGAAAATATTGAAATCCTTAGTAGGCTGTTTGCACATATAAGATTTCCACTAATTCCAGCAAGCTATATTATAAGAGAAATTGAGCCTACTCACCTTATTTCTAAAGATGATCTTTATCATGCTGTTGCTTTTCAAGCTGCACCTCATATGTACCAAATGAGTGATAATAAAATATTTAAAGAAAGATCAGGCAGTAAAAGACCATGGACATGAAACTCAAACAAAATAGGATCTCTCATTGTCTTATCAAGCGACAAAAAAACAGCTGTTGGGCACCATTATGACTGGGAAAAAGTTCTAGGTGACGTAAATTGGTATGCTGGAGTCCACACATATTCTGTCATTTTAGAGATGAATGCCTCAGCATCCAGCAACTCCTGGCAAATCATTGTAGGAGTCGCTCACCCTGACACTTCATTATCTGGGCATCTAGGGTCAGGAAGTAAAGAATGGGGACTAGCTTGTTATAATGGCCTAAAAATTTCTAGTGGAGACACAAGAGAAGAATTTACAACACCAAGTAAGCGAGGAGATGTCATTACTGTAAAAGTAGACATAATGCATCAGACGCTAGAGTTCTTTAGGAACGGGGTGCTAGTCTTAGTTAACTTAGTGCTTAAAGTGCCATTTTCTTCAGAAAGATGCAAGTAGCGGCCCACCTTTTTAACTCCTAGTAGCGATGTAGCCGGACCTTCAGACTTCGGCAATCAAAAGCAAGTTCTCTGCCTTACTCAGCTACTGCGCGTGCTTCGCCTTAGGGTCACCCTCCATGGGTGTCTGAGAGGGATTAGATTAAGCCTCTGAGCAGTTTCCCAGCCTTATGACCCAAATTAAGCCGCTGCTGTGTAGAAGTTCTCAAAGAAAAACCAGCCCACAAATAAAATTCCATAAAGGAGAGAAGATTAGCATCGCTAACTTCTCTCAAACCTCATAACCATTTTATCTATTAGGAACGGGATATCCCTTGGAATTGCATATAATAAAGTGACAGGACCATTATGTCCAGCAGTTTCTCTATTAAAAAGCCAACGTGTAGTATTGAAATTCGATTAATAAATATTTCTTGCCAAAATAACTAATTTTCATTATAATTTTCCATAAGAAAATAACTAGAGATGAATATTATATAAATGGAAAACTCTCAAGCAATTTTTACTATCAAAAAGTGCCTCATACCTCCTATCGAAATTGACCCAAGACTCCTAAAATCAGCCCTAATTGAAGAAATAGATACTTCAGGCCTGAACTTAAAATTAAATAAATATCTCAATAGAAAGCATGAAATCCAAAACATGAAAAGGCTTCAAAGCCAAAAAAGCCAACTCAGAGACGAGAAGCTTAGAAAAAACAAAGAAGAAATGGCTAGAATCAGACAGGAAAACCAAAAGCGGCAAGACGAAAAAGCCCAGCAAGACCAAAGAGAATATCAACGCTTGTGTAAGGCTCAAGAATTGATGTCGGCATGCCCTAATATTTATGACGTAAATGCTGCGTTTTTTTACTTAGAAGCAGGGAATTGGGATGTGGCGAAGGCTATTCAATGCTATTCAGAAAGCTCTGGAGATATGGCTCCAGCTGATATTGCTAGAAATAGGGCAAGAATTAATATCCGATTTATCATGCCAAATGGTGCAGAATTTACTGAAGTATTTGACGCAAGCCAACCAATGTGGAGCATGCTCAGCAAAATCTATGAAAAATTAACTGAAAGGCGGAACTTTGTCGTAAAAACCAGCAGGGCTTCACCTCCAATAAAGATGGAAGACATGACCCGAGTTACATTTACTCAGTTTGGCTGTGAACCTAACACTACCTTCATAGTAGAATATGAATAAAACGCCTATTAGTCTAATTCCCAAAAAAATTATTAATTGTCTCTAGTCGCTAAATATCTTCTATCAATTCCTAAAAATTGGACTATTTCCTTTGTTTTATAGCTCCTTACCTTTGGTGCATACCCTTCTTTATCCACAGGTGGGAACCTTTTTACCTCTTTTCCATCCTCATATACAATCAAGCTTGGCAGCTGTCTAGAAAACCCTGAGTTGTCTACAGCGCTTTTTTTGGCTAGATGTTCATTATTTTCTACATCAATTCTTGCAAAACATAAAGAATTTGTGGTATATTTTATAGACATATCAGACCATAAGGTCATTGTAGTTAGACAATCGTCGTTCCAAGGGGCATAAAAAAGCACGATTCAGGTTTTTTTGCTTTTTAAGACGTCTTCTTCGAAGTCTCGCATTGAGTCGATTTCTTTGAACTTGTGAGGACCGTCGTACATAGGCATTTTAAATAGCATTCAGACAAGGAGACAGGCAAATATGTACCAAAACATAAGCCATATGCTGATAAAAAAGCAGAGGATGATAATAGAGATTTTGTAGTAGAAGAAGAACTCGGTGAAAAAGGCTTCCCAGGTTAGGCTTTTGATGTATTTTAAGAATGCAATGACGGTACAAGTTGCCAGTACTTGGATTTCTCGAGAATATGCAAGAGAGCTTGGCAAAGTGTCGTCTGCCATAAAGAGTCTTGAGGGTTCTGCACCTGAAAGCAGCCGGAAAAGCGGGTATAAAAGTAAAACTGCATAATTAGCAAGGTAATAGCTATTGAAAAATCTTGACATTTTATATTTATAATTAAGAGAGATGCAATAATGATAGAAGTTAACAATCATAAATACCTTAAAAGGCGAATTTCTATAATAATCAGCTGATTATTTCTCACTAAACCCCCCCATCCTTGATCGAACGACTCGCCATCGTTCGATCAAGGATGGGGTTAAAAATCATTTTTTTGGGAAAAAAATTTTTATATATAAAATAAAATATATATATATATATATTTTTTATTTACTTTTAAATAAGAGGGTTAAGAGTATTTAATAATTATTTTTATAGCAAAATATTGAATTAATTTCATAAAATACCAATTTTTAATATTTTGATTTATTAGTTACCCCTTTAAACTGTAAAATTTTAATTTGTTCCTTATTGAATTAAATTTTTTTTTTTAAATTTTAAAGAATCTCTATTTTATTAGATTATTGAGTTTTTAAGCCTAGGTTGATGGCTAAATCACTTCGGATGGTTGATTCCGCAGCTTTCTGTCGTCTAAAAGCTCTGAAAACAACTTCATTATGTACATCTTCCCAAGCTTTTGATAGCCAATATATTTTTATATTATAAAAATTTGCATGATATGAAAATCGTTCGATAAGGAAGGGTTTAATTTCCCCAATTTTTAGGAATTTTTACAGTCAATCGTTCGATCAAGGATGGGAGCGAGTAAGAAATAAATTAAAAATAATTATTAAGTAAAATAAAAGGCTAATTAAAATAAAATGTTTACGCTTATTTGCCTCTTAAAATAAACTTCTTTTATCTAAAATAATCATAAAGCCATTTCCTTTATAAATGGAAGAAAAGTGGGTAAACAAGCAAAGGACACTTATCGTCTGCTCCAGAGGAGTTTCACACCAAGAGCGTCACCTGATCACTGATCTGATCCGCCTTCTTCCACACAGTAAAAAAGAAACCAAGCTAGATCGAAAAACACAAGTCTCGACCTTAGCAGAGCTTGCCGAAATGCATTCGTGCAATAATTGCATTTATCTAGAGAGCAGAAAACACATTTCCTTCCTTTGGATTGCGAATTTCCCTTCTGGACCTTCTGCCAAGTTCTTGCTCCAAAGTGTCCACACAAGTAGTGAGCTTAAATTGTCAGGAAATTGCTTAAAAGGATCAAGACCACTTTTATCATTCGACAACAGCTGGAGCGAAAAACCCCAACTTCAGCTGCTTCAACATATGTTGACACAAACTTTTAGCACACCTTTAAAACACCCTAAATCAATGCCATTTGTGGATCACGTTTTAAGCTTTAACCAAGCACAAAATAAAATATACCTAATCATATAAATTTACATATAAAAAAAATTATTTTTCAAAAATTTGAATTTTATTTAAAAAAAAATATTTTTCAGAAATTTCGAAATGATACAAAGTAATAGTGAAATCGCGCTGGTAGAAATCGGCCCAAGGTTTACTTTGACTCCTATAAAGATTTTTGAAGGAGCACTTACAGGAGAGACGCTATATAAGAATGAAGCTTATGTTAATCCTAGAGAGCAAGAGATGAAGTACAAGATGGAGGTGAAAGTAAAAAGAAGAAATAAAAAAAATAAGCAAAAGTTTGAAGTTGGTCCTGAGGAGTCTGATGAATAATCCTGATAACTAATCTGATTTTGAGGGCGATAATTAAGAAATTTTTTATTTATTTATAGAGTCTAGGGCAAACAAAATATTATGTTTGTGGGAAGTCAAGCTAGATTCTATATAATGCAGTAAATAGTAATTTAAGGCAAGATTTAAAGATTCTCTTTTATGATAAAAATGCATTTAACAAAGATTTATAAAAATTCAACATTCCCGGCCATACCCTATTAATAGGGTGAGCTTCAAACTGCCGAATTGCTAAAAAAATAAGTAAAAGAACAAATATTTTGTGATATGTTATTTTATAACTTAACAGCGAAAAAAGTGAACCCAGAGCGACTTGAACGCCCAACCTGCGGATTTGGAGTCCGTTGCACTACCAGTTGTGCTATGGGTCCTGCTTAAACAATAACCTCAATACCACTATTTATATTACTGATTCCTAAATATTGTGCGCTTTATCAGCCCATAAGTCTTCAATTAATCTCTTCTGTACTCCTATTTAAATTTTTTTGCTTTTACTTGAATTTCTAGATAACTCTAAATCAACGGTTTTTAAAAAACTTTCTAATTTGTCTTGTGTTGCAAATTTATTGCTTTCTGTCTGTTTTTTGCAACTATAAAATAGTGCCTTCATCTTTGAAGTAGTTGCTTAGTTTGGGAAGGCTAAAAGATTAATAGCCTTAAAGATGGATATCAAATTTATATACTGGAATTAAATAAGCCTAAATTTCAAGAATCAAGATTAGGCTATTCTCAAAAAATTAATTGTTTTTTAATTTCACTAGCTATAATTATAGTTTAGTTTAAAATTAAATTTTAGAAGACTAATAAGTTTTAATCATAGCATAGCAGTCGCTGCATGAAAAATGGCTTAATGTCGCTTTTCTCTATGCAAAATTTATATGTTTTTCTTACCTTTTTAAATTTGGAATTTTTCTAGAAACCTTAATAAGCAATAAAATTATTTTTTTGAAAGATTTATTGCAGGATTCTTGCAATTTTTATAAAAATTAAGATGAAAAGACGTAATTTTGATTGGAAAAATAGTTCCGGTAACATTTAACTGGAAATTTGGTCAAATTCATCAGCCATATTCTTTTTGAAATTCATAAAAAGTGAACCCAGAGCGACTTGAACGCCCAACCTGCGGATTTGGAGTCCGTTGCACTACCAGTTGTGCTATGGGTCCTGCTTAGTTTATATTATCTTATTTCTCTTAAATATACTTTTTACATCACATTTTCTTTAAAAAATTAATTTTTATTAAAAAGTATACCCTTTTCAAGCTTTATAATGCATTTTAATAATAATTTCTCCAATTTTTTATATTAATTCATATATTAATCTTTTTTAAAACAAGTTATAAAAACCCTTCAAGAGCTTATAACTTATATGAGTTATTAGCTTTTAGCAGCTATGCATTAAGAAACCTCGGACACGCAACTTCCAGCTGCAAAAATCTGAAAGGGTAAATATCCCTTTAAAAACTTTATAACTCCCCCCCCCCTCCGTGAGCGAACAAAAAACCATTAGAAAAATCGCCATTTTTTGACCAAAAACCCACCCTCCGTGAGTGAACAAAAATTTTTTTAATAGAAAAAATTTTAATGGAAAAAAATTTTGATATATAAGTGATAATTAGTATAATGAAATCTAGAGCTAATTCTGTTTAATTTTAAACAAATTGCGTTTTAAAACATAAATTTTGCAAATTAAATTAATATTTGCTTCCCAATTTTTGCAAATTAGATTTTTTTTTTAAATTTCGAAAAAAATATTTTTTATAAAAATTTATATATAAATTTTTTTTAAAAAAAAAAATTACCCCCCTCCGTGAGCGAACAAAATTTTTTTGTTCGCTCACGGGGGGGGGGGGGGGGGGAGTAAGTGATATTTATGAAAGGTCATCGATTCAGTATATTCTTGATAAATGCTTTTCATTCCTCTTTTGACAAGACACATTTGCGCTCTCAGAATAATATATGGATTAATTATAATTCCAATATTTAAGTAGTTTTTGATTATTTTTTTGTGTAAAATTTCAGAATTGTAAAAATGACGGTTTTCGATTTTTAATTTAATAACCCGATTTCTGCTATAATTTATAACTCTAAATTTAATTATAATTTAATCTCAAGCTTATAATTGGATAAGTTTTTAGTTTTTTATCTATAATTTGTGTAATTTAAATTTTGGTTTTAAAGATATACTAAATTCTATGAAATATACGACTATCTATGAAAATAGTTTAGTATTGCTTTCCTCTATGCAAAGGTTTCTATTTTCTTATCTTATTTAAACTTGAATTTTTCTGAGAAAAATCCTTATAATAATAATAATAATAAATTATGCTTTATCGCACCCGAGGTGCCTTTACTTTTATTTCTCATAATTAAAATCAATAAGTCTTTTGCAACATCATCAACGTAGCGACAACAACATCAACGATTCCAGGAAAAAACACCAGCATTACTGCAGCATTAGATCCAGCTACAACTCTAGCATCAACTCAATTGGCAATTTAGGTATCTTCAAGGCTCACTAAAACTTTATTTTCTTCAGTTTGCTTCAATTTTTATCATTTTTTAACATTTTGGATCATCATGTGCTGTCTCCATGCCATCGCCCATTGCATCATCTTCCATCTTCGCTTCAACTCCTGCACTCCATGGATTCAGCACCGAAAAGACTACCGCTGACGCAAAATCTCCTCTCATACTGCAACTCCTTTCAGAATTGACAGGATAAGCACTTCCAAACTTTTGGCGCAAAAGCACCATTATGTGCGGGAAATGTTTATAGAAAAATCCTTATATTAGGAAGAAATAAGAATAGTATAATTTTTAATAGTTAATATTCTTTTAAATTTAAAAAAGTGAACCCAGAGCGACTTGAACGCCCAACCTGCGGATTTGGAGTCCGTTGCACTACCAGTTGTGCTATGGGTCCTGCTTAATTTAAATGTTCATATCCCTATTAAATATACTTTTTACAGTATGGGATATTCAGAAAATTAAGTTTCAATTAAAGACTATGCCCTTTAAAAGCTTTATAATACATTTTAAAAAAGAATTTAGCCATTTTGACATACTAAATCTCATAAAATAAAATTTTAAATATAAATAAATGTAAGCTATAAAACTCCCAAGTAGGTTATATTAGTTACTAGCGTTTCTGACAGCTGTGCATGTAGAAATCTCTGGACATACGGTTTTCAGGCTGCAAGTCTTTGGAAGGTCAAAAATCCCACTAGGAACACTATAAGTGATTTTATGGAAATCCATTAAGTCGTTTGGTTCTTGATAAATGCCTAGTCCACTCTGTCTAATTTTTTTATTTCTTTAAAGCAATTTTAAGAGATTTTGAAAAAATTAAAATTATTAATAATTTTGAGAGGATTCCAATTAATATAATTTTATGTTTTAAATCTTACTCCCCCTCCTAGATCAAACAAAAATTTTTATGAAAAATATTTTTATATAAAGTGATATTTTATTATAATGAAATCTCTATCTAATTCTGTATAATTTTAAACAGCTTGCATTTTAAAACATAGATTTTGCAAATTAAATAATATGTTTCAATTTTTATTCTGATTTTTTAAATTTTGAAGAAAAAAAAATTAACTGCCTCCGCGAGATAAATAAATGTTTTTGTTCTTTCAGGGAGGGGAAGTTAGACTAAATTAAAAATAATTATTATTTGCATATAAAAATTCTATTCAAAATTACCTTTATTAAAACAATTAATTTGATTTTAATTATATTGCGTTTATTACGAGTGAGAAGCTAGCATGACTCTGCTTGAAGGAGATGCCACTGCTGTCTCAAAGTAGAAATTATTTTGAAGTCCCTGCTTGTTCCACTTGTAAGCTTGAACTCCCATATGAACCTCAGTGTCAATAAAAGTGGCATTATCAAGCCATGTAGGCTTAAGCATCCCACATCCTTGAGCAGCATTGCAGCAGAAGCAGCAAGTACCGTCATTAGGGTAATACAAGAATCTGTTTCCTCCAACAACAATGTGGCTGCATGGAGCATTAGTTAAGACTCTGAACCCAACAAGGCCGCAATATCTGTCAAATCTACCATTTGCTCTGTCAATACGGTACATTTGGTTGGTCCAGTCATAGTAATAAGTACCAGTGGTAGTTTGGTTGCCAAATTCTGGGTAATAGAGAGTTTCGTTGAAGGTTTGTGTAAAAACATTAGGCCATAAAGGATACTGAGGAGTGGCTTCTAAAGAAGCACTGGCGAGTCCTAAAGTAATTAACAGGATCCACATTTTATTAGAATAAATATTAATACCTTTTTTCCTTCATCGCCTTAAGAGATAAATCCATTTTGTCCTATAATATCATGCTATTAAAAGTTAAATTTATCTTGACTAGCAAAAACCCGCAATAAAAATGTATAAACTCTATAAAAACTTGTTGAATATATTTAATCCTCAGACTTTTAATAAAATTTCAATCTACCATTAATCTAAAAACATTTAATCATTGAATTTATAAATTTCGCTATTTAAGTTACGTCAAATAATTAAATAATCTTTTACCTTTATCATACTGAAATTTTTCAAATGGCAAAAAATGACTGTTTTTCATATTCTAATAACAGCAGTCACTGAAACCGCTGATTTATAAAGAAAATTAATTAATATGGGCGAGGAACCAGTTCTGGATTTTTCACATTTCCATATAAATCCTAATGATGTTCAAGAAGCTATGAAATCATTTAGGTGGTTTCACAGTAGAAGAACAGGACTATTAAAAAGAGAAGATGTCCCAAAAGCGTATGAAAGCTTAGGTCTCAAACTTTCTCAGCAAGAAATTAACGCAATGATCGATAAAATTAAAAAACCAGGAGAAGGGGAGGAGGCGAGGCCTGATTTATCGTTGCCTGAGTATTTAAATATATTGAGTTATAATAAATATTATTTTTACACCCTAATTTTTTATAAAAAAACTATTTGATGCTTATGGTATATTACTTTACAAAAAATCCACCAAATGAATATGCAAGATGACCTTATGGCGCTTTTCCATCTCTATGATCTAGATAGAAAAGGATTTTTAAGCAGGGAAGAAATACAGTTTCTTGCTTTGAAGCTGCTTTCAGATTTAGGCTTAAATAGTGATCTTGTGAATAAGCTTGTAGATAGGTCTGACAGAAATTCAGAAGGACTGGTAGATTATAAAACCTTTGTGATTTTATTAGTGCAGGAGCTATAAATAAATAGATTTCATATAAAATACATATTTTCGCCTCATTTACAGCCTAAAATCCAAATTTATAACCAATTTTAAGGTATAGTCATTTTAATAAATCTTATTTTTATTCAAATATTTTTAAAATTTAATAAAAATACAAAAAACTTTAAAAATTCCCAAAATTCAATATTATTTAAGAAAATATCTTTCTTGATAACTTGTGACGTTATAAAAAAATGGAAGAAGTCAGCAGAGAAGGTGAAGCAACCATAACTCTCCCAGACGGCACCACCGCCAAACTTCCATTCCTCCGAGGCACTCATGGTCCACCAGTTATTGACATCCGCACACTATTCAACCAATTAGGCTGCCTTTCTCTTGACCCTGGGTTCACATCCACCTCAAGCTGCTTTTCCGCAATTACTTATATTGATGGCGAAAAAGGAGAGCTCTGGTATCGAGGATACGCAATTCAAGACTTGGCAAATAATTGCACGTTTCTTGAAGTCTGCTATCTCCTTTTGTATGGAGAATTACCCAGTGTCGTAGAACTCGAAAGGTTTGAAAATGCAGTCAAAAATGAGATGCTGATCCATATGAAACTTATTGATTTTTATATAAAAATATGGATGGATTATTTAAAATTTTGGGTGATAAAAAATTTTTAATGGTAAAATTGATAGAAATTTTAAGAAAAAAGTAGATTGGTATGAAAATTGATAGGAAAAATAAGGAGGGGATTATAGCAGTTTCCAGCAAGGAGCGCATCCTATGGCAATTATGGTAGGCGTTGTAGGCGCTTTATCAGCTTTTATGCATGAAGACATTGACGTCATGGTCGCTGAGCAGCGTGAAGCAGCTGCTATCCGAATTTTAGCAAAATTCCCTATGATGGCTGCTGTCGCCTATAGAACTGCCTATGGTTTACCGATTGTTTTTCCTAACTCTCCCCCGTGAGCGGACAAAATCATATGAAAATTATATTTTTTGGGTAAAAAACATCATGAGTGAATAATTTTTTTTTCAAAATAATAATGTTTTATGAAAAAATATTATGATATATAAGTGATAATTATTATATAGTTAACTACACTGACTGGCACGGGGTGCTTTTGGCCCGAAACCGAGCCAAAAGCACCCCGTGCCAGTCAGTGTAGTTCACTATAATGATATCTGGCTAATTTTGACAAATTAAATTAATATTTGTTTTAAAATTAAAAAATATTATACCCTATCAATGAGGAAACAATATTTTTTTGTTCGCTCACGGAGGGGGGAGTAAGAAAAAGTTCGGGTACACCGAAAATTTCTTGTACATGATGTTTTCTGACCCTATGGCTGACGATTTTACAGTCGACCCAGTCGTAGTCAACGCTTTAGAAAAAATCTTTATCCTTCACGCAGACCATGAGCAAAATGCATCCACTTCGACAGTCAGAATTGCAGGAAGCTCCCTTGCTAACCCTTATGCTTGTGTAGCAGCTGGCATTGCTAGTCTATGGGGTCCTATGCATGGCGGTGCAAATGAAGCTGTCCTTGCTATGCTTGATGAAATAAAATCAAGAGAAAATGTCGACACTTTTATAGCAAAAGCTAAAAATCCTAATGATTCCTTTAGACTTATGGGCTTTGGACATAGAGTTTATAAGAATTTTGACCCAAGAAACCAAATAATGCAGGATATCGCTCATGAAATTTTGACCCATCTGCAATGCAATCAAAAAAATATATTAGAATTAGCCCAGGAGCTGGAAAATAAAGCGCTAAATGATGATTATTTTATTAACTCCACCATCTTTAAATTGGAGCAAAATCCTCTCCAGTCTAAAAGGGCTAATTTTATTTTAAAAAAAATTTATAAAAATTTTTAAAAAATTAAAAAATATAAATTGAACACAATATTTTGAATTTTAATTCATTTTTATGAAGAATTAATTAAAAAAGTTAATAGAATTAGTGTGATAACTGTTTTAAATATATATTCTAATTTCATTTTTTAATTAAATTAGATCAAAACTAATTTATATAAAAATTAGCATTTTCGCATATATAATTTGCCAATTGAAAAAAAATTGTTCCAATTTAAAGGGTAAAAATACCCAAAAATTTGAATTTTTTACCGATGTTTTTTCATTTTAAAAGGGTGGAGTAAGCGAAAATTGTACCCAAATGTTGATTTTTATTCAGGAATTGTCCTGGAGGCTATTGGGATACCAAGGGATATGTTTACTGTCATTTTTGCATTGGCAAGGGTTATTGGGTGGATGTCACAGTGGCATGAAATGATGTCAGAGTCTGTCAAAAAGATAGGAAGGCCTAGACAGCTGTATGTGGGAGCACAAAAGAGAAATGTGCAGCCTAGAGAAATGAGGGAAGGGAGAGAAAGCATTTCTCCAGAAATTATAAATTCACCAAGAAAGGTCTGGTCACCTACTAAAGAAAAAGCAGCAAACTAAGTAGCTAAAATCAGTTAAAAAATTTTTGATAGGCTAATGATTTTTATTTGAAATTCACAAAAATGCTTTATTTCTATATAAGAATTATATTATTCAATTCCAAAATCAGTTAGTTTAACAATATTTCATAATTAAAATGATTTTTCGCAGATTTAAATATTAAATTTATTTTAAAATTAAAACAGTGCAGCTTGTGTGAACAATAAAAAACTACTATAAATATCGCCTGGATCATTATTCTGTATGCGGGTTAATTTCTTTCACATCTGGAGCAGGTATTTCTAAACAAGTGTGAACTCTTAATAAAGGCACTTTATTGCCATTTCTTTTCGGGGTTGGCTGAGTTTTTGATTTTAGCTTGTCCCACTGCCGCAGCATTTCTTCTACAGGTATTCCTTCTTCTTTTAGCACTTCTAATAGTTTTAAGGTCCTAATCTCTCTTTCTTCATACTCATTATTTTGCAGTCTCAATTCTTTAATTATTTCGCTTTTTTTCTTTGCTTCTTCTAATAAAGACGCAAAAGCTAGGTTATTGGCTTCCTGCTGCTTATAGTCGTCAATCTCTTTATTTAGGTTTTTTATTTGCTCCTTTAAGGTTTCAATTTCTTTATTTAAATTGATATTGTCAATGGATAGAGTGTTTAGTTTTTTTATCAATTTGTTTTTATAGGCAATGCTTTTGAGTAGCGCGCTAAGCGCCCAAGACTTCCCGACGAAGTCTGGGCGGTGGTTTGACCAGCTGATGTTGGTCAAACCAACATCCAAAATGACAAATTCTTCTCATATAGAAGATTTGTCAAATTGGATGCTGGTTTGACCAACATCAGCTGGTCAAACCACCGCCCAGACTTCGTCGGGAAGTCTTGGGCGCTTAGCGCGCTACTCAAAGGCATTGCCTATATCTTTTTTTAGCTGCTCTACTGTTTCTTCACCTTTTAAATCTTGCTGATTTTGATGCTTGATTGTGTCTTTATCTAGTTCATCATTTAAAAAACTATTTGATAGTCCATCTTTTATTTGCCTTACTCTATATGGAATAAATAAAATATTAAAATTAAAAAAATAATAAAAGATAATAAAAAAAAATAATAAAAAAATACCAAAAAAATACCCAAAAAAAATACCAAAAAATAATAAAAATAATAAAAAAAAATAAAATATAAAAAATTAATCATAAAAAGTTAGTAAAGAAGACAAAGGTTGAAATAAAAGAATTATTTCATCAATTGCTTCAAAGCAAATCTTTCTTATTGATGCACGTGATTCCTTACTTAAGTTGCAACCAATTAAAACTATTTGATTTTTCAATTTTGCCTCTATGACAGAAAATTGTTTGACATCAAAATACTCAAAACACGGTTTTGTAGGTGTTAAGCTTGTCGAAAACAATGGATTTGAGCTTGCAAATGATAAAGAAATAGTGTCGCTTGAAGAATTATACAAGCTGCTGTCAAGTATTTTAGATCCCCTATGGTTCAGACTTGAGATATTATGTAACTTGTGCTTATTTGACTTAATTATGTGTTCCTTAACAGTGACTAACTTGGTCTGGATTTTTATTTGTGAGGCATAAGGGGAATTTGAATTAATACGCTTCCTTTGTATTGGTTCAAATCGTTTCTTTTCCTGTGAGTCCATTATAAATTTTATTTTAATAATCAGAAATATTAAAAGTACTGGATTTTTACTTGATTATTAAATTATCTGTTATGCGAATCAGGTAGCTCTGTCTAGCTGATTTCTGATATTTTCCAATTATTTATATAGGGCTTGACCCTTAATAGCCCGATAAGGGCAGATGATTCCCCACGGAATTATCGAGTTGGTTCAACCAACTTAGTGAGTTGATCGGACCAACTCACTTGTTGGTTGGACTAATTTGATGATTCCGCAGGGAATCATCTGCCCTTATCGGGCTATTAAGGGTCAAACCCCATAATTTATTATTTATAATTTATATAGTTTATTTGTATAAATGGCTATTACTAATTAAAAGAATATAGCACGTGATATCAAATTTCAATTTATTCACTATTTTTTCGTATTAAATTTCCTATATAAAGTGTTTACTTTTCGCATATAGAAAATATAATTAATCAAAAATAAAATTATATTAATATAACTGCAGCTACCTCTAACCCTGAGAAACCTGCCTATAAGATGATAAATTTTCTGCAGGAATAACTGACGATAAATTTTTAGCTTTTAACGCATAATTCATTAGGATTTCAGGCTTCGACGGATGGAAAATTCTTCTGAAAAAATGAATCCCACCATCAATACTCGCAACCAGGCTAAGCGTCGTAAAAATACTTAAATAAAAATAAGGAGACTCAATAATCTGAAAAATCGATAAATAGTCTGGCAGCTCCGTTAAACTATCATATACAAGAATAAACCCAAAATACAGCAGCAAGCTTAGTATACATATAGAAAAAACGCTATAAACAGTCCAATGTCTCGTATGTAGCGACAGCTTCAAATTTACAATTAAAATCACACAGGAAAAAGAAGTAATAGAAAATGATCACAAATCGTGGTTTAAGCCATCTTCAGTCAACATTCCATACTCAGCTGCATAAAAAGGGATAAAATAAACAATAAATGAATGGAAAAGTCCGTTGCCAATTCATATAGAAAAATTATAAGGTGTAAAAATCTCATTTAATCGTCCTGTATTGTAACATTTTGGGACCAAATCCCTAATTTTATTATGATGCGTCGACCTTAATGGGTTATCTTCAGTACTATTCATACTGGCGATGGACTGCACTTCATTTCGCCTAGGAATGATAATATCAATTTCTAATAAGGCTTTTACAATTAAAGGTAAAGCTGTAAAAACCATATTGTAAAACGTTATATATCAGTCGTCATAAACTGTTTGGCCACTATAAGCACAATAAAATGCAAAAAAAAACTGAGGGATTGTAAAGACTAAATTTTTGTAAAAAAAATACATAATCATTTCGCTTTGGCGGAGATAGTTAAACCTGCCATGGATTAACAATAATTCTCATAGAAATTTAAATTCACCTATAGCATAGTCGCTGGCTTGTACAGATTGCATGCCTTCTTCGCCATATAAACCAATCCCTACATGTGCTTCTAAGATCATAGCTACATCATTGGCTCCATCTCCTATAGCTAAAGTAATATATCCGCAATGGTCTTTCATTAATTTTACGACCTCTTGTTTCTGCCCAGGAGTTACTCTACAACAAATGACTGTTTTGCACATCGACGAAATTCTTAACTCCCCCCCCCCCCCCCTCCGTGAGCGAACAAAACCATTAGAAAAATCGCCATTTTTTGACCAAAAACCCACCCTCCGTGAGTGAACAAAAATTTTTTTAATAGAAAAAATTTTAATGGAAAAAAATTTTGATATATATAAGTGATAATTAGTATAATGAAATCTAGAGCTAATTCTGTTTAATTTTAAACAAATTGCGTTTTAAAAAACATAAATTTTGCAAATTAAATTAATATTTGCTTCCCAATTTTTGCAAATTAGGATTTTTTTAAATTTCGAAAAAAAATATTTTTTATAAAATTTATATATAAATTTTTTTTAAAAAAAAAAAATTACCCCCCTCCGTGAGCGAACAAAAATTTTTTTGTTCGCTCACGGAGGGGGGGGGGGAGTAAGAACATTTTTTGGATTTTTGTCGCTTTTTGTATAGAGTCAGCTGTGCCTGACAATTCCGGATATTTTGATACTTTTTCAGGGTTTTTGCAGTCAAATAGGATAATTTCAAGGGAATCTCCTTGTATTATTAGCGCCGCAGGTTTTCCTGATTTTATTGACTCTTTAAATTTTTTTTTAATTTCTACCATTTTTCCATAACAAATATCTAAAACCCCAGACGAACATCTTTCTATTGTAGTATTCGCGTCAATTAACGAGCAGGTTTTTCCAATATTTTCTGCAGTTTCCAGTTTATCCCCAGTCAGCATCCACACACTAATCCCAGCACCCAGCAAATCATTAATAGTTTTAGGCACATCTTCTTGTAAAGAATCCTCTACAGCTGTGCATCCTAATAAAAAAATATTTTTTTCTATTTCATCAGCGACTTGGCTAATTTTTTGGTTCCTCCCCTCAATTGAAGTACTGGCTACGTCATATTTTGCTTTCCAAGCGCTGAACTCATTTTCCTCAATAATCCGAAAACCGAGCATAAGAGTCCTTAACCCTCTTTCTGCAAAGGTCTGTAAATTCGCAGAAACTGCTTCAAATATTTCTTTGCTGCTGCTTCCTGACAGCTTTGTTTTAATCATATCATCAGCACCTTTAATAAATAAAAAGATTTTATTTGTAGATAAATCCCTTACAATAATGGAATTTCTTTTTCTGTCTGAGTCAAATTCAAGGGTGCAGATTTTTTCGTATTTTTCTATAGAAAAATCAGTCCCGACTTGTAGATCGACGATTCCGTCCTTTATTTTTGTGTATTTAAAGCCAATTCGGCTAGCACTGTCAACTAAGGCAATTTCGTCTGGGCTTTGTCCGACATAGGAAATCGCTCCAGAGTCATTATTTTCGATAAGACATTCATGGCAGAGAGAAAGACACCTTAAAAAAAATTCATTAATTTGCTGCTGGTTTTGCAGCTCAAAATTTTGGGTAATTTTTATAGGTTTTATAGCAATCGGAACCTTGGAAAAAAAAGTGTCGTGCTCAATCACTTTGGTGTCAAAGGAAAATGCAATTTCTTTATTAGAAAAGCTATATTATTTTATAATAAATAATAGAAAGGTCCTATTAATCTTAAATTTCAGCTGTTTTTATATAAATAGTATAGGTTTTTGGACGTATTCTAAATTCATAAGGCTTCTATTATCCCCATACATTTTGGTCCCAATTGTACAAAATTTAAATTCCATTCTATTACAAGTCAAAGTCCCAGTTTTATCAGAAAAAATATGCTGGACCATGCCAAGCTCTTCATTTAAGCTAAATGAAGAGACCTTACATGGCCGATCCCTGAGTTTGCTATACATTTCACTGTCTTTGCTCATAAAATAGCCTTGTACAACCTTAAGAATTTCAAGAGAAACTATAAGGGAAATAGGCAACATCGTGTTTAATAATAAAAAATACGTAAAATACCCTAAAAACCCTTGCATGTTTGCAGAATAATCTAAACCGTGGAGATATTCATGCTTTTCCCAGTGTTTACTGGTTCATAGTCCTTCTAAAATTGCAGTAGCAAGGCACATTAGTGATTGAATCCCAATGATATAAATAATGTATCGATTTACTTTTCTTTCTACTTGGCTCTGCTTAAATCTCCTCCCCATCAAATTTTGCCTCAATTTTGTATCATTTTCTGTAATAAATAAAATGATATTCGGATGGAGAGAAATTAGCTCTGATAATTTTCTCTTCATCATTTGATCAGAGAACTTCTGCACAGAAACAGCGGTTGATTTTCTAGTCGCATAAGGCAGAAGAGCTGATCTAAGTGAGTTTAAGATGCCTAGGGCTTATCCACTCAGCACAGCTGAGGAAGGTACCCTTAGGAGGAATATTTTCAAGAGCTGAGCCTGGGTAGGGTGACGGCATCGTGCGGTGAGAGACGGTGGTAAGGCGTCATACGGTTTATTTGGATACTCTAACCTTTTGGATCAGAAATATTCATGACATAACCATTTTTGCTCAGGCCCTATGGGATTGTAGCGTTAGACTCTTAAGTACTTAATTAATTGCTACGTATCATTTCCTGTGTAAACAGCAACCCCAATCGCTCAGCTTGTGTTCCTCAAAAAAGCGCCTCCAAGTAAAACTTGGCTTTTATCCAATGGATACCTTTTATTTTCGTACTCAATAGCGCCGCTGAATTGATAAATCCGAGGATTTGGAGTGTCACATTCAAGCATGCTAAAAACCCGAATAATCCCTGTATCTTTAACGATTTCTGAGGTGGGTCCAAAAGCTTGTCGCTGTTTAAGGGCTTTTTCGCCATCTAGAGTAGACGTTTCAATATAAGCGATACCATTTTCGCTTGAATTTGAAAGCATGACTAAATCGCAGGGGAAAGACTCGTCTTTTAGCACCTTGACTAGATCTCCAACCTGTACATCTTTAAAAGTAGCATCTTCAAATGAACCTTTATTATAGACAAGGGTTTTAGTAGAATTTGTTTCCTGGTCTGATTTATAGCGTAAATAATCTTCTACACCTTCTCTGATCATACTAACAGCTAATACAAACACTAATGGAGCTATAGCACTAAAAGCATTTAAAGGAGAAATCTGAGGAATTGACTGAAGAATTGCTGTAACTAGAAAGTAAATGTTCGCAATACGCTTGAATTGGTCAAATAAACTTATTGGCAGGAACGTAAAAACGTTGTATTTTGTGGTGCTTACGTAATTTGTGGGGTATTTATAAGTGTCATTTATTTCAGCTCCGTTGATATAAAGGATACGTTTCCTTTCTTCTTCTATTTCACTTTTGGACATTTACTATAAAATTTTAATGAAAATTAATTTAAAATATACTCTTGTTGTTTTGCAGATCACTTCAACAGAAAACATGCTGATTTTTGAATTTTTCTCAATGATTTTTTTTAAATAGTCATTTTGTCGTTAAAACTTATTTTTTAATATAAATCATAATAATGATCTTTTTCTTATTAAAAATTATTCCAAATTTACTATATCTTTAAACTAAATTTTCCTCTTGAAAGCTAATTTAATATGGAAGGGATCGAAACTCTAAAAGCTGATACCACACTAGACAAATTTAACCCTATAAGACAGCTCTCTAAAAACCTGCCCCCTTATCTCCAATCAATGAATGAGGTGGACAAAGAAATTAACCTGAAATTTATTGAAAGCATGAACAAAAAAATAACTTTTCTCAAAAATCCCAGGACTTTACCTGCTCATTTGACGACTAAGACTGAGAAATTGGCAGAAAAAAGCCCATTTAGGCTGGTCCCAGAAACAGTTACTTTTACAGAATATGAAGAAGGAGGCGTATATGAAATCCCAATCACCATCACGAACGTTGCAGGGATTTTAAGAAGAATTCAGGCTATACCGCCTGCGACTGAGTATTTTAGTATTGGGCAAATAACTTATCCAGATAAAGAAAAAGGAGAAATCGCACCTGGGATGAGCGCGACCATTCTAGTCCGCTTTCATGCAGTTTCATTAGCAGAATATGATGATGAATTTTTAATAAACTGGTTTATAATGAATTTATAGAAATGTTTTTAAAAAAATTAAAACTTTTGACCTTAATAAAAAAAAATAAAAACTGAGCAAGATCCTATTGTGGTGCCATTAAGAGCTAGAAGGGAACCTCCTAATCTGACCCTTGTAGAAGTGATGGACTGCGGAACTATTTGGATAGGAGATAGAGTTGACATAAGTTTCAGATGCCAAAATGTAGGGGGAAGTGCTGGGTTTAAATTTTTCCATGAAAATGAAGAATTGGACGCAGCTCCTGGAGATGAAATTCTCATGAGTGGGCCATTTACGATTTTTCCGCTGCAGTTTTATTTGGCAACTGGTCAGTTTATTGATGTATTAGTCAGCTTTCAGCCTAAAGATGAAGGGGTTCTTGAGAATAAAATAATCTATATTAATAGATAATTTAAAAAAATATTTTAATTATTACCCAAATTTGTATAAAATATATGGTTTCTATAAAGAATTTTCAGAAAAATTAATCAAAAACAGCATAATTTTAGCATGTGACAATCAGACCTCACAGTTTTATACCCTAAAAGGCTTTGGAGCTGCTTTAGACATCTCAGTCTCAAAAATCGATGACAAGCCTCTGAATTTCAAAGAAAATCCTTTAAATTCAATCTGGTTTAACGAAACTCACCCTAACTCAGACGCTTCTCGAGATATTTATGTTTCCAATTTAAGTGCGCTTCCAGTAGCATACCATTGGTCAACCTATGTATTTAATGATACAAATATTACGCTAGAAGCTCACAATAACCATTACTCAATCACCCCAATACAAGGGATTTTAGACCCTGGCTCCACAAATCAATTTAAAATTATCCTAGAAAACATCAGTTTAGGATTTAAAAAAAATATTTTATAATCAGAAATAATTAAATAAAAAAATATACGTTTAGGCCTGCGTCATTTCAGCCGTTTAATGAATATGCTGATTTATTTGTTGATAATATTCCGCTTCCTGCTTTAAAATATATATCTCCAAGCTTAAAAGAAAGTCCTTTGCTAAGTGAAATTGCGGGGCAGTTTTTAGGCAGCAATGCCAAATTTCCATCAATCCCGTATTTGCAATTTGAGCTTCATGGAAAAGGGAGCCTTTGTGAACTGGAATTTGACCCAGTCTATTATAGACTCTATTAAGTTTAAATTTAATTTATATAAGTAGCATAAATCTCTTATTTTCTATACAAATAAGCTATTATTTTTATTATTATTTTATTATTTTCAATACTATTTTCTATGTATTTCCTCATAATTTATTACTTGGACAATCTTATAGAGCAGAAATAAAGCTAAAAAACAAAAGCCAAGGATCTGTTAATTTCAAGCTTATAAATTTGCCTGAAAGGACCTCAGAAAGTGTTACGACAGCAGTAAATATCTCTGAAGGCCAAATTGATGGGAATTCTGAAATCAGCTTAGACTTCACTTGGATCACAAACACCTTACTTCCTCGACGTGAGCGAACAAAATCATGGAAGCTCTATTTTTTGTATAAAAAGCCATCTTCCCTAGTGAGCAAAAAAAATAAAAAGGTGACATTGACTCAGAGGCGACTGCCTGTGAAGTAATCCGACCCATCCTGATAAAACTGAAAGTATGGCCTCTGTCCCTTTTTGAAGTAGACCTCAGGTTGAGGATTCCTTGCCGAAAAGGGTAGTTTGTTTCTCCCCTGAAGGTTTTCCAGTCCCTGCCAGATGGGTTAGACAGGTTAAGCCTACCATATGATCTTATCTCATCGGGGCCATCGGAGCACTCTGCAAGCGGTGGCTCTGCACTAAGGAGTTAATCCCTAGGACAGGTGATTCAGGTCGGGAATCAACAATGGTAACATTTTTGAATCAAGATAGGCATCAGCTGTTTGGTTTGCCCAATTATGACCAGCACAATTATTTAATCATTTAATCAGCGAACAAAAAATTTTTTATGAGATATATAAGTGATAATTATTATAATGGAATCTCTATGTAAATTCTGTTTAATATAATACCAGTTTTCCAATTTTTGTAAATAGGATAGATTACAAAAAAAAATTACTATAAAATTTATATATAATTTTTTTTTAAAAAATTAATCCCTTCATAAACGAACAAAATTGTTTTCTTCACGCGCTGAGGGCGGAGCTAGGCAGCCAGGTCGGCGTCTACCAATGCTCTGTCAGTAACGGCTTTCCTATCTATTTCCAAATCCAAAGCAACACAATCGGCCCTGAAATCTCTTTAGAATCCTCCAATTGCGATTTTGGGATCATAAAATGTAAAGAAAAATCAATTTCTAATTTTACTATAAAAAACGAAAGCGGGATACCAGCACATGTTACTATTGGCCACGAAAATTTCCATAAATATACCAATTCCTCAGAGCAATCTATTATAATTTCCCCAAATTATAAAGAAATTGCCCCATATGACACATTAAAAGTGTCTATAGAAATTCTGAGTAACAAAGTCGATACTATTGAAGAAATCATAAAAATTGCTGTAAAAAATGGAGAAGCCAGGTATATAAATATTTTTGCAGAGGTCCAAAAGCCTGTAGTAAGCCTTGACTGCTATGAATTCAAACTTGGGCAGCTTGCGGCTGGGATAGAGTCTAAGCCAAAAACAGTGACCCTTATAAATTATGGAAATTTAGATATACTTTATTGTAGGATTGCGTTAATTTTTATTTTTTTAAATTTTTGGATTATTTTATATAGAAAATAATACAACTTTTAAATGAGTAATTCCACTTACTGAAGCCCACGATTTCAAGATAAGTCCTTCTTCAGGAGAAATCAAGGCTTCATCAAAGGTTACTTGTGAATTTACAATGATTCCATTCAATGGAGGGAATTTAGATGAAATTTGGGTTTGTGAAGTAGAAGGATTGGACTCGCCTTTAGGAATTTTGACTACTAGAGATGGATATAAATAAAATGGCCTCTCGGCCAGGGTATTGCTGGAAGGCAATGCAGCCTCAAGCACATTTTATTTATGTCGGCAAGTATTGCCAACTGAGAAATGGATAATTGTGATAGGTAATTAACAGAGCCTAGTCTATTTTCAAAATTGGGTTTCACCTCAAAGGGAAAAGGTGGGCTCAGAGTTGGAAAGTGGATGCCCAACTGCGTCTACAGGCAATGCCTAGGCCATTCGGGCAACTCCCTAGCGTGGAACCGAGGCTTATGCCTTGGGCTTTGAATTTTTTCCTTTTTGCCAAAAATTCCATTTTTTTGGGATTTTTGTGTAGACACCCTTCGTGCACTCAAGCAGCAAGCCGGCAAAGCAAGGGGAGACAAAACACAGAACCTTACTTAACAGGTACCATTGCGTCAAGCGTGAAATAGAGGAAAGGTGGAGCACTCCCAGATTATTCATTCCAACTCTAAAAAGCTCTCCCTGCCGAAGTTGCAAAGGGAGTGAATCCCCTATGGGATCCTTGGTGACTCCGTTACCAATAGGGCAAGCAAGCCAACCCTGTAATTTAAGTTTAAGACTACTGGAGACGTAAAAGGTCTCGAAATTAGCTATATTCCTGCTAAGGATATATAAATTAAAATGGCGAAATATGCAAACCTGCCCTCTTGGCGCAGCAGTCCAGATCTTATGGCCACAGCGAATTGGGACGGACTTCGAGCCGAGAATCTAGTGCAGGCTAAAGAGATGTGTATCCAGGTAGGGTTTTGGCTGCTTTCTTGTGGTTGGAAATGGAGGCGCTCAACAGCGTCCTTTGGATCCGAGGACTCATAGGCATTCCTCTACCGAGAAACTGGGATTTCTGCCCAGACCACAGGAGAGCAGTCTTTTTCTTGTAGCTGCAGAAGAAAGGCACTTCGACCATCGATAGACTCCAAGGAGCTGATCCATGGAATCAAGCTACTCCAATCGCCAGTAGCATGGCCGCAGAAATCCATAAGCACTTAAGACTGAAGCTGCAAGAAGGAGACAGAAGATGCCGGAAGTGACAAGGACCCTCAGGACTGGAGTCGAAAAGTGGATAAACCTCCCGTACAGTAGGTTTTTGATGACTGCATTACCAATATAGCTAACGCCTAACTTTAATAATCCTAATCCTGCTGATGATAATAATTTGAACACTCTGGCAAGCTTGACAAGCTCAAAGCAGAAATCGATACTTCCTCCATCTTTATATAACGCAAGTGACAGACAAAGCTACTTGTCTAGTATGACACTGTCTGCAGCACAGCCTGATCAGCATTTGAAAGTCATTGATTTTGGCTATTCTAATATAAACTGTGCTAAATTAAACTAGAAATCGTAGCATTATAACCTTAATATAAATTTTTAAAAAAAAAGACTGTATATCTCCAGCGCAAAAATCCAATATATCAATTGCAGCATAGGAGACTCCAAATCGATAAAATTCATCATAAAAAACAGCTCAGGACTAAGAACCACTTTTGACCTAAAAATGGACAACTATGAGCCAGGGCTTTCACAAGAAGAAGTCCTAGCCCAAATCAAAGCAAAAGAAGCAAAAGCTTTGCAATTCGAATCCCCCAAAGACGCAAGCCCTAGGAAAATCAAATTCACCTCCTCTACAAAATTCCAAACAAAAAATACCACAAAACGTCCAGACTCCAGAGAAAAACTTCCTCCATTACTAAGTGATGCTCATGAGCAGCTAACTCCCCCCTTTAAATTGGAGCAAAATACCGGTAAAATTGAATTTTTTTGAGTATTTTAACTCCCTTTAAATTAAATACTAATTTTTATAAAATTAGTTTTAACCTGATTTAATAGACAAAATGCAAGTAAAACGTTATTTTAATAGTTTTCACACTAAATCGATTAATTTTTTTATAAAAATAAATTTTTAAAAAAGAATGAAAGATGAAAATACTTAGTTTTGACTTAATTTATTGGAAAAGTGCAAATAGAATGCTATTTAAACAGTTTTAACACTAAATAGTTTAATTTTTTAAGTTATTTAAAATAAATTAAATATATTATGCTCAATTATTTTTCCTTAAAAACAAATTTAACTCCCTTTAAATTGGAATAAAGATTTTTTGTTCCCATTTAAAAGTGAGGAGTAAATAAATTTTCTACCAAAGAAGGAGAAACCTTTACAGCGACCAAACAGCTGGAAAAATCAAAAAAATTCTATTTAAGCAACAATAAAGGCCTAGCTTTTGTATGTGAGCCAAAGTCGGGGGTAATTGATGCCCACAGTGAGGTAATTGTGACTGTGACGATGTATAATGACATTTGTGGGAGATTTGAAGATATTTTAGTATCTTCAGTAAAAGGTCTGAAACCTCATAGGATTCCGATAAGGTCAAGAATTAAAGGCTCTCCACTAGTTTTAGCTCCAAATCAGCTTGGCGTTAATTATGCTATTTTTTATTAGCAATTCCTAAAGATTTATTATTTGCTATTAATATTTATTTAATTTAAGCGGTATACAAAGTAGACCCCCCTATTTTATCATTAGGTACCCTCCTCTCCTCAGGCCAGCCTCTTTCTAAAAAAATAAAACTCTACAACAGCGGGCCTAAAGACATTTGGCTTGACTGGAAAATCTTCAATTACAAAGACCTTGCCGCCCGTGAAGACGGGATTTTCAAAATTTCCCTGGTCCCCACCACAATCCAATATTCCGCTGATGACGAAAAAATTGACCTTTTTGACGTAAAATTTCAAGTCACAGAACCTGCCGAAAAGCCTTCCCCATTTTCTATATCTCCCAAAGAAGCCATTATTTCAGGCAGAAAAGAGACTATTTTTACTATAAGTTTTACTAGTGAAATAGAAGAAATGCATGAAGCCGTGATTTTGGCACACCCAAAAATTGTAGAAGAAGAGGACACTGTGCTAGGGGAGCTTGGGATTAATTTGCAGGCTAAGACGATTTTGCCTTGGCTTCATGTAGATAAGGTGCAGAGGGCTGATGGGTTTTATTATTTAGCATTTGATGGATATTCAGCTGGCGGGCCAAATGGGATTAAAGATATTGGACTTTCTAACATTACGTCAGCTATCCTTAGTTTTACTATTTTATTGTGATTTAGGGTGTATAATCATTAAAAAAATTTTATTTTTAATTGGATTTAGAAATAATTATCCAGGATAATAGAAAATGGACCTTTTATGATCGTCCAAGCCAAAAGTTCTGCACCTATTTATTTACAAGATTATGAAGGAGGTGCTGTAGCTGACAAAGTAGAGCAGCTTAAGCTAAAGAAAACTAGTAGTAATTTACCAATAACAGAACAAAAGTATACACTTGCCCCAGAAGACAACCTACAAGTATTTATCAAATTTTTAAAACCAAATCTTAACGATATTGATGCCTGGCCTTTGGCTTCTCGGTCCTCTATTGGTGGCTCCTTTTTAATCCGTTTCTCAAATGGCCACGAGCAGCGGCTAAAATTAGAGGCCAGATTATACAGACCAAAAATAATCATAAATTCAGAGCAGTCAGACGAGTTTAAAAAGCTAATAGAACAAGACTTTGGGATAGTAAATATTCAGTTCTCTAAAAAACTGTCTCTATTTTTATCAAATGTATGCTTATTTATATTGAAAATCCTGATAATTTATAATGGTATTAATATTGGCAGAGTTTATAGAAAAAGGATAAGCCCTGTGGACGCTAAATGGAGACTTAATTATGTTCAATACCCTAAAAAGAAAAATACTGGCTGGAAAACAATGACTAAACAAGAAAAAGAAGACGATACTATTTTAGATGACCCTGAGGTGTTCCAGTTTTCTATTTCAGAAGGGGTGCTGAAAGGGCCTTCTGTACCTTTAAAATATACCCCAACTGGTCCAGCGCTTCCGCAAGCCCTAAACCAAGACTTAGAGAAGCTTCCTTTACAAATCCAAATATTATTTAAGCCAAAATTAGACAAATTGTACAAATCAATGTTCAAAATTATCACTGAAGGAGGGCCTGACCTAGATTTTGTGCTTAAAGGAAGAGGCTCGTATTTAGAAGAATATGATCGTTAAAATTTATTAAAAATAGGAATTTTCTTATTAGAAATTTTAGTTAAAATGCAATATGGATATCTCAATCAATGGGACAAGAAATGTGCTTATTAAAAAAGCTCTTGCTTATAACAAAAAATACATATATAGAAAAGCGGAAAAACAGAAAAATAATATACAGGACTGATATGGGATAAAGGCGATATATTTTTTTTAAAAAAAAAAATTTTAGGAAATTAGAGAGGGTGTTATTTTTGAAGAAAAATAAATGAGGATTGGAAATGATAGGTACTTATAGAAAGTAGAGAGGATAGTTTATCAAAACCTCTGAGGGCTACGTCATTAAATTCTATTAATGCTCGCCACAGAGGAGTTTTACTTGAGAACTCTGCCAAGATTGCAAGAGATCTGCAAAGAGAAAAACTTAAAGCGAGGTATAAAATTTATGTCAGAGAAGCTGATCGAAATTTTAATGACAGTGGGAAATTATTCATTTTAAGCTGTCTTACTAAGATATTTATATTAGCTATTTCTATTTTCTCTATAAAAAAGCATTTTTTTTATAGCAAATCCTATCAAAATTAATCATCTTTTCTTATTTAATAAAGAAGAAACCTTTAGAGATCCCGATTTCATTGACCACAGCACCTGCCTTCACAAATACTCTGACGAAAGCCAAGCTTCTCCCTTCTTCAGATCTTGCAGCTCCCGAAGCTCCCCCTTCACAAACGAGCTTCTTGTCTCTTCTAATATTTCCATCGACTGAAAAAACGCTGTCCAAAAAAAGCTCTCCACAGTCAAAATCCTAAAAAAAGAAAAAAAACACATGAAATTGCCTCGAAAATCGTTAAAATTTATCAAATGTGAAAACAAAGAGCCTTTATATTCCCCTACAATGTCCCAGGTTTTTTTAAAAAGAAGTTTAAACTCCAAGTCAAATACCTCGTCTCCTCACATTTTTGATGTCAGTGATATGTTTAACATTTCAAGTGGCAAAATTAAGCTGAAAAGATAGTAAAATCTCTATAATTTCCTTTATTTACCTTATTTAATAATTTTCTTATTCAAAAATCCACCATTATCATAATAAATATATATCATATAATCTCCTTTATATATCTGTCAGTTTTCCATTTTAATAGTCAAAAAGGATAATTTACATAGGCGTCCCTATAAGGATCTAAAGGACCTTACAGACTATATGGACAACTATCGCCAGCAGTTTGAAAATGAGCTTCGTGCCAAGCTCCAGCAGAAGTCTACCTCTCACGTCTCCGAAGAAACTGTCCTCTTACGTTCTTTCAAATATTTTGACCTTGATAACAGCGAAACAGTCTCTCTTGACGAATGGACTAAAGCTATAGAAAAAATTGGCCTTGTAGTCCCTGACAAAAGGCTTCTGGAAGACCTTTTTAGGTTTTATGACACTGACCACTCAGGAGCTTTGGACTATAAAGAATTCGTTGCCGCAATTTATGATAACCAAAGTGTCACTGGCAGGCCAGGGACTTCTCAAAAAACACTGAACCAGCAAATACAAGAAGGCCAAGCTGGGATAGAAAAAATCAGGGAAAGGCTGGCTGCAAGAGGAGGCAGAGGAATCATGGGCTTGGCAAGGCAGTTTAAGATTATGGATGACGACGGGTCAGGCTGTCTTGATTTCTATGAGTTTTCAAAAGCTATAAGGGATTTTAGGGTAGAAATCAAGGAAAATGAGCTGCAAGCTGTTTTTAATTTGATTGACAGGGACAGGTCAGGAGAAATTGACTATGATGAGTTTTTGAGAGCTGTAAGAGGGCCTATGAATGATTTTAGGGTTGCTTTATGCTTTATTCTTAAGTTTTTTCTATAAAAAATATAGATTTTATATAGGAAAATTCAATATAATAAAATATAGTCAATAGAGCTTTTGATAAACTTGATTCAGACAGGTCTGGGATCCTTGACATTGAAGACGTCAAAGAGTTTTATAACGCCAGAGGCCATCCTGACGTCAGAAGTGGCAGAAAAACTGAGGACGACGTATTAGGAGAATTTTTAGAAACCTTTGAAATGCATCATAATATTGGTGGGACTAGAGATAGAAAAGTGACGAGAGAGGAATTTATGGAATATTATAATAATATTTCTGCAAGTATAGATAATGACCAGTATTTTGAACTTATGATGTCAAATACGTGGAAACTTAATGAAGCTCCTGCTTATACCAAAAATAAAGCCTGGACTAATGCAGGGGAAGATGGAAATAAAGGCCCTGCCAGACCAAGCAAAAATTCTGAGGTAAAAAAAATTTTGCCTTACCACTGTCTAAAAAAATTATTTTGCAGAAAAAAAATCATTAAAAATTAGCAGCCAAAATTCTCCTGGATTATTACCTCCTGCTCCACCACTGAACCAGAGAAGTGTAGAAATGCTATTAGAAAGGTTCAGAAGCAAGCTGGCCACTAGAGGAGCGAGAGGTATAATTGGTATTGCAAGACAGTTCAAAATTATGGACGACGATAACTCAGGAACTATCAGTATGGGAGAATTCCGAAAAGGCTGCAGAGATTTCAGAATTGACATTGAAGATGAGGACATTGAAAAACTATTTAATGCCCTTGATAGGGATAGGAGTGGAGTATACCAAAATAAATGGCAAAAATAATCCTAAAAATCCTTACAAAAAAAACTCTATTCTTTTTAACTTGCATAATTGACTATGACGAGCTTATCAGAGGCATACGAGGCCCCATGAACTCTTTTCGCCGCCGCGTCGTCAGTCAAGCCTGGGACAAGCTTGACCGTGACAAAAGTGGCATCATCGACATTGAAGACCTCAAAGGTGTCTACTCCGCCAAAAACCACCCTGACGTCAAATCAGGCAAAAAAACCGAAAATGAAGTCCTCGGCGAATTTCTCGAAACTTTTGAAACCCACCACAATATTTGCGACCTCTCCAAGAGAGACCGCAATATTACTAAAGATTAGATTAGATTAGATATATGTTATAGCGGGTCTTAAGGGATTATTTCAGCCCCTCGCCGTCCCACGGATAGCTTCGCAGTGACGCTAAGCGCTATCCTCACACCACCTTTTTCCTCTACTGACGTCACCAAAAAATGGTGACGTCGAAGGTCTTCGGGGAAGCCACCCTATTTGGTCAGGGTCTCCGAATCTCAGCATAAAACTCCTTTAACCTCTGACAGGGCTCAGAGTATAGGGGAATCGCCTTCTGCCTTCTCCATGACCTGTCAGAACCGTATCACAGGTTCGATAATGCTCTCATGGAGTGGTATCGGGACTTTGTGCCAGTAGGGTTAACTCGTAGGTAAGGAAAAAAAGACAAGGGTCAGCCCCAAGCCAAAAAACCCACCCCGGAGAACTATCGCCATGTGGTTCGCCTTTCCTGGGCCTGGATCAACTCACAGGTCACCAGGAGTCCACGTCAGATCACGCCATTTTAATAATTCTATTACTAAAGAAGAATTCGAAGAATACTATAACAACGTCTCAGCCAGCATTGACGATGACAGATATTTTGAGCTCATGATGAACAATGCCTGGAAACTCCAACAAGACTCAGGAAGAGGCGCATGGGCCGGATCTTCAAAAGGATTTTCCCCTGACAGCAAAAGAGCTTATATGTTAGCGAACCACCCAAGTGCGGCATTAGGGAAAAGTGTAGCCAGTACTGCACCTTATGGGACTACAGAGACTTATGCTCCGCCTAGAAGGGATAATGATATAGCGGAATCAGCCCAGCCAAGGTCAGCAAATCCTACTATTGATGAGGTTTTAGAAGCACTAAGAGGGAGATTGGCAGCAAGGGGGGCCAGAGGGTTTGTAGGGATCGCTAGGAATTTTAAGATTATTGATGACGATGGGTCAGGGAATTTGGATTATAATGAGTTTTTGAAGGCTATGAGAGATTTTAGGGTGGATTTTCCTGAAAAAGACCTGAGGAAGCTGTTTAACCATTTTGATGCGGATAATAGTGGGACTATTGATTATGAAGAGTTTATTCATAGACTGAGAGGACCTATGAATAATAATAGAAAGCAGCTTGTTACGCAAGCTTTTAATAAGCTTGATAGTAATGGCAATGGAATTGTGGAGCTTGATGATATTAAAGGGGTATATAACGCAAGAAATCACCCTGATGTAAGAGCTGGTAAAAAAACTGAAGAAGAAGTTCTTTGTGAATTTTTATTTTTTTTTTTAAAAAAATATAGGATATCTTATTCTTATTTTAAAAAAAATCTATTTATTAGTAATAGGATATTTTTTTGTATATGAATAAGGCATTTCTGATAGGTATATATATAAAAAATTATATTTATTGGTTATAGGATATTCTTTTGTATATAAATTGGTTAAAAGATACTAATACTGATAATAATTTATATAAAAGGCAAAAAGGTATAGACACCTTTGAAATCCACCACGCCACATTTAAAGAAAACACCAGAGACCATCGCGTCACACTTGACGAATTTATGGAATACTATGCCCACGTGTCCGCTTCTATCGACGATGACAGATATTTCGACCTTATGATGAAAAACTCTTGGAACTTCGACAAGAAGTCCTACGAAAAAGCCTGGGCTGGCGACATGACGACTCCTGCTCGTAGGCAAAGATAATTATTTAAGTTAAATCTCTATTAAACCAATTAACTTCTTCTATTCCTCGGGCTATCTGACATTGCGAAATATTGGTTTACCGTCGAGTTTACCTGGACCCTCATTTCTTCTTTCATTTCTCTGTTCATCCACATCCTATAGAATACAGCAATTGCGCCTATAAGCGCAAAGGACAAAATTAGTATAAAAATTATGGTAGAGTTAGAAGATTCTGCTTTTTCTGGGGACTGGTCTTGGCTACAGAGATCAGGCTCTTGGTAAGCCCCGTAGCCTGCACATAAAGCTTTTAGTATAGCAGAGGATTCCCAGTCGCCTCGGTAGGTAAAATTATTTACTATAAGGGCTGGGTAAAAGGACAGACCAAGCTTACCCCATGTGTTGAATTCGTCACGGAGTAGGGTGTTGTCGTCTAAAATTGGCCTTTTATTGCCAATAAAGCTGTCGTCCATGCATTTTTTGATTTTTTTGTGGTCAATTCCGGCGTCTTTTAGGAATTTTTCTGTGCAGGCTTCCATGTCTTCGCAGGTTGTATTGTAGGATTTCATGTATTTAAACCAGAGAGAGTAGTCTTGATCGTTTTCTGTTTGCTTGTAGATACAAATCTGCCTTAAATTTTCAATCACGACGTCTCTGCCTGTCCTAGGGCCATTTCCATCAGGATCTGGGGCACAGTATCTTCCTCCGCTTACACAGTTTGAATTGTCACTAGTAAAGCCATGGTTAGCACAATCGTCACAGTACCAAAGTACATAATGCGGCACAAATGTGGCTTGTTTTTTGGTCAATTTCGCTCCAACATTATATATTTTTTTATTTTCTAAATATTCCAATATTTCCTAAATTCCCCTCCATATTTTTACAAAAATCATGCCTATCCTAAAATTTTTCTATTAAAAATGTTTCTATCTTCTATAAAACTGATGCAAAAAATTCTGAATTTTTACGTTTTCTGAGGACATCCAAATATCATAATTTATATGTCCATCACGATAAGGAACCTCAAAAGAAAGCATCAAGGACACAGCTTCTTTCTTTTCCTCCAAATACAATTTTAATAAATTTCCATCAGACTCAGATATAAGTAAAGTAGGTAAGCTCCTTTCTGATGAATAGCCTATTAAGAATCATTTTTAGCCAGATGACATAATGCAAGCCATAGCCAAAAATGGCCCTTAGAAGACTATTTTTCATAAAAATGTATATATAAATATTCCCACCAGTTCCTGAATCAATCATAATCACATTTTCAGGGTTTTCTTCTCTGTTATCGATCACTATCAACGCTTTAGCTCCAATATCTTGGGCATGTCTAGCTTTAACTACAAATGGGCAATCTCCTCGTTCTACAAGCAAAATTGGCGAATTTATAGACTCTTCATCATTCCAATTGAAAGGGGTGATGGCATCACATGCAAGCTTTTCAGCTTCTCGGTAAAAAACACGTCCTACAATAGAAGATCCATAGGGAGGATTTCCAAAATTAGCCAATGAGCTTTTAAGTCCACTGTGAGAATAACGATTTCTGACAGCTTCTTTTAGTTCAGCAGGGGCATATACGAGAATTTTGCAGAAAGCTACACTTATAAGGAGAAATAAAAAATATACATAATAGGGTTAATAAAGGATTTTTTAGGAAAAATAATAAAAATAAGCCAAATTTGTAAAAAAGGATACATTTTATTATAAAAATGAGCTCAGATGATGTGGGAGTAAGACTATCACAAAAATTATTACAAGGATGGTGCATGCTTAATAAAAATTGTGAAGAATGCTATACTCCAATAATGAAAAAAGACAATAAAGAATACTGCTGTGGCTGTCAGAGGTTTCTTGAAGAAGAAAAAAAGTCTGAGCCTACACAAGTCATAGAAAAGCCAGAAATCAGTCACAAAAATGATACACATAACCAAGAGGACAATAAAACCCCAGAAATCACCGATTCTACAAGTATATATCACGATTTTCCAGACATAAAAACAGTCAGAGAAAATATCTTTAATAAAATGCTAGAACTTTCTAACCATTTGCCAAGAATAAAAGACTATTCAGAAATCTCAAAACTCTTAAAAATGATCAGTGACTGTGACTCCCTCTTACGGCAGCTTAAATAACCCTTCTAATTATCCTTAATTAATCCTAATAAAACACAAACTGCTCATCCCAGCCTTTTTCCATAGCCTTATTTTTCCTTATCCTCCCTGACCTCCTCACTTTTTCCATCTCAATTTTTACCTCCACATTTTTACCTGAAATTCTTTTTTTGACAATAATTTCTTCAATTTTTTCATTTTTTGAAGCTTTTTTCATTTCTTCAGCCTGTAGCATTTGTTTTGTTTTGGATTTTTTTTTAATGCACTTTTTGCAGAACCATTCTTCAAGGATAGGAATATGGCTTAAATTTATGCAGGAAATATGGAAACCTTTATTGCAGGAGTCACAGAGGAGTAAGTTTTCTTCGTCATTAGAAAGGTGGCAGATCTGGCAGGCAAGGTCACGGTAGGGATCGTCAATGGCGCCATCTGATTGGTCTTTGTCTTCTACAAAAAATAATTTAAAGGAGGAAAGATTGATATAGGAATGGTATCTTTCGTTGCAAAGAGGGCATTTATTTGTGATCTCTGATCATCGAGTTATACAGATAATGCAAAATTGATTGTGACCACAGGTATCGAGGGAGACTTTTATTAAATTTTCTAATGGTTCTAAACATATGAGGCATCTGTCTTTTTGAGCATTGATAGCTATTTTTCTGGAATTCCGGGTTTTACGCATAATTGATTATTTATAAGCCCCCGATGATTAAAATCCTATATAAATATTATTTAAATAAATCATAATTTTCTATAAGAATTGCACTTTTTCTATTATTTTTAATCAAAATTCTTGAAAATTAAGCCAGAAATGATTTTCACATAGGATTTTCGTTAGTTTTCTCTGTATCAATGTGGATAAAAAATGCTCACAGGTTTAGGTCGCAGATTTTTTCGAAGGTCTTTGATTCTAAACAGACTAGAAACCTTCATGATTCCTCAGCCTGGCGAAGGCATTGCTGAGGTTGAAATCCAGCACTGGCTTATAAAACCTGGAGAGGCAGTCAAAGAATTCCAAGTTTTGTGTGAAGCAAGAAGTGACAAAGGATTTATTGAATATAAAAGCCCTTTTGATGGGACAATTAAGGAGTATTTTTTCAATGCAAACCAAATGGCACCGATTGGGTCACCTTTATTTAAAATAGAAATTGATGATGGGAAATATCCAATTAAAGGACAAGCAAAAAAAGTGGAAGAAAGTAGTGGGGAAGCTGCTAACGAAAACGTGGCAAAAGAATCGGGCAGCAAAGCTTCGAAAATACTAGCAACTCCATCTGTGAGGCATCTTGCGAAGCAAAAAGGAATTGATATATCAACTATACCGTCAACTGGAAGAGATGGGAGAGTTCTCAAAGAAGATTTATTAAGATATTTACTCCTCCTATAAAAATTTTTGTTTTTATTTTTTTAATATTGTTTATCATTTTTTTATTTTTTATAAATCCAAAATTTAGAAGAACCTTCCCATGTAAGCCCACCAGTAAGACCTCAAATTGCAGTCGAAGCCCAAGATAAAGTATCAAAACTCTCTGGTCTCCAAAAAGGCATGTGCAAAACAATGACAGAAGCTTTACTATTTCCTCATTTAACTTATTGTGAGGACGTTTATATGGACACACTAATAGAGCTCAGAAAAATGATAAAAACGACCCTGACTGATGTGAAGCTCACATTTATGCCATTCTTCATAAAAGCTTTATCTCTTGCAATCTACGATTTTCCAATAGTAAACGCCAGCTTTATTAATAATAACACTGAGTTTGTTATGAAAGCTTCTCATAATGTAAGCGTCGCAATGGACAGCAGAGCAGGACTGCTTGTCCCGAATATTAAAAATTGCCAGAATTTGTCAATCTATGAAATTGCAGTAGAAATGGCAAGACTGCAGGACTTAGGGACAAAAGGAAAAATTGGGCAAAGCGATTTGGAAGGAGGGACTATTTGTTTATCAAATATTGGGTCAATTGGTGGGACTTATACAGCTCCAGTAATTTTGCCTCCTCAAGTATTAATTGGAGGCTTAGGAGCTACAGCTTATTGGAAAAATCCAGGATATTCCTATAAAATTATTTTTTTATTTTTAAATAAAATAGGATTTATTTTATAGTCTAATAGTGTCAGTCTTAATCGATGAAGTATATTAGACCTCGACTTGAGAAAAAGAAAGGAGAAATCGTTGAAAGACAAGTTTTAGGCTCTTCCTGGTCAGCTGATCATAGACTGCTAGATGGCGCAACTGTAGCAAAGTTTGTCGCAAGATGGAAAGAACTTTTAGAAAATCCTTCATTGATGCTCTTGCATCTTAAATAAAATATGAGAATAATTATTATTCTAATAAATCTCCATTTCTTCACCTGCTTTATTTTTCAACAATATCAAACATATCCAAAAATCCAATAATGATAGGAATCTACAGAAAAATAAGCAGAGATAGCTAAATCTATTTTTATTAGATTTTTAGATTATTTTTTAAGAATACAAGTATTAATGCTGATCTTTCAGGCTATAAATAGGAAATTATAGAAATGAAATTAACTTTTAAGTTTTTGATACCATTAATTTGAAATACAATTATGATTGAGAAATTATTGAAACTCATTTGACCCAAAAATTGGATTTGCAAATTATCAATTATTACTAATAAAACTTCCAGAATCAAATTCTCGAAAAAAAAATTAAAACACAGCAAATATCTTTTGAAATAAAATCAGCTGCCTTAAAATAACCCGCCAATCTAATTCAATCACACTTTTGAGCGTAATAGCCCACTAATCCACATATTTTTTTCAATCTGACCAATAAAGAAAACATCAAAATTCTCTTGATTTTCCTAACTTTATATAATAATTTATTACCTTCAGCCGATCCTTTCCTAAGCCAACTCTTTTGGCTTGCTACGCATATGAGCTTTTTTAAATTTAAAATTGCCCCTTTTAAGTAATATATTTTTCTATTTTTACCCCGAAACCATGCTGCCAAAACCCCTCCACAAAACTTCTTAAAATTCTTGGTTGATTATAAATACCCAAACAAATTATAATGAAAACACCAAATAGGTTAGAATTAGATTATGACATACTTGATCAGCTTTATAAATCTGAACTAAAAACCTAAAATGCAATCATCAAATATTCTTTCTCATATTCTATCCTATCTAACCTATCAAGAATTGCTGGCATGTAGCTGTCTTAACAAACATTTTCAAGCCCTTTGCAATAACACATTTTTATGGCGTCGAGAAGCACTGACTCCTCCCTCCTCCCTCCATGAACAAAAATTTTATTCGGCAAAGAGGTTTTTTTTTAAAAAAAAAATTATATAAATTTATATTAAATTTTTTTTTCCTGAAACTTAAAAAAATTCAAGTAAAATTAATTTAATTCAAAATTTATGTTTTTAAAATGCAAGCTGCTTAAAATTAAACAGAACTAATTACAGATTACATTAGAATAATTATCACTTATATGTTATATTTTTTTATTAAATAATTTTTTAACCGTTCATGAGGTGGGGTTTTTCTCCAAAAAAAGGATTTTCCAATGTTTTGCTCGCTCACAGAAGGGAGAGTAAGAATCGGCATAGGAAATCTTGAGCTATTTGGCGAACCTTTGTTAGGCATTCAAAATTCACAAAAGTCTTCGTCGTCATCAAAATGGAAAGAGCTGCTGAGAGGACTCATTGAATCTAAAAAATATTGGCCAACAGATCATTCTGTTCTGGAGCCTTCAGACACCAATAATTTGGTTAAAGAATTTTTAAGTATATTGAGAGAGCCTCAGATGCCTCCTCCGACGTTAAGAAGAGAATCCAAATGTCTGCCAACAATCTTCCAAGAATTGCTATAGTTTTTTTTTTTAATTTTTTAATGAAAATTTGTAATAAATTATTATTTTTTATTTAAAAATAATTTTTTTTTGCGTTGAAATTGGTGTAAATTTAGAGAAAAAGATATAACACATATTACCTTATTGATGAATCGCCAGCAGCCTTGCCAAGTTTTGATGACTTTATGACTGAAGACATACTTGCAAAGCTTTTTGACTGGTCAGAAAGGCTAGAAAATGAGGTATGGGATATTTAGTTCAAAGGCTCTGTAGAAAAAAACCAATTTACTATAGCAAGGTGGGCATTGAAAGATCCAAAATTTGATTCATGGACTTTAAGCCCTTTCAGGCTGTCTATAGAGTCTACAACTGATACTTATGATCAAGAAGACGACCTTTGCCAGCTTAGTCAAAAATTTCCTTTAAAAAATTCATCCCCATTCCTAATCAAACTTTATTACGCTATTAAGAAAACTTCATCAGTTCACAGTAAACTTATCCTTGCCTCAATTCTTGAAAATGAAGATGACCTAAGCCTTTGTAATGATTTCAGGTATTTTTTTTTAAAATAATTTCCCTTAAAATCTATTTGTTTAAAAAAAAAAAAAACCTAATGATTATATCACAAAAGTAACCTTTAATTCAGTGAAACTCCTATTGCGCTTCCATCAAAGAACTCAACCAAAAATACCAAGCCTTCTGTACCCTTTTCAACGAAATCTTCAACAAAACCCACGAAAAGACTCCAAATTTCCCTCCCTTTTCTCTGCTGAGGCCTATGGTTTTTCAATGGAAACGAAAAGTCTTTGAAACGGTAAAGGATAAATTAATTAATACAGCTTTGGACTTGTTAAATAAGTGAAGAAGTGACCAAATTGATGAAGAGTTGAGTTATCTTCTAATAAAAATCGTTCAAGCATTAATTGACCATAGCGTTAATGAGTTGAATGTGCGTTTTCTTGATCATTCTCAGTTCTATACTGATGGAATCTATGAAATTTTACATCAAAAAACGGTTGTTGCAACTTTAGAATACTATAAAACCCTTAAAAATTTGCCGGCTGATAAGCTTTCAGAAGCTTTGGAGAAGGACATGAATATTATTCAAAGGGTTTTTCTTAAAAGGACACAAATTGAAATAGAGAAAATAAGAAATGAAATAGAAATTTCTGCTTGGAAAAGCTGTTTTTGTGAGAGCTATAAAGAGTTTAAAGCAGGAATTTGTTGTGTAAATTCAAATGTGACCGAAAATTTACTTGATAGTGAGTTTGGGAGGATTCTTTTCAATGTGGATTTTAATAAAAACAGGATAAGGCAGTTTATTGAAACTCTTCAGTGGAGAAATGATAAAATGGTTGAAAATATTCAGCATTTTTTGAAGTTGGTATAACAAATCCATTATTTTTATTAAAAAAATTAAATAATACTAACTGCTGGAATAATCTTGAAATTGTCAATAATAGACAAAAATTCGAATTTAATAGAAAATATGGCATTACAAAAAAATATTAATAATAAAAAATTAATTTTGAAAATTATAAATAATAAGAGGAAAATGGCAGAAAATAGGATAATAATAACATAGTTTGAACGTAAAGTTGAGCTTCAAGAAAAACTGATTGATGATTTAATTATTGAAGAGGAAAACGAACAGTGCGGCTTTATGCTTGAACAAAGTCCTGAAGAAAGGATTCTTTTTTCACTAACCAATGATATTAGTCCCCAGCAGTTCATGGGAATTGTGATCAATACGGATTTATTGTAAGGTTAATTAAATTGGATATTCATTTATTAAATGAATAAAGGATAACTAAGGTCGTTAGAGCAGTTTAAGTAGTGATCGAGGTGATAAACCATCAAGTTTAAGATCGTCTGACATTAGATTTGTGAGAAATTAGTCAAAAAAAGGTTGCTTAGTCCATTGGATTTTATAAAAAAATTAATTATTATATTTTAATTTTAAAAAAAATTAATTATTTATAGGAAAATTAGCAAATATTTATTACATTAAATTAATAATAAGCTACATTAGAAGCAAGTCTGCTCATAACTTGTTTTGTCCTATCATTTTGTTTAATACTTGAAAAAAGCTTATCTGGGCTTAAACTTCTCCTAGGAGATATTGAGGTATCACACACTCCTAAAAATTTATGTCCTTTTCCTTTTAATTCAGAACGAGAACGAGGTATCGGCGAACTACTAAAAATGGTCATTTTTGACCTAGGGCTTATTTCTACTGTGTAGGGTTTAAAAATATTTGCCTTTGAGATGCTTGAATTTCCTTTGTTTTTTTCTTTAAATTTCAGCCCATTCCCATGCAGATTTTTATAGCTTTCATAATAAAGTTTTGGCAGTTTCGGAGTTTTACATTCTAATGCTGGATTTTTCGCTATTTCTTGTTTTAACCTTGGTAAAGATTTTGGTCTACAAGCCAATTGGTTAAAAGGTTCTAGAATAATTTTTCTGTTCTAAAAATCCTCAATTTTATATATTAAATTAATTTATGAAAAATAATTCAATTTGGCTTTTATCCTGGAAAAATAAGAATTAAAAGGTTTAGAGCTGATTTTTCGCAAAACTGGCTGCTGCTGATCTAAAAAGTCATAGACAAAGGAAGGAATTGAGCTTCTTTTTCTCTTTTTAAGGGTTTTTTTAATTGAGTGTTTAGGCTTTTTATTTGTTAAGAATGAACGGAAAATTTCTTTATCTTTGTCATCAATATTTGTAACATAATCATCATAGCTCGTTTGGCCTTTAAGGTATTTAAGAGAAGCATTTAAAGTCTTCTGTGATAAGCTGAGGCCGCGATAATTTTGAAAAACTGATTTGTCAATTTTAGAAGAGAAATTCATGATTTTAATTTTTAATTTATTTCTTTTAGTTTATTTTTTATTTAATCTACCTTTGGAGATAATTACGCAATTTGCTGGTATCATAGGTATATTAAACAAATTCAGTTTAATCTAAAACGCATTTAATTTGAAAATTATAATTATTTCAGTTATCTCAAAATTAAAATATAATAATTAGTAAAGATCGATTATTTGTAATTTAATAAAGTTTATAAGAGCAAGTCATTATTTTGTATTTAAACTAATACCAAGACATTAATACATTAAATCTGATTGAATAGAAAAAATAAATATCTCGAAAATTCGCGATTTTCTTAAATGTTTTCTTAAAGTGTAAAAGCATCAATAATAAATACAGTAGTAAAGAAATTGCTTAAATTATTTATTTCACCTTAAGAATTATTTGAATTAATCTTAATTTTTCACATATTTTCATTTCTACGTAGTTAGCTTAATAAAGGAGATTTCCCTGAGGCTTAGCAACCATCTTCACGTAGTCTTTTCCTTTGGTAACTTCAATAGCATTAGGATCATTATATTTTTGGTCCTTCTTCTCCCAAGGATGCTTATAATGTCCGCTGTAGCGATAATAAGCTATATGATCTTCCTCAGCTTTTTGCTTTTGAGCACTTGTAATCTTATACCAAGCAAAAAATCCTACTCCAGTGTAGATCCAAGAAAGAAAGAAAAGTTTGTGGGTAGCCCATGACAAGCCAGGAATCGCTCTAGGTAATGGAAGCTTGAAATTCATTTATTATTGATAAATGGTGAAGGGTAGTCATTATTATGATTTGCTATTCAAATATACGTGATTTAAGTGAAGATTAGATTTTTATAAAAAATTAATTAAAATTCGAATTAAAATAGATTAAACTTAGGCATAAATATAACGCAAACAATAAACTTAAGGTAAATGTCTTAAAAATTCTTACTGATTGAAATTAATAAGAAGTAAATTAATATCATATCAAAATATGCTGTAACTAAGTGAAAAATATTAAAATTAATCAAAAAATTATAATTTAAAAATATTTGCATCACGGTCTTTCAAAATTTTAGTTTTTGAAAAATTCTTGTTTATATCTAGAGCACTAATATTTGTCATTTTTTTCAATTGTCCCATCAAATTCGGATTCAAAAACTTTGTGTGCAGGATTGGGACATTTTCTTTATTTTCTGCACAATTTAAGACAGAGGCTGAACCTTTTGCTATTGTATTATTTCTTTTATGTGCAGGCCATTCAGGTGTTTTTTGTGTATCCATTTCAGAAATATTTCTAAAGTGCGACAAGGGTCGCTTGATGAATTTTTTCTTAATTACTGCTCTATCAAAAAAATGGATAAATAAAACTTACTTTTTTCCTAATTTTCCTATTTAGACACCTTTACCTTTTTCCGCTGCAGTTTAAAGAAATTCAAAAAATAAATTTGTAATTGTTTTACCAATTGAAATTTGCAGTCATTTTTATAGAAAAAAATTATGACCATGTAATTTATTTAACCCCAAAAAAATCTGGTGGAAAATGATCGCAGATAAGAGGCTCAGTTTTTCTTTTGAATGATATCGACATTTTATTTTAAATTAACGATAAGCGCTATATATGGAAATTCTGTCATTTATATCCTATATTTCTAATTTTTTCACCTAATTTATACAAGTCAGTACCAAATTTTTATAGAAATGGATTATTTTTATAAATATAAATGCATAAGATAATTCTAATTAATTTTATTATGATTTATGCATTCATAACATTATCTATTAAAAAGTGGCTCTGTAAAACAAAATATATCCACATGGAACTGACCCAATTTCTTTAGATGACCCAAAAATGTGTTGGATTAAGGCTTCATCAACTTTTTCTACGTAATCGTCGTCAAATCTTATCCAATGCCCATGACTCTTAACAATTGCCATATAATGCCCATATTGAAATCCTGGGCCTAAATGCACAATGCATGCAAATAGCTCATAAAGTTTTTCTGGGCAATTATCAACTGTATTATTTAGCCTTAATTGGCTTGGAAACGCTACTCTATATGATAATTTTGTATATCTTCTAATTTCTTTATTCAAAATTAATATTTTTTTAAAAATTTATAGTAATTTTTTTTCTAAAAAAAAAAAAAATTAATTTAATTTATGTTTTATAATGCAAATTTACTAGAAATCTCATTATAATTTATCATAAAATATTTAAAAAAAATTATCAATGGCCATAGAGTAAGTTCATCTGAATATTTAAACCTTTTTAAATGACAAATCAAAATATTCGGTGGGTCTTTTATCAGAGTCCTCGTCTGTGCTTCCTGTTTGCACGCACAAGTTTCACAGTAAAATTTATCAGCTCCACTTAAAGTTTCTATTTCAGAATACCGCTTCAGAGAAGAAAGAATTGAGCAATTTTGTTTGACGTCAAGACTCAGATCCATAAAAACTTCATCTCTATGTGTGACATTTTGACAGCAAAGGCATTTCGTCTGCGTTGTGAATTTCCCTTCAAAGAGCTGCTGAACCCAAGATTGGGAGCCTTGAGCTTTCAGTTCTTCGTCTAGTCTATTGATAAGTCATATTAAAAATTCATGAGAATCATGATGATCATCGTTATCGAATAATTCGTTGAGAACTTTGCATTTTGACATGACGTTTTTGGTACTCATAACCCCTGTTTTCCGCTTAGAAGTAATCATAGTGATATACAGTTCTTGAAGTTGTGACATCACGGTATCACGGGATGCGATTTTTTGATTGATCAAATATTTGCGAAAATCTTGGCAAAAGTATAAGGCTTGGAGCACAGAGTTGGCATAGCAGATATTGTCTTTGTTTTCAAAGCCTAAATAGCGCTCTGGAAGCTCTTCGCCGCATTGTTCGAAATCTTTTTCAATTTTGCTTGGTCCGGTCCCTCCCATACTCAGATTCCAATAGCAGATTATATATGGAATTTATTGAGGTTTTTCTGGGTAGGGCAGGGAAATTTATTAGTGGAATTTTAGATTATTGTAAAATATTGAGATGTGTCTAGGAGTATTTATTAGTAATTAATATGAAACTCTGCCAATTGAAACATGCTATTTTTAAGAAATAAATATATATTTTTTTGAATTTAGCGTGAAAAATATTATAAAAATATTTCTTAATATAACCTAGTATGAAATTCTTTAAATTATTAACCGCGTCTTTATCAAATTTATAATTTAAATCTAATATTTTAATTTTTCCTTACAATTGTAATTAAACCGCTCATTATATCATATTTTCTCACAATTTTTCAATAATATGTTTTCTTTCTCAATTTCTAAATTTTTGAAGCCTGACAGGGTCGTCCCTCATGACGAGGAAACATATTATATGACTGAAGCTGAGGCCAAAGAGCTAACTCCCCCCCTCTGTGAGTGAACAAAACCATTAGAAAATCCCTATTTTTTGCTCAAAAACCACCCTCAATGAATGAACAAAAAATTTTTTTAATAGAAAAATTTTTTATGGGAAAAGATTTTGATATATGAGTGATAACTATTATCATGAAATCTCTAGCTAATTCTGTTTAATTTTAAACAAATTGCGTTTTTAAAACATAAATTTTACAAATTAAATTAATATTTACCTTCCAATTTTAGAGAAGTGGGATTTTTTAAAATTTCGAAAAAAATGTTTTTTTATAAAATTTATATATAATATTTTGGCTTAATTTCTGATCGACTCCCACGAGCCAAAAATGGGTTTTCATGTGGAATTTCTGGATTTTCACGCGTGAAATCCATCTTTGGCTCGTGGGAGCAGGTCAGAAATTAAAGCAACTAATTATATAAAATTTTTTTAAAAAAAAAATTAACCTAAAAATATTTTGCTCACTCACGAAGGGGAAGGGGGGAGTAAGTGTCGGCTTTAACCAACAACTAAAACAATGCTCGGTCCAAATAGAAGAATTCAATAATAGAAATCAAAGTCTAAAGGAAAAGCTCCTACAAACTTCAAAGAGAAACAAAAAAATGCAGGAAAACACTGCACAGAAAGAAGAAGAGCTGAAGCATATGGAAAATGATTTAATAAACAGAAAACAATACCTAGAGCAACTGGAAGCACGCCTAAATCAGTCCAGCCAAGACATTACAAACGAAAACTGGAAAGAAGGCATAGTATAATAATAAAATGGTCACGTATAGAATTAGTTCTTTTCTAAACTATTCCCCTCTGCAGATTTTCCAGTTTTTTATCCACAATGCTTATATGGATCACCACATAGGGTATTTTAGCTGGCAAGATAAAAGGAGGGATATGACTTTTACTGTTTGATTCACCTGAAGAGGGTGACCTTAGGCGAAATATCAAGTTAAGAGCGAGGTCAATGTGGCCAGTGAAGACTTTATGACCTTTTTGGGGTGCCCTCTGGATACTTGCTTGGCAAGCTGCCGGCATCATCAGCTGGGAGCTAAAAGGAGTTCTAATATTACACCCTGCAGAAGAGAATGCTACTTTAAAAAATCTGAAATGATTAAGATTAAGAAAAGAAGACATTGAACAAGCCAAAATTTCTATAGAAAATTCCTCATACGACCGCCTACGAACTAATATTTTTTCCCTCCTCAACCATCTTAAAGATCTTGAAGCCCAAAAACTTTCCTTGCAAACTGAAAATGAAATAATCAACAAGAAAATCACGGAAACCAAAGAAAAAGAATACAGGCCTCTGGAGTGTAAAAACTGCAAAAGTATTTTCATTCCAATCCAAAACCATGATATGGCCTGCAGCTATCATCCTGGGAAGCTAAAATATTATTCTTGCAGAGGCTGTGGAGAAGACGCCTATATGAACTGCTGCCTAAAATGCAAAAAATGCTCTGAAGGCTGTAAAATCAGCCACCACGTTGCATAACTCTCCCGATAAGAAGCTAAAACATTTGAAAACCTTATAGAGCACACACAAATTTTTTTTATAAAAAATCATAATCTCCTTTAAAATTCACTAGGTCTTAAAGGGGTAGTAAGCAATAACGTTCTTTATTGCATTATGCGAAAATTAATAGGTAAATAATCAAAAAAAAGAAAAATTGTCCCGAATAAGTCAAAAAAAATAATTAAATTAATTCTGATGCCCTTTTTAAAAACCTTTCTAATAAACAGCTGAAAAATTTGAATATTTAAGCTCTTATAGATTTCTTTGAAAATTAAATTCACCATATTTCTGTCTGAATTCAAAAAATATTGTAGTTCTACTGATATAATTGATAAATATTATTATAATATGAGCAAAACCACAGTTGAGGCTAATAATTCAGTTATTGACCTTTCCCAGCCAAAAAAGCATTTCCGACTCTCAGACGAGAAATGCATGAACTCATATAAAAACAATAAAAAAAAATTTTAAATAAAACTATATTTATTAAAAAAATGTCAATACCAGCTCATATACAACCATTAGCTGCCAGCCTATTGATGAAAATTGTGAGTCTCGGAAATTGAATAATTTATATAAATCGCATTATGCAGAATTAATGATAATGAAGCCCCAGGAAGCGGCTAAGCTGTTTAAAAAGATCACGGATGACAAAATAATCAGCTATAAAGAACTCTATAAAAGGGTAAACTCCTTGTTAAAAAATTTTGATAATTCTTTAGATGCAGTCAGCGTAAGAGATGACTGCTCAATACAGCCAAGTACAATAAAAATAAACAAGCCAGCACTTTCGCTTCTATTTAGAAGAAGGACAAGTGGTGGGAATACTGTTATTAACTAAATTTAAATCAATTAGTATATACTTTTCTGAATAATCATGATAATTTTATTAAAGAGAATTTTTAATAAAAAATTCTTGAGAAAAATATTAATAAAAAAAATCTACATGAGAGCTAAGTTTCAGATTCTTGGGTTTTGTCTCTAATTTTTCTTAGAGTATTGCAGATACTGAATAGATATGCTTTTATTTCTATATGTTCTTTTAAGATTTGATTCATTTTTTTATCCAAGCGATCTCTTGGAGAATCTATGCCATACATAGCTCTTTGTTTAAATCTTAACGATGACCCCCCCTTCAATCTTCATGTCTATTGCAACAAAAATGCAATTTTTTAATATAAAATTTTATATAAAAAAAATAATAATTTTCATGTCTCTTGCAACAAATTATATATATTAAAGTGGCGACACGTGCCAGCCTGCCCTCTTGGCGCAGCATTCCAGACCTTATGGCTAATGCGAACTGGGACGGACCCGAGCCGAGAATCAGACGCAGGCTCAAGAAGTGTATATCCGGGCAGGTTTTGGCTGCTTTCCTGTGGTTGGAAATAGATGCGCTCAACAACGTCCTTTTGATGCGAGGACCCATGTGCATTCCTCTACAAGAAACTGGAGTTTTTGCCCAGGCCACAGGGGAACAGTCTTTTTCGTGTAGCTGTCGAAGGAAGGTACTTTGACATCCGATAGACTCTAAGGAGCTGATCCTTGAATCAAGCTACTCCAATTACCCGTAGGTCATTGAGACGCCTACAGCAGCGCTGTTTTATGGGGTTTTTGAGAAACTCACCTAGAGAAAAATGCATTAATTCTTTTTTATAAAAATGCTGTGTTGCAGTAGGCATGAAAATTTTTTCGAAAAATTTTTGTTGCAATAGACATGAAGATTGAGGGGGGGTCATCGTTATATTTTTTGGGATAATTTTTGTAGATTTTTAATAAAATAAAATTTTGTTTTTAAATAGAAAATAGGCATTAATTTGTAAAAAAATAGAAAAATTAATTGGAATAGGGTAACCTTTGGAATTTATATATCTCTTTTTTTACTTTTCCCAACTGCAAATCTCTGACTTCTTTTTCAATTTCCCTCTTTTTTACATACAATTTGTATCTAAATGCATTTGCAATTACACTTGCAGCCTGCTCTTGCAATTTCTTTTTAAAATTCAATCTAGACAGTAAAATTCACGCTTTTTCTTGGCCAGATTCGAATTCTAGCGCTTGTGTCAATGTTACGATCATCATTGACACCGAAAGGATTCCTCAAATGCACGAAAGAGACCCTACAATTCTTCCAGGAAGCGTTGTAGGGTAGATGTCCCCATACCCTACCGTCGTCATTGTAATAGCGACATACCAAAAGCAATTTCCATAGTCAGAAAATTCAAACTTGCTTTCACTTTGTATAGGCCTTTCTAGTATCCTTATCCAAAACCCTGATACTAGTATCCCAATCATAAGCATCGACACAAATCCATAAGTCGGAGACTGGTTCATTAATGATTTTACTGTAAAAGAAATCCCTGGATATGAGCCGTTCAGATGATTTACTCTTTGAGATCTGCCTGACCTATATTTCGAAAACACTGAAAAAAGCCTAATTAAATGATATTTTTCTATAAAATAAATATAGAAAAAATCTGAAAATATTATTTAAAGCCATTTTTATGATAAATAGAATAAATCCTAAGTGCACATATAATTGTGAATATAGAATTATAAGAATACGCAATCATCACGTTGTATTTGGCATTATAATAGCTAAATGTTTCATCTCCAAGAAATCATATTGGGTGTATACAATTTAGCATAATTTCGAAAATAAGCCAATATATCCGGCCAGACGTGACAATTGTGTCAGATGCCGTAAAAATCCCTTTCGCTTGCTCTCATCTGTGTTCTTTAATTGTCCTTCATATGATCTCAAAGAGAAGGAGCAGCGTGCTGATAGAGCATATGAAATATAAACAGTCAATTACAAATGATTTTTCATTAGCAGTATAATCATCATAAGAAAGGTCATAAAGAATTGCAGAGCTGCCAAATCCTATCATTGAGAGCAATGAGCAGGAAATCTCTGATATTTTAAGCTGCTCGAAACAGGTATCGGTTTTCCGAAAGTCTTCATGCCAAAGCTCAAATATTCTTTATTGAGTCTTTTATGGTTTTAGAATGATAGATCCATTTTATAGTAAAAATGTGATTTATTTTAGTATAATGAAAGGGATTTGTCATGAAAAAATTACTTAAATAGTATAGAGATTGCTTCAGCATTGCTTTTGAAACGCTTCTCAAGAGGCGTCTTTGTTGGAAACTCATACTTGAGTTCGGACTTTCTTCCCTCTCATACATATTTCCGGTATGAAATTAAAGTTATTGCTTAATACTTATTTAGATGTGGGAAAATCAATCTATGACCAACAATTTTCAACATTGGACCATTTAAATAGAAAAGAAATCACACAAAGCAAAGGATTTTATCTTTAATTTACGTGTAATCAATGACATTTTATTAATAATTTTGAATGAAATTTATAAGCTCATGGATTTTTGCTAACTCCCCATCGATAGATGAGAAAATCTATTAGAAAAATACCTATTTTTTTGGGCTAAAAGTCACCTGAGTGAACAAACTTATTTACTTAAATTTCTTTTAGAGAAGTTCCGATGCAGCTCATACGCCACTATTTATCTCCGCATAAAGCTCCACCTCTTGCTTGCCTGTCCGGACACAACCTTCCATTGTGTTGCTCCTCACAGAAGAAGGCTTGCAGTCGTTACCCGAGGTCGGAGATGCTGGGTCAGTATGCTATGCTGTACTACTCAACAGGTTCAACTTCCAGAAAATTCGAAAAAAAATTTTCTAGTTGAACTATCGACCAAAATGGCTCTCGGAGCCCGGAACGCAACGCCTAGTATTGCGTTTTAATTTACCTGCTTGGTCAAGTCGCAACCTCTTTACATTTCTAACTCAAGCGAGTCATGTCCCCACGAGGTAAATGACCTAAACGTGAGCATGAGGTCAGCTAAACTCAGCATTGCGCTCTACCAAGCCAAGCAAACCCGAGTCGGATACAGATTTCTGAACGCTGTCCTCCCTTCCGGGTTTCAGGGTTTCTCAATGAATCTATCGGCTAAGAGGGCAGGTTGGCTCTAAGCACAATTTTAATTTATATCCCCAGTTAGCGAATAATTAAATCTGCTAACTTCATCTTAAAACATAAGTTTTTTTGTGAACTGAAAAAAAAATTAACCCAAGCAATTTTTTCTCGCTTATGAGAGTGAATAATATAAATAAGATTTTATAGAGATTTGCAAGAAAAAGACATAAATTATGAATATTATGTTTTTAAGCTAAATTTTAATATTTTTTATTATTTGATGGAACCTCTGCTTGAAGTACAAACGATGGGTTTTTGTCAAAAGAAAGATCTTTAGAGTCAACTATCATGGTTTTATTTTGCTTAATCCCCTCCTTATCAGCAAGCTTTTTGCTCCTTTTAATGGAATTAATTAGTTTTTTTAAAAATATTAAATCCATTTAAGTATCTACAAATGTTTTATTCGAAAAATTTTAATTAAAAAATTCATTATGATAATTATCCAAAGATTTAATTTTAATTTTTCATCAATTAGAATTAAAATATTATTAAAAAAAAAATTTAAAAGCTTTTTTTCTAGATTTATTAAAGCGAAAGAGTTAGAAGATGCCCTAGATCTAACTTTTGGTGAAGGTGCTTGCTGTCCACCTTGCTCGGTCAAAAAGAAGTAGTTTTCAAGGAGCCTTTTTTGAGAATCTATTACAATTTTAGTATAGCTTGCTCCCTTCTATGGCTCTGTATAGAGACAGAGTGACAAAGCAATCCAGAATTTGATTCCTGAACTCAGGCTGAGAAGTACTCTCTTTGTTGCTACTTCTTATGCAGAGCTATAGCAGGGAGCAAACTATATCATTTTTGTGTTTAATTTCTTTTTTATAGAGTTCCCGATTGCTATCTCTTTCTTTTATTACTTGGTTTAATACTTCTCCAAGCTTTTCTAATGTTTTAAGGTCCTGCTCCTGATTTGAATAAATCTTTTTGATTTCTTTTTGCTTTTTTATTATCGCCTCTTGTAAGCTTTTTCCTATACCTGCAATTGGAGATAATAAGGCATTTTCTTTTATACAGCTTTTATTTACAGGAGAAGCGGCATTGTTCATGCTATCATTTTTACATTTGGCAACTGATGAGCTTCTGATTGGGGCAGTCCTATTAAGTCTATCAGCTGTTGTGCTTCTCTTTTTTGCTAAATCTTTATTGAAAATATATATTTTAATATGGGTAAAAATTTTTAATTTGGCAGAGATGGCCTGAAATAATGACCTAACGTAATTAAGCTTCTCTTATATGGGTAAGGTATTTTCTATATACTTTTTTGTAAACAAATTATTTGTTAACTGTATATAATTATTATCCCTCTTCGCAGTCAAAAGTTTATTGCTTGCCAGAGCTTTGAACAATCTATATAAGGCATACAGTGGAAATTTTTCCCTTTGTGGGTATTTTGGTATTTCATTTTCTAACAAAAAAATTGGCTTAATTCCTCCATTAAAATTTCCATTTTCAACATCTCTGATGAGCTTATCTTGGTTTTGAAAATTAAGAAACAGCTCAGTGCTTTCTTTTTCCATTTTTTTGATAAGTTCACTGATTATATTTTACTCTTTTGACCTGAAATATCTTTTAGACTCAATAATAAAATCATTAATGTCTTTTGATAATAATTCAATTTTTTCTTCATACTCACATTTAACATTTTCTAATTTCCTCTTGGCTCTTTTGATCGCCAAAGTAATTATTTATAAAAACTAATTACAAAATATTTCAGAAAAAAACTTTGAAATGGAAAATATAAAATTTCTGTATTAGATGTGCCTGCTTAAAATTTAATATATTTTATTTGAGATTTCATTATAGCCACATATATTTATTTAAAATATATTTTTTTATGGAAAAAATTTTTGCTAGCTAGCGGAGAGAGGTTAATTTTCTATTTTTTCACTAGGAGTAAGAAAAATCTGTTATTATACCTATTTTAAATATTTTTTTTAATTTTTATATAAAAATTTAATTTGGTATTGTATCTCTAATTCTGAATATTTTCAATTTCTAAAAACCTTGTGTTGAATTCTGAATAAACTTCAGACTTAGCATCTCTTTTTGTCTCTAATAAATAATATATATCACTGGATTGATTTTGCATAGTAGTTTTTAAGTTGAAAATGTCCCTTGCTCTACCGATTACATCATTATGTGATTTTACTATTCTAGTTTACAATAAATAGCAACTAAAAAACATTTTTTTGATAGCCAAACGTTATCTGACTTGCCAATTTAGCAAGCCATTATATTTGCCAACCAAAAATTGCTTCTTAGTGGGCTTTTCTTCATACACACATATAGCATCTCTTGAATGCATTCAGCTTCTTTTAATTTATCAGACACAAGCCTTTCAGTTTCTAATAAATTCGAGTCGTTAAATCCGCTTTCCATACTCTTCATATTCCTGCTCAAATTCTGAATCCTTTCCTTATATTTCTCCTCATTTTCTGCTTTTCTCATCTCCAAAGCCTTAATCTCCTTTTCAATTTTTTCTAACTTTTCAGTCAATTTTTTATTTCTCTTTTCAATTTCATTGCATTTCTCGATAGCTTCCACATAATTTTCAAGTCCTTTTCTTTCTTTAGAATCATTAGCACTTTTATTTGCAAGTAATACTTTTTCAGGTAGGGCTAGGAGCTTTGAGAGCTTTTTTATTTTCATCTCATAATTGAAGTCCATTTTAATATATCAAAAATCTCTATTAAGTATCACCTGGCAGTCCTAATTTTTTTAATTAGTGAGTCTACACATTTATTTAGGCAGTTTCTAAAAGATTTAAAAATATTATGGGAATTAGAGAGGACTATAAAAAGTGGCCTATTAGAAGGCAGCTTCAAACTACTTTTATTACAACAGCTTTGATTATTGTTGGGGTACTGATCACTATAACCCAATTCCAATTAGATTGATTACGAGACAAAATGACGGACAAATCTGACTCAGTCACACAAGACGCTTTGAATAATCATATAAGCATTTTAGGACAAGAAATGGCTTCTTATGTGCAAACGGAGTTTGCAGGCTACATTAAATTTATATCAATTTTTAAAGATTTAGAGTTACTTATATTGGGCCACAATCAATACTCATCTCCACCTATTGTCCCAAGCTCTCCTGTATGGCATGATAATATTCCTTCATCAATAGAAGTATTAGAGGACGGGATATATGTAACTTACAATACAGGCGTTTTTTATTCCAGATATGCCTCTTCATTAAGCACAGATGGCGAAACTTTAGTAGCTATGGATGCGGCAATGGACAAGCTTTACCCTAAAATGTTTATGGAAATGTTTGATTCTATATATGCTGGATTTGAGACTGACGAAATTCTTCATTTTTACCCTGGGTATAAATTCAATGTAACAGATTATTCACCTTTGACGCGAGAATGGTATTATAAAGCCCATGATAATTCAAGCTGAGCAGCCATTACCCAGCCTTATCAAGATGCAGGTTCTCTTAAATGGATGTTCACGATTTCTCAAGCAATTGTCATTGATAATGCAGTTTATGGTGTCGTGGCTGCTGATATTTTAACACAAATAAAATGGCGACGATACCGACCCGTCCTCTCCCGGAACTGTGGCGAAATTGGGGACCTTGCTGCGGCCTGAAGCCAATACGCCCAGGGAAAGGTCTGGAATGGGTACTGGTAGTTTGTGTCCGGCTAGGTTTCCCTCCCAGTCCAGCAACGACGATCTTAGGGTCGTCCCGATAGGACACGGGGCAAAAAGGGTTTTTCCTCTAGGGACCGCTAGTGCCAATTTGGAGGGCATTGCAGGAGCCGACAAGAGCTAAGGAGTTAATCCTTAGCTCTAACCCTAGTCTGGCGACGTGAAGCACGGTGACTCAGTTCGCCTACTTCCGGGACAGCATGACCAAGCCCCATGACCGGAAGGAGCTGAGTGGTAGCCTGTGGCACTTAGGTGCACACTGGGAGCAGGGCAAGGAAAGCAAGCGAGGCGTCCAAAAGGCGGAAGAAAAGGACCTTCGGTCCTGGCCGGGAGCCACTCTATAAATTTAACTAAGACTAAGACTAAGGCTGCTGATATTTTATTATTTTTTATTTTTATTTTAATAGTTATTTTTTCTATATAAATAAATTAAATATTTTTATTATAAAAAAGGATATTAACTACAATTACTGAAAAAATAAATAGTGTAGTGATCCTTGACAGCGGATTTTTGCTATTAGTTTCTAATGAAGGACTTGTAATTAGCAAGCCTGCCTCTTGGAAAAATATGGGAGACCCTTTAAGAATTTATGAGGAATCCAAAACAGGGATTTCAGAAACTCAATGAAATTCTTTTATAGAAGGAAGTTCAACAGATATCCAAAAATTCACAGACATTAATGGCACTGAGTACCATATGACGGTATCCAAAGTCACTCCATATGAAAATCTATCAAATATCACCCACTATCTCTGTACTTGTGTAAAGCAAAAAGAAGCTTATAAACCTATATCAGACATGAAAGACAACTTTAGAGATACTTATGATGCTATTTTTTGGGTCATAGTTGCTATTGCGATTGTTACATTTGTGATCACGCTCGTTTTGATTTATTTTGCTACTAAAAACCTTAGTAGAGATCTTAAAGAATTTGAGCTACTTTTTTTGAAAATCGTAAATAGAGGACTTTTCCCAGATATGACCAAAAAAATCAGCTTGGAAAGAATTCAAAAAGCAAGGGATTTTATGCCAACTCTGGTGGATGGGTGTGAAAAATATATAGATAATTTAAAAAATAAGGAAGAAGAATTTTCGTTTTTTGAGTGGGGAGATACAAGGCCATGTGATAGATTTTTATATGAAAATTGATGTAACAAGATTTATCCTTTTAATCTTTATAATAGCAAAGAAATGAGCTGGAGATTTATTATCCCGAAATTGGAAATTATATCAAATTCGTTTAATTTATTCAAGTAAAAAAATTAAAAATAAGACAAATAACACCTTATAAAACTGTCATTATTACATGATTGCTATTTTTTTTTTTCTTATTTTTAGGTTAAAAAAATGATTTTATAATTAAATTTATAGGATTTTGGTTTCTAATAGAATTTTGAGTGCCAGGAACGTTGTGTAAAATATATTATTTTCTATATAAAACATGGGATTCATGGACAGGTTCAACAAATGGACTATGCGGCAGCAGCTGCAAGTCGCATTCGTGGTCACCTCCTTTCTGCTAGTTGGCATTCTTATTTTAATTACAAGGCTGCAGCTCGATTGGCTTAAAAATCAGATGATCGATAGATCTGATACAGTCGTCATAGACTCTTTACGAGACCAAATGCGTGACCTCGGCAGAGAAAAAGCAGCTTTTATAGAGCGAGAATTAGAAAATACAATGAATTACGTCAAAGTTCTAAGAGATATCGATATGATTCTTCTAGGCTTCAATAGTTATACAAAGGCTCCAATTGCTTTGACTGCGACCGAAACAGGAGTATGAAATTATGATATTCCTGCATCTCAGATTGTAGATGTCAATGGGACGTCCTATACCTATGCTACTGGTGTTTTTCTATCAAAATACTCTGATGATATGAGCACTGAAGGAACAGCTCTAATGAAAGCCCAACATGCCATGGACAAAATTTTCCCTCACATATGAAGAACAGAGTACTCAGGAATTTACTTTGGATTTGAAATTGAAGAGCTCTTCCATTACTACCCAGGCTATAAAAACTCTGACCAAAGCTACACCCCACTGGTAAGAGAATGGTACTATAAAGCAGCCAATAAAACGGACGGGTCCGTTATTATAACAGAGCCATATACAGACGCTGATTCTGGTGTATGGATGATTACGTCATCTTGTGCACTTATAGTAAATAGCTCAGTCTATGGGGTAGCAGGCGCAGATTTAAGCTTGGCTTATTTGTCGACTGAAATAAATAATGTAGTTATATTAGACAGCGGCTTTATGATGCTGGTTTCTTCTGAAGGGATGATTATTTGTATGCCAGACTCTTGGTCATATTTAGGGACATCTATAAGAATTTATGACGAAACTAAGACTGGGATCAGTCTGAATACTTGGAATTCACTGATTTCAGGGTCTGATGATGAACTTCAGACTTTTTATGATATTAATGGGACTGAGTATTATACAATTGTAACTCCTGTTATACCTGAAGGGTTTACGAAAGCGTCGCATTATTTATTAACTTGTGCATATCGTACGGAGGCGAGAGAGCCAATTTCCCATATGAAAGATAAATATGATATTTTTAATAATAAAAAATAATATATAAAAAAATTGGCAGAGGAGGCAATTTTTCTAGAAAAATCAAAAAACAATCATATAAGAATAATCATTATTTTATTTATAGCAGAATACTACGTATTGGACTATTTTTTGGATTGTTATTGCTATCGCTATTATCACATTTTTAATTATCGTCGTTTTAATTTATTTCGTAACCCGAAAAGTCAGCTCCCAGCTCAAAGAAATTGAACGAGTTTTTACTAAACTGACTCATAGAGGACTTTTCCCTGACATAACTAAAGGAATTAATCTTGAAAAAATAGAAAAAGCCGAAAGCTCTATGCCGGGGCTGGTCCAAGCCTGCATACAAAAAATTGACTCAATTCAGAAAAAAGAAGAATCGTTTTATTTCTTCGAGTGGGGGTCAACCAGACCATCTGATGAGCTGATTTTTGAAGACTGGTGCAGCAAGATTTATCCGTTTAACTTGTATCATGATAAGGATATGTCGTGGAGAGCTACAATTCCGAACCTCACAAAGGTGGTGGCGAATAAACCAACTAATAAGTAAGAATATAATGATTTAATATCATGCTGGTAAAATCTGGATAAAAGTACATAAAAAATCTGAAAAAATCCTTATCAAAATTAATTATTAGAAAAATTAACTATAATCCTTATTTATCATAATTAGTTATTTTGGTTAGCTTTTTTCGATAGGGTTAGATTTATAAACTCACGAAATTGATGTAAAAGCAAGTCTCTAATCGATCCTAAGACTTTTCTAAATGACGTAGATCCTAGGTCAAATATAAACGCTATCCCTTTGTCTATGCTTTCTTGATAAGTTTCCAAGAATGGGCCTAAGCAAGAATCATATATTAGCCCAGCTCCTCCAAAAACACTCAAAAATACAAAAAGTGCAAATCTTCCGATATAAAATGCAGGGATTTTTAAAAGCAGCGATTCGAACAAGTACTCAAACAATAAAAGCAAAGACCGAACTATCCAAAACTTATGCCAGAAATCAAGTGAGCCTGTAGCTTCTGTTTCTTTATAAGCTTTCAGTGATGAGTATGCTGGATAAAAGTCAGCTGCAATAAAACTATTTGGGATTTACTATAAAAATATCATCAAGGTGTCCAACATTTTCTTAATTTTATTTATCTTATAATAAATGAGTATTTTTTTATTATTTAATATATAAAACATAATTATTTTTACCAAAAAAAATTATTTAAAAATATTATTTTAAAATGAATGATATTGAAAAAATTTGTGAAGAATTTAATTTAATACAGCATAATTAGCTTATTGATAATTTTAAGCAAATTAGAATACTTTAAAAATGTTAACAATCTCTAATGAAAAGCCTCTAATTTTAGGTATATAAAATATGGCTGAAAAGGTCCTTACTGCTTTCACTTTTAAATTGGAACAAAAAATCCTATTAAAGGGGATTTTTTATTTATTTTTTTCTCCAAAAAACATTTTTTTAAATTTAAAAGTTAAAAAATATTAATTGAATGCAATATATTTTGAATTTAATTTATATTTATAAAGAATTAAATTAAGAAATTAATCTTCCAGTGTGAAAAATGTTTAAATAATACTTTTTCCGTTAAAAATAATTTATAAAGTTTATTATTTCACTATAAAGCTTAGTATTTTTTTACTATAAAATTATTATTTTCACCTATAAAATTTTCCTATATTTTGTTCGAATTTAAAGAGGAGAAGTTAATAAGCTAGGCACATTAGGAGGTTTATTACTTTTGTCAAGTTTTGGAATAAACAAGTTCTGCTACTTTGTTGATGGTGGCGAACGAGCTTTGGTGTTTGACAGATTCAAAGGTATTAAGCCTGACGTGTTCGGAGAAGGAATTCACTTTATGGTCCCGTTTATCCAATGGCCTATCTTTTTTGAGATCCGTACAACAGCTAAAACCATCAACTCCAAGACAGGTACAAAGGATCTGCAAATGGTTAACATTGACCTCAGATTTTTGTATAGACCTGACCCAGCATATCTCCCATCAATTTACCTTAATTTGGGAAAAGATTACGATGAGCGTGTCTTACCATCTATTGGAAATGAAGTTTTAAAGTCCATTGTGGCCCAATACAGCAAGGATTTATTTTTCAAAAAAAATTTAAAAAAATATTTTTTTAATAATTTTTTAAAAAAATATAATCTACCAATACAACGCAGAACAGCTTCTTACCCAAAGAGAACAAGTTTCACACGAAATCAGAGAAAGACTTACACAAAGAGCTAACGAGTTCCATATAGTCCTTGATGATGTCGCTATCACACACTTGAACTTTGGGCCTGAATTTACAGCTGCTTGCGAGCAAAAACAAGTCGCTCAACAAGACGCTGAAAGAGCCAAATTCTTGGTCATGAAAAGAGAACAGGAAAGAAAAGCTGCAATTATAAGGGCTGAAGGAGAAGCTGACGCTGCGAGACTTGTGTGCTATTTATTTAAATTGTTATATAGTGCTTTCAGCCAGCCATGTCGGCTTTTCACGTTCCTTGCTTCGCTTCACCCTCTTGCTCGCCGGTCCGATTTTATGGCCTTAAGGCATGCGCACTCCTTCTGAACGAGAGAGCATGACTCATCACCCTGAGGTAAAGATGCTGGATCACCTACGCCAAAGGATATACCCTTTCTGAAAATTAAAAAAAGTTAATTTTCTGGTCAGGCTATCAGCTCGAATAAAACTTGTAGCCCAGGGCGCAACTTTTGGTGTCACACTGGGAAAGTGCCCGATTTGCCAAGCGAACGCACTTGCTGGACTATGCCTTTTCAACTTCCAAGTATCATCGTCCATCGAAATAAAACCTTGCCCTGGATGTGACCCTGCCACTCTCAGCCCAGCATTATGCTCCGCCAAACCAAGCAAAGCCCAGCCAGACATTCTCACCACACGATGCTCTCCTTTCTATAAATCCCAAACTCCTGTCTAGCTACAGATGTTATGAGGGCAGGTTTGTTCTCCTCACCAACATTAAGTGTACAAAGACTTGTGTCAGAAGCCATTAAGACTCACGGAAGTGGACTTTTAGAAATCAGAAGAATTGAAGCAGCGAAAAATATTGCAGGAAGCTTGTCGAAGGCACCAAATATTACATATTTGCCAGGTGGGAATGCAAATCTTCTTAATATTCCAGTTTAAGGATAATTTTAATAGGATATTTGAAATAATTACAGTTGCTATATAATGAGGGATTACAAATTTAAGAGGATTTAATTAAATTTAAAGGTATTGGTTACTATAAAAGTTTTATGGCTAACAATTTAATATCAATAAGTAGTCAATTGAAACCAGTAATAATGCCTTTTTGAGTTTCTAGCAAAATCCTATTTACTAATAAAGCAAACCTATTCTAACTCTTTTTATCTAACATTGAGAAGCTTATTTCTTTATAAAAATAATTATTGATACTTTTAATAAAGGTGTATTTTAAAAAAAGTCTCTAATTTAAATTGAAAAAGCTTTTTTTCATGAATAATATGAAAAATAGTGCTCACTATTATACGGTAGAGTAAAAAAGTCAAAAAGACACTTATTATCTGTAAAATTTATACTCAAAAACATCAAGCTTGATAATTTATTTTTTATCAGATTCTGAGCTATAAGATGAAGATCCTGATTCTGAGCCTGAATCACTTCCAGACTCTGAAGAGCCACTACTTGAAGGCCCTGATGACCCTGATGAGCTTGAAGAGCTGCTTGACTCCTTAGCTCGCTTTATCGGCAGCTTAATTTTTTCTTCTTCGCTGCTGCTACTGTCTTCAGGAACTCCTCTCCTTTTGTCTCCATCAGTAACTTTCGGTATCTTTGGAGGCTTTTCAGCAGCAATTTCAGGCTTGAGATCAGGGTTATGGAACTGCATAGACGCGCTTGGTCTAAACACATAGGTCCTTTGATTTTTGCATTCATAGCTTCAATGCCCATATTCAAGGCATCTTTGGCATTGTACAACCCCTGGAAGTGCTTGCTTCAGCTTTTTACCCATTTATTGATTTTATTTATTTTTATTAATTCTTGAATAGCTCAAATGATTTAGCGTCTAAATAAAGGTTACAGTCTCTTACGTCTAGCTTTTTTTTGCCTTTATAAAATGATCCTTTTTCAGTTAAAATTTTCCTTCCTGTTTCATAATCTCCTGGACCTGGTAATTTTGGTAATTCTAACTATAGTTTACTTTCTCCAGCGTCTCTGCCGACTTTTGAAAATATTCCGCCTTTTATTAAATTGCTGAAACTTTGCAAGTTATAGCACCCTGGACCTGGACTTAATTTTCCTTTTAGGTATCTTTCGTAGTTTTTTGCGTAGATTTTGTCAGTTTTTTGGGCGGATTTAATAGTGACCATAGAACTTGAGGAAGAGAGTTTTGGGTTATAAGAGGTTGGTGATGGCGAGTCATATCTTTCAAACATTTTATATGTATTATTAAATAGGCTAGAAAATAATTAAATAATATTTTATTTTTTAAATCTGATTTTTATGATTATTTAATTAATAGGAATATCTTTGCGCCTTGGAAAAATTTACTGATGGAGCTATAGGTTTAGGCGAATTATAAATAGGTCCTGGAGATCGGTCAAGCTGAGATTTTATAAAGGTGGATTCACGCTTGGATTTTGGAAACGTAAATTTTGTTTCGGATCGATATGTAAGTGAGGCGTTGGGAGAGTAAATATTGAAGCCTGGAGATTGAGTGCCTTGAAGTAAATGAGATAAAGGCTTGTTTATATATTGATTTGTGGGGATTTTCGAATTTGAAATGGTAACTTGTGGGGAGTTTTTATAAAGCATGGAGGTCGTTCCGATTTTGCTTGATATCTCATAGCTGCCAGGACCTATTTCTAAATTGATAAATCCTTCAGAATTGCGACGAGAGTGAGAAAGGCTTGATTTCTGAGTTGTTTCTTGCATATTTATTATTAAAAATAAACTTATTTGGAAAAAAATTTAGAATTTAATTAATTCTAACTCCCCCCCCTTTAAATTGGAACTAAAAATTTTGTTCCAATTTAAAGGGGGGTTAATTTTTTTTTTTAAAACAAATATCAATATAAAATTTTTTTATAAAATATATAAAAAATTTAAAAAAAAACAAATTTCCAAAACTTATCGAATTAGATTAATAAATTTGTTTAATAAAACGCTATTTACTCTTTATCCTTTAAAACAAAGCAAGATATAACTAAATTTTTATTATTAGTTAATACGCCACTATTAATTGGTATCAAAATTATTTACACAAAAATTATTATTTTTATTGATAAAAACAATTAAAACAAAAATTTTAGAAAATTTATCGATCAAAGTGCTAATTTTGTTTAAATAAGATGTTATTATATACTCTATTCTTTAAAATAAAGCAAGAAATAAGTAAATTTTTAAATTTTATAAAGAATTCCTATTGAATTTATATCAAAACTATTTAAATAAAAAATATCATTTTTATCAAAAAAAACAAAAATTTTTTTGAGAATTTTTAAAAAAAAAAAAAATTTTTTTTTTTAAAATTTAAATCAAGGATAATAAATTTATTTAAATAAGATGCTCTTTATATTTTATCTTTAAAAAAGAGCAAGATATAACTAAATTTTTAATTTTAATAAGAAACATTTAATTTATATTAAAACTTTTTAGATAAAAATTATATATAATTTTTTATTATAAAATTAAATTTTGTTCCAATTTAAAGGGGGGTTAATTTACCAAAAAAGTGGAAATTTTACCGATATTTTGTTCCAATTTAAAGGGGGGGGGGAGTAAATTAAATTAAATTCAAAGATTTTTATTTCATTAGAAAGAGAAAATTATTATTAAAAATTGAAATATTTTTATAACTTTATACCGATTTTTCTTTTCAGAGAAAATACTAGCGTTTTATTGTAAAATTGAATAATATTCTAATCATTTCAAATTCAAAAAATTAAGCTTTTTTTCCTATATAATTGATTATTATTTTATTATGATATTAAAAGAAATGCAATAAAATATTTGCATGACATTTTCTCATTAAATTATTAACAATTTGGATATTTTAAACTTAAATGGGTGTTATCACAAGTGCTCCAGACCCAGTTATCATTGAATTAAAGGAAATAAAATCTTCTAATTCGCCCTCTGATAACGATCAAATAAATTTCTAATTTCCTGGGTGTTAAAATTAACCCCTTTATAGCAAGATGAGAGCTTTTGCATAAAAACAGTTCTATTATTATGAATAATTATTTTAATAAATCTTTATTAAAGCTGCTAATACTAACACCCTAACACCTTAAAATTTAATTTATAAAATCTTGCTTATTCTATAGTAAGGAGAGATATACACTTGATTCACAAGATTTCAACAGAGACTTAAAATGGATCACTAAAGCAGGCGAAGCTCTTGCAAGAAATAAAAAAATCAAATCAATTGTGTTTAAGCTATTTTTGGTAGATGCAAAAAATGAAAAACTCAGCAATGCTATTGCTAGAAGCTTAATGAGAATGGAAAATGTCACGTTTTATGGTGCTGGTCTAGATTTTTTTGAGTTGCCTAAGTGAGCGTTATATTGGAAAATTGCTAAAGTTGAAAGTCTGTCAATAAAGTTTTGCTTTTCAGATAAAGCATTTGAATTATTTTGTAAAGGAATTGAAGCTAATATGTATATATTATTTTAAATTAATTTCAAAAAAATTATCAATATACTATAGATGCCCTCTTAATTGCAATGTTTTTTATATATAATAAAAATTAATATATAAAAGAGCTGAGTTTTAAATATTATGACGTAGCCCAGCTAAATCGTCTTGAAAAAGCCTTGACTATAAACAAAGCATTAAAAACCCTAAATATCTGCTTTGACCCGCGCCCCACAACTCCAGAAGAAGCCGAAAACAGTAATGAAGGAACTTCATATGCTCCTTCAACCGCACAATCAGCAATATCCCACAACTATCTTCTTTACCAAAACGAATCCATCACAACTTATTCTTTATCTGGATACCTTGAAAGTTACACCTCAGCACTTATTGTAGGACTCTCAAAAAATAACTGTATAAATAAACTGATTTTAGACAGTCTTGATCTGGACCGTGAAGCAGGACAATACTGAAATCAAATGTTTATGACAAATACCTCTATATCAGAAATCGAAATAAAGCGAGGATTCAATACCATAACTGCAATGATTATTTTCCAAACTTTAAGACGCAATAAAGGGGTTAAAGTTTTAAAGCTTCATGAGTGTTCATTTTTAGACCAAGGAAATTACTTTAATTTTTTTTAACAAACAAATAATTTATTTTTTTTTTAAAAAATATTTTTAGAAGCAGGGTATGCAATTTTTAAAAATTTATTACAGGAAAACAGCACCTTACAAAGTATTGAAATTAAAGAAATGCTGCATATTAGAACAGACCCAGTCACTCAGACAAAAAATCTTGTTCATGTAATAGAAGGATTAGCCTCTAATAGCTCTATTAAAGAAGCATGTATTGCAATACATAAAAGCGCTTTAAATTTAGACCCAGAAGTAACACAATATAAAGGCGAAGAATTACGGCAATCCTTATATCGTTTATTTTCTCAAAATTCCTCTATTAATATATAGCGCTTTCCCGAGGATGGCGCGGAATGGCGCCATCCTCGGGAAAGCCAGGAAGGCATCCACACGGGAACTGGGAGTTCCACGTGTGGATGCCATTTTGACATGTGGAAGTTTGGATCCCACATGTCAAAAATGGCATCCACACGTGGAACTCCCAGTTCCCGTGTGGATGCTTAGTTGACTTTCCCGAGGATGGCGCCATTCCGCGCCATCCTCGGGAAAGCGCTATACTAAAAATTGAGAATATCAGGCTTGGGAAAGAGGAATATAAAGCCATTGCAGAAGGCTTACTCCCCCCCATCCTTGATCGAACGATTGACTGTAAAAATTCGTAAAAATTTGGGAAATTAACCCCCATCCTTGATCGAACGATTTTCATATCATGACAATTTTTTTATATATATAAAAATATATTATTTATCAAAAGCTTGGGAAGATGTACATAATGAAGTTGTTTTCAAAAGTTTTGAGACGACAGAAAGCTGCGGAATCAACTATCCGAAGTGATTTAGTTATCAACCTACGCTTAAAAACTCAATAATCTAATAAAATAGAGATTCTTTCAAATTTTTAAAAAAAAATTTAATTTAATAAGGAACAAATTAAAAATTTTATACAGTTTAAAGGGATAACTAATAAATCAAAATATTAAAAAATTGGTATTTTATGAAATTAATTAAATTTTTTGCTGTAAAAATAATTATTAAATACTCTTAACCCTCTTATTTAAAAGTAATAAAAAAAAATATATATATATATATTTTTATTATTTTTATATAAAATTTTTTTCCCAAAAAATTTTTTTTATCCCCCATCCTTGATCGAACGATGGCGAGTCGTTCGATCAAGGATGGGGGGGGAGTTAGCAGAAAACAGAACAATAAGTATTCTTTCGCTGTCAGGGAATTTAATTGAATGGAAAGACTTAGAAATGATATTAATTAGTATCAGAAATAATGAGAATTTGGCATCACTTGATATAAGCTCTAATAAAATTTATCCTTGGAATGATTTGTGTAACCAGAGAGGGGTGGAGTTTGCGAATGAGTCGCTAAATTATATGGGAAACGTATTTAGCTTGTTAGCAAGCTCAAAGTTGAAGAATATTAAGGTTATTGCTTGGTTTTGGGAGTCAAGAAAGTATCCGGAAATAATTGCAGATGTGTTGTTCTCTGCAAAGCAAGTGATAAATTCTAATAATAGGTAATTTTCAGGAAATATATCAAATTTTTAATTATTGGTTGTAATTTAATTAATTGCCATTATTAAGTAGCTTCAACTGTATAATAAGTTTAATATCTTTTATAATGGCTTAAATTTTATTTTAGAAAGTAGAATAAGTTTTATAAATGATAAGCGGGAAAATTCTTTACTTTTTCCAATAATTCTTAAAGCTATTTTTCAGTCCGAGTAAAAACTTTTCGGTACGGTTAAAATACTGATTCATTTGCAAACAAATCCAGCAATTTCTATAATAATTTTTTTTCTCGAACCATAATAAATATGAAATTCTCTATTATAGCATTAATTCGACGTCTATTTGATTAATTTAATAGAATAATAAGCCTTAAACCTGGGAGGCTATATTGATTTTGGCTCCATGCCATTTCATCAAAACATTTTCTTAGTGCGACATTTCCTCACTCCCCATCCTTGATTGAACGATTTTTCATATATTGCAAAATTTTTATATACAATAAATCAATAGATTAGTTAATATATATTATAATTTATGAAAATTAAAAGTTTGCGTTGGCAAATTAAGATTAATATATAAATTTTCTTAATAATCTGCACGAAATTAATCACCCTAAGTGCTTTAAACGTCAACCTACCTCAAAAGCTTAATAATCTAAAAGTTTAGAATTATTATAAATTAAAAAAATAATTAATAAGTAACATAAATATTTTATAGAGTTTAAAGGGGGTAACTAACCTTAGCTCTTTTATTTAAAAAAAATAAATAAAAATAATGTTTATTTGTATATAATTGTTTTAAAAAATATTTAAACCCCTATGGGTGGTCGTTCGATCAAGGATGGGGAGTTAGTATTTTAACTGGTTTTTTCAAGCACTTGCTTTACTAGGAAAAAGTTATGACCAAAAATCGGAGGAAATGCTACACGATGAAAAAATTCCTATCAAATGACTGGCAACAATTGATTTTCCTTATTAATGCCATTTAGAAATTAATTTATCAAATTTACACCTAGGCATAATAATTTTTTAATCATATCTTAATCAATATTTTCTTCTTTCATATTATCCTCTTTACTTAAACTTGGCTTCGGAGACCCTGTTTGCTGATTTTTCACAGACTCAAAAACTTCTTCTTTACTCATGTTATGCACATTTTCAGGAATAATTTTTTCAGGCTCTCTTGCGTTTTTCTTCGGCCTAATCAAAATATCCATAATTACAATGAAAAAAATTCATTTGTTGTTATTTTTATATAATAAATAAGATAGCCGCCTGAGGATTTTTATTTGATTCTAATTAGGCATATAAAGAAAATACCCTGTTTTTGCCAAAAGCAATAAAAACGTAAGAGCAATGAGCACAGCTGATAATGAATAATAAACAGTATCTTCCTAAATAAATAATACACAGCTAGATCTTGAAATTGCATAAATCCCATAGATATTCCAAGCGATCATAAATAAAATTGTGCATATCATCAATAAAAGAGTAACTGAAATTCTTTTAAGAATAGGAAAAACTGATAGGAGTACATTGGCATAGATGATTATATATGTGTAATATGCTATATCTAATTAATTATATAAATATTTTGGCTTAATTAATATTATTTATCATAAATTTATCATATATTATATATCATTTCCCCAAGCAAAAACTCTCAAAGCTCATTGTTGGCGGACGAGCAATCATAAAATTCCGAATAATTCGTAAAAATAATAACTGCTGTAAACATACTTGCCACAAACAGGACAAATGACGGCAAAGCAGGAAACAAGTAAAATATCTCACTTTTGCTTTCAAGTTTTCGCTCAAAGTTCAATAAAAAGTTCATCCAATTAATTTATTATTTAAGAATTAACATTAATTTAAAGCTTATCAGCTTTTTCTTTAATTTCTGATTTTGCTTTACTTCGGCTTATCAAAATGCACAGCTCAAAAGCACAGACCAGCATAACACAGGCAAAAATCATGAAAAGCAGACTTTTGATATCTGTAAAAGTAAGTGTCGGGTAAATTGGCTCATCAATCATTGTCACTATAAAATTGAGCAGCCCATAAAGCATCATTAGGACAATAGGGAAAATCATATTTTTCCTGTGGAATTGGATTTTGTTATAGGAAAAATCAAACATGAGGAAAAGGAATTGCAGGATATGGACTGAAATATTATAGATCAGAGGAGGCCTTTGTTCAAGAGTGTAGCTTGGGAATACGAAACTCCAGTATGTGAAAGTGAGTGTCGCTTCTATTGGGAGGACTATTTGGTATACTAAATCTGCTTGACGGTGCTTGTTGGCGAGTTTTAGGAAGAAAAAGCTAACTCCCCCCCCCCTCCGTGAGCGAAACAAAAAATTTTTGTTCGCTCACGGAGGGGGGTTAATTTTTATTTTTAAAAAAAATTATATATAAATTTTTTAATTGTAAAATAATATTTTTTTATAAGTTGAAAATTATTTTAAAAATATTATGGGGGGAGAGTAAGGGAATTTCCCAAAAAAAAAAGAATACCATTTGATTAAAGGTAAAACACAGCTTAATTTTTCAATAATTTAATAATCAATAAACCTATTAGTAATAAATATATGCATTCAGTTAAAATATTTTATATATTTTCTTATTTAATATAATAAGCAAATTCTCTATAAATCATAATAAAAATGTACAAAGGGAAAAGAAAGTACATTGAAATTTGGCAGAAAGTTGAAATTGCTGAATTTTACATTCAACACCAAAATGAGATGAGCATGAGAGATGTTGCTGCAAAGTTTCATGTCAACTCCTTTAGCTCGATTTCCGAATGGGTGAATAAGCTTGATGAGTTGAAGAAATCAGTAAAATCTGATAAAAAATTAAAATTAGAAAGCTTCACTCAATTTCCAGAGCTAGAGAAAGAACTAGTTCATTGGTTTACTGCAATCCGTGAGCAAGGTATTCAGGTTCTCAGATCAACGATTGAGGAGAAAGCAAAAAGTTTGGCGGCAGAAATGGGATTGGCGCGATTCGGCTGTGGAGATAAATGGTGGCAAGGATTTAGGACCAGAAATAATTTATCTTTCAGAAAAATCAATGCCTCAAGCATTAAGCCAATCGAAAAAGAGGCAGAACTTGTCAGGCAATACCTAGATGATTTAGCGTCATTGCTTCCTCAATTCGTTCCATCTAACATTTACAATTTCGATGAAACGAGATTTGATTGAGATGTAAAAAGCAAGTTCACTTATGATTTCAAGGGAACTCAACGAATTCTAGGCGTTCAATCAGCTAAAATGAACCATTTTATCACTGTTATGCTTATGATTAGAGCTGATGGAGAAAAAATGCCTGCTTTGCTCATTTTTCAAGAGAAAAATGGCCAGATCCCGAACCTTGTAAGAGAAAGACTGAATATTCCAGAAAATGTCATCATAAAATCAAATAAATCTGGCTACATTTCTGACCAGATTCTTAATGACTACCTCAGAACAATATTGAGACGAGAAAACCAACTGCTGATTTATGATCAGGCTGGAAGTCATAAAACTATCATGATTTCTAATGCAATTTCAGATTTAGATGCAACCAAAATTGTGATCCCTGGAGGGTGCACAAAGTATTTGCAACCACTTGACGCACTGGTAATTGCAAATTTCAAATCAAAACAACAGATTTCAGAATCAAATTCCAAACAGAGCAGATTGAAAGAAGATCGAAAAGAACTGGAAACCTCAAAGCTCTTGATCGCCAGCAACTGATAAACATTGCTTCAAAGGCGTGAGATGCTGTAAGCCCTCAACTTGTCAGAAAATCATTTGAGTTGACGGGTTCTTATGGCGTTAATCATCCAAAGATTTTCAGCCATCAAGTTAATATGAAGAAGTTAATTATCTAATCGATTTCTTCTATTCATTTTTTTGTCTTAAATTTAAAATTGTTAAATTCAACCTTTTCACTTATGGTATTCTTTTTTTTAACCCTTTGAATAATATATCAAACAAACTTAATAATTATTTTTCAATATTATCCTCTTTATTTGTATTAAATATAGATATAATAAACTATATATAAAATTATATGTAAAAAAATTTTTTGTTCGCTCACGGAGGGTGGGTTTTTGACCAAAAAATAGGGATTTTTCTAATGGTTTTGTTCGCTCACGGAGGGGGGGGGGAGTAAGGGTTAATGTTACACCCCAGTGGGTTAGCCATTGCAAATATCTGTAAGAAACTGCATGAATTCCTATTAGGAAAAAGGCAAAGGTATATAATCCCATGAAAAGTCTGAATTGACGGTGGTGATTTGAATTGAGAGATTTCATTAGGAAATTTATTACCATTTTTATCTTCACCCATTTTATGTTGAGTGTATAAAATAGCATTTGAATCATTATTAGAGAAATTATTTTATTGAAATTTTTTGATATCAACCAGATAACTATTTTTGAAAAAATTATAAAGAAATTAATTAGACTATAATAGAAAAAATATATTATATGCTAAATTACATGTGAAAAATCTTCAGCATGTCGTTCTTGTTCAAAAAAAGGCAACAAACACTTTTTTAAAAAAATTATTCCAGCTATGACTCTTCCTCTGCTACTTTGTGATAATTTTAAATATTTATTCGATTTAATTTCAAATTCTTTTTTTCTTTGGTCAATGCTCCAATATGTGTAATACCCAAAAAGAATGCTTACAGAAAAAAGCAAAGCAAAACAAAAGACAAAAGTAAACACAATAATTTTTTTCTGGTCTTTAATTAAATTAAGAAAAGCTTCGTCCTTTAAAAAAATCCTTAAAAATGATTGCCCTAATAGCGCACATACAAAAAGTGACCCTATTAATACTCATATCATAAACAGGTAAAAATATTTGAAATTTTGCTTTCCAATACAATTATTTGTAAAATAGCAGTGTTGAGTCATAGAAAGTATACAAGTTTCACATGTTGAGCAGTGAAAAGTGCCTTCTGGCATGTAATATTCGCAAAAATAGCAATATGATTTATTAGCTTTTGCCAGGACTTTGTCGAAGGTAGGATATAGACGGCGAGGATGGCCTGGGCTTGTAAAAGCAGCTTTAAATAGGTTAAAAGTGATGTTAAATACGATAAAAGTGCCCACGAGGGTCGAAAGAGTTCCAAGCTTGGCGTTGTTGATGAAAATCAGAGGGTGGAATGAAGAAAAATAGAAATATATGAACTGAGTAGAAAATACCGTGACTAGTATCAGGTTTATGGAAGCAAAGCAAAGTCATCCTATAGTTTTCCCTGCAAAAGATCACGCAGTCTATTTCTGAAATACCTTCATTGATTTTAAAAAATTAAAATATTATGGTTTGATTATTAAAAGAAAAAATTACTTGGTGAAAATTTTAACTTAAAATATTGCTGCATACCAACTATATAAAAAATGAGTTTTATCAACAACTTGTCACGCTTTAAAGCAATTTTTTATAATAAATTAGGTAAGGCTATAAATGAATACTTTTTACTTTAAAAATAGCATATCATTTGTGTGATAATATAATCAATTCCAGAAAAAAACAATTTCAGATTACAAAAATATCTAATTTTGGAGTAGAATAATTTAATTTTCAATATTTTAGTTATCAAAACTATATTTTCAATTAAAGTTGAATAGTGGTCTATGCAACTTTAATTATTTTTCGAATCCACTTTTATCAGTAATTTGTAGCAATGAGCGGGACCTATGGAATAAATAATTAGAAAATTTATTATCTCTGCCAGATAATTTAATATTAATAAAATACATAATTAATAAAATTATATGATCCACTCAATTTTAGGCAAAGCAATTTTTTAAATATATATTGAAGTTCACGATGAGTCCAATTATTTAATCCGTCTCATTCTCTAATAGTTTTTCACTACTTATGCAATTAAATCTCATTGCTTCAAGAAGCAAATATTGATATAATTCCAAGATTTTATCAAATAATACGTTTGAACTTATATAAAATTATATAGCTAACATGAGGATAAAGTTAAGCTACAGCTTGTTCAAGCCCAACATTTTTATATAATTTTCTTCTCTACCATGATAAAAAATTATACTAACTCCCCCCCCCCCCCCCTCCGTGAGCGAACAAAAAAATTTTGTTCGCTCACGGAGGGGGGTTAATTTTTTTTTTTTTAAAAAAAATTTATATATAAATTTTATAAAAAAATATTTTTTTCGAATTTTAAAAAAAATCCTAATTTGCAAAAATTGGGAAGCAAATATTAATTTAATTTGCAAAATTTATGTTTTAAAACGCAATTTGTTTAAAATTAAACAGAATTAGCTCTAGATTTCATTATACTAATTATCACTTATATATCAAAATTTTTTTCCATTAAAATTTTTTCTATTAAAAAAATTTTTGTTCACTCACGGAGGGTGGGTTTTTGGTCAAAAAATGCCGATTTTTCTAATGGTTTTGTTCGCTCACGGAGGGGGGGGGGGGAGTAAGCTGTATTCTAAAACTAAAATTATTTCAATCATCCAGATTATAATACATTAAACAAGGCATAAAAACTTTCAAAATCTTTTCTTAAAAAAATATTTCAATTAATTTATTTAATGATATTACATAATATTTACTTTAATGCTTTGGACGCTGCTCAATCACAAAATGAGCGTATGCAGGATAAAAATTACCGGCTCGTTTGGCTTTTGAGAGATACGGGATGTCCATAAAACGAAGAATCAATATGTAATTAAAAGAAAAGAGTCAGTATCTCTTATCAATAAGAAAGCATTATGTCCTTCAGGTAACTCATAATAAGACAAATTTTTTTACCGTCAAATTTAATGGTTTTTTTGCTCCTTATTATAAGTTACTTATAGTACATAATGATATCTTATTGATATGAAACACTGGCTCTTTTCTTTTAATTGCATATTGGTTTCTTATATTGTATACAGCCCGTATCTCTCAAAAGCCAAACGAGCCAAAATTACCATTTTAGGGACAAAATGTTTAGGCTGAAAATATGTTTTAATTTTAATGGAACTTTATGCCTTGTAAATAAAGTAATCATTTTAAATTTATTTATTTAATTTTCTGTGCTTTAGCGCCTTCCTTGCCCTTACATTGAGGTTCTTTTTAATAAACGGCTTTATATTTAAATTGTTAAGGCACAGAGCTATGAAAATAAAACAGTTGTTGGTGTAGTGAGAGTTAAGTTAAGTTATTAAGTATCTTGCCATAAGCGCTCCCGCAGGCGCTGACCATCGCCCCGTCTCGGCTCCAAAATAGTATTTGAAGACGCTATTTTGGATTATGGCCTGAGCCACCTGTCCAGGGGATTAGCTCACCCTGGGCAGAGCCGCTTCTAGATAACACCCCATGGTCCCGATTAGTAAAGACCATGTGGTAAGCAAACCTGTCTTGCCCATCTGGCAGGGACAGGGAATCCTTCAGGGAGAAACAAAACACCCTGCTTCGTCAAGATTTCCATTGAAATAGTCTACTTGAGACCTCTCTCTCCGGTCCACTGTTCCATCACGAGGTGCCGCCTCGGACTCCATTTCTGTCAACGTCACCATTTATTTCTTTGGTGTAGTGAGAGGAAACCTCGTTGATGACTACATTGTTAAATTGAATATTTCCATTCTCGTTTTCAGTAGCCTCATAAGTCCCTCTTAGGATTGGTTTTCCGCTGAGGGTTTTATTAAGGACTATTGGTGGCTCGTTATGAGTGACTATAAATATTTGAAATTTTGCTTGAGATTGCAAGGCTATTATTTCTTTATCTCTATTCTCTAAGTGAAAGCTAAGCTTAAATCCTCTTTCCTTGCAAATTCTTGCTGGAAAAGTTTTATCAAGCTCGAGTCTTATTGGAAAGTCACAGTTTTCTTTGGTCATCGAAAGAGCTTGAAGCACAATTTCTTCTGGATCTGGTGGCTTGACCTCTTCTGGTTTTGAAGTTGACCCACCCATTTCAGTAAAAGTCTGATAAAGGAAGCTAACTTCATTTGCCATCCTTCAGTGGCTATTAGCCAAGTTTGACAAAATCATGCTATTTCTGTTCATCGCCTCAAGAATCATTAAATTCATGCTAGCATATGGATTCTCATGCCACAGTTGCTGCCAATGGCATTCATAATGATCGCAACCTTCGTTATTTCTATAGAGGATACACATAATATTTAAATCACCCATATTTTAAAAATTCAGTATTGTCAAAATGGACGAGCACTGAATGTAAAATTAATAATTAATAACTTATGTTATTTTACACTTACTCTCCCCCTCCCTGAGTAAACAAAATGTTTTGTTCGCTCACTAACTCCCCCCCCCCCCTCCGTGAGCGAACAAAACCATTAGAAAAATCGGCATTTTGACCAAAAACCCACCCTCCGTGAGTGAACAAAAAATTTTTTTAATAGAAAAAATTTTAATGGAAAAAAAATTTTGATATATAAGTGATAATTAGTATAATGAAATCTAGAGCTAATTCTGTTTAATTTTAAACAAATTGCGTTTTAAAACATAAATTTTGCAAATTAAATTAATATTTGCTTCCCGATTTTTGCAAATTAGGATTTTTTTAAATTTCGAAAAAAATATTTTTTATAAAATTTATATATAAATTTTTTTTAAAAAAAAAAATTAACCCCCCTCCGTGAGCGAACAAAATTTTTTTGTTCGCTCACGGAGGGGGGGGGGGGGAGTGAGGTTTTTTTTTCAAAAATTCAAAAAAATTCCAATTTTAAAAATTGAGAAGTGAAAAATTAATTTAATTTGCAAATTTATGTTTTAAAACGCAAGCCATTTAAAATTAAACAGAATTAGCAAGAGATTTCACTATATTAATTATCACACTTATATATTAAAATTTTTTTTTCATAAAAAATTTTTGTTCGCTCACAGAGGGTGGGCAAAAAATAGGGATTTTTCCAATGATTTTGTTCGCTCACGAAGGGGGGAGTTAGTTTAAATTAAAACAAAAATTATTTTTACGGTTATGATAAGCCTATGTTTCTGAAATTATTCTAGATTTGTGCTATGCATTTCTAATAAAAATTTTAGCAAAAATAATGTTTTTAATAATTCCTCTTATAAAAAAATATTGGAGTTCATAAATAAATTTTAAGCAAAATTCATATTTAAAAGAGAGTCTTATTAAATTATAAAAAGATCCTAAAATTTAGCCTTAGAGATCCTATTATTTCATACTCTTTGCTTAATAATTTGTTAATTAACATTCTGAATAATCACTGACTCAAAAGCTGGCTCTAGATTCTTAAGCAGGGATATTAATCTTAGCTAATTTATATATAACAATATTTGGAAACTCTTCATTTTTTATAATCTCAATCTCAAAGCTCTTTTTCAGCTCATTCAAAAATATTTCTTCTGAATCTGGATACCTAATTTGTTGGGCAACATAAATTTTGGTTTCTGATCTCGATAAAGAAATTAAAGTATTTATAAAAGCAATCATACTTGCATATTCTCCATAAAGTAAGCCATAAATAGTTTCAATATAAAAAAATAAATATCTCAATATCTAATTTATGAGAGAAAATAAATTTAATTTTTTGCTTATAATTAAAAATCAAACAATTTCGTATACATCAGCCCCTACTATTAAATCTCATTCTTCTAATGATTTCTCACGGATATGTTCATTTTCTCCCCAAATTAAATGCTCGATGCTCCATCTATCAGAATCGTTTAAATTTGCCTCAAAATTTCTTCTGGTTCAATTTAATAAAGCATAATTTCCATCAGTAGCTGTAACCTGGAATCCCATTATTGACAGCACAATTGATATCAAGCCAAGCCCACATCCAAGCTCTATACTTTTACCAGTTTTTATCTGTATTTCTTTACTTAAATATCTAGCTAGAACTAATCCTGCATTTCATTGAGCTCCTCCTACTCCTGAGCCTGGCTATATTATTTTTTACCTCTAACTCCCCCCCCTCCGTGAGTGAACAAAAAAATTTTGTTCACTCACGGAGGGGGGTTAATTTTTTTTTTTAAAAAAATTTTATATATAAATTTTTTAAAAAATATTTTTTTTCGAAATTTAAAAAAATCCTAATTCGCAAAAATTGGAAAGCAAATATTAATTTAATTTATAAAATTTATGTTTTAAAAAGCAATTCGTTTAAAATTAAACAGAATTAGCTCTAGATTTCATTATACTAATTATCATTTATATATCATATTTTTTTCAATAAAAATTTTTTCTATTAAAAAAATTTTTGTTCACTCACGGAGGGTGGTTTTTTGGCAAAAAATAGCGATTTTTCTAATGGTTTTGTTCACTCACGGAGGGGGGGAGTAAGCATTGTGAAATTTTGATTAAAGGACGCGAGAGATTCTCAAAGTGATACTCCATCGTCGAAATAAGCATTTCTTGATGGATTGGAGGTGTATAAAGCGCAAGCTGAGTACAGTCCATTTCTATTTTAATAAATTAATTAATAAAATTTGTCATACGAATTTACAAATGACGATTTTGTAATAATAAATGGGTTTAAAGTTTCTCAATAAAAAAAGTTGGCATACAGGCAGCTTCCAAAATATTGAAAAGGTATGGATAGCCGAGCAAGAAAACAAGGAACAACAGCGCAAGATGAGGGAACTTCAGCGAAGGCTTAAAGAAGAAAGACACTATGAAGATCTCAAAAAAATACAAGCAGAAATAGGCTTGATCCCAAAGTCTCATCTGCAAAGGCTAGATTGGATGTATGAAGGCGGGTCTATAAAAAATACAAGCAGTGAAGAATATTTATTAGGGAAAAAATTTGAAGAGCCTGACCCAGAAGCAGAAAAGCCGGAATGGAGGCCAATTCTTTGTAAAGAAAGCACAGCAAATTCGAATAATGAAGCGTTTACGAAAGTCCATGAAGATCCTATGTTTGCAATTTTACATGAAGAAAAACGTAGACGAGAAGATATTCTATACAAAATAAATTTTACTACTATAAAAAATTATTTTATTATTGATATATAAAAATTGGCTAAAAGCATCAAATTTATCCATATACAGGATATATTAAGTAACCCAATAAAAATGATGCAAATCAAAAAAGAAATCGAAGACATGAAAAAAGGAAAAAAAGAAAAGCACAAAAAACATAAAAAACATAAAAAACACCACCATAAAGATTATAAACACAGCAGTGATAGATCTGAATCTACAGAAAGCTCAAGGGCGCACAAGAAATATGGTCTCCAAGGCAAAGAAGTAGATATCGGGAAAAATCTATGCCCAGATTGGGAAATGAGAGAAAAGAAAAAGGAGCACTCAAGACATAAAGAAGAAATTATTCCGATGAGTGAAGAAGAAAGAGAAAGGAAAATTGAAGAAATGAAAAACTGTGGAGAAATGCTGAAAAAGAAAAAAGAAAAAGAATATGAAAAACTTGATGAAGGAAAAAGAAACCATAGACCGAAATTTATTGAGAAAACTGGAAGAGATGCAGTTGAAACCCTGAAGAGGAGATAAAATAATAAAACTAATATGTTTTGCTGGATTTTTGGATTAAAAGATAATAAAAAATGAAAATTCCAACTATGAAATATTTACAGTGGCACTTTGAAATTGAAAAATATATGCCTTATGTTTGTGGAACGATTTTGTTTGTCAGCGTTATAGGTGTGATATCTAAAAGAGTAAAAATAACCAAGCTAAGTCAAGTTAAGCGTGATAAGGTCGCAAGAGGATAGACAACGAGCCTGCCCTGCCTATCTGGCGCAAAACCACCTAAGCTAATAATTAGATCCCTATGTTAGACCCACCTCTTACGAATGCATCATTTGTCGCTATAAGCAAAGACTTAGTGAGAGGAAAAATTGTCTAACCCATCTGGCAGACAGGGGAAGCTTCGGGAGAAACAAAACTTCTTTCTTTGGCGGTATCCCCAAGCCCGAAGGCCTACTTTAAAAGTGACAGAGGCACTATTTTCAGCTTCATTGGAATGGTTCCTACCTTCTCTATCGGAAGTGTGTCTCTGAGCCCATCTTCTATTGACGTCGCCATTTTATTTCTTAGCCAAGCTAGGGTTTCTGAATTTTAGTTTTAGCGAACATTCTTAACTTGATCCCTATTTATTTAGTCTGCGATTTAAATGAGAACAAAATGTGCAAGAATTCAATACAGTCTATTTTAATATTATGTCTACTTTTACACGAATACAAAAATATAAATGACTTTTTCAATTTGTAAAAATAAATTAGGTCTATTTTTATATGTTATTGCTTGATGAAGTCTTCATTTTATATTTCCTTATATTTTTCATATCTTTTTTGCTGGGTAGAATTTTTGCTTTTATTGATTTCTGCTTTAAGGAGTTTTATAGTATTTTTGAAATTTAATGAGGATTCAGCTCAAAATTTCTTTAAATTTTTATTGATAATTTTGATAGGCTCCAATTGATATTTTTCGGCGAATTTGAAAGGATCTTGCTATTGAAATGGCCAGAGAGATTTAGTAACAGAGCTTTCATTTGTTGGCTTAATTTTTGTGGTTGTTTTATATTGATTCTTTTCCAGAAAAAAAATTAAATTAAATTAATTTATCATATGCATAATGTCATTAGATATATTAAATAAATTAAAATTGATTGCCAAATTATTTATTTGCTTTTAAGATTTCCCCTCTTTATTTGTTTTTGAAACTTGATATAGATAAAATGGCCGGTGATTAGCAACTTGTCCTTCCAGGTGTTCTTATGTATATCCAGTCGTGGTTTTAGGTTTGAGGAGCTGCAAAAGGGTCGGGCTAGCCTTGAAAGACATCCTAACACTTTTTACGCAGATTAGTCACCTGGATCGCGCGACAGTTTTTTTTGCATCTTTTTCCAGCAACGCCCTGGCCCAAGATTTTCTGATAGAGGCAGGATTACTTATCTGTCTAGGCTACTTGGTAGCCTGCCTTGAACGGCGTAAGAGATCTATTTTTCCTTTGGGGAAAAGAAAGAAGACAGTCTCTCCAGTTGAAAAGGATCCCGTGAAAGGGGCGAAATGGCTTAAGTTAGCAGGGCTGGCCATCATTGGCTTCAGAGCTGGAAACGAATCTGCCCAACAAAGGCCGTTTGATTCGACCGAGATTGCGCACTACCGAGAATTCAGAGGTTTCCATTTCAAGTCTGCGTATAGTCACCCCACTGCATTCGCCAAGGAACACACTGTGTCACGAAAGTGTGGGCTCTAAATACACACTTAAATCTAATCTAATCTGTTTCTGACACTTTAGAAGCATTAGAAGAAGGAATATTGAAATATCTGAAATCAGTCATTATATGGAAAGTAGTGCCCAAATCAAGCATTATATCTCTATATTTAGCTGAAATTATATCTCTAATTGTACCCTGCTTCAACATTGGGAAATTTTTTAAGCTGCAGGCCTTCTTCATTTGCATTTTCTCAACTTCCATTTTTTCCCTTCTCCTTGTCTCACTTATATGGTTTGCATATTCACTATAAATCTGGTTAAATTCTTTTTCATACGCCCTATAATCTTCTTCCCTTTCAAAATCCCTTTTTTTCTTTATGCTAAATCCTTTATTTCTTGCATAAACATAAAAATAATTAATAAATTCATTCCATTGGCCGAGCTTTTCATCAGTTTTTGCGATTTTGTCTTTAGAGATATTTTTCAATGCAGCTTTGGGTTTTGGGAAAAATTTTGGAATCATGGAAAGCCTGTTAAATGAGAGGTCAAAATTAACGTCAGTTTGATACTGTTTTTGTTCTTCTGTAGGCCTCTTCCTTAATTCGTCTATTATTGCGTTGCTTTCTGACATTGTGAACCTTAAAAGTCGGACTTCGAGAACTGGGTTTGATTTTATAGTCTCTCTCCACGCGAAACAAACGCATTGACAGCTATAAAGGTCTTCTCCTTCAAGATATGCAAGAATTAGCATGAAAATGTCTTTATTACCGAAAATTGGATGATCAAGCTGCATTCTTGCGAGGTATTTGTTGAATAGGCTGAGCATTTTTATATATTAAGAAAATATGATGGAATCGAGAAAACCGGATTTATATAGAAAAGATAAGTAATGAGAAAATAATTATTAAAACAGTAAGGAAAGGATTAATTGATTTTATTAAGTTTAAGAAATGATATTAACTAGCAGTCTTGGTTGAAAATTTCCCCCTGATATGATTTCCTCAGCATTTTTAAAATGAGTCTTTTTCTATTAATATTTTATTCGGAATATATAATTGTTTAGAAAAAATGACAAATAGGGAAAAATTCGAGCAAATATCCTAAACAAAATATGTGAAAGAGGGAATACTGTGGGGTTAAATATAAAAGATATAATAATCTTTTTTAGTATTAAGCTTATATTATAATAAACCAAATATAGTAGCTATTTCACAAGATAAAAATTTTTTGACTTAAAATTTAATTATGTTATTTAATTAATAGAAATGGCTTTTCTTTCAATTTTACATATAAACCTTCCTTTAACTCTTGGCCTGTTTTCTGCTACATATTTTCTGCAGGCGTAGTTTATCTTTTTACCCCAATTCCTCAGCTGCTTTTTCGCTTTGTATTTAGCTATTTTCTGTTGTCGTAGCTCAAGTGGTATTTTTGGCATTCTTCATTGGTTTTCTCGCTTTTTAAGGCTTCTCTCTATGATTTTGCATTCTCCATCGCCAGGCTCTATGTTTTGCAAATTATTTTTGCAGTTAATCGGACTTTTTAAGTCTTGAAAAAATTCAGTTTCAAAAATTGATAAATCTGATAACTCCATTGGTAGAAAATCTACCCCGAGTCTTAAATAAGATACTACTACTGTGCCCCTATAAGAGTTTTCTTCTTTCATGATTGCACTGTCCAAAATTTGGCATAAAGCTTGGTTCTCGTAATCGAAATTCTCAAAAATCATTTATAAAGAAAGCTTCATTTTTACAGAAAAATCATTAGGTTAAGATGGGAAATAAAGAATTAATGAAATCGAAATCAGCTTGCCGCTAGCATTTTCTTGAAGAATGCATAATGAATAGAGAAAGAACTTATTCATTAAATCTTGCTAATTCCAGAGGTTTATATAATTTTATGTCACTTTACTTTAAAAAATGATTTTTTAGCCCTTAGACAAACATGAGGAGGGGTCAATTTAAAGCGATAAAACATGGAATGAGGTTTTGTGGCAAGACTGGCCGAAATTTACTTACTCCCCCCCTCCGTGAGTGAACAAAAAAATTTTGTTCACTCACGGAGGGGGGTTAATTTTTTTTTTTTTTAAAAAATTTATATTTAATTTTATAAAAAATATATTTTTTTCGAAATTTAAAAAAATCCTAATTCGCGAAAATTGGAAAGCAAATATTAATTTAATTTATAAAATTTATGTTTTAAAGAGCAATTCGTTTTAAAATTAAACAGAATTAGCTCTAGATTTCATTATACTAATTATCACTTATATATTAAAACTTTTTTCCATAACAAATTTTTCTATTAAAAAAATTTTTGTTCACTCACGGAGGGTGGGTTTTTTGGCAAAAAATAGCGATTTTTCTAATGGTTTTGTTCACTTAGGAGGGGGGGGGGAGTTAGTATGATTCTTTGACCTAGTTCTTTGCTAACTTAAAATACCCTTTTGCTTAAAAAACTTTCATTTTTTTCGCTTTTCAAAGTCTTTGGCACCAAAAACTATAATAAATATTTATTAATAGCTCAATTTACAAGGCAAAAATATAAGGGTATGAAATTCTTAGGAATAGAGAAATGAATCAAAGTTAAATTCAAGAACTTATAAAATCGGATATGTTGAAAATTGATTTAAAGATATTGCATAGGGATTTCAGAACGGCTTCGATAAATCTCTTTATGTTACTAAGATTCAATGCTATAGCTCCGCTTAGGTCAAATTATGATTCGCAAACAAAGATTATTAAAAATGATCATAATTCGTTTTTGGGATTTATTAGACTTTAATCAAGTTATCTAGTCTTATAGCTTAGCAAGCAAGACCTACTAATTTTAATACTTAAAATCTTTAAAAAATAGCCAAAATATCAAAATAAATTATTTTAAGCTTGTTAATTTTTTTCAATAGACTTGAAATTAAATTTTAACTTATTAAGCTTCTTCTTTCTGCTCTAAAGTTGCCTCAGTTATTTGAGTAGACCCGTCACTCATTTCCCAGTACTTTTTCACTTTTTTCACTGTTTTCCCTCCTTCAGTTTCAGTTCTAATCTCACAAGTCAGCTTAACAGCTCCATCAAGCCATTCTTCAACTTCTGCGACAGGCTTAAGATCTCCTTCAGGGACTTCGACATGCTCTAATTCGTCTTTATCTTTAAATCCTCCAGCTAAGACCAAGCTAATCACAGTCTTATATTCAGTATGAGGAGCAGCGCCAATACCTACCTTATTGAATCTTGGATTAAGAAGCGCATTTCTGTGAGGACGAGTTGACAGCCCATCGTCAATTAAGAAAGTGCAGACTGTTTCAAAAGCATCGACTGAGCCATAATCAAGAGCTTCAGCTATGCATTCACTCCAGCGACCAAAATATTCTGACTTCCTCTATGAATTTTTTTTTAAAAATATTTTTTTTTGAATTTATTTTTTTTTAAAAAATTAACCACTTTTATCATAAATAAAATCCCATTGAATAAATTGGCGAAGTAAGCGATCTTGAAGAGTATTCTCTTTTGAACCAATATGGCCTACAATTCCTAATGAGCCAGTGTCATTACAGTGAGCTTGAGCTGCTCTGCCAAGACCTTCTGACCAGGTTAAAGCTTGGATTGGCTCAGCTGCCCGCAAAGCTTGAATTGCCTCAAGAGCAGCATTAATACCTTCACGTGTTACAATAGGAACCGCGCCTGGGCGATGTTTGGCGTTGTTGGATTTATATTGATTTAGCGTGCTTTCTAGGCTATCTGCAAACCCATGAGGGTTTGTGCGAGCTTGGTTGACTTCGTGAAAAATTTCCTGGATAAGTTCTGCGTAGGTTGGCATGCCAAAATAATTCTAATTAATGGTGAATTTTGATGTTTGGAATTTGAATTATTAAATATAAAGTCAAGACACTTATAAAGCAAATAATCTAAATTTTGATTGATAAGGTTCAGAATATTTAAATTATTTTCACCCTTTATTAAATTAAACGGTTATTTTGACCATAAGATTAAGATTAAGATTACGCTGGGTATTTAAGGTCCCTACTACGTCCGAGGTCGCATGCCACGGTTTCCCGTGTGGTGACAGAGCGTTCACCAAGCCCGGGCCGAAACCCCCGGTTTCTCGGTAGAGGCATTGTCAAGGGCCGTCTCATACCGGCTTTGCTGACCACCTCCATTTCCAACTTGGATCGTCGCCTAAGTTTACGCCAACTCCGCTTCGTCGTCCGCCAGATCTGCCCATTGAAGGGCACCTTTTCAACTGGAGAGACCCCCGTTTTGGTGTCTAACTCGCCTCCCCTCTTTTCCGGTCATCCCGAGAAAGAACTCAACAGCTTTCGCCATTCGGGGCGAGCCACTAAAGCAGCTTAGGCAGGTAATTCACCCTGCCTCATTTCGGGCACTCACTGGGCTGAGCGCTGCTGGCAAAAAGAAGTCACGAATAACTGCCCATGGGTCTGGTCGCAAAAACAGGGGCTCTCGCGCTTAGGCCTCTCGCTTCGAGGTCCCAGACGTTGTTGGGCTAATTCCTGGCTCCAAAAACCATGCCCGGATATACATGGGTAACCACCACTGAGAGGGTGGGTCGGTCGCCATACGCCATTTTATGTATATGGTTATTTTGACCATAAGGGGTAAAAACACTAGCCGCTGCCAATCTTGATTCAAAAATGTTGCCATTTTGGATTTTCGACCTAAACTGCCTGTCTAAGGGATCAGCTCCCTAGAGCAGAGCGACCGCCTGTAGATTGCCCCGATGGTGTTGATGAGAAAGATTATTTTGTAGGTAAAAAACTGTCTAGTCCATTTGGTAGTGACAGGAAAAATTTTCTGGATAGAAGAAACCTCCTTCTTCCGCAAGGCATCCTCAAGCCTAAAGGCCTACTTCAAAAAGCGACAGAGGTCCTATTTTCAGCTTCATGAGGATGGGTCCTGCTTGCTCTGCCTCGAGTCCAATTTCCTTTCAACCTCACCATTTTATTTTTTCACTCTTTATTAGGAATATGGCCGTTTATTTTGAAAATATTTTAAACATGCTAATTGGCGAAAATCATGAATTTTGGATATGCTAACTCCCCCCATCCTTGATCGAACGATTGACTGTAAAAATTCGTAAAAATTGGGGAAATTAACCCCCATCCTTGATCGAACGATTTTCATATCATGACAATTTTTATATATATAAAAATATATTATTTATCAAAAGCTTGGGAAGATGTACATAATGAAGTTGTTTTCAGAGCTTTGAGACGACAGAAAGCTGCGGAATCAACCATTCGAAGTGATTTAGTTATCAGCATAGGCTTAAAAACTCAATAATCTAATAAAATAGAGATTCTTTCAAAATTTTAATACAGTTTAAAGGGATAACTAATAAATCAAAATATTAAAAATTGGTATTTTATGAAATTCATTAAATTTTTTTGCTGTAAAAATAATTATTAAATACTCTTAACCCTCTTATTTAAAAGTAAATAAAAAACAATATATATATATTTTTTATTTTTTTTATATAAAATTTTTTTCCCAAAAAATTTTTTTTTAACCCCCATCCTTGATCGAACGATGGCGAGTCGTTCGATCAAGGATGGGGGGGGGAGTAAAGGATATTTGGTTTTGGTAAATTTAGTTATTATATATTTATGGTTAACAAAAATTACTAGAAGATCCTGAGCTTCGTCTTGAGTGGTCTTTTCTCTCCCCAAAACGAATTTGTCCTCTTTGTGCTAGGATTGCAATCGACCTTTGGCTTTCCTCAATCGCCCTCAGCATCATATTTTGCTTTTCTCCCATTTCTCTAACCAAAGAAGCTAATGATTCATAATTCATAGACTGAGTCGAATCTATTGTACTTTCATAACTCATCCTTGACGGTGGCCTATTTTTCCCCTCATTTTGCTTACTTAGCCTATTGTGTAAATTTTTTTCTGCCCATTTTTTAGAAAAATATATTAAAAATTAATATAAAAAATGAATTTTAATTAAAATAAAATCTGCTTACTATTATCATAGAAGATCAGTTAGTAATCTGTGAAATAAAAATATCGACTTCATCTTTTAACTGAAGCCTTTGAGGTGTTGGAGGTCTTCCACTGTTAATTTTTGCCTGTGTACAGTCTGTATCATTTTTTAATGCATTTAAAATTCGATTCCTTGGGCCAATTGGTATATTAAGGTCTATTAGATCTTCTTTGGACAGCAATGGTAAATTTTCTATCGTAATTTCATTGTCATTGAATACAGAAATATATTCTTCTAAACCCAAGTTTTTTAAAAAATTATCAACGGATTTGTAGCCTTCATTAATTTCGTGAGTTTTAATGGGATTTTCAAAATAATTGTCTGAAATGTTTTCTTTTGAGCTGCTTGGCCTATTTCTTGTGCATTTACTTGAGGTTGGCTTATTTTTGGACAATACAGAATTTGCTAACTCCCCTCCGTGAGCGAACAAAAAAAATTTTGTTTGCTTATAGAGGGGTTAAATTTTTTTTTTAAATTTATGTTTTAAAATGCAAGCTGTTTAAAATTAGCTAGAATTAGCTACTGATTTCAATATAATAATTATCACTTATATATCAAAATTGTTTTTCATAAAAATAAAAAAAATTTTGTTCAGAGTGTGGATTTTTCCAACGGCTTTGTTCGCTGACGGAGCTGGAGTAAGAAAAGGTTTGTGTTAGAAATGCGAGAAACGATGCTTTCAGCTCTTTCTTTCATTTGTATAAGTTTTGCTTCATGAGGGGAAGTTGACAGCTGCCTATTTTCTAGTGGTCTCGATCTTGACCTGAGTCCGTTAAAAGACATATAAATAATGTTATGATAAAATCAAATAAAACAGAAAAAGATTTTTAAATAAGATTATTTAGCCAGCATAAAATAAAAATATATTAATTCAAAGTTCTAATATATTAAATTGCAAAAACAGATATAATCTTTTCAAGCAATTGCTAGATATCTCTAAATTTTATATTTAGATTAAAAATTTACTGTCCCACTTTAAATGCAACAAAAAATTCTGTTTCAATTTAGAGCTTTATTAATTTTTTCTTAAAACAAATTATAAAAATTAAAAAAATATAAAAAAATAGATCAATACTAATTTTAAATAAAAAATAGTTATTTTATCGTTCAAATCTTCCTATTGAAAAACAAATTTGTTCCAATTTTTTAAAGGAGATAAATACCCAAAAAAAGTAAATTTTAGATTATTTGCTCTAATTTTAATGGGGAGTTAGTAATCTTAAGGAAATTCTTTATGAAAAAATTATAGCTAAATAGCAAGAGATTTTATATTTTATTCTCACCCCCCCATCTGTGAGAGGAGAAAACCATTAGAAATTCAGTATTTTTATGTAAAAAACTGCTTATGAGATGTTTTTAACAAAATTTTTTTTCGAAAAATATTTTGATATATAAGTGATAATATTATAATGAAATCTTTAGTTGAAATTAGAAAGAATGCATTTTAAAAATTAAGTACTTCAGAATTGTTTTAAATTTCAAAAAAAAATTTACTATAAATTTATATAAAAAATCCCACTTCATGAGCACTCAATGAGAGGGAGTTAAACTTTATTAGGCTTTGCTTTAATATGAAATATAATAAAATAAATATCACAGTTTTCAAGTATCTATTAAAATCACTCAAAGACTATAAAATTGCTATTAGTTTCTTAAAAAATCAAAAGCTGAAAAATCACTGGTCGACTAAAATTAATATCACAGAGCTCAAACGCCTTCATTATTTATATTCTTTTTATATCAAAGCTAATTTTTAAGGCATCTCTATTTGTATTTATTAAGAATTAAAATATGTTGGGACGATTTTCAATGCCAATTCTCAAGAGGTTCTATGTAAAGCCTCGTGAAGTCGCACGATTAACTCAAATGAAAATGATTTGGGAAATTCCTTCCCTCATAAACTTAAAACAGCATAAAGAATTCCTTCTCGCCAACGAGCATCAGCTGCCTCCTCATATCATTGCTTTCGATCTTGGCACAATCGCCTATCTAGACTGCCCAAGGGACGAGCATTGGCCTGAAATTGTGCAGCTGCTTAAGCGACACATAAAAACATTTGATAGAAACGTCGCCAACATGCTTGGACTTATAGGGAAATCTATGGGAGACCTTGAAGAGGCTAATGAAGAATTCTGGGAAATAATGGAAACCAAGCTTGTAAAAGAAAATTTAAGCAGATATTTGACTGAAGCAGACGCTGCTAATTTAATGCTTAGTTTGTATAAGGTTGGAAGAGGAAGTGATGAGCTGTGGCAAAGATTGGAAAATGAAGTTTCCATGCATTATTTAGCTTTGAAGCCTGAACTGCTTAAAACTGCGATTTTTGCACTGGAAGTATCGAGCAAGGGAAAGAAAGAGACCATTGAGAAACTTAAAGGATACTTGGACGAGTGTGAGCAGCAACTTCAAATAACAGCTTAATATACCTAGATTTGGTATTAATTTTAGTCTGAATTGTTATAAATTGATATAAATCAAATAGATAATGAAAATTCAAATAAACTTACTTCCTAAAAACTATTATCTAATAATATTTTTATTAAATGATTTTATATGATTTTTGCAAGTGCTTATTTATTAAATAGAAAATATTATTTTTAATTTTCTAAAAATAATAAATAATTATTTTGGAAAAATTTCCAGGTTTGGCTTATTTTAAATAGAGAATTTAATAGATTTTCCTTGTGCATTATATGTATCTGCAGATAAATAAATTTATATAAAGGATGTTGTCCTTGCTTAATTAAGATAAAAACCTTGTGACCTTATAAATTTTATATCTATATCCTATAAAAATTAGAATGGCATATTTTTGATACCCTGCTTTAGATTGATTAAAAATTATTTTTCTTAAAATTTATGCCAGAAATCTTTTTTAAACAAATAATCAAACACCTTCAAGCATCAAGATTCACTTAATCATTGAATATTTTAATTAATTTATTTTTATATAAAATTTATTGATATTTTGTTCTGATGATCTTATTAAAGTTCTGATAAATAGTTTTATACAAAAATTTGCCCACAGAAGGACTTGAACCATCATACCCTACCAAATGCAGGTGCTCTACCATTGAGCTATATGGGCTATAAACCATTTTTTTTCCAAATATAAAAACACTGCATATTTCTCAAAAAATTACCAAAATTATTTTGTGCAGTTTTCTATGGCTATAACTCTTTAATTACATATAAAATCATAAAAAAGTCTTTAAACCAATTTTATCTAAACATATTTAGTCTGAAAATTATCAGGATTTGCTATTTTATTCTTGAGTAGTGATATTTCTTCTTCCAGGATTTTTTTGTTTGCTAGCTCTCTTTCAAGTTCAATTTTATAGTAATTTTCGTCTTTTGACTCAACTGTCAAAGGCTCATGATCTTCTTCTCCCTGCTTTAACCTTTGATAATGAAGTTCTGTCAGTTTGTGCTTTTTATATTCCACGTATCGCCCATAAGCAAACCCACCAAGGGCTGAGAAAATCCAAATAAGAACCCATAAAAGGACTGCAAATTCCATTATCTGTAATTATATAATTTACTTATCAGCCATTAATAAGTCCATTTTTTTTGAATTTCGGCGACAGTATTAATATATTCAAAAACAATAAGATAATTTAAATTGCTAGGATTTAAGCAGAAGTTTTGATATAATTGTGAGGCTTATAATATCTCTTTGTATAAATAAAATAAATTATTATTGGAATTGTGAATGTAAGTGATTATTTGAATGTAAAAAGTAAAAGATAGTTAAGGCTACAGAAATAGATTGAATTTAGAATTTTATGCGAAATATTGGAATCAGTTATTTAAACATAAACGCCATTTTTACTTTTAAATCATTCTGATATAACATCAAATCTTTATTAATTATAGAGGATCAAAATTATATAATATTCATATAAGAATTTTTAAAATTTAAGATAAAAGGCATAATACCAAATAATTAATTAAATATTAAAAAATTATTCTATATTCGTTTTAAATAAATTTTTTAGAAAAACAAATTTAATTTGTCTTAACTGCAAAATTTGTATTCTTTAATCTTATAAAAATCACCTATAATATTTTCCAATATCCACTATTGAATTAATAAAATTCCATATTATTTTTTACTGCTTTTTTTATTTTAATAAAACACGTTTAACTTACCCAGGCTCCATGCCAATCCTCTATACTCTTTGATTCTCAGCGATAACTTACCAAATTTTTTAAGTCACTGTTACTCAAAAATCTTAAATTTTCTAAAAAAGCCCAACCATATTTCCCATTGATATCAAAAAATAATCAAAAATCATAACTAAATTACTCACATATATTATCAAAAATCCATAAATCTTATATTTTTTCTCTCACAACCCCCTTCATTAATCTTTAAACCCCACTATCTTTCTCCCAACCTTGATTTTTCCAGATTTCTTCTAACGAATTCTGAACTGATTTCAAAGTAATAAATAAATGGAAGCTTCATATTCAAGTCAACGAAAGCAAAAATCAATTATATCTTTAACCCAAAGTGAAGAGCATACAGGGAGCACCCAGGCTTCTCACCCTTCCCTCCTAATTCAAAAAAGCTCAAACTATGTCGGACTTTCTGCAACTCCTGGCAGGATTTCTAAATTTCAGTCCTTCAATACCGATCCACTGTACAGGTTCCCAACGTCTTCAGCCTCAAAAGACGACGCCACCGTCATTTTAGACAGAAATGAATTTATTTCAGCAGACCTCGTCAACCTAAAGGCTACTTTAATTTTCCTTCATGAAAAAAGCCCATTTAGGCGAGGAAACGCCAAAGACGTCGTCAATCCTTTGGACACCTCCCAAAGCTCAGTACACGGCGTCCCTAAAAACTCTATTAACCTAGGCAGCACCTATTCACAAGCCCTTATGAGTCGAGCTTCGTTACAAAGTGACGTTGAGCCTTTTAATTTGGCTGAAGAAATGGCTAAAGACCAAGACACATTTTCGATGGAATCTTCTTTTCGGTCCTCAGTCGCTATGAGTGACATCCCAGACAAGCCTGATATTTCTATAAATTCTAAAAATCTTATACTACAAATACAAAGAGATTTTCAATGCAAGCAAGAAGACGAACTACACTTGCACTCGATCACACCTGCAAGCTCACTCGCAAATTCTGATGAAAGCGGGGAACTAACCCCGATCAGCTTAAGAAGCAGTAGGCCTATTTTTGATACAAAAAGCAGCATTTCGTCTAATAATCAAGATGAATTTTTATATTAAAGTATAGAGATTAGCAGCTTTATCAGGAATTATAATAAAATGTGGATGATTTACTTCCCCATCCTTGATTGAACCGATTGCCATAGTTCGATCAAGATAAGTTTTTTAAAAAAAAAAGCTGGAAAATAAATCTTTAAATAAAATTTTGCACTAGCCACAAGATATAGAGTATATAATATATTAGCATCGAGTATTAGAATTGCGAAAGAGACTCTAAAATTCATGACTATCAAGTTAATTAGATTTGAGACGGTTCAGAATGGTTTTTTATTTTTTACTATGTAAATTTCTCAATATATCGTAGGTAATTTTTCAATTTTGAATGGCATCAGTTAATTAAAGTTGGAAAGTTAGGGAAATAGGGATATTTAATTCCACAAACTTAGAATTAAGCATGATTGAATGGGAAGAGAAAAGAAAAAGCCGAAATAAAACAATTAATGAAGAAGAAGAAATTGCCAGCTCAGATGAAGCTTATATTACAGATTTTAAAACTGAAGCTAGCTGCATTGCTGAGCTGGTCCCTGAGCAGGAAGATGAAAACAGCATGTTTCTATTTAAAAGTATTGAAGCTTTAAAAAAAGCAAAACTCGCAAGATTTTCAGTCGCCGAAAGCGAAATAAGCTCACCGCCTGAAGATGAAGGGTCGATCAGAATAAGTGCTGCTAATCGGCTATTTTTAAACGGCCAAACTGCAAGTAAAGCCAAAATGGGGACAGTTTATGATTCTCCACTACAATTCAGACAGCTGCAGCCTAAAATTTTGACTGACTCTATGTCATTTGCTATGAGCACTTTTCCGGAATCTCAACGAACAGTTATTAATGCCCCTGATATGAATTCGCCACTTATAAGAAAGCTAGTTATATGTGAAGAAAACCCTAATACCACCACAGAAATAAAAAATAATAAAGAAATACTCCTGTTTTCTTAAATAAACAATAATTAATTTTTTTTTAAAATAAATAAATATGCAGTTAATTTCGATTAATTCCTGTCACAATCCAATTTTCTTTTGCTGCTTGTGGATATAATACAGTCCCTATATTAGAATTTTCGAAATCTGAAGGAAAAAGCAAAGGTGTTATTTTATATGACGATAATAAGCAGCTTTTAAACAGTATTTTTCCGACAAAAATATTAAGAGAGCTAAGCCATAACCCTGTAAAATTGGTGTCCTGTGGCTTTGAACATTGTGCAGCTGTCACAAGTGATGGAAAAGTTCTAACTTGGGGCTATGGCTCTTCAGGATGCCTAGGGCATGGAGATACAAATACTTATGTGACGCCTACACTGATTAATTCATTATTCCAAGAAATCATTGTCTATCTTGAATGTGGTGGCTATCACAATGCAGCTATCACAGAAGATGGCGATGTTTGGGTATGGGGAAGGAAATTTATAAAATTTTTAGCCTTATTTAATTAAAATTCATATAAAAAAATGTAAAAAATATGGGGAAGAAATGATGTCCATCAGCTAGGCATAAATTTCTCAAAAACACCCAAAGATGAGATCGGGCATGTCGCTTTGCGGCCTATTAAGTTAAAATCCCTCAACGAATTCTGTATAAAAGGAATCGCTTGTGGAGAAGCCCACACCCTTGCATTAGACTCTGACGGAGTCATCCACATTTTCGGCTGGGCTGAAGACGGACAATTAGGAATTTCCCCTTCAGAGCTTAAAGATGGCATGATGACTACAGAAATTAAAGAAATCCAATCAATTAAACAAAAAATCACAAAAGTCTCAGCCGGGTCTATTTTTTCTGCTTGTTTAACTGAGTCTGGAGAAGTTTATGTATGGGGAAATGGAGAACAAGGACAGCTGGGGCTTGGGAATAATATAAAAAGAGCTGATTTCCCTAGTGTCGTTGCTTCTTTGAAAAATGAAAATGCTATTGATTTAGTCTGTGGGGAAAGTCATGTTATATGTGCCACACAAAGTGGAAAAATTTATGGATGGGGACAAGGCATTGTTGGAGATTTTGGGAATGATAAATCGTTTCCAAGAGGGTCTGATATTATTTGCTCAGTTCCAAGGCTGCTGAGTGGAGTGGATATTGCGCATAGGTATATAATGAAGAAAAAGGTAAACACAATAGATGATTTGGCTGCGCAATTGACTGCAAAACTTTTGAAACTCCAACAGTCTTAGTGTAAGTAATATTTTTTAAATTATCAATTTTTTATTTCTGAAATATAAAAGAGACTATATAGAAATGCAATGCTACAAAATTGCTTATAAAAAGTAAAAATAAATAAAAAAAGTGATATGAGGATTCAAAAATAAATTATTTGCACCTATTTTATGATAAATGCAATAAAAATTACAATTCTGATGATTTTTTAAAATATATGATAGAAGAAGCTACAGAGTAATAAAATAAATATTGCTTTCTCTAGTAATAAAATATTTAAGTCCTAAATTACGCATCTTTATGCTGATTGGAAATTAATAGTGATGACATATTAAATTTTGCTCTTGTTTATTTAATACAAAAGTCCTAATCTATTTGATATATCCTAGGAATGATTTAGCTTGTTCTGAGAGTTTCTTGACCTCTGAAATTAGTAATGAATAAATGGCGGTATTTCTTTTAATAAGAAATACTCCTAAATAGATCTAAACACGCTCCTATAGTATAAAAGAATTACTTTATTTTACATTCCCTTTATTTCTTTATAATTTTAATCTCTATGCCACAATTTCTGTTTTATGATCTATTTAATGCTTGCAATTCATAATAAATGTTTGAAGGCTTAATTGAAAAGATCCTCCTAGCTAAGCTTGGCAAATTCATTGCAGATCTCGACAAAGACAGTCTAAAAGTTGCCTTATGAAGTGGCGATATAACCTTACTGCCCATTCTGTGAATCTTTACTTGCTAAAAGTTAGTTTTATATTAAATTTTTCAAAAAAAAATTCCCAATTTTAATTATAAATTTATGTTTAGAATGCGGACTGTTTAATAAAAACTGGAGATTTAGTTATAAGAAACGCTATTTGCATGCTAAAATTATTATTTGATTCATTTTTTTCGCTTATGGATGGTAAATTCAGAAAAAATAGGATTTTCCAATGGTTTCTCTAATGGAGAGGGGCGTTAGAAAATGTTTACCTTAAACCTGATGCACTTTTAATGCTGCAGCTCCCTATTATCTTAAAATACGGACGTATTACCAGACTTATTGTCAAAGTCCCTTGAGCCCACTTATCAAGTTCTCCTGTCGAAATACTCCTTGAAGGTTTATACGCAGTTGCTTTACCTCAAGAAAGAGAAGAATGGGACTACAGCGAAGAAGGAGAAATTATCAAGCGCAAAGAAAACATTGAAATGTATGAGCAGAAACGTAAACAGCTTCAAGAACAAAAACTTTTGTCAGCTGCTGAGGAGCTTAAACAGAAATCTTTTATTGAGAAATTAACCGCAAAAATCGTAGATAATCTGAAATTTACTATAAAAGACATCCATTTAAGATTTGAGTATTCTGTAGATAAAAACATTTATTTTTTTTTCTATAAATTTATAATTATTTTTTTAGAAAATTCACTTTTGCCAAGTATTCAATGGAAGGCAGAACTTTTTCAGCTGGAGTTACTCTAGAAAAAATTGAATGCTATACCACAAACCAAAACTGGACATCAGAATTCACCGACCGCCACCAGACCAACAACGCTGGAGCTGCTATATTTAAGCTGTTTAAAATTGTAAGCTTAGCGGTATATTGAAAAAGTGAAGATGAAGAAGTTTTAAGCAAAATTACAGAAGAAAGCGCAATTATTTCAGCTTTAAATAGGCAGATTTATACTTTTAGCGAAGAGCAGCATTTAATTGCACCAAGTAAGGGATTATGTAGTCAATGCTGAAGCGAAGATTATTCATAATAACGATCTGACCAATTTTCAGAGGCCTAGATATAGCCTGAGCTGCCTTTTGGCTCGGGCTATCCTGAATTCTTATGACGTCATCTGGGGAATTGGTTTTACTAATATTGTTGGCAAAGCCAGTTCCCAAGATGATAAATCTTTAATAAGAAGTTGACTTGTCAACTGGAGAGTTGGGAAATGTAGGATAACCCGAGCCAAAAGGAGGCTGGGGATATATAGCATCAATTTAATTATGCCAGAAATTACAACACATTATCATCAGAGACAATTCCATGATAGCGTGAAACTTTTTGAGTTCTTTACTGAGCATAATAAATTTCTGCTGAAAATGTAAATTATATTTACTCCTGCATTTAACAATGAACAAACTGTAGTTTTTAGGGTTCTACAGCGATAAGTTTCGCTATAAATATTTTTTTTAATTTTTATATGTTTACTATTAGAGTATTTTTTTAATGACAATCACAATATATGGCAGTTAGGGTAGGACAGCCAAGCTCAGTGAGAAAAGTCCATGACTTCTTGAGAGTTCTGGCTTCAAGAGAAATGATCCACATTGAGGCTTTTGTAGGTAGAGGTCCAAACGGACTTGGGGACATGGGCAGTTTTAACGGTTAGGCCGGTATTACCTACTGTTATCCAGAGCTGTCAATCTATGCTAATACTCAAGACTCAGGACTTTAAGAAGAGAATTATTATTAATATTAAATGATAATTGAAATGGTTTAACTTTTCCTAGGAACACCCGATTAGGATACTTATTTTATATACTTTAGCACTTATAGCCTGAATTTTATGCACTTTTTATTTTCTTTATTCTTTTAGCTAGAACTATAATAAATTTTATAATTAAAAATTATAATAATTTAATCGTTAAATTAAGATATTTTTAAATTGAGTTAGAGAAAACAAAAAGAAATTTCGATCACTTTCACCTATAGAAAGAAACCCAAGAAATTTATGGAAATTTGCAATAAGCTGTATTATAAAAACAATAAAGCAAAGGAAAAATAGGGCTATTGACTATTTTAAGACCCCAATAAGCATAAAAAGCTTTTATGAAGAGCAGTTTAAAATGCTACATAGAAAGCTTAAGAAAAAAGGGTCATTGCCTATAGAAAAGCAAGAGCTATATAACAAGATTATATACGTCAACAAATTTGAAGACATTTTGGAATGGACTTTGCATGTTTTATCAGTTATTGAGCGAGAATCTATACATTTTACCCACAAATATCATCTTTTAATTGCATAAATAATGAGTGCACCATTTATATTAAAAAATATAAAATTCAAGAGGAAAAACCTAAAAAGAAAGGCGGCTGATTTGGATTTTTAGGCAAAGGTAAAGACGCATCCCCAAAAGAAGACGAAGAAGAAACCTACGCCGAAATCTTTGCAAACCTCGGAGAAGTTGACGAAGCAGCCCCAGAGCTCGCCCCTAAAGACTACATCTGGCTCTTCATTGATTTCCAGCTGCTTAAAGGCACTTTTGAGCTCAGCAAAACCCGCAACACTCTTCTAGGCGAAATTAAAGAAACCCTAGAATTCACCTATGACAATTTCCACTTTAACAGCGCAATGAGAATGAATGGAGGGACCATTTCTTCAGAAATCAGCAATCTTTCCTTAATTTCTTATGATGGAGACGCCCACTTCATGATTTGTCAAAAATTGCAGCCTAATGACTTACCATTTTTACAGATCCAGACTGAGATTAAGCCACTTGATGAGGACGTTTCTGCAAGAGTGAATTTTTTGTCACAGCCACTGGAGGTAAATTATAATCCTCAAGCAGTTTCTAAAATTATTTCTTTTTTTGTGGTCCCAGATGTCCAGCAGTCTGCCAAAACGGCAGCCTGGGATACATTGCAAGGCTTACAGGACTCAACTCAAGAGACACTGACTGACCTTTTGTATGGGGAGGCAAAATATAGGGTAAATATTCAAGCGTCAGGGCCGAGGGTTAGAATTCCGTCACCTACAGGCCAAGGGTCGTTTTTGGTGAGTTTAGGAGATGTGTGTTTAACAAATGACCCGAAAATTCAAAATGATAACTATGAAGAGTTTAATTTGTCGGTGTCTTCTATAGAGCTGCAGTTTAAAACGCCAGATCAGACGTCAATTGATGTCATTTCAAAGTGCGAAATTTATACGTCGCTAAGCTTACTTAAAACGAAATACAAAAAACGAAAAGAATATGGCTTATTCCAAGAAGACATGCCAGACGTAAAGCTTTCAGGGGAACTGCCCAATTTGCGGGTGTTTTTGTCGCCTTCTATATATCATCAGCTATTAAGAATAGGAGACAGCTTTAAGCTTGAAGGAAGCCAAGCCTCTTCAATTACCCTGGAAAAAGAACAAATCATGAACTCCGCTGTTTATTCCTCTTTTTTGCAAAAGCAAGGCAGAAATGTCCAAAGCTGGCACAAGTTTTTTGGGATTTTGTCAGGAGGGTATATTTATTTTTTTAGAAATGAAAATGATTTAATTGCAGACTCCTATTTCTATATAAAAGATAGTAATATTCTTATGATGAAAGATCCGCCAAACTCGCTTAAGCTGCAAAACAGATATGGAGAATGTTTTATTTCTTTTAATTCCTTAGAAGTTCTTACTAAGTGGAGAGAAGCCTTGAATCAGCAGATTTTAGAAATCATGTCATATAGAAGTGCTTCAATTATGACTGATAATAGAAAATCGAACTATGTGTATGCGAATTTTCAATTAGCGATACCTACAATTTCTTTGAAACTTACTAATGAAGAATATGTAGTACTATCTGAGCTGAAACTAAATACATTAAAATGGCGACACATGCCAACTTGCCCTCTTGGCGTAGCAGACCTTATGGCTACTGCGAACTGGGAGGGACTCTGAATCGAGAATCAAGTGCAAGCTCAGAGGTGTTTATTCAGGTAGGTTTCGGCTATTTTTCTGTGGTTGGAAATGGAGGTGCTCAGCAATGCCCTGGATCTGATGGCTCATGGGCTTTCCTCTACCGAGAAACTGGGAGTTTCGGTCCAGGCTACAGAGAACAGTCTTTTTCCTATAGCTGCCGAAGAAAGGCACTTCTACACCCGATAGACTCCAAGTATCCTAGGAATCAAGCTACTCCAATCGCCCGTAGCAGGGCCGCAGAAATCCATAAGCCGCCCACTTGAGATTGAAGCCGAAAGGCATAGAGGAGACAGAAGATATCGGAAGGGCACTCGCAAGAGGGATAGACCCTCTGGGCTGGAGTCGAAAAGCTGTACGTGAACATATTTGGTGACTGCGTCACCGATATGGCTAGAGCCTGTCTTTAACAATCCTAATCCTAACCTGAGCTGAAACTACAAGAAATTGTGTTAGGTACTTCTTTAAGACCATATGATTTAAGTTTGAATATGAAGCTGCAGTCGATGGAAATTGTAGACTTGCAAAGGCATAAAGGTTCAAGCCACATGACAATTCTGTGTAGAAGCCTAGATGATGAAAATGGGCTCATTGATATGAATTTGCTAGTCTTAGGGAATAATTCGCCTTTATTTCGAGACCAAGACATTGAAATTATATTAAAATTAGGCAGTGTAGAGCTGAACTGGAATCCTGATATTTTAGGCAGCATGATCAACTTCTTTGAGTTCGCTGAATATTCAGACCCATCAGCAGTTCTAGAAGATACCCAAGAAATCCTAAAGCCAGACCATGTGCTTGCAAATCTACGTATTGAAGTAAAAAGCATTGACTTGTATCTTAACGTAGTCGAAAGATCATTAAGTATCGCTTTGGCGTCAGCTGTAGATTTTCATATATTTTTTAATGCAAATTTGCTATAATTTTGATAAAAATTAAATATTCCTTGACCAATCATTTATATATACAAATGTCCTTATTCGAAATGGAGGCTATGAATGGAACGGTGTCCTTGGCAACCTCGAAATTAGTGACCTAACTAACTACCCACAAACCGCCGTATACCAACAAATAAAGCCATTCCGGCTATTTTCTGTCAGAGAGCACTCAGAAAGTTTGGTAAGGTTCGACATTTTTATCTTCAAAGATAACCACCCACTAAAGCCTAAAAACATCGGAAGCAGGGTCAACGTCGAGCTGAGCTCAATAAGTATGATTTATCTGCATCAGCCCGTCATGAGAATTGTAGACTATTTTAATATGAAAATACTAGGACTTTTTGACGTCGGCGCTCGTGTAGAAGACGCAAATGACTGGTCGCCAATATACAAGCTCTCCACATTATTAAAATCCCCTACGATAGAAAAACTAAAAGGCCTTATAAGCGGGGTTGTCAGCTTTTCCCAAATTACTGTAAAAATAAAAAACCCTATGATAACCCTTACACCTAGGCCTAATTATCCAGAATTTTTTGTAGCTGATTTAGGGACTATCACAATTTCTAACAGACAAAAAGAGACGACAAGCAGAGGAGGCAAAATTTGGCTTGATATTTATGATATAAAAATGAAGGATATTAATATTCATTCTCCTACACAAATTGTAGCTGAAAATTTTGACTTAAAATTTGAGGTTGAAAGGCCTGTATTGACGCTAGAACAGATGGCGGGGACTGATATAGACCAAAGTTATATAATGAATGGGGACTGTAGAAGAATTAAGCTGACTTTGGCACAAAGTGACTATTGCCTTATATTAAAACTATTTGATTTGAATTTAGCTTATGATGATCAGCTAGATGAGTATATAAACCCAGATAATACCTGCCTTATAGCAGCTAATGAAGTTGACCATGGAGGAGTTTTTATTTTTCTAAATTTAAATATTGAAGTCATTTCGGTGCTTTTTAACAGCCAAGATGATGAAGAATTCGTGGAACTTTTTTCTGCTAAACAAGGTCAGAAAAATCTGAAGGCTAAATGAGTGGAGCGGCATTTATTTTCAGCGCCACCTAGTTAAATTTATTTTTCTATAAAAGCTATTGTAAATATTTTTTATTTCAAATGAAAAAAATTTAGTCTTCACTGTTTTTTTTTTGCCAGTACCTAAACAAGTATTAAAACTATGGAAATTCAATGATTATGCAATGGACGTGAAATTTGATAGCCAATATTTGCTAGGGCTTATAAGTGAGCTTAAAGTTAGGCCTGAGGAAGCCACAGATTGGGAAAGCGCCCAAGCTATTTTTAGTATCCCTATTGAAGGGATTTTGCAAGTTCTTGAATATGAAGATGACGACACCAGGCTTTCTCATGTGCTATTTGGACCTTTAGGAAGCCCTGAAGAGTATGGGGAATCCTCAATATTTAGCTTTGACTTAAAATGCAACTTTGATGGCTGCAAAGATATGATTATTAATATAAACCAAGTCAGGATTAATTTTCATTTAGCTGCTTTTGAGCAGATTCAGCATTTTGTGTACTATGGCTTACCTGATTATTCAAAAGAAGAAGACACCCCATTTGACTATATCAATAAATATAGGGAAACATTAATAAAACAATGATAAATTACAATAATTTTTTTTCTTAGAAAAGTGACTGTGTTTTTTACTTGGAAAAATCCTAAATATAGACCAGGCAAATTACAGTAATTTTTTGCTATAAAATAATGTGAGTTTCCATAGTAGCCCTAAAATATAGACCCTCAAAACATATGATTGGGAAAGAACTAAGCACTGAATATTTTGGGCCAAGAATAAACGTGAATATCCTCATAAAAGAGCCTATTATGCTCCTCCCATCATTTTTATCTAGCCGAGTCTTGGTAGCTCAGTCTGATATTTCTTTTCAATATATAAGGGAAAAAGAAGAAATCGCCAAAACAGGGACTGACCCTTCAAGAACCAAAATTTTTATTATCCATGAGCTTGAAATTTATAGCTGTGTGCTTGATGATCTCGCCTCACAAGCTTCTTTTAAGCGTGTCCAGAAGCGAAGAGTCCTAGAGCCAGTCCAAGTTTGCTATGAAAGTAAAGAATTCATGGTATCCGAGCATGTCCAAAACTATGAAATTTCTTATTTAATCGGAAGTTTCCAAATGACAGTGTCTCACAAAGACTTACTGCTTATGAACCAGGCCTTGAAATTCCAAAAAGAGATGCTAAATCGCGAAAAAAAGGCTACAGAAGAGCTACAGAGAAAAAAAAGTGAAGAATTTGACATAGAAATGGAAGAAGTCCCTGACGTAAATGACACAGTTTTAACTTTTTCTAACAACCGGCAGTCAATATTTAGGTCTGCCGCAACTAAAAGGAAAAGAACGTGGATTGTAGACAATGAAGACGAAGACGGAATTTCAGAAAATTCAGGGGTCAATAGCATCCTTAAGTATTCTACAATGTCAAGCCCATTCCTCGAGGAATCCAAAAATGAAGAAACGTCTTCAATAACCAGCACAAAATTTTCTATTGCAGGAATCAATATAATTATCATTAATGACGCTTCAGGCGTATACAGCCCTATTATTGACTTTAATGCCCTGGATTTCCATATCAAAATGAGCGAAAACAACACAAATTGGAATTTAGGCACCTGAATTGGCCTGAGGTCGAATTTTTATAATCCACTTTTAGACACCTGGGAGCCGTTTGTGGAGCTTTTTTATATTAGTTTAGAAGTAGTAGACTGCCCTGAAAACAACCCAAGGCAACAAGTCAGCATAACGATCGACTCAGAAAAGCCATTAGATATCAATATTTCCGAAATCATGGTAAAACACCTTACGAAAGTATTTGAGACTTGGAATAAAAGCGACCCATCTAAAGAGACCAAAGAAGTAGTGTCTCCTCTTGCCATTGCAAACTTAACGGGGTATCCTATAATGATCGAAAAAACGAGGAAAAATAAAAAAAATGAAGCCTTTGCGATGGTGATTGAGCCCTGTGCGATGCTTGATTATGAGCTTGACCCTAATGAGGTCAGAAATTTAGACCTTTCCCGGGAGCTGCTTAATGCTACTATATATAGAAATGAAGCACCTTTTGAGCCAATCACAAATATCCCTATTAACAGAGTCCAAAGCATCGACGTAAATGTCACTGACGGTGGAAATTTGATCCCTGTCATATTAGATATTGATCTTATGGGCACCCGAAAAGTCTTAAAAATAAGGTCTTCTATTGTAATATCCCCTTTTTCATAAATAACACCATTATTTTTATATAAAAAAATAACCGTTTATTTATTGTAATTTTTATAAAAAATGAGACAATATACGATATGAGGATTTTATTTAGCAGGGCTCACGATATGGACGAAAGACTATGCAAAGCAGGCGAAGAATGCCCAGTCCCTATTGATTTTACAAACCACCTAATGGGAATTATCCCTCTCCACATTAACGACCACGAATGGAAAATGAAAAAACTCGACAATATCTGTTCACAAAAAAACGGATTTTCTATAGCTATCAGGTCTTTAGATTTTAATGCAGTTTTGCACCTACAAAAAGATAAATCTAACCCCAAAAAAGTGACTATTTGTATAAAGCCGCCTTTTGTGTTTAGAAATTATATGCCGACAAACATAGGGCTTTGGCTGTTTTATGATTCTTTTAAGAGGCAAGCTTGTGAAGAGTATGTGATAGAGACCACGAAGAGTCTGCAGATTTATTCGACAGAGGCAAGCATTGAAATGCAGTGTGGGCTGGGGGTCCCAGGATTTAGGAAATCGCCGAAGACTGTTTTGTTGTCGAGACATGAAAAGCCACCTAAAAGTATTCAGCTGCTGGATGAGAGAAAAGAAGTTTTGATAGTAAATGTAATCTGGACTTAATAAAAATTTATTGGAAATAGCTATTTTAGAGCTTTTTTATATAAAAAATAGCCATTAGTATTAAGGTAATATAGGCTTATAATATAGCTTTATTATAGACTATAAATTCCAAGGCAGCCATATTTTTACTTTTTACCCTGCAACTGTACTTATTAATAGCACTCTATTACCATTGACTTTTTACTATAGAAAATCAGGAACCAGCAAAATTGTAGCTGGCCAAAAGCACCAAAGCAACATCGTCCCTCATCACGAAGTCCGAAAAATCGCTATCAGCATTGGCGCAAGCGAAAAAAAATCAAAATTCTTCAAAATCGCCACAGTCGGAGCTCAAAATATCATCGAATTTAATGGCGAAAAAAGCAGGGCAGGGATAAAGTCCAAGTATCAGTTTACCTATGAGGTCCAGCTCACTCAAGTCCTTAAAGAAGAGCTTTTATTTACCAAAACCGTCGTGATTTCTCCTCGATTTCTGCTTATAAACTCTATGGAAGAAGACTTAATTATCATGCAGTTTGGAAGCGAAAATAATGAAATGATTTTGGCAAGGCAGTCTAGAGAGCCTTACCATTGGCCAGACTCAAAATTAAATGAACTGATGTGCATTAAAATTGTTGGGCAAGCCTGGTCATCTTCAGGGGCATTTTCTGTGACGAGTATAGGCACTTTTACAGTCCAATGCAAAAGTACAAGAAATCCAGGGATTTTTAAAATGATTAGGGTCGAAATAAAACTAGTAAGCAGCACTGCATATGGTTAAGGAAATTTTCTATATATTTTTCATATAAAATTTATTTTTTTATTTTTTTTTTTATTTTGCATATGTAATATTTGACGAAGAAAACGAGAAATTTTCTTCATATAGGATAGAAAACTTATCAAATCAATTTTCTCTTAAAATTTATGCTTTTTAATAATAAATATTATTTTATTTTTTTAGGAAATAAGAAGATTTATAATGATTGTAAATAGGATACCAGAAAAAATGCAAAGACGAGTACCGCTGGATTGACATCAATACTTACTCTCCCTTTTCCTGGTCACAGCCACTTATGGCTCACGAAATTGTGGTACATTTCTACGTCGGGTCTTTATATGAATACCCTGTGCAAACAGGCTGTAAAAAGGTTTTTGCCTTTAACAAGATGCGAGACTCCTATGTAATTGACATTAAATTGACCCCAGAACTAGGCAGCATTTTATACGCATCTACCACTAATGAAGGATCCACCAAGGTATTACGAATTTCTGACAGTCCGCTGAGAAAAGAATCCACTGAGGACGAAATGGTCTTTGTGCAGTACAACATTGGGGTTTCCCGGTTCGGGATTTCTTTAATTGAGCATTACCAAGAACAGGTGCGAGAACTCCTATATTTTTCTGCCAGAGATATCGCAATATATTGCCAAAAAACCAAGCAGCAGTGGAAAAGTGAATTTATGATAAAAACGATGCAGATTGATAACCAGTACAATTTTAATGCAATTTATCCAGTTTTGTTAAACCCGTCACTGATGACTCAGGACCGAAATGTTCTAGAACTGACTGCGACACTTTATATAGACTCTCATCCGAATTGCTATAATTTTGAAGATTGTGAGCTTTTATGTATAAATTAATAAATTTGGCTTTTGATATATAAAATTATAATAGAAATTATTTATTTAGATAAGGATAATCCAAACTTTAAATATAAATTTAGAAAGCCCTATCCTTAGAAAACTTATGGAGCTTGCAGGCAGAATTTATTTCCAGCAAGGCACTGTAAATGACTCAGTTAAGCTGTATAAGGACCATTCTCATCCTAAATGGTCTATTGAAGAAAAACTTGAACAAGAAACTGGGTTTTACTTTGCAAAATTGAGGCTGTTTCCTATAAAAATATTATTGACTTTTGTACCGATAAAAGAAGAAGTTGAAGAAAACAGCGAAGACACCTTTGCCACTGTCGCAAAAGCCCTTGGGATGGGGATTACTGCAATAGAGTCAGCCCCAGTAAAACTTTATACTGTAGAAATGATCGACGTTTTTGGCACCCAATGGCAAATTTTGTCAGCTTTAGAAATTCACTATAAAACTCAGCTTGTCAGCGAACTTTTTACATTAATTGGGCATTCTGAAATACTAGGAAACCCTATTGGGCTGCTAAATAATCTTGGGACTGGCGTTTTTGACTTTTTCTATGAGCCTGCACTTGGGATTGTACAAGGGCCTATCAGTGCTGGCAAAGGGCTACTTAAAGGGACCCATTCACTAGTAAAAAATACAGTCCAAGGGACGTTTGGGACTGTTTCTCTGCTAGCCAATTCCTTGGCAAAAGGAATAACGACCGTTACTATGGATAAAGAATACCAATTGGAGCGGCAAAGAGACAAGGCCAAAAATAAGCCAAAAAATGTGGTGGATGGGATAGGCATGGGAGTTACCAGCTTTTTAATGAATATTGGAAAAGGGATCACTGGGGTAGTGGCTGAGCCTGTAAAAGGGTATAAGAAAAATAAAATCAAAGGGATGTTTATGGGAGGCTATAGAGGGGTGACTGGACTAGTCATGAAACCTGTGGCAGGAGCGCTTGATGTAGTTAGTAAAGCTGCAGAAGGGATTAAAAATACTGCACAAACTGTAGAAACACCAGCAAGTTTGAAAAGAATGAGGCATCCAAGACAGCTGAATGGGAAGAATTGCATATTGAAGCCTTATATTTACACTGAAGAAGAATTATAAGTTTTGAATAAATTTAGACTTTTAAATTATTTTTAAAATAAATAGCAGGTGCCTTTTTACTTTTATCACCTAAAAATTAATTATTCAACATATTAAGCAAAATAAGCACTCACCCCAAGTACCTGTGTGCTCATAAAAGTTCCTCTCAACGCCACAATTTCAAGTCTATTTTCATTTGGTATTACAAATGCTTCCCCCTTTGCTTTCCCATACCTTCATCTTTTTTCATTTGCTGTACAAAATTCTACCATGCTTAGTCCTTTTCCATCCACATAGCCACTTATCCCTACCAAATAGTCATTTTCTTCAATCTGCAAAGAATAGCACGTCGTTTTTTCTGACCTCGAGCTATTAGAATAATTATAGCTTGAGCTTTCGAATTTTTCATTTTTATTATATATTCTCTATTTTAAATGATTTATCTATAAGAATAATACTATTTTACCATTTAATTAGCCTCAATATAAAATTTCCAGCCCATAAATCCTTCTCCCAGCTGACGTATTAATTCCGATGATTTTCGAAGTTTTTCTTTTAATGTGAGGATGCAGCTGCAGAGCATAAAAGTCGTCTACAGTCAAAGAGAACTGTTTTTCTATTCCGTAGTATTTTGATTTTACAATTGTCGAAGGCTGGTAGTTATTTGTTGGGGCCATTTCGGATGCTGGAGATAATTCCAAAGGAATATTTTTGATTTGGATAGGCTGAACTGCTATATAGCTAAGAGTGTCTCGGATGCCTACAAGTAGCGAAAATATTGAATACCCTCTAGGTATTTTGTATTTAGCTTAATTAAGTTATAGAGAAGCTCCTGGAAGCGCCCGCAGGTATTTTTTCCACCTTGGGCTGCTTAGCAGCCTCCATCGTCTCTTTCGAGCACTCTGGAGAGTTAGTGGGTTGGGTCACTATGCTGCACACCTAACTTGAGTTGCCCTTACAGAAATTCGAAAAAACAAAATCTCTGGTCGAGTTGCCAACCAAGATAGAACTTGCAGCCTAATGCATAACTCCTGTATCGTGATTTGAAATTGCCCAATTGGCCCTTAGTGTCTTACTGAGCTTTCTCTTTCAAACTCCAAGTATCCACTTTCCTCAAGAGGAAAAACCTTGACCTGGAATCAGCTGTGTTCAGCCTAATCCGACATTGCGTTCCATCAAACCAAGAAAAACGTCGGATACACATCACCGAGCGCCATTCTTCCTTCCAAAAGGTCCCTGGTTTGCCCCAGCTGCAGATGCTAAGAGGGCAGGCTGGTTCTCTACGCCATTTTAATTTATATAATTATTTTATATTTAAAAGCCCCTAGTGCTAAAGCATTCCCGAACTCTGCGTATCTGCCTTTATTAGTATGGAAATGCAAAAAATCAATTGTTGTTTTGGCGCAGCCGTTTAGCTCAGTTAAATATTCGTCATATCCAAGAATTAGCTCAGCAGAAGTCACCCTTTCGTCATAAGCGTAGCCTATATGTGGGCCTGGACATAATAAATCGCCTGTTCTTGGGTTGATGAAATTTAGCTCAATTCCAATTATTGTGCATCCAGGAATGTGCCAGCATTTGATTTTGTTAAGCTTGTAGTCATTGTAAAACTGGTCTCTAGTAGTAGAAAGGATTTCTATATCATTATGCATTTCAAGCTCTGAAGGATTTGTGCCGATCCCTTTCTTTATGTCAATTTCTATTTTCATATTTAATTAATGTAACTTAGGTATTTCTTTTACTAAATTATGAGAAAAAATAAAATTACAGTTAATTTTTTGATTGAAAAAGACTTTTAATAATAAATTATTCTTTTGAATAGTATAAAATCCATTAAAAATGCACATAATGGGATATCACGAATCAAGAAAGTTTTAATTAAATTTTTAATTTATTTGCTCATATCAATTTCTTTAACTTCCCAATAATAAACAAATTCTTGATTATTCATGAATAGATCGGAATTTCCTTATTACTCGGGGTTTTTTAATGAAGAATACAAATTATAGGCATTTACCCCAATTTTTTCATATAAAATTTACTAATTTAAATTTTGTGCGAAAAACCTCAAGAATTATGCTTATACTGTGGGGAGTAAGATCATAAATTTGCAAATATTAGATTAGCTGTGATGGTTTACTAAAAATCTGTAAGTTCATTTACTAGCATTTCGCTCGCTCTTCGTTTCTTAAGCCATGATCGCTTCTTTATATGCCTATACAAATAAAACCCGATCACACTCATAATAATCATTCCTAGAATTCCTATCAGCAGCCAGAGTCACCATAAATTTGTATCTGTTGAGTTATCTGACGTCGAATTGTGAGGTTGTTCGTCCCATAATATTGTTTCCGTGTAATTAAAGTAATTTTCTTCTATCGCGACCATTTATATATGATAGAAAGAATCAGTCTGTGAATAACAAAATTAGCCAGCCCTCAGGCTCAGCCCAATAATCCGACCCAAACAGTTTTATTATCAACTATAGTGTCTTGCCTTAATTTTTGGAGACAAAAATATGTAGAAAATGGCTTTAATCCTAAAATTTAAGCAAGGCATTATATTATTTCAAATAATTTATCTTTTACTTAACGTTATTGTAGAATCATGAGTATTATCTATCCCAATTAATTATTTCTCGCGAATTTCTTATTCTGTAGCTAAGTTCTCTATAAATTATGGCTTCACTTGTGAAGATGAAAAATTTTAAACTTTGGAGTCAGCCTTTTTCAGATGACGAAGATGAGAAACGTCCAGACTCACCTACAGTCCTTATAACGAACGCAAATATAGCCCCAGCTATCTTAAAGCTGACTACTATATCTCTGCTAAAAATATACCGAATTTGCAATCCCAACTATTCATATGATCCTTCTGAAAATCCGACGAGGCCACTTACCAAGCCGAATGAGCCAAAATTCAATAATGGCTATGACGGATAAGGCTTTTTTTTATATTATTCTTAAAAAAAATAATATTTTCTGTAGATTTTTCACTAAAAAAATGATTTTTATACACCCAGCTATGACAATGAGCATTACAACTATATTCTCTACGTCAACCAAATTCTCACAAGTCCTGAGAACGAACAATATATCATTTTGGATTCCCTCGGTGAAGGAACTTTTGGCCAAGTCGTCAAAGTCCGCAAGCGGAACGGTGAACTTTTTGCTGCCAAAGTTATCAAAAACAAACCCGCCTATTTCATACAAGGACTTATCGAGGTCAAAATTCTGAGCAAGTTAAACAGAAACCTCGACCCTCACGACCAAAACCACATAGTCAGGATGATTGATTATTTTGTGTTTAGGAACCATTTGGTTATCATTTTTGAGCTATTATCCTTGAATATTTATGAATTAATTAAAAAAAATGATATGAGAGGGTTCAGCCTGTCCTTAATCCGGTCCTTTACCAAACAGATTTTAGAAGCTTTTTGTGTATTAGAAAAAGGTAATATTATTCACTGTGATTTAAAGCCAGAAAATGTCCTGCTAGTTAACGACAGCGTCAATGTAAAAGTGATAGATTTCGGCAGCGCCTGTTTTGAGGACGCCACAATATACACTTATATACAGTCAAGATATTATAGGTCGCCTGAAGTATTAGTAGGAGTCCCTTATGGCTCTGAAATTGATACCTGGAGCTTGGGGTGTATCTGTGCAGAACTCTTTATAGGGATTCCACTGTTCCCAGGCGCCAATGAATATGAGCAGCTATATAGGATTATTCAGCTTTTAGGGCCACTTGAGCAGTCATTTATTAATGAAGGCAAATTTCGAGATAAGCTATTTATTTTGGAAAATGGCGAATATAGGTTAAAGGCAAGGGAAGAATTCATGAAGGTACTTGGTAAATAGACTCAAGGGGTTCAGCTTCAGCCTTATCGGGTTTTCACAAACCTCTCAAGCCTGGACGACTTGTTGTATTTAGATAGAAGGATCCCGAATGAAGAAAATGATATAGAAAATAGGAAGCCTTTTGTGCATTTTTTGAAAGGGTTATTGATTTTGGATCCTACAAAAAGATGGAGCGCACACCAGGCGATCATGCATCCGTTTATAAGGGGTGGGAACTGTGAGAGCTTTATGCCGCCGTCAAGTAAATTTTATATAGAGATTCATAGAGAGTATCGAGCGCCTGTAGGTGCACTGAGAGGGTCATGCCCATCATTACTTGAAAGAATCAGAAATAGCCAAGACATGACTGAAAAGTCTGAAAACGCTTGCTATCGGCCATGTGTCGAAGAGCTCCAAGACAACTTCTTCACTGGCTTTGCCCACGGCAAGCTTGTCCAAGTTTCGTCGCCTCCTCAAAACCCTCCTATAATCGAAGCCTCCAAAATGCAGTTTCAGCCAGTCCAAAACCCCTTCGCCAATATGCCTATGAATTTTAACCCAAACCAATTTTCCCAACCTTTTAATGCTCCTCCAGGTTTTTTGCCTCTTCCTGATATAAGAGGTCCTAGGTACATGAGACCTCATAGCTACGGGCCAGGCGGGGCGTACCAAACAATACCACGGCCTTACAGTCCTAAGCTTGAGGACGGAAAAGCCAAAAATAAGAAAAAAAAATATTCAAATAAAATGAAATATGACAGTCAAAGAAGTTCGTCGTATACTGCCAAAGACCATCATAAGCCGAAAGTCAGAAAACAAGAGCCAAGACCAAGCTCTATTGAGGATGGAAAAATGAACTCTCCAAAGCATGATAAGTTCCCAACATTAACAAAGTTTGACGAAAGACAAATTCCTCCAATAAACAGCGTTTTCACTCCAAAGAACGTTGGGTTACCTGTAATCCCTGAAATTGGATACTTAGAAAAAATCAAAAAAGAAGCAAAAGATATAGGTAAAGCCAATTAAAGTAATAAAAAATAATTGAAAAATTAAAGAAAATAGGGTAGATATTATGAGGAGACAAGGGATGTATCAGCTGATTTCTAAAAGAAAAGCAAAGATATGCTTGGATTTTTTGGTAGAAGATCGGCTTATTAAAGAAACTGGAGAGATGTGGGAGAAGTTTAGGGTGTTTAAAATTGAAAAAAATAATCATGTGTTGTTTGAGTTTTTAGGGGAGTCTGAAGAGGATTGCAAAGTTTGGAATTTTAGAAAAGGAGTCATATATTTAACAGAAAATTTATTTGGGTATGCTGATATAGCCCAAGCATGGCTTTAGCTCGGGTTTCTGAGAAGTAAAAGGGGAGCTGTGATTAATTTACTGGAATCCCTATAATAAGCAAACATTTAAAACCCTCAGAAATAATGATAACCTAAGCTAAAATCGTGCTCAGGCTATGAAAGAGTTCAATGCAAATTGAAAAGAGAAAAAATCATCAATGTTTTTGTCAGCCAAAATAATGCTTATTTTTTAGAAAATAACGAAATTCACAAATTTAATTACTCCCATATAAAAAGAAAGCATAAAGGAGTCTTCAAGATGCCGAGGACACTAGTGCTAAAAATCGAAAATTTCAATGAATATTTTTCCCCAAATGAGCTCAAAAAAGTTTTTTTCTTTTTAGAAAGCTCCAATATGTATTCTATTGCGTCAGAGTTTAAAATTGGGATTATTAAGCATGGGAATATAATTCAATCATTCAGAATTTCTGAATCAATTAGAGGGATAAAAGAAATCTCAAAAGAAATTACTATAGAAGGCAGCTATAATGATTTTAAAATAGAGAAAAAACAGGCGGTTCTGCCTAAACAGGTACAAAATCCTGCACAGAAGTTTAAACCTTCGATAAAGGCAATGCAAGCGTTAGAAAACTCGGAAGCAATAACAGAAACAATTGATTTATTTTGGCACCAAGAGCTAAAAGGGAGCTTAGAAAACAAGCTGATATCAGATTGACATCTTCAGTGGAAAGCTCAAAAAATTATTAAATTTTTTTCCTTATAAAAGTAACTATAAAAAGAGCTGAAAAAGTGCATTAAATTTTTTCAAGTAAAAAACTATAAAAAGGCTATAAAGATTAAGCCACACTTACCCAATCTTCAGCCTTTAGATAGAGTATTTTTGTCTTCTCAAGAATTTTACCAAGACTATCTCTACGATTATATCAAAAATTATTTATCACTAACAGTTCAAGGCTTTTACCACACAAACCCTGATGCTTTACTGTTACTGCAAGAAGCCTTGAGAGAGCAAGAGCAGAACTTATATGGAGACGGGCTGGTAAAACCAAACCAGCCGCTGTCTACTTTAATAAAAGACTCTTTACCATTTGCAACTCAGTTCGATAATCCTTCACAGACCCATATCCATACTTTATTTTCATAGACGATATTTTTAACATAAAATCTTTTATAAAATGGAATTTATACCATTTTAAGTTAATATAAATAAAATTAAGGATTATTTTACTTGAAAGCTTATTTTTAAACTAAAATCCATTTTTTGCATCGTTTTCTATAATAAATCACTATACTTACAAATATTAATAGTTTAGCAAAATATTTAATTTAATACAGAATACCTCAGAAGAAACCAAATCTTATGCCACACGAAGCTTGCAACATAAGCTGCTTTTAAAAGCCCAGCTAAATCTACAAGGCATAAACACTTGGAGTATGAATATAATCGCCGCAAGTGAAAAACTAATGAAAGTTTACATAGCATGTGGAGCTACCATCAATATCATAAATCTCACTTATAACTATAAGAATGGAGCTACTTCCTCATTTCGAATAAACAGCCGAGAAGCTTCTATCCAGCCTACCATTATTACAAGCTTAAAAATCCTGAAATTCAATGAAGAAGAAGTTTTGTGTATTTTGACTATGGACGCTCAAGCAATTTTATATTTTATTGAAAATCCTGACAGGACACCTCTCTATTATAGCAATTTTGACCCAGCTTATGAGGACAACTCCACATGAAGCTGCACCTCATCTGGCCATATGCTGCTTTTAGGCTCAAACTCCCACACAATAAATGCAATGGACTTAGAAACAGGTGACAGTAAAAGACTAAAAATACATGACCACAATATCCCTTGTATAGATTTTTCCCCCTCAGGTAAATATTTTGCTTGTGCAAGTATTGATTCTACAGTCAGCATATCTATGCTTAATAAAAAATTAAAATGATGCAGACCATGTGGGGAATGGGGCTGGGGTGTTAAATGAGTCCCTAAAAATTCTATAGCAAATTTTAATGCTTTGCCAAGAAATAATGTACAGAGTTTACGTGGCCGATATCAGTCTCAATTGTATCCTACATCTTATATAAATCATATAAACAATATAACTGGGCATTTTAATATGTTTAATGCTGACGAATATTTCCAAGAACTCAGGAGAAGACTGTTTGGAGAGCCAGTCGATTTGTTGACTGATAGTGAAGAAGAATCAGAAGAGATGGAAGTAGAGTGCTGAGAAGAGTCACAAAATGAAGGGGAAGAACATCATGAAGAAATTGATGACTGTTTTTTGCTTTATATAGCTTGGGAAGGCTTATGAGGGCTGATATTAAGTTCATGCTGTATAATATAGGAGAGAAAACTATTAATCTGCTGAGCTATAAGGAAGGCTAACGCCTTCCTAAGGTATACAACAGGAGACACAGTCCATTTAATAGACCCTTCTATAAATCCTAAACAAAATGACTCCAATATGCACGTCGCAGCTGTCTACATCCCTGACCTCGACATCCACAATGGAAACACTCGCCTTTCTTTATTAGAATACATTCCTGAATTCTCCCTCTGTATAATCGCTAACCAAAGAGGCAGAGAACTAATGTTCCTTAAGCTTGCAAAAGACACCAAATCCCAAAACCCCGAGTCAAATTCTCAGCCTTATGTCTCATTTATCCCAGAAGCCTCCATTATGCTAGACCAGCCAATCCTCGGAATGGCAGTAGTATCAGACATAAAATCCGAAAATTCCCAAGCAAGAATTTACTGTATCACGGACCGCTCTCTGCTTTACACCATCCAAATAAACCTAAAAAATGACTCTGGGCTTGAAAAGATCATTATTTAAATGGTATAAAATTAATTAATAAATTGCTAAAAAATGGAATCACGACGACGCAGATCTATAGGGAATAAGTCACTTTTAAGCTATTTGGAAAAAGAAAAAAAGCTAGATAATGTGATAAGCAGGCTGGGAAGGGTTTCTCCAGATTCTTATGGAAATTTTAAGGTGGAACCTCCCTTTAGGAGAACGAGGACCTTGTCTAATGGTAGTAAAACACTGTTTGGAAATTTGGACACAAAAGAGCATCATTTTTATAGGCCAAGACAAGGGACTGGAAAGCTGAGGGATAAGTTTAAGCGTTTTTTTAGCAGTGAAGAAGCCCCTATTGATTTAGAAATTAAGAAAGCTCTGAAAGAGTATGGACTGGATAATGTGAGTTATGATAAAAAAACATTTGAAACGAAAAAGTTTAATGTATTCGATAAATATTTCGGGGAGAATGGGGAGAGGGAGCAAGCGTTTTTTATTGAAAATGTTAAAAAGTTGTATATTTAAAGGACGGAAAAATGAAAGAAACTCTGCATTATTATCATAAAGTATAATATTTTGCATATATTATTACATCTGAGTTATATTGAAAATTGTGAATATTTTGAAATAAAGCGTTTTTGATAATAAAATGGCAAAAAAATCGACAAAATATGGAATATAATGCGAGCGCTAGAAAGAAAATTTAATTTTAATTAAAACGATATAAAATTTTGATTAAAACAATATAAAATTTACAATAAAAATGAAATTAGACATTTTAAGCAGAACCAATTTGATTATTATTTGACTGAGGATTTAAGGTAAATAACTATTATTACCAATCAGCACTTACTTATTTTTTAAAATATTTTTTTAAATGCAGAAAATCAATTATGGCAATTTATAATTTGGAGAATATCCTAAAATTCTGAGACATAGAATTATTTTCTGTTATTGATTTAATATCCTTCATAATAATTCTCTCACTTCCCCCCCCTTTAAATTGAAACAAAATATAGATAAAATTTCCACTATTTTGGTAAATTAACCTCCTTTAAATTGGAACAAAATTTAATTTTATAAAAAAAAATTATATATAATTTTTATCTAAAAAGTTTTGATATAAGTTTAATGTTTCTTCTTAACTAAAATTTAAAATTTAGTTATATCTTGCTCTTTTTTAAAAGAAGAGAGTATAAAGAGCATCTTATTTAAATAAATTTATTATCCTTAATTGCTAAATTTTTAAAAAAAATTAATTTTTTTTAAAAATTTTTATTATTTTTGATAAAAATGATAATTTTATTTGAATAATTTTTATATAAATTCAATGCAAACTCTTTCAAAATTTCAAATTTTCCCTTATTTCTTGCTTTATTTTAAAGAATAGAGTATAAATAGCATCTATTTAAACAAAATTAACACTTTTAATCGATAAATTTTATCTCTGAAAAATTTATGTCAATTTTGTTTTATAAATAAAAATAATAATTTTTGTGTAAATAGTCTTGATACCAATTAATAGTGGCGTATTAACTAATAATAAAAATTTAGTTATATCTTGCTTTTTTTAAAGGATAAAGAGTAAATAGCATTTCATTAAACAAATTTATTAATCTAATTCGATGAATTTTTGAATTTTTTTTTTTTAAATTTTTTGTTTTAAAAAATTTTTTTCTCCCTTTAAATTGCAACAAAATTTTTTTGTTCCAATTTAAAAGGGGGGAGTAAGCTACAAAATAAACCTCAAATAGCAAAAGCTAGCCCTATATAAAATTCCCTTTAACTTCCCAAAATTTCCAACCGATATCCCATCCTTCTTGTCTTTATTTCCTCTTCCCACTCTCTTTTCATCAGAAAATCCCATTAATCCAATTTAAACATTAAATTCAAAAACCCAACCAAAATGAAATGGCCTATAATTTTTTAATTTGAACATGAGCAAGCTGCTTCTCCCGCGAGTTAATTGTTACGTAATTTGTCGAATAATTGATATACAATGAATATGGCTTTGTGTGAAAGGCGTTCATGAACGCAAGAGGTGACTTCTATATAGGAAGACCAAGCAATAATTGCGCTAGTCCACGAGCATGGGATCAGGAAATGGACTCTCATTTCACAGCTGCTGCAAGACAAATACCACCAAAATCGGACAGGCAAACAATGCCGCGAGCGTTGGCACAACCATCTTGATCCAGAAATCAATAAAAAGGCATGGTCAGAAGAAGAAGATAAAGTCCTTTTTGAGGCTCACAAGCAGCATGGAAACCGATGGGCGGATATAGCTGCCCTCTTGCCTGGCCGTACTGATAATTCAATCAAGAACCATTTTTATAGTGCTTTAAGGAGAAACCTGAAAAAATATAATAAAACAAAGCCCCATGCAGAAAGACTCACAGGATCCGTTAGAACAATTCTTAGGAATCCTAATATAGCGGAGCTTCTTTTGCAGCAAGAAGCCCCAGCAAGGCCTCCCAAAGATAAATCAAATCTCCCTGCCAAAGAAAAGAAAGTTAAAATAATCCCGAACGATTTTGTTGCGTAAATTCTATGCAGGAGAAGATCTGGCAGAATTAAAACCAAGCAAGAAGAAATGCAGTCAAATGAAACTGATGAGTCCAGTGATGAATCTGATGAAGAAACTGTGGAGAAAAAAATCGAAATTAATGTAATTCCACCTTCTTCAGAAGAAGACCCAGCAGTCAGTGAAGAAAAAGAGACTGCAAAATCTGACGGAGAGCTTTCAGATGAAGCGCCTTTTTTGCTCTATAACTTATCCAAACCATCAGAAGAACCAAAAGTCGAAAATGATCTTCAAATTCCTGCTTCTGTGATGGAACACAAACTGCCTCCTTATTTCAAAGCTTTCCTAGCATGCCCGCCTGCCAGCTCTCAGAGTGCCCCTTTTATGAACTCTACAATCTCAAATTTCATGCAGTCTCTCAGACCATCAGGACATTTCGTTCAAGGTTTTCATGGACTACTCCACAATTCAGCACAGCCGAGCCCTCAGAGGAGAGGTTTCACTCTGAATTATGGCCACTATGGGGATCTTGGAAGATATTCCTAAATAAGCAGAAATTTAAAGAATAGGATTAGATATGGAGTAATATTAACTCCTCAGTAATTATAATTAATTTTAAGCACCTTATATATATAATTTTTACAAAAAAAATCCATTTCTCGCTAACTAAAGAGGTAAGAATAATTATTCCCAGTATGAAACTTTCAGACACAGCTATAGGAATAATCAAGCTAATTATTATCATTTCAGCCTTGCTCGGATTCATATCAGGATTCTCAAATATCACCACTATTGAAGGATACACATCAATCCTCGTATGTATTTATCTCATGTAAATTTTATTTAGAATGTTTTCAGTAATAATTGTTTTGACAGAAATTAGTCCTTTTATATATGAAAATTTCATAGTCAGGATGTTTCCGTTTATGGGCCACCAACTCGGGAAAGCAATTTTTTTAGCAATTCTGTCAAGTTTTTGTTTTGGGCAAGAAATGGGGACGCTTGGAAAAACCACTGGGACTTTATTGCTGATTTCTTCTTTAGGGGCAATTGCATTGTATACAGCTGATTATGGGAGAACTCCTCAGGTAGAAATAAAGATGAATTCGCCTTATTATGGAGATGATCCTTATAATAATGAAATATAGTTTTATTATAAAATAAGAATTGATAATAGAAATCGTAAGCATAATAAATTATCATTGAAATAAATAGATATTTATTTGAATGTCTATCAAAACATAGAAATTTTTACTATAACTTTTATTATCATTTTCACTTATAATAGTTTTAATATTAAGAAAGCTACTCAGAAGTCCGAGATAATAACGCACTGAAATTCTCATAAAGGTCTCTGTTTTCCCTTCCAAATATTGTGCTAACTTCACTCAGCAGTTGTTCTCTCCCTACAAATTTATCATTAAATTGTTTTACATATGACAATAATTTTGAAAAATTTTCATATGAAAGCCTTGATTTTGATTCTGCAAAAAATCGTTTTCCATCAATAAGTCTATCACGTGGGGTTAATGAACTGAAATTTAGCAGTGGGCTTTGTGGAACGCTTGGAGTAAAATCAAGTGATGGCCTATCTTCTTGATCTTGAATTGAATTCAACAGATTTGCTTTGAATTGATCTTAACTTAACTTATTAGCAGGCTCTTGCCCTAATTTTTATGAAAATTGCTGAGGATTTCCGATACGGGAGATTCTACCGCTTGCGAATGCGCCCTCACCAGGGATGGCAGTATCTCCTCCCTGCCAGCCTTGCTTGAGACAGTTGGGTGGGAAAACAAAGGTTGTCCACACAAAAATCCCCCAAAAATATGAAATTTCTGATCGAATCTCGGCAAAAAGAGGAAACACGTAGCACAGGGCGTAACTTCTGTTTCACGCTGGTGAAGAGCCGGAATGGTCTAGGCATTGCCCTAGACATTGCTAGGCGACCCGATTCCAACTTCTGCACCACCCGGCTCTTGAAGTAAAATCCATATTTGAAAGCGGACTTAGGCTAGACCCTGATCCATCAAGAATTGCTTACCTAGCATGCTATCCATTTCTGGGATGATAAAACCTTGCGGGATATAATTAAATATGTGCTCTAAGTACGTTGGCATAGACGCCATATTTAATTATGCTTTGAATTGCTCAAGTTTTTTGTTTTCTGATGCGGCTGAGTTATATCTGGATTTTAGTTGAGCGTTTTCTATTACAAGCTCGTTAATATTTTTGTTGATATTTTCTAGCTCTTTGGTTAATTTGCTGATTTCTAGATTTAGCGTAAATGCTTCTTGCTCTTTGAGGGAGTGTTGCTCTTCTTCTCGTTCTTTTCAGGCTTCAAGAAATAAATGAAGAGCGGCATCTTTTTTGGCTGATTGTTTTTTACCTTCTGTGCTCATAATAATTTAAATTAGCTTGAGATGGAATTTTATGATTAAGTAAATGGCATCTGGAAAGTTTTAGATTTAGCATCGAAGAATTGGCTTGATTGGAATGATTATAACTGTATTAGTGAAGTTTTTTGGGATTAATTATTTATTTCTACTAAAATGCGATCTAGATTTGAAATAAAAGTTATATGCCCTTATATAAATATGCATATTATGAATATCTTAAGTAGCAGAATTAGGCTTCCGTTCATTTGGCAGGATTTAAGTCCTAGGTTTACCATTAAAATCTAATAGCAATCTAAAGCTTAAATTATTTAAAAATCTTACTCCTTCCTCAGCGGCAAAAGGGGTTGGGATTTTTCAAAACCCAAAAAACTTAATTCTCAAAAATTTAAAAAAAATAGTAATTTAATTTATATAATAAAGTATTAATTTACAAGCCGTTTTAAAATTAAATTATTTTAGATTTCATAAGAATGATTATCACTTATATATCAAAGTATTTTTTAAAAGATTTTTTTATTCTCTAATAATTTATGATTTTTCCTAAAAAATACGATTTTTTTATGATTTTATTTGAGGGGAGTTATTAATACTACTATATTTAAAAGATGATTATCTTATCCATATTTAAATTCATTTAAATTTCATATAAAATGGACACACCAAACAGAATCTTCAAATGAACCGTAATTTCTAGTCAGACAATATTACTTGACGGAGAAGTCGAAGATTTTCCATTACTTTGCAGGCTTGATTTGCCTAATCAAGACGTCATAAAAGTCGATTCCGAAAGGACAAGAATGCGGCTTATTAATAAACAAGAAAAAGATTAAGATTAAGATTAAGGTTACGCTGGGTATTTAAGGTCCCTACTACGTCCGAGGTCGCATGCCACGGTTTCCCGTGTGGTGGCAGAGCGTTCACCAAGCCCGGGCCGAAACCCCCGGTTTCTCGGTAGAGGCATTGTCAAGGGCCGTCTCATACCGGCTTTGCTGACCACCTCCATTTCCAACTTGGATCGTCGCCTAAGTTTACGCCAACTCCGCTTCGTCGTCCGCCAGATCTGCCCATTGAAGGGCACCTTTTCAACTGGAGAGACCCCCGTTTTGGTGTCTAACTCGCCTCCCCTCTTTTCCGGTCATCCCGAGAAAGAACTCAACAGCTTTCGCCATTCGGGCGAGCCACTAAAGCAGCTTAGGCAGGTAATTCACCCTGCCTCATTTCGGGCACTCACTGGGCTGAGCGCTGCTGGCAAAAAGAAGTCACGAATAACTGCCCATGGGTCTGGTCGCAAAAACAGCGGCTCTCGCGCTTAGGCCTCTCGCTTCGAGGGTCCCAGACGTTGTTGGGCTAATTCCTGGCTCCAAAAAACCATGCCCGGATATACATGGGTAACCACCACTGGGAGGGTGGGTCGGTCGCCATACGCCATTTTATGTATATAATAAACAAGAAAAAGATCTTATTGAACTTCTGTTGACATATTTTTGTAAAGAAACAAATATTAACTACAAGCAAGGCATGAATGAAGTCTTAGCCCCGTTTTTATTATTTTTCAGAGACGGACTAAGCCTAAGTAAGGTGTATCGGCTTTATCATAATTTTGTCGCAAAATTTTTGGAAAATATGTTTTCCGACGACGAATTTGTCATATTGGAGTCTTATTTTGTGTTATTTAAGCTGCTATTGAGATATTATGACCCAGAGCTTGGACTATTTTTAGATGATAATAAAATAGGGCCTGAACTTTATGCAACTCCTTGGTTTATTACTCTTTTTGCAAGTAAAATTGCAGATGTAGAAGTACTATATGAACTATGGGAGAAGTATATGAATGAGAATGATAAGCTATTTTTCCTTTTTGTCGCCCTTGCTTTGATGATAAAATCTCGAAATTCAATATTAAGATCTGACCCCTCACTTGTGTGCCAACACTTAACAGAGCTTACATTTAAAAACCTAGAAGTAATAGAATATGTGCTTGAGCTGTCGAAAAACCTTAAGAAAAATTTACCTTATTCTTTATATATTTCTTTATATAAACCAAGCAACCTTAGCATAGACGCATTTATAGCCCAGCAATATTCAAAATTTTGTTTAAAACTTAGCCCTAGGGAACTTATATTAAAATGCTACCCATTATCCTCAGCTTGCCTTTGTTCAGGTAAATGCCTTTGGTGCTCAAAATCTAAAAGTGAAAACCGTTTGTTGATTTTTGACTGTAGAAAAGCAGATGAACAAAGGTACGGAGTCATTCCAAACACGATATCTTTGAATACGCAATTCTTTTATGATATGGAAAGCTTGAGGGATTTTCCTGATAGATATTTGCCGTTTAAAGGAAAAGTCCACATTGTTCTATTAGGAAACGAAGATTTGAAATTTAAAGAATATAGAAATAAGGGTAGCCTAAAAGGAGAGGTATATGATCTAAAAAATATCGAGGAAAATACCGAAGATAAATTTATATTGAGCTTGTATATAGCATTTTCTGAAAAGAAATTCCCATATGTCAGTGTAGTTGACGGTGGATTTTATGCTTGTCATAATTTAATTGTAAAACAAGGCTTGAAACTTATAAATCATGGACCTGACACATGTATATATTGCAACCCAAAGCTCCAAGATCTCCCTAAAGAGCCTCCAAACATAATAAGCGGCCTAAAAAACGTTTTTTCCAGCGTCAAAAAATATTTTAAAAAGCTCGGTTCCGATAAGAACCCTAAAACTACTCCTGGCCCATCAACAGTTATTGTAAAAAAAAATCTAGAAAAGTGAAAAAGTGACGACAGTGTCTGCTTTTTTATATGTAAACAATACGAAAATCCTAAAAATCTTGAAAACGCTGAAAACTGCATCATAATTATCACGAGATCCAAATTTTTGGTATCAACCCCTTTCAGTGATATCTCGTCAAGCTCTGATATGGCTGTAGGGAATATTAAAGCAAAAGTAAGAGTCAAAGATTTTATGAAGGCTGCAAAGAAAAGGAATTTACAAACAGCGATTACGTTTTATTTTAAAGGGAAAAAGCTAATAACTTTGAGTTTCTTGTTTAAAAGTGCCATAGAAGCTAAAGCATGCTTAGTGCAGCTGAGAGCCCATTTTAATAGGCTAAGAGAAATGAGTTTAATTGCTACATAATTTACCTGTTTGATATAAATCCCCATTTAAGATTGCATTGATAAAATCTAAAAATCTTATCATACATGTTACAAAATGGTTTTAAATTACCATTTTTGTTTTGTTTCAGTATCCACACTCCTAATTCAGAAAAAAAATTAGAAGCTTATTTCCCCCTCTTCTTCTCAAAATCCCTAAAATTCTTGCAAACCTCATTCTCCCTCCACAACTTTCTATCACCTAATCCCAATTTTTTCGCATTTTCATAAAAATTTTTTAAATCTTTTGAATCCTCCTAATCTTTCTTATTTTTCAAATTTTTATTTATTCCTCTACACCTTATTCTCTTATATCCCCATTCTGAGCCACTATTTAATAATCAAAAATGGAACTAGAAACACAAAAGAATCATTCGCTCAACGATTTCGAGTTATTAAAAGTATCCTTTTTTATAATAAATATTTAAAAAATATATTTAATATATAAAATTAGTATTAGGCTTTAAATAGGATAATAGGAAAAGGCCGATTTGGAAAAGTCCTTTTAGTCAAAAAAAAGATTTCAGGTGAGCTCTTCGCAATGAAAATTTTAAAGAAAAAATACATCGAAGAATGCAGACAAATCGAACATACACGAACAGAACGAAAAATCCTGGCAAGAGTTGACCACCCTTATATAGTGAAATTTTATTATGCTTTTCAAAGCAATGAAAGGCTTTATTTTATTCTTGAATACTGCTCAGGCGGAGAGCTCTTTTTCCATCTTAACCGAGCTAGACGATTTGACGAGGAAAGGGTGAAATTTTATAGTGCCTGCCTTGTACTTGCAATAGAGCATTTGCATAGTAAAAATATTATTTATAGAGAGTAATTATTATGCAGTTTAAAGCCAGAAAATGTATTGATTGACGAAGACGGGTTTCCAAAAATCACTGATTTTGGACTCTCAAAGGAAGACTGCAAAGATCCACGCTCAGCGAGGAGTTTTTGTGGGACTGCTGAGTACTTACTCTCCCTATTTTAAAAAAAAATTATATATATATAATTTTTTTCGAAATTTAAAAAATCCCAAATTGGAAAGTAAAAATTAATTTTTAATTATAAATATTATCTATCTGCTTAAAATCCAAAGGAATTCGCTAAAGATTTAATTATCCTATTTATCTCCTAAATATAATTTTTTTTTATAAAAAATTTTTATATTAAAAGCATTTTGTTCGCTCGAGGTTTTTTATTTAAACAATAGGGATGCTTCCAATGGTTTTGCTGCTCACAGATAGGGGGTTAGCACCTGAAGTGATCATTAAACAAGGATATGGAAAAGTCGTTGATTGATGGTCTCTTGGATGCATTATTTATGAAATGCTGGTCGGGCTACCACCGTTTTATAACGAAAATAAAAAGTATGTCTATATGAAAATCCTATCCGAGGACCCACATTTACCTGATTTTTTGTCGAGTGCAGTAAAAAGTTTGCTTAGTGGGCTGCTCAATAAAGACCCGAATAGGAGATTGGGTGCTGAGGGTGCTGATGAAATAAAAAGGAATCCATGGTTTTTTGATATAGACTGGGTAGCTTTAGAAGCGAAAAGTATTATGCCTCCATTTATTCCGAATATTTCTGATCCTGCAAATAGCAGATATTTTAGTGAGGAATTTACAAATTCAGCAATGAGCTCTGCATCGCCCAATCAGCTGTCGCCAAGAGCTTGTAGCCCAACTTATGATGGATTTTCATATTCAAGCAGCCCTATTGAACCGAGATGTGCATTTGATACGGAATTTACGATAAGAGGAGAAGTGGGGCAATCCGTTGTTTAATGAAGTATTTAATCTACCTATTAGATATAGGTTAAGAATATTTACAATATGAAGGCGGCTTTAATTAAGACTCCTTTTTTACTTAAATTTTAATAATTTTATTTATAATTAATCTTTAAGCAGTCTCTTTATAAATTATGCAATAAAAAAGTTTAAAATATAAGTCTGCTATTAATAATCCTGAAAAGTTATTAAACTGTTCAGAATCCTTATTCGATGACTTAAATATTTATAAAAATCCTTCTTTATGATAAAAAACTAATTTAGGGTTTATTTAACTATTCTTACTTTAAATATTCAATATAAGTGGTAGTATGTTGATTTTTTTCTTTTATTGAAATATAAAAAATAGAACCCTTATTAAAGATAGCTATATTGGATTTTGCTTTAAATATAGAATAGATTTCATTTTTTATTCATAAAATATCTAACGTTATAAAAATGGCCATATTAAATTTTTTAAATTCAATCGCTTAACGGACATCAAAAACATCCAATATCTCTGCTATGGTCCTTAAAATCCTCAGAAATTAGAATCAGTTGGATCTTTTATGAATATATATCTAAATCGTCTGTATAAGCAATATTTCAGCTTGATTTCTATTTACCCTCTTTAGAAATCCTCCTATCAAATATTTTCTATTATCCTTTTCCCCTCAACTTCAATCCCTTGCGTTTTTCTATCATTTCTCCCTTTCCTCTTCCATTAAAAGCTAATAAACCCATAGAAAACGGCCAGTTTATAATTATGTCAGAGAAGTTAAATATAGCTCTCAGCAAGTATGAGGGAGCTATTGCACAAGAAAAACGTCCGTTAAAGAAGAAAAAAGACTCTCCAGTCGACTTAGTGCCTTTATTAGCCTTATATCGCTACGCCAAAGGTCCAGACTATATCTTATTTATTGTTGGTCTAATCTCAACAATTGCTTTTTCAATTCTGCCTTTATTTTTAGTCATTAAGATCGGAGAAGTTATAGAAGCAATGACCAAGTATGGAGCTGACCTCGAGACCTTCTACGAAAAAGAACGAGATATCGCAATTGTCCAATTCATTTTGGGAGCTGTGACCGTTGTAGCTGGATGAATTGCCGTTGTCGCTTTTATCCGACTCGGCAGCAACGTAGGACTTAGATGGAAAAGTGAATATTTCAGGACTGTCATAAATAGACCTATAAAGTGGTTTGACAAGCATAATCCTGCTGAATTCGGAAGCTCAATTGACATGGACTGCAATGCTATTGAGCACGCATCAGGAGAAAAGGTCATGCTTTTGCTGTCAGCTGTCATTTTCTTTATTGGCTCATGGATACTAGCAGCTATCATTAGTCTGCAGCTTACCCTTATAGCACTTGTTATGGTCCCTATACAAATTGCTTCGGCAGTTGGAATTGAAAGAGCCTCAATACACTCCACAGTTATAACTCAAGAAAAGTATAAAATAGCTGGAGGGATTGCAGAAGAAAGTTTGGAAGGCGTCAAAACAGTCGCTTCTTGTAATGCACAAGACACGCTTGCGAAAACTTATCAAAAAGAGCTAGAGCCACTTAAAGGCGCTACAACACTTATGGGAACTTTGCATGGGTTTGGCTGGTCTGTGTTTTTTGTGGTGCTTTTTTCATTCTGTGGAGCAATTTATTATTATGGAGCTAAATTTTATGATGATGGAGTAGAAAATTGGTCTAATGGAGAAGTATTTGAACCTCAATATGTCATTATGATTTTCTTTGCCTGTGCTATGTCATCATTTTACCTTGGAGCTTCAATTCCTTGTCTACAATACATCCAAAACGGAAGAGTTGCCGCATCCAGAGTAGCCCACATAATCGCCAAAAATAACAAATTTGACGGCTACCGACGTGCAGAAAATGTCCTTAAAGGCGAAATCGAGTTCAAAGATGTGCACTTCAGCTACCCTTCAAACAGAGAAGTTAGAATTCTTCAAGGAGTTTCTTTTAAAGTCAACTCAGGGCAGTCTTTAGCTATTGTCGGAGAAACTGGGTCAGGGAAAAGCACCATTGTGCAGATGATTGAAGGATTTTACTATTGTGATGCTGGGGCTGTCTGTATTGATGGGATTAATATAAGAGAATATGACTTGTCAAGCCTAAGAAATTATATTGGACTAGTAGGCCAGGAACCAGTTTTATTTAATACATCTATTAAAGAAAACATCAGAATGGGACGACTTTCTGCATTTGACCAAGAAATTTATGATGCAGCTGCAGAAGCAGAGGCTACTACATTTATTGAGCATTTAGAAAATAAATATGAAACTTATGTGGGTGTTAAAGGGTCACAAATTTCAGGAGGCCAAAAACAAAGAATTGCGATTGCAAGAGCTATGATAAAGAAGCCTAAAATTTTGCTATTGGATGAGGCTACGTCAGCATTGGACATGCACACAGAAAGAAAAATCCAGCTGACACTTGACAAAGTTATGAAAGGCAGGACCACAATTATAGTAGCCCAAAGACTCAGCACCATCAAAAACGCTGAACGTATCATTGTCCTAGACTCTGGAAAAATCATAGAAGAAGGAACCCATTCTTCTCTGACTGAAGCCAACGGCGCCTATGCAAGACTTCAAGCAATCCAAAAACAGGTCGAAACAGCATCTGAAAAATCCAGGCAAAATTTAAAGCAAATTAAGCAGCATCACGGTGACGTTGAACAAGAAAAAGCAACTGAAGATATTGACGGTGGGCTAATGATGAAAAGAATTCTATCTCTAATGAAAAACTACGTAGGGTGGCTGCTCATTGCAATTGCCTGTGCAGTAGTCACAGGGCTGCTTTTCCCTATTTTTGGCTATCTGTTTTCTGATAATATCATTGTTATGCTAAGACATAGAGGAGATGATATGATTGACCCTATAAGAGAAAACATGTATTATCTATTTATAGAGGCAGGAATCGTATTTTTCACATTGACAATCCTATCAGCTGCCTTGTCAAGAATCACTGCACTTTATACCTACGATCTAAGGTTCCAAGGACTTAAGTCTCTTCTCTATTACGACCAAAAATTCTTTGATAGACCTACAAGTAACCCAGCGACTTTATCATATAGACTTTCTTCTGACTGTGAAAAAATCTCCCAGATTGGAGGCCCAGTTTTAGGACTACAAGGACTTGTTGTGGCTGCTTTAGCTGGGGGTGTTGTTATTGCTACACAAGAAGACATTACTTTATCTCTAGTAGTTTTGGCACTGATTCCTTTTATTATTATTTCTAATGCTAAAGGCGAAATTTTACAGTTTGAAGGGCTAAGCCAAAATGACTTAAAGAATACCTCAGCCATTGCTTCAGATTCTTTAACAAATATAAAAACAGTGCATTCTTTTAATAGACAAGGATATTTCCACCAGAGATATATAACAGCTACAGAAACTGAAAACTTGGCAGTCGGCAAAAAAGCTCATGGAAATGGGATTATGTTTGGGCTCAGATATATGGTGCTTTATTATGTGTGGGGAATTTTGGCTTGGTATGGCGCTTATAGAGTTAAAGAAGGCCAAATGGACATTGAGGCCATGCTGACTGTATTTTTCTGCATTATGTTTTCAAGCTGGGGATTTATGGTTGTAGGAGCACTGGTACCTGATATTGAAGGAGGCATTGAGAGCGCCAAACATATGTTTGCAGTTATTGACTACAAGCCAGAAATCAATGCTAACTCAGACTCAGGGATATTGACACCAATAAAAGGCAGCGTTTCTTTTGATAATGTGATTTTCCAATATGAAGGAAGGAGCAATATTGTCCTTCATAATGTATCTTTTAAGCTGGAAGCTGGAAAAACGCTAGGAATTACTGGGACAACAGGGTCAGGGAAGTCAACCATTGCACAGCTGATTATGAGATTTTATGACCCAAGTGCGGGAACTATACAGATTGATGGGAAACCAATAAAAGAGTTCAATTTAAAGCATTTGAGGCATCATATTTGTTGGGTTGGACAAGAGCCGATATTGTTTAAAGGGTCTCTTATGTATAACATGAGGCTTGCTAGGAGTGATGTGACTGCGGAAGAAGTACAAGATGCCATAATAAAGGCACAAGGACTTAATATATTGAATAAGTATGGACTGGAGTCAGATGTGGGTCTTAGAGGAAGCAAACTTACTCCTCTCTGTGAGCGAATTGAATTTTTCTTTTTTAGGATTGTTTATATGAAATGCTATTAAAATCAATTAATATTCTGGCAATTTTTAATATATTCCATATTTTAAAAAATTAAAATAATTTTATTTGATTTAATGCTTAAATTAAACTATAAATAGCCCCCCCAATTTTCAAAATTAATAAAAAAAATGCCTACTGCCTCCGAAAAAGAGATTCAAGACTCCAAGAGAAGACTCCATCAAGAGAGAACTTACTCAAAGGCATTCCTCAACCTCCAAGACGCCCCTTGAAGGCCCTATCATCTCTACCTCTTAGGGATAGGGTTCTTCTCTTCAAAAGAGCAAACCCTGAAATCCCTGGCATCTTGTGTATCAAGTGCCATGAGGTAGTTCCAAACAACTTGGCATCGGAACATACGCTTAGCTGCCTCAAGCTAAGCAATTCGTATGCCAAATGGAACTATCTCCAGATGATTGTTCATAGGATCTCTAAGATCGGAAAATCTCTGGAAGTAGAGAAATATGGCGGCTTATCTAAGGAAGTCGCTCTTGCTTTAAAAAAGATGTGCGAAAGCACAAATAGCAAGAGCGCAAGGGCTAAAAGGAGTTATGCCTTGACGATAGTAGGCCAATTGGAGTCTCTCTTAAAATCCCCAAAAATTTCTGATGGTCTCAAGACTTATATACGGAGACTTCAAAAGCTATTTCAAGAGCTTTTACATTTAAATTTTTTTAATTTAAATTAATTTTTGTTTAATTAGTTTGCTTTTTAATTTAATTTATTACTAAGTTTTGTTTATTAAATCGCTATATATTTTTTTTTCAATAATAAATAAATATGATTTTTTTCTTCTTTTAATATGTAATATAAAATAATTAAAAAAATATTTCAAAATATATAAATAAGCATAATTTAAAAAATTAATTTTTATAAATAAAAAAAAATTTTAAATAATAGCCTAGCATTTATATATAAAATAAATTGAAGAATTAAAGAGTCATTGATTTTCTCAATTTTGGCAATGGTTTTGCTCACTAATGAAAACGAGTTAGTGGAGGTGAAAAACAAAGAGTTGCAATTGCAAGAGCTTTATTAAGAAGACCAAAGATTCTTGTGTTAGATGAATCCACTAGTGCTCTAGATCCAGTCACAGAAGCGAATTTACAAGAAAAGCTAAAAGAAGAAAAGTTTACTATAATTGCAATTGCACACAGGCTGAAGACAATTAGATACTACGACAATATCATTCTTCTTGAATTGGGAACTGTCGTGGAGCAAGGAAATCATGACACCCTTGTTAGTATACCAAACGGATATTACAGGCGACTATATCAAAGTTCAGAATAATAATAATTAAGATTTTTCTATAATAAATAAAATTTTCAAAAAATGTCTATTTTGATTTTAATTAATTATATATTCTCTTCCGCCCACAACGAAAGTACCTTGCTCTCATCACCTTCAGCGTCATCCTTATTGATACTAGCCCATTTTGGCTGCCTAATAATGACAATCATTATATTTTGACTCCTATGTCTATTAAAACAGCGTTTATTTAATAAATATCAATCATTATGAGTTTATCTCCAAATAGACACAAAAGAACAGAGACAAATATAGAAAAGAAAATCCTCCGAACCACCTTTATAACTCACGAAAATAACCTGCAAGCTTTGAATTCTGGACAAGCTAAAGCATCCCCATCAAATTCCCAGCTATGACAGTCAAATTCTTCAGACAGTTTTAGCTCATCTCAATATTTATCCCCTCACATCTCTGCTATTAAAGGCATGGAAAACTTCTGATTTGCAATCCAGCAAGAAGAGAGCTCCGAAAGCATTTCAAACGAAATAAGCGAATTTCCTTCTTATTACGATATTTATTTTTTTTAAAAAAATAATTTTTATTAAAATTAAAAAAAATTAAATTTATATTACGATATAATTCTCAATGCAAACCCTGGAGATACCATAAATCTCCCAGCAGAAAAAATTATCATGAAAGAGATATTAATTGCAAAGCCAATTACAATTAAAGGCACTGCTGGGTCTGTTCTAGAAATCCAAAACGGATCTATCACTATAGATTTCGGCCAAAACCACTATAGCCAGAGCCGGGCAACTCTTTGTGAGATAAATATTATCTATACAGTCACCCCAGCCAAAATTGAGCAGACTGAAACAAAGCAGCCTTTTGGGCTTTTTATCATAAATGGAAATAATACTACCTTAGAAGTACGTGACTGCCAAATCAAAAGCAATAATTCTATAAGAGAATCCAATGAATTTTGGATAGAAATTGAAGATGTCTGCTTTTGAGTCAATGGAAACGGTTATAAGAAAAAATACTCCCCAGAACTAGTCAGGTTTAAAAGTATCCTTTATGTAAAATCATGCAATATTTCGCATTTTCACGAAGCCCTGATTGGAGGTGTAAATAGCAGTGTTGTTATAGAAAAATCACACATAAGCAATATTAGAGGATCAGGCGTAAAAATGATAAATCCGAGAGAGCTTAATATTCATCAAGCAAAGTTCACAAAATGTGCAGGCTATGGGGTTGATTTAAGAATTGTCCCTTTTGCCCATGGACATAGCGGACAAAGCTCTCATTCTACCTCAACTGATTCTTTTTTAATACAGCAGATGAGGTCTATCTCGATTCATATGACGACTTTTAAGTCATGTGGAGACAATTCTATTCATATTTGAGGAGAAATCGCTGTGAATTTTCCTGGAAGAATTACAGTAACACAATGCAAAATTACAAATTGCAAACGCGAAGGACTTTCTGTCCAGCACATCTGTGTATCTGACTTATATGCTAATAAAATGGCGATGTATGTGAAAGCCAGCCTATTTTATTATTAAGAGGTCGGCTTTCCAGTGAATCTCGATATGAACACTAGCAAAGGTGCACAGTTTTATGGAATAGTCTAGAAAGCATAGGTTTCCTACCCTGTACACCTAAAAATATGGCCTTTAGGTACAACACACAAGGCGCAAATTAAGAGACGATGGTTATCTATACGATGGCACTGGAGGAATGGCTACTCATTTTTATGCCATTTTAAGCGATAGGATAGTTTGCTAAGCCGCGGTTGGGTTAAATGGCTATATGGAGTTAAACATAATAAAATATCTGACTTACAAATAATCGATAACGAATTCAAAGAAAATCAGAAAACTGGTATCTGGATCCAAAAAGTCAGAAAAACTGACAAAGAATCCCTTATCATTTTGAACGGAAATATTTCTGCTGGGTCTAGCGCTGGCTACGGGGTTTATTTTTACGACACTTCAATTACAATGAACAAATGTGAGTGCTCTGGAAATGCCTTAGGAGGCGCCATGATTGTAGCAAGAAAAGACTTTGACGGTAAAAGCATAGAATTTAAGGAATGCAGGATTTTTAAGAACGAGAAAAATGGGGTTTCAATTTTCGAATTTTATAGAGGCAAAATCAAAATGAAAGATACCCAGGTTTTTGAAAACTCTATGAGCGGAATTTGTGTGTTTCCTGAGGTAAAATTAGAGATTTTACAAGCAGAGCTGTATTTAAAAAGATGCTATGTGGGGAGAAATAAACAGTTTGGGGTCATGGCATATCAGGTGGCTTGCAATTTGGTGGGGACGATAATGGAAGAAAATACGATTGGGCCACTTTTAATCGACAAAAACGTAAAAAAGCCAGCGAAAAGAAAGCGAGAAAAGCTAGCCCATAAAATTCCAGAAAGAAAAGTTTGTAAAGGAAATTGTGGGATTTTGTAATTTTGCGTGTAATTTAATGATCATTTTTGAAGGAATCCCTAATAAATTTTATGAAGCTAATTAAGCAGAAAATCGTGTTATTTTCTTATAAAAATCGTCTAGGCTCTTTAAATTTCATAATGGTGAAAACCATATTCCCTATCAACCCAGAGAATGAGTCTGATGTTTTTGTTGACCCAGATGAGCACTTCAATTCTTTGCCTTACTCCTCAGAAATCCCTGACCCCGTCCCTGACGCCTTTTCTCTCAGCCCTCATCGATTTCCCTTTGCTAAATACAGGACTGCCAGAGAAAAAGCAACAATTGTTGGGATGATGGGATTTATAATAGGATTTTTATGGTCAAGAAAGCACTCTTATTTTGCTTATGGAAACACTGCTACAAGAACCAGAACTTTGATATACCAAACTTTCTGGGGACTTTTACTAGGATCAGCAGGGATAATTGTATTGGCTTATAATGATATAGCTTTTAGTCCATATGTTGGCGGTAGAAGAAGGGCTATGTTTCGAGAAGAGGCATTGAGGCATGCTTTGGACGCAAAGTTTAAGCTTTATGAAAATTTAGACAAAATTATGCATTCAAGAAAAAAGATCCTCAAGCAAGAATTTTATGAATCTTTTGCACCTTTGATTGAGCAGAATCAGATATTAAATCAAAAAATAGCGGAAGAGATGTATAAGGAGAAAAAGTTAGCTTATTATATTAATCAAAAATAGTGTTATCTAGATGAAGGTAAATTTATAAATATTTTAACATATTTATGTAAGCAAAATAAAATATATGTGCTTTTTAGTTAAGTTATTTAATTTAGTCATACTTAGAAGATAAAAATAGACTTTTATTAAGAAAGCCCTATATCTTCTTATCGATATTTCCTTGATAAGAATTTAAGAATTACTTCTTTTTGCCAAAAAGACAAGAGATAAAAATTACACCCTTTTTAATAGAAAACATTATTGATTGAAACACTAATTTTTATAAAATTTATTTTAGCCTGATATAATAGGAAAAATGCAAGAAGAAAAATCTTCCTTCACAATCCTGGGCTAGGTACTGAAATTTCTTAACTAAGATGCCATCTTGCTATATCCTCTAGCGAGCTCGAATTAAATATATAAAATTAATTTTATAATTTTACTAGGAGGAGGTATTATGCCAATGCTTCTTGCTGAGACTTACTGCTGTAAATCCCATCTAATAGACATCTTAAATTGCCCAACAGAAACCATATCGTTGACTCGATTCTTATAGAATCTTGTGAGTGAATCAAAGATGGAATTCTTGGATTTCTTGCATTAATACCTTGGCTAGTAAACAAATATTTGGGAAAATTCTGCTTTTGGAAAAATTAACCCGCTCTTAAAATTATTTAATATAATTTTTTCTGGAAATTAATTAATTGGCAACATTCACTATCAAAGCATGGGCTAGTACATGCTCATCATTCCATAGAGATCGACAGACTGCATTTATTCTAATTTTACTAAATCAGACTACAGTGATGATTAAACTAATAATATAAACACATATATAATTGATTACAAGAGATAACGAGATATCTTGCTTATCAATTCATCAGAATTGCATGGCTTTGATATGCATTCTTTCATCCCCGCATCTATGCACACCTTCACATCCTGCCCAGAGGTGAACGCAGAGTATCCAATTATTGAAGGCAAATTTTTAATTTTACCCTGAGAATGCAATTCATAAATTATCTTGGTCGCTTCCCAGCCATTAAGTTCAGGCATACTTCCATCCATAATTACTAATTTGTATGGCTTTCTCTTATTATCCATAATTTTTACATATTCAACAGCTTGGCTGCCAGTGCAAGCTTCATGATAAGATATTTTGTTACTAGTAAGAATAGACCCAAGTACAATTCTATTAAATTCATTATCATCCACGATCAATATATTTGGGTAACTTTGACTAATGACTGTGGTAAAGTCCTTTATTTTGATTAGAGAATAATTTTCGTCAACGTTGTCGCAGATATTTTCATCGTAGAACGTATCATTTGGAAAATTTCCTTCAGAAATATCAATAGAGAAACTAAATGATGAGCCTTGGTTAGGTTTTGATTCAGCTTCAATATGATTGGAGCCCAATTCTTGAGCAATTATATTAGATATAAATAGTCCAAGCCCACAGCCTGTAGGATTTAAAGTTTTGTTGTGAGTGCTGAATTCTCTAAACAAATCCTTCAACTTATTTGCTTTCATTCCAATTCCGGTATCCTCTACAATAACTTTCAATTGTCCATTAGGGCATGCAAGGCAAATTATTTCAATAAAGCCTGATAATGTAAATTTTAGGGCATTGCTAACTTCCCCATCCTTGATCGAACAAACCCCCGTTAATCTATCAAAAAATGGATTTTAAAAAGAATTAGGAAAAATTATAAATAAAAATAATATATATTATTTTTATTGTTTTGATGTACTTTTAAATAAGAGGTTAAGATAGTAAATATTAAAATTTCTAAAAATAAAAAATTTTGCTAATTTAAAAATTTTGGTTACCCTTTTCGCTCTATAAAATATTTTAGTTCCTTATTAATTATTTTTTTTTAATAATTCTAAACTTTTAGATTATTAAGAAAGCACCTGAATTTCTCTTAAGATATATATTAACTAATCAATTGGTTTATTGCATATAAAAAATGCAGTATATAAAAATCGTTCGATCAAGGGGTTAATTTTCCCAATTTTTAGGAATTTTTCAATGGAACCGTTCGATCAAGTATGGGGAGTAAGCAAATTAAGAAGAACCTGATTAAACCTAAGTGCATCTGTACAAATATAAGCAGGTAATCCAGGATCTATCCTTACAAAAAGTCCTAAGTCTTTCTTTTCTAGTTGAAGTTTAATTAGCTGAACTGAGCTATTAATTGCGTCTCTTAATGAGAATGTTGACTTTTGAATACTAAATACTCCAGCCAAAATTTTCGAAAAATCCAGCAAATCATTTATGAGGCTTAATAGAAGCCTCGAAGAAATCATTGCAATGCTTAGTTTTTCGCTTCATTCTTGATTTTTCTTGATTTCGGGTTCCTCTTTTAATGATTCAACTAATACTGATATTGCGTTAATGGGAGTTCTCAGCTCATGTGATACAGTTCTCAAAATTATAGTTTTGAAATTATTGTCAGAAACTGATTTTTCCAACTGAATAATATTATTAACATTTCTCAGAGTTAGCAAAATTGCCTCCTGGCTATTTCACAACACCTTTTGGCCTTTCCATTCTAAATTATAGCTGTTCACTTCGGTGATACCGAGAAGTTTTTCTTCATTTATTTGTAAATTATTGATAGAAATGATATCGTCAATTAATTTATTTGAATTTGAATTTGAATAATTTTTCCCTTTGCAATACTCGATTAGAGAGAAAAGAAAGTATTTTAATAGCATTATTTTAGGCCCTTAAGCAACTTAATGAAAACTCTTGTAAAGACGTGCAAGATGTTCTTCTTTTTTTTGACGGGGTCGTAAAAATTAGTGTCGTCGCCATCTATAGGGAAGATCTCTGCTTCTTCTGAATTCAATATCTAGGAGCTGCAGATCCTACTCCAAAGAGGATTTTGGCTCGAATGATTGTCTGGGCCTTCTTCACACCTCAGCTCAATAAGAAGCCTCCTAGTATCCTTTATATCGTGAAAATCCTGAATTTGCTACTACACATCTCAAGGACCTTATGAAATCCCATTTATTTCCGGAAAATTCACCCAGGGTCTTCCGCCTGATGCAGACCCTCAAACCCTAGATCGCTGGCGCTACTGAATTATTTAATTCTTCCAAAAAATAAAAGTATACTCGATTGTAGATATAACATTAGTCACATTATTTACATCGCAATTCAAAAACTTTATTAAGTTTTCATTAGAGTACAAAATTTTTTTGCATTGGGAAATTATCAAAATTCCATCAGGAAAAAGCTTTAAAATAAGCTCAATCCTCTGCTCTGCATTTTCTATATTCTTTCTGTACAAAAATTTTCCATAAGATTTTTCTTTCATGCTTTGCCAACTTAATTCTGCCAACAGAAAAATTAAAAATCAGACCATTAAGGGAAGGCCCGAAAAAACTAAAAAATCGAAGTCTTTTGAAAGCTCAGTTCAATTAAAAATAACCAAACTTTTAATCAATAGAAAATTTCGCGCTCAAAATGATTCTAGAAATGGTCATTCACATAAAATCACTGAAGCAAATGAAAGTGTTGCTAGAAGTGTCCTCATTTGCTGGATTTCTATCGTGCTCATTGAGTATCAAATGCAGATATTAGTCTCTGAGATCAAAATTGCAACAGCAGATTTTATATTCATATTCTTATTCTCCATCTGCCAAATAATGATGCATTCAGCTATTTGGGTTAAATTATATGGAATGAATTCTATCAAAATCTCAATGTTAGTGAGCATGCAAATGTCCACAGCATGAAAAAATATGACAATGCCCATAATAATGTAAGTAAATTTTTTTATAATCTGATATTTCTCGTTGACTTCTTCTTCCCATCATAAATTCTTCAGGATTTCCATTTTGTTACCTATTGAAGAATTAATAAAAAACAGATGATATTGAATAATACATGAGTTAGGTTTTAATATTGATTCTAGTATTTAATTAAAAAATAATTTTATTAATTATCAGTTATTTTATTAAGGTGTTAAGCACTGTTAAAATGTGGATCGGCAATATTTCATAATAAAAAACTGCTCGAAGATTAAAATATCGCATAATTAATGGAAATTAGTCTTTAATGTTTGTGGATTCGTACCAGACTTGCGCTTATAATGATATTCCAAAAAGATCGAGTAAGAATTTATGATCTTGAAATTTAAAATTGTTTCAATTATTTTGTTCAATAATTATTATTGATTGATTGATTGCCAAATTAAATTTAATAAATCCTTTGTAGGTATTTGATGGACTTGATATGTGCCTTGAAATCTTCTAAAAGCCTCAAGTCTCTATAATGACTTCAGTAATTCAGCAAAAGTTAAAATAAATCTCCTCTAAGCCACAATATTTAAGCCATTTCTTTAATAGTTTCAGAGACTTCTTGAGAAAAGCCACCATTTTCTTCAACCCAAATTCTTCTCCGATTTTTCTGATCTTATGGAGAACCATTATGAAATGGCTTCATTTTGCATCCATAGCACTTAGTCTTGTTCCAGCTAGCTCTTTTTGAATTATTTTATGGATTTGATGCACAAAATGCCAGATGCTTCTACACTAGCCATTTTGCATAAAATTATGGATCAGAAGTATATCTCACTTCTCCACTTACTTTGCTTCTTAAATTAATATCGTTATTTGCAGATTTTTGAACTTTACCACCTAAGTGTGGAATCTTTTCCGTGTGTGAAAAGAGGATTCCACATGTGAAGCCCTTTTGATTTCACATGTGGAATCCTCTTTTCACACGCGGAAAAAATTCCACACTTAGGTGGTAAAGTTCAATAATCTGCAAATAATGATATTTTATTTTTATATAACATTTTAGGATAAGTGTAGGCTATCCTTTTCCACCGTTTTAAATTATTGTTTGAATTATTTTCGTAAATAGATCACCATAAATTTTTATTGGTAAACTCTAAATTAAAAAACTAATTGAGAAAGTTAATTTTGAGCTTTATTTTCATATTATGAATCTATTTAGTCTAAAATTTAATTTTGAAACCACAATAAAATGTTAGGATTAATATTTTAATTTGTTTAGATAAGCATGATTAAGCATAGTATTATTAAGCAGCCAAGATATAATTTACTTAATATTATTTAATAGTGTTAAGTACTCTTAGACGTTTAAAATTCTCTATTTAATTATAAGTAGGGAAATCTGACAAACTCAAGACAAATGCAAAATTTTAACATTAATTATTTTCTTTTATAATATTTCTTGTTTATTTAGATTATAAAAAGTTTTCTTAATTGAAGCGCTTCTTATTAAAGTATATTTACCAAGTTAAGTAAAATAGACTGTCAATAGAGATGAAAAATGCATATTGGCTTTATCAAAATAGCAAGAATTCTTAAAAATATCTATTTCAATAGACCTGTCCATTGCTTTGGAGGATAAGGCTACTTTAGACACAATTCAAATTTATCTAATAGGCTTGATCTTGACAAAAATCGATAAATAAAACTTCGTAATCGCCACCGGACATATTACTGCTCCAATAGTATAATAGTTAATGGGAATATTTTGATTTCTAGAAGGATAAGTATAAATCTTAGGCTTTATTCAACTGAAATTAACTCTTTCTCCATAAATTTATGAGAAATGCAACAAAGCTCCTAAAAAGGGTAGATAGGATAGATTTGATTTATTACTGTTATTGTGAATTATGCTATGAAAGCTAAGTTGGAAATCTGCATTATAAAAAAAAATAGAAAAGTTAACACTCATTAGGATTGCATCTCATGTTTCATGTTGATACAATAAAGGAGAAATATATATACCAATTATCTCTTATAATGCTTATGATTTTTTAAGCTTAATGTAGACAAATAATGAAATTTTGCAGTGCTATTAAAATTTCACTTCTGAAAAATTATCATAGATACTAACTATCAAGCAAGCTTGTATCAACTAATTCATAAAAAATCTTATTTGAGGTACAATCAATTAGTGCACATGTGCACTACCACATTATTTTTATGGTTTTCTGTGGCAATTTCTGCACCAAATTAAAATCCATTCACGAGAAATAAACCAGTTTAGAACTATAAAACAAATTAAAATAAGTACTAAGAACATAAAATATAATAGAACTGTTAGGATTATAATTTTTACCTGGGGAAATAAACTTTAACTAAGAAAAGAAATAATAGCTTATTATGATTCTATAATTATGTCCGGAAGATGCTTCAAAGATGGTTGTACAAACCAGCTTTATGGGATGTGTGAATGCGAAGGCATTACCTTATTTTGCAAAGATCATGGTTTTGAGCACTTAGGAAAACCAACTTCTAAAGGTCATCGATACCTACAACTATGCTTTAAGCCAGCAGAAGAAATTAAGCAGCCAATTATTGCTAAACTAATAGCACTCAAAGAAGATATCAAAAACTACAAAATTGACGCACTTATCAACGCAAATACAATTATCAAGAATTTTAAAACTACGCTTGGAAGATATATTGATCAGATTAATGAAGTAGAAGCAAGAATCAATAAGATGCTTACAATTTTATATAGTGGAGAAGAGGTTCTTGACATTGCTAAAGATGATGATATGGAAAGTGTGCTTAAATTAAATGCTTCAGATGCCCAGTGGAAGATGAATGTATGAGATATAAAAGAGTGTTGCCTAGACTATAAAGATATTAATGCAGCAATTAGTAAAACTTATTGAATACCTTTTAATCCTTTTATGCAACCTATAGAAGATATCATTGAATGAAATGAACTCTCATTTTTTAGGCATAATAGTTCAAATTTTGCAACTATAAACTTAGATACCTTCCAGATTTCTTCTACTACAACTCTTCCAACTCAAGAATCAATTAACGGATACACTACAAGCTGTATACTTCCTGATTATACTTATTTCTATTGTTGCAATAATAACACTAGTTCAGGCTTAGTGTTTACTATTGACAAAAATAAAAATGTTAAATATCTCCAAAATTCAAAAGTAAATCATTATACTCATCCTATCTTTTATAATAACTTCATCTATTTAATTGGAGGAAGAAATAACTTGGCTGAAAGGTATGATTTTAAACGAAACGTGTGGGAAAGCATGGCTCCACTACCTCAAGGTTTGAATTTTACTTATGGTTGCAATGCTTTATATAGAGATTTGATTCTTATAACGAGCTATTATATTCAAAAAATTATATTCCTAATTAAAACTTTCACCGTCTTACTATTCATTATATAGAAAAAGATAATCAGTATAAAACCTTTATTCAATATAAAAGGGTATAATTTATAGCATAACTCAAAACAACTACCAAGAAGTCCCCAATTTGCTGTTAAATGCGAGTTATAAACTTATGCTGAGAGGGAATAAAAGAGTTTATTTATTTGAGAAAGGGGGAAGGACTTTTGAAAGTGCTGAAAACAATGTTTTTAGTTGGACTCAAATAGGGACTAATAGCAACACAGGAGATTTAAATCAATCAAGTGCTGTTCGCTATAAGGGACGCTTTTAGAGTGCCCTTAAGCTTTTGCTTATTCAGCATCTTGAGTTGACTGGCTACTTAAAGATTGCAAATCAAACCTGCAGGCTGCTAAGGAAGTGCATGCATAAGGGCACGCTAAAACAGTTCCTGCTCTATATAAATGTTGCCTTTACTTCGTTGTTTATCCAAATCAGCTGTGGAAATTCGATCTTAGTTCTAAGCAAGCATCTCAAGTAGCAACAGTCTAAAATAAAAATTTAGAACTTTAATAACTCTCTATACTCTTAAATAAAATGGTAGCGCAGTTAATCTATTCTCACTATAGGTTTAGAATTTAGCTAACTTACTCCTAAAAAGCATAATATAAATAAAATTTTGGTATCATTTATAAATTTGCTTAGGCATGTCCTGAATTAGAAGACTAATGTTGCGCAGGGAAAGTGTCCATGAAGTCTATCAGCTCTTATATCAGCTAGGTTTTAACACCAGAAAATTTATGTCAAGTTTAGGGTATGACAAAGTTACCACTTTTCTCATTACATAACGCCAAGCCTGAAGATGGCAGCAGGTAGCTGGTGGAGAAGAGCGGAGAAAATTACCTTCGGGGAATCACAGGAGCTTTTCAAATAATCTTAATTAATTTTAATAGACCCTCTTCGCTACTACACTTAAAAACATAAACAAATAATCTTGCCTAACCTCGAAGTAGTCCAAATATTCAAGCTATCCCACTCGATTATGATAACGAATTCAGACAATTCTGCAGCATGGTCATCTTCAAAAGGGTGTGAGATAGTAAGAAAATACATAATTAATAAATAGCAAGTACAAGCCTTTTTCTGATACATCTATAAATAATGTGAGGGAAAAGCACAATCATCAAAAATAGTTGATTGATTATCTCTATTTATTTAAATAAATATCCAATTTAAAATTATTGACTAAAACAAATTGTTGTTGTTGTTAGCTAAACGAATAATCATTTCTCCCTTTATGCAATTCTAATATTTTTATTTAATTTACTCTAAAATAAAAATAGCTAATTCTTCATTTCAGCTTCTCTTTTAATTTATAAAAATTATGATTTGAGTTAAAAAAACTCAAAAATCGCATCATTTGGATGAGTTCTAATAGCTTCTATATACTTACTTAATGCTGAGTCTAAATTCTCCCCTTCCTTCTCAAAATTCATATAAGTGGTTTTCAATTCAAAACGCACCTCTTGTGAAATAACTTTGGGTTTTTCTTTGTGAAAGCTCTCGATAATAGCATCAATTTGTTTTCTTTTTTCACAAAACAACCTAATATTATTACTTGATATGACTGTAAAAATTGCTTTAGCTTTTTCAATAGCTTCATTTGACTGCAAAACCAACAAATTTAAAGTTGGATCTTGCTCTATTCTCGATAATTTTTGTGGTTGCCTAATTTTTTCGACATAGCTGCCAATTTTCGTAGAATCAGAATCGATTTCTTTTAGAACTTGCTCTAAAATGTTTTCATAACTACAAAGAGTTTGAGTAAAGGAAGCGATTATATTTGCCCTCATTTCTTCAATTTTTGACTTTTCTTCTGCAAGAAAACTAAGGATTGCTTCTTTTGTGCCTTCAACAGGCTCTACAAAAATTGAGCTGATATTATGTGGATTGCTGCTAGATCCGCAATGGTTCCCTATATGTTTTTTGCAAAAATAAGTGGCAGGTGAGGCACATTCGCATAAAAATTCAACTTCACGTTTGCACTTTGGCTCAAAGCATCTCATGGTGCTCATTTTTACAATTATATTACAATTAATTTTGCATCTAAGCTACCTACTCAAAAAGCAAGAGGAGATCTTAAAACCCCTTCAGAGGATATAATTTGTTGTGCAATTCAATGAATAAAATTCTTTAGTAGTCATACAATTGGATTCTGATCTAACTTTGATAATTTTTGAGTTTAAAATTTTTTTGTAAAATAGTCGCTTAGTTCATCTGAGCCTGATTCCGAAAACTCTTCAACACCATTCCTTGATTCAACTAAACGTTGGCTAAAGGATGCTAGGACTTTTCCCTTCAACTTGCTATTTTTTAACTGCTCTTTTGTAAAAAACCTAAGATATATAATTATTATAATAACAACTTATTAAGACCAAATTTTATTTTAAATCTGCATTTTTTGGAGTAGTTCAATACGGTCTTGGCCTAATACGTCGTTAATAAAATTGATCTCTTTTTCAGAAAGGTTCCATTCATCCCCAGTGAAAACACCACTTTCTTGATTTTCTTGCATCAAATTATAAGCCGTATTAAAGTCCTGCAAAGCTGCTTCTTCTTGTCTGAGATTATTAAATACTCTTGCTCGGCTGCAGAAATGCAAAGGATTGTTGGGTTCAAGTTTGATTGCCTTATCATAGCATTGTACTGCTTCTTGAAATCTCTCTAAAACAAAAAATTTATTGCCTTTACCATTATAAAACTTGGCATTATTTGGACTGATTTTGATTGCTTTATCATAGCTTTCTACTGCTTCTAGATATCTTCCTAATACACCTAAAGCATCTCTTTTATTATAGTTAAAAAATTTCATGGAATACTGTAAGGGAAACGAGTTAATTTAATTTAATTTAGCATGCTAATTTATTGTAGGGTGTTAGGGTGTTAGGGTGTGTTAGGGTGTTAGGGTGTTAGGGTGTTAGGGTGTTAGGGTGTTAGGGTGTTAGGGTGTTAGGGTGTTAGGGTGTTAGGGTGTTAGGGTGTTAGGGTGTTAGGGTGTTAGGGTGTTAGGGTGTTAGGGTGTTAGGGTGTTAGGGGTGTTAGGGTGTTAGGGGTGTTAGGGGTGTTAGGGGTGTTAGGGTGTTAGGGTGTTAGGGTGTTAGGGTGTTAGGGTGTTAGGGTGTTAGGGTGTTAGGGTGTTAGGGTGTTAGGGTGTTAGGGTGTTAGGGTGTTAGGGTGTTAGGGTGTTAGGGTGTTAGGGTGTTAGGGTGTTAGGGTGTGTTAGGGTGTTAGGGTGTTAGGGTGTTAGGGTGTTAGGGTGTTAGGGTGTTAGGGTGTTAGGGTGTTAGGGTGTTAGGGTGTTAGGGTGTTAGGGTGTTAGGGTGTTAGGGTGTTAGGGTGTTAGGGTGTTAGGGTGTTAGGGTGTTAGGGTGTTAGGGTGTTAGGGTGTTAGGGTGTTAGGGTGTTAGGGTGTTAGGGTGTTAGGGTGTTAGGGTGTTAGGGTGTTAGGGTGTTAGGGTGTTAGGGTGTTAGGGTGTTAGGGTGTTAGGGTGTTAGGGGTGTTAGGGTGTTAGGGTGTTAGGGTGTTAGGGTGTTAGGGTGTAGGGTGTTAGGGTGTTAGGGTGTTAGGGTGTTAGGGTGTTAGGGTGTTAGGGTGTTAGGGTGTTAGGGTGTTAGGGTGTTAGGGTGTTAGGGTGTTTAGGGTGTTAGGGGTGTTAGGGTGTTAGGGTGTTAGGGTGTTAGGGTGTTAGGGTGTTAGGGTGTTAGGGTGTAGGGTGTTAGGGTGTTAGGGTGTTAGGGTGTTAGGGTGTTAGGGTGTTAGGGTGTTAGGGTGTTAGGGTGTTAGGGTGTTAGGGTGTTAGGGTGTTAGGGTGTTAGGGTGTTAGGGTGTTAGGGTGTTAGGGTGTTAGGGTGTTAGGGTGTTAGGGTGTTAGGGTGTTAGGGTGTTAGGGTGTTAGGGTGGTTAGGGTGTTAGGGTGTTAGGGTGTTAGGGTGTTAGGGTGTTAGGGTGTTAGGGTGTTAGGGTGTTAGGGTGTTAGGGTGTTAGGGTGTTAGGGTGTTAGGGTGTTAGGTGTTAGGGTGTTAGGGTGTTAGGGTGTTAGGGTGTTAGGGTGTTAGGGTGTTAGGGTGTTAGGGTGTTAGGGTGTTAGGGTGTTAGGGTGTTAGGGGTGTTAGGGTGTTGGGTGTTAGGGTGTTAGGGTGTTAGGGTGTTAGGGTGTTAGGGTGTTAGGGTGTTAGGGTGTTAGGGTGTTAGGGTGTTAGGGTGTTAGGGTGTTAGGGTGTTAGGGTGTTAGGGTGTTAGGGTGTTAGGGTGGTGTTAGGGTGTTAGGGTGTTAGGGTGTTAGGGTGTTAGGGTGTTAGGGTGTTAGGGTGTTAGGGTGTTAGGGTGTTAGGGTGTTAGGGGTGTTAGGGTGTTAGGGTGTTAGGGTGTTAGGGTGTTAGGGTGTTAGGGTGTTAGGGTGTTAGGGTGTTAGGGTGTTAGGGTGTTAGGGTGTTAGGGTGTTAGGGTGTTAGGGTGTTAGGGTGTTAGGGTGTTAGGGTGTTAGGGTGTTGGGTAGGGTGTTAGGGTGTTGGGTGTTAGGGTGTTAGGGTGTTAGGGTGTTAGGGTGTTAGGGTGTTAGGGTGTTAGGGTGTTAGGGTGTTAGGGTGTGGGTGTTAGGGTGTTAGGGTGTTAGGGTGTTAGGGTGTTAGGGTGTTAGGGTGTTAGGGTGTTAGGGTGTTAGGGTGTTAGGGTGTTAGGGTGTTAGGGTGTTAGGGTGTTAGGGTGTTAGGGTGTTAGGGTGTTAGGGGTTAGGGTGTTAGGGTGTAGGGTGTTAGGGTGTTAGGGTGTTTAGGGTGTTAGGGGTAGGGTGTTAGGGTGTTAGGGTGTTAGGGTGTTAGGGTGTTAGTTAGGTGTTAGGGTGTTAGGGGTGTTAGGGTGTTAGGGTGTTAGGGTGTTAGGGTGTTAGGGTGTT